CGTGAGCTGCCAGAGGAAAGTGTACATGAACAACCATCGCCGGTCGATACCCAGGCCAGGCCACCAACAGAACCAGTAAAGCCAGACGCGCAGCCAGTACCGATACCAACGAGTACATCAAGTGCCAAACAGCCACTAGAATCTGTGGAAGATGTTGAAACGCCGACATCAGCCATTGTACTTGCCATTGTCGCAGGAAAGTTAAAGAGGGATCGTCAAGACGTTCCGTTGAACGCTTCGGTAAGTAGTCTTGCGGCAGGTGAGTTAGAATTTTCTAGCAAATAAGCTTTCAACTCATGCTCAATACAGGCCGCTCAACTCTTACGAACGAAATCATAGGAGATTTGCTTGCCGAGTTCAAGGGCAAGCTACCTGAGCGATCGGAAGACTTACCTTTGGAGGAACTCTGCCGTTTGCTGAGCGTCAATCACACCGGCAGACTCGGTAAACAGACGGAGTCGATGGTAAGCAGACTTATCTCCGCCAAGTTTCCGCCTGAATTCGCCCAATCCACTATACGCCAGACTCTGGAAAACCAGTGGGGCCTTGGTCCTATGAGGCAGGATGCTGTATTGCTTTCAATGGTGTCTGATCCGCCAGATGCACGCCTTTCAATTGAGAAGGCCCACCAACGTCTCATAAACTGGGTGACCAGCTATTTCCAAGAGCAAGGAATCTCAATGTCAAGAGCCGAGCCAGCAAACGATCAAGCGGTCATGATTGATTCGAAAGCAATGCAAATGGTGACGGAAAAGTCATCAGCGCTTGTCAAAGATATTCGAGACGTACTAGAATCTCATGTTCAAGACACGTCTCTTGCAAGCCGTGAGTCAGATAGCCGGAGTAAAGCAGCCAACGAAGCCATTGAAAAGTTGGACGTTTGGGTATCTGAGCATGGTGAAGTGTATGGCGAAGGCATCTTGCCAAAGTTTGATGTCAACAAGGAGCGCACGTATGACTCTTTCTGGAACTGGAACACCCAAGATATTGTGCGTCTGGCGCAACTGTTGGGCATTCAACATTCAGAAAGCCAGTCGACCCTAATCGAGGATCTGTCATTCCACGTCATCAACAGAGCTTGCAACCGTTCCATCTCGCAGATCAAATATCTGATGTCAACAGCCAACAAAGGGGTAAAAGAAGGAGCAACATTATACAAGTCACTACACTTTCTCCATGAAGCTTGTCTCATCTCAAAAAACCGTAATTCCGTCTTCATCGACAGATCTGTGAGCATGGCACCTCTGACCATGGTTGACGACCTTGGAGAGATTCAATTCCGGGAGATACCACGAATCTCCATCAACTCGAAAGGGATGCAAGCGCTTTCTATACCTTACGCCGTGAGCCAGTTCAGCAATGGCGTTGCCACTTTCTCAGAGGAACTCAGCTCTGCCTTCGCTTCCGACCTTCAGTCCGTCAAGCGAACAGGCTTTTCTTTCCAGGGAAAAAACGTTCTACTCAATGGAGCCGGAAGGAGGTCGATAGGGTTCCACATACTCCGCTCCTTACTTGAAGGTGGGGCCAGGGTAACATTGACGACAAGCAGCTATTCTCCCAAAACTACCCAGATGTACCAAGATTTGTATAGAAGATACGGATCACGGCATTCAGTCCTTCGAGTGCTCCCCTTCAACCAAGGAAGTCAGCGTGACGTCAAGAATCTGGTCCAGTATCTGGAGTCCGATCCAGCTTGGGATCTCGATTACGTTGTACCATTCGCGGCCATCTCTGAGAATGGCCGTAGCGTTGAGGATATTGACTCAAAGTCGGAGCTCGCGCACCGTCTCATGCTCACCAACCTCGTTCGACTCCTAGGAGCCATTGCTATGAGCAAGAAGAACAGGAATATCAGAACGCGCCCCGCCACTGTCATTCTTCCACTATCTCCCAATCACGGCTTGATGGGAGGAGACGGGCTTTATTCAGAGTCAAAGAGATCACTTGAAACCCTCATGGCTAAGTGGTCTTCCGAAGCATGGGCGGAGTATCTCTCCCTTTTTGGCGTCGTCATTGGCTGGACAAGAGGTACCGGGCTCATGGATGACAACGACGTGGTCGCCCAGGCGGTCGAAGCGTTGGGTGTTCGGACATTTGCTACCGACGAAATGGCAAGCAACATCGTGTGTCTTATGGGTGGTCGTCTCAACGCCGAATGCCAGTCCATTCCATTATTTGTCGATCTAGGCGGAGGTCTTAATTTGGTCAAGGACTTCAAAAATCGACTTGCAGCCATACGCAGAGACTTGCTTGCATATGCTCATACAAGGAAAGCCATTCACGACGAGATGGCAATCGAGGCTTCTCTTAGTGCTGGTCCTGACGTTGGGAGCAAGGCTGCTAAATTGGAACGGACTATAGACATCAAAAGCAACTTGCGGATTCCTTTCCCGACTCTACCTGATTACGAAGACGAGCTCGCTCCTTTATCATCGGCCTTGAAGGATATGATTGATCTGAGTCGTACCGTCGTGGTCACTGGCTTCGCTGAACTCGGCCCTCACGGCAGCAGTCGGACTAGATGGGAAATGGAGGCTGATGGTTCATTGTCACTCGAGGGCTGCATTGAGATGGCTTGGATGATGGGTCTGATAAGACATCAAGTAGCTACCCCGACGGATGATGACAGTGTGGCTGGCTGGGTCGACGCTGCTACACAAAGACCCGTCAAGGACAGCGAGATCCCTACCCGATATCTGTCCAGGATACTGGAGCATAGCGGTGTTCGCACAATCGAGCCTGAAATCTGCGACAACGGATACGATCCTGAGTTCAAGGAATCCTTGCAAGAGTTGGTCCTCAAGCGTGATTTGCCACCTTTTGAAACATCGGCCGAGTCAGCAAAAGATCTACGACGCAAACATGGCGACAAGGCAATGGTATCCACCGACAACACTGGGACGTGCCACGTGCAACTGAAGGCTGGCGCTACCCTTATGGTTCCACGGACATCGCGTTTTAATCGGACGGTTGCTGGTCAAATCCCCACTGGCTGGTCGCCCAAGAGATATGGCATCTCTGATGATATTATCCACCAAGTAGACCCGGTAACGCTGTTCTCTCTTGTTTGCACCGTCGAGGCATTCTTGTCATCTGGTATCTTGGATCCTTACGAGCTCTACCAGCATATTCATGTCTCGGAGGTCGGAATCTGCATTGGCTCTAGCATGGGTGGGCTTTCCTCACTCAGAAGCATGCATCGAGACAGATTCATCGACAAGCAGGTCAAGAGTGATGTACTTCAAGAAACCTTCATCAACACAACGGGTGCTTGGGTCAATATGCTTTTGACTTCATCATCGGGCCCAATTAGGACACCTGTTGGGGCCTGTGCAACCTCACTTGAGTCCCTCGATACGGCATATGATTTAATCGTGGCACAGAAAGCTAAAGTGTGCATAGTTGGTGGTGTGGAGGATTTTGTAGAAGATGTGTCATATGAGTTTGGTAGCATGAAAGCCACCTGCGATACCGATGCCGAGTTCGCCGCTGGGCGTAGCGCACCAGAGATGTCAAGACCGATGGCGTCTAGCAGAAGCGGATTCGTTGAGTCTCAAGGATGTGGCGTGCAAATTGTCACCTCGGCGGAGCTGGCTCTCAAGATGGGCCTGCCGATATACGGTGTCGTAGCTCATACAAGTATGTCGGCCGACAAGGCAAGCCGTTCTGTGCCAGCGCCAGGCAAGGGCGTGTTGACCAACGCACGCGAGCGACACAGCACAGCAAAGGAGCTTCCCCGACCACTACTAGACCTCAAGCTAGATCCCAAGTATCGGCGAAAGCAGCTGGATCAACGACGAAACCAGATAGCTTCATGGCGCAAAGAAAGCATTGCATTCATGGAAGCAGATATCAACATGTTTTCTCATCTCACTGAAGAGGAGCGACTCCAATACCGTCGGCAAAATACCATTGACATAGAAAAAGAAGCACTAAAACAGCAAGCAGATGCTACATTCAACATCAATCACCAATTCTGGCAAAAAGATGAAGCGCAGCGCATATCCCCTATCCGAGGCTCCTTGGCAACATGGGGCCTTGGTATCGATGATATTTCCGTTGCGTCGCTTCACGGAACCTCTACAGTTCTCAATGATTTGAACGAGACGCTCGTCATTGAACAACAGATGAGACATCTGGGCCGAAAAGAAGGAAACCTCTTACCTTGTGTCAGCCAAAAATGGCTGACAGGCCATTCCAAGGGTGCCGCAGGCGCGTGGATGTTGAATGGTTGCCTGCAGATGATGGACTCTGGCCTGGTCACGGGAAACAGGAACGCCGACAACATAGACATCAAGTTACGTGAACGGGGCTATTTATACTTCCCCAATGTCACTTTAGAGCTCGACAAGGTGGATGGCATTAAGGCATGCTCGATCACCTCGTTCGGCTTCGGTCAAAAAGGTTGTCAGGCGCTCATGGTCCATCCTCGCTATCTTCTTTCCACAATTTCGAAAGCTGCTTTCGAACAATATGCGAAGAAAAGGCAGAGGAGATGGCAGCTGGCTTGCTCTTCGTTCTCAGACGCGATGGTCAATGAAAACATGGTTTCAAGGTGCATCAAAGACCAGGCACCATATGAGTCAAGCGAAGAAATGGCTGCGCTACTTGATCCATTAATAAGATTCGGCGGCTCGTGAATTGGGTGTTGGAAAGAGAAAAGTTCTTTTGATAAATCTCCTTTTGAATCTCAATATGGCCTACTCAAACATGGTAGGCAGTTGCCAGTCACCTTCCCACTTCATTATATTAGCGACATTAATAAAATTTTGATTTGTTGAAGAGTCTACTTCCGCACGATGCAGCCAATCCACTTTTGTGACATTCATAACTATTATTTGAGACTTACAATCTAACCTTGTGTAGTGTGGCTGATTCTTAGCTCTTGCTTTACGCTAACATCGCATTTCATAACTGTATAACTAGTTGACTGTATTTATCCACTACCTGCATATCAAGGTCCATATACGATACAGCTACTCTTTGTAGATACGGCGCTATTAGGCCCCGTTCGATGGAACTGGTCTGAACTGGATATATGGACCCTGTTTTAGACTCGTGAATGCCCAACGTGTCTGATACACCCCCTTCTGTGTGCCTGTGCCGTCACCCACTTGGCCCAGTGATGACTCTGCCTGGCGGAAGTCGTACTGCCTTATAACAGCAGCCGCAGCCAGAGTAATTTCGATCATCGCCAAGTTCTTGCCGACGCAGTTGCGTGGGCCGACTGAGAACGTAGCAAATGCAGCTTTAGCCTTCGCTACTGAGTCTTCGCCAGACTCGCTTGCAATCCAGCGCTCTGGCCTATATGCGAACGGCTCTGGGAAGTAGGCCCTGTTGTGATTTAGCGAGAAAATGCCTGTGCCGACTTCGCACCCTGCTGGGATATGGACATTCTCGATCGCAATGTCCAGGCCGCCAGGTAGTGCTTCTCTCCACATGGCGCCACTAGCAGCTGGATTGAGTCGCAGTGCTTCTTGAATACATGCGCGAAGATAGGTGCATGATGAGAGCTTCGGTCCTTGCGATATGTCTTGGTTGGAGACGAATGCTTCACGAATTTCTCGCGTGACTCTAGAATAGGCTTCAGGATTGCGTGAAAGGTAGAAGAACAACGCCGCAATACCAGTGGATGAGGTATCGGATCCTAGACGCGGACATTTAGTCATGTAGTATAGGGTAAAGTAGGCGTTTAGAGCGCTTACCTGCTATGATCAACAGATTACTCTCTGCCCATAATTGGGCTTGAGACAAGCTTTCGCCCGTTTCGGGGTCCTTAGCAGCCAAGAGTTTAGAGAAAAGGTCGTTTTTGAAGCCATTGGTATCGGTCTTGTCACGTGCACGTCTTGCTTCCAGGATTTCTCGACTCTTCCCAGAGAAACGAATAGCTTTTTTACGAGCTTCCGGGAATAGTATGTGATGGAAACGCATGTCTTGCAATTCTGGGAGCGTCGTTAGGAAGCTGATGCGCCGCATTTGCCCGAGCACACCGTCGATGATCCAATGATTGGTAGCATCAGTGAGAAGGTGGTACGAGGTGCCAAAGACCAGTTGTGACATTACATCGAAAGTGAAAAAGTCACCTGAAAGCGTGATTAGCAAGCAATGATTCCAATGTTCACAAATCAAAAACCTGCGCAGGACTCGTCACTTACTCCATTCAGCTAGATTCTTAGGAGCACTCCATTGGTCTTCGCCGGCTTCAAGACTCGGATCAAATGTGTCTTGGGTCTTACCAAGATTAGAAGCAAAGAGCAATGCCAATCGACTAATCTCCGAGTCAAGCGTGCGAAAGTGCGAGTCCGAGAGTCCCTGGTTGAGAAGCCTTCTCAGCTTGCCATGCTCCTTATCGTCCATCGTACCCAATGTAGGGTGTACTCCTGGCACAAGCGAGATACGCAGATACCCCTTTGACTTGCAAACATTCTTTCCGTGCCCATAGATTCCTGTCCATGCAGATTAGTACAATCTTCACGAGGGCAAACGAGTAGTCTCCGTACCCTTGAACCCCTCTTCTGTATTCATGAGGAGTCTGTTTGGTCCATAGCGGACTCGATCACCTAGCCCTGAGATTAGCAGCTACATATTCTCGCTTCATCGCTAACTGGTAGTGAATGCAACCCAGTTCAACCTACCATATTTTTCATGGCATCGGAAGATATCTGTGTGTAGATCTCCGATGTACACGTGATAGATGGAGTACCAGCTCGTCAATTTGGCCAGAAAAGGTCCAGGATAGTTGGCATAAGGGTGGAAGTACAAGCGATAGATGCTTAAAATGAGCTATCCATTTCCAAAAATTCATTAGTGTTCTGGTGTCCCTGATTCGCAATGTGAATGCTGTTCAACATACCAATGCGCCAATTCCTATACAAAGCAGGCCGACGGCAATAGCCTCAATGCCAGGCACTTGAGCATATGTGACGAACATGGCCGATTTTATCACAATGGGTGATCTATCAGGGCCGTACTGGGTTGTGATTTTGGCTATCAATCACAAGGTGACACCTGGTAGAGCCTCTGCAATAGAATCTATAAAAGCAGCGAAACGGCCAACAACACCTCCACCAAGCTTATCACGCGAGGAAAATCATGCAGTGGATACCAAGAACTCGTGCACGTGACAATAAACGTGGTGTAGCGGGTGTGTGCTTTGCTGACGAAATCTCACGTCAGGTACCACCGAAAACTAGCAGACAAAGATTTGCACACAAATCTTCGTCCATTAGGGCACATGCACAAATTGAGTAAATAGTCTTCGATAGAGTAAGGTAGTGAGAAATGCTTCGTGCAGTAGCTTCCCTCTTGTGAAAATCACTGTCGGCCTCAGTGCTCTCCTACCATATTTATAACTTGACTGAGTAAAGCCTGGCGGATTGTCCTACGTTTTTCAGCCGCAACGATGGGTGTATTAGTTACATTATCGGACAATCTGAAGTTTTGCCTATTGGCAGGATTTCCTTTAATATTGGTAATGTCTATCCCTGTCTCTTATGCGTTTTATTTGATTTGAATTTCTTCGCCTCTGACACTACTGCGCGCATCAAGATTATCGCATTTGCTGTGAGAATATTTGTCTTCCACCCACTTGCCTCATATCCAGGACCCTTTCTCGGGCGATGCACAGATTTGTATGCCGGGTACTATGCGTGGAAGGGCACTCTTCATGTTGATATGTATAGATGTCACCAGAAATATGGTAAAGAACTATCCTGACCACGTATTTACTGCCCTTTGTGGTACTTACAAAAAGGCGCATAGGCCCAATAGTGAGATACGGCCCATCACGTCTCTTGATTGACACACATACCGCGGCTCAAGGTTTGTGGCAATGGATACTGGCATGCATAGTTATCAAACAGACTAAAATCATGATAGATGTACACTCGCACAGGGCGAACACAATCAAATCAAAGGCTTACCAGGCCCTGGTCCACAGTGCGCCAAACACTCTTACTATCCGCCACAAAGAGGTTCATGCGCGAAGACGACGCATTCTCAGTCTCGCTTTCTCAGACGCCCGAATGCTAAGCTACGAAAGTGCCGTCAAAGGTTGCATTAAGGCACTGTGCGACAATTTGAGACAGAACGCGCATGCACAAAATAATTCACCTAAGGAATCGTTGATCGACATGTCTCTTCAAAGTGAGTTGACATCCGAAGTCACAGTTCATTTCGCCTGATTAACGGAACCCTGAATAGGTGATTGGTTCACGTTTGACATCATGTCGGAAGTCATTTTCGGCATGAAATATGAAGCCCTGACAAAGTCAACATATCGACATGTAACCAAGGCAATTCAAGACTCGAATGTCCGAGTAAGCACTCTTGTACAGGCATATTCTCTCACCACTGGCAGACTGGACCGATATCTGTTTCCTGCGTCAATTCTAGCTAGGAACGCCTTTCTCAAGTTCATTACGTCTTTGCTGCGGGATCGATCCAAGATGTCGCTGTCCCAAGACAATGGCGACGTATTCTCGTTCTTAGAGACGGCCAAAGATCCAGACAATGACAAGACGCTGACAAAGTCCGAGATACGAGCGGAGTGCGCTACCCTCGTGGTCGCTGGTAAGTCGTTGCATTGCAGTTGAAGACGATATTATGGCTCAGGATGTTAACCCATATGATAGGGTCGGATACATCGTCTTCCACTCTTGCGGCAACGCTTTTCTATCTGAGTGAGAATTCAGAACCGTACGAGCGGGTGTGTCGAGAAATTCGACAAAAATTCGCATCACTCGACGAAATCAAATTGGGTGCTCAGCTGAATTCTTGCACCTATCTTCGGACGTGCATCGACGAAGCTCTTCGGATGTCACCACCGGTCGGTGGTGCATTGTGGAGAGAGGTCGGTCCCGGTGGTATCACGATTGGTTCCATGCACCTACCGGAAGGCGTCGACGTTGGCACCGGTATCTACAGTTTGCACCACAATGCCAGCTATTTTCACGAGCCTTTCCGTTTCAATCCCGAAAGGTGGCTCGCTGGCGAAAATGGGGTCACGAAAGAGCAAGTTGAGCTCGCTCGAAGTGCCTTCCACCCATTCTCTAGTGGTCCAAGAGGCTGCATCGGCAAAGGTTTTGCTTATCATGAGATGACCTTAACGTTATCACATATAATTTACCAGTTTGAATTTTCTCGTGCCGAGCATCCCACTGGCGGCGCCGGCCAAAAGCCCATGATCCAGGGCCATGTCCAGTTCCTCCTCAAGGACCATATCACAGGTGCGAAGGAAGGACCAGAGCTCCTATTTAGGTCACGATAGGCCAAATCGTGTTTCTCTTTGGTTGTATTTCCTCTATATTTTGATGAATTAAAACCTATCGGAAGCATTTCTGTTAGTTATGGCGTTATCATAGCTTGCATGTCAACATATACGGATAATACAAGTGTTTGCCAACACCTAACACGTTCAACGGCACTGATGAATTATTGAATATATAAAGTAGTTCCTATACAACTGTTATAAATCTAGATAGTGCAGTGCTTTCGACATCAACACAGGCACTCTCGTTGATGGACTTAAAAGGGAAGCCGACCTGTGTAAAACACTACTGCACGAGATAAGTGTTGAAGTTGTGTGCAATTAACAGATTTTTTTTTTAGAGTTGTTCAATCTGTCGAAGGAATTACAATTAAGGTTAAGCTCGCTACTTTACATACCTGAAGTGTCTTCTTATTGCCTTGGAACATCTTCACCGCCAATCGGCTCCCAAGGCCTGTCGTGGCTTCTCTAGTCGCATGCCAGACGGCCCCGAGCTGTATTTGTCATGTATCCCAAACCTTTGTTAGGAAAACTAAGTTCCATACAAGATCTAGTCGCTTCGAAAACGCGTCGCGGCTGTGTGTGTCCCTCGTATTCTTGAAGGTTAGCTACTCAAGAACCGTTTCAAGCGCAAGGTTGGTTTTGTACTTGCTAGCCGCAGATGCACCCACCTATCGCAGATTTAACTAATAGCTGGAAGAACAAGCCAGATTTTAATGAGATTCTTCTACAATGCATTAATGTTTAGTGCTTGGAATAGGTAGGACCATGAATGCGAGAATGAATGCGACCGTGACGTTCGGATTTCTGGTTGTTTTTGTGTGTTACCCGAGGGTTTGTGCTGTGTGTGGGTCATGTTGAAGTTTTCATTAGCTGCCTCCCGATCACCTGGTACCTTGGAGGAATCTGAGCCATTGTTTCCACGACCTGAGAATCTGATGGAACACGTGTCGTATCCGGCAATGCTCCTCATCGTTAAGCTGGTAGCAATCTACAATGCTCTTGTGTGCGACGACAACCACGCCGCCTGCGAGACCGGCAGACGGAAGGTTTAAAAAGTCGGCGACCACCAGCAAGTAAGACGCTATACCATATATTCTAGCATCTAGATTGTTGGTTACTAATACAGCTTGGATTGAAGCTAAGTATGGCTACGGCTCATGGCCCAATTCCACAAGGTCCTTCGGTTCAAGCCTTTTCAAAGTTTCGGATTCAGACCTCCACGACTAACGAACTGTGGTATCAGGTATAAGTAGTGTACAAGGGGGAAAGTGTCGCAAGTAGTTCACAAGGTTAATAACACAAACCAGGACACGCATTTACGCCAATCGTATCTTACGCCGTCTTCTTCGCGTATTACTAAGCATGCCAATGGTACTCTAGCAATTCTTTGGTCATATACACGACCGTATGAATTCGACATCTCCGCTAGAAGCTAGCTGGGGCTGCGCACATCTCGCACGAAGGCCAGCTTGGATAAGTTCGACGGACCTGATTTGCCCCTTAAGTACTAACTTAGATAAGTTAACTGAGGCATTTCTGCATTCTATAGCCAAGCCTTGTTACAGCCCGTTAATGAGATCCGCTGGACCCTAATCCTTAGTCCCTCCCAGCCTTCAACGAAAATTTTAGATTTATTCAGTACTTATTCCAGATACTACAGTACTTGAGGTTTGGAGAAATTCGATGTTCACTGACAATTGCTTAAGCCTTGCTTCTTATATCTTGCAAGAGTATGGAAGTGATAGCTGCGGTGGCCTGGAGAGATACGAAAAGGTTGGAGACAGGAAAAATTGTCTAGCGTTGTGGGCAACTTCAGTTGCTAAGTTGAAAACCAACCTGAGAACATTACACAAACCTGACATTTAAGGTTCCAACATCAAGCTGTTGAACAGGTCGCGCATCCAGTTTCAATGTGCATCTATATCTCATTGCACACGGGCGAGGAAGCTGGATAGCGTGTGTGTAACTTCGATGACCGGCATTGCCTTCATACATGCACTATCCCTGACATGCCAATGGGAAGTTACCCGAGATCTTCTTAGCCGAGCAAATCACTTCAGCAGAACCATGGGTCACATGCCTTCGAAAGCCTGAACTTTGTTTTGTGTACTACATCACTAAACAGGTGCGTCATGAAACAGTGGAGATTCCCTAGCGTGTTGGGGAAAATACCCACCACGGAAGGCCAGATATCGCTTTAGCCGAATACGAGTGTGACAAACTTACTTTCAAATCTATGATAAATAGATTCTAGCGCATGTGTGAGCACAAAGACTGATGGATGGTTAATGTTCAGCGGCGCTATGTAAGAAACGGGTCTGCAACTGTGTCGACCTCTCAAACTTTTTGACTGCGCTATGGCTGTTTTCACCCTCAACGACGTACCACCGGAGGTCCTGAAGCTCCTGGAGACTACGCCTGTATCACCACCACCAGATGGAACGACTTCGAACTTCGTGAACCCGACGACAAGGGCGGCACTGCAGAATTGGACCACCAGTGTGATTGGGGCAGCGATGCTGGTGTTCTACATGAACCGCGTGTACATCAAGGCACGGTTGATGAAGAGCTGGACATGGGATGACGGTATGTTGAACTCCAAATCTGGCCAGCTTGGTTCGAGTCTGACTGTGGAACAGTGACACTATTCATATCCGTACTCTTGAGCATCGCGCAATACGTCATCTTAGTGATAAGTACGAGTAATCTCGTCTTATCTATGCCTTTTGTACTGACTTGGATCTCGTGAAGGTATTGCAGATGGCCCTCTGGGTCGCCACCTCTGGGATGTTTCGATCGTACAAGCGCTGTCTCCAACTGCGGCAAAAACCTCATACGCCATTTTCGTTATCTCTCCTTGGAACTCGACATTCATCAAAGCGACATTCTTCATACTATACATCCACCTCTTTGCGCGTATTCGCTGGATCCGAATTTGCTCTTGGGCGGGACTTGTCTTTGCCGTGTCGACCCATGCCGGGATTGCAATCTACGGCCTCGTGATTGCGAATCCTCGTGAGAGCGAGACATGGGCGACTCGCGCCTTTCATCTTGCTATATCACTCAGCGTCTTTGGCATCATTTCAGATGCCATGATATTTGTGATTCCATTCGCGGTCATCATCCCATTGCAATTGTCGATTACAAAAAAGATAGGCGCAATTGTCATATTTCTAACAGGTGGAAGGTATGTTAACTTGGGATGTCCTTCGAAACATAGCTGATCAAGAAACAGCGCAGTTATATGCTCGGCTTTAAACCTGTATTATCGTGTCAAATTGTCAAGAAGTCCGGATCCCACTTGGGACAGCGTCCCTGGCAGTCTCCTTGCGTGAGTAGCTGACTCTCACACACCGCATTTCGAGAGCTGACAAACTCGACTAAAGGCTATGTGAAATTCTTATAGGAATTATTTGCGCTTGCGTCCCTACCATTTCCTTTGGTTTCAAACAACACGGATCAGTGTATCAAAGAGTGTTCCTCAGTCGCAAACCAGGTCTTGCACCGTCTCCAACCATTTCGCGAAAGAATCGTCCCGGGTATTCGACATTGAATGATTCGAAATCGCACATAAATTCGAAGTGTATAGATACTTCAGCCGACTCATCAAGGATCAGTGGGGTTCCGGATTCGATGACAGAAGGGCGTGAGGAAGGAACAGAGCTGAGAGTTCTAGAGCCTGTATACTTAGGTGAGCCAAAAACAGGGGGTACACATTTTGAGATGCGCAACGAGCATGTTTAATAAGCAATATGTACCTAGTTAGAATCTAGACCTGGAAATAGAACTTTAAGTTTATTTAGCTTGTGATTAGTGTATATTGTTTATCGTATCACGTCGCGAAGCCAAGCATTAATCAACCCTAGCTCTCAAGAAACGCCGGCAGAACTTTAGTCCAAGTTGGGATAGCGGGCTGCGGGATTCCCTCATTAGGCCTTGAGGTTCGTGCAAGAACTAATAAGAACAACATTTTACAATTACTGAAGTACACGAATAGTTCTACTTTTGATAAACGAAGAATTATATTATGATATACAGTGTTAATACTCAAGTTGTGCGGCTTAGAGAGTGCTACAAACGTCCCACCTGTCCTCAGCTCGGAGTTAACCGTTGCACCTAGTCGAGACGCATCGCTCCACCACTAAAGATGGCCAAGAAGAAGAAGAAGAAAACCAAGGGCAATATAGAAACAAGAATCTCGTTTATGTACCCGATGCCACACCAGATTGTAGTAGATGCAATCTCAGACGAAGTACTGTTAGCATGGTTACAAGAAGATGAGGATAACGACAACGTCAACAACAATTACCTGATAACTGTTAAGGCTTGTTTCAGCTATCTCAATAATGCCTGTAACCAGTGGGGATGGAGCAGCAGAAGGATAGCTATCAAGAAAAGAGGATACTACAAGAATAGGCACAATAATGTAGTAATCAATCAGCATTGTAAATTATGCAGTCAGCTTTAGAACTCTACTACTGGGTTAAGATTTGTACGTCGAACGAGTTGCATACCGGCTCAAGAAGTGGGCAGGCATTCAAATGGTAGAGCAAAGACACAATATAATCAAAGGCCCACCTCATGAGTCATTGCTTAGCAAGGGATGTAAGGTGAGCTTTTGTCCCTTAATAAGTAGTTAGTTTGTCGTTCCTATACAGGGAATGGAAAGTCAAGACACTACGCACGTTTGGCGAAATAGTAGTTACTATGACATGTGACGAGATTACCTGCAGGTGTCTTGGTGACGATCCTGGAAACACAAGCTGTGAAGCCTTTCCCGCTGTCCACATTTCAGTACGAACAGGGAAGATGCTGGCGTAGCATACGGTTGAGATCCATCAGAACAGGCAAATCCCCGACTGAGCGCTTTGAACTGGGTACGAACACATCGGTCGGAGTAGGAAACGGTTCGCACCATGTGGAGATCGTGTTTGAATTGGGTGTGTGCATTTGATCTGGTGTTATAGCGACAGCAAGACCAAAGATGCACCAGTGTCCATCATTTCCACCTAAGCGAAGCATGTATTTGCTTCTGAGTACGGCTAAACCATCCACTGACCGTCAGGTCGCTATTGTCGCTGTTGTTTGGACGGATGTGTAATTCAAAGCTGCGGCAATGCTTTTTGCTTCCATGACGTTCTCCTTGTGAGTCGTCGTACACTTATGGAAGGATTCACATCTACTTCCTGGCCCTAGTTTCGTCTGTACTGATACGCGACTTTATCAAGTGCTTGGTAGTGGACATTGTTCGCAGATATTTTCGTGTCATTCTCAGGAAGTTCTATGGTCTCCATTAACTTTTGCTTTAGAAAGTTTGGCCATCGTTAGCGAGACCAAGATTAACGTCAAACTAAAAGACCATTGAAAATCGCATGGCTATGACGACCGTTATCATGTAAGGGAGTCAAAGCGTCCGTCAACAAGAGCGTGGAATGGCTCGATAATTGGGAATGTATGACTGTAGTTCAACCCTACAGTATTCCTCCCGGTGTCGCCCACATGGGGTGATGGAAATCTGACTTTTTTTATTGGTACTTGTCAACTCAAATCCATTACACACTGAACACGGTAAGTCTAAGTATTGGTATTACTGCGCAGGAGACCCTCTCCTTCTGCATCAGGATCTGGGTTTTCTAGTCTGCAAGCGGATCATCGACATGTGGATAATCCGACGTTGCACTGCTCTCGGTAGATTCTCCAAGACATATTTGTATACAATACCATGATGATCGAGTTATCAATAAACATCAAGAATTATAAGCATATCTTAGCATTTACCAGCCTACGTCTCAGCCATCACAACACTTCCACGTTCTCGGGTTGTATTGACGTCGTTGTATCGAATAGATAAAACAGCGCTTGAGCCTGTAAACTCAAGTCTGTGAACTGGCTGACTCAGTCTGTGCTTGAGCAATGGTCCTGTCTCTTATATGTATGCTAGGCAACTTTTGCGAGTTACAGTATATCTATTTCGACATCGTCCGTTCGCTAGGTATGATGTCAGTATGTTGTTCCTCTTACCACTCACAGAGTTGTAAAACATGGGACCAAAACTTGTCCACTACAAAAATTAGGTTTATAGACATGGCGTAGAATTTTGGATGTTTATTATAAGTTACTAAACATACCAGATATATGGATTTGCACAAACAATTCGCAAACCAGAAGTAAGGTTGACTTGCTCAGCTATTCTTGTGTGGATATAGAAAGAATGCTTTCAATCCAGTGTATGTAGTCATATTATTCTACAGCGTGAAGGACACTTCTATAAATGTGCATCCACGAAATGATGTAGCCTCACTCATGAAGGATTCCTGAAACCGAAGCTTGCTCAACTACAGTAAACCACGATCATAGTTTCAAAGTTTAGTGAAATATCTGCTCTTGAACTTTGCTATTTATCAAACGCCTTTTGAGCCTAATTCTGAGCGAAATAATCGTTCAACACGTCTTCTACCAGCTTCTCAGCATGCGCATACGTCACACCCTGAGTATGGCCGGGCGGCGTGAACGGAAAGCTCGATGAATCAATAACCCTCAATCTTTGCACACCAAATACCCTACCCTTGGAATCTACTACTGCCATTGGGTCATCCTTCTTACCCATCGCACACGAGGATGATGCGTGATGGATTGGAGCGATGTTCTTCTTGATGTGGGCCAACAGCTCCGCATCGGTCGTGACATTCATACCTGGCGAGACTTCGTCCCCAATGCGAATGCCCTCAGGAATGGCTTGCCAAGCTTGTCTAGCCCTACGGTACGCTTCAATTGCGATTTCTTCGTCGGCGCTGTGACCCAGCCAGTTGGGATTGATGATCGGCGGATCCAAATTGCTCGCGGACTGGATGGTCATGTTGCCTCTACTGGATGGTGCTATGAGAATACAGCCGATGGCGCCATACTGTGTAGATGAGTCTGATGCAGTCAAGATACTGCTCGAGCTTGTTACAGAGTTCTCGATGAGCGGCCAGTCTGCCGGGATGGAAGAAAGAGCTTGCTGTGTGGTTTCGCTAAAGTTCGATCGATCTGGGAAGGTTTCCCAACCACCGACATCCAAACCAATGTTCGTCAGGGGACCAGTACCATTCTCTAGGAGCTGTGCTTCGGCATCTCGCATCGGCCCCGGTTGCTGCCAGTACGAATATCCAGGGACTGAGATTTCGTAGACTGGTCCACCGACATTGCACGAATCCCACATGTTCTGACCCACACCTGGAAGATCTTTGACAATCTTTATTGCGAATTCATCGAGTGTGGCTTTTGGTCCAATTCCGGATACCATGAGTAATTGAGGTGAGTGGAAAGCTCCGGCAGACACAATGACCTCTTTGCGCGCGGATATAGTAAAGGGTCGCTGGCCATTTGAGGTTACGTTGACGCCGATTGCTGTGCCATTCTCGAAGATAATGTTCCTTCCCTGAGCGTTGATGTAGGTTGTCAATCCTGGACGTCCAAACGCCTGGGCTAGAAAGGAGCTCTCGGCTGAACTCCGAAGCCCAGTCTCACTATCGATCGTGAATTGCCACCAGCCAAAGCCATCCAAAACTCCACTAGCAAAGCCTGGAATTGGGCGTAGGCCGATCGCAGAATAGGCCGCAGCAGCATACTGGGACAGCGGGTTGATGTAGCCCGGATAACTGACATGCAGTGGCTGAAGGTTGTTCTCGCTGGAGGGAAACGCGCCAGCGTCGTACACCGAACTTCCGTCGGCTGTAGTTCTGTTGGCTACGTTCGGTGTGAGCTGCATGCTTCGCTCGTAGTACTTGGTCATATTCTCCCAAGTCCAGGATTGATCGCCGACTTGGTCAGCCCAAACCTGCAACGAGCCTACGGTTGGTCGATGGTACATCATCTGATTCCTTCCGCTGCTGCCCCCAAGATTCTTTCCCTGCGCATAATGAACTCGCTCGCCGTTAACTTGTGGCTCAGTGAAGAGACCCCAATCGATAAGTGGCTGCCACTCGTCGGGCCCAGCTCCGACCCATTCTTCCGACCAGTATGGAATTTGGCTCAAGTTTCCATTTGTGAGTTCGTAGAAGCTACCTGCTTCTATAAGAGCAACGGAGGCGTTGGTGTGTTCCGTAAGTCGAGATGCGACGACAGATCCTGCAAGTCCGCCGCCAACAATAACATAATCGTATGTTGCGTTTCGTCCAGGTATCCCGAAGTTTGTCCCAGTGAGTCGGCCGGGGCCTGAGGTTTGTGGGACGACAATGGCAGAAGATGTCGATGCCAGGAGCGCTAAAGCGGATATTTTTCGAGCCATCGTGTTGGAAGGCTTAAGCAAGAATGCTTGACTGTAATGTGTTCTCAGGTTGAGCACCTCACTTTATATTTCCAGCATTCTGGATCAATCTTCGCATCTCACAGATCCCACGCTACCGCATCGTAAATTCCCGATCTGGTAGTTTTCGATAACGCGTCTCGCTAACAAATGTTGCTCTTGCATCGCTCGAGCGCGGTCGGAGCCGAACCATGCTTGACGTCACTGGAGAAGATCTAGTCTCTAGCGTTAACGCGAAAGTAGCGAATAAACTGGCAAAAGGTCCTAAGGGTATCTGATTACAAAAATTTCATAGACTACCTTCGCTAGAATCGATCATCCTGATAAAGTTTCGTATTATAAGGGCGATCTTCCCGAAGAGCATGTCTTGTGTTGATAGAAACAGAAGTGTAGATCATAAGTTGTTCATTCGTTTAGCTTGCCGCTAGAGCTCGGATATCTCGTCTCCTGCAGATCAATCTGTGACACCTGCAGAAGATCTGTCGGAATCATTTCTGACGTAATGCCAAAATGTTGAGAAGCGATGCATTGCCAGTCGTGTGCGAATCGCTGTACACCGTGCACTCTGGCGAGTGCGATCTGCCACCGATAAAGCCTGCGACAGAGCCTATTCGGACACAGCATCTCCAGAAACAGCTACTTCGAGGCTGGCGTAGAAGCTAAATGCGTTAGGTAGTGACTGTGTCAAGCTTTCTTAGATGCATTTGCATTCTAGCGAAATGTTCTTTACTGACTGCTGCAACTTGCGCCCTTCGTTGGCGATTTGTTTGTTGTAGAACATAGCCGAACTGTTGTATTCGCATCCATGTTTGCGTGAAACTTGGTCTCTCTGGATCAATCCTAGCAAGGAAGGTATGAGGCTCAACACTGGTACCAAGCCCAGCAAAGGTTGATGGGCTTAAGCTTTTCTAGGTTTCCCCACAACTAGAAATGAGGTAAGCGAATCAGCAAAGTTCTGTTGATTTTCAACCCCTCCCCCCTGCTAGCGTTGATCCGGAGGGCCCGAATTCACGGTCCTGTGCCATAGAAGTGCTTGAGTCAGACCTGATTCTTTTATCTGCGGGCCACGTACGTCAAAGTCATGGCAAGTCTCGAGGCCAGTGCGAGTGTAGCGCTCGCATCAAGCGAGACTCAAATCAAGATCGAGGTCGGAGTAAGTGCTGATTGGCATAACAGTGCCCGAGCCTAACATAACCCCAATGTCGGTACTGACTCTCGCTGACAGAATGATGAACAAACCGCCTTCATAGAGATAGTCGACATCCACAAGTTCCTGTACGGCACGGCAGCATCATAGATTCAACGTTACTATACCATACACCTTGATCTACTATTATCGCGACCTTCCGTCACAGTTTATCTCCGTCAAACTCTAATGGCTTCATACTACTTACCAGCAGGAAGGCCTCATAACAGGCTCTAACTTAGTTCCAGAGCTTGTATGAAGTTCGGCAGCAGATCACATGATTAGCAAGTTGGAAGACCAGATAGCTCTGGTAGACCACCAAGAGCTGATGAAAACCTGGCGATAGACACTAGAGAAGCTGGCACATTGCTTCACATACAAAACCCACCATCCTGGCTCTCAACAGGATTTTCACATTACTCCTATACCACCTACAAAATCCTTTGACCTTGCGCACCAGCGACTGGTTCTCCCAAGTGCCGGCACAAATCACAAAACTCGCCGTGCAGCAACCTGCCGGGCTGGACAAGCCGGGCAGGTGTATCCAACTGATTGGAGCGGAGAACATTCCGCACGCAGATGATCGGCCGCGTATCCCCGGCATCATCGCGTTTGAGCGCGCGGTGTGCACTGGCTCGGGCGCAAACCTGCGGTCGACAGCCAATATCCTCGTGGGATTGGGCGAAGTAGGGCTTTCAGACATGAGGAACGAGTGCTTCAGGATGGTGTTGGGAAGTGCGAAAATGAACGCGGAGTTGAGTGCTAAGGATTGCACTCGACGAAGATATTGGCGGCGGCGATTGTCCATTTGCGAGAGGGTTTGAGGGGAAGGCGATGCTTGGGGAGATTGGGAGTAGTTTGAATAAGTTTGCGGGTCATTCGGGGCGGAGTTGGAGGTATGAAGTGGGGAGGCATCTACCCTTTGCGAAACCGTAGAAAGTGCTCTTCGGGAGTAGTTTCCCCTATGCGGACTTGTTCTAGCAAGGCCGCCAGCTCCTTAAACCAAGAAACGGGAGTGTCGAAACAAACCCCTCTTGTCTCCTTGAGAAGATGTTCCTCCATCTTGTCGCTCATACCAATAACTTCACTCAATTTCGTCGGCTTACAACATATTACCCACGAGCCTGCTCAGTTCGAAGTGAAGGTATCATTGATTAAGATGATCGCAGGTTCGTCAATGCAATCTAATCCAGTCACCACTCTTGTACTGCTTTCTGTATTGGTTCTATCTACTTTGGAAATGTTGGTGATATGTATGATGTTTGGATAGGTGAGGCTCATCACACGACAGATTCCACGAGAAGGAACTTTTTGCCCCTGAGGCTAGAAGATAATGAAATCTATCATGACTGCCTGTGAGATTGTACAGTAGGATATCACTCTGTCATCAAGTTACGTATCTGCCACTTGCTACTCGTTCTTCGTCTGTTTTCAAGCCGCCTTAAGTAGTTATTATGAGGAGTACTCACCATTTGTGTTGTTTAAGCCCGATTCGAAACAAACATCCTGACATAGTTTGAATATAGACAGTAAATATACATTACACAATCGGTGCAGAGACCGCCTGTAGAGAATATAAGGTGTTTATCACCTTGTCTAAGACTCCCAAGAGCAAAAGCCTACCAATGAGTACCACCGCGATGCTGTTATTAGACATAGTGGATGATGATACGGCTGAAAAGTGAAATGACTTACAAGTGTTCAAGAGCAACAACAAGTCCATTATCGAGGTTTTATGTTATCGATGTCTTGGAAGTCATAGACTAATGACCATTGATGGTAGGCGCTGGAGAAAGTGTATGTACTAATTATGTGCTCTCTAAATGTTCTTCATAGCAGAACTAAGGTAGTAATATCAACAAGTAATATCCCACTGTAGCGACTACAACGCTCAAGCACAGCAACTCAAAGGTCTACAAAAGAAACTGTAGACTTCTAAGACGCACCTTGAGCATTTGAATTCTTTAAAATTAACTACAATCATTCTCTACTTCTAGTCCAGTTCGGTGTTGGTTGGGCTCTACCATTACACTACTTCCGGATTTCGCGACCGCGAAAGCCCACATCAAAAGTTGAAACGTCAAGATGAGGCACAGTGATCTAAGTTTTCGAAAGATGGAGTGAACGGGCTTTAGCGTCTTGGCACAACGACTTGCCCGCTCCTTGGCCTTGACCTTCCTCTATCTCTTGCCTCCAAGCTCTCTTCATTCAACTTGTTGGTTCCACGATACTTACCAGACAAGCACGTATTCATGTCGTCCCTCTTTCGAATTGGGCAAGTCCTCAAGGGTAGGATAGGCAAGTACACGATCACGAAAGAGATCCAGGACACCGTATGGTTTGCGAAGTGAGCTAGATCTGAGATGATTTCAATTATCTGGACACTAAATTCACTAGGAATCATGTGCAAGAAACGGTGGTGATTAAAAGCGTTCGAGATCATCCGAGAATCGAAAATGAACGAGATGTGCTCAAACGATTTCAACATCGTACTCAATACCTTCGACCCTTGATAGATGAGATCGAGGAGCATTCCTATCCTGCTATCATCGCCTTAAAGTACCTTGACACCGATCTTTTGGAAGCATTGAACAAGCAAACGCTAAACCGGAAGGAGCTCAAGCACGTTTCTCGATGCATCCTAGAAGCACTAAGCGTTCTCCATAAGGATGGCTATGTGCATACTGGTATGACTTTCCACCAAGGCTTGTGTTGATATGTAACTGATTAATTCTGGAGACGTCAAGCCCGACAACGTTCTTGCCAACCTCCAAGCAGGTGACGTTCGATTTTCTGACGTCCAACTTGGAGATCTAGGAGGAAGCTACCCTATTGACTCAGAGTGGGCCACATCCGGAACACGGGTCGGAACACCAATATGGTCAAGTCCGGAAATCCTTCTGGAACTGCCATGGAACACGGCAACTGATATATGGTCTTTTGGAGTTGTGGTAGGTATCCTCTCTCTCAATATCTCTCATTCATTGTTCAGGAAATCTGCTGATACAATTATCCAATTCTAGCTGATAAGTCTGATCTACGGTGGGAATTTTCATATTTTCAAGCCCAAGGGCATGACTCGAGACCATGAAGAGTATGAAGTGGGTGTTGCCCTGAACCAAATACGCTTCTTTGGTCCATATCCCCTGAAGTTTCAGGATATTCTCAGTCCTGAAAGCCTTCACTCTGTCCTGTGCTTGACGCAAGAAGTCCCCGAAGATGAGTTGACCCTCTTTGCATGGGTGACCGAAAAGGAAGTCATCAAAAAGGACAGGGACTTCATTGTCAAGATGATGAAGCTCGACTGGAGGGATCGGCCAACCGCAAAGGAACTGCTGGAGGATGAGTGGTGGAAGGATGACTCATAATGAGTCTGCCTTTGCATTGCGATAGAAGAATTCTCACATCCATACTGACTGTTTTGTCTACCCTCGAGGATTGTGCTTGCATGGCTGGATTTTACCCGCCTTAGGTAAGGCAGCTTGTGCCACATTCGTTTTCTGAATCAGATGCGCGATGGAGGACTGCAGGCTTACCTCCAATACCTTTGCGCTCGGCTTATATGTGCATCTGGTTAGCAGGGTGAAGAAAGCGTTGGTAGTAAGTAAAGGAAAACTTTCATACGGGTAGCGGGAACCAAAACCTCGTATCTAGTAACAACACGCTTGGACACCAGATCTACGGGAGGTTAGTCTGCTAGTAAACCCAATCCGAGATTTGTCGTAGTATGTCTTATTTCATTCGATACACGTTATAAGTTTTGATCGAATCGGGAGGCGCGACGCTGCCCAGACTTCTGTATGCGGAGTTATCGATGGTGGCGTCGTCTAGACGTCTTGCTATGCATCTCAGCATCATAAATGCGAACCTTCAGCCAGCCATACCGATCTCAGCCGCACGGCGCCATGAAAACCCCTCCATATCACCAATGTCCTCTCCCCCTTCGTTCTCGCTGTGTCATTGCACTTCGGTTGAACAACCATGTCTCGGCCGGCAGACACCGAGAAGACCTACTACAGCGTCCAACAAACCGAGCCAGATGCCGCAGAGCCAGATGTCGCCCAGCCAGCTACGCGAGTTGAGAAGACTAGACGATTTTGGGAGAAGCTGAGCGTCTACAATGTCGGAATATTGATTGGAGGGACTGTCGCGATTGCTCTGGCTCTGGCAATTCTCCTCTTCCTATGGGGCGGCGCGACTACGGCCAGACAGAGCGGCTTAACTCCACGCTTCTGGCGCCAAATCGCTGGAGAGTTCTGGGCAGGCAAAGTAGTCACCTTGTGTTCAGTTGCATTGCGCATCGCTACTGGTACTCAACTGAGCGTGTTCGCCGCCCTTGTCGCTGCGCTCATCCTCGAACGTGTCGGAGCCTCCACTACCGACCTTCCACATCTTTCCATGATCAGATGCTCGAATACTGGACCTCTCTCGCTGATGTGGAACGTATGGCACACTATGCGCATCGGATCACAACTCGGATATTCGGCTCTTGTAGTAGTCGCTGTCTTGAATGCCTTCGCACTTCAGTTCACGTCGACACTCTTGCTTACCGATTTCGACTATTCTCCTATCTTGTTCGAGCCCTACGATATTCCCGTACCTTTTGGGTTGAAATTTGATACGCCCAGCGGTGATACCACTCCATACCAAGGGGTTGATTTTTGGCACACGGGACCTGCGAGCTACCCGCAATTTGCCGAGTACAGCGAAGCTGGCTCTCAAAGCGAAGGTTTTGTGGATACCGGAAAGTCGTATCGAGGTTTTCTTCCTATCAGGGAGCCTGAGGTACGGGCGGCATTGCGAAACTACACTGGTGCCATGACAGTTGTCGATACCCGAGTCGTGTGTGTAAAGCCCACGGTATCGAGCCTCACTGTCAGCAATTGGATTACGACGACGGTATCTGGCGTCCTTCGCTGGGAAGATACACACCCTCCCCTCAAGCAAAACGATGCCACTGGTTACGGTTTCAACACCGACTCTGGCTACTCATTCAACTGCACTTTGCCAATACATGACTCCGAAACTGGCACTGGCAAGCCAATCGAACTGTGGGCAGTTGCTCTGTGCACGCTCGACTTTGGGATTGTTGATCTCACGGGAGGATTGGGACCAGACTGGCATCCTGAATATACCATGACAACGGCTGCCAGCCTGTTGCTCAACACCACCGGGAATTATACTAGTTGGAACCAATACACAACGGACAATTCCGTCTTCGACCTCGAGCAACTTGATTCTTCCGACGGACTGTGGGACAGTCATGGCCGTGCAGATGTGAGGGTAGACACGAGTCTATGCTTCACAAATCCGTCTCCATATGATTATCACATCAAATCCTGGCGTCAGGAAGAATTCTCCGATGCCACCCTGCAGTGGAACTCTAACATTGGGGCTTACGATACGGATGAAGTTGCACGCATGCTTGGAGTGACCAGTCGCAATACAACGCTAGAAAGTCGAGGCTTGTACCATCTCGAGCCCGCTTCCAATTGGACAGCAGCACAGGTGGACGTAAAGTACGGTCCCGGTACCGAAACGGAAGACTTCGTTTGGGATGCACTGAACCAAAATGTCGATAGCACCGAGGGCCAGAACCACACATATATGATGAGCTCCTATGCGGGGTCCGGCAGCATCCACAGAACTCATATAGCCGTGTTCCAGCATATTCTCAAGACCAGTCGTAATCCCGCTCTCGCCCTCCAAGCTCTTTACACCATCTTGATGCAGATGGCGTACTATGATTTCCTGCCTCAGTTCGATGTCAAAGCCCCCGCATCCCTGACTTCCGTTGGTTACCTGTTCGTACCGCAAGGATGGAGGGCTTTCGGGATAATCATGGGCCTATTGGCGCTGCACTTCACTCTTCTCGCCACCGCACTTGTGCTGTTCCTTACTAAGACGGAAATGTCGCTCCTAGGAAATGCATGGCAAGCCGTCACGCAGGTGATCTCGAAGGATACGGCGAATGCAATGCACCATGGTTCCGCTATGACCGATCGCGAGATGGATGAATATTTAAGTACCCAAGAGACGACCGCGAGCAGAATTCGGATTGCTCGATTGGCAGCAAACGGGCAAGCGGAAACGATCACACTTCGTCGTCGCCCAGGCCATGACAACGCCCTCTAGCATGATCGATCTAACGTATTGTGTAGACATTGGCATAATGGAAAGCCAAATGCGCCACCAACGGACTACATGCTAAAGGAGTAATGATAGAAAGTTATCGAGTCAATAGCCACGTTTAATGCATCTTTACAAACATTGATTTTCAATCCGTGCTTTTCATATTCTCTTTCCGCGTGACGACGTCTCATCGACCTATCGCAGCTTCAGTCGCCTTCAAACTTCCAACAACAGCGAAGCAAATCAATGGCGTGACAAAATAGCTAATCTGGTACCAAGTCAGTGCCTTCGTCCATCGTGTCGGATTGATTCAATGCAGACTCACAGTCAAGAACTTCGCGATTGTCATCTTCATTTGCTCTGGCGCACCAGTAACATCCGTGAGCGCGACCAGAATCATGGCCGGTGGACCAGTGGGCATGAGCATCATGGCAAACCAGAGCATGGGGTCAGCGTCCAGGAGCTGGGTTTTCGTTGCGAGAGCCCAGATGAAAGGAATACTAAGGCTACTCATGGATTAGCTTTTGCAGAGATACGAAGGAAACGAACGACTGACGCAGGCCAAACGAAGAACCGGATCAGCGTCACGAACGCTAAACACTTCTTCGACACCTCCCCACTATCTTCGCCCCGCTTCATCTTTAACATACTCTGACTGAGTTTCACGCCCACCACAATGATCTGCAAGGACGCAAACAGCTCGCCAATATTCTTGATAGCAGTCGTAAGCCAAGCATTGAAGTAGCCACCCTCATTGCTCGGGTTGAAGAAAAGGTGATGCAGTGCAGGCGTGAGACCAATGATGGCGCCTACAATGGCACCCAGCAATGGCGCGTTGGCAAATTGCCATGCCACATCAAGCGTGTCCTGCGCCCAGGCTGGCAGGTTGTTGTACCAGTCGCGTGTCTTGAAGTAGCCTTTCTTCCCTGCGCTGTTTGTGCGACGAACGATACGCTGCGGAAGGAGGGATGTCTCTTCGTGGATAAGGCCGTCAGGGCCACGCTCCATATCGCCACTCTCGCCATCTTCTTCTGCCTCTTGCTCGTCCTCGTCTGTTTGATTATCATCCTTGTCGTTCTCTGGCGCATCTTCATCGCCTGGTCGAAGCAGTCTAGGCCCCAGCGCAAAGGTGAGCGAGTTGCTGACCATGGCGTTGACTAGAAAGTATGACTCGGCACGTTCAAGCGCGTTAGCCGCCGTGTCGTCGCCAACAAGGATAGCATCGAGTATCTGGGTCTGCTTGAGCGACTGGATAAGCAACAGCGGCAGACTTGTAGTGTTGTTGAAGGCGAGCGCAGGCGTGACCCATGCAGGGAGCTTGAACATGCGGGTGAGGACGCGGCCAAATAGGACGGAAACGAGCGTATACGTAATGGACCAGACTGCAAGCCGTCAGCGTATGCTCAATCTCGTGTTGTGTAGGTATTGGGACATACTCAGAAGCGGCACATATCGAATGGCTGTGCCCGAGTGCAAATTACTCCCAATCTTGTAGATGAGCAGCGCAGGCAGAAACATGCGCACGCACAGCCCTGACACCTCCTTCGCTGCCTTGACAGAGAGCAGGTTGCATTGCGCTGCGACTACACCGAAGAAAATAGTCAGCAGCACAGAGAAGGCAGCTTGGATAGAACCCAGAAAGGGAACGAGAAGCTCAGACGCGTCGACACCCATCTTGCACGCGATAATCTGACGACTACAAATGATCAATGATGGAGAAAGACCCGACGGAAGGGAGAGGGAGGGCACACGCTAGATAAGCTCAACGTGGGGCATGCAGGTACTTTTGTAGAACCATAACGCTACGCGTCATGTCTGCGAGTGGTGTCGTAGGTAGTCGCGTTGTATGCATGGTGCCGCGGCAATGCGAAGTCGGATTTGCGTCATTATTGCCGATATCAGTAATGTGTCGTATGCACAAAAGCGAAAAATGCAAGGCATGGGAAATTGACACCTCTGGGCGCCGAGATGAAGAAATGATCCTGGACGCCGCGTATGTCATATTGTGGCTTGTGGCGGTAGAATTGAGGACGGACCTGCTTGATAAGAGCGCACTCGAGTGGTAAGAGTGTAGGTGGGAACTGTACCAAGTCCCCTGCCGCTCCAGACATACAACATATTAATTCTCGATAGATGTTTGCAAGAGTGTGATTCTTCTGTTGTTGGTTGGGGTTATTGGATAGAAGTCCGTGTCTTATTGTAGTCGATAATTGCACAAGAAGTATTCTGGCGTCCCGCCTCTGCAAGAACAAAATGAAATTAGCTCATTGTAGAGACGCTTTGAATTGACATGAAAGAAGTTTCTTTAACACAAATTGAAATTTTGGTGAGATTTGCTTGTCATATACAACACCCCATGTCTTCAGCACATCTAAACCCCCAAACAGGCCGTTTTAAACCATGCTACGTAACAAATTCACCACTTGAAGCTCTCCTCGAAATACTCGACACCCCCTAAACCCTCTCCGAGCATATCCACACTGGCCTTCCTTGCTTGATCAGCCATACGCGCCGGTCCACAGGCTACTATCGCAAGGCTTATTTGACCCGCTCCCCGTGCCGCTTCCTCGACAACTGCATGCACGTTTGGCCTCCCTGTCAAGATCTCCATGCCTGTTGTATGTGTCCTCGGCAAATCATCCTTGACTTCTTCATCTTGTGTTATATGAACTTCTATCTCCACCCTCTCATCCTCCAGTAATGCATGAAATTCCTGCAGGATGGAAGCAAGAAAAGCATGCTCCCGCACCGCCCACACAATCTTCACACTCTGCACGTGGGAGTCTGCATGCAAGAGATGCGATAAGTGGGATAACGGGACGGCAATTCCGGTGCCGCCGACGATAAAGAGGACGTTAGGATACGTGTTGAGTGGTATTGTGTGTCCGTATGGCCCCTCAATGAGCACCCTGAGCTTTTTCGGATGCAAGAGGCAGTGCTTCTTTAGGCGCGATGTGAAACCATCATAAGGACGGATGAGAAAGACTAATCTCGATGACGTTCGCGAAGAAGTGGACAGCAGAGCGTCGGACTCGCTAGACTCGAATGAATCTGTACGTTGGGGCGGAGGCGGAGGTCGAGGTGAGAGAGTCGACAATGGTGTGGGCGATAAGTTGTTCGTATCCGAAGACACGTATGCTAAAGTGAAGGGGTGACTCTGGTGCGCGTAGCAAAGGTCGTTTAGGACATGAATGTAGTAGTACGTTCCCGGCTTGATCCTGGTCCAGCTCTTGCTACCATCTACCTCCATCTTGACTAGATTCGACGATGGATCGTAGCTCACAGTCGCCTTGGTATTCCAAAATCTCCAGTGAAAAGCCAGAATTCGAGCAACTCGCAAGACACGGTCCAAGGTCCAAACACCAAGGCAGGGCCAGATGAAGATGTTCCATTCGCCGTTGACGAAAATTTCGACGTGGTAGTACATAGACCAGAGCGCGGTGACAGAAAGAACAATATGGGTGATGAGAAAGATCTCATAGTGTGCGCGTCGAAGCCCATAAACAGAGAAGGCTAGCAGGCCGCACATGGCAATTGTTGCCTACGGAACCGTCAACACTCATTCTTCCGCAAGATAGGTAACTTACTAGTTCGCCATTCCAAAAGTAATGTTTGTGAAGATACTTCTTGAAGTGGAACCAACCACCATCTAGCCCGCATCAGCATATGCTCTTGATCATAGCCGACAGTAGTCGACTTACCCTCCCAAGTCATGATTGTATAACCAATGCTATGCACCACCGCTTGCGCCGTGGCAACTCTCGCCACCCAGCGATGAAACGCGTTATACGTGCCGAATCCCCAACCCGTAACCCACATGAGGGCATCGTTCCGCATGCCAAAGAGCCAAACCAGAGGGAAGTTTGCCAGCGAGATGATACCAGTGCGATCGGATACGAAGCGCAATAGCTGCGCAGACTTTTGCGGCCAGTATAGATTTCCTGATGTCAGGCGGTAGGAGATAGTGCAGAGAACGACGTTGAGAGCAACAAAAAAGAAGATGGTGAGTGACTGGATGCGAGGCGGGATTGTGCACCACCCATAAGTCTGAGAGCAGCGGTTTCCGAATGCAGCCGGGGTGGTGAGATATCGCTTCAGCCATGAGTTTGGGAGACTGGCGGTTTTGCGAGGCTTGATGGGGATTTCTGATTCGGATCCACAAACTGGTCGATAGCCCTTGTTCTGGTGGATGAGGCTGCGAATGGATGACAGAAGGCGTGCTAGGATGCCTAAAGACACTACTGAGATCCAGAAGTAGTACATGTACCAGCTACCAAAGTTAGCCACACACCCAAGCTAGAGAATAACAATCATTTACCCGTAGATCAGATGAATGTCATATTCAAAATTCGCCGCGTCCTGAGGAACCACTTAGCATTGTGTTGTATCGTGGTCAGAAACGAACACATTCATACCAAAGTTGTGAACGCCCTCTCAAAAAACATATCATCTGGTACGACGACTTCGCCCAAAATCGGAAACTCTAGGCCCTCGTCTGCACTCAACCGCTTGACTCCTGCTTTGTACTCCGGCGTCCATCGGTTCACAACATCCTGGTAACTGGGCAATGTCACACCTATACGCTCTTCACACCATGTGACCTCTTCGTGTAGAAATGAGTCCCGTTCGCCATCATCCTTGCAATACTCCTCGAAGCATAGATACAGCGATGTAATGTGTTTCTCACTGCGACACTTGCGCGCCTTTCTTGATTGCTGTGCGCCTGTGTCGTTAAAGGTTGCATAGTCGAGCGTTAGATCGCAGGCGCGGGGACACCATTTTCCCACATACAAAGCGGTGGTCACATCTGCGAGACTGAATGATAAAATGAGACTGATAGAAGCAGTGCGCATGAGGGTGATGCAAGATGAGATGAGTTGAAGATCGGCGGGGTTATCAGATGAAGTTTATCAGATGGGAGCACGGGCCCAGTGGCGTCATCCGGCAATGTCCTACCACTCCCGGTCCGACACCACGATGCTCAATCTTCGAATCGCATGCCAGATCCCACGTTTTCCTAGCATTCTCATTGAAGACACAATCTGATATATCAAGCATACGACAGTATCATATCATGGCCAAGAAATCTGCTCAAACTTCTTTCTTTTCCCTGCCCGCAGAACTCCGGCTGCAAATCGCGACTTACGCCCTCGATCAACCAGTAGATGCCGGTTTTGAACTACGAAGCGCTGACGCGACCCAAATCAACCACTATCCCCAGCTAGGTCCCGGATCCCCTATAGGTCTCGTAGGACTCATAATGGCTGGCCCATACTCTCCAGGCGGTGCTTATTCGCCGGCCGCTAACCTGTCATTGCTACTCGTATGTCGACAGTTCCGCTTGGAATTCACAGAACTTGCATGGCGCAGTACTACGTTCTTTCTTGGTATCAACAAATCCACCAGGGACAAGAGAGCGATGGCCGGAGGGGTACCAGAAGGACGATTGTGCATGCTTCGAAAAGTCGCCATATATAGCCCGCCATGGGACGATATCGTTCGGTGGGGTCAGTGGCCGTTTGATGCCGAATGCGTTCGATTGGAGCGTCTCAGTTTTGTCATGGTCATCGGGTTATCCGACATTGCGCAGTTTGTTCGTCTTCTACGCCGGTTGCAGAACGTTAAACAGCTCAAGTTTATCTCGCAAAGTGATGCAGAGCAGCAGGCAAAATTTCGAAACACATATAATCAACTCATCGGGGCGATCATGAAGGAAGATCATTATCAGCGATACGACGCATCAGGTGCACCCCACGTTGGAGATGTTTGGTGGGAGTGGAGTTTCAATGACGTGGAGAAGAGCTTTCTGCTTGTCGCGGAGAAGCCTGCGCCTGTCATTCCTGAAGAGGAGTACCTCCAGTTCATGAAGCCGAGAATCGATGTATTAATGGCGGACATGGCGCGAGAATGATTCGGAGTTCGACGGGTGATATATGAGGTGAGGATTGGAGCGCAGTATGATTGTGTAGTGACAACAATTTTCTCGCAACCGGCCAGTTAGACTTCTACAGCCTCGATGGGCGTCCATAGCTTCTGAAGGAAACTATAAGCCAAGTGAGATTCTCAATTTCACAATGGGAGGAAAGGCGATAAAATCCGGATGATTCCAAGGTGGAGAATCCTTGGGCCTAAATCTCTTGAATGTCAAATCATGGTGTAAATATAGCTGCATGACCTGTTCGTCGCAAATGCAATATGTCTGGCCAATGTCTATTTTTAACCGTAGGTTTAGGTATATGGAATACACGCTTCATCTGGTACATCAAACAGGTAAAATACATTGGTTGTCATTTCGCTCATCTGCATAGGAGCAACAACAGCCAGGCAAACACAGCAGCACAACTCAAAGGCCGAGACTGCGCATACAGGCGGTTCGTAACGGCAATCACAAGCATAGGCCGCCTATGTTGATTTCCTTACGCCCTACGCTTGCAACTTTCCCGCAATGTTGAACTGCACGCCCTATATCAATGCGTTCATAAACATGGCTCAAAGAACCGAAATACTGCATACAGTTTTCTTAACTAATTCTCAAAATCATGGCAAGCGTGAATCGAGGACTCATCGCCGTACGACATCGCACTTACATCCCATCTATCCTTACTAACAGACCTTTAGATCACAGGCGCAAATGGCACAATCGGATACGCATGCGTTCTATATGCGCTCCAAACTGGATATCGCGTGCGCTGCATCGTCCGTCGCGAAGAAGCTATCCAAGCCATCAAGTCTGGGCCTTCGATGCAAGAGTATCTATCTCACTTGGAATATGCTGTTGTGCCGGACAATACCGTAGAGGGGGCGTATGATTGCGCTCTGGCAGGTGTCTGGTACGTTGTGCATGTTGCGGGAGCGTGGCCTCTGCCGGTGCGTAACCCAGGTTCGAGAATGCGAGAGGGGGAGCTGAATATCATCAGAACTTACATCCAGACGATGACATATACCACCCCTTCATGGAGTCCATGAAACTCATTCTGCAGGCTGCTGAGAAATCAGGGACGGTGAGACGTATGGTGTTCACACAAGCCGGCGCCGGGCTAGTCAATTCGGAAGACGGGGATACGCTGGGGGTTCGAATGGATGAGTTACTGGACGGTAAGGTGCATCCCGGAAGACGTAAATATCAATCGCTGATGTAGTCCCAGAACACGTCCAGGTCAATCGGGAATCACTTGCCTTCCAGCCTCCCCTTAAGTCTGCCCATAATGCCTACTGCTCGGCAAAAGCTCAATGCATGGCTTATCTCAATAACTTGCGCCTCGACCAGAGCACTCCATTCTCCATCGTCCAAATCATTCCCGGTACTGTGATCGGACCCTCCGAGTTCGCTACTACAGCGTCTCAGGCTTTTGCACATCTTGACCGGCAGAGCAAAGCGCTGCTGTTCGACGAGGCCAAGCCACGGTATGCATTTGGATTTGTACATGTACGGGATTGCGCGAGGGTGCATGTCGAAGCTTTGGATGAGGAGAGAGTCAAAGCTGAGGATGTCCCACCGTGGTTTGTCGCCGGCGCAACTACACCAGCGGGCTACGACGGGGTGAGGTTGTGGGAGCAAGTAGCGGATGGTTTGGAGGAAGAGCTCGAGAAGGAAATGGCAGAGGGTATGTTCAAGATCGGGAGGAATAAGGTGCCGGTCAATATGCCGTTTCGAGTGAACTCGAAACTCACGGAAGAAACGCTGTTCGATGGTGGGGAATTCAAGGGATTGGCGGACTGTGTCAAAGAGGTTGGACATTGGTATGCAGGCCTGAAGGAGACAACGTGAACTCGCTGTGAGGGAAGTTATGGGTCACGCTTGAGAATATCAGAGAAGATATATAAAGGCGCGTGGACCATCTACAGGAAGAGACACATAACGGGAAAGACTACGAAGCCTATAGCGCGAAACATCAGTGAAGGAATGTGGGCATAGTATTTGTCCCGGACTAGCCGTCGAGCAACAATGTCTAAGAGATGTAAGACAGGCAAGCAAGACAGCGCTCGAACGAGCGCACCGCCACTCCTGTCGTCGTTCCTCACAAACATATACTATTCACTACTCTGTTCATTACAGGGCATCCGTATCCATCATCCACGAGATTCTCAACATGCTACATAAGAACAAACAAATCCAGTGTTGTGCACTGTCCCGCAGACCACAGTCTGAGCGCGACGCAGATGTGTCTCGTTACATGGGTACAATAAGAACCATCGTCTTGTCTCGGAAGCTCGGGCATGGGTGAGCACATTGCGTGCACTTCGTAGGCATCACGAGCAAACACTTCAAGGAAACAGGAGACCTGCACTGTTTCCCGTATGGTGAGATGGGGACAAGATTGTGAGGTGCGGAGCAACTGAGGTTCTGCGACTGTCTTAACGTTCAAAGACATGAACGATGACCGATACACGATGTCTGGCAAACATTCTTTAGACGTTGGGGATGCGGTAGTTATAAGAGCAAAGTCATTCGACTCTTCTTTCTCATCAAACTCTCAGAGATCGACCATCCGCTCACACTCCCAAGGTCCGCTTTCTCCCCTCCTGACCATATCGTCTTCTACCCCTACCAGACACTTCTCATTCCCTCCCCACCACCATGGACCACGTCTTCCCCGGCACGGCAGGCATCCCAGGATACCGCTACAGGAGCAGCGCCAACGCCGCAGCCTCGCCCTCCACACTCCTACTCAGCGTCGTCATCGGAATCCTCATCGGCATGATCCTCAACGCCCTCTTGGCCAGTCTACCCAAGGCCTTCGAGCGCGCCGATTCCTCAGCAGAAAACACGGATACGCAAGGCGATGAGACAGTGCCGTTGTACAAGCTTCTCGTAACCCGTATCTCCGCCTCCGCCGTCGATGTCTACCGCGCGGTCGTCAAGCACACGTACGCCCTGTTCCGTAGAGTCCTGGAAGTCCTCCGCATGCGCATGCACATATGCGTCCGCATCACGCGCAAGCGTCACAACCACAGTATCAAGCCCGTACCACTCAACGTCGTTGTTCCTCCTGTCTACCCGGATATCGTTATGACAAAGAACGATGGGCCAGCCTTCATGATGGCCATTGGAAAGACAGCGAAGTGCATCAATGACGAATCGAAGCGCATCGATGACAAATTGAAGCGTGTTGAGGACGGACTGAAGCATATCAAAGACGAACTGAAGTGCCTCACAGAGGAACTGAAATGCATCGAGAAGGACTTGCACAACGAGATCGAAACCATGGTCAAGAAGGCTTGCGCCTCGGGACAAGGGAGCTGTGTCGCCTGAGCCACGCGTGGCGAACCCACATGCGCGTGTGAGTGGGGAGCGCCTATGCGGGTGCGACGGTTCGGAGATGAACGAAGTGCTTGATGGCGAAGACCGAAGCTGTGAGCGAAGGATTTTCTGGGGACGTTGAATGGCGGAAGCGGGATTTGTGTGATGGATGATGGTGGTTTTGTGGCGTTCTTTGGATAGACTTCTTCCTCTTCTCTACATTCGTTTAGTGCTCTTTGGGAATTGTATTGGGCGTATTTTCGCCTCTTTCCTTGCCAGTGCGTCTTCCTGATTCTCGTTATGACGTCCGGGTACAGCTTTTCGAGGCCTGGCACCTGGCTAGGAGACTCCCAGAAAGCTCCAACTGTAGGCATGTGGTACCGCGGATGACCGAGCGCCCTTGTATGCGTATATGTCCCTCTTTCCCACAACACTCCCAGCCAAATCTTCCCCACTCACCCCTCCCCATCACGAAGTCTTGCTCGCCGTCTCCTCATTCTCACCCCCACCCTCCCCCCCCCCCGCAAGCCCCCCCCCCCCCCTCGCCACATCCTCAACCTTCCCCCCATCTCCCCCCCTCCCCTCCCCCAACGTATCCAACCCCCCAAAAAGCCACAACTCCTGCAAATCGCGTATAAGCGTGCTAATCTCCTGCGTCGTCCTGACCAAACCCGCAGTCTGTTCTCTAATGCGGCCCTCGCGCTGCGCCGTGGTCGCGTAGTCGTGCACGCCCTCGAGTTGCGGGACGTTTGCGTGCGCGCTGCTGTCTGCCATTTTGACGGCGCGTAGGATGGTGGAGAGGTAGCCGTCGCCGGCCCAGGGGTCGGTGACGCGGATGTCGGCTATGGAGGTGCAGAGGGATTCTGTGCGGGCTGTGGCGGGGTTAGTGGGGGTGTGGAGGGGAGAAAGAGAGAGGTACCTATTAGGGCTTCTTTTGTGCGGTTGGAGGGGTCCATTGTGAGGAAAGCTGATGTGGATGTATGGAGTCGATCGATCGTGGAAGGCGCGTTGGTGTTGGGAGGAAGTCGCGACTTGGCTTATCGATAAGAGCTAGCTACACTTTTGTGGGGCGGTATCCAGCGGTGGGGCAATAACCATCCTGTGCCATGCGGGTGAGCCGCATTGAATGGTACGGTACCATTGCATGGGGAAACTAAAAGTTTGGTATTTTCTCTCTTCTCCAATCTGAGCTGTGAGGACGTAGTAAGTGCGCCGATGAAGAGGAGCTCCTACAATCTTGTTGGCGAGCAATCTGACCACAATGAAACACATATGCACCGTTTGTTAACATATCAAGTAGTAAAGCCGTCTATTTTATTACGCCTATGGGTAAACACAGCCCATCGATCTCAGCATCGCACCTCGTAACCCACAGCTCTTCACACACACACCTCCTACCCCAACACATCCCCCCCTCTCTCCACCAACCCCTCTCCATCTACGCCATAGCGACATCCCAAGCAGCCTTACCCGCCATACCCATCATAATATGATGAGCCAAAAACCACAGAATCCCATAATACCTGCCCTTACCCGCCTCAGTCCCATTCGTATACCCCAGCGCATAAACGACACGATTGACGCTCCACACCGCGGCCAGAATGGCTGTGGCACTGGGATACTTGAGACCCGAGATGAGCATGGAGCCGAGGGCGATGGGGTGGTTCTCGTTGAAGTTCTGGTGCGCGCGCTGCGCCGAGTTGAAGAGTATCATGGCGTTTTTGGAGGCTGGGGATGCGGTCTGGATTTGCTCGTAGGACGCGTATTCGAAGGGGTACGGGACCTTGGCAGCTTTGCGGTAGCTGCCGACGCGGAGACCGTGCCAGGAGCCGACTAGGAAGGTGGAGACGGCGGCGAGGAGGACGTAGCTGGGGGGGGTGTTAGTGGGGGTTTGTTTGCTTGCTTGTTGGGTAGATGTGGAAGCTGAGGAGATGCGAGGAGAGCGTGTACATACCCATACTGATCCGGGATGACAAGAACAGCCATTGTGTGTGATATGAAAAAGTCTCCGAACGTGTTGCGATATTCAATTGATCCTTTGTTGATTTGTAGACCGAGTGTTGGAAGCTCAATTGCTAGTTTACTTTTTCTACAATCGAGGAAGCGCCGAGCCTTTTGTACCCGCGTCTGCGAACATCGTGGAACGCCACAGAGTACAGCCTGCAGGCACGCGGACCAGTTTCTGCGGGGCAGCGGCGCAACAGAACGCCGACTCGGGCCCCACTGCTGCGGAGTTCCGCTACGGAGACCGTACGTGCATGCTTATGCTGCATTACGAAGATGAAGCATATTATTCTGTTTCGTAGTTGCCTGGAAAGGGCGGAGACATGCTTGCGGGAGATGGGCGTGGAGTTGTGCCGATGTGAGTCGGTCGGGGTTTGAGGGCGCGGTGGAGTCAGCGTTGAACGTTGTGGTCTTACCTTGGCGGCATGTAGGTAAGACTGGAGATGGATGGATGAGTCAAAAATTGGTAGTCAGAAGAAGGAGGGAGTCAGAAGCAGATCTAACAAACTCCATATCATGTATGTGTATGCTGAGGAAGAAAGGGAAACGGCACAACAAGAGGCCGTGAAGGCTATTTTGTATGTCCCGCTTGACCAGCTATGGTCGTCTCGCGCAATACGTGCTTGGAATTGCGTTCAAGCCAGCCCGGCAGCAAGACGACAATTCGGACGAAATCAGCACAAGGTCACATGTCGAGTACGTAGTTGCTGCATGCAAAAGGTCTCCTTAAACCGTACGCGCCTCGGAACCTTCGCATTTGAGACCATACTCATATCAGCGTGACACAATCCCAAGCAAACATACACTGTCACCACACCTACTCCCCCACCCCCCTCCTCTCAAACAGACAAAACTCAAACTCAACACCCTGCTCCGCAACCACACCCTCGACACTCTCCCCCTCGCCCGTAAACTCCCTTAACTCGCTCTTCCCCACCTCCCTCCAGTCCCCCTCATCCCACCCCGTGAAAAATGTATCACACTCAAACTCCCCCTTAATCCTCGTAAGAAGCACACGCTCACACTCCCTCATCTCCAATGCCTGTTCATAAACACTCGCCCCACCAATGACATACACACGCTCAACCTGCACCTCCTCACCAGCCACCCTCTGCGACGAACGAAGCCTTGCAAGTGCATCCCCGATACTACTCGCCACCAACGGGCCCTCCACCCCCACTTCCCCTTCTTCCTTCACTGCACTGCTAAACGCCCCCGGCGACCGCGTAACCACAATATTCAGCCGGTCCTTTAACGGGCGGAAGCGCGGCGGAATAGACTCCCAAGTCTTGCGCCCCATGAGCACGGCGTTTACTCTGCGCGCGCCTGGAGTGGAGGGCGGGGTGTGGACGCGCTTTGTGACGCGCGCGAAGTAGCCCATTTCTTTCTTGAGTTGGGGCCAGGGGAGGGTGCCGTTTTTGCCGATGCCGAGGGAGGGGGTGGCGGCGAGGATGAGTGTTAGGGAGGGGGGTGAAGGGGGCATTTCGGCGGCGGCGATGGGTGTGGGTTGTTGGTTTGGCTGTGGCTGTGGTTGAGATTGTGGGTGGGAGGGAGGTGGGGGAGGAGTTGGCATGGCGGTACGCGTGATTGCGAGAGGGAGAGGGTGAGGGTGGTGTCGGGGTTGCGAGATGGGATCTTGTGGGATATATGCAGGGGAGGTGGGATGGATGGCGGGGGTGGAGAATAAACACGCTAACTTTGACACGAAGAAACGTGATCTTCTCGCATGCAGTATACGAGGCTTGCCGGGTATATCTAGACCGATTATCGAATTTCCTAGACGTTGTCGAGTGTTGGTACGAAGTCTCCGTCAACGAAGCCATCGCCATCTAGCAAATACATAGACAAAGAGTCATTTACAAAAACACGTCATGTCACATCTTGCTCAAATTCAACCATCTTCTTCTCAGAACAGTGACATTTCGACAAGCAACAGCGCTAAGATATGATACACAGGCCCATGCCCTCCCCAACCTCTTCCCACTTATCCATGCAACACAGAAGAAGAGAGAGAGAGAGAAGAAAAAAATCCAACGACGACCGCTAATTCGAGACTTCTTACTTGCATCATTCCCAATCATCGTAGCCCCACTTCCGTCCCAATCCCTTCCAATCCAATCCCATTCCCGGTCGATCAAAGAGCAAAACGCCTAAAAACAGACAGACACCTTGCAATGCCCCATGCCCATTCCCCCAGTCCAGTCGCCAAGAGTACTTCGTATTCCCTTCTCGCCCTCCCTAGTTTGCTTTCATACAATGTGCGCCCGGGTTTTCCAAAAAGGGGGTATCTCGCAAGCAGCAGAAATACGATGCATTCCATGTTCGACTCCTTGCACGTTCTCCTCGGCTGTTTGGATAGCGTCATGCTTGAATCTGTCCCTCTTACTCGTTCTCGCTGCCTTCGGCCCCGCTCTTCAACGGCAGGGATAGAGAGATTTTCTTGGGGGTTCCGCCTCCATCTTTGCCGGGATTTATTGCGGGCGCTTTACGGCGCAAGCTCCGAAGGCTCGGTGTACTTGTGTTGCTGGAGGTCGAGGCGCGGCGCTTGGGACCAGCTGCGGATGATATACTGGCGATCAGCTCGTCTTCCTCGTCTTCTTCTCTTCGTCGCTTCTCGGATATGCGTTCTGGCGGAGAGCCGACAACAGATGGTTTGGGCGATGTGGTCTCGTCGGGTTTCTGAGCCGTCTTGGGAGATTTGTTCGCAGATACTGGAGTATCGACTGCGAGGATGTCCATGTCATCGTCGTCCGCGTCGTCGTCGGGATAGTTGACAAGTGGCTTTACCGGTGAAGCTCCGTTCATGGCAGGCTTCCCTGTACTACCAGAGCCATCGTCTTCGTCATCAGATGTGTTAAAGTATGCGTCTTCGTCGGCATCCGGCTCTTTCAATCCTTGACCCCACTTGCCGCCATTTATCAATCCTGCATGGCGTGCAGGTATGTCGCTGTCCACGCTTGTAAACGACTGGTCCATTTCCTGGGTTGTCACTGGCTCGTGCATCTGCTCATACCGCAGAATGATGTTCTGGAAGGTATCAACGTATGTTATTCCTTGAAGCCTTTCCCGATATGTTTCGACCATGTGTTGTACAATCATCTTGATGTTCTCGCGCTTGATGAATTCGAACAGCTCGAGGCAGGCTGAGTTGAGCAGGTTGTCTCGCGGCATAGTGTCGAATAGTATCTTCAAAATCGGGTCGAAGACTTGGTGTTGGATAATCTGGCGGTTGTGTGTCTCATCATGCAGGCCAATGACTGTACGGAAGTACTTCAGAGAGGCTAAGCGCGTTAGCAACAGGAATCCTAGAGGAGCAACCTGGCTTACTCAGTTTTAGATGCTTCTCTGGGCAGGCCATGAGCTGAGCGACTCGCGCCGCTAGGCCTTCGGAAAGAATGAAGTATTTACTGCGGAAAGAATGCTGTCGGATGAAGAAGCAAAGCACTTCGACAAGGTGGGCGTATAGTGACACTTCCTGTATGGAAAGGTCTTCCACTTGAGGGTGTTAGCTGTATGCGCGGTAGAAAAGAGGGCCAGACTTACTGGACTCCTTGCCCTCGAGATCTTTCAAAGGCTGGAAGAGTTTTCGAGCAGACTCGTCGTAGAAATTCTGAATGAAAGAGTCTGTCTGTGGTATTGATGGCAGTTGGCCCCTCATCTTGGCGAGGAAGTCACTATTTGTCCGCCCGAGCGCTTCGATGGATGCAGAGTTCGCGTTGGGATCCAGCAGGATCTTTATTGCGTCGGCCATTTGCGCTTTCACCCCGAGGTCAACCTCAATCAAGAGGAGCTCGATCAAAGTGTCCGTCAATGGCTTGGACTTTTCTTGGATGGCCTTGAAGATGTAGCTCCGCACCATCAGTGCGTCGTGATCGATGAGTGATACCAATATGTCTGTTCCTGCTACGCGCACAGCCGCGTCCTGGTGCTTGAGCGCGAATTGTATCACCTCCAGCAGGCCATTGCTGATGAAGTTCTGGTACAGTTGCGCCCTACCGTTTGCTTGTAAGCTCTTAGCTACAGAGCAACATTGCTGAATGAACAGCACGGCATCCTTTTTCCGCTGGGGGTTCTGCTCCTTGGGTGTGAAGATGGAAAAAAGCTCCTTGAGGAATGGGCCGTTTGCCTGGAGGTGCTGCACGATGTCGACCTGGTGGAAAAAGATGAGCGAGTTGAGAACGGAGAATGTGGGGTCGTCGAGGATGCGCGCGAGCACAACGTCCTTGAGGTACTGCAGCCGGTATGTGTAGTGGATCTTGCGCTTGATGTTGTCGTCCTCGATCTTGACAACCTCCTTGAACTTGGACTCGTCGGCGAGGTACTGGCGGTGGTTTGCCTTGTGCAGGGGGAAGTCTGGGTCGTCTGGGAGAGTCAGAGAGAAGGACTAATGTGTAGAAAGAGTGGCACTCACACTCAAGAGCTCCAACGACACCCAAGACGACCGCGTCTGTGACGACGTACTCGATAATGGAGGTGTCGTTGAGCAGGATGAGCATCTTCATGATGCTGCACAGGCGGTGCAGGTCGGACGCGCTCTCCAGGTCCTCTGCCATCTCGACCAGGGGTATCAGCTTGGGGATGTAGTCGTGGGCGAGGATGAACTTGGCCAGGGCCTCGCGGCCGCCGGGCGTCGAGTTGGCGGCGCGCATGTGGTTCTCGATGTCGTGCAGGTTGCCCAGGTCGGGGTTGGGCAGCATGATGGGGCTGATGTGGTCGACGTCGTCGGAGAGGCCGTCATCTGGCGGCGTGTTAGCGGGTGGCATGCGCAGAGGCAGCATGTGACATACCCTGGGCGAGCGTCTGCAGGCGCGACTGCACTTCGTTGACAAAATCCCTGGGTCGGTCAGCGCATTGGCCGGGTCACTGCAGCGCGTCAGGGCCGTGCGGAGGCGGATGCGTACCAGATGCTCGCGCAGCCCTCTGGCTCCTGGAAGCTGAGGGCCATGTCGGTGCCATTCTGCTCGGTCCATACTATGAGCGTATCTGCGCGCGCAATCAGCTGATGTCGCCTGTGTGTGTTTATGTGTGTCTGGCGGGTCGTGTCACGGGCGCGTACCTTGCTGCTTCTGGTAGCCGTCGTCTTTGGAGATGCGCGTCTCGAGCAGCTGGCGCGCGTGGTCGTCTTCGGAGAGAACGAGGATCTTGGCCTCTTCCTGCTATGGTCGCACACGTCAGCCCTGACCGTAACTATGAAGCTGCCCATCGCCAGTCGTCGCAGCGCACACCAGACGACACGTACATTCACGACCACGCCCTTGCAGAACCCCGTGCCCCGGTCAAACCAGTCATTGTTCTTCAGCTCGTACACCTTGACGCGCTTGCGATCGTTGGCCGGTGGCGCTACCAATGCCATAGTCGAGGCGGGAGCCTACCACCACTCCGGCGTGGGCAGGAACCCTCCGGAGTGCGTCTGACGGTTTGCGCAGCGAGCGGCGGGCAATTGGCGGCTGATGGCGCGATGGCGCGCGGGCGAGCGTGACGGCGCAGCGGGATGAGGATGGTGGTGACGATGACGATAGGAGGCTCGCCGTGTCGCGACGGTCGACGCGTTGGACGGTGCGCACGGTCGGCGCTGCACAGTGAGCAAGTCCGCAAAGACGTCCGAGTCGAGATCGCCGCGGAGATTTCGGGCGGGCAGGCGCGTCGTCGGTTGTCGGTCGTGTGCAAGGCGGCGTGATGGTTGCAGATTCGGAAAGGCACGGTTGATAGCCGATAAGGGACGGCGGTTGGAGCCTGGACCACGGCAAGCAACTTGAGCCTCAACACCAAAGGGGACCCTGGAGATGGCTTGACACAGTAGTAGGGTAGTGTATGCACGCTCTAGGGCGGGTGTGCACTGATTTGGAGCAGGTTTGGGCTCGCGAGAGTGGCGGCAGCCGAGCCTCGTTGGACATTGACGCAATCCAGTCTTGGCTGCTGCCGTCATTCGACGACCATGTCTGCTACCTAAGTACTCCACAACGACATGCATCGCCTGTACTTCATGAATATTGCAAGCTTCCCCTCACTGTTCCCGTCGTTTGCTTGTATGGTGCATGTCGTCCTCGACTCGGGCCATTGTCGCACTAAGTCGTCTGGTCACGTTACTTTTCCATCCATCCAACATCCCCCGTCACTCCCCGTCACTCCCATGTACAATCCTTGCAGAGACATACTCTACATACACTTCAATGCCCTCATCCAGTTAGACACTTGGCAATCTGGCAAACTATCTTAGGGCATCTCGCTGTCGTCATTGACACCTGTCAGCCTTTACCAACCTCCTGCCAGCCATGAAGATCGCAATCCTCACTTCGAGCATCGCTGGTTCAGGGGCAGCTCTAAACTGTGGGCATCCTCGTGGGTGACACATTCCGTTTCTTTGTCTGTTTGCTGTGGTCTATTCAGTCGGAACCGAATTCTAGACACGTCTGGAACACTTATGCTGTTCAGCTCAGCACCGCACGTGGATATCGCGTGTGAAGATCCGTGGGACCTCTGGCATACTGCAGCTGTCAGTGACTCTATACGATCAACAACTGCACATGTGCAGAAAGCAGCCAATCGTCGTCCTTCCGAGCGGTGGCAAAACGTCACTTTCTCAAGCGTCCCAAGAATCCTCACGAGCCATCTGCGACAAAGTTTGCACCTCTCTTAGTTGTCTCGTGCGAACCATGGATTCAATTGCTGCAGGCCATTCATAGTGTCTGCGCCGCAGCCAAACCCTCTTCTTTGAAGCCAGGTAGTATGGACAGCCTGCTGAAATGCAGCACACATGGCATTGCTGTTTTCCAATTTGACATCTTTGGCAACCATGTTTCTATACATGGAACAGGTGCCGGGAAGGTTTCTCGCCAAATTCCCGCGCATCGCTCAACGGTTCGCGCGGAACTAGTACCTCAGTGACGTCTATCCATGCTCGCTAACTTTATGGAAACTCTTTAGCTGCATGACAATACCCGGTAGTCCGACCCACAAGCACACTAGGTAGCATGAAACATGGCAATGCGATCGCGAGCAATGATTTATGTTTTGCAAGCGGCTGTATTCCATCACTCCATATAATGCGCCTCGCCCTGCCCTCGAACGTCTCTTTCTAACCCGCCTCAAGTCGAAGTCGATCTGTACAACACTCGAAATCTTATTCCCCGCCATGTCCAACTTCTTCAAGTCCAAGAAAGGAAAGGAACCATGTGTGGAAATGACAACGATCACTCCTCCCCAACACCAACCCGATCCCCCCTCACACGCAGCAAAAGATGTGTCTCCGGCCAATTCATTGGCCAAGGAATATAAAGGATTACAGGCCAAAATCGCCTTCATAGGGAAACCCAGGGCAGTGTCTCTTGACTCTTCCCGAGCAAGAGCAACACGCACTTTCTTGTTCCCATCATCCAAATCGACAGACCCGCCCTCACCTCAGACGCCTACATCTGCCGCGAGTCCACCTGCGAGAGAACGTGCCAGCAGCGACCTCTCCAACAACCGGGTCCTGCAACACTCGCAACGACAAAGCTCACCTGTACGAGGCCGCCAGCAGGCCCAGCACGAGCAAATCCGCGGCAGGCGCCCTGTTACCCCACCGAGTGCAAACCAGAATGCCAGACATCTGCATAGCTTGAGCAAGCAGCCGTCCATGGTCTTCAAGAAAAGTGCCCTCTCACATGTCTCGGTAGCTGAGGGTATGTTGTGTCCGTTTCTCAACTCTACCAACAAACAAACTAACATAGTCTAGAACCAGAATACGACGAAAACGTCGCATCGTCATCGTCCAGTTACCAGAGTTCGATGCACTCTGCATCATCATCCAGTACGTTCTCCCTTTCATTGGCGAGACGACGCAAAAAGCTAATTCCCCCCCCCAGTAGCCAGCTCACGCACAGCCTGGTCGATAATAGACAGTAACCCCCACGGTCTCGAACCGCACCAGATCTCCGTCTCGCTCTCGAAAAACAGCAGGACGCGACACCTAGCCGAACGCCGCGCCTCATCCATGCCGCCAGCGCCCCAGAAAGCAGCATTATCACCATCGCCACCACCAACGCGGACCCAGACTCCCCCGCGCCTACAAACCGCAACGCACTCCAATTCACCGCTCGAGCCTGATTCGCCAACACTACCCTCGACGCTGTTCCTGCCCCGTTCAAACACCACAGACTCGCTTGAGGAGTCGCCCAGCCCGTCTCCGCCGCACTCACACATCACTCCTCCGGCCGCGGCTCGACTCACCGAACCATCCCGCCCGGCCCTCTCGCTGTTCAGCCACAAGACTCACGCACCTGACCGCGAGAAGACGCACTCGCCGTATATGAGATCGTCGTCGCAGCCTCCCACGAAGAAACACGATTCTGTCATTCAGTTCGAGACGGTGCAACCGAAGCTCCGCTCGCAAAGGTCGATTTCGACGTTTTTCTCTAGGAGGACTGTTGTTGATTCGGCGGTTTAGGGGATTGGGAAGGATTATGGCGTTGGTATTGGATTGGGTAGGGGTAATAGCTATGTATTATGAAAGTCTGGTTCACGGTCTTAGCAACGTGCTGGACTGTGCGGTATTGTTTTGTTTTATCGAAAAACTGCTGGGTATCTGTGTAAATATCAAGATATACATGATAGCAATTTTTACTCTCACAGCCTGGTGCTGAACATCTAGCCTCGATTCTACAATCTAGACATCTATCAACCATCCCTGAACATACCCCTTTTTGATCGACCAGCACATCCAAGCGTCTCCCAGCCCAACCTGCGCAGGACACAGCAACACACGCATCAAAACCCCTGCTGACGCCGCCACTTGCCCTCCCACCCAGGAAACCACGGACTCTCATCCAACGTCTGCGGCTCCCAGCCCCCAGGCACCAATCCACTCCGCACCTGCTCGTCATGAAACCGCTCAAGCGCCGGTTTAACCACATGATCCGTATGCCAAGTATTCTTATACGCCATGATATTCCCCTTCCCCTCATTCAGCACTTTGAGCAGCAAGCCCGGCACATACGGTTCATCGCGGAACTGCTCCACGGGGGTGAACAGGGCTTTGAAATTAAACACCACAGCGCCTGAGAGCGGGAGGCGGCGCAGTGTCTGCCAGTCGACGCGTAGGTGGCACTGTGAGAGGGAGAGGTCTGGGCTTTGATGCTCGCGCTGGGATTTATGTGCCGTGTCGTCGGGTCCCATGTAGAGTAGTTCGCCGACTTCGATGCCCCAGGAGCCGCGCTGGATGGGCTTGTCGGAGGGCATTTTGGCGAAGAATCTAGTGCGTTGTTAGGGGTTTGTTGGGGTTTGCTGGAACGGTGTCACGTACCTGTCCATGGAGAATTTCATCTTCTCTTTGTAGTCTGGGACTGGGCCGTGGATCTCGTCGAGTCGCAGGCCGATTTTCGTGCCGACGTTCCAGCCTAGTGCGCTGCAGATTACGCCTGCGCGGAAGACGTAGAGACCTGTTTTGTCGTCGCGCAGCATGATGGCGAAGTCTTCTGGGACGTTGTTTAGGAGGACGTGTAAGGGGTGGATGTTCTTGAGGATTGTTGTGGTGTGCAAGATACCGTTGTGAAAGATAGTGTTATCGTTGTCTAACTTGAAATATTGCGGGTAACGTGCACATAGGAATTGCAGAACCATCTCCATGAGCTCCTTGCAGGCTAGCTCGGACCCGGGTAGGAATTGCAAGACTGCTTCGCCGTGCTGCGCGAATAGCGCTTGTCGTTGCTTGATGCGCTCCTCGTAGGTATTCTCGAGCTCCAGCCACCAGTCAGGTTCCATCTTCGTGAGTGCTGTCTCCTAGATTAGTAGAGTAAAGTTTTGTATTTCAAAATGACGTACACATCGTTTGGTGGTATGCCCATCGAAAGGGCCTGTAAGGTCGCGGAAGAGCATTTTTGATGTCGAACACTGGGTGTGACTGTGGCAGACGCACCCCACTCAAGGCAGCATAATCGGGAAAGTCACCGAGAGATTTGATATCCTTGATCGAGAACCCACAAGGAGTGTATAGTGAGTCTTTTGCATCTAGATATGACGCTTCCAGCGGAAGCACGTCTGTTTCTGGATCAACCGAATCCACGCCGGTTCCGGACCAAACAGAATGCCGAGATGGTGGAAACGTATCAGAGTATGTGACTGGTATGTCTACTTGTTTCTCGGACAGTGAAAGCGATCGTGGAGGAGTTGTAGAGCCAGAGTATCTGCGCCGGCTTATACGAAATCGTGCTAGAATGATGTTACGCTGACCTTGCTGGCATAGAAGAACCATTGCTGAGCCGGCAATGAATGCTGCACCAAACAGCCATAGCAAGGCATCCATCATCTCGACTTGATCAAGATGAAATGCTCGAGGGGTGACAGTATGACGCAAGTCCCTTGTTTGCCAAGCCAGGCTTGATCTGGAGAGATTCCAAAGTATGTTCGTGTGGACAGAAGATGGAGAATGAATCAAATTGTTCTTGATTGACTATTGTAACATGATATATGAGGAGAGAGGTCGACAGGTCAAGTTGTGGAGGTGAAGGTCAACAGAGAAGAAGGAAACCATTCAGCGCACCTAACATAAGACATACATACCTATATTTATCGGATGAATGGCGAATCGAGACATGCGCCGCACATGCAGCTTGTGAGGGGGTTATCAGAAGATTGAGTGGTCGCTATTTGAGGTTTAGCGGTTACCTCTCAGAGTATAGAAGTCCGAAGTATCTTGGCGCATGCCTGATTGGGCGCGAATCACGCTGTTCATGGGGTACTTGATGCAGTCTTATGGCTATGCATGTTGCGGCAATGTGCGCTCCCCACCACCAGCTCTGTAATTCGTTAGTTTGAGCATCTTCGGTGCTATCACGGCGAGATCCGAGTTGCCGGTATACGCCCTCTGAACCTCTGAAAGTATCGAGTATTATTCCGTAACCAACTTTCTCCATGTGGCAATGAAGTGACCATGGAACGTGAAGCCCATAAATAGGTGCTCATCAGATGTCTGTAACGCATCTTTACTTTGATCTGAAGAGTATCCGGCCATGACAACAGATGTCTATCCTGTGAGGAGTGTCGCCAGTAGCAAGAATTTAGCGGGCCTTACTTTGAGGCGCATGCATGCGTTACAGGGCATATTGACAGGGTCCAGTAGCCAAGATGAACTGATAAGATCTTTTCCGCAGCATCTGCTTGAAGCGCAATGTCCGATATAATCCTACATGTGTGGAGTGAGTGTAGCGCAAGAGAGGTGATGCGATGGTGACGATCTCACGCTTCACACTAATTACGTCAGCGATGCTTTGGCCACCCCAACTCGAACCTTTTCGACAGCTATCCATCACCACCTGTATCTATTCTGTTTCAAGTTGGTCGATGGGAATGTTATTGAACCTCCCAATATCACCAATAACGCCGTTGATACCTAGCTATGAGAGGGCCTCCTTGAGGTGTTCTCTGATAGTATTCTCTCTCACTTGAATGTCTCAGTTTGGATTCCTATGCCCTCTTATGTGTTGCAATTGCAAAGACATAGCTGTTTCTTCTCTCTTTTCTCCTCTATTTTTTGTTCTGTTTCTCCAATTCTTCCTCCAGTCTTTTACACAGTCTGGCTTACATGAATAGACACGACAGACAAGAGCTGCATCAGTCGCGACCAGTCAAAACATGTTCGTTCTAATACGTGAAGTAATAGGCGAACCAAGGTAGGAGTCTGTCGCCACACTCTACTCAAACCACTATCAATATATTGCTCAGCTGAATACGGCCTCAAAACACAGCAGAATATATTACAGATGGTACCGGTGTGTCTTCCTATCCTCTTTCTCTAGCAGGAGCGTTTCCAAACAAGAAGTATTTTGTTTCCGTCTATATATTTCTGCTTACGATTGGGCTTTCGTTAACTGTCGTACAAAGACTCTCATGTTGTCATAGCAACTCCACATGTGTCAATTGAGATTATTTTGTTCTTTCATTTGTCATATCGTTTAGTGAGAGACCTCGTTATATTCTGACTTTCACCCGTGTTTGCCAAGAAACTCTTCTCTGGTGTCCCGCTCTCTCTCGTTATATTTGACCCACAACCTCCACTCTCAATCGACGCAGCCAACCGCACCCACTCTTAGTCAACCAAACAACAATCTAGGCAGCCTTGTTCGACCAGCGGAATGCCTCCAACAACCTCGGCCCCCAAAGACAGCACGCCTGACGCCACGGTCGCAACCGCCAATGTACCCAACGTTGAGGTGCACCAGCCACAAAATACTTTGGACGAAGTTCTCGGACCCATGGTAGACCACGCTCCCGAAGGCCCGGATCAGACACTACCACCTCCGCCTCCATGGCTTGCGGCATATCTAGCCACCGTCGAAGAATTTGCAATTCAACAACCCCAGACGTCGCTGCCGCCCCCTCCTCAAGGATTCGTGGCTGTGCTAGCCTTTATGGGCAACTACTTAGCGCCCCCGAACCAGACGCTGCTACCCGAAGAAGTTGCTGCGTATCTGGCCAACGCCGGCCATCACTCTTTCCCCCCTGTCTTTGCACACCAACCGGTTGCAAATCAGAATTCGACCATGTCTTCGCCCGAGGCCACTACCGCGCAGACACTCAGTGTTGGTTACTCGTCGGTCGCGTCTCCATCTACCACTCAATTCGCCACTACCTCATCACCTGCTGCCCAATCTGATCCGAACCAGAACCTACTTGTCGCAACGAATACAGCGATTCAGCTTCAGAGTGATAACGACGACAACAGCAACTCGGAGGAGTTCACGGCTGCGTTGCCTCACGAAGAACTTCCAAGCCCTTCGATGTCTGAGTTGGCAGACTCGGACATTGGTGAAGATATGCCTGGTTTGGAAGATTTAAACATCGGTGAAGATATGCCCGTTTCTGATCTAACGCAGTATTATTCTATCTTGAATCCGGTTCTAACCAATGGCGGGCCGAACGCTGCATCGAACTACGCAGGACCTTCAGTCTCCTTTCTAGCCGCCTTGAGTGCAGCTGTTGAGCCTACATCTCCCTGGCCAGGATGGCCTTCGCCTATGGCGGTCCCTCCACCTCTTGCCTCGCTCTATGGATCAAGCTGGTTGCGCAATGTTCGCCCTCCCCTCGACGCCGTCGCCTTCGTCAATGCTCTCGAACAGGTCGATATATCCACTATCGCTGCCGACGACATGAAATGTCCGCACTGCTGGCTCCCCTTCGGTACGACTGATGATGATGACCCATCCTACACTTACTCGCCCGACCCTCAAGAAGACCCTGCGGTTTCTGCGCATATGCTTGCGTTTAGAGACCTACCGCATTGTGAGATGGCCAATAACGACCCTGTGAAGACACCATGCGGCCATTTGTTCGGAAAGAGCTGCTTGATTGAGATCCTAGAGAGGATGGACTCCATCTGCCCTATGTGTAGGCAAGATTTGCGTAAGAAGGCTTAGTGGGCCTGGGGTTTGGGGTTTTTCTGGAGTGCGTTTGGGGCGAGATAGAGATCTGACTATATCTCGGCTATCGTACGACGGCTGGTAATGGTGACGGGTAGGCATCGGATTGATCGGCGATTTTGGCATTCCTTTTTCACTTGAAATGCTTTCACGGCGAGCACAATACCCTGCAAAGTCTGCAAGCGACTCATGCGCCTTTGCTTTAGGGTGTTTACGTGGCGGGCTTTTTCCTTGCTCGCGTGATTTGGCACGTGGCGACAGAATCTCATAGAAGAGGTAGATAAAGCCTCAAAATTACATTCTTTGTCCTATGGTGTGTGCTAGTGGTGCATAGACATTTCAAGAGCTTTTGTGTTTTTCGTTGATGCAGTGATATGAGAGTGTGTCCAGCCCTGCATATGCACGAGTTGCGTGGCGGAGCAGAGCTTTTCGAACATACAGACTTGAGGAGGATGCCAGCAGTAGACCAACACAACGAGAGGAGACAATCTGACAAGAATAGATTCTAGTTCATGGAATTTCCCTAATGCCACCACTCCAGACCGTGACCACTATCTTCTCAGCTGCCCAGCAACTCAACACCCCCACACAACCCTGAACCCTTGCACCGGCGCCGCGGGCGGCGAAACATTTGAAAATTCCCAATAGTTCGGCTCGCCTAAACTATCAAACGCCATCCCCATCTGGAACGTCAGTGTCTGATTACACATCGTTTCTCCTATCGCCGCAACACCCCCCACACTCCGCGTTCTCTCTAGTGCTTCTGGATCTCCATTCACCACCCCAAACACATCCTCCCTCTCATTCCCTTCGTACTTATTCCATGTTGCCACGGCGTCTGTATCGTGTTCGACTTGATACACGTTGAACGTCGGATTGGGGCCTTGGATGTGCTGCAGGTCGAGCCGGGGGAGTATGAACTCGAGCCGGCAGGTTGTGTTTGTGGTGTTTGCTGGGAGGCTTTGAAATTGTATGTGTACGGCGACTTCGCCGTCACCGAGCATCTGGCGGCGGAGCATGAAGAAGGTTTTGGCCGAGTGGAGGTGATCGATGTCGTAATCGGGGTAACGCGAGTTCACGACGCTGAGGTCGGAGGGGTAGACGGTTCGACATCCATTGAGAGGGATGCCGGCTAGAGTGGAATTACTGCCGGTGTTTGTGTCGCAGAGCGAGGTAGTGGTATTGCAGATTGTGCTGCTGCTTGGGGTTGTCGTGTTCTCGAGAGGGTAAGGGAAGGCGTAGGTTTGCCGCAGAAAGAGAGTGGCAAGGATTGGAGTGAGTTTGATGAGCATGAGCGTTTGGGTATCGATTGGAACGCTATCGAATTGGTTCTCGCAGGCTCGGAAATGTCGAATCTCTCAATGCGGTGTTGCCAAGTTGACACTCAAATGATCAAGGGGATTATGTAAACAAACAGGTAGAAACGATACTGTGCGATTGAAAGCGAAGTAACAGTCTAAGAGCTTTCGAGATCAATAGGAAGTAGTAGGTGGTGTAGTTTACAGTAGTGTGGAGTTGGTAAGTAGGAGATGTTGATATGACGAAATCTCGTTGTGGTGTTGTATTGCCTTACGTTTCTATCGAAGGAGCGTGTCTTAGTTGATGCAACGACGATGGAACCTGTATGGGGTATTGCGGGTAAATACAAGCTGGTTACAGAAGCAGCGCTCGAGTGACTACAAAGAAACGATACCCAGGTAAGTGCAGCGAGATTTAGTCTCCAGGCCACATCTTCACAGCAGACATACTTTCCGAACTAGTCTTCACAGCCACTGTGTCTGAACACATCAATCGAGGTATCTGTGTGTCGCAAGGGAAAGAACAAACTGACAAACTGATATCAGACTGGACCAATCAGAGCCGCTACAAGCAAAAGACACGAGGAGGTTGAGGAAAAAGCAATCATCGCGCACGTGGAGTTAGATTCATGTCGGGTTACCTTGGAGGATGATCTCGCGCAATATGCATGTCATACACGGTACATCAGACCCAGGATGCTGATAGTTTGCGGAGAACATCGTAGGTGCTGGACACGAGTCAGTTGGATATAAATAGAACAACGGACCGATCTGCATCCTGCATACCTATCTGGTTCGTCAACAAACAACCTGCTTTAGAGGAGTTCTCAAAGCCAATCCTGTGTTTCATCAGAGTCAGTCTAAAGAGGTTATACGCACATTACCTATCTGTGACGACAATTGTGAAACGAATCATCTGCTTAACGTCGCCAAGCAGATCGTTAGCCAATCACATCGAAATCTCAAACAGCTTGCCACTATCTTTTTAGGCACGTGCTGTAAGCGATCCAGTGAGAAGCTGTGCGCAGCTTCTTGCTGGCGATCCCGAAAGTGACACTTAAGCAGGCACACTGCCCCTTCGGCCTTGCCGTCGTCCGTCTCGTTCTTTCAGCCTGCCCAACCATCTCCTAACATCGGCTTTGTGTGTTGAGAAGCCCCTTTGTGCAAAGGCGTAGTTGAATCACGACTCAATGCTTGTGGAAATCGCGCGGTAGCGGCGATGTGTTTTGTGAACGCGACAAGAATAGGACGAAGACGACGATCGAAACGTGGATAGGAAGAAATCTTCAGCCTTATAGGAATCAGAAAGATCACACTCGAAAGCAATCGTTATCGACGAGAGCTATTCATCATGGGTCAAACGGCTCCTGAACAGGAGCGCCACGGCAGGAAGAAGCGCACTCGTTCGTCATCGAAGCCATCCAAAGTACGAACTGCGAAGAAAGTTGTGCGCCCATCGAAGTCTGAAATGAACCTCCGTCCTCAGGATCACCTCCAGCCTGTCCAAGTGGTACCTACTCAGTATCTGCACCCTCAACCGCCAAATCCTGTGCAGTCACCACCACCAGCATATTCTCTCCATCCCATAAGCGTGCCTCAACATCCGATATATGGCGCAGTGCCTCAGCATCCGCATCGTGGGAACTCGTATGGATCTCCGCTTCCTCCGACCGTGCAACCTTACGCCAGCCAGTCCACTGTACGTCTCGCCTCACCTCCGCCTCAAAAAGCTGGCGACGATGGGCTTTTGAAGGGGCAGTTGCACAAGCTAGACCGTAAGGCGAAAAAGTCCTACCAAGATTTGCGACAAGGGGCCGGAAATGGTGCAACAAAATTGACAACCGACTACATCGAGAGACCTACACATGCAATTGCGATGAAGAGCATGCAGGTCCTCTGCCAAGGTGCAGCACTATGCGACATCATCAGCTCAAAGTTCGATGCAGTCATCACTAGTATCGATGACGATAAGTTCAGCGGAAAAGAGCAGGATCTCTTGGTGTACGACGATGCACAGCCACGTCCCTCAACCTCGAACTTGAACTCAGTTCCGGAAACAGGACGGCCAACAAACGATGTGTGTAGAGTGTTAGGCGGCGGCAAAGGCTCAAACCACTTCTCCAAAGTCTGGCTTTACTCGAACTCACGGCTTCCGCCTCACCTACCCCCCTTCAAGGTTTACATACCCACGTATCCCTTGCTCTGCCTAGCAGCAACTTACTCCGATCGCGTCTACACACCTCCGGCCCCAGACTCCGGCGAAACAGAAGCCCACGTCCCCGCCGACTGGCGAACAGGCACAAAAGCCATGGTCCTCAAATCCATACCCATCGACGACATGAACACCGTCGTTTTCGCCATTCGTGGGAGTCAAACGTTCATGGACTGGGCTGTGAACTATAATTCTGCGCCCACACGTCCTGATGGCTTCCTTGACGACTCGTTGAATGTGTGCCACGCGGGTTTTCTCTACGTAGCGCGCAAGATGGTCAAGCCAGTCGCAGAACGTTTACGCGTCCTCTTACAGGAAAACCCATCACGATCAAACTGCAGTTTACTCATTACTGGCCATTCCGCGGGCGGAGCGGTCGCTGCATTGCTTTACGCACATATGATGAGCACGCAGATTGAATCGGATCTCAGTTACCTGACCAGTTTCTTCAAGCGCGTACACTGCGTCACTTTCGGCGCGCCTCCCGTGAGTTTACGTCCGCTGACCAAGTCGACGGATAAGAGACACAGGAAAAGCTTGTTTTACGCGTTTGTCAACGAGGGAGATCCGGTACCGAGGGCGGATAAGAACATGATCAAGAGCTTGTTGAAGCTATACGCGAATCCTGCACCGAGCGGGTCTTGTCTGGGCGCAACGATAACATCGATGTCGAAAATAAATCTATCCCAGTCGCCACCGCCAAAGACGAAATCCAAGCTCAACTATTCGTCCATGTTTTCTAAGTCAAGCAAAACCTCTGCACAAACAGGTGCATCGACACCATCGGTAACGTCAGCAACATCGACGTCAACGGCGCCGGCGTGGCCAATTCCCCCCTGCACGCTCTCGCCGGCAGGTCGACTGGTCATTTTGCGACAGAAGAGTGGTCGCAAATCGGAATTGGACGTTGAGGCCGTAACAGTAGACGATGAGATGTTGAACAAGGTCGTGTACGGCGATCCGCTGAAGCATCAGATGCGCATGTATAAGCAGAGAGTGGACAGTCTTGCTACGATGGCCGTTACTGCAGGAGGTTGCTGAGTTCAGCTGAAATATATATACCCATTGTTTTTGTATAGTTACTCGATTCCTGTTTCTTGAGCAATTGGCGTTTTTAAAACCAATCCACTTTATGTATTTATCAAGGAAATGGGAAACAAAACTTGTCCACTATTTTTTACACCGCCCTCGATACGTACTGCTGGAAGTGGCCTGACCAACGAAGATCTATAGTGGATTGAGAAAGGTGACCAGGGGTGCAAATCAGCAATCTAGGTCTTGAGTCAAGAAGTATGAACTCTATTCATCCTTCGTACGAGTTTGGGCGAGTCCTGAGGTTAAAGCATGGGTAACGTACGATAACGTGTAGACTAGTCGAAGCTTGATCGCTGCCCACTACGAGCATGAGAGTTGAGCGTTTCCATGATAGTAGAGTGGATAGACAAGCAGAGCCGAGGTTCCTGGCATAACAATGGGTGGTTCTTTCCACAAGGGCTTGGAACGGAATTGAACCTCCGTCACTCGATATTTTAGATAGCAGTCAAGCCTCTCAATTTACTGACCAGTTCAGAGTCAGCACACATACTGTGGTATCAGGGAAAAGTGATGTACAGTGGAGACGGTGGCGTAGTGGCTTACAGGGTAAACAACACATACCAATATAGGCAATTAAGCAGATTGTATTCTGTGCGCCTCTACTCGTGTTGTTAAGCATCTCAGTCTGACACCGACGTTGCTTTAGCCATATACATCGCTTTTGCCTGCTACAATAGTAATGATTATTCAGACGGACTTGGACTTCCGAGGGGAACGATTGCTATTTATGCCGACTCGTCTTCGTTGAGTCTTCAAGCGGGTCTGATCAGCATTGGTCTTACCCGAGACGGTCAAGCTGCCGACTACCCCAGTTTCGGCCCCACATATTGGTGGAGCTCATGTCTGTTCGTTCACACAAACACGTCAGGGTAGAGGAGTATTCCAGGCATCTCGTTGCTTACTGATTCTGAGTGAGTCTTTTGCTATCTTTCTCCGTGCGTGAGGAAGATGCATGGTAGCACGAAGCTCGGGTGGGCCCGCAGCAGTAGGGAAACATGTGCGTCCAGTCATGCATTGCATTGCATTGGAATGGTGCAGTGCAAAGTACCTACCTACATGTCTCGAAAGAGGGGGAGGACATGGGTCGTACCTAGTCACTGGACACCTACTAGGGTGGCACCTGGTGGGACGTTGCCGCTACTACGGCAATTGTACAAGTGATGACCCACCCGGGCATGCGGAACAACCTAGGAGCCACGTCTTAAAGCGCGTGGTCGAACGTTGTCGTGTCTGGCGAACTTGTTCCCAAACTCTTTCTACTCTCTTCGTGTACCGACCGCATCGTTGCAATTCGCCCATTGGTAGATAGCAATTCGTAAAGATGGGTGGTTCAATGCCATGGCCACAGGTCCCGGTGGGGAATAAGGATCATACCAGCGCAGCCGTTGTGATCATTGGAGCTGGAATTTCTGGTCAGCTTCGCGTTGAAGACGTCAAACAATGAACGCTGATTTGTAGTAGGAATGTGCATGGCCATTGACCTGATCAAGCGCAACCAATGCCACAACTTCATCATCCTCGAGAAAGGTACAAGTGTGGGAGGAACGTGGCAGTAAGACATTCCACAAGACAGGTTTGGAAGGAAAGTGGCAAGAACTTACCTTAAACAGCGATAACAAATATCCCGGTTGCTGTTGTGACGGTAAGTCTCGGCAATTCACAAAATTAGACGTCAGATGCTTACAAACAACGTAGTCGCCAGTTTGCTGTATTCATACTCCTTTGAACAGAATCCAGACTGGACACGCGCATATCCCGGCCAGGAAGAGCTCCTCGTGCGTCCTCGCCACTTCTTCTTCAATTCTCCCAAACCCAACACTGACACTCGACAGGAATACCTTCAAAATGTTGCCAACAAATACAAACTCCACAAGTACATCCGCTTCAACACGTCCGTCTCATCCGCAACCTGGAACGACACGACTTCACGCTGGACTGTCGATGTGAACGTCACAGGCGGCAAAGCCGCCGAGTTCAGCCCTGCATACAGCATCGACTGCGACTTTCTCATCTCGGCTGTTGGCCAGCTGAACCAGCCGCGGTACCCTGAGATTGAGGGGATCGAGGATTTCCAGGGCAGGATTATGCATTCCGCGCGGTGGGACTGGAGCTATGATCTTCAGGGCAAGAAAGTGGGCATGATTGGAAATGGTACGTGGAGTCTGGATGTTGCATGTTGAAAGATAGAGGATTGACTAACTGAGAATAGGTGCGACGGCGGCACAGATTGCCCCGGCGATTGTCGATGTTACTGAGAAGATGACTGTCTATCAGAGATCGCCTAATTGGGTGATTCCGCGTGGTGATGCGCCAATCTCGGCTTTCCACCGAGCTCTTAGACGTATGTATACATGGTGAACAATAGCAAGACATCCATATGTTGAATTTGGATGTCTTTCTATTAAACACCTTATTCTTTCCACCTCTTGCGCCTCTGCTAATTGCACCAGGCTATCTCCCTCCAGTCCGCTGGCGTGAGCGCAGCCTCATGATGGACTTCCGCGAATCCTTCCACGACGCCGTAACAGCCCCCGACTCAGCTTACGCAGAACTGATCCGCTCAGAGTGCAAACGGATGCTAGGAGAAAACTTCCCCGACGATGCCGAGCTACGGGCCAAACTGACCCCAGACTACAACCCAGGATGCAAGCGCGTCATCATCACCGACGACTTCTACCCAGCCCTCGCGTCGCCCAAGACGACCGTAGAAACCACGGGTATCAAACGCATCACGCCGACAGGCATCGAGATGGAAAATGGCACGCACTACGAGCACGACATCATCGTCCTAGCCACGGGGTTCCGCACCGTCGAATTCCTCTTCCCCATCCACGTGACGGGCACGCAAAACCGCTCGCTATCCGACATCTGGAGCGGCGGCGCAACAGCCCTGTACGGCACCACGGTCCCCTCGCTCCCCAACTTCGGCATGTTCTACGGCCCGAATACAAACCTGGGTCACAACTCCATCATCCTGATGATCGAGGCGCAGTCGCGCTACCTCAACACCATGGTCGGCGCTGTGCTCGATGCGCGCAATCGCGGCGCCAAACTCGGACTTATGCCCAAGCAGTCCAGCACCGATGCGTTCAACGACAAGATTCAGGAGATTCTGAGTAACAGCTCGTTTGGGGATCCCAAGTGTGCGAGTTGGTACAAGAATGAGGCGGGCAAGGTGACGAATAATTGGAGTGGCACCGTCGTCGAATACCAGGAGATGCTGAGTAAAGTCAACTGGGAGGATTTTGAGACCACGGGCGAGGGGGAGGGGAATGTGAGTGCGAGTAAGGTTGTGTTTGGGGGAGGGAAGCGGGAGACGAAGATTGGGAGGGTGACAGAGGAGACGACCGTGAGTACCACGGCGTTGGTGGTGGGGATGGTTAGTGCGACTGTGGGGGCGGTGCTGTATTATCGGGGGCTATTGCCGAAAAGGCTGGGGCTGAGGGGTTGAGTTCGTGATATTGTCTGACGAATTTTGTTGCTTATTGCGTACAAATAGAACTCCTCTACTTTTGTTTTTGCCGTTGATGGATAACCCTTTTGCCGCCTCATCGTGGCTTGTCTTTAGCTCTACCGTGGCTTCGTGCGGCTCCTACGCGGACTTGGCGCTAGCTTCTAGTAATCTTGACGGTTCAGCTCGCTACCACAAAATGTTGAACTTTTCAGAATTGACCAAACGTGAGGCTTAGCTGAACTCAACTACTAAGCCTAAGGCAATTCGGCGACCAGCCAGTTGATAAGCCTTTAGCTATCTTCAGCCACATCTCCGCATTTAAGCTTAATCGTCGTGCTCAACATTCGGTCACCTAGGTATCAAGCGATGCTCGTATGAATCGTTGTTCTTCTTTGCTTTTTTGTGGTACCTGACTCCGGTCCCATCAGCTGGTATAAATCATGAAGGTTGATCCTTGTATGGGATGAATCGTTCGACATTGGCAATGAGGGTGAGAATTAGCTTGAGGTACATATGCGTTGTTTTTGGAAAATGCTTTGCCAGCTGTCGTCGTCACTTTGACCTTAGCAGATGTCTCTTTGGTGGTCCGGGATACTAGAATGTGCTCTTATGGCTGTCCCAGTGACGGAGGATGCGACTATCTTCGAATAGTTCCAATTTAATGAGATCCCTGATCAATTGATCAATTCCACCTTAACCACAATGTGAGTCTTTAGAGAAATGTTGGCCTGCATAGTCGATGATGTCGAGGACCCAATTGAGACAATTTTGGAGGAGAATGGCGTAGCTGTTCGTTGAGGATTTGGATCTTCGGCCCGCACACAGTACCATGGTTCCTCTCTCAGGTGCGCTTTCAGGTACGCGTTGTGCTCCGCTGTTCGTAGTCTGAGAGATCGTACTTCTTTGTCTCTCTCAAAGCTGCGATGCGTAATATCTTGGCCATTGATAAACAGCATCAATAATGACGAACTTTTGCTCTTACTAGGAGGCCATGATAAGTTTCAATTGGAGGATCTCTCCTAACGTTGGCATTTCCAGAGTTGATCGCGATCTGGCTGCGCATACCAGTCTTCCGCGTCACGTGTCCAGCGCATGTCTCTAACGAACTCTCTCCTGCCTCTCGTGATCGAGACCCATTTGGTGGGTAATTTTCTTAAGACCCCAGGGTCCAATTGCGCCTTTACCCGGACACGGCCCAGACTTTGAAACGCCCGTTTAGCGCCCATACTTTATTGCACCGATCGAACTTCCTAGCCACTGTATTGGCACTTGGATCCTGCGGGTGCGAACCTAGTGCATCAAGCAATCAACGGCTGATGCGCAAAATGGTCGAAGCTTTGGGAGTGTCACCGACAGTGGTGCTATAGCTGAACGGCAGGTACGCGCTGCATTTCGGCTCATTGGGATCAGCAATGTAGAACGCGAAAAGAAATGTAGTGACGACGATCAGAAAACAAAGCAAAGGTACAGTACCGATTGACGGGAGAACAAAGAAGACATGGAAACTATCGATTGACGATGAGACCCAAGAAAGTGTTTATGGAGAGACATTCCATGGTTCGGGGCGCCCAAAGGCGCACAAAGAGACAGGTACAGTACCTGATCGTGATACAAGCGAGATGTCGATCCGATAAAAGGACCGTTTTGGTGCTACCACCGGAGCACACGATGGTTCTCCTTACAGCTCGCACAGGCCCTGTGGCCGACATTACAGAAGATTGTCGTGTGACGCGTCTGTTTTTGCGACGATACGGATTGCGGCTGGATAAAGCAACAACACAAGCTTCACATGACGGCGGCGAGGGTAGATTGAATGTCGGCCTCTGACTCGCCGTTGACATTGCTGATGGGTTGGGTTGATTGTTGTAACCGTCACCAGCGATGTTTACCGCCCTGTCAGCTGGAAGGGAGAGGAAGGTTTTGGCGACAGGTACCGAGAACCCTTGCTGCAGTTACATGGATGCCAAGGCCGGCTGCTGCAGGACAGCGTCCCGTGTATGGAGTGGTGAGCAGACAAAGCAAATCCCACGACACCCAATCTAGGCACGTAGTCGCCCACGCATCGTAGAGTTACTTTACTTTGGGGAGAGGCGCCGCCTCCAATTTCTCATGGGCACACCGAGTGTGAGCAGCAAAGGCTAGTCGCGAGTATTTCGAATTGCGGACGCAAAGGGCAGGTGGGAGAGAAGGCGGCCGCGTCTGGACAGTCGACGGCAAGATGAGTTGGGTGCTGGTGAGTTTAGATTCGCCGACAGCCTCTCAAGCTCCAGATGCGCAGCCACCCGTGTCGCTCCTATTATTGGTTCCACCGTCCCACCCCATCCTGCGTGATGTCGAGACCCTGCTAGGGCCGATGCTTCACTCGCTACTGTCGGTGTGGCTGCCATTCGAAACCGGTCCCACTTTCTGAGCCGGGGCGGGCGATCATATACAGCATCACTATCCCATGGTCCGCTGGAATAAACCCGCGGATTTCGGCCAATAGGATCGTGTGGCACAGGTCTGGAGAACATCAAAATCAAAACTCTACACTAAATAAACTCTAACGTGGGGCATAACACCGACTTGCCGATGTAATCCAACTGGCCAATAGCCGGCCCGACATCCGCGGGTTTATTCCAGCGGACCATGGGATAGGTAAGCTCATGTGCCCTTTCCAATCTCCCTTGCATTGCTACAGGCTCTCATCTTCTCGTCACCCACCCTTTTCTGCTGTGACACGGTAGTCCCAGTCCCAGCCACAGCCAGCCTCACCAGGTGGAGCTTCTTCCTACTCAACACAATCATCCACGCGCGACCCGCGCCCTGTCTGGCTGCAACTGTGCAACGTTGTTAGCTGCTATATCACGCGTTTCTCGCCCAAACATATTCCAACAACCTTCACCCATCTCTACGCTTCCCAAATGTCTGCCCTAAAGCAGAAGTTCTCCCTCAACATGGGGCCGACGGTGGGTATCCTCGACATTCGACTGGCCCACTCCAGTAGCTTACTGTACAGCAGAAGACGTCTTCGTCGAAACCAGAGTCGACTCCAAAGGAAACACCACAGCCATCGGCACACTCCCGACATGACTCTAAAGACAATGTGTGCGACTTCTCGCCGTTCATCAACCGTCGGGCACTCACTCTCCAGACGGAGAGGGAGCTGCGCGCAGCATGTGTCCTCGTCCTGCGGAACAACAAGCCCTCGGACCACGGCATGGAAGACACGGATCCCAAGCTGGACTTTAGTGCTCTTTCCCGGCGTGCGGCAGACCGCAGGGCCATAGCGCCTGAGGTTCAGGTCAAAAAGCCAAGTGGAGCGCCAGCGGACATGAAAGACGCCTACGTAAAGGCCAGAGCAAACACGGCGTGGGAAATGGCCGCGAAGACTCAGCCCGCCGCAGCTGCACCTGTACCTGCACCTGTACCTGCACGTGCTAACACCGGCCGGCGGAGAGCCGACTCTGCTAAGACCAAGGCGAACTTTGTCTGGCTGGACGACAGAGATGACAAGCGAACGGCGAAAGCAAAGCAGGCCGCCGCGCTCAAGCTCGCCACGGCGCAAACTCAAGTGGACGCGGATGCCATGGCCACACGACGCAGCAACTCCTTCACATACACATCAACAGCGCCTACGTCAGCAGCGCCTACGTCAGCAGCGCCTACGTCAACAGCTCCGACATCCGGAAGCTCCAATCGGAGATCTCGTCAGCTCGACAACCCTGCAGCTATTGCAGATGCACAAGCGTCTGAGTGGATGCGCCAAGAGCTAGATAAGAGCAAACAGCACCAAGCGTCGCAGCGCCCCTCAACTGCCAATCCTACTCGCACACCTAGCCGTGCGCGCAGTATCAAGGACAATGTCAAGCGAAGTCTGAGTCGTGCTACCTCTCATAGGTCGTTGCGCAAGGCAAGCACCGAAATCGAGCAAGATTCACAAGAAGAGAAACGCCCCGGCTCCTCCAATGCGTGGCGAAGCTGGGGCTTACCGCGCAGGTCAACCTCACGAAGCAACAGTAGACCGGGCACATCTAGGGAGAACGCAAATGAGGAATCGCAGAGAGGTAGACCGGAGGTGGACCTGAACCGAGAATTGCCACGCCTGCCAGGTCTCGACACTTGGAAGGAGCCAGAGGTACCACAGGAAGAAGTGCCGCAGATGCCGACATCACCTACGCATATCGCAAGCTTGATGCGCTCGCACGATGAACAACAGGAGGTCACCTCGCCTGTCTCTCACAAGTACACGAGAGAAAGATTCGACTCGTCGATGATGCCGGATGCGGACGTCCAACCCGAGATCCCCGTCGAGGTTCGTCCAGACACTTCGTACAGCGGAGACACCATCCAAGCCCGCCGTCTTCCAAAGAAGAACACCACTACTGCCAGCCCGGGACACTTGAACCTCATGATGGGTGAATGGGCAACACCTCCCACTATCACTAAACTCGACAAGTCCAACAAAGCCAGTCCCAGTGGCCACGCCCGTCAAATCAGCATGGACAGCGTTTCGTCCCCAAGTACCAACGCAAGCTCCCAATCAGCACGTTCCTCGCGCAACTCGCGCAACATGGGCATGGACGCGCCACAGCCGAAGCCCGCCCCGAAAGAAGAGCAGAAATCCCGACTCAGGCGAGCGCTGAGCGGGTGGATGCTGAAGAAAGAACGTAAAGATAGTCGTGTGCACAAGCCTGAAGGACAAGGTGCCAGGGAGGGTTTCGTGGCTCAGGAGAGTGATGCGATGACTCCCGAGGTGAAGCATTAGTGCACATCACTCGATCGTGCTATTTCTTTTTTTCCTTGTATCAGACAAGTGGTATCGCATTGGGCGTGCCGGTTGCTTCTTCTTTGCTGTTGACTGACCAAAGTCCATTGTATGATGCAGGATCCATCATGACACGGATTAGATCATGATATATGCCCACAACTTGAACCATGGATTGGTTCTGTTCTTCTCCCATCTCAACGATGGTTTCTCAAGTATACCCACTTTCATTTTTCTGTGTATTCTTCTCGTAGACACAGATGAACTTTTTTAGCTTTAGTAATTTGACTTTTATGATCGTTTCGTCGTAGCTGTTATGTGCATGTGCAATGTGTCGCTCCTTCCCTTTCCTGGGCTGTCCGCGGCGACGATTCTTCCATCTCACCTCACTTCATGCCTATAGTTCCACACTCCACCGTCTATTCCGCGCACCGTACTCGTTATCACAACACACACACAATGGATACGTCAGTCGAGCCTTGTTATATCGCTTTCCGGTCGCTGGCGCTGACCTGTCGAGCAGTCTGGCAATTGCTTTCACCTTGACCTTGTCACTTTCACCATCACTATCGCTACGGATTGGGGTGTAGGGGACGTACGGTGAAGCCTAGCAACTTGGCTAGGCTTGAGCTGAGTTATTAGTATCAATCTCACTCTGTACACTCCTATTGTCTTTTTTAGATGGTCTGAAGACAAACCAAGGTCATTCCCGAATTGCGAAACCTCAGTCAGTCTTTCACTAAGATCTAACTTGCGCTTCTACCTCATCGTTTTCTACTCTCGGTCTGCGTTGTTCAACATATCTCCGAGGCTGTTGAAGGCCACGGATCTCACCCTACCAATCTATATACAGGCTCCCGATCCAGCACCCCTACGCCGCCCACCGCAATGTGCAAAGTCATCCAATTCCGCTTCACCTGCCACCACACCCTCCGCTTACGGAAGTCCAGCTGCGGAGGAACCCGGCACAAAACTACACGAAACAGCACAAAAGCAGCATGTAACGCAGATGCATATATCACGAGAACATTATCACACGATTGCGGTGCGTGTCAGCAGAAAGAATGGGACGACACCTGGAAGCGGAAGCTAGAGCGTGCGGAATCATTTGCAAAGACGCTCACTGGGCGAGGCATACCGGGCACGGAAGAAGTGGCAGAGCTGGTGAAGCAGCTCGAGGCCCAGTATGCAGCAGCGGCGTGGGATATGCGGCATGCGTTTGCCCATGCGCATAGACCGAGTGTTGCGCGGGTCGGGATCAGCCATCGTGAGATCGCACTGTCGCCCCTCTCAAGGGAAGTGCGACCTGAGGATGTAGTTGAACGGGTGCAATTCAAGGACTGGGCACATGAGGAGTACGAGTATGATGGTGACTATGTTGCTAGCACTGACCCGATGCATCCGGTTGATAATACGAGTTACTCACACCCTCTGTACTACGACGACGATAGTTGGGTTCTCAATCATCTTACGGCAGAGGAAATACAGGATGAGGGACCGGGTGTCGCGTTTGATTTCGGTGAGAGTACGTGGGGATGGGACGATGATTCGGAAACGCCCACGGCAGGAAGTGAACATGGAAAACGACATGTCGTCCCCATTTCAGTTACATGGGAGGACGACGACGATGAATCGAACAAGCTCACAGTCTTGGGAAACCCCGGGACAGAAATCGTACTCTCTACGGCAGAACTCAACCCCACAGTCGAAGAAATCATAGCCGCGTTCTGGAAAGCAGTCAACACCGACATCTCCCCTCCAGCACTAACTACACAGCCATCTTCCACTCCCGCCACACTACCACCCCAAACCGACGGCCCTTCCGACTCCCCACCACCACCATCACTTTCACTTTCACCACCAAGTCCCAACTCGACGCGCGCCTGGTACGACAAGCAGCGTCAGATCCTTCGAAGACACCGGGAGACGACAGATTTGAGCCGGTACTACAGCGACTGGCTGATGATTTCGCGGTGTGAGATGCGAGATTTTGAAGGGTTGGAGGGGCGGGTGATTCGCGATCCGCCGAGGATGTGTGGGGTGGTGATGAGTGGGAGTGGGTGTGGGCAAATGAATTAGCCAAGGCGTGGGAGGAAGTAGTATCTCGTAAATCTCATTCATCTTGTTCATCATGATTGATGCATGCATGCATGTTTCGCTATATGACTGCCATGCATATCCACCCTATCCATCCCGTGCGCCAGTTCGTGAATTCCATCCTCTGCATGCACGGCACCTCATTCCCATCCATCTAATGAACCCAGCGCCATACTCTGAGCACCACCACAGAACCCAGTGTAACGAACCACGCGATGCAAGCAGCTGCAATAACGCCCGTGACAACTAAAACAAGCAGAGGAGCCAGAATGTAGCAGCCAAGTAGCACGCCCAGCGACGCCAGGCAGCCAATCCACGGGTGCTGAAACTGATCCTCAAAGTCGTATTCGAGGGGCTGATTCCTCAAATCCGCACAGATACGCGACGGACCAGTATTTCTAGCCCCGCGTTAGCCCATCTACCAGCGACACGTTTGTGAGAGATTTGTGTGAGTCGTCAGAAGTTCACCACCTGTTGCCCCCATACGGTTTTGCGAAACCCCCTCGGCCTTGACCGCCGCCCAGGACCGTGTCGAAGAACTCGCCACTGTCACCGCCGCCACCTCCACCACTGTATCCGCCTGACATGCCAATGGGCTGTGTGCGGATCCTGTTCTGTTGCTTGGCGTACTCGACGATGGAACTCTTGCGGCCGAGATCCCTTGCAGCGGAGACGGAGTTTGTGATGGAGGATAGGAGGTTGACGAGCTGCACGTCGGAGGCTTCTTGTTGGGACTCGAGGGTGAAGGCGACGGAGTCGGGGGGTGCGAGAATGTTGAGGCGGGCGAGTGTGGCGGAGACGCTGCGCAGGATGGAGTGGTTTAGTGGGAGGGGATGTGTGGCGTCTGGGGAGGGGCTTAGTGGGAGGGTGGGGTCGGAAAGGTAGGATGGTGGGAGAGAGGAGAGGTAGGCGCGAAGGAGTGAGATGCGGCGGCTGAGCATACGGATGGCGTTTATCCTGGCAGTGAGTGAAGAGATGACTAGGCGGTGTTAGTGGTTATTCCACGACTAGATGCACATGAGGCTGTAGCTTACTCTCGTCGTCTTCTGCTGTTAGGACTGTAGACTCATCAAGGGTGTCGTTCTCCTTGTCTTCCTCCTTTTGTTTCCCTTTTGTCTTCCTCCCTGCAGCTTCGTCAACCTTGGAGGAGCCAGCGTTCGAGGCTGTTGACTCGGCTGAACCCTCAATAGCAGTCGCATTACCACCTCCGCGGGCAACAAAGTCAACGCTGATCATCTCCGCCTCGCCAGTCTCAACGGAATACACCAGCTCCTTGAACTTTATAGATTTTGCCTGGACTGCGCCATCAATGTCCATGGCCTTGTCGTTGGGGTCGGTTGCTGCATTCTCGTAGACGGATTCGTAGAGAGTGAGGGGCAGTTTGCCGGCGGTTGTCGCTTCCGAGAAAGCAGCCTCTGGGTGGAAGAGGAAGAGGATGGGCGATTCGGTGTAGAGCTCTGATATGCGCGCGTGGAGGGGGAGGACGTGGGGTTCTGGGCCTGAGGCGGGGCCGAGCGTGAACCAGCCGACAATGTCGAGCGCTGGCTGCTTGTGGACGTCCTTGACTATCGCGCGTGTTAGATTCGTTTGTTTCTGAACCTTAAACTCTATAACACTAGAGCTCATGGGTAGACTAACAATCTTCTAACCGCTTGCTGAACCACTCGTCATCAAGCGTTACCTCGCCATCGTCGGTGGACTTTAGCTTTGCCTGGAAAGCAACCTCCATTGTGACATCCTGGCCATTTTGCTGACCCAGTATAGCCCCCACTACTGGCCCTGTTTGCTGTCGTAGTGTGTGGCGCGTAATACAGTCTGATATGGTGAGGAGCACGAGCGGATGGAGTTGAACTGTGGGACTTGTATCGGAGGCGCGGGCAGTTGAAATGAGCGGATTTGCTGTAGGTTCCCCCATGTTTGCTGAAAACAGTCGTGTTCTGTGATTGAAGTTGGGGTTCTGGACTAGAGAGAAAGGTGATTGCGAGCTTGGTGGTGGAGTTGAAGCAAGCTGTAGTGGGGAGCTCTTGCTCTCAGGCTACCACATCATTTGCCAAGCCTATTTGCCGCACACGTGCAGACGCGACGCGCGCGACTTCCCCATGGGCAAGCATTGACCCATCAACTTCTATCTCCCAAACTTCCATGCTGGGTGCAACTTCGATCCCTTCAGTCGATGTATGTAGCATAATATCGGCAAACATCATCTACACCTCTCTCGACGGTTTTCTATAAAGTCCAGCAATACATTCTCTATCATGAAAACCCAGTTGACAATTTCTCTCCTTTCGCGTCAACCTCATAGTACATTTGTGCTTTGCATTTCTCGTCTCATCGTATTGATTGCTACGTGAACCAATCACCAATCTTTTCCGTGAACCTAAGTCTATCATCTCTAATATGATCTCCCCAAACTCCAAACGCCTCGCCGATTCCCCGTACCTATTTCCAAGCATCCGCAGAAGAAACACAAACACCCAAGGTACACCATAATGAGGTATTGCACATCCAAAAAAGACACCAGTGCCCAATCAAGCCTCAATAAGAACTTTCAATACCAAATTACCATCCTTGTCGACCGTCTTCCCAGCAGTCTCAAACGCTTCATTCGCGGCTGCAAGGCCCTTGAATCGATGCGTAACCATGTTATCGAGACTGGGTAAGACACCAGAGGATATGATCTTGATGCCAATCGGGTACGTGTTTGCGTAGCGGAAGATACCTATGATATCGACCTCTTTGAGGTGAGATGCCGACATGGGCAGGGTTTGGATCGGAGTGCCCATTCCGACCATTACGAGTTTCCCGCCAGGTCTTGTTGCCTGCCATTTCGTCAGAAGGTGCTGGAATGATGAATTTAGATGAAAGACTCACGTAAAGACCAGCTTGCATGCACACCTCCTTGCCAGTGCAGTCGAACGTCACGTCCGCGCCTTCAAAGTCGACCTCGTTGAACGAGGCGATTTCCATAACGTCTTCAGCCATCTCTCTCGCGGCTGCAAACTTCTCGGCACCCTCATCCAAGTGTTTTCGCGGCGTTACAATGTAGCCTTTATGTGCGAATCCGTTTGAAAGAGCGTAGTCGATCCGCCCATGGTCAACATCGGCAATGACAACAGTCGTGGCGCCGGACATCTTGGCCATGGCAGCAGTCAGCAAGCCAACAGTGCCCGCACCGAAAACAACCGCAGTGTCACCTTGCTCGATACCAGCTCTCCGTGTCGCATGTATGGCCACAGAAAGCGGCTCCAAGAGCGCAGCAGACTCCATAGAAACATGTGATGGAAGTCTGGATAAGGTTGTCAGCTAAGCTCGTTTCTGCCAATGGGTCAGGCAAGACGTACTTGTGGCACCATTTCGCCGGGTGATTGATCCGTTCCTGGAGCGTCCCCTGGAAGTGAGGCACAGACTTTGCGCTACTGCGGAACCTCATGCCAGGGCAGAGGTTGTAGCGACCGCGTTGACATGACCTGCAGTTGTCACACGGTACGCCAACCTCCAGAGCCACGCGCTCGCCAATCTGGAAACCAGTGACATTCTCGCCAACTGCGACCACAATACCTGCAGACTCGTGGCCTAGTGACAGCGGCTGTACGGCTTGCAGATCACCGTTGCGGAACTTGGTATAGTATGAAACATCGCTCCCGCAGACACCAGTGGCTTTGATAGCGATCTGGAGTTCGTGGGGCGCGGGTTCTGACAGGAAACGGGTTTCCTATTCAAGTAATTAGCCTTTGTTATTCCAGGTACCCAATATAAAACTACCCCCACGAACGTGGGCAGTGCGGGATATACAACGCAGCGGGAAGCTTACGAGCCGCAAATCTCTTGGCCCGTGTAAAACGGATGCTGTAATATTCGACGATTTATTAGAATGTCGTGATGAGATTGGATAGATATCTGCCACAGCTGAGGGAGCCATTACGAGAGAAAGTTGGGGTATGGGATGGGGGGATGAATGGACAAATGGTTAGTAGATTTTACCCCACGGCAGCGTGTAGACTGGTTGATATACATGTTGAACAGTGGCCTTTTGCCGGCATTGGTCTGTCATAAGCCGGGGCTGCTTCACGTTCGTTGGTGCATCGACGGCGAGATGGTGAAATCGTAGCCATGATTCGAGGCTTTCGCGTTATCTGTAGCCGCGGATCATTTTCGTAATACAACCAAACATAGAGGTGAGCGAGCATGTTTGCCCAGCAAGATAGGAGGCTTTGTGTAGGCTTTCCTCTATGTCGTTACGCTGTGCAGATGAGGCAAGCTAGATTCCCAGGTGGACCCTTGGACTAGACTCTTGCAATTGGTCTCGAATACTGCGGCCGTATTATTTTGCCGGACAAACAGACCTGTAGCTCCGAGATTCGCATGTGGATGTAGCACTATGTAAGGCAAGTGTCATGGCGGTCTGCAGAGGCCATCTATCAGAAGGGTACCAGGGTTGTGGAACAGCGATAAGGCAGTCCTGGATGTTGTGGAGTATCTGCATTACATGCGTTGGACCTGTAGGCTGTTGATAGCGGTTACGAACGCTTCAATTGTGAGTGTACCCATCAGCCAGATATCGATATGTCTTTTACTAGGTTAGTGTGCCTTTCCTTTGCTTAGCTTCAACCTACCCTTTCCATTCTACTTAACTACTATATCTGTTTTTCTGCGCGGACACTTATAGTAGTCCGGTGTTTGACGTATCTAATTTGTGGTAAACAGCGGCATGCACGACCCACTCAATGACGGTATCTCAACGTGTTTCCGTGGAACGACTCGTATTCAGGCAACCCCTCCGGCGAAACATCTTGACGAATTCGTAGCGTGGCGTTCTAACGCAGCCTCCCAGAGTTACGGAGAATTAGAAAGCGTGGTGAGTGTGCCGTGACGTTGTCAGCCATGCATCACGGCATTGCTACCGATACCGCATACCAAGTGCGTACATCCTGGTCTGGACCATACTGCCGGGACGATAAGGTACAAAACACACGTACGATGTATTGTCGAAGCAGCTCAAGCCAGGAACCCATGCGACAAGAGACGCGGCAGTTGGTATGTGTGGACGGCGAGAAGATAATGTACAACAGCGTTGTCAGAGATGTGTGATATCCCTCCAACCGGATAAATGAAGGTTGATAGCTGTTGTCATCGCTGATGATCAGGGGAGAAGATACTGCGAGTCTCGCGTAGCCTCTCGTGGAACCATGCATCCTGCCGGGAAGGAGGCCAAGGAACACATGTTATTGGCAAGAGATACCCTCGTTTACCAATCAGTCCTCCAGGTTGTAGGAACTGGCTGCTCATTCGTCTGTTTGAAGCAAGTCGTTACGGATTGCGAGAGCGGGACGGATGGTATGGACAAAAGCGAACGCGAGAGTGAGGCTGCACGCGAGAGCACGGGTGTTGCTTTGAGCACGCCGTTAGAAATAGTCCAGCCACCAACATCTACCGTTTCAACCTCGAGCCAACTTCCACGAGAAACAGTGGAATGCTCGCGAGCTGCTCTAAACGACGTTGAGATTGCATCGCCGCAGCGGTAAGCTTCTAGTCCATTGCCGTGAAGACAGCTGTGACCTAGATGATCATGCTACACTTTCAGCTATCGGAGGCGGTCTACGCAAGCAAGGGATCCCGTCCCATCCCATCCGAATGAAGCACCGGAGATCGTCCTCCGCAGCGACTTATACAGCAATTCATACAGCAAGACCGACTCGTTTTGATTATGCCGAAGGAGAGGCATGTGTTTGTGGCTGGACTTGAGACGCTCACCCAAGATCCCAGTTCATTTCAGATAATTAGAATTGACATCAAATTCCAGCGCCTACATTCTACCTACAGCATTTCCCAGTATACCACTCACTTCCCAGGCCATCCGTCCCACCTCAATGAACAACACACCGCCACGAGAAGGCATGGCCGAGTCTCTCCACCAACGCCTGCTCATGCTGGACCCCTCATCACGCGAGCCTCGGTAGTGGGGCAAGCAGTGGGATCTCCACCACAGCACAACACATGTCAAAGGAGCTATGCCATTGACCTGAATTTTCTCGTCTCAACCCCATCTCTTTACTGAGACCATTGACTTTACCACTGTTTGCTTATATACTGCATCAAAAATGACTGTCGAGCCAATTAACCCCGGAAACGATGCGCGCGTGCAGCACAAAACCGCGGTGCTGAACGGACAGACGTATCAGTACCTGTATGCAGTGCCCAAGTCTGGAGAATGGAGGGATACTGTGTTTCTGGTATGTATGCTTCCACAAGATAGTCGCGAGATCAATCAATCAATCAATCATACGGAATCACATACACACAATATAGCCTTAACCTCAACTCCTAAGCCTCATCAAGTATAATATCCAGCTCACAGCACGACTAACAATCCCAGATCCACGGATGGCCCGACCTCTCAATGGGCTGGCGATACCAGATCCCCTTCCTCGTGGACCTAGGGTTCCGCGTCGTAGCGCCCGACATGATGGGCTACGGCGGCACGGTATGCACCACATCCCCCCAATCCCTCGAAAAGACGAACAAAGTAAGCTAAGTGAACACTTCCACAAACAGGACGCGCCCCAAGCGCCCCCAAACCCAATAAACCTCTACGGCCTCAAGCGCGCCTCAGACGACATCGCCGCCCTAGCAAAAGAAGTAGACGCCCCGACCATCATCCTAGGCGGCCATGACTGGTACATACATCCCCCACCCACTTAATCCCACTGCATGCGGAAAAGCTAACTTCTGCTTCAAAAGGGGAGGTTTCGTAATCTGGCGCGCAGCCGCCTACCACCCCAAGCTCATCACACACATCTTCTCCGTGTGCACGCCCTACTCCGCGCCCAGCGAGCAGTACATCTCGACCGAAGACCTGGTCAAGGGCCCGCTGCCGCAGTTCGCATATCAGCTGCATTTGGCGTCGGGTGAGGTGGAGAAGAGCGTACGTGATGAGACGTCGATACGGCAGTTTCTCAAGGGCATGTATGGGGCGCGGGGACCGGGCGGGGAGGTCGTGTTTGATCCTGCGAAGGGGGTGGTGGGGGAGAATCTGCCGCTTGTGGGGGAGAGTCGGCTTTTGGGCGGGGAGGTGAGTTTATTGACGAGAAGGGGGAGATGTGGGCTAATGCGTCGACACAGGTCCTCGAATACTATGTTGCGCAATATGTGCGTCACGGCATACATCCCACCTGTTCGTCCCCCCCTCCCCTTCTATCCCTTATTCAGCATGTCAGTCCGCTAACCCCAAGCCCGATAATAGTAAACTGGTACCGCACGCGCCACGCAAACTGGGAAGAAGACAAATCCCTCCTCGACAAAAAGACAATCAACCAACCCACCCTCTTCATCCAGGCCACGCAGGACTCGGTGCTCAAGCCCGAGATGTCGCGCGGCATGGAGGCGCTGGTGCCGCAGCTGACGCGGGGCGAGGTCGCCGCGTCGCATTGGGCGCTGACGCAGACGCCTGCGGAGGTTAATGAGATTTTGGGGAAGTGGTTGGAGGGGCAGGGGTTGGTGGGCGAGGGGAAGGCTGGGAAGAGTAGTTTGTAGGTTGTGTAGGAGATGTCTGGTTTTAGGGGGTTGAGATTGAGACGGAAATGCTGCCTGTGGTATTGGTGGATACATGGACTGAGATCGCTCTTGCGTGTCAAAAAAGCCAATGGGCTGACTACCGTGGGTGTACGTAGAGACGGGAAACTTTCAATAGATGACTGTATCCTCTGTGGCCTCGACGATTTCTTCGCCCATCTCATCGATGGTATCTTGTGTGATGGCATCGACAGCAGCGTTGTGAGTTTGTAAACTGCTCTGCTGGGGTTCAGCAGCATGTCCCTCCATCACCACATCATCCGCAGGAGTTTCTGCATGGTGGTCGTCTTTCATGTCATCGTCCTCTGGAGGCGCGCCATTGCCGTTCGCGCCTCGATTGCTCGCAAGTAGGTGTTCGGAAGCGTCTATGTCGTCTCTCTTGTCCGTGTCCATGGCATGTCCGTTCTCCACACCACCACGAGAGGCACGCCGTTCGCGCTGGGTTTCTTGTGCCTGACGAGCCTCGTAGTCCTCTGTTTCTCGTCTGACAGTCTCGTGTGCGTCGGCAATCTGGTCATGGATACGGTCATCTTCTTCGGCGGTCGTCTCCCATGGTTTGTAGTGCTGTGATGCGTCAGCCTGGGCCCTCCATTCCTCGCAGAACACTCCAACGCACCAGTCGCGGCTCCGTCTCCGTCCAGAGGAAGTGCGCCATGCTAACCAGACTCTCGTGCCGTATTCGCATCTACACAACATCAGCATTTGTCCAATACAACACAACACAACCGTCATACCGCATCCCGTTCAAAACGCTGGTGTTCCCTCCACCGCTGCGCCTTGCGCCTAGCCGCGCGCTCCGCCTTCCTCTGCTCGCTCTCCTCCTCGTCGAGCTTGCGCTGCGTCAGCTGCCGCTTCTCGATCTCTGAGCGGCGTTTCTGCGCGGCCGTTGCTGAGTTCTGGGATAGTGCGCCTAGGGCTGCGCCGAATAGTCTGCGCTCTCTGCCTCGCTCGCGGCGCACGGGGACGGGTGCTTTGGGCTCTTTGGTTGGGTTTTGGCGGTCGGCAGGGGCATCGTCGATGGTGAGTCGCGGGCGCTTTGTGGCGTCGTCGGAGGTGGAGGATTGGCGGCGTTTGTGTGCGGTGGTGGTGAGCGGCGAGGCTGCGGGCGGTGGTGAGGGTTCTGGGTCGGGGATGACGACGGCGGATGCGATGGGGCCTTCCATGGCTCGTGTCGAGGAATCGATAGTTCCTGCTGTGTTGTAGCGTTGGTGATGTGTGACGCGTTGTGCTTCTTCAAGGGAGCTCTCACGCTGATAGCTGTCGCACGGGGCAGGTTCAGCCGAGGATCTCCCAGCGGAGGTCCGCAGCTCTGACTAGCTTTCCGTTCCTTTCACTTGCGCCTCTTCTCTTCCCCAACCTCACTCCGCAACACTCCAACTAGCGATATCGCCTCCGTCGCCTGGCATACCGACTACACGCACCTCTACGAACGCTCGAAATCCCACAAAAGCCCCCGAGTAAACCCAACCACCCACCCCAACCATGTCCCGCCATCATCCGTACGCCCTCCCCTCCCTCTTCCAAACCCCCCACTGACTTCCCCTCAGCGACCTAGTAATGTGCCGCAAGCAAGCCGGCATCTCCATCGGCCGGCTGTGCGACAAATGCGACGGCAAATGCCCCGTGTGCGACTCGTACGTGCGGCCCACGACGCTCGCCCGCATCTGCGACGAGTGCTCCTTCGGCAACTACCAGAACAAATGCGTCGTGTGCGGCGGCGAGGGCATCTCGGACGCGTTTTACTGCTTCGAGTGTACGCGCCTCGAGAAAGATAGAGATGGGTGTCCGAAGATTATTAATTTGGGGAGTTCGAGGACGGATTTGTTCTACCAGAAGAAGAATTTTAGGAATCATTAGGGGGGGTGTGGATGAATGGATGGGTGGATAGGAGAATACTGGGGAGATGGGTGGGGGGTGTGGACGTCGAAAAGACACGATAAGAGTCGCATCTAGCAAGGCGTTTCAGGAAATTATGCATGATATGGGAGTTCTTGGGTTCAGAAAAGATTCCAGGCTGGCTGGCTGGCGATTTTACCGTAGTTATTCAGACTCCAAATGGTACATTTGTGCTATTTTCTCAGACAATGAATGCTTCCACTGACCAGCACACAACTTAAACAAGCACATGCTATTCTAACTGACTAACGTATAGCCCAACGTCCAAAAAATAGGGCTGAACATGCCTCGTCAATACGAGAAGAATTCCAATGCATATCCGACTTCCATATGCACATACTCCCACGAAAACAACCTCTACAGCAACACCAACACCAATCAATACGTAACCCGATACTCAGGCGGAACAAACTCCAGTCCCAACCCCTCAAAAACCACCTTCTCAGCATCTTCCGGCGTCCCACTCACGCCCTCTGGCCCCTCAAGCACAACAACCTCGCCATCACCTCTACTCCGAACCCCACTACTATCGAACTTCCATTCCTTGACCGCCTTCGCATACCGGCGCAGATCACGCTGGAACGTGGTCCCGCCACTCCAGCCCAAGACGGCACAGCCCACAGTCCGCCACGGAGCGACGATGATGTCGACGCGGCGGTGTATATTCGGATTCTTTTTATCCGCATCTTCATGTCGACCCGGCCATGTGGGGTCCTGCCAAACGACGAGCGCCTTGTCCAGCGTGTCGAAGCCCGCTCCGGCACCTTTTGCAGAGCGGAAAGGCAGGGTTTGCTGACCGCGATGCGTGTTCTTCAAGCTCATGGTCAGCGTATGTGTGATCCACTCTGTCTGTTCCAGGGACTCGACAATCTCCTTGACAAGCCCTGCTGTGCATTCCAAGTCGGGGTGCGAAACGATCAGGTCCACGTCCCCGGATGCAGCTTTGCCGCGCCGGTAACCACCCACGATGGTGACTGTGATGCGTTCGTCGCGCAGGCGGACCGCGTGTTCGCGAACGACGGAGGCGATATGCTCGACTTCTGGGCGCGGGATCGGGACGAGGAATTCGTCGTAGTATTTGACGCCGATCTGCTGCACTCTGTCGAGATCGTTCCAGCCGAACTCGATGATGTCGTCGAGGTCAGTCCAGTGGTTTTGGTAGTAGAAATGGCGCGCTGTCTTCGCGCCGACGCCCCAGATGTCATAGAAAGAGCGTAGGATCTTCATTGCTTCGTCGTTTTCAAAGTCCTCGACGGCTTGGATTTTGCCCGTGTTCTTCCACTCGACGAATAGGACTGCACTCTTTTCATCGCATCCTGGTAGTTGGGCCAGTTCACGGGGGTGGCTGAGCTTATGTGGATATGCTGCAATGGCGGCGATGATGGAAGAGTACGCGCGGACGCCGACATCGTCGTCGATGAGTGTTCTGGCGGTGCGGATCTTCTTGAGCTGTTCGATGAAGTCTTCGTTAGGTCCGTTGGCTGGTGTGAAGCGTTGGCATGAGTACTTGAGGTTCTTCTTGACCCAGTCAGGCGGCTGGGGTGTATCACTATCCACACCTTCGTACTCGCTCGTCGTCTTCTGTAGCAAATGGGCTGTTTGTGCGGCGAATGACGGGATAGCCGGCTGTGTAGACGATGCAAAAGTTTTGCCTTCGAAGCGGCGTGAGGCGTGGTTTCCAAAGCGTTGGGGCTTGTACTTCGATGTCGGCGCAGCTGTAGACGCGTCTGACTTCGCCCTGTCCAAAATATTCTGCGCAGGAAGCGGACGTGTGGCCGTCTGAGTCTGGGTGACCGGCACTGTTTTGGCTACCGCAGAAAAGATAGCCTTGATGGATTTTGTGTTCTTAGACTTTGGACGTTCCAGCACTCGAGCTTTGTAGACTAGGTTATCACCTAGGGGAACCAAGTGGCCCTCCGATACACAAGTCTCTATCCAATTGAGCTTGATCACCCAAACGATGTCATCCTCTGTTCGATCCTCGAAGACGTCCAGCAAAGAAGTAAATTCGGCGTCAGATGTTGGAGACGAAGACACGACCCGACCCTGTCTCCCAGCGAGCGCTTCATTTTCGATCTCTGTGCCTTCTACATCCTCGTCTTCAGTTTCCGAGTCCCCCTCTTGCGCCAGTGTAGATCCCAAAACTCTACCAGAAACCCGCCTTCTCTTGTTCGGAGGACCGCTCGTCTTTACTGGACTTGCTGGTCGTTTGGGCGTGACGATCTCCCCAATTCTCAGCTTGCGGGATCTCAGCTCAAACTCCGCTCGTCTCTTCGTCCCAACTTTGCCGATGAACACTTTCGCTCTCGAGACGTCCGTGGTGAGTGGCGCATTGAATCTGTGCAATGTTTCTTTAAGCTGCCGTTCCTCGTCGTCCTTTAGATGCGCTGTTAAGATTGCGATTGGTGGGATAGTGCTGAGATCGAGGCCGGGACGTGAAATCATTGAGGTCGGTGAACGAGGCGATGCGCGTGTTGTATGGAAGGAACTGTTTGTATCAACCATCCCTGGCAAAGCGGTTATAGTGAGCCAAAAACTGCAAGCAATGTCGTCTTCAAGATATATCCAAAAACCGAGTTCTGTGTCTTCGAGGATGATGAATATCTGAACGGTAAAGCATTGTACAAAGCACCAAAATCATGCGAGATCATCCAGAGTGGCTGTGAAGAGAATCAATAGTCTTTGTTCGTATCGTAGCAACATATGACGTTACCGCGAAGTGGAAGGCTGGAAGTCGCGTCCCACACACGCGAGCGCGTTTCTACAGACTTGGCGAGACCCTTGATTATGTAACATGACGTGGCTTGACAGTTCGTCTGACAGCGGCTCCGTCTCGCTTGGCTCCTTCTAGATTTGGAGTCCTCGTTTCATATACGTAGACAGGTGTCGCGTTCTTGGATGCATGGGGTACGTTGCATCCACCAATACGTGAATACATACACACGAAATGTGGCCTTCTGACCTCTTTCTCGCCTTCAACATCGTTCTCAATTGTATCTTGTACTTCAATATCCAGCCCGCGCCACCCTGCATTGTACACCCGTCAAGACTCTGGTACAAGTGACAAATTTCGCCTCGTAAGCGGCGTCAACAGGCATTAGCCCCAGGTCCAAACGATCGGGGCTTACATAGCGCGAACATGGACAATGTTTCTCCTTTGGCCGATCGCGTTTCAGATTTAAAGCAACGATGAAAGGTGTCGGGTATATAAACGGCGGCGGACCGCTGCAATCAAACGCTCGGCTCCCCAATTCCCCGTCTCCCCCAGTGCTTTGCTCCAACAGGCAGGTGGATACTGCGTATCGTGCCGTAGTGTGAATACATTCTTTTACCTTCTTATCGACTGCTAGCCTTTCGCTCTTTTCACTCATCTTTTTGCGTTCGCTGTTCTGGCAACATCGTTCACTCTCTCTCCACATAGGTTCTGAGAACCCGACCAAAATATTTTATCAATCCGACTATCACCACCAATTCGTCAATCAAGCACCTCGCCAAACATAAAATGCGCTCCTTCATCATGCTGGCCATAATGGCCATGGTCGTCTTCGTCACCGCAGTCCCTCTCCCACCCGGTGTACCCAAATGGCAAAAGCGCACCGAACTCATCACACCCGCCGCACCCCGATGGCAAAAGCGCGCTGAGCAATTCCGCCTCCAAGGCCTGCGAGAAGTACGACTTCAACCTCAGCCATTGACAAAATACCGCCGACTAACCGACCTAGTTTGAAATCGCCGAACGCCTCATGAGCCCATCCACAGAAGACTCCGACTCCACGGACCAAGAACCCTACCTAACACACCTGAACCATCGTCTGCACTCACTTTTACCTTCGCATTCTCATGATCGCTCCGGGGATATCGCGCCTGGCTCTCTGGACTCACCGCGCATGCTCCCGAACGCTCCATTGGAGGAATCGTCTGTCGAGTCATTGTTCGACAGGATCTGTGCGTTTCTTCATGGAGAAAATCGCGAGAAGAGCGGGTTTGGGTACGAAGGGAAGGAGCTCGAGATGCGGAGGCCGACGGGATCGAGGCGCTGGTGATCGTTGGACGAGTAGCGGTCGTTTTGATAAAATAGATTAAATGCTGACGTTGGAGATGTGTGTATCCCTACTGATTCGGGAGCGGGACGTGCATCCGGATAATGTGAGCCTGCTGGATTCACTTCCGGGATTCGGCAATTATTTCCAATGATGTAATGTTGGTTGATTGGTGAACTATCTGTCGAACTCTCACCCACCCATCCATATCCACTAATCTGATGTCAGTCAAGAAGTCTAGAAAATCCGTCAACGCCTTGAGTATCCCAGAATGTCTACTAGTATCAGAGCGCCGTCTGAAATCACAGCCCAAAAGATTGAAATGATCGCGAAAAACAACAACGACATGCTCAGCGGTTAAACGCCCATAGTGAAGTCGTGCTCAATACCAGGCGTGACACTGTCATGTGTTAGCATAGATAAGAGTCACGGGATTGGTCGAGGCTCACCTGGCCATGAACTTCAGGAAAACGACGAGATACTGGTCCACCCTGATAGCAACCTCGTCGTCTCCACCCTCGCTCAGCACTTCCCAGTCATCTTTCCCGTCATCTCCGTCTTTGCTCTTCGCGTGCTCAGTAAGCTTCAGCAGTCTGGTGTCGTCCACGAGACCCTCCATGCCGCTATCAAGCTTGCTGACGTCCTTGCCTGCCTTGAGCTTGGCGAGTCGTAGTTTCAAGGCTGCATCTGCGCGGTCCAGCAGCACTTTCATGACGGAGGCGTGTTTGCAAGGATGTACTGAGGCGGTCTTCAGAGCGTGGTCGAAGAATGGAAAGTCTTCGATCGTGACTGTCTTGTCTTTATAGTCTCCAACGATATCTTCCATCATCTCTTGGGGCTTGAGTGGTACGGACGTGGAACCGTAACCGGAGAGATATAGTCGCGGTGTGCGATAATGGGCCGAGTAGCAGATGTAGAGTGTGTATGTTCGTAGGGGACTAGATTGGGTTAGCATTTCTCTCTCCAGGCAACACTATCGGCTTTGCGACAATGCAAAGTATGAGGGAGGAACTCACGCTGAGGTGTTGGAACCACCCTGGGGATCTCTTATGATCGCCTCCTCGTCGTCTTCGTCATCCTCCATATCAGGTATCTCGTCCTCTTCCTCAGCCGCGCCCAGGTTCCCACTCTCGTCAACTGTCCGTACGTCGCGAACCTTTGCCTCTTGACTTGCTGCCATACCGCCAGTCCTCAGCCAGCCATCGTCGTCTGTCGCGCCTTCACCAGCAGCAAAGCCATCCCTAACTATTGTTTCATCCTGGCCGGCCTCTCCCGCAAAGTTGTCGTCAAGTCGGCGATGGCAGGGGACACCGCGAGTCACAAGGAACTGTTTCCCTTCAGGCAGATACGGTGCGCGCTTCGAGGGCGATGAGGCATCCGCCCACTGCCACGAGGGGAACTTGAAGACCAGGAAGTCTCCGGCGAGGACAAACTCCTCTGGCGTTATCTGGCCGGTCTCGCGGAACGTCGACGTGTGGCTGATAGCAGCGGTTCGCTCCCGGAACGTGTCTATGTAGGATCGAACGAAGTTGTATGCCATGTTGGTATGTAGTGCTGAGAGTGTTTGCTTGGTTTGGTGTATTCGCGTTTTGCAGATGTACCGTTGTTGTTGTCGAGTTGCTACCTAGTTGGGAGGCACCTTGGAGGGGGCGGGGTTCACGCTAACATCGATATTGAGACCGTGTGACAGGCGCGACAAGCAACGTCATGCCTCTCCTTCACTCACACTCCCCATGCACATCACGCGGTGTACCTGACAATCACCGTCTCATTTCGCTCATCACGGTGTACTCAGTCACGTCTCTTCTTTAACGTCATCTCTGAGACATGGTCGCAAACCTAGGGTTGCCTATCTTGGATATTTCCAAGGCTACCAAAACCGATCAGAAACTGGAGCTGCTCGATCAGCTTCATAACGCTCTGTTCAATGTATGATTTCTCCACATCACAAACCATGATGTTGCACCGCATGTCATATCGAATCTCGTCGAGCTGCTCCCGACTCTGTTTGATCAACCGCCTCACACCAAGGCCTCTCTGCCCAAACTGAAATCACCTCACTTTCTGGGATACAGTGGGTATGCCGAAGAAACGACCCTTGGCGTGAAAGATCTACGCGAGCAGTTCGATCTCGCTACGGAGCTGCTGGTCATTCACGACGCGTCTGCACATTTTGCTGAAAACGGGGTGATGTCCGGGCCGAGTCGAGATCTCTCGAAGCCGGACTGGCGCGTTCGTGGCCCGAATCAATGACCTTCTGAGCAATCAGTTCCTGGGTTTCGCAAAGCTTACACAGAGTTAGGCTGCTTACTTACTCGTAAAGTCTAGAAGAACCACTAGCAAACGTGCCCAAGGTACCACGATGCTCTTCAGAAACTACCGTATCGCTTCGTGCATCTCGTCGAAGAAGCGTTTGGTATACCTGTCGGCACATTCGATGCGTTCTTTCCTCGGCACGCTGGAATGCACTTGTGCCCTCAACATCGTATTAAATTGGCCCACTAACCCCTGCTTCGTCGTTGGGAGACAACATACATGGGCAGGGAGTGGGGGCTTACAAAGACTCAAGTGGATGGCTCACCCTCCTATACCAAGTAGGCATCGAAGGCCATGAGGTGCTTGATACTACAAGTGCCCGGATTGCTGGTCCATCCATCATAGATACGCTCGTGGTCAAGTTTGGCAACGCTTTCGAGGCTGCCACTGAAGGTGCAGTAAAGGCTACAACCCATCTTGTCCGTACCCCAAGCTCCACTTCTAACCCGCTATACTCTATCCCATTCTTCCAAGGACTTCCACTTGACCTGTCTGTTTTCGAGATTCGGACCTACATTCCTAGAAGGTTCGCTGTGTCGAGCTTCGATCTCTGGCAGAGATGTCCACGCGGATAACAGCGTTTCGTCCTTTCTAGACTTTTGATGAAACAGACTCGGCGAGTCGCAGCTTCGAAAACGGATTCGAAGTCACGAAGATATCGGTAGGAAGTGATACGGGAACGAGCTAGAGCAGTACTACTTGAGGTAGCTCTGCCAATTGCAGCATCTCCTTACTATGGAAGCGACTACGGAAGTGTATTTCCGACACCAGGTCTTAGTCAAAAAGTAAGTCTTCCTCGCATACTAAGTCGGTATTTCCCTTCTCAACTCTCTTCAAAACAATACCTCCTTTAGAACCGGTGTTCTACTTGTCAATTTGAAACGCCTGTGTGGAAACAATCTCATTTGAATTGCTGAAGTGGCAATTCAATCCGTTCATATGCTGGGTTCGAAAACTGCTCACGCGTACAAATTTTTCTATACTCGATTCAGCAAACCTCGCATTCTGTCGCACCAACTGCAAGGAATGGTGTTGTTTCACGCTCTCGTACGTTACAGGGCTAATCCTAGCAACTTTTTTCAAACACATGGCACTTCACAGTCATCTTCGGATTTTGCATCCATTTCCAAGTTGTTGTCAGGAGCAAAGGTCGTCAGTCTATATCGAGCGCGCCAGAAAACAAGCAATGGCATGACAGTGGCGTGCTTAGTGTCGGATTCGATTACATTTCGAACGGTGTACAAGCCTCATGCAGGTTCCCGCCGTTACGCTCATGCAAGGCAGACTATCAGTACTTTGATAGTTATCTTGACAGCGACCAGGAACCACACTGATCTGACGGGCGCTTACAGTAGACGTGGATTCGACCCACAATTTCTCCAGACGTTTATGCACCATCGGAAATTAACATGCCGTACAGCTTTGGTTCCGAGTAGAAATCGGCCCAGCCCTGTAAACGCACGCATGTAGGAGATCACGATATGTCGTAAAGAAGCAGGGACACCATACGGCAAGCTTCGTGGACCACATAGGCGCTGTCTTCTTGAATATTTTCGAACTTACAACAGATGTCGTGTGCCTACATTCTGGAGAAAGATACTGTACCACTTCCATGACCGTCAAGGTGCGTTCTTTCTCTTTAAATTTCCGCAGCGCGCACTCCTATACACGTCATCGAGGATGAGCTCCCAATCATGCTGAAGTGACTGTTCGCCAGGCTTGCATCATCTAAGGTTGTGCCTCCTTGGACAACCCATTCGCCATTCGCTAGACCCATGTCCATGCACGTGGTGAGTAAGATTTCTGCAAAGGAAAACTATTACGGTAAGTACCCAGCATCCGTATCAAAATCACGATCCCCAAGGATACACAGCGTTGGTTTAGACGTCTTGACAGCAGTCACAAAACTCACCGAAAACTGTAACGTCGGTTAGGTGACCGGCCCGATTACTGAATGCTAATCAGTGCTTCCGTATCGAGTCTCTCAGAATGGAGAACTATGAGACGATATCATCGAGATCAGTCGTTAGAGGGTTTTTCTGATTCTTATAAAATGGTGGTATAATTGTCTCGAACATGTTAATCTTCCTTCGCAGAACCACCACGACAACAGCCACTGCTCAACTATCAGGTCTATATTCATCGAAATTCGAGTTGACACATCCGCCAGCAACCACCGAATTCCTTCTGGTCTTCTCAGCACGCGGACTGCCCACCAACACATCGAATGGCAGACTCCAGACCCATCGATGGCGAATCCCAACCGCGCTGCGGAGGTCAACATGTCGAAGATTCGTCCGTTGAGTGTCAGGTATATGTCGTATCGACACCACCTGAATTGTCCTGACTGACTTGCCTCACGTCAGAAGGGATCATACCAACCTGCCGCGCAAGCCCAAGCAACGATAGACAGTACTACCACCTGGATCCCGACTATGACTGACGACACATGCTCAGTGCCTGCAGCATTGACGCGTTGGCTGGAGGAGAAAAAGAGAGACGCGCCTTGGTCGCCTGAGACTAGTTCTTGATTCTATTCTCATTCTTACTCTTGAACTCCCCATCCTACTTTCGTATCATGTAGTCTGCCTTCCCACTTTTCTCTCACAGTCCCTTTCGTACAGTATGCATGGGCGGTATCTGATACCCTAGACGCGTTTCCTTCCAAACTCCAACTTCTTACTCACTCATCCACTCACTCACTGTACCTCGCTACCCGAACCAGGTCACTGCCACTCATCTCAGAGCAGATAGTGTCTCTTTACGTACATCTTTCTGCGTTTACTTTCCTCACAAGACATGACATGAACAATGAATACAAAGACTCGACACGAAATTCTCCACGTTACGTCACTGCACAGTCTTTCCATCCATGACATCTCACACTATGATAATACGCAGAACACAACACTAATCCCGCACACGATCATACCGCAAAGACTTCGGCAAGCCTATATATCTCTTCCCTCCCTTCTGATTCTCGCGTTAAGACTACACATGGAAGTTGATTTACCCCTGTGAGAAATGGGCAGAAGTAGACATTTCACGCCTTGCCTCGTTATTCGGGAGGGTTGGAGATGCCATGTAGATAGTGGTTAGGTTAAGTGTGATACAATGGCATGTATTTGTGCTGAGGATGTATACTATCTCAAACTTTGGAATAACGGGTAGAAGAATAGTGTGATTGTGATGCATTATCAAGAACGTTGACATTCAGGTATACAGATCTCATTTCCGCATGTGTTTTACTCAAAGAGGTAGTAGAAGCCATTAAAGTCTCGACCATGTACACACCACACCCTCCACAGCTATCCACTAGCCACAAAGTTCGCCACATAAAAGAAAAAGCTGAACTACTACTCCCCCAGCCTAAAGTCTACTCCCCCCCCTCCCCCCACCCCTCCACCCAGACAACGTCGCCCCGCCATCAATCTCAATCGCATTCCCAGCCATATGCGCCGCGCCCTTACTCGCAAGGAACAGCACCAGCCCGCCGAAATCACTCGGCGTGCCAATCCGGCCCGTGGGCTGACCCTGCACAAGAGCGTCGGCAAACTTCTCAAGCCCGAAGTTCGTCATGCGCGAGGGGAAGACGCCCGGGCAGATGACGTTGACCATGATGTGTTTGGGCGCGAGTTTGGACGCGGTGGTTTTGGTCAGGTGGATGGTTGCTGCTTTTGAGGGGCCGTCTTGAGGAGGTTATCAGCAAAGTAAACCCGGAGATTGTGAATAGGAGATGGGAGGTAGACTGACAGCTAAACGTCCCAGTCCCGGGCCTAGACAACCCCCCACCCTCCCCCGTCGTAACATCCCCCGTCTGGATCCCCGCCATACTAGCTATATTCACCACTCTCCCCGGATCCATCATAGTCGCGCCCTTACCCAGCAACCCCTCAAGCCCCACAGTCATATAAAACACACTCTTAACATTAAGACTATACAGCTTATCCCACGCCTCCTCCGGATAATCATAATACTCATCCCCCCAGCTCGCCCCCGTGCTGTTCACCAGCACCGTCAACCGGTCAGTTTGGCGCTGCATTTCCGCGCATAAGGCGAGACAGCCGGCTTTGTCTTTTAGGTCCGCGATGATGTAGCTGCAGTGCCCGGGCCCGAGGGCGTTTAGACGTGTGCTGGTGGAGTGGAGTTCGGATTCTTTGCGCGACGCGATGAAGACGCGGGACCCGTTTTGGATGAATGCTTGGGCGGCTATTTCGCCGAGGCCGGTGGCTCCGCCGGTTACGAGAACGACGTGGTTGGTGAAGGAGAAGAGGGTGCTGGCGCGCAGGTCGGCGGTGGAGGCGGCGTGGGTCATTTTGGGTGGTGGGTTGGGGTGGATTGGGGGTTGGGGTAGGTGGTTAGCTGGAAGGGAGGTTTTTGGAGTGGGGAGGGTGGTAGTGAGCGGTTGATAAAGCGATCGACATGGCTCTGGATACCCGTTCAATTTACTGCGGAGAGGTAGAGGGACCTCGGCATGAGGGACGTTGCGAACAAGGGTCAAATGCGGGGTGTTAGCGCGAGATAGTTCGAGTTCAGGGTCAGGGGCGGGCCCGAAAACCAAAAGATACCTAGTCAGTATACCTATATCTATGTTAATGAGGAGAAATTTGTTGCAATCACGCCAAAGAAATACGACTCTTGTGCTGTCTGTAATGCTGATGCGATCCCAACTCCCTCTCCCATCTAGATCCAGGACATGCTCAATCCCCCACACACATATACGCACACAACACACCAACTCCCGGAAATGCAACACAACACAACACAATCCAGTCCAGTCCAGTCCCATCCCACCAACCAAGAAGAAACCAACAGCGCAACCTCAGTAAATGCCCTGCGAGCGGTACTGGAAAGTATCATATCTATCCCAGTCAATTAGCAACCACTCCACACAAAAAGACAGCTCAAAGACTTACAGCCGGGTATAATAGCTCCCGACACTCTTCGCAACCAGCTCATCAACAAAAACCTCCGCCTCCTCCCTCGACAAATGCAGCATAAGCCTCGCGCGCAGACTATTCGTCACACTCGCGGCCCCCGCCGCAAAACACGGCATCTTGCTCTGCTTGCTCATCAACTCCACCAGCATGATCAGCCGCTCTGCTTCCTTGCGCAGGGCCTGAAACGCGCGTTTGCACAGGGCCTTGAAGTCTTCGAAAGCGGGGGATGTGACGCCGCCGAGGACATCAACGTAATCCTGAGTGAGCTTGAAGGGGGCGGCTTCGAAGCCCATGGAGCCGGGGGAGTTGGACAGCATGAAGCCGAAGTCGATGTGGATGATGTGGCCCATGTTGTCGATGAGGAGGTTGCCGTTGTGGCGGTCTTTGAGCTGCAGCACGTAGCAGATCATGCTGTATGCGGCGAGGGAGCGGGCGAAAGCGCCCACGCCGGCGATGTAAGCTTCGGATTCTGGCTCGCCGAAGGTCTTGAGCCAGTGGTCTTTTAGGGTAGCGATGCGTTTGCGGGGGTTGGTGCCGGCGGCTATGCTGGCTAGTGTTAAGCTTCGCTTTAAGGAGTGGAGGGAGACGCCGTTTGTGATTGTTTCGATGAGTCCGGATGACTCGCCGGTAACGAGGATGCGCATGCGCATTGTCCAGACGGGGACTTGTGCCTCTTCCCAGATCTTGGCGCATACTTGGATGAGCTGACACGCAAAGGCTTCCTGGCGGAGATCTGCCCCTGTCTTGACAATGACGCTGATGAGATCCCAGTTCCTCATGTGTCCGTATGGTGATGACCGTCGTATGCGCTCTCTCTTTGCGCTCCACTCCTCACCAAACGTTGCAGCACTGGGATCATCTCGGTCGCCCTTTCTCCGCATGCCGCCCGTCTTGAGATCGTTTTCCATACGCGCCGCACCTGCTCCAGAGTTCGTCGCGACGGCCATTCCCTCCTCGAGATCCTCCGGCTCCGCTGTGATTGCTGTTGGATCTGACTCTGCCATGATGGTGTCGAACGTCGGCCCCTGATCATCAGAAAGGAAATTCTGCTCTTCCAAGCTCTGCATGCTCGCGATGATTTTAGCTTTGATCGCCGCCACCTCATTCCTCGGCCGTTTCGATCCACTCGCTTCAAGTTGTGCCAGCATCTGAGCGGCAGTTCGCATGTGGGTCGCGAGGGCTGTAAAGTCCGGTTGGTCGGCTGCTTGGTTCCCTCGGTTCAAGGGAATGGTCGACTTTCGGGGGCCCGGACTGTTGGACCTGCTGATTTCCATGTCAGACGTGCGGGGAGTAGATAGACTAGCAATTGAAGACAGCGTGTTGGCTCCACTTGAGGATCGTGGTGCCGTGACTTTGCTGGTACCGGGCATCGAGACACGCGCCAATCCAGAAGCCAGGTCGTCCTCATCCATGTCCTTGATGAGTGAAGTGCTGCTAAGGTCGCCATTCGCAGGTTCAAAGACGCTATCCGATCCATTTGGTGGTGTCCTATCAAGCGCCAAATGCTCAGCGTTAGTAATATCAAACAGCCGTCGTCTAGACGTCCCCTTTTCCATCATGAGCTTTTCGAGTAACTGCTGGTTCTGTTCTGTATCCGGATCAAAATCAAAGTCCTCCTGCAACACCTCCACCATCAAAAGATACGGCACTCGTTCGGCGCTGTTGAGACTGGTGGCTTCCGCAGGGTTTATCCGGACTATCCGATGATGCTGGCTCTGAGACGGTATCCCATCTTTCAGTGTAGGGGGCGAGAGAGTGGGGATATCGACTTCAGCGGGCAAATCCTGCGCGATCAAAGCAAGTTCGGCTCTCAGCGCACTCAGACGAGCCGGTTTCGGTACAATAACCAAACGGTTCGAGATATCCTCCAACGCACTCAGGAATTGTGTCTCGTTGCGAAAGTAGTTGGATCGCAATAGACGCACTTTCTGCGACCGTGACAATGCGGTCGGCGTGAGCGGTCTCGGCGTCTGCGAACGACGCTTACGAAAGCCAGGTTCGTCCGGCTTAACCACCAACCCAGCAGTAGCAGGGGGCGTAGGAAGCGGGGAATTGTTGTTAGAATCGCGAAAGTCGGGCAGCGATGACGAGCTGAGATGGGCCTCAGCACTCATAGATAGTAGGGAAGGCCTGTGTTGTGTCGAGTGCCCACGCGTAGGATTCGCAGGCCGTGTAGCCTGTCGTCTCAAGTCCTTGGGTTCGCGCACCTCTCTAGGCCGCGGCGACGAAGCCTTCGACGACCGTCCATCTTCAGGATCGGAATGCCCCTGGGCGTTCCTCCTCTGCTTCAACCGCGGCGATTCTCCCGTCACCGTCTTGCTCCTCCCCACCTTCGCCGTCTGCACGTTGTCCGAGATGATGTCCTCGATTGGTCTGGGTTTCCGCGCCTGCGCGATGGCCAGTGGTCCCGCGTGTGCGGGGAGAAACGGCGCGGCGATACTGGCCAGCACCAAGCTCGAGAGCAGGGTGACGGGTAATATATTTTCCTTGATCTTTTCTCTCCGCTGCGGCTCAGCCGATCCAAAAACAATGCGCTGCACTCTGTTGTATATCCTGCGACAAGTCTTGAAGGCAATCGAGTTTGGCGCGCTCGCCAGGTCGTGGAGGTATGTCTGGAACAGCCAGAAAGTCTGCAGCCACCATTAGCCTCCTGCGAAGCAACGCGCGTAACAACATCGTGACCGGGAAGAAAATAAAGAGGAAGAAGAAGCCCACCAAAAGCGCCCCATTCACACTCTCCTCGCAGAGGTCTATTATAAACTCCTCCAAAGCCATAGACTCATTATCAATGCTTATAAGGAGGTGGCACAGCCTATTTTCCCCGCACACGTATCAGTCACTCTTCGAACGAGTTACAATGAAGTTTCGCTCGGTGGGTCTTGTTTTCTCGCCAAAACAATTCGGGGGAAGACTACGACGTACTGCGGGAGGAAGAACTCGAGCTCCTCATACGCGAACTGGCGCAGCTTCGAGCAGAGCACATAGTGAATCCCGACATGGTCTGCGTAGCGTCTGGAGATTGGGGGAAAGAAGTCAGTGTAACCGTTACAAAGCATGCGCATCCCATCTATCCATCCACACACCGCAACCCCGCCTAAACACACCACGTCGCGCCCAATCATGGAAAAAGCAACCACTCACGCAAGATACGCAACAGCCAGCGCCGGATCGGAGTTAAAGTGGTCCGACTCTATGAAGCGCTCTAACAGATTCCAACTCATCTGGGACGGTTCATTGGTGGGGCCGAGTCGAGTTTCGAGGTCGCAGGTCGCAGGTCGCAGGCCGTAGGTCGAGGATGATTTCGAGTCGAGTCTCGAAAACGGTGGACTTGTTTATGTAGTGATTCGATGGGGGGGAGACGACAGGTGGACGGGACGGCGGCGGCGGCGGCGGGAGAGGGGGGGGGAACGTGTATGTATGGCCTTTGGGGTTTGGCTTAGCTAGCCTAGCCTTGCATGCAGGGTGGTTCGGGTGTGGTCAAGCAAGGGCAGGGTTCAGCTGTGGTGCGGCGGAGATTGGCCGATTGGTCCGTGTGTTGGGTGTGGATGTGTACTGGAGACTCGGATATTATAAGTAGGACTTGTATTGATTTTGGTGTTTGATGGGCGGATTCTCGTGGTGTTTATTATGAGGTGGGTTTGGAGTGTCCGTGTGTCTTGATGTCTGTGTATGTGTGTGTGCATCTGTCTATATACATAGAAAAACGGAAAGATGAAGGAAGACACATGGCTTGACTGCTTACAAATGTAAACTCAAATACGACACTCCCCGTCTACTGGGACTGGGATTTATTTAACTGTTCGATGGGCGGTGTTTGCGATTGCTATTACTTGATTGCCAGAAGCGTGTCTAAACTGTCTATCGATATGTTCATGTGTATATAAAAACACACATAAACACGCAGCTTAACACTCCCCCCACACACGAACAAAACTCAGCGAACCGCGTATAATACAAAAGGGCGACAAGACGAGGCAAAAAAAAGTAAAACAGTAACCTATATACACCACGCCTCTAAACCCGCATCGCACCCGCAACGCCCTTAGCAAAAACCCTCCAAACAGCTCAATCCGCAGCATGCAAATCGACAAAGATATTGATAGCCGCCACCACGACCTCAGCGAAAATAAGGATGATGACGATCCACTCAAGAAGCTCGCCCTGCACACAACCAGTCAGCATACCACGCGCAACAAGATAAAGGGATGGAGGAGGGGAAAAACTCACATGCGTAACCGTCAACTGATCCTTCAGCACAGCGAGCAAATCGCCAATAACATTCAGCCTCTCCGTCAGCAGACCCACCCTTTGATCCATCTCAAGGTAGCTGCGAACAGCCTGGTAGACAGGATCGAGCTGCGGCTCCGCCCACATGAGCTCGGGGGCATCCAGCACCGAGCCCTGCAGATGGATGCTAATGCGCAGGATAAACAGCTCGCCGATCTGCATATTGATTTCCTTCTTATTGAGATTAATCTTTCCCGAGCTCGCAATTTGCGCAGGGATATCCTTCGTATGATCAATTGTATTATCGACGAGGTCTTCGAAGAGGGAAGTTTTCACGCTCTGTGACAAGCCATGCGAGATGGCAAGTTTGATCATGTAGTTTTTCTTGTCGCGCAGGGAGATGAAGTCGTTGTAGATTCTGGCCTGGTACTCGCGTGTGTAGTAGAAGTTGAATTCTTCTGTTTCGACGGCGTCTTTGCCGAGTTTGTCGACTTCGAATTTCGAGAGTTCTTTTAGGAAGCGCTTTTCTTCTTGGAGGGTCATGCCCCAGAGGACTACGGTGCCGTATTCGAAGAGGAAGACCTCCGGTGTGTGGACTTGCGTGTCGAAGTCGGGTGTGTCTATTTGTGGGTCCGAGTCGGCGTGGTTGAGGGAGGGGCGGCGCGGGCTGTCGGATCCTTCTGCTTCTCCTAGGTCTGGCGCGTCGCCGTCTTCGTGGAGGCCGATGAGGTCGTCTCTCCGTCTCTCGCTCTGGGCTTCGACTTCGATGGCGCTGTCTGAATATCTCCTCTGCCGTTCTTCTGGGATGCCGTCGAGTACAGCAGTGCTTACGACGTCTTCTGGTCCCTTCGTGCCGTAGCTGTAGGGCGAGTAGATGCACTCGTCGAAGCGCTTGGGTAGAGCGCCCCTCGACTTCTGCTTGCCTTTGAGGAACCGCATCAGGTCGTCCAGCTTGTATGAGGCCGCTGTGCAGTAGGCCGTCACTCGCGGTAACCGCTCCCTATCCGCCTTGCCCAGTCGCGCCGCATCTCTCCTCGCCGTCGGGTCCTTGATCCTCGTGTACTGCACGTATACATCGCGTCCACTCTCTTCGTCCTCTTCATTCGAAGGGTCGGGGAGAAGTTTCAACTTCTGCGCGGTTCGCGTTGTCCTTTGCGGGCCAATTTTCGGTACCGGGGGCAGTCTCGAAGGCGCGCCCGAGCTATTTCTCCGTCGCAGCTTGCTGTTCAATGTGGAGAGCATTGGCTGTCCGCCGTGGCTGGTGGGAACATAGCTCGAAGAGGATGCGCCGCCGTGCGACACCGATCTTGGCGCTGCATTTGGGCTGGTGGAAGAAACAGTCGTGTTGAACGTGACGGTGCGCTGGGGTTTCACAGGCAACGATTTGCCTGTGCCCGACAACGACGAGATCAGGGGAGTTGTCTCGGTGGATGTTGACGCCATGTTGTGTTGACGTTGGCGAGAAGCGTGCAATGGGCGGTAGTTTTCGTGTTTTTGGCAGTCTTTTCACTGGTTTGACATGGCACGATCACGAGAGTGCAAGTTGGGCAGCACCAAAGAGAGGAGCGATTGGGTGAAAGCGTGGGCAGATGCAAGAGATGTCGTCGCCGAGACTTTGGAAATGACGGAGCTCACAGACTTAGCGGGCCCCACACGCATGGGCAAGAGCTGCATCGCCGTTTCTGCTATCCACTATTCACTCGATGTTGCACAACGCGCATTGCTGGTTTACATTGGCTGATCTTTTCTGTTCAGCAAAGATCCCTGCATGTGCATTCTCCAAGCCGGGTCGCGTACAATCTCACACGACAGATGGATGCAGCTCCGCGGAATGTGCAGAAAAGGTAAAGAAATGTTCATTACAAGGGTACTACAAGAACAATTCGCGTCCGCCTACAGCTCAATGGACTCTTTCACCTCACTAATATCAATTTTCACGTCCGTGGATTCCTCGACTTCGACCTCGACATCCTGTCCGTTGACGCCAAGTCCCACCTGTCCCAGCATAAAACGACCAAAATACATAATGGCATCCACCATCTCCTCACCCGTCGGCACGATGTTCTCCTTGGGCAACAAGAACCCGTAACTACCGGTATCGCGGAGTTTGATTTGATATGAGTATTTGACCTTCAGCTCGTGGTAAAACCAGTCCAATGCGCTACCGCCGCTCGACTCAATGCGTGGGAACACAGTCCGCTTGGCGTCCTTGGACATGGCGACGTTGCCCTCGCAGGCAGACGTGACTTTGTAAGCATGGCCCTTGTGCGCCACGCGAATTGCTTTGGCAAGGCCGAGACCCAGCTCCTCGAGGTCTTCGATGGCAGGCGGCTCGTCGGAGCAGGAGTACGAGTACGGGTAGAGGATTTGCTGCGAGTAAGAGTGCAGATCCAAGAAGCCAACAAATTCGACGTTGTTGTTCTCTGTCTCATTCTTGGCCCAGTCAGCAAAGCGCTGGGCTTCGACGCCGTCAAATGGCGCGTCTCCCGCGAAGGATTCACTGCAGGGGTTGGTGCGGCTGGTGTCACCGTCCCACTTGTACGGATAACTGCGGTCAAGGTCCACACCGCGGCAGAAACGCAGACTGGTCGGCTGACGGTTCTTTCTCCACAGTCGGTCAGTCTCCCACGAGTAGACGTAGCCGTCAGGGTTCAGTGTAGGGACGAGCACAAAGTCAAACTCTTCCAACAGGTGTGTGACCTCGCGGTCTTTGCCGTACGAGTTGATCAGACTCCATGCCAGGTAGTTGACGGTGCTGGTCGAGATCCATTCACGTGCATGGGATCCACCCGTGACAATGACTGTCCGGCGAGGTTTGGATGGCTTTTCGTTGTTTGTAGGATGCACACCAATGCGCAAGGCAGAGATGTCGCGCCCTTCGTAGCTGACGCCGACGTTGATCTGGCGCACGTGCGTGGTGAACATGGAAGACATGAGACTCATCCATGGGTGGATGACAGACAGAGGCTGGTAGTCCTGGAAGAAGGGGTGGCCCCTGCCTTTGGCGGAGGAGGCCTTGACATGGAGGCTGAAGCGGTCGCCTTGGTGTGATTGTGTGACGGACGGCGAGGGGTAGGAGTTGAAGATGGCCTGGGTGAGGGCGAGGTCCTGCATCAAGGGTTCGTGGGACGTGTGCAGCGATGAAGGCAGCAGCCCGAGCAGCGAGGGCAGCACGTCCTTGGCTATGCGTATGTCGGCCCAGTCCTCGGTGAACTCCCACACATCGAGGAAGAGGGTGTCGGCTGCCTCTGCGAGGGCTGAGGCTTCTTCTGCAGTGCGGATGCGGAACCTCAAGACGACGTCGTCACCATATTGCGCGACGAGCTGGTCGCCTGGGACGTGGGCGTTCTGTGTGCCGTCGGGGCCTGCGCGCAAGCTCGTCTGCTTCTCGGGCAGTGCCCATATCTTCCTGATGATGACGTCGGACAGTGCACGCCAGGGGCGGTGGACGGTGCTGTGGGGTGTGGCCTGCGCGGCGTCGTATGGGGGATGGACATGGTCGCGCGGGGCGGCGGTGGTGAGGGAGGGCGCGAGCAGCAGCAGGCCCAGGGCAGTGAAGGACGGGTGGCGCATGGCAGTCAATTGGGGCAGTCAGACAGTCAGACAGTCAAAGAGGCATGCAGCGCAAAGGCAGGGTCGCCAGCAGAGGCCGGGGGTGCTGGGGGAGGGCGCTTTGGTGTCGTGTGCCTGGCAGCCACAGCAGGATCCGGGAAGGCGGACGGACGTTTGCGACGGTCATGGTCGACGGCTGAGGGCTGAAGCACGCACGCTAGCGGCTGCTCTCCACACCATGCCCAACGTCGGCCTTGCCTGGTCCTGTCCTGCCTGGCTGACACCCGCGCCCCTGATCCTGAGCCTGCGCCTGATCCTGATTCTGGGCCCGACTTGCCGTGAACCATCGCCGGCCTGGCGACTATAGCAATCCACTCCGCCGCCCGACACGCCCGCCCTCTCGCCCAGCCTGCCGCCCTCTGCCGCCGGCTGTGCCATGTCCCTCGCTGTAACGCTGCCTGCGCGTACCTGAGCTGGCAATGCCTCTCAAGACGCTCCGCCCCGGCCGCAGCGAACAGAACCTCAAGCGCCGCAGCACCCTCAACCCCAGCGGCTTCTTCAGGCGCGTCGACAAGGACTCCGCCGACCACCTGCCACCCGACCGTGCAGCTGTGTCCTACGATGGCGGCCGTCCCACCACCGCCGACCTGGCACCGCACGACACCGCCTTCGACGCCCACCACGACCCCGACCAGCGCCCGCCGTCCGAGCCGCCCTCGCCGCCCGTCCAGCGCCCGACGCCCAACACGCGCCGCTTCAGCCTGATGCGCTTCCGCCATGCCTCGGACTCGCAGCTCAACGCAAAGGCAAAGGAGCACGCCGCCCGCGACGACACGCCGCCCGTGCCCGCCGTGCCCGCCAGCACCGCCCCCCCGACGTACCCCGACGCGCCTGCCATCATCACCACGGCGCCCACCGTCGTCGACCAGGAGACGGAGCAGTCGCGCAAGCGGGGGCGCCTGCAGCAGTTCACCCTGCGCCGCCGCTCCTTCGACCCCTCGCTGGTCGACCGCCCGACGGCGCACAAGCCCATGGACAAGAAGCGGGGGCCGCTGGGTCTTAAGAAGAGCCACGGCAATCTGCTCGAGGAGAGGGAGCGCCAGGCGGCAGCGGACCCGCGCGAGTCCACAGACGGCGCGCCTGCCCTGGTCCTCCCCGTGACCAGGGCCTCCGAGTCGTCACGGTCAGACGGAAGCTCGGGCGGCCACGTCTCGTTCGAACAGACCCCGCGCCCGCACCAGCCACCGCGGATGGGCTCAGCGCGCTTTGGCTTTGGCCGGCGGAAACAGCGCGCATCCCTATTTCCCCTGCCTATGAAAGTCGACTCGCCCCAGTACCCCAACGCTGCGCCTGACACCCCCCGTCTGTCTACCGGCGGAAGGAGCTCTGCCTCACCCACACGCTCCTCAACCGGAAGTCCTCCACCGACTGCACATCGCGTGCAAGAGGGGGAGCCTGGACCGGAGATCTCGCCAATGCCTTCCTCGGACGCTACCCTGCTGAACCCATCCTCACCCCGTCCCGGCTCCCTGTACCGAAATGGCTCTACCGCGTCCGTCCGCTCTGCGCGCTCCTCGAAAAATGCCGGCATGCCCGTACGGCTGGGTCTACGGGGTCGCTCGTCGACAATGGGTTCTTTAGGGGGGCGCTCTGACGGGGCCACGTCGCCCACACCACCCAATGGCCCTAGCGGCAGGACTTCGACCTCTACCGTGGGAAGGAGTAGTTTCAGCAACCTCTTCGGCCTGAGCTCGAGATTCCGCCAGGGCTCCGATCCGCATTCGTCTAGGCACGGCTCGCCTGCTCTCGGATTGATGGGCGCTTCAGGCTTGTCGTCCCACCAGAACTCCTTCAATATGAGCCGTGAAACGCTCATACTGCCCGAGCGAGAAGAAGGCGAGACCCCAGGCCGCTACTTGGAACGAATAGAAGCGAACAACTTCAACAAGAGCGTCGTAGCCAGCTACCTCTCCAAAACTGAGGATCCGTTTCTCCTTTCAGTACTGCGAAGCTACATGCGCAAGTTTGCTTTCTTCGGCGATCCCATTGACATGGCTATACGCAAGCTGCTCATGCAAGTTGAGCTCCCCAAGGAAACACAACAAATCGACAGGGTCCTGCAGGGCTTTTCCGACCGTTATCACGAATGCAATCCAGGCATCTACATCAATCCAGGTAGGCCAGCTATTCACTCCTACAAACACCATTTGCTGACATTCCCTAGACAAAGCATACTTCATCTCCTTCTCGATTGTGATTCTGCACACCGACGTCTTCAACAAGAACAACAAGAGAAAGATGCAGAGACCAGATTACATCAAAAACTCGTCGTGCGAGGGAGTGTCCGACGACGCTCTGGGGTGCATCTACGACAACGTCGTCTACACACCCTTCATCCATATCGAAGACGATGTCGATCTGAGGACCATCTCATCCAAGAAGAGCAGGAAAACAATACTCAAAGGCCCAATGAACGATCCGGTACGAAAGTCTGTTAAAGAGCCTCTGGATCCATACACCCTGATCTTCGAGGGCAAGCTGGACGCCCTCCGCCCGTCCATCAAAGATGTCATGAACCTGGATGACCCTTACAGCTATCTTGGAACTGCTGCGACGCTCGATACCAAAAACATCTATAAGTCTTTCTCACGGTACGGTGTGATCCAGATCGTGTCCTCCAGATCCAGACCAGAGGCCTACATGTCGGAAGCCGCCCAGGAAAACCCACTGGGGACATCAGTCGGTATTGTGGAGATGCCTGTCACTAAAGTTGGGATCCTGTGGAGGAAGGATGCAAAACGAAAGAAGGCACGATCTCCTTGGCAAGAATGGGGTGCAGTCCTTACTCGCTCAGGTCTTTCACTCTTCCGGAACTCCACCTGGGCGAGGTCTCTCATGAATCAGCACGAGCAACACCAAAAGCGCGATGAAACGGGACCAGTAGTTTTCCAGCCCCCACTCCAGCACTTCAAGCAGGATAACGTGATACCCATGGATGGCGCCGTCTGTCTTGTCGACAACACATACAGAAAGCATAAGAATGCTTTTGTCATGTATTCGAAGGCTGGTGAGGAGACATTCTTGGCCGACAGCGAGAGTGACTTGAACGAGTGGTTAGGTGTGCTGAATTACACTGCAGCGTTCGAAACCCTGGGCGTTCGATCGAGAGGCATGGTGGGCGGACTGTACGAGGGGCAGACAAATCGAGGCATGCGACGTCTACACTCGTCGCATTCAGGCATGTCGGTACCTACACCAACCGGCGAAGTAACAATACAGACTGGGGGAATCGACAATCAGTTCGCACAGCAGATGATGACAGCACGAAAAGAGTTGATGCAGCAGCGGATATCGGAGTCGGAGGAGAAACTCGCACAAGCAATAAGAGAGCTTGAAGCGCGGTTGAGAGACGCAAGGCATCTTCAGATCCTCGCACCGATACAGCCAAAGACACGGGAGATGGTCATTCACGCCGCGGGACGGTTGGCTGCGAAGTTAAAATGGTCTCGCATCCAGATATGGCGGATGAAGTGTCATCGCGATATCCTTGCGCAAGAGCTGGAAGACGAACGGCAGAGCGATACAGAACGACAGGCTAGGAATGACCGCATAGCAGAAACTTCGCAACAACCACAACCTCAACTCCCGCCGCTCTCGCCTCAACCGTCTCACAAGACGTCTAAGAGTCCGCTGGCAAAGCTGAGCTCGAAGACGAGTTTATTTGCCAACGCCCAGAAACCGCCTCTCTCGCCGGAATCACCGTCAATACGACCGGGTACGAAATCATCCAGAGATACCGACTTTGACGAAGATATGTTCAAGACACCGCCAGAGACTTCCCAGTCAAGCCCTACCTTTCCCATTGTGCAGACATATGTCCCCATATCTTTCGCACCGGCTACATCGGACCGCCGAAGCTCAGTGGCTAGCTCCGCACAGTCTCCCAGGATGTATCCTTCTGATCACCGGCCATCCGTATCGACCACAAACGACGGCACAATAGGCTCAGACGACGACTCCGACACGGGCTCGCGATACGCTACTCCCCCTCCCACCGCCCAGTCAGAGCTCATGGAACTGCGAACCCCCGACATCTACACCACCGACGGAGCGCACGCAGACCCCGACGCCATCTCCTCAGAAGCAGACATGTCGCTTGCCGCGCTCTCAGGCTCGCCCACATCCCGCTCCAAGCAAAGACGCAGCCTGCACCGCACACTCCGCGACTCACACGGCAGCTCCTCCCACCGCCGCAGCCAAAAGGGCCGCGACTCCGCATCCACCATCCTGAGCGACGACACGCAAGAAAGCGAAGGCCTAATGCGCAGCAAAGGCAGCTTCACCGTCCACGGCAAAAAAGCCTCCGTCATCCAATTCGGCCCCGACTGGCACATCACGACCCCCGAGGAGCGTCTGAAGACGATAAAGCAACTCCAGGAAGCCGCGGCTGTCGATGACAGGGATGGGATCGGTTTCATTCCCGACGGCATGGCGCTCTCGCCCGGTCTTGACGCAGGCGAGGAATACACACCCCGTAGACTCTCCGCGGGCGTCGTCAAGCAGCGACATATCTCCGCTCAGACGATCACGCCTGCTTCTTTCCTCGAGACGCTCGATGCCCATCAGCAACGCGTTGATGAGGACGGCGGGGGTTCGGAGCTAGGTGATATCGCTGAGGAGCCACCGCGTGCTAGTAATGATGTGGTCCCGCTGCGCCGCATCCTCACCCCGCCTGTCCAGCAGGTTGATGATCACTAGCATGCATGTATGCACCTGACGTGCTACTTTCCTTTGTGTCGCCGTTCGTTTTTCGTTGTTCAAAAGTTGGCGCTGAGTCCGTTTATGTCGCTTGTTCTTGTTGTTGATGGTGGTGTTGCGCGCGTACACGCATCCTTGAAGAGGCGCGGGGCCATGTATATAGACGGCTGCGGCGTTTTGTGTGTATGTCGGTGTGTGTGTGTGCTGTGTTTATCGGGAGTTGATCGATACCCGGGATGGGTGGGGTGGGGCGGGGTGATAGTGTTGGGATGGCATGGGATGGGATGGGGTTGCTGGCGTGAATGTTAAGTCAAGTCAGTAAGCAGAGAGGAATCGAGTGTTGAGAACTGAGAATCGAGATGTGTGTATTTGCTGTGCCATGGTTAATGCCGACTACTCAACAAGGTGATGTATTGGATCTGATGGTTGGACGGATGATGGACACAACGACTTCCGCCACATCTGCAATACTGATACTCACTTTTGGATTCATTTCATTTCAATAATGCATAGCCATCGTTCACCGGGCTTAGGAAAAGTAACGCGAGAACATCCCAATCAACTCCATTAATTACTATCCTCTCTCTTCCCTTCCCTTCCATTCCCTCTCATCCCTTTCCCGCTTACCAACCCCCCATCAATCTACTTCCCCACCCCCCCACCACCACCCTCCCGCATCCCCCTCCCCTTCTCCTCAAGCGCCCCACTATGCATCACATGCCCCGCCTTCTGCACCAATTTCCCCATCATAGAATCGGAATCTACTCGAACATTAGCATCATCCCATAAACCCCCCCATCCTATTCCCTTCCCCTTTATATCCCTCTACCCCCACTCTATCCTACGAGAAGGTAAAGATAAACAGAGAAAAAACATACGTCCACCCCCAAAACTCCCCGTCTTATTCCCATACCCCGCCCCGGCCGTCGACCCACTCCCCAACGGCGAGGCATTCGTATACGGCGCCGTGGATGTGTGTGATGGGTAGGGCGTTAGATCTGCGGGCGTGGAGGATGTATCTGTGTCTGCGTCTGCGGAGGTGTCGGCGCCGGGGACGGAGGAGTGTTTGTTGCCTTTTTCGTTTTGTTAGGTCTGCATGGGGGTGGGAGGGGGGTGGGGTAAGGGAAGGGGTGGAAAAGACGGGGTGGGAAAGATGGGGGATGATATACCGAAACCAGCTCCCGCTGTGGATGCAGAACCGTATGTTGGGTGGGCGTTTGAGTAGGGTGCTGAGTCTGTGAGGCCGAGGCGGGTGGATGTGTGTTCTGAGGTGTAGTCTTCTGGGTTGTAGTCTGGGGCTTTGCGGTTGCCGTAGCCTGCCATTTTGGGTGTGTGGGTTGTTTGTGTGTGGGCGGGTGTTGGGGTAGTTGTTGTAAGTAGAGAGATGAATAGATAAATGCTTGGGAGAGCGTTGAATATGTTCGAGCGAGTTTATATAGTTAGATATATATATGTCTATCTATCTATCTATCTGTCTGTCTGCTGTTATGTGATATAATGGGAGGGGATAAGCATCGCGCAAGACATGTAAGCCGTATGAGGTCACTTTGCCTAATGGCTTGCGGACCCCGCGTAGATCAATCGTTGGGGCAGACATATAAGAGGGTGGAAGGTTTAGCCAAGACAAGCTTGGTATTCTTCTCGGTCTGGATCGAATTGCTTCGGTGGGGAGGTGCGGGATCGTCTGCCCAACAGATGGCATCCTACACCAGGTCGTCCCCGTTTGGCGATGCAGATTACCTACACGACATACCTCTTCTGTTGATTAGTTTGGTGCATCTGCCATTGTATGCGAGAGACTGAGAAATACGTTTCAGACCAACGTTGTCAAGGATGTGATGGACGTCTGCCAAGGCAGGAATAGTCGCCATTCGCTGAGCGTCTGGATGGCAGGCAGATAGGCTGGGTGCCGAAACAGGCAATGGTTTGCTGATCGAGATAAGGCTACGTCGTTGCGTCACTTCACCCACAACCCACGCCACGCCTCCAAACTACCGGTAACCAGGGTCTCTCTCATGCGCTTCACGCGCCCACGTGAGTATTTCCAAAGAAAAGATCCGTACGCCAAGACTCCAGCGGTGCAATGCAAGTTGATATTCATGTTGGAAAAAAGATTATCGAATGTATTTAGACTGTTGCGCATGGTTAGCCTTGCGTTGAAGTTGGAGATGTATGTGCGTACCATGAACTTTTTGTGAAAGTCGGAGCGCAACATGTCGTTGATGAACTCCTTCTTCTTGTTCTTGTCCTCTGTGCCTCGCGCCTGGTTCTTGAAGACGACGTCGTCATCCCAGCGGCGCTTCATTGCGAAGTCGCGGGAATTGAGGAGCGGGTTGCCTCGCGCGACGTCGATTTCGCGCTGCTCTTCTTCTTCTGCTGCTCGTTCGGCGTCTTCCTTTGCTTTTGCTGCTGCGCGCTCTTTCTTGATCTTTTCTAGCTCGCGCATGAGGGCTGCTGTTTCGTCTTCTTCGTCGTCGTCGTCACTGCGTGCATGTTAGTATGGTGGTGGTTGCTAAGACGGGTGTGGACTCACTCATCGTCGCTGCTCTCGCTCTGGTCACTGCTGTCGTCGGCGTCTATCTCCCGGTATTTCTCCAGCATCTCTATTCGCCGCCGCTTCGAGTCGACCTCATCCTCTTCACCCTCTTCTGTCGCTGACACGGCATCGATCTGTCGCTTCGGTGCGCTGCCGGAGTCTGCCGCAGATTCTGGTTCGATGTAGGTGCCGTTCTTCTTTGCAAAGTGACGCGCCTCGGCCTCGAGAAGCTCGGCGCGCAGGTCGCGTGTTTGGTCATCAGCGTCGCCGCCTTGTCCTGGCTGTCTATGTTTGAGTGTGGTGTGTGCTGGGAGCAGTCGCTGATGGTAGGCCGGGCCTCGCTGGGCTTCTTTGCCGCGAGCGGGATCGAACGTCGGTCTATGGGCGGTCGTCATAGTATCGGTTGATTACGTAGTGCGCGGTGGTTATTTTCGTGTATGTTTCGGAAGTCTTGCGCGTTGTTGATGAAGTCGATGGTGAGTGCGAAAGTTGTTGGCAGCCCTGCGCGTGAACTTCGTAGGGGCGCGCGCGCCAAGACCGGCGCAATTCACGATTCTCCGCATGATCCCCGCTGTATTTTCAACGGTCAAACACACTTTCTGTTTGCAAGAGGCAAGATGCCTCGCGAAGCTGAGATCTCCATCAATGAGCGCGACTTCATCAAGCAGGCCCTGTCAGAGCAGATCCGGCTCGACGGACGCGCCTTTGATGCATTTCGCCCGCTGGAGCTAACTTTTGGAGATGAATATGGCGTCGCCGACGTGCAGCTGGGCAAGACGAGGTGGGTACAATATGGTATGGGGATACAAGTGCGAGACTGACAGCTTAGGGTCGTTGCTCGAATCTCAGTAGACGTGACGACGCCCTTACCTGAGCGCAAGTTCGATGGCATCTTTCAAATCGTCACAGAGTTCTCGCCCATGGCTTCTCCCGCCTTTGAGGTTGGAAGGTGCGTGTCTTGATATCCTCCCAATTTGGATAATTCTAATTGAGTGGCTAGACCCACAGACTCAGAAGTCATCCTCTCACGAATCCTCGAGAAAGCTATTCGCCGCTCAAACGCCCTCGATACCGAATCGCTATGCATCATCGCTGGTCTGAAGTGCTTCGCCCTCCGCGCTGACGTACACATCATCGACCACGATGGAGGACTCATTGATGCTTCCTGCATCGCAGTCATGGCTGCTCTACAACACTTCCGAAGACCAGACGTATTGGTGGAGGGTGAAAAAGCAACTATCCTCAGTGTTCGCGACCGTGAACCAATACCTTTGTCCATCCTCCACCAGCCGCTCTGCGTGACCTTCTCATACTTTGAGGAAGGAGAGATCTTTTTGGTCGACGCGAATCTGGCTGAAGAGCAGGTCCGGCAGGGGGAAGTCATCATCACCATGAACAGGCATGGCGAAGTCTGCCAGATTGCAAAGTACGGCGGAGCTACGGTGAACCCATTGGCTTTGCTCAACTGTACCAACATTGCGCTGCAGAAAGTCAAGGAGATGAGCAAGTGGATCGAACAGAAGCTTAACGAGGATGCCAAGAAGAGAGACGCAGGAGGCTTGCTGGCCGAGCTCAGTGCTGAAAACGCCAGATGAGGAGCTGTGATCCATAATTACCATCTTACAAAGAACAACCAGTCTGGGCCGACAAAACAGCCTGCGGTGCTCTGCCTCACCCTCCGACGATCCGCGAAATTTCGTCCGACAGCTCTGCAGTCTGGAAAAGCCTCGATTTACAAACTTGCAGTGGGGCAGCACGAAACTATGGCCATGAAAGAATGAAAATGCTCACAGTAGTTAGAGTATTGCGAACACCGTAACGTCGATGTATGCCAAACACATATACCAAGGACGCGTTGGGGTTTGACGAAGTGTGGTGGCTTAGATGAAAAATCATGAAAAACAGTCAAACTCACAACATGCATTCGCATTTCCCCCATTCGCATACGTGAATTCGTACGCGTGAACTCAAATTCTAGACTTACAATCCTGACTGCGCAGATGACAAAGCGCGTGTCGAGCCATGGACGCGACGACGCCTCGGTTCAACGCAGCACCAGCAACCTCAATGGCCATCACCAAAGCATGTGTCCGAGGCGGGACTACTCACGGAGGTTATGTGTCAAGTCTTTTCAGCGGATATATATACCATTGTCAATGACCTGATGATTCCTAACATTCACCTTTGATTTTCGCAATCACAAGCCAATCTCGAACATTGCGTCATCCGACCATCAAGCGTCTCTCCACCTTGACGTCGTGCATATACTTTCCAACACCCCGAAACGCCAATCACTCAACCAAAGCTCGCTGCTCTTCCCCAGATCCTCAAACCAGCCCAATACAGACATATCCTTCAACATGTCCTCCAAACTAGTACCCTCGGACCCGGAGAAGGTCATGATCATCCGCGACATCGTCCCCAGAACTGTCACCACACTTTCCGTGCCATTCTTTCGATTCGGCAGGATAAAGGTCGGTGGACGAGGCACAATCGGTATGCCGTGTACTTTTTAAAACTGCATGCTCCCCTACTAACGTAAGTGGCAGTACGCCTGCAATCCGGCGCCCTCGCCGTCTTCTCCCCCGTCGCCCTCACCGAAGACGTAAAGCGCAAAGTCGCCGAAATGGGCGAAGTCAAATACATCACCGCCCTCGACGCCGAAGTACGCACCTCCCCTTATCCTTACCATTCACCCCCATCTAACATCCGTCCCCAGCACCACATCTTCCTCGGCCCTTGGCACACGGCGTACCCCAACGCGCAAGTCATGGGCCCCGAATCCCTCCCCGAAAAACGCGCCTCCCAATCCGTCGAACAAGTCCCCTTCGCCCACGTCTTCTCAAAGGCAAAGCCCGTCACCACCATCTCGCCAGAATTCGACGCAGAGTTTGACTGGGAGTACGTCCCCGCACACATGAACAAGGAAATCGCCTTCCTGCACCGCCCTACACGCACCCTCATCCAAGCCGATCTCATGTTCAACCTGCCCGCCACAGAGCAGTTCAGCCGCAGCGGCGTGGACGCCAACAGCGGGATCCTCACGAAGATTTTCGTCGCGCTGCAGAGCACGTATGGGAGTGCTACGGCGCAGAAGCGTGTCGTCTGGTGGGGCACGAGTGCGAGCGATCGCTCCGGGTTTGCCAAGTCGGTCGCGCGCATGGATAAGTGGGATTTCCAGCGCATTGTGCCGTGTCATGGGGATGTGATTGAGAGTGGGGCCAAGGATGTTTTCAGGAAGGTGTTTGGCTGGCATTTGGATCTTGCGCAGCAAGAGGGGAAGAGGGCGTAGAGTGTAATGTGTGTTTGTGGTGGATTATTGTAATGGGTAAGGTGTTTGTGATACCTTTTTTCTTTCTCATATTGTACAATATACTAGTACAAATCGCTGTAGTATGGATAAACAAATTGCAGGTCTGATGTTTCTGCCATACCACACAGCTCCAGCATGTTCAACGGTCTGTTCCGAGAACCATACCGATCTTCTTCATCCAGCTTCCACTATACGCTCCTTCGTCTCAGCAGCGCAGGACAAGCATCTTGGCTCCATCTTCGCGACTCGACATCGTGCGAGCACTTCGGTGGGCCGAGAGACATCCACATGGCAAGGAATCAGGGCTGTGTTCGAAGTCCAGGCGTTCGTTGTCTCGTTCCAGCGATAGCACTTCCAGCTATTTTCGCAGCGAGCCAGTCGTCCTAGGCAGTAGCAGCAGATAATTCGACACATCGGACCCCCTCATCCCCTGTCCTCGCCGCTGCAAAATTCCACTCCCCCGGCCCAGTGATAAGAAGGCCCCTCACTTCTCGCCCCTCGCCTTATTCCTCGCCCTTCTCCTCTCCCTCTCCACCCGCTTCGCCTGATTAAAGCTCGGCTCTGCACCCTCCTCCACCACCTTCGCCATATCCAGACTCCCCTGCTCAATCGGATCGAGCAAGAACCTCCCCAGAAAGCCTGTGCGCCACTTCTGAATCATCCACAGCGCGGTCGCCTCTACATCGACGGCGCCGCCTTTCCCCAGCCTACCCGTCTTGCGCGCCATCGACTCCAGCAGCTCGATGATGTCGTTCGTGGGCCCGGGCGCGTACTCGCTGTACAGCGTGGGGTCGACGCGGTTGACGTGGAAGAGCAGGTAATCGGCCAGCACGACGGGCGAGATGATAGTATCCTTCACGCTGCCGCAGAGGGCGAGTTTCATCATCGCTTCTGCGTCGGGCACGTACGGGATGAACACCCCGGGCGTGTCGAGAAGATACACACCTCCACCTACGGCCCTCGATCTGCGCTTAGCACCCTCGTCCATACCCTCGATGTCGTCCTCGCTGGGCATGATCTTCACCCCGCTGCCCACTTTCCGCGTAACGCCGGGCTGCGCCCCCGTCTGCGCCACCTTGCCCTTCCCGATGCCCTGCGCCCTTAGCGCATTGAGCAGCGTGCTCTTCCCCACGTTCGGCATGCCGACCACCATGACGCGGTGCCCGACGAGCTTCCACCGCGTTTGAGCATGCTCCCGCAGCACATCAAGAAGCTTGTACACGCTTTTCCTTGCGCCGCCCTCGCCGCTGCCCACCTCGCCGTCTTTTTCCCGCCCGTTGCGCACAAACATGACTGTCGACGGGGCGTGCCATCCGCGGATGATTTCCTCGTGCTTGCCGTCGCGCACGCTGCCGCCGAGGTCCCGCTTCGTGTAGACGAGGACCCGCTCTTTGCCTTCTAGTGCTTTTTCGAATAGAGGGTTGCGCGATGTGAGCGGGACGCGGTAGTCGCGGCATTCGACGACGAGGTCGATGGAGGAGAGTAGCGATTTCATCTTTTGGAGGCCTGCTTTGTGGTGGCCCAGGAAGTAGGACCGGGGGAGCGAGGGGAGCGGCGGGAAGGCATGGCGGGGGATGAACGACATTTGTCGTGGAGCAGAGGGGAAGAGGGTTGTCCAGTGTATAATTTTGGGAGTTGAGTCAGGCGGCCCCGGAATGTCGGCAGGTGATGACTCGAGTCTGCAATGCACTCTCTCAAAGTACAATCACCTCCCCATTTCATGCTGGGTCCTGAGGGCTGTTAGTCTCAACCATGAAAGAAGTGCTGGAGATAATCACAGATGCATGTGGTAACGAAGCATATCATGGCCTTGGGCTCAGAACATCGTTGAACTATCTACTCTATCGATACAAACAAGCAGCGTGGCTGCAACAAACATGGAAGCATGCTGGAAGAAACAGAGAAACAATTCACCGGTCACAAATAATAACACTCAAACGCTGATAAACCATCCTAGACTTGCAAGGCTCGAACATCTTGCCAAACGCTCAGCCGAGGGCTTACAAGTCGCCATGTGCCACAGTCACACGCTTTAGCATCGTCAAGGACGTGGTGGAAGTCGATGTCGCCGACTCGATCGTTGTCATGGTAGTAACGGTCGTAGGTCGGACTGTGACAGGCTTCGGGATGTTGAGAGTCTGAGCCTGGGCCTTGTCGCACTTCTTCATGTCGCTCCCGATCTTCTGGAGGCGGATTTCGGTGTCGGCCTGGCCGCGCTTCTCCCACTCGGCGTCGGCACACACTGTATTGCCTGATACAAATGGATTCTCAAACGCGACACGCCTGTGCCACGACCTGGCCATCTTTGGCGAGACTGTCGACGTCGAATCATCAACCGAACTGGTCGTACTGGTTGTGGTGGTATGGGAGGTGAGTGACGTTGTGGTGGTGATCGTAGAGGTAGAAGTTTCGCCGGCGGTGCGGGTAACAGGCTCGTTGTCTGGTCCCAACTCTGGCTTGTCGCCGCAGTTGACGATGTTGTTCGGACCGGATCGGCAATCGAACTTGGAAAAGTCATTCGTCTTCCCCTTGGTGTAGCACTCGTAACAGAGGGGCGTCGCACTCCATGGGTGAAGCATCCACACACCCTTGGATTGACGTTGGCGCTCAGCATCGCGTCGGTGGATAGAAGGAGCGGGAACCGGAGTGGAATCGGGAGCATCGGTGTCGTCTTCCAAATCGCTGTCTGTATCGTCCTGAGTGCGAGGTTCGACGTGGTCCAAGTCAGTCTTCGTCGTTGCGTTAGGAACAACGGCCAGAACGACGGCAGCAGTCGGATTGGCAGAGGTCACGTATGAGCCAGTGATCGTGAGCGAAGTCGTAGACAAAACAGGCGTGGGGCGTTCGTCGCGGCCGATCGACCAAGAAGTATGGGCGATGGTGGTCGTCCAGGTCGTCGAGTAGAACTTTTCGATGGAGCAGGCGAACTTGACGGAACGAATCCTCTCATCACCATCGGAATAGCACCTAAACATCTCCTGCGGAAGTGGGATGGATTTGAGCTCTTGCCCCTGTTGGCAACCTGGCTGTTCGTAGGGAATCAACCAGCAAGATGTCTTGCCACTGTTGATCTCGTTGATCCAATCGCGGTTATTGTGGAAAGCGGGCTTGAGGCTCGACGCCGTACCAACGCTCACGCATTGGTCTCGCACAACATCGATGTTGGCGCCATCCGGAGCTCCGGCGCAGTCATCAGTGTTGAACTTGTACAGGCGGATCGTGTCCTTCTTGGCGGCATCGACTGTGGAAACAAGCGCGAGCAAAGCGCCCACAAGGAGCAAGGCGAGGCGAGGCATGATGAGAGAGCTCTGTGGTACATCAGCATGCGTGGTTACGGATGATGACGGAGAAAACGTGTGAGTAGGTTCAGGCTTGGAAGACATACCAGTCGAAAGGGTCAGACAAGAGCCGGTCAGTATTGGAGGAACACTACGACGTGTTAGTACGCCAAGGTACAGTTGAGGGTGACGATGGTCGAGTGGGTCAGATAGAAGGACGTGGTGATTGACGTGGAATGTGCAAGCCGGGTAGACGTGAAGCGTGGGAATGAGATAGCGTACCAAGTGGTGCTGGTGATTGCGGAAGAAGCCCAGTTGGTGGGCTGGTGTCGTAACTGGTGAATTGGAGTGGAGTGAAGAAGAAAGGGAGCACCGGGACGGGAGAGGTGTTCTTATAGAGGAGTAGCACCTACCCTTCACGGGTCAGATAATAGACCAAAACAGGTAGAGGTAAGAAAGAGGGCGTTGTTCCTCGATCGGTCGAGCGGCGAGCGATTTGGGATGTTACGTTTGGAGTGAACGGGCAGGAAGCTAGTTGCAGGGGTAGCTGAGATCACAACAGAAGGCAAGAGCAATCTGTGCGGGCGGTTTTCTTCAGAAGCAGGGTGACAGGCTGACGAGGAAGGCGATGTGCAAGAGATGCACCCAGATACCCGCCAGCATGAGCAGTCCGACCGCTCATGATGTAAGTCACGACAACTTGAGCATCATCAATTCCGTGACCTGCAGTTACATCTACCTTCGTGAAGCTAGTCATCATTCGTGCTAAGCTGGTCGAGACAGACGCACCGAAAAGAGGTATATTGACTGCGCTCTTCACTTTCAGAACACAGACGTCACCACCAAATGTATGGAGGCTGGTCCATCTCTCAGGTCCAACTCATGGAGCAGTTGCACCTGCCTGCCCAGACGATTAACCTCCATAAGCCAACTGAAGATGAAACCATATGAATGATGGATGTATAGCTCAGGTTACTGTAATGTAATGATTTTGATGAGTTTGCTTGGAAATGATGAATTGGTGAGAAACTACAAGTCCACTGCGAATGTTCAGTAATCGTCTTCTTCCTGTTAGTGCCATAGTTGGCGTGTAAGTAAACAATCTTACGAGAAACCCCATGCCGATGCTGAGCAGATCGCAGAATTAAAGAATGAAGAACATAAGAATCAGATAAACATTCATAGAAAGCAACTCAGTGTAACAGGCGCAAGCCCTTACCATTCTCACAAATTCATACGACAGGAGACTGACGGAGAAGCATGACAAAACTCGAACGTGACTTAAATACATACCTACTTACCCAACTCGCCGCCCTATTCAACTACGCCAGAACTCCATACCAAATCCCAGCGCCAATGGCACCTCTTCTTCTCTACAGAGCCCGGACCTACCAATCGCCCCAGGTATCATCGTCCTTCTTCCCTGCCGGCCCTGACCCCGGCGTGGTCTTCTTGACAGCACTTGTTCCGATACCACTCGGTTTCTTCCTCTCCCCCAGACCTCCGCTTGTCCTTGTCTCTCCTGCGCTCGAGAATTCGTCCCAGAAGTCCTGTTTGTCTTTGCCCGGTCCCGCAGGTGAAGCACCAAACGATTCCCAGAAATCCTTACGCTCAGGCTGTGCGGCAGCGCCACGCGTACCCGAGACGTTTTCGCCTTCCACAAAGCGGTTGAAAGCCGTGCCGGCGTTGGCGGCGGAAGACTGGATAGTCTGACCTAAGGTGCCTGCAGTTGTGCGGGCTTGAGAGGCAATGTCTGCTTCGGCGAGCTGTTTTGTGTCAGCCGCGTTGGTTTCAAGGCTCGTTGGAGAACGGAGACATACCTTTTGCATCCCGGGCTTTACCCACCCCTCGTATCCTGTCTTACCCACCTTACTCACACTCGCGCCTAACCATCCAAAGCTCTTGGTCAACGCCGCAACAGGATCCTTCTGGAAATCTGCCAACTCAGGTGGGGCATCAGGCTCGTCCTTCTTCCACGAGTCAGGCTCACTTCCAAAGCCAGCGTACTTCCCGCCTTGGTTGGGCGCTACGTCATCACTGCGGTTTGCGTTCTCAGCACCCATCTTCGCAAAATAGGACTCGTTCTTCGTTTTCTGAGACATCGCGTTCGTGCCGAGTGCGGGTGAGCCTGAACGGCCGAAGCTGGCGTCACTGTTTCGTGTCTTGCCTAGGGGTGTTTGGCTTCTGCTCCCTGCTGCGCTTGCTCGTCCACTCAATGGAGCACCAGCACCAGCAGCCGTGGTTTCTTTCTTCGGGAGTCTCTTGGGTAGGTTGCTTTTGTCAAACTCCCTGCTTTCGACCTTGCAACTCAGTCTTTCCTTCCACTCATCGCCAGCCTCAGAGTCGTACCGCTCTTGGATCGTCGAAGCCTCGAACGTTCTCCCATCCTTAGTGTTCGACGTATGGGTGTTGAAGAAGTCTTGGAAAGGTTTGTTGCCGCCGGCTGCCATGCGCGCGAGTTCAGCGCCCTTGAAAGCGTCCATCGTTATACTGCGGATGAACGAGATGTGTACCCCGAGACCGCGGTGGACGCCAGAGCATGAGAGGCACATGAAGATGCCGAGCTTGGGTGAGGCCTGGGGTATACTATCTTAGTACACATTGCTGGTGATGCGGTTGCGTGGGTCAAAGAGGGAGTAGTTGCGCACCCATTGTGGACTCGGCGCATTGCAATCGACGCACTTGTTGTTATCGTTTGTCTTCTGTATTTCCTGTAGCTGAGGTAGACGGTCAGCTTTTGATATCTTGCAAGTATTCGTGTGTCTTCCCAGTGCTGCCCCTTGCGTTCCTGATCGACCCCTAAGCTCCCCGCATCCAGCTTGCGCTCATCACGTACCTTACTCCGCGTTTCCGGGTCCACCTCCCACATTTTACTCATGATGAACAACTGGCGGCGAACTCAAGAGTACGCAACTGATAATTTATGAAGCAAAGTCGGGTTGAGTTACGGAGTCTAAACGCGTGACGATCGAAAAGAATGTGGAACCCATACGTAAGTCAAGGTTGGGGGTCAAAGCGGGAACGTGGCGCATGAGCCTCATCAGGCAAGGATACAACTCCAACAAGCTGGAACCTAGACACGATCGTAACTCTCCATTCGAGCGAAAAACACATTGGCATACGATGGTATTTCCTAGCCTTTATATGTACGGCTGTGAAAGTGTTGCAGAGGAGTTACGATTCCAGCAATCCTTCTGCGAACAACAGCCTCGATGAACGCTTTCAAGAACCGGAACACCTCGCAAACACAAGCAAATTCACGTTCTGGAGGACGGAATGTATAAGTCTCCAAACAGAGAGGAGTGGTGCTCGTTGATACTGCTAGGAGCAAAGCCTCCAAAAGTAGACCATACTTCCAAAATATCATCATCCAAGAACGTATACTCCTGCCAACGCCTCGCAGAGGATCAACCAACGCAGAATAATGACCGTCTCATCATGCATCACACCAGCAGTCCACAATGCTACTGCTTGTACCTTTGTCGAACATGCCTATGCGCCATCTCCCCAGATCCCGACCACTTGCGTGACAAACGCCACACCAGCAAGAACCGTCTTGATGCTCTCCGTGAACTTCTTCTTCTCCACAGCCTGTCGGACTTGCTCGCCATTTACGTCATCGCCTTGCGCCTCCAGATCCAACGCTGTTCTCTGCTCGTTTGTGCCTTCTTGGAACGAGACAGCATAATCGACGCCTGGCCCCGATGCGAAGGCAAAGATGGAGGTGTAGAGGAGATATGGATGGCGAAATCGGCGAGGTGATAGCAGGTAGGCGGAGAAGAGCGTGAATGTTGTAATGTGGCGCAGATACGTGGACAAGTATTGAGACTTGTTGGAGAGGTAGGTGAAAGATGTGCGCGCGTCGACGGCGGTGGGCAGCGCGAGGAGGGATGGGAGCGTGAAGGTGGAGAGGGATGCTGAGACGCCCTAGAGAAGTTGTTAGTACGAAACTCTGACCGAACACTGATCGTGTGTTTGGACTTGAGCTTGAGCTTATCAAACACAAGTACAGGTGGGGGAGCCGCATGAGGTGGCGGGTGTCTACATACCGTGAGCAGACCCAGACTTATCGTCCCCACGAATTTGCAGATGGATACTGTTTGCGCAGCCATGTTGCTAGTAGTTCAACAGCGCAGAGACAGGTAGAATTGGGGTGATTCCTGGAGAGGTGGTGTTGAAGGTTGACAGCTAGCTTGGAGTCATGCACGCTGACGTTACCCTTGCTCCCTTGCTTGAGCTTGGCACCTTAAATGCGGAGGGTGAGCACATGCAAATCAGTAGTAAGGCCCACAACACGTCTTTCTCGCATCGCGTACGTTACCTTCTCCTAATCTCTGAACTAGAAGACGCGTTTGAATCCAAGATACCCCGGAAAATGAATCCCATGCCCCAGACTGCGTTTCCCAGTGCCTTCGTCGGATGCGGATAGTCAGTTCGTGACGTTACCTCGGCCAGGATCTGCGCGAATCCGACGTTCGCGTACACCGTTCATTTCATAGCTCTCGGCCGTAACTTCTGCTTATATTTCACTTATCAACTTGTAACCATCTGCTTGCCAACGCGACTCCGCCAGTATTGCATTTCTCTCCCTGCAAGCACCTGTAACAGCAACCAACCGATCCCAAGCATTTACTCAACACCATGCCTCTTGAACCGTATGATTTCGTGAGCCCTGTCTGGAGGGAAGGCATCTTTAGTACGTTAGCAATATAGCTCTGATGGCCTTCTTTGCCAAAGCTGTTTGTTTTCGATAATCCTGCCATGACAGCCCGCACTCGCCAGCTCCTCTACTGACAAACTCCCTCACAGATAACAAGGTCGTCTTCTGCACCGGCGGCGCAGGATCGATCTGCTCAGCTCAGGTTCGCGCTCTTGTATACCTTGGTGCCAATGCCGCCATCATCGGTCGTAATGTCGAGAAAACCGAACGAATGGCTCAAGACATCGCAACTGCACGGAAGGGCGCAAAGGTTATTGGCATCGGCGCAGTAGATGTGAGAAAACCAGAATTGCTCCAAGCTGCAGCGGACAGAACTGTCAAGGAGCTAGGCAGTATCGACTTCGTCATGTGAGTTGCGACATCAAACACTTGGTGGAGAGAGGAACCTGACAGTGCATAGTGCTGGTGCGGCAGGTAACTTCCTTACGACTATCGATAACCTCTCGACGAATGCGATGAAGTCAGTCATCGATATCGATATTCTTGGGTCGTATAATACCGTCAAAGCAACATTGCCATATCTCGTCGAGTCAGCAGGCAAGCACAAGACAAATGGTAAGACCGCGCCTCAGAATGGGACCGGTGGTCGCATTATCTTCGTGAGCGCAACACTGCACTACCAAGGTACGGTACTGCAGAGCCATGTGTCGGTTGCGAAGGCAGGCATAGATGCTATGTCCGTGTCTGTAGCAATTGAACAAGGGCCCAAGGGTGTCACCTCCAATGTCATAGCCCCAGGACCCATTGCAGGCACAGAAGGCATGGCTCGTTTGTCGAAAAAAGAGAATCTTGCAGCAGCGAACAAGGCAGTTCCAGTAGGGCGGTTTGGATACGTCAAGGAGATCGCGGATGCAACCGTTTACCTCTTCTCAGACGCAGGAAACTTTGTCAACGGAGAGACAGTCGTTGGTGAGTTGCGCACTCGTTTCCAATAACTACAGAATTTACGCTGACGACCTGTACTAGTCGATGGTGGCGCATGGCATACTGCTGGCTTTGCCGGTGGCTTCGAATATCCAGAGTTCCTGCTATCAGGGGAGCAAGTGACGGGCGTCGCGGGCAGCACCAAGAAGTCAAAGCTGTAGCGGATGAATCAAGTGGAGCTCTTGCTTATGCGATCGAATGTGCTCACACACGAATTACTCTCCATGTTCATCTTTCCTCTAGCGAGACATTGCAAGTCATGATTGGAGACGTTGCATCCCCTCCGAGCCGCCGAATCTCGATGCCTTTCGTTGGCTGTTCCCACACGAGCCCAGTATTCAGACTCATTTTTGAAATATATGCGGTGCTTTGACAGATCTGATAAGGCTCGTTTGATGGCATGCGTCATTGTTACGACTCCTGAGGTGGGCCTGTGGACAGCGTTTCGTTAATCTATCAATACGAGCATAGTTACTGCAACAACACGCGACTGTTTTTCAATATGCAGCAGCAATCTTCACCTTGTTTCAGACATCAGCCACAGCGGGAGAGTCGCGTAGATCAAGACTGTTTAATGGGGTATGACGCAATCCTGAATGACCAATTCGGCGCGAATGGACGCGTTCCCACTCTGCAATGAAGATCGACAGGGGCTCTTGCTCCACATAGACCGAAAGCGTGAGGCTGGGGGATATAGATGACTTCAGACTCGATGAGCTGGCAGTCGAAATGTGAGACTCCAGAAACCCAAGGGCGCGTCGCCGTGTTTGTTGCGATTTGATTAGTGTCACTCACGCACCTGGGGAATTCTGAAACAGTGCACTCACCCACACGTCGGTCGTACAAGGGCTGTGGGTACAACAACAAGGGGCAACACACGACGCCAAGTGCAGGCAGAGATGGCAACTGACAGGTTGACATACATGCAACGGACACCTGCTTATCGCATCGCTTTGGGGGTTGTCGTACCCCGCATAAGAGCACCTGCTTGGAGTGGATAATAGATCATCTCGTGAATGCAGCAACGCTCCCCGTTGGGTGTGCACAGAACGGGTGGTTCGCGATAGGACGACGCGGACCATCGATAATACCGCCGCTAATCTTGTCTATGCGGCAGATGATCAGCGCTCATCATGGACAAAAACATGTTGCCTGTCCGCGCTGTGCGCCCATCCCTCCTTTCTCCCCAGCTCTTCCGGTTCTCACCTTAACACACTCGTTATACAGTTTCTTTCCTTTCACTCACTGTCTATTGACACGCGTTCGTTTCCGTCTTTCCGCACTTTAGCCACACAACATTTCGGAGCCAGTTCCGAAACGAGATCACTGCTAGGTCTCGACAACAAAGGTTCTACGCACGGTTTATCGCAAATCTAGGCGGCTCTACAACCTTGGTCGGTCGACTGCACGGCACTGGATAGTGATGTTCATCCGCGTCATGACAATATAGGCACCGCTTGCGATACCACAAGGAGTTTACGACACTTCTCAAACACTATCGACTACTACGAACGCATCTGCAAACTCACTTGCAGTAGTGCTTAGGAATTCTGAAGCGCTTGCGTGCCACGGTGCAGCGTGTCCTGAAGTGAAGGCGGGAGGCGCGGAATCTCAAGGTTGGCGATCTGCACGGATTCTGTATTTGGCAAGTACGAGTAGCTAGCGCCGTTGTAAGTCCTTGGCTTAGCTCCACCAGCTCTTGTTCCCAACAGCAGCTTGCGCAACTCTTTTCCCGCCTCCTCGATAATCCGCCGACGACATTACCCGTTTGGCTTCTCTGTCTAAGCGCAGCATGCTGACGCCCATTTGATTGACCAGGTCCCCAGCCTGCGGCGACACTGCTCAACTGCCCAACTGCTTCGTTCAGGCTCAGGAGCCCTAAGAGGCGGCACGACTTCGCGACATCGCCTCCTATCGCGTTCAACCCATATACCGCGCCGACAAATCCGCAAGACGGCATTTCTCCTCTACCTTAATCATCTGTTCACGACACTGGAGGCATTCAATCGCTATCCCTGGTCGTTATCTTCGTGAAGTCCCCAGCACGCCGATCAATTCACTACGGCATCTCGAGAACTGCACAGGCTCCCCGAAGGATCACCCCACTACTCTCCAAGGAAGCTTTAATTCCCACCGTCAAATCCAAGCGCTCTCGAAGAAAGACATCGAAATATCTACTCAACTCAATCTCATCATGTCGCTCGCCATGGGTCGTGTGTTCAAGTCATCGTACTCGGGTATCTTTGCCACGCTTGCTATACTACTGTCGCTTTCGCCAGTGAAAGTAGCCGCTAGTGGGGCGTATTGTTCAAGTCAAAACACCGCTACTGGTGATGCTTGTAAGTATTGCTCCACCATTGTCCTTACCAACCTAATCGCCGTAGTTTTCTGGACATTTCAATCAAACGGCAAGTGTACCGACTACTGTAACGGTCTCGGCACGTATGCCTTCGCTGTCATCCAATACACAAACTGCTGGTGCTCAAACTACATTCCTTCGGACCAAGCAGACCTCAGCGGTTGTCAGGTTGATTGCCCTGGTTTCCCGGACGACAAGTGCGGCAGCAAAGACGATGATCTTTATATTTACCTCAGTCTCGGCGCTAAGGCCTCCGGTACTGTAGGAGGCTCCAAGTCGACTTCTACTACTTCTACTACTACTTCTACTTCTACTACTTCTACTTCTTCTAGCGCCGCGACTAGTTCGGCACCTGCTCCAACTTCGACAAGAATTGCGACTTCGGCTGCAGCGATTACTGTTAGTACATTTTGTTCTGTCACATTGTCTACGCCAATCTCACCTTTCCTTGTTGTCTTGTCAATCCTTTCTTATCGTTCTCCCTCTATTTGGTTCTGGGGTTTGACATCTCAGGTAGCCTACACCGGCTCCGCCACGTGAGGTCTCCACAAGTCGTCGCATGTCCGGTCCAGCAACAGTCATCCAGACAGTTGTTGGATCGGTGATGACTACCACCGTGGCGCCTTCTCCAACTTCAACTTCTGCTATTCCTGTATTTGTCCCATTTCTTTGTGACACTCCGCGTTTCAACTTATAGAATCTAGCTAACCCTCAACACAGAGCGCAAGGGCTTCGACAACCCTTCAAACAATTCCCAGCAGCGTTGATCACGATCAGGATCAGACGACCGTTCAAGTTGTTACCGAGAGTGGTTCTATCGTTACCCGCACTGTTGTTTTGACACCAAGCAATGCGTCGAGTTCGCAGACAAGTACCCGTAGCAAATCGAATACTGCCGCCATTGTAGGGGGTGTGGTTGGTGGTGTTGCCGGAATCGCACTCGTTATTGGCGGAATTCTGTTTTTCCTCTGGAGAAGGAGAAGGCAACAGTCAGAAGAACAGCATTCACCTGCCAGCATCACACGCAATACCAGTACTATGAGCAAGGCTGGCTTGCTTGGAGGCAAGACGGAGAAAGGCATTCAGTACCCGCCGAAGATCAGCACGAGATTCGGTTCACAAAACAGTCGACAGGATTGTGAATCCATCAGTCCAGGGTCAGGGCGTCGTTATAGTCAACCGCTTGTGTTTGACTCGCGTCTCAACCCAACACAACTGATGGTATTTGACAATTCAAGTCACGGTAGCATTGACGACAGTCATGACTATGGGCGGCGATTAGGCGTATGTGCTTCCATTCACTTATCTAGATACAACACTGACAAGATACAGGTCGCCAATCCCGATCCGCCGAATCGCGATTCAATAGACCGATCATGATCTGCGATACCAACCATCTCAAGGATTCGATATCGCTAAGCGCTAGCGGTAGCAGGTGGATGGCCGCGGCGCTGTCACGACCTGACGAACTCGCCACCAAAGCTTTGGCTCACACCGCTCCTTACACCTGTACAGAAACATACTATGCTTAGCATTGGCGAACGGCGTTAGGGTTGGCATACCCGCTGAACTAATTCATGATTTTGAGCGGCATTCTCGGAACCCACTCTCATTTCTCTGGAGCGACATGCACAGATCATCTTCGAATCGACTATCATAGACATTAATGCCGCCTCATATTGTATACCACCTTCTTTCGCCCACATCTCCTATCATGCTGTCACGTATATATCGGAGGAAGAACGACAGGCGCTAGGGCGGGAACATGGGAGACATCTTAAATCACAGTATAAGATAAATGAGCAACCGGATTGGCTGCGACGCTCTGGACAACGCCAAGGAGCGCACCTGCAGCAGTAGTTCATCGAATCACAGACCTCGCTTGGCCGCTTGCAAGCGCCGCGACCTAGGGGCGCGAAGGGCTGCGGGCCGCATTGGCCGCGTAGTGGTATATACAAATCAAAAGCAAACAAAGCACAATTATCCATTGAAAACAATATGCACACCACGTCTGCGTCCCGAGCCCATCGCGATTTGTTCGAGTTTCACTATATTTTGGATTAGAGGCGCGTCCCACCACTGAAGTAAAAACATATTCTGGGCTAAACAGAGCGGCTATTGAAAAGACATTGGATTGAAGTGATTACGAGTTTTCTTTCTCTCGTTCTCTCAATCATTATCAGGGTGCACAAACTCACAATGTCCACAGCCGGCCGGCCGGCAGAGGCAGAAGCAAGAGGCTTTTGAGTTATGCTTTTTGTTTTACTCGCCAAGTGTCCAGACCTTCTTGATACGACCGGAGTGATTAAAGGAAATTCGGTACGTGATGCTCATTCATTGTTTGGGTGAATCCCCACCATCACGATTAGACTTCAACCAAATGTATACAGTGAATGTAATTTCATTCGCCGAGTATACGAAAGATATGGAAAAAAGAAAAGTAGATAAGCACGCTTTTGCCATTCCGGCCATGTCCATAAGCTTGCAAACCGTTGATATGAATCAGATGGGGCCGAGGGAAGTGCTGGGTTATTGAGAATGATGGGAACGTGCAGATCTCGGTGCTCGGTAAAAGAGGTGCAAATCACCGTAATAGTTGAACGCAAATGGAAAGACTAAAGTGGAAATGAAGTGTGTGGCCGAAATGAGATTTCGCCGCTCGGTTTTGGTAAGGCTCATTGCTCCGCTAGGTGTACATCTTCATGTATCGTGAACGAAAGTGTAGCTGAAGAGCAAGCAACCGAGATTTGAGGACTGGATCTCGTCGTCTTTGCTTGGCCAGGTGAGCTGGCATTAAGATTCGTGCTTGACTCGTTTGGCCTCTGTAGTAGTTGAGGATTCTGTCCTCGTGCGCTTCGCCATCTTGTCAAATATGAAAGCGAAGTCTTCGTCCTCCCCTTCCTCAATGTCTAGACTCTCTGCTGACGCTTTCGTTAAGTTATCTTCTTTTTTGATGCGTAGTGGGAGTTTGCCACGCAGCTCAGCAGCCATCTCTAACAACTTTGGAATTTGTGCTTCGACATCAGCTCGAATGGACTCGCCATCTCGCGTGATTATATAGTCAATCGGTGCCTCGCTTCGTATCGAAGTGCTGAACTCTTCTAACAGCTTCTCAATACTGGCAAAATGCTGTTCTAACAGCGAACGCATGATCGTGTCGAACTCACTTTGGAAGTGTTTCAACAACCGGTCGACGAGATGGTTTTTCGGGTCCAGAAATAGCTCTTCCATACGCTTCTTTTGAAACCCGATCTTGGGAGTCACATATCGCTTATATTGCTTCTTTTTTCCAGCCACGGGCGGCGGCTTGAGCTCAGGTTCCGACTGGAAGACGTCAACATAGATATCATCTGTGATCTGTGCTATGAGGTTGTTCTCTCGTCCAAACTCCATAGTAGCCCACTCGAGCGTCTTCTTCTCCAGCTTGTCGACTTCATCCATCAGTATCATCAATTTTGCCTGAATTTGGTGGCGTAGCGGGTTCCATTTTCTCTTGGCTTTGTCGACAGTGACCAGATTCGCGCTTGAGTCGTTCATCATTACGTTAGTCTTGTCGTGAAGCTGATCCAATGCTTTCCGTAAGGAGGATGCCATCTTTTTCATGCCTAGACTGTGCGTTTTCGACCACTTGGTGAACCCTGGTGATAACACTTTTGCCAGTTCTTTGTTCCAGTTGCAGCCTTCGTCGAGACCTTTTGCCTTGGAAGCTCCCTTGAGAACTTCGCCACGGCACTTCAGAATCCTAGTGAAGGCGGCACCTTTGTGCCTGAACCAGTCTTCTGTCACCTTCTCTTCCACCTGTTCCTTGAATGTAGGGATGTCTTTTTCAATTCTTCCCAAACTCAAGTCGGATTGATACTGGAAGGACGACTTTGCTTGCGCAAGCAGTCGTGTCATAAAACCTCTGCGAATACTATCGAACTCGTCAGCGATAGTACGGAACCCACCATCGCGGTCGGTGTCCGACACTGTTCGCTTGATTTTTTCAATGAATGCTGGAACAATGATATTGATGTGTCGTTCATAGTCCTTGAGATTCTGCTCAGCGGGGAGTGACATCAGGAATTTTCGGATTGCTGGCACGCCGGTCATGCTCGGGGACAAGGCTGGTTGATTCATAAACCCAATCTTGGCCTTCTTGATTGATTCCATGTAGTCTGAAGCGGATGCGTGAAAGACCTCGGGAAGATCATTCAGAGAACGACCTTGGAGCTTCGACGCCAATTCTGCCGTGATATGTTTTGCGCGCTCTGAAATCTTTCTCTGTTTGATACAACGATCCTGGTAAGTCTTGTATCTGGCGATCGTTTCTCGTTTTACGGCACTATTGCTATCGTCATCCTCGTCTTCGTCTGTCTCTTGCTCTTCGACACGCTGAACCATCTCTCTGATTCGATCGTATTCCCCGCCACCACATTGAGCAAGTTGATTTGGGGTAAGAGACTATCAACTTTGTCAGTTGGGTTGCTTGTTCGGGCTCTTGAACACACTCACATCAATCTTCGTTGCTACCACCTTGACTTTCGAAGCGCCATGATGAGCCATGGCTGCCCGCACACTGTTGATGACCTTGTCATCGGAAGCGATCCGAATCGTGTCAGCAAGGATGATCTCCACATCCACGCTATCCTTGATCTCCTCTGCATGTCGGACTCTCGAGAGATTGATATCACCCCATCCTAATGAACAGTCAGCCAATAATCCTATGTAAAGCAGGGTAGCTACGAACCTGGAAGATCGAACAGCTCAATTCCTGCCTGGAGCAAGTCGTGATGGAACCTGATTGCGACATTGTCTACGAGTGGCCATAGACAGCTCTGTCCCTTGATACCGGTCAAGAAAGGCCGAATTTGCTTCAGGAGATCTCTCTGATCATCCGCGATTTTGAGGGAGATGTTTTGCGTGTCGACATTCTCTTTCTTAAGAGCCTCCTCACATTTGAGTTGGCAGATTCGAACAAATTCTCCACTCTTAAACGCAGGAGCGCTCCAACTCTCGAGAAAGGAGTCACGAGACCCAAACAGCGTTCCAAAGATATCTTCTGCAGTGTCTTTCAGGCTCCTGTCTATCTCATCCTGACGGATTGGCTTGACTGGAAAACTATCTTCATCATCAGAATCGTCATCTGCGTTGTGATAGTAATAGTATGAGCGCGCGTGTTCTTTGAGCAAGGCCTCCCTCTTTGCTGCAGTTAGGAATTTGATTTCGCCAAAGTACCTGGTCTCGCCGTTGCTTATCGGGGCCTGAACATATCTGGTAATAGAGCTAGTGCAGGCTGCACCTTCTGCACTAGTTAGCGAAAGACCATCAAGGTCAAATAATGCATTAATTATGAGGCTCTTTCCAGCACCTTGAGCTCCTAGAAGCGCGACTTTGATTGCTGGGCTTCTTAGAACATAAGAAAGAGTTGATGCAGTCCGTAGAAGGTGTTGAAGTTCTCTGTCGCTTTTAGGAGCACCAGTCAACAAGTTGATGATTAAATCAGACAGCTTCTTAAGCAGAACGTCAATAGTAGTCTTGTCAAGGCTCTACTACAGATGCTCTTGCTTAGGTTCAGTTTTAGAATCGTATCTCAATATGGTCTTCCTCGGCTGGAGGTATGCCGGAAACTCGTCAAACGTCAGAAGTGGATCCGGTTCCATGATGTTGTGTCGGTATTAGTGACAGGAAGCAATGCAAATCTGTAGGAGGAGAAAGCTAAAGACGAGGACGTAACTTTGAGGAGAACCCAGTTATATATAGGGGAGGAGGGAGGAGAAAACATCCATCAGATGGGCGATCAACTCAGAAGTGAGAGAGAAAGAATCTGGCAACACTTAATCATCTGAGGTAAAGGACAGCCGACTGTAAGGCATGGTGAAATAAAATCACGACTCAAAAGATCTAACCGTTTACCTTATGGATTGCGGGACAAGTAAAATTTCGGCCAATTTCAACTGTGATAATGACAATATATGTGACATTTCATCGCAATGTGTCCCTGATATATTCTAAAGCACCGGGTAATGTCAACCGCTCAATGTTTGACATGCTAGAGCTACCGATTCCAGACATATAGGAACCCGTGAGGCCATCATGCAACCTTCTGAGAATACATCCGGCGCAACAACCAGAACTGTTTTGCTGGAAGCGTTGACCGCTCGACTTTGAAGGCGAATAGACCTCGGTCGTATTCCTTACAAAAGCCAAGCTATGAGATTGTCACTGAACGGTGGCTATTCAACTTCGAAACTGCTCGTCAGTGTCGATGTATTGGATTTATTATTGGCACATTCAACTGTACGCGTAAATCCAGATGGGTTTCTATGTCCCAGTGCTGACATCGCTCGCGCACGTGACATGAGGCTTCACTCTAATTCGTTCCATATGCTGTAGTGCTAAAGAATAGCGGCGCAGGAAACGAAAATTAACTAACTGATCAAAACATTTGTTGAACATTGTTATTGTCCCCAATGACCATACCCGAGCCCTCCTTGTCTTCAATCTTATCGCGTTGTGAAAGAAACTTCAACAGTCCATGCATTGAGATGTATATGACATGGGAGTAACAAGAACTGTTCTATATCCTTAAATTGTATAACCTAGCCATACCAAATGAGCTCATAGGGCTGTATTGACGGATAGTATATAAACTACTCTATCGCAAACTTTGACATAAAAACCGTATAACAACATGGAACGCTACAAGCAAAGCAATTTGAGATTGTTTCAATGATACATAAAGCGCACCAGTATTCTCTTAGCCAATCTCGACCGCATTTATGGTTAAAACGAAGTCTTGCTGAGGACAAGGCAGAGACCTCTACTAAAAGACATAACCAGTCAATCTGGCCTACCTTTGTCGGCCCATGGTTTTGACAAATAGCCCGAGTTTAACTCAATAAGGAGCTATACTAGATATGAAGAACAGACGTAAGATGTATGCAATTTGTCTTCGAGGCACCCCCAAATACTGTCTTCAAGTCCCACACTCAAAATGATATGAAAGCTCCAGATGCTCAACAACGGAACGAACCCCTCATCTGGACAATGTACAAAAATCTCATGCTAGAAGCCATGGCTCTCGTGCGTGGTTTTACTTCAAAGGTCTTTCTACATCAGTGGTGATCTTTCCTAGCTGGAATCCACCCTGGCTGCTACCAAAAATGGTGTACGAAAGTATTGTAGAGTTACGGCTAGGTGTCAGGGTGATGGAAACCGAGGTGGTTGCCTAGCTCATTGAATAACGTCTTTGCCTCATTTCAAACCTTCACACCCAAACTCCACCAAATACTCATCTACCCGTCCTACCTCAATATTTTGTTCCTATCCCATTGTCCCGAGCCCACGGATTTCGAGCCGATCACTGACCAGTTAGAGCTTGATGGTACATCGGCATTCAACTCTTCCATCTGAACGTTCAATTCCCAGCACTCCGTTTTTGACGAGCTTGAATTTTGGTATTCTTGAGATGCGGTTCTACCGCGCTGTTCTATTGGGCGAATCCGCGAGTTCAATGTAGCGGAAAATGAGATACAAGTCATTAGTCGCTCTCGTAATGGCGCAGTACACGAGATCCGCACTCGTGCGGAACTCCGCATGTCAGGCAACCTGCGAGATCGCAACCATGACTTGTTGAGAATGTATCAGACCACCATTTGCCAGGTGACTGAGAAGCGATGTTGACGCGTCCGGGCAGTGTAAGACGCGTATCTGTGGTAGGTACGGTCTCCGCATCGTTTGTTGTCGCTGGGCTACCACTCTATGCACTCGACTTCAAGATCAACTGCGACACTCTCACCATAACACAAGACGGGCATGAGTGGAATCTGCTATCCCAAAATGAAGAAGGCACAAATTGGTATGGCCTCCATTCCGTTATGTGGTTCCTCAACTCACATCGATCTGCTTTCAGTGACACCAGCCGTCGATGAGGCATTCAAAGCATTCCTGACAGACACCATATATCTGGCTCTTCCGTTGATGCTCGTGGATGATACGCTTCTACCACTGGCGCCCATACGTCCCAGGGATCTTGACTCCTCGTTCCAAAGTAGCCTGAACCAGCTCGACGACATCCTGAACACTCGAATACCACTCTACCTATTTTTGCGCCGCAACAACTCCGTAACCGCTATAACATACGTGCCTTATCTTTCAAAAGAACCTCACAGAGCTTTCTTCCTCGAAAATCGCCATGACCTGGTGCGCCAGCTGGGCGAAGAGCATCTCTCGTCATCTTTGATTTGCAAGGAGATCGGAGAGATAACAGACGCTCGATCCTGGGCTGAGCGAGACGAACACGAGCAATCATGTACCGAAATGGAGGGAACTTTGAACGGCGGCATCAAAGACATGGGACACAAGCAAAACAAATGTCGCCTCTGTGATCGGCGTATGAAGAATCCTATCGATGATAACGCTGTAGATGCATTGAAGAAGCTCTACAGCTCCGGAGCAACGGTACAGATAGTACGCACTGCGTTCTACACCGACTCTACGTGCCGCTAACTCTACATAGTCTGTCGACATCACCATCAACACACTGAAGCTGAACTTCTTCACCTTGCTCCCACCAGAAGACGTCACAGCGAGACTCCCTACCGAACGTCCAAGTTTTACCTTCTACCGACATCCCTCCACAAACATCCTGTACTTCATCTTCTGCTCTCCAGACAGCGCATCAGTACAAGAACGCATGAAACACACCATGGCGATCCCGGGACTCGTCAACGTTCACGCAGAAGATAACGGTGTGCATGTGGACCAGAAGATTGAGATCCATGACCCAGCCGATCTGGTGTTCGAAGCAAAAGATGATCGTATCGGAAAGTTTCGAAGCCTGTACTTGAGGAATGCGACCGAGGGCACGGAGTCGACGTATAGCGCTATGGAGGCCGACAAGAGCTTTTTTGATGCTGTTGAATAATTCGGGTGTTGTGTTCTGAAGGGAATAGGTTGGTGATTTGGTCTTGTCACGGTTAGCTAACTCATCATGCATATCGCTCTTTTGCGTATGATCCTTGTTGGTCGTCGCGGAAAGCCCAACTTGCCTTTTTTCCCTAAGAAATAACGAGAATATAGATTGTGAACCCGTCACATTCTTGTTACCAATCGATCTCCAGCAGACGCCGGTACAGTATGTATGTTACATGTTCACACTGCAAAGGAAAACAGCAATCGCCTATGCATATCAGATCCCCAAATTTACACATCCGGACTTGACATACTGCATACTGCCACTCCCGATACATCTGCACATTAGCGCTGCTGACAAGTCCCCGTGACACGACAACGACGATCTTGTTTGTCCGTTCGGGACCAGCTCATGCAGTGCGGAACGTTCGTACCACCCAACCCAGCACCTCGAGCAAACAACTCGCTGTCTTTCAGCCCACACACACCCCGTATCCAAACGCCATATGCTCTTGTTCTCCATTCTCCCACGCTCATATCTTTCACTTCACTTCACTTCCTCGCATCTATGATGACCCCCCGCTAGACGTTTTCATTGGTCTTTGATCCCCCCTCTCTCTGCTACCATCCAGCCGTAAATCGGGAACACACTGGTTTCTCACCTCCATCGTACCATGGGCGCAGGTCAATCCACCCCACCCCCTCTCGTCAAAGTCTCCGCACCAGGAGGAAAAGTGTTCGTCCCAGCTGGTACTTAACCCCTCCCTGCCCCATCCATCTTCCGTATTTCTAAAAACAAATGCAGGTTCTGCGTTTTCCGTACACCCAGCACCAACCCGCAACGCCGCAGGCCCAGTCTACAGATCGCCCAAACAGCGACGCGCACATCGGGATCTCGACATCGGCACCGAAGCGAGCGAGAGCGAGTTCGACGTGGAGATGGAAGGGTATCCTGCACGGGGAATGCGGAGGGGCATGGGGTATGGAGGACGAAGAGGGGGCATGGGGGTTCGCGAGATGGATATGCGATCTAGATCTGCGCCGGAGATGTATATGGGACCGCAGCCGGGGATGGGTATGATGGGGAGTCCTAGGATGGGTGGTAGGGGCATGGCTGGGATGGGCATGGGCATGGGAATGCCGAGTCCGAGGATGGGCGGCCGGGGGATGAATGGTATGGGGATGGGGATGCCGAGTCCACGGATGAATCCTATGGGTATGGCTGGGATGGGGGGAAGGGGCATGCCGCCAGAGTACACTCCTATGCCCGCCATGCCACACTATGGCGGCGGCGGCGGTGGTGGTGGTGGCGGTATGCCCAACGCTGCTGAGAACCCCTATGCATATCCGCCCGCGCCATCAGAATCCACCAGCTCCCCATCCGTAGCACCCCTACAGCCACAGCCGCGACGCCCGGGTCGACCCCCAGGCCTCTACGAGCGCGTCCCCATGGCTGCTTACACTGCGCCATCGAAACCCACACGCTCGTATACCGAGCCGCCTACATCTACAAAACTAAACCGCAATCAACCTGCTAGCAAAAAGGTTGGACCTTCAGGTCGTGAATGGCTGGACGGCGACGCGTTCCTCGATGCCTGTGTGTGCACGACGAACTGCACGTGCCGCAAGGGCCACCGGGTGTTATACCGGTCGAAAGACGACGCATGGGACGAAGATGCCGAGGGAGAGAACAGGTACGGGAGTGGAGAGATACGGTACATCCTCAAGGAAGACTTGGGGCGGGATTGTGGAGATCACGAGGGGTGCAAAGAGAAGAAGAGCACGAAGAGCTCTGACGACGAATCAGCGAGAAAGGAGCGCAAAAAGGGGAAGAAACAGGTGAAGAAGGAGAAAGAGAAGTTTGAAGGGTTCAAAGAAGAGTTACTGGAGGCGCTTGACGAGCGCTTCGAGGACATGAAGAAGAGTCAGAAACCACAACGGGGGACGAGGTTTGCTGCGGATCTTGGCAATTTCGAGCCTCCAGGGCCGAGTCCGTTCGGCATGGAAGAGCCGGGCATGCATATGGATCCGAGGATGGCGCAGAGAAGGGGTATGCCCGCTGACCCGTATGGTATGAACATGGGCGGTATGTCTGGAATGGGCAAGATGGCGCCTGGTATGGCTGATCCCATGATGGGGAGAAATATGCCTGGAACGGGGAATTTCCCCCCAGGCATGAACGCCATGTCTGCCATGGGAGGAATGAACCGAATGCCTCCGGGCATGAACCCTCGCATGCCCATGTCTATGCCCCCTCACGCCATGACAAACGGCATGGCCTTTGAGGACTCGCTGTCCATCTCCGACATGGGCATGGACAATCCGTATGCCATGGGACCAGGCGGAATGAACCGCAAAGGTATGCGCGCAGACATGCTCTCCCCGCGCCGCCAGAACAACCCCATGGACTACCGCGGCATGAATCGCCGGCCTCGAGGTGCGCGCCGTCCCCGACCAGACGATGGTTTCGACCTGGGCCCTGCACATCGCCGGATGGGTAGACAAGGTTTCGACGAAGATGACGATGAAGCAGTGTGCGGAGGATTGAACCGTACGTTTACATCTCTTGGCACCGGTACTTCATCGTTTAGCTTTGGGATAGTCTCGCGGTATGCTGACTAGCACACAGGTCGTAATGGTGCTGCGCCACCGTCATCATCCTGCTCTTCGCACGCAAAGTCCAAGCTGCGAAATCCCAGCAAAAAGGCAAAGGGGAAAGACTCCGGACAAACGGCAGCAAGACAAGCTTGTGCGGAGACAGATACAGACGACGACAACGACGCATACTAAGCCCCTTACACGCCCAGTCCCCAACGCAATGCAGAAAGATCCCAACGAACCAGATTCATGACAGACAGACAAACAAAATGTATGGGTGTCAAATCAAACTCTACCACATACACCTTCGCATTCCCTCCCCTTCTCTTTCCCAACAACGCCAATAATGCCAACACCACAATTCCCCCTCCCCAAGAACCCCCGATATATGCTCATCACCAATCACTCACCAAAACCCTTATCTCCCCTCCAACATCTCCTCATCTCTCCGCAAACACCCCGCTCTCTACCAGTCTATTATTACAACGCCCACCCTGAAAATCTGCAATTCATTAGCAAATCTCGCCGATTCTTCCGTACACATGCATGCATGTTTTGGCGGACGGTCCGCGGAGGTGCCTGATTTAGTCGCTTGCATATTAGCGTGCAGCACAGCTACCGACAAGTCGGCAAGGGCCGGACAAGTGTTAACGTAGATACAGCATCTGGGACTGGGGACCGACGGCCTGCAGCCTGGATGCAAGCGCTAATTGCGTGCTGGGTAGGGAATCGGGGTGTTGGGCATTGGCATGTGATAAGAAGCTTTTGTTTGTTTGGTGCGGCTTCGGCTTATCTCGTATCGAAAGGAGCCCGACCTTTCTGCAGTGGAGGGGTAGCGGGGTATTACGTGTGTATTGAAGGCACTCGATCGGAGTGCATGTTAACGTGTTCCAAGAAATCATCTTCATTGGCTGGCATGGCTGAATTGTGCTGCCTAAGCAAGGTAGGGAATCGTAAGTAGGTAGAAAACATTAGGATACCAAGGGCCGTAAAAAGTGCCCACTGACGCCAAAAGTCCATCCCATCGACTTGTAGAGTGACACGAGGCGGGCATGTGTGGAGTGTATCCACAGATACCGGCTCTCGCTCAATTTCAAGTCCCAATGAACCCCCAATCTGTCCCATAGATGCACCGTGATTGTGCGGGTAGATACCGCTGACTCCTCGCTGAAAAACAGACATGATGAGCAAAGAGATTCGTGTAACAATGTAGGAAAAAAGGAAATCCGTATCGAAGGAACCCGTGTACGAGAGCACTCTGAGGCGATGTCCCCAGCAGAGCGACTCATGCACTTCGTAAACCGCGTGTACAAGAAAGTGAGAAGACCCACTTCACTAGCGACTACGGAGCGGACCAGCCCATGCCCGAGGAAGACACACCGTGCATCGCAGCCAAACGCTTGCCCTTGTAGTTGAGGCTTAGGATGCTGCACTTCTTGTCGGCCCACCAGTTCTCAAAAGTGTTGACGTCCTCGGCGGCGACATTGCCAGTGCGTTTTGCTTCGTACCACTCGGTGTCGACCTTGCGGCCCAAGTGACGGAGACGAGGAGTGGCCTCAGTGCGTAGGTGCGAGAGCTCGGTCGCATAGTAGGCCTCATGCGGGTCGAGTGGTGTGGAGAAGGAGCGGTCTCGAGAGCGACCTCGCATATCGGCAAAGGTTTCCTTGGGTGGACCCAGCGACATTGGCGAACAAGGTATTGCGGGGTGCCCCACTGAGAAGGACGACATGGCGGGCGATGTGGAACCAGACTGAGAGGCTGAAGAGCCACAGTAGAAGGGAGACGAAATGTCTGACTGGAGTGCACTGCTTGCGTTGCTGATGGTGCGGTATTTGGGTGGTGGAAGATCTTCGAACTGGACTAGGAGTTCATCCTCAGCAAGTTTGTGGTCAGGACGACCACTACCGGTATCCCCGGTGTGCTTTTCGAGACGCTCGAACCCTACAGTAAATCAGCCTCTATTTGTTTGTGTATGCGGTTATGATGGATAACGATGCCGCGTAACTGACTGCTACGTGGCACGAGTGTTGTGACAACTTACCAGTGAGAACAGCTGCGCCAGAGTGCTGCACGGCGGCCAAGGCCGACTGGAGCTCGGCCGGAAGCCGATCCCATAGCTCCTGGGGGAGGTACCAGGAGTGGAGGTGAGAAGGGTGATAGCTGAAAGCATCGCCGTCTTTGGGGCAGGGTGTGCGGGGCAGGTCAACGTGAGAGCCTGTTCTAGAAAGCGTAGAGGCGAAACTTTTGCGGCTTGAGTTGCGACGGGTGTGAGGGCGTGAGGAAGGTTGGTCGAAGTAGTTGGGGTTCGCAGGCTGGAGGGTATTGGTAGCCATGTCGGCGATGATCTATGTTTCCTATGTATGTGTCGTGGTTGTGGTGGTGGAAGGAGTGTTGGTGTACCACTTGTGCTTGGTGTCCGAGGGGGAGCCTGTTATTTGTAGGCTAGAGAGCGACGGAAACTACTCGACGGGAAGAGTGAATGTGCCGAGACGCCGTGGAGGGTGAGTATTGCTGTGAAGGTGGGATCGAAGGCCTAGCGTGGGAGTCGTGTGGAGAACAGCTGGCGGGGGTGGTAAGCTTTATGTGGGTGATGGGATTTTGGCGCTTTCCCATCTCATAGATCTGACGTAATTTCCTTCTAGACTGTAAAGCGAGACTGCTGTACCGGTTAGAGGATGATTTACCTACGTCGATTGCAGGAACCGCAATCCGTGCGCGGACAATGAAATCAAGGCAGGGGTGGAACAGCCCAACCACGTCCAGTTTATCGCCCGCAGCGATGCGACAACGTTGTGTCGATGCATGATCGCCTTGATAGGGGTAGTCTAGAAGCGCGCCAGTGCAGCAGCCAGTCCGCGTACTGGTTGTGCGAATTGGACGGCTTCGCGAAAAATAAAACAAGACTCACCATGTGATGTCACAGGGTCGTCCTCGCCGCACCAGTGGTGGCTGCCACTCGGAGCGAGCCGGAACCGATTGGGAAGGTTGGTTCGGGATGCCGAGAGTGGGTGGCGCGTACGTTTCCCAAGCTGGCTCTGTAAACCATCAGCGCGTAGCTCGCAACGGCTGAATTGCTCAAAGGTTGTGGTGCAAGACGCCTACACTGCACTCGTACCTGAAGAACTCTCTTCCCGTAGGACTGTTGGGCAGCTATGCGTTTGCGTTGCAGAAAATACCGCACAACGCGTGTAGATATTGAATAAATTTCCGAACCCGTCGATTAGGTAGAGGGCGCGACGAAAAGATGCGACACCTACCAGCGCGCCGCGTGCGATAGATTGTTTTCCACGGTCGTAGGTAGTTTAGGGCTCTACCATATTCTGCACAAAGTCGATTGTGGTTTGGTTGTCGTCAGCTCGCGTCCTTAGCTCGTGAAGCTTGATCAATGAGTCCGAGAAGGTTATCTATGCAAACAAGAAGACGACGAATGAATACGTGTTACATGTACAGTTATGATGAGTCGTAACGAGCACAGCCTGCCACGTTGGAGTGTTGAGCACTTTCTGACGCTGTTGGTCTAAGCCACTCTCCCATCAATTCTCTCCAATGGCCAGCCTGTCTCTCAGCAGCAACGCGCTCGTTCTGCAAATCGCGCATCCGCCAGTCCGGTGTATTGCCATGGTAGACCAAGCAGCACAAAGCGCTGATCCCATCGACTACTCCAGCCTGTTGCACATGTGGTCAGCGTTGAACAACCCCATATGGCCTTTGTCGCAAACCTTTGAATCAAGTGAATTCCTGACGCGGTCACAACCATGTCGCTCACTTCGCCTTTGTTTAGCTTGAAAGCAGCTTCCTCGAATTCTTTCTGCATGTCTCCTTGGCCGAAGAAGCCCCTACTGAGCGTTAGCTGCTGATCTTCGTGTCCATATGCTACCTCGTCATGAGCGCAAGCTACTACTACACTCACAGGTCGCCGCCCTTCCGCGCGCTGCTACAGTCCGACTCGGTCGTTGCCAGCTCCGAAAGTGACTTGGCGGGATAGTTCCCGTATCCTTCGACGCCCTCGTAGGCCTTGATCTGATTCTGGTATTCTCTGATGAGCTCTTCGGCCTCTTGCTTGTCGCGCGTGATTTTGGGTTCCCGCCAGCTAGCAGGGCGTCGGCTGTCCTTGTGCTTGACCAGGAGGTGGGCGCATCGAATCTTGCCTGCTGAGCTGCCGAAGCCGCCGGGCGCAACGCCCTTGGAGCTGTGGTTGGCGGCCATGTACTGCTTCAGCATCTCCGAGTCTGTCCCTGCAGGCGGTTCCCATCGCGAGTCTTTCGTAGTCGAGTGGAAGTAGTAGGGCAAGTTCTTCGAGTTGGAGTGGCGTATCTCCCACCCTTCGGGAAGACCTGTTTCGGTTGACTGCGTGGAGCGTGAGTTGCTAGCTAGCACGTGAGGCGGACAACGGAGCGTACCATGACTGCAGTGTGACTTGTCGTGGGTCTGGGTGATGTTGTACGATTGGCGTGAGCAAGGAGCAATCTGCGCAAAGCTGAACAAGGGTTGGATACAGAGAACTGAGGTTGCAGGGACGTCTGCACTGGTAGGCGGCGGTTGGCGATCCAATGCGGGGACAAGGGGACAAGGCGCCAATGCAGAGTCACCGTGACAACAACGCGAGCCGGATCCGCGTTGGATATCAAAATCCACACTCACACTTTCTCTCCGCCACCACGCTCTACAACCACACGTGTGCCGCGCTCCCGACCTGCAAAAGCACGACTGCAGCCTCTGATCTGACACGCGCCGCAAAGCCACACCAACATGTCGTCCCCAGCCGCGGAACACGACGGATCGAACAAGAAAGAGCCCATCCTCTTCCGCTTCTGCTCAGAATGGCAAATCTCTCCAAGACCCTGCACGCCACACCTACTGACTGCGCCCAGCTCTAACCTGCTGTTCCCCCGCGAAGACAAGGCGGAGAACAGGCTCATGTTCGCCTGCCGCACCTGCTCGTTCGTCGAAGAGGCCCCATCGTCCTGCGTCATGCGCCACGAGATCGCGTCCACGGTCGGAGCCACTGCTGGAGTCACGGCCGAGGTTGCGCAGGATCCTACGGTTGGTCTCTCCCACTCCGTTTCGCAAGCCTCGCTTTCTCCGAATGAGGATCTTCCCTGTTGCACCATGTGTGGGATGGATATTATGTGTGTGGAGTGCGGTGAAGACTGGGCTCCTGGGTTTGTCCTGGAAGCCGAGGACGAGGAACCACAGACAAATCATCAGGAGGAATACGAAGAATACGATGACGACGACATGGAGGATTTCTCGTCATGAGCACACGTGCATCTTGTTCTGTTGCTTGCCTGCTCCTTTCTGAGCCTGCTGGCTAACTGTACTTTTTGCTTGTAGTTGCCGCGCGTCCAGAAGCAGTGCATGAAGTGCGGCGAGAACGAGGCTGTCTTCTTCCAGTCTCAGCAGCGAACCGCCGACACGGGCATGGTGAGGTTTCCCTCGACACATTCACACAACATCTCTAACATGAGCAGAAACTGTACTACGTGTGCTGCGGATGCGGTGTCGTCTCGCAGCCAGGTGACAAAGACGTTGATGAATGAACGAACGAACGACAAGTGCACGACATGGCATAGAATAGGCGTTTGATCTCTTGATATTTACGGCACGGAGTCCTGGAAACGAGTCTTCTGATACCCGTGGGTACTGAAAATGGCATACATCTGTTTTACATCATCCCAGCGCTCCATAGACTCCTGAAAATGCACTTCTTCCCTCATATCATGTCTCTTCGCAAATGCGTGATGCTCCCCCTCATACATGCATGGGTGCAAGCGACAAGATCTTGGACCACTCCTTGTGCTTCAGTTCTGCTGCCACGACGCCGCTGACTCTCGATCCAATGGGCTCTCCAGCCTTGTTGATCAGCACACAGGCGTTGTCGTCGAACTTGACCACGCTGCCGTCTGGGCGCTGCCACTTCTTCGCTGTGCGCACGACGACGGCATGTCGCACGTCACCTCGTCGGACCTTGTTCGCTGCGCTGATGGAGACGCTGTTGCCTGTCTCGGGGCCGAAGTTTCGCTGCTTCTTGACGACAACTACTATGCGATCGCCTGTCCTCGTCAACTCTTTGTCCCCTCATCTCATCTCAGCCAAATCCCCCACATACCAACTTTGGCGGGCCGCTTTGATCGCAGGACGTTGACGCACTCCACTATGGCGGCGCCGGAGTTGTCGATGCAATTGACGAGGGTCTAAATGCGATGTATGAGTTGGTGTGCTGCTGTCGCTGTTTGCGGCCAAAGCCTCGATGCCGTTTCCGTACCTTGAGCTGAATCATCGTGTCCGCCTTTGTCCAACCGTGCAGAGAGTGGCACCTGTCTATGTAGTTGCACACTGTTTGCTGCAGATTGTCGCGATGCACACAAGTTTGCAGTGTCGTCGGAAGTTGGCCGGCAATCCCCGCCCCATATCCTAGCCTTCTCGCTTGCGCGTGCAACCTTCACTGCGCGTCAGTCTGGATCCCAGTCCGGTACATCGGACAAGGGTACTAGGCCTTGCTCCTCCGTTAATCGCACTGCGCCCTTGCGCTATTTCACCGTCTTTGTGTTTGCTGCCTCAAGCGCTGCCGCTCCTTGCTCTGCTGCTGCTATTGTCCCTCCTTCTCTCGTCTCGTGCACACGTTCCTTACATGTCCACGGCCGAAGTGGAACTTGCATGGTCGCTCTCTCCAAGCCTCATATACGTCACGCCAACCACCTCCTTTTACGACAGCGACGGCCGCTTGCCTTTGACGAACACGACCGACATCTCCCCGCGCGCCATTGCTAATCTTCCGTTGTTGCGACCGTTTGCGCAGTCATGGCGCCTGGAAGTAGCGAGAAAAGGGGCGGTCTGACGCTGGAGAAGCTGGCATCGTACGACGACGTTATCACGGACGCGCTGGTCGACAAGGTAGGCCACTCCTCACGTGCCCGCGACAACAGGGTCGCGAGTGTATCACGGGCAACATGGCTGAACGAGGCGCTTCTAGATCTACTACTGGACCGCGATCCGCAAGAACCGCGGTGGGCGCTTCTCCGCGTCTCGAGGGCTGCACGAAGAAGACATTGCCGACATCATTCGCAGGCACGTAATATGCGAGAAGGACCCCGTGGAGGCAGTGCAGGGACTCTTGCGCCTGCCCGGACTGCGCAAGTACATGGCCAGCCTGAAGGATGAGAAGGACCAGGAGCACTTCAAGCGACACCTCCGGAGATACGTCAACATCTACCTACCGGACTGCGCATTCGAAGTCACAACGACAAACCGCTATACGATTATCGACCACGAGGCGTCCATCACCGCGCGACGAGACATCAACCCGCGCGAGGAGATCAAGTACCTGACTGGAGTTCAGGTCGCTATGACGGAGGAGCAGGAGGCGGCGCTGGAACTGGCGCGCAAGGACTTCAGCCTCGTCATCTCGAGCAGGAAGAAGACGCGTTCGCTTTTCCTTGGACCCGCACGCTTCGCCAACCACGATTGCGACGCGAATGCCCGACTCTCCACCAAGGGCTACGATGGAATGCAGATTGTTGCCGTCAAACCTATCGCAGAAGGAGAAGAAATCACCGTGTCATATGGTGAGGATTACTTTGGCGAAAATAACGAAGAGTGTCTCTGTCACACATGCGAGGATCGACTACAGAATGGCTGGGCGCCAATGAGACGGATCGAGGATAGTGAGGACGAGGATGAGAATGGGAATGAGGAGGGAGAGGGCTCAGAGCAGGCGCAGGAGAAACTAGCAGGAGAGGCAGCTTCAGACGAAGAGGATGCTTCCACAAGAAAACGACGACACGACTCAACAGCATCACGCGACTCAACCCCAGCCTCGAAGCGCGCCAAAACCAGCACAAAGACTTCCCCAGCCAAGCGCCACGCCTCCGATCTTCTGCGCGAAGCAACACTCAAGAAGGCGCACAGCACATCCTCACTCAGACAAGAACTGCCCGTATCCAGCATCGAAGACCCCGCGACCGACCTCCCCACTTTCTCGCGCTCAATCCGCACCCAGCAGCGCGACGGCCTCCTGACAATGCACATGGACGAAACCTCGTCCTCGCGTGAATCAACCCCCCAGTCCTTCCTCGCAGCACGGTCGCCCCACTCCACACCCTCTACGGATGCAACCTCCATCGACGAAGACGTGTCCCCCACCATCAAAGTCGACCCGGAAGTCCTGCACGAAGTCCCCACCCTGGGCGTCGCTACCGTCAGCGACGAAACGACCACAATCACAGTAACAACAACAATATCAGCAGCAGAAACAAGCACTACCATCACAACCACCCCCTGGGACGACTCCCCCTCCTCCCCCCTCTCCTCCCTCTCCTCAGACCTCGACTCCACCCCTCCCACCCCTATAACCCACCTCCCGCCTCCCCCCCCACCCCCCCGCACAACCCGCTCCTCCTCGCGCTTCACCCACTCCCCCCCCAACGCGCCCATCCCCCTCGCCACCACGCACCTCGACGGCTACGAGCCCAACCCCCGCACCCCCGGCGACTACACCCGCAGCCCCTCGATCCTCAGCGCCAAATATTCAAAATGGGTCGAGTGCCAGACCTGCGACGCGGCGTTCGTCCAGCAGGATGGGTATCTTACTCGCAAGGAGTGTATGCGGTGCGAGAGGCATAGTAAACTTTATGGGTTTACGTGGCCGAAGACGGAGAGGTGGGGGAAGGGGGATAGGGAGGTTAGGGTGCTGGATCATAGGACTGTGCATCGGTTTGTTGGGCCGGGGGAGGGGAGGGGAGGGAGGGGGAGGAAGAGTGTGAGTGTGAGTGTGGAGGGGAGTGGGAAGAGGGGTGGGATGTAGGGTGGGAAGGTGTGTTTTTGTGGGTTTGAGAGTGGGAGGGGGTGTGTTTTTGTGTTGTGTATTTGCATAGCATGTAGCATTTTGGCATTTTGGCATTTGGCATGTAGCACGATGTGGATGTACGATAATATGATAGGCAGATAGCAGAAGTTATGGGAATGAAAGGCAAATAAGTTCGAGTCACATCACATCACATCATTGAACGGGAGAAACTTGCAGTCATCCCATGTGTATTATCCTATCTCCGCATCTGCATATGCTATTGCATCTCCATCCAGTCCAGTCCATGCCAAGTCCATCCCACATCCATACTCGCATGTCATCCGCAATGAATCATTAAGATCCCAATCCAATCCGATCCGATCCAAACAGTCAGTCATAATCAAATCGCTCGTAGAGAAAAACCACACAGCCCCAAGACAAAAAAACGCCAATGCCAAAAACGCTCAATCAGACGACCACCTCCCAAACAGAGAAAAGGGAATGTGAAGTAATGACAAACAAAAAATGAAAAAGAGAAGGGAATCAAGAGAAAGGAAACACCCCCAGATCTCGACAAACTTGATTAACACAACCCCCACCCCGAGAAAATCACGACGAGCGCGCAGCACCCCTCGCTCTCTTCCGGCGGAGCCAAGACCTCAATCCGAGTCGGTGCGAAAAAGACGGAAAATGCACCTGTTTCCAAGGGACACGATCCAAGTAAGTGAAATGTCCAAAAACGATAGATGAGCGACCGGTAATATCGATACTCTTGGTGATGAATAGGGACAAAGTGCTTAGAAGATCATAGATCGAACCTGCTCCCTGCGTCCCGACTGTGAATGCCCAGCACCATCCCGCTGCTTCGGTGCGGGAGCGTGTCGCGGGTCCTTGGCTGGCGGTACCGGCCCGTACGACGACTGAGGGCGCATCTGGGTCTTCACGGGGCTTGTCGAGCCTGGTCTGCCGGTTCCTACAACATCGTGTGACTGTGTGCGTTGGTGGTGTGGTTTGAAAGGGATCGCCTGTCCCGGGAGAGGTATTGATGACGGGGTTGAAGCAGCTTGCGAACGCGCAGCCTTCTCTCGGCGCTCCTTGTCGAGGACCATGTTGGTCCAGGCTTTCCCGGAAGCGATGTCCTTGCCGACAGTCTCGGAGAGGACCTTCATCCAGCCTTCTTTCTGCTCGCAGTTGTCGGCGTAGAAGTCGATGACTTCGCCATTGGCAAAGCGAATACGGAAGCCCTCCTCGACGAACATGTAGCCCTCCTCGTCCTCAGCGAATGCAGACTTGCGTCGGCCGCCAGTCTTGGTCGATGATGGTTGCTTGAGGGCGCTCTTGTCATCGAAAAGCTTGGTAGCCTTGGCCAAGTTGATCGTCGCACGCGGCTGGCGAGTAGTCTCGTGAAAGGCTGTGAGTTTTGTGCCATTCAGTCGGAAATAGCGACGACGCCAGAATGGGCAGTCACCACCCTGTTGACTGAGGTGACCCTCCCAAGTTTTGTCCTTGACTTCCTCTGCCTCTCGAAGCTCACGGATGCAAGCGTTCATGCTCTTGGGCATATCATCGTCACTCGCGTTCTTTGGCTTTGGAACGTACAGCAGCTGGAGAGTGAGTTTGCCGATGCGGTAGGGTGGGCGTCGAACAACCCCACCACGCTTGCTCTTGACACTGCTCGCACCTGAGTCGTCAACAGCCCACTCGTTGAAGCAAGGAATGTCAACTGTGTAGGGACGGCCGTAAGCTTGGTTCTCGTGGTTGTTGAGGCAAACGTAAGCACGCGCAAACGAGCCGTCCGGACCAACGAGGTCATGCAGAAGGTCCCAAGCAGTGGCCTGGTGGTTGCGCTTGGCAGCCGCCTGGGCTTCTTGCTGCTGTTGAAGTGCGGCACGGTCGGCTTCTTCCTGTGCTCGTCGCTCTTGCTCCTTTCGCTTCTTGGGGGAAGACAGAAGATTGCGGAAGGTCGAGTGAGACTTCTTGTGGTTGACAACAGGGTTGATGACAGCAGCGGTGATCTGCCGTTGAACCGGAGGCTCGAGCTTGGTCTGGAGTGTAAGCTGGAATTCAAGGTCGTCGAGGACAACGAGCTCAAACTCCTGGCCAATGGCAGCGGAGTGACCTAGCTCCAGCCAGGACGTTGTCACGCAGTGCAGTCCGTTGTCGAGAGTCAGTTGGAAGGGCGTACGCTCGTCTGTAACTAGTTTTAGCAAGAAATCGATTGCAAGTAGCGAGACACTTACTCTTCGGCAAAGGCAAATCGAGATCCTTCACACCGACAACCTTGACAAACACTCTCCCACGCTCCTCACCCTCCTCGAGCTCTTCATCACCTTGTTCAGCAACAGCCGCAAGTCCACTAGTCACAGCAGACTCCTGGCCCGGAAGAGGAGGAACTGTTTCAGTAGGTGGGGCACGCCGACTTCCAGATGCTGTTCGCAGACTCTTGCGACGAGACTTGCCGTTCCAAGGCTCGGTCGTCCACGCAGGCTTGCGCTCAGCGCTCGACTTGCGGGAGGTAGGCTTGTTGACCTTTTCTGTGGCAGGCTTCGCGTCCGCGGAAGGCTTCTCATCACTGAATTGGCGGCTGCTGGCAACGACGACTTTGGTGTTTTGACGCATCAGGTAGCCCTTCTGTTCGTTGACATGGTTGTTAGTGGGACTGTTCGTATGCAGATAGTCTTCACCTGACACATAACTCGCAGCAGCATCGTGCTGTGCAGTTGTGGGGGTGGGGAAACGGGCGAAGGGGGGTAAAGGAAAAAGGTTGTGTACCTTCTGAGCCTCGATAATGTTATCGAACTCCTTGTCAAGTCCGAAACTAAGGTCATTGGAATCTTCGCCAAGGTTCAGATCGAGCATGCGCTTCTCGTGGGTTGCGAGGCTGATTTCAGAGTCGTCGTCGTCTTCAACATGGCTAACCTCAAGGGAAAGAGATTGACGGTTAGGACTGCGCGCAGGGACAGGTGGAGGGTAAGTTCCGCTAACTTGTCGGCGTGTGGCTGCCATGTCAATCTCGTCTGGGATCAGCGACGGACGGGTCTTCAGCCGACCACCAGCACCTCGGATGGTAGCTTCACGCTCAGGGACCTCGGGGGAGGACTCGTAGTCTGGCGGTGAGACGACGACGTTGTGTCGGATGACAGAGTCTGGTGTGCTGGGCGCCTCTGTGTCATTATCATCCTCCTCGTCAATATCTTCATCGTTACCTTCTGGTGTAACAGGACGCCTCAGGAAATCGTGCATTGCCTCCATCTTGGGAGCGGTATCGAGAGGGCTCAATATGGGTGTGAAAGATTCTTTCTGGGGATCAAGATCAAGGTTCACTTCCTTGTCCTCAAAAGCAGCAAAGAACTCGCCTTGTTGCACTTCCTCGACAGGCGCAGACGGAGAACAGTTGACAGCTGTAGGCGTTGACGGCCCCGAAGTGTCAACAGTGCCGTTCTCGGTTGGGTGCTCCTCAGGTTGGGTGGAGTACATGCTGGCGTCGTCATCCTCTTCTGGCTCGTCTGGGACGGGATGCCGGATGACAGATGATTCACGCTCGTAGTCGTTCATCTCAGGAGGTTCGAGTTCTGAGACCTCGGACTCATCTTCAACTTCCTCGGCTTTAGCATCAGGGTATGTGCGGATGACACTTCCGTCCTCGTCATCGGCGGCAGCGAACTGGGGAGGAGCAAGCTCATCGAAGTTGGATGAACATTCGCGCGATGGGATGGGAACATCAGGATCCAGATCAGCCAAGTCGCCGTAGCTACGTTCAGGACTGAACTCAACATCGTAGCCATAGCTATCTCCTTCGTCATCTTCGAATGTGCGGCTCTTAACCCTTCGCAGGATAGACTCGCGGGAGATGCGCGGGACGTGGGGCTGATCTTCGTCCGCTAGCTCCGACTCGGTTACGTCTTCGATTTCGTCGACATGGACTTGAACACCCACCTCCTCTTCGGGTTTCTGGTCATGAGTTTCCTGAGTCGGTGTTTCTGTGTTGCGGTTGCCATCGAAATTTAGTAATCGCAGTCTGTCCTCGAGCGACATAGATGTGTCGCGCATGTTGAGCAGATCGGACTTTGAGATGCCAGCAGCCTGAGGAGGCAGGGGCAGCGATCTCCGCGCGTCGCTTGCACGTTCTGCAGCAGCTGACAGACCGGTGCTAGAATCACGTCGTCGACGATCATCCAGGGCCAGCATGCCAGGAAGAGGTGGAAGTGGCCGGGACTCGCCCTCCGACGCGACGGAGCCGTGGCGTGCACCGTTTATTGGCCCGTTGGGACCAGCATTTGGCATCGGGCTCTCGTCGCGACCATCAAAGACATCGTCGTATGTGTCGGTGAGCGACGTATTTGCTGCATCTGGGCTCATGTGACGCCAGTCCTCAGGAAGCACAACGGGTGTCTTCTCAGTATCCTCCAGCGAAGCGTCGAAGCTGTCGTCCTGGTCGAAGCTCATCTCCTCATCCTCATCCGACTCGTAGCTCCCCTCACGCGAACCAGACGCTGCAGAAGGGTCGGGTGTGACCATCTCGAACTCTGTGATTTGGGGCGGCGCCGTGTCGAACGTCACACTTTTGGCGTGTCGGCGCAGTGGAGGGCGGGCAGCCTTGTGCTGGGAGTCTTCGTCATCGGAGTAGACGCTGGAATCCGGGTTGAACTGTGGGGAGTTGAAGCGACCGTTGCTGACGAGCGAGGATTTTGTGGGAGAGGCGCGGCCCTCGGAGTCTCGTGTTGGTGATGATGCAAACGACGACTGTGTGGGGAGCTTTGCTGGGGATGTCTTGGATGGGCTCAGGATGGGAATCTTGGTGGAGCTGTCTGCGCGACGGTGGCCGACGGGCGAAGCGTTTTGTTGGCGTAGTCCAGCCAGGCCGTTGCCTGCGTAGGCGTTGCCCTGTATGGCGGCATTCAAGGGCCGTCCAGCAGCCAGTGGTCGGTCAAGCGAGAGAATGGAAGAGGGGTCATACTCGTTCTGCTGCTCACGGGCGAACATGCTGCTGTTCTTGACACGTGACTGCTTCTTCAGGTTCTCGATCGAGTTGCGCTTGGGGGACAGCAGCGAGGGTGGGTCGACGCCCTCGTTCTCATTATCAGACTCGAAGCGCGACTTGGGCGATGTGGTCTGCTCCCTCCAGAACAGGCGTGGGCCGGCGGGGTTGTTGAAGGGCGACGACGAGGCAGCGAATGGGGAGCTCTCCTTGGCCAGATACACCCTCTGGGCCACGTTAGCTGGCTGCACGGGACTGGTGTGGTGGTTGGGCTGGTGAGTGCAAACCTTTGTTGTCTGGTCAAAGCTCGGAGAGTTGCGCCTGGGGCTCATGGCTCCAATCTCAGACAGCGGGCGGCCACTTCCTTTTGTCGGCGTCTTGTTGATGCGCAGCGGTGACACCTGCAGGCACAATGGTCAGCACGTGGGTTGTCAGTATTTGATCGTCGATGGGCCTTACTGCTTCGTTGCGTGACATGTTACGGTGCTAGCGCCGGGCGTTGGTGGGCAAGACAGCAGCCAGGAATGCGTGGAAGAATGGGCCGGCGGTGAGGGTGCGCGCTGCAAGGGAAGCCGTCAGGAGGGCTGATGGAATATGGAAAGCCCTTGAAGTGAAAGTCGGCCGAGCGCACGCGCAATGGTGAGAAGAAAAGCGGAGGAGAGGAGAAGATATGCACGCTGGCTTTGGGCGGGTGGACAGTTGCGTGTGTTGATAAGCGGTACGGGATCGATTGCGGCAAGGATAAGAGTGTTGACGTGGCAACGGCATCGGCGGCGCGAGTCAGGACACGGCTGCGAGCCCTGCGCGATGCGGTGGCGCTAGAATTTCGCGAACCCGGTCAGTGCGGCTTTTCTCCATGGTAGACGAGCGTGTCGGGACATTGATTCTATTGAGACGCTTTCCTTTTGCGACCAGCCACGTCCCGTCGTCATGTTGCGCCAGGCCGTCCGTGTGTGTCCGTTCTGCGAAGTCCGCGCCCTGCTCGGGCCCCCCCAGTACCACCAGACGAGACTGTACACGCAGGCCCAGCGCGAGCGAGGCATCCAGCGCGGCCCTTCACAAGCCCGCCCTCGTACAGGCCCAGCGCCGCCCAGAGGCCGCGATGGCTCCAGACCCGCGCGCATGGTCCTCTCAGAGACGGTCGATCGCCCGCCGCCGCCCTCGACAGCAGACGGAAAGCCCGCACGCAGGAAGCAGGATGCCTTTGCCCACCTCAACCGCACGCGGGCACCGCCCATCCTCGAGAGAACACGGGACCAGCGGGCACGAAGCAACGACAGGCCAACGGGGCGCGACGACGGCAAGCGCAGGACCAGGTCCGAGCCGTTCCACGCCCTCAAGATGCAGAGCACCCTACACGAAGTGCCGTACGGGTCGCGCCAGGCCATCAAGCACAAGATTGAGCAATACGACGCCTTCACCAAGATGCCCCTCTTAGACACCGTCCAGGCCGCCGTCAAAGACGCCCTGCCCGCCCTCGAGTACCGCAACCCCACGCCCGCCCAGTCCGTCGCCATCCCCGCCCTGCTGGGCCTGCAGGCCAAACGACGCACCAGGACACCATCGAAGAAGTCTGGCCACGAGTCGTTCCTGCTCGCCGCTGAGACTGGCTCCGGCAAGACGCTCGCCTACCTGCTCCCCACGCTCGATGCCATCAAACGCGACGAACTGCAGGAGAAAGAGGAGGCCGAGGAGCAGGCAGCACGCGACGTCGAGGAAGCAGCCACCCAGGCCAAGGACAAGCGCGACGACATCTTCGCCGTGCCCGACCCCGAGCTCAACAAGGCCGTCGACCCAGCGCGCCCCCGCGCCATCATCCTCGTCCCCTCGGCCGAACTCGTCGCCCAGGTCGGCGCAGTCGCAAAGTCGCTATCCCACACCATCAAGTTCCGCGCCGCGCCCATCTCCGCCAAAATGTCCGCCACCACGATCCGCAACGGGCTCTTCAACATCAACGGCGTCGACGTCGTAATCAGCACCCCACCCCTCCTCGCCAGCATCGCAGAAAGCAACCCCAACATCCTCGCCCGCGTCACCCACCTCATCTGCGACGAAGCAGACTCCCTCTTCGACCGCTCCTTCAAGCCCAGCACAACAGAGGTCCTCGACCGCGCCACCCCGTCCCTCAAACAGCTCATCCTCTGCTCCGCCACCATCCCAAAATACCTCGACAAGTACCTCGCCGACAGATTCCCCGACATGCACCGCCTCGTCACGCCAAACCTACACGCCATCCCGCGCCGCGTCCAGCTCGGCGTCGTAGACGTAAACAAGGACCCTTACCACGGCAACAAGGACCTCGCCTGCGCAGACACAATCTGGAAAATCGGCAAAGCAGCAGCCGACTACGATCCCGCAGACGGCAAGGAATCAGTCCCCACAAAACGCATCTTGGTGTTCGTCAACGAGCGCGAAGACACAGAGAAAGTCGCCGCTTACCTCGTCAAAAAGGGCGTCGACGCAATGGCCTTCCACCGCGACACAGACCCCTCCCGCCAGGCAAAAACACTAGCCACCTTCACCGGGTCGGGACCTACATCTTCCCCGGAGCATCAGCAGCCCGCTAAGTCTGAGCTAGGCGGGAATCGCACGCTCCCCAATACTAAGGTCATTGTTACGACAGACCTCGGATCAAGGGGTATCGACACCGTCGCCGTGCGCCACGTCATTCTCTACGACGTCCCGCACACAACAATCGATTTTATCCACCGTTTGGGCCGCACGGGGCGCATGGGGCGGAGAGGGAGAGGCATTGTGTTGCTTGGGCCTGGGGATCGCGCGGATATTGTTAGGGAGGTGAGGGAGGCGATGTATAGGGGGGAGGCGCTGATTTGAGACGTTTTATGGCTTGATATGACTTATGGGAATGTTGTGTGTATGAGTATGTATGAGTAGATCTGTGGCTGTATAAACCCATGGCATGACGTTCTAGCAAGGTAGTGTGGCGTCGGAAAAAAATAGCGTGAACGCGAGTGTTTACTCGCTTACCCTTGTCCCTTCCCTCAACCAACTTCACCTCAGCTCCATCTTCAGCTCCGGCTTGTTTACACTACACACCATATACTATACACTACCCTGCACCACGTACCACGAATCCTGTTTCACCCCAAACTTCCCAGTAACCACCCCAGTTCTCACGCTACGGCCTTGTTTCATGTCCATAGCCATGTCAACAAACAAGTCTTACCTTGTATGTTGTGTAATGTTTGGGTAATGTGACGGGGGTGCCTGGTTAGTGTTGATGTGAGCTATTTATATATGTGCTCCGTGCGGTGGGGTTGGTTGCTTGGGTGGATGGATGGATGGATGGATGTGGATGTGGATGTGGATGTGGATATGGGTAACGGGTGGATGAGGGAGGGAAGGAGGGGATCCACAGACACCGGTTGATGGAGCGGAGGATGGAGGATTGAGGATGCAGACGGAGGTTGGGTAGGTAAATATTACCATGGGATTTGGGATTTGGGCATCAGTATTCGAATGCGTAATGAGCCATGGCGGTGAGTTTGCTGGTTTGTTATGTTGTTGTGGTGTGATTTGTTGTGTTGTTGAAGAAAGAGTGGGGAAGTGTTGTTGTGTGTTGTTTTGGAAACGGTGGAGATGGCGGATGGAGATATGGGGAATTAAGTGGGGACTTGAAGTGCGACGTAACACGGCATTGGAGATGGGATGACAACGAATTGACCGCTGGATGTTGAACGAGTGATATGAGGACATAGGAATGTATGGATACAGATGTACATAAGGATGTAGGGTATGGATATATGTGGGTGGATATGTGGGGTATAAATTGTGAAAGTAGTCAAAATGTGAATAGGGTTGGAAATAAACATCTACGCAACGGTGAACAGGGTGTTTGATAGTACTCCGCCAATTTATCAGATCGGCGACGTGTGAAGCAGTAAGTATGGAGATGCTGCTGGGCTTTGTTGCGCGTTTTGTGTGTTGCTACGTCGTCTGCATTATGTCGTTTGCGGATAGGACGAGATGGTAAGTCCTCGTTTGATAAGTTGATGGTTTCACTATATGTACGAGGATGTAGAAAGTCTTTCACTGAATGTATTGTGATATAATGGAATTGATGTTTGTGGTATGCTAGCTTTGGTGGTCGATATTCCGGGGATGGTGGTCTGGAAAAGCCGGGAGGAAGCTGAGCAGAAATGTTGGCCGTTATTCGTGGGCGCCGTATGATTTCAACAGCCTGACTATTAAAACCTTTCGTCGTCTTTTTGCGAATACTAGCGGCGTTTCTCCTGTAACATCCCTCCAATTGACATCAACCTTGTTAGTCTCTAGTAGCGTCTCAACTGTACTCTCACTTCCTCCCAACACTGCCCACCATAGCGGCGTCATTCCATCCCTGTCCTCTAGATTAACGTCAACCCTGTCTGTGTCTAACAGTAGCTTTACTACTGCCTTGTGCCCTCTGTGTGCTGCCCATGATAGCGGTGTTCGTCTATCTTTATCCTTCAGATCAACGTCAACCCTGTTCGTGTCCAGCAACAGCTTTACTGCTGCTTCGTGCCCTCCGTGTGCTGCCCACAATAGCGGCGTCCGTCCATCCTTATCCTTCAGATCAACGTCAACTCTGTTTGTGTCTAGAAATAGCTTTACTACTGCCTCGTACCCTCCATATGCTGCCAAAAATAGCGGTGTCCATCCTTTCTCATCCTTCAGATCAACGTTAACCCTGTTTGTGTCTAGAAATAGCTTTGCTACCGCCTTTCGCCCTGCATATGCTGCCCACGATAGCGGTGTGCGTCCTCTCTCATCCGTCAGATCAACGTCAATCCTGTTTGTATCTAGCAGTAGCTTTACTACTGCCTTGTGCCCTCCATATGCTGCCAACGATAGCGGTGATCGTTTCTGAGGGTTGTCTTTGGAGTTGACGTCAACATTACCTGTTCTAATCACTAAAGCAAGTATTGTCCCGTTTCCATGTTCTGCAAGATATGAGACCATGTCCGTTTTTCTCGGGAACTTGAAATCGCGCCCGACTATTCCACTTGTGCTTTCGCAACACTGTTCGTATATCTCATGAGGGCAAGTCTCTGTAGGCTGGTTCCTGAAGAGAGCTTCTATGAGGGCTCGGACAGCGTCATTGCTCCCGGTCGCCATGGCTGCGAAAAGGGGAGGTCCATAGCGCTCTTTTTTAACTTCGAAGCACAGATGGGCGGATGGGTGGATTCTGATAAGATTTGGCGTATTGTGCTCGGCTAACACATATAACAGACTCGCATATTTCGTGTGCCTGCGCACTTCATGCTTTTCAAACAAATTATCAAGACTGATCCAACGAGTCAGTGGAAAATCCATCATGAAGGCCTTCTGAGAAATTTCCCTTCCTTCTGCCATATCAGCATGGTATAGCACATTTTGTACAGCATACTCCATGAAAGGGAATGCATCAGTAGCTGATGCGCGGAATTCTGCAACTTCTTGCGGTGAACCTTTTGGGAGGTGCTCTGGAATCTTCAGAGCAGTAAAGATGTCCATATCCATGTAGGCAAGGCAACATTGCTTCAACCGCTGGTGACTTTGGCCTGGAAGGTTACTTCCAAGATCAGACCAGATATTTCCCAGGCTGTCTTCTTTCAGCAGAAAGTCTCTGACCGACTCGTGAATGAATTGAACCTTCTGAAGTTTGGAAGTCGTGATTTCGGTGAGACCTTTGGAGGACTCCAGTATGAATCGTCTGATTACATCCGTTGTAATCTTATCAGAGTCCGACATTGTTAACGCGTCGGGCTCGGCTCCAGAGAGAATGGCAAAGTACAGCTGCTCTGGGCTCAATGGCTGCTTCGCAAAAAGTACCCACTGAATACACAGAGCTAGTTCGTCTTTATTGTGCGAGTCGCGCGTCAAAATGTCGCGAAACAGCTCGTGGAGGTCCCTAGGAATTTCCTGCAATCTCCGTCGAAGTGCATGTATCCGACCGCCATCGTGCTCTTTGTTCAGGATGCCCACGACAAGAACGACCCACATGAAGATCCCTGATGCCTTTTCTTGGAGATCGATTCGAATTTGCTGGGCAAGCTTGCTCTTCCCAATCTTCAACTCGCTCTCCAAGTAGTTAGTTATGTCCTGGCTGTGGCCATCTTGCCCTTCCAGAATCAGATCTAGCCCCCTCTCAATTGTGATATGTGGGTAATGTCTACTTGAGAAGCAGACTTGAAAGTGGATGTTGTTTGACACAGCGAGCTCGCCGACGTTTTTGAAGAATTGTACCATATCCCGGATCTGCTCTTCATCGCATTCGTCTAGGGCGTCGATGAAACAGACTACGGAGGAATTTCCCAGACTTCGTACAGCTTGTTCTAACAGCATCTTGAGTGATTCGACACTCCATTTGTAATCTGTGCTGATGCTCAAAATCGAGAGACTGAGGGAGTCGAAGACACTCTGGAACGCTGGAAGTCGTTCAAGAAGCTGCAGGAGCAGTGATCGATATGTTCCAATGGTGGACTTCTCCATATCTTCGCCCCGCGCATTGAAGAAGAACGAGACCACAGTTGTGTCTTTCATTGTCTTCCGTGCCTGGGCAAGTGCAAATTTCATCAAAGTGGATTTTCCAGTCCCAGGTTTTCCTTTGATCCACAAGAAGCCATGGTGCTCGCATAGCTTGGTCGGGTTAAGCCAGTCGAGGTACTCCGGTTTGTGCAATAGCCATCTACAGGTCTTGACGTGTGCGTTCTTGATGCTCATCTGACGTGCATCAATCTGATCGAATCGCAGCGACTCCAACAGTGTCCGCTTCTGCTCTTCATTCAATGACAAGACCTTGTTGCCCGAAGACTCTCTGATCTCTTTCCGAAGCCGCCTGAACGCATACTCTTTCCCTTCACTGTAATTTGGGAGCATATAGACACCAAATATACCCAACAGTGAGTACGCTTTGTCTTCCTCGCGTGTGGTCTGGCGGTTGTTCGCCCATTTGAATCGCTCTTCAACACTGAACTCATCTAAAGGAGCTCCTCGAAGGACTGGGATAGCAATGTCTGTAATCTCGTGGATCTGTCGTTCGAGAGATACTTTGTCACCAAGTTGCTGGCCTTCTTTAGAAAAGAACTTGACGGTACGTGGGGCAAGAAGCTCTTGGAGAGTCCAGCCACGTGTAAACCATCTGCTGTCCCGGAAAGCTGGCTGCCAAGTAAAGCAGAACGTTTCGTAGTCCGCTTTTCGCTTTGTCGTTGAAACATCCGACAGGTAGGCGTAGCATTCTTTCGCATTCTGATACCAGCGGAACATGGAGTTGATCGCTTCTGATAATTCTTGGCTGCTAGATTTGTCGATGCAGCAGGTATCACTCCAGAAATACTGCAAACCGTCGCGAGAAGCTTGCTCGCCACAGAACATCAGCTTGCGGTAGCCTGCCCTGCTCTTGCCTGCATCACCTATTCCTTCTGTCAAATCTTTGAAGGTGACTTCCTCTCCATCTGGCCCCCAGGTGTGCGAGAGAATCGCATAAGGCGGGATGTCGTTGTTGTTGAAGGGGCCGACGAGGCTGAATTCCCCATTTTTCTCGATCCGCAGTAAACGCATGGAAAAAGGTCTATTCGACAGTTCAAGCAAAGAAAATAGGAAAGATGTGAAGAATAAATGTACGAGTCCAGCGGTGAAGGAACTCTACTGTTGGTGGTTGTGTAGGTGATGGAGAGAAGTTCGGCTGGACGATTCGAAGTTGACGCCTGGTGAAAGCGGCTGGGGCTGAGCCTTGTGGCTTAGGCACGGCACAGCACATGCATGCATGGCAACAATACGTACAATCTTGCTACACTTCTGCTACAACACAAAATCTCACATGGAGAGCAAGATATACAAGGAACGATAAATCTAGTTGTACTACGTTCACGGCAGCAGTCGCATTCTACAACTAACGCCTAGATCGAATTGCGTAATGAACTACCGTGTAAACTTGTTCAATCCGTAGATGCCTAGAAAGGGGTTGCAGCGAAGCGAGTCGACCTGCAAGTGGTGGAATAATCACAGCCACTCAGCCACCCTGAATACCCAATCGCCAGAGGACTCGCTTCGTTACAACCTTGTCTAGCTATCCACGGATTGAACAAGTTTACACGGTATGGGGCTGTACGCTAGCGTCGCACTAGCGAAATCATAGCGTACCCCGATCTCTTGTGGTTTATGAACTCACGATTAGTCAATTTCAATACCTATTCCATCCCTCAACCCAAACTTCCTTCCCAAGATAGCTGGCTCTCTACAACAGCTCTGTTGTGTTTTGTAGTAGTGGGAATATCCAGGCATGCTTATGCAGGTCGGAGATACTTCCTGTCCTCTTCCAACGTTTTGTCAACTGCATCGATTCCCTGACATTTGCACTCGGGTCTTCTTGATCAAGATTCAGTATAAAATCGCGGGTGTTAGTTTCATGTTGAAGTTTATAGATAAGCGGGTAGGTATCTTTGCTCTACGCATCACAGCATCTTTTCCATTACACATACCTTCAAGAGTTGGACACACTAGCCTGCCATTAAGGAGGTACCGGCGCATGGTTTTGCATGGTGTCTATTCGTGGTGGAGGCTCATCCCAAAAGGGTAATACTTCATGTGGTATGACTGCAACAATAACAGTACATCCTGGTCGTTTAGAAGATTGGAGTAGACCCTTACGATACCAAAGTCGTTGCAATTGCTTTTGCCGTACAGAGTTGAAAGGGTACGAGTAGTTCGCCCGCTGCAACGTCTCCACCCACGCTCACAGAACAATCGTTATCAGACTCTTTCTGCTCAATACCAGGTGAATTTGGCTTTTCCAACCGCTGGCTGTGCGTACATCTCTCTCCATACAGTGAAATGTATATAATATTCAAAACACATTGATACTAAGATATCCGTGGGGGACAAGTGAATAGTGTGTTCTCCACATAGGGTTTACATGAGGTCAGCGCTCGGTGCAACGAGTACCACGGTTGCTCCGATATTGGACAGGATTCTAGTGATGTAAAGGTTGTGGCGCATTTCGGAACTTCGTCTTCAGCCGTATTCCCAAAGAAACACGAAGGAGCTCATGTCTTAATTACGCCGATATTGTGCACCGATCATCAAGACCGGTAGAAAAAACAACTAGCTTATTCGTATATAGTTTGGTGGTCTGTTCGTTTCGTTGAATTCGGAGATTGTGACGACCGGGCTGGTGCGTTCGGAGCTCGAGTAATAGGTGCAAGACCTCGTAATGATTTGAAAGGGATCTCCAGGCAATTTTGAGCTGAGACTGAATCTGATAGACGGAACTCTTTGGTACTAGTTCGTGCAGTTTTAGTTGTTTTGCTGTTAGCATGATATTAGGTGCATCTTTGGAGACTTCTTGCCCTGTTTTGGCAGGAGGTTTTCCATGGCCAATCAAACATGAGGGGTGTCCTCATTTACTGTGGTACCCCCCGAAATATAAGCCATTTGCCTCATGTGGGTACTTTTCAAAACGCCCACGGATTGTTCAAGATGTCTGTGAAATAGCACTTCTAACGAATGGGAGACTAGCACCTAAAGTGGGTAATGGCTTATACTTCGGGGGGTACCACAGTAGTTTGACGCACTCGAATTCTCCTATATTACAAGGCTGTGATAGGATATGTCTGAAGTAGCCTCGATTGAATACTTTGGCATCCTTCTATCATTCCTCTTCCTAGACAAGATGGTGAGAAACGAGGGTGTTGCGGTATCTATCATTGTTGTTGAATTTGGAGGACTAAAAGCCGTGAGATAATTACTACCGCATAGACTGGTCAAAAGCCATACGACTACGCTCGATTAGACACGCGCTTCTTTCGGCCAATTAGAAGCAACGGAAACTCCTTTCGATTGGTGATTAGGACTTAGCAACGTTAGTAAGCCCGCGGCGCCACACAAACCAGTTCATGCGGTATCCTACAACGTACGGAGTATTTACAAGGTGGATCTGGGAGGGGGTGGCTGGACGCTGCACTTCTTATTTGTTACATGCAGTGATGTAAGCAGGTTGATTTGAGAGCAGAAAATCTTGGCTGTGGCGGCTCCGGGATACACCTTGAATATACACCCTCCGTACGTTGTAAAGCATCAACATCGTATGAGGATTCAAGATCGCGACATGTACGTTGTGTGTCGAATTCCGCGTCATCCAATGTCATCGCCGTCACTCCCGCGGACGTCGTTCGTTCTCATCTCCCGACCTCGTCTTCCTGCCCCACGTCGACTTCCCGCCCCACCACACCACGACTATGTTCCGTAAAAGCCCACCGCTCCGCGCCTTTCAACTCCCCATCCGACCCCCTCCAACGAACGTTCGACCCCTCGCTCACCATGTCCAAGCCCGCGCCTACCAAAAGATCCCCTTCGGCCGCCGTCCGCAGTACTCGCGCTTCCAGGCAGCATCCAACATCTTCCACCGCTGGGCGGCGCGGCCAACCTTCTATCGAGATGTCGGTCTGATCAGCGTCGGGACAGGCGGTTTCTACCTCTACAACGTGGAAACGGTGCCCGTCTCCGGACGTCGCCGCTTCAACATCATCACGCCAGGCATGGAGGAAAGCATGGGCGTCGCGACGGTCGACGAAGTCAAGCAGCAATACGCCGGCCAGTTCCTCTCCGACCACGACCCGCGGGTACTGCAGGTGAAGAAGGTGTTGGAGAGATTGCTGCCGTATGCAGAGGGCACAGGACTGAAGGATCTGAACTGGGAGGTGCATGTCATCGACAGCCCTGAGCAGAACGCGTTCGTAGCGCCAGGCGGGAAGGTCTTCGTATTCACTGGTATCCTCCCGCTCTGCGGCAACGAAGACGGGATAGCAGCAGTCCTTGGCCACGAAATCGCGCACGTCGTCGCCCATCACAGCGCGTATGTCCCCATCCCACCCTACATCTACCCACCCACCACTAACCCCCCACTCAGCGAACGCATGTCCACCGCGCCCATAATCATGCTCCTCGCCCTCTCCCTCTCCCTCTTCGACATCTCCTTCTACTCCTCAAAAATGCTGCTCGACCTCTTCCTCAGCATGCCCGCGTCCCGCAAGCACGAAGCAGAAGCAGACTACATCGGCCTGATGATGATGGCGGAGGGCTGCTACCGGCCCGAAGCCGCCATGGAGTTCTGGACCAGGATGGAGAAGCTGGGACAACAGGGCCCGCCGCAGATCCTGAGCACGCACCCTAGTAATCATAACCGCGAGGAGAAGATTCGCGAGTGGTTGCCCAAGGCGCATGAGAAGGCTGAGGCGTCCGAGTGTCATGCTACGAGTCAGTATGGTATGTTGTCTTGTTTCTTTTATGCGTGAGATTGATTGGGCTAATGGTGTGTAGTGGATCAGTTTGGGTCGGCGTTTAACAGCTTGGGTCGCTGGTGAAGAGATGCTTGTGTCGAAACAAAATGTATACTAAGACGGGAATTATTGTTGCATGCTTTCGTAGTTCTCCTACGTGGTTGGACGGAGCGTAGTGTAGCATGGAGTATGTGTAAATGACTGTATATGAATTGATTCACGTTGGACCCACAACACTCAGCAGACTCACTCTTGGCGCGAGCACAACATCCCTTCACCCTTTCCACATAGAAATCAGAGTATCGTAGTCAGAATTTCTGTCATCACGTCGACCCATTCTTCACTACTCAAGCAGAAAGTCAATGATTAACCGAACAAGACCCATGATGCAAACAAATACTGCTCGCCTCATACGCACAACAAGCTCACCACGACTTCAACACAGCATCACACCACATCAACCTAGGAACACATACAGAGTCGAGTCAGGTTCTCCACTAGGTAACGCATCTCTAGGGACAATACAAGGAATCCGAGGGATGAGAATCAATGTCCCGGCATGCCATGCTCATGCACCAAAACGCCTCAAGTCGTGTCCATATCTCGTTATTCATGCCATCGTATAGACTGCGCCGATTTGTATCGTGCCATACGGCTGATACCAGTTCGACACACTCCAGACTAGACCTGGGTGTCTACAACACCTACGCCAACACAGCGGAGTAGCAGTATGCCGCAACAGCGACACCTACGACCAGAACAGAAACACTAAGGTACAAAGTCAGCGTCGTCTCTTCGAGCGAGTCAACAGGAAAAGAAGAGGATAGTAAAGTCCGTGCATCATGGAGATACGCGCTCCATCGGGCTTCAATGAGAAAAGAGTGAAGAAGATAGCGGACTGCTCACCTAGCAGGGCGGAACACAACGCGTAACAAATTCTGTAGGAAGCTCTTATGAGGCCGATCGAGTCGCTGAAGCGCGTCAGGCGAGACTATACGAGCGACCTTGTCTTTGATGCTGTTCTTGGTATCCTCGGAAGGGGCTGATGGGGTTGTAGTTACATTCGCAGAATCCTTCTCTAGTTCACGGCGCTGGCGAGGTTCCGACTCGGAGGTCTCTTTGTCGGTCGATGTGGATCCGACTTTCGGCGTGAGCGGTGCGATCAATGAATTCAAAACTTTGGCGGGAGTGGCCGCTGAATCGACCAACTTAGCCAAAGGAGTTGGTAGGTCCTTAGCTCCGTCGTTCTTGCCCAAACTACTAGCCTCACTAGACTCGGCTGTATGAGTGTTTGGCTCATCAGCCTCAACTTCTTCGACTAACTCCAGACGTCGATTGTCCTCTGACACAGGCGTAGCATTTGGGTCCCGTGCAAAACCAAAGAACGAGTTTGGAACCCGAGTATGACGACCACCCATCATCACTGGTGAGCCGAAGTCTCCCGCAGCCTCATACTCGTCGTCGTCACCTTCTTCTAGAACAGATGGTAGTGATGCATACGAATTGATCTGCCTAAGATCAACCGAAGAGCACGCCTGAGACATGACAGACATCTGCGGGGAATGCTGCTCGTCGACGACTTGGTCTTCTGGGAGGTGATGACCAATGGTTGCCACTCGTTCGAGGATCTGCTCGCGGCTAGTAGGGAAGGGCTCAAGCGAAGCGTCGTGCAGGTTGTCGTCCTCTTCATCAGACTTGGGCAGCTTGTGCGGAAGGGAGCTACTGTCAGTTCCTGTTCTAAAGATAGAAGAGCGTCCGCCTCCACCAAAAAGCCCCCTGGCGTTAGAGGTTTCGTACCCAAATGATGGCTGTGCGTTGGGGAGGAACAAACCATCATCCATAGACCGCTCAGAACCGGAGATGCTAGCAGCTCTCATATCGCGCTCATGGGGTAAGAGGGGAACGCCATTTTCCTCCTCATGACTATCGTCGAACCGCGTGTAAGGCTGTGGCTCCAAATCCTCTTCGCTGTACTCGGTGACGATATCGCTACCCTTAGATTGCGGAAACCCGGTTTCATGCGATAGAAGTGGGGATTTGGCAAGCTCATCCCCATCATCGCTGTGTATTGCGCTATCATTTTTAAAGCCAGTCTCGTGCGAGAGAAGAGGTCCATTGCTAAACTCATCGGTGCCGTCCTCCATCTCGTGGGAGAGTAGTGGAACACGGTCGAACTCGCTAGCCCTATTACCAAGCCCTGTCTCATGGGGAAGCAGAGGCGCATGGCTGAATTCATTATCTTCTTGCGACTCGTCAGCTTCAGAGGGCGTGTGGACAATACCACTAGAGCTCGTTTGGTCCGTGGACGATTGAACAGACTCTTCGTCGGGGGTCTCCATCGACGGAGATTCTGGTAGTTGCTCGCCTGTTTGATAGGTTTCGTGTTCAAATAAGGGAGCAGATTCCTCTTCCTTTGTGCTAGGCTCCACATGATCTTCTGGGGTGATCACGAGCTTATCAGGCGATGCATCCGCAGCTCTCATTTCGTGTGCTACCTTCTGAGCCGTCGTGGCGTCATCGCCGAAATCGTCTCCATATGTAGGCTCATTGTCTGTTTTCTCAACAACGAGCAGAGGTACCTCCGGCAGCTCCGGCGGGTCCGCATCGACTGGAGAGCTTGCCTTGGTCTCTTCAAAGTCGGGTTCGGCGTCGGCGGCGCGTTTATCAGCATCGACGGGTAACTTTTGTGGCTCTGCATCGCCAACATCTGGTTGCTCTTGATCCGCGGCTTTCTCTACCACAACGAATGGAACCGGGGAGCTCGGTAGCTGGGACAATGCGCTGGCGTCCGTCGTGCTGTCCTTGCGGATATTAGGTGGGGGACCCTTGGCATGGATCACGTTGTTGCGGTTGCCTTGTTCGTCCGTGGCTGCAGTATGTCAGTATCTGTGTCAGATAACCTCATGCATTGACCTACCAGTCTCTTTTGACTCGTCCAGAACCCAATAGCCCTCTCCAATGCGGATCTTGTATTGGTAGCTGCCCTCGCCGACATCATTGAAATGCCGAGTAAAGACGAGGTCGCCAGAAGGCATCTTCTCATCATCCACGGTCAATTCAAGTGTCTCCCATGGCGGATTGCTGAGGGGCGTGACAACATATACCGGTGGTTGCACGCCCGGCTGCGAGAAGCTGATGGTTGCTTTGGCGGTCATGGTGACATTAGCGGCCTTAATCGAGGACGAGGGGAAGCCCGATAGAGGAGGTATCCGAGGATCTTGGGAGGTTGGATCGCTCGCGTGCCGTATCAGTTGTGGGAGTGTATCTCGAGGATAAGCGTTTGTCTTGCGAGGAATATCGTCAGTAGTTGAGGATGTTTGTTTATTACCCGACCACAAGGCTCGGATACGTTGTCGGTGGGATAGTTTTGGAGTGGTCATGAGGAACGAGAAGGGAACGAGAAGGATATCACATAGAATGGATGGTGGTGCTTTTGAGAGAACTTACCAGTTTGAAAGGGGTGCCAGCTGCAAAAGAAACTATCGGGCGTGCTGAGGAGGTCCTTTCCCTACGAGAAAATCTACTATCGTCTCACCCTGGATGGGAAAGAAGGAAGTGTTGAAGTGTTGAGAGGGGCCAGGGAAGGAAGGCGGGCTCAGCCTGTTGTTGAGTGCGACTTCCCAGGTTCCCACTTCCGCGCAGAGATACGAACGACGAAAATGGCGGACGCTCGCAGAACCATGGCCCACTGGAATAAGTGTGTCTTTAGAGTCCTGTCAACCCCGATCGACGTCGTGCAGCTCCACCTCCGCACTCTCTCTGCAGGGTCGTGCGCCCCTCCGCTTTCACATGCTTGTCGTAAGTTGTTGAACTTCAAGGTGACGTGACAGCAGCGGTGTGTGGGCCCAGGCGCTATGGGCGTCTGCTGGTATGGTGCGGTCCCGCGGATGATCTCCAAATCACTAACGTGGAAAACACTCAAACTCGACTTCATCTCTGTCCAAGATGTCAAAATCCGTGTATGCGTAGTGATAGTATCGATGTAGTGCAGGGGCGTAGGACAGTTGCCGTTGTACCACCACCACGTGCCTTGCGAACGATCAGTTTTGGCTAGTCTTTGATGAACTTTTTGCAAGCGCCTGTTCACGTCCACGCTTCGTCTGAAGTAGTCAACAGAAGCGAACTAGCAAAAAGCAAGGAAATGACACATATTTTTACTTTAATGAAGTATCTGGCATGATCTTGCCCGCCTTATCATAGTATGAGGCGCTCTTCAAGTATACTCGAACACACAGATGCAAAGCGCTGTTGCTCGACTTTGGTAAGACGCTCACGTTGGAATGGAAGTCGTAAGAAACAAGGCGACGCTTCCGTCAGAGATGAGCGGAAGAACAAGAGAAGATGCTGACCCGAAGTTCTGGGAGACATGACATGCGACGAGAAAACACCCTACAAATGCATATATTGTTAAAAACACGATGAGAACAAATCGTGTATATTTAATACGGACTGCAAATTTTGAGTGATATAATCGTGAATGGTCATTTGCTACAGACGAGTCTATAGTTGAAGTAAGATGATTCATATCCAGAAGTAACCCAAATTCTGTCCCTGAAGTCGTCGCCAATAGATATTTTCCTAGACCTAGTGTGCGTGTGCGTGCCCTATTTGCGTGACAAGTGGTAATAGCATGCCGAATATAACGATGCCAATGTCTGTTTTGGAAAGAGTCTTCTTCTCTGGGAAGGCGTCTATGTAACCATTTGCGGTGGGGTCAAATTGCGACTGCGATGACGTTGCTTCGGTCATGGAGTGCATGGCTACATATCTTTTGTTAAAGTTAGTACGTTTCATGTTGCAAAGATAGGAGGCTGAAATGAAGACTGACAAGAAAGTTCCACCAGAGAAACATAACACCCAGCCGGTGGTCCAGGTAAGCCCCTCGTCACCACCCAGCGCGCTACGTCCGAGCGCATGAACAAGGGCCCATGTTGCGATAGCGCCGGCCGGTGCAGCTAAGCTAAAGAATCCGAGGTGGGTTCGCGCCGTACGTTTCGACAGTCCCTGCTTGAGAAGAACGGACGTGAGACCAAATGCTGCGGGCGCTTTGTGAAGCATGATTGCTATGAAGACAACGAGCGATAAAGAAGTAGAAGGCGCTGTCGACGAAGCACCTAGCGCTATTCCATCTGCGCAGGCATGGACAACAAGGCCTATGGTAGTCGCTGAACCGCCCTTCCTTCTGGCAGAAGGTGCCATAGGCGTTGGGGTCAACATGGGCGGAGACGGCGGGCGACTCATTGGGTTCAGGCTCAAGGTCGAAGCATTGTGCGGTCCTCGCGCTAGATTCGAGAGCGAAATGTGCATGGGTTGATACTTGGGTCTTGTCGATTCGAGGGCTTCCGGTAGATGGTCCACGACGAACATAAGTATGTATCCCAGGATCAATGCGACACCGATGAATGCATGGGGGCTTCCTCCATCCTCATGCTCAAGGTAGCCTTGCTTGTCATCGTCATCCTCGGGCGCGTGAACGCGCGTGTGTCCTTCCTTGTGTCCCTCGGTTGAGTCGTCATCGCCGCCCTTCTGCGGGTGTGGGTCTGCGCTCACGGTCTTGTCCTTCTCCTTTTCCTTCTGCTTGGTGTCCTTTGCTCGCTTCGTTCGAGGTTCGATAAAAGACCTCTCCACAATTATGTCCGCGCTAGGAGCTTTGATCGCACCCCCTCTCAGGAAGCTGGTATCCACTGCCTCTGACCTCTCTAACATGAACTCTGCAGGGTGCTTAAGGCCAGATCGCAAAGTCGACCCAGACGGGATAGTAGGCTGTACACTCCGGGACGCGTATGTGTAGCCTTGACTCCTTGCGCTGTACATGGTCTCGATACCTTCCGGAATGATGACAATGAGCGACGTCCCCACGAGCACGCCGGTGCCCAGGAGGGTGATGACACGGAGCTGGCGCGGAGAGAGGCTAAAGGAGAGCGGTACGATGCCCGCGAGAAAAGAGCTGCCATGGTAAGCTTCAGAGTCCAAAACATGCACACGCCAACGCATGAGGAGTGAGGGACGTACGCAATGGCCATAATAGTGCTCAAAGCGAGCAGCATGAAAAGTCCGTCCCACATGCTGGGCGGTATGTGCGGCGATCCCCAGAACCTGCCAGAGGAAAATGCGCGTTGATATACAAGAAAGAACGTAGAGCGGGTAGCGAGGCGTCAATCGATGCTGTCCATGCTTCGGGGAGAACGGAGTGGTGGACAACAGTCTCCACAAATCTTTGACTCTTGAGGTGTGCGCCATACAAGGAGCTAATACAAGGAGCTAGAAGCGGCTAGTACCGTAGGGCTGATCACCAAAACGCGTAATTTCGCGCTAACATCCTCGCTGCAGCGACGCGCCTCTTGACATTTCTAGACTTACTGCTCCAGTAGACAGTCATCTTCGCACTAGCCACTCTCACACAAATCACAACCATGGATCTTGACGACTGTAAGTATTGTGTCGCATGGTCTTGCTGTCTTGGGTACATTCTGCGATGTCACTTGAGCCGTCGCAGACGTACTCAAATGCATCCAGCCCTCATGACGATGAACTGCATAATGACGAGGCTGACAATCGCTAGGGGTCACAAACTCGAATGAGTGCTTCCACATCAATCTATATCGCCCAGGCAGCGGCGAGTCCGAGCGCATCCTTGACGACTCCTTCAACCCGACCTGCACATACACCGTGATCGACGAGCAAGAGGCGATCGCCGGCTACAAGAATCCAAGCATAGAACTTGACTTCCGCGCAAACGACCTTAAGCCACGGCTCAAGATACAGTTTGACGAGAAGTTGGAGCTTAAGGGTATCTCACCCGACATCAACCAGGTCGATCTCACGCCAGAACTATTTGCGCAATTTCTACCAGAGCCATCAGAAGATGTCAAGGATGCGACGTCAAAAGACTGGAAACCTCCAGGAGAATGTCTGCACAATTTCACGCTGCAAAACAAGAAATACGAGATCTGGAAGGCGCCCATGACCAACGACGCGGCGAAGCAAATCTGGACAAATATGAGGATTCTGGTGTTGCTGTTCATCGAAGGCGCTACATTCGAGGGCCTCGACGACGAGGAGACGATGGACCGTTGGTCGCTGTATCTGCTGTACGAGGTGACTCCTCTCAGCGATGCTACGACTACCCCATACACGCTCGCAGGATTCTCTACCTCATATCGCTCATGGATCTTCCCAACCTTTGACATCATGCGCGCCACCAAGATGCTCCCATCTCCTCCGCCAGAAAGCTCAGACAGTCATACTCCTAAGTACACATCTCAACGCTTGACCCAAGATCCAGAAACCTTCCTTTTCAACGAAAAGATCAACCGTCTCGAAACTCCCTCGCGGGAACGAATCTCCCAGTTCTTAATACTGCCTCCATACCAAGGACAGTCTCTTGGCTCTCGACTATACGACACTATCTTTGAGGATCTTGTGAAGAAACAGTTCATCTACGAGATTCCTGTCGAAGACCCCAGTGAGGATTTTGATTCCATGCGAGACTACAGCGATATTGTCTACCTTCGCAAGTTGCCCTCATTCCGGACGCTTTCGCTTGCATCAAACCTCCCGCCAGAACTATTGAGAAAAGACTCGCCAATCCCCAGAGACCAAATTCTTGGCAACGGTATCGATCTGGAAGAGCTCCGTCACGAAGCCAAAATCGTTACTAGGCAATTCTACCGGATAGTCGAGCTTCATCTCCTCTCTACTATCCCGCCCAATCATCGCAAGAGAGCACGGATTACGCGCAAAGCAAAGTCAAGTAATGAGAATGACCGCAAGTACTACTTCTGGCGATTGGCCCTCAAACATCGCATATATAGTCAAAACGCCGACACCCTTGACCAGATGGAGGATGCCGCAGAGAAGGTCGAGAAGCTTGAGATGGCAGTCGATAACCAGCAGGAAGAGTACGAAGAGCGCCTCGAGGGTATTCAGAAGCGCCTCAAATGGGCGACTCAGCCAGTCTCGAACGGCGCCAAAAGCAGGAGCAAGCGGAAGAGAGCCGTTGTCAGCGACGAGGACGACGATTGGGAGGACATGGACGACGAGCCAGTCACCCTGAAGCGGAACAAGGCGTGATGGATTTTGGTATCTAGTAGTACACAAGGCGTTTCGATGGGACGGGAGCCCTTCAGGTGCTTGTGTAAAAATGGAATAGCAGGCGTATTAGGTATTGCAGACATCTAAGCTGCATGATGCGGTGGTTGGAAGTAAAGGTACATCCTCCAAGGAGCATGGCCGGAATACGCTAATCACATGAATCGTTCGACATCAATGTCTCTGAACCTAGTGAATGTCGTCCATCATGTGTACTCGGCAATTGCACGACGTACCTCCGTCCTGGTGGGGTGAATTTACCCCACATCCTCAATTTTTGGACTCCAACACGCGTGAGCTTCGTTCCCTGCAATACAACACGAACCCGTGTCTCTGGTCTCAAAATCCGCCCTGAAACCTCACAAAATGGCAGACACACAACACAACCTCACCGTCCTCATATCCGGCAATGGCTCGAATCTCCAGGCCCTGATCGATGCATGCGCATCCGGCGCGCTCCCCAACACACGAATCACACACGTTATCTCAAAGTCCGACGCCTACCTTTTCTGAGTGCATAGCGACTGACAAGACCTGCAGTCGCAAAGCAGCATACGGCCTCGAACGCGCCGCGAAAGCCTCGATCCCAACAACCTACCACAACCTCGTTCCCTACAAAAAGTCGCACCCGGACACGGATTCCGCGCGCACAGCCTACGACACCGACCTCGCGAACATCATCCTTGCGCTGTCTCCTCGCCCTAATCTCATCGTCTGCGCGGGCTGGATGCACATCGTCACTCCATCGTTCCTGACACCCATCGCCAACGCGGGCATCAAGATCATAAACCTGCATCCTGCGCTGCCGGGCGAGTTTGCGGGCGCGGATGCGATTGGACGTGCGTGGGAGGCGGGGCAAAAGGAAGGGCTGAAGAGGACGGGCGCGATGATCCATGAGGTTATTGCGGAGGTGGATGCTGGGGAGGCGATTGTGACGCAGGAGGTGGAGATTAGGAAAGGGGAGAGTAAGGATGAGTTGGAGGAGAGGATGCATAAGGTGGAACATGGACTGATTGTTGAGGGGACGAGGAGGGCGTTGGGGGGTTTAGGGCGGTGATTGAGAGGGGGTGGGATGGATATTTGATACCCTTTTTGAGAGCTTGCAGGATGGGAAGATGTTGGCTCGTCGCAAGATATAGTGCGGAATGCCAGACGTTGTGTTGCTGTAAAAGTTGATTGTACAATCGCGAACATCTCCATGTTCTATCGCCGGTACAATCTGGTGCTGGGTGGAACAGTGTCCCGACACTTGTTCTAACAACTATAAGACCTGCCTAACTGTCTAAACGAAGAGCTAGTGTCTCAGTGTTCATACGAAAGCCATTACTTTGGTCAGTTGTAGAGCAGTTGTTGGTACAAAACCAGGTGAATACAAAGAATTCCAAGGAAGACAACAACTGTGTTCAAGAGTTATTATTGATCTGACCAAACCGTCAGATATTCTACACCCATAAACAATCTTCCACGTCTAGCCGAACAATGCAATATCCTCATCATCATCCCTTACAGCAAGTCCCGGCACGCCAGCATGCCGTCAACCATGTCTGCAAGAATACATCGCTTACTTGTACCCATACTGATCAGATCCGAACAAATGACCGAGCCTAAACAAAGTTCCTAATGCATCTTGGGCATTTTCCACACGGATACTTCATTTTTATAGTCCCCTCCGCTGGATGGAGAAAAACACATACCGTGTTGTGCTGTGCGACGACGAACCGTTCGGGTGTAATGTAGCCGCACGTGTATTCTTTGTGCTTGGTTACACACATGATGTGGTTGAGAAGGTATATTGGTATAATATGGATCTAGTGTAAGTTTTTGCTGCGTGTGAATCGATTTTGGTTGCGGGTATTCTAGAGTACTTGTGCTGGTTGTTGAGTGCTTTGTACAGATGTGTTGGTGAGGATATGTTACCGCCGGCAGATTTTTATATTGGATTTGCTGGTGGGACTTCACGGTGCTGGCTGGCTTTCGTTCACAGAAGAAGACTGGCTTGCTGTCACAGGGATATGGCTCTGTTGTGGTTGTGGATATGAATCTTGTACGTCAATCGGAAGTGTGAAACTATCCGACATTGTTATGTCAATAATCGACTCCGATGTTGTCACTTGAATTCGATCAATGCTATCAATAACACATGCCTTCAAGTGAGTCGTAGATTGACACTCCCAAGCTTGCGTGCTGTACTTGAACTGAGCAATGCACACGTGTCTAATGCTTTGAGATAGGACAGTGGTCAATGCTTGTCCTTGCTCTAGCCCCCTACTACGACATACGAGACTTGAGAACGCTGAACACATGGGTTTGAGAAGCACAGTCTGTAGTTGAACGTCAAGTAAAGTACTTACTCTCAATTAAGTATTTGTGCAGCGGCAGGAAACGTGATAAAGCAAAACCTTTAACATGTGTGACACTTAATATTGAGACAACCATATATTCTACGTAAACATTGGGCAATGAAAGAGTATGTTCGGGGTCGGCTTGCTTATGGAATGTGCTGTAAACGGATCATCATTTGTTCGATCACTACACAACATGGTACAACGACATAACGAAAATTTCATCTATACACGGGAGCTGACCAAACAGGACTACACGATACTTGCGTATGATGTTTCATCTAATACGTTGTAACATACATATCCTAGCCTAACACATCATGGCAGTACAGGTTCCTGTCCCGCTCAAGTGACAAAGCATACACATTAGGTGTCATCGTTGTCGACCGCAGAGATCATCGTGGTCCCCCACGACCTCGGGACCCCCAATATAGATCTCCGTGTCCAAACTCTCCGCCATAAGTTCTATGGAAAATGGTGTTATAGTACGTCCTCCAGTCTGCCGTAGTAGCTTCTCTCATATTATCAGGAAGGGTTGGGTCATGTTCATAGAGATCTGGATTCCGAAGCCAGCGATCTCGTAATCTCATAGACATTCGCTGAGACCGACGAAGCTCTTCTGCGCTACCATCAGTTCCAGTATTTGGAGCATTTCGCCAATAGTGCCCTCCATCCTGGCGAAGGACCTGGTCGGCGATTGCGGGATTGCGTAGACCTCGGTGAAGAGGGCATGGATAGTCCAGAATTCTACTCCCTACGTATTCGGCCTGTCCGCATCTTCCGCCTACATTATCCCTGCCGGTAACGTCGCAATGCGAAGTATATGCAACAGTCAGTTCAGTGCAATTCGTAGGGGGTTGGGCGCATGAGTGGGAGATGAACTCGTATCCGCACATTGCTGTGTAAATTTGTTGAACACTGTCGATAAGTTTGATTCAGTTGCGAGAGCTCTTGTTGATGGGGTTTTACTGTCAGTAGTATGTCGATAGTTGACTTTTATGTGTAGTAGATGTTTTGAGTGATGTGTAGAAGCAGCGTTAATATACTGCTCAAGTTGGTGATAGGGCAAAAATCTGTACCTTCATGTCTTGTCCTCCAATTATCTAGGTACATATCTTCATTGATTGATACACGATGGCGCTGTAATCCACACGTGTATGTCAGTCTCTCGCCCTGAAGTTTCATTATGGATTATAAATCTTCACTAAGCCAATCAAGACATGCTATGTGAACCACTACCTGTGTCGCATTCACTTGTGAACAAGTCAATGGGGTTCGATGGCGAGGCAAGCTCATACGTACTATCTCGGTCAAAACTTCAACCATAGGCACGGTCGAGATGGATGTTCAGGAAGACGAAGAACTGACGATGTCTTATGTGACTATGGAACAAATCTTTCCAAGAGCACTCTCCGCAAGTACGTGTCTTTTATGATAGCATTTACCTAAACCCCAGCCTTCCCATACATCACCCCGGTCAGAGCTATCCTTTCGTCCGGTGGTGAATGGCTACACTTTCTCAAAGCGCCGTAGAAAATTTGAGGTCATAAGGAATAAACCGAGGATTGTTTAACAACTGATAACTTCGATCTATACTGCTCCAGCCAAAACCCAATCCGACCATACGACCCAGGCTCTAGGTCTGTATTGCTTGATCCTTTTGTGAAGTTGAGGTAGTGTGGACTCATTTGATTCAACCCGTCCCAATGCACCACCCATCTTGACATCAGTGGTGTTTCCTTTCGCAAATCCAAACGGTGACAGTGGTACAGAGAGCTGTGTCTGTATAGGTGCATCTCAGCACTCTGGTATAGACAAACTGAGTAGAGGTTTGGATTTGAGAAAGGAAACACCACTGATGTCAAGATGGGTGATATGTTGGGAAAAAGCGTGTTTGATGTTCAACATATTTAGGGGATAAACATCCCTCAATAACTGCGCCTACATCCTTACGTATAGAAATTTGATATGTCTGGTCTCGAGCGCAGGTCAAACTTCACCGTTGCTAATCTAAAAGCTCAAGCCTTGACACAAGGACCACGTGCTTCGAATTAGCTAAGTACATCACACACGTGGTGTGAGTGATCGAGATCGATTCAACAAGGAGCGGATATGTTCAGAAGTAGACAAAAGCGTAGACGGAAGATCACAATATCTCCGAGAAGCCCTATCCGTGCGTTCAAAATTCTCCTTACCAGTGCAGATATCGATGATTCGTCAAATGCACACCTCTTCTACTGAACCGTGACTACCTGTCTTCTGCCTTAATCGGGTGAGACGGGTGGAGCATGTATCAACTTTTACGTCTCATTATCCAGGGCGGAACTGACAAAGAACATTCAAAGATCTGCAAAGTCAGCCACCTATCGCTTGGGTGGTGCCTGCACAATCCAAGTCAATAGTCTTGACCTCTTTCGAGCGTATGCAGGAGGTTGAGTGCCAGTAAGACTCCGCGGAGGGAATTTGTGCAAGGACATACTGCACCACCCATGTTCCCTACGTCGGGGACTACTTATTGGTTCTCAGCGCAACTGGCCTTGCATCTGAGACGTCGTTTTTTTCATTATGGTCTACTGTTTCGTTCACGTCCAACCCATGTGGCGTATCTGAAAATGTGCGGATGGAAGTAGTACCTGCATATGTATCTGATTAAAGAGAGGCTGGGTTCATCGGCGGGCGCCGCTTTTTTGTGACTGTCAACAACCGTGTCTTATGTGATATTCCATGCATATAAGGCCATCAAATGTCAAGAGAGCTTCTTTTTCCAGCCCCATGGCTCCGAGATGTCAGTCTACCCCGCATTCATCTCAGGAGTATTGACGCGAATACCTCGGATTACGCGTAACAAGTCCAATCGAAGAAGCAGGCGTGAACGGAAGCTTCCGCATGTGCAGATCTCAAGCCGGTTATGGGCAATGAGGGAGAACAACAACATAATTAGTTCTAGCTCAGTGTATAGCGTGCTGTACGTCGTCGGATAGTATATCCAGATAAGTGAGATGCGCGTCAGATATAGACATGGCATGTGTGAGTATATGTTATTGTCTCACTGTTCCATTGGTTCGAGACGTCTAGGAGATCGACATGACGAGACACACTGATTGGATACCGTGCTAGGAGCCATCGTACCCTTCGGCGATATACTGAGAAACGAACAATATGGCGTGTAAGAGAAGTGTAAGAGACAAAGGGTAGTGTAAGAACGAAAGAAGAGGCGGGAACATCCGTGCATCCACAACAACGGAAAAGGATACACGGAAATACCGCTGTTTTTTAAGGCGGCCACTCTGGCCGTGCGTTTCCAACGTCGTCATACCGAATGCCCGGATGATCGCTCTAGCGGGCTCACTTCTCCGAGTCTAGCTCGAAAAAGAACAACATCAGATCAGAAGGAACCACTGTGCCGCATCATAAACTCGGACGTCAGGTTCAGATGCCCCACCCTCGGAACCTGTGATCCTTCGCCTCGCGGAGCGTACCAAAAGCAACGCGACGAGACACCATCGATGATAGCGCCGGAGAAGACAGGAGTCAAACACGTGGAAGCGAGAGCGGAAGATTAACAGGGTAAAGGATGAGACACGTGGGATGGGAAGGTCGACCGCTTGTCGCGACTCATGAAACCTACCGAGGAAACCCCATTGAAGATGAAGCGGTACAGAATCCAAAATTTACATCACAGCGACGCACTTGTCTTCATACCGCGGCACTTTTTTCCTGCATGCATGCAGCCCTCCTGTTGCTTTTTCATCCTTTGGTGTAACTACACCGTTATAGCAGTACCCCTGCTCACTGTAACATGCATGCACACCCGAGTTCGTACCTAGCTGTGGCTAACGAGTCGTTGTGCCGCTCGCCTCGGTAGCTTGATCCTTCGCTCCGTTACCAGGCGCTTGTATTGAATCTTTGGTACGATTCCGTAAGAATACACGTTCGGGATTGAGGAACCTATCTGTCGCATACAACGTATGGAGAGGCTTATATTACCACCGGAAGCACAACCCGTTTGCCACTACGTCTACAAGCTGGGCGCCACAGCGTGAAGATGTGATGACTAGATTATACCCCCGGGGATGCCGACGGATGTTGGTGGAAAGAAAGAAAAAAAGTCGGACAATAATCTTGCGTATTTGCGAGAAACTGACACCGCACCGCACACCTGGTTGTACGTAATTTAAGGCGGAGAGTAAACTCCGTTCCATGCGCAAGGATGACAGCCGTTCCCGCACACAACGGCGAATATGAGACTCGATACAGTGACCTCTCCGTTCCCACCCTCCGTTTGATGTACATGAAGGAGCCGACGGGTTGTTTCATAGCCTTGGCGGTTTCTTGTCATCGATTCCCGTTTGCATTCAACTTTTATTTGTGGCGTAAACTGGAGAGGAAGCGGGAAGAGAGTTACACAATATGTGCGCCGGACCGTTTGCATGCCAGGTTCCACCAAAGCGGGCAGCGACTCGGTTACCCCTGGCATATTCGCATGCATGGCGCATCGGGAATGTATTATGTATGCTTTTGCGGGGGAGCCATGATTGGAGAGTCGTTGAAAAGAAGCTGTATATGATTTGAATCTTTCGCCAAGTGCGGTGAGATCTATTGCTCTGAGACTGCGTTTGGTCAGCTCTACGGAAATCTACGTAGCGTCAATAGTTCTTGTGTGTTGATGATGAATCTAGGGTAATGGACAGATGGAGGCGTGATGGTGGAAGAAATTGAAAATTCGTGATTCTACGTATATCGAAAAGCTGAGCAGATGGTGGTATCCTCTAACATGTAAACACAATGAAATTGGACGCGTAGGTCCATATCGTTCAAGCCGGGGGAATCCGCAAGAAATCAGGGAATATTCGCCAGATAAAGGAAGACAGAACCGCAGTGGTATCGTTCGTAAGCAGGCTGACCAAGTCAAAAATAAGGAACCCAGAAGAAAAGTTGCCCCCAATAGTCCACCCATAATCGTCCGTTACGATCGATTGCCGGAGAATAGCGGCCGTGAATCTAGAAACAAGTGTCCAAGCATAATCCGATATTGTACAAGGGTAGGTTATAAGAGTAGAAAGAAAAATGTGTCGTTAGTTCTCTTCCATAAGGGCTTCGGTTTGATCGCCAGATTCACGCCATTCGCGCGAACCTACTGAAAGACGCTTGACGCCCGCGATGCGCCCCGCCCAGAGTGATTCGGAAGATGATCGGAAAGTATATGCGCGTTGCGAAGAAATAACACCGATTGCCTGCAGTACAGCTTTGCGCGAATCTCGACCGAAAACCGCAGGGTGGTTGATCCATTCCAGGCTGGATTCGAGCTCTGCGTCGAGCGCTTGCATGGTTCTCGCATCGATCCCTGCTGCAGGTGTGAAAGGACTGTTTGCATGCGGCGAGGGTGTTCTTCGGCGAATCTCGCCGCTATTGCTGTTGTTGGTGGGCGATGAGCTTCCGCTGCCCGTCGTACTCGAAGCGTCGTTCCGTCGGTGACCGGGAGGTGGAAGAGGTGGCAGGCCTCCCTTTCCAAGCCCTTTCAAGATACTTCGCGTCTCTTTAAGCAGATGATGCGCTCGGTCATGCTGTCCTCGCGAGACAAGTGTCAGTGCACGTGCCAGCATGTCTGAGGTCAACAATTCCATACGGCGCTGGACGACGTGGGGATGAGGCGGAATAGGCGGCGTCGGAGGTCGGCCATGATGAGTGTTTCTCTGTGGGCCCGAAGGCAGTAAGGTGATGGCTAGTAGTGACGGCCTCGGCAGGTGTGAAAGTGAGCCTTCTCGAAGGATATCTCCATATGTGAGGTCAGCCTGGATCAAGGGTACCTCTTCGACACTCAGAGTACGAGAGTCTTCTTGATCAAATGGTCCGCCCAAAGCCTCTAAGCCTGACACAATGGTCTCCCAAGGGTCCTGTGGAAGCTGCTCTGGTGAGCCAGCATCAGGTGCAATGGCTAGTTGCACAAGAATATCTTGAACGATTGTCAGTAATGTGCGCTATCGCCGAGTTTGATCGATAAACTGACCTCTTTTATCACCGAAGCGCAAGTCGCCCAGAGATGCTTCGGCGTCCCTTCCCGTGGCGCGTTTGGTGATTTGCAATGCTCCACTGATCTTGACAAACTTTGCGGGCGAGCCTTCCGGCAATCTCAACTTCAACTTCACGTTCTGATGCGAAATAGACTGGAGTGAACCAAGGCATCCTGCCGCACATTCGCGCAACATCATCCAGTCCTTGACGTAAGTGTAGGAAGCCTTGGTGCGTGTCGACAATTCGATCATGGTATCGGGCTTGTGGGTCAGCCCTAGGCCAAATGAGTGGATCGAAACCCTTTATGATGTTAACATTGTACTCCTCAAAGATGGATGGCTAGACACTTACTTGGCGGCCTCAGCGCGAGAGATGACGAAGTCGACACTCTCGGCATCCGATGTCGATGAGTCGCTGATGAGTAAGATGCTCGAGATCGGATTGCTTGACTTGCGCTGCATCAATAGATCCATGGCCACATTGGCACCCTCAACCACATCGGCGCGTAGACTCTTCTGTCCAACGGGTCGTATCGAGTCGAGCACTTTCGGCCAGTCCTTCCATGCCTTGCTCGTCATTCCAACAATAGGAACACCACCTCCGCTAGAGCCAAAGGTGACCAAGCCCATACGATCACGCTCACCAAGACTCTGCACGAGGAACTTGAGGGTGTCGCGTAGGAGGTTGATCTTCAAACCTTGCATCGACGACGAGACGGGGATGACAACGACGATGTCGATGGGTACGTGAACCGAGCCAGAGATGCGAGGCTCAGGCATTCCAATGCGCGAATTCGTATATTCGGTTGGCGCAGTCATGGTCGACCTAGCTCCGCCGTATGAGGAATTGACCGATGACACTCGTCTTTGCTTCTGGTAGTCGTCATCTTCCGTTCCAGAATAGTCGTGATCAAAGTCAGGCATTCCATTGCTGGTGGGGAAGTCCAGACCGATGTCCATCAAAGCGCGGCGCCATATTTCCAGCTGGTTCCTGTCCTGAAACTGCAGATGGAACGCAGGCAGTTCCGCGACGGATAGGCTGAGGGTCAGTACCGAATCCTCTGGTGAATGCTCGACTTGCTTAAGGTGCTTTTTGATGAGGATGGAACCCTTCAGTGCGCATTTAGGCTTTTTGTTGGACTGCTTTTCCGAGGCATCCCATTGTGCGTGCGAGGCGACCTTCTTTTCCTTCACACAAATAAGCATTTCCGCAAACAGATAGCACTCCAGCTCCTGCCATGACTGGCGATCCTTCCCAACCCGGATGTGGCCATGCAGCCGCAGCTTCCCAAACCGAGAGAAATCAAGACCGTGCCAGTTGTCAACACGCGCATGTAAATCCTCGGTGATTTCGTCCAGGATTTCCGTCGATACAGATGGTGTGTTGGACTGTCTGCTGCGAGCAGGCGATCTCTCGCGTCTGTGGCTTCCGGTGGCGCTAGCGATTGAGGGAAGGGGTAGGGCGCCACGGATATCCTCAGGGTCAGGCCGCCATTTCCCCTCCACCACCTCGACGGTCACTAGACACGTCAAACTCTGCTGTTGTCGCGATCTGCTAAGAGTTGGGAATTCGCTTCGAACAGTCACTGTCGGCGCAGGAATGGGACACTTCAAATGGCCGCGCGGGCTGCTTAGACTGGTCTCCATCGACTGCACGTCATAGTCATGGCGCCTGCCGTCTTGCGTCGCTGCGTAATCGTTCGAAGAGGTGATTCCGGTTGCGCCGCTGTCGCTGCGCAGATGTTGCCGTGACCGCGATCCGCCGCGATCCGAGCTCTGGTCCCGGCTGTGGCTGTGGCTTCTTTCTCGCTGCTGCGTTGGGTGAGGAGTTGTGTATCGACCAGAAACGTCGCTGTTGTTGCGCGAGCGGCCTTGCGATTTTTCTTCCGAACGCGATGTCAATGTTTGGTCATCCCATGGGGTCGGCGTGCTCTGGGTACTCCTTTGGCTACTGGTCTGGGTTGAATCATTTTGGACGGAACGCACTATAGTGCTGAGCTTCTCTATACATCCACGTCAGTACGGGTTGGCAACGCTTGTTGCTGCCACGGTTCTGCGTACCAAGGTCAAGCACGTTCCCTCCGCGACTTGTATCGAGCCCCAACGTCGCATCGCACGTGGGGCAGTGCTGTGATTCAAATTCGCGAATATACTCATAAAAGCAAGCCTCGTGTGACACATGACCGCACGAGAGCTGTAGTATGCGTTCACCACGAAGCGTATGTTCCAGAGGCTCGTCACAAACGGTACATTGGCTGCCAATGAAGGTTCGATCTCGACGCGTCCTGGACCGCTCAATGTCAAGTACACCGGCCATGCCTCTAGTGGAGCGGACAGGCGCCTGGGGGTCAAGAGTCGCGTCGCTCCGTCGCGATTGAGAAGTCAGAGGCCTCGCGATACTGGCAGGTCTGTTGTCGTTGGAGCTGCGCGAGCCGGGACGACGCCCTCCTAGAAAGTGCATGAGCGGGCCTGGTCTTTCAGACAAGTCTTGATGGTTCGGGAAGCAGTACTGATGCTATTGACCAAAGGCGATTGGAACCCGACAACCCTTTTCGTGTTCTTCTTGTGGGATTTGTTGCTCAGTAGACCAGCTTCAATAAGGTTTGCTTCAACACGGCTCGATTCGATGAGAGCCTGTTTCTGGTGATGGTGGGGGGAATTAGAGTTGTGGCCAGACAAAGGGACATGAAAACCGTTCGACATGGAAGGGGTCTTTGGGTCGCTTCAAGAGCGTTTCAGCATTCGGTGAGCACACGGAGGATCGCTGGATAATCCGCGGTCTGGGTGGCACTTTTAGGTTTGAGGCAGGTACCGGCTCGTCTGCACCATGCCAGGGTGGGGCGGACCGACTGATTCGAGTGCTATAGCAGGGGACTGCTCTAGGGTGGTTACGAAGTGGTTACGAAGCCATGTGCATGTCGGATGTCAAAAAGGAAGAAGAGACGATGCATGCGTACGGAGACGGAATCCCGCTGCAGGATAGGCTGCTGCGATTATATCTCGTGTCTGGGGACCGGCGACCACTGCATGTGCCGCGAAGCCCAGGAAAAGGCATGGCTGCAAGGACCAAGCTGCTGCACTGTCTCGGACCCGCTTGTGTTAGTCCATGCAGTGAGCCATGTCAGTCGTGAATACTCGGGGCGAATCGAATAGGGATGGTTAGCGACAGCCCGCCACTGCGCCACAGCTACAACCATTGGCAGATATATTACGCACAACCTTATCAGGGATAGTCTGTCCGAATCGACGGGATGGCCGCTCTCATTGTGCACTCTGCGGCAACCAGCCCAAGCTTGTTGTCTGATGGAAAAATCGGCGGGGGCTGGAGAGGATCAGGGGATGCTCAAACACGCAAAGTCACACCTGCCAAGTACGGTTGCCTCGTCTGGCTGGTTGCCGGCAGGATTTGGAAAGCATCGGTAAGTAAGAAAATTAGTATCTATGCACCCACGGCCGCTAGAAAAAACCGCCTTTGTTCTTCGGAAAGGTGCTTTCCACTCGTCACCTTGCGCAATACTCCAGCGTTGCGCGTTCTTGCTTCGAGTCAGACACATATCTTATAAAGTTTTGCTCTGACCGGGATATGCAGGCATGAGACGACAACGCCTCACAGATTTCTACGTGGACCCTGCCGGCAGCAGCTTGCGACTCAGTAACATGAAAGTGAACATCTGTGCTTAGACAGACCAGTGCTGTAAGGCGTCATTCATTCGCGCATGCCTTTGCCACATGATCCCCAACCGAGTACAAAGTTTATCTCTCCAAGACGGCGCCGGCAGCATTCACCCTAGCATCGTGGAAAGTCTGGGCAGACGGAGAAGAGAGCAACCGCTATGGCAGGAAGACAATAGGGTGTGCCAACGAAGGAGTGTTAGTCGCGCAATGCGTGGCCTCTATCCAGAAATAGCAGCCACCCAAGGCATCCAATTTCAAAGTAGAAATGCTAACAACAGTAATAGGGACATACTCGACGATCGCTGACTCTCTTTCTACGAACATCCCGAAGTTGATCAGATGCCAGCCCGGTTCCGTTTCTCCGAACTAGGATTGCCTTGCGTGTTCATGCACCGCCTCTCAATTCTAGCACGTTCAAAACTCACATCTAACGTTCCCCCATAGTATTTCCCCTGAGTCTCTCCTCCACCGTGTCGTCTTCCTCAGCCCTGTGAAGGCGCAGGTGCTAAGTAAAGCCCAACCAGCAAACTGTCCGCCCATCGACTTAGTCATGACCATGTTCAGCTCTCAGAACTGGAACGATAAATCATCCGACACAGATATGATTCGCTTGTTTGTCTGTGGAATATGCAGTTACACAGGATTATGATGTAGACGAAGCCAGTACATTCGTCAGCTTTTTCCACTACGGGTGCATGCATACGGAGCAACCATGGACACCGCTTGCAACGGGACCCGGGTACGAACGTGATTTACATGTAGGGTCTGCGCTACACATCAAGCACCCCGCACCACCGGCAGGCTATTCGTAGATCACAATGACATATTGACTCCTTTCCAGATCGCGTTCGTCAACACGCTGTTAGGCACACGCATTGATGACTCTTGCAATCTACATCAATTATTATGTACGGGATATTCTGTACCTCCTAAGTAGATCTTGCATTCATTATGTAAGTCTACGATAGGACTAGTTGAATCTGTTTCCATCATTACCGATTTCTCGACGGGGGCTTCTGAGAGGGTCAGGCACTCGTCAGACCTACCTCAGTTTTCGTCGACAAGCTCGCTGCACTGTGGTCTTTGCTTGCCCTAACATTTAGATAACCAGCTGACCTTGACGCCTCACTAACTGTTCGATGCTAGCCCTGCATTGCCGACTACCCGTTCCTACATCTTTCAATATTTCCAACAGGTTATCGTTTCTTTGCGCTACGGAGACGAGGCTACATACCTTCCAGAAGCCAGTTTTTGATCGGCTCCAGTTTAGCGTCCGCATGTCAAACCACCACACCAGCGCCAGCTAAATGTAGCTCATCGGGTACGCGTTGCGTGACAAGATCGTGTTTCAAATAAGCACCTACTTCCAAGTCCCCACCACCCACAAGCACTGCCCAGGCGAGTCTACGTCAGTGTGCCTAGGATGTTTTCGCTGAACGAGTTTTTGGGGAGAGTTTTCATCGAACCCTGACGAGCTGAATTCAAAACTCGTCCAACAAGGCAAAACAACGCCATTTCTTCTAAGATAACCCAATTACATGTAGTCCTCGATAGAATGTGCTGCAACTCATTCGAGATAGGGGTAATATTTACCGGGCCAAAGAAAAAGTGCATACGAGATGCCAATCTTTGGGGAGTATGATACATGGGTGTTGAGCCCCTTGCTGCCTTGGTCTCGGCGAACCTACCCTTCCCACGTCATTCTAAGTTTCCCTTCCTCTGCTGCGCGTCAAGGGAATGCGTTGGCAGAGAAAGTGTGGTCAGCACGGACTGTTAGTTCGGTTGCCTTTGGTGTGCCTCCGATGCGCGTGAAAGCCACGGCGTTCCGATAACGACTCACCGACGTTTAGAACTCACATCGGTCGCTTCTTCTCCTCACTTACATCAATGACATCATCTACCAGTACATATCTTGCTCCCGTCCAAAAACTGCGAAGGTCACCGCGCAGTAATGTATGCACGCCACAACACTACAAGACCGCGTAAGTCTTGCCTGTATTCTTACTGCCATTTTGGACATCGCACACCAAGAGACCTAAAGGAAAAAATACATCGATGTCATGGAGTACAAGCGTCCAATCTCCGATATGGAAAACTCAGCATCGCACCCGATCTACGTTTAGTCAGGCACAACAAGTCAGACACCTATTATCGCAGTTCGTCGCGCGAGGCCATCCCCCCTGACACCTCCTTGGGCCGTTATCCAAGGCACTGGAACTGGGTGACGGGCTAACGATGGAATCCACACCAGCTAGAATTTCGCTACACATCCTCCCACAAGATCTTTCGCTATGCCATTTACGGCTTCGTAATTTCTAAACATTGCGCTACCACTCGGTACGCTAGGCATAATGACCCGATGCAGTTTAGGAATGACGACAATTCGGAGCTCGTAAACAAGTCGATTAGCTCGCGGTTACAACCTGTGGGCAATTTAAAGGTAGCCTGAGGATCAGGGCGAGCAAGACACGTCGCTTAGGTTTGGCAATGCGCTAATGCTCGGTGCATTGTGCAGCGTATGTTCCAACGTTATCATAGTACTTTCAACGTTATAATAATAGCGAGCGAGCAGGTAACTCTGGCGTCCGGAGGTGCTTGTGTGACTATCTACGTGCAAAAGCCGCGGGTAAATGTCACCCCGCATTGATCTGCTCGTAGTACTGCATGCTGGTGCTTGCGGTAGGAGATCACTGCGGGCCCTACTGACATGCACCGCTCAAAACAAGTTAACGCATCTATCAGTGCGCGCGGAACACGGTGAGTCAAAAGTCTTGTGAGCGAAGAACATCTCATCTACAAAACATTATTCGTATTCTATCCTCAGACCTCACTTCTCCTACCTGGTTTTGCGCTCCTCATGGATGTCGTTCATGATTACAGTGAGCACAGGCTCTACAGTGTATGCACGTGCCGTGCATGCACTATTGTGTGCCTTCCAGTCTCGTTTCCAGTCGATCTTGGTGGCCTTGACTGCGACCATTGCGGAGCCGAAGCGCGTACATCGCCATCTGCATGTCTGTCCGACGAAGGTACTTCCACGGACCAAGCACCGCAAATAGTACGGATTTGCACACCCATTCAAGCTCGCGCTCTAGTTCTTGTCGGACACCGTCTCCACGCTACCATGATATACCATACACATGAAACCATTCAGCATACGCGATATGCAGAGGGCGAGACAGTCACACATAGAGGCGGGCCGGTTTCAACATGTTAGGGGACTAGGTAGTCCAGGCTCGCCGATCGCATGTTTTTACACGAGTAACATCACATTGCTGTAAGAGAACCACCCTTTAGTTCAGCTTCCGGTTACTCGAAGCGACGGAAGTGCGCTGCTCCATGCGTTCATGCATCTCATTACTCTCGCGACCTTGGCAAATCTGGGGGAGACGTCGCTGCTAAGGGTCCGAGAGTACCGATCAAGCTTCTGCACAAGTAGCCTGTATGCGAGTGAGCTCACTCGATCCTCGACCACGTAGCAAAACTTACTATACAGGGCTGTAATGCCTCTCTACGTTGAGAAGGAGGAAAGTTGGTCTGTTTCACTCTTCACACATGTTCCATGAATGCCAGTCCACTCACAGACGATCAATTCCTTTATCAATGGTGGCCAGGATTGATCTGATGTGTACTGGCAAGTACAATCGTTGCTTAGTCACGATATGTCACCTGCGTTAAGTCCAGAAAACAATCTCTTTCACACTGGATCACAGCTGTGCCACATAAACTAGCCGGCCGTGAAACTAGATCTGGAATTCTCCGCGCGCCCCGCAGCATGTACCCTCCGGCTCGCGAGACTATCATGGATCATCCCTGTCTGGTAGCCTTCAACTCTCTAAGCCTGATGGTATATGCCAGGGATGTCTGAATGGAGACACTCGTGTGTGTGCTAGCTGGCTCTCCCAATGCCTCATCTTCGGCTAATCTTCTGACGCACTGGTATCAGCGCTATCAATAGCTGTTACTAGACGGCGTTTTGTTTTCTAACCGGATCACCGGTTCGTAATGAATTTCATACTCTAGACCCCACTCTTCACAACTATCATTGTGGCGCATGCTTCAACTGCCGTCCAAGTCACCCTTTCTGTTCAACGATCGCATCGATATATATTGGCATGGTTGTTGAGCCTTTGAACTGTCGTTCTTATCTTTTTGACTTGCTCTTTTCGTCTAGTTTCTAAAGAGAGCGATATAACGAGACGAAAAAGAGGGGGAAGTCCCACAGATAACAGAGTCAGAGTGTATGTTTTCTGGCAAAGTGTGTGCGATTCACAACGTAGTGTTCATAGGAGGAAAAGGAACAAGGCTACTGGAGTGTCAAGGGTAAGTTGTACAGTTGAGACTGTACGGGGGGATCAGTAAATGAGTATGCGAAGGTGAAAACAGGGAGAGAAGGATCGTTGACCGGCATGAGGTCTCAAAGGTCGGACTGAAGTCAAAGGTTCTTAAATGCGAAAAAAGTTAACTTGGAAGTAGAAGATATCCGGCACACTACAGGTCTATCTGCCATCATACACTTCCATCTTATCACCTCCCTCTTTCCCAATCCGCGATCCATCTCAAGACGGACCATCTCTCACAACGTTCCCTCACCAAGACACCTCCTCAACGGGATCTCGTCGCCCGTGCAGAGGACAATCACACCATCAACCCACGCAAGCCCATCGTAGTTCTTGCTCTTGAAGGACTCCGCCTGGTAGTACGTCAAGGTGCCATCACCACCAATGCTTCCCTGCCAGATATTTCCGCTCTCACGGTGAGTCCACGCATTGCTTACAAAAGCACCGTACTTCCCAGCCGGGACCTCCGCTGAGAACCCCTGGCTCAGGGTCGACGTCCATGTCTGGCTGTAATCAATGCTTGTAGAGACCTCGAGGAAGTCCTTGACCAGCGTCAAGCTGGCGCCCACGCCGACAGAGATTGAGTTGGCAACGTTGTAGCCGCTGGACACGGTGAGGGTGGTGGGTGCGCCCTTGACTACGGCGCTCATCTGCGTGTCCCAGCCGAGGAAGTCGGAGGCCGGGTTGGGGATGACGATGGTGTTTGCGCGCTTGCTGAGGGGGGCTGCGCCGATCTTGTTGACTTCCTCGCCGCTCGCGGTGGTGAGGGTGTCGTTGAGGTAGCCGGGCTTGGGGGGCGTGACGCCCGACTCGCGGAGTGCTTGGAGTTCTTCGATATCCGCGCGCTTGACTACGGTGAAGCGGCCGTTGCCGTAGAGGATCGCGTCGTCTTCGCTGACTTGGACGGTGGGACGGGCCGCGACCAACACAATGCTGGAGGCCAAGGCGAGGGCAGTGGTGAAATGCATGGTGAATGAATGAGTGGATGGGATATCAAGGCTGGTTTCCAAGGACAAGCTGAAACGAATGTACAGCGATGGAAAGAAGATAACGTGAGATGTGATGATAAGGCATATGGTGCGGGTTGGATATGATACTTATACAGAGTTCTAGCCTACGTCCCTCACTCCTCAATTACTCTTTACTATCGGTCGGTTTATCGGTTACCATCTCTTGATTGAAAGTACTGGCGGTGGGGTAACGGTCCGAAGCGCATGATGAAAGGAATGCCGTGCAGCAGTATTACGGACGGACTGTTGGTGTTCAGATGGTGATCACCAACACCCACAGTTGATTCAACGTCAGCCTCGTATTCGTTCGTCTCGATTAGATGCAAACCCAGGGACAGAAAGTAAGTTTTCCGGACCGACACGCACAACATCCATCAGGCTTGTTTCATCGCAAATCCGGGACGCGCCATATGTACCCGGAAACGGTTCCCATAACCAGATATAACGGCCCCAAGAGTCTTGGTAACCTTATCTGGAGATCGAAGTCAAATTTGACCGGTTTTGTTCGGCCGATCGCCTCCTGTTTCGTCAAACGCCGTTTCAAACATCACGATGTTCGCCACAATACGACCGACACCCACCGATATAATCTCCCAAACTATCAGACGACTTGGCGATGATGCCGTTGAAGTACGCTGTGGCTGTGGATACAAGATATCTCCCTTTGCATGTGCGGATAAATATCTCGTCGCGACCTGCTTATACTAACAATACATAACCAAAGACTCTCGCTCTCACAGTCATCCATTCGTTTTTCCCTCCAACTTCCATTCATACCCTTCGAAACCCCTCAACCCACCAACACCAACAATGCGTTCCACTCTCCTCCCCCTCCTCTCTCTTCTGACCCTCGCCCCCTTCGTAGCAGCCGACCTCCACCACGACATCATCTGCGCTACAAAGGTCGGGGGTGCAACCGTCTACCACGCCGACGCAACAAACAAAGCCTGCGCCGCGTACCGAGCACGCAACACGGGGTCCCAACAGTGGGATACATGCCCAGACTGTACAGTGGTAAGTCATGTGTTGAGAATACATAGGAATTTGGACTGTAAAGCTAATACTTCGTGAACTAGGTCCTTGTCGGAAACCTCAACATCTGCCACTCAGAGGGGAAGCATATTGGCGGGGATGAAATGCAGTACTATTGCAAGCAGAATGGGGCTATGTCGGTTGCGTAGATGGATGAAGCGTGGGCGTGGCTTGGAGATCTTACGGTGAAAGGCTTATTGTGTCTATTTGGTCAGCCATGCATTTGTTCATGGAGATTGTCTGTGAATCAACATCTGTTCTCTTTTGTGTTCATCTTGCTTGCTGGCAACAAAGTGTTTTCCACCCAATGGAATCTAGTGTACATCTCCTATGACAGGGTAAAACGAACAAGACCAATCGAGACAATTATGAAGAGCATACTGTTCACTTGCCTTCAAAATACGGTGTCATCGTTAGATTGGAAAAACTGCTTGTTTTTCTGCCTTTACATAGGTATTTAGTATGAGTTCTACCAGTGTTTGTCTCCTCACTGTTTTGTTTCACTGTTGTTTAAAAGGACCATGATAATCTTCAACTTATCCATGCTTGTCAAAGTAGCCACTAGACAGACTACAGTAAAAGCCTAAAAATCTCATACACTACCAGAATTGAAAACGGATCTCCTTACGCAGGACCTATTGGTAAGAGAACACAGTTTTGGTAATAGAGAAGTGAGGCCAATAAATTCTCTTTTGATTAGTTTCAACTTGCAAAATTTGTTAAATGAACAATTTAACACAATTCTAACCGCTAAGAAGAGATGCCAGCGGCAGCATTGTATGTAGATAAACCAGTACATATAAAGCTTTCGCGCCTAATCTCCCTCTACAACCAAGATCATGAACAACTATCAAGCCATCCCTACTAACGAAACCTAGATATTTCGCCGCGGTGTCATGCAAAAGACCGAGCAGAGTTACACCAGGGCGAGCAATTCCCAGTACAAAAACGATGCTCCGAACATTCATGACGCAATCTCCAAATACCCGAGCCGTTGATCGTTGATTATCAGATAATGTCGATAACCGGTTTCAGACGAGAAGTTCGTCTTTAAATAAATTTGATTCCATATCAGTCGTACTACATTTATGATGCACACTAGGCGTTAAGGAAAGAAACAGACCAAAGTGCCGATATGTTGGAAAGGGTCATAGTCTCCATCTCATTTCACAGCACGTCAAAACCAAGATGCAACTGACAGGATATATCGTGATATCATTACTATTTTCTACTCATAACCAGGTTGGCATGGAGAAATCTAGTTCTCCAGCACATACCTGTACCTCGCCTTGCCGGCCTCCATATCAACAACCGTCTTGTTGGCGTCCTTCATGGGGCGCTTCTGGATCCAGGGCTTGACCTTCTTCTCCGCGGCAATCTCGAGCATCTCTGAGATTTCCTTGGGCGTGCCGATGGCGCTGCCGCCGACCTTGATGCCGCTTGCGATGAGGGTGAAGGCGTTGATGTTGGGGAGCTTGCCGCCGTCGGGAGCACTGAAGGGAGTTAGTCGTGTTTTTCAGAAACCCCAATGGGGAAAATGTATGAAAGGGAGCACATACCCAACCTGGATGAAGGTACCCTTTGTCTTCAACAGCTGCAGGTACTGGTCCAATGGCATCTTCTCGCTGCTCACTGTGCAGACGATGAGATCAAGCGTCTGGGCGTTCTTCTTGGCCCAGTCCTCGTCCTCGTCGGTCGCAATGTACTGATCCGCACCGAGCTGGAGCACCTCGTCGCGCTTCTCCGCTTTCCGCGAGATACCGACGACCTTGTCTGCCTCCAGTGCCTTGGCGAACAGCACACCGAAGTGTCCAAGTCCACCAACACCGACAATACCAACCGTCTTGCCGGGCCCGCATCCGTTCTGCTTCAGCGGCGAGAAGACGGTGATACCACCGCACAGCATGGGCGCTGCGTCAGCAGAGTCGAGACCCTCGGGGATGGGCAGGACGAAGTGTCCGTTTGTGCGGTTGTGTGTGGCGTATCCACCGTAGGACTTGCCCTCGTCGTTGGGGTAGACGGAGCCGTATGTGTTGACGTTGGCGCGGCGGCAGTGGTTCTCAGCGCCGGTGGAGCAGTCGGGGCAGTCCTTCTGCAGGCAGGAACGGGCCTGGGCGCCGACACCTACACGGTCTCCCTCCTTGACGTGCTTGACGTTGCTGCCGACCTTGACGGCCTTGCCGATGATCTCGTGGCCGACAACGCAGGCTGGGGGGGTGTTAGTCTCGATGTCATCTCCCACAACCCACTATGTGCGATTGGGAATCGGGGCAGGACGTACGGTAAGGAGTAGGACTCCACCCTGACTTCAGGACGTGAAGGTCTGATCCGCACACTCCGCAATGGGAAATCTCGATATCGACATCATCCTCTGACCACTTCTTGGGCTCGAACGAGCCCCACTCCATCTTGCCCTCAACGGACTTCTCGTCCTTGCCGAGCCATCCCTCGAACTTTGTGGCAGCCATAATATCGGTTGGAAGTGGTGTAAAGTGGTGTAATTTAGGTAGTTGGTGTGTTGTTTGTTGCGTAGATTGATGAGCAGAAACTTTTGGATCCGGCTCCCCCGTCACTTAAATATGCATCCAGCTCGTACCCCACCACGTCACAAAGCCATTATGTCCGCCGCAAACTCCGGAACATGACGTTCTGATCCCCATATTGCTCCGTAGACAGCCGTACACGTCATGAAGAAGATTTGATAGCGACCCAGAATTTTTTCGGCGGAGCTCGGCTCCTATTGGCTGGAGGGCTCTCGCGGAGGTGTGTGGTGGGGAGCTTATCGCCACAGCGTCGGACCGAAACACTGCCCCAGGTAAAGACCGCCGATGTTCAACCATGCGCGAAATCCGGGTGCATCCGCGTTGATGGTCTAGGAGGTAATGCTTGGAAAGACGGCGTTCTTAGAACTTATCCTAAACTCCATCTCGATGCAGCTAACTCCGTCATAAGTAGTTTTTCGACTCTTGAACGAAAGACTTTGATAGAGTAGGTTTCGATATTCATGAGAGGAATGTGAAACCTAGAAAACGAGGCTCTCAACAAACGTAGTGTTTAGAGACTGTTTGGCGAGAAGAAGGGAGGGTTTGGCATTTTATGCAACCTGCTGACAGTGCTAACGCAGGGCCCATCTTTATATAGGCAATCGTGATTGAGAACCTTGTTGGTTCGATTACGCACCACTACAGGGATTCGGCATCAGAGTAGTACTCGGTACCTAGGTAAGCTGACGTGAGGCCAAGCCATACAAATAACCTCTTCTATTGATCAACGTTTGCGACCTCTGAGTATCCAGGATAGAGAACCAGGCGGTGACGATGTTTGTTAACAAGACAAAAGCTTTTCATATCTTTGGGTTGACGTCACCGAGAAGAGGGATGGCTGTTGCAATATGTGTAGTCAGTTCGAGCTAGACACTCTCTCGCAGGGCTAATGAAAAAGGAACTTACACCCCAGTCCTGTGTGATAGTTATTACTAGTAGGTGTCTTAGCTAAAGAGCTCGCCAACGAGAACAGCCAGAGTAAAGAGTATCATGTTTGAAGTCTTCCCACTGGGCTGGCGGAACGCTCGATAGTAATGCTAAGCGACGATAAATAGAGCAATGGATAATCATGATAACGGCGACGGGCTCGTTGTCTTTTTAACCCTAGCTCTGTTGCTCAACTAGGTGCTGATGTATAACCGAGGAGCGGCGCTTTGCGCGTATTGATTCCTGGTATCTCGACCGACTGAGAGCTTGTCTACGTATGCTTGCAGTTAGTCAAGATAGTTGCAGGTAAGTTGTATTCTTCATAGCTTTAAAGCGCATCAAAACTAGAACGATAAATGTTGTGGAAGAACAATATTTGATGTATACAGATAGTAACCAACACATTCATCCATTAACCATTACATTAACCACACACACACATGATACCATAATCTCGCATCACCTCGACGTTTAGACAAAAAAACCACTGTCTATACCAACCAACGTTAGAACCTCCCATGATTCATGCAACACGCTCAAGAAACACATAATTATATTAGTCGAAAACATAATGTACAAAAAAGCTTTTCTACACGTCCATCGCTCGACGGGGTATTAATCTTTTAGCCGGCTTAGCACCTCATGTATCTGTCTGTCTATCGGTCCACATACCCCATAGCGCATCTACCAAGGTTTTCGCGTCCATAACCTACATCGCCTTCCCCCAGCAAGAAGGGCGATGATTCCTCCCCCCATCCAGCCTCGATGGTGATAAAGAAAGGCCCCATAATGCAGAACAATCCCATTCGCAACATGAAAATGCATGATAAACTCCCCGAAAAAAAGCACTGGCATTCGCATTGGCATAGTATCGCGCGTTGATTTTACGGGTGTCTCAGCCCAGTTTCTCGAGCAACTTCCTCCTCCTCCTTTCGACCAATTCGTCGTTGACTTCTTCGAGCGTAGGCACGCGCCACCGTATGCCATCTCCAGCATCGCCCGGTATCTCCATCCACTCTTTCTGCATCTTGGTCTGCTTCTCGCTCAGGTCGTCTGCCAGGAGCATAAAGTGATCCCACGCCTCCTTCTCCTTCGCCGCTTCGTAGGCTAGCAGCGTTCCGTCCTCCTCATCGAGGTTGTAGCCGTAGTAATTCGCATCCACGCGCTGTCTGAGCTCCGATCTCTTCTCCCTGCCCTTAGCCGCCCCATTATCATCTTCCGGCCGCGACTGCCTTTCGAACAGCTCCTTCACGCCTGGCAGTTCCCGCGCCCGCCCAAAATACCTGTACCCCTTGCCGCCGCCAGGAACCTCCTTGCCGTCCTCATCCAGCACGCGACCGCCGCGCATGTAGTTCGGGCCACCCATATTCCTGATCTGGCTCTCCCACATGTGTTTCTCGCGCATGAGCTTGTTGATCTCGTCGTTGAGGTCGCGGATCTGGTAGTCGGAGAGGGCCTCGTCTTGGATCTTTGTGACTTTGCGCGAGATCTCTTTGAGCACTTGACCGCGCCATTTTTCGCATACGGGGATCGAGGTCACGCCTGTGATCAGCTTCGGGCGCCGTGTGCGCGAGATGTCGATGATTCCTGCTTCGGCGGCTTGCGCCGCGCGGAAGCGGAAGAGCATCGAATGCGCCTTCTCAGAGTTACGCGCCATGGTTGCGGAGGTGTGGTGTTGTTGTTTGCGGTGGGAAGTGACAGTTCTTGCAGATGATGTGCGTTTTTGTAGTCGTAATCTTTCAGTACGTTTCGCGATGCGATTGCGCTATGCAAAGGCGAGGGAGGCTGTCGCGCTGTGCTTTGTTCTGTTGCGCGCGGACCAGAGAGTTGCCGACGTTAAACTTATTCAGCACCGAGGGTTTGTCAAGGCGGATAAACAAGTCGCTGCCGGCAGTCGTAGAAAGGAAGATCGAGTGGATATTAGATGAGCGCGGTTGGATGGTGTTGTTGAGAGACGAGACGCGTGATGAAAGGGAAAGTTTGGTGTTTCGGGCTACGGTGACGCACGGCAGAATCGTAAAAGCTTGGCGTGCATCAAAATTCGGGGTGCTCCTGGAGGAGCTCATTTCGTCACAATTGCATCCAATCATGTTAGAAGTACGAAACGAACGTGTCAAATTACATAAACCTCTTCTCCACGAGCTGTTATGTGGAGAAACATAGGTGGATCCCACTCATATCACTGTTTGCTTCGACGAGCTCTCGGTCAACTGAGTAGTAAACTGCACTCTTTAAAGCTCCTAGAAGTGAGAAGATTACACACATATACTCTATACAAGTGCACGTAAGGTGTAAGCTACTCGTTCTATCAGCGCAAGACTGTTACACTAACTGTAGATATGGATGTAGTTGACAAGCTGTAACATGATTTGCTGCAACTTTGTTCTTGGAATTTCGATCAACCGAGAGCCAGGATGACCATGACTATGGCACAAATCTGTGCTTCGACTCTCTAACTAATATGGGTATCATTCTCTTTCTGTCTTTGTTTTCTCTTTCCTATCTCGTCCTGCCTTTCGTACGTTTCAACGGCTCCTATTCAACACCCCCAATTGATATTAAAACTTTCATCTCCCTAATTCCCTAGTTCAATTGCGCTCATTTTTTCGTAACCGTACTCCCCGGTAACTCTACAGGTCGATCTTGGCTCATGATCTCCGCAACATCATGACCTGAATTCGGCATCTCATGTTTCGTTGCCCCGTCGTGATATAGCTCGTACTTTGTCAACGGCGCCCCAGCAACTTCTTGTGGGTTGTTGTAACTCGGTGGAGGCGTGTATGCGGCTCGACGCTGTTTTCGTTTCCGCAAGAAGAGTGCGAGGACAACGAGGGCGATGAGAACAGCAACACCGACACCGGCGCCGATTCCTGCTTTGGCGCCGGTGGAGAGGCCAGAGGGGGTGTTGCCGGTGGATTCGCCAGAGACGGCGTTTGTGCCGGCACTTGGGGATGGGGATGTTGAGGAAGAGGCGGATGCGGATACGGATACGGATGTAGATGTGGACGTGGACGATGGTGTTGAAGAAGTCGTTGTCGCAGCCATAGCCGTGGCCCCCAGTAACTGTCCGAGTCAGTATCGTTCGCCCCATGCTCCAAGACCGAAACCTACATTAATACTTGAATACGCCGGGTCGTTGATTTTCGCAATCGGCGAAAGTCCCCACCGCTGCCCATTTTGCGGGGCTGTTATGTTGGGGTCCATCGCCATGAGTGTGCTCGGTTTACGAGTCATATGATACCCCGTCCCATTCTGCGCATTGCTCAACCACCATGTCCCGTCGCCCCATGCGCCAAACGTCCAGTACACGCTCGTGTCTGCAACATCGCCCCGGACCATGCCTGGTTGAGTGTTGCCCTCTGTATCTTCGGCGGAATTGAACGCCGTACCAATAAACGCGTTGCTGCCGCCCCTCTTGGAACGGAAAGTGTAGACGACAGACGAATTCACACTGACGGGGAAGATTTGCCATCGCATGTTGTCTGCCGAGGTATCTGTAGCGTTGAAGAATACTGCGCCTCTGGTACCATCTTCACTGTACAGGGGCGAGCCTAGCATGGCGGAGTCCTTGTTGTTGTTGACGTAAAGGTAATACCATTGATTCGTGTCTACTTCTGGTGCAGACATGATGGGTGGTTGAGGGCACGTCTGATATCCAAAAGTAAAGAAAGGCGGAGATTAAATGGAAAGGTGGAGACTTGGGGATGAATCTTGTGGAGTTGACGAGACTGAAATGGGTGGGACGGGAGGGCGTCTAAACAGGACATACTGGGATAATTATATCGCTGCAGTGAAAGATCACCCTTGCCATTCTGCCACCCTCATATGCAGCACTGCATTAGCGAGAGGGGGCCATTCTGGGCAACAGGGGTAACTGCCAATCACGCCGCTCACTGACTAGTTTGTTGCAGATTAGACGCGGCACAACGTTGAAGCCTCTCAGCCTCAGCCCCGTGCGCCAGCCTTGTGTAGCATTAAGCTGTTCGTAAGTAGACTGCAAAAAACCGTGTAGGTTGTGCTTTGCAGCTGTTTGAGATGACTGCAAAACCGCTCCATCTTTTCGTTCCCCACAATCTTTTGTATGTGTAGGAGATTGCCGTCTGAGATCAGCGAGTGAGATAAGGCGTCCCGTAAGCGCTCATGTCCACTACGTCGGGACTTAGTGTTGAAAACGTGGCGCAGACGACACAGGTGGCAGTGTTCGAGATGGGTGTGAACTGTGTTTCGCCGAAGGGATATTGGCATGGCGGAAGAGAGGAATATAAGTAGACGACAGATTTTGAGGAAGGAAGCTAAGACAGCTCCAGGCGCCACCTGCCATATCCGTCAGGTTCAACCAACCATGCACTATTAATACTCGATACATGAAGCATACTTTAGTCTGATTGGTGTCGAGACCACATCGAGAATAATTAGAACGTTCAGTACAGCCTTGAGTAGGGCAATTGTGTTGTGATTGAGTATCTTGGTTCATTCAACCCAACATTGACATCACGACTAACTTTCCTGTCGTCTCACCTGCACTTCTGTTCCGCCTGTTGTCGCAAACCCACTCGGGAAGCCAGCATGATGTGTCCAGTTGGGTATACACATTGCTGCAGTCTCGATGCGCTGACAGTTCCTTCTTTATATCGCCAAAGTATATAGTTGCATCTCCCTTTTTTGTCGCTCAAGTTGTAAAGAGAGTGTCTTCCTCTCTCAGATACTCGCCAATATCCGTCTGTCTGAAGGTAACGACACCTGTGGGGTCCAACTTCCTCGCCTCTGCCGTCGACCGCGCGCTGACACCAAAGCCCTAAGTAAGCAGTCAGCCAACCTGCACGCATAGTAATTGAAATCGAATCCACTCACAAGAGGCGTGTCGTTCATACTAAGCACTATAACGCCCTGATGTTCTGGGCAGTCCTCACTCCAACGCCCCACATGCGCCTTGAGCACATTGCCTCCGTACAGGTAGGGCATCTCGCCGTTGGCCTTGACCCAGACCTTGTATCTTGCGTGCGGGGCGATAACGGAGAGGGCAGTGACATGGAGGCGGAATTTGCCCGTTTTTGTGAATTTTCCGAGGCAGATGCCGAGCGAGAGCAGGTTGTCGCGCGCTACAGATGTGGCGAGGTTGGCGAGGGATTCACGGACGTAGTAGACTCTTGAGCCCTATGCGACTGTCAGCATCGTGTGTCTGCAAGCATATGCTGTGAGGGAGCGCACCTGCACACGGAAGACATTGCGGTCTGAGCCACCAGAGGGGTCGGCGATGAGGTTTGCGATGCCCTTTCCGCAGTAGCCGGCGAGCTTCTCGAACAGCGTCTTGGTCTCGGGTTCTGTAAGCGGCCTCATGTTATGCGTGTGTGTGGAATGGGTGAAGTGTGAGGGTTGAAGGTGCAGCGCGCAAGTCTGCATCGACGTGCAGCTCGAAAATTTAAGTGGGTCCGCAGAAAATAGGCTGGCTCGCCCAATGCCAAAATTTCCAGCGCAAACTCTCTGCCACGACAACCGACCCCGAGTCCGACCAAGACTGCATTTCGCAATGTCACGAGTACCTGCCGCCAAGAGACGACGATTGTCTCCGCCAGAAGACGACGCTTCGTCTGCCTCGTCTTCGTCTTCTCCCCCGCCCGCTGAGAGCCACAAGGCAAGCTTCATAAAGAATGCCGCCAAGTGGGACCTCGAGCAGGACTACGAGACGCGGCCCCGCAAGCTGAAGAAGCAGAAGGAGAACAAGAAGCTGCCCATCCGAACCACCGAGGGATGGGTCGCCCACCCAACCGCCCTAGACGTGCAGGTTAAAGACGCCGACTCGGACAGTTTCCTGGGCTCGGGCAGTGATGGCGATGACGAGCCCGAGGAAGACAAGGCTGAGGAGGAAGAGCAGCCCAAGATCCCCGCGCGGCAGCAGATACTCGAGGCCAAGGAGGAGCTCGCGCGCATAGCGGGCTTGGTCAACGAGGACCCGGAGGAGCACATTGGCGCCCTCAAGGCCCTGGCTGACCTGGCCGAGAAGTCGGACAACACGACTGTCAAGAAGCTGGCCCTGGCTACCCAGGTCGCCATCTTCAAGGACCTCATCCCCGGCTACCGAATCCGCCCACTCTCGGAAGAGGCCATGCCGGAGAAGGTGTCGCGCGAGGTCAAGAAGCTGCGCAACTTTGAGCAGAAGCTGGTCTCGGGCTACCAGGCCTACGTCAAACACCTGGGGAAGCTGGCCAAGGCTAGCGGCTCCAACAACGAGCAGCTGGCGAGCCTGGCCACGGTCGCTGTGAGCTGCGCCTGCAACCTGCTGACGGCAGTGCCCCACTTCAACTTCCGCGGCGAGCTGCTGAAGATTCTAGTTGGCAAGCTGAGCACCAGGCGCGCAGACGCCGACTTCCTCAGGTGCAGAGAGACGCTGGAGAAATTGTTCGAGAACGACGAGGACGGCAACGTCTCGCTGGAAGCCGTCACCATGTTGACCAAAATGATGAAGAGCAGAAACTACCACTTCGACGAGAGCGTCCTCAACACCTTCCTCCACCTCCGCTTGCTGTCCGAATTCTCGCAAAAGGCTTCCTACCACTCCGTCGACAAGGCAGAGAACGAACCCCTCAGCGGCAAGAAGATGAAGCAGAAGCGCGAGTTCCGATCCAAAAAGACACGAAAAGACATGAAAGAGAAGAAGGCAATCGCAAAAGAATTCAAAGAAGCAGACGCCGCCGTCAGCCATGAAGAGCGCGACAGGATGCAGGCCGAGACGCTGAAGATGGTTTTTGTAGCCTACTTCCGCATCCTCAAAGCGCGCTCACCAAAGCTCATGGGCGCCGTCCTCGAGGGCCTCGCACGCTACGCCCACCTCATCAACCAAGACTTCTTCGGCGACATCCTAGAAGCCCTCCGCGACATCATCACCACCGCCGAAGTCTCCGCCGCAGCCCAAGTATCCGAAGACGAAGACGGCTCCGGCGAATCCGACGACGACGACGACGAAGCCCCAGAACGAAACCTGACCCGCGAATCCCTCCTCTGCGTCATAACCGCCTTCGCTCTCCTCGAAGGCCAGGACGCCGCAAAAGCAGCCTCAACCCTCAAACTAGACCTGAGCTTCTTCATCACCCATCTCTACCGCACCCTACACCCCGTCGCGCTAAACACCGACATCGAACTCAGCGCAAAATCCCTCCACCTCCCCGACCCCTCCGCCCCGACAGCCCCCCACCAAACCCCTCAAACCAACAAAATCAACGTCCAAACCACAATCGTCCTGCTCATCCGCTCCCTGACCTCCGTCCTCCTCCCCGCCACCGCCTTGCGCGCCGTCCCGCCCCTCCGCGTCGCCGCCTTCGCTAAACAACTGCTCTCCATCTCCCTGCAGCTGCCAGAGAAGAGCTGCACCGCTATGCTGGGTCTTGTGAACCGCATCGCGAGGTCGCACGGCAAGAAGATCGCGCCGCTGTGGAATACGGAGGAAAGGCGGGGAGACGGCGTCTTCGATGCGCTGAAGGGCGAGATCGAGGGGAGTAATCCGTTTGCTGGGACGGTGTGGGAGGGCGAGCTGCTTAGGCAGCATTTTAGTCCTACGGTTAGGGAGGCGGTGCTGGGGATTGAGACGGGGGTTAGGGAGGCGGCGAGGTAGATGTGTAAATGGGGATTTTTTTTGTGCGAGGGTGTGAGGTGAGGGGGTTGATGGGTAGATGGTAGATGGAAATGTCATGTCATGATTGTAAATGATGCGCTAGTTGATACTTGGTTTGTACATGAACCCCCTCTGACTCCCATATCTTGCCTTTAATCTCCAATTTTGTCTTCTTCACCATTTGGCATCCCGTGCATAACAAAACACCCTTCTCTGCAACGCATTGTATCATTTTTTCTTTCGGGGTTATAGCGTATTCACACTTGTAGTACAAGCAGATAGACGCAACACAGTAAAAAATCTAGTACAGTAACTCAATGTAGAAGCTACTACCCAGCCCCCTTTGCACACAGGAAGCATCAGTAAGAGTACACAGTAATAGTAACAGAGAGCTGATCAACCGTCTCTTGACGACCTGGCTGCTGAATGTACCAATGCGGACGGTAACGCATTGTATATCGAGCATGTTATGGTAGCAAGCGAGTAAACACCTTCCCTGTCCTAGAACGCAAATCGATGGCTGTGTCCCAGCTTTGTCTTCGTTTTTCTTTCCCCGTCGTGTTCCTTTGCGGATGGAAGATGGGGATGGAATGTTGGGTTGGGTTGAATTAAGTTGATCTAGTGCTATATAGGTATCTTGCGTGAGTTGCGGATCTTGCGTGAGTTGCGGATCTTGCGTGAGTTGCGGATCTTGCGTGAGTTGCGGATCTTGCGTGAGTTGCGGATCTTGCGTGAGTTGCGGATCTTGCGTGAGTTGCGGATCTTGCGTGAGATACGAGACCTTGCGCGAGATGCAAGACCTGCGCGAGATGCAAGACCTGCGCAAGTTGCAAGACCTGCGCGAGATGCGAGACATGCGCAGTTCTGCAGCTTGGAGGGTTTAAAATGGTATGGGGGTATGGACAGGGGGTGTAGAGATGTAGGGATGTGAAGATGTGAGTGGTCGGAGTCTAGAACGCGTGTAATTGTTCCTCATCTTTCTGCGCCGCTCAGCTGCGGGTTCTAAGCTGTGTGTCGTGCGCTCGTAATCCGGCATTGCAAGGATGGCATGGGAACCCTATCCTAACTTGGTTCCAGGGCTGCGGCACGTTGGCATGAATCAGGTTGGCTGTGATGTGGAACTTTGTCGTTCCTTTCGGTACGGGCGTGGCAGGGGTGTATGCTTCACATCATCCCGGTCTGACGTGTACGCGAGAGGATGGGTGGTGTCGATCATGAAGGTAGTGAGCCTCGAGTCACCACGACACGGTGCGGACCCGTACAATCTCGTGAAACGGGGGTTTATCGCGAGTGGTTTGCCGGTGGCTTGCGTGCCGGGACCTTTCATGGATGCAGGTGGCACTGCACCCGCCAATTCAGACGTTATCAGAACGGCGAACCGGTTCTGTTCTAATCTTGCGTTACGATGTGGTCCAGTCACTTGCGTGCTGTACCTGTAAGCTCCAAGCAACTATTCCTAAATTGGATCGATTCGCGAGATGGGCGAGAGATCGGGGCACCACTGTTGCTGTACCTCTGTGTGATGTCACAAGGCCGGCGCACCTATCAACCAGGTGGCTGGCTACAGCAACATGGTTTATCCCATGCATCCAGGGACATTGACAGCGTAAGAAAGGGCCGAACGGAGAGCGCTCCGAATTGCACGCATCAGGCTCGCATGTGGAGGTGATGTGCATAGGCAGATTCCTCATCCCGGCCGTTGCATACGGTACGCAATAATCAGGGACTAGTGATGTGTTGCTTTTTCTTGTGCCCCTGGAGGGCGGCCAGCGGTCCAATTCAGGGTGCTGTTTGCGTATTGCAGTAGTCGCGTCTCCGGTGATCGTTGAGTGGTGTGAGGTCTGTCCGTCTCACCGGTCGGGCTGTGTAGGTACTCAGCACTCAGACTTCAGTCGAGGGACGGATAAGCGAGCGGGTCGGTAGGCTGACAGAAGACTTCTCGGCTGCAAACGAGCACGGCAAGAAGTGGAACGTGCGTACGGTCCGACTGGTGTCAAGGTCTAATTAAGCGTGATGGGAAATACGAATTTCGCTGTAGACTACGCCTTACGAAACGGTTCGTTGTGGCAATGTTGTATTGAAGAAGTAGGAAGAAGTCTAATACACTATCGTACAAGAGGATTGTGGCGGCGCGAAACAGTGTAAACGAATATGATGCCAAAGCATGTGTGTGCGTACATCAGGGGTCCGTCTCGACAAGCCCTGCGGAATAACGACTTCCATCCATCGCCACCGAAGCACTCTGCACTGCTACCCAATCGTTCAACTGCCACTTATCATTCTCATAACGCTGAAGTGGCAGGTCGAAGTCGAGTTCTTGACCAGCCTCTTGTAAAGCTGTAGTCCTTACTTCCTCTTGAAGTTCAAACACATTTTCGTTGTAATGCATTCGGATAACTTGTGCAAGCGTAGTCTCAATACGTTGGCTGTGCGAATGGCTGGAGACATGAGAGGTATCTGCCTGCTCGTTGCGGTTTGATGGACGCGGCTCGTGGAAACTTGCAGGCGAGACATGGAGCGAGTTGTCATTCGCGCTGATGTTTGTGTGTGTGTGGGTAGACTCATTTGATGGTAATGGTCTTGTTGATACGCAGGTTTCTGAAGCAGAGTGCAAGCTACCGCAGCATGTAATAGACCTGAAGACATCATTAGCGGTAGGTCAGTATCGAGGTGATGTATGGTGAGGGAAATAGTTGAACACAGACACAAGAAGTCGAGATGAACAATGCCCCTCGAGATAGTGATAAGACACACTTACATCCCAGAAACGCTAGCGCAGTTCGTGGCCGGCGTCATTGTAGATTGGGAAAGAGCGGCGTGATGGAGTGTCTGAGCGAGGGCGAATTTAACGATCACTGTCTGAGTGACGATATGCGATGGACACAAATTGGTATGTGGAACATCCACTTGTACTTATACCCCTAAAACTCACCCTTCAACCCAGATATACAATACACATATCTTGGTAAAGTAAGACATAAACAAGGGGGTTGTGCCGTTGCTGCCAATGGGAAGACTTTGTAAGATTTTCTCATAATTCGTACATGGCTTGAAATCCTCAAACGGCGTTGTACGCTAGAGGCAAGGATGCTCGGAGGCGTATCGATACGCATATAGGATTGATTAGGGTTGTAGGCGGAATCTGCAAGACTAATGCGCCCCGAGAGTCCGTTCCTGACACCTTAGACTTCGGTTGCGGTCGTGCCTGATTACAATGCCCGCAACTTTTGTCCGGGCTTGTCGATCACCCTAGATCCCTGTCCTTCAAATCCGTTACTCGCAGAATTCCTGACTGTCAGAAGCTAGCCCGGACAAGGGTCGGTAGACCCTCTGAAACAAACCCGGTCAGATCGCCAGCGCTTCGCATGCCGCGTATAATGACTTCTTCGCATATTCGGGTTGTGGCGTTGCAAAAACCGCAAGCCTCGAGGTTGATGCGGTGAGAACATCGAGAGTCTGTCGTTTGCATGTACCGCTGGTAAACACCTTTGTCTATGATCAATTCATGACGTGTGTCTTGTCTGAGTTGTCTCAGGAGATGAACAGTACGAATCTGCTTCTTGATAGGGTCGGCGTTTCTCGTCGCGGCAACAGTCATGAACGGGCAGCCGTGCCTCGGGGCGAAGCGCAACGTTCCGTAGTATAGGGCGGGCTGAGAGGATGGCCGTGCTAAGTCTTTGCGGAGGCCCAGGGCACTGACAAGGTGGCTGAGAACTATCCGTTCTAGACGTTGACGGTCGTCTTTGGAAGCTTCGGCGTCCAAAACGTAACGCGATTCAGTTGCAATCTCACAAATTTCGAATTACGAGCTTTCTGTTGTGCCAAGCAATTTGCCTGCTTTTGAACCTGCTGACCGCAGATTTGCGAACCGTTGATTGTTACGCCTGATTCGACTGTTTCTGCAAGTCAGACTGGCCAGAATCTGGGTTAAATGCGGTAAAGTTAATGGTGTAGTTCAGGGGCATGTATGTGTTCCTGGTGTCATGAGTAAAGCGACTCGGATCTGTCGAAGTCGATACCACACTGACGGAACTGTTGATTGCAGTGTGCCTTGACCGCTTCGACTTGAGAAAAAATCTGTCTCACCATGATACTGCATGAGCATTCATGGATAAGATTACGAGTGGTTGGCTGAGCTCGAAGCCCTCGGAAATTGACATGCTTAGCTAGGAAGGACTAGCCATTGCTGTGCCTGATCTAAGCAGCGTTACAGTAGAAATCGGGGAGATTGTCTTTGCAGCTCACTTAACTCCATTTTCCACTGCAAAGCCGCCACAGGAAGTCATACGGCCACTCATAAGCTTCATTGGGGGGCAAGTGACCCCCTGTGCTTTCAAGAGATAGTGATCGTCCCCATGATTTCGCTTCAGTGTTACTGGATCCCTTTTCCCCAGCTTATCCGTCAGATTCTTGCAAAAACTAGCGACACTGGCGCGAACGTCATGTAGTTGGAAGGGCTGAGATAAAGTGGGCCTTGGCTTGTTTGAATGAGTTTGGCGTTTGCTCGGCCAACGCACGGCGATGGCTCACACAACTGATCGGCGCAACCCGCAGAGACGCTTGGAAGGCTTGATGAAGCGCACCTAGTGGATTTTTGTTCCTCTCATGAGCTCAGGCACACTTTGCTTAATGCCGGGATCCCCAGACATACCGCTATGTGGTAATTGAGCATTGGTGCATGAGCTCACAGCTTCGATGATGGTCGGCTGATGCAGCCTCGCAGCGGTGGCCGTGTGCGCTAAACCATTTGCCTTTTTTGCCTAATACCTGCCATCCTCTTCCTCGTGCCAGATCATGCGGACAACGTTTCCACAATGCAATTTCTGCAAGACGCACAGGTGAAAGCGAAACATCCTTCCCTGCAGCCCTCGCATGTAAGCACGAGCATACCGCGCTGTTCCCCTATTCTTTTGCAGTGGGTATGAGGAGCATGTTGTTCCTGAGCCGGTTTGCCGGGTGTGCCGCCGTGATTTCAGGCAACGATGGAAAAGGGTGTTGATGTGTTGTCGTTCAGCTTGGCACCGCCTTCGCTTATACTTACACACGTGCACAGCATGGGTAGTAAGATCATCGTATTGTAATATAGATAGCCGAGTATGATGACCGTCTGGCAATTAGCGGCGGCAAGCTTCGGTCGCGCCCATTGCGTCGCGTCTCACAGGCAATGATGTTGATTCCTGACTCGAACGCTACTTTTCACGCATCCCAGGGCTCCCTTTGTGCGACCGAAAGACTCCGAGGGCAAGATTCACCTTCTTCTGATGTGAAACCGGGTGCTTTCTACGTCCAAAGGCCCACTCCATTGAAACCAATCGCTCTTGGTTGATCGCGCCCTGTGAGCGAAGGAGTAGCACTGCCGATCAGTGCTTCAGTTGATCAGACCTGAGGAGATATGCCATGGACCGATCAAGGTTCACGCCACACGACTCGGTCGCCTATTTATGGATAGCTCTTGGTCTTCCAGAAGAGCCTTTACATTCTCTCAGTCTCCCGATTGACGCAGAGTGCTGTCCTTCTTCGTTCAAGGTCGAACACTTAGCACAGTCCACCATTGCTACCTCAGCACTCGCAGCTGCCCTGTTTTGGTCCATCCGCCACCAATCTTCTGTTCCTCGGGTTACTGTTCCTGCCGAGCATGCATGTGTGGAGTTCAAGTCTGAGCGACTTTATACGCTAGACGGCAAGCCGGCGCCCTCGGGCTATAGCGCGGACCACCGCCTTTTCAAAACAGCCGATGGGTATGTCAGGATACACGACTCATTCCCGAATCATCGAGAGAACACTTCAAAGATCCTGGGTCTGAGCGTAGACGCCACAAGAGCAGATATGGCGAAGAAGATGCTGACATGGAACTCTGTTGATCTCGAGACCGAAGCATTTCGGAACGGCACTGTCATTGCGGCAGTACGCTCTTTTGAGCAGTGGGATGCGCTAGCTCAAGCACGCGCGATCGCAGACTTCCCTATCTTGCTGAATAAGATTGGTAACTCTGCACCCTACCTGCCACCCGTACTCGATACAGATCTTGACAATAAATGTCTCCGCGGGATCACTGTCGTTGAGATGAGTCGAGTGATAGCTGCCCCAGTAGCCGGGAAAACACTTGCAGTGCATGGAGCGGATGTTACCTGGATTACATCACCTACACTCCCCGATCTTCCAGATCTTGACATTGATTTATCAAGAGGAAAACACAGGGTCCAACTTGACATCAAACGAGAAGACGACAAAGCGAAGCTTCTCAAGCTCCTTGAAACGGCAGATGTATTCATTCAAAGTTACCGTCCTGGAAGTCTCGCCGCCCAAGGCCTCTCTGCAGAAGATCTTGTCAAAGCGAATCCAACACTTATTATTGCGAGCTTGAACGCCTACGGTCCAGACGGTCCCTGGTCACACAATCGAGGGTTCGATTCTCTCGTACAAACCTGTTCAGGCATTAATTTCGCAGACGCTGAACGTTTTGGCACTGATGAACCAGTACGCGTGCTACCCTGCCAAGCGTTCGATCATGGCGCTGGCTATCTCCTTGCTTCTGGGATTATAGCAGCACTTTACAAACGTGCAACTGATGGAGGGGCGTACAGTGTCAATGTCTCCTTGGCCGGCGTGATGAAGTACTTGAGATCTCTGGGTCAGCATGAGGGGAAAAGTGGGTTTGATCGTAGGGACTTTACGCGGCCTGGTAATGTGGAAATGTATCTGGAGACGAAGCAAACACCGTTTGGAGAAATGAGAGCCGTCAAACACGCAGCACATATCGAGGGTGTAGATGTTGGGTGGGATACTACGTCTTATGTGTCGACAAGCCGTTAAAATGTATGATCTGACGTAAAGAGGTACTGGTAATGCAAATTTGACCAAGATGATACATACTCCCATCCTTGGCTTTACTTGCTCCATATTAAGTGTCTGATTTGGGAATGAATTATGTCAATATGTTGCGCAGAAGGGGTCCATAGGCGGGGAATCCCAGGGAAAACGAAGTAGAACATCATCTCTGTTCATACACTCCCAACCCCTTCACATGTCATGCTGTAATTTTAGCCGCGTTTCGGGTGTCGAAAGCTCTAGCGATAAGACGCAAAGACGTCGCATTTCCAGTTTCTGGGTGTCGTTCAAAGCCGCTACAGAACCAGTGACGTCATGATGCGTCGTACCTGCATTACTTCGTTCACGCCGTTCACCCCCAACCATACTCACCTTGAGCTTCGAGCCCTCATATATCCCGAAAAGCCACTAAGCTCACACACGCCTCCAGCATGGCAGAGATCGCTGCAGTTGCCTACGTAGCTTCCGAGGTTGTTGAGCACACGGCGGAAGCTGGCTATGCTGCATACATCGTCTCTAAGCCAACCCTGCCTTTGAAAGCTACATTTACGAGAATAGCTACCGCATCGGATGACCACACACGGTTTGTTCCTCGTCTCTCAATGATTGTCGTCAACTGACATCCCCAGACGCTCATTAGCACGGTCAAATCATACGATAACTACTATCAAGAACAAAGCGTATATTTTCGGCGGAAAGACCGCGACCAATACTCTTGCAAGTAACGATGTACACGCAATAACTGTTCAGCACTCGGGTCAGCCAGAGATGGACTATGGCCTTATTCCAGCACTTCCAACCCTTGAAGACGGGAGAGTACCTGTTGGACGAACAAATCACGCAGCATGTGCCTTTCATGGAAATATCGCTGTATATGGAGGGTGCGATGAGAAAGACCAGCTCATCGACGAAGAGTCCGCGATATGGCTATTCAGTCCAGAACGAAAGGCCTGGGACTTGCTCACGCCGTCCAGTACTGAATCTACACCTGGACCACGCCAGAGCGCCCAACTATTTGCACAAGAAACGCATGTAATTTTGTTTGGCGGCATCGATCCCTCTGGTTCCACCGCTTCAGATCTCTGGCAATTTGATATCGCCTCACGCATCTGGTCTCAGCTTCCCACTGCCCCAGTTGCGACGTCAAATGCCGCGCTGTTCAACGGTCAGCTTTGGCTGATCTCTGGCTCAGACCCGATGAGCAGTCAACTGCATCATCTCGATATATCGTCTCCTAGTGAGGAGATGTCGTGGGAGTCTTTCACTTTCCCCACCAATCCGATGGCACCTGGACCTCGTGCTCGGCACGACGGGGCTCTGTTACCTGTTCACACGGGATATGGTCGCAACTACTTGATCTACCTTCTTGGAGCTCGCGAAGACTCTGCAGAGTCTACTCACTCATACACATCGGAAGATTTAAAACATTCGACCGAAGCCACCCAATGGAGCGACACATGGGTCCTGCAGCTTCCTTCCAGTAATCTCGAGGCTAAAGCTGCGCTTAGTCTCAAAGAAGCGATCAAGCCCGCGAAGATCAAAGACGCCATTCGATCTGCGCTTGGAGCTGAGACTGGGCACCTTTCGTGGGCGGAAGCGGTGGTGCAAGTACCCTCGGACAAAGAGCTTGAAGATGCGGAAGGAAAATTGCATCCAGGACCGAGGGCATTCTTTGGCGCGGATGTGATGGAAGACGGGAAGAGTCTGGTGTTTTGGGGTGGAGTAGATGCGAGGGGAGAGAGGGTAGGTGATGGATGGATCATCAGGTTGGAGTGAATGGGTGAATACGATACACATCTTCGTAAATATTACAACGTCGTTATTCTACAGACGGGAAGGTTAAGTTCCTAGACGAATGTTCAGAAATGGTAGGCACACTAGCCCCCTATAAACCATGTATTGTATATCGGGATGTTGTGAGCAGAATTACCCACATGGCACGAGGATGCATACACAGATGCGAGGAGGTAGACAAGCATCGGACCACTCGCCTTTCTGGATACTCATGATATAGCACGTCGTAGTCTACTACGCTGTCACATAAAGCCACACATAGAGTGTTTTCTGGGTTTCTCTACCTTAACCTGACAACCGCTATATCCGAGATCCACCAGCAGCACAAGAAGATCGCGAAGCGGCAACGTTATGCCTTTTGAGACGTGAGGTAATGCATTTTGGTGGTCTGACGAAGCTCTGATGATAGAGCCGGAGTACCCTACCTTTGTTCTGAGGGTAAACATCAGTTAGAGAAGGCCTGAAACACAATAAGCGATCCTGGCGTACGAGGATCGCTGTGGAGTTTTGGCGTCGATGACAGGCGAATCATCTCTAGACATAACGGCCTGTTCTTGAGAGAGATGAAATGCGTTCAGTGTGTCACTATGCTTGATAGTTTGATCGTTGCAGGATCAAGTTCTAAAACAAGGCTTGAACCGAGAGAAAAGTCAAGTTGCAATGTTCAGGTGAAGATAACTGAAGAACGTCCCAAGTGAAGGATGTGGAGAGTGTTATCAGTTGTTACAGCTTGTGGTAGGATGACGAGTGTCCATACCTCAAAGGAAGACTTATAGGAGGTCCTGAGGGGGAGGTTAGGTGTAAGGACACGTCTTGGCAAATCTGAGGGATTTGCCTGAGGGATTTACCACAAATTACCTCAACCTGTAGCTTCCATAGGCTCGCTACTTAGCGATATGCGTACATGAGGGATTCCGAACTACGCCACGTTGACAGTGATAGCTAAGATGTGTGTCGTTTGAAGGACGGTCAAGTCACGGGGAACAAGCATCGATGAGTAACATCACACTCACTTGTTTCAGTCAGAGAAAGTGGATGGAAGGGTAGATAAAATATGTTCTGGTTCGGATGCTTCGAGATGCAGTGCGTCACTAATCAAACTGTGCTCCCATATGTTCAAGTTCCAATTCACACATGCGTGGGTTTTGTCGGATGAGCACCTTTTTCGAATCGGTATGGTGAGATGTGGTTTGAAGGTTGCAAATCGTGGACGTGGCGGAACCAGGGCGTTCTGCGTTAACACTTATCACCCGAATTAATTTCCTGTTTATCGCAGTCTTTCGGATGGTAGCATGACTTACGAAGATGTATCAGAGTTGTCCTGCTTCAACTTTTGGTCCTCGAAGTTCCACACAGGCACAGGCATCGTTACCAATCAAAAAGGGTAGGAAGTAAGAAACTGTTTGGTTTTCAAGTTGAGAGAAAAAGATCTTGACTGATGCAAATGAGATTTGTAGTGGTGATGAGAAGAACAGGAAATAGGTAGAATTATATACTCCGCGAGGGAGGACCTCTTGCGCCGCTTTTCTTGCTTCAAATTATTGTTTCCAGCAATTTCTCACCCAGTAAGACCTTCGCAAGCATACCACCTACATAAGACGGCTTTTCTTTTCATAGGATAGATATTACTCGTCGGGCCGTTATCAGAGTGTCCGTGCGTAGACTTTGAACCAATTAGCAGAGCGGTGGAATTGTTTTGCCATACAGCCCTAATACGAGTCGGAGTAGTGCTCGCATGTATGAACCAATGAACGATTTTTGTCCTTTACTGTTGGTTTGAGCGGCCCGGACTACGCCAGGGCTGTGATTGGGATTAGGCCTCCCATCCGTCACGTGCTCGTTCATGACATCCATCGCAGTCATGCTCGAGGTGATATCCAAGTCATCATTACACTTGGGCCTGAGAGACATTGTAGATCTTTTCGATAAATCCTCTTGGTCTATCGACACGGGTGCGCCACATAGAACTACCCAATAGCCCTATCTTGCGAAAGTGGATTTTAGAGCCCACATGTCAGGATCCGAGATCTGCAGTGCAATGGTTCCCGAGCCCCCGACTTTCCCTTTTCTCCCAAACCGAAGCTTCCCGCTTCCCCGGCCTTCCCCTTACTCTCAAGCGTTACTACGGTCATCTCGGTTGCGCGGATCTGTACCGGTCACTCCCTGCTGACACGTTGGCGGAATCTGCCTATCTTCATGCGTACCGACGCCAAGCTCCTCCAGCTGGTTTCTCAACGCGAGACCCATAGATAGTTAGACACGTATGATCCTGACGTATAGTCGCGATCTTGGTGCACTGCAAGAATTTTTGTATGTAAGCATGGATCAATGACTGCTCGTTATCGTGCCGTTTGCCGTCGATGAGTCGTCATGAGATAGGTAAAGCGGTCTAGCATTAAATAAAACTTGCGCAAGAGCGGTAAAACTTATATTTTTGTGTGTTATGGTGAGATTGAAGAAAGCAAACACATTGTTGGTACTTTCGATGCGCCATAATCGCCGTCCTCTGCAATGGTTCGGTAGCTGCATAGGAATGGCGTCTTTGCTACGTCAGAAATAGCCTGCACTCATAGGGCGCTCAAAGATCACCACCATATCCACGTCCAAACTGAGCTCCCATATACCCAAATTCCAAGTTACCCAAGTTTGCGTCACGGGGTAAAAGTTTCGACTTCGAGTCGTTGTTGGACAACTTGCTCTGGGAGTTCTGACTTCCCCCTGTAACCGAACTCGAGGGCTCGGCCTTTGTCCTTCCCGTGTGTGAGCTCGAACGACAGACATACAATGGGATGATTACACACGATGAGGTATCAGAACACTTTTGATCGTCCGTTTTGGACGCCGAGGTTTGTTGAGTGTACACAGGAACGGGCATGGTAACACTGGGCCAAGTTTGTGGCGTCCACGCTACTTGATTATTCAGAAGTGAACAGATATCTTAGGGTTGTGAAGTTCAATGGGATGCAGATGAAATCCAGCGTCACAGTGAGCCTTTATACGTCAAAGAAGTCCTCCAGCAACGCCGTGTTGTTGTGAGATTTCCATGTCAACTTGCAAAAGCATACCCTATAGGCTGGCTGTGCTAAAGCATAAAGTCACTGTACTGCAACTCGGCCAAGAATATATGTGGGTCTTTTGCATATGGGTTCATCGGGCTGACTTTCAGATTACCAATCAGCACCCTGAAGAGGCTCTTTGGAGTACAATCTGCGTACTTCACGTTCCCAGCTTGCCAGGTTTGACATCTGGTAGAAGTCTATGCAGCTGATCAAACTGCGTCCTACGGCTTTATTGATTCGCATGGTTCGATCTAGGAAATGCATGTATATTCCCTTCCAGCTTACAATCCTCTACTCGCGTACAGTTGAGTTGGTATGACCACGTTTTTCTCAACAACCGAGCTTAGGATCAGTGGCGAATTCTAAGATGCATCGGAGCTATTAAGCCGACATGGATGTGAGTATGTGAGCCCAACGGGCTTATTGGCATACCAAGCACCAAACTTCTGGTGTTGCTCATGTCTCACCCCACGGGCGTTGCTTTGTTTTTCTTTCTCTAGACCGATGTCAAGTCTTCCGTTTCGGTTAATTTATTATCTCATTTTCGACGGCTCTCACCCCCACGCACCTGGATCCGATTGAGGATGTGCGTTTAGGGAAACGAAACAGTCTCAGATCATACACCACTCCCTGTTCAGTACTTTGTTTTCACTCGGGATGATTTCGTGCATGGTTTGGTGTGCGTTTGTTGGACGCCTTTTGGTAAGTGAAACAAAACGACTAGGCTATCGGTCGTCTATGGAATTTGGACGCTCAGCTGTTATGATCAACAAGTTCGTCGCCATCTGACATGAATAATCTTGAATGATAGTGACGAATGGGAAGGAAGTATCAAGTTTGAGAACGCTGTAGCCGAAAAAAGGATGGATATATTGCAAGTGCAAGCCCTAGCCAATCGAAACTTGTTCTTTATTAGTCGTATCCCCAGCCGTCTCTCCGACGCACCGTTTGTAATCGCAAAACTATGAGACGCAGTTCGCTGTCGGGCGTTGACACCACGTGGAGGCCGGCTTGAACCATTCTCCTGGGCTCGAGATCTGGAACCTTGAAATAATATTCGGATTGGTGGGGTTAGAGTGGCGAACATGTGTTGGCTTGTAAACGATGCGGAGTTCAGCTCAGCCCTGAATGATTTCTAGGCAACAGTTCATCACGCAGCCTCGGGAAGAAGGCAACTATGCATGATGGTAAGAGTCGGTGAATCACATTTGTTGACACTTGTCCGAAACACCTAACCGTGAGCTTCGATGTCGTCGTAATTACGAGTTTATCATCCTGTTAATGTCGATATTTGTAGGCAACACGGGTTTCAGTCGCTCTATTTTGATTGCAAATCCAGTAGTGAACATCGACGTGCGCTTGGTTTCTAATAGAACAGCTGTTTGACCGCACTCGTAAGTAGTAGCTTGAAGTTGAACTCGTCAGTGCAATGCTATGATCCGACTCGTAGGCTGACAGATGTACTGTCGTCAGGGTAGGGACCTTTCCAAGTTGACAGTAGTCAACGGAAGCTGTCCGAGCAGCATCACATGGGACAAATAAGTCGCCACACTAACGTTGAACGGAAGGTCGTGGATCAAAGACCGGTTTACAAAGTCATGAATCGTCGACGTAGGGAGAGACAGTTGTGAGACGTGGTAATGATACGACATGGGACCCAGGTCTACGGAACCTTGCATGGCGCAGCTTGTCCATCGTTGCACCACACATCGAATGCCCTTGTCCATGGGAGGCTAGAATCCATCGGAGCTATGGTCGGCTCGGCCGCATTTTCACTTTCTCGGGAGTGTACTTTCGTATCGTACATGGTTTCACAGTTCCTATTGGTGGGGATAGACGTGTTTCGAGTTGGCAGGTTGCTGAGGAAGGTGAACAGAAAGAGGATTGAACGCAGATATACGTGAGGCTTTAGGGCTGCAAGAATAGTATTGTCCAGAGAGACAGATGAACCACAAATAAAGATGTGGTACGAAGGTGGTGAAGTTTGGTACAGTGCTATGAATCCAAGGGCGCTAGGGCCGCTAGCGGCGGGGCTATCTTTCAGCCGGTACGTCAGCCTCCACGTTGCAGTTTCGTGTCTCATTGGCTACCGAGCAATAAGTACATTCACTCGTCCCCTTTTCTTGACTCCTCAGATTGCTCTTTACTTTTTGAAAGTGGTCGTTATTCGATGCGTGTGGTTATCGGCAGTTAGCATACGCCTCAGATCGTCCGCCCTAGGGCATTATACGTCAACATGTCCAACCGCGCGAACAAGGCATTCGATACAAGCTTTCAAGGCGCAGGCTATGGCTTCGAGAGCCACCCACAACAGCAGGTAGTGATGCCGCCGACGTGGGTGCTCGTTTCGGCCTTGGGTTTCCTGCTGGTCGCACTCGGATTCTGGGTATGTAGACGCGTGATTTCATCGACCCAGCGCGCGAATCATGCTAACAATTGCTTTGTTTAGGCTTTTATTGCCCTTCAGATGCTTGCGCCAGTCCCGCGCGATCCACGCCGCTCTGAGAAACAGTATACCACCATTCTACCAAACGGCGAGCCTAGTCCGCCCAAGGAACTTCCCTGCTGGCACGACAAATGGTCGGCGGAAAAGGAAGTCGCGAAGAAAAGGGCAGGTAATGCGCCAGGCGCAAAGGTCATTGTACCGCCGCAGATGCCAATTGAGGATGCTGAGCTGTTCATGAGCGTGGTAGTACCGGCATACAACGAAGAGGACCGGTTGGAAGGCATGTTGGAGGAAGCTGTGGAGTTTCTGCAAAGCGAATACGGCGGGGCACACGACGGGGAGAAAGGCGCAGCGAAGGCCAAGGGTTGGGAGATTCTGATCGTGAGCGACGGAAGCACAGATGGGACGGTCGAGAAAGCGTTGCAGTTTGCGAAGGAACACCAATTGAGCCAGCACCCTGTATCCGTTCCAGGACCTTGGTCGAAGAATGGGGCAGGACAGACACCACACTCAACGCATATTCCACATGGTAGCATCCGTGTTATCACTCTGGAGAAGAATCGAGGCAAGGGTGGGGCCGTCACTCACGGCATGCGACACGTCCGAGGACAGTACGTGGTCTTCGCAGACGCCGATGGCGCGAGTCGGTTCAGCGACTTGGGCAGGCTAGTCGAGGGCTGCAGGAAAGTCGAAGACAAAGAGGGTCGAGGCGTTGCAATTGGCAGCCGCTCTCACCTCGTAGGCAGCGAAGTTGTCGTCAAGGTTTGAACTTTCCTCCCACCATCGAGCTTGCGCTAATTATCTCTCCAGCGTTCCAAACTCCGCAACTTCCTCATGCACTCCTTCCATATCTTGCTTCGAATCATGACTCCGCCCGCCACGGCCCGCATAAAAGATACACAATGTGGTTTCAAGCTTTTCTCGCGCCCCGCGCTTCCCTATATTGTGCCGTACATGCACTCCGAAGGCTGGATTTTCGACGTGGAGATGCTGATGCTGGCTGAGACTGCGGATATTGGCATGGCGGAGGTTACAATCGGATGGAAGGAAGTCATGGGGAGTAAGCTGAATGTTGTTTGGGATAGCATTGGTATGGCATGGGGATTGGCGTTGTTGCGCGTTTGTTGGACGTTGGGCATTTACAAGAGGGACTAGAGAGATGGCGGATAGAATATGCACATGCTCATTAAGTTTGTGTAGACGTTGTTCATGAATGTGTCTTGCTCTGCATACGTGGTCTTTATCAAATCCACTTCACCGCACACGCAGCCAATATCTCCTGATAATTTGTTCCCAGTTCAGAGCAAACCGGAATCAAACACGCACGAGAAGTTCTGTTCGTAGAAGCTGCAACGTACCACTACACTTACTCCGTCAATGTGATGCGTGCATGGAACGTGGAGTCACACAGCCCCACAGTTTCACCCCACCACTTCCCCGCTCACTGCACATGGACGCACTTGTCACCATCCTCTTGAATCTCACACCACAAGTCAATCACCTTGAAATCACGGCAGAACATATAGTCACATATCCCCAGTCTCGTCATCAACAACAACCAAGGCACTTTGGCGGAGTGGGTAAGTTCACTATCAATCCATCGTCACATGACCTAAAGCTGACCTCATGCTGTTAACGCGCGGGCCTGCTAAGCCCGTTCCTTCGGGAGCGAGTGTTCGAATCACTCAGGTGTCGGAATATCTTTTTGCTGTTTTTGCGCGGCCAGGTCATGGAAAAAGGCTGCAAGGCAGTGAGTTTGAGGCACAAGGCCGGCCAGTGATCTGGCAATGTTTTTGATCAGTCGGCAGTTTGAACTTGCTCGCGCTGTGAATTTCAATGGATTGCGGACCACTTTCTAACTTGCCCAGGCATGTATGTATTCGCCTTCGCCCTCTGTATGTGTGTTCGAAGAGGATATGGAAAACGCCGTTGCCCCAAAGTGAAGTATTACTATGGAAAAATAAATAGAGAGACGACGAGCAAATCCGCAGACTACGCGTTCTGCTCCAGCGAATCTTGATCTTCTGGTTCCTTATCGTTGATATACACTGCAACTCAATCAGAATCCATGATCCAAAGATTTAACTTCGAAGTACTCACCATGTGGTCGAACAAACCAACTGCAAACGAACGCCAAACCAAAGGTCGCCGTCAAGCTAACAAACACTGTTTGGCGGAAAAGGCTTACTGTCGCGCTGTAGATGCCATTAAATACGGTAGGACCAATTATTCTGGCAAGTGCATGCAGCAGGCCCGTCGCACCAAGCAGCTGTCCAACCTTGTCCTGGGGTACATGCTTCGTTAGAGCAGCGCTCAACGCCGGACTGCCTATACCACCAACAGCAGCCAAAGCTCCAGATAATGCGAAAAACTCGCCCTTGCGTGCAAGCGTGTATCCGAGGTAACCGCACATGTCGAGTAAGATGGCGAAACGAACGATCGAGAGATCGAAGTTATCACAACCAGAGCTGCGCTGGCGAGGTGGTGTTTTGCCGCGAACAATTCTCGTGATCAGAGGCAGAAGAACGATGAGACCAAGAACTCGAGCTCCGTTCACGATAGTGACGAAGTGCCCAGTTTCCACGTCTTGCCAGCCAAATTGACGACGCGTATACACGAGCACGACGCCCATGCCGCCCATGGCAACACTAAACACGATGGTATCTATGGCGGCAAGCAAAACTAGGTTCCGGCGAACGGCGGATGAAGTACCGGGACCGGTGGGCCAGAGAATCTTGAGAGGAGCGAAGAGGTTGACGTGGCGAAGCTGGTTTATCCAATCGGACGCTGGGCCCAGTCTCTCCATCTCCTCCTCGTGTTTCTCTCTTGCAGCTGCTTGCCGTGATTTGGAGAGTGACTCGGGAATGCAAAACGACAAGAAGAATATAAACATGCCGTGGGCTGCTAGAGCAAGGTAGAAGATGAGAAGACGCGCTTCAGTCTTACCAACTGATTTTGTACGCGCTTCAATGATGTAACCAGCCACGACAGGCCCTATCGCTATACCAGCAAACAGACAAGCGTAAAAATATGAGAACGCCGTACTGCGTTTCTGCGGGGAAACACAGTCAGAAGCATATGAGTGAGCAAGTGCCATGCCAACGATGAAAGAGCCACCAAGCCCCTCGAAGGCGTAGCCAACAAGGATCCAATTGACGTGTACGACATCGGGGTATTTTGCTGCGAGGATCGTGAGCACTTCGCCAAAAAGCGCAGTACATGTGTTGAAGATCATAAAGTTCTTCCGTCCATATCGATCGGAGAGCGCGCAGAGCTTCGGGCTGGTAACAGCCGCAAGTATACCAGCACATAGGCTGCCATATAGAAGGAAGAGTGAGGAGCGTGATGAGACGTCGTCATTTCGGCACCGATCAGATTGCTGCCCCGGGTCCATAGGTCCAGATGCTGGGTTGGGTCCTTGTGAAGCGTAGTACTCTTCGCATACCAGATCCATGATGAGGTTGATCTTGGGCACTATAACACCCCCAAAGGCGATGGTGAAGAGAAGGAATGGTGGCAGGAGCCAGAATATCTATACTTGTCAGGCCATCAAATTCCCATACTTCATAGGATATCGTCGTGTGCCTACTGATGGTTGTTTCCACCAAGGAAGCCCTTGGAATTCTTTGTCAAATGTCCATTCTGTTTCACCGTTCCCACTGTCATCGCCGTTTGTGTTTCCGCTATCGCTCCTCGTAGGACTTAGAAGCGGTACGTTTTCCTGATTACTATCAAGACCCGACGAATTCGCCCCATATATATTCGGCTCCTCGTAGACGCGGATGGGCGCTTTCGAGTTCGTTTTTTGGGCGTTCGGACCGGATCGCAGCCCTTGGTCTACATAGATGTCCTCCACCGACGGCACATCTGTGTTGGAGGCCATGTTGGTATATATGCGCTTCGGTGGTGTCTAAGCTGGTATGTATCGCGAGTGGCGGAGACCCGGGGCTAGGGTGATATCGTTTATGATCGCGAGTGCATTACTATTCTAATCACTGTACAAATGTAAGAATAGCCATAAGAGAAGAACTCGGCTTGTATTAAGAGCGCAATGCGACTCTACGAGCTGAGGCAGTCCGCGTAAGGATGGCACCTTCATGTAATCCTGGGCAGGGGGCTAACTTTCGGCTTACCAATATTGCTGGGCGATTTACCATCAATCACGATCGTAATGTTAGAAAGAAATGAATAGAAGCACAGAGACAAAGAGGCGCAGGTCTATGTCCGCGAAATATGGTCCGCTGTGTTCCCACGCAGAGATGACAAGCAGTTGTTTGGTAGCCCGTCGCGTGGAGATGGCACGTCATGACGTTGTGATGTGCAGATCTCTTCAACCGATCCGCCAACGGCGCGCGATAGCGGAGATAAGACGGCTGATCAACGGTCCGCGTCAGCTGACGATGCTTCGCCTTCCATGATTCTAAATATGTTTGAAAGCGTCTGTCCACCACTCTGACAACTCTGACAACTCTGACAGGACCGGGTCCCCACGACATCGCCGGCTGTGTCTACAGTGCGACGAATTGCTCGGCTAGGAGGCTACATAGATCACTTGTGCTGAAGTGATTTGGAAAGAGTCGGAGACGTATCGCTTTGCGGTTGTTCCCTCTACACAAGTCTGGTTACCTCATATCACGAGTGTGAGATATTCATTGGTGGAGATCTTTGCGAAGCAGAAACCTGGCAGACATGATGGTGAAGAGTCGGAATGCATGCTTCAACTTAAATTCTGGTCGGCAAGCTAAACTAGGAAGTACTCACAATTCATCTACACGAACTACCGCCGACAACTGTTGTGCCAACCGGTTTAAATGCATACCATCAGTAGTTTGTCACCCTCGACGGGCTGTTGAACAGTGGAAGGGATGGTATGCGACACGACCTTGAAGGCAAGTTATCGATTGATGGCCCACTATGCCATTTATACCAATTTTAATATCAAGGCCCGTAACGGCACCGATGAGCCACGTCCTTCATCGTCAGCTGGCTGGGGTAAACGTGTCTTCAGCCTGATTTGGGTATAATCTCAGAACATGTTCCTTGAAGACCTAGCAGCTGAGCCACGTCGACATACGTAAGGCAACATACTACCGGTTATACCTCTCGATGTCGATCGCTTCCGGTGAACTCTGTTCCTTGTACCATGCGCGAGAAGTCACAGATTCCTCAATATCCACAAATTATCCACAGTTCTCTCAGCTTCATCGGTCTCTCGTATCTCAGCCCATAGAGAGATTCAACACTTGACGTCAAGTCAAATCTGCAAGACGCTCTTGCCAACCTTGGCCGTATAATACCGTCAAAAAAACACAATGGGGTAGCCAATTCACGTCTTGATACCATTATCTCATTATTTATTTCTCGACCTGTCGCCATTGATTTGGGTAACATCAAGTATGACGGAGTTCTGGTTCCTGCAAGGTTTTAGCTAAAGATGCTTCACATTTCTTTCTTCGTCTCGTTGCTGACTTTTCGTCTCTTACGTACAAGGCAGGACAATTGATCAACTGACCCTGCCTGACATCTTCTCCTTAGAAACCCCACCACACGAAGCACGCCATCGTCGACTGACATACTCATCTGATCTGTTATTCTCGGCCTTGTGCTCACACCAGACACGTCCACCACGTCGACTTTCAGTAGCAGGATAGGCTAGAATACGATGTCTCACACTACTTCTTACACAATATCTCACACGACATCTCTCTCCACTTTTCCGTTGCCTTCTTTCTTTATTGCTTTTCTCCTTCCTTTGTCAGACATGGCGTAGGCCGAAATTCCACTGCTCTAGGCGATGTCCGAATTGTGAGTGACATCCTCAGAAGTCAGAACTTGCTAGATTTGAGCATGAGTCCGCTCAATGTAAAATCATTTGATTCAAGTGACATCGCATGTGCATTGAAGGTATGAGACTGATTTATCTCCGGAAAGTCACCAGTACTTCAAATTTGTAGCGAAATTAACGGTATTTCCTTATGCATGTGAAGTTGATTCTGTTTACTTTGCGATGATATGTGGTCATGCAAATTCTAACGACAAAGGGACAGGGTTTATTCCTAGCTACAATGCTAGCCTTGTTGTGCTTCTACCTTGGATCTGCTATACTGAATTCCTAGGTCAAGGGTCTTCAGCCTTATAACGCCCCTGTCTCAAGTTTTGGCCCCCAAGGTGATCTTTTTTCATCACTTCTCGCCTACTGAAATCGGTGGTCCTTCTGTCATGCCGATCTACTCATCGCTAGTTCTCAGCCTTGCCAGCCACATTCACGCCACGTGTTTACTTTTGCGAGATTGGCGGGTAGCGTGACATACAATCTTTTATGCACCAGTGGTATGGATTGATGACCGGCCTCATATACTCAAGTTGCGTTTACAAGAGCCGACGATAAGCCTTTTATCTGTTTCCGGTCATAAAATTTGTTGCCCCGCTTTAGATACTTCTCGGGCGGGTCGGGAAGGCGGTCTCGCGTCAAATCCAATACACTGGGTATTGCGATGGAATCAGGCAAACAAGGCAACCGTTTCACTAACTAGTTTAGGAATAAAAACTGCGACATGCGACCAGATTTAATAGACGCTGATTCTCTAGTCTTCCTTCTGCCTAGTCTCAGACCCTCAATTTCTGCACTAGTCAGACTGTCGATTCAAGCGGACAGGTCATGATGACAGGAATGGAGAAGGGTCTTTCAAAGTTTTCAAAATGACCGTGACTCTCGTAAGATTTACTGTGTGACTAGGGTAAGGCGGGTAGTTCCGGTGCATCTCAAACACGGCACTTTGTGTAACGTTCGGTTTCCTCTTTCCGTGGATGAATTCCGTGGTCGGTTGCCTTGTTTCTGTGAATATTCTACTGAGATCGAAAATGCATCATGCTTGTTCACCTCAGTGTCAAATAACCTGGTCGAATTATGCATACCAACTGGTTGAACTAATTGAATGGAGGACTTCTCGTGTATGAAGCAGACCGATAGTAGCCAGCTCACCAACATCCTCTGTGGATGAATCTATTTGAACACTATGACGTGGACAGTCTTGACTGAGATATGCCTAGAGTTTATATACGCATGAAACGATTACACACATGTTGGTTCTGTAAACATCAATGTCTAGAAGTGCTAGTGAGTTAAATATACGAAGTTTAGATCATTAAAAAAGAGTTGGTTGATATAGCTTGCTCATTAAAGTACATGTTTCACCGTTATGGGCGAGACTTTAGCATGAATTTTTCATGTAATGGTTTATGAGCAGCCAAGACAGGGGTGCCTACAATGACACGAGAACACATTGAAGGCATAGTCATCCTGGACCAGACTTGCATGTCCTGCAAAGTAATGACAGAATTAGAATACGAGCCAAGAACATTCATGTCTTGCCGACCATGCATGCCACAAGACACCGGTCAGGGCTATCAAATTCAGTTCTGTTGATGATTATGGCTAAGGCTGGAGTATGCTTAGATTATCTCTTGCCTCAAGACACATCTTACTCTCTTATCAGGAGATATACTACACGCGGACATATTGTGAGATAGCCTACCGACCACCTTGTTCTGGAAGCCCCATTTGTCAATATTGTAGCCTTATTGTTGACGGAGACTCCTCAGCCTTGTCATCGAATGGTGCTCACGTTTCGGCCCCCAATAACCGCCTTCGCTTATCTGGATCTCAGCCTGGTCGAACTTGCCCTAATTTCTATTCTTCATGATGACTGCATGAACTGCTGTTCACATCCTTACTCCTATGGTATTAGCGCGTCGAGTTACTGCATACTAAAGTTTAATCCTCTGACCCGAACTTGCATCTGCTGGTCACGGCTGTGCTCAAACACCCAATACATATGCGCGCGTGGGTAGATGCGTTAGAAACCTTCCGATTGGTGAGACATGGCGAAATGTGTGGAAGTGTCAAGCCGTCGACATTTCTTTGGCGCGAGAAGGCCGTCATAAGCGCAGAAACCGTGGTCCCTCACTTTAGTCAAATGCCAGTACACCAAACCTAGCAACTGAGTTTCAAACCTGAGGCATTTGCATCCAAGTCATTTATAGGGATCTTGAATCGGTAATACAGAACGTCGTGCATGAATCCGGATAAGCTATCTACATCAAACGATCGCCTTGCCTTATGGTACCTACCGGTACAGTGAGGTCGGAAGGGTGCAATAAGTGAGACACACATTGCTGATCGTCAAGGATTACACAGACCACCATGTATGTTGTGTCCCTCCCGACAGGCTGGTACCTAGACTTGTTCGAGAATGATAGACTGTCTTCTACCAGTATCTTCCACGAACAACAGCATCATGATCGTAGTAATTATAGATAACGTATTGTACGACATCAATCAAATGCTACCTCCCATCGTAGCTTGCGTAGATCTGTTCTTGTCTCTTATCGACGTGAGCCTTGATTTCTTGCGAGGACGAAGATCCTTGATAATCTCTAATAAGTCCTCCATGTAAAATTGAGCGCTGAGCTCTACATGCGTACACAGATGCTAAGTATGGCAGGGAATGTGTCTTAGCCGGACTGAGAGCATGGGTCGATGTGTGAACATAGATCATCTGGGATAGGTTGATATTTCTTTCGCTTTGTTCGATGTCCACATCTGAGTGCGCTCATGGACAGTGTATGATCGGTAGGATGACGCTATTAGAGTCCTCACGTGTAACTGGAACCGGTGATTCTTTGAGACACATGTCGTAGTAGGCGCTTGGCTGCAATACGCTTAGCGTATTCGTAGGTTCGTTCTTTGAGCCTTTTTGAGATAACCAGTCAAACAGACCTATTTCGAGCACTAAGTCAGGACTGCTAGGCCTTAGACTTCTGCGCTTATCCATCCATCTAGTAATCTGGGTGGGATGTTCAATCCTCGTGACACTTTTGTATCTATACATGCTACCTTAGGCAGTCTTTGAGAAGCATTGGTGGCGTCTGAGCTCCAAGTGACATTTCGTTGTGGGGTTGATCTGTCCTATGGATGAGCAAAAAGGCGACTCTTTGTTCATCAATATCCGGAAACTTCGATACAAGCTTGGAACTGTACCACATATCGAATTTCAAGCTGCAGGACACCAAGTTAACGAAAGACGGCCCATGGGTTGACTGAATTTAGCCGCCCAACAACTACATGTCGCCTTCCCGTTCGTCCACGATCACAGCCCCTCTAAATATGTTCATATCAACGTTGTACCATCGACCACGTTGTTGGACGCCATCAATGGACAGCTTGAAGCAATGACAATTGGTTGGCTTCAAGATACTGAAGAATTGTGTAGCACAGAGGAATGACGTGCTTCCCTCTACTGCAGATTCGTTCGACGTGTTACACACCAGAACGTAGCATGTACATCCCTAAATGGCATGGTCATATGGTACGAGAAAAAGTCCTGTACAATCGTTATATTGTAGTAGTGTAACGGCTACGTAAAATCGTAATTGTTGAATAGGGTCGAGGTCCTCCACTCTAGGCAGATGACCGCAAAGAGTGGACGTTGGCACAGAATGTCTTTGTCGTCTAGGGGAAGCGTCAGGCGCAATATGGTGCTAGCTACGGTGCTGTTCCAATGCCAGTATCTCCTGGAATGATGTTACCTTCTCATCTCGTTAGTGGCTTGCTGCAGATGGGTCGCAGATCCTTTTGATGATGAATCGATCGAATAGATTACGAATACGGCAGTTTGCTTAATCACTGCGTCGCGCTCGTCGTTTGTGTAGCGAGACGCAATGTAGAAAAAGGTCAGCGTAGAAGCTAAGTGGATTTCAAAAATTTGTCAACTTACGAGCGGCTGACCGTTAGCGTAACAGACTGACTTGAGTCAACTCGTCTTTCCTCCTGAGTATAGGTTACAGATGAAAACTCAGCACACCGCTTGAAGCGTTGAGTGGGCTGGTCGGTGAGACTTCGATCCCACCAAACAGTACCTGGGTTGCTCCACAAGGCAGTCATGGCGAGAGTGACATGCAATGTCGATCAAATATGCGTAGCTGCTGAGGCGTTCGAAAAGTCTTTGCATAAGCTGTGTAGTTGTATAAGATCAAGGGACGCCCACCTCGAGAAACGTCGCTCTAGCTGCCTGCTTTTTGTACAGGGCGACCCTTATGCAGAGAACGAGATGCAACACTTGCCGTGTTGCAGGCCGCCACGCCAAGATATGCCTAGTTTGCCTAGTTTGCGAAATTGCGAACCACCGACATGAGGCTCTGCCGCACGTAAATATCGGGATGTTCTCGAAGGAACTGTTGTTGCATCAGTCCAGGCTTCTGAAATCCCAGTAACCTTGAGTTGTTAATCGTTTTCTACATCGTCTCGATCACGTCGCGCACGAGTCAGCTATTACTGTCACCGCGTATTGATGCCTAATTAGCGAGGACCTCGAGCAAACCACCGCTCTTCTCTCGTCTACTCCGTTCACGCACGAACAATTGAGGTTCTGATAACATTTCATGCGCCACTCCAGACCATAAACACGCCCGCCTGTAACGTTAGCATTCGCCCCGGATTTGGGATAGCTCTCACGTCACCTCGGGTTACTTGCAAGGACACGTCTTGGCCGATGCTGGGGTTACAGCCAATCAAATTGTATTGTGGAAAATTGTTGGACACACGCCGAATACCGCATTTGGTTCACGAGCGGAACTACTACACTTGAATTCGAGGCTTACAGAATGCAACCCGAATATGTCGACATTCAGTCACGGTGGGTGAACGCACTACGAACGCAATCGAAGTCGGAACACCCACCTACAGGTGCACTTCCTTGCCCGTTCGATGGTCACGATGGTCGGATCTTCCTGAACATAGACCAACTCTTTGATCATGTGAGAGCCGACCATGCCTCTGAGGTTAAAGATTTGGAACCAAGTCAAGCACGTGCGTATCTGAGAGACGCGGTTGCGAAGTCAAGGTGAGATTGCCTACCTCATAAACCTAGCAGACAGTTTCTAACATAAGTTTAGAAACACATATCGATCTTCAGATGCTACCGCGGGTGGCGGATCTACGCTAGACATCACTGGATTATCGTTAGAGCAAAACACACTCCGGCAATCACCTCCTTACTCTGGTAAGAAACGACCTGCTGGATCTGATTTCTATGGACGCCGAGAAAAAGGTCCTATCCAGGTTGGGGTCTTTGATCCTGATTACTCTAGGGATACAGTCACGCCCGAACGCACTCAGCGCCTTTACGATCCTAAGCAGAGCACTGCATCGCCTTATCGGTCTACACCGGAGCTGCCACATCGAGATCCAATTCTCAGAGCTCAGCATCCCCAAGGGCCAGCTCGCCAGCCTGGGCTTATCGAACTGCAAAAATATGATAACCGGTATCCTGGACTTTTACTCCAGCCAGACAGTCGCCCAATCTCTCAGGAACAACTTGCGTCCGAAGTCAAGTCGATATATGCTGGCTTAACTATGGTAGAGACTAAGTGTATCCACGTTGATCGAGCTCAGGCTGCTGCTGCTGCTCAAGAGAATTCTGACTCCAACCGTAAGCTTGCTCCTGATCACTGGCAAGCTCTAATTGCACTACATCGGACTCTTCTTCACGAACACCATGATTTTTTTCTCGCTTCCCAACATCCATCCGCCAGTCCAGCTCTACGGCGACTAGCAGCAAAGTATTCTATGCCAGCTCGCATGTGGAAACATGGTATTCACTCTTTTCTTGAATTACTACGCCGCCGGCTTCCTGACAGTATTGACTACATGCTTGCGTTCATATATCTGGCCTACCAGATGATGGCGTTGTTGTACGAGACTGTACCTGCTTTTGAAAACACTTGGATCGAATGTCTGGGCGATTTAGGCCGCTATCGAATGGCCATCGAAGACGAAGATGTTCGAGACAGAGAAACTTGGGCTGGTGTTGCCCGATCTTGGTATTCCAAGGCTGCTGACAAGACCCCCATGGTCGGTCGTCTGTACCATCATTTGGCAATTTTGGCTCGTCCAAATGCTCTCCAACAGATGTACTACTATTGCAGATCCCTCAACTCCGTCGAACCATTCCCCAGCGCCCGCGAATCAATCATGACCCTTTTGAACCCCATCCTTGGGCGGGTACAAGCATCATTCTCTCACGCCTTACCAATCGACAACAACTTCATCATGGCTCATGCATACATCTTTGAGAAGAGCCCGAAAGCCGACTTTGATACGATCCAGAAAGACTTTCTCGGTCAACTCGATAATCACATTGGTCGTGTGACAGCTAAATGGAAAGAGCAAGGTGTATACATCGCTGTCACAAACATCACTGGCTGGTTTGACTATGGTATCAAGCACAACACCCTTCGTCAACTTTTCCTTTTTATTGCTCACCAACAGCCAAACTCCTCATCACAGGTGGTAAACAAAGGTCAACTTAGGGATCCTCCATTGCCGATCGATGGACAAGAACTCGAAGTCCCAATGATCACCGAGAGCGAGATTATAGCCGAGCTCCACACGCTTCATTCGGACGCGAACTTCTCCCGTGCGTTTGACATGACTATGAATACGTTCTCCCTGGTTCTCCGTCGTATTGGCGACAAGAATGTACTGCCTCATGTACACGTTCTGCTTTCTTTTCTTACCACACTCGCTTCCGTACAATACGTTGCCCATTTCATCGACCACGCTCCTTGGACCGAACTCGTTTCTTTTCTCAATACGTTAATCAAAACCGAAAATCAACAAAACCCGACTCAAGACATGAATACGTTGTTGACCAGCCCGGTCTTCTCAGCAGATGGTGAGAAGGATGGAGATGTGTTGCCGCTGCCCGAGGATTATCTGGTGCGTGGTCTGATTTGGGCACAAGATTATCTGCCAGCGAAGTGGTTTGGAAAGGAGCAGGATGAGGAAGAGAGATATCTTGAGTTACCGAGTACGGCGAAGAGTCGTACAGAGAGGGTGCTGAAGCTGGGATATCAACTCTCGACTGTAAGTCTTCCTGCTTTATTTGCCTAAGTTCATGGGTTTTCTAACTGTAGGCAAGTATAACCGATATATCTCATATGACGAGATTGCTCATACGTTCTCCGCCATCGATGTTTCGGCTGTCAGGGTCTTCTGAGCTCTGCTACTCACTTCAAACTAGTATCTTTGATCTCTGGTATCTGATAAGCCAACAAGAGCACATCTTCTTCCTCGCGTGTCTTGCACTGAGTATGATTGTAGTGGGTCATTTAAAGGTCGGTCTTGGTACATAAGGCTATCTGTGTGAGACCAATAGAACACAGTGATTGGGGAAAAGAAGATGTGCTAGAGGTGGAGAAAGTCGTCCTGATGACGCGTATTCTTTGGTGAGTGTTCAGGGATGTTGGGCGGCAAGCGAAACATCGGACAAGTGCCGAATCCAACAAGATGCAGGGTAAGGGTGATCAGCAGCCAGACCCATCACCAAAGTGAGAATGTTCACCCACAAAAGTCATCAGGCTGAAGTACATCCAGGCGCTTGGATGTACAAATGTGGCGCTGTACTTGCGTATCGCCGATCGGCACTAGATTCACGTTCCCGGCGGTAAAGCAAAGGATACAAATATCGAAAGAAATATCCTCTTATTCTCATTTATTCTCATTCATATATAATCGAAACACCATGGCTGTTCTATTCTATCGGTTGAGCCATTGATATCCTGAGCACCCCAGCCTCCAGCTTGTATTGGGATGCCATCTCATCTTTGTTTGGTTTGTCGTGCGATCCCATATGACTTCTGGTCCAAAGTTCACGATCAGAAAGAATACTCTCAACAAGCGTGTGTTCCATTACAGTCATTGGAATGTATGCGGGGTGAGGCAGCAGATGGATGCCAATTATGTGAGATCCTCTTCGAATCCACAAACGAGGTACAGGATCAGGATAGTTGTATCTATTTGCAAAGATCACACAGCGCTCCACATCATATATTCACACTTAAAATCGGGATGAACGGGGACCCTATATCGCAGGCATTTTTCTATCGGGTTCCGCTTTGGTGGTGTGGTAGGTTTAACAATATCCGCGTGATATGATATACATATGCACGGGTTGTATTATTATCTGCAATTTTCCAGATTACAAACTAAGAATGTTGGCTTACTATGATCAGAGTTGTTTGTTTCTCTTCAGAAACAAAAACACACACCTATGGAAAGAAACCTTCCGGTAGAGATACACGAACACGTCGATAACATCCGGACGATGAGATCATGGCTAAATCGATGTCTACACAAACACCTGAATTGTTCCAGTCTACAAAAGGACTTTCTACCCACTCGACTCCTTGATATGCAAGCCTTCAAAACTGAGCAAGATATACAACTTGTTGATTCTCAGGATGTGAAAATCCCTGGCGACGCAGAATACTTGACGCTCAGTCATTGTTGGGGCCCACCTGCCAAACACTCTGTCAAAACCGAGGGACGGAATCTCAAAGCTAGGATGACAAGAATCTCTATAAACGACTTATCAAACACATTTCGAGATGCTGTACGGATCACACGTGAGCTAGGGCATCGCTATCTGTGGATAGACTCCCTCTGTATCATTCAGGACGACAAAGAAGATTGGGCTCGAGAAGCAGCACTCATGGCCGACGTATACGGCAACGCTACCTGTACGCTCGCAGCTCTGAGTTCCGAAGACGGCACCAAGGGATGTAATATCATCTCTGATATTCAAAGATCGACATGCTGCTCCTTTCTCGATCTCGAAGTCGAATTCGATCGCTACTCTCGGCTTCGCATATTCCAGGACGAACCAGCAAATTGGGTCACTGAATACGGAGAGACTCCAGATCAAGAATCGGAGGAAAAAAGCCCTTTGAGATTTCGAGCTTGGACACTCCAAGAGAGTGCACTCTCACGCCGTATAGTTTATTTCGCAAAGACCCAGCTTCTATGGCAGTGTAGAGAGTTCAAAGCAACTGCGCAGCTTCCTTGGGTTGAGAAACGGCTTGAAGGTGAATCGAATCTGACACCGTGGCCCCTGGACGCATACATGACACCCGGTGGACCTGTTTCGCACAGCGAGCGCTGGTATCGATTGGTAGAAGACTATTCCCTTCGAACGCTTACATATGCTACTGACAAACTACCTGCGCTCTCAGGCTTGGCAAAAGGTTATGTTGGGGGAGGGCAATATGGAGCAGGGATTTGGGGTGCACATTTCCCTGGTGCACTGCTGTGGCAGACTACAGATGTGAGTCAAGTCTCGATCAACTGTCTTCATGAAGTCCATATTATCTATCTATTTCAGTACTGGACTCGCTGATTCTGTTTTCAAACAACAGGAACACGCCTGCAGACATCCCCCAGAAGACTATATCGCACCGTCATGGTCATGGGCATCAACATCAGGACGCGTATCATACGACAGCCAGCGTCTGAAACCATTCGAGCAGCGTTTCGAAGGATTGAGCGCAGAACTAGGAATCCCTTATGCAGACTTCGGGTTCCTGAAAGTCGATCGCATCGATGTTTCTCCAAAGTATGACGATGTGTATGGCGCGATCACCTCAGCTTCTCTAATCATGAGTGGTGCGCAGACGATCTGCGTTGATTGTCCGACTTCAAACAAGGGTGCGAAAACATCGGTATGTTGTTTTACCATTTCAGCTGGAAGTCACTAATGTGGCACTCAATTCAACCAACTCACCTAACCGACCACAGCCTCAATTCCTCAACAATAGACACGCAGACCTAATTCAAGCCATTTCGCACCAGATCTCCGCACTGGGCAGCCTTTCGCCCGAGCCTGCCGAAAAAGGCGACCGTCTGACGCAGGATGGCGTACAAATAGGCGTTCTATATCGTGACATAGCAGATGAAGGGTCGGGGGAAACCGTCTGTCTGCGCATCCGCAACGAGCCCTTGTTCCCACTCATCGAACACCAGTTCCACAGAGAGAAAGATATGGAGATGCTAGATACAGCGATGGGTCTTGTTCTCACCAAGCGCTCGGATGGGACGTATGTGAGGATTGGGCTTGCCAGGTGGGTTGACGAGACGCTATTCGAGGATGTGGAGGGTGTGACGATAGAAATGGTGTGATGGTCAACTTAGGATTTGGCGTTTTATGTACTCTACTACTGCTGCACCACTCGAATGAGATACTTTGAGAGCGTACCGATCTTTTGGTTGAGTGGCCAGACAGAAGGATTGTTTGTAGTGAGCGTTTACAATACTTTGAGACATTTGATTGATGGGATTGCCAGTATGAGGGACGAGGGAAGATAGCCGATCTACACGTGCTTGCGCGGATGTCTACTTATCGTTCTTACATTCGCACATGAACCACCCACCGCACTGCGATGATCATAGTTTCATTCACAGCCCCTTTCCTTCAAGGTACTCCTGCACCCTCTCAAGAAGCTCTGCCTTCTTCCCCGTCGTGCTCTGCCCCCTATGGCTTAAGAAATCCTTCAGATTAGCAACCGTCTGCTTCGTAATCTGACCCTTATTGTTGATCTCCGCCATCTGCTCATCGCTCACGCCATCATCGCCATTCTCATCCTTGACTCTAGCTTCTTTCTTGACGCGCTTAGCAGGCTTCTCCTCCGGATCTGCGCTGCGTTTCTTCGTCGTATTCGCCGTCGTCTTGGCGCGATGCGCAAGTGTGGATTTTTGCTGCTGCGCAAACGCTTCCTCAAACTCCCTGCCGTAGGCTTCGATGTATTCGCCGCACCGCTTGTCGATCTGCTTGAAGCGCGGGACCGTCTTGTCCTCTGGGTCGAGGGGGATTTCGTCACCCAGCGCCATGGCTTGCAGACAACGGTAGAACCACTGCAGGTCTGGATTCGGGTACTTGGCTGGCTCGTATACTCCTTTGGGGAGCTGCAGCTGCTCCATGATCTGTCGCATTTTGTCCGTCAGTTCGTCGGTCGTCTGGAGAGCGTTCTCTGCTGCTTCGGGGAACTGGCGGATGTCGTCTGCAAATGGTAGCGGGATGAGCCACAGGCCGGGAGGCATGCTTTGCTCACCCTCTTCATCCATCTTCTCTTCGGCAGGGATGAGCGCGCAGAGTGTGGGTGAGGCGTTGCGACGCGGAATGAACCATACAAGACCCATCTTCTTCGACTTAAGGAGTTTCTGCTGCAAAGCGGAGAAGACGCGTGTCGAGCCTATGTAGTCTGCTTCCGAGGGGTAGATGAACGTTGCCTTGTTGGTGTTGGCCCAGATGGGAACGCTGGATAATGGTTTGAAACCGATGATTCGAATCACTGGATCGCCGAAACATTGTCGGATTTTCGTGATCTCGTCAGGTGTGAAGGTTATCGCATCTCCGCCGAACTTGTACGCCTTTCGTAGTTCAGTCTTCTCGACGACACGCGCAGTGTCGTCGGCCATGTGGGAGGTTGAGGAGGAGACGATTTGCGTCTTCTCGCCGCCGACCCAAACGTAGCATGATTTCACGTGTTCCTGTCGCTTGATCAGGATGAAGCCTTTGACCCCAATGCGCAGTTCGGGGCTTAGTTCGAGGGGTAGGCTGAAGAGGGCGCGACGTGGTGCGGCTTTTGAATTTATGGAAGAGATAAGCTGTTTCAAGAGGGTGATGCCTTCGCCGCTCTTTGCGACCTTAGTTGTGGAAGCGACCACTACAGGAGCGTCTGGGTCAGAGGGAGATGTTGGGTAGACCAAGTCATCGTAGAATCTGGACCGGTCGAAGTCGTGCTCTGGCCGAGAAATTGGGAACAAGTCGATTGTACATCCCAGGTCGTACAGATCTCTCGCTCGCGTTATTGCCGTATCTTTGTCTTGCTTAATTTTGACTGGGTAGTCGTTGTCGGTGACTATGAACAAACGTCTTGACGAGAAGTTGGGCGCCTTGGTTGTGAAGATCTGATTCGCGCAGAACAGCACCGTCGCCAGGCTAGCTCCATCTTTTGAAGGTTTGAGGATATGCTCCGCCTCTTCTTCCTCTTCAACCAACTCTCTCAGTCGCTTCACGTCTTGGGCTGAAGGAACATCCAAGTCTGCTAGAAGATAGCAGTGTTGGAATGTGCTGTCCCCATCCTTCAGGTCTGTCTTCTCAGTGCCAAACAACAGGATGCCCATCATGTCGTTAGGGTTGGAGATGATGCGCTGCTGCATGAGTTGGTAGGCGCACTTCAGCGCAGCAGACGTTGCGGAGTCTCTGTCTGCTTTCTTGTCGTTTGAAGGAGGGGGACATTCTAACATGGTGGAGCTGACGTCAATTGCGAAAAGCACCGCGTCTTTCATTGTCTTGTAGCTCTGGAAACGATAAGCAGACACACGTTTGTAGTTGGTTTCCTGATGCATACAGAGTCATCAATCTCCTCTTCCTCTTCCTCCTCTTCTTCGCTTGGACGATAATTCTGCGTATCCGCCATTGTGTGTGATGTCTTGGCTTGGGTCGTGAAGTGGTGTGAGTCTGCTTTAGCTCTTGTAGACCAAGATCTTCAAAGTCGTTCACACAACTACAGAGCAATGAGGCTTTCTACGATAAAATAGAAAAGCGAGGGCGTGGACGTGCGCTAGCTGTCGCGTTGATTGAACGTAAGGCAGCAGTGAGACGCGCCTGGTTTAGCTTTGACGCGTTTTCACGTGCCTTCACTAGCTTGGTCTCAGCGGCATTAACGTGTCCGTGCGCGTAATGGGCGGATTTATGTAATACACGCTGAACACTCTTTTGTCCTAACTTACCGTTAGAATAAGTCTATTAGAGCTACATATAATGGCTACGATTATAGGATTTTATAGTAAAGTAGTAATCCAGAAGACGGCAAGTCCGCATCAGGAAACAGCTACATCCCATTCGGGTATGGGTGCTTTCCGAAATACCTTCGTATAACGTGACCTGCGCTAAACCAATGAGGAATGAGAGATAAGACCGGAAGTCGAGCCGGGCAATCTAATTGGTGGAGCCAAAGTCACGTTATACGAAGGTATTTCGGAAAGCACTATCCCATGCCCCGGCTTGCTGAACCCGCGGATTTCGGCCAGTAGAACAGCAGAGTACAATAGCCGAAGAACATCAAAACCAGAACTCGACACCAAAGATGTTCCAACGCAAGGCTTAATGCCGACACGCCGACGCGATTTAATTGGTTGAAAGTCGGTCCGAAATCCGCGGGTTCAGCAAGCCGGGGCATGGGATAATCCGGGTCTTCGCTTACTATCTCTGAGCTACCTCCCAAACCGGCAATCAACCTCTTTCTTTTCCACAAATCGCCTTCCCTGCCTTGCGATGTTCCCGGCGGTCTCTCTCGATTATGTTCGCATTGTGCCAGAGCGGGTTCCCATTCTCAGCTTTAGCTAGCTTTGAACAATGTATACTGAGATGTGGACTTTGGCGATAGTCTTAATGGCGACCTACAAAAGGGTGCTCAGTTTGTTGACAAACCTCTATCTTCTCATCACTCAATTATTTGAGAATACAAGATATGGTCACATCAGAATGGCTTCTACCTCTTACAATAGTATCTACACTGTCCCTCTGACTGCAACTATGACGCTTGTCCCTTAGGTTCCTCAAGCGTCCAGGCCCAGACCCAGACCCAAAGCCACAGTCAAACGAAAGACGAATACACATATCAAAGTCGAAGAACCTAAGTCTCACAAAGCCAACTGTTCCATAGGCAAGGAAGAAGGATCGGGTCTCGATACATCCTCATCTACAGATTCTGGCCCATCAAGTTTTTCTCCTATCACTGTACCTGATCCTGTTCAAATCACGGCCTCTACTCTTCTGCTGCATGAACAAGGTGCGATACGGTTGTTGACCAACCTGGTACGTTGAACACTCGTTAACACATGATTGTAGAAATATTGAGTGGCTTCGGAAACGCTGCCTTTCCTGGAAAACTGGCGCAACACCTGCATTCCCGAGACGGGCCAGATGGAAGAGATGCAAGCCACGTTACAAACCTCGGAATAGCTAATATAACGATAGTTGATCTCGAGGTTGGGTATATTCCAGGCAAGTTCTAAGGAAAGAACGGGTCGTTAATCTACTGACCAACAGTAGAACATCAAACGATCGCTGATGGCGACTTCACGTTTTTTCAAAATGGAGAAGGTTGTCTTAGATTGTACGATGGCTCCAACACAGCTACCATACCCGCGCTGCCTAGAGAACGCACAGGAAGCTTGTAGTAACGCTCTGTAAGGTGGCCCGCTGCACAAGAGGGAGCCAGTAGGCAATAGTACTATAAATAGCAGTGTACTAAAAACACGCAAACGAGCTCACTCTTTATCTAACGAATTCTTTTTTTCTATCCTCCTTCCGCATTTTGAATAGGCTATTAAACAGGGTTAATCATTCTGCAAGCCCTAATCGTCAGCGCTAGGTCATTATTAGTAATGTTGGCTCAGAAGTGATGCATTGTGTAATTAATTATGCATTAAATGTGGAAATGAGCTCTCCATGTACCTAGAGTGTAGCCCGACAATGGGCTGATTTGCCTGTAGAAATTTCAGGCGCTTACAGCTCACATTCACCCAGATCCAGGTAATATGCATCCAGCCAAACTACTTGAAAAAATAGTTTCGAGGTACAGATGTCGTAGGTCCATTACTATGACTACAATGTTATATACTTCTAATACTTCACTCCCTAGTGATATTTTATTCACATTGCTATAAGTTGCCGACTGGTCTAGTACTTGTATTGGTTTTCTGACCCTTGATATTGTTTATACTAGATCCTCCGTTCAGACTGGAATCTTGGAAGCTTAGTATTTATTAGACGGACTAAAGCCGTACCGTGGCAGGGGGGTGCAAGCCTATCTCTCCTCTTCACCTTCATCCCTGCCATGTCAACCGCAAACAAGCTTACAAAAGATCTATCGGTGCCGCATGTACCTAACCGCAAACAAGACATTAGATCAAAAACCCCTAGACACGTTGTCATGATAACCAACCAGAAGGATTGAAACCAAATCTAGCAACGCCACGATTTTACGACGCAGCTAACGACTTACCACATGATGTGGAACCACAATCGATCTCATTGTACAATTGATTTCCCTGTTGTGTGTTGTTGGTGGCCTATCCCTAGTGAGGATAACGAGAGCGAGATGCCCGGTCGACAAAGTATAAAGTCCAGAGCATTTCTCACCTTCTGTAGCAAGAGAATTCAGCACCGCTCACACCGGCCCAAGTCTTTCCTTGACCAGTTGTCTACCTTGTCAATTGTTCTCTCTCCTCTCATCAGTCGAATTCTCTCTTCACCATGACTACCCTCAAGCAAATCCTCATTGCTATGGCTGTCGCCGCGGTCAGTGTCCGCGCTATTCCGCTGTCCGCTGATTCCACCGCAACGACTATCATCGGTGCTCCGGTGTCTGCTGTGACCGAGGCCTCAAAGCCACTTGAAGGAAAGGAACTCGAGGACTTCATGGCCAGTGGGCCATACACCCCCGAGGGCGCCATCGACATCACCAACACGACATTGGGCTTCGAGTTGGTCAAATTTATCGATGCTCATCCCGATGCCAACGCCTTGGCTAAGAGGGGCGGCCCCTGCAGCCAGGGCGATTGCCCCGATTTCAATGCTCCCTTCGACTTTTACTCGCAGCGCTATGTGAATGCCGTAAATGGCGCCCCCCTAGTAACCTGGGCGTACTGGGGCCGCTGGAATGACTGTGGCCAGTGCGGAAGAATCCAGATCAGCTCAGATGGATGCTTCGACTTCACTTCGTGCGGCCGCAGCCAGAGCATCTGCGTCGACAGCGGCAAGGCTAGGGCCCACCGTATCTGGCATGATGTCAACCACAAAACATGCTACACGGCCACCCGGGCAGATCTCGGTAACTGTGGCGTCGTCCTGACAAACGCCGTAATCTGGTACCCGAATGGAGAGACCGCGTGCAATTGGTAGTCAAGCAATATTTATACTGCAGCGACGGGGGACTTTTCCTAGTACGGAACGGTCGTTACTCGAGGAGGGGGTGGGTGATGCAGTCGCGGGAGCGACAACAACGGCTGGGGCTTTTTTAACTGTTGTTTAAATGGTTGCGTCGTTCAACTGTGAGGGGTGTTGGCTCGAAGGGCCCCACTGCGTTGATGAGAAGTTGCTGCTGGAAACTTAGATCGCTCTTCATAGGCTATGAAGCAACCACCAAGAGTACAAAAGGCCAACCCAAGCTGGCTTTAAAAGTCTCAGGCGCAATCAAATACCACCTGCTATCTCTGTTCATGATCTTCCAGCATAATCTCAGTTTGCACACATTATAAGCTGTCCTGTTCTTAGTATATCAAAACTCTAGAAGAGCAATTAAGGGACAACAAGAAGATCTCGCGCAGTCTCTCTGAACAGGTCGAACACTTATCGTAAGATGAATTGGAGAATCCCAAACAACGCTGTTCGCCGTCTCAAATGGAGTGAGGAGACGCTACTGAGGTGACTCCGAACAAAAGCGCGGGTGTATCGCCGGCGAGGGATATGGACATGTAGCCTGGTGGTGATACAAGCCGAAGGAGCACCTCTCGACATACAATATCGCAACCTACGCATGCCAGCGGTCGACATCATTCCTTGACATCCCAGATCTTGATAGTCCTGTCATAAGACGCCGACGCCAGCCGCGTCAAGTCATGCGAGAAGGCCACGGAACTAACATAGTGGCTTTGGTCCTCGAGCGCCTGCAGACATGTGCTCCACCCGTTGCTCAGAGCCAGCCTAATACTGATTGCTTCTGGCTCTTCGTGCTGGAACAGCTGTCTGATCAGACTACCTGTCGGACTAAACATGAGTGTGGGTGCATAGGTCTGAAGAGGGTAACCCTCAATTGCTCCTTTGTGGTACATAATGAATCGCCGTGCGTCTTGAACAAGCTGAGCAAGTCTATCTTGGTCAAGCACCTTCTACTAGCGTTAGTATCTAGATCACACCAGACAGACACGCAAAACTCTAGACAACGTACCTGCACCAATGACCACAGTTTGGTCATTGGTACGACGCCTTTCCCTATGCCCCTGCACAGACTAAGCCCTTCTAGCCAGTAAAGATACTTCTTCCTCAGAAAATCATTGACAACGTCTGCGGCTCGCAGGCCACCAACACTGCTCCCTAAAGACTTGAGCTTCGAATTGTGCAGATGCACGAGTAACTACAATCTTTCTTGCAGTCTCCGCTTCTCTTGTAGCCTAACCTTAGTGCGCATTACGCAAATCCGCGCAACATGCGCACGGACACGTTAGCGTACGATGGCTGGCGATCGCCGTGCTCGATGTCATCAACGACAACGGGACAACCGTCATTGGCTGAAGCTTTATACCCCAAAGTTTATTCATCCTGTCCGGCCTCGGCTGGTCTTCTCTCCTTGACTGTTTGACAGCGTGGTTCCTGTTTCCTTCTTTACACACATACACTCACAATGGCACTCCGCACGCCACTGACGTTTGCTGCAAAGCGTATAACATCGACAGCCCCCACCACGGCCATACTCTCGTCATATAGTTCGCAAAGGAGAAGAGGCAATGCCACAGTCGCCCCAGCGGCAACAGGTGCTGCTGGTAGTAAGGGCCCAACGGCTATTATGTTCATGAACATGGGAGGACCGTCCACAACGGACGAAGTTCATGGCTTCTTGAGCGCGCTATTTGTATGCACGTCGACACGCCAAATCAGGACCACAAACTAACAGACATAGGCCGACAAAGACCTCATCCCACTTGGTCCTCTACAAAATTACATTGGCCCTTACATCGCGCGGAGACGAACGCCGAAGATTCAGAAGCAGTACGCTGAGATTGGTGGCGGATCACCCATCCGAAAATGGTCCGAATACCAAGCATCCGAAATGTGCAAGATCCTCGACAAGACATCTCCCGAGACGGCGCCGCATAAACCTTACGTCGCCTTCCGCTACGCAAACCCACTGACTGAGGATACATACAAGCAGATGCTAGCAGATGGGTTTGGTGGAGGAAATGGTGGCAGAGCCGTCGCATTCACACAGTACCCCCAGTACTCGTGCTCCACAACTGGGTCATCACTCAATGAGTTGTGGAAGTGGCAGACCAGACTAGAAGGCAAGCGAGCAGGCGAAGATGTTGACCCAGAAGGTGCCATCAAATGGAGTGTAATTGACCGATGGCCCGCCCATTCTGGACTTGTCGAGGCTTTTGCGCAGAACATCGAGAAGAAGCTGGCCGAGTACCCACCCGAGCGAAGAGACAATGTCATCCTGCTGTTCTCCGCGCACAGTCTTCCCATGACGGTTGTCAACCGTGGCGACCCCTACCCCGCTGAAGTCGCAGCAACCGTCTACGCTGTCATGCAGCGCCTGCAGATGAAGTACAAGTACCGCCTCGTCTGGCAATCGCAAGTCGGACCACAGCCCTGGCTTGGGGCGCAAACCTCGGACACAGTCAAGAACTTGATGAAGAAGGGTCAGACAGACATGGTGCTCATTCCAATTGCTTTTACGAGCGACCACATCGAGACGTTGTACGAGCTGGACAAGGAAGTAATTGGCGAGGACGCGGAGGGTCACGAAGGTGTGAAGCGCGTGGACAGCCTAAACGACAGCCCAGTCTTCATCCAAGCCCTTGCAGATCTTGCGAAGACGCATCTTGAGAGCGGAGTGGCATGTAGCCCACAGATGAGTCTACGATGCCCGGGGTGCACGAGCGAGAGGTGTTTGGCGCAGAAAGAGTTCTTCGCCGGACAGGCGAAGCACCTGCCTACTATCGGGGCGTGATGCGGGGGAGAAGTAGGGGATGTATATCATGTATATCTAATGTATGCCAGCATAATGAAATGTACACTGAGCTTGGACCCTTGGATGTCGAACTTGACTTGGAACCAATTTCTCCAGCAGTCTTTGCAACCGTTCTATTTGGTGAGATGCAGGGTGAATAGCTGCAGGTTGTGTGTATAATCTCAATTTTAGCAACTTCATTTTCAATCGTCCAACTCATCGCGTACGGCCATGATGGATCAAAATGCATGTTTCTCCAAGCAGAGACAAAAACCAATTCATGCCTAGCGTTTGTTGAACCGTAAGCAGGTGTTGTTGAGCGTTGACAATCACTTGGCGAAGCGGATCCCCGAACTTGCGGGCGGAGCTCAACCTCAAATCTTTGCCAATCGAGCACCGCCTCCACCTCGCCCTCGTCCACGACCCCTCCCACCTGCCCCCTCCCCACCGACATCGCCATGCTGTCCAGGACAATCAGGAGGAGCATTGCCTCGCCCTTCCGGCGCAGTGCCTTCGCCCCCGCTGCTGCGCGACCCGCCTTCAGGACCGTCACCACCGACGCAGCATCGTCGCATACCGATCGGGAGGCTGTCCCAGAGGTAAGAGAGCCGTGCAGCACGCCAATTCCGCGAGGAGCGGCGCCGAACGGATGGCTGACGGCCCGCAGGATGATGACAAGCACTTTGAGGTGCGCCTCTCGGACGAGGCCTTCGAGACATACGAGCTCGACCCGCCGCCCTACACGCTCGATGTCACCAAGAAGGAGCTGAAGAAGATGTACTACGACATGGTGGCCGTACGGTACGATTGTTCCGCCACCCGAGCATAGCTGGGCACTCGCACATTCTGACATGCTTGTCTAGACGCATGGAGATGGCCGCCGACCGGCTCTACAAGGAGAAGAAGATCCGCGGTTTCTGCCATCTGTCCACCGGTCAGGAGGCCGTCGCCATTGGTATCGAACATGCCATTGAGCGTGCTGACCATCTCATCACCGCCTACCGCTGCCACGGCTTCGCCCTTATGCGCGGAGCCTCTGTCAAGTCCATCATCGGTGAACTGCTCGGCAGGAGGGAGGGTATTGCCTACGGAAAGGGAGGTTCCATGCACATGTTTGCGCCTGGTTTCTACGGTGGAAACGGTATCGTCGGTGCCCAGGTCCCCGTCGGCGCCGGTATCGCCTTTGCGTGCCAGTACGAGAACAAGAAGAACGTCACCCTCGCGCTGTACGGAGACGGTGCCTCGAACCAGGGCCAGGTCTTTGAGTCGTACAACATGGCGAAGCTGTGGAACCTGCCCATCATCTTCGGCTGCGAGAGTGCGTCCACCACTACACCAATCATCATAACTCTGCTAATATGAGACAGACAACAAGTACGGTATGGGTACCGCTGCCAACCGCTCCTCTGCCCTCACCGAGTACTACAAGCGCGGCCAGTACATCCCTGGTCTGAAGATCAACGGCATGGACGCCCTCGCCGTCAAGGCCGCTGTCAAGTACGGAAAGGAGTACTGCGCCGCCGGCAAGGGACCCCTCGTCTACGAATTCGTCACCTACCGCTACGGAGGCCACTCCATGTCCGACCCCGGAACCACCTACCGAGTACGCTCCCACCTCCCCCATCCCCCAGCACCCATGCGACAATACTAACCACAACACCAGACCCGTGAGGAAATCCAGCGCATGCGCAGCACCAACGACCCCATCGCCGGCCTCAAGACCAAGCTCCTCGACTGGGGCGTCACCACGGAAGAAGAACTCAAGGGCATCGACAAGCAGGCACGCTCCGACGTCGACGCCGAGGTCGCCATCGCAGAGAAAATGGCCGAGCCAGACGCCACGGCAAAGGTCCTGTACGAGGACATTTACGTCCGTGGCTCCGAGCCAGAGTTCCTCCGCGGACGTATCCCAGAGGAGAACTTTTACTACAATGAGCATGATATGGGTAAGGAGAAGGACGCGGTTGCGCAGACGGCGATTTGAGCGCTGGTTGGCAGTTGTGTGGATGGGAGTGAGGGGGGGAATTCTTGGTGTGTATTGTAATACTAGGGATTTATGGGTGGGTGCTTATTGTGCTGGTATATGGGTGATATGGGATGAGAGGTGGGGTCGTGTATGAGTGAATCTGACCTTTTCCATGTATATGTTGTTGGTTTTGGTGGTGTGTGATGTTAGAGCTGTCCATCCATGCACACAACTGGACTTCGAATCACATCACATCATGTTCAGATGGCAATTTTCACATCTCATCAACGGGTATCAAATGCCTCGTCTCGCCATCTCATTGCATAACCTCTTTACAATGGACGACCTAGCCCTCCCCTCCACTAGCATTCTCATCATCAGAATCCTGATCCCACTTCTGCTGCTGTGTCGTCGTGGCCTTAACCTCACGCACCCTCTTCGTAGCCTCGATACCGCCAGACGTCAGATACAAGAAAGTAGGATCCTTGTAGTTATCAAGGTGCGTGAAGAACGTATTGAACCTATCACTCCACATCAGCATTTCGCCTCCTAAACATCCATCACAGTGAAAGCGAGAAAGGGGGTATACTCACTGATTCCCCATTGCCTCCTCCCTAAAAATCCGCTGATAAATTTCCCTCTCCTTAAACTCCTCAATCAGGCTATCATACTTCTTGAAATCAAGCGGTTCGCGCTCGTGCTGCCTAGCCGCCTTCTCATTATACGAGTCGAAGACGGGACGCTCGAGGAGCAGACCCAGGCCGGGGGCTTTCGGAATGCGAACAACCGTATTCCCGAAGCTCGCACGCAGCATATCAGGATGCGTACCACATCGCACCGTCAGAGCAGCCATACCGACCATTTTGCGAATCTGATGCATCATGAAGCTCTGGCCGTGGACTTTCAGGGACAGCCATTCCGTGTCGTGTATGATGATTGGCTGGGGGGCGATAGTGAAGGATTTGATGTATCGCTGGGCAGATTTATCGCTGAATTTCTTCTGTACGGTGTAGTTGTGGAAGCGCTGGGTTCCGAGGTATTGGTTGAGGGCTGCTTGGACGCGGGATTGGCGGTCCGGGGAGATGCGGTAGGCTTTTTTGGCGTCGATGTAGGCGGTTTTGAGGGCTTTGATTGCTTCTTCTAGTGCGGATTCGTTGACGGTGCCGGGGGGGAGGGGCACGGAGCCGTCGGTTTGGGAGTTGAGGGTTAGGTTGGGGGTGTTTTGCTGGATGGTGGATATTGTGTGTTTTACTTCGTTGGCGGCTTGGTCGATGTCCATTGCTTCGCTGGTGTCGGGGTTGGTGTTCTTGTTCGCGTGGACGTCGTCGAGGGAGGCGTCGATGAGGGGGTCGCCTTCGGGTGCGTCCGTGGCTTCGACGTTGTAGAGGGCTTCTTCTACGAGCGGCTTGATCGAGTCGTCTAGCGAGTCTAGGATGGGCTTGATGTACTTCTCCTCGACCTCAGGCCAGAAGTGGGCTACCTCGGCCTGCCTCTTGCGGTACTCTTCGACGTCGTTTTCTTTTTCGGCGAACTCCTCGAGCTTCTTCCCCAGGTAACTCGACGGGTGTGGCGGGAGGAACGAATGCGTGGGGATCAGGTACTCGTACCATCGCGAGTCGCAGGCCTGGTAGCAGCTGAAGGATCCGATGGTGCGCTGGATCCCCCACACTCTGATCTGGTCTGTGAGGTTGCTGTTGATCTTCTCTACGATGTCGTCGTCCTCAACGATCAACTTCAGCGAGATGACGTTCCCTGCTGCGTGGACGCCCTTATCGGTACGGGCGCAACGGACGAGCGAGGACTTTTTCGGGTCGTCAGCGTTGGCCTTTGATATGGCGCCGGCGGCGACAAAGGCCCTGAACAAGTCGCCCTCAATCGTCTTCTGCTTGTGGTCGATCTGCATGCCCTTGTAGCCCGTGCCCGAGTAGCCGACCATGACTGCGACCTTGCGCTTCGGCCTGCGCTCTTCAGCCTCGACTTCCTCGGCGGGGAAGGCTGCAGGTAGCTCCGGTCGTTCGGTAGCATCCTGATCCTTGTTGCGCGCCTGCTGGGCTTCATTGCGCCCGCGTCTGTCTAGTTGCGCGGTACTTGCTTAGTTAGAGACGCGCTTTGGCGAGGCGGGTGGACACCTACGCATGTTCCGTACGTCCCAGATTCCTTTTCTTGCTCTGATGGCTGCCGTGCTGAAGGCCACGTCCACCTCGACCTCTGCCCCCGCCTCGGCCCCCGCCTCTGCCTCTGCCGTCGCGCCCTCGGTCTTCCCATTTGCGCTTCCTGTCGTGATCCGACGAGTCGTTGTCGCCGCGCGAGGCCTTGTTGTCAGCCATTGGCGGAGCGGAAGGCTTCTCGGCAGCTTGGTCCATTGTGTAGGGCTGGCGAGCATAGGTGTGGTCAAGGTGATTGGGGAGGGAGCTGCAAGGGAAATTGTGGGGTGGAAGCTTGAGCGACTTTTTTGTGAACGTCAAGCTTGGCGCGGCAGTACCGAAGGCGTTGATGACCACTCACATGAATAACGATTACAAACACTATTGTCCTCAAATCTACCATAGAATCTAGCAATGGTGGCTATATACAATTTGAGGCGTGAGTCAATCTGTAGTTATATAGACGAGCAGTTGTGATGTTGCACGCTGTGCTGAAGTCTTCCATTCGGTGCTCGTTCTTCCTCGGACCCTCACCGCCCGCGCGACCGCCTTGCAGCCTACAGTGCTTCGTACGGGCTTTCTTTTCCTCACTCTCACTGCCACGTCAACTCACTTGCGGGCAGCCTTAGTACAACGGGTAGAGAGGTGTTCGAGTACGCCCACGTAATTGTAGTCCTTAATTCTGAGCGTTCGACCTCAAACCCGTGCCGGCGCACCGTTCGCAGCAGACAAAGGCTGTGGCTGCCTTCGTTGGCCGACCCAGTCTTCCCAACCCCTTGTAATCGCTCTCCACCACCACCATGAGGGATCCGGTAGATTCCTCGAAAGAGCTCGTCCGGCTGGTGGTGCGCATGTTCTACGAGACCGAGCACATGGTAGTCATCGACGCGCTCTGCTACCACGGCGCGTTGACCATCCAGGATTTTGTCCAGATCCTCGACGCAGGCAAGAACTCAAAGGCTGTAGGGAAGATTGTTGGAAGGCTCAAGGAGGCAGGCCTGTGCATGGTGTAAGTCGTCTGGTGGACCTGTTTGTCCAGCGCTGACAGGCCCAGTTACAACCAGCAGATAAAACGTGAGGGCGCGACCAAGCAGACCAGCAAAGAATACTACTACATCGACTGGCGTCACGCTATTGACTCCTGTAAATACAAGATCCACAAGATCCACGAACGTGTGAATAAAGACGCGAAGCCCACGACCGAGAAGGCTGAGTTCAAATGCCCCCGGTGCAGATCTGAATTCACTATGATGGACGTAATCGACAGGCCTGATCCCGAGGGGAGGGCAAGCGGCTTTTTATGCGCGAGATGCAACTACCCGCTCGATGAGATAGACGAGGGCGGTCAAGCCGACGACGCAAACGACGATACACCAGCCAAATTCAACAAAATGTTCCACCCACTAATCACACTCATGGGCGAGATTGATCAGCTTCAGATTCCCGCAGTAGAAGGGAAGGATGCCGTCAACGAGCTTATAGAGCTTCCGCGCGACAAGACCATCGACCCGGGTACCAAGCACGAAGTCATCGAGGATGTGGTTTCGAGGCCCACAGCCGTCAAGGGAATGGTCACCGGGCCAGAGAAGATCAGTATTCAAATTGGATCCAGCGCCGAAGTCAACGAGAAGCAACGCGCTGCAGACAAAGCCCGTCAGGAGAAGATCGCCATGCAGAACCAGCTCCCGTCATGGCATACAAAATCCACTGTCGTCAAGGAGGCCAACGGAGGGAGTGCCGCGGCCATCAAACAGGAGAGCAACGGTACAGATTCGCCAACCGTCAAAACAGAGCCCGGCGATGCAAAGCCCGCGACCCAGGACCTGGACGGTATCTTCGCGCAGATCGAAGCCGAGCGCCGCAAGAAAGAGATGGAGGAGGAAGAAGACGAGGAAGACGATGACGACGACGAATTTGAGGATGTGGCCGTCGGGATGCCCAGTGCCCTCCCAGATGCTAAACGCGTGAAGCTCGAGCTACCCATTATTTCTACGCCATCCGCGGCTGCGACGCCCTCTGCGGCTGTGACTCCGGCTGTGTCTACGGGAGATGGAGGGGACGAGAGCGAAGAGGACGAGTTTGAGGACGTCAATTGATTTCTTTTGCATAGCGCTGGCGTTGGGATAGAAAAGGCGTTTTATACCTGGCGCTTCACGCATACTGGGTAAGGTTTTAACTGGAAAAAATTACACGCGCAGCAGTGAGAGGGAACTCAATGGTACCGTTGGTACATGGCATGAAGCGGTATATATGCTTCGATTAAAACATGAAATAGGGATAATCTGTGGTAGATCGCTTGACGTAGACTATTTGTAAACTAGACTTGGATTTTTCTTCGTATCAGTTATGTTCTCGAAATAAACACAATAAGCGGATCAGCTATTTCCAACATGCTTCGCGACAGTCGTACTCTAACAGATCTACAAAAGATAGTCCAGGGCCCTGTGGCTTATGCAGCTTAGGCGAACATCCACCTCATCATCCCCGCGCGCTGCACTTCGAGCCTCCGCACCCCCGCCAACGCCCACCACTCCCTACCGACCACCTCACCACCTCTGTCAATGGATGCGAGATAAAACACACACCCAACATGGCCGCCTCGACAAAATCCCTCGCCTCGCTCCTCGCCCAGACGTCCCTCGAAGACCACGATGAAATCTTGAAGGCGGCCAATGCTGCCACCAAAAAGTCCAAGACGGACCTAGACGCACAGCATGCAAAGGCCGTCGCGTTATTAAATCTGGACCGGTACGAGGACGCATTGAAGGTGTTCGACGACGCCACAGGACTGCAGGAGAGGGCGCAATTCGAACACGCCTATGCGCTGTACAAGACGGGCAATGCGACAAAGGCCGCCGAGATTGCTGCGCAGGCGGCGCCGGATGCGGGGCGTGGCATGAAGCACATGCTCGCCCAGGCTGTACGTATACGTGTACTGCTGTAGCGCGTAGCTGACGGAGGCAGGCCTACCGCTCGGAGAACTTCGCACAAGCCGCAAAGGTCTACAAGGAGCTGGCGAGCCACTCGGTCGAGAGCGAGGAGTACGACATCCGCATCAACTCTGGCGCTGTCGATGCGCAGTTGGAGTGGACGGGACAGGGCGAGCTGGCGCAGAAGAAGAAGCCCACCCGCGAGGATCTCGAGGTCTTTGAGACGGCCTTCAATGCGGCCTGTGGAAGCATCGCGCGTGGCGAGCTGGGACAGGGCGAGGTTTGCCTGAAGAGGGCCAAGGATCTGTGCAATGCGCTTTCGGATCTCAGCGAGGCTGAGAAGCAGGCCGAACTACTGCCCATCACTGTGCAGCAGATCTACGTCTTGACGCAGGTGGGCAAGATTGACGAGGCCGAACAGCTGGCCACTTCCCTCCCTTTCGCCGAGTAAGGCTGTCACTTAATACTGTGACTTGGACATAACTGACAGCAACAGCATCAAAGAACTCTCGACCCGATACATCGCCCAGGTGAACAGCATCGCCGCCTCGAAGGAGCACTCGAACCCATACCTATCGCACCGCCTCTTCCACTCCTCGCCGAAGCCCCCAGTGACTGACCAACATTTCTCGTTCCAATCCAACATCCTGCTCCAGGACGAATATGTCATCTCGTTGCTCTCGCAGAAGACATCCGGCGTCGCATCCTCGACTGCGAAAGTCATCTCCGCAACCCCAGCCCCTACACTCCTCCCAGCAGTCAACATGGCAGCGGTACTGAACGCAGCAGCCCACGCGCGCAACGCCGACACCGAGAAAGCCGCGCTCAAAGAGATCGTGCCCCTCCTAGAGAAGCGACCAACCGACGTGGGCCTCCTCCTCACCATCACGCACCTCTACGTAATCACAAACAACTACGCAGCAGCCACCCACCTCCTAGAATCCTTCTTCAAGCGCCTCTCCGAAAGCAACTCAGCATCCGACCTCGACGTGCGCTTCGCCCCAGGCCTAATCGCCGCCCTCGTCTCCCTCTACGCCCAACAAGGCCGCCCCGGCGCCGCAAAATCCGAGCTAGCAAAAGCCGCAGAGTACTGGCGAAAACCGCACAAATCAAAAACAGAAGCCCCCTCAAAAGCTCTCATGGTCGCTGCCGGCACGGCCCTCCTCGACACACACAGTCCCGCCAACGTCAACGCCGCAGGCGAAATCTTCAAGAGCCTGTATGATCAGGATAATGAGGATAGAGCGGCCATCGCCGGCCTCGTCGCTGCTTACAGCATCACGGACCCAACTTCCATCCCCGCAGATCTGCTCGCCTACCTCCCCGAAGCAGACCGCCTCATCTCTGACGTCGACGCCGCAGCCCTCGAAAACGCCGGCGTGCCCCTCGGCTCCCTGACCACGACGAGCGTCGCGGCCGAGGCGCGCAAACGTGGTGTCGCGCCTACGAATGCGGTTGCGCCCCGCGCGAAGCGTCTGCGTAAGACGCGCATCCCCAAGGAGTTCGTCGAGGGCAAGAAAATGGATGCAGAGCGCTGGCTGCCCATGCGCGATCGCAGTTACTACCGTCCGAAGGGGAGGAAGGGGAAGAAGAGGGCGGAGGGGTTGACGCAGGGGGGTGTTGTTAGTGAGGAGAAGGCGCCGGGTGGGCAGCAGAAGGCGGGCGTGGAGAAGGGGAAGGGGAAGAAGAAGGGGAAGGGGGGGAAGTGGTAGATAGATGACGTGAGTCGATTGCGAATGCAGAACTTGGGTGGGAAATGCATGTTGTTCTTTTTTCACTGTGAGCTGAGTGTATCGACCACATCATATCACAAGAGAGTAAAGTCGAAGAGAGTAGTAGAAAGTAAAAAGGTAAAATGTAGACACATAAGTTTTCATCCATCCATCCATCCATCCATCCCACATCATGTCGCAACGACATCAAAAACGCCAATAGCACATACACACACCCCCGACCCCCAATCCAAGCCCAAATCACACGACCCCCCAACCCACCACATCTCCCCCTCCCACCCCCAGCCTTCTTTACCCACACCCTCACTTCCTTGAACTCGCCATCTCGCCATACCGCCCCCGCTCCTGCGTCGTATCATACGCCTGCAGCACCCTCGCCTGCGACTCATCCGTCTGCGAGAAAGCATATCCGCGCTGTTTGCGCATACGCTGCACCTGGCGCACTTTGCGGATTGCTTTTTGGAACTGCTCCATCCTGTATCCCATCATCAGCCCATATACATGTTGTACGGAAAGGTGCGGAAAGGTGCGGAAAGGGGAAAGAAGGAGATGTACATACCGCGGTCGATAGTCCTGAATATTGTATTTTTGTATCTCTTGTACGTGGTGGTATGACTGCGGGAAGTACATGCGCTTACAGTACTTCCAGGCAAAGTCGCGTATCAGACACAGGGGCGGGAGCACAATGACCATAGCCCAGAAACGCGGGTCGGGGAAGAGACGCTCGATGACGCCGACGTACTCTGTGCTGATGCCCGCCATGGGCGCGACGTACGCGTACAGCGGCATGAGGATGAACCAGAGGAGGAACGAGCCGGGGATAGCGAGGAAAGTGTATTTGGTCCAGATATTTGTGATGAGTGAAGCTTTGAGGAGGACGGTAGCGAGATTCGCGGTATACGATGCAGTGCCCCAGACCCAGTGTCCTGCATTCAGACCATCCCATTGCGGCCAGTCCCAGAGTATGAAGGCTTGCGAGCCGAAGTACAGAATCAGCGAGTGGTAGAAGCCGTTTGCGACCCAGGACCAGAAGGAGTGCATTTTGAAGAAGACGCCCGACTGGCTGAGGCGGTAGAGTTGCGGGTAACGGTCGAGGAGACGCGCGCTGACGAACTGGTCGAAGATGCCCATTACGAAGGGGGGCGCGGCGGTGAAGAAGACGTTGTAGAAGGTTAGGGTCCAGGATTCGTAGATGATTTGCCCCGAAAAGGCGTTTTGGAACGCGTACCAGAACTGTGTCATGAACATGGCGATGTTCTTGTAGAAGGAGTAGAGGATCACTTTGCTGACGCGTTGGTAGCTCCACGCTCCGTGGACGAGGAGGAGTTTGCGCAGGTACCGGAATTGGCCGATGGATATGTCGGCGCTGCGGGCTGCTTGGAGGCCTTCGACGCCGCTGATGCCGACGCCGACGTGGGCGGCTTGGATCATGGAGACGTCGTTTGCGCCGTCGCCGATGGCGAGGAGGATGGCTTTGAGATGGCGTTTGACGAGCTTGACGACGAGGGCTTTTTGTAGCGGGGAGACGCGGCAGCAGATGACGGCTTTGCACTTGATAGCCAGATCTAAGAACTCCTTTTCAAGGTCTCGCTCGAGCGCGTAGGTGAGAGACTTTCCGTCGATGACGAGAGCGAGGACGTCCATTTCGGCTCCACCTGCACCTTGGTTTGCGATGGCTTGAGCCTTCTTCCGGATATTGTCTCTCGTTGACTCCTTGTCTTCTTCGTTGACGATCAGGAGACTCATATCCTCGCTGATCAGTTTGCAACTCATGCCAATGTTGATGGCAGTCTCCTGACGATCTCCAGTCAAGACCCAGATCTTGATGCCAGCAGACTGCAGTGTGGCGATAGTATCCGGTACACCATCCTGCAATTTATCCTCAATGGCGGTCGCTCCAAGCAGAGTGAGATCGTGCTCGATGAGTTCAGCAGCCTTGTCCAGTTCCTCGGCACGGTTCCCGCTGACGGTTGTTTGCGCCGTGTTGAACACCTTCCACCACTGCTGAAACTCATCTTCAGTAACCTCGCGCATAGCAAGACAGAGCGTGCGGAGACCCTCAGCAGCATATTCTTCCAGATGCGTCAAAGTCGTCTCCGTGTATGGATTGTCTTTGGAAAGTCGCTCCAGAATGACTGTGTCAGCACCCTTGCAGTAGAGGACGAGCTTGCCCTCTGGTGTGCGGAAGATGGTAGACATTCGCTTTCTTGTCGAATTGAATTCGCATACAGCAAGGAGCTCGTACTCCCGTCGCTGGCCCTCCACCTCAATGATGACAGCTCGCGGTTTTCGTGCAACAAACTTGTACCCTAACTGCACGGCTCCTTCGACTAGCGCGCCTTCGTCAGGAGAAGCAGCTTGGTACTTGATCGCATCCTTTTCGCCGCCTCTCTCAGGAATAACCGTGTGACATGTCGACAGCAGCGTAAGGAAATGGTTGATGATGTAACTGTTCCTATGGCTTTGACGATGTTGTTCGAGCTGCTTGAAATCGTGGATGCCAACCTCGAGTCCATCTTCCATGGTCGCTCTTCGGTCTTCAGGGATCTCATCGGCGTACTGGATACCTGCAATCGACGACTGCTTGAACTCCATCATATTGCATGTCAAGGTACCCGTCTTGTCCGAAAAGATGTACTCGATCTGACCCAGCTCTTCCACCAACGACGAAGTCCGACAATTCGCAGGAGTATCTGTAGGTTCGTAATAGATATCCAAATCAGAGTCAATCAGAGTGCCCAGATAGTACTTGACAAGCTCGATCGTGACAAACAACGAAATGGGCACCAAATTCGAGTACAGAACCCAGTACGTCAGAAGATCAAGGAAGAACTGCTGGGCGCCATTGAAAGTGCCCAACACAAGATAGCCCAGACTGCCGCCCCGAGACGATCGAATGATAACGTCGCCGATGGAACTGATAATACTAAGACAGATCAAAATCGCGACAAGCATGAGGATCTGCTTGTTGACCATTCTTTCCACCGCAGTTGTCTTGATCGGCGTAGCGGTTGCGTTTCTCATCAACTTCGTCTCGTGTCCTGTAAAGACGACGGCGCCGTGGATCCAAGGGGTATTTCGGAGAACAGCACCACGCAGAAGTAGTTGATCTGGTTGTAAAGGCAGCTCTTTCTCTCCTCCTCCAGTGGCCATGGTCAACGTCGCCTCATACGTGTACAGGCTGCTGTTGGGCTGTTCAGACCGAATCTTCCCACCGAGTCTGCCCAACTCGGCTGCACTGACAAAATCCGCCGTCTCAGGAATAGCCTGCTTAATCTTTAAGTTCGTCTCTCCGTCCAGATTCGCCGTTTCGATATAGCACAGACCCTCAGGTTCGGACGAAGCGAGGAGTACTAGATCAGCGGGGAAAGGCTGCTCCGACTCGACTCGAATTATATCTCCAACCGCAACATTGATCCATTTCGCGTCCTCAAACGCCGTTCCCTTCAGAATCTGCGCCTTGGAGCTGTTCAGCTGTGCGTCCGACTGCCGCCGCCGATAGTCTTCGATATATTCCTTGACAGCCGACACGAGCAGGACGATCATAAGCGGCACGATAGTCGTGTATCGCGAAGTTGGTGAGACATTGGGTATTTGTTGCAAAGCAGCTGTAAACAAGAAGAACAAATTCGCGTACTTTGAAAACTGTTCGTACAAGAATTTTGGGAAAAAAGTAAAGACATTGTATTTTGTGGTGGAAATGTGATTGTCGACGTATTTCTGCTCCAGGTTCGCGGCGGGGTTGTTCAGCTGGATCATCCTGGGTCCCAATGTCGACGGGTCCGGTGCTCCTCGTCCAAATCCAAACTTGAATTTTCCTGGTGTGCGCTTTTTCGTCTTGGTAGACTGGCCATCGTCGTAGGCGCTTGGGGGTGGCTGGTTGTTGTGCGCCGCATGCTCCGTCAACGGCAGGTCCATCTCGGAATAGTCCGAGCCTCGTCCAAACATGCTCTTGACCCGGCCGGTGAGACCCCCTCCCAGCGTCAGAACGCTATTCCTGTTGTGGCTGTTCTTGGAGTTTCCACGACGTACGTCTGGCGACGGTGGCTCGTAGGCACCTCCAGTGGCATAGTAGCCTTGCGCCGAGCGATCATCGTCGATGGGTATATCTGCGTCTGAGTATCTCTGGTAGTTGTTCAGGTCCGACGTCTGTGAATGCGCCCTGTTCCCCTGCAGATACGGCGATGCGCCCAGAGACGCGCCAGGCGCTCCGGGGAGGCCCGCCGTCGACCTTCCCCCTCCCACGAACTCGTCATACGACACCGAGGGCCGTCCCTGCGGCGCCGTGTCCGTATTGTCTATGTCATAGTGGTCGAGCAGGTCGTCGTCGTTTACGGGTGCGCGCGCGCCGGAGTAATATGTGGGCTGTTGGTCGTCGAAGTCGATCAAGTTATCGTGAGACGGCGGTCCACCTGGAGGCCGACCGGCCATAGCGGCCAGACGTATTTACGGGCGCTTCTCTCCACGCAGCGGTGCTGCTGTGCCTGCTCATGCAAAAATCCCCGGCGAAACTGTCTCTTTCCCCCAACTAATCGTTGCTGATGTGGGCGTATATGGGGTCTTGCGAGCTGCGTAAGCTGTTCTTGGAATAGTAACACAGCTTGGCTGACGCCTTGAAATGGACAAGTGTGCGCTGGAGCTCCCTTTCTCGCGGGGTGAGGGCGAGGTAAGTGAGAGTTCAATGGCTCGAGATTTCAAGACACATGTCTGCGGCTGTCCTGTAGACTTTGGCTGGCTGAACGAAGAGGAGGCCTGGGCACGGACGCGAAGTTGGAGGCAGTGCACCCTGGTCAAACGTGCAGCAAGCGCGACCCTGGCCCGCATTGTCACCGCAAACGAGTCCCCTCCAGCTCAGTCCTTTTGAACAGTCGTTCACCTCATCCAAGCATTCGAGTTTAACCCAGTCGCGTCATGGACACTTGAAGGACTCTATTCAGATACGATTGTTCTCTTTGTCTCCCAACGCCACGCTGCAAGACGAAGCTGGGGGCTGAAGCATTCGACATTGGCACTAAGCCCTGTCTACGCCTTACGAAGCTGATCACCGTTTTTGAAACCTGTCATGTCATCCTGCGATCCCACCCAACCACCCCAACAGCACCTTTCTCCGTCATACCACCGAAGAACACCATCTTATAATATCTAGACATATACACAGGCATTCCTCAGTCTTCAATCTGTCTGTTTCTGCGAATTTCAGATACAAATCAGCCTCAGAGCTGAATGTGAATGCATACGATACTACCGCAATGCGGCGTAGCTTTTAGTATCTAGACACCATGTGAGCTGGTTGTTAAGATGCCAATCTAGCTATGAATTATACACTATTATTGTACGCTACTGCAAGGTTGCAGAGAAAGGCGGAGTAGTGTGGCGGTCTTAAAATAGCTTCTCGAGCAGCAAACGCCTTGTAACCGCATCTTCATGTCAGCATCTGCCCGCTGTGAAGCTTACGCGGATGTTGATCGCAATTGCTCCCCACATTAAATAGAAGCAGAGATTGGATATTTGAGAGAACAGATCAGTGTGTGATTATGGGAGTCGTAATTGTGATTGTATATATGAACATCTTTACGGAATAATGGCCGATAGCCAATCTCAACGCACGTGGAAGCAGATATCGCATCCATCACTCTTAGTCAGATTCACTTTAGCATTGTGTAAACAGCTGCCAAAACGTGCAGATTTTGTGTAAATTTCGTGAAGATTTCAAGGAGTACGAGCCTCCATCATTGAGTATCCTACAGGTACAAGTACATTCAGAATACTGAGGGGTCATTTGCAACCTCCTGCCATATCCGCCGTTTCCGACGATGCCAGTTACGACTTGTTCGTAACGACACCGACTGCCTTCTCGTTCGAATGGGCGGGTCCTCAGGGACGATTGGAACCGGGACCGGCGCATCACTTCCACCCTTCCGACTCAACTTCAACGACAACAGGATAAACACACCAGCAATGAGAATAGCAAGCAGCAGCATGATCTTCCTCTTGACAGACTTTTGCTGGTAACCGGACGCTACCTTGAGCTCTTTGTCTGCCTCCTTGACGTCTCGCGACATGTTCTCTACATTGTAGTCTATGCGGTCTAGCATGCTGCCCTGGTCGATGACCATGGTTTGTAGCTCCTGAAAGATGTTTGCGAGCTCTATGATGCCTTGGGCGATGTCTTCGATCTCGCGCTCGCGCTGGGCGATGAGGGCTTCGTTGGGGTCGTGGCGCATTCGCTGTTGTTTTGTCTGGAGGAGGGTCGATTGCGAGTAGGAACGGTCGGCGTCGGATTCTTGCATGGCAGGGTCGTTGTAGGGGTTCTGAACAGGCGTTGCAGTGCGGAAGGGCGAGGCGAAACCACCGAGGTCGCGGAGTTCTTCAGCATGTTAGTTGAGATTTTCTAGTTGGATGGCATGTGTGTTGCTCACTCTTCAAGTATGCAGACTGCTTCTTGCGGAACATTGCGCTCACTTCACCGACGCGTGTGGCCAGTGAGATCTTGAGGTTCTGCGCCATGACTTCCTCGCCCTGGTTGATGTTGCCCTGCTGCTTTGCTTCGCGCACCATCATTTCTATCCGCTTGATGGCCTGCTGGCACTTCTGGAAGCTCCTTGTAATGGCCTGCGTGAGCTGCTCGATCTCGCGCTCCTCCCGCTTCTTCACGTCTTCGTCGTCGAAGCCAGGCAGCACGTGCTTCTGGTGCAGGTGGTCGAGCTTGCGCGTCTGCTTTGCAATGTCTGCGAGGTGCTCGGTGATCTCGTCCTGCACGTCTAGCCATCGCGGAGGCAGCAGGTCCATCTCTATCACCGCATCGCCATCCTCGTCGTATGCACCGCCAGACATGAGTCCCTGGCGCTCCTCGGACATGCGTCTGCCATCGCCAAAGCCATTGGAGGCTGGTCCACCATAGCGCGTCTTCTTGGGAGGGTGATGCGAGTAGGACTGGCGGTAGGAAATGAAGCTACAGGCTACGTCAGCGAGGACACGGCTCAGTCGTCGGACGCAGGCGCAGCATACAGGTTCGTTCGGTCCCGCCACATGTTGGGCTGGCGAGAGTCGAGGCGGCTATGTCATGGTAGAAGCAGAGCTTCAGCGCGCGTGCAGTGGAGCGCTGGCGTGCCGAGTGATGAATGGATGGGTGGGCTGGCACCGTTTGTTTCAGCCGCACGCTCCGAATGTCAGGAGCGTCTTGCCCTTGGTCTGTGTCCGCTTTCCCGGTGCTAGGCGCCCCGCTAAGCAAATGGCTGGCGGTGCAGCTCGACCACTCCTCCAGCCGCAATCGCTCGACAACTTCCTCCACACCGCACTGCTCCGCTATACATCGCCAGCTGCCCGCACACTTCCCTCGACACCCTCCCGACCACACCCCGCCTTTCACCCCTTCACCAGCGAATACTCCCCACAGCAAACATGGTGCGTCTGCCCCGCGCTGCCCATGCCTCCTGTCGATACCCCGCCTTGCAAAACATCGCGGCTGCCCGCCTCCACACCACTGCGCAGAGCTGACCCCAAGTCGCAGGCTGATTCTCTCACCGAGGAGCAAGTCTCCGAGTTCAAGGAGGCCTTTTCCCTGTTTGTGAGTCGTCCCTTCCATTGCCTGTGCTTGTACACCACCGCCTGTGCTGCACGGCTGCCTGGCGGCCTGGATGCATCTGCTCGGCCCCAAGATGCACTGCTGACACTACTCCTGCAACTAGGACAAGGATGGCGATGGTTAGTGCCCTCCCTCGACACGCTCACTCTCGCGACACCCATCCCTGGAGCAAACCACTCCTGCCCTTATCTATGGTGTTTGTCGTAGCCAGACAGCACCACGCCAATCACGTCATCATGTCAACCACGACCAAAGTATCGCTGACATTGTCGTCCCACAGGTCAGATCACCACCAAGGAACTGGGCACCGTGATGCGCTCCCTGGGCCAGAACCCCAGCGAGTCTGAGCTGCAGGACATGATCAACGAGGTCGACGCCGACAACAACGGCACCATCGACTTCCCAGAATTCCTCACCATGATGGCCCGCAAGATGAAGGACACCGACTCCGAGGAGGAGATCCGGGAAGCGTTCAAGGTCTTTGACCGCGATAACAACGGCTTCATTTCCGCCGCCGAGCTGCGCCACGTAATGACCTCCATCGGCGAGAAGCTGACCGACGACGAGGTCGACGAGATGATCCGGGAGGCTGACCAGGACGGCGATGGCCGAATTGACTGTAAGATGATCTCATCACATCCCCGTCTATATATACTAATACGCTACAGACAACGAGTTCGTCCAGCTCATGATGCAGAAATAAGCGTTTGAGGGTTTGCGTTCTTGGATGATTATGGCTATCATGACGGTGACGACAGTTGAGAAGTGACTACGAGTACACGGAGCGGGGGTTTTCTTCTTGAAGAACCGGTTCGATTGCTTGCAACCTTGCCTATGTCTCTGGGAGACTGGTCTATATCCTCAATCCATCTCTCCTGTGTCTTTGAACCATGTTTCTCTAAAGTGCTCAAACTAAAACTGTGCCACCTCCACAACCGTTTCCAAGCTTGACTTTCTCGCAACGCATGCAGGGCCCCACACAAGCTTTTTAGCTTGACGGGTGAGTGGGACCAGCCTTGCCCATCTATCCATCCATCCATCCATCACTTCACGTGTCATGTCATCATTCACTCTAGCAAAATGATGTAGTGTACTCAATCAGAAATGACCATTATTGTTATTCTCGCCGTCCATGTTAATACACACACGGTTGATCTGCACTTCCAACGCCACGCCATGCCGATATACCATACTATACAATACGCCAGCCCCAGCCCACCCATCCCATCCCATCTCAACACACAACCAAGCCCCCCTCACATTCCCCAGGGACGACCCGCCATCCAAGGAGCGTACACAAAGCGCGCATCCCGGCCCGCTACAAAGTGCCCATAAGCCATCGATCCGTTCTACCGATTGACAGCGGTAAAGGCCCCGGCATCGACCATATCCGTGTCGCCGTTCAGCGGCGCGGATTCCTGCGGTAGCGGGGGGTGCTGGGCGCCCGAGTAAGCGCGGCGCCGCCCCGCAGCATCGACGTCGTGGTCTGCAGGCGTGGGCCGCTGCTCGTCGTACGCGGGGTCGAAGTATGTGGACGGGCGTTGTTGCTGTTGTTGCTGGATGGGGGTGATAGCGTGGAGGGGCGGGAGCACAGTTGGGGTTTGTTGTTGCTGTTGCTGTTGTTGTGATTGTTGAGATTGTTGCTGCTGAACGTGTGCGCCGTTCACATTCACGGCATGCGGACTCCCCGCCGCGGCCAGGGTGCTGAAAAACGGATTCGTCGGCTGGCGGCCCGGGTCCGGCGTGCTCTGCGCACTGCTCATGTGGTGCAGCGGGCCTGCGCCGCCGAACGCGAGGTGCTGTGCTGCGCCGTCGGCGCCGACGGGCGGCGTGCCCTTGCGGTGGCTGCGCTTGCTGCGCAGGGGCTTGTCTGTGGGCGTCGGCGGCGGGGAGCTGCTGCGGTCCGAGTCGTCCATGTTGTACTCCTGGTGCTTTTGCAGCTGCTCGAGCAGGAAGGCGCGCTCGAGGCGCATCTTCTGGATGCCGCGGTTTAGGCGGGTGATGCGCTGCCGCGTGCCGTCGTTGTTCTCTTCAATGTCCGTGATGCGGCGGCGGAGCTCGATGCATTTCCGGTAGTAGGCTGCTTCGACCGAGGGCGGGAGATCCTTTTGCGAGAAGGCTCGCGCTGGGACTGGATATGGGGTTAGCGAGGTTGGGTGGGAGTGGTGACGGTGCTGTCGTGGGTATGAGGGACGCGTTTTCTCTCGCTTTTTTGCCTGTTACACGCGCTGGTGTTGGGTAAGTGGTGGAGCATCACCACGGTAAGCAGCTGGTGAGCTTCTTCGAGCGCGCAGTTGAATGAATAGCGATGCGCGCGGTGCTGGGAAAGAACCACGTACCTTGTTTCTGCATATTTCCAGAATGTGGCCAGTCCGTAGGCGTGGTTTCGATGTAGGATAGCAGTTATTCCAAGGGAGATGTTGACTGACGTAGTTAAGACGGTATGGGGTTTGTCTAGGAGAGGAGCGACCGAGCGGTGATGTTGGAGCCCAGACGCTGTACGACCGAGGATATGCCGAGCAGCCTCAAAAGTGGCGTCGATCCTCAGTTGCCCTCGTCATTCCTACGTAAATTTATTCAATCTTGCCTGGCTTCTATATCCTTCTGTTGTGTTCAACTCTATGGTTTACATTAATTGCTGTCTAGCAAATCTCGAAATATCATTTCAAACTTTCCTATCACTGCTTCCAGATACTGTGTGTTTTACGTCATTCAGGGTAAGCGGGTTAGATAGTACCTATTACAATTAGGTTTACATTCTTTCCACAAGAAATTTGTTTTTCAATTTGGAAATCAGTTCGCAAAATCACAGCCTTCGAAATGATAACGCACTAACGTTCCTCTATCTGCAGTTTTGACAACGTATTCTCTCGTCAATCCCTCTCAGACAATCTCTTCACCAGAGCCGTCTGTGTCTTCAGATCCCATACTTTTGCCATCATTGTGTTCAAGCGACTTATAACATTCACCTCTGTCAACCCCTGATGTACCAACAACATCTCCCTGGATCTCTTTGTCTCCTAAGCAACTTATTTCTCACTCCGCTCGTCAATTAGTTGCAAGTACCAAACACAGCTTCAGGGTATTGGGAAGGTTGAATATATTGGCAAAACCAGAGCCGTTACCTATCAAAGAATTCGACTGAACTGTGGAAGAAAAGACACTGCTAAATCAGATCACGTCACATCCTATCACATCTAGAATACATCTAAGCCAATAAACAATCAAGCGCGCTAGCAAACTCACAATACTAGGCCTGTTGGCTATGTGTGTCCGAGGGCGTCATGAGGTATGGGTTTGTAAAAAAAAAAAAGAGCATCATGATTTAAATATTTGATTAGTGATAGCCATCTCGTAAGACATAGGTTATGGTCGTGTTGACGCCAGAGAAAGGAACCCAACCGCCTCATATCTTCGTACCTTGGCCCAGTCAAGCAAGCATTGAATCCCCGTTTACGAGAATCCATCTCGACGTACGCTGAAGCTCGGAATTAGACAGACGAGTAAACACTAATCCACCCCCACCAACCTGGAGACAGTTCAGCGGATTCTCAATCCCGTTCATCCAATGCAACGCGCCTAGTGACCTCCCGAAGTTGGCAGCTGAGGAACGATTAGCTCATCTGCACAAAACGCAAGATCAGACATGAAACTTACACCCAGAGAGACCTTGAACGAGTCGTAAATCAGCCACTGGAACGCCGTCAACGTGCCAATCATAAAGATCCTCGTCGGCAGCCCATTCCACAGCCCCGCAAACCCAATCTTGCCGTAGATCCTGGTGAGCGCCTGGCCCGCGCCCTCACCCGCCTTTCGATCGCTGTTGAGTTTCGAAACCATGACATCTGCGAACATATCAGCGCCCCATTCCGCTTCACACGCACATTACACGACCCCGTAGGGAAAAAGGGGGGGTAAGGTTCCAACATACCGGCCGGATGGCTCACAACCGCACACCCAATACCCGCAATATACCCCCCCAAGAACGACACGCCCGTCTGCTGCAGCCCATTGAGCTGATCCTTCGGCTTGCCGATAAACTTATAGATCTGGTTAACCGTCTCCTCGAACGTGGCGAACTTGACCATGGTGTACGGGATCTGCCGCGCCCACAGCGGATACAAGCCCTTGTACAGCCCGCCCACGCCCTCCTGCGCAACAACCTTGCCCCAGCCCTCGCGTAGCGTCTGCGCAAACGGCGGCACGCTGGTCTGCATGCGCACCTTGATGGCCTCGAGGGGGCATAGGGCGAGGTCGGCGAGGAACTCTGCTGAGGCTGATGCCGCGAGGTAGACGATTTGCTTGGGCGCGCCGGGCGCAAGCTGCTCGCCGTACCAGTACTTGAAGATCTCGTAGAAGCCGTATTTGCCTGCGCCTTGCAGCGAGTAGCCGACGAAGGTGGGCGACCAGCCGAAGAAGACGCCGCGGATCCCTTCTTTGGCGTAGATTGATTTCCAGGCTGAGGTGTTGGATTTGTAGAGGCTGCTGTCGACTTGGCGCCGGCATTTTACCTGGTGGGCGTGTGTTAGTCAGGTGTTTCGTTTTGAATGAGGGGATTCGTAGGCTCGACTTCTTCTCTTCTGCGTTTGGTGTGTCTAGGACTCAAAACTCACCAAATCAAGCGGCGTAACCATTGTATGCGTAGGTCCACACGCAATTATTCCTCCTAATGTGCATGCTGCGAAATAGTTCCCCGAGTAGAGCTCGATCTTGTTCTGTGGCTTTAACGAGGCCATGATGCTTCAATTGCTTTTCTAGCAATCTTCTGAGTCCTGTCCAAGTATCGCGTGCTGCCGGGTCGCGGGGCCGTTAGAAAGAGAAACAGGGTATCAACGGAACGCGCTGGGTAGGGAGAACGAGAACAGGAGAACAGGAAAAAGATAAGTCTTGGAAGATAGGTATTTATTAAGTTTCCACGCGTCTGGCAGTTGGTAGTGGAGCTCGTCCGCAGTATCCGTGATTATGACGTCGCATAGCTGCTGCTACGCTAAGAGGCTTGATCGAGCTTATCAAGTTTAGTTACCAACCTTCGGCCCGGCGGGCTCTTGTGCAACTCCGAGTCTGATATTGAAGCCAGGAATATATTGCTCCAAGAGTCGTGATGTTCAAGGTGCAAGGACAATCACAACTTCGAGTTCTACCGTAATCGTCCAATGGGAGGCACTTGATCGTTCACGCGTGTCATTTACCAGATAGAGCCATTCGCCATATCCATGCTCGTGTATTCTATACGCACCCAAGCCCGAGCATAACCCTCCAAAACTAAACACCAATGTCCATGCATGTATCCATATCCATAGCCTAAACCCATCCGTCATTGACATCATGATCATTCATCCATAAGCCTATCCGAGGCGCCCAATCGCCTTCGCTATGCTCTCGAATATCAATACGCCCAAACACCCACAAAGACTGTTGAGGAAAGCCGAAGTTCCAACGTCTAAACCAAATCATAATGCGCCAAGGTCAAACCCGCTGAAGTAACTCAATCGTCGTGTCATAACGACTCATCAAACCCACTCCTTCTTCATATCAAACACATCATGTGTGACCCCGACAAGCCCAAGTCCATCCTCAAAAGTTGATCGATATATCAACCGACGTGTCGTGGCTTGCTTTAGACACGCCGTCCGCGCTGAACAAAGGCTTGGTAGGAGAAGAAAGAACTGCACCAAGCTCAGGTCAACACAACATCACCTTTCAAAGATCAAGGTGATTGTGGTCATCGTCTGACTCACTACCATAATCTGACTGCTCAAAAGCTTCCCCCGCTGACAGAGGTGTACCCTCATCTGGCCACTGTCGAAGTCGAGGCTCAATCTCCGTCTGCCACTGGATGATCAGTGCGGAGTCATTCTCGTCTTTATACTGCTCTTGCTCAACATCCTCAGTGTTGATTAAGTTGTATAACTGTTGGCAAAGCGACCGGCAAGACTCAATCATCGGATTCAAGTACGAACGGAGCATCCCAGCTTCCTGTTCGTAAGCGATCTTCACCATCAACTCTGTGGCGAAGTTACGGATTACTTGGTACTTGTGAACATGGAGTTTCGAAGGAGCGTCCTCTTCCAAATTGAAAAGCTCGTACAGGAAGTTCTGGGTCGCTCTTCGAATGAGTTCTTGGCCGTTGAGGAGTAGCGGTATGGCGAAGTCACGGCTCTTGAGCATGACGTACTTGTGAAAGATGTAAGGATCTTTCAGTTCGAAAACGTCCTCATTTGTCGTCGTCAAAAGCCCGCTCAAGAACTGAAGCACAACTTCGCCGCTAGGTGCACGTTCGTCTTCAGCCCGGAGAGGCGCCTTGGACACGGCGGTAATGACTCTCAGGACATAGTCGGGCACTGGACAAGCTTCGCAGAATGGCAAAGCTGCCCGTACGTAAGCATCGCAATACGGAGGATCGAGCTGAGAGATGCCTTCAGATACCGTATTGTATATGTGCATCTGGATAGTTCGATCAGGCGATTGGAGGATCCATTTCAAAACGTCCCCAGGATAGAAATTCTCCGTCTTGGTTCGATCAAACGATTCAACCATCTTGTCCAAAACAGCAAGAGCCTTCAAGTCTTGCGACCAGTAAAGGATCATCTGCTTCTCTACACGAGTAAGTGGGAACTTTTGGTACTCTCGATCGTATGTGGACAGTCGATCCATGTTCTGAGACTCGACAACGGCCGGCAGACGTATGTCCATGCGAGAGAGGAGTGCATATATGAATCCGATCATCCTGTTGAACACGCCCCGCTTCCTTTCCATGGCTCTTGCAAGTTCAGGGGCATCTTGCTGGAGTTTTGGATATGCGTGCATGACAAAAAGTCGAAGGCAGAATTCCAGCATGTTGTTGTTCAGCAATACGGCCGTTTCCACATTGCCCATTTCGGCCAGTTGAATCAGGGTCAGGTAAAGGTCGTCCCAGCCTCGAGTGCTCTTGTAAGAGTCCGTCACAAGGGTACGCAGCTGCCGGACCACACGTGCTAGTAGTCCTTCCATTGAGGCTGGAGAGTCCAGTTCCATGTCATTTTCAGTGCCTTCCAAACCATACAGGGTCGGTTCTTTCTCACGGAAGAACTTGAGACTGTCGATCAGGAGAGTGCGCGTTTGTGACCGTATCTTGGGGTGAATGCACCGCAAAAGTAAATTCATAAGGGCATTTTCGTCGAGAGCTAGCCACTTCAATGCGATGTTGCAACACATTGGACATGATAGCATGGATTTGCGAAGCTGGGGCAAAGTCTCCATGAAAATATCAGGTGTCTGATGGCGCCAAACAATCCGGCTGACATGTGCTAGTAAGATTTGCAGTGCGAGGCTCTCCTGTTGACAACGTGTCAGTAAGCAAAGCGTTCCAAACCCCACCTTGAGTGATTGTGTGGAACAGATCCAGCAGTCTCAAATGTCCGTGTTGGTCTGGTAATACGGGAACATATCGGGGGTGCTTACTTGTGTATGGTCTTCTGAGCAGGTCCCATGGTTGACCATGCGTGATGTAGCGTTCAACTGTCGCGTGAATCTCGAGTAATTCGGATCGAACAAGCAGTACTCCCGGATGAAATGCTCGTTGTTAACGTCGATGTCTTCCTGGAGCGATTGTGGAACTGGAACCTTAGGGGATTGACCACGCGAAGAGGTGGCCCATTGGCGCTGATCATCGTCGATAGCAGCCCTACGTTGATAGAATAGCATGTACGCAGAGAAGTTCTTGGTTTGTCGGTTGTATCCATCCTCGCATGTACCTCCAAAAGTACGCTGAGGAATCTCTGCTGCGTCGAACAGACTTACTTCGCGGTCGTTGAATTCCATCCAGGTTGATGCTGGGTCGCTTTCGGTTGGACAGGGCCGCTCGCGGATATACGAGTAATAATGTCCGTTCTCACACGTACCCATGTGTACGATGACACCGACGAGATCAAACATGTCTTCTTTGCGCGATTTGGCAGGATCATCGACATATTTGGCGTTGTACGGGCTCATATCAATGGAGTTTGGAAATGCGAAATGATCATGAATCTTCCTCCGACTGAAGTCGTTCAGATCGAATTCGAAACGCTTGAGATGGAAGATCATGTTATCCGGCACGTCGTTGAGGCATGTTCTAGTCATATTAGCCTTGGTTTTGGTGGGACACGAGCGCAACCTACCGCCTCACAGCGTCCACGAATTTGCCGCCGCACGCCTCGCACTTGTATTTGTTGTCTCCCTCCATGGCATCGCCGTCCACGAACGACTGAAGGCTCTCCTGGAGATTATCTTTGCCCTGAACATCGCATGGTACAGCGAAGAAAGGCTCCGTGCGCTCAGAGACGTGTTTGCACTCTTTTGAGCGGACTTGGTTGAGCGTTTCTCCGCCGTAGAAAGAGCGAAACTTCTGTTTGTGTTCCGGGCTGGTCAATTGAGCTTCCCATTGATCGAAGAGCAAGTTGTAAAACTCGTCGGCGTCCATCTGAACCGTGATATCAATAGGTGTTTTGTCCAGGCTACTTACGCAAGCTGCAAACCGACGTGGATCAGTCGATTTGCGCAATGAATTCTGCATCTCTGCGAAAAGTCGTTGTGTCTCAAACAAGAGTTGCCGTGAGGTATCGCCAGCTTTAATCTCCAGCCCTAGTATGAATCGCCGAAAGTTTACATTCATGAACAGTTGTGTTAACAACGAGTTCATGTAGCAGATATTTCGAGGGTTGTATAGGCCAACATATCCTGTGGAAGAGCGGATCTCCAGTAAACGGTCAACGGAAAGGGTCGCTAATACTGGGGTGCTATTCTCAGATTCGACTTCCTTAGTCAACTGAAGGAGAGAGTTGTAAGTGTTGCTGTCGTCGGCCAGAGAGATCATGAGGTCGTAAAGTTCCTTCCTTGTATGACCTTCCAAAATAGGAAGGGCCATGGGCTCCGCGGCGCATTCTTCTGCCTCGATATCCGTAGGCCGAGCACTGCAGCTGGTTAGCATGTTGAACTCCAGCTCACAACGGGATTTCATAGAATAGTATGCGTTACTGTGATCCATCGAATCACGGAAAGACGTACCTTTTCACGAAAATGTACTTTCTGAAGATTTTGGTCATCAACGTGCTAGCGTCGAAAGGCTTCTTGAAAGACTTGAGGGAGAAAATGCAGCACAGTAGGAGCTTAGTGAAGCCAAAGACAACGTAATCAATCTGTTCACGGCCCGCGAACTCTTGATGTTCATAGCCCAAGAGCAGATTGCTCCATTGCGTCAGAAACGATCGTAGTGATTCCTCGTCGCGCTTGTATTCGTCACTGGTCCGGAAAACGTGCTCTGCAATGTCGAACAACTGCACCGATTGTTGAGAGTAGTGGACTGCATCAGGGAGAATATCTGCAATGATATCCCAAAAGCGTGCAGCTATCTCTGCCTTGTCGACGGGGCATGTTGACGGAAGGTCGCCGCCGCAGATAGAAGCTATTTTCTGTCCGACGTGTTCTCGAATAGATTGTCGTGGATCGACCAAAAGAAGCATTCGGTGAATACGAGGCGTGTCGGGGTTGCTGATAAATGCCTTCCAGACAGCATGGGAATGCAGTGACGCCTCCATAATCGTAGCGTAAGAGTTTTCCACGATAATAGCGCCATCATCTGCTTGAAGTGCGACCGATAGTATCGTCATGAGTCGATTCGCAAGCAACGTTCCGTCAGAGAAGTAGTTAGATGAAACGTCGGAAGATAGGCGCTCTGCTTCATATTAGGCGTTGGCGATTTGACTTGGGAGCTTGATACTAAGACTTACCTCTCAAAAACTCCAAGAGAACGTTTACGAACACAGCCGCCAGCTGAAGTTCCTGAGGTTCAGAGAGTGAATCACTGATCAGTTCTCGGTTCAGCAGAGCCCTATCGAGGAGCTTAACAGCATTGGCCAAGAAGTTCTCATTCAATGCAGACTAATCATTGGTCAGTGGATGTACGCGAAACAGCTGGCTAGTCAAACGTACATTACGCAGTTGTTCCCTTAACTTCGACTGAAGAGCATGCGCAGAGTATTTGGCCTGGAAAAACCTCCCGGGTGGAAACAACTGGTCGGGAGATGCTTCACCTGTCGTGACGCTGTCTGCTAACGTTATACGGGCTGGGAAGAGACTGAGGAAGTCGAAAAGCTGATGAACAGGTTAGCGCAATAGTCCCAAGTTTTGGGTACAAGATCTTACCAGTCGACTCGTGGTGTCATCTGAATCCATCCAAGCAAACAGCTCATCAAAATGTCTCACCACGTTCAGTTCGAAAGCCGAAGATCCTGCGATTGACTCTGGCATGGAACGAGTGACTTCAGCTCCTTCTGCCCTCTGTACAAGCAACTGCCCGCCCAAATTGGTATCGGAGATCTTCTGACGTGCCTTTTCGCTGACGTTCAACCGTTGGCCGTTAGCGAAAAGGTTGATCTTGGTAAATCCCGTTGCATGGCACAGTCTCCGATGCAGGTCCTCCAGTGTATGTTCTGATGCCATGGATACCGACTGTCTGTCGTTGCCACATTGATACTTGATTGTGATGGCATCTCCAAATGGGATATCGGTCTCCATAGCCTCGACTTTAGAATCTGCTCGTGTGCGATTGAATTCAGGCCTTTGTCGAACGAACTCCAGCAATTGCTGCTGGAAGACAAGTATTCTACGGAAACGGTCCTGGCTCTGCTCGATCGTATTCCCAGAAATGGTGGGATCCATATCTGCTGAAGTTGGCTCTTCTGATGATTTCTCGCGCAACGCTAGAGAGGCAGTTCTGAGCTCCTGCATACATTTTTCCACAAGAGTGATGTGAGCGTCTTCGACTTCCTGTAAGTTGAAGTCTTCGCTTTCGCACATTGCCACGTAGCGAGCAGCAAGAAGACAAGCAGCACGGTCTTCGATCGTGCCTTGGGGAGCGGACAACATGATCGACCATAACAGATCCGCGCCAGGAATTTGCAGGAGGGAGACATCTCCAGTTTCTGTCGAAACCGTCTGTCTTATGGTGGGGAAACGGTAACTAGCAACAAATTCGAACATGGCCGGAGTGTAAAACTTTGGGTCCATTTTGGACACATACGAGAACACCAGCTGCTTGCAGAACTTGTTGTCTGGAAAGGTTTTGATCGTGTGGAGGAGATGCGTCCAAGCTAGGTCTCGGGCATTGTCCGACAACGCATGCTTGCCAACGATGTGATCCCAAATATCCGGATAGATGTCGGTTGGGATGCCTTTTTCAGCTCGACTGATTAGTAGTGCAAGAACTTCCAGTCGGTATCGCAGAGCCTGCATTTGGTGAGAGTGGTAGCCATTTTCACGCTCCTTCTTGACGAAGGATGGTATCTCTTCGAGAACTTGCCGCGTCAGATTGGGGATGTTCTGGAAAAACAGACTGTCGCCCTGGGTTGGCGGCGACGCAAGAATGAGGATAACCCGCACACTGCCAGTCGCTTGCGGCGATTGGTTGGTAATATGCTGTGCACACTCACGATAGATGGCCTGTCGCTCCAACCGGGGCACGACGGTAGCCAGTAAGCGGAGTTGTTCGTCGGCCTCAGCATGTAGATCCAGCAGATGTTTGTTTGCGTCTCGGCTTGGCGCTGTTTCTCGGAGTATCTGAATACAAACGTTCCAGGGGCGTGCACTAGGTCCTCTAACATCGTAGTCGATCGGGGGGAACTTGTCGACAAGTTTGACGGTCACCTCTCGTAAAAATCGTAAGATGTCCATCGTATAGTTTTCGATGGGTAGATCGTGGAGCTTCTGACAGAGATAAAGGTGGTCAGGAGGATGCATGAGGCCAATAATGCCTCGAAGCATGACCATCATTGCAGTTACTACCCGAGGATCAGGGCTGTTGGAAACCGTTTTCCAGATATCGTCAGCTTGGCTGTCGGTCCAACGATGGGTGACCACAAGGAATCCGACGATGTTCGCACTCCGGGAGATGAGTTGTGGATGCGAATCAACACTAATGATGTAATCCACCACGCGCCCGTGAAGAAGGAACTCGGCAAGATACTGCATGACAGTATGATTTCCGGCCGGTTCGATGATGTTGTACTCTCGGAAAATTTCGATCAGGGCGGCATCCATGTACGCAATGCTCATTACTCGCAGCTCCATTCGACCTTTGACGAGGTATCTGCGGAGAAGTTTGAACTTCCACGCGCTGGTAACCAGAGCAGGGAAGGCTGTAGGATCCTGCCGGTAGTCGCCATGATCAGTGATGGTCGTGTTTTGCATAGATGGGGTTGTGGGAGAATTCGGTTCGCTGAAATCCAAGAACTCGCCGACTAGCTCGGCAGCAATCTCGTCGCTCCACTGACAAAGCTCAAGAAGTAGAACAGAGAAGTTTTGTATGAGGTCTCTAGCAACGCCAGCATCGCCAACCGTGCTTGGGTTCTCCAGATCCTCACTGTACTTGCGAAAGAATAATAGGGCACCATGGCAGTACTCGGAACGACTGATAAGATGGTCCGCGTTTGGAAGCTCATAGATGGCCCAGCCTAACGAGCTGAGAATCTGGGATGCCCAGGAAGCTATCAAAGTCTGGGTATTTAGTGGCACTTTATGGAATGCTTCATCAGCCAGTCGAAGAATGTTCTGAGCGCCATCCGCATCGAGGAAACATTTGTGTAGACGATTGCTCATCTCGCGCACATCGGCGGAGTATTCCTTGTGCAAGACGTGTAACACCGGGGCTTTCTCAGTGCGGAACAGGGTATGGAGATGCCGCATATGTTTCTGGCTGAACAAGGGTAGGGGGTAGCTCTCGTTGGGCGGAGACCGGGAGAGCAGGTGGACATCGACCAGCATGAGGTGAGAACATAATCTCATGTAGGCGCCTAGGAAGCCGCAGAATATCTCGTTTATCTGCACATCGTCGTCGGCATGTTCTCCAAATGGATATCTGCTCGTGTCATTATCCTGACCGGCATTGAGAGCAGTCATCCATTGGTACCTCCGGTTCAACAACTTGGCCACCATGTTTGCGAACTCGTCCCAGAACATGGCTTTGTTCACGTAGAAGTTCTGGAGGTTGTTCGAAGGGTCGGGGAGGGCTAGGAGCCATTGGGACAGACGTGGGAAGAGTTCGGTGTTGATAGCACCAGCTGTGTTCTGTTAGTCGTGTATCTAGCGCACGGGAATGGAACAACGCGAGACTTACATCCTTGGATGTGCTGCGTGAGGGCCTGGACTGCCTGGAGGTAGTTTCCGTGTCGAGTGTGGGGAAACTGCTCGAAGTAGTCCTCTGCGTCTATCTGGACCAAGAACCCAGCCGACTCCTCATCGTCATCGTCGTCCTCAATGACCATGATGGGCGGGCTCTCTTCGTCTTCTGTGGAGGCTATAATAATTGGAGACTGGTCCTGGGCGGACTGCACGTCCTCGGAAGAGCCGCTGATACCATCACTATGCATGGCGTCGGCGGGCGCAGGTGACAAGGGCGGGTGCGGACGTATCGTCATTTCTACCTGCTTGTCGCGGGGCGATGTGGGGTCCTGGTGCGAAGAGTCAGGCTCGGTGGACATGGCGCGAAGGCTGTCGCTGCCGCTGTCTAGTCGGGGGCGTTTGCGGGTGTAGCTAGAGTCTGCGTCTTCGACGGGGTTGCGGCGCGACGGTGATGCGGGATTGGCAATTGCGGGCTCGTCTGCAGCCTCAGACAGCACTATATCATGGTCCCGCAGACTCATGACTTTGTGGAAGGCAGAGTGTTTGCACACAAGGCGTGGTCGGCGGCAGAAACGCGCAGGTAAAGCGGGCAGGAAGCAAGCACCTCTCCAGCGATACAGGCAGCAGCAGCTGGATTGAAGTTACCCCAAAAGACGTGCGCCTTACTAGGCTGTAGCCTCGCGTGGAATGGCGGTTGAAAGAGCCACCATGAGCTGCAGCGACCACGTTAGAAGCGCGAGTGCTGAATTGAATGCGACCGAGGAGACGTGGGTGAGAGCAAGAGCTCAAAGACGCGTCGTGGAGAGTTCACCAACCGTTCCCCACGTAAAGTTCGACGTCACCTCATTGGCTGATCGTAGTCTTGACCGCCTTGAGCCTAGTTCGTCGACTAGGATAGCCCTGTAGGTTTCAACATGCAAATCGTAAAATGTCCGCTGCAAGGCAACGTGCATCACCATTCCATGCTCAGTGATTGAGTGTGATTTGATACCATTCACCTGCCTTTCAACGTTACTCTCTATACTTCGACTCTTCGGCGACTCTCACAACCGATCAGCCTCTTCGTGAGTTTGCAGGGCGACAACGGCGGACGCCTACGCCAACGGTGCCCTGCATTGCAAACACGAGCAAACAAAGCTCCGACACGCATTTTCCGAGACCAACGACACTACACTCTTTGAGATTCCGTGCAGCAAATCAAGACGTGATGGCGCCTGCAGCAAAAAAGAATTCCCGTCCAATCTTTAAGACATCCTCGCCCTTCACAGAGACAAAATGGTAGATCGGACTTTGACACCAAGCATGTGAAAATGCTGACCCACAAAGGCCTCAGATCTCATATGACGATCAAAAGATCATCATCGACTTGGTGTGCAAGTAGGTACGGCCATTCTCATATCGTCAAACTACTCTCGATACACTTCTTCCAACTGTTCCATTTATTTCGTACAGTCTTTTTCCTCGTCTTCTACTTCCTCGTTGTACTTCCTACCTGTACTTCCTCGTTGTACTCACTACTTTTACTTCTTCGTTGTACTCACTACCTATACTTCCTGGCTCTATTCCCTCCTTATACTCTCCCATTCCACTCCCATGCTAACCCCCAACAGCCTCCTCACCCCCCTAGGCGACCACCGAAAAACGCACATCCCCCCCTCGCGCGGCAAAAGCAAAAAGCGAAAACGCGCCACCAACCCCGCAGAAACCGACCCTCCTCCGCCTCCCCCAGCGCTCAAACACCACATCCTAATCGGCCTAAACAGCATGACCCGGCACCTGGAAGCCCTCGCCTCTCACACCGCACCATCTGCTTTCCGCACAGAAGGGCAGGACACAAGCACCACTGACACCAGCAACCCATCCATCACTACACCCCGCCCCCTATCCCTCATCCTCCTAACAACCCCGCACCCCCCCTCCTCCCCCTCCCACGCCCACATCCCCACACTCCTCCACCTCGCCAACCAACCGCCATCAAAATCCCCGCCAACACTCCTCGTCCCCCTCCCCGCGACAGCAGACGCCCTCCTCGCAGCAGCGCTGCACATCCCGCGCGTCGGCGCGCTGGGGATCCACGCCGGAGCACCAGGCGCAGCGGCATTGGAAGCGTTTGCACGGGAGCGAGTTGCGGGGACGGAGTGTGCGTGGGTGGATGAAGCTGGTGGGGGGGCGTGGAGGGGGGTTTGCGTGAGGGAGGGGTGAGTGTGTGGGTGCTGTGGTGGTGGGGTGCTGTTGGAAGAAGAGGGAGGCACAGAGAAGTGGAAACGGCGGAGAAAGGGAAGAATAACAATGATAATTTTCCTGGTACAAGTACCACCCACACACTCCCGTCACGCCACGCCACAACAACGCCGATATCCGCATCCCCCTCCCCATCCCCTTCTTCAAAGTCCAAGTCCAAATCCAAGTGCCAATCCAAATTCCCACCAGACGTGCAAATCATCCCAAGAGTAATTCCGTCCTATCCCATCCCATCCCATCCCAAATCCCCAAACCCAAATGCCAAGACGAGCCAAATACCGTGCCAGACACCCCCAACGCTGCTATCCCTAGTGAAAAAAAAACGAATATGCCGCAAGCTATGAATATGGGGGAAAAACACACGCAAAAAAAACTCCCAAAATGCCAAATTTGACGCTCTCCCTTGTTCCTCAACAACAACAGCCAACAACAACAAAGGTTGTTGTTTTTTGCCAGGTGTGGATAACAACAACAACAACAGCAGCAAAGCCACTTCATCGTCGCGGCTGCCGAGTACGGTAGGATACCCCCAGTCTACTGCAGACAAAGCCTCTCCCGCACGAGAGCAACAGTAATGCAACATGATATCCAAACACCCTTCGCTCAAAGCGCGTCATACACACACTCGATGCACGACCTCAGTAGCGGAGGGTATGAATCGACCTACGCCTCGCCAGCATCCGCCATAGTAACGTCTTCGACCCTATCGTCCAGCGCAAGCGGCGACGTAACAGGCATAGCCGCTGATCGAGGGCGATTGTATTCGATATCGAGGTACCCCGCCGGACTAGCAGCGCGCGAGTTATCCAGATCGTCTTCTGGAGGCGGGGAGAAGTCCCAGACCTTTTCTCTTATTAGTACCTGAGAACTGGGATGATTAGGGGGAGAAGGGCTCCCGCTTACCTCCATGATGGTTCTACCACCTCTACTAGCCATGATGACAGCCTTTTCTTCCTCAAAGACTACTCGCCACACTGCTTCTGCGGGGCTGCTCAATTCCCGGACCAGCATGCCTGTTTTTAGGTCCCAGACTTTGACGCGGCCGTCGCTGCCGCCGCTCACGATCCGCGTGTTGTCGAACTGCAGGCTAGTAACGCTGTTGTCGTGCGCGGCCAGGCGGTGGATAGCCTGGTAGGTTGCTAGACTCCATACGCGGACCGACCCATCTGATCCACCGGTCACGAGGATGTCGTCGCGCATTTGGAGTTGTCCAACGAGAGACGTGTGACCTTGTAGGACAGCCAAGCATTTTCTATGGATGATGTCAGCGTCAGTCGAATGTTAGTAGAGTAGATGAACTCACCCATCAGTAGGATCCCATATCCGAACGCTCGTGTCTAGACTGCCTGTCGCGATCTTTTTCCCGTCGAAAGCGATCGCATAGATCTGACTGAAGTGTCCCGACAGCGTCCGCAGACACTTGCCTTCCGATATGCTCCAAATCTTTGCCGTCGTATCGTAACTGCCAGACACCACTAAATCACCGTGGATCTCGAGGCATCTGACACTTGCTTGATGGCCAATGAGGACGTGCTTGCACAGGCCCTTCTTCAAATCCCATATCCGGAGAGTCGTATCTCTTGAGCCGGATATTGCTGTGTTCGCGTCTGACATCTTAAGACAGCGGACTGTTGAAGTGTGGCCGCGGAGCGTAAATTGTGGATATCTGAAATCAAACATTAGTCGTTGTGAGTATATAGACATGCAGGAAAGCGTACCCAGTAGCAAGATTCCACACGCGCACATCGCGATCGCACCCACCGCTGACGAGAAGGTCGCCCCAGGGCACCATGGCCCAAACTCCCATAACGTGTCCCTGCAGCGTCTTCTGGTGGTCGCCGAGTGTGTCAAAGACATGGATCTTAGCGTTGTCGAGAGCAACGACGATGTACTTGCTGGTGAGGTGCAGGCTAGTCACGACACCCTGGTCCGGTGTTATCTGTCGTGCATCGCATGTTCCTCCGTTGCGCCACGCCGTCTCGACCATGTAGCGCTGCTTGAAGTGTGATCGGTAGGTGGTGGCCTGCTGTCTCCGCTGCAACGGCTGCCTCTTGGCCTCGCGGTCGAGGCTCTGTGTTCGCAGTCCCTCGGCTCCGGAGGTTGGCGAACCGACTTCTAAGTGCTCTTTCGGGGCCACGTCGTCTGTTCTCGAGGTGCGTTCGTCTTCAGCCCGCCACGGCTTCGGTTCGGCGTCCATGTCGTCGCCGGGGTGGTCGCCTGGAGTCCTCTCTTCTCTCGACAGCGTCCGGAACGAGTATTTGTGGCACAGTAACCTCCAAGCGCTGTCGTCTTCGACCAGTTCTCTCCACTTCTTGGAGACTTGCGATGCTCGGGCGAGAGTGGTCGGGTCGTCGACGCATTCGAGGATCTTGGAGCCTGTTAGCAACGTTGCATGACGTGGGCTTGGCATAGGCAGACACGACTCACCCGCAGACACAGCTCGGTAGGCAGCAGCATAAACGGATCTTTCTTTAGCCGCGGGCTGACAAATTCCGACACGAAGCTCAGCTCTTGGCTGTCGCACAGATTCAGCAGTTCGCCCAGCAGGCGCAGACGCTCCCCCCTGTTCATGTCGCTGAAGTGTGCCCGTATGCTCTTGATGTGCGAGTCCTCGTGCTCGGCCGCGGTGCTCCAGTCGGGCGCGCGCTGCGTGGGCGTGGGCGAGGGGGCGGGCGTCGGCGGCCGTATTGCGGTCGAGGTGATCATGCCGTCGACAGGGCTGTTGGGCGTAATGATGGGCCGCGGCGCCCCCGACCTCGACATGCGGCTCAGCTTGCGCGGGGTTCGAGAGGAGGACGCTGAAGCAGAGGCGGCCATGTCGCTGTCCGAGTCGATGGGCCGGAAGTAGTCGTCGCGCTCCATGGCGGGTGCTGGGCCGGCAAGGCGCTGTCTGGGCGTGTTCGGCGGGTGGATTGCGCACGCGACGGCGGAGGACACGGCGGGCAAGGCTGGTTAGGGAATACGGCGACACGGGCAAAGTCTTGCGGCGGAGGGCGACGGAGAAGGTGTTGCGAGGAGGAGGCCGGAGCGGTGTTTCGTCTGCATTCAGCACGCCGGCAGCGGTCGTCACGGCAGAAAAGACTGGGGGCAGCGAGAAGAATGGTGCACAGCAGAGTCGCAGCGCTGCAATGATAGTCAAGGGGCAGGGTGGGTCGGCTGTCAGAGTCGCAGGGCCGTCATCTTGTTCCCATCGCGAGTCCACGGCCTCGCACGGTCCACATACACATCAGCCTTCCTCCACGCACTCGCCTCCGCCCACTACTCTCCCTGCATCATCACCCGCCCGCGGCACACCTTTTTCTTTCAAGACATGTTGAGCCCGCCCTGCATATGGCACTGGTGAGACATTCGCGTTTGCCTCCGTAGTCTTTGTTTACCTCCTTCCCTCCAGCGACCCGGTCCCATCTCCAAACGCCCGCCGCCAGGTCAGGGGACCATCCATGTCTCACACTCGCGCTGAACGCGTGAAACAAGATTACTTCCACACAGAGAAGCAGCTGCATCGAACCCAGCTTGCATTGCATCTGCACTCCCATTCTCTGCTCATCCTCGTATGGAAGTCTCTCGACCTTTTGCAAGAGTACCACACTTCTATATTGATATGACGACATCGAATCTCAATCGCCCGAGCATGCCCGCTCGGCGCTTTGACTTCGACTTTCGCAGTGGAGTTTAAGCGAAGAACGGGCATGGGAGACTCGCTTTGCCATTTGTCGAGGTTCGAACACGCGTTTGCTGTTTCTCAAGAGCGTGCAGAGGGTTGTTTCTTCGCCCGAACCTCAACCCCGACATGTCGCGAACTTGGAAAACTGAGGTAGGCATGACGTTTCGAAACCGTGATCGGGTGACCTAATTTTAGCGCATCTCCGTTCCTTGCAGTCGGTCTTGCAGTCGGCCTTTCTCGTTGATTCATATTGCTTCTTTTCGTCGTCAACTCAGTCTCCATCTCTTGTATCCTCCCTGATATCAGGCAAGCCGGGCCATACTCTCAAACCCAGGTGTTGTCCTACCTTGTCGATACCAACTCCTGCGTCAACTTACACTCCTTCCTTGCATCCTTTCCTGTCGTTGGTGTGTTATCAAGCTTTCTAATGGTGACCATCAACGATTATACTGCACGCAACAGCCTTCTTTGCCCCTTCTGTACACTATGTTCTTTTGTATTCCACTCTCCATCTCCTCACAATCATTGAACTTGCTCGATCGCATCAACGACAGACCAAGTCTACCGCCATTCCTAAAGATCATCTTGTCTGTTTAACAACGACTTCCTGATCCCCGCATTCTCTACTATATTCTAGGCGTCGTCGTACCTAGCTCAAATCACATAAGGGCAGAATGACCACCAACCAGCGCGTTCGCGCACCTGCAGAAACATCCCTCCTATCCACAACAATAGTACATAAGCAACATAGCCAGTCCCAGTCCCTATAAATCACGCGTGGTAATCCAGCAAACACCCAAATCAAAAATACGTCGTCATGTAGTATCCCCAAGTTTCCGCAACCCAGATTTTTATCACAGCAAGCAAATCCTATGTCAGACTCCCAACTATGATATGCCATTGATTAAATAGACTGGTGAGAGCTGGTTTTACCACTGCGTGTCTATACTTCCCCCTCGCCTTGCCTGTTCTCACTATTCCCCTTCCAAACTCCCGCTTCTACAAATCCATTTAGCGATCAAGACACTTTCATGAAATCGCAAACGAGCAGAATATGTACAATGCCCTTGTACCTTACTTCAGCTCCTTAATTACAAAACGCATCTTCTTCCACCTGACACAAGACAATACAAATCGAGGCAGCAACATATAAGTAAGTTACTAACACGCTGTATCACCAGCGCACAAGTTATCCTATTTCTATACATGTATATGGAGTTGTATGTCCTACCAAGCCCTGGAGGACGGGGATTAATGTGTTACGTCACCATTGTATTTTTGCGCACGCGTTTTCAATTGTTCATCAGTCTTCATTGTTCACACTAGCTACAGCAGCTGAAGTTCAACCCGGTCGCAAATTACCAACCCTCCGCTTCCCATCAGGGTTCACGATACAATCCAGGGTTCACGACCGAACCAAACTTCAACCAACGACTGCCTGGGCTCTCGAATATGCCGTCCGTACCGGTACATTGAGCAGAATGTCGCTAAGAGACGGTTGATCTGCTTTTTGTTACTGTTACTGTGTACTTTTACTAATATTTACTGTGTATAAAGGCGCTAGGTATTAGCTTCTATACTGAGTTACTATACTAGAGTTGTACTGTGTTGCGTCTATCTGCTTGTGCGACAAGCATGAATACGCTAAAAACCCAAAAGTAATGTCCTACCAAGTAGCAGGAAATTGTAATCTAGCAGCACGGTATTGTTGACAAGGTGAGTTGATGATGTAGTTGCTCTGCTGATATGTTATTGTTTTGAGCTATGTTCTCCTGCCTGGGAGTTCGGGAGTAATTATGAAGGTGATCTGTAGGATGGACTTGAATGTGTGGTGCGGATCGAGATCGGGATTCTATGGAGGTGTGGTCCTGGGACGTGGCTGGGTTTGGGGAGGTGGAGTGGGGTTGGCGTGGTACGATTAAAGAATGGGGGGAGAGAAGAGGGTAAGAGGATAATGCAGGGCAGAAACGTAGTTCACTCTGTAGTTGGGATGTGTAGGGAGACGTATAAAGTTTTCCCATAGCAGTTTTCCCATATTTAGTATTTCATCCCTTCTTGACATCGTTTTCTGACATGTTGAGAAGAAGTCTATACAACAAAGCAAGGACATGCGTATAGGATTGTTCACAACGATATCTTTTTACTAACGACTGGGTACTCTTACTAATCGCCATTATGTATATTATTGTTTAGCATGTAATGGTTATGCTAGACTGGGTCACGAAATAATTTTATTACTACAATGTCACGTCTGTGTGCTTTTCTATTCCCTTCGTATAGGCTCGATAAGAGATGAAATGAAACCCACCACGGGTTAATAGCTCACATGGGTATTTGTAGTTCAACCCAGTATCAAAGTTCGAGGCCATGTCTCTAAAGAATGCTGGGCGATACATTTCCTCGTAACCAGTCTTACCCGTTTGTTGAAATATCCACTGTAGCAGTGTTCAGAAGAAAGATGGCCTGTCTTGGTAAACAAATTCTCACTCTCGTCAGAGATGTAAACCAGCTGGTTGTATTTTTCGGGTGTAGAAGGAAAGTCTGCCCATGTGCTGAATTAAATATTTTCAGAAAAAAAAAATGTTATCAAGAGGTAGATAAATTCAGATCTATTCGCTTTACATCCACACGACGAATCTGTATAACATGTTCATCTCTGCCGAGACATTAAACGAACTTCTAAACGGCAGGAACTACTTCCCAGCCAAGTATTGTTCGGTCTCTGGTTCGGTGGAGTCGTGTCCTGTACTACGTACGCTCAATCTTTGCCTCAAGATGATGTAAAAGTATATACTGAGATTGTCTGTTTCTGTTTTCCTGCACACTGAAACCTCGGTTTATACATCATGGAGTTGTTATAAATTCATTGAGATGATTCAAGAAAGGATGGTGTTGTCGTTTCTATATATCCTATCTTTCGGATAGTCGAATTATCGGGAAGTAAACTACATTCTTCTTCTCAAAACGAAACAACTCCACCCTGAGATCAAATGCTGCAACAAAACAGCCATTTTTCCTACCTGTGGGTGGGAGGGGCAAGTTAGTTCGTTTTATTTCTGGGTACTGGTGGGAAGGTTGCGTGGGTAGGGTCGTGGACTTGAAAAAGTGATTACTCATAACGGAATAAATACGTTCAAATGGCTGATGAACACACATGTTCACTGATTGTTGTTTGATGCTGAGATGTTGGGTTGTATCTAGATGGTGTTGCTTCTGGCGAGCATTGTTCAGTGCAGTTGAATTCTGATTTGGTGAAGTGATGGCTAGTATTAGGCTTGAGTTTCGTCTTGGGATGTTTCGAGGTGGGTAGCAGGATTGACTTTTTACGCGATTTGGATGCTTGTTTTGACATTGTGAAGTTATCACGATTCACTAAGAGATTACAATGTTTTGGTTTGATCACGTTTTTAATTCCAATTGTCACCCACTGTTAGTTGGCATTGCAGGCCAATTCTTTCTCGTCCAAAGGCGGCACAGATCATATTCGATGGACTGAGAATAGGCTGAGGCCGTGTCTAGAACATTCAGGTTTGACTACTGCACTTAACTACAACGAGCAAGAGTTAGGCTACACTGGATCATGTTTGCCACTTTCTATTGACTTGATTCGTTCGCATACTTGAGCCTTCTGCCAAGATCGTAGTGAGTGATAGACATCCTCAAGTGCATCTGTAGCTTTCAATCCAGTCGACCACGGTCTGTTCCTCGACCAAACTCCGTTTGGGTGACAGAAAGGTGTTCTTACGTTATTCGATCCGGATGCAGTAGGGCGGACAGACAGCTGCAGCACACAAGTGATGGATTGAAATCGTCGAAGAATCTTGGGCGGTGTGAGGTGCACAAGTAGAACTGGTAGGTTTGGTCATCGCCTTGGGCAGTCTTGAGTTCCAGATTGAGTTCTTTACTCACGCAGAGAGAGCGTTCATATAAACGAAAAGCATCAGTGGACTTGAAAGATTTGAGAACGAGCAAAGGAAAAGGGGAAGCAGCGAAGATCAGGACCACATAGGAGCACAATACCCTACGGAATCTTCCAAGAATCAGCAGCAGCGATCGCAATCCAACTCAAACCCAAGGACAAGTTGCTTTGAGCATGAACACTGGGGTCGCAACACGTGCGCCCCTGATGTTGTTGATCCATCCACGTACACCCTGCAAGGTACCGAGTCGCGCGTGTATTCGATGCTGACAGCCTTGGCAATCCCATCCTGTGATGGGCAGTGTCACCTGTACTGTTCGGATTTTGCCGTCAGGCAAGAGCAGGTGCCCACCTCCTGCGTCTTGCGTCCCTTACATGACTTGAGGAAGTGTTTCTGTCTTCGCACAGACGGTTAAACCTTGTCGTAGAAGTTTAGGACCGATTCTGTAGATCCTTTCAACGGTTATGGCGCGTGGCAGTGAGTTTGAGTAAGATCTTCCGCATATAATAAGGCCATATTTGGTTGCTTGAACGGGTTCATCCGTTCAAAAGACGTTGAGCATACACGCACGGGGACTAGATCGACAAGACATAGGTCGATATTGGATACGTGCTTCATCACACCAGAATCCGCTGCATAACACATTGACAATGTTCAAAGTAGTTGAAATGTGACAAGTCTCTCATTTTGATGGAGGATGGGTGAATGCTGGAGACATGGATGCCGATGTTATCAACCCAAGGGCCCACACGATGACGAACATAAAATAAACAGACCCGTTGCAGTGTAAAGGTACGTCTGCGGCGGAAAGTGGCTTTTGTGAGATACGTGTACGATCTGACGTACTGAGGCTGTCTAGTGATGATGGCTCGCACTAGTATTTCACTAACTTTAGACTATGACGATCGTGTTTTCCCGATATGCACGACCCTGAACAATCGGCTGCTCATGACTCGGTATGTCAGTTACCCGCGCTGGTCAAAATCCCACGTACCTGGCAGATCAACAGGGGCACTCGCAAATGACCGCGACCGAAATGTTACCGGTGCAAAGCATAGAATTTTACGTCGTATGCGTGAACCTCAGAGATGTCTTTTGCCAGACGTAACTTTCATGATAGCTTTGCAGTTCACATATCTTAGATCCCTTTGCTCAGCTAGCCAAGAGCTATTGGCCCTAGTTTAGTATTGGCAGTTTCGAATCGGAAAGCTTAACACCCGATGGCATAGCTTTGCGACTTCAGATTATAGTTTGCGGACTAATTCGTGATCGCCGAAACCACGGCGCCTTTCCTCTTGTGTTGGAGAAGATCATCTCTTCCCCAATTTTTAGTATGCCGATGGCATAGAGCGGGCCAATTGACAGTCTGAAAACAGCTACGCTGATCGGCGATTTGTGCATTAGAACTATCTCACGACAAGATTGTGTCATGCTCTTTCAAAGATATGCATGACAAGTTGCGTTTGGGGTTAGAAAAACGGTGAGCAAAACAATGACTTGGAGACTAGGACAGTGAAGGAGCAAATGGTATATAAACCTATGCAAGAGTCCACAATGAACATTATCCAACAGCTCACCATCACACCATCTTCACACTCACTACATTCACTTCTAATCCCAACTCATAACTTTTAATCTTAACCGATCCTCCCTCTAATCACTCAAAATGCGTTACAACTTCATCGCCGTTACCCTCGCCTGCTTGGCCACATCGGTCATCAGCGCGCCCCTGCCTCAGTTGGACAGCATTGTGGGCTCAATCACCAGCCCATCTGCTGGCATTGGAAACACCATCGCAGGCAACGGTGTTGGCAACGGAAACGGGAACGGAAACGGCAACACTGCAGGAGTAAGCAAAGTCCTTCTCACACCGTCTCAAACAACTACTTACCCTATCTACAGAACGGCAACGGCAACAGCAATGAGGCTGGCACCGGCAACACTGCGGGCAACGGCAACACCTTGAACGGACGCCAGACTATTCCTACCATCCCAACCATCCCAACCGTCTCCGGTCTCCCGACTATTCCTTCGGGCATTCCCAGCATCCCCAGCGTTCCTAGCATCCCAAGCATCCCGAGTGTGCCCAGCATCCCTGGTGCCATCCCATCAGTTCTCCCCAGCATCCCATCAGTTCTTCCCAGCGTTCCATCCACCCCCAGCCTGCCCATTCGTCAACTCGCGGGTCTTGACACAATCACCAACACTGTTGGCTCGATCACCAGCCCCGCTGCTGGTAACGGAAACACCATCACTGGCAACGGTGCTGGTAACGGAAACGGCAATGGAAACGGAAACTCCGCCGGGTAAGTCGAAGTTCTACGACACTACCATATCACTCAGCTAACACTCCAATCTAGTAACGGCAACGGCAACGGAAACACTGCTGGATCCGACAACACTGCCGGCAACGGCAACACCGTCAACGTGAGTCCATCAGTATCCCTGAGCCCAAGTGTTAGGTTGGTCTGGCCTTGGGCTCAAAAACATACCAGTACTAACACATTCAACAGCTTGACTAAGCGTTTCTCCGCATAAGCGTGCTTCGAAGGTCTGCGCATTTTGATATCCCCTCGGAGCGATTTTTTGTATTCTCATCGATGGTGTAATTGGTCATATAAAAGCATAGTAATACTACCTCCTATACTTTACCTATCTCATGTACCTGACCCCACCTGACTCCTGTTCTTTTTGGCATGATACTTGCTTTCTGTCTCGACCTTTCCATGTTGCTATAGAACGCAACAAACGAAACATAGCAAAAGCGGAATTTCTGACTCACTATATGAAGCAAACTCTCCAACTATTTATGTGTGTTTTCATGAGACTTTGCAATGATACATTTTGCTGGCTCGGATAGACAAGAGTTTTGACGCTTTCAGCCGACCGAAAGATCAAGACCAAATATGCAGTCATTTGATGACTCTTGAAATGATATGAGGATAAAGGTCCCCATCAACGACTTTAGTTACCAGTTATTTGTTATGTACGTACTGTTCTACTATTTGTTTATACCACCTTGGAAAGAGATAGGGAACACTGTTGAGTTTAGCTGAATAAATATCGATACTTCTCAGACACCCGTATGGTAAGGTTTCGAGAAGCATCATGCGCCCGGTAACTATTAGTCACAGTTCGCGACAACATCAACAAAGAAGCAGAGCCAATTAACAGTCTCTCGACGACTAGCCGCTCAATATACCAGTGCGAGTACGCGAGTTCGAGGCCCCGAACATCCGCAGGGTGAATTCGTACTTGCGTCACACTTTTTCCATCTACCTCTAGACCAATTTAGCGAACAAAACACATTTGTCGTCGTCGACATACTCGGTCCTTCTCCCAAGGTTCACACGATATGTCCTCGTTCGTCGCAAGTCGGGCATATATCTCCCTCCTTCTGAGGTGTACACGAGAGCCCTTCACGACTCGGCGCGAATATCTCCAGAGCACCATGGAAACTCAAACACTCCATAGATAGTATCTCCTCTGTCAGAACGTGTCTTCGAGATCAGATTTTAACGTCAGGTAGTCTACAGATTATCTTGCTGTTGATGGATACCGTTCTATTCATTCTAGTTGTGATACTCAGGTTATTAGGTAAAACCTATTTATTGTGATCTATGCGTATTCAAAGTGACGATGTATGTGTATAATCATATATCGTAGGAAGTGCATTCCACTTACTAATACTTATTAGTTATTCGGATATATAGAGAGCACAATGTTTCAAGGTCCGTTGAACTGATATGGATGGATATCTTCGCTAAGATGGGAGTTTACCGAGGTTTGTGTATGGTGACTGGACCTGGTTGGGTTAAGTTGATCAAATGGTCGGAATGGATGAAATGAGTAAGAGGGTGGAGGCAGGTGGGCTGTTCATTGCGCTTACAGTGTTTGTGAAGTTGAAGAGTTAAAATCAGTGTTTTACCCAGACGGTTATTGTGATCAATTGAAGGTTGATGATAACATGTGAGAGCGTGGACGTGGAAGAAGTGGATATTGATAGGGGTATAAACACCAAGCTCTTCTCTCTCAAAACAAATTCTGATCCAATGGAAACACTGCTTGATCTCACATTTCATGCCACGCCACAAAAATCGTGCAGCCTCGAACGAGGATACCCAGAACGCGTGCAGATGCAAGTACGCGCCAACCTCCCACCAACAACAATCCGTCTCAAACCCTCACTTCACGACCGCCCACACCCACCATCTCCCTCTCCCTCAGACCCTCCCCCCTCCAATTCTTAAACTCCCTCGCCCCCACCCCCTCCTCAAACATACAATCAATCTCCAGCACACTCCTCCCCTTCATCTCCGGAATCACCGCCCAACTCACCCCCGCGCCCAGCAAACAAGTCGCCACATACGTGAAGCCGACCTTCCCCCTTAGATTCCCGCTATCGGGGTTGAAAATATACGGCAAAGCGACGCCCGCAGCGGCCGCCGAGAACGCCGAGACGAACCAGCCGAGGCCCTGCGTTTTAGCACGTAGCTGCAGTGACGACGTCTCGGCGGCGATAGCGAAGGATGCGGGCCAGACGCCGACGCCGGCGGTGACGATGGTTAGCATCATGGAGATGGCTGTCCACCTATGTAGTTGTTAGTTGATGTGTTTTGCTACGACAGGGGAAATAGAGGGGGACGTACCATGTAACAGCCGGCACGATGGGGAAGCAATTCGCAATCCCCATGGACAGCCAGAGCGCGGCGCAGATCAGCAGCGTGGAGATGACGAGGGTGCGGCGGCCGACGCGCGCAACGACCCAGACGGAAACACAGTTTGCGATGAGGCCGAGGACGATGCCGAGGATGAGGAAGATGATGGATATGCTTGCTTTCATGTTGATGAGCTGGAGGAAGTACGACGATTTGGCTAGGAGCTGCAGGCCGAAGACTGCGGGTAGTGCGTTCGCGAACATGACGATTAATGTGCGGCGCGAATTGCGTTTGTTGAAGCATTCCGCGTACGTGGCCTTGGACGTCTGCTCCTCGTGCTCGATGTCGCGGAGGAGCTTGTCGACGATGGCTTTTGTGTCTGCGCCCGGCGGATCCAGACGTGCTTGTGCTTTGTACGCTTTGTCTAGTTTGCGCTTGCGGACGTACCACGTCGGCGACTCTGGGATCAAGAAAGCGACGACGATCGGAATGAAGGAGAACGGCCACTGGGAGCCAAAAGCAATCGCATATCCGTTGTCTGCGTTCAGCGCCCCGAAAATAACAAGCGCGCCGGCCAGTTGTCCCAGGAGTGTGAAGACGGGGAAGAAAGCCATGCCTGAGCCTCGTAGCGCGGGGGGAAGGATCTCACTCATGTACGTCTGACATGCAGCCATGACGGCGCCAATTGCGCCTCCTTGGAAGAATTTGCCCATTAAGAAGGCCACGCGGCGGCCGGTGATGTCTGCTGGCAGATAAGAAATGTACATGACTGCGACTGCGAGGGCGGAAAGAAACGAGGAGGTAGCCAGAGCAAGACGACGCCCGATTCTATCTTGCATCCAGCCGCCGAAGAGAGAGCCCATCATCGCGCCAATGGGGGACGCAACATTCCAGAGAGCAAGCCAGGTAGCAGGCAGAATCCATTTATCGTCAGCTTCGAAGTATTCACCGAAGTCTTTTCTGGTGGTGCTGGTCAGCATCTGCGTATCCAACAGCAATCATGAGAAACCAAAAACCTACTGAAACAACGGCATGGCCGAAACCGTGCCCACAACCACATTATCATACCCATACAGCAGAATCGCAGACGTAAGCCCAAACGTAACATAAGTCACCTTGCGATACTTTTTCACATTCTGCCACAGCGAGCGCTGCTCGTCGTCGTCGACGCCGGCGGGCAGCCCACTCGACACACTATGCACCTGGGAGACTTGCTCCGTCGTAACAAAACTCGGGTCATCCTTCAGCACAAGGCTATTCGTATCGCTGTGCGCCATGGCGTTCTTCTCCAGCCCACAAGCAAGCAAGCAAGACGAACGAGATGTGGAGAAACAGAGTCAGAAGCAGAGTCAGAAACGCGACACATCAACGAAGATCACGGGCGCTAGCCAGTCTGATATAACCTCACATCAGGGCAATAGATACGGGCTGGCTGACAGATGCGGGGAGGGGGGGGGGGCAGTAGTAGCACAAAAAGCAACAAATCAACTGCCTTACCCCTTTCCAATTGCAGGCAAGACCGATCGGCGGGGACGCGCGCGCCCGTTTAGGTGGGCGTCGAGATGAAGAACGTTACCCGTTGGGGGCGTCAAGGCTGGCCGTCAGCCATTCCCGCGGTTGCCCCACCGTCGCACAGGACGCGAGCTGTCGTGTTCAGCGTTCGGATGGACTGCGGGGAGAAAGAACTGGATCGTTCATGTGTTTGCATGACACTGATACTGACACAGCGTGTGTGAGAAATGCACTGGTTTATTGAATTAATATATAATCGTGCTACAAGCGCGGTTCAGGAGTTTTCTCACGCCAAGTGATTGTCATGGTCTCGGCGGGCGGTAGGCATATCTGCAGGGTTCTGACTGATTGCTGTGCTGGGATCATGGTCTCGAAAATCCACGAACCAATACAGAGCCTTCCTGTCACTCCGCTTGGGATGGCAACGCATGTCCACGTTTCTTCATGCATATCGATCCTGCATTCTCCATCCTTCAGCAGCGCCACGCGCAGATCACCATGCAATGCAAAGCGCTCACAGCCCGACATGTGACACTCCACGTTCAACAGACGTAGGTCTGCACGACACGCACATGCCGTACAACCGATTCTCTAACCCATCACTCCAAAAACGACTTCACGGCGCCACCAACGTTCTTCAAATCGAGCAAGAACGTGTCGTGCCCGAAGATGCTCTTCTCCTCCCCAAGCTCGATATGCGTGACATTTTTATTGCCCGTGCGCTTCAGCGTCGTAGCAATCTCGCGCTGCTGCCACGCCGGGAAGAGAATGTCACTCGCCACGCCGAGAATGAGCGCGGGCGTGTTGGCCATGGGTCGCAGGCCAGCGACCAAGTCTGCCGGGGGCTCGTCAGTGGCTGCGGCTTGTGCGGCGTTCGCTTCGATCTCCGCTGGTTGCTCTTTCTCTTCGTAGGGCTTTTCGGGTAGCGTGAGACTACATGTATCGGTAGTGTTGTCTGTTGTGATGGCTTGGCCGTCGAGGTAAGCCTGCATCTTGCCGCTGTTTGCTTTTCGCAGCTCGTTGATGCGGGTGCGGTGTTCTTGGCCGAGGTCGAAGAGATCCATCGCCTTGGACACGTAGAGCAGGCTGTTGGGGTCGTACTCTAGACACCACTTCTCCCCCGCGTGGTCGAGATATGTCTCGATGAGGAAGTCGGGGCATAGCGCTGGAGGCCGCGACGGGTCTGCGCGCCGGCGGCCAAATCGTTGTTCCCACTCTGGACCGCTTCGGTATGTGACTGTTGCGATTTCACGAGCAAGTTTCATGCCGCCGTGTGGAGGAACGCCGTCGTAGTAGAAGCCTCGAGACCAGTTTGGATCCATCATCAGCACTATGAAGAGGTCAGCAAATCATACAACGCTGCTGAGCTTGCGAAACTTACCTTGTCGTTGTGTATGCCGCATAGCAATGCTGTACGGATGACTGCGCGCACACCCACTGATGCTAACCACACGACCCACACGCTCCGCAAACAGCGTCCCAGCCGCAAGACTCTGCATGCCCCCCATACTCGAGCCCACACTCGCATACAGCTTCTGAATGCCCAGATCATCCAGCAGGCGAAACTGCGCACGCACCATATCCTCCATTGTGAGTATTGGGAACCTCGTCGCATATCGCTCGCCGTTCGCGGGGTCTATCGATGACGGCCCTGTCGAGCCATAGCAACCCCCGACTACGTTCGTGCAAATAACATGGTACTTGTCCGTGTCCAGCGGTTTCCCAGGCCCAATGAACTTCTCCCACCACCCGGGTTGTGGATTTGCCTCTGTGCTGTGTGCATGGCTTGACGCCGAGAGGCCTGTATGCAGCAGAATCGCATTGCTCTTGTCCTTGTTCAGCGTCCCCCACGTCTCATACGCAACATTAAACTCAGCCAATATGCCGCCCCAGTCCAGCAATATGGGCTGTCGCGAGTGGAAGTTGAGCGTGTTTCCCGAGGTATACGACGGCTCGGGGCCCGAGAGCGAGCGCTTGGAGAGAGATGCGGAGCGGGACTCGTGCGCGTCGAGACATGGGAAGGAGAGAGCGGGGTTCGTCGAAGCAGGTTCGTCTTCCTGCACATGCTGAGCATTGCGCCGTGCCTGCTGGTGAATCCCTCTGACGGCCTGCTGTCTCGCCTGCAGCAATGATGGTTGTGGGGCCTTTCTCGCCCGGCATTGCAGCACAGTCGACGGTCGTGAGTTTCGCGCGACTGCGAGGACTCTACGTGTGACGTTCATGGCTGGTGATGGTGTCCGCAACGCGTTTGTGGGCGTTTGCACGGGTGGAGAAAAAGCATCGCAACTCCATTATGACGCGATGTCTCGCTATGGATTAATAACGCGTTCAATAGCTGTTTGAAATCAAAAGTTGGACCCAATGGCCTTGTCTAGAAATTGCGTGCTTTCGCTGCCGCCGCTCACGTGCGTCATACTAAAGTGTTTGTGGTGGACGTCCGACGTGCCGACGACTTTCATCCGATATCCCGAATACGTTCCCAGAAGATTCCGTGGGCGTTGCTGCAATCCATGGAATGGTTGGTCAACCTACTGATTTAGGAAAGTAGTGTTACTAATGGCCGAGGTCAGCAAAAGCACGCAAGATTTGTTTAAAAAAGAAAAACGCACTGGAGAAACGTACCAATGGTGCTGAGAAAAGCAAATTGAGAAAAATGTATTGAGGAAAACGAAGCAGTTGACAGGAAAATTGAACCTCCCTGATTAGGCAGGTAGCGTTTCGAAAGGCTGAGGCTTGCACAGCGGCGTAAAGTTTGATGAGAGGAGAAAATGCATTGAGCAAAACGATTGAGCAAACAATTGAGGAAAACGAGACAGCAATCGACAAGAAAGCAAACCTTCCCGATTAGGAAAGTGACGTTTGGAGAAATATCTTGCCGCTCGGAAATGCCTGTTCGAGCTAGGAATCATAGCTTTCTCCATGTGCTAAACTCATCTGACAATCATGAATTTATTGATGTAGCAATACTCATTCCTTCAAAAATAGATACATCATAAAATCATGCTATGGATTTATGCAACAGCCGTCATGTATATATCAAGGACTATTACATTTAGTCAAGCTCCCTCCCTCTGCGGCGTAATCTGTCTAAGGGATTGTTCTTCCTATCCATGAATATAATGACCTTGTCATCCTCGCACACTGACCCTACCGTTATCACTTTAATCACCACCACCTTCGCTTGAGTGGAGCACTACGCTGCTGTACCTTCGGCCAAGTGAAGCCTGACAGCACCCTGTTTGTAGGGCGTAGAGGCATTGAATGAGGGACAAGAGACGGAGAGGTCACAGTAGACAACAATGCCGGTGAGTTTGCAGGAGGCGATGGGAGTAGCATGTTCTGTGCAGACGTACCAGAGGATAATGATGCTGAGGTTGACGAGAGTAAAACAGCACTCTTGCTCGGTTTGGAGTCACAGTAGGAATGTCCCGACGGTGCAGTGGTGGTGTTCATACCCTCTTGTGGATGTGGTAACTTACCAGATATCATCGTCGAAAAGGTCGATGCTGGGAGTACAAAGCTTGCAGACAATAGCTCCGGCGTGTAAGAGCTAGTTACCTCTTGGTCACTAGGAGGTGTTGGGGCTTCTAGAGAAGGTGCCCAAGTCGGCATTACTGGTATAACCCCTGCGTCGCTCGAGTAAGATTGGAATACCATCGTCTTGGCTGCACCATATGGAAGCCCGCTATGCGTTGGCGCTGGAGTACACTTGCCGTCTGGTCCTGCTGGATTAGCCGCCACAGGAACGTACTGGCCATTCCATGCGACATCGGCCACTGTCACACACCATGGGATGTTGTCGGCGAGTAGTTTTGAGATGGCTGCTGGGGTTATGGTTGGCGAAGATGGAACGTATACGGTCTGTGTGATCGTGGTAGTGGTTTTCTCGTCTCCCGGTGGTGCTGAATGTGCTAGTGAGTCTGTTGGATACACTGTGGTGATAACAGTCTTGATGACATGAGTTGTGCTTTGTAAAGTGAACGCCGAAGAAGGTGTTACCGCCGACATATTTGCTGGGAGATCCGGTACATCTAACATACCAGGACAAGTCAGGTCCGTGATACGAGGCTGTTTCGACGAAACATCGACAAGACCCCAATCAGGCTGGTCTGTCTGCGTATCTCGCGACAGCTCGAACCAGAATGTGTTGTATTTTCCGAATATAGAGCATCCTACCTCTTTCCAATACTGTTGATAGTTCTCAGTACTTGCAGCAGCCTCCCCCCTCTGAGGACCTTCAAAAGGCCAACCTGTCTCCGCAATCCATATAGGAGTGTCGCCAGCTCGACGTTCGACATCTTCGAGTGAGCTGAGAAAGCTTTCCTTTGCGTCTGCGATGCTTTCGTTGTTCCAGTAAGGGTAGACGGTCACACCTACGAAATCTGCGACATCATCGTTCACCACAGCATACTGTGCTGTGTCGATATGTCCGATTGGTTTTCCTTCCATGTACTGTGCGAAGGGAGACATGGCGATGTCTTTTTTTACTTTGCTAATGGTTACTGAGAGCATGTCTGCTGCAAGGCCCGAGGCGGTGGGTACGTTGTTCCAACGAAACACATCTTCATTCCCAACAGAGAGCCCGATGATGAGGTCGGAGAGATTTTGACCATGTTTTTCGAAGCCCTTCCCGAGCGCGATCATCTCATTCTTGATCATTTCGTCAGGCGAATCGCCTCTTGTGGCTGGTGAAACCCAGAAGCCAAGCAGAAGTGATGTGTTCGTCGCAACGGCAGCATCGAAAGCTTCAGTGGGATCGTTCAACGTACCATCTGTTTTACAAGTGAACAAGCGGGCGCTGTCAAAAGGTATTGTGGTATTGATACTAGAAGCTAACTTGAAGTTTTCGGCAAAGTCGGCCTCGTATTTGGCGTCGCCCTCCGACCAGAAGGCGCCATAGTTGAAGCCTGTATAGACCCGACTTGCGACCGGCGCAAGCCATTGAGAGAGGAGTAAGAACTTGTGTACTTTGATCATTGTGTGTGGGGTTTCTCAACAAGCGTAGATCTGAGAAATTGAGGTATATAGCTGACAAGAGCGCGCGGACAATGAAACAACAGACATGCTAAATCAAATGATCGGTGGCATTGAATGGTTGTGAAGGTCGGGGACCGAAGATGTGATGGAACGCAAGGAGTGACTGGAAGATGACATTGAATAGCTCGAAAGTTTATGCACAACGCCTTCTTGGTAGCTTACAGTGAAGTGCACCGCACCGAGGAGTGAATCAGCTATTCATGTCATTAAGGTATTTCCATACGAGTATCGCCTGTGGTGATGGCGAGGACGTCTAAGCAGATGATCGCCAACAAAAGCAATTCATGGCGCTAATCTCGCGGTTGTGAACGGATGCTCGAGAGCGTTGTGATGCGCATATTGAATGACCTGAGCCATCTCCTGCCATGAATTTCAATGGAATGAATGGCTGGAGGACAAAACGAAGTTTGTTGACGAAAATAGGTCTATCCCAAGCGATGACGGACAATACAAATCACGTCGGTGCTGATTGGCTGGTCGGAAATACGAGCAGCTCCGCGACCTCCGAGGTCGCCGCGACACACAAAAAGTACTCGAAAGATCCTGGGGAAGTGTGTAGTCCGCCACCATGTCTCTCGCACGCTTTGGAGGAGCGCTTTCGCGCGCAAAGTGCTCGTCACGGGCTCAATGGCAATCTGCGTAAACCCACCCACTGCAATATCTCCATATAATGCCTCATAATACTCACATCTCTCAGACGATGCCTCTCGAGCTTCGCACCCCGCTACGCCAGAGCCGACAATGAGCTCAACTCGGTCAGCAAGGTCATCACACAGCCCAAGTCGCAGGGAGCCTCGCAGGCCATGTTGTACGCTACAGGCATGGACGAGCAGGACATGAACAAGGCCCAGGTCGGCATCTCGTCGGTCTGGTACTCGGGCAACCCATGTAACATGCATCTCCTGGACCTTAACCACAAGGTGAAGGAGGGCGTGGAGAGGGCAGGTCTCCTGGGCATGCAGTTCAACACCATTGGCGTCAGTGACGGTATCTCCATGGGCACCAAGGGCATGCGTTACTCGCTGCAGTCGCGTGAGATCATCGCCGACTCGATCGAGACGGTCATGGGCGGTCAGTGGTATGATGCGAACATCTCCATCCCGGGATGCGACAAGAACATGCCTGGTGTCATTATGGCCATGGGCCGTGTGAACAGGCCCTCGCTTATGGTCTACGGCGGAACCATCCAGCCAGGCTGCGCGAAGACACTCGAGAACCAGACTATCGACATCGTCTCCGCCTTCCAAGCGTACGGACAGTTCATCACAGGCGAGATCAACGAAGATCAGCGTTTCGATATCATCAGGCATGCGTGCAACGGTCAGGGTGCGTGTGGAGGCATGTACACAGCGAACACCATGGCTACAGCCATTGAGACAATGGGCATGTCGCTGCCTGGCTCGTCTTCGAACCCTGCCAACTCAAAGGCCAAGATGCTGGAATGTCTGGCTGCAGGAGGCGCCATCAAGAACCTGTTGAAGGAGGATATTCGACCAAGTGACATCCTCACCAGGCAAGCTTTCGAGAACGCCATGGTCGTCATCAGCATCACTGGTGGTTCGACCAACGCTGTTCTCCATTTGATCGCTATTGCAGATTCTGTTGGTCTCAAACTCACCATCGACGACTTCCAGAGCGTGAGCGACCGTATTCCTCTCCTGGCTGATCTCAAGCCATCTGGCAAGTACGTCATGGCCGACATTCACGACATTGGTGGTACTCCTGCCCTCCTGAAGTTCTTGCTCAGGGAGGGTCTCCTAGATGGTAGCCAGATGACCGTCACCGGCAAGACCCTGAAGGAGAACCTGGACAAAGCCAGGGACTTCCCAGCTGACCAGAAGATCATTCGACCCCTCAGCCAACCTATCAAGGAGACTGGCCATTTGCAGATTCTAAGAGGCTCGCTGGCCCCTGGAGGCTGTGTGGGCAAGATCACCGGCAAGGAGGGCACACAATTCACCGGCAAGGCTAAGTGCTACGATGCTGAGGATGACTTCATCACCGCCCTCGAGCGTGGCGAGATCAAGAAGGGCGAGAAGACTGTCGTTGTCATCCGCTACGAAGGCCCCAAGGGTGGTCCCGGAATGCCGGAGATGCTGAAGCCCAGTTCCGCCATCATGGGTGCGGGTCTCGGCAAAGACGTCGCTCTGATCACAGATGGTCGCTTCAGCGGTGGTAGCCACGGCTTCTTGATCGGCCACATCGTGCCCGAAGCCCAAGAGGGTGGGCCTATTGGTCTCGTCAGGGACGGCGATGAGATCACGATTGATTCCGACTCGAATGAGTTAAACATCGGCGTGAGCGAGCAGGAGCTCGAACAGAGGAGGAAGGATTGGAAGGCACCTGAGCTGAAGTACAGCAAGGGTACGCTATTCAAGTACGCTAGGTTCGTCAAGGATGCTAGCCAAGGTTGTGTCACCGACTCGGCGTAGTGCTCTCCAAGATGTCACCTTTCTTGTTCAATCTTGTATGCATATCTTGTCAGTCTATTGGATCATGGAAAAGGTTACTGCGAGGAGTTTGGTTTGTGGATCTAAGGTCAACAGCGGCGGCTGCCGTTTCGAAAAATTACATGTCCTTCCACCTACTGCGTTACCCTTTGATCCCCAATGGACTTGCTTATCCAAACCCCTCTCTACAAAACTTCGATCGCTAACACAGCGGATGACTTATGTAAGTGCCGAAAACTGGCCGGGCACCCAGATATGTTCTTTTCCCAGTGGGAATGTACGTTCAACCCCGCTGTCTATGCGTTGTCAGGTTGTCGCAACAACAAATACCCAGAATTGTGTTGGAGGACTAAGATTGACTAGACCTGACTCAGTGACGTGCATAATTCTCTGGTTCCAAACGTGTGGCGCACTTAGTGCGCTCACCCTATTGGTCAGACGATCCTACATCACTCGCAGTCATCTCGTTTGTAGAGAATTGTAGGAAATGGGGGTCCCAATTCTTCCCATTCCAGCTCCAATTCTTGAAAACCCCCTATATGATAGCTGTTGGCTCTCCTCTCTGTTCTTCATCCACAGCACCTGCTACAAACTTTCCAGCTTTCATACCAGCGCTCTTCTCGATTTATTACTGTCCTGTCACTTTCATTCTATTGTTGGACCAAACTCATAATAATGGATCCGTGGGACGGCCAAGTTGCGAACTCAATGACGTCTTCTGAGGCGGACGCAGAAACCTCATTACCGTCAACTACATTGACAACGCCGCCTCCTACCGAGGCTCGTGAATTGTTTACCGCAAGTGAAAGCTCCAAGCCGTCTCGACCGCAAACAACTCGAATTCCATATGCGCTTTCAAGTCAATCTTCCGAAACGATAGTCGGCGACGAATACAATGCAGCCATTACGGAATCGTCGTGGTCCGGAACAACGTACACAGAGGACAATCAGGTTCGTTCTGTATCGTTGTTAGACAACGAACTCGTTACTCGCTCGCGGCCAGGGTCAGAAAACATCATATCAACCCCTGATCTTCCGGTTGTTGCAGGTCTCAAGACATCGTTATCGACGAATAATGCACCTTCATCAGCCTCTCCAATACTAGGCTCTCTACCCACTCGACAGCGTTCGACAAATATCCCTAAGTTCGGAACAAGCCGCGATACTGTTCGACATAGAAAACTTCAAGATTTGACGAAGCACAATCAGTTGGAACGTGGCTCAGCACCATGGTCTGTGTACAACTTACGGGTAAGTCTGGAGCCTTTGTGCCTTCGGACCTTGTGTCACTAACAGTGATTAAGACGCCTGGTACCGTGTGTGCGTTTTGTGCGGTTACCTTTACGGGCCCCCTTCACAAAGAGGATGCTATACGCCACACTCGCGACTTGCATCTCTCTCATCGGAAAAACCAGACGTCAAACCCCAAGCAGTTCGCAATGACCGAGACCTACGACATAGATATGGTTGCTCCTGGGTCGATCATTGCGGAGTGCAATCTGTCCACCAGAATGAGCGCAAATCGGAAGGATTTACGGCTCAGTGTTTCTCAGCCTCGTCTTGTCCCTTGTGACAACCGAGCCATACCAGAAAAGCAGCTTCTTTTCTTGTTGGATACCCTGGACCCGCAGGCTTGTATGGGGAGAGCAAATGACTTCTTCAATGGTCTCGACACCATCGTAGGGAACCTACTGGAGAGATGGTACGTATAATTCATATCTTTTATGAAACTTGGAACCAGCTGACAGAATATCTTCAAAAGCCCTGGTGACGTCGCGGTTCAAGGTATGCAACGCGCGCTTGCCCGTTTGGATCAGTTGTACCGACTCAACTTTGGCACCCCATCGTCATCGGATCAATGGTCTACCGCCACGGAGATATCGTACTCAAGCACCCGTAGCCCATCAGGTGATAACAGGGCCACGTCTTTGTCATACACAGGAGGCACGGGGTCTGCTGGAGGTCTCAATGACTGTCCGGATGAACCGGTCAAGTCAATCCCTAACGGTCAAGAACAACTGGTTCCAAATGCTCCTTTGAACGACTTGGACAACGGCAGCAAAAGAACTAAAGCAAAGTGCAAGAACCGACCCCTTGGTTGCCCCATCAAGAAGCACTACGTGATCCATAACCAGGTTTCCTCTTGTAACTTCACAGGAGCGGCTAATATGTGGGGAGTGGCCAAACACCTCAAATCGCTGGCTCACATACATTCTCTCCCCTTCTTAGCTCTTTGTCGGAACTGCTGGAAGTACACTAAGAGCGAAGTGGCATATCAGGAGGACCACCGACCTGGTCGATGCCAACATGCTGGCCAGCCTCGGGGTCCCAGGGTTGAGAAATACTGGTGTGATCTTTATATAGAGATATATCCTACGTTGGAGCGAATTCCACGCCCATGTGAGTTATCGCGCCAAGACTACGCGAAATTTGTATTGACTAAGTACGACAGTTGTCGACGACATGACATGGAGACCGGCAGCGTCAATGAGAAACACAGATACGATAGCAGTCAGAGACAACGATGATCTCGAACTTAATTTCAACAGCGCACCGGAATTTCAGTCTTTTTTAGAGTTTGAGCCAACGCATCTACCTGACGAACTTCCGATGGCATTCACTGTGCCAAACCAGACTCATCTCGTTACCATCGAAGCTGCCGAAGCCGCTGCGATCGAACTGTATTCTCAAATGTTTCTCGAGCACGTACATCAACCGTTCGATATAAACGACCATCACATGAGGCGTCTCATGGATCACGCGGACGAAACAGACGTGAATGCGTTCTCCAATGCGTTTCGTACAAGACTCCACCAACTGATCCAGTCGTCCCGTCAACAACAACTGGAAGGAGTGATACCAGACCTTATATTACCTCCTGCGCCGGAAATCTTCACATCGCACGCTCTCGGCGATCACGATCGTTGGTTAGAACAATTCCCAGTTCCAGAGGAAATGATCAATGCCACGCCTCCGTATCAGTTTCTTCCCGATGAGCAACTCTCAGTTGATCACGGCCCGTACCAAGACATTGAGTCATTGGACTTTCTATATACTGGTCTCACATTTGACCCGGAATCCGACTTCCCACCAACGCAATACCCCATGGGGCCAATAAGCCTCGATGGAACTCAGACAACGATCTCTGTGTAGTTTGGGTTTGTAACTCTCTCACATTTCGCATGACGTTCCTAAGAAGCATAACAAGTGTATCACTGTAGGCTACGACAAAAGGATGGGCTGTATCACGACTTCATGGCAAACAAGAAAGTCTCGTTTCATTTGGGGGTTTTCGTCTTGACCTTTAATGTTTGTACCCTAAAATATCAGATACTAGAATTCCGATTTAGAGAAATAGTATTCTTCACGAAGCATGTCTCGCCCCGCCAAATCCTAAACGTTCCAAGGCATCCAGCCCCCAAAGCGCCCAGTGACCGACCAACTGGCGTCTGGTTTGGCGGTCATTTCGGCGACTAGCTCAGCGAAACGGCTCTCGGCCTTGCGGGGCATCGCACAGAGAGCCACAATCACCGTTTCCAGCTGTATTTCGCGTCTACCATTGTGCATGAGATTGCCCACTGTGCTATGTTCTGGGCACATGAATACCCAGGTCGCGAACCCTTGTACCACCCCGGCAATGTAGCTTCAGAGGGCTTGAGCACACACGACCTTCTCGAGGCTGGTTTTGCGTGGGAGCTGTTTGCGTTCGGGGGGATGTCGATATCGCTTAGTCTGGCTATGATGGATAATCATGATGTGCTTGTAATGTGCCATGCGTCTCAAGACCAGGACCACATAATTTGTCGGATTGACTTGGGTTGTTTCAATGTATTGATAGTGAAGTGGGTAGATGCGTGGTTCCTGGAGAAAACGCGGGAACGCATTGCGAAAGAAGGCCATGCCTTCATGGTCTGAGATGCGAAGCGGATGAAATACCTAAGAGGTAATGCGAAGGCTGCGATCCTTGTCGAAGGTGCCAAGAAGCATAACGTCGTCCTGAAGGACGAAAGAGAGCGGAAAGACTTTGTCTTCGAGACGTGTGGCAGTAATGGCTAAGTCGTACAGTCAAGGTCTGCAAGCAGTATTTCAGCGATATATCAGGAATCGTGGTACTGTCGGTTTCATTCTAGCGGCGTCTTCTTTACTGTAGAGAGCATGTATCAAAGCTACTTTGTTGATCTTCAGTTGCTCTGAGTGGCCCACGACGATCCTTTCGTAGCTTTACCAAATCGCACTGGGCGTCGAAGAACACGAGTGGTGAAAGTCTCTAACGTCTGGTGCGCACAACGCGCCAGGCAACAACCTAAACCAGATCGATAGATAGGATATCGAAATACAAAGCCGACAGTGAGGCATATCAATGCTTTATCGTGGTCCACAAGCGCCGGTGAGTATTGCAGTCGAAACCCAGCGTCCTCATCCAATCAATCGCCGCGCCACATGCATGGCTGCATATGTACCACATTTCCCCTCATCATCAAGGCACCCAAAAAGTTCAGCCTCGTCAACATCCAGCTACAAAAAGCAACTTAAATCCAAACCATACCTCCTCTCAAAACAACACAGCTTGGGAATCAACCAAACCGACACCACCAACGCCATGTCAGAAGCCATCATCGCCTGGATCGCTGAGCATCCCTACCAAACATTCTTCCATGTGGTAAACGGTGTCGTTCTTCTCACACCCGCTGCTGCCACTGTTCCGATCTTTGCTACGCTAGGACTAAGTGCTGGTGGACCTGTTGGAGGTATGTCGCACCATTGGTTCAGCTTCCTCTTACAACGACTAACATCAATCAGGCTCGGCGGCAGCGGCGATTATGAGTTATTTCAGCTTCGTGCCTGCTGGAGGCATATATGCCATGGCTCAGAGCGCGGCTATGGGTGGTTACGGGGCGAGCATTGCTGCTGGTGCGGCGCAGGCTGGAGCTGTTGTTAGTTCGGCGGCGGCGTACTTGATGGGCCGATAGGGTTGCGATGGTGGAGTTTGTTCTGTGGTTCTGTGGTTATAGAAATAGAAGTTCTACGTTAGTTACTCATCGTCCTCTTCCTCACAAGACACGCTTTCGCTTTCGCTCTCATCGCCACGTCCAGTTTCAGAACATATCCTTACTGTTCTATCGGGATTTGTCTTCTTCCTCTCTACCGTAGGCAACCAGGCCCTAACGGACAGTACTTTTCTGACGTAGTGCGAACATTGCACTTCTTTAATCCATAGTTGATCGTCCTTGCAATTATGTTCAATCATGGCATCTGCTTTCAGCTCGTCGACGGTACATCGAATTATACCACTGGAGATGTGAGCAACATCGACATTTGTTTCGAGAGTGACTTTCGAAATGGTGGAAAGGTGTTGAAGGAACACATGTCTGCGAAGCTTTCAATTTGGACTGTTCAGGTACAGCTTGCGAACGAGCCAATGACATCAGGACCTCGGTTGTTCTATTAGGCTAAGCACCATGCACGTGATGTAAGCCAACAGGTATATACACATTCCCAAACTCTGTAAGCTGAACGTTCTCTAACTCTACTATAGCTAAAGTCTTCACATAACCACAGTCGAACCATCATCCTCACCAGAGAATACATCATTCAACACCGACCATGGAGCCCTCGATAACACCCCCACCCACCACCATCTCAAAGCCGCTCTCCGAGTTCCAAACCGTAGGCCACAACACCTATCTCTGGACTCCTCCTACTACCAAAGCCACCACCAAACCACCATTTATCCTACTCTTCTCATGGAACGCCGCCGCCGCAAAACACATCGCAAAATACACCTTCTCTTACCAAACGCGATTCCCCACATCTCAAATCCTGCTGATCCGCTGTGAAACAGCGGACATATTCCGCCACACCACTTCCAGCGCAAAGTTACTCCAGCCCGCCATAGAAATTGTCTCCTCGCACACCCAGGATGGTGGAGAGGTGCTGGTACACAGTTTCTCCAATGGGGGCGGGAACCAAGTCAACGAGTTTGCCAAAGCGTGGAAAAGGAGATTTGGGACAATGATGCCGATGCGGTGTCACATTATGGACTCTAGTCCCACGAAGGGGCCATGGATGAAGAGTCATGCTGCGATTGCGGCGTCGTTGCCGAAGACGTGGGGGTGGAGGATGTTTGGGGGCGTGTTGGTGCATTTGCTTCTTGTGCTGACGTTTGTGACTAACGTGGTGATGTGGAAGGAGAATAAGATGGTTGTACTGTGTCGGGAGATAAATGATGAGCAGGTGTTTGATAGGAGTGTGCCGAGGGTGTATTTGTATAGTCGCACGGATCAAATGGTGGGGTGGGAGGAGGTTGAGGAGCATGCAGCGATTGCGAAACGGAAGGGGTTTGATGTGACCATGGTGAGGTTCGAAAAGAGTGCGCACTGTGGACATGTGAGGGAAGATGAGGGGAAGTATTGGGATGCGGTGTTGGAGGCATGGAAGGCAGGACCGGGAGAGAGATAGATTTGGTGATGATAGATGCTGATAGCCTCGATACCCTGGATCAACAATAGATAGAAATGGCTCTAAGCAAGAGCGAAGATGTATGTATTGGATGCTGTGTTGCTTATAGTCGAGCAGCAACAAGACTGAGGTAGATATTCCAGATAAGCCCGCAGAAGCTGAGGAACATGATACGGCGCTCGACGGGGATATATGTGGTGCTGAAGAAGTTCGCAATGGGCCAGACCTTGTACGAGTCGAAGATGAGACCGAATAGCTCCTGCACAGTTGTTAGCATATCGCACTAACAGCACTCAAAAGTTCGGGAAAGTACTTACGTTTCTGAAATCTAGCACAATCAATGCCATAGTCTTGCCCTTCATGATGCCAAATAATATCAGAAACATCGACTGATTCAACAGCGCACCCATCGTGATACACTATCCTCGTCAGCACAATTCTTCCACCCTATCATCTCAAGACACAACTTACATCCGTAAACCACTTCCTAAAGATATTCCACCAGTTCCTCACCTTCACCTCCTCGACGCCCCTCTTATCCTCTCCATCTTCTTTCAATCCCAGCGCTTTCTCCTCGTCCGCACCGCTTGGCTGTGTGACCACCTTCCATCCTGGAAACCTGCGCTCAAGCCAATTCTGCCAATGGTAGTTTATTGGCGCGGTGAGCGCCACCATAAACGCGAACTGGAGGAACAGCACGCGGTCGAAGACAAAGGGTTTTTCGTCGCGCCATGCTTTCAGGCGTTGCGCGATTACATTGGAACAGCAATCGATTGCGAGAGCAGAGAGGCAGGCGACGACGATTGGGGGGAGCTTCATGACGAGGCTGGGTGTCCGAGCGTGTTGTGAGATGTGAGGATCGTGAGTTGAAGTGAGGGGTCAGCGCGGGAGCGTCAGCATCGATGTATAGTTGCTGCAGCTGGGATTGTCAACGAGGGATACCGAAGGTGCAAAAGCCTGGCAGGTAAGCAGGTGGGAAGAGCGGCATTACAGACTGCGTGTCGCTCCGTAATTCACTTCGGACCGCAAATTGATGATGCATCCTTCGGCACAATTGATGCCGAATCAGATGTTCGAGACGACGCGCCGAGCATGACTAATCTACGACGCGTTGGCTTGTTTTCGAGACGACGTGTCTGTAAATGTGTATTTTCTACGGCATTTGTGGGCTAGCAGTGGGGAAGGTGATTGGGAGTGTTTCAAGTTCAATTGGCCACCTATCGATTGCATCTTCTCGATCTCCGCAATTTGGCGAGTGCGGAACGCAAACAACACCTTGATGATATGGTGTAGAGATATCAGCTTTCGAAATCACAACACATCTTCAAGACATCTTAAAGCCCTTAAGTTCTCGGTGTGCGAATGCCTTAGATAAAAGGTATCCAGACTCGAGTAGTCTTCTTGTATACTTCGTAGTCGTGACCGAAAAATCCTATCAGATGCTTCTCTTCGTCTGTTCTCCGATTAGATGCTGGGGCTGTAGGTGGGATGGGAGAGATGAAGACATACGTGATATTCGTTGACTGAAGAACCACCACAGGACGCCGGTATAACCTAAGAAGGATACTACGTTGCCTAGCATGACTTGTGTTCCGATGCCCCACCAAAAGAAGCCAAAGTATGACGGATGGCGGAAGTAGGCGTACAGCCCGTTCGTTACCAGCTCATGGTCCTCCTTCTTGCGCGACTGGACTTTGTGATTGAAGTTGGTGCCTGCCTGCGCCATAGCAACGCTCCGAACGACCTGACCCACTATAATCATGGCGATACCCAGCGCAATTACCGACGGAGTGCTGACTCGAGTCTGCCACTTTGGAAAGAAGTAGGTTGTTATAAACGTCTCGATGAAAGCCATTCCATGGGCTATGCGATACTGAGTGCCATTCGTGAGGAGGAACGAGGACACGAATGCTCCCGGGGTGTTGTATCCGGCCGTTGTGTAGAACTCAAGGAAGTGAAATATAGACAGCGTTCCGAGGAAGAAGCAAGGACGCCAGAACTGGCTACCATGGTATGCAAGGAGCGCCGTCATGAGGAAGCCAAACACGGCAGCACATCCTAGACAGAAGGCACGCACCGCAATTCCTACGAGCGAGCGCTTTCCCCCAGGAAAAAACTCAAGCGTGATAGCATCGACGCTCTTTGTTTGTACGTTGGACGCTTCTCGAGCTCGTAGCTTCGTGTCTAGTTCGGGTGTCCACTCGCCCGGCTGTGTAGGACGGTTGACAGGAAAAGAGATGTCGACGTGCGACGGGGCGACTGATCCGTTGGAGGCCATGATGTGTAGCTGGAATGGAGGGGACGCGGGGGCAGACGAGGGAGGAGGGTCAAGGCATAGTAAATGACAAGGGCAGGAAACCTCGGAGTGGACTACTGCAACAGCTCCTTTGGGCAACAGCAGCACAATAGTAACTTGCTGCAGGTTATCCCTTTGCCATTGTTTTCGAGGCGCGTCCGGGCTTCAGGCGGGACGATCATTTATTAGCGTGCCAAGCAAGCGTCAACCATCCTTTCTGCCTCATGGCCCATCCGGTTCACGTCGCTGTTACCCATCCCTCGACCGTCAGGCATCCAACATGGAACTCTCCGAGAATAAGCAACGGATGGCTCGCGGGGAACTCTATCATGCCTTCACTCCTGAGCTGATCGCAGAGCGAGCCCGCTGCAAGCGCGCATGTACTCGATATATTAATGCTGATGACATCTCGCGTCGAAAGCTCACTGAACTTTTTCGAGAGTATGTGATACACCGTGAATTTACGAAAGTGGTATCTTCAATCTTACGCCGCGATCAGTGTTGTTCAGGACAGGACACCATTGCCACCGCAAGCGTCAACTCCTGAAGAAGATGACAAGCTATTCGAAGACGATCCCTGGGTCGAGTCACCATTGGCCATGGACTACGGCTACAATGTTCGTCTCGGCAAGAACGTCTACGTCAATTTCAATTCCATCTTTGTCGATACGTGCCTAATCACCATTGGATCTCGCACGCTTGTAGGTCCGAACGTGTCATTCTACTCTGGCACTCACCCTCTAGATCCTGTCATCCGTCAGGGAACCCGCGGCCCAGAGCTTGGCAAGGAAATACATGTCGGTGAAGATTGTTGGATCGGTGGCAACGTGGTTGTCTGCCCTGGTGTCACCATCGCCAGAGGCAGCGTAGTCGGTGCCGGGAGCGTAGTGACCAAAGACGTCCCTGAGTTCACGGTCGTCGCAGGCAACCCTGCTAAGATCATTCGAAAAATCGTGACTTCTATGGATCCCACGTCGGGCGGTGCTGAATGGGGAGGTTGGCCCGTTGAACAAAACGGAGGTGGGAATTCCATGGCAGAGAGTTGAAACGGTTTTCGCTGCACTACAAAATCAAGTAAACTTGGACACTTGTCGTCACTTTACGCCTCCAACAAAGATGGAATATTCGAACGTCTGGAGTAGTAGTCTACTGACAATATGCTCCCGAGCGAAGAGCGGCTCATTGATCATACTGATCAAAACAACTCATCTTTGGGGCGAAGCGTTCGTTATGTTCGTTCTGCACCCTCGACTTTCACATTGCTCATTCGAATCTTGCATTCATTTGACAACTTCGCTTTCGTAATTACATCATGTTCGTCCTTGTGTGGAGTAGCAGGATCTTCTCCGTATTACAGATGTTCCAGAACGACTCGAAACCCAGCTCAGGCTTTCCCCGACTTTGACTTGCTACCCTTGGGGAACCTTATTTACAACGTCCTGACTCGCTATCTTAACTGCCGCTACCGGCAAAAGTAGAAATGCGCATAGCGTTTGTTTCACCACACGCATCAGCCGGAGGCGGGAGCTAAGGTATGATACACGACCTGATCGCTTCCCGTCTGCCAAGACTTGCGAAACCTCTCTCCAGACGCCATCAAAACAATAACATCGAACTCTGTAACAACATTCACGAAGCCTTTACACCTCTACCATGGGGTACCCGGCGGAAGTCGATCTTCATACTGAGCGATCTGCTCCAGCCGACATTCTGTCTGGCCCCAGAGAACACGGAGTTGTCTACCGTACCGTCTGCAACATTGCAAGGGCAAGGTTCGCCTAGTCAGTTCTGTTTAATGCTCCAAGGCTGCTTTGTTGCAGCTCGATGCCACGAAAATGAGGGTGTTTGTCTCACCACGAAGTGATGGTACATCTGAGGCAAGCGCACTTGACGGGGTATCAAGAAGGATACAAATATCCCACGATGCCACACCCGTTCTATTATCATCGGGCAGGTTCCTCAATCATTACGGGCTAATAATCTATATCCAGCATCTTCCAAATTTCTCTAATTCATTCCAAACTATCGTTTAACACATTGACTCAGTACTTTCACACAATATTCACCATGAAGTACATCATCCTCGCTTCTCTCCTTTCTTCGGCAGCTTTTGCTGTTCCCCTTGCTCAGCCGAACAGGGGTAACGGTAATACGGGCGCGACGACTGCAGGCCAGACGACTACGCAACAGGGTACTACAGTGAGTCTTAGAATGTCGCGTTCAACAAGACGAAAGACTAACGAGAAATTAAGGGCCAGCAGTCAACTCAACAGGGGACCAACGGTCAAACTAGCGGAACCCAGAATGTCAACACTGGAGGCGCTGCGACTGGCCAGACACCCACTGCAGGTGACCTCGCTACTGCTGTGTCCAACTGGATGGCCGACACTTCTATGGTGTCGAACTTTCTTAACACAGGCCCAAACATCCAGAACAATGCCCAGTTCAAGCAGGCTGCTCTCGTTGCGTTCAACGCTGAGGTCGACGAGCTCACTCACAAGGCTATCATCGACGCTGCCAACAGTGGTGATCCCAATGTCCAGGCTGCCAACAGCACCCTCGCCACTGGTGGAGCTTTCATGGATGTTGTCACCAAGCTCCAAGTGATGTCTGTTCAGGGTCGAGCTGCTGTTGCGAACATTGACTTGATCAATCAGAACCGTTGCGTCAACGGTAAGTTCTGTGATAGTGGGGGCCATGAATATCGCTAACACATCTCAGTTCTGCCCAACATCGACGCGTATATGGCTTCCACTGGTTCCAATTCTCAGGCTGTTCGTCCTATTGTTTGTGATCAGACTGGTATCGCAGGCGGCGTTCAGGGCACCGGAGCCACGCAGCCAGGCGCGGCCGCCGGTACTCCTAACGCCGCTTTCCTTGCTGCTAAAGCTCTTGCACAGGGCACTGGAAGCGGTCTTGTCGACAACGACGCAAACGGTATTCCCGCGGCCCAGGCTGCTGCGGCGGCTGGACTCACTCCTACAGGCCAGGCTACTGCGGGAACCATTCAAGGACAGCAGGGTCTTCAAGGAAACGGTACCGCAGGAACCACTCAGAGTCAGCAGGGTAGTGGTACCGCTGGAACTGCTACAGGTCAGCAAGGTACTGGCACGACGGGTGCCACCCAAAGTCAAACCAGTCCACAAAGCACCAGTACAGCGGCAGCCACCCAAGGCCAGACTGGCCAACAGAGCACCGGTACAGCGGGAACCACTCAGGGCCAGAAGGGTCAAACTGGACAGCAGACACAGACTGGTATGTTCTACCTAGCTTTTCACATATTTCACGTACTAAATTCTATTAAGGCAACAATGGGAACACCTCGCAGAGAGGTCAGCGAGCTAAGGCTGGCGGGTTCTTTGGACAGAACACTACCGGACAGCGAACCCAGTCAGCCCAGGGCCAGCGAGCGCAGCGGCAACAAGGCGGGGCCACAGCAGGAGGCGCTGGTCGCGGTGCGGGTGCTACTGGCGCTACGCAGTAAGCTGGCAATGAAATACGACTGGGAATGGAGGAGCGAGAGCGTTGTGCTGGACACGGATCACTCCTTTAATTTTCATCGATGTTTGATGAGTAATGGGTATGATGTAGATAACTTGTAGTTGTCTGGTTTGACGTGGAGGAATTGGCAAGATATAAGATGCTGGATATAGTTATTGGATAGGTCTTGGAAGCCTTGAGACTTGACTATTTCTTATGTTCTGTATCCTGGGCATTGTGAAGTAGAGAGCTGTCTTGTTCGAGTGATTGTAAGTTGCTGATCTTGCAATAGTGAAGTCATGGTACTCGAAAAAGCCTAATGAAACCCTAAAATGAAGGCCTCGTAAAGCGGTAATGATTTCAGAGTGGATGGTGGATTGGATGCGAGCGAAGTAGAGCCATCATTAAAACGAATTGTTTGATACATAGACTGCTGGAAATCTAGACTATCACATACGACCCTAGGAAACTGAACAGAGCCTTCTATATGCTCAGCTGTACACAAGCAGTCTATTCCCTTCTCAACAAGCTCCGAGAGTCAATCTGGGTGAGCGAAGTGCGACAACTTGTCACCGCGACAGCATGTGATCGCGTGTATGACGCCAGCACCAAGACTGTCGAGATGCTGAGAACTTTTCATAAGCTTATGTGTCTTTGCACAGTGCTATGGCTTAGCGTTACAAGGCTGGGAAGATACGACTTCTATTTGATACTTCTACGAGTCATTCTAAATATTGATTGGGACATTTTTTTCATTTTGAGATGTTCATGGCATGAAAAGGAAGACGAGGAGCGAGTCTGAAAAGATTCGTATTTGTAACATGAGCTGACTTGGTGAAGGTAATAAGTCGACATTGTTCGCTACAGTAGTCAGCTTAAGGGAATGGATTGTTCCATGTAGGCCTGTTGTTAGTCCACTCAGTCCTCAACGCATCAATCTTCCCAATAAAGGTCAACTCATTTTGTGCGTCTGCACCCCCACGATTCGCCATGTTACGTTGCGCTTGCGTCGCATAACCTTCTTCCAATGCTGACAGATATTCTTCAACAAGATTGAAGGCGTCGGTGATTGCCGTAGCTGCTCTTCCGCGCACGAAAGTATTCCATTCGGCTTGCAGGCCGAGTGGTCTCCATGTTCGTTGTTGGCCCCGGATGTCTTTCTGGTAGGTGTTGAGATATGTGTTTTCCAGCAGGTTCAGCCGGGTGCCAATGCGGTTTTTCTGTCGGACAAGGTTGCCTAGGATAGTCGGGTCGTTGTGATATCTGATGGCAGTGATTGAATTCTTCACATATTGGAAGAGATTATCGCCCCACCCTGCATAATCCTGCAGAGTATAACTGTTGTACGCCACGTCCTTGCCCCAATATCCTTCCTTGATACTGTTGACCTCTGCGTGGAGGAGCACGAACTCGTTCAGATAATTGTTTCCTGTACCAGGGAACTCATAGCCGACGTGATCGATAGGGTCTTTGGTAACCCCGTTGATGACTGGCTTATGTTGTGGCTTAACCTGGTACCAGAAGCTCTTGAGGCAGTTGCACGTCGGATATCCCTGGATGACAGGATTGTAACAATCAACAGTCGGATTGCGTTTCGCATAATCTTCGAAGAAGTCTGTAATCAACTGGAATTCTAGAATATGCTCGGTTGCATATTTAGGCGTGTCTGCAGGGAAGGGAATCTGTCCGAAGCCAAAGTCCGTGCATTGATTGGGGTTCGTATAGCCATATGCAAGAGCACCAGGAAGAGCCTGTAGAATGTCCAGTCAGTACTATGCTCCAAGATTCGAGGAGGCAGTGCTATCAGATAACTTACAGCTTGTAGTTCTCCAGAGGAGGGATAACTCAGGGACTTGATCACCATCTTGGCCCTTCCTTCGCAAAACGCGCCCTGTTTAGGAGCTGCACGCTTGTCCAAATGATGATAGGTTGTAACATCTCCGGCTGCACGCTTGGAAACATCACTTTTCCCACTTCCCGGAACTTGGGAAAGCTTGGCACATTCTGTGGTGCCATCTTCAGCGGGTTTTGGGGAGGTTGGACAAAGCAGATTCTGAAGATCGATATGGAACGGTGGACCCCACGGAACTGCTCGTCTCCCAAGAGTGTGCGTGCTGGTAGATGCCATGTCACCCTCTCGATGAGATGAGTTATTCAGGGTGTCGGCGCGGCGACCAATCGAAAGTAAATCCCGTCTGGTAGGCTGGCCAGTTCGAAGATCGGGACACTTGCCGCCGGGAATGATTGGAACCTCTCCCGAGCCTGGCAGATCCCATGTCTTCTTGCCCCAACCAAACTGCGAAGGAGTATCGACCTGCGCATATAGCTTCGCACCAAGAGTCATACCATACGTCCAAGGGCATGTTGCATCTGTGCTCTTGCCAACTCCGACTTCGAATCGAACGTATCCGTCCGCGACAACACCAGCCGTCGCAGCTCCCACCTTCCAGCGATCGTCAAAACGAATACCAAACTCAGCAATGGCCTTCAGGTGGGCTTCAGCCTTGCCTACGGCCCCGACTGCAGCATAGAATTGAGGCTCCAAGAGGCCGTTTTCGTTTCCAGAGTCTCCAGAATCGAGGTCATCTACGATCTTGGGTTCGTAGTCCTGGTCAGCGGCCGGGTATGTCTGGCGTACTTCCCAACCAGCGAGGTCTACCTTTGTCTCGATTTCAGCGGAGAGCGTCAAAGCAGCGTTGAACTCGCCAGCGACCCTCACGGACGGTCCAATCGTGACGATGCCTGGCACTCGGAATGATGCACCTGGGAACGGCAGTGTGAGGATAGTTTTCTCTCCTGATTCAACACTGACGCGGATAAGGGCCTCGAGTGTAAATGTCGCTGTTACCTTACCTTGATTCATGAAAGTAAGGTATGATTGGCTCAAGTCCAACGGGCTTCCTGGGCTGGCAAAGTTGAGCTTCGTGATAAGTGTGAATCCAAAGCTCGTGGAGACGCTGACGTCCGTCAAAGCTTGAACAAGGATGTGTGCGTTTAATTTGGTGTTGCCGTCGCCGCATTCGACCTTGTCATCAATAATCTTAGCAATGAATTGCTCTTTGACATTATGCGTAAACTCAGTCTTGATCTCAGGCTGGACCAGATTTTTGAGCCAGGCAATGATATCTGAACCAAACCATCGCTTGTGAAGGTCATTGTGGCTAAGCATGCCGCCATGGTAGTCGTCTCTCCATTCTTCCTCAAGCCACCTCTTGTGATTGCCGCCGACGTCTGAGAGTGATCGCTTGGCTTTGCGCTTGCTCGCCGCGGCAGCAACAACGTTGTCCCAGTAGTTGTCCTTATTCGAGAAGTCGATTCGCATGTGAGTCTCGCCAGAGTCACGAGGCACGCGACGGAACTCATAGTCGAAGGTGAGGTCGTACACCATTGGCTTCGCGTCCCCTGCTAGCCGTTTGACTAGGTGATGGGGTATGCTTTGCTCCTTTGATGGCACCATGGACTTCGCAACTGCGTAGCGACCTGCTCCGCATCCTGCCGGCATCTCAAGGATAGTGCCTGGTACGCCATGTCCCAGTCCAATCTTGTGACAATTGCTGTCTTCTGAATTATCTGTGCAGAACATCTGGATCGTTTGCTCCTCCTCACTGGAACCTCCTTTGCAATTGAAGAGCTCCCAATGTGATCCGTCGCGCTTGTCAAGAGACTGTTGAAGCTCTTCTGGGGACGCTAAGACAATGAATTGAAACGCAGCATCACCAGGATCACTATCAGTCTTTCCACCTTGGCCGCCAAATGTATCGTCGACTTCCAGTATGAAGTCGGTGTGGACATCGTCGCCTGTAGGTGGGTCCTTGAAAAGCCGGTCCAAGGGAACTGGTAAGAATAGTTGTTTGCCGTCTGTAGGATCGCAGCAGTAAACTCTCGATCTCTCCATGCGTGGAAAGCACGATTGCCCAGCCCCATATGGACTATCAGTAAGCTGCACTTGCTTTCCGACAGGACAGTGGTTATCGTAACATGTGTCGGAAGATCCAGGGTCACCGTACCAACGGCAGTTATCCCAGTTCTTTGCATCCTTTTTCGGGCAGCAGTATCTTTTCTGCATCTCCATGTCCTGCTTTTCGAGCCACCTGACCAACGGTGTGTCGAAAAGCGTTAGCGCATCGGCAAGATCAGCGATTGTACTCATGAAAGTACCAGAGAAGGTCATGGTTGTATCATCATTGTCGCAACTCTGGCCAACGCCAGCCCAGTAACAATCGTTCTCTTTTGCTGCGGGTGACTCGCAACAATACGCTTTGTTTCCATCTTCGCAGTACCGGCCATCGCCCCATTTGTTCATTTGGAGCATTACCTCATTGTCCTGACAATGGCCGTTGCACGAAGTGGGGTTGCCACGCCATTTACATTTTTTCGGGTCGGGTGCACTCGCGGTGGGACAGCACAGTTGACTGTCTTTTCCCTTAGAATGCCTTGTGACTGGTTTGGCGCCACCACAGGGCTGTTGAGTGATCTTGAAAAAGCCAGCTTTGCAGGTGCCACCGCAATCGGTTACGTAACAATCAGGCACGGTAGCATCGTCCCAGTAGGAAGCGTCATCGGCAGTCATAGCCAGAGCTTTGATTGATTTGGGGCTGACCACTGCGTTGAGAGCTTCCAGATCGTCAGTGTCTTGATCAATTGCCCAGATAAGTAAGCCGCCGACCCCCAGCTTGTTGGCGAAATCGATCTTGGCTTTGAATGTTTCCTCATCATCATACGAGACCCACTGATCTTGATTCCATGTTATGTACTTGACGGCAGCTTCTTTGTCATGGTAAGGCTTGATATTGTGTTGTTTGATGATGTCTTGGATCTCCTTATAAGTGAGGGTTCCAGAGTTCTTAGAGCATGGTCCTGGAGCTGCACCACCTTTGAAATTGCATCCTGGTTGGTAACATGCAGTGTTCGACAACTGAAAGCTTCGACCATAGAATCCTAGGCCAAGATTCAGCTTCTCGGGCTTGATATCGTTGCGCCAGAAGAGGTCGAGGGCGAGTTTGATCTCTGTCAGGTTCGAATGCCCGTAAATGTGGTTGCCAATTGGGTTCGTAGAGTCCCAAATGCCGTGCAAGTCGTAGCTCATAACGTTAATAAAGTCTACATAGTCCACAGCCTTGAGATCGAAATGCCTGAGGTACCAAAAGCTGGTTGGGACCGTAAAGGAAACAACGTAGTGCATCTGTTGTTCCTTGTTGGCCTCGTCCAATTCCTTCAAGAAGGTAACGAAATTTTTGCCATCATCGGGTCGGCCGCCGCGGTCAGGGGCTCCGGGATATTCCCAATCAAAATCGACTCCATCAAATGCATACTGACGCAAGAACGCGAACAGTTTCTTGATGAACTTGGCTCGGTTCGTTGAGGTGCTGACCATATCACTGAACACCGGCTGAGTCGCGGTACCGTTGTCATTGAAGGTCCAACCGCCTAGAGAAATCACGGTTTTGAGGCCAGGGTTACTTTTCTTCACTTCTGTGAACTGCGAGAAAAGATCCGGTTCCAGGTCGTCCATGGGTACCAGATCAAAATCGCCGGGAGAGATGTAACCGAAAGAGAAGTACAAATGCGTTAGGGCACCAGTTGGGATATTATTGAAATCCTGTAAGATATGTCAGTCAAGTATGAATTAACGTATGAGGAGGGATGTAGGGTCTGTACCATCCCCTGGCATTTTCTGTCGTGTGCCCATGCTTCATAGTAACCGATAACTCTCTTCTGAACGTCACCTCCAGAGCTACCTGATCCGGGTTGATCACAATTGCTTTGACAGCTAGGTTCCTCTTCAGTTCCCTTGTCGCAGAACTCATCTGTCATCCCGCAAAAACTATGAGAATTTAGCGGAAGCAAGTGCAACATTTGGACTTGGTTATATACCCGAACTTAGAGCAGCACACATTCAATGCACATTTCTTGCCTGGTGGATCGGAATCTCTACCACACTCTGCCTTGGCATGGCAATTTGACCAGCAAACTTCGTTAGGGCTTTGACCGTTCGTACCACAGTATTTCTCGCCATAATTACAGTATCCAGTCGCTTTTGGACAGCAGGCCCCGTTCTTACATGGCTTGGACTCAGAGCACGAATAGTCGTCTTCGGCCCTTGACTCAAGTGATCGCGGGAAAAGGTCAATACCTGGCGCGACAGGACATATCGGTGCATCTTCATCACGCTGTAGCTTGGCGGAATAATCAAAAGGTCTAGAGTTTGGTTAGCACGATGTATATGTGGGAATGCAGGATCAATTTGCGGCTCCCTCAGAATATCTAAGGCTCTGACGGTTCACAAATTGCTTCGCACTCTACTTATGAGTGATGTCCTTGTACATACGAGACTGGATTCTTGCAAATCGGTGCAATGGCTTTCTTATGAAAATGAGAGTGAGAATGAGCGTGTGTCCGTGGTAAAGCAGTAGTGAATGGTATTGTGCAGAGAACGATAGTCCATAACCAAAGGATGAACGCTTTTCGAGCCATATCGCGCGAAGAGCCTAAGTAAAAGAAAGAATGGAAGGGTTGAAACCTGAGAGCTGTTGAGGGTAGACCTCATTTTGGAGATATGTAAATACTTCTGCTCTCAAGATTCATTCCACTAACCAGGTGAGACTGGTGCACCCTGTAAGGGACATGCGTCAGAAGTGGATGACCGGGATGTGTTCAAGCCAGCTTCTCCGCCTTAGTGGGTCCCTGGAGCACCGTCGTTACGCTAATCAGGTGCTAGATAGATTGACTTTTCCTGCCAGGTACTGGCACCTCGGGAGCGACCCTTGTTAGAAGCTGGCAAATCATCAGTCGCAGGTCAAAGTTTTTACAGTAGAGGTTCTCAATTGCCGAACTATAACAGGGGTCCTTCCCGACAAGCCAATAGTAATACACTAGAAGCATGCACGTAGCTATATCTATCAGCAGAAAGCCTTGTAAGGCCACCCACCAGGACAATTAGCTAGGATATGGATAAGTATGAAAGAGCAAAGATTGTTGCTTGAAACTTTAGCGCTTACTTCCTTTAGCAACATTTAATAGTATGGGACAGACTAAGGTCAGATCGGTTGTTTCGTCCTATGAAGATTGTCGGACTGCCAGGGAATTTCCAGACCAGGGGCGCGGCGGCACTTTAGTCAGTGGTTCGAAGTCTGCGGCGTATGTATAAAGCTGAGTGCTGGTCGAAGTCCTTGAAGTTTGTTTCCCTAGTTGTGGCCGACACACCTGATATATTTGCAGAGGTAGTTTGGAAATGTAATGTGACTGTAGACTTAATCGAGGCGAGAGGTCTGCAATCTGCAACCCTGAAATGCCAAGATCGCACTTTTACGCCCCGATACTAGAGTCATTGGAATTAACCACACTACTTTGGCGAAACGCTTGGCACCATCAGATTGCCGGTAGGCCGTAGATGGCTTCAGCCTGAGCCCCATCTTTTCCCCTGCGTTAGCTTGTGATTGGCACACATGAGGCCCCATTACCTGGGTAGTCAAGCACGCGGTGCGATACTAATTTCAAGTCCTATCTCGGGCCGCACCACTAGCGCATCCACTTCGCAGCTTGATCTTACAGTTAGTCATTCGTCCTTCCTGATCCGGTATATTGTGAGGTCAACTCCCTGGTCCTTGTCTAGTATCTGGTCAATTTGGCAAGGTTTTACCATAGATATAGATTGCTCCCAATTCCGAGTTGGAGGCCTGAAAACCCTTATTCATCAAAATGTCGGCGACCTGGACCCGTGAACTTCTTTTACTGGGGCAGGCCCATGTAAGATCGGCTCATGTCATGTCTCGAGATGCCGGATGTACCCACATGACAACCCTCTTGCAATGATGTATACTAACTTAGACATCCGACTTCGTACCTGTGTGAAGGGAGGCACCTTAAGCTGTCAGTCTTGAACTCTTTTGTGCAGTTTTCTGCAGACCACACTCTTTTGGTATCGTTATCCTCAAGACACTTCAATTGGGAGACTGCATCAACGATGGCCTTCCAATGGCTTTTGCCGCTCACGCTCGTTTTCCGAGCAGCTCATGCGCTTCCATTCTTTACCAACGGGACGATACCTACTAATCTGACAACTACATGCGCAAATGCACTACTTACAGATGTCATACAATGTCCCCCAACAGCTGCTCGTTTCATGAACGGCTTTTATTATCCGCCAGCGACTTTGGAGAAAGCTTGCACCAGCGCCTGCTCCACGGCGCTGGAACAATACGAAACTCAGGTTAGGACTGCTTGTGTAGGGCAGACCTGGGCTGGCTATGACGATGAGAATGATGCCCCTCTCGACATGATCCCCAATCTGATGCGATACAATTGGGATTTGGCTTGCATTCAGGACTCCGGGCGATGGTGCAACGTAGTCGCTGCAGCGGCCGCGGTGCAAGCAGATCCGGGCCGTACGTATCTTGGTCTCACTGCTGCACGGGTACTGACAACCAACAGAGAGTCCTGTCGGATGGGACAGCACACCCCCCACTGATGTGCAGTTTTCAGGACCCTGTGACTTGTGCTTCATCAAGAACCTTCAGAAGCAGGCTGGATCGCCCTATTACTATGGACCACAATTACAGTCAAGCTCAATCTATCAATCCAAGACGTCAAGCTGCGGAGTGGCCGGTTATCCTTTGACTACTTCGACTTTACCTTGGTCATTGTACGTTAGCCACCTCGGTTGCATTCGTTTGCCCTAGTTGACATCGTGAACAGGCCACAAGCTGCAACTCCAACACCTTCATCGTGTGCTGGTAAAAAGTATACCGTTGCCTCTGGGGACGACTGCTACAAGGTCTCCAAAACCAATGGCATTGGAACGGCGTGGCTACTCTCGGACAACAACCTTGCTGCTTACTGCAGCGAATTTCCCACGAGTGGTGAACTATGCATCCAGAATACTTGTGAGATTTATACAGTAAATACTACTGATACTTGTGAGTCCATGGCGAAGTCTAACAACATAACAATTGCACAACTCAAGGCCTGGAACCCAGTAAGTTGGCGTTGTTCGGCCTATCACAACTTCAAATGAGCTGCTAACGTCTATAGATCATCAATGCTGGATGTCACAATCTCTATAAGATGAATGAGACATCAATTTGTGTGTCGAATCCTGGTGAGGCCTACGTGACACCTCCAGCGTCGCCTCCACTCGCCCCGAGCACAGCGACCTCGGCGGCTCCAGTTCCAACGAATGCCAAAGACGAATCGAACAGAAATTGTGGATCTTGGTACAATGTAGAGGAAGGCGACTACTGCAATCTAGTCACGATGAGATATGGACTTTCCTTGGAAGACTTCGTGTTCTTGAATCCTTCACTTAACTCGAATTGCACGAACCTGCTATTAGACATCAGTTACTGTGTTGCACCTGTTGGTGATAGTAAGTCAGCTACTGCATCTCAAAATCCACCATTGCTAACACAGGTTTAGTCAACGATTACTCAGGGCGTCCGGGTTATCATACACCCGGCGCGACAGGCTTGCCGTTCACTAAAGTCACCTTTGCCCCCGCGAGCACAACCTGGACGCCGCAAATCACAAGGGTTCCTTTCGCTTCAGGAACACGCGATGATTGCTACCGCTACTTTGACGGCTCGCGAATGCAGACTGATATCTCGGGTACAAACTTTCGCCATCAGTGTGACTTAGCAGCGTCTGTATATGATGTGTCACTCGAAGAAATACTGCTCTGGAATCCTGACCTAGGAACCGATGTTAATACCACAAGCTGTAGTTTCAAAGAAGGTGTACGTTATTGCGGTAGGTTTTATGTTGATCAGCCACCTACTCCAGTAGAAGGTCCAGAGTTCTCTTTCCCCCTTAGGGTCAGTTATCCAGTTCCAAGAGAATGTAGTCATGCCACTAACAATCGTCCTACAGGAGGGATACGATGTCAATTGTACCGACTTTGCGGACGTTCCCAAAGACTTTACATGTAGCGATGTACTCGATGTTTTCGAACTAACCATCGCACAATTCTATAGAATGAATCCAGCCGTAGGCCCGGATTGTTCAAACCTTTGGACGGAACAGGCTTACTGTATGGCTTCGCCCAATACGCCAGCACCCAGTCCGAGCACAAGCATTCTCTCAGTAGCACCTAGCAGCACCTCCATGCTAGGTCCTAGTGCACCGACCCATACCGGACAGCCTGCGAGTAAGTTGTTCTCTATCAGATGATGTTGGCGCAAGATTGGAATGCTAACACAAGTCCGTAGACTGTGTCAAATGGCACACGGTCGTTGATGGTGACAACTGTGCCAGCGTTGCCGACGAATATTTCATCACCCTGGAACAATTCTTTGCCTGGAATCCGGCTGTCTCTAGCGACTGCACGACAAACTTTTGGAAAGACCAAGCGTACTGTGTGGGGACTTCCGATTCAATCAGCATCAGCCGTTCTGCTCAACCAACGCCAACACCGACAAGTGGCCTCGTGGTTCCGACTCCCAACCAGCCGAATAATGTGGTCAGTGATTGTAACAAGGTCGCACAAGCTTTGGAAGGAGACTATTGCTATGTAAGTCAATCTCTTTACCTCCTCAAGTGTCTTCGATTAACGAGTCATGACAGCTGTTTGCCGAACGCAATGGAATCACTACGACGCAACTGTATGCATGGAATCGAGTACTCGAGAACGGCGATGCTTGTGGTAGCTCATTTTGGAAGGACTATTGGTATTGTATCGGCGTAGGAGCGTGAAGTCATTCAAGTTTCCGTGCTAGGTGCTGATAGTAAACATCCTCGCACACCAGCTTGACGCCATCACAATGAACACATAATCCATGGTGACCTGGACTCCGGTTGAATGATGTATACGGCCATATACTATGTGCTAGGTTATAACGTAACATGCTCATTGTCGTAATTGTGATCACTAATCGCATTGCTTTTCACAGGGCTCAGTGACTATTGCTGAGAACAGCAGGCTCACGGGGAGTGGTGCAGTATAGAGCTGATGATAATGCATATCTTCATTTGAACATGTCGACGGTGTGGACGCTACCTCAGGTACATCAGCAACTAGCATTAGCCGCTTTAGCCCCTTGGCATTGTTTCATGCTTCACCTGTAGATATATAGTGTTGCGTTTCCCTGCACCCAATCCACCACATGAATTTATCATACTATAACAACAAAGGACATTTTTTGGGGTTCTGAATACCGCCATGGAGAAGTTACCGCAAGAACTCATCAACAAAATTGTTCTGTATCTAGAACGCTATCCGAATCAGCCACAAGTCCCGATAATCGAACAGCAGAGTCGAGAACCTTCGAAGCTCCCACCGTATGCGATGATTTCTAGCCACTGGAGAGAGGCTGTCGAATTTGTTACGTTCCACAGGCTGCTCATCAAGAGTGATGAGCTGAGTCAACTTCGAGCCATCGTGACAGGCAATCGTCGCAAATATCTAACGAAGCTGCGCTTCATAATCCTGATCCCAGAGTACTCAGAAGAACAATGCGGACGCGTTGAGTCGAAAGAAGAACAGCAGTCCAACAATGAATGCTTCACCCAGATCATCGTAGATTTATTCTCTACTTTGAGGCAGTGGGAGGATGCAGGTCTACTGTGTGGACTACGATTGCAACTAGAGCATGTGCATTCCCCAATTGATCTTCGCGACCGCAACCAAATCCGACTTGAGATAGCGCAGGGCAAGCGCGACAGAGACATCTTCGAAAAACGATGGGAAGACTCCTATCTTGATCTCTCCGAGTCTAACAAGATACCGACACTTTCGAACCTTACTTATCTCAACGTCCAAGGCAGCCTCGTCCGGAAACTTGCGCCTGCAGTCGGACCTCGTCTTGCAGCATTTCTACCTAATGTGACAAGTCTATTCTGGAATTTCGGAGAGGGAGGCGATCATCTGATCAACGTTGAAAACAGGACCACATTCGCGAAGATGCTCGAGCAGACGAAGCTTCAGCAGCGCTCTGTGGCCGAGATCGATTTCCATTCAGAGACTCCATCGGATCAACGGCTGGCAGTACCTTCACGTATACCACCAGGCGCACTATATGATCCGTTCAGTGCCTCCCTGCGTGTCTTTTCACAGAATCTCACATCCCTTGCCCTAAGAGGCTATTTCGATTCAACTCTATTTTGGCCATCAAGCCACGAGACATGCTCCACGCCCACCTGGCCCTTTCTCAAAACACTCAAAGTCTTCTTCAACATGGCAACTCCATCTGGTGACTGGTACTTTGACGGATCGACTGCATCGTCTGATGAGCAGTTTCGCGAGCATGGTAATCCGAAAACTTTGGATCCGTTCCTCACTGCGTTCGCGAAGGCTGTGCAGAGAATGCCTGTCCTCACACATTTCGTGCTCGAGACTGAGCTTGGCTACGACACAGGCTTTTGGGATATATCCTACCACGCGCCTGGCCAGAGAGCGGAGACGGGAGATGAGAGCGAAGATGATGTCGGGGTTCGGCGGGTGTATTATACGGTCGGGGAATTATGGAGACCAGATTATTTCATTGCAGAAGCTTTTCGAGGTATCGGGCGGGAAATCCATGGGTCAGAACTGATTGAGAGATTTCTCGAGCCCAGGTCTTGGACACTTGACTGTTCTATGTTTTCATTTCTATGCTAACCACTTTGGATGGTGGTCCTTCCTTATCTGGTGCAGTCTCGATGGGACCTCCGTCAAAGACAGATATCTGTCCTCCCGAGGCTTGGATTTTATTTACACGTCGTCGGACATTCACAAGCCTTTGCTATCGTGGTCCTCTATTTCTTTTTTGAACGCGGTTGTAGTCACCATAGCCATGTTTATGGGAACAGTGAGGCCTTAAACCTTAAGTCTCCAATAGGTATCGTCACGATATTAAATCTCCTATGCACGTGATGTTTTGGGAGTTTCTGACTGGAGAGTGTTTGCTCTACTGCCGATCTGCGGCCGAACCCAGGCGAAACATCGTTTGTGGTGTTTGAAATGGTTGCCGAGGATGCTGCACTCGTCATTCTACAGTTTCATGTTTGGTGGTTTGAGAAGTGGGTTCGAAGGATTTCGAGGCGCTTTTTCTTCTTGAAGACGCGAGAACAACCTTGAATATTCTCTCACTCAGTTTTGACATTCAAGCAGAGTACGTTCACTTCCACTAAGTGTTCAGCTGTTAGCTGCATGATGACGACGCGAAGTCGCGTGACGCGCTACATTTCGCCTATGCATCCTCTTTGTAGCGTGCAGATGCCGACAACCTGCACGCCGGTGAAGCTGATCTCACCGCTGTTGCGACCTGATGGGCGGCGCTGCCTGTGTCGAGATGCATGCGCTGGCACATGACGAATTGTAGCCGCCAAGCGCGTCCGCCGACTACAGACGAGTAGCTTGCGAGCTGAACAAGCTGACAAGCTTTCCCATCGCAGTACCTCATCGTCCCAATGGCTGAGGGCGAGCGCGCTGGTGGAGTGCAGAGCGATCTGGAGAAGGAATTGACGTGCTCGGTAAGTCGAGGTTCATGTTTCGGAGGTGTGCGGAGGGGCAAGGCGAGGCGGTCTGAGAACGCCGCGACTACGGTGATGAGCCAGAGGTGTTGCGGGTAGCTGCGCAAGAGGTGATTAGCTGCCTAGGTGAGGCACATGGAAAACGGTAGCTGGGTCGTTCCTTCTGTTTCGGTCCGGCGCGCAACTGGGATATTCCTGCTAACCATCGCGACCTCAGATTTGTACGGATCTTCTCTTCCAACCGCTTACCCTCCTCGACTGCCTGCACACCTTCTGCGGCGCGTGTCTGAAAGAATGGTTCGCCTTCCAGGCTTCGGCTGCAACCTCGATACATCCGTATACATGCCCATCATGTCGCGCCTCGGTGCGCACGACGCAGCCCAACGCCATGTCCACCTCGCTCCTCGACATATTCCTCAAAGGGAATCCAGGGAGAGGGAAAACCGAGGAGGAAAAACAGGCTGATCGAGAGAGGTACAAGCCTGGAGATGTTGTGCTGCCAAAGCTCAGGCGGCGGGGAGAGCGCGATGATGATGAGCGCAGGATGCTGGAAGATGTACAGGCGCAGAGTCTGAGAGACGTGGGCATACCAAACGGGAGCAGCAGAAGTCTGGAGTTGCCTAGGGAGCGAAGGAGGAGGGAAAGGAGCCGTGAAGGGAGCAGGGAGTCACGGAGGAGTCGCGATGAAAGGCAACCAACGAGTCGTAATGCACCAGGAGCCTCGCCGGAAAGGGCTGTCATTCCTTCCAGGGTCATCGAGCACCAGTCGAGCCTACGTTCTCTACTCAGTGCGTCAGACCTCGACTCGATTGACGTTGACGAAGACCTTGTGCGTCAAGTCCTGGAGGAGCTGATGGCTGAGGGCGTCGACCTGAACGACATAGGCACTGCCCAAGAAGAAGAGATCACAGAGAGGATCGCCGAAGCTGTGCGCAGACGTCAGGCAGACAGGCAGGCAGAACGTCATCGAGAAAGGCGGGAAAGAAGAGAAAGACTAGCAAGAGAAGGATTGACCAGTTCATCTTCATCATCGTTACCTCCGCCAATTCGCAGCCCTCTTACGCGTGACGAGGAGGCCTCACACAGGAGGGGTCTGGTACGAACAGGGAGTGGAACATCGACTCCTCTGAACGTCCCGGGGCCTCCCATCTCTCGACCGGGTCTCATTGATGCTGCAAACCGTGGTGGTCGACTGCACCACCAACGATCCTCGAGTCTGGGGAGTTCGCGATCAACGAGACGATTGGAACGCCCGCCAACTCTCTCCACCACCTCGGCTAGACACAGCGATCCTGATCTGGAACGGCCATCACCCATTCGTCGTCAGTCTGATAATCAACAAAGAAGCGCACTCGACGCGCGACAACATTTTCGCAACAGTATCCAGACTGTCATGGCGTCTTCTGTACCCAACTCGCCACGCAACTCTCACTTTGAGATACCGAATAGTAGCCCGACTAGTTCTTTGGCTGTGGTAAACTCTCCATTACTCTCGCCTTCGGCCACTTCTACGGTCATACCCTCTCAACCCCAGACGCTGCGTCGTACTACTGAACCAAGTGGAACGAGACGACCTCGATCTTTCGCCAATGGAACACCTCCTCTGGCATCGCCACCTACTTTTTCTCGCGCTACAACAGATCCAGCCGCCAACGAAATTCATCCAAGGCAGTCTGCTGGATCCGTACATATGCCTCCTGTTTTGTACACAGAACCGCGGATATCGTGCAATTCATGCGGCAAAGATCATATCGAGCACGAGCTTCATTACAATTGCTCACGATGCGATGATGGTAACTACAATATCTGCCTACGATGTTATCGTCTCCGCAAAGGATGCAAGTATTGGTTTGGTTTCGGGTGGAACGCGTGGCAAACCTACGAGCAGAGGACTCCAGCTGGCGGTTACCCTCCAAACCACGAGCATCCCCATATTCTTATCGGACATCGGTATCGAAGACCCCTGGTGGAGTTGAGTCAATCCACAAATCCATCGCGAGACCTCATGAGCGAAGAAGACCCCAAGAACAGACTAGAGGCAGGCGTCTTCTGCGACATGTGCAAAGCTTACGCCAACGCCTGCTACTGGAAGTGTGACTATTGCAACGAAGGCGACTGGGGCTTCTGCAACAGCTGTGTGAATCAAGGCCGACACTGCACACATCCCCTTCTTCCCATAGCTCACCAGGTACCTCAGCAAAAGCCAGATGTCACAGCATCTGCACCTTCGACACCTGGTCTCGCGTCACCAGACCGCGCCATGGAACCCACATCACCCCCCGTGACACCCCAATCTGCATCTCTTGTTCGCGGACCCGACCACATCACAATAGCCAACTCTATCTTCCGACCTCTCACATTCACGACTCTTTGCAACGTGTGCAGATACCCCATCCCGCCCTCCCACACACGATACCATTGTCTGCAATGCAACACAGGCGACTACGACATGTGCACAGGCTGCTACCACAAACTCGTCCTGTCATCTCGCATCTCGAAAGAAGACGGTATGAACGGGTGGCGCAAGTGCTTGCGCGGGCACCGTATGGTGATTGTCGGCTTCGAAGACCGCGACGGCGGGCAGAGACGCGTAGTCGTACGTGATCTTGTTGGCGGATGGGCGCTCAAAGACGGCGATTCCAGTGCTGGGAATATGCAACGTTTGCCGCCAGACGGGGGTGAGGGGTTGAAGGTCAGGGCCAGATGGGGATATTGGCCTGACGAGGGAGTTGAGGACGAATTGGCGTTTCCGAAGTTTGCGGAGATCAGGGAGGCCGCGGATGTCAATGGGGATTGGTTCTGGGGCGTGTATTGCGGGGCGAAAGGATTGTTCCCTGCCAACTATGTGGTGCCTGCTTGAGCACGCGGATGTGTTGGAGGCTTTTGAGACTCATAAGAGATATGGACTGCGCTGGTTTGTGGGATGTATATGTGGTGCTTTGGCACGATAATTTCTGGGCTGCAGCCAACTTCTCGCAAGATGTGTAAGCAGGATATATACATGGACGATAAGCGACGAGGAATATGATAAACCCCATCTACCGCACTGATCAACCTTTTTGTGACAGCTCAAACGATGGCCCGTGTCTCCATCCCAACATCAGCTATATATAGGGCCTTTCGTACGATTCCCTGCATCTTTCCACATCTACTCAAAACAGCGCTTCGTTTCTCAAAACTTTACATTCTCATATCTATGGCTCTGCAGAAAACTCAAAACAGACATAATCTGACCACATGATTTTTTCCTAGCACCCCTCCATAGCCAAGTCACCGGACCTCCTTCTCCTGTCCACCAAAAACCTCTTTTCTCCGTCGAAACAAAGTGCAAATTTCGCTATGCCTCTGCGGTGGTCTTCAAAATCCCGACGACATGAACTATGGGTCCTGCTTCGAAGTAACTAAAACTACACAAAGCCTGTTGATGGCTGTCTCTATCGTAGTCGAAACACCTAAAACGAGGCCGGGAAACTTTTCATGTGGTGCCTGAATCCAAAGACTGGTAGAAAATGGTCCGCTGCGCGTCTGGCTCCTAATAGCACTCACTCTTGTGCATCTTGACTGGCATTTTACTTCGAAAACAAGCAATTGCAGCAGCATGGAGATTCTCCAGTCAGTACTCATATGAGTATGTGGATGCTTCCGCCTTTTGCTCCTTACAGAGTTTGCACTCGTATATCCAAACCACCTCTCTGTCCATTTCAAAGATCGTTGCTAGAGAGGCATATGTTCCTCAAAATCAAGATAGTGTACGTCTTTCCCTGTTCTGTCGAAACCGTTACAGTCAAAGAACATGTGAGTCTTTGAGGAGCGTGTTCAGACAATAAATAAGCGAGTCAGTGCTGCTATGGGAGATCTAAACCTCCGCTGCAATCTTCACATGCTCTTTTGCCTTGGACCCTTTAATCTATGTCGACACCGAGATTGGAAACCCGGATTTGGAATACAAGCCGTGGCCCAATATGCGCGCTTCTTTTCGGTCTTTGCGATGATACGTTCCTTTTCTTGCTTCAAAACTTGTCGGAACCTACACATGTCTTCATAGAGACATGGGGATTTCCATTAAAAATACAGTAAAACTCGCATGAAGATTTGTAGTTTGAGGGTACAGAGTTCGACTACCTGGCTTGTTTCTGATACTCAAGTTCTGTTACTTTGGTCTAAACGACTCAAGTGCGGAGACTTGTCATAGACCAAAGGTTTATCCTAGTTGCGTGGCTTCCATATCTCACGTGCTTTGTATCGGCCTATGCCAACCACATGTATGAGATCAGCATTTAGCCTGCAAGGCCGCAAAATATTGTTCCTACTCAGCACTGTTCAAAAGCTACAAAAGAATGCATATGAAAGGTCCCTTCCCCTCTCTCCGTTCAATCACTCCAACACTCCTCTTCTTCTCTAAGCATTCCAAACCCATCTCGAGGAAATTCCATGTTTGAGAGTACCTAGAATTGGCAACAGAGTCAGGATGACCGAGACGTGCTTGGGTATATCAATTTCCCGTATTCTTATGTTAAAAGCCTGTCGAAAAGACAAAATGAGTTGAGAAGATAAGGGGCTGGGTCATATTTATTTTGGAACTCACGAAAACTGCACCTCATCTTTCTTTGTGGAACGAAAATGAAACTTAGCGCCAATACATGACTTCTGTGGAGCAGAACCTCGAGATTGCCAAATGATGAGAGAGCATGGTGCAGATAGTACAAAAATCTTACATCTCAGCCCTACGAATCATCTAAAGCACTTCCGACAAGCACATGAGAGAAGATTGGCTTTGCGTAAAAGACACAATGCAACCATTCATGCGTTGACGACGCCTTGATGTAACATGTCAACGCCAATGGTTTATTTCAAAAATGTAGGGCCGCAGTTCTATGTGTCTCCTCGCTTCTGTCAGATATGAGAAAAGAGCTTCGTGTCTGGGTGGACAAATCGATCTATTCCACAACGACTCTCTGCATCTATTCCCGTCCATTTACGCGGGTCAGAAAAAAGAGATTCAGTGCTACCTTTCCTCCAGAGATTGTTTTGGAATGTCTTCCTTTGTCTCAAGAACAGAGATCCGAGAAGAAACCGAAATGTCCGCAAAGGACTGGAACTGTGCACGAGCAGAACTTGGAGTTGAAGTTTCGTCTCAAAAACAGCATGTGTTATCTGATGAGGCACTGAGACGTTACATGACTCTCGCTACAGTGGTGTTGGTGGTGATCGTCATTGCTATCGAAACCATGAATCAATCACCGCGATCCGTTATCAGCACCCTAGCTATAGACCCCCTCTCGAAAGATTTGCTATGCACTTGGTATCTCCTAAGCTATTCAACAAAATATTTGGGTTGCCGAGTCTCAGCCTTTGTACACCGATAGCTTATGATGCTATCTTGATGACAGCTCGCCCAATAAGCTTCCCAGAATCCATATCCTTGCAGAACTTGTCGATATCCTCAAGTCCACCATGGGTGAGAATTGGATGTACAAGGCCTCGTGCCGTGAAGTCGAGACACTATATCACTCTGTCAGTGACACCCCATGAGCGCGAAACATCCAAACTTACCTCCTCAGCCTCCTTCAATGTTCCGACTACACTGCCCACAACATTCAACCGCTTCATGGCCATAGTGATCGGATGCGCGCCCGCAACGATAGTCATATCATTCGGCAGTCCCACGCACACCATCGTGCCGTTCGGCCTGAGCAGATGCGGCGCCTGTTCATACCCCGCTCGTGCAGCTGAGAATACAATGACGCCATGCGTACCATATGTTGTGATTTTCATAACCTCTGCTTGAATGTCGGCTGTGGTGGTGAAGTCAATGAATTTCTCTGCGCCGAGGGAGAGGCAGAGATCGCGTTTTGCGTCCCCACCGTCAATGGCAATTACACGCATCCCCATAGCGCGCGCGTATTGCACACCGAAGTGTCCAAGACCTATATGTATTAGGATCTCCACGAGGATAGGGAATCGCAGTGCTGTGCTTACCACCTCCAGCGCCCGGGATCACGATCCATTGTCCTGGCTGAACTTTGCTCCTCTTGCATGCAACATAGGCTGTAAGACCACCGCACATGATCGGACCAGCCTCCTCGTCTTTGACGCCGTCTGGTAGGCGCGTCGCGTAGTGTGCATCTGTCACAGCATATTCTTGGAACGTGCCTTGAATCGTCAAACCGGAGTTAATTTGCTTAGGGCAGTGACATTCGTCTGACCCATTAGTACAGAATTCACATCTCCGGCAGATAGACGCTATCCACTTGATTCCCGCACGATTGCCTATCTGCCAGAGGTCTTGCACGTTGCTTCCGACAGCTAAGATGGTCAGTCTGAATTCTTTAGAATATTTGAGGCTTCGTCGAGATTCAGGAGATCTGTTCGTACCTACGACTACGCCTGCGCCTTCATGGCCAGCGATACCCTCTGTCTGAGGGGCCATACCAAACCCACTACCCCATTCATCTTTCAGAAGAGATTTGTCCGAGGCACAGAGTCCGCTGTAGTTGATCTTGACCAGAATCTGATCGGGACCTGGTTGTGGCACGGGGATCTCCTTGACGACGATGGTTGAGGTGTCGCCAGAGCCTTGCTTGATAGCGGCCTTCTGAGTTTTGGGAAGCTCCATGATTGAGTATAGATGAAATTGGTTGGTGTGCACTGTTCAACGATATAATATGAGTCGAGCAATGGGGCGGAGACCAGGAGAGGCATTTGTCCTTGTTATATATAGAGAGCTTACTGTACCAACGCCTTGCGCTTACTGCGCCAACGCCCTGTGCCGCATGTGCGGGGTCGCTAGCAACTTTTAGTCTCATAGTACATGCCGAGCCTCAAGACCGATGTAACTCTCCCTTGAGGTTATCATCGAGTCATTGTTAGAGACAGAGCCTGCAATCATGCGTAGCTCTGAAAGAGATACATTGAGTAACTTCGACGCTTCGTGAGTGATATAAGATGATTATGGAATGTCAAAGTAAACAACAAACAAACGTTTATCCTGCCACATGCCAAGATTGCCTCAACGTACCCCTTCTGGCGTGATAGACACCTCAACCGCATATGGAGGAAGCCTCGCCAAATCGCCCTTGTCCCGCGGTCCACAACATCGAAGAGGTCTTTATCAAGTAGATCCTCCATCAGACGACATAACAGGTGATCTCGTGTGATGGAAAGTCGCGTTTGTATGTCGGGACGGATTGGCCCGAATCGTGTTGAGGGGTCGCGTAGCCGCCGACAACGTGGGGTGGTGGGGCAAAGGTGCGAGACTAAGCTAGCTCAGAAAGCAATTGTGGAGACATGCGTTGTACTAAGATATACAGTCGAAGTTGTAACGGCTGATCACTTTGGGCATCATTAGATGAGTGATCTGCTCACTCACTGTAACCCATCTCTTATAAGGGTGATCGCTCATGACTCGCTGTTTCTGACGAGCGTATATGGACAGCAAGCACTTCGTCTCAAACTTTTCCCGAATTGCCATTGGGCTTGAGTTTTCTCGTTTTGGCTGACAAGGGGTTGAACCTCAGCTCTGACTATTCCAATCGTACAAGTGTTCTTTCAAGCATATGCCGAAAACTGTACGCCGACCTATGCATATTTCTATGGTGTTTCCAGACGCCGCGCTCAGATGAGTTACTCGTCCAGCTCACCACGCGGTGATATCGTCAACCTCGGCCTCACCAAACGTACTTGTTTTGGTAGCGGTCATTCCAGAATCTTTCGTAATAGTGTCAGGGTTTGGGCTGCTATTCATAATATCCGGAAGAGTGTCTTTCAAGAAACCTAGCAAATGTGTGTTGACTTGCTCAAATTCGAGCAAGAATGCATCATGACCGTCTGGCGAGTCTATGGTTTTCAGCGTGGCGTTAGGAATATGCGCTGCAAGCTCTTGTTGCTCAGCAAAGGTGAACAGCCCGTCGGATTGTATGCCAAGAACAAGCGTCGGTTGCTCAATCACTGATAACGCGTAATGGAGAGCCGAGACAGGATCCAAAGTCTCCGGGGTTTCGCCTTCAGGGTAGCGATGTCGGGAGACATCATGGGTATCCAGCTTTCGCGTAATCGCGATATAGCAATTGGCGTCGAATCGTTTGATGAACTTCTCTCCCTGGTAGCGCAAGTACGACTGTGCAGAAAAGTAATGTGGCGCATGGAGTTTTGCCGACCCACCGTTTAGGGTCTTAGGTCCAGCTAGTGGTGGCGCGGAAGGGGTTGACGCATCATGAAACTCAAGATCGGCCTGCGCTGCCGCCGAAGTGGCTAACATTGTGCTACTACTCGTTCGTGAGGCTAGACGCGGTGACCCAGCATTCTTGTGACCGTGATTGTGGATCGCCCAGTGCTCATTTGATGGTGTCATCGGTCGCGAAACGGTGTTTATGTTCTGTTTTCTGGATAGATCAGGAGTATTGCGCCCAAATCGTGACTCGAACGAGTCGCGACTTCTGTATGTCAGAAGGGCAGACATGCGTGCAGCCCCTAGACCAGTCGAAGGAGGATCATCAAACATGTAGTAGCCATCGTCGTACTTTGGGTCGCAGTAGATGCTCTGTCGTTGAGCCTCTCCCCAGCTGATACCCCAAGCACTGTAACGGGCAGAAGTAGCGATTGGAATAATGCACTTGACATAGTCCTTTCCGAAGTAAGCAAACTCTAAGACAAGCATGCCGCCCATGGAGCCTCCGATGACCGCAGCGATCTGCTTCACGCCGAGATCATCTAGAATGAGTTTGAAGATGCTGCGTCTGTCAGCGCTATGTATGCACGGCCAGGAAAGTTTTCTCAACTCACTTGACATCATCCCTGACTGTTGTCAACGGGAATTCGGGTCCGTACAGTCCTAGTGAGGCGTCTCCGTCTTTTGCTGTGACCGGACTCGCACTACCGTATGGGCTGCCTAAACTGTTGATGCATACCACGAAAAATCTCGAGATATCGAATGCCTTTCCGGATCCTCCTAGCAGTGGACCCCACCAATCGCCCACATCAGCGCTTCCCGTAAGCGCATGACATATCAACATGGCATTATCGCGCCTAGGGCCAAGGGTGCCATACGTCTTGTACGCGACGGGAACATTGTACAATGTGACACCGGATTCGAGTGCGACTTCTGGTATCGTGGCGATGGTCTGGTCGGGTATGAACTTTGCGTATGGGTTCTCTGGCTGCGAGGAAACTGTCTCTATGCAAGTGTCAGCGTACTGGAAGCTCGAATAGAAGTTTCAGCGTGTTATAGTATGACCAGTTTCCTAGGTATACGGACAAGATATGTCATCGATGCGACGTGTGCCAGGTTTGCGACAGGATAGTAGCTATGGCATAAATTGCTTGCCAATACCAAGTTTGGCAAAAATATGTTTGCGACTACGGAAATAAATTTGGCAGACTTACTGTATTTGCTCTGGGGAGCAGTGTTAAGAGGTTCTGTGGCGGCCATCGCGCAAGTCTCATGTATTTGGGAGCGAAGAACTGCAACGCTTGCTTTGTATATGGTGGGGTCTCTTCATCATCTCGCGGAGAGTCATCTTCTGCGTGTTGATTCACTCAGCGTTGACGCTAAGAAAGGGTCCAATTGGGTCTTGGCGATGACGTGCTCCAATGAAGCTCCGAACTGCCGGCGCGACTCCCCACCCGTTCACGTGCCTGCTATCCTCCTCATCACTGTCACTGGGGAACTTCGTTTACAGAACCCTTGCCAACATTCGTGAGATCAGTACTTAGTGGAACCTTTTTGACTCGGTTTCTCAGCTTCTGCTTATGAGCTCCTTACTAACAACAAGGCTCCGGGAGTCACACAATGTTACCTTGAACAGACATCAGATATCGCGAGCGCAATATTTCTCACGGGTCGTGTTAGTTGAGATATGGAGCTTTCGACAATCGATTGAGATCCCGCTTACTTTTATCAGACCTCACTACATCACACGGTCGAAAGAACTTCTTTGTCGACTCTTAGATGTGAGTGAAATACCTTACTAACGGATGTCTTGTCAGCACGATATACAAACAAAATCAAACTTCCGAAACAAACAATACTTCTCGAGTAAGCCAGCTTATGGTCTGTTTTTTCGTCTCATCCATTCACGTTGCTATGCATTTTTAGAGGATAGAGAGAAGTTAGGGTTCACACAGATGGCCAACATATCAAGACTACTCGGGCGATTGCGATCACGGTCATGAACATTAAGCTATAATTGCCCAACAGACAGGACACCCGGTTTAGCAGGCCCCTTGCGGGATCAATGGTGTCGCACAGCTCCGCTAAAGACATGCTCACAATACACGCGTAAATGTTATCTTCACCAGTACTTAGAGACAGATAACATGCACACTTCTCTCCGCATAGAACAGATGGATATATCTTCCAAAGTGGAACAATGTGGCTCAGGCCTAGGCGATTTTACACCAAAACGCGAACAATTTGTTTTCGTCAAGGAAGAGGTGCGAGTTTCGACTAAAGGTCGACTAGGTACTCCTCATAGCAGCGAGCTACGGCCAGAAGGGGATTTTGATACGCAACTATATACGAAGGGGTTAGGTATAGGTCTAGAACTCAGGTCGAAAAAATGTTGTCTAGAGTTTTCGAGAAGGACGCGATCTAGGTGCTCATAAACAAGGTATCTAGGTATTTCTACAATATTACGATACTCATAATCTATGTCTATTGATATAGAGTTGGATACACGATTAGTGTATTCGTGATCACTATGCTTGCGGCTGTTATACACCTACGTCTTTGGGAGCATAAGTCGTAGGTTGTTTGTGACGAAGTTCGACAAGACGACGCGACTTGCCCGGCGCTAGAGAGCCAAATATGGTTAACGTGTGGCACGAGCTCTATCATGGAAGGAACTCGGGGAACCTCTCAAACGCCATCAGAATTCATCGAAAAATGCAATGCGAAGGGTAGTAGTGACAGGACTAGGACTGGTAACGCCGTTGGGAATAGGTCTCGCAGCTCCAATGTCCATCTTTGGCTCCGTCGCTAACAGCTACAGGTGTTCGCCGAACATGGAAACGTCTTATTGACAGTGACTGCGGTGTCGTATCCATCAAAGATAGGAGCCCTCAATTTGCGGCCTTACCAAGTCAAGTCGCTGCTTTGGTACCTGAGGGTGCGAAAGATGATGGACTGTGGAATCCTAAAGAGTATTTGAGTCCTTCTGTGAGTTTTTGCGCAACAGAATCGTAGCACGAAATTGATAATTGCCCAGGACGAACGCCGAATGGCTCGATTCGCTCAGTATGCGATGATAGCATCTGAAGAAGCTCTTCACGACTCGGGATGGCGGCCAACGAGAGAAGAAGATCTCGAGGCGACAGTATGAAAAAGTCATAGACCAGTATCCGCCCTACTAACTTCTTAACAGGGCGTGTACATAGGTTCTGGCATTGGCAGTCTGGATGATGTGTACGACACTACTGTAGCATACGAGAAAGGAGTAAGCCAATATACCGCTTTGGATACTTTGTCTAAGATTACCAGGGCTACAGAAAGGTATCTCCTCTATTCGTCCCACGTCTGTTGATCAATCTCGCCGCAGGTCATATATCTATGCGGTATGGTTTCAAGGTATTTGATCGAAGAACTGCAATATGTCAAGTCCTGAGGTTAAGCTTTCCAGGGCCCAAATCATGCAGCTACAACAGCTTGTACGACAGGTGCTCACAGTATTGGCGACGCATCTCGCCTGATTCAGTTTGGTGATGCAGATGTCATAGTTGCGGGAGGTGCAGAGTCATGCATTCACCCGCTTGCTATCTCAGGATTTGCAAGGGCAAGAAGCTTGGCGACGGAATGGAACGATCGCCCTGCTGAAGCAAGTCGACCATTCGACAGCAAGAGAGACGGCTTCGTCATCGGAGAAGGTGCTGGCGTAGTTGTGTTAGAGGTAAGTAAGACTGTGGAAGAAGATGTGTTTTACTAATGATAACAGGAATATGAACATGCAAAGAAACGAGGTGCAAAGATCTACGCAGAGGTTGCAGGTTACGGTCTTTCCAGCGACGCCTATCATATGACAGCTCCTCGAGAGGATGGTCAAGGACCGCGACTTGCGATGAAGCATGCACTCCGCCATGCGGGTCTCAAGCCCAGTGCCATTGACTATATAAATGCCCACGCTACAAGCACACCGCTTGGCGATGCTGCTGAAAACAGAGCCATAAAGGATCTTTTACTCGGTGAAGAAGGAAAGAGCAAAGCATCAGAGATCAATGTTAGTAGCACCAAGGGTGCAATAGGGCACCTTCTAGGTGCTTCAGGAAGCGTTGAAGCGATATTCTCAATCTTGGGTATGCATCATGTAAGTAAAAACTCGGGGCAGTCATGATGATCAGTGTTGACGTTTACAGAACACCTTACCACCGACACTCAACCTCTGTAGCCCGGGGGACCCACCAAAAGATTTCAATTGCAATTATGTAGCGAATGTCGCTCAGCAGCGAGATATTAATGTTGCGTTATCAAATAGTTTCGGTTTCGGGGGCACCAATGCATCGCTTTGCTTTCGCAAAGTGTGAAAAATTACCAAAGTTGACTGATGAACTTGGACAACCAATTTCATCTGAACATCGACTTATAAATGATCACCATATGACATGGTAGCTCGCTGTTTTTGGAGTACATGACGCCAAGCTGACTCCGGTGTTCCCCGCCAAAGCCGTCTGCCCCGCTCAAGATCCCACGGTACCTGCACGTCAGGACTTCCTCATCAGGATTCTATGTCGCGACCTTCCTTTACTTCTGAACTTCAGGGTTCTATCGGTATTTCTCTTTTCTCTCCCCTTCCGTTTTCCCACCACCTTTCAGTCGGACTATCACGAAATGGCAAACTCACGACCTTCATCCATGAGAGACGATAACCTCCCCGAGAACGAACACTCGTTTTTCTGCGGCATTTCGAAAAAGGCTTCCAAGTACCATTCAGGCATTCCTTATCTGAAGAAACTTCCGTTCTCAGTCATCGCTATTATCGTCACCCTCATAGTCGTTAATCTGCTAGTGTGGGCCGGAGTCGGCATCATTCTGGTACAACTCCTAGCTAATATTAAGAGTCTCGTTCGACCTGAGAATACCTGCTAACATCAATTTGCAGCACTGGCACACGCCTCTAGTTTCGACTGCTGTTCTATCCTACACACTCGGCCTCCGCCATGCTTTGGACGCAGACCACATTTCCGCCATCGACCTGATGACTCGGCGCCTGATCGCGGCAGGCCAGCGTCCAGTCACAGTTGGAATGTTTTTCTCTCTCGGCCACTCCACCATTGTCATCATCACTTCGTTGGTAGTCGCAGGTACCGCGGCAGCTGTATCATCCAAATTCGACGGCTTTGAGCGCATTGGTGGTATCGTTGGAACATCTGTCTCCGCTACGTTCCTTCTCTTACTGGGAATCATGAACATCTACATTTTGTACAAACTCATTGTGCAAATGAAGAAAATGATTGCGAGCGACCCCGGAAGCGAGCATGAAGAGTTCAAAATTCAAGGCGGTGGATGCCTCTTTCCCCTGCTGCAAAAGCTTTTTAAACTCATCGATCGACCCTGGAAGATGTATCCTCTGGGAGTTCTCTTCGGCCTCGGCTTTGATACTAGTTCAGAAATTGCGATTCTTGGTATCTCATCAATCCAAGCGACGAAGGGTACATCTATCTGGCTTATTCTCATATTCCCACTGCTGTTCACGGCGGGCATGTGCTTGCTGGATACAACAGATGGTGCGCTGATGATGACCCTTTATACAAGTACACAGCTGGCGAGGGATCCAATTGCGATTTGCTACTACAGCATCGTGTTGACTATCATCACGGTCATTGTTGCAACGATCATTGGAACAGTGCAATTCCTCAATCTCATACTGAACGTGGCCGAGCCGGATGGTAGGTTTTGGGATGGAGTTGAGAGGCTGGGAGCCAGCTGGGACATTGTTGGTGTGTTTATTCATTTTGATGTATCATCGCTCACTATGCTGACACTCTGCAGGTGGTGCAATCTGCGGCTGCTTTGTTGTCTTCGGTGGCCTCAGCGTTCTGTTATACAAGCCATGGAGACGTCGTGTTGATAAGAAGAGAGTCCACAATGCGCACTTCGAGCCACTATCGCAAAGACCATCGACTCCCACAGCTATTGACGAAGAGCAGCAAGGTATTTTTGCGACAAGCAAAAACGGGCTAAAAGAGGTGGACGTTAGTGTGGAGTCTGCTGAAGCCATCGATGCGGCAGGGCCGGCACGCCGCTAAGAACGTCCCCTCGCAACTTGTCGATGTTTATTGAACTAGCCCATGCTACAAGAAAGAGATGTTAGCCGGTGATACGTCCAATGATTACGAATTTTCTCAAAGGTTGAACAAGTCACAGGCTGCAGGGCACTCCCAGTTTGGCAGGCAACTGTAACCGAATCACAGCAAGAAGCGGGAATAATAGGCTATGGGTTACACAGGTACAGTACCTAACCTTAAATTCACATATCTTAAAGCTAACATGCAATGGAGCGATCAAACTCCAACGCTGGTTGACTCCATACTGAATGTAGCCCCACTGAACTGTTCTTGCTGACTCCGTAGTTTCCAAGATGTCCCATCTAGCCCAATTTCAAAACCGTCTTGTGTCGATATACCCAGTTTCTTTTCTACCAGCGCTTGGTCGCAGGAGCTGTTTCTTTTCGGGTTGAGCCACACCCTTTTCCTCATATGTCAATCTCCGCAGCTTGTACGTCAGAGACATGGTCGAACTGGGCACCGATGCCCTTCACGTCTTGCTCTTTCGCAGCAGAAGATTGAGTCGGCACTGTGGGGGCGAAAGCCGTGCTAGGTCGATGGGGAGCGGTATCGTTGTTTGTGGAGCCAGCGTAGGTTGCTTCGGCGCTGGGTCGGAGGTTAGCACTACCGAGCATCTTTCGTTGACTGGAGGGCGATTGAGCTTACGATGGGACATCATGATTATGCTCTACGATGTCATCCTGGGAGAAGTCCTCATATTGGATGACGATGTAGATGACAAGGATAAGCCTGCTGGTGGAAGGGTTGGTGGACATAGCCGGAGTGGTTGTTAAATGCTACTGGGTTCTGTGTATTTAGGTAGGGGAGAAAGAACATTGAGACTCGAAGTTTCAGGGAGACCATATGGGCAGACGAATTCTATTAATATATCTTTATCGTAAGGGACTCATGATACTGCTCACGTTTGCTTTCTGTTGCGTCGTTGTTTGTAACCATTATTTGTGCGCACGTCTGCAACGAGATTAGCTGGCAGCCGGGGAAGATGGTTGCATGACTTAGCGTCCTCCCACCGCGCTAACAGACCACCATACTTGATCTTACAGCCGATGATTTAGTGCAGTGGTGCAAGATGGGACATCAGTTGGGGCTAGCACAAGTTTGAGAAGCGTCAAGCAGCAAAAAACGAACATACCAATCCCAAGCCCCCGGATCCCTGCCACGGCCAGTGAGGCGGCATCAGCCATCTAGGCTTGCCAAAGGGATGCTTGTCAACCGGAATGGGCATATACTAACTCACTCTACTGACACCCCCATGTTGAAAAGTATCTCATGACCTACTGTCCACTCTAAACAGGCCTGGAGGAAGTGTTTTGGAAGAGACATCACTCAAGCACGGAAAGCGAGTTATCCCACCGTGCTAGAGATGTATGTCTGCCGGTATCCTTCATACACAGTAGGCGATCGATGCTTATGATCAGGATCCCAAACTAACGGCCAACGTCTAGTTGTAACAGAAAGTCGACAGCCATGGAAAACCCATGCGGTTACCTTTACATGGTTCTTGGACGTTGACCAGTGGGCCCCGTTTCAATGATCTAGATATCAGGGCTCTATCTCGCTCAATGATGCTGCATCGCTGATTATTTCTGGAGGTAGGTCGATCGAGCAATTTACTGATACGTCCGTCTATTTGATCATTGCGTCATGTTCGCCATATGTGTAGCGAGGTAGCAGGTTGTGGAAAACGACATGCAAGGTCAGAGCGAGCTAGATGTGTGCCGAAGTGACCGATTGCGAGGTACTTTGCACAATAGACGTTCTCAGTGGTTGCCCAAGACGGGATCAAGTGGCGTAGGCGGCAGGCGCCTGTCTCGTCAAGGTCGATGGTGGGTGAAGGCGCAAAGGAGCTGCGGCGAGACGATCCATTGACTGGAGCGCCCAACGTTGCTCCGCGGCGATGAATAATTACCCCATGAGGGGTAGTGCATGCAAGTGCATGCAGGGCTTCAGGACAATGTGTTGTTTACTGTGTAATGCCGGCTTAGGTTAGTGTGGCGGTGTCGATACGCCGGTTAAGGCTTAGACAAGCCCCCGCAAAATTTATCGTATGCAGCTAGGTAACTTGCATAGTGAAAGATACCGTCAAGATAGAATTGGGCGCCTTATCTTTTGCGTGACTTGCATAGTGAAAGTTACCGTCAAGATAGAATTGGGCGCCTTATCTTTTGCGTAACTTGTCTCAACGCTCCGCGGACTAAGCTCCTGTAGCAAAAGTCCGACGTGACACTGTGCTTTGGTGTGCATAGTCGTATTAATCGACAGTCAGCCTTGCGTGTTCGGATTCCGTTCGCAAGAACTGCCGGTGAAACTATCATATGTATACGTACGATAATGTACAGGAAGGACCATGTGCGAGGGTGTAATAACCGCCAGCGGCATGTATGCTTGTGAAGTTTAACCTATGAATTAATCGAGACGTCCATTGCTACGTCGTGAGTACTATTTTCCACCACGTGATGCAATCATGAGAGTTTAGCATGCCGGCTGTCACGTGCTGAGGAACATCGTCGCAAGACCCGATGCTAGACGACGATGACGTATAGGAAAGACTGTGTACGAGCGTGTAAGGACAGCTGCTAGTGTATTCTGGTGAAGCTTGGTCTATGTACCAATCAAGCTGTCAAGAGACTTCAATATCATGAAGAACACACTGAACCACAAGTAAAATTTTCCATTTCCCCAGTTCCAAAACGCCTCCAACACCCTAATCTACGCGCTCCCAGCAACCTCCCCAAACCACTGCCTCAACGCGCCCGCAAGCACACCCGGCAACTCCCTAACATCCCTGACAACGAGGTAATACCTAAACGGGAAGCGCTCCATATACTTCCACCTGACGACCTTTCCCTCAGGCGTAATCTCCACAGACTGCAGGTCAAGAATAGAAGTCTTATCCTGCTCCTTCTTCTTCTCCGGTTCCTTCACCTCCGAGACATCAACCCCCTGAGGCTGCGCAGCAGGATGCACAGACGGCGTGGGAACCGGCGCAGCAGCCGGCGCCGACGCACTCGAGTCGATGATGACAAAAACAATCATGACGCGCTCCTCCTGCGCCTTGCGGACCAGCCTCTGGATCTCAGCGTGGGAATCGCAGATGCCGTCACTCACGACAATCATGAGCTGCCACAGGTCCTCGCCCGCAGAACTCGAGCCCTTGCGTCGTGCCTCGGAGAAGAGTTCGAGACTCCTGTCTACAAGGCCGCGGACGTTGGTCTTCTTGGCTTCGAAGCCGAATTGCTCGAAGACGCGGACGCCGGACTCGGACGTGAAGGGCTTGTCGAAGTCGTGGGCGACGTTGACTTCGTCGCCGAAGCCGACTACGCCTACTTCGCCGACTTCCAGCATGGCTAGACTCCTCGTTACCAGCGTCAAGGTCTTAAGTGCGAGGTTGCTGGCGCCCGACTCGGCCATGGATTTGGAGTCGTCGAGCGCGATGAGGACTTGGTAGCTTCGCTTGCTGGGTTGGCTTCGTCGCAGCCAGATCTTGTCTCTCTTGTACCCTGAAGCGATGTACGGGATGATCCTCTTGAGGTTGAGACGTTTGCCTGTGCGGAAATCTCCTCGCAGTTTGGTGGCGAGCGTGGGGGCGAGGATCAGACGGAGGTGCTCGGTGAGCTGCTGGGAGAGGGCATGTGTGGCGCTTTCGTGTGCGAGCCAGAGGGACCGGGCAGAAGACGCGGGCATGGTGGAGGGAGTGAGGTGTGTGAGCTCAAGTTGCGTCTCCACGTCGGCGACCGAGGAGGTGTCGGAGACATCATCTTCAAGCGGCATTGCATCTTCCATATCTGCATCCTCTTGGTCTGCGAACGGCTTCTGATCGCCGATGAAAGCTTGAGGCTGGCCGTCCGTAGTGTTGGCCTGCGGTTGCTGCTCCTCTCGCTCCTCTTGAGGTTGCTCCCCATCCTGCATATCGATGTCCTGCTCAGCATCCGCCATTTCCTGATCGTTGTCTTCGGGACGAGTAGGCATCTTTTCCTCGTCATCATTAACCGGCATAGCCATATCATGATCCAGCGCTTTAGCTTGCTCTTCAGTCGCCGTACCCAAGGCCTGCGTATCAGCCTGCGTATCCTCGTCGGGAAGGTGCTCAAAGTCAGCATCGGCCATATCGACTTCTTTATCAATCTGCTGGACCTGGGTCTCGTCCTTTTCGCGAGCTTCGGAAATCTGCTTCTGCTGGTTGTACCACTTCTCGAGCACATCGCCCAGCTTCTTGAATGACTGATTCTCGCGGGACTCTTCTTCCTTCTGTTCACTGCGGCCGCCAGCGTCGGGTTGAGTTGTCTGTCCAAGAGTGCCATCTTCGGCGGTGTTCTCTTGCTTCTCGGATGACTCGCCCTCCTGACCTTCATCGCGATTGGCAGCGCTGGCAGAGGCTTGCTCGTTTTTGTTCTTGTGAGCTTCCTCGTTTGCCTCAGTACCCGCTCCAGCTTCCGCGTTCGGGTCGGCCTGATCAGTGTCTTTGTTGTCGCGAGGCTCGTCGTCCGGCATGTTCTCGTCAGGCAGAGGAACCGCATCATCTTCCATAGGCTCTTCGCCTTCTTGCTCTTGGTCTTCAGGCGGCTGCTCCTCGTCTTCGACATGGCCGGTGGTGTCCTTCTCTTCTTCACCTTCTTGTTCAGGACCAATCTCGTCGTCCACGGTGTCAGGCTCAGCGCCCGCGTCGGTTTGATCATCCATCTCGTCTTCCGGCAAATCGTCGCCCATATCCATATCACCAAGATCATCAGGCTCCTTCTCATCTTCATCCTGACCATCGATGTTGAGATCCTCCGGCAACTCAAGCGCCTCTTCTTCCTTGGCATGCGGATCCATCTGCTCAGTCTCACCCTTGCCGACATTCTCCTCTTGATCCTCACCCTCCATCTCCATATCCTCATCCTCCTCAGCACCCTGCTTATCTTCTTTCTCGCCATCTTCACCTTCTTCCTTCTCCTTCTCCTTCTGCTCGCTATCATTCGCAACCTGCTCCTCCTTATCCTCCGTTCCAACATCTTGCTTCCCCTCCTTATCCTTCGCATCGTCTTCTTCTTTCCCGCCCTCATCCCACATCTTCTCATCAACCGCGCTCGGCCCGAGATCATCAACACTCCCCACCTCACTCTGCACGTCATCCTCACCTTCATCTCCCTCCTCATCACCTTTGTCTTCTTTCTCGCCAACCTCCTCAGTTTCACCCTCCATATCTTGCTCGCCCATATCCACAGCATCGTCTTCCTCTTCGATACTGCCCTCGCGCTCTCCCTTCTGCTCTTGCGCCAGTTCCTCCAAATCCTCATCATCTTCAATATCCTTCGAGATATCTTCCGCGCCCTCACCCTCACCAAGGCCGGTACCGGATTCCAGTTTCTCATCCTGACCTTGCTTGTTGTCTGGTGATTTCTCAGGAGGCTGGCAAAAGCCCTGAGTACCGATTTGAATGAACGATTTCGACAAGCGATGGAGGAGCTTTGCAGTCGACGCATGCAGCGCGTCGAAGCGGTCGAGCAGGTACTTATGCGACGCAACGTACTGGGTTAGAATAGGCTGGATGGACGCGAACAAAGCAGCAACAGCGGACAACTTTTCATTCTCGTAAAGACGCTGGACGCTGTTCAAGATTGTCTGCACCGTGTCACTGATCTGCGGGGCGTGGAGAGCGGTGATGGCAGCAGAGAGTGCCTGCTCTTCCTTCGCCATCCAGATCGAGTCGTCAGTCGAAGATGGGACCTCCTTCAACGCGGATTCAACATCCTGCATTGAGCCTAGGATTGAGTCGAGAGCACCGAAGATATCCCTCGAAGAGTCCTCAAGCGTAAGCCGCAGCTCCTCTGAGAAGCTGGTGACTTGTACCTCGGGATACTGGAAGACAAATGGCTGGAGATGCTTGAGTACCGTCCTTGAGATGTCGTTGTTGGCGATCCAGTCCTGGAAGATGGTCCGGAAGTCCGAAATACTAGCCTTGACAGACTCAGTTAGGATGTGATGTGCTTCGGATTGAGTATTAACAGGTAGCTCAGGCAGCCTGTCGAACTCATCCGCCTGGTCTTGCAACTTGTTGGTCCACTCCCGCATTCCCCGAAGTAGGGCATCGAGCCCATTCGTCTTGCCCAGCTTAGCCTGTGCGGAGACGATATCCGTAGCAGTCTTGAGCATAGCAACAAGCCACCTCAGACTAGGCTGTAACGATTTCGTCACCTCGACTTGTTCTTCTGAAGCCCAGGCAAGTTGACCGTTCGCAAGCTGGCAGAGATTCGCCACTACCGCCACAGGTGCTTGTACAACCTTCAGGTTCATTGCAGCTTTACTCAGCACATTCCTCTGTCGGATAGAGGCGTGCAGAAGTCCCTCAATGTACCCGATACTCTTTGCCACGTCGTTCGCTGTCAGATCTCCCGAATGCTCTTTCGTCACGGCTCGAACCTGGGACATAGCATTGAGCGCCTTGTGCAGATGAAGTTCTGCGGTGCGCCCACACCCCTCTCCAATCAAAGGCATGGTGGAAAGAATCGTCGAAAGCTCATCCTGTTTGACCAGAGTATCGACACTGAGGTTTGACTTGATGCCCATCAGGCGTAGCTCTTTCATCGTATCGGCGTAGAGTTTTCGCTTCTGGGTCTTGAGGTGCTGAACATCCTCTTTGTTCTCTTCTGTGAGTGTAGATGGTGTGGCTTTCTGCAGTTCTTTGATGGAGATCTCTAGATCCGTGATGAACGTGTCGATGTACGACGCGCCATCGACGCTGGCAACGCTCGGCGAAGACAAGTTGCGCATCATGTTTACCGTAACACCGAGGTTCTTGAATCGTGTCGGGCGGTCGGTCCATCCAGGAACGCTATCATTGCAGAACTCAAGCACATCAGAATCGATAATCGTGTTAACAGTCTCCATCGTGATATCGCGAGCAAGTTGGACCTCATCCGGGAACCCACTCCTCGAGATCCCCGAGACCGGCTGATTGAGCACACCCCTGAACTTCCTAACCCACTTGCTCAGCTTCCGATGGCTCGTCTTCGCACTCTGTTTGAGCGCATCGATATTCGTATCCTTCCAGCTCGCAAGCTTGATAACATTATTGACCTCCTTCTCCAACTTCTCTCGGCCCTTCGCAATCGCCTCATGGACTGGCTTCTCGAGACGCGAGAAATATGCGATGAAGTTGTCGAGTGCATCATGCACAATCTGGAAGATTTCCACGTCTTGCATGCGCATCGCAGCTTGTTGACGGAGTTGTTTGAGCAGGGCAATGCGTTGTTCATACTGTCCCAGCGTAGTGTTCTCGAAAAAGCTCTCAAGCGTCTTTAGCAAGTTCTTGGCATGAACCTTCATCTCACTCTCATCATCAATGCTCTCTGAAGCCGCGATAATCGTCTCATACGCGACGAAGAACCAGCTCTTGGCATTATCGCGACTCTTCTCCATCTCCAGGTCGAACAACCGGGCCCACGTCGTCAGCTCAACTTGTCGCCAGCTAACAAGCAGCCGCGTCAGGTCATCGTACAAATTGGCCGTGCTGTATTCTTTGCTCGCCACCTTCTGCCACTCATGCATGTACGAGTGTAGTTTCTCAGCTTTGGTGATGAACTTGGCCACCGGGTCGACGTGGCGGAATGCAAGGGCTTCGTCACAAGTGCGTAGGACTTCCGAAAGGGTAGCATGTTCCGGCCAGACGTTGCGAATTTGGCGGTAGCGGACTTGTACGCGGTGGATGAGCGTAATAAGACGCTTGCCCTCAGGCAGATTGGCGTCGAAGTAGAAGTTGTAGGTCCTTCCAGTACCAGATGTAGACAGCGCGTCGATTTTCTTCTCCAGTGCGAGGTAGATAGCAGGCAGAGCATTCTCGTGCTTCGTTCCGTAGCTCTTGCCTTCAGACGCCCGATTGATCTGCGCAGCACTCCATTCGAGCAACGCCTTGACTGACTCGGAAGCTTCTCGACCATGAAGGAAAAGTTGGGCGTGGATATTCGCAAGACGGATCGCATGATCGCGAGAGTTTGAGGATGGATCTGGCTTGCTATCCTCCTCCTGTTCCTTTTCGTAGTCGGGGAACAAGCTCGGATCTTCCTCATCGCCCTCATCCTCCACACCCTTGTACGTGTACAGACTGTGGTTCAAAGCCTCGTTTTGTTGGTCCTGGAGTAGCTTGGTCTTCCACTCGCCGTAGAAACTAGTGAAGATGTTGTGCAGTAAGCCTCTCGCTGCAGAGCTAGACGCCGCTACCGGGTCGGTGCTCTTGATGATTGATAGCGAGTGCAATGCATGCCAGCGAAGGTCGATGGCATGGCCTTGATGCAGAGCCTGCTCAAACTCCTGCAAGAAAACGTCTGACTTTACGATAGACTTTTGATCATGTAGGCCGAAGAACGGAGTCTCCTGACCGACATACGCCAGACTCCTGCTCACAGCACCCTGCTCTCTGTCCTGTTGTTCTTTCTTGCCAAGCAACAGGCCAATGTTGAGGCAGACAAGGAAGCCCACCACAGTATCAGTGATGTCATCGTACGCACGGTATCCCTCCGTAAGTCGTTGGATGATACGGAGCACATTTTGTTGTAGCGTAACGTCTTGCGCAGCTTCCTCAGCCGTCATCGATCCGTTGAGCAGTGGCTGAATGACACTGAGTAAGTTGGTAAATTCACCTTGCAAGTCATCCAACTGCGAGACTTCAGGGCGAACAATAGCAGGCACAGGCGGTTCCTCGCCCATCATCTGCACCGCCTCCTCCACCTGTCGAATGCGGAAACTGGTGTCTTCGCCGGAGAAGTCGAGTTGGAATCGCCTCAACGAGTCCATCGCTTGCAGTAGGCTCTGCTTCTCCTCGTTGAACATCTTGCGCTCGATCATCGGCCTGAGCGCAGGATCGTGCGGATAGTTCGGCACGTACAAGCTGAGGCCTAGTATGCCGAGCTGAACCCACGCTTTCGCATCGATGTTATCTGCAAGGGGGTAGCATTTCCTCAGTGGTTCTTGGAGAGTCGAACGATACGCAGTCGTGATGGGCGCATCGGGATGGAACGTAACTTGCTTCTCATCAACCGACTGGACAATATCCACGGTATGCGATGCGTAGACCTGACCATACACGCTTCTGTAGAGCTCATTCAGCGCCTCGTACTGGTCCTGCGTGATACGGTCGGCGTCGAGCGTGACTTGTTGGGAAAGAACCTGCAGCTCCGCTTCGAAGCGGTCAAGCTGCGCAAGCTGCACTTCATCAGCACCGTGCAGTTTGGCGAACATGGCACTGTGGAATTGCCCTTGTAAGATCATTGGGTTCGCCGATTCCTTCTCCAAGCCATTGTGTCGGTACAACTTAGCAAAGAAGTCGGTAGGCTCGTCCACTCTCCCAACAGCCACCGTCGAAATCTTAGTAGGTCGTCGCGCAAAAAGCGCTGATTTAGCTCGGGCCGCCACCAGAGCAGGCGGAGGCGCAATATATAGTTGTCTCAGGGCCGGCTGATCGTTGAACGCAACGTCGAGGAACTGGCAAAGGCCTTCAAACTCATCTTCGAAGTATGGTGTAATAACGGCGTCGTCTTCGCCGATACCCTGCTCGAGTTCCTGAATAGCGCCATCGAGACTCTTGAGAAGTTCATCAGCATCGACGTCTTCTCTCCGAACAAGCTCCAGAGAGCTTGCGACTCGCTCTCGAATTTGCACCATCTCGTCGATTCTGAGATTCGACTTCCACATGATGGCATCGAGCCTGTCAGCAAGAGCCTCTAGGTCCAGAACAGCTTTGAGTTGGACCACGGATTTCGGAGTAGCGGGCTTGAACGGGCGCCAGATACGCTCCATGCCCAATCCTGTTGTGAGCTGAACATGAGAGCCGAAAACAGCGATCTGCTTGGAGAGCGTTGTGCTCAAATCCTGCAACAAGGGAGTTGGCTGCTGAGTAGTTGTCGTGACAGCAGACGTCAGCATCTTGAGATATGTCTGGAACGTCGCACGGTCAAATGTCGATCCGTTGGCGAGCGCGAAGAAAGCCCAAAACAACGTCCGCAAAGGCTTGAGGAACGAAGTCTCGAGTTGCTGGCCTTCTCGATGAGCAGTCCAGAGACCTTCCACTAACTTCACTAGTCCCTGCCAGTAGGCATGCAGGAACACGGGCAGTTTCTGCTTTTCTTTCCGACGCTCGAACTTGGCGGATGGCAGCGTCTGGAATGCTTGCTGCATGTTGTACAGATCCAGTATGAGTTCATACATGGATGCGTACCAAAGAGAAAGCGACTGGGACGCAGGATTGCGATTGATGCAGAGTTCGTTGCCGAGCGGGTGGTAAGGCACAAGCTGAGCGAGAGCGTCCCATCCGAACAGTTGTTGGAACTGCTGTGCTTGCGGAGCCCATGCGTTGCTCAGAAACTGCGAGAAATGTGCGAGTTTTTCATCGAACACATGCGGCGCCGAGCTCGTTGACACAACCTGCATAGCATCCGCATTCTCGAAGCCGTTCGTATGTGGGGGCGTATCCTGAGGTATGAGGCCTTGTTGAGCTTGCTTCGCAAAGCTCTTCATCAACTCATTGTCACTGACGGACAAGTTCTCGAACCGTGCCTCCATCGTCTCGCCCACGTACGCTCCGTGTTCTTGGAACTGGCGGAACCGATACATTCCCGACTCAAGGGGGTACTCGGCCATCTGTTCAGGTCCAACGACATGCGATCCATCGAGCAAGCAAATCTCAACAGCCCTGTTTCGCATAGCTCTCGACAGCTCACCAAATCTGGGATCCATGGTCATGAAGATCCTAAAGTCAGGATGTGGCTGGACGATCCTTGCCTCGCCATCAGCCGTGGAGTGTTCGTTGATGGAGAGATAGCCATTAGGCTCAAGCAGCGAGTTCAAACGATCGAGAACAGCGCTGGAGCAGAGATTCGCGTTGTCGAGAACAAGCCATTTGCCCTGCTCGAGCGCACGGATGAGGATACCATCGACCCATTGGAAGCGAGCGCCGTCGATTTGTTGATTGGCAAATTGAGAAAGAATCTGCATTTCTTGGAGGAGTGTGGCGGCACCGGAGTCAGACCGAGCAATGGTTTCGAGGAGCGAGTACAAGTTCTCAGTGAGCGGCGCATCATCCGACTGAATATGCTCGAGCAGCTTGACATAGCTTGATACTGGCTTCTCCAACAAAGCAATCTTGCGGCGCACAAACTCCTCCAGTCGTTCCATGAATCGGTGCACCTCACGGTTGGGGTCGACCTGCTCGTATCCGCCGACAAGATCCATGGCATCGACATCCGCGTTCATGGAGAACGTAACGAGCTCGGCTCCAACAAACGAAGAAAGTTGGTTGATCATGGCCGTCTTCCCAGAACCAGGCGGCCCAACCAGAATGATCGGCCAATTCTGCTTGACACTGACGAGCAGAGCTTCCATGGGTCCTAGTTGCGAAATCTTAAGAGTCGAGACAGCATCTGGGCGTGTAACCGCAGTGTCTCGCGGAAGCAACCCAAGACCGACCTGGAACGCTTCTGTGCTGATATTATGGTAGAGGCTCACGCGTGGTTCATGAGCACCGTACAGACTCTCGAACAGTTTGAGGAGGCGATTACGGTCAGTTTCAGCGCGGAAACGCTGTACGAAAATCGTGTCTAGGAAGTCTCTTGCAGAACCGGAGAATTGATCTGAAGCAAGAAGCTGTAGCCAGCGCAGCGTATCACGCAGGTTGAACTCCCAAGGCGCACCCAAGCTGCCAAAAGCGCGGCGGCTCACGACCTGCTCGTCTAGCTCAGCCACGAAGCCAATCAGTTTGGTGACCTCCGCCTCCTCAATGCCCGGGAAAACTTTGTGGCAGATGAGTGTAAGATCGTCGGGACGAAAAACATCCGCATACACGACCGTAAAACGATTGACAAAACTGGCAGGCAAGCCTTTTCGCCCGCCTCCCTGGTGATGCGGGTTCTGCGCAGCAAAGACACGGAAGTCCTGGTGCTTGTGGAAAGTCTGGTCCAGCTCGGAGATGTATACTTCTCCACGATGATCGAGAACTGCGTTAAGACCTTCGAGAACGGATTGCGATGCCAAATTCATTTCGTCGAGCAGAACCCAGTCACCGTTCTTCATAGCCTTTAGGAACGGAGCGTCGCGCCAGGCAAATGTACCCGCGGCGCCGCCTTCGACCGGGACATCGGATCCGAAGAGATCCATAAGATCTGTTTGCTCGGAGAGATTTAGTCTCGTCAAAGGTTTGCCGATAGCCTTTGCGAGTGCGGTGACGAGAGTAGTTTTGCCAACACCGGGGTTACCTTCCAGTAAGATTGGCTTTGCAAGTTGCAGTGCGCGGACTACTCGCATAGCATTGGATCGTGTTGTAGGAGCTTCAAGTGAAAAGTTCGATGTTTCTGTTGCGGCAGACGAGAACTTGGGGATGGAGAACGAACCGAGCTGGAACGACTGATCGGTGCTGGTGAGGTCCACTGTACCAAAGTAGAGCGGCGCGACGTCTTGACCGAGTAACTTGCTGAGGTGGTGCAGACACGCTTTCCGTTCTTCGTCAATCGACGTGGGCGAGATTGCAAGCAGGCCTGCTGGGTTTGCACCGAGCGTGTCAATGAAGACCATAGCTGCGCCATGTACGATACCAAAGACTGGGTCGTTGTTGATGGAGTTGTTGACAAACGTGACCCAAGCCAATGTGTCTCGTATCGAAATGGACGAGGCAACCGAAGTGTTGTACTTCTCATTGAACCACTGCGAAAACGAGACGATAGCCCCGGCGTACTGTGCGACCTCTGGCTTCAGCTTGGATCGCACAATCTGCAAGACATCCTCCAAGTCAGACATTGCGGGGACCCAAATCTCCGTAAATCGATTGCGGAGCGCCAGTGAGAGCTCCTTCTTGCCGTAGTCTCCACCAGGGTTCATGGTTGCAAGAAATTGGAAGCCTTCACGAGCGGTGATCTGGGAATCAACGGGGCCCTTCTCCGCAAGCAGGAGTGTGCGGGAGGACTCAAGCACACTGTTCAGGCGCTCGAGAACCGAGTCGTCCGCGAGTGATATCTCATCAAGGAGGAAATAGTGACCCTGTTTCATAGCGTGCACAAGGCTTCCATCTGCCCATTCGAACAATGCGGCGGCCTTGATGCGGTTGACATGTATGGCCTCGCGATGGTCGATTGGTATCGCCTCGGGGTTCTCCTTAACAATCGCGTCGTACAATGCAAACAAGTGGTCCGAGTCCATAGCAGAGGCAGTAGCAGGATCGATTTCTCCCCTCACATCCCCTATGACCTGAAGAAGCTGCTGTCTCAACAAGTCCTCGATAGCCGCTCGGTTTCGAATAGGTCGTTGGGCACCAATCAAATCACCCGTCTCAGTGTTCTGATGGGCGTTCAGGATATGCAGTTGGTTCTCATACGCATCCGCCAGCATCTGACACACTGTGGTCTTTCCGCAACCCGTCTCTCCGACAAGCAGAACAGGCTCGTTGTTACGAATGGCGTGAGCTACAAGCACGAAGAGTCTCCGCATAGCACGGGTCCAAACAACGCCGGCATTAGCACCAGTGGTCTCCTTACTCAGCTGCTTGATAGCAGACCAGTTGTCTTCGCTGAACATCTGCTCCTCATCGATCGTAACCTTGGGCCCATTCTTGCTCATGACACTCTCCATGACCTTCTTGACCGCAACACGTTCTTCCTCTTTACGCACACGTTCTGCAAGAAGCATGTAGCCATTGTTCGCAAGGTCCTGTATCGTATCTGCCTTGCGCTGCGCCCATCTGAACAGATCTCTGAGCGTCGCAAAACTCTTCTGTTCGAAGATGCGGTTTTCCTGTCGAAGTGTAGAAAGCTCCTGGTACACTTTCACAATGCGCTTACACCACGTTTCAGGAATCATGGTGCGGCGATGCAGAATTTCAGTCAGTTCCTCCACTGGTATGTCGTCGAAGTGCAGCTCGAGGAAACGATTGCGGAAAGCTCGTGATAGTACTTTTCGGCCACCGTAGAGACCGGCAGGGTTCTGTGTGGCGAAGAGCATGAAGTCATCGTGAGGACGAACTACTTCTTGCGTTTCCGGAATGAGGAGTTCTCGGTTATCATCTAAAAGGCGATTGAGTGCTTCGAGTACGTCTGTAGGCGCAAGATTGAGTTCGTCGAGCACAATCCAGTGTCCCTCTCGCAGCGCGCGTACAAGGATACCCTCCTGGAATGTGAGTTTCCCGTCGGCTCCGGAAATGTACGAGCCAAGATACTCCTGTAAATCGGTGTGCTCGTGGTTGTTGATACGAACAAACTTGTTCCCAGACTTCTTCGCAAGATACTCAATCATACTCGTCTTACCAGACGAAGTCGGGCCCTGGATGAGGACAGGATATCGGCGTGTCGATGCAGCTCGGATGAGGTTGTTCATGTTCCGCTGGACAAAAGGTGTGATGATGTAATGAGGTTGTTCTTCCACAGCTTGTACACCTTGTCGAAGCCAATAGTGGCCTTGTCTCACGTAGCCACGTCCGTCGGCAGGTTGTTGAAGTGGTTTGCCGAGCTCTGCTTTCATGACCGCTCTCTGAGGAAACAGATGCTTAGTGATGAGTGGAGAAACGAGATCTTCCGACACTTTGCCCAGAAATGTCAAAAAGCTCATGTGGAAACCTTCAAAGAGTGCTCGCCGAAGACTGCACAGAGGTGCAATCTCCCTAGCATACGAAAGAGTTCTTGTCAATGTTCGCAAACTGAAATGTGCTTTCTGATCTGCACCATCGACAAGCATATTCGCCTTCGCGAGCTGCTGAATCTCGAGGTAGAGACTAGTAACATCGCGCGCTATTCTTGCAATTGCTGGATCTGTGCCGTCACCGCCCAAGTACTTCTCGACAATGTTGCGCAAGCTCTTCTCATCGCCATCGGGGCTTTCAACGTATAGCTCAGTGAACCTTGAACGAATTCCAGGGGGAAGATCCTTCTTGCCAACATCAGTCGCGGGATTCATGGCAGCGAAAACCCTGAAGTTCGGATGAGCGACGACTCGCTCAACGTTTCCGGTCTCTGTAAGCAGAATCGAAGGATTGCCGTCGGGCCCTCCACCCAGAAGATCTGTCAGTGCTTCCAGCGTGTCCGAAGATGCCAAGTTGATTTCGTCGAGAAGCACCCAGTCACCGTTCCTGACCGCCTTAACAATATTACCTTCCAAGAACGAGAAAGCGAAGGCCTCGGAGCCGCTAGCAAGCTGAGCCTCCAAATCATGAAGATCCGTAGCGAATTTTTCCCATCTTGCCGTGGGAAAGTTGACTGGCAACGAATCCATCTTTCGCTTCTTCTTAGGCTGGCCACCGTCAGGATCAGGCGATGAAGTCTGGGATTCGTGTGTTTTGCGCGCAGCATCCACCATCTTTAACGCCTCTCGCCAGAGTGTGCAAACGCGCTTCCACTCGCCCTTTGCAACTCGCTTGCCGAGCATCTCCATAAAGCGTTGGTTCTTCTTTCTTGAGAATGTGGTGTCGAACAGGTCATCGAATTCGTCTTTCAGCGGGATTACTAGGCTGCGAACGTTGACTGGCTTGAAGCCACCAAGCAAATCGCCACTTTCGCTTTGCTGGGACAAGTTGAAAGCAACCATCTTGCGACCGAGTTGCTCAGCCAGATACTGAATGCATGTCGTCTTTCCAGTACCAGTCTCACCAACAAGCAGAAGCGGTTCTTGTCGATCCACTGCCACTGCGATCTTCTCGAGCAAACGCAAAGTGTAGTCGTTGGTAGAGAATGGCCGGCTGGACACTAATCGCTTGGAGGACTTGTGCTTCGAAAGCCTCGCTCTTCCTATCCGGATCGTTCCAGATGCGTTGGTCTTGGACGGTACTTCGAGCTTCACTGTGCGATTCCGGAGCAGATGGTCTCGTCGTTGAGGGTCAATGTGCAGCTCTTCAGCTATACACGCCATGACCTTATGTCGTGCAATCTCAGTGCGCAGACTACCGGCGAAGCAGTCAAACGCCTCCATGAAGATGTCGTCCGCCTGTGCGGGGCTGAAAGTAGAAGTCTGCGCAAGAAGCACAGCGATTCTGTCACACCATTTGAGCAGATCTCTCGGTGTCATAGCTCGAAGCGATGTGCCGTTCTCGGAGGAAAACTTGGCATCAGAGTAAAGTTCCAACAATCGTGAGTAAACTCTCATGATCCCAGACAGGTGTTTCTGCAGCGCCGGATAGGTAGCAGAGATAATTTGTTGAAACTCTTCGAGTTGGGGCATCTGCACTGTAATCGAGTTCCAAAATCTGTGTCCGATCATGTTCTGACGGGGCACGATTTCCTGTCCTCTCGGGTTGAGCGTGCTTCGCATTGTGGCAATGATGCGGAAACCTCTTGCCGCTCGGATTGTCTCTCCTCGACTCGGGATGAGCAGTTCGCCACGCTCGATGAGTGGCAAAAGTGTGCTGATGACTTCGTTCGGCGCTCTGTCCAGATCCTCGATGAAAATCCATCTTCCTTCTCTTACTGCTGTTGTGAGCACTCCGGGACGCCAACTGAATGTTCCAGGTTTCGCTCCTGTCGCGTACATGCCAATCAGTAGCTTGGCGTCGCTTTGTTCGTTGAGGTGTAGAGTGACCATCTTGTCGAGCTTGTTGAGCTGCCATGCGAAATGCCGTGTCAGAAGTGTCTTTCCTGAGCCAGCCAGTCCAGTAAGCAAGATAGGACTAGATCCGAGGAGTCCGCAGGCAATGTTCGTCAGATTCGCCTCCGTCGTGGCTGTCGAGATGAGCTGAGAAGGACTCTCCTGCGATGGCGCTCCATCTAATCGAGGTAGCAGGATGCTGTTGACGTTGACTGTGTATGGTGAAAGTTCCTGGTACACAGATTGCGGGATAGACTCGGCTTCCTCTGACTGCTTCTGCTGCAACTGCAACCGCAACTCTTTCCACCTCTTCTCTTCCCACAACGACAAGAACCGGTAGTCAATGACCTTCCCCTCCCATCGTCCCTCAACCTCTCCCTCCCCAACACATCTCTTGACCATCTCCTGCGTCGCCCGATCCGCCGCATGAACATACAGACAAAACGTCCTAACAGCCAGATATCTCACAGGGCGACTCGAATGGTGAAACAAGCCCTCCAGCGCAAGCGGTCGTACAAAGCGAGCAAAAGTCTTGCAGTCGTGGCTAAGAAGTCGAAAGGTTCCAAGCAAAAGGTCCAGCAAACCCGCCTCAGCGGTAAGAGGCGGCACATCCCCAGACGCCTGCGATCCGATAATCAGGCTCTTTGAAATGCGGGCAAGAAAGCGTTCCACATGCTCTGCAAGATGCGGCGCAAAAGGCAACACCCGTCCAAACGCCGCAATCTTCTCCTCAGTCTCCACCCCGCTCTGAATCCAGCGCGCGCACACCTCCGTAAAAAGACCCTCATAACGAACAAAAAGCTCATCGGTTCCACTTTGCCTCAGCGCATCCGCCGCAAGCATTCTGATATCGACCTTCATAATAGCTATTCCCTGCCTTCAGCGACAGTTTGCGTAGTGGGGGTATAGTGAATCGGGGCGCCTTCCCATAATTTCGACGCTTCGAAAAACAGGCTGTTGAATGTCCGTTCGTGGCGTTACAATTCTGTTTTCTCTTCTCTCGAACTTTTTTGCGGGCCTGTGCCAAGACGCCAAACCGAATGCATCGCCGCTCCGCAAAATCTCAGGATTCGCCCAAACGTTCCACGATCGAAGCGACGACAGGCTTACATCTCACACCCCCGCTCCCGCTCGAAACTCTACCATACCGCAATGTCTGCTCCGGCTTCTCGCGCCCTGAGGCGCTGCGTCTGCACCGCCCGCGCAAATGGATACACACGACCGGCGATGGGGGCGGCACAGCAGAGGATACAGCGGAGATGGGCGTCGGATGCTCCTGCGAACCCCAAGATCGCGACGATCGTGGACCAGATTAGCCAATTGACGTTGTTGGAGACTGCCGATTTGGTTTCGTCGCTGAAGGTATGCATTTTGGGTTATGGGGATGATCTTGGCAATTGGGGGTGTCTATGAGCCGCATATACTGTGCAGCTGCTCCAACCAATGCCCTCAATATTCATATATAGTGTAGAGCTGATGTGTGGCTGCAGACCCGCCTGAATATCCCCGATATGCCCATGGGAGGCTTCTCAGCCGGCCCTGCGAGTGCCGCCCCCGCTGCGCCCGTCGAAGAGGAAGAGGCCGCCCCCGCCGCCGCCGAGAAGACCCTCTTCAACCTGAAGCTTGAGAAGTTCGATGCGGGCGCGAAGCCAAAGGTCATCAAGGAGATCAAGGCCATGCTGGGGCTGAGTTTGGTGGACAGCAAGAAGTTTGTGGAGAGCGCGCCGAAGATGATGAAGGAGGGTGTGCCCAAGGAGGAGGCGGAGAAGATTGTCGAGACGTTGAAGGCACTGGGGGCGACGGTTGCCATGGAGTAGAGACACTTTATTGAATGATACTGTATCATAGCATATTGCGTGGCGTGGCGTGTACAGATATGTATAGCATCGGTCAAAGTCCAGAAATTATGAATGTATGTATGCAATGCAGCGCAAAACATCAGGCCAGTCGTTTGCCCATGGTATCTCTCCAAACGCCTGCAATGCATAAACCCCCCAAAACGCCCACATCCTTTCCTCCCTTAAACACAGCATCCTCAACCAAAAGCAACCGCCTGCCCCCTCTCTTCCCAATCCTCCCTCCCGACAACGAAATCATCCTCCCCGATATCACTCGCCTCCTCCCACAGCCTCTCCATCTCCTTCTCGTCCTCGCCATTCACCGCCCAAATACTCTCCCGCATCCTCTTATGCCGCTCACGATCCTCCTCAATGCGATGCTCCACCTGCCGTTTATCCATACGCGACGTAGTCGACAACTGCGGATTCTCCGTCTCGCGCGACTTAAGCACAGCATCGAGTTCCGCGACCGTCTCAGGGAGCAGAATAGCCTTAGCTTGCAGCGCATGCAGGACCTACACGCGTAAAGTCAGCTCCCGCGCCATCCATCCCCAACACACGAGAAAGAGCACAAACCTTCCGCACAACCCTTACATTCGCGCCCTCCTCCCCAACCACACACTCCACAACCCTCAATATATCCCGCTGCAACATCCTTACGAACCCCATCGCGCTCGCCTCCCCATTCCCACTGCTATTCCCACTCCCCGCAGCGTCCTTGACCGCCATCTCGCACAGACACTCAATGAAGAACATGATATTCGCGCGCGTATTCATGTTCGTGCGCTCGAGCTGCTCGATGATGCACGAGTGCAGGTCCTCGTCCATTTCGCGGTTCTTAAGCGCATATAGGGCGGCTTTTTGCAGCGATGTGTGCGAGGCGGAGAGGTGCGAGAGGAGGTTTGTGAAGCGTTGGCGGACTTCGAAGGGGTCTGCCATTTTGCTTTTGAGAGGGGGGCGTGAGGTGATCGGGGGGAGTTTCTCGGGTCAAGAGGCGCGTTTGGCGTGTCGTGTGTTAGGGTTGTTGGGATGGGATGGCTGGCTGGCTGGGCTCGGCGTCGCGTCGTGCGCATAGCATCGGTGTGGGGCCTAGCGCGCCGATCGTGGGGTTCGCGCCGACGTCGCTGCTCGTCGGTTTATTTGAGGCACGGCCTGCTGCTGCTGCTGCTCTTTGTTCACGGACTATTTTTTTTAAACTCTACCACAACAGAAGAGACGGATAATCGCAGATATGTCGTCTTCTGAAGAATCAAAGGGTCTCACTTTGACCGTGCTCGGCTCAGGTATGTTGGAGTTATTCTTTTGTGTGTTCGATATCTGGAGTACAACATGGGCATGGGAGCACGAGAGCAACCGCGCTTGAAAAGAGAAAGTTTCATGAACCTACTCTCTCACAAGAGATACCCCCATCCTGCTCCAAGAAGACAAGAGAAAAGCAGCCCCCAACCCCCAGCACCCCCTCACAGCCCATCCTCACCCTCACTCCCCCAAACCCAACCCACGAAACTAACCCCCAACAGGCACAATGGGCATCGCCATAATGGGCGGCGTAATGTCGTCCCTCGCCGCCGCAAAAACGCAATCCACCCTCTCCCCCTCCACCCCCAAAGACACCCCCAACCTTTCCAACTTCATCGCCTGCGACCAATGGGCGCCCGCCGAAGAAAACGTCCGCAAAGCCCTCGGCCACTACTCCTTCCCGCTGCAAACCCTCACGAACCAGAACCTCAAAGGCGTCAGCGAAGCAGACATCGTCCTGCTCTCCTGCAAGCCGCACGGGTACAAGGACATCCTGGGCGAAGCGGGCGTGCGCGACGCGCTCAAGGGGAAGGTGCTGGTTAGCATCCTGGCGGGGGTTACGCAGCGGCAGCTCGAGGATTTCTTATATCCTGAGGGGAGTGGGAAGGTGGAGGGGGCGTGCAGAGTGGTGCGCGTGATGCCTAACACGGCGTCGTTTGTTGGCGAGTCCATGTCTGTTATTGAGACGTCGAATCCGCCGCTGTCGGATACACATGCTGCGCTTGTCAAGTTTGTGTTTAGCTCGATTGGTCGTGTTGTTACGCTGCCGCCGGCGATGATGGATATCTCCACTGCGCTGTGCGGGTCGGGACCGGCGTTCTTTGCGCTGATTCTGGAGGCGGCGGCGGATGGGGCGGTCGCGATGGGATTGCCGAGGGCGGAGGCTCAGCTTATGGCTGCGCAGACGATGCGCGGGACGGCGGCGTTGGTGCTGAATGGGGAGCATCCCGCGGTGCTGAAGGATAAGGTGTCCACGCCTGGAGGGTGCACGATTGGCGGGTTGATGTCACTGGAGGAGGACGGCGTGAGGGGGAGTGTGGCCAAGGCGATTCGCGAGGCGTGTGTTGTGGCGAGTCGGTTGGGCGGAGAGAGCAGGGAGTTTGTGAACCATCGCCGGTAGGTAGATGGTGAGGGGAGTCGGGGTTGGAAAAAACAGATCACAATGGACCGACTGGAAGCACACGATAGACCATGATGAAATGAGATACCAATACACACCGGAATATGTATTTTTATTGTCTTGTACCTACCTAGACCTACACCCACGCCCCTAATCCCGCCCCGTTTGAATTTTTCTACCAGAAGAGGGTATAATAAAGTACAAGAAATAGAGTAGAGAACCCAGATGCCCTACCCAATCCATAGCCATAGCCATAGCCACAACCGTAACCATACATACACATAGATGCAGATGCAGATGTGCAAATCGCAGCCTCCCCAGCCACTGCACCAACGCAAATAACTACCCACCCACGCCTAAAACAACCTCACTGATTATTTTTCCACACCTCCTGCGAGCTCACCACCCTACCGCCTCTCCCTCTCCAACCTCTCCATCTCCCGCTCAACATCACCCTCCGTCCTCACCCCACCCCGCCTCGCCTTAGCATTCTTCCTCAACCCCGCCGTAAACAAATTCGCAATGGAATTCGTCTCCTCACCCCCCGCGCCACTCTTACGCCTTTTATCACGATGCCCCGCAGGCGCAGTCGGCGTCTTCGTATCCTTGCGCGAGGACGTCGAAGTCGAAGCAAGCGCCTCATTCCGCAGCTCCCCACGCTCATCGCCAACATCCTCAATGGGGCGTTTAGACGACAGCGAAGGGCGAGAAGCATGTGTGCGCGGCTTGCTCTGCTCGCGCTCACCGCGCTCACCACCGCGTTCTTTATTATTGCGCTCGCGGGCGTTTTTCTCGCGCTCGGCTGCGTAGTGGTCTTGTACTGTTGGTGTTGCGTTTCCGCTAGCTGCTGAGCCGACGCTTTCTCTTCGTCGCTCTTTGTCGCTTCGCGGGCCTTTGGGGGGTTGTAGAGCTCTCGGTCCGGTTGGTGGTTGGGGTGGTGGCATGACTGTTGCTTTTGAGCGGCCTTTGATGCTGAATCCGTTTGCGGAGGGACCTTTTGGCGCGTTGAGTGGTGGGGATACGGCTCGTTTCTTCATCATTTGGCCCACGACGTCTTCTTCTTTGTCTAGTTGCTTGGGGGCGCGCTCGTCGTGTCTGTGCTCCCGGTCTTTGCGGCTGCGGCGCGAGGAGCGGTCTTGGTCGTGGTCGGAGACTTCAGGTTCGGCGTCGCGGTCACGGCGACGCTTGCGCTCCTTGTCTTTATCGCGAGATCGGTCTTTCTCGTACTCGTAGTCGCGGTCGCGTTCTTTTTCTTTGCGGTCTCGGCGGTCGCGGTCCCGCTCCCTGTCACGCGAGCGTTCGCGATGTCGTTCCTTGTCACTTCTGTCTTTGTCGCTGCGATCCTTGTCACTCCTGTGCTTGCGCCGAGAGCTGCCTTCTGACTCTTTATCACCATTTGCGTACGCATCATCGTCGTCACGCTTGTCCTCTGGAGAGCGTGAGCGGTGGCGGCGTCGGTGCTCGCGGCTGCGATCGCGGTGGGAGCGGGATGAGCGGTGCTTCTCCTTGTCGCGGCGGCTACTACGGTACTTGGAATCTGCTGATGCGCTGCGCGTTCTGTCTCCTCGACTGTCTCTATCATCACGGTGTCGGTCATCGTAGTCCTCATCACGATCGTCACGACGTGATGAGCGGTGGGTGCGTCGATCCTTGCGGCGCTCGTAGTCTTCCTCTGCCTTGGGTGTGGGCGATCGTCCTCGGTCATCGCGTCGCGACTCACGGTCTGCTGAACGTGATCGCTCTCGACGCTCATCTCTCTGTCCATCTCCAGCTCGTGACTTGGCCTCAGATCGCGCGCGTGACGGTGACCTCTCTTTAGTTCGTAAGGCCTCGTCTCGTTCAGGGGATCGTCTGCCAAAGTGTCAGTCCTTCTGCATCTTGACCACATACATCACTATACTTACGATCGAACTCTTCGGACTGGGCTAGCAGGAACGCCTTCTCGCGCAGGCGTCACGCTCTTTAGTGGTGCAATGAAGCGCGCACTGTTCACTCGACTCGAAAACCCAGTGTTTGGCCGACCTTCCCGCATCGCTCGTGGGCCTGTAGGAGCACCCTCAACGCCCACGCCGGTAGGTTGGCCTATCAAAACAGTAGCAGCGCCATAAGCAGCGTTGAACCCGCCGCGAGGACCGTAATTATTGTTGTGATGATGGTACTCCGCGTCCATTCCCATGTTCATATTAGGGTTGAATGGCGCTTGAACAGGGAATTGATTCATCATGCCTTGACCGTACGGCATGTTAGGCTGCATTCCGTCACCCATCATCGAGGGATCGAAGCTCTGCATATCTCCTTCAATGGAATCAACAGTCTGGATCTTGTTCAGCCCATCAGGGTTGGTCGTCTCGTTCGACTCGTTTCCTGCATGATTAGTCGCGCCATCGGCATCTCTACTACCATCACCAGAAGGGTTGATAGAATCCAGCGCAGCATCGTTGCTCTCTTTACCTTCCTCAGTAGACTCTGCGGGCGCCTTTGTCTGCTCGTCTTCGACCTTAGTCTCAGGCGCAGCTTTAGCGGATCCGTCAGGTGACTGGCCGTCACGCTGTTGAAAAACAAACTTGTCAGTTGCTGAATTTGGGGAAGTCGGAAGTTCGCCGACCAAAAGAGCAGGTCTTGGCGGAAGATTATGAAATCGACGTACGTTGTGCGCAGGGCCGCTTCGACTTCCAGGACGACCGTTCGCCCCAGGTCCAAAGTCTCCACGACTGCCATTCCTGTTTCGCTGAGGAAATGCTCCTCCTTGATTGGCATGGAAACGATTCTGGTTCTGGTTCTGGTTTGGGAAATTATTCTTGGGGAACTGGTTCATCATCTCGGGATATGCTCCAGATTGATTATATCCACCCATCTGGTTGAAACCGTTGGAGTTTCCATAGCCACCGCCCATGCCATTCCATCCGTTGCCATAGCCGCCACCATAGTTCATCATGTTCATGGCGGACATGTCGTTCATCCCCATGCCCATGTTTCCACCATAATTGCCGTACATGCCATTGGACATGCCGTTCATGTTGAAGTCTGGTAGATCGTTAGAAGATTATTTTGAGAGCAATTTCTGGCAGCAGACATACCCATGGGATTCATTCCATAGCCACCATTGCCCATCATATTGGTCATGCCATTCATCTGATTCATGCCGTTCCAACCCATGCCGTTGAAATTGCCTTGGTTCGGGAAACCGAAGCCCGTCTGGCCCTGCATACCGTTCATGTTCATCATGGGGTTGTTGTTGCCCATCATGCCTTGTTCGTTCGGGGTGTTCTGTTCGTTCGTTGGATCATCTGTTGACGGTTCCGCAGTCTTGGTCGCATTTTGCGATGCAACACTGCCGTGCCGCTCCAGGTCTTCACCCTTAACAGAAGTGGAATTCTGCGCGTAATCAGCAACAGCGCAGAGTGAAGATCTAAGACGTGATGCATTCCACAGCCACCGGCACGTGCGACAAAAATTGTGTTCATTCCTACGAGACGTGCAATGCTTCCATTTCTTTCTTTTCTGACTCGTCCAGAGCCAAACACGCCTGAACAAATGACTGAAACAGCAGATTGCAAACCTACCTCGTTCGGCTGCACATCAGCTGAGCCTGCGCGCTGAACTACTTCTTCAGCATCATTCGCGGCGGCAGTAGCTTCATCAGCCTGGACCTGCTCCAATTTTGGCGTTTCCTCCACACTCTCGACTGGTTTGTCTGCAGCCTCACCAGCAGGCTGTGCCTCAGGGATGACCGGGGCTGTCTCTACTGGTGGAGTCGCTGCCCGAATAGCCTTGGCATCCTCCTTCTTCTTTTGCTTTTGCAGCCAGATGCGCATCGTGTTACGCAGGGATTTATTCGGCGTGCACGAGTCAGCCTCGAGAGGTGAGTGGTCGCATGATGGGCACGTTGTAGGAAACTCGAGCTTGTCCTGGCCTATAGAGGGTGTTAACGCGTGCGAATCACACCGTGAGAGTATGCGACTCACATTGTGTACATATGGCTTTGTTACAGCACAAAAGTTTGAATGAGTCAATAGCAAGCTGACTGCAAAGAGCGCAAAAGAAGGCTTTAGGGAAAACAGTCGTGGAAAGAGAGCTGTGCGCATTAGAACTAAACATTAGAATATACGTGGAAGCCTCATACAGCGCAAGTTCCTTCAGGTCGTCGGCAAGCGGCGCAGCCTTGGGGTCTGCCGCGGGGTTGGCCATGGTGAAGCTTTGTTGCACTCTCGCGAGGTTGGATAAGGCTACAGCGCAAGGAACCTGCCTCTGCTGGATCCTATTCCATCAAATGAGGGCACAAGAAAAAAGAAGTAGTCAATCGAGTGTCGCGAGATAGGTGGTTGTAAGCAAACGTCGAGGTTGACTGCAGCTGTCGCGTTGGTGGTTGCGAAACACCAGGTGAGAGTCGCGGTTTCCTTCTAGAAAACTTGGGTGGTACGTGCGTTGTCATCACGTGCACCTTACCAGTAGTACAGCCAGCATTCACAGCCCTTCAACATCCTCGACGCCTTGATGGATGCATTTTATATCTGTTTGACGCGTTCATCCTGCAAAGGGGCGGTAATGATTCGCGCTGAGTGAATGTTTCTTGTACACTAGCCAGTTACACGTTAGACTCTGGGCGAATCCTTGACGTCGTCATCGTCGAGCCATTGGGTAGGCTGTCCTCTCTCTCACAAGACTGTTCAACATTCACAACCTCTCTCATTTTTCTTTCTTACGAAGATGATTCTAAGTCAGATCTCCTATTTGGACTGCATTGCCTTTCTAGTCTGCCTCGCGCCCCAATTGCTGATCCAGATTGGCGTGTTTCCACTGCTAAAATGGTTGATACCTGCCCTGCCGTCACTAAGTCAGTAACTCAATTCAACATACACTAAAGTACTGAAACTTATAGTTCCTCAAGTCTTCGTGATCCCCTACCAATTTATTCGCTCAAGGTTGTTCACCCCATATGAACAGCGCACCCCGTTCGTCCAAAAAGCAACACCATTCCAGGATTTCGTTATTCGTTTCGTTCGGTATGCCTTCGCCAACATGCCAGCCTTCCTGGGGCGCGTTTTCTTTTCGAAACAAGTATCGTTGCCGTTTCTGCGCTTTCGAATGCTTCGTCACGGAATCTTCACCTCGCCACTGAGATGGACAGAAGTTAAGAGACCGGGCTTCCAAGGTGTTTATGTTGTACACAATCCCCAAGAGCAACCGGATGTTATTGTGTATTATTGTCATGGTGGCGGGTTTTCTATGGGCAGTAGTTTCTTCTACATGGAATTCTTGCTTGCCTGGGTTTCGCTTCTCAAGTCCGCTGGCTTTAGGAACCCGGCACTCTTTGCATTGGAGTACACACTCGTACCCGATGCGAACTATCCCACTCAGCTCCACGAAACGGTGGCAGGGTATGAATACGTCCTCTCACTCGCTCAGTCATCGACACGCGTTGTAGTGGGTGGAGACTCAGCAGGCGCAACACTCATTCTTACATTCCTCCTTCACCTGACCTCCGACGCGAAACTCCGCCATCAGAAACCTGGCCTTGCGATCATGATAAGCCCTTGGGTCACTATCGTCTCGCCCAAAAACCGCAATACAGCATCCGACTACCTCAACAGCACGACTCTAGAGATCTACGGCCGTCAGTACATCGGCTCCAAAACCTCTCCCTCGGATCCACTAGTGTCTCCGGGGCAATGCAGAGACTCAAAGAAGTGGGCCGACGCGAGCCCAGAGAAAGGATGGTACTTTCTGTACGGTGGTGAAGAGGTGCTCGGTCCAGAGACAAGAGCGTTGATCAATCTGCTGAAGGAAACTGGAAAAGAGGTGGAGGAATGGGAAGACAAGGGTGGAATTCATGCATGGCCTGTGGCGAGTTTGTATCTGGGTGAGACGAGGGAGGAGAGACTGGGCGGACTGAAGAGTATTGTTGATGTTATGAAGGAGAGGATAACATGACTTTAGTTGTAATTGGTTGTGCAACAGATGGTGGAGGTGGTACTAGGCTTAGCGTACGTGGCTTAGATGATCCCCTCTGTCGTCATCCGTGCATAGTTCCTCAAACGAACATACGACGAGTACGCCTTGCGGCATATTGATGCATCTTGTCAGCGTCTCCGGAACTCGACCACTGAATGCCCTGACTGGGCAGGCCGCTAGGCAGTCGCATGTGCAGAATGGCACTGTTCCTATACTCTCTTGGGTCAACATATGACAACACATACACCGTTCAGCTCAACCCCGAATTGCATTAAGGTGCCGCCGACGAGGCTTTCTTTGGCAGAAACTCATGGTGGCAGTGTCCAGACTCCAAGCCCTGTGGTATTGAGCAGATGCGCCCACAGCTCGCATGCATCATGCTATCATTGGTCTGTACTGCACTTTGCATATGCCCCGTGGTTACAGCCCCAACGATTGCGCCTCACTTCAGGCTGATGAATTTCCAGCTCTCTTTCCGTCGTTTCCTCACCCTTTTCCCTCTTTCCGTCGATTCCTTCCCCTTTTCCCTCTTTCATGTCTCCTCAACCTCGTTCTTGCTAGAAAAATCCAACCCAAACTGCTACAACGCTTCTCACTACCCGAGTTATAATGGAAGTTCTTGGCGCCGTTGCAGGTGCCGTTCAGCTCGCTGATGTAGCCTTGCGAGTGAGTCGCGAGGCATATGGCTTCCTCACGGCGATCAAAGATTCCAACAATGACATCAAAGCGCTACGAGACGGTAAGTGAAAACGGTGGTCGCCTTAAGGCGTGAGCTAATGAGTACAGCGTTGCGTGAAGTCGAAGCAAATGTCCGGAACCTGAGAAACTTTGTCAGCAAGTTCAAGATGTCGAAGAACGCTGTCGAGGAATTCGAGGTACTATCGGAAGCAATAACTAATTGCTTCTGTGGTTTTCACGATGATATCTGCGACCTCATGAGCGTCCTCCCTAAAAAGCCATCGCCGACCCTCGCAAGAAAGATCAAATGGGTCTACGATCAGCACAAGGTGAAGAACATCACAAAAAGACTCAACGATCGAAAGACTAACCTCAACAATGCCTTGTCCATTACTGGAAGGTAATGTCGCAATAGCGAACTTGGATCACACTCCTCTGACTTTCGCCAGGTTGCACGACCTTCGTTTGCGCGAAGATACTACTTCGATCGAGGAACAACAAATGCGCTCGAATGCAGTTCTTTCTGGACTTTCAGGAGCCCTACACGACCATGCTCGAGAGCATCAGGACGGCCACCAACAGCTTCTCCAGCATGCCCACAAAACCAACGCCAGCATCGATACTGTTCGAACCGACATCCAACGAAAGCATGCTGAGTTACTTCAGAACACACGCCTAACAGGCGATAGCTTGAACGCTATGCAGACCTATGCGCGCGGATATCACGAGGCTACTGCAGCTGCTATAAAGCAGCAATTTGAGTCAACGTACAGACACATCAATACGCTCGAGAACCAGAACTCCCTTCTTTTGGAGAGGACTCAACGATCTCATGACACCTTTAATTCCATTGGATCCCAGCTAAAATCAGAATCACAACATGCTCATTTGTCACTGAGAAACATTGAAAACGATCTCAAAGGGCTCCGATCCACGGCTATTTTCTCGGCATCGGATATCGACATGGCAACCAAGATTCTCGCAAACGAGCTTTTGTCTTCGATAGTTCCAATTGTTGAGCAAGCTGTGGTTTATTCGAATATGCAAAACAAGACGGTGCCGACAAAGTTGAAGGGATCAATCTACCAGATTGCGTCCGACGTCGGTCGAAGTACTATCGCAAAGAAATGCGACAATCGTTCTGAGCAACAAGAAGAGAAAAACGTTGTGGTCACATCGGGACTCATTGAGGATAACCGATGTCAGTATAGTCGGATGGTTTCCATATATCATCGGGTATGGTGTTATAACTGGAGTATTGGCCATCTCACTGTTGAAGTCACACACACGAATCGCCGTTGGAACGGCTCGCCGTCTGCTAGTTCTACCGTCACTATATGCACTCATTTCTGGCCCAACCAAGCACTTGCTCAACTTCCTGGTATATCTTTCTTGTTCGACACAGGTCCCAATCGACAAGGGTTCTATCACTTCGCACCAATGATCACGACTTTTCCAATCATCTCATGTGATCATCCTGTAATACGTGTTGTGTATGACGGCGACCTCACAAAACTTCAAGAAATGTTAGCAAAAGGAGAAGCCAATCTCAGATGTCAGGACGAAGACGGAGAAACACTTTTACATGTGAGTCATCTTATGATTACACTTTCTGCTGGTCAATATTGTATCGCTTTTATCGTTTCTATGGTTGCAACTAGTCAGAAGCGTCATATGTCGACAATGATGGATATCGTTAGAACTCATGGAGTAGCTGCCAATGTACCGTGTCTAAACATGAATGTGTTTTTTCGTCATATTGCCCGGGCTTCCAGGACAAGACTCATCTAAATCCCACTCGACTAATCTATGTATGGGTGTTCTTGCCATTGTCGAACCGTTTGTTAAGTACACTTTAGTCATGTCGCCCGTGAGAACAACTTTAATGCTTTTCGCTGACCGAACTTTTTGTAGTATGCTGCTTTGTACGCTGAACCGAAAATTTGTAGTTTCTTGGTCTCCTATGGTCTATCCTGGACTCAACCAGACAAGTAAGTATCTAGGACGAAAAACGTCACTCAAGAGACAGTAGACTGAAGGTACTATAGCACAGGATTTACACCCGCGCATCTCGCCTGGCAGTGTGCTTTCTGGGCTAAGCCAGCACCAGTTGTAGATTGTGTTGCGACGTTAGAACTTGTCGTAAGTTCCAGGAGTGGCCTTGAGAGTCTCTGGTCAAGCTATGATACAAAAAGGGTTTCGACTTTGCAGGCGAATACAGAGTCTGTCAATTTCTGGCTCGAGGCCATTCCATACACATCGCAGTATAACCCAGACAATTGGCATGCCATGTTGACGTTTCTCATGTACGTATGGTCTCTGCCGACGCGTAACAGTGTGACTTTCATAGAAGGTTGTCTAGATCGGGGTCTTGACCCAAATCTTCGATTGCTCTGGCCAGGGTTTTCCACCTCCTTATTATGGTTTGCTTTGAATAAACTGGAGGACTCAAAAAATGAGGGAATGTCGCCGACGGCAGGGTTCGAAGAAGAAGAAGAAGCCAGAGCAGTTTCTCGGAGTGACTCGACTGGGTACACAAAGCACAACGAACACCAAGTTCCTATATGGTGCGTGGTCGCTGCACTTATCAAAGGCGGTGCGGACATCTATGAAATGAAACCTGGAGACTTCGACAAAGCATCTGCATGGAACGACATATATACTCCCTGGAGCTGGATGTTTGCTTGGGATATGGAAGACGAGTGGTTCGCAGCACTGAGAGAATCTTGCCTTGATCCTGAGCTGGTGTGTCGAGAAGACACGCGACGTTGTAAACAGGCCTTCAGACTTTACGGGGCAACGCGAACAGGGGTAGATGAACGGGTTCTTGAACTTCCGTCGATTTCTGGTCTTCGCTGCCGACCTTGTCGTCGGAGGAGGTGCATGGAAAACCATGGCCTATGGGTGTTCGATACGTAAGAACCGATTTTCTGATGGATTATCAATATAGGCCTACCGGACCACACATTCTCACCAACGCTCTCGTACTCCATCAACGGCCAACTACTGCTTGACCAGATTTTGGCTCCGCCGATAATCTCAAGACCAGACAGTCGCCGAAGTCGCACGTATAAGGGCGCTCTCAACGAGAAACCATATCCACAACACCAGCGACTCAGGATCATCCAGCACTTTTGGGGCTACAAGAGGATGGAAATGAAAGTCAGTCTTTGGCCTACTATGGATAGAGTTCCATTCAATATTTTCTTTATTCAATGAGGTGGTCAGGCAAGCAAACACGCTATGTCGCGCCTTCATGTGATCTGCTCTAGAACAAGCATCTTTTATAGTACTCGAGCAGGCCAAAAAGCAAGTAGATTCACTCAGACTTTTATTCGACTGTATGGGAATGATTGAATCACGATGCACAATTTCGTCAATAGCGACGTCGTTGCAATGACCGTGATGCCAAGTGATTACTCAGCCAAAGATGGGCCTGTGCGCTCGCGTCTCTCTAACTTCGCGTCAGCCGCGCCTTCTCTTTCTCACCAACAACCCGAGCAGCGAGTAAGTCCACCCCGCCTCCACGCGCCTCTGCCCAAACACTTCAGCACAACTCTCTCCCTGAATTTGCCCATTCCTCTAAAATCTACGCAACTAAATCGTCGCCTTACTTCCTACTAACACCCTCCAGATCCCAGTGAACGACAAACCCTGTCACAAGGAGACCTCACGGTCTAATCAACCACGGGGTCTCACTGCATGACAAACAAGAACGGAAAGCGGAGGGAGTGCGCCATCTTGCAAGATGAGCCATATCTGACCCCATCATCGCACGACGACGGGGTCGTCTTCGCAAAGCCACTGGGTCGTGTCATTCCACCGCCATCCGCCGCCCAACCATTCCCGCCGCGCACTGAGGAAGCAGTAAAAGGGTCGAAGCGCCGTCTTCAGACGAGTTCGCTCATGACGACGGAAACGTAGTTTTCAATCCGAGCGCCTGTGCCTCCCTCTTTGGGGGGAGGACCGTTAGTGCGGGGATGCGTGGTCGTTGTTGTTGGGCGCGGTGCGGTATGTGGGTGTGTTTCTTTATACCGCGATCTGATCAATAGACAGACAGATCATTGGGGTCCGGTGATGATGTTCTGTCTCGAGAGATGGGGCATTAAAGCCAAAGTCGAGTAAGGAACCCGGCGCGACTGCCTGTTTCGACGGGTGGTTGTGGCGTGTTGTTCCTTTTGAGAACAGCAGGAGAGCTAATCTGAGGACCAAAACCAATGCATCGCTTCTATTCTTCCAATTCGTCTTTAGCTGTGTTGTGCTGTGCTGACTTGTGAGAAGATTAGTTATGCTACAGACTGATTGTCGTTGTGATATTGATCGTAAGCTGACATGCAACTAACTACACATTTTCCAGTCACCACACTTGTCCTCGACGATACGTGATAACTCAACATCCGCCTCTTATCCTCATTCAAATAGTCTCCAAGCTCTTTAAAAACAGAAAGAACCGCATCACGCACATCATGACCCCTGCAAACACCCCCATGCAGGCCCGTCATCTAAAACGGATGCAAGAACAACCCCACGTAAACCAAGTCGGGAAAACAAGTACAGTACGGTACACCCAAAGCAAACCCCCCGTATAAAGGAACAGTCGTCTCTCCGCCTCCCCCACAGAGAACGACTTTGGCATTTTGGAAAACGGGATACATACAACCAAATCAAGTCACGCAGTCAAATCTCCTCAAAGTGTAGAAAGCACATGAAAAACATCCTGCAAGATGGAACATTTTGAATTTGAGTGTGATTGATAGAATTCCTAGGAGTCGACGAACCTTGAACAAACAACGCGAGAAAAGGTACCCACACCAGGGGTAAAAGATGCTACAAAAACACGTCAATCAGACTAGACGTCCCGCCCCATCACTCCAACCGATACATATTCATCCAGCCCTCCTCATCCCTAACAAAGCGCCACTCGCCCGTCGTCGACGACGCACCACTCGACCTCCAAACACGGGCCTTGTGTTTACGTTTACCATCCGCATAACCAGCGCGATACCTGCACTCATACAGCTTAACCGCCTGCCTCGCCTCGTGCGTAGGGAGCGTCGCATTCTTCTAAAACCTATCCCTCTGCTTCGTGCGGTAGACCGTGTACCCGACATACGCGCCAGTGAGCGCAAGGCCAAACAGGACGAATTTGACGAGGAACCAGGTCCAGCTCCCACCACCGGACGAGGATTCCTTTGGCCTGGCGAACGAGGAGCTGGTTTTGCCTGCGTTGGCGCCGGGGGTGCTTGTTGCTGCTTTTGCGCCGGGGTTGCGCTTGTATAGGTTGAGCGACTTGACGGAGACGATGTCGAAGTTGTCGTGCAGTTCGCCGGTTTCGGCGGAGAAGCCGAGGTAGGCGACGGGTTGGATGCGGTAGTTTGGGATCTCGAAGCAGGTTGTCCATTCGTCTTCGGATTTGTAGGAGAGTTCTAGTTTGAGGTATTGCTCTTGGAAGTAGGTTAGGCGGCCTTTGGTGGCGATTTGCGCGTTGCGGATGCCGCGGGCCTGGGGTGGTGTTAGCTGTTGCGCAGGATGTATTTGCTAGACGTAGTGGGAGGGACGTACAGAGCAGCCAGCGACCTCGTTGGCCTTGCCGTCGTTATCTTTATCGTACTTTGTCTTGCCGTCGCCGTTCATAGCCATAATGTAGGGGAAGACGGTGCCTGGTCGATTGTTCTTATACGTATCGAAGAAGATACCAAGGCCTTCGAATTCATCTGCATGTCCAAATACAGGACCCGGTTGCGCTCGCTGCTTGGTGAGCCACATCGCGAAACCATCGCCGTAAAGGTTGCCCTGGCCGTGGATCTTGAACTCGAATTCGATCTACTCGCGTGAGCTGCTAGCACGGTGCAGATGGGGGTGGATTCAGCGCACCTCCCAATTTGTAGCCGTCAAGGGTACTCGCGAGAACAGCCAGCCTTCGCGCGAGGGCTTGTCCGACGTGAGGCGGATGTACTTGTCTGTTCGAATGACGGTGTCTCCGCCAAAGTCCCACCAACGGCTCTGCATGTCCGAGTCGAGGTATGGCTGGGGGTGTGTGTTAGATCCTGGAATGTTCCTCGAGAGGTCCGTATATATCAGCGCAGGCGACTTACAGGATCCAAACTATGCGTCCGCAGCTACACATTATGTATTAGCAACAATCTGTCCATCTCACACATAGCATACAAACATACCGAAATCGCCTTGATATCCGGATCCTCAGAAAGTCCCAGCGCGCCAACACCCACCAAGCTCCCCGCCAGCAGGCACAAGCTCGCCCATGGTGCCGCAAACAACATAGCTACTAGCCAGCAAGCTCCCTCAAGCCGGTGACCAAGCGCGCGCAAAGAATGGAAAGACGGCAATCGATTGCAAGGGGGGGGTAAGAAGAAACGCGCCTCGGCGTGGTGGAAAGTATAATCTACGCTGGGAAAAGAAGAATGGGTTGGGTGCGCGACATGAAGTGGTGGGTTTGGTTTGGCTTGGTTGCGTGAGTGGGTGTAGAGTGGCCTTTCCACGAGGCGGCGGGCGGAGAGCGGCACCAGCGAGCGAGCGAGCGGAGCAGGGGTCTTGCTCGCCAAGTGGGACTTCCGTTCTTGACGTCGAGAGGCTATTCTTTTTTTGTGAGACGACGACTGCACTTGCTATTACGGGATTTGTTACTGTCACGACGATTGCATCGATTCACGAATAAAATACACACGATTTTACACGACACGATACTGCACAATGGACGCACTAGGCAACTTCTCCTCCGGCAGCGGCGACCCAAAGACGCAGATTATGCGCCAGGTGCAGCAAGAAGCAGCCATGCAGAATGCGCGCATGCTTGTTGAGGTGATTACTTCCCTCCCTCTATATCAGATCCTCCTCCACCCCTCCAGTATACCCACTTCATCCCTCCAATCTAGTCCACCCCACCCCAGTCATAGACTACCCACCATGCAATGTCTTACTAATGTTTTTTTCTTCCCAGAAACTAAACGAACACTGCTTCGAGCGGTGCGTGCCCAAGCCCAACACGTCGCTCTCCAAAGGCGAAGAATCGTGCTTCACGGCGTGCATGGAGAAGTACATGGGGGCGTGGAACACGGTGTCGAAGAGCTATGTGAGCCGGATACAGAAGGAGAACCAGCAGGGTGTTGGGGGTTTTTAGGGCAGGAAACGAAGATACGCAGGGGGTGATGAAAAAGGAGGGAAGGGAAGGCAGGGCTTGGAAACGATGAGAGGTGGCATGGCATGATTGTATTATACTGTACGAACAGCAGCCAACGCTGTACAATATCATGTTATATTCGGTACAAACTCTCATTTCACACATATCGTAACAGGGTAGATGCGCTGCGTTGCGCTCATTTCTTGGGAAACGTCTTCTGCCGCTGCGCGTACTCCCTGACGATGGTCGAGCAGCTCACCTCCTCACACAACCGCTTCCGCCGCGACACATCCAGCTTAGTCGCAAACTCCAGCCCGCTCGCCCTCTCGACCGCTTCAACGGGGACCTCAAAGTCCGTCAGCGGCTTGTCACTCGCGATACGCGCATTCGGCAGCACAAAAGCGCCCAGCGCGACCTTCCCACCGATTCTCCCATCCTCAGCGAAAATAACCTTGAAGAAGTGCGTAGGCACAGCGACATTCGGCGGCTGCCCGATAACCTCATAACTAACCCTCCACTTCCCGTCAGCCTCGCGCTTGGGGAGGTACAACGGGCCGGTCACGACCCTGACAGACGGATATGTGTGCGTGAGCCTGCGGCAAAAGTCCTCGAAATGCGCCCAGTAGTCGCGATTAAACCCGTCGCCAACCTGCGGACACATATTGCTCAGCGAAAACGTATCGTCCATGGCTTCCTGGCTCCACTTCGCGTCGGCGGCCGGCACCTGGTGGCCACGGTCATACCCGCTGCGGAAGTAGTCTTTGAGCTTTGCGCGGAACTTCTCCGGGATGGCGACATCTTCGACGAAGACGCTGTGCTTGCGGTCTGCGTTGCTGGTTGCGAGGGACTCGGGCGTGATGTGCTCTGCGACCCAGTGCGGGTTCCGTGTTCGTCGGTCGTAGGAGGATGTGAGGGAGGCGGCGGGGCGTAGGTCGTTGACGGGGCCTGGGAAGCCGTACTGGAAGAGGCCGTTGGGGTCGACGAGGGGGCGGCGGGCGGCGGCTGCGGGGGAGGGGATGGCGGGGACTGAGGGGAGTGGTGCGGAGCGCGCGGGGCCTGTGACGGTGGTTGTGGTGGTGGTCACGGCGGGGGTGGACGGGAGGCTGTCTTTCTTGGTCGAGTAGAAGGCTGCTGTTGCTGCTGCGCCTGCTGCTGCACCGCCCGCAGCGATAATGGCAAGGGAGAGCTTCGACATGGTGTAGCTTTATTTTGATCGAGGAGATGGACAGTATCAGCGTATTCGGGGGTCTGCGCTTTCTTATTTGCAGCCACAGCCTGCCACGAGACGCGTGACCTGGATGGCGCGTGGGGACTGTCTTAGACGCGTCGAGTCGTGCCGGGGGGTTCGCTCGAGGTCATCTGCGTTTTGCGGAGAAGCATCGCACCCATCTAACTACATCCCCTCTAGCGCCACCACGTTGCGATGGCGCACGTCCAAACTTTCGACAACTCAACACCACGAAATTAGCATTGCGCATCGCCGTTGCCTTTGGAATTTTGCATATCAGGGACTTATTCGACACGGGATATTGCTGTGACATAGAAAGAGTTGAATTGGCTGATTGCCACACGGAATCACCGAGATGTCCTCTTGGATATCTCGGTCCACAGAGTCTCGCAATGCGCAGTTACTCACTACTGCTGTCGTGTCCGGGGCCGTCGTTGCAAGTGCTATCTTTAGCTTCCAAAAAGTGAGGCGCATGACGAAGGTTGCGGACCTCAAAGCGTCGATACCAGAAGTTGGCGAAGACTATCCAACGCAAAGAGTGAGTACGAGATGGCACGTGACGGATCTACCATCACTCCCCCGTCACACCAAAACCCCAGCAAAAGCTAACATCCGGAGAAGTTGACAGAATACGGCGCGGCATCCCACGTCTTCGCGCCCAGCAAAGAAGACGAGCGCAGCGTAGCCCTAGCAGCAAGAGCACGAAAAGGCGACTACGACGACGACCTGATCCTCGAGCAACTCGCCCGCAACAGAGTCTTCCTCACAGACCCCGGCCTAGCCAAACTACGCTCAGCATTCATCGTCGTCGTCGGCTGCGGCGGCGTCGGCTCCCACGCCACCGCCGCCCTCGCCCGCTCAGGCTGCACAACCCTCCGCCTCATCGACTTCGACCAAGTGACCCTCTCATCACTGAACCGCCACGCCGTCGCCACACTCGCCGACGTCGGCACGCCCAAAGTCCACTGTCTGCGCAAACGCCTCGAGCAAATCACGCCATGGACACACTTCGAATGCCGCAACGAGCTGTTCAGCGAGCAGACCGCCGCCGCCCAACTCGCGCCCCTCAACGGCCAAGCCCCAGACTACGTAATCGACGCAATCGATAACATCGACAGCAAAGTCGCCCTCCTCGCCTACTGCAAAATAAATAACATAAAAGTTATCTCCTGCATGGGCGCAGGCTGCAAATCAGACCCAACGCGCATCTTCATCGGCGACATCTCCACCAGCACAGATGACCCGCTCTCCAAGTCCACACGCCGGAAACTGCGCCTCCGCGGCGTCAAAGACGGTATCCCCGTCGTCTACTCGACCGAGCGCCCGGGGCCAGGCAAAGCCGAACTACAGCCCCTCCCCGCCGCCGAAGTCGAAAAAGGCAGCGTCGCCGAGCTAGGCGTGCTGCCAGACTTCCGCGTGAGGATCCTCCCTGTCCTAGGCACGATGCCGGCTATCTTCGGCCTCGCGGTTGCGAATCACGTCATCCTCTCCCTCGCAGACTATCCCCAGGAGTACCTGCCCTCGAAATCGCGGGATAAAATGTACGACGGCATTCTCGGCGCGCTGCAGGGCGCTGAGGAGCGGGTGGCGCGCGCCCTGCAACTGGATGATGCGCAGGGGCTTAAGCTGCCGCTTACGCAGGATGATGTGGGGTATTTGGTTGAGGAGGTGTATGGGGGGCGGAGCGTCATTAGTGGGCTTGCCACGCGGCTTGTGCTTTGTCGGTGGCGGAAGCCCGTGGGGGAGTTCGTCGATATGAGCACGCCGGGGCAGAAGAGCAGTTTGCTCAAGATGCGCGAGTTGGTGCTTATGACTAAGGAGGAGGCGGCGAGGCATGAGAAGGATGTGCTTATTGGGGGGAAGGAGGTGGAGGGCGTTTATGGGGGGGAGGTTGTGGGGAGGGTGGAGGAGAGGTTGGCGGAGGAGGAGAGGTTTAGGAGGTTTAGATGATTTATGATGTTTTGTGTGAATGGATATCACGTGGAACGAGCAAGATGAGGGGGTTGGTTAGAGGAAAATAGGACTCGGGTATTATGAAGATAAGATTCCAATGTGCAAGGTAGCAGGTCTTCCGTGGAGTGCAGTACGATGATATATGGCAGGGAAGTGATAGATGTTAGAAGACGAACGAACAACACAGCAATAAAACAAACACATTTTCCCACAAGCCATACTTTCCAACCTAACAACATAAGACAAGAGGACATGACACCCTACAACACCCTACAAGAACGCCGATGCAAAGAAAAAAAACAGTGCAAAAAAGGAGTCCTTACAACATCTCACGACCCATACGGCGGCGGCGGCACGCCCAACGCCTCCCCCTCCTCCCTCCTCGACTCCCCCACCCCCGGCAGCAGCGGCGGCGGCTCCATCACCCACGGCGAAACAATCTGAATCATCTCCTTGCACGCCAACCCCTCGAACCCATGCTTCGCGCACTCGCCCCAGACATGCACCTGCACCTCATGTTCGAGCGCAAGGCCGTAGCTGGTGAAACTCGGGATGAGCTTGTCGTTTGCAAGTCCAAGGTGCAGGTCCGCGACACGCGCGAGGTCCATGTCATGGTACATCAGCTCTCCGGCGCCGGAGTCGAATTTCCTGTCTGCGAGGGTAAGTGTGGAGGTGATGGTGTGTGTTTCCTCTTTGCGAGCGTGTTGCACCTGTCCCTGTGTCGCCGCCGTCGGGATAAAAGTATAATACCTCGCCGTGATCTGGACGCGGACACGGCGGAGGAACAGCTTCGGCGGGTGCGGCAGCGATTTCGAGCGCTCGAGGTGTTCGATCTTAAGGGCGATGGGGAACGGGGAGCCTATTCTAACGATACGCGCGGGGATGGCGAAGAGGTCGAAGCGCACGAATGGGACTTCGCTGTAGCTGTGGAGGCCGAAGAAGAGCTCTTTTTCTACTAGGAAGTCTTTTACGCGCCCGCGTTTGCTGCTTTTCTCGTAGTTTGGGAGAAGGTTTCGTGTCCGGATGAACTTGTAGCGGCAGAATTGCTTGGGGATGTTTGTGCCGAAGTCGGTTAGGGGGTGGAGGAGTGAGGTGTCGTAGGGAGGTGCTGGGGGGATGAAATGGAGCTCTTGGCGTGCTGGAGGTGGTTTTGCGTTGGAGGTATCTGAGGTGGAAATCTCGATGCGGGCCTCTAGGTAATACCGTATATACACCGCCTCGGGATCAGCGACGATGGGCCCAGATATCAGAGGTCCAGTACCGAATTTGGACAGCGTATAACTTGGGGGTAGCGGGAAGCCTGGGGAGTGCTGAAACCGAGGATGGTTGAACACGTCTTGAGAGTACCACCATTCTCTGTCCTGTGGTGGCGAGAGCTCGACGGTTTGTGGGAACGTGAATTCGAAGGGCAACTCAACTTTGCCGTCTTTAGCTGTATCTCTGCGCAGTGTGTCAAGCCCATCCCCATTACCCGAAGATTCGAACAAATCCAGTGAGTATCTGAACAACTCAATCTTGACAGCCTTTGCGTTTAAATCATGAATGGTCGAGGTCCCTTTAAAGACCAAAGTCACACGTTGTGGTCTTGAGTCTGGATTGACACGGACGACGCCATGGATGCGATCACCAGATGTGTAGTAGTGGGTTGAGTCTCCGAAGAGGTCGATATAAAGTGCATTGTCTCTGCGGTTAACGTACGGTGGCGCAACAGCCATCACTGTTCAAGAACGATCGAGCAACAGACGACACGACACAGTCAAAGCAATGAACCTGAAAAGAGAATGTGAAAGAGAAACAACATACAACTGTCGCAGTTGGAGTTGATACGGAAAAGCAGTGCTCCACGGCGAATCTATGACATGGTCAAATTCAAGTCCTGTGACTTACACTTGGTGCGGCTTCCGATTTGTCGATCTAGACATCTTTGTACCAGGCCAAGACGCTGCGCCTCGTACGAAGACATTGAATGTTCAGATGGCGAGTTTGAACTGATGCTTGTTGGTAAGCTGTAACAATAGGTGTGGCATGAATCTGCGAATGAGCGCTGAGAAGGCAAGCGCACGAGACGTCTGCTGTGTGCATTCAAATGTAGGGTTACATATCTCCATGTAGCAGTCGAATTTCCAACGGGATTTCGGGAAAGCGACTCGGGCACAATATCTTACATTCGGGCCGAACATCGTTGTCCCCGATGGGATGTTGTTGTTCCTCGAGGTATTGCTGTTGATGGTAGTGGTGAGGTCATGGATCATCAGTGTGGAAGGCGCGACTCGCGACTCTGATTTTTGAGAACTACGACTTGTCACCACCACATCAACCCACAATGGCGTCCAACTACACCTGCACAACCTGCTCGCGAGCACTGTTCAAGTCATCCGCTTCTATACTTCAGGTACTGCGCCTCCATCTGTTGGAACATACAAAAATTGACAAAGTTTAGCCTGCGAACAGAACATCCCTCCGCAAAGCACAGCGAACCTTTTCCACGACTACACCAAGCCTGTACCATGCAACACGCAAGCTTGCCGCCGAACCCAGGCCCGAATCAATCAAGAAACCTTCTCCCGCCGTAAAATCGTCTATAACAGGCTTGGCGCAAAAGCTGCGCGAGAAGGCTCCATTGATGATTGAGCCGTACGTCGCATATGGTGCAACGCGCGACCTCGTAAAGGAATGTTCAAGGCCGGGTGACTACAAGATACCGCAGGCGTTGTTGAAGAAGGGCGAGATACCCGTTGACGACAATGGCGTGCATCTGGGCGAGGGCGAGGGGTGGTGGTACGACAGTAAGAACTTCAGAAAGTACAATCCTTGGCTTTGAGTCTATGCTAACAACCTCACAGCACTCGGCTTGACACCTACTTTCTCCAATTGGACGCAGATCACCTTCATTCACATGTACATGCTTCAAGTGCGCTTCCGCATGTTCCCCGAGTCACACGCCAGCGTCTGGATTCAGCACCTCACCAACCAAGCCTTCTACGCCGCCGAGGACCGTCTCGTCATCTGGCACAAGTTCCACGCCAACACGCTTCGCCAAAAGCACTTGAAGGACATGTTCTCGCAATGGCGCGCCGTGCTTCTGTCGTATGACGAGGGACTAGTCAAGGGCGATGCTATGATGGCCGCTGCGATCTGGAGGAACTTGCTTGGGTCTAGGGAGGATGTGGATTTCCAGCAACTGGCGCAGATTGTGGGGTATATGAGGAGAGAGATGAAGAGACTGGATATGGCATCTGACGATGAGGTTGCGAATGGGGAGTGGAAGTTCCGCGGCGACCCCGGAGAAGAGGCGAGCATCGTCAAAGCGCCCAGCAGACTGATGGCCAGCGAGGGTGCCAAGGCATGATGTGGAGGGACATCTGTATTCTATTGTACTTCTATCAAGAAAGATTCAAGACCTCCCAAAGTGACTAGTTTACATCTTTGTACGCGGCTGACATAAGCGAACTATCTGCTTGGCATGGAGCTCCAATACTCTTGAACACGCGCTTCCCTACCTTCAAAGCCCACAACCCGGCTTTGAGGGTGCACAACTCACCCTTAATCCCACCGTTAACGACCCCACCCAGCCACCACCCGTCATGCCGTCCGCCGCCCCCGTCCACGCGCCGCCGCCGCAGATGCCCGGCTACCTCGTCGACAACCACGACGCGCAACAGCTCAGACAAGATGTTGCAAACCTCATCGGGCGCGACAACCCACGCTTCCCAGGCGCCCAGCCCGTTTCCTTTTCCCGCGAACACATAGCCGAACTGCAACGCGCCGAATACTTCATGTGCGAGAAGACGGACGGCCTGCGCTGCCTCTTGTACATGGCCTTTACCGAAGACGCGACGGGCCGCTTCGAGCCCGTGACATTCCTCATCGACCGCAAGAACAACTACTACAACGTGCAGCCGGCGGTGCGCGTGCCCTTCTGGGAGCAGCCCAAGAACCCCGACGCCTTCCTCTACGGCACCATCCTCGACGGCGAGCTAGTCAACGACCAGTACCCCGGCGAAGCCACGCCGCGCCTCATCTACTACGTCTTCGACTGCCTGACGCTCAACGGCGACAACCTGACGCCCAAGACGTTCGACAAGCGCTTCGCCCGCCTGCGCGACTGGGTCCTCGCCCCCTACAACTCCTCCCTCCCCAAAACCGCCGTCCACATCCCGCCCTTCCGCCTGCGCGAGAAGAACATGTGGCCGCAATACTCGTTCCGCCACACCTTCGACCAAGTCCTGCCGAATCTACGCCATGGAAACGACGGCCTGATCTTCACCTGCAAGGCCACGCGCTACGAGTTCGGCACAGACCGCCACACCCTGAAATGGAAACCCCCCCACGAAAACACAATAGACTTCAAACTCCGCCTCGGCGAATTTCCCCTCATCGACCCGCAGGATGGCGAAGACGGTCCCATCCCAGACTACACCGCTATCCCCGCCCCCATCACCCTGCTCGTCCAGCACAATAAAAACCAATACGAGCCCTTTGCCGAACTCGCCCTCACGCCCGCGGAATGGCACGTGCTTATGTCGCTTGACCAGCGCCTCGACGGCCGCATCATAGAGTGCTACCGCACCCCGCAAGGCCAGTGGAAGTACAAAGCCGAAGCTGACGGGTCGCCGCGCTGGCGCGACGATAAGAAAGACGCAAATCACATTTCTACCGTTAACAGCGTGCTGGAGAGCATAGAGAACCCCGTTACCGAGGACGATCTGCGCGCTATGGAGCCCAGGCTCAAAGAAGCCGTGTATCGTCTGCAGGGCCGCGAGCCGCCCAAGGCGGATGGCGAGAGGGACCCGAAGAAGAGGAAGGTGGATGAGGCGGGGCTTAATGGGAATGCGAATGGGAGTGCGCATGCGAATGGGAACGGGAATATGACCATGAGGCCGCATTAGAAGTGTGGGCGCGGCAGGTCGTATGATGCCGTGCGCGGTCTGATGGTGGTGAGGCCGTGTTCGGCAAATCGCAGGTGCTGGTATTGTTTGTATAGGCGTATTGGGTAGGGTAGGGTTGGGTAGAATAGCGGCGTTTTTTGCTTCTTGGACTGGAGATGCAGAGAGATAGATACCCGCGAAGTGTTCGCAATGTTTCGACGACGACTCATGGATGTAAAGGGAACAAAAAAGGTCGAGGGAAGAAGAAAAAGGCGTTGGATAACGTCGGATTGCAATTCATCGCTACTCGCATTAGAATCTCGCATTAAAACATGCTGGTGGCATCATGGTGCACAAAGCAGCAGCAGCAGTATCAATAAACATATCATCATCATAATCATCATTCAATGTCTTTCGCCATCTCCCCTCTATCTGTTCCGTTCTGCTCTGATCTGATCCCTCCAAATACCATCCATCCCAGCAACCCAACACAGAAGAAGGAGAAGAAGGAAGAAAGATACAACAAGACCCCATCCCCCACACATCCCATACCAAATCATGTCATATATTCGACTTTTTGCTGTCTTGCCTCCCTCACATGTACCAACCAGCCTCAACCCACCACTACCACCCCACGTATATCAGTACAAGACTCGAGATTGCGATGGAACAAAAAAAGGGCGCCGGCTCCAAGCAGAGACGACCAACCGAAACATGATAAAAAAAACGACGACCAACGCAATTGTGAAGCGAGCGACATGAGCGAACGAGCGAGCGAGCGTGATATTTGGAGAACGAGAAGAACAAAAACGCCAAACGCAACCCGTCCAACCGAAGTGAAAGGAAACAGGACATGCACGTCGTGGAAATACGGTAGGCCTGCTCCGTTCTCGCCGGCAGAGAAAGAGGGGGGAAGCCGGCCACAAAAAAAGAAAATCGTGTGCGTGACAATTCATATACAGGAAGAGAGAGTGCTGTCTCGCAACACCGTACATGGCGATTCAAAATGCTGGAATATGCTACAAACAGCGTCCAAGGACATTCGGAACACATCCAGTCCTTATCTCTGTGGAGTACTGTTAATATGGAGTGCCCGGCGCGGGAGACGCATTTCTGCTTACCCTTCCGCGTCGCTGGTTGCCTCCAGCAGCTTGTTGTTGCTGTTGCTGCTGCTGCTGGGGTGCATACATTCCATATTGATACATTGGCGCACCCATACCTGGACCCATGCCTTGGCCGGCGAGGTTGGCAGGCTGCATCATGGGAGACCCATTGAAACCAGGTGCTCCTCCCGGCGACGCATTTCGGTAGGCCTCCATACCAGGAGGTGGGGCTTGGAAGCCGTTCATCTGGGGGTAGAATTGACCCTGGCGGGCCAACAACTGTTGGTACTGAAGCTGTTGCTGATTGTTCATAGCTTGCATGTTGGGCATGTACATAGGACCGTTGCCGCCCATAGCATACTGATCAAAGTTGTTCGAGTCCATACTTGCAGTGCGCTGGAGGCCGACAGGATCGAAGCCAGCGGCAGCCGGTGGGTAGAAGTTCCTTGAATCAGCCTGCGACCCACCCATCCTGTCCTTCGACGCCGATCGCGTCGCAGAGTGGTCACGATGACCAGGTCCGCTTCGAGTTGAGAGACCCACCTCGTCCATGAGTCGCTTGTAGCCTTGTTGGGGCTGTGCCTTGATGCGAGCAAGGACGTTGCGTACGTTCTGCACAACGTCTGCACGGATCTGCTCATCAAAGAATGGAGTGGTAAGCACCTTGAAGATCAGAGTTGCACCACAGTTCTGGTCAGCCAGGATGTCTTCCAAGACTTGGTCGTTGGGTGAGAAGAATAGCGCCTGGAGGATAGTGTCGCGGGCTTCCGGTTCGTTGCGCTGGTTGATGATCTTGAGTACAGTGAGGTAGGCGACCTTGTGTGTGCAAAGATGAACAATGTGTGGGACCAGGCGAGGAGCCAGCACTGTCCGCCTCCTTGGGAAAGTGCAGGTATCCAGGAACCATGTCAAAAGCAAGGCGCCGTTTGCATTGGTAGCGAGCTGAACGCTATGGAGGGCAATCGTGGCCGCAGCCATACGCTGCTGATCTTTAGTGGCGAAGTGACTTTCTAGACAAGCTCGCATAGCACGAGCACCAAATCGACCTTGGGCGAGATCCCAGAGACGGCTAAGCATAACCTCGAAGATGAAGTTGTTGTACTGCTGGTACTTCAGGCAACCCTGCATAACGTAGTTGCCAAATTGGTCCAGGAAGAGGGACACCGCATACGGTTGGAGAGCTTCGACAACCATCTTCTGCATGGCAGGTGACTTGGAAACGTCGATAATCTTCTGGGCAGCCCATGTTCCGTTCTTGTGAATACCAATCTTGGCGAGATGAGGCGCGATCTCACGCAACATTGCCTCTTTGGTAGGCTCCTCGCAGAATTCAAACAACTTTTGTACCACAGTATTACCAAGGTAATCGGATGCCAACTCGGCAACTTCAGGGAGCATGTTCAGAGCAATCTGCTCAATGTCATCCTTCGAGCAGGAACCATTGTCGATGCGCTTGCGGATCTCACGCAGTCTCGGTGCATCATGAACACGGGTGTGACTGGGCTCTTCAACGGGAGGAATCTCATCGATGTAAGTGTTGAGCCGGATGGCAGCTTCGACTTGAGCGGAAATCCTGGCCTGCTCGTCATCCGTGGCGCCCAGATCTTTCACGATCTGGACAATGTCGCCGCGGATGTCGGTCAGTTCAGGTGTTGTCAAAGGCACATTGGCGCTTTCAACACGAACGTTGTTTGCATTCGTATTGTGGGCCGAGCCGCTTTCCGCCTGGGCTTTTGCGATTGGATCTGGGCTTGGCGAGGGAAACAATCCGTTGTGACCAGGCGTGGCCGCTGCACTCGGAATCTTCGCATAACCAATCCGAATGGGGCCTGCGCCGGGGAAGATTTCCTTTCCGTTCAACTGTGTCTTTGCCTGAACAGCGCTTTCGAGGTTTTCGAAGTTAACAAAGCCACAGTTCTTGTGTGTCAAGACTCGGGTAGAGTCAATAGAACCGAAAGTGCTGAAAATGACGTTGAGGGATGACACAGTAGTAGACGATGGTATGTTGCCAAGCCACAGTGATCGAGTTGGGCCATCCAAGGTACCTTCGTCACCAAGATTTGAGCTGGGCAGGTGAAGCTTCTTCACGGCTTCAGCAAGGTTGTATTCGGCATCCTCCGTCAAGTCGGCAGACATGGTGGGCAGGAAACTTCGCATCATCCCTCGTCCAGGAGCATCGAGCACGCCAGCAGTCCTAGCACGAGGACGGGCGGAAGAAGCATAATTTGCAAATGCCTGAACGTCCTGATTATGCTGGCGGATAGCTTCTTGAATGAGAAGAGCGTTGGCTTCAGCTGGGGTAATGGCGCCGCTGTAACCATATTGAAGTTCATCTTCATCCTCGGCATATTTCTCCTTCGCGTTAACAGAATATGAGCGAATGCGGTTGTTGCTGTTCAACAGACTGTTGGAAGTCCTCTGGCTCTCGAGAAGTAGTTCGATATCGGAAGGCGCAAGAGTAGCTCGTACAGGCTGAGGAGTGTCCACCAATCCAAGGTAATCGAGAGTCCTAACATCCGTGTCTGCAAGCCCATCCCGAGAGAAGGATGACATAGGAGAACCGGGTCCATTCGAGGGCTGAGACGCGATACTCTGAAGGGTACTGCTGCGCTGACGGTTGCTTGCCCAAGCAGAGGAGAAAATGGGATTGCCGAAAGCAGAGGCAGCGGGCGGAAGGAAACCTGGTTGTTGAGGCATAGAACCAGCACGAAGACGAGAAAGAAGTGCTGATGTAGCAGCAGCGTTTGTAGCTCCTGGAGTAAAACCAGCACGCTCAGCAGGAGTACCAGAGCCAGGCTTGAAGGGACTGGTAGACGGAGTAGGACGGGACGACTTTGGCGCGAGTGAGGGTAGTGACATCAGTCCGCCAGGTGCTGCACTGGGAGAAAAGCGTGAAGGCAAAGTGCCAGCGCGGGCACGGCGGGTGGACGTCTGAGCCGCGGGTGCGGCCTCTGGCATGTTTTGATTGAAGTCAGGGAAGCTGTCTCCATTGGGCGACTCTGGAATCGTCTCACGCAATGGCGTGGAATTGCCGCTGGTAGGTGGTCCCCACAATTGTGGAGTCAGGCCCTCCTGCGCTTGGATCTCTCGTGCACTGTCGTCAGACGTTAGCGAGAACACGACCTATTTCGGGGTGCGACCAACCGTTTGGAATACAGTCTGCTCCCAAACTCATGGGAGGGAGATCCTGTATTCATTCTTGCGCCTGGTGCAGATCCCAGCGGGTTCGACGAGTTTGTAGGGAAGCGAATCGAGTTGCCAGACGGAGGCTCGATAGGCGAAGTGGTGCCAGTGGAGGTGCCAGAGTGCGGCGGCTGAGGGTTCAATTGAGGGATGTAATTGAGGTTGATGTGGTCGGGACGAGTGGAGGGAGCCATTATGAATTACAGACTCTGTCTTTGACCGTGAGGTAGTTCAATGTTCTAAAGCTGGATGATCGTAGTGACTCGTTTACCAAAACCAGGGTAAGGGCGATAACGCAGGTTGGTGCCGGCCAAAGGAACGTGGGGCAGTGAAAATGGTTGCCAGCAAAGTGGAACCCGGCTGAGCTCGGCGCAAAGCCTGTGTAATAGGTGTACAGGTTGGGCTGAAGCAGGGAGACACAACTTGGATCCAGTCCGGACAATGCGCAGCCGCTGAAGCACGCGAGCTTCTAACTTGGCACAGTTCTCAATTCCAACAGCTGACACAGCTCGATTGAGGACGACAGCAGTAGTCCAGAGTTGATATGACGCGCTGAGTCGCTGGGCTGGGTGGGGGTTGGAATATTCGAGAGCTCGGTCGCACAACGGTTTGCACAGCGAAGAGTGCAATGGGCGGGATAGTCGCGCGAGAAGGAAGGACGAAAGGATGCCACTGGTCGCGTTGAAGAGTGTTGTCGCCGGGCTGGAAAAGCCTTCTCGATTATGATATGCGTGGCTGGTGAATAGACAGGTACGGGCGTGCCTGGAGAACGAAAGAAATACGATTACGCAGATGGCGGCTAAAGGCTCTCGCTCATCAGGTGGACGATACGGCTGCGGCAGCGTAGAGTGCGGATAGGAGTGGGAGTGGGAGAGGTGGTGATGATGTAGAGGGAGCTTGGGGTGAAGAGGGACTCGCTAAAACGGGGAAGGAGCCACCAGGAACACGCTAGCAGGCACGTCCGAATGCTCGTCGGGCAGATCGTTACAAAACACGGAGCGCGGATTGCAATGTGTCCTGAGAAATGCTTTTTCGCGGCCGTTCACAATGCTTGCACGGCGTTGGCGTTGGCGTTTGCATTGGCATTGGCATCACCTGCCACGGCACCACAACACTTCTTTTGTAGCAGCAGAAGAGCAAAAAGGGGTTGCCTGCGAGCTTCTCCCTGAATGGCTGTCCTGCGGGGGACGTTTCTGAAACACCAGAGGCGCGCCGAGGGAGCCCTTTACTCCGTCCTCGTCGAGTCTGACGTGGACTCTGGTGCTACGTGTCCTGATTGGACTTGCATCGCTAGATCCAAGTGACAATACCGTGCCCTCCTGCATGGGAATTGCTGTGCTTTTTTTCTAGGCTCTGAGAGCTGTCCGACCAACCCCGTGACGGGAACCGGTTCTCTGGTATCACAGAGTGCATGCAGCAGGTTAGGTAGAGTTTGTCTCAGACGGCATTTCGAGAGTACGTATGTTCTATCGCAATTGAAACATGATCTTCCAGAAGAATGCCTCAAACAGATGCCAGTTCATGCCGTATCGTCAAGTCGCCTTGAAAACCGTTATCAATCTGAGGCCTGCGCTAAGTTTCAGTGTCGGCACTCGAGACGAAAGATCTCCGTTGACACGGACGTTGCTTTTATTCGGCCGGCGCGTCATTCTCGTCTGGCGGGCGCGTGCACGTCTTCGATGTGACAGCCTCGCCTGTTGCATGATCTTCTGCACCTACAACGCGTAGTGAATCCGGCGCCACAGCTGTCAGGCACAACGCGTAACCGGCATTTCTATGGAAGACTTCCAGAAGGTGTTCCACAACCCTTGACTGCTGCCGCACTGCTCTGCCGCACAGTCGACCCTTGCCCTGCCACACCATCTAATCGCCTTACTTGCACCTGCCCCGCATCTCGCCCTAACGCCCGCCCGCCCGTCATGTCGCCTGAGAATGGGGAGAGAATGGACGTGGATGTGGATGGGGATGATCCTCCGCCGTTTGATCATCATGAGGAGGATGGGACTTCTGAAGACGAAAGCGAACCCGAGGCGCCTGTCGACCTCATGGTCACGTCACGGGCCAGGAGATCCAATGCAGGCAATCGCATGTCCATCCTGCTCGCCAAGTCGGCAGAGGAGGAAGAGGATTGGGGCGAGGAATGGGAGGACGCGCCGAACGAGGAAGACTTCAAGGGCGAAGATGCGAACGAGCAAGAGGACTACAACCTGGACTCTTCGTCTTCGGAAGAGGAAGATGGGGGCGGCGATGACGACGAAACAGGCGAAAAAGAGCTGCGCAAGGTGGAGCGCCAGGAGCAGACCAAGAAGCGCAAAGCAGTTACAAATCCCTTTGCTGCCGCGCGAATGGCTGCCGCCTCACGAAAGAGGGTCAAGCTCGATGGTGTGCACGCGCAGTCGCCTTCGATGGCCCCTCCACCGCGACCCAAGAAGAAATCCGAGAGGGCATCCTGGATACCCACCGAAGAAGATGGACCCGTTCGAGCATCTTCGCGGAAACAGACCATTGCAAACAAAGAGTCTACCCTGACTAAGCTGAAGGAGAAGGACAAGAGACGAGATGATACCCTGGCCATGATGAAGGCCGCCGAGGCTCGAAAGGCAAAGGACGAGCCAAAGCCCTTGACCCAGGCAGAGAGACTTGCTGAAGCTGCACGAAACGAACGAGTGAACAAAAAGACGTTGCACAGGTGGGAAGAGGCGGAAGAGGCGCGGGCTGCCGACAGACAAGCTAAGATTGACGCCCTGAAGAATCGACAGATCGACGGGCCGTTCATTCGGTACTACAGCGGACCTGCCATCTATGTAGACGACAAGCTCAAATACACGGGGAAAGATGCACCCTCACTTGAACACCTGGAAGACAAACTCAACAGGAACCTCACTGCGACGGACTCAGAAACCGTCACAGCCGAATCCGCTGAGCAACCCGTCGACGAGGCAGTCCCCAACGGCCCTATGAACCAATACCAAACTTCTACAAACCCACCATCCATACCTTCGATACCAACCTCGTTGCCACCGCAGCAATCATCATCTCAGCAGCCATGGACTCCAGCATCGCAGGCAATTGGCGGCGACGTCTTCATGGGCGGAGACATCTTCATGGGCTCCCACAGCATGCCCTACCCCAGCAGCATCATGTTCACGCCCCCACAAAACCAAGACTCCTTCCTCTACGGCATCGACCAATACGCTCAAGCTCAGCAACCCCAATCCACACCTTCCGACCTCCCACCAAACCCCTTCTCCGCAGCCTCCTCCTACAATCCCTACAACGCACCCCAACTCCCCTTCACACACCCCCATCCGCACCCCTCCCTCAGCGACCCCCTCCTCACGCAAGACCCCACCGCCACCCACTCATCAGTACTCTCCTCCTTCCAAAAGCCGCTCCTCCCCGCGCCTCCCCCACGCAAGAAGCAAATCCGCCGCGCCCTCCGCAACCTCCTCATCCTATCCTCCTTCCCAGACCTCGACGCCCCACCCTCCTCCTCACGCTACAAATCCACCGCCTCGCTCACAAAAGACAAAGACCGCACCGCCCTCATCCACCTCTGCACAACCCTCTTCCACTGGTCCCCCGCCGACGCATCCACATTCGTAAACGTCATGCTCGTCAAGCCCGTCAGCAAAAAAGCCGCTGCGGAGCGCGACGCCGCCCTCCGCCCAAAAGTCGTGCACTGCGAAATCACGAACAAGGTTGCTAGGTACAGGGATCCTGAGACGGGCATCGCGTATAGGGATGCGAGGGCGTTTGGCGTGCTGAGGGGCGTGGTAGGGGGTGGCTTTGTCTGGAGCGGCGATTTGGGATGCTATGTTGGTGGCAGGGCGAAGCCGCTCGAGAGTATGGGCGGTAAGGGGTTTTTGGGTATGCCGCCTGCGGCGGGCGTGCCGAGGAGGTTCTTGGAAATGAGGAGGATGGGGCCGCCGCCTATGCCGGCACTTGCGCCTACACCTACGCCGGCGCCTGCGTCTGCGCCGTCGCAGATGCCTGTGGTTGATGCTGCGTCAGAGAGTGCGCGGCGGGGTCCCGCTGTTGTGAAAGTGGAGGATGTTGCTGGGACGTGAGTTGGACAGATATGATGAGCGTTTTGGATGGTATGTTGTACAACAGTTGGTTAGCTGTACATGGAGTATAATAATATTCTCACTGGCAAGATCAAAAAAAGTTAGTTACATGTCCACATATTGTGTTCGCGACGTGACGTCTTGCTGTTGGCGCATTGGAATTGGTCAGAAATGTTATCGGAAACGCCTCCGTTATGCTCGTCTTATATACTAGGTATGTAGAAAAACAATGGTTGCAGACATCCGGATTTAATAGTGTGGTTGTCTGAGAGATCGATCTGGGAGTGAGGACATAGAAAGTATCACCACACGTTGCAGGTTTTGATAAAGAACGATAGGGGGTAGGGGTCGACAAGCGCGCGTTTCCAGACCATGGTATCGTGTGGGGAAAGGGACAAAGTCGCAAGCATAGGTTGTGAAATGTGCGTGATTAAGACGGAGAGAGCAAATGGTTAAAGAAAAGTTGATAAATCATCCAAAGCGGCAAATTCGTAAAGAATTGAAAGGTCCATGATATGCATTGAGGGTTAGCAGACAATGAATCTCAAACGCCACCCATCTTGCTGTTCCTATCCGCAAGAGTTTTTCAGGCGTTCGTAGTTGTACACGATGCCGATGCCCGCTGAGACTCCGAGTCCACCGTGATGAAAGACCAGGCGAACCAGTTCCAGAGAACCCGCCATTCCACTCCGACCGTGACCTTCGTAGTCATCGTTATGATGCACCCGCTTATTTCTTGTCCTTCTTGCCGCCCTTGGTCTTGGCTGTGCCCCGGAACGTCTTCATCCTGTTCTTGCGCTGCTTGCCTGTTCCCGAGTCAGTATACATCTTTCACCCAAGCGCCCATGCCCATAGCCAATTCGCCATCGACGTGCAGGTATTCGAGGGAGACGTACGCTGCTGCCTGGAGGCCTTCTCGACCTTGGTGGCCATGCCGTATCTGACTAGCCTGTAGCGGGGCTCGAACTTCTTCATGGCCTCGTTGCTGTCGTAGACGAGAGCGAAGCCGGTGCTCTTGCCGCCACCGAAGTGTGTCTTGAAGCCGAAGACGGAAACATCCTCCTTCTTCGCCTTGTACAGCTCGCCAAGCTTGCCACGGAGCTCGTCCTTGGAGACGTTGGCGCGGTTGGGGTGGAGGACATCGCTATACGTGACCGTCAGACCGAGTCCTTCGCAATTGTATGCCCGGTGTTTCGTGCACTTACACGACCATCTGGCGACGACCGAGGAGGGGGTTGCGAATGAACTTGCGCGTGCGCAGGGTGACTTGGGAATCGGCCATGTTGAGGACTTTTCGACCTGGAGGCGGTACTCGCGTCAGTAGGTGCAGTCGAAGACTCGGGAGGGCGCAGGCGTGGCGTGCAAACGTACTTGACGGAACTCGATCCTGCTACAGTCGGTTTGCTGTGGTGTTAGTTGGCCGCAGGATGTTGTCGTCGACAGTAATGGCTAGCAAAATTGGATGTGCAGCTCTCGCTTAGCCGACTGCCAAGACGCCCCGCTGCACACATTAGGTAAGCGCCATCATCAACTTTACTTTGACACAACATAAGCAAAGCAACTGCGACTTGAGATCAGGCCATCTCTATTAAATTTTTCGTCTTCAACATTAGGACGGTATGGAAATCGACGCGGACACATTATCACAGCTGCGAGTGCTGCAACGTCAGTACTTCCAGCTCGTGGAACCATCACAGTTACGATGGCCAAGTGGTAGAGTCTTGATGGCGCCTGATGTTCAGTCCTGGATGTTTGTCAATCTGTTCGATCCTGGAGGAGTAAAGTCACCACCACCCGAGCGCTACCAGCTCAGGGTTCTCAAGCTTATTATATCGAAGCTGGAGAGGTCAATTGAAGACCCAGAGGAGGATGTACGATTTCCTTTTTCTTCGCAGCAATCTGCTTCATCATATCGAACTACTCGCTCATCTGGTGCTCGAATAGCAGCTACTAGAAAAATGACAAGTCTGCTTGGCCGCCTATTCAATCACCGCCCCGTTTCTCCCAACCATTGACTGATGTTGTTCTGGTCGTAAACAGGAAGTCTCAGATGATCTCATGTCTGCCATGTCTTCACTTCTCATCTCCAATATCCCTTCCGAGGCCGACTCCGCACAGCAGAAGGCGTTTGTGACGTACACCTACCCTCTCCACCCAACTGACGGCAGTACCTCGGACGAACGTACAGTGACGCTCCTCGAAGCACGGTCCGTTATCTCTTCGTCCGGGACTACCGGACTAAGAACTTGGGAACCTTCACTGGTCCTTGGGTCATATCTTGCCTCTGAGAATGGATGTTCGATGGTTCAAGGAAGGAAGGTATTCGAGTTGGGTGCAGGAACGGGGATGCTCTCTATCCTATGTGCCAAGTACCTTGGAGCTTCTGGCATAGTTGCCACAGACGGCGATGAGGGTGTCGTCGATGCTATTAATACGAATCTTTTCCTGAATGGTCTCGACGCTTCATCACGGTGCCCAGTCCGGACTGCGGCTCTCAAGTGGGGGTGGCCGATTGATACCGCGTCCTTCTCAGAGGATTATGGAATGGACGCACCGGATATTTTACTGGGTGCAGACGTCGTAAGCCCTCGTCATGTGTGGATTCTCGAGGATCGATTTTCTAATCAAGAACAGACATACGACAAATCTGTCATCCTGCGACTGGTAACAACGCTAGGGAGTTTCTTTGACATGAACTCAGCACTCCAAGTGCTCATATCAGCACCGATACGCAACGAGCAGACGTTCGAGACTTTCTTGAACGCGTGTAGTGGGTCTCTCCACGTCCTCTTACGAAATCAGTGCGTTGTGACTGACTTTTTGTGGGGTAGAGCGGAACAGCTTTAGTTCTGAACGCATCGACGTCTCACCGGTTCCTGAACATATGCAGGAGGGGCCATTTTATTCATCGTCAGCCCCGATCCAAATCTGGCGCATCGCCAGGCAGCACGCTGCTGAGGATCCATTTGCCGTCTGAAGATCTGTCAGTATGCACCTGTCAGATTGAACCATGGCTACTACCCTTTTTAGTGCTGCAAACTGCTGCATGCAGTATTGACTCTGGAGTAGTCAGTCGGGATCTTCAGGGGGCAGAATATGCGAAACAGTAAGTGCTCGTGATTGAGCAACATCGTTGGGTGCTATTTGGGGTCTGTTACTCTATAGAAAAATGACTTGCGTCTTCGCGTGCATTGTCATTTTATGCGGATAGTCACGATGCACAAAGTGCGAACTCGGAGCCATGAAGTTCAAACTGGGTTGATCTGACCAGCGAAAGTTCTAGCATGATATGCACATTTGTGAGTTGCTTTTGCGTGGTGTCAAAGGAAAACGCTTTATTCCCGGAGGGAATGTGACACGCTCGCCATATGGCTTCATTGTGCAGCACAAGTTCGCGATACAAGACGTGATCGTGTTACAGATACTGATACGCACTCGGGTGGGTCGCTCCGCGTACGCCATGTCGTACCCTTGCACCCTAAACCAAACTTCGATCGAGGATCGATGGTAGCCTCCACGACTACGATTCGTCGAGCAAGGCAGCCGTCATGCGAAACACTATGGAGGACAGAAACCAGTGCGTACTCTGATTCCGATTGGCTTCCTATTACTGGTAGAGCAAACTCAATTCAAGGCACCATGATGGATTCAAGGTCGGAACAAGGCACACCATGGTGGGTACGCGAGTGGGGGATGTGTTAAAGACTCAGCCAAAAATGGCGTGCTGCACTGCAATCACGAATCATCCCCACACGCGTAACGATAACCCACCTATATTCATTAGACCGTTGTCGTCAACCGTGTTCTAGAGCTTCTTCGCTGACGCCGGGATCTTCACTACTTATTGCACGCAGTCCCTCCGCAAAGCAAGTGACATCGTCTTAATATCCAGACACCATTCACACGCCGACGATTGCCGTTCAATTCAAGGAAACACTCGGCTCTGGTTATCTCACATACACAAGCTCATACCAGCCTTATCGCTCCCGCAGTCCTTGTCGATCCCGGGTGTTACTGCAAGGCTGTCTCTTTTTCATACGACGTCGCACCTGCCCTGTCAGTTGTTGTAAGCTTGCCTCCTCGTTACTTTATTCGTTGCATCACCTGGCTTCTTTATTTATCCTACTGGCTCGATCGTCTCATGTCAGATTGCATCCCGCCGGAGGTCAAAAAGGTACCGAATAATTTGAGCTAATCATAGTTGCAGGAAGTCCAGATAAGGAACCCGTACAAAAAAGCACGCACGTCCTTTCGTCATATCAGCACTTACAGCAAATACACCGGGCTGTGTCACCGCTTCTTTGCGAACGCTCCAACCTGTAACAAATCCCTCTCGACGCCCGTGCGCCATTTCCAGCGAGGCCTTTAAAGTTCACCGGCCTCCATTCCCAGAATGGCTCATCACGTTCGTCATTCGTCAAATCACGCGAAAAGGGCACTGCCAGCTCACGCAAAGCCAACGAAGCCCGCGCCTTTATCAAAACGATCATCATCCCACGGCAGCAAGGGCAGTCGCAAAGTCGATCTTCCGAAGGACCTCCTAGAAAGTGACGAGGAGGAAGCAATGGCCGTCAGTTTTCTGAATTACTGGTACGCTAAACACCTATCTACAGCCCTGTCAGTCGATGCATGCTGACTTTACGTGTAGCACTGTCTGCGAAAAACAAATAGTTACTCCCAGCAATGCTGTATTGTATTGCTCTGAAAGGTATGTTGTTACTTGTTGAAATGTGCAACATGAATACTAATTTATACGTATAGCTGCAAAAAGAAGGATACAGAGAAGAGCTTGACATATTCATATGATCATTATTCACCCCCGACAACCCCCTTCGCCAACTTCACATTTGACGACTTCCAATTTCGTGACATAATTCCGCAACGTTCGCCTACTCAGTCGCATTCAAAACGATCATCATGTGCATTCTCGGACGATCTTTCCGACGATAACACTACACCAAGCGACGAGAAATCCCAACGCCTAGATTCAGAGGCATCGCGATATCTCCGTCAATTCCAGTCGTCTACATATTCACCTGAGACCACACGACCTGTGCGACCTCACTACAGTTCTACCTCAACGTCCCAATTTAGCTTTGGTGCTGCGCCTTCCCTGTCACATACACCGACTTCATCATACAGCTTTTCGCTCCCGTACACACCGTACACATCTGCTACCACGCGACCGCTGCCACCAAGGACAAACCCACATACTTCGTCGTATGCATCGAAGTCGATAGATCTTGTGACGCCATTGACCGCTCCCTCAAGTCCGAAGCAATACTCGTACAAGGCACCGCCGATATCCAGGACGTCAGCAAGCACGATCGAAGGTGAACTTGTCTATGCAAAGTCACCTGTTCCTTCGATGTCGCCTGCCAACGGGAGTTTGGGACGACTGTTGGCTTCGAAAACACGTTAATGCAGGCATCAACTTACATTGTTTCATGGGCCGAGCGTTTTAGGGCCCGTTTTTTTTGGATACCATTTGTAATGCATGGGTGAGCACTTGATGCGGCCCGCTATGCTGGCGTAGCACTCGGCAGGACCTAGGTGTTACCAGGGCATCTCGATAGCTAAAAGTTTGGATTGGTTTACACTGGACGGTTTGTGATAGCGGGAGGTATACTGTTAGAAACGGAACCACATGGTCATAATGATGCGCATAGAATATATTACGTCCTACATTTCACCTAAACCTTTCCCTAATCGCCTAAAACGGTAACCTACTTCAGCCTCCAATCCACTAGGCTAAGCCCTGACGGTGTTACTTCAAGTCCATCATCTAGTTAGATCATGTCAGAACGGCACATTGGGCATAGACGACTACTCTCCAACACCTGTACCAGACAATCTCGCCCGTATAGATGTCCACACGGCGTGAGTACGGGGTCGTTATTAGCGCCTTCTTCGTCAACTTGACCGTAGATGTTCCAGCAAAAAGGGCATTTCATGTCCTCGGGAGCGATGCTGGAGATGGTGACCTTTTGGAGATTATTCACAAACCCGACTGCTTGTTCGTGGTTTAAAAACGGACTAACAATGCCCGCTGACATCTGGTCATAGTATGCGTGCAGAGCAGCTATGATTGACGGTATAGGTTCATTGCCCTTCGACAACAACACATCAAAGATGCAAAATAAGTCGAACAAGATATCTACAGAGTCGGGCCATATTTGAAGTGTCATCAAGGTACCTATGTAGGTGGGAATGTCAGCACCTCGCTCTCGCAACGACGTGAGAATATACTCTACATTGGCGATCCCTTCCCCGGTCCCCCCGTTCATTTTCTCATCATGCATATCGTAGACGGCGTTATGGAACTCCGTGAGGGTGAACTCCAGGAAGAGTTGTGGGGAATGCAGGTACCAATCAGGCCAAAACTTCTTTATCGCTTCGGTAACTATGGTCTTCGGGTTCGGGTGATTCAACAGAAAAACGATTACCGGGTAGTCTTCTTTCTCCTTTGAGATATTACCAGACAGAAATTCGGAAATGGAAATTTTCTTCTTTACCAAGTGGCCAAGCATTGCGAAGAAAGGACAACAGGCTTGGTCTGTCTGTAGGGTGGTTGGTACCTCGGGTAGGAAGCTGACCGACACGCACGTTTTGACGAAGTCCGCCACTGTGAACTTCAGAGCATTTGGGTCCCAATTGAACTCGGTTGGGTTAACTTGGATATCCATCATCAGATCTGTTAGTTCGTCTTCAATGTCTTCGTCATATTCATTGTGTTCGTTCTCTTCAGAGTCTTCAGAGTCTCCAGAGTCTCCGGAGTCTTCAGAATCTTCGTAGTCTTTGTCGTTCTCGTTATCCATATTGGCGGGTGGGAACTGATTCGACAGACGCTGGATGAAGCGTGTGTTTCGCATTTCTTCGGACACACTACCTTCAATCCACTCCCAAGGGTCGATACCACGATGCCTTAGTTCATACATCATATTATCGAAGGTAGTGTACAGCGCCGAGTTCGTGTTGTATTCGCCCTTTCCTGCATCATCGTCCAACGCCATACCTGCGGCGAGGAACATTTCGATAGTTAACGCATATGGTGGGTTGCTTAGCATATCCATGATTATATATGGTTGGGCCATTTTGAATTTGGAAGTTATCCAGTCTTCGTGTGTTTCTTGGTTAAGCTGCCTGAATGGAAGGGGTGAATGTTGTACGATTATGTTTGGGTTTGTCTGAAAAGGGTTGAGGAACAATATATATGCAAATCCAGCCAGTTATGGGGGAAAAACTTATCTGACAATGTTGACATAACTGTATTGCGACATCGAGCTCTGTGCACACACAATGCTCGAAAGAAAAGGTGTGTATTGGGAGGACAGATTCTAGACGAACACCAGCCTTTCACTGAGTATATGTGAGGGCTTTGAATATATGTGCCTGGAACATGTCGATTCGGAAGATCGGATAACATATTGCAGGCGTTTATGTTCTTCTTCAGTGCAGTATCTCACTTGATGTATAATAGGTTTGGAGCGGACACGATCGAAAGGTGCCTGAATATAACGTTCGGGATTTTAATCAATTAGTGAAATGGTATTATATCTACTCTGACCGTCACTGACGTTTTTAAATGACAAAAGACTTGCGCTCGGACTGATCCAGACGGTGAAACTTTTGATCTACCAAATTCGGGAGGCAATTTACGTGAAGTCTTTGGCATCGAGATCAACGTTTCTCGGTTACAAACATACCCTGTCAACAAAGTGATCCTTACTATTTGTAGCCACCCTGTGAAAACATATTTCTCCAAGCCGGTTTTGACTTCGAGACAAACTTAATGTCGTTGACCGCAGCGCTAAAGGCTGTACTTTGTTCCTCCAAACTCAATTTTATGCTCTGTATTGACTGCTTCACACCTGGTCATACTTCGGTACGTATGACGAGCTTTCTGTTTCTGGTCATGCCACCTCCCGTTCACACCATCACACGCCCGTCATCACCAAAAAAAGCCGTTTGATCACTGCCCCAAATGCCAAGTCTATTTGACCCTTGCAACTGTCCTTCTGTCTCAGCAGGTACTTTCTTTGTAAGGCGTCCAACACAGCACGTACGCCCGTTGTGAGGCGTCTAACACAGCACGTACACCCGCTGTGAGGCGTCCAACATGCATACCCGTGCCTCAATACCCCTGGAGGACAATGACCACAAAACCTGAAACACTACCTTTCATACAGCACCATGGACCGGATTCATTCACAACAAAACATCACCCGACGCCTCATCACATTAGACAAACACGGACTGCGCCCAGGAATGTGGACTGTGAACGTGGCTTCCTTTCCTGGGCAACACGGCAACGGCTACAACAAACGCCCTGATCGTTCTGCGAAACTTAGACCGCCTCTCACAAGATTTCACAGTACCACAAAGCAACCTAGATTTTGCCCTATCTACCACTAACGTCGTCACCTAAATATTCACATCCTGTCGTCCCGACTACCAAGCATGGCTTCTTATTCCATATCACTTCTTAGTTTACCCCCAGAACTCATTCTTGAGGTTTCTGATCACCTCCCTCCAGATGGCATCTTAGCCCTAAAGCTCACTCATCCGATCCTGAACGACACACTACCTCTTGCGCCGCGCCTCAAGAATACCACACTCACAAATTGTGCGCGTCTCGCATTTCGAACCTACCTCGCGCGCCCCAGCGCAACATCTACCCACCGTCGCTGCATTCTATGTAAACAGGTCTATCCCACCAGCTTATTTCATTCGTCGAGCAGCCCAGCTTGCGCGCCCATATCTCTCACGGAAGATGCCCAACAGACAGATGTTGTCGAGCTCCCGCATCGCCTTTGTTCCTGGCATGTTGGGCGCCTCGCGCGAATCATTCATACTGAAGCTAACGGGAAGAACGAGTGGGTGGGCCACATGGATGAAATGTGCATGCATTGTGGAGCCATTCAGGGTTGGGCCAAATGCGACTGTCGTTGCGACAGTTGCTCGTTTAGATCTGTGAGGACCTATACTCGGTATTTGAACAACAAAACGGAGTGCAAGCGGTTTGTATTCTGGAAGGAGGCAGCGGATGACAACGTGTCAGCCCCGCCAGCAGCGCGTGACTTTCGACTCTTCGTCAGGGAGACGTGCTGGGACGCTGGTTAGTACTGGACTCTTAGAGACGTCCGATCAAAGCTGTGGTGGCGTACGATAGCGCTTTTTGCTGACCCAGAGACAGGCGCCACAGACGAGGATACCATCATCAATCTGCCAGTTCACTTTGAGGAGCATGAATCAAATGATGAAGCCGAAACCAAAAGTTGTTCGGTGACCAGCCGTCCGCAGCAACTCGCGGGTGATACTGTCCAGCTTCAACGCAAGACTTAGTCTGAACTCTGTTGTTTCAAAGCTTCTTCAGTTACAAGCGTGGCACATGATATTGATGCATGGCGTTCATTTCATTTGATCTCTATTTCAGGACCATATCTTTTCGTCGTTCATAGACTCGCATCGTTCGTCCATCAAGCCAGCTTTCTCAACATCCGTATTTCCACTCATCTGCTGACGCCGTACTTCTTGTCCCCAATTCCGAACAGTGATCAACGCCCAGAACTGCGCTGTCATCAAAAATAAGCCGCCCCAGGCGACACATAACTTCACAAGATGGAAGGTGGTCGAGCATTTCGTTAACCACTCGTCATCCCATCCAAGACCGGCATCGAGGTCACGACACAACGAAACCGCGTCCACTTGTTGCCTTGGAAGCATCGGGTTCAGAAGTTGAAAATCGAAAGGTATGATGATATTGACGAGCGCGAGTGTCACGAAAGACAGCGTGGTCGTGTGAAAAAAGATATATGCGGACACGAGTCTGGGTATGAACTGCAGTTGTACGTCAGCTTCAATCCCAAAAATCCATCGTTGGTCCAGCTTGTGTTCGGACGAAAGCATCGGACATGGATATGTACGCAAAGCAGGAGATGCTCACCCGAACCGCGCCTATCAACCCCAATATGCTTGCGCTCGCTGCGAGCACATTATATACGAACGACCAGAATGCACGAGTTGGGTCGTTGTCAGGCAGCGCGAAGGATGTGCAAAGTAGAAGATGCGTCGAGAGCGTGAGTACGGGGAGGAGGACGGCTAGGAATCTTCTCAAACAGATCAGCGTTGCTCTTTTGAACCTGTGTTGCGTTCTCTGACACTCGATTTGCATAGACAAACATGCTCGAATAACCTGGAACAACTAATATGACATACCTCGTCTGCCTCTGCTCTTTTGAGAACTCCATGGCTACTGTCTAGTCCAGCCCAATCAAATCAAATCAAATCCAAGTCCAGGTCAAGCTTTGGAGATTTCAAGACGTGCAGGTCGTGAGGGTACGTATCAAAAACCAGCAGCAAAGCAACAATAACGTCAACGTCAGCGAGCACGACTCCAAAACAGTAGACAAAGGCGCTTTTGTAAGTGCGCGTGAGCCACGTCGCCGGACGTTGGCCGAAAGCACACGCGCAGAAGCAGGGCCAGAACGCCAGAACGCGTTGTTCACACCTTGACTTTTAGCTCCGGGAAGTTGCGGATGCGTCATCCGCGCATGCATCGTGACGTTGCGGCTGTCCTGCTGCCGCTTGATTGCTCCACGTTGTACGCATCCTGGAAGTTGTGCAGTGGCTTTGAAATACAGCAGGATGGACGTGGGCAGGAGCAAGATTTTGGGGTGCGGTGTACATTATGGAGGGTGGGATTATGAGGCTTGTGGACAAGCGTTGGGATGTGCATGTGCATGTGTGCATGCGGGGGGAGTGCGGATCATGCGGCTCGCTAAGCAGCGGAAGACGGTGGAGCGGGTTGCTGTCATAGGATGGTGAGGTGGTGGTGTCGTCGCTGTGCTCTTGGACTGTAGAAGAAAAATTCCTTTGTTGAAGTTTTCAATGCATGTGGAGCTGTGTGTGCGCGTAACTTGAAGCCCTTATTCTCTCTTGCTTGTTTTTTTGTTATCGACGTTCGATGCCATGCTCACTAAGAGCACGCGATGTTGTAGACCTCGTGACTATCTCTTTCCGAGGTTCTGCAGGTCCTAACGTCGTTGCTGCCGATGCGCCGAAAGCTTCTAGAATACGCGGACCAGGACCGGACAAACGGGGATATCCGTGTCGTGGTTTGCCCGTTTACTGTATGCGCTGGTTGGTCCTTGTTCGATCACGTTGGATCGATCGCTCAGCACGCATATGCAGCAGTCAAGAAAAGCAATACGGAGAACAAGATTACCAACGCTTATCAAGAATGCTTCGTAATATGACGCTGAATCCGCTGCATCGCTATTGAAATTCGACATTGTACAATACAACAAACACTATTACCTCAGGCTCCCAGCGCACCATCACCATTCCTCCTCCGCTTCATAGGCCTCTCAAACTCCCTTGTCTTTGGATTGTACTTGACAATAACAGCCTCATCGCGATTCTTCCCACTCCTCACATCTTGCTCCGCCCCCGGAACAGTCTGATAAATCGACGTGCGGTCCGAGTTCGTCTTCTCTGCTACAGAAGGGGATCGTAACAAACTATTTTGAATAGCAGAGTCGGGTAACTCTGACCAATCCTCCAGGGTACGGCGAATGCATTGGTCGTGTTCCGATGGTTGCTCATCTAATCTTTGGAGTGTACATCCCGGTGTACCTATGTGGTGTTTCTCACATGTCCCGTAGTCTTGCGTCTCCAGGACTCTGTAGTCAGGGCAGTAAATGATCATGAGAGGGTCGTCGCATTTGGTGCATGGGCGGGAATGGATGGCTTTGCAGGAGCAGAGGGCGAAGGTTGTGTACTCGTGGTAGCACATCTACACAGGAGTATGTGGCGTGATGGACTTGATCTCAAAAGTATTCGTGGATTTATCCTCAGTGTAACGTAGAAAGTGTAGATGCGGTTGATACTGAAGAGTCGCTCTGAGCCTGTGTGTCGCGTTGGGCCTGGCTGGATATTATCGAGTGGTGCAGAGGACGATGTAGCACTGAAAAGTTTAGATATCGTTGTCAGATAAGATGTAGAAGCTCATGGCGAGCGTGATATTGATTTAACCACTGAAGAAAGTTGTTCATCCTTAAGAACCAGCGTTCCGATTTGATGACACCCAGCGACGGTTATCCCTGACATCTTGAATATGGATCGGTCTTGAATTGCTGACCAACTTGCGCTCGCGCTCCATCGTTGTTGTTGGTATTGCGGGAAGCTGTTGGCGTGTGTTTGACTTGTCTAGCGAGCAAACCGATAGCGTGTACCGGGTGCACCGATTCGCTACCAAGTTCGCAAACATGCATGTTTTACTTCCTCTGGTATGGGAAGGAAAAGACAAAGCTTGCCAACAGCCTGGTTTATGATCTATCCACCAACACCAACAGCACTTGCTGACTCTATCGCAGAGGTCAAAGTCGCACGAAGTCCCAATGGGGTCTGCCAACAGGTAATTTGCCGACAGATGGTGATGTTTCGGCCAAATTGATAGACTTGGTGGATGTTTGAGGGAAGTTCTGCTTGCTCTTCTTGTACAGACGTAGCCAAACTGCATCTGCGTTGCTGTACTCTAGCGCCTGGCGCACATCGATTCTGTCTAGTACTGGATCTAATACGTTCAGTATCTCGTCGAATCGCTCATCCCGGACCACCACGTGTTGGGCGATTGCGCACAGCAGACCCACAAGACTGTTCCAGATCATGCGTGTGGGCGCATCGACGTACATTTCTGGTCGAAAGGAATCGGATCTGGAGATTGGGTCCATGGATAATGCGCTCATGCCAGTCTCCACACGAGAGAGGTTCGTAGATGTGGATATCAGTTTGCCACTGCTGATGCGATTGTCCGTTCGTTGTTTGGTGCGACGATGCACTTTCGTCAAAATATCCCAGGCGTCATCAATACGACTTCTCATGAAGTCGCCAGCGTGCTCGCACATCAAGGCGACAATCTCCAGTGCGTTGGACACGATGTACGCTTCTTCGTCTTGCAAACGTGGGAGTAGAACTGGCCAAAGTGTGTTGATGAGCGGCAAGAAGGAGTTTTCATGTTTTGCCAGTGCAGGAATCGTAGTCCTGAGAAGAGAGAGGAGAGAATTTCGCAGACTTGATGAAGTTGACGTGAGATAATGTTGTGTGAGTTTCGAAATTGTGAGCAAAATTTCGAACGTTCGTGGAGCAGGGGGAGGGAGTTCTGGTGTATCGGTGGGTTGCTCTGCCTCATCGGTTGGGTCGTGGTCGTGGTTCTCTTCGGAATCTATTGAGAAAGTTTCTTTCCAAGGCTGCTCAGGGAAGGGAGTTTTGGATTGTTCTTCATCTTCTCTCTCTCTCCTGCGAGTCTCAACATCCATTTTCTTGAGTGTTTCGACAACATCTGCTATGGTGACCCCATTCTGGTTGAATCGATTCTGGTTGACTTTGTCGCCTGCAGCAATAGCAAGCTGTGGTGCTTTGACACCTTCCTCTGTCATTCCCTTCAAGACAGAAAACAGGAGTTCTGCAAGCTTCGGGTACCCATGATACCTTTCCAGCGCATCGAAGATACTACCAACGACGTCGTCCAAATACGGCAACAAAGACGGACCGCATAGTCTCATCATCATCAATAATACCTGAGGGGCCTGGGGTGAGACATCTCCCATGGCGAGTTTCAAGCCTACTGCATTGACTATATAATCAACGTTTTCGATCACAAGCTCGCTGGCACTGGAGTATCCGGATGCTTCTGATAGGATGTTCAAACATGTGAGTGCATGATCCCGAAGTGCTATGTTTGAGCTGCCGAGATAGTGGAGTACTGGATATAGAATCTCACTCAGCTCAGCCCGAAATTCGGCTTTGTATCGCCGTGCCTGCAGGGCGACAGTCTCAAGAGCTAGCGCATAGAAATGCCAGGGCAAGTTTGTCTCAGTGTCCCGCTGGTTGAGTATGGTTACTGAATGAGCGTAAAGATCGTCTAGAAGCTCTTCTCGTAAGCTAGGTGTTCCCATATCGATAAAGTCATCAAAAGATAGATTTGTGGTTGTTAAGTCTTGGAGAAGATTGACTGAGATCCAGAAGCTGCCCAATTGCATCTCTTGAGACCCAATGTCGAGCGTCCCAACTAGACTTTGCACAACCGTCAAGGCCGAGTCTGATCCCGCGAGCTCGTGCACCAGCAGCTTAAACTCAGCCATCATGTCTTCCTGACCTTTAAGGCGTAATTTCAGTGATGGAAAAGATGAACTTTTTGCAGGAGTCAGCACCAAGCTTTTCTCGGTAATGGCATCTGACTTTGACTGGGTGACATCCTCCACGCCTCTGGAGTCTGTGAATATGATAGATATACCATCGCGAAGACTATCGGCCAGTCTATCGTCAATGATCGCCTGATTCTGTTCAAATAATCGTATTGTGACTGAGATCTGGTGGATGATGTGTCGTCGGCCGTGATCATCTTTTGACTGCATGACTCGAGGGAGAGAGACAACCCAACCATGAAGGCTTTCACGCAAGAGGTCAGAGAGCTTTTGATCTGAAGCGAGCAATGCCTTCAAATCTTTTTCGACTGTGTCTTGCGAGCCATCCCGGCCAGCGAGACTGATGACAGTTTCGACGGCCATACCGGTACATATAGACAGTGACGTCCGGCACTCCTGTATGACACAGAGACATAACGCTAGAAGTGCCCTTCGAACCTCTGACTTGTCGTGGTTCCGCAGCTTGAAGACGTTAGCCATGGCAATCTTGATTTGGGCAGCCGTAGCTTGTAGCCACGCCGATGACCGCGACATATTGATGCCTTGATCAGAATCTTGTGCCGGAGCCTCGTTGGGCAAGTCCTTCGTTTTTCGATCGCTAAGAAGCCGTGACAACAAAGAAGCCATCATATGTAGACTGAGCTCTATGACTCGAAAACCTGCCCGACTACTACTGCTTGGAGTCAATACTTTGGTCAGGGAAGACACCATCTTGGGAAGAAAGCTAGCGAGAGCGTCATCGTCGACAATGGCATCGTTCAGCGCCATCAAAGCCGTCACGGATTTGAATTTGACACTGTTGGAATGACTCTCGGTCAGACTGTCGAGCATTGTGAGTACAGCCTCCCCCAGTGCTGGTACGTTAACCGTGTCTGTGATGGCTTGTTTCCCTTGGCTGGTGCGAGACGTTTCACTTAGCAGTTCGGCCATGCATTGAAATGACATAGCCTGAAGTTCTTCTGAGGTCGCAGCGATTCCATTTTCTGCGGAAGAGGGCTTGGCTAAAAATGTGAAAAGAATGAGAAGTTGCCCAGACAAAGCAGGCTCAAGACCTCCGCCCCAGCCCGTGCGGAGGAGAGTTGAGATACATTCGAGACAGAGCTCTAGGGCGCGAACCGGAACTTGTCGAGAGACGCGGAGAACCTGCGATACAGGAACAAAAGCATATTCAGCAAGCTTGGCATCTACTGAGCCTGGCTTGGCGGTGATGTCGCGAAGTGTGCCGAGAAGATGTGTGAGCGCCTGAACCAACTCCTTTCGTGCAGTGGGCCTCTGGGCAAGAGTCGCAGTGACCTGTAAGAGTTGGATGCATGGCTGCTTCAGCTGGGATGCATGTCAGTAGGATATTGTAGTGTCGGTATCAGCTGCGTACTCGTTGAAAGGCCAGTTGCCTCTCCATATTGCGTCTCGAATGGATTTCCTACAGGATACTGAGGGCATGGAGGACAGACAGATGAGAAGGTAGCTGAAGTTCGTTCCCTCCTTCGTGTGATCCTCCAGTGGCAGAAAGAAGACTGTGGTGAACAAGAATGCTCTAAATTGTCACGGTCTTGCCGGAAGCTTCCACGGTCTGTCCCTGTTTGTACGTTTCAACTAGTTCATTGGAGTTGCTAGTGACTGGTGTGGAATATTAGTTTAGTCGAGAGGTGGGTGAACGATGAGGTAGCTTTTAGCCCGTGCAGATCGCGCTAGCTAACGCGTCGAATGCAGCTGCCCTCAACGCCTCGAGGTCCCCAGTACAAGACATCATCGCCGCGCCGCCATTGAACTCGATTACCGCTCTGGCCAGTTGACTGCTTTGCAACGCGCACAGTCAGCTCTGTATTGAAAAATATCATAAGCGCAACGACCGCGCGCCAATTCACACGCGAACCACGCGACATGGCTCCACGCAGTCGGCGGAGCGCTGCCGCCGCCGTGACGGAAGTTGTCGAGGAGGAAGAACAGGAGCAGGAGGAGGAGGAGCAAGACGGGCTAAAGAAGCTGAGATTCAAACAGTCGCTTGTGGGACGACCAGGGAAGCAGATCAGCGTGGCCGATGTCTTGACGCGACTGAAGACGTTGCTGGACGAGCTACGGACCATAGATCAAGAGGAGGCACACCGGGAGTCGCTCGCGCCCATCGCGCAGGAACTGTCTCACCAGAGCCTCCTGCAGCACAAGGATGCCGGTGTGCGCGCGTGGACGGCCTGCTGCGTGGTTGACATGCTCAAGCTGTTCGCGCCAGACGCGCCATACCCCGCCTCCAAGCTGAAGGTGTGCTCTGCGACGTGACTATGTACTGTGACAATGCTGACATACGCGTCCAGGAAATCTTCTCCGTCATAATCGTCAAGATGCTGCCCCTCCTAGCCGACCCCTCGCATCCTTACAACAGCCAGCACATGTACGTGCTTCGGTCGCTCGCCGAGTGGAAGAGCATCCTACTCATAAATGAGATTCCTGGCTCCGACCAGCTGACCTCGGCCCTCTTCACCACCTGCTTCGATGTGCTATCTGGGCCGTCAAAGAGTGACAACGGCGAGGAGCTGAGCAAGAACGTAGAGCATAATATGACCGAGGTCCTCTCCACCGTCATCGATGAAGCGCCGGCCGTCACACATGACGTCGTAGACGTCGTTGTCGCGCAGTTCCTGTGGGCTGATCCCATAACACTAGGGAGCTCCGCGAAGGGCAAGAAGAATGCGCCAATAGACGCCAAGCAGTCAACACTGCGACGCAAGGAGGCGCCGCCTGCTTACAACATGGCCAAGAACATCTGCAATGCTTACCCCGAGAAAATGGCTCGCCTGATTGGTAACTACTTCAGCTCTGTTATTGTGGACTTCACCAATGCTGGAACCTCCTTCAAGAACCAGACGCGTCATCGAGCAGGGAGCGCCGACTCGGAAGACGAAGTTTCTAAGGGTCCTTCCGAGGATGACATCAACGAGGCGAACAAGGCCCATAGATTGCTCCGAGAGCTTTGGAAGTGCTGCCCTGGTGTCCTGCAAGAGATCATCCCTCATCTACAGGATGAGCTGGGCACCGAGAATGTCCAATTACGTCAACTTGCCACCGAAACCTTTGGAGACATGATCTCAGGAATCGGTGCGGCCGGCCCGCCTCCTCTCCCTGAAATGAACCCTGTAGCATATCCCTCGCAGAGCCTTGGACGTTCAGAAGCGGCTAAATCTTTCGATTTTCTCACGACACCTGCCTCTATCAACTCCTTCCCAACCCAGCATCCGGTTGCTTATCATGCTTTTTTGCAGCGAAAGAATGACAAATCCGCTGTCATTCGCGCCTCATGGACCACTGGCGTAGGAAGAATACTAATGACATCAGCCGGTGGTATTGGCCTTGATCCAGAAGAGGAAAAGAAGCTCCTCAAGCACTTCGCCGAGTGTCTCATCGATAGCGACGAGAAGGTGCGGTTAGCGGCTGTTCAAGCTGTGGAGCGCTTTGATTTCAACGACATCGTTCGCAAACTGGGCAGTAACGGTAGCATGTCGGAACCAGGGTCTATTCTTTCGAACCTTGCCGATAGAGTCAAAGACAAGAAGAGTGTCATTCACTCTGAGAGTATGAGACTTCTTGGAAGGATTTGGGGGGTAGCTGCGGGTGCCATTGCGGAAGGAGACGACACAGTCAAGACTCTGCTTGGACCAATACCGTCACGGATACTGGAAGCATGTTACGTCAACGACTTGGAGATCAATGTTCAGGTCGACCTCGTGCTATACGAGTCTTTGTTGCCGCTTGCTTATCCGCCAATGAAGCCAAAGGCCGTCGCAAGCGGAGCATCACAAGTCGTGAAAGACAGCCAGGCGAACGGAGACCAGGGATATACAGAGGCAGAATTGGACAAGATCCGAGCGGAAAGACAACTCGTACTCGTCCACGGTCTAGAGGAGAAGGCCAAGAAAGTTTTTTTTGCTAAACAGAGCAATCAAGTCAGCATGTCCACGTTCATGGAGCACTTTCTAAAGTTTTGCGAAGAGTATAATGGTGGCGTCACGGACGATGAAGAGAGGGATACCAAGAAGAAGCTTGAAGGACTCATCAATTACTGGGCGAAAACGCTTCCAAACTCAGCACGCGTGATGGATGATTTGTGGAAGTTTGCGAAGGCTCATGACCGCCGTGCATACACGCTTATACGCTTCTGCATGGACCCAACAAGCGACTACAGGAGAGTCTTCAGATCAATTGTAAGTACCTACCCTGACTTGCAAGTTAACTGGCTAATTTCAAGCTAGAAAGAGTTGCGAAAGAGAATTGAGGACGGGCCCGGCTTATCAATGCTCGAAACACTAAACCCTCTTCTCTACCGTGTCAGCTTACTCTGCTACAACAAAAGCCATGTTTCTGCTATTATCGACTACACTCGATCTGACGACAAAGGGCTGGGTACTACCGCACACGAGTTGCTGAACGCAATCTCCACAAAGCACCCCAAGGTCTTCTCTACTCACGTCAAAGACCTGTGCAGGACGCTTGAGAACGAGTCGCCGACAGCAAAGACGCCCAACCCTCTTGGCGCTGTCGACGATCTCAAGGCTTGCGCCGCCTTTGCAAAGAAATTCCCTACCGACATCCCAATGAATGGGAAAGAGAGTCGCAAACTTGTCCAGAGCTTTTTGAACTTCGCACTCTACGGCACGCCTCCCCAAGCCGCCAAGCATGCGATCACTATCATAATGAACAGCGATAACAAGAAGGAGATGCACGCAAAAGAGATACTGACAAAGAGCATCAAGAACTTTGAGTACGGTGGTGATCATTGGCTCACCAAGTTGGCAGCGCTAAGCCAGTTGGTTCTTCTTGCTCAACCTGAATGTGAAGACGACATGGACTCGATTGTAGAGATCGCTATTCAGAAAATTCTCCAGAAGCCTCACTCGACTACTGCCAATGCCGACGAGGCATGGGCGGATCTACCAGACGATGATATCCAGGGCAGAGCATGGGCGGTCAAGATACTCGTCAACAGACTACGCTCGCTACCCATCGAATCCAACATCGATGAAGCTGCGACGGACACATACGCCTTGCTTAATCGATTAGTGAAGGAGAATGGCGAAGGCTCAGACGACGATAGTACTCCGGCAGATCACAAAAACCGTCAACGACTCCTTGCGGCCAACTCTCTTCTCAAACTTTCCTGCAACCCGCGTTTGGAAAAGCTCTTGAAACCCGCTCAGTTCAACCAACTGGCTCTTGTTACGCACGATCTTTGCTTCCAAGTTCGCAAAGGTTTTGCTGACAAGCTTATGAAATACCTGGGTCAGAACCGGCTTCCAACTCGGTTCTACGCTATTTTGTTCTTCCTCGCATACGAACCAGAGAGAACCGAGAAGATCGGATTTGAGACATGGATTCGTTCACGTCAAGCCGCTAAGGCGCTTCAAAAAGACACTACTCTGGAGCTGATATTTCCCCGGCTACTGAGTCTGCTTGCTCATCATCCCGATTTCGACACAGAAGACGAGACATTGAAGCTCATGTCGGAATACATCCTGTTCTACCTAAAGTGTGTGGCTACGAAAGACAACATTTCTCTCATCCATCACGCCGCTCAACGCGTGAAGAGTGTCGCGGATGGTATTGAGCCCTCCCCTCAAGCTGATAAGAACCTCTACGTCTTGTCTAGTCTCTCCGATGCGCTCATCACTGCATGGACAGAGCAAAACGGTTGGAGCTCGGAAACTTGGCCAGGGAAAACAGGACTGCCGTCCGGTATCTTCCGACCGCTCAAGAGCCACGATCAAGCCCAGGAAATCGCAGACAAACAATGGATAGACGACGGTTTGATAGACGAGCTAGAACCGCTCGTGCGCAAAGCCATTCGAAGCAAGAAACGCAGAGCTACTGACGGCGACGAGAAGAAGTCACGCAAGAAGGCCAGGAGTGAGAAGACAAAGAGGGTCAAAGGGGAGCGGCCGATCAAGACACCCAGGAAGAAGAGGAGGGCTGACAACGACGATGATGAGAGCGATGGGGATGGCCGCGCCAGGCCGTCGAGCGAGCCCAGACGTAAGAGTGGACGTCAAAGTACTGCGCACAAGAGCTACATTGAAGTGTCAAGCGGCGAGGAAGATGCACAGGTCGGCGCCGAGGAGCCCGAGGAGGAAGAGGAGGAGGAGGCAGAGACCTCGGAAGCCAACGAGCAATCATCACCTGCTCCCGAAGAAGACGTCGAAATGGCAGACGAGGAGACTGTTGTGGTAGACGTTCCGACCACAGAGCCGGAAGGCGACGCAGAAGCGGAAGCAGAAGAATCCGACCTCTCCGACCCCGAGGCCTCCCCTGAACCGTCGCCAGAACCCGAGCCCCCGAAAAAAACTACAAGGGGTAAATCTGCAAAGACGACAAACGGCGCGAAATCGTCTCCGGTCGCGCAGAAGCGCAAGGCCGAGACCACTCTACCAGCCAGACCAGCGAAGACTACAGCGAAGAGCAAGGCTAAAGCCAACGAGACAGCGACTCCATCAAGCCCGGTCGCTAATGGCACGCGACGCAGTGCCCGCACGAAAGGCTGATCGCGGCCGTCTCAGGCTTTGGTTTCTCTCGATTCACCCCTTGCGGATATTGTTGTATATCTCGTACGGGCCGGCTTTCCTTCTCCCTGTGAATCCGTGGCGAAAAGTATGTTCTGAATACTGCCACCTCGGGCGTCTTGGGTGGGGAAGGCGGCTGTTGTCATGTTACGTTTTGCTTATCGTTTAGTATGATACCTGCGAGATTGCTTATGTGTGAAGATTGCGGATGGGAGCGTGGAATCTTTTTACTATTTAGCGTTTTTATGGCGTGATGGAGGTGTTAGCAGCGTAGGTAGAGATTGTATTCAATCTGTGATATACCTTGCCTTTTTGTTCTCTCGTGATATGGTTTTATTGGGTTTGTGTGCTCTTGACGCTGGGTTGACGGTTCAACGACTACACACTGTGAGATGTATGTCCAGTTCCCTGACTTGCCATATACTCACGTCTGTGCCTCCTTTCTATGTATAATACAATGGTGGTACATTATATACAAGCCCCTAGCATCATTCTCATACCAGCAAGCCTATGTGTCATACTGCCTTTGTCTTCAGCTGCACACCATGCCAACTCTTGATCTCCGCCTCGAGCACCTTATTCACCAACTTGTGTTGCTTGATGACCGTCAATCCTTTAAACTTGGGTGACTCTATATCAATCGCATACATGGATCCGCAGCCACCGCTTACATCCTGCACCTATACATGGAGCGTTAGCATGTATTCCGACAAACGCGACGACGATGATGCATGGCGAGATGAAACTGCATCCACATCCCAATTCACATATCGACATTGAAGACGCTGACGTGGATTGCGTGGATAAGATTCTTGCCCCCGCATCCCGCTTCCAATCCATCACACCACCTCACATCACATCATGCAACCCTCGATTGGTGCGGCCACGCAACCCCGCAAACTCAATGAATACGAGAGCTTGGATAAGGCAATTAGATGTTGCGTACCTCGAGCTTCACAGGATCTAGCTCCGCTTTTATCTTATTAAAGACATGCAGTTCCGCCTCGTTGAGGTAGTCGGGCGGCTCCGCGGATTGCGAATATGGGCGGGTGGGATGTGCGGGGGAATACGAGGGTCGCGATAGCAGGGGGGGCGTTGGACGGGCGGAAAGTGAACACAGTGATGATGTTTGTGAGCGTATGGTGAGAGGGGTTCGTGTATGTGCACTGGTGGAGAGGAGACGTGGAGTTGGGTGTATGGATGCGCGGGCTATGCGGCGGAGGAGGGCTCGTGAAGGTGCCATTGAGGTGGTTTGCAGCTCTGAAGGGATGACGTTAGAAAGTGAATACTATGGGGTACATCCATTGAGTGAGAGAACGCATACTTACGGTTAGAGCTGGTTGGTTGAGTTGGGTGACGGTTGACAGTCGACGCGAAATGAAGTCTGCCATGCGTTCATTCGCGACAATTTCGTCATAGCTCTTTCACCCAATCACGTGCCTCGATTAGTAAGAGATCATCTTGTCTCTGTCATTTCTGAACTCGAAAACTGATTGTACTCACACACGACACTAGGCTTGTTGGAATGGCATTCCGTATTATCCCCGCGTTGAATCGGTCGACATCTTACGACAGCACCCCAGCGATACTCGCGATCTCAACAAAAAATCGCAATTAATTGTATCTGACGCTAAGCGTCGCTCAGTGGTGGCTTGCATATCTGGGGTAAATCTGTCTGAGCCGCTGCCTGTCCGCGCAGATGTACCCTCGAAGTACCTCGTTGTACCGTCGATGCTTCAACGATATCATTTTCCATTATTAACGCCATCCTTGGGGATTTACAAATCTAACATTCCGAACCAACGATGCAGTCCCCACAATTGCTCTTGACGCTCTCCACACTTGATTGCAGTGCAGCTCGACGCGGGCGCCGACGTCTGGACCCCTCATTTCTAGCATCGATACGCAACCGGGACCCTGATCAGCAGAGAGTGGAGCTTTCACATGTTGAGAACAGGGTTTCGCACACCACCCTTCGTCATACCCTGCGCAGACGGTCCGTCTTGGGACCAAGCGCTACCGTTCCGGTCGAATCCAGAGACGCCATCGATCATGAGGAAGACCATTAGGGCTCGAAGGATTCACTCGACCAACTACGGGGTTGCAGGATTTTCGATTGCGATATCGACGGAGAAACGCGATTACGCTACTTGAGCCACACCTTGGCTTTCGTCAGTAGATGTCGAAGGTTCACTTTTCCAGAGAGGTGTACCATGGATCGTAATACCATCATCAAAGAGCTTCGAAGTTCGAATGCCAGTCATCGAGATGGAGTGCATGTTGTTGGGAAAAGGCTGAATCTTACGTTAGCTAACTTGGTCCGCTAGATCTCTTTGGTAAAGGATATCTCGGTATTGAATTAACCCGAATATATGGAGTCAGACATGCCACGCAGAAAAGGTTGCAAGGTAAGAATGACCAGTATCGCGCGGGTTTCATTCGGGGAAGAAGACCTGTCTCACAAATGTCCGAATATACAACGAACGAGCGTCAACTTGCAACAGATGTCTGATAGGCAACTCCAACCCCGAAACCAAACGTACGATCCGCAATCTTACATTCCCCACAAGTGGTTCACGAACGGTCAGTGTTCATCACCAATCAATCGAAAGAAAAGGCATATCCAAACTCCTTCCCAGCACGATGTGAATGCACTCAGACAGATCGCTGGAAATCATCACACCACTCCCACACCAAGTCCCCAATGATTTGCTCTCCCGGACAACTCAAGCTCCCTCGTGAAATTTCCAGATCTAACGTCTTCAGCCTATGCAATGCTCCACCACCCTCTCCATGAGGATGTCTGTAACCGCAGGTGTGTCTTGCCTCGCGCAAGCATGAGCGGCCAAGGTGGGGAAAGACCCACTCTCAACAGTTTGGTGTGTTACTGTGCAGCGTAAAGGCTACTTGCTGAGGGCTAATAAGGCGAAGCAAATTTTGCCGCGAGAGATGGAGAGTCTGGAGTAAACCTGGACATTGCGGGTTGATGTTGATCGACCTCAGATCCAGCAGGCGGTGTGATCTCATTTGTGGCTAACTGGTTTTGCTTTCCTTGCATATCGAAGCTATGTGAAGACCCTGCCTGTCGTTCGGTGACCCTGGATTCACGGGATGGTCCATACCAAGAAACACTTGTGGTAGTAGTTTTCTAGGCGATCGCTGTATTTGCATTAGAAGCTCTGATAGAGGCTCTGCGAAAGAAAATCCGAACGCGAATCGGTTACATTTCATCATCCGATACCTCCAATCTCGGGGCTTGATTGCCATGACTTGATATCCAGGGAACCGGCCGAACCCGCGTCCTGGCTCTCGCGAACGCCCTCCACAGTCTTACCCCAGAAACGTAATCGACGCCGACAAAACTCCACCATGTGCACAAACTCCACACACACCCCTCCACAGCTCCACCGGAGCGTCGCAGAAACAAATAAGGCTCGTCTCATGACAAGCAAGAAATCTCGGCCCGACACTAACACTTACTTCACCATCTTCATGCCTTCACAATCCTATAATAGCTATTCGTACCGAAAAAAATTGCCCGCACAACCGCCCGTTACACACCTCCTCTTCCCTTCCCAACCAGTTCGCCCAAGACCCTGACATCGCAGCCGCCGGGCGGTTAGGCGTCATGCACGACACCAGTGCTGTGGCTTTTGACCATGTCCGATCCGTGTTGTTGAGGATTCGCCGCTCCGACGCGCCCCATCCGTCCATTCCCTCTATAGCATAACGTAGTTCCCCACAACCTCAGGATACGAGAGTATTATTTCTGTGCGGTAAGCTCGGCGCGTAGAGACGAATTGTCATGAGTAAGGGGAATGGGGTGAGGTGTGTTTTTGCGGCTGGCTGTGGAGGCAAGTAGTCGGGCGTTGTGAATGCGCAAGGTGGGTGTGCTGGAAAATTTCTGCTGGGCGTGCAGGTGAGCACGCTAGGCCGGAGATCCAAGATCTTACGCTTTTGGTGCCGGAGAGATGAGGGTCCAAGGTAGAAGTCCAAGAGTTTCAACTACATTGTATCAAATCGGAGTTTGAGTATGTAGTGTTTAGAAGCTTGTGTGCGCTACACATCTACCGAGCCACCAAATTTTGCAAACAACACCAAAGATCACCATTTCCAAGCTGCAACCAACATCATTCTTACTTTACAAAACTTACTCGGTCTACATAAATAAGACTCGAATATCTCTATGTTTCTTTGGATCTCTTGTGTCTTTGGTTTTTGCTGTCTAATACCATTTTGGATTTGAAAGACTTCTTGAGGCTTACTTATTTGCCCATTACAAAACAGCACTTCTCTGAACCACGCGCTACAATAATCTCAAGATGACTTGTGTCCGTATAAGTATATTCGGGTATGGGGCGCTTAGACGTATGTGTTTGAAGCTCAAGATCATATTACTATCACACTTTAGTAAATGTACAAACTGTTACATTCGTCTTTAGTCAAGGGCAAAGAAGCTAGTTTTGCTACGCTCCAAAATCGGGTTGTGATCATTCACAAACAAACTAGACTATTGGTCTATACAAAGTCTTCCTTATTTAGTTATCACTCGTTTTGAGAAATCCCGGTTATGTGTTGTAGGTATCTTGTATTTGTTGTTGCATGTGTAGACAGCAGAGGAATGGATTGTGCAATTGATGAAGAACAATGATCTCACAAGACTCTCATACATGGAGAATACAGCTAAGCGAAGCAAAACTGTTGTTGAAGATGCGAAGATTATGATGAATGTAGGTAGCACTTGCGTAAGTAGAATTCGTCATGGAGCAATCTACCATTCGAAAAAAAGCAAACGTATAACTACTTTACGATATATGAAAGCACATTTTCGCAAGAACCTTGTCCAACGGTTATCCTCAAGGAGTATCCCACCTAGTTGCTGCTTGTGTCATGCATCTGAGCAACTTCAAGCCATAGTCAATTGCTAGCAGCCACTAAACAGGCGTTGCCTGTCCCCAATAAATGTCACCCGATGAAGCTGACTAGTGGCGCAACTTATGGCCTCGGTCTACGCCACGCTGATTAAGAGTGCAAACCTTGACTTTGGAGCTGAGGAGTGACATGCTGCTCCAAGGTTATATCCTTGGCCCCAGCTTGAACGACAGATGATCGTGTCATACTCGGTGCGATATCGTCGACGATGAACGTCACTTCGCAAGGAGGACATTCCGCCAATACGCTCGACAGTTACCAACGCGTCGTGCTTTTCGGCGACCAAACCCGACAATACTAGCTTCCTGCTTCCTCATAGGGAACCGTGTGCCCTGTTTTGGTCCTCCCTGACGGATCCATGTGCCGATTATCCTCTCAACGTGCAATACCGTGTTTTCGCTCGCGACTTCTGCAGGACAGGGTGTGGTTGCTTTCCGAGTGGCAGTGTGAGATGTTGTTGAGAGCGGGGGCGCATGCATGAGCGCCTGCGGGCGTTACACTTGGCGCAGTGCATGGCTGTGCGAACCCATCTTGTCGTGCAGGGCGGTTCGAACATGATACTATGGAGAACATGACAGACGTGATGGGGACAACTGTAATAAAATGGACTGATCTTGTGTTGAAGATAGCGAAGATAATGATGTGGTAATGAGATGGTATAGAGACGCGCGTATTAGGTATGGCGGGAGATAGGGTAGACTGAGGAACGGAAGGAGCTCCCTCGTACGATAGGGGTTGTTATCGCGATATTGGGTATGCGAAACCCTCATCTCCGCCTTGATGCATATCTCCATTGTGGGCATACCGGCATCTTACCCCGCGTCAGCACTCGGGATGTTGAGTTAAGTCGGCACCAAGTCAACAATCAATCTCACTCGGCTCGGTCCATGCCACTGCGTTCACCGCTTGGAGCAGAGATATAACCTTGTTACCCCGCGATAGAACCTCGTCTGGACCTATATCGTATGTCCAGGTAAGTGTTGCGCGGTATGCTGTCATGGTAATCAAGACTGCCATTGCAGCAGACCCCAGACGACGTGCTGTTCCACGACATACCAAATTCAAGTCTGTTGGATATGTGCGGCACGCATTGCTGAATGCGGTTGTTCGTGAGGGCTGGCAAGAGAGGCTGGTATGCGATGTGTCAAGATACGCCGAAGTCGTCGACGTCAAGAGGTGAAGTCTTGGGAGAAGTGGGGTCGTCTTGTTGGATGCAGAAGCCATCGAACCTACTGTGGTCCCCCCCAGAAGTATAAGCCATTCCCCACTTTGCGTACTAATCTTCTATTCGTCAGAATTGCTGATTAAGAGGCTTTTGACCAATCCGTGAGCGTCCTGGAAGGTACCCACAAGAGGCGAATGGCTTATACTTCTGGGGGGGACCACAGTAGGCTTATCAAATACGAACTCCCTCGTATGCAGGGTCTTGAACCGGGTTTGCTTGTTCTTATAGCCTCAGCGAGGTTCGGATGGGAACGAACCGTGATCTAGTATGTTGAATCTCAAAGTAAATCTGGGTGTTGAGGAGGCCAGTGCAATATTGGAGAAGCTGTACCAGCCGTATCGAACCAGCAAAGCGACTGATAACACACTCGGGTTCACGTTATCAGTGGATGCGGAGCAAGTACGAATCTCTGTAAAAATCTCTCAGGCTCCACCTATAGTTCCGTTCATCAGAGTTAGCGGGGCAAGTCTGACGGTAGGAAAGATCAGCCGCACTCCATCGCTGCCGTCCCCCAGAATTCTAGAGCCCCCCTGCATTTACTTGCATGCTAGTTTGTGGGGAAGTTCCAGCGTATGAAAGTTGATATGTTGGTATGACAAGGTCGCGGGCATGAAACGTGCCCCAGGTCCTGTATCACTGGCCAGCGGTAATGGTAGGGAATGTGCCGATAACCCCATCGGCACGAGGTTTGTGGAGACGAAAGTGAGCGTGGTGCAACGATACACGTACAGCAGGTACCAATCACGTCGTTCTGCGGGGTTTCAGGTCCAGTTCATCAGTACTATGGGATTTGTAGATATGTGTTCTTTCGTTCGTATGCATGTATGTACTCCATATCTGCAACCGTGTTCTACCGTCAAGTCAGTAAGTATGGCTCCTGAATTTTACCTAGCGAAATGAGTGAAATGTCATGTCACACAGGGAGGCTGGTCGTTACCTTTGTCAACAATACACAAGTCAAACCTATCACGGTTAGCTGATAAGTCGAGATCCCTGCTATATCCAGTCATATTGTTGAGTGGGGGCTAAGAATACGATCGCAGACGTGGGGTAGTCTAAGCGATGGCTTACCGCTGTCTAGATCCAGACTATCTGCGGGTGATACTGATCCGTTTGATAGTGAGCATGTTCGTGGAGCAGATATGATATCAAATGCGGGACAGGTCTCTCCTGACAGAAATGGAGTTACGTCTTGCGTGGTTCTATGTCCCTACTACAGTTTTATGGGAAGCGAGTCCCATGGTAGTCCAATAGAAATTGTAGACGTGAAGTAAAAACAAAGTTTATTGCATTCGGTCCTTAGACGGAGATACTATCGATGGTGATCTTGGATCAACGAACTTCGCACAGACAATCATCACTCAATGCATCTCATGGGGCGCACAATCTTGCTCAATCACAATACCGCTAACGTGATCAGGTTGTTCGCAGCAAAGATGCGTATATGTTGAAGAGCGTGGTGGTTCGTAAAAATGTGCTTTTGAGAGGATTTTCTCAAACTAGCATCAATGTCAGATTGGTTCGATAAATCAACATGATCCCCCGCTCTGTATACGATGATATAGCACTTCTTCCGTATGAATGCATAGGCACTACATTACTACTGCTGTCTAGAACGAGAATGAACGCAATGGCCATCGACGAAGGGAGAGCGTATGGATTTGTTTACTCGACCACCCGATGGCTGAAGGATGGTCGCATCGATTTGGTTGTGAACATTACCACTATGGCAGGACACTGCGCGCTCCCGGAGTTGCAAATCTCAACAGTGATCTTCAAAGCGAATGGATCTGGTTAGACACACCCTGTTGTTAACACTTCATGTAAATCTACGAGTCCAAATTCACCACTGACTCGCGGTACCATGTAGAGCCGTTGTGTTTCGGAGTTGCAGCGATCGGACCATGTCAAAGATGCGGCTAGCTCGCTAAGAAACTTGGCAGAGCTAACGTGATCAGCTTGCTGGGATCGCTATTCTGGGGGAGATCGCTGATAAGGCACGGCGCAATCAGCGGAGCCTTGAGCGGTGAGCTTCTTCGTCAAACACAATTGGCTCGGATCCTTGAGTTTTGCCGGGCGAAAACTTTGGAACGGCATCGCGAAGTGGGGCTGTCCGGGGCTGCATGCGGGATAGTTTCTTGGAAATTTGGGTCTGGCCATCTTGATGAAGTTACAATAACCAAGTTTGTCAGAAGTTATGTGTTTCAGGTGCTGATGGGATGGAAATTCGCTCGAACATTTTTACAAGGGACATTGAATGACGGTATTGAATTGACAGACTCTGCTCCTTCCCGGAAGCCGTGTTTCGAATCTCGATGCTGAGATCAGGCCAGCTCGCGATAAGACTGTACGTGTATAGATCCTGGTCGACTCTTCCCAGTTTCGTGAAAACACTCTAGTACTTGTCAGCCACCAATCTTTGACCCGGACAAGCCGTCCGTTATCAATCCATGGGTGGAGATGCGTAGGCGCGCGCAAGATGGAGATGTTGGGTACAGCTGCCAGAACAGGAACCCCTTTGCATCGGAGTCTGCCACGAAGGCTGGGTTGTGTTCGGTAACGACGGTTAGAGTTGCTCTGGTGAGTGCTTGGAGGTGCGGGGAAGCTGACAAAAGCCTCTCACCCTGGTGTGAGTTTCACTACCTAGTAATGCACGTTCTCCTTGAGTGGACAAGCATTGTCAGCAAACGGGTATCACGGCGTTGCAGTTTCATCAGTGTAGCGTTATCGCGCATCGTGATCGAGTTTTGGTGGTGAGAATCAAGGTGCAAATTGCGTCTCGAGTCGTATTGACAACTTTTTTGCGATGAGCAGGGATTATCGTGCGGCTTAGCGGCTCTGGTTCGGGCTGACGCTAAAGCCGACCGCCTTTTCCAAGTGGCATGGCGATCACCTCGATTGAGATGGAAAGCCCAGAAGAGGCGCTGGAAGAGGCCGAGTTCGCCTCTATGATCCAGGTACACGCGAGAGCTGGTGCCCCTATCGTGCGCACCGCCACAGTGACGGCGAAAAGAGTGCTGGTGGTGTCGAGAAGAAGTGGTTGTCGTGGTAGCGCTGAGAGTTGAGATGAACATGACGCCATCGCTCGAGTAACACCTGGCATGTGCGCAATCGGAAGGTGATTGCGTGGCTTGTGCTTGCCACATTACAAGAAGAAGCAAATTTAGCAGCGCCTGTCCAACGGCTGAGCGTCAAGTAAGCCTTGCTAAGTGGACTGTGGGCATTATGACAGCAAAATTGCGGAGACTTTTTAGACTCCGGTGGGTGCATGATGAAGAAACGACCCCCATGGGCCTCCGTATTTTCCAAGTCGTGTGGATGGAGGCGGATAATGACATACAGCCCCCACTGCTCACCGACCCAGTTGGTGAGAAACCACGGACGAGGTGTTGTTGAGTGCAGAGCGGTCCGAATTAGCAGCCATGCCGTCGCCTTCGCGTACGGTTGGGAGATTCGATCATGGGCTGATAGAGGAGGCAGATCCAGGATGTGTGATGGGCCGGCGCCACGAGCACGCCAGGCATGTACCGCAAAGTATCTTTGTTGTCTTGGTCGTCTCTCCGCCGTCGGCGCGATTACAGATGGACAGGCAGAGGCGTCAGCACCTAGCCGTACGACGCACCGCGCTCACTCGGCCTTGAACGATTCCCAGAACCGGTTGTCCCCGCTTGGCTGCGTCCTCATTGAAAATCCTTGTTGCAACCCCGGTCTGTTGGGTGGATCGTGCATGGCGCTAAATCATCGCTTCTGCAATGGCAAAGCAGATTAAGCCCAGGCTCCATGAAACCCCGGCACACTGTTCCCAATAGTAGTCGCGGCCCTGCAGCTCATTGTTGCCGCTCCTCAACACTCTCCTCTCCCCTCTCCAACAAATTTCTAGGCCATTGCCAGCCTCAGACCCTTTAATAGGTCGTCAGCGTGCATCGAGCAGGTTTTGCCCTTCACGACTCGACTCCACCTCTCCTCCTCCCACACTGCAGCCTCGACACAGGTACCTTCCACCCAGGAGCCGTCGTACGAAAGCCTCTTCTGTCCACACGGAAGCCACCGGCCCAAACCATCTCGACACCCAATTGTCTGCTTCGAGTCCCCACGCTCCAAGCACACCCCCCCCAGTCAGACGTCATCACCGCTTTGGCTAGCTGTGAGTATCCACGTCGCGACCTTTACCTACCACGACCCGTTCCTGCAAGCCCCGAGCTTCACGAGCCGTTCCTTCACCTAGATAATTTCTGTAAGTTTGCCTCAGTGCCAGCACCCCACACGTGAGCCAGTCGCTAAGCAGTGCCAATCTGCTGCGCTTGTTGCTGCTGTCCACTGCACTGCCACGACAACCACTATCACTGGTGCAGACGCTAATATTCCCGCCAGACCGCCCACTCCGTAGCTTCTTCTAATGCACCCGCAACCCTGATCTCCATCCCATCTCGACACATTCGACCCGCTCCATCACCCCGGAAGCCGACCGAATGCCTTACACTCCCCCCTCCCAGCGGTCGCCGGCATCCTCCAAGACCAGCAGCCCTATCATCAGCCGCACCCATTCCTACACCAACTTCGCGGCAGCCCCTGCTCCAACACAGCGACCTGCCCTGCCTCGTTCCGTCTCTTCCACATCGTATCTCCACAAGCAACGCCGCTCGCCTTCGTTCCCGTCGTCTCCCAGCAGCACCGATGCAAATGGACTTGCTGCCAACGGCGGCGTAGACATTGCGTCTGACGCAGACCGTGCCCGCGGGCTGTCAAGAAATGGTAGCATCCGTCCGTCTCCTCCTCCTATGAACGATCATCTGATTCCGTCAGGCGCGATCACCACTCCTCCCGATTCCTCGGATGATGATGAGCGGGGTCGCAGCATAGGCAACCTGAGGGAGCTCGAGCAGGCCTTGCAGCACATCAACGTAAAGCGGGAATCCTCACCAAGCCATAGCTCCCCACGCCAGGTTGCTGTCACGGTAACACCAACCAATACCCCCCAGCCAATGACTGCGGCCCGGTCACTATCCGTAGAGGCTCGCAAGATTGCACACTCTCGCTCATCAAGCGACATCATGCTCTCCAAGCACGTCCTCGAGCCCTTGATGACAGACACAATCATCAGCTCAGACGACAGCGATGCCGAGGACGACGACCTCAGGATGAAACCGCCTCTTCTCCGCAAGAAGTCGGGTGAGTTGGTCAGGCCAGCTCTCAGGCCTCCTTCGCGCCGCAGGCCTTCAAGCATGCCGGGCACTCCAACCTACTCCAAGGCGGTGCACTTCAACGAGAACATGGAGCAGGTACGACACTTCTTGCATGCTGATCGCCCAATCGCCGTTAGCGTGGGCTCCTCGCCTGTTCAAACATACGATAGCGAGACCGAGTATCCTTTTGAGGAAGAGGACTCTCGCGACAAGACCCCCGAATGGGAGATCAAGTTAGCCAACTTCCCGACATCGGATTCATATGAGCGACAGACCTCACCTGTTCGAGTGGAACGCATTTTTCTTGCTTCTGACAACCAGACGTTGGTTGGCAACATCGCGTGTGCCAACATTTCCTTCCAAAAATTGGTTGTGGCTCGCTTCACACTTGACTACTGGAAGACTACCTCTGAAGTAGTTGCTGAGTTCAATCACGACGTTCGCAAGAAGCACAAGGATGATGGCCACGACCGGTTCAACTTCAACATCAAGTTAGCTGATCAGGCCAACCTCGAGTCCAAGACACTTCTGCTGTGCGTACGCTACCAAGTGAACGGCCAGGAGTTCTGGGACAGCAACAACAACATGAACTACCAGGTTGACTTCACCAAGAAGACGAAGCAGCATCAGCCGCGCCAGAGCAAGCGTTCCAATGTCGCTCTTGGTGCCATCCCTCGCAGTCGTCACTCGCCAGTTTCACCGCGCCCTCGCTTCGTGACTGCTGACGACGACTTTGGCCATGACTCGGAGAACAAGTTCGAGTTCGGTAGCCGTGAACCTGCGATCCGTCTCAAGCCTAAGAGTAAGCGAGGTGTGGTATCGATGCAAGCCCCCAAGACCCAGGCTGGCCTGGCTTTCTCTGCTCGCTACGACTTCGGCGCTTCCCTTTCGGCTGCCTTGTCAACAGCTCAGACTGCTCTGGGCGATCGGAGTGGCATCAAGAACAACGGCGGAAACATGGCGCCCAAGGGCTACTTTGATCGTCCGGCAGCAGTGCTCAAGGCACACACTACCGGCGCTCCTATTCCTGGCACCAGGCCCAATACCTTCTCAGCCGAGAAGCCTGACCTACAGTCCGCAGAATACAACGAGTTGATCCAGAAGTTTTGCTTTGTACGTTCCCAACCTCAACACTCCAGCAAGCAGGCCTAGACGGACACTAATACGTCTTCAGTTCGGTACACCTACTGGAAAGTGTTCTCCGATTACTGCCGCTCCGGCAACTAAATCAACGCACAGCGACGGCGCTGTCGAGTACGAACTGCACAACAGTTCTGGTAGCAGTCAGTCTTCAATCACCAATAGCCCACCGTCTCCTGCTCTGCCTGTCTTGGTAGACGGAGCCAATGACGCCGTCTTTTCTCGAAATGTCTCGCCTTTCTTGTCTCGATCAACATCGCCTGGACCACTCACCGGATCCGGCCTTGACGATCACATTGCATCCCAGTATGGCTTCAACATGCATGGTGGCATGTTTGTTGAACGGGGCCATACTCCTCAAACATGCGTGTAAAACACCATAACCTCTCACCTCATAATTGCGTCTTACGCTTAACAAATTTCCTTGGACACGAAGGCCCGCTCATGACCTGATTGACGATGATGCGTGGAGCGGACGTTGCTGGCTTTCTGGCAACTGAGCGCTCACAAGTCTTTTTCACCACGGTATGACTTGCTGTCGTGAGCCCGGCGGATGGCGTTTCTGTTCGGACAGTCTCTCTTGAGACGGTCGTGTTCCAACATAGCTCGGATGGAATTTTTGCTGCATTTTCCAGGCGGCCTTCTTGCATGTCTTTACCAGCCGGCGTCCTTCTGGTCCAGTTCGATTACGGAGTTTTCTGGGTATTTCTATCTCTCTTCGATTTTCCATGCGCTATGGTGGTTGTAATGCCTTTCTTTTTTTTGGGGGTCCTCGTCACGTCTCAAAGTCATTGTTGGTCGCTCCTTCTTTACGGGATCGAAAAAGCGGGTTGTTTGCATTTTGTAGCGTTTTCCTTCATTACTACCGATGGTCGATTGGTCGTACGCAGGCGGCGGTACTGGATCGTCAAATGTGATGCTGCAGGTTGTTTCAAATTGTCATCGTCGATGGTGTCGTTGTGTGTGTTCTGTATTGATGGTTGTTTGTTGTATGCGGCGCTTTGTACATGGTGGGTTCGGGAGTAGTTCAGTCGAGTATGCTTGGGCGGGTCGAAGCAGTACTACCTATATACCCAGTCAATGCAAAAATATGGCATAACCAACCTCTTGTGCACAGATGCTGTTGTCGTCGTGCCTCGTGAGCATCTTCTTGCCGCCCAAAGACGGTAGCCAAGGTCTAGATTGCGATTTCTGACCATGTGACTGACCGGCATGAGGCCCACCAGTCCCCGCTTGGCTGACGCGAGTGGACCCTGGTCTCTCTTCACCACTTGACCCAACCTCTTGTCGGTTTATCCTCGACCGAGCTCTGTCGTTTTTCCGTCCTCGTGGCTGTTTTGGCTTCTTCCTGCTCTTCGTAGTCGCGTGCAACAATGGCCTGGGGCTCCAGCTTCCTCAAGTCAAGTCCTCCCCCACCTCCCCTCCCTCCACCTGTCGTCCCTCGCTCGGGCCCCGAAATCGATGCCACGACCGTCGCCTCGCTCCTCGGTGTGGTCGCCCTCCTCGCCGGCGCCTATGCAATCTCCACCAAAGCGCTTCCCCGCACCGCGTCGCTGAAGATCCGCATCCTGTTCATCTGGCACCTGTTCGACGCCCTCGTACACTTCGTCTTCGAGGGCAGCTTCCTGTGGAACTGCTTCTTCGTGTCGTACGCGCTGCCGACCAGCTTCGCCGCACAGAAGAACCTCCATGTCACGCTCTTCACGCCTCCGGACGTCTACTGGCTGGGTATCAAGGACAGGCTGTATGGAGCGAACTACGGCGAGAGCCCTGCGAGCAGGCTGTGGCAGGAATATGCAAAGGCGGACAAGCGGTGGGGAGGGACGGATCTGACGGTCATCAGCCTGGAGCTGTTGACGGTATTCGTGGCGGGTCCGTTGGCGCTGTGGATCTGTTGGAGCTTGCGGGGCGAGGAGCGAAAGGGCGTGTTGAAGAAGTGGTTCTGGATGGTGATTCTTGCGACGGGCGAGATATATGGAGGTGAGTTCGTTTCCGACACCGCCCACATTTTCCCTTCAGTCATGTCACACACCCAAGAGGCGGGGGGCGCGCCCTGCGTCTTTTGTGAGGCGCACGCGCATCTACCATGGGCTTCGGCCCGCTGATTTTGTTTGTTGAGCTTTTGTTTTTGTTTCAAAGCGTCACATCCATGAGGCTGACACGTCACCCTTCTTTCTCTACCCAGGCTGGATGACTTTCGCTCCTGAGTGGCTTTCAGGCAGCCCCAATCTCGACACGTCGAATTGGATGTATCTGTAAGTGGATCTTGCCTCATTTCCACCCCCCCTTCGCCCGTCGGTGGTTTGTCGACTTGAGCCTCCCGACCCACTGCCCATGCGCCCTATCGACCCGGGTTTGCAGTGTTGAGAACCCTCGCTGTGCTGGCCCTGCATGTGCGCTGGCGGGCGGATACGCCGTCTCCCGCGGGACCCACTTGTCATCTCAACACTCCCGTCAGCACCATATATCGGAACCACACCCCATATTCCGCCGTCTTCGCCCGACATATATCATTTATTTGTGCTGATGCTTGGCTGTCTAGATATCTTTACCTCGCCTTCTTCAACGGCCTTTGGGTCGTCTTCCCGCTGTGGGTTCTGTGGGAGGCGTACGCCGCGATGAGTGCGGCGATGAGTCAGGCTGAGATGGTAGATCTAGTCAACTATCTGAAAAAGGACGACTGAAGCGGTACGACGACGAAGTATCAAGAGACGCTGCTGAAATGAAGAGCACACACAAAGAAGGTGTCTGCTCGTCGTACGATTTTCGTCTTACACCGTATGCATGGCGAGGACATTTAGGCGTCGCAATCTAAGCGTGAGTATCGGATGCCGTTCATCCAGGTTATACAGCAGCACAATATACATTGTGCGCGGATTATCCTACCTTTTCTCTCGAGATTCTTATACATCCTCTTCCGTCAAGTCATCTCAGTAACTCTATCCGTCTGATCCGGATTTCCAAACTCAATCTCCCTTTCTGCTCTCCGTGCGTGAGGGAACGAGTCAGATTCATTCATCATCCCAAAGTATAAAACTTTCACAATAACGCTTTGAGGGGTGTGCTTGTTCTCGGTGGTATGGAAGGAGCAGAGTAAAGAGAGGGATTTGGACATGGATATCGACATGGGCATTATCAAGCTATGCTTCAAGCCTGACTGGCTAACTCTAGATTCTCGGACTAAACACACGACGAAGACAGCTATAATCGCACGGATAAGATTCAGATAGAGTATGCACACAAACCCATCCATCAGTGGATGTCGTCGGATAGTCCAAAAAGAAACAAGACCGGCTAGCTCGGGACTCGGATGTACACTGCACCCGTCCAACAACGACAACAACAACCTCAACCTCAACCTCGACTCAAACCCCCCCCCCCTACTTCTTCCCCACAAACCGATCCTTATCCATCAGCACCCCCCTCGCCATCTCCAGCTGCTCATCCGTCTTAACAACCAGCGTCTTATACCTCGCCTTCTCAGCACTAACATCCGTAACCACATCCTCCCCCATCGTCTTGTTCTTCTCCTTATCGAGCTCGAACCCCAAACACCGCACGCCATCCACAACCGCCTGTCGTAACCGCTCGCCCTTCTCGCCAATCCCGCCCGCAAAAACCAGCGCATCGACCTCGCCGTCCAGCTTCGTAAAGTACGGCGCAACGTAGTTGAGGATGCGGTCCACGAAGATGGCAAACGCGAGCTGATCCTGCTCGCGGTCCGAGGCGCTGATCTTCCCAAAGTCCGTTGTGCCGGTTAGCGCTTTCCAGCCGCTGGATTTGTTTAGGATTTCTTCGGCTTGCGTGATGTGCAGTTGTCCGCTGCTGCTGCGGCTGGGCTTGCCTGCTGAGTGCGTGAAGTGGAACATCAGGCTGGGGTCGATGCTGCCGCTGCGCGTCGCGCCAGGCAGGCCAGCAAGCGGCGTCAGCCCCATGGATGTGTCGAGGCTCTTGCCGTTCTTGATGCAGCACGCGGACGCGCCGGAGCCGAGGTGCAGCGCGATGATATTCAGCTGATCGGCGGGCTTGTCGAGGAAAGTCGAAACGGCGTGCGTGATGAAGGAGTAGCTTATGCCGTGGAAGCCGTATTTTCGCAGTTTGTTCTTCTTCGCGACGGCTGAGTCGATCGGGTAGGTGCTTATGTATGGGGGCAGCGTGCTGTGGAACGCCGAGTCAAAGTAGGCGATGTTTTTGGCCGTGGGGAGGATATCCGCTACTGCGCGGACGATGTCAAGAGCCGGCGCGTTGTGCAGCGGCGCGAGATCGGACAGCTCTTCGATGTGGTGGTACGTCTCCTTGTCGATGACCTGGCTGCGGGGGTAGTCGCCCCCATGCACCACCCGATGACACGTAAAGCGTATATCTTCTTTTTTGCTGAGTTCAGAAAGGCCCTTATCATTTGTGAGGTAGTCTAACACGTAGCGGAATGCATCTTCCTGCGTCTTAATGTTTTCTAGCTCCTTGTCTTTGACTTTCTCATCCCCTCTTTCGTACTTTAATGTAGCGGGCGGAGAGGTCAGGCCCTCGACTGAGGCTTCGGCGAGCTGGGTGGGCGTGGAAGATCCGGTCTCGGGCGTTTTGTAGACGGAGATCTTGACGCTCGAGGAGCCGGCGTTGATGGAGAGGATGATCTCGGGCATGATGGTGTGGGATGTGCTCGGGCGGTTTGGTGTTGTTTAGTAGACTTCAGAGCACTTGATAGCCGTCGACTCAAAATAACTGGAGGGTTAGACTTCTTTGATGTATAATCAATCGCGGGTGGTTCTTGCCTGTGACGCTGGTGTTAGGTGGGACTTTATTGGAGCAACAATGACGTCTGTAGAAACGCGGGACCCTTGATACACACACATACACACACCGCAGCGAAGTTAGGCAAAAGACGTACTGTACAAGGATCCTCCGATGCTCAAACCGGGTACTTGGATCTTGCTTTTTGTACGGACCGGACGAGCTTATCTGTATCATCCCCCTTCCACGTGCGAGTCTAGGAGTCGAATAATCGGATGTCGCGGAGCTCTAACAATTTTCTTCTCCACCACCACTTCCACCACCCACCATCTGCGTGGAATTTCGTCATCGTCAGATGTCAAGCTTCAGTCTTATGAATCTGTATCTAGCTATACACAGATTTGTGCACCACAGGATCCACTCCATAACAACAACCTCAATTCATACATGTGACGTCACCTCTTAGTACCTTCCCACGCGCATCTCTCCCGATACACTACAACCAAACAAGAGTCGCCTAATAAGTCCTTATCACAATCACAACCCATAGATGCAGCGAGTTTTACAAATTTTTGCTTTGATTTTTCTTCTTTTCTCGTACAAAGACACACACCAGTTTGCGTGATCTTCCATGCCCACCTCGCATGAACCCTTCCCTTTTATCTATACATGTCCTTTCATGCCATGTTCCATCCAGTCCAGCCCCCCCTGCCAGCCATGATAAACCACCAAAGAAGAAACCTTTGAGCCCAGTCAAGCCCAGCCCAGCCCAGTCCAAACCAGCCCATAAACACTTGAAAAAAACAAACGCTCGTGTACCCATACCAAGGACAGGGAAAACGATTAGGGGAAAAAACTCCATGGAATGCCGAAAAAACCACCCCTGGCCCCCCTTCCCCCCACCCCACCCAGTGAGAAACAGAATGCAATGTGTACAGTTGATGTAGAACGGAACGCCCTCATCTGGAAAAGATTCCGATCAATGTGCCTATCCCACCATCCCATCATCCTTTCTTCGCTTTCGCCCGACGATTTCCAAGCCCGCGCTGAACCGCTTCGAATGCAAATGATACAATCTTTCTTTCAATCTTTTCTGTTTTCGTCTTTTTGCGTCCGCGCCAGGGACGCAGCAGTGGGACGTGTGTAGGTTGTAGTTGGCGTGCCCGGAGCGGTAGAGAGCATCGGTATGCTCTCTTTTGCCCAACAGCATATCTCAAGTGTCTGCTCTGAGGAACATACCCTCACAATTTCTGGCAGTATCCAAGACATGGTTCGGAAGACGAGCAGGCGTAGACATACTCTGGATACATCATCATGTACCCACAGGCTGACAGAGCTCTCGTTTACCCTCCCTTGCGATCGGCAACATTAACAGGTAACGGTTCGCCCGTCGTTTTCTGCTCATGAGCTTTCTTTCCCTTTCCACCTTTTCTTCTTTTGTTGCCCCCTTGTGACTGCCATGGGCTGGAGCCATTACTGCTCCCAGAGTGTGGTTTGTTGCTCTTCTCGTTGACCTGCGGATGGTTCTTAACCTGCGTAGTACGATTGTCTCTGTTCCCGTTCGATGCGGCAGGTGTATGTGAAGCTCGGCGAGCATGGTGGTTCTCCTTTGTGTGAACCTTCGTACCGTTCACTAGCTTGCTAAGTTCAGACGATCGGTTGAGGGTCGGCGATGGCGTACGGGTCTCGAACACAGGCGACAGTAGCGGTAGGTTGGCGGACTTGATCTCTTGAGGAGGCGCCCGGGGAGTGTTCGCAATGTCCAAAGACGGGAGACCATTGGTATACCCAGCAGTCCGCCATTGAGGAGGTAGCACCCGTTTTGGAGACACATCCTCCGCATTGTTATTACGGTGACTTTTGTTCGAGTCGTAGCTCGTCCAGCCTTCTGGCGTCGTAGAAAACGGCTGCTGTTCCTCGCTAGGAACCCGAGTCAAACCATTGTTCTCCCCAAGAGGACTGCCCTTCATCGATCCGTTGACAATGGATGGCCCCATTGCCTCCATTACTCTCTGCCTTTGCATCTCTTCAAGCACCAGTTGCTGACGCGCTTCAAGCTCTCTTATCTGCTGTATGTTCTGACTATTGGTGTAGATGCCAAGAGCAGCAGCGTTTGGCATTTCGGGTAGTGAAGACTCAACAATATTGCTTTGAGCATAGACTTCGCGCGGTTGGGCGGGAAATGACCCGTTTACAATAACTGGACCAGCGTCAACGGCCGGTCGGACTGAATCAACACGAGCCTTGCGCTCGCCATTCAGACCAGCAGATGTGTTCGTTACAGTCGGGTAATTTCGCATGTGGTCACTAAGCGGTGATGGTGATCGCGATGCTCGGCGTATGGCGGTATTGAGAAGAGGTTGCAGTACCTCTGGCGAGACACGTCTACGACGTTGGGCCAATTCGCTAAAAGACGGAATGACGGAGACAGCATAATCTGACAGAGGACGCGTCGCCGGGGTCTGATCTGCCACGTAGTAGCCGACATATTCCTTTGGTGTGCTAGTGTCGGGGAGGATAGCAGGCTCGGGCTGATTTGACGGCGGACTGCGTTGGACGACTGGTGTCGATTGCACAACTGTATTGTCTTGGGTTGATCGCACAATAGGGTAACCGGCAAACATCGAAGCATCATAGAGCTGAGGCATAGGTGAGTAGCCTGCAGGTACAGCCTGTTGGTTAAGACCACGAGGAGGCTGCGACTGTGAACGGACTGACCCCGTGTCACTGGTATTCGAAACTCGGTTGACATTTCTTCGCACGCCAGGAACACTATTGCTTAGCGAAGGAGATGAGGGGTTTGTTCGTGACCCGTCTTGGGACATGGCTGGATCCGACTGCAGCGGGTTGTAAAACCCAGGGTGATGGTACAGAAAGCCTTGCGGGATAGCATTGGGTATTCCAAACTCGCCCAAACGAGGGCTGGAATGACCATTGATAAATGGCGACTTTTGTGGAGATCCGTTCGTGCTGTTGGGCCCGCGATTTTGCGCTTGAGCTTGGGCGATGGCATGGGCATGCATTTGCGCGGCTCGCGCCTGGTGTGCCTGCTGATGCTGCTGGGCAGCAAGCTGTGCCCGCAAGGAATTTGACTGCATCTCCAACATCTGGTATTGCTGGAACAACTGGTCATGCAATTGCTCATGGAGTCCCCGTGGAAAGGCAAAGTACTCCTGTTGGCCAGCCCCTGGAAGTGGCGGGCTATGTAGGAATGGTGGCCGCCCTTGAGCAAAGGACGTGCCGTTGGACGATCTCCTGCCATTGTTGTTAGACCCCTTGGAATTGAAACCTCCTCTGCCTCCTCGGTGAGGCGATGCACCGCCACGGGGTCCAGAGCGGATGGGTACGCTCGATGTGATAGTCGCTTTTTGAGATTGCGGCTTCTTGAAGATTGCGCTCGGCTTTTCCTCAGCCGGGAACTCGAACTGTTCGCACGCCTTCTCGAGCTGCTGACCATCCGCGAGAAGATCGAACGCGCGCCGGATCTCCAGATGAATGCCGCGCCAGGCGTAGTCATCTGCCGAATTCCCCAGGTTTCGTTCGATGTTGAACGGCTCCTCAACACAAAGACGGTTCACACCCTCTTTCTGGCCACCTCCAGGATGCCAGTTCTTCTCTTCTCTCTTGAGCCGCTTGCCCTGTCGCACAGAGATGGCTTCTTTTTCAAAGTCGACCTCGTGCCCGTATAGCCGGAAGAACTCGAAAAGCAGCTGGCCTAGCGACTCGTTGTTCTTCTCACCAAACCCTCTCAGCTTGTCCAAGTCGTCGGCAAAGCTAGACAGCGAAGGTTTACCGGTCGCTTTGTCGATTTCTCGATGCGGCAGGTTGTGCAATGCCGGTAATATCGGCGGATTTCGAGTCTGGAGAAAGTTTATAATCATGCATATCCACGTGTACGAGCTGATTGTGCCACCAATGCCTAGAGATTGTCAGAGAGAACTGCAAAGCGTGCCACAGGACTAACCAGCATCGTTCAGGATACGCTTCTTCGTCCAGTGCTTGATGATCATAGCGAGCGGGCGCACACGATCGTCGATCTGGATGTAGGTCTTGATCATGCGCGTGTTGTCGAGGGCAGCGACGTTGTTGACGTTGATGTCGCAATTGATATCCAGCTCAGGGTCCCAGACTTTTACTATCCGGACCTTGGCGCCCGGAATGCAGACGACTTTCTGCATCCCATCTGCGTGCAGTTAGTGTCAGAACTCGAGGAAAAGCTATGGATGGCGTACGTTTATCAAGAGCTTCTGCAAGTGCGTGCATTTCCTCGAGCCTTTTCATAGGTGTTTGGATGCAAATGTCAACTGATGTCAACTGTTAGCGCGGACCCTTCAGATGCGTAGTGCAACTGTCATACCGTCACTTTCTGATGTCCACAGCATGTTGCCAGACGAGCCAAAGACGTGGACCTTGGAGTCGTGGCCAGGAAATTCCGTTTCTAGAATATGCTGGACTTTGTTCACGAAGCGATCTCGCACCTGGACATGCGCCTGGTTCGGCTGTATCCGGCCGTACAGCTCGCGCATGTCGCCACTGAGCTTGCCGTCCTCGTGAGGGTCCAGCGTCTTCTTGGGCACCTCCTTTGCGGGATCTAGTATGTCAGAGGAGTGATAGGGCACTCGCCGGCGCCCCAGATTGCCGACGTTTGTCTCGTATTGGCACTTGAAGGGCCGTCCCAGCCGCAGCGAGGGCATGGTACTGTTCGCCTCCGAGGACACGGAGCGCGGCGAGTGGCTGCCAAGGCCGCCGTTGGGGGACGGCGAGCGCGAGTGCGACTCGTACTTGCGGGCCGACTGCATCGGGGTAGAGGGCACCGAGTTCGAGTGCTGGGAGACAAAGGGCGGGCGCTGGAGGGCAGAGGGCACGGCGTCGGCCCGCTTGCTGCCCGTGTGGTTTGGCACGCCGTTTGACGTCATGGTCGACGTGCTGGTGGGCACGCTGCGGTGGGTACTCTGCTTCCCATCGGTGGTAGTGTGCGGCGCGGGACCCGTCTTCGCAGAGGCCTTGTGCGTTGCAGGGGGCGCCGAGTCCCGCGATCGAGGCGGACTCAGCGAGTGTGGAGACACAATGACGGCGGGGGCGGGCGGCGGCAGTTCGTCGATGCGCGCGAGGTGCAGGACGGGGTGCAGCAGCAGGCAGGGCGGGTGCACTTGCAGCTGGGGCGGGCCGTTCAGCCAGGCGGCGCGCTCTTTGAGGCGGCGGTGCTCAGAATGAATGCTCGTAGGATGCGGGGCGTAAGGATAGACAGCACTGGCGGTGCCGTGGGCGCTCATCAACTTTTGTGCCGTCGACGCTGGTGCTGCAAGGAGGGGCTGCTGCTCTTGCGGGCTGCACGTGGCCAAATCGCCGGGCAGGTCAGGGCAGCGCGAGGGAGTGTCTGGCCTGCAGCGAGAGCCCTCGTTGGAGGTCGTCGTCGGCGGCGGTGGTGGTGGTGTTTTGTGCGGGTACAGTTACGTGCAGCCCCTATGCTCGACGCCGTCTCGAGGCGACTTGCTACGTGCAATCGGTGGCTCGGCCAGGCAGGCGCTAACAAGGGCAGGTGTGGGTGCGACTGCGGCAGAAGGCACAGCAGCGAGGACAGCGAGAGAGCGAGGGAGAAGGTGTGTAGACAACTATGTACAGGAGGCGGACAGCCGTAGGGAATTGTCGAATCGTCGTCACAGGAGGGTGAGAACGCACAGGGCCCGCCCGCTCGCTTCAGCTAGAGCATTTCAGGGCCATGGCCTCCACCACCGTCTCCCCAGGGCCCAAGACCCAAGACCAGGTGACAGGGGCGCCTGGGGGCAGAGCAATCTAATCGTCTCCTGTCCTGCCGGCCGTCCAGCCTGCACCATCGCCTGGGTAGAGCAGTAGTCGTGGATACAGGCGGGTGAACATGCTCTCTCCTCCACATGAATCGCCTTGCCCTCCGAGCAGAAGCAACGCGACTGCGAAAGCATCGACGCCACCTCCATCCAATCTGATGGCGACCCCCTTCTCCCTCTCCAGCACCAGCACACGTCCGAGCACTCGCAAGGGCTCGCCCGACCTGGATTTGCATTGTGTGAAACCAAATACTTCCAGATCCAGACATGAGGCGTAAACAATCATCACAATACATTGCTCAATTCAAGCAGGCGCTCAGGACTGCACGGGCACATGCTACGCCCGCGGACCTGAGGCATGGTGAGCATCCAGAATAGATGCGCTGACAGACCACGCCTCAGCAGAGCCTTCCTTTTCTCAGCAAGACACAGCTGAGTCAAGTCGGCCTATTCCATCGACCCGCACGCACGTGTGGTTACTACAAGATGACCGTTTCAACGGTTGAAACAGTCATCTCGTTTGTACATGCAGCGACCCAACGATCCAACGATCACCGACTCGACGAGATTGCTTGGGGTCCATGGATCTCGGCCAGACTCTCTTTGGAACTCCCCTATTCAGTCCCTTGCTCTGGCGCGAAGTGAACACATGACCCAGATACCTTCAGTCGTCACACTTCATCCGGGCTGCGATTTCGTCCTCATGTGGAAGCTGCAACGGCACGCCAATACATGACACCCCCACGCCCTAATCAGGCTTCCGGTGCTATCGCTAGCACTGAAAGCAAGCTTTTGATCCAGCAAGACAGGGCCCGATAGACACGGGCTCCTTCCTACAATGGTGGCGTTGTTTGACAGTTGGATAGATTGGGTAATCTGGGAACGACCGCCGACGGAATTGGTGCAACCATGGCTAGGCCGGGCGGAAGAGACCCTGGTTCACAGTACGGTTACGGCGCCATCCACTGCCTCGGTAGTCTGCAGACGAGCGTCCACCACCATGCGTCCCCTCTTCCCACGCGTCACGTATTCACCCCACAGGGTATTGCACAGACCATTCTCATCAACAATGGCACAACGAGGGATCGGTAGGCTCATTACCCACTGTAATACACGTCAACAACTCACAACCAAACAGTGAACCCCGCGCTCTTGTACACCATCTTCCACATCGCGGTTCACAACCCGATAAGCTGATACAGGTAGCATCTGCGACGTGCAAGAGAGCTTCCGACCAGCCATCTATGAGTTTCCCAAAGTCGTTGCGACAGCACAGAAGCTGCTCAAGGCCAGTAAGTCATCTACACTCTCATGCACTCTCGCCTAATCCTAACCACCATGACAAGGCCAAATCCTCAAGATTCCCGTTATCGCAACCACACAGAATGCCGCTCGCCTCGGGAGCACAGTCCCAGAGCTGAAGCTTGATGCACCAGATGGTGTCCAGACGACCTGCCATGTAGACAAGACATTGTTCTCCATGATGTACCCATCACACCCCATCCTTCTTCTACTTCCAGCCCTAACACATCCAGCACCCCTGATGTCCGCACCTCCCTCGCCGCACTGACTCCAGGCCCCGACGCCCGCCTCTCCGTTGCAATCGTCGGCATCGAATCACACATTTGCGTGACACAGACTGCGCTCGACTTGCTCCACGACGGACACCAAGTCTACATCATCGCGGACGGCGTGTCGAGCTGCAACAAAGAGGAGGTTCCTATCGCGTTGGCACGACTGAGGAGTGAGGGTGCGATCGTCGCAAGCAGTGAGGGGTGGTTGTATGAGGTTGTCGGGGATGCGAAGAGGGATACGTTCAAGCAGATTGTTAAAGTGGTCAAAGAGCACAAGGACAGCACGAGGGAGAGTTTGCAGACACTTTGCAAGATCTAGTGCTGAGGCATGCACACGATATCCATGTGTTCGCCGATTTGTATGACGCTGCGTTGTACCATCAGTCTAGAAGGGGGTCTCGAACATATGTTTTGCGTATCTTAATGCGCTTGGTCTAATGTTTAACGAAGTCGGTCATTTTATTTCATTTCGAATTACTTCGTCACGACTGCTGGATTTCGTTCCTCTCGAAAAACGCTTTTCGTCTACCGCTTGGAGATAGGTGAAAGGAACATGAGTTTCTTCACGCTGATAAATGATGAAAAGTATCTTATTACATGCCCCCTCACAGGTTTTCCATTCAGAGAAAGCCTAAGACTACATAAAACACATCGGATGTCTGAGCAAACACCCAACCACACCATTCCCAACCCCTCATCTCCCACAACACACACCACAACAGACTACTCAAACCACACGCATCCCCTCCCCCCTAACAGCCTGCCCATAATCCCCCGCATTCGGCGTGCGGCAAATAGTATGCGTATGATACTTCGCGGGCTCCGTATTCGTCAAAAACACGCCCGAATGATGATCAAACTCCACCAAAATAACCGGACTCTGAACACGGAAGTAAAACGCATCCTCATCGCCATACCCGCCAATCCAGCAGAAATACGTCTCAGCGAAGTGCTTCTCAACCAACTGTAGCCTCAGCTGGCGCGACTTCGCGGGGTGGTAGAGCAGGAACTCGTTGCAGATGTCTAGGATATTCGCCTTCTGTGCGGCGGTGAGAGAAGATGCGAGGACGCCCTGATACGGCACGATGCGATTATCGCGGAACGCGCCGCAGGCGTGGCGCTGGTCGTCGGGCCCCCAAGCGTCGGTGATGAGTTCATCGCGTTTCGCGGCGTCGTTGTGCGAGAGGCCGTAGACTTGCTTCATAGCATCATCACGCAGGTTCTTGTAGATCTGCGCCGTGCTTTTCTGCTCTGCGGTCAAGCTTTGCATGAGTTTCAAGCCGAGAGCGCCTTCTTTGTGCAGGATCTGCGTGCCCTTCCACTCCCCTGCGTCGATGATGTTGGGCTCTGCGCCCGTGAAGGAGGGTGTCATGAAGACTTGCGGGCCTTTGAAGAAACACGATATGCAGAGGTGGTGGCCGTAGAAGAGCCAGCCCCAGGGCTGGGAGGGCGAGGCGGAGGGCGTGCCGAAGAGGAGGAAGTTGTAGGAGTATTTGTTCATGATAAGGGGGAGGTGCACGACTTCGCCCAGGAAATGGTTTACGCGCATTGAGCTGAGGGCTTTTTGGTAGCCTTCGGGGGAGAGGGAGGCTTCGATGATGGATAGGATTGCTTGGGCGTTTTGCTCTGGGACTGGGGTGTGTTAGTGAGTTGGAAGGATGGGGAATTAGAGAGCACTCCGTACTTTCTTCTAGTCGAAGACCAAAAGGTCGCAGCAGGAACTCTGGGTTGCTCCAGGCGCGCCATTCTCTTGAGCTAACCTCATACTTCAACTTCTCTTTTTGCTCTTCGTTCAAGCCGCTTAGTAGTTCCTCGGCTTTCTTTACTACGCTCTCCACGTCAACCCCTTCGTCTCTTGTCTCGAACAATCCCTCCCGCACTGTCCCGTCGTTCGTGATACCCTTGTACGGCTCTGCTAGCAGCTTCTCCCAGACTTTAGTAAGATCGTACAGCCAAGGTGGCGCACGATTGTCCTGCATGCACTTCAAGTACTCATACGGGCTTTGCTTTGCCGCCGTGGTGAAGCGCGGAGAGTTCAGATCGGGGAGATGTGTACGGAATCCGACTGCAGCTTCCTCGTAGGTAGTCATTGTCGGTAGTCTTTCCAAGAGCCGATGGAAATTTGTTCAGTGTGTTGAGTATTGGTAGACGGCAGTTGATTTGTAGGTAATCCTCGGACGAGCGGTGTTTCTCTATATCGTACACGGTTATGAGGAGGTATTTCTGCTGCCGGATTGGGATAGCTGGAGCTATTGGGGTGGTGGTGAAGCTCCGGATGAACCCTTATCCCTACTCTTGTCACAACCCGTGGTCGCGGTTGGGTTGTACAAAGTAATTCCAGCAACGGTAGATTCTTCAAGAGGACGGGTAGATTGGAGATGTTTTCGCGGCTTCTATTGTATCTCAACGCGTGACAGTGATAGTTTCTTCTTGAACAGAAGACGCGTACGAGTTCCCCACAAGTAGCTTGAATGCTAGCGCGGGGCAGTAGAACCCCTCCTTGTATGAGAATATATCCACAGAACTCATCTACCAATAAATACCGTAGCGGACTGAAACACTTGCAAGCATTTTCTAGGCTCGGAAAGCGGAGCTAACACCGGACATCAAAGTCCCTCATCAATCAACTTACCTCTTACATCATAACATCCATCAACCCAACCCTCATCTTCAACGTCTCCAGCCATCTTTCGCCTAAACTCAGAAGTTTTCCTACCAGCACAACAACAACAGCAACAATGTCAGACACTACCCCCAAAGGCCCCTACAAGCTCGTCACCGTAAACACCGCCCCCGAGCGCGCGAAGCGACTGGTCGGCCGCTTGGTCGAAGCCCTAAAGGACCGATATGAGATTGAACATGTGGCGAACTGCTCTTCGATCGAGGAGGTAGAGCCGACTGTGCGAAAACACCAGCCCAATGTTCTGGTACGTCTCCAAAAGCCTTCCACATCTTCTTCAGGACATTCCGTCTGCCATTCTATCCCCTTGTCCTCCATGCCCTTGATGTTTTGCGTCTGTGTGCTCCTGCGACTTGTGTTGACGCAGAACAGTTCTCGGCATCAATGTGGTCTCCTGAACAAGCGGCCGAGATTCATGCTATTGCGAAGAAAGAAGTTCCGGGTATCAAACTGCATGCTATACCCCAGGGTCTGCAGGTTGAGAAGGGTCCAGATGCGATTGTGGAGCATTTGATGGAGCAGGTGCCTATTTTGCTGGAGAGCTAGATCGAGTGTAAGATGAAGGAAATCAAGAGATATTCATATAGCCTTGGAGGCCTTTTATACAAATCTCGACTACATGCGTTATAGACGAAGACCTAGTACAAACTCTCACACGACCAAGTCTCTGCACTATTCACATCTCCTTCTCCAGTCCACTTGGCCATCTTGGGGTACACACACAGCGGCCTCTGTCGCATGACCTTGTCATGCGTCGTCTCGTTGACGTACTTCGTGCCCACAATGTACTCCGGCACCGTCCCATTCTCCACCCACGCCATCATGGCAAGTAGCACATCATGCGTCTTATCCTCAAAACCAGGAACACTATGCACAGTTTTTCCTAAGACACCCGCTTGGTTTGGCCCCCCGAAGTACCACGGCGCGTTGAACGCTGCCGTTGTGTTCATGCAATGCCCCATGCCCGGCACGATGAAGTACTTGAAAAACGAGTCGACATCCACACCGCGTGGTTGCAGCGTGCGAAGGACGTGATCGTAGTAATAAGGAGTGCTACCAGTGGGAATGAGCGGGTCGACTGCGCCGTGATAGGAGAGGAGCTTTCCGCCCTTGGCTTCGTAGGCAGAGAGATCAAATCCGACTGTTGCGTTTCCGGGGTTGATCTCGTCAGATAGTTTGATGATGGAGTCGTTGTATTCTGTGTAGTTCCATTGTGGCCCTTTACCAAGAAAATACTTGACGTAGTCTGTGCCGAGTTTGTTTGGCGCGCTCACGCTGATGAGAGCTGGTGTGCCTTCCTGTAGCGTAGTGAGTATATGTTTCATGAGTACTTCATGCTGGGTGCTTTGCTTACGCTTCCAGGCCAGAATCCCGGGAGGATCATGGTATTGTTCTCTCCAACGTAGTCGCTCCAGATATTGTGTATAGTGTCGAGTTGCGGGCCCGTCAAGCAGTTTGTGGCATTTGCAGTGGCGTTTGCACCACAGAGAAGGGCGTCGGGGCGGAAGTTACAGCCCTGCGGGTCGGAGATGATGCTATCGACCAGACCATCTTGAGGATCGCATTGTTTGAGCACTTCCGCATTGATAACTGAGAACTGTGCGCTCGAGATGTGATAATCGGCCGTCGTGGGCAGGTTGTTCAAAGCGATTCTCACGGTCCCCGGCTGGAGATGTGATGTCCACCACGCGGGTGCACCAGCGACGATGCCGTCGAAGTCTTCTGGGTACAATTCTGCCTCCTTTAGGCCCTGGCGGCCGCCGGTCGAGCAACCGGAATAGTAGCTGTAAGACACGTTTTCTTGGTAGTATGCGGCAGTGACGTTTTTCCCAATCACAACGGACCCGTGGAGCGCTAGATGACCCCAGTTCTCGACAACATCAGGCTGTTGGTATGCCCACGAACCATCGCTATTGGTTGAGTTGTGTCCGGTGTCTGTCGAGATTACGGCAAAACCATATCGTACACCGACAGCCTGATTGAGCATTAGCCGTTTAGTCTCCTTAAAAGGATAACGCGAAGAATCTAGTACCATATCTGCCCAATTGACACCTCCAGAATAACCTCCCTGTCCAACAGCCAGGAACCTGCCATTCCACGCCTCGGGCAGAAACAAGCCGAGTCCGAACGTTGTGTTGCCAACGCTCTTAACCTGGACTGATACGGCGCATAACGCTGGGAGGTTGACGGGGTTCGTTGGATAGCCCAAGTCGCCTGCTGGTACTTCGAACGTCGAATTCGCTTGGAGGGAGTATGCAAAGTTCACACTTGCGCCAGTGGGCAACGAGGCCTGCAGAAAAGACGGTGTGCAGGAGCAACTTGCCACCTTAATCAACGCTACGCAACTGAGCAAGGTATTGAGCTTCCGTCTCATCTTGTCTATTTCGAAACTTTCAAATTGTGAATCTGAACGTTAGAGATAACAAAAGCGAAAAACCAGCTGGTCTTCAATTGGGCATGGGACCTGTTTTACATGTTCAAGTCCACGAACATTAGAACACAGGCCGAGTCAAAATGCTGGGATTCGGGTGTTCTCAAAGGTCCAAGCTATCCATGAAACATCCTTGTGCGATGCGCATACCTGACGTGGCGTCCTCGATTTGCGGGTTTAAAATTGCAGGGTGTGCAAAGCAGCTTGTTCTTTGGTGGAGCTTGAAGGTCTGTTCTCAACTGCCGCTATCCGTGATGAAGCGCGGATCTGCATGTTGACAGCAAGATCTTAGCAAGACGGACAGATGATCGAATAGAGACTCTAGCATCCCTGATAATTGCCGATGTAAAAACACAATTCACGCAGGAACCGCTCTGATGACGAAAGTTCCTACGTAGGCGCGCTAAACACACGGGTGGGTGCTAGCGTTACCCCGTGTTCAGAATGTGGGGTTTTCGGCAATGCAAGCGGGCGAAACCCCTCACCGCGGTTCTTGCGTGGCGCATCGTTCGCAGGTCTCGAAGCCAGTCTTATTGCATCGGTCTACCTATCCAGTACGAGCAGATTTTCCAGGAAGCTCCATTAAGTAAGCAGGAACGAGGGCCGGCTAAGTGTTTTCCCGATCGTGAAACCTGCGGGATAGAGTTGGCAGTCTTGATGAACAAGGTCACAGTACATTTTGGATTGATAATAAGGGTATAGAGACCCACCAGGAAGCGTTTCCAGGGACAAAAAAACAGATCTCCATCTATAAATCAATCTCACAAGTGTCGACATCGACATCATCTATCACCATTTGGGGCCAGAGTAAACATTTACCCAAATAACTACATCTGCATCTTTGCAGCCATTAGCCTGTATCATGGCGGACAACTTGAGGATAGCTGTGATAGGTGCAGGTAAGCGCCCAGTTGTTGCTCTGGGATATGAATTCTTCATGGAGTTTGACGGCTAACACCATTCAGGCATGGGTGGTCTCTCAACCGCCCTTTCCCTTGCCAAAGCTGGCCACAAAAACATCACCGTCTACGAGAATGCTTCCAATCTTGGCTTTGTGGGAGCAGGAATCCAGCTTGCACCAAACATGGCCAAGATCCTCGATAGATTAGGCTGCTGGCAGAAGATTGCTGCCGAGGCGGTTCAATGTGCAAACACGTACATTCGTGAAGGTGCGACAAACAAAGAGTTGGGTTTCGTCGATCTTGCGTATGTGGAGAAGACATATAAATACCCACACATGGTCGGCCACCGTTCCAGTTTAGCAGGTGGTCTCTATGACGGATGTGTCAAGGAAGAGGGCATCGCCTTCAAGTTCAGCAGCCAGATCTCTGATATCAAATTTGGTTCAAGCCCAAGTTTTAAAGTCACCCCGAGAGATGGGGAGGCTCATCGAGTTGAATGCGATATTCTTCTCGGTGCTGATGGCATAAAGAGTAATACTCGCACTGCACTACTTCAAGAAAATGGCCAGACCGGAACTGTAAAGGACTCGGGCCAAGCTGCATACCGCATCATGCCAACGCGCGAGCAAATGGCCCACGATCCCGAACTTCTCGCACTCATCGACTCTGAAACAGTGACCCGCTGGATCGGCGAGCGTAAGCACATCATAGCCTATCCCATCCAGAACAACACCATCTACAACATCTCCACCTTGCAGCCAGATGTCAACTTCGCGGGCGCACCCGACTCCACATACACAACCCAGGGCTCCAAGTCCGCCATGCTGGAAGTGTTCGGCGACTTCTGCCCCATGATACACAGGCTGCTGAATCTCGTGCCGGATGGTGAGGTTTGCGAGTGGAAACTACGTCTCCATGACCCACTGCCAACATGGGTCCACGATAGTACTGCTCTCGTCGGTGATGCGTGTCACCCCACTCTACCACATATGGCGCAAGGCGCTGCGCAAGCCATCGAAGACGGCGCCGTACTAGGCGTTGTACTGTCTCCAAGTCGCATTTCGGATTGCTCACCCAGCACGATTAATCACGCTCTTCGGCTGTACGAGCAACTCCGCAAACCACGTGCAGAAGCTATTGTCGAGCTTGCGGCCGAGAACGGACGAGCAATGCATCTCGGGGCTGGCAAGGCGAAGGAGGAGCGGGATAAGGCTTTTGCGGCGTTGAAGAGTGGGCCAGGAAAAGTGCCGGACAAGTGGGCCGATGCTGGGGTTCAAGCCATAGTCTATGGGACAGACGTTATTGTTGAGGCAGAGAAGCTATGTGATGAGGCAGGATTAGTCGCAAAGCTTTGAAGATAGAATGAATGCATGAGATAAATTACCTTCCGTGTTTGAGTGTTTGCTGTGGGCACAGCGGGTGTTAATAAGTAACCAAGCCGACGATCCCCGCAGGTTGAACGAGCCCCCCAGTCGATATTTGCAAGGAAAGGAAACAACCCCAACATCCCCGAAGCCAAAACAAGAAAAGCGCTATCAAGCACCTTAGCCTTCGCCGTTAAAGCTTAGGTCCGGATGGCGTTGCTTGGTACCCTCCCTGCATACCGCACGTCATGCATGGCCTATTCATTTACCGGTCATCAATAAATTCAACTGCCGTGATCCACTCCGGGTTTCCAACAGGCAAGGAACCCTTCTCCTGAAATCGCACGACGCGTACTCAACGAACTCGACGTTACCAATCCAAGTAGTAGATTGGCCGTAAGAGGGTAGTGGAGAATGTCTCATTACTCGACAAAGACAACCGAGAAGGATTTGGAGTTCAGAGATCATGCTGTGACGGAGTCGCATGGTAATCCCTGAGCAGACTAACGTGTTTTATCTCCAGCATCCGGGGCTTCTCCACACCGGCACATCGCCTGGGGACTCCACAAACGATTACGTGCAGAACCGTGCACAGTATAAGAACGGGACGACACGGCTAATTCTGTGACTGTGTGGACTTTTCTCTCTCTCTGGTGCTGAAGTCGTCTTCACAGAACCAAAGACACGATGTCTCAGGATGGGAAGATCACCGCCAGTGCTGCTCAGCAAAAGGAAGACCTTGAGCGTGCCAACACCCATGGAACATACCTCGACGCGTTTGAGGGCTCTCATATCTCAGAGGAACATCGTCAGTACCTCGTGCAGAAACATGGAACCTACGAGCTTGATCCACTTCCGACCATGAGTGATCACGACCCGTACAATTGGTCGTCCTGGAAGGTTAGTCTTGCCCTTACAATGCAAAGTTTCGTACTCACTTATGTTACTAGAAATATATGAACCTCTTCCTTATCGCCATCCACGCATGCATGGGTGCTTTCGCTGCATCTGCTATTATTCCAGCATACGAAGATATTGCAGTGGATCTCGGCGTGACCATAAGCACGGTAGCGTACCTAACGTCGATACAAATTGTTGTATTAGGTGCCGCCCCGCTCCTCTGGCGCCCCCTATCCACACGCTACGGTCGCAAGCCCATCTTCGTCATCTCACTCATCGGTAGCTTGGCGTTCAATATCGGATGCGCGGAGAGCAAATCGTACGCCGCTATGGCGACGTGTCGTGCATTCTCAGCATTCTTCATTTCACCACCGGGCTCACTTGGAAGCGCAGTTGTGGTGGAAATGTTCTTCAAGAAGGAAAGAGCCAAGTGTATGGGTATTTGGACAGTCATGGTAACTGTCGGTATCCCGCTTGCACCGTTCATAATGGGGTTCGTGGCGTACAACGTTGGATATCGATGGATCTACTGGATTATCGCAATTGTGAGTGCCATCTACACGCGCCCCACGCTGGAAAATATACTGACGGTGAGATGTAGATCCACGGCGTTCAACTCATCCTGTACCTACTAGTCGGTGCTGAGACACGCTTCATAAGACACAAGGATGGTCCGCTCGCCTCGTCAAGCAGCGACAACAACAACAAGAAGAAGTGGTTACCCCACCGCATCGATTCCACACCCTTGAGCGCTGTAGAATTCGTCTCGCCGCTTCGTTTCTTCAAGTACCCTTGCGTACTAATTCCTGCATGCGGCCACGCTATGGTCTTCCTCTTCGCCTCCGTCATGTGCACAGTTGAAATCCCGCAGCTCATCGGCCAAAAGTTCAAGCTCAACGCAGAACAGACTGGTCTGCAGTTTATCGGCATCATCATCGGTTCTCTCATCGGCGAACAGGTTGGCGGTTTCTTAAGTGATCACTGGATGAGCTGGCGAGCGAAGGACACAACACAATCGAGGCGGGCACCGGAGTTCAGACTTTGGCTGAGTTACTCTGGTATTCTGCTTGCGATTTGTGGTCTCGTAGTATTTCTTCTACAGACTCAGAATGCGACTGCGGGCCACTGGAACGTGACGCCTATCATTGGCGTCAGTATTGCAGCAGTAGGGAATCAGATCGTCACGACGATCATGATCACGTATGCTGTCGACTGCTACCCAGATGATGCGGGTAGTGTTGGTGTTTTCATCATCTTTGTGAGACAGACTTGGGGTTTCATCGGACCTTTCTGGTACGTATTGTGGAGAAGGGACGCAGGATTCAGCTGCTAATTCATGACAGGTTCCCGTACATGTTTGAGAATATTGGAATTGCAAACAGCGCGGCTGTTGCATCTGCACTGATGGCTGGGTGTGCATTGATTCCCGTAGCCTTTCTACAATGGAAGGGTCACAAACTCCGTAGCAAGACAGTAGCGATGATTTAGAATGTTCGCAAGATGTCGGGGGTCTCGTTCCGCTGGCTGGACGATCAATGCGAACGATAGTTCCAGAGAAGGTTCATTTGGTAGCTGTGTTATAGATTATGACCTTCTATATATACCACATCAGACACCTACCTGCCCACAAGCTACTAAAAAACATGATACTTGGGTGCGTTAGCATTGATCTTTTGTCGTACACTGATAGATAACACTTTTAAGTATTGCAAGTTAGGACTGCACAATAGGTTTACCGTGTGACACCAAGTGGTTCCGTGTTTGCAAGAACACATAAACTGTATTGGCCATATATCAGTCATATCGTCATGACCGAAACTTTTAACCACAGCAGACATTGAGAAGTACAATCGTTTCTGTTTACAAGCACTTGAAGCTTCGATGTATTGTTAGAACAACAATATGTGGAAAATTCAATTCAATCTGCGGAGTGTTTGTGACGATATAACGCCTATTATTGCATGGTTTCATTCAACAACAAGTCCTGACAGTCTTCAACGTGGCAAAAGACACATTCCACCACAACGAAACATAATCGCCTTTTTGCTTTAAGAGTGAATACAGGTTGTACTGAACTCTCTTTTTGCCGCATTTCGGTTTCTAACCGCTACAAGGTCATTTTGCCTAACCAATCTCCATGCATCGTTCGGTCACTTGAGGTCATGGGCAACAAACACAGTATACCTTCGTCATACACGCCGCACAAATGGCGATGCCACCGATGTATGTTGCCGAGTGCCACCGTAGACACATTCTAACAGCTACATAGGCGGTAAAACCTGGACGGTCGCGGTCGTGGGTAACAAATGTCCGACTTGCAGGCACCAAAGGTGTAAGAAAAAATGTTGGGATTTGGACTTGACGAGGACGGACGAACTGTGGATTGAGAAGAGCGGGTCGAAAAAATTGAAAAAGAGGACTCTATAGGTGAATGTTCCCTGAAGCCCTTGATAACACTCAGGGAGGATTTACAGTGCTTGTTGTTCTGAACTGTTGAATTCATGATGCAGATTGGGAAGGTTGCAGCGAATTAAAGATTAATGCATAATGAACCCTGAAATACCGCCGACATGACTCGAGCATGGAAAAGGCCCGGTTCCTGTTGAGATGGCGTAGGCCCGCTTGAGCACGGCCCCACATGCTTATCAAACGTTCACCGACGACTCGTCTTTCAACCACCTTCCTAATGGTGTTGCTGCAACGATGCACACCGTAAATCGTATGCAGTGATTGTTCAGATCGTCTATTTGCCCGCCATCTCAATTGCTGTCAGACCATGGCTGAGCTCAAGCCACGTCAACGAAAATTCGCCCCACGTTCACGCACAGGATGCCTTACTTGCCGCACAAGACGGAAACGATGCGAACCCGATTCTGCTCGACCGGACTGCTCCAACTGCAAACGCCTAAACCTAACATGCGAATGGCAGGCACAGCGCAAAGTTGTTGTTGTTGGACAATCGTCTGAGTCCAGTTCACCCAGCCCAGAAAGCCAGGCCCCCGGGCAATTGCAACCATCTATTGATCCTTGGGATGCATTACCTGGAGATGCAACGTCAGAAAGGAAGCACCTTCTCCAATATTATGTGGAGGCATTTGTGCCAAGCGTTTCTGTAGCAACAACTCCGACAAGCTTTTATACATCCTTGTATATGCCCTGGGCTTTCCAAAGCGAGGGAATGCTGGACGCGATTCTTGCCATTACTTCTGCCCAACTTGCCCGAAGAAGCATGGATCAAAATCGTGCGCAGAATCTACGAGCTGTTTCGACTAGACATGAGAGGAAGTGCTATGCATTCATCCAGAACCGGGTTTCCCAAACTGGTGTGCCGATTGCAGACACTTACCAAGTGGCTGCAGTCATCCTTATTCTGGTCGGTCTTGAAGCTCTTAATGGTGTGAAGACTACCCGGTGGATGTCGCAAATCCAGTGTGTGCAGCGAATCTTGAACACACTCACTCCAGAACAACATCTCGTAGATTGCTGGGAAGTCGACTCTCTTCGTCGCCATTTCACATATCACTTTGTATCGGCCTCTCTTATGGCGCGAGTTTCGGGATCTCCTTCTTTTTCATCCTCCGCGGAGCAGGAACTGTCGCCGCTTCTAAGCCCCACAACTATGCCGCTCACCGTAGATCCTTTGATGGGCATATCGTATCAGCTCTGTAACCTGACCTCCCGGATTCAGTACCTGAGCTCTTCAAATCCTACCTACTTGGCATCCTTCAATGCTATTGAGCAGGGCATTCTGAACTGGACTTACGAAAGTCCTTTCACCTTGGGTATTGATCTCACAATAGCGCTAGATCTCGTTGCACTCGCTGAAGCCTACCGTCTTGCGGCATTCATTCAGTTGTACCGCACTTCCCCTACCCATGCAGCGCTCATCCCAACCTGTGCCTCGCGAGCAATGGAGTTCATTGTCAGGATTCCAACCGGCAGTCCTGCCGAGTCGAGCTTATTGTATCCTATATTCCTGGTTGGTGCAGAGTTGGAAGACGATACGGCACGTGAGACATGTTCCAAGCGGTTGGAAGATATTCAAAAAAGAAACCGTTACGAGAATGTGGCTGCCGCACAGAAAGTCCTAAAAGAGGTCTGGCGGCCCACTTTGAAAGGTGGAAAAAAGAGAAATTGGGAAGATGTTCTTAGGGAGTTGAAGTGGTCGTTCACTCTCGGATAGTCTGTTCCAATATATCGCACACGCAGACACAAGTATCACACTTGATAACGAAGCTACGAACCACGGACTCCAAATTTCGGGTTGGCTGCTTATAATCCGAGTATGGGACCGCAGAACACCCATCAGTCAATTTGATATACGACACTTTCCATTGGAAAGGCCTCTCTATACCATTGACGATGAGTTGTCTTCCTCGAGCAAGGGATCATGCTGGTCTTGCTATTGTGGGACCAAAAATGTATGATCCAGGTGATCATAATTAGCGAGAGGAGCAAAGTCAGAAAACCGAATTTCTGATCTTTGATATCTGTGGCCTCGAATCGGACTGAAAGACTAGCAAGGCCAAATTCAACATCGAGGCTTGCGTTGTAGGAACTGCTACAAGATGCATATTTTTACAAAGACGGCAGCGAGGTAGACAAAGTAGTCGCCAGTGATATATTTGGTAACGTTGAGGAGCACAACAAGGTCAAAATCAGGGGCCAAAGTTGCCAGAGGTGGTTTTGGGCCTGTGAGGGGTAATATTGCGGGTAATGCATAGGGAAATGGAAGTGATGGATTTGGACAACACACACCTATGGATAACGCAAGTGGAGTTACTGCCAGCAAGACTAGTGCCAAAGTAGCTCCAGCCAATTGCGTAGACCAAGAAGCCATTCCTCATGACGCTGCGGACCGATATCGCTGGGGTAGATGCTCCTCAAGTCTGCTGGAACTGAGACCTAGCAGGAGGCGGGTTTGGATGTGAAGTGATTAGGAGCGAGATTAATACAGTACTGTATAGAGGATGCTATGGGTTGGGGAAATGGTCCGAGCTCAGAAGTTTTACGTCCCGTTTCGTGGCAATTCACCTGCTGTAGCACGGACAGAATATTGCGTTCTAATATCATTGTTGTAACTTGTTTGTCCAGTGAAAAATGACGATACCCTAGTGATATTAGGCTCATACTGTCGCAGCCTCCAGTCACATGAAAGGAACCACAACAGACCGCATTCATGAGCAAAGCCTGTACATTCAAACTCTATGAGATATCCCCTAAGCGGAGATGTACCCGAGGGCATCATGACTCGAAACTCATCCGATAGGAGAGGAGAAACAAAAAAAGCAGATTATTCTACGCTTTTGTCCGTCCCCTTATAAATTCCTCGGTCCACACAGCGCCACCTTCTCAACCAACAGCTCGTACCTGTCTGCGCCCAGCCCGCACCCATTGAACTCGCTCGTCCAGCACGCCTCCCTACCCCCCATCGACGGATCCAGCGCGTGCACCTTCGCGTTCAAATCGCGGAGACTGGTCTCCTGCCACTTCTTCGTAAGCGGGCTCTTCGGGTCCTTCTCGTGGCTGAGCTCGATCTGCAGGCTGCGCGCCGCGCGATTCGCTGTATCGAGTGTGGTGTAGAGCTCCGTGCGTGGAAGTGGGTGGTATATGCGGAGTGGCGGCCCCTCTTCGTCGTCATCAGTATCGGTTGAGGGAGAGATGAGCTTGAAGAGGCGGAGGATGTATAGCGATTTCGAGATGAAGGATGCAGGGCCGAGGTCCTGGGGCGTTTTGTTTGCGAACGTGGAGACGTAGTCGCGTTGAACCCATATTTTCAGGTAGGATTTCTTGCCTGGGTTGTCGAAAGGTGAGAAAGTTCCGAGCAGAGTCGATAAGTCGAATTCGTCCCGTGTGCTGCTGGTGGAGGAGAAGACGACTTGCAAATGCCGCACGTATTGTGACTTAGATATGTGGAAGAGCGACTCGGCCTGGGCATTAGCTTCGTCGATGTTGGTGAACGGACGCGAGACGGGCTCGGCAGCAGCGCTGTCGTTCTCTTGCTGCGAACCAGCCCATATTTTATGAAAAATTGAGTACTCGAAATAAGGTTCTGCATCGTTGGCAGTATTTGGTGTTGTGGAGATGATTACGATGTCTCTAGGTTGTGTTTCGATGATGGTCGATTGCCCTGACTTGTGAGTTGTTGGTGTAAGGGCTGGAGCCGCTACGGAGTTTGGAGGAATGATAGCTGGAGGCTTGGGTGGAAAACTAGCCTCGGCCTTGTAAATAGTAGGTGTTGTATTCTGATCAGGATTGGGTTTCGTAGGTGCTGCCACTGGATTATCTATTTCCTTCGAAATATGTTCCGACTGCCCAGCATTCCCGTTGTTTTTGATGACATTGTTGCTGACAGTGATATACCCTGCACCCTGAAGTTCTGCACTGTGTGGAGATTCTGTATCTGTTACATACTGAGTAGTATCTGACTTCACAGCTTTAGCCAACGTTTGGTCAGAGTGAGCAGAACCTGGCGAGCTCGCAGCCGTGAAAGTAGTAACCGAGAGTGTAGAAGCTGTTTTTGGAATAACCACCGAAGATCCTAGAGCTGTAGGCGGAGCTACAGATGGTGTTGGTTCTGCCACTCGATCAGAATGTGGTTTCGGCGCAGGGCGAACAATTGGCAAGGTAGGCGTCGTTATTGAGACCACGGCCGCCGTAGGAATTGCTTTGGCATGTGGGGGAACTTGGGGGATACTCTGCGAATTCTGCTGTTGCGACCCCTGTGTAGTAAGAAGAGAGGTTGCGGCTTTGCTGGGTTCTCCTGATGTAGTTGCTGAGGGTGCGTTGGGATGGGGTTTGGCTGACAAGGAAAGCTGAGTGGCGGCGAGTGTAGTCGGTAGATTGGATGAAGTCAGTACCGCTTTGGACATGGCATTCTGTGGCTTGAGCTGCGTGATAGGTTCTGGCTGCGCTATAACTACCGGCTTTTGAGCTCCACTCATCATCGCTGGGGTGGACTTGGGCGAAGCAGCCAAATTTGCGATAGATTTGGCTCTGCTTTTAGTGTCCACAACCGGTCGTGGAGCAGTTGATAACAGTCCAGAAACCATAACGGGTTCTTTGGGCGGTAAAGTATTCTCATTAGATCCGTTGGTGATTTCTCGTACCTTTTGTTTTTGAGACATCTGTGTGTTATGTGATATAGAAGAATTCATAATTGCTGTACCGGTAGTTTCGAGCTTCAGCTGTCGTTCTCGAGAAGCTGATGTCGTGAGAGTAGACTGGGAGGGTTTGGCACTGGCAGTCAGGTTATATGGTCGGTTTTGGACGGGCTGAGAACGGCACACTGATTTATTTGTATTTGTCGCTGGTGAACTTCGGACTGACTGTTTGACAAGATCTGTCTGGGAAGATTGGTCGTTGATGCCCTGGGCAATGACGTGCAGTTGATTCGCTCTTCCACTTCTCTGAGTCTGGGATGAAGTGAACTCTGATGTCATGTTGGGGTGCTCACTCTGCCGGACTCCGCTCTTGCGAATCTGTTGATCGAGGGCTCCAGCAGTTTGTGCAGCCTTCATCGTGGTCAAAAGATTCTGCGAATGGCTTCTAGCTGCGAAGTTATGTGGGGTGGCAGCAGTTGATGTTTGATTTGCCGGCACTTTCGCACCTACATTACTGACTGGTTTCTTCAACTGTGTCTCGGAGTTGATCATCGGGCCTTCGGCCATCGCTGGCCGTTGTCCCGATCTTGAAGCTATATGACTTAACGTGACCGTACCGTTTGGTCTGTGTTTCGCGTCCTTGGAAGCCGAAGTCATTGCAAAGTCTTGCTTTCTTTGGGTACCTGGCTGAACCGAAGCTTCTCGTGGTGCAACAAACGTGCTACCTCGCTTCTGCCCATGTGCATCATTTGTTACAGAACCATTCGCGGTCACACTCCGTGCCGGCAACCTATCACCCTTGATGTAATTCGGATTTGCAGGAGCTCGCTGTTCATTGATATAGCTCGTTGGGTTTGGAGCGAGTCGATGCGGTGATGCACTAACACGAGATATGGTCGATGATTGTTTGGTTGCGGATGGTTGCGGTCGCTGAGTTGGGGTAAAGTTGCCTTTCTTTCCCAAAAGCAATCTCAGACGATCCCGGTTTAGAGATCTGGCTGGCAGAGGCGCTGGGTCTGCCTTCCTACCTTGAATACTGGCTTTTGGTGACCTGGGTGGCGGCACCATCGATATTGAATCTTCTTCTTCATGGCTCGTGTCACTCTCGCTACTCTCGTCGTCGCTAGAGTCTTCGTCCTCGTCGCTGGACTCAATGATAAAACCCCCTTTGGTCTTTGGTCGTTTGGCATTCATTACTAAAGCAGTCGGAGATGCAGGCCGCTTCTTCATCATTGAGGAGTTCGTATTGACAGAATTTGTATGGAGGAAGGACCTGATATTGGAACCGCCGTGTCTGGAGTTCATCGCTGCACTGGGTAGTGGGCCTTTGAGATGCTTAACACTCAGATGATGTTGCTTGTTTGGATGTGAGGGTTGATGTGTTGGGACGATGGAGGTGCGATTGTGCGGCAAATCATTGACGGCCGAGGGCTTGCCCGAAAATTGTCTCTTCGGCTGTTCAGAGAGCTTTGGTAGGTCAGAAAGCTTGCCATGAAATCTCCGACGTTGTGTATCACTCGGGCCTGTGCCGTCCTCGCTATCGCTCTCTACGAACTCTGCTGACTTGTATTTGCTGGTGGGCCTGCTGTTGCGAGCGAGCTTCTTCTTTTCTCTGTTGGTAGTACGTTGTTCTTCCTCTTGGTCACTTGAAGAGTATCCGATGAACTGGCCGAGACGTGAGGAGCTGGGAGACGAGAATTGTTGACCAGTTGGGGTGGGCGATTGTTTGGCGATTAGCGAAGTAGAAAGCTTCGAGTGAGATTTGCTAGGATTGCAGTTTGGTAAGTAATTGGGCGCTGGGACCTGATCTACGTTGTAGGGGCTTGTATTAGAGGTGAGAGAGCTAGCCGAGGGCGCCATGCTGGAAGTCTGAGAGTGCCAATTGTAATTCTCTTTCGCCAAACTTTGACGATAACTCTTCGCACGAGTCAGGTAATATCAAACGGCCGGTTGCTTCGAGGAGTCAGCGTTGTGTTCTTGCAGTCGTCCTCTGACGATGATTCTGCCTGTCAATGGACGTTAGTTTGCCATCCATCTGAGATGCAATATTAACAACCCTTAGCCTTGATACAGTCCACAGTCAGGCCAACGTTGACCGACAGTTCCTCGGGTGTAGGTGCGTGAAACCCTGGGGAGTAGTAATTCCTCAGTATTCGCTGACGAAAGAATCTGACAAACCGAAACAACACCTAACTACCTCTATGAGGACGACCTGATCGATGAGTGGCCGGTATTGCTGAAAGAGGCAAACGTAGTCTATGACTTCGAAGACCTGAGTTTAGTAAAGTCCAACATAACATGCTGTTAGCATTGAAAGTGTGGTACAAGTCTGGATTACATGGTGCTGTGACACGATCACGCGAAGCATGAGAGAGTAGGTCTACTCTTCAAACGAATCACACGGTTAACATCTCATTGAAAAGACATCGTATTGGTTGTTGTGATCCCGCCAAACGGCTTGCATGCTCGATAACCCCGAAGTGCAAACAGAGACTTGGTGTTTGATCCCGCGGCGGTGCGAGGACGCGGAAATGCAGCAAGGTAACTGCTTATGTCAGTCAAGGGCCAGTCCTCGAGCACGCTATGGTGAACTAGAAGTCTGTCCATCTGGGTCAACAAGTTCCATCGGCTATGATACATTTCGAAATAGCACAGTGCTGAAATCAGTGATCTCTGAGCTCTTGCGTGTTCAACCAGGGGAAATATTGCACCGCTCTGGGCTGCTCATCGCCAAAAGCAGGTGAAACTTCGAGTCGACAGCGCGGTTTGCGTTCTGAACGCGTCATGAAGTTGCATTCCCTCGCCGACATCGATGAAAGTTGTTGTGCAGTCGTTCATAACATCACGAGTGCCATGTCAAAGTCCAACACGCCCGGAATCATCACGAGATCTGACGGGAAAAGTCTGCCGAGGCGATATGAGATGAGGTTGAATGTGAGGAAGTCGCGTCGCACAGCTTAGTAATTTCAAATTTACTAGCGCGTTCCCCCACTTCATCTTCAATTTCGAGGTCCGTGTACTGACGCACATACGCGAGACGCGGCCGACTTCGAGCATGGCAGAAACTGATATTGCCTCCGGCGTCCCAGTTCCTGAAAAGGCATTGCGGGACCTGGCGAAGAATGTGTCCAGAAACCTGCCGAACTTTTCAGAGCAAGAGCCAGCCGTTGGTGTGAAGTAAGGATGCAAAGTCCGTGAAATTTGAGTTGTCACGACGGGTAGTACTGACGCTGGATTAGAGGGCTGCGCGACATTATCACCCCCGTACTGGAAACTGCAGATCTGCCAGATCTAGGCCCTGGTCATCGAGCGGCTGCATCTAATGCACTGTGTGCGATCATCGAGTTCTGCCAAGTCTCCAACACTGAATATGCCCGCAGTGCTCTTTTGGAAGACTTCATATGGCTCCGGCTCTTCGAAATATATCTGCAAAGGTCCGATGATGCCAAAGGAAAATCTATGAGGCAGATGCTTCTAGTTCTTACAAGTGTTATTACGAAAGATCAAAGCCAACGTGCATTAGAGCTTCGAAACCAGGCCACAACTACCTTTCTGGACATCATCTGCCAACGACAAGACCGTGTCAAAGTCAAGCCAGCCTTACAGGGCTTGGCACATTTCCTGTTAAGAGATGTTGCCTCGATCTCCCAGCTAATCGAGATATATGAGCAATTGCTGGAGCAATCTTCAAGTGGGCTCGGAAAGACTGCATCCTCTTCGACTTTGTTTGAGGCTTTCCTCGCATGGATTGTTCATCACGACACTTCGCTCTCCGCTGGAAATTTGGTGAAGAATTTTCTTATCCAAGCCCGGCGCCTACCTGATGATAGTACTCTCACGGACGACGATAATATTTCCCCTTTCTGGATCGAACCAGTAGTTCGAACATTACATTACTGGCCGGATCGTGTACAGGAGTTCAAGACGCATGTCTTTCCGCATTGCTTCCTTCCGAACATCGATGAATATATGCGATTCCTCTCTTATCTACACTTTGGTTTGCATGTGCAGCCGAAAGGTGCACTGTGTGATCAGCTGCGGGTCTACGAATCCCATGAAAATGGACTGGATGAATCTGAAGAATTCAGGATCCTACTGGCAGCCATACAAGCCGGAAAAGAGTTGACTATCATCCGAGATAGCGGTAGGTCCAAGGTTCAAATTCAGAAACACAGATGACGACTTACCTTCTCGTAGACCATCGCATTTGCGATACTATTGATGTTCGAGATGGTGCTATCTACTTGCCCAACGAAATCTTTGGTGGGTGGATGTCACATCACAAACCTGAAGTCAGACTTGCTGGGATGTTCCTTTCCGTGTACTCTACGGCGACAACAAAACCTGTACCGCGGGGAGTTTTCAAATCGTTGAAGCGCAATCTCATCCATCTACATACAGAGACTGATGCCAACTTCCGCCGAGAAGTGCATGGCTATACCCAAAAACTCTTCGACCGACTGAGGGCCAGTACAGCCATGCTCTCAAAGGGGAAGTCCAAGAGTGGAGCCACGATGAACAACCGGCTTCCTCTTCCCAGAGAGTGCTTCAGGCAGAACACATCGCTTTCGAAGTACTCGTCGCAAGATCCGCTGATCGAGTCCCTGACTTTCGTTGTGTGGTACATACGCTTCTTGGAGTGGGAGCTGCGCCCAACTGCATCCTACCAAAGACGCATAACAGCGCTACGGTCACTGACTATCGTTCTTCGGTCTGGAATAGATCCTGGCGTGCCGCATTCCCACCTGTCCAAGTCGGCGCAGGGACAGTTAACTTGGGCCCATGGTCTTCAAACTTCCAACGACAGATTGGTCCGAGTTCTATTGGATCTCATCTTGGACCCCTTCGACGACGTCAGAGACGCAGCCGTCTCAATACTGCAGATGTGCTTAGAAGCGTTGCCGGACACGCAAAAGAACGCTGTGATGGCGACACTGCCTCGCTTTCTTTCTCGTGCAGAAACCGTAATGCTCCGTACAGGACGGGCTGACCAAGCAGATGGCGTTGCTCGAGCCTACTCGTTGATCTTCTCGCTAGCCACAGACAGCTCTGCCGACTCAAGCGACTCGCCCTTTTCGTCCAAACTTGGGGTGTTCAAATATTTGAAGACACAGTTGGATCAAACTCTTGATATAGCCCACAAGAATCTGTCAGAGGCTGTGGACGGACGTCCAGTTCATGGGACGTTCGCTGCGTTGAGGTATGTGAAGTAGTCTCTGGCAAGAGCACAAGCACTAACATCTGCTAGGTATATCGTCGATCAGGACCAATTCTACTCGGCTTTGTCAGGCATGCCGATCGAAACCTTTGGCAAATGGAAGCAATTCCATGACGACATAGTGGGAAGCTTTGAGTCACTCTGGCTATGTATCCATCATGTTTTATGTGCTGATGCGCCAGAGGGACATGTACCTGAAGAGATGGAAGAGGAGGCCAGCCTTGACACGAAGGAAATCTTGAGTTACTCGTGGAGAGGTTTGAAAGAAGCTAGGTATGTATCCATTTGCAGGTGTTTACAACTTCAACTAACATGTGCAGCGTCTTACTTCGGACCGTGATCTCGAAGGCGCCAATTGGCAACGATGATCGCGCGCTCATCACTCCCGAGTACTTTGACAAGCTAGGCCGATTGTGTTTTACGCAACTCCTAGAACTCCGCCATCGCGGTGCGTTCTCGACTGTGGCCCAAACCTTTGCAGTGTTTTGCCGTCGTTGCGCAACATCCAACATCGCTTCGCTTCGAGCCCTGCCGGACACTTGGTATCGGGTATGTACATGTTATCGATGCAACCATGCGTGACTGACCGTGCCAGGAAACCCTTCGCTCAATGCATGACAAAGCAGGAGCAATCACTCGGAGATCTGCAGGTATCCCAGCACTTATGTCAGGTATCATTGCTGCGGAACCACCGTCGGGGGGCAAGTTCCTCCAACGTGCGATGAAAGATCTCATCGCCGAAGCATCTGCCGAAGCACAAAATGAGAATATCGAAGAGAGTCGTCTACCTCAAGTGCATGCATTGAATTGCATCAAGGAAATCTTCACTACTTCTCGGCTCAGCGTGGCTTCGGAGGCGTATATTGGACAGGGCCTTGAGCTGGCCTCGAAGACACTAAATTCAAATATGTAAGCGGACCTCTCAATGAGACTTCAGGTACGAGCTAATATTTCCCCTAGATGGCCAATCCGCAATTGCAGTCTCATGCTATTTAAAGCCTTGATTGAGAGGCTGCTAGGCAGCGATGAAGCACAGGACTGGAAAGAACGCGACCGGGCAAAGACTTCGCGATTCTCATACGACAACTACCCCAGCCTAGTTGGGATTCTCACCGACCTTCTTGATCCAAATGGACCGCTGAAGAAATCGATCGAGGGCACAAGTGAAAGTAGCTCACCTTTTGACCTCCACGGAGCCGAAGGAGTGTTTCCTGCACTTCAAATTTTGCGACAAGCCCGGCCTCCGGACGCGGACCTTGGCCCTATTCTGAAATCAGTCGAGAAACTGCTTGCGAGTCCGCACTGGCACCTCCGCGATATGGCTGCGCGGACGGTGGTGTCACTGCGCTCCTCGCATCAACTGCGGGATGCTGCTTTCTCAATGTTGGACACGGTACCCAGCTCGACTAATACGCAACATGGCGTGTTGCTAGCTGTCAAATACATGCTTAGGAAGCTGATGCATAGCCTCGCAAATCTTGGTGAGTCTGCCAGTCTTTCTTTTATAGTATTCGCGCACTCGTCCGAAGTAAAGCAACAGAAAACTGACTCCTTGTAGATGTACAGACAATCGAAGATTTGATGGCAGACCTTACCGTCGCTGCTGGGAGGTGGTACGTCGCAAGTAATTGCCCTTTCATCAGGTCCGCTTTTCTTGACATCGTGAGCCTGTGTGGTATGTCTGTTCTGCAACGACAAGAACATGATTCAACATTGAACGCATGGAGTACTCTCACCGCGGCGGTCTCGATAGGACCAGAGTACGCTTTAGGCGTCAGCAAGGGTGAGGATGGAGCTTTACTCCGAGGCTCACTGGCACAGTTATTCTTCATCGATCGCACAATACTCCGAAACGACACTCTCTCCCTTATGGTATCCGACGAGTACCAAAGCATCGGCGACGCCCTCGCACTGCTCGCGGCCGAGGATCCGGACACATGCTGCACCGCGCTCGACACACTCGCCACCATCATCCAGCTAAAAGCCTCCAACAGTCCAGTCCTACCCATCTCGTTAATCCTGTCACACATCCACCACCTCGTCCTCTCCGCCACAGACGCCGAAGTCCTCTCCGCAGCCCAAGCCGTCCTCGCAGACGCACTGACAAACCCCTACTTACAACCCGCCTTCTTCAGCCTAACCACCCAGTCGCAAATCCTATCCACCCTCACAACCCTCGAAACCCAATACCTCGCCGCCCCACCCTCAAACACGCAATCCGCCCTACACCTACAAGCCTTCTTCCTCGACCGTGCCTTCTCCACACACCCCACCTCGCGCCGCCCCATCCTGGGCATAATCGCGCGCTACATCCGCATCCTCCGCACAACCATAACAGATACAACACCCTTCCCCACGCGCTTCGCAGCCGCCCAATCCCTCGCCGCACTAACCCACACTTGGACACTGAGCCCAACCTCAAAAGCAACAAGCCCCTTACTCCTCGCGCTATCCCTACTCCTACTCGACCTGCTCCATGACGATGATGACGAGATCCGCGACGTGGCTGCCCTTGCAGCTGGGACGCTTCTGCGCGCCCACGTAAATGTAGACGTGGAAAACGCACCCCCCCTCCTGACCGCACACCGTCTAGCGTCTTTCCTCACCACCGCCTTCCCCGCCTCAAAAGATCTACAAAAAGAAGCACTCCGCCGCCTCACAGCCACAAACCCGTTGTTCACCCCACGCTTCGCTGAAGTCCTGGCAAGGGAGCGTAAAACAGATACCGCCCTCTTCGCAACGGAGAAACAGAACCTCTTCACGGACGACGCGCTGATTGCTAGCCTGTGGGGTCGCGTCGCGTCTTGTATGCCGGCATGTGCGACGCAGGAGCTGCGCGCGTGGACACTCGATGCTCTCGCTGTTTTGCAGCGCACTGCTAGGACGGAGGAAGATGGCGCGTTGGGATGGTGCGGGAAGAGCGAGGTGTTTGCGTTGGTTTTGCGGGTTTTGGGCGCGGGGGGAGTTTTACTTCGTTCCGGGGAGAAGGAGAGGGAGGGGGTGATGAGGGGGTTGGGAGTGTTTGCGGATGTGGGGGAGAGGGGGGGTGTGCATGGGTTGGTGCTTGAGCGGGTTGGGGGGATGGTTGAGGGGGAGGTGGTAAGGGGGTTGAGGGGGGTTTATGGCGGGATGAGGGGGAGCGGGTTGCTTTGACGAAGAGGATGGTGGGGGAAAGACGAAATAGGGTATTCGATGGCGACTACTTCTGACCAACTATGCATGGCGCGATGTTAACGCCAATCCCAACCCCAACGCCATGACCTATCTCTACACAAAAACAACATCCCATCCCATGAAGTACCATCACCGCGGCTTCCGATACCGCCCCTGCATCATCTCCGCCTTCAGCGCATCCTGCTGATCCGGCAACGGCCCCCTCCGCCTCACACCATCTTTACCCACCTGCCCCTGCCCCTGCCCCGCCCCATTCTGCCCCTGACTCTGCAGAAAACCCGGCGGCGGCGCCACAATCCCGCCCTGCGACGGCGGCGGAGGGGGGAACCCCGGAAACGCGCCCGCGGGGAACCCAGGCGGCATCCCGGGCGGCATGGCAGGCATACCCGGTATCCCTGGCGGGAAAGCGAAGTTCGGCGGGGGCCCGGGGGGGAAGGGGGGTACGCCGTTTGGAGGTGGGGGTGCGTGGGCGTTTGGAGGGAAGGGTGGAGGGAGGGCGCCGGATTGGATGAGTTGGGCTATGCGGGAGGGGTCCATTGCGGCTGGGAAGGGGAGGGGTGGGTGTCCGGTTACGTTTATGCCAGCCATTGGGGGAGGAGGAGGGACGGGGAGGGGGACAGGCATACCGCCGATGCCGGGCAGGGCGCTGGAGGACCCGTCTGGAGCGGCGTTGAGACCTGGGAGGGAGAGGCCTGGCGGCATGAAGGGGAGGGTGGTTGGGGTGCGCGAGGGGAGTTTCTGGTCGACGAGCCCTTCTGCTTCGTCTTCGGCTTCTTGCTCCTCTTCCTCGCGCATCTGGCGGCGGCCCTGGCCGCGGTCGTAGGTGCCTTGTGCTTCGGCGGCGGCTTGGCCGATGTGGTAGCGGTCGTTGACGTAGGAGGTGTCGCCGGGGCGGGGGCGGGTCCAGAAGCGTGTGACGCGGTCGTTTGAGCCGGAGGCGAGGATGTGGCCCAGGGGGTGCCAGTCGAGGGTCCAGACGGTGAAGTCGTGGGCGTACTGCAGGCTGTGGGCGGGGTAGATGGCCTGGGCGGGGGCGTTGTGGGGGTCGGCCGAGTCGTAGGGGGAGATGGAGGGGGGCTGGCCGGGCGGCGGGTTCTGCTCGTCCAGCAGGTAGTGGTGGATGCTGCCGTCGACGCCACCCGTGGAGAGCAGGTTCTTGTGCATGGGGTGCCAGGCCATGGTGATGATGTCCTTTTCGTGGCCGCGCAGCAGCAGCACGTCGCGCATCATGCGCAGGTCGAAGATGCGGGCCGTGTGGTCGCGGGCGCACGTGGCGAGCAGGTTACCCTGGACGGGCTCGAAGAGGGTCTTGGAGATGGGGTTCTTGTGGCCGTGCAGCGTCGACAGACAGCGGGCGGTGCGCGGGTCCCAGAACTTGACCTGGTGGTCCTTGGAGCCCGAGACCAGCAGCCCCTTGTGCGGGTGCCAGTCGACCGACTTGACCTCCCAGCCGTGCCCCGTCAGCGTCGACTCCTCGGCGCTCGAGGCAAAGTCCCAGATCTTCAGCGTCGTGTCGTCGGCGCACGTGACGAACTTGGAGTCGGTGGGCGCGATGGCGAGCCCACGTACCGCCTCGGAGTGGGCCTGGACCTCCTTGACGTTGTTGAAGTTGGTCTGCCAGTACTTGACGACACCCGTCTGGTCGGCCGACAGCAGCCAGTCGTCGGTGTGGGTGTACTCGACGGCGCGGATGGCGGCGTCGTGGGCCTGCATGATGGTCTCGAAGTTGAAGCCCATGCCGTTCCACAGGGTGAACTCGCCGCTGGTGGAGCCCGTGAGCAGGCGGCGGCCCTCGGGCGTCCACTTGACCACGTTGATGGGGTGCTTGACCTTGTTGAGCGACGAGTGCACGGCTTTGGCGGGAATCGACTCGGCGGCGCTGGCGAGGCGGGCGGCGGGCGGCGCCATGTCGACGATGTAGCTTGCGCTGGGCCGCTCCATCTCTGCCACGGCCGCGTTCTTGTAGCGCGGGCGGCGGTTGCGCATCCATTGGACTGTCGTGGCGCCGTAGTCGGTGACGGCTCCTGCAGACAGAACATGGTCAGCCTGGCTCTGCCCTCGGACGGTCTACAGCCGTGTACATACGCTTTGGGCGCGGGCGGCCTGCATCGTACTGGTGGGCGTGGTACTCGCGCTCCATGGTGGGGATGGCTGCCCGACGCGTGGGATGCGGGAGGGGACGGCGAGTGGGCGCGCGACAGGACGCGATTGACGGGGGAGAGAGTCGAGTGGGTGGCTTCACATGTTCGTGTCAAGCTCTACCGCGCTGCTTTGTCGCGGAGCTCGAGCCATGCAGTATCACCAGCCACAACGGAGCGCCACACGGAGGAGCCACACGGAGAGCCACAGCTAACGTTAAAGCAAAGTCCCAACGGTTCATGGTTCATGCAGGCTGGCGTAACCCGCATCACCCCGCAGGCCGCCCAGCAGAGGGGCAACTCAACAAATCCCTTCCCCAACGCCTGGTTATCTGCCCGTCCACCCAGGCCAGCCATGGCACACATGCTCGCCGTCCCCTTCTCTCCGGCACGGCTTACCCACGAGCCTCGGTCATTCGACTGTCATCCCCGTCCGCCCATTTGACCACGCACCCCTACTCGTGCCATTGAGTTTTGCACGAGACATTGCGACTTTCGACTCTCCCATTGAATACTTCATACTCCATCGCAGCACTCGAGTCTCCCGCCCAGCATGGTTTCACTCGTCGAGACCGTCACGTCGACAACCACCGACCTGCGAGCCAACTCCTCCGTCCACCGCAGGCCGACTGCCGACCAGAAAGGCAAGAACGTCAAGAGCACCGCTCAGCGCTCCCGCGACACAAAGTACCGCCATGTCTTTGCCACGCACTCGCAGAAGCGCCCGTCCACTCTCAGTCAGGACGCGGAGACCACGCCCAGCTTTATAGGATTCCGAAATCTCATGATTCTGGTCCTCATCTTCTCCAACCTGCGATTGATGATTGTGAACTACAAAAAGGTAGCCTCGACAAAACCAACTTCCCCTCCATCGCTGACTCCCCCAGTACGGCGTCCTGATCTGCATCAGCTGCCACGATTACAGCCGCTCCGACGTCGTCACCGGCCTGCTGCTCTACCTCCTCGTCCCCGCCCACCTGTTCGTCACGTACCTGATAGAACTCGCAGCAGCCTGGCAAGCAGACAAAGCCTACAAGCGGATAACAGCAGAAAAGGGCGAGGACACGCAGGCCAAGTACGCGGCGGCACTGCGAAGCTTCAACTCGACCTGGTACATTGTCGCCTTCTTCCACAGCGTCAATGCCATCTGCAACCTCTCTATTGCGACGTACTTTGTCTACTACAACATCTACCACCCAGGCATTGGCACGTTGTGCGAGTTCCACGCCGTCATCGTCTTCCTCAAGTGTGCTTCGTATGCGCTTACCAACCGCGACTTGCGCCATGCCTATCTGCACCCCAAGCAAGCCGACCCGCTGCCTGAGCTGTACAAGACTTGTCCATACCCGCTGAACATCAACATGGAAAACCTCTGCTACTTCTGGTGGGCGCCGACACTCGTCTACCAGCCCGTCTATCCCCGCACCGACAAGATCCGCTGGGTCTTCGTCTTCAAGCGCCTAGCCGAAGTCGCCGGTCTCAGCATCGTCATCTGGATCGCGTCCGCCCAGTACGCCGCACCACTACTCCGGAACTCACTAGACAAGATCCTAACACTCAACCTCACCTCCATCGTCGAGCGCGTCATGAAGCTCTCCACCATCTCCGTCTTCTGCTGGCTCTGCGGCTTCTTCGCCCTCTTCCAATCCTCGCTCAACGCGCTCGCTGAGATTATGAAATTCGGCGACCGCGAATTCTACGGCGACTGGTGGAACGTAAGCAGCATCCGCTCCTACTGGACAACCTGGAACAAGCCAGTCACAAACTTCATGCGCCGCCACATCTACTCCCCGCTCGTCGGCCGCGGGTGTCCCCCCGCACTCGCACAGTTCATCGTCTTCTTCTTCTCCGGCGTCCTGCATGAGCTGCTCGTTGGCGTCCCCACGCATAATATCATCGGCGTGGCGTTTGCGGGTATGATGCTCCAGATTCCTATGATTGTGCTCACGGATGCCATGCAGAAGGTTAGCTGGGCGAGGGGGAAGGTCGCGGGTAATATGATCTTTTGGGTTAGCTTTTGTTTGGTGGGCCAGCCGCTTGCGGCGCTGCTGTATTTTTTTGCGTGGCAGGCTAAGTATGGGAGTGTGAGTAGGCAGTTTCGGGATGCTGCGCTGTTGGGGTTTTTGAAGCGGTAGGTAGTTGACGTGGTGTGATTTAGTGGATGTTTGCTCGTTTCAATGTATTGCGGGAGCGATTATTTTCTCATTCAATCATAACACCGTGCATTACACCCCCCCATCCTCTCCCCTCACCCAATCCCTCCAACCCCCAATCAAACAACAGCCTCAGGCCTCTCAACCCTCCTCTTCGCCGTCCCCACCCCACTCCACCCCCTCTCCTGCCTAACCCCCAACCACGGCTTCAAAGCCTCACTCAGCATAGTCTGCCTCGTGAAATAAATCACCTGCCCCACGATAATAAGCACAAACGCAATCGGATACATCCAATGAATACTGAGTCCAAAGACCTTAACCCCAATGGCCACGCCCCAGAAAGACCCCGTCAGGAGGGAGATATTAAAAAACGCCGCTGAAGAAAGGCGGAACAGGACCGGGGCGAGGGAGTAGAACAAACTCAAGATGAGGGTGTAGCCTGTAAGATAGCCGGCAACGCGGCCGTTCCAAGTTGCGGCGCGGAAGGATGCGCGATCAAAAATCCCAGCCTGCGTCCCATTAATCAGCATCCCCCAGAACGCCAACTGCCCCACCACCTCATACAGCGGCCGTTCCGAAACGAGGACTTCCTCAAACACATTCGCGAGTCCGTAGAAGGTCGCGCCCAGCAGCGCGAAAAGGTCGCCTTTCACCTCGTCCGAGGCGCCGTAGTGGTTCGACCCTGTTATTTGATCCGAGCCGAAGATCACGCCTACGCCGCCGATGCACAGCAGGATGCCGAGGATTTGCGTCCAGTGGTAGCGCACGTGTAGGAGGAGGGAGGAGAGGAGGACGACGATTACGATGGCCCAGAAGTTTATTAACTGCGCGGAGAGGATTGTCGTCTAGGGGGGAGTTAGTCTACTGTGGGATGGATTGGGGGGGTTTATTAACGTACATATCGGTAAGCCAGCACGACGAAGTAATTCCCCTCTACGTCGAAGAACGCGAGGATCAGGAAACGCCATCCGTCGACTAGGAGGAGGCGCACCCAGCGCTTCCAACCGTATTTGTATAAGGTGTAGGATGTGTAGATGGCGTTTAGGAGGACGTAGTTGAAGAAGGTTTGGAATGCGGGGATGGAGTTTCCTTCTGCGGAGAGGAGGCTGGAGAGCGTGTTGGTGGAGGTTATGCATATTGCTAGGACTGTTTTATATGTAGCTTGTTAGTGTTGTGTTTATTTACTCATGTATGTGTGTGTGTATGTGTATGTGTGCTTTGAAAACCGAGAGAGAGATGGGAGAGATAACGCACCCTGCCCCAAAACCAACGTGATCCAAAATTGCTTCGTCTTGACATACTGGAACCACCGCCCTTTTGTCTGCGCGTCGTGCTCGAGCACCGCGTTGCTCTCGCTGGTGTAGATCGGTTGCGAATGCGTCGAGTCTGCTTTGGGATGAACTGTCGTTGAGGCGTGTGGTTCCACTGCGCCGATATCGTGGGAGGCCATGTTGATATCTCTCCTCTTCTCTTCTCTTTTCAATTCGTCTTATCGAATATACCAATCAATCAACAATCAATCCAGCAGTCTTAGAATCAAATATCTAGATAGATAGCACAGCGGAGCTTTCTTATCCCGAACGTCGCGAGCGCAAAACTCCAGAAGTCGCGCGCGGTGTATTGTCGTTCAGGCAAGATGAAGCATGGATGTGTGTGATATGTGAGCCGCGGGTGGGGGGTCAGCCACCATTTTATCTTCTCCCCATGCGACCGCAATCCTTGGAGGAAAAGACTTGCCGGGCCCTCGCGTTCGCTCGCGCGTCGATCTCCACATAGCGTGCTGCTAGTCCCCCGGCGACTTGCCCAATTCCAGACGAGTGGGAGCGGACATGCCGTGCGCTGGGAGCATGGGTTGGTGGGCTAGGCGAGGGCCGACTGCTTTCGCGTGAGAAGTAGTCAGAGGCAACGAAAAATTATCTTGCATGGCGTTGGTTTACTCTGCGCGCTGGTGGGCCCAAGAGCCTGGTTCGAGGGACGGCGCATCTCACAGGAAAGCACGGGCGTGGTTCATAGTCAGAGCAAGCAGGATTTTATATACTAGGTAAAGTAGAGAGAGAGAGAAGAATGCACATTCATCGTCCAACTCGAACCCCAGCAACGCAAACACAGGAGGAGAGTTGTCCACACGCCGTTGAAAAGCAAATCAAAGCAAATCATCAACAAACTACTCAGAATCCTCCTCATCGCTCTCCGCGTTCTCGAGCCACTCGGCAAACTTCTCAGCCGCCTTGCGCACGCTCTTGCTCGTCTTGAGATCGACGTACTTCTTGCTCGCCTTGGAGCACCAGCCCTTGAGAACCTCCTCAGAGACGAGGTCGTTCTCGTAGTACTTGAGCAGGATGGCCGAGATCTGGGGGATGAGCTCGGGCTTGTCGTTGCCGACGAAGCGCTCAGTACCACCAAGGAAGGCCTTCTCGTGGCGCTCAGAAGTGAGGAGCTTCTTGAGCATGGGAGCGCGCCCCTCGATCTGCTTGACAATCTTCTCGGTGAAGAGAGTCTGGGGGATGACGGTCAGGGTGCGGTGCTTCGACTCGATACCGAGCTCCTTGGCCTTGAGGTAGATCTCGACGTTGTCAAGCTTGTCAACGCTGCCCTTCTCCGCGGCGGTGTCGATGATCCACTTGCCAAAGACGTCGTAGTTGGAACCACCCTCGCCTTCCTCATCATCCTCAATGACCAGAGCACGCTTGAGGTCATCCGGGAGATCCTTGGCGCGAGCCCTGATGGCCTCCTCAGAGGTGTCAAGGTGCCACTCGACTTCCTTGGCTTCCTCAATCTCGTCAGCACCCTCGTTGATCTGGCGAGTGAGCTCGTCGTCACTACCAGCCTCAACGTCAAAGTCGCCGTTCTCGTCGTCCTCTGCGCTGTCACCGGGGCTGCCGTTCTGCGAGGGCTCTTCACCTCGGGCCTCGGCCTCCTTGCGGGCACGACGCTCGGCCTTCTTGGTCGACTTGTCCTTCTTGCCCTTCTTGGGTGCATCCTTCAAGATGAAGGAGCTCAGCTTGAGGCGGGCATCGACATCAGAGATCTTACCACACGCCTTGCAGTCAAGCGTGATGTTTCCATCCTTGATGTGGACGTCGGTCTCGGGGTTCTTGCACTTCTTGCACAGAACGAACTTGGAGATGAAGCCGTCGAGGTAGTCCTGTAGCTTGCTGGCGTCGTGGGCGCCGTTGATGATCCAGCGGTCGTCGTTGGGATTCGTGTTGGTCTGGGCTCCCAGCTCGAAACCAAAGTATTTGATGACATGAGCGGGGGGGCGGGCAAGCGAGTTGGCGACGCTGGTCAGGTTGACAATGACAGTCTTGATGCCGTTGCCCTTGCCTTCGATCTTAGACTGGATACGCTCCATCTTGTAGCGGTAGAACTGGTCGGTGACATCGCGGCGGATGTTGATGGTAGCCATGGTGACGGTTGTGGGGGTGGGTTGGTATTGGGTTTTTTACTTTTGGGTATGCAGCGGACGAACGTGCAAGGTCAGGTCGAAAATGTTGACTGTGGCCGAAAGAGACATGCAGTAGACGCAGGCTCTCGCGTTGTGTGGGTGTATGTGTGACTCGGGGTCAGAGAGGCACTGGACTAACCGTTGGTGCTGTGCTGGGAACTGCTAGGTATCCGCGTACAGCGAAATTTTTGCAGTTTGGGGGGAGGTTCGACTCGGAAGGCGTAGCTTTGGCGCGAATACATATACCGCAGTTGTCGTGGACGGCGCTGTGGTACGGTTTGGTGCTTGTCCTGGAGTGCAAAGGTGGCGGTTTGGCGAGGTCGCGGGGCTGCGACGCGGCGGGAGGGTTGGCGCTTTGTGTGCTGTGTGTGATGTAGGTGCTTGATCTTGCTGCTGCTGCCAGTAGCGGTCACTGGGTTGGCGAGTGTCCGGTGAATTTGCGTGTGTGAGTGGGAGTTGTCGACACAATGGAAGGGTATTTAAAGGTGACGGCCTTGAAATTTCAAATCGCCGAACTTGGGCCAGTGCGATGGAGATCCGGTAGACGACGACCAACTTCTGCGGGTCATGCTCAAACACCTGCAGCCCCGCGGGTAAGGCGGCCTCCACTTGTTTGGCACCATTTGCCGAATATGCTCGTAGGCAATCAATTTGTGACTGCAGCAAAGGCACGAGCATCGTTTGCTTTGCGACTGCTGCCGCTTCAACCCACGTCAAAGACGTTGTCAGGCGAAACAAAACGGTGGCCAAGCATCACGCTACTGCGGGTGAATCTCTGCAAAGCCCGTGAGTCGTTCAAGCAAAGCACTACACAGCAGGGTTGCTATAATACTCTATTCCTCGTAGCTGTGACGTCTCAAAAGTTACCATGGACCAGGTAATTACCGCATATAGAGTATTACCTACCTACGGTTGCTGTATTGTCGTGGTGCATGATGGCAAGATTTGTTGACCCTCCCGCAGTTCGAGTGTGGGGTAACCTGGGTTGACTGCGAACTTCTCCAAACAGCATCACAATCAATGATTCCATCAACGCACCACAAGCACGGTTGTTCAGGTTTTCTACTACATCATTTCTAGTGAAGCCTCGTTTGAGTGTAATGTTTGCCAACCGTCGTCACGTACACCACTGCCGAATCTGACTCTTCAGGTATCCAAGTGCAAACATGAAGAACCAGGTCGACTATTCGCTGTACCTCGTGACTGACTCGACGGAAGCCATACTGGGTTCACGAGATCTCGTTGAAGTTGTTGAGCAGGCTTTGCTTGGAGGTGAGTTGTGTTCCATTGATCATCATACCGAGTCATTGACTTCACATGTGGAGTCTTCTATCAAATTTCTATACCGAACTACAAGCGAAAGATAACAGCAAAATCTAACTCTTCGCCAGGCGTGACAATCGTTCAGTATCGCGACAAGTCAAGTGACACGGGCGCCCTCATCTCAACAGCAAAGAGACTGCACGAAAAATGCAAACAACACAATATCCCCCTCCTAATCAACGACCGTGTCGACGTTGCCCTCGCCGTGGGATGCGAGGGTGTGCATCTTGGACAAGATGATATGAACATTGTCGAGGCGCGCAAGATCCTGGGAGACGACAAGATCATCGGCGCGACAGTGTCTTCTCTGGACGAATCTAGGATAGCCGTTGAGCGAGGAGCAGACTACCTAGGCATCGGAACACTCTACGCCACCAACACGAAGAAGAACATCAAAGACATCATCGGCGTGAACGGCATCCGTAAGATCCTGCGCTTTCTCGATGCCGGCGATGATGCTTCCCAGAAAATCAAAACGGTGTGCATAGGTGGTGTCAACGCATCCAACCTCCAACGTGTAGTGCACCAGCTGTGCGCTCCACGCCCCAACACGCCAAAGCCAAAGACCATCGATGGCGTTGCCGTAGTCTCCGCAATCGTAGGCTCCCCAGACCCCAAAACCGCATCAGCAAACCTGCAGCGCCTTCTCGCTTCCCCACCCCCCTTCAAGGCCACTTCCTCCGAGCCGCACTTCTGGTTCGAAAAAGAAGAAGATGAAATCAAAGCTCTCATGACCGCATCCACGAAAGCGACCAAACGCGTCCACGAAAAGAGCCCCCTCTCCCACAACATGACCAACCTCGTAGTCCAGAACTTCGCCGCGAACGTCGCCCTCGCCATCGGCGCCTCCCCCATCATGGCAAACTACGGCGACGAGGCAATCGACCTGTCGAAACTCGGTGGCGGCCTCGTAGTAAACATGGGCACCGTGACTCCAGACGGTCTCTCAAACTACGCAAAGGCAATCACAGCGTACAACGCCGCCGGCGGACCCATAGTGTTCGACCCCGTAGGCGCGGGCGCAACAGCCATCCGCAGAGAAGCAACCTCCTTCCTGATGCGGAGCGGCTACTTCGACTTGATCAAAGGCAACGAGCGAGAAATCCTAGCCGTTGCCCGCGCGTCAGGCTTCACGCTGCACGACAACTCGCAGCAACGCGGCGTCGACAGCGGCGACTCACTCTTTTCACTCGAGCAGAGGGCGTACATTGTCTCCTCCCTCGCCGCCCGCGAGCGCAACGTCGTCCTCATGACGGGCGCGACAGATGTCATCAGCGACGGCACACGCATGTATGCCATTTCCAACGGCCACAAGTATCTCGGCCTCATCACTGGTAGCGGCTGCACGCTCGGCACCACGCTGTCCGCGTACCTGGCCGCCAATCCAGAGGATAAGCTGCATGCTGCTGTGGCGGGTATCCTGCATTTTGAGATCGCGGCGCAACATGCGGCGACACGTGACGATGTAAAGGGTCCAGGGACGTTTGTGCCCGCGTTTCTCGACGAGCTGTATAGTCGGGGGTTGGAGATTGTCGAAGACAGGGGTGACTGGACGGCGTTGCAAAAGATCGAGTGCATAAAGAACATCCCTGATGCGAAACTGCTCGAGGAGATACCATAAGCAGACGATAAGGAAGGAAGTGGAGATATAAGAAAGCATATAGAAGACAGATTGGCTGCTCTTACCGAAGACAGTATGCACCACGAGACAAAGAACTCCAAGTGTGACGTACAAAACTCTATCATGAGCTCAAAAAGGTCGTATTATGTTCTAGACAGCGACCAATACCGGTATCGAAACTCCGTGCCCTGAGAAATGCCAAACTCCGTGGTATCTTACCCATCCTTCCAAATGTAACCCCGTATCGCCGGCGTAGACGTGATACATGACCGAAAGAACCTAACGCCCAAGATACACCTATGCGGTGAACACAAACTCGCTAAGACTGCATCGACAAGAGAAACAACGCGTCAATGCTATCATGAAGAGGACGAAGTAGAGTCCTCGGCGGCAGGTGAAAGAACTGTCGCACCACTCGCCCGCAACGCTTTAACAGCACCATCCACCTCATCAGTCGCCATGCGCTGCCACTTCTCCCTTGTATCGTGATCTGCTAGAGCATCGGCACCAGCTCCTCCCACCTTCTCGTATAACAGGCGTGAGATGTCGCGGTTGATGTCTGTATATTCCTCTTTTGACACTTCCTTCTTCAGGTACAACGGCTTGAGAACAGCCGTCACCATACGCTGCAGCTCCGCCTTGGTCGAGTACGAAAGGGTTGGGGGGCGAGAAGGCGAAGAGTCCTTTGAGCGAGGAGGGCTGCTGAGACCAGCCGAGCGATGTGTGTGCCTGCGACGACCAATTCGATCATCATCCGCAGGCGAGTAAGGCGAATAGGTAGGCGAGAGTTGCTGGTCTAGCTCAACAGGCGACCTTGGACGACTGAGGTTTAACGGAGGCGGCGTGGTCATACCGCGTGGTGCGAAGTAGATAGGAGACAACCCAGGGGACGAGTTCTGGGGTGAACAGGCCCGCTCGACAATGATGCGCCGAGGCTGTGGGGCGGCGATCTCCTTGTCACGTTCGGCAAAGCGATCAACTTCAACTTCCTGTAGTAGAGACTGCAGAAAGCCGGGCGCAGTGGATGACTCAGCACCCTGGCCTGCTGGGGGCGAGGCGACTGACCCCTGAGGGTTATTGTGGTTGGCTGGGTTGCGGCGAGCTGCAGCGGCGGATGACTCGCCGTTGTCGATCTGCAGACGGGTTCGAGGGCGCTTCAGCTTGCGCTCAGGCATCTGTTCGCGAGGCTCAGACTCGGTAGGCGAAGAAGGAGCAGACTTTCGCTTGCGTCGAAGGCTGCTAGTGGTGCTGTTGTCGGGTGCAGGAAGTGCGTCCAGTTGGGCGAGCTGATCGCGCGCCTTCTCAAACTGATTCCATGCGCGGAGTTCTTCCTGGGACTCGGGGTCTCGGGGTGTCTTCGGAGCTTCTCGATGGAGCGAGCGATTTGGGGGTCGGGTGGTAGACCGGTTAGATCCGCGACGTCGGGTGTGGACGTTATCTGCAGCCGCGCGAAATCGAGTGCCAGCACCCAACTGACGCGCGAGGTCGAAACGCCGCTCCCACTCGTGAGCCTCCCGCCTCAGGACTTCCGAATGGTCTTCGGATTGTTCGTCGTCTTCGAAAGGGAACTCGATGTCGAACTGCAAGCGATTCCATACACTCTGCCAGACACCGACCCATTCGTCTGGAGCTCGGTTGTGGCGGGGCACGCGGCTGCGTCCGTTGACCCAAGCAGCAGGACCCCGCTGAGCAGTCCGTCGTTGGGAGGCAGCCTCTAGAAGTGCCGGGTTCTCAATGCATCCCTGGCAGTACCAGGCGCCGCGCGTCGGCATCTGATCGAGACCACCACAGAAGACGTGGCAGAGCTGCTCGCAGCTGTGACAGTACATAAGCTGCGATGCATCGCCAAACTCATCACACACCATGCATGCGTCATAGCTGCCGTCATCCTCAAGCATGTAGTCCTCGTCGATGATCATAGACGGATCGATGTCGGCGACTTGCTGTTTATCCTGCACGGCATAGTCGGATAGCTTGGGCCCTGCGTACTTGTTAGCTAGGTGTTCTTCAATGCATCTTGTCAAATCATGGTCATCACAGCGATGTGGGCTACACATGGGTGAAGCTGAGTTCGACTGACCATTTAGCCAGTAGTTGCGTCGCTACCGGAAAACAACAGCAACATCGCGACTGCAGCTTGTAGTGACATCCTCGGTTACATACCTCCAACGCGCATGCTGAGCTCCACCATGTTGAAACTGGCTCGGCATATCGGACAGCTGTTCGCCCTCTCTACCCAGGGTTTCAAACATTCGTCGTGTAGATCGTGACCACAAGGGAGCAGATGCGCGATCAACTCGTCCTCTTTGGTCTGCTCGGAAGGTGTCTGTTTGGTCGTATCGTGGTCACCATTAGCCGCAACCTCAAGTGAGTCGGTCGCGAGCGATGATGCGGTGGCGGGAAGACCTTCGTCTTGGTGGGCGAGGTCGCCGAGGCAGACTATACAAGTCTCGACCATTGTTGTTTTTTCCTGAGAAGAGAACGCGAGAAAGTTGGGCGACGCGATTCATATGTCGAAGTGAGAAGGTGAGAGCGGAGCAGGGCCCCTCTCTACATATAAAGGCCGGACGCTAATGTCTTGGCCTAGTCGTGACCCCTGTAGCTGCCACAACCACAACCACTCGCTAGACCCTGGGACGCCCAAGATGCGTGCAGAAGGAAAGACAAAGTGGAGTCTGGTTGTCTTGGAAGATACAGCTCTCTGGGATTGGAGCAGTCGGTGACGCAGTTGTTCTATTCGTATTGGTCTCCAGGTTTACCTTACCACGTGTCACGGCTCTCTAAGCGGATGACCAGATGACAAGTCCAGATAACCGATTTACTGCTCCGAATGTAAACAACATGTCATTTTTCGTTATCTTTTTCAGTGACTTATCCCTAGGAGGTTTAACACCGTGCGGCAATCCCTCATCAGGTGAGGGTTGAATTTTGAGGCGCACAAGAGTCGTTCCTCAGGCAGCCGTCCAAGGTGGGAACTCGTACATGTACCCAGCCGGTCGCGCACATGACAAGCGATGCTGATTGAACAACAGGTCTCTTGTCGTTGCCGCCTCTGATACCGTACAAAGCGATTCAACAGAGGCGCCTAGGCCTGGACGTCTTTAGGCACGCAAGTCCTCTTTGCCTACGTAGCACAGGCACACTGTAATGCATCCCGTCTGAACCGCACTGGTATCACGAGTGTCTCGATGTAGAGTTTATGGAGGGAGAAGAGCGAGACGGACGCGAAACGAAGTCGAGCCAAGTTTCGGTATATAGTTTATTGGTATCTTTGTTCGCAACCGACGTGCGACTTGCATTTCTGAAGTTTGCAGGGAGCCTGGTCTGCTGAGAAGAAGTGGTCTTGACATTTCTAGATCTATAGTCTCGCGGCTCTGTAAGCGCCCGGTGAGGCTATGGGTTGTTGCGGGCGACTCGCACTCGCGTCGCGTGTGCAAACCTTCTCTCAGAGAGATGCAAAGCAGACGAGTCTAGAGACCTGTGTGTCTTCAAGGAATCAGTGGCTCTGCTGAGGACGTGTGTGTTGCAGGTGCTAACCAAGCTATCCTAGAACCCCGCTGTTTCGCCGGGTCCTCCTGTCCTCATACCAACACTAAGAGCTTTCAGTAGCGACCTGGCACGCGGCAGTTTCCTGTGCGATCATAAACGCTGTCATAACTGGCGCCTCGAGTGTGGTGACGGTGGGAACGTTTCTCTTGTCGTTGCCCATCCAAGGTGCGTGTTTCTCCAACCGAAACCCACTAAACCGCATTGGTCATAGGGTCACTCAACCAGCAACTGACATCATCGCATGAACGTATGATGCGCTGTTCTCGTCGTCTATCGCGAAAAAGTGAGAATATGGAAGAAAGCTTCAGCTTTTCGCAACATCTCTACTCTCTAAGCAGGGCCGCGATCAATTGTTGTATTCAAAAACTGCTCCTGCCTCGGTAAGTATGACTTCATCTTCCCGCTCAAGCCAGTCTCTAGTCAATGAGCTAGTTCCTTGTGAATCGGAGCTTGGCTATCACCACCCGTTGTAGGAGTTCCTCCGACTCATGTTGCCAGTGGAACGCTATCCCACGCTCCGGTGAGATAAACCCACGGATTTCGGCCCGACTTTAAACTAATTAGAGCAGGGCTTGGCGTTAGTAAGTTAGCGTTTAGTAAACGTTATAAACTTTAAACTTAGAAACTATTAATTAACTTAATACTAACTTACTTTATACTTTAACGTTTTACTCTATAATTATTAATACTATTTACTCCTAAAATAGCTCTACGCAGCTGCGCTAATAATAACCTTATACCTAAGGATGCTCTAGCTACTTAAAAATTACAGTAGAAGCCTTTACTTATATACCTTAAAGGCTACCCTAAAAACCCTCTACTAACGTAGAAACTGCTTATACTTAATAACCTTAATAAGTAAGGTAGCCTACGCCTACCTTACTATAATAGTAAGCCTTATAATTAGATACCTATTAAACTCTTTAAGCTCTTCTTTACTAATAATAAGATTATAAAAATATACTACTTTACTAATAAGAATACTTATTAATAATGCCTACCTAGCTCTACTCTAGAGTACTCTTATCTATAAAGACTAGTAACGCTGTATAAAATCTTTAGTTACCTAGCTATATAAATCTATATAGGTATATATAAGAAGGTATAAGTTAAAGACTATTAGTACTCTAATAATTAATTTAGAGTAGTTTATATTTATCTATATAAGATTATAAGCCTTATCTAATTTAAGTAGATTAATTATTACTTTTATATTACTTAACCTTATAATATTAATAATCTATTTAAGTATTTATTTAAGTAAGTATAAGAGTTTTCTAAATATATCTATTACGTTAGCTAATATTACTAGAGCCTAAGGTAATATTTAGCTATAGATAAGAGTATAACTTACTTCTATAGTTACGCTAAGAAGAAGACTATAATTAATTATAAGTCTAACTTAATAAGTTATAAAACGTAGTACTTTAGAGATTCTAAGTATTAATTAAACTAGCTTTTCTATAGTAAAGGTTTAAATTCTAGTAATAGCTCTTATAAACTTAACCTATATTACGTAGAACTTAGTTTCTGTTCTACTTAAGCTCTTATACTCTACCTTACTCTAGACTACTTTGCTAGTAATATTAATATATAGCTACTTAAGCCTAATAAATACGTAATTTTTATAAATAACTTATTTATATTAGTACTATTACTTAAGAAGTTATAGCGCGCTAGAATTATAGCTATAGGTACTATATAGATAGAGAAGACTCTACGTAAAATTAGTATAGGTAATATTTTATCTTAAGTATCTTAGGTATTATAGTAGCCTTCTATAAAATGCAAAGCTGTAGCTCTACTAATAATATTATCTTAGCTACCTAAGAAGCGCAGCTAGCTCTAGAAAAATGCGCTACTAGTAATAATGTTATTGCTATTACTCCTACCTACGCAGCCTATATAGAAGACTTAGAGTAGTTAGGGGCTAGAGCCTAAGCTCCTAACTACTCTTAGTAACCTAGCTAAGGGCTTCTTAATAGATCTTATTAATATTAAGGCTTAATATAATAAACTTAAGTAGAGTACTATTTACTATAATACTTTAGGAAGTAAAGAAGTTAAGATAATAGCTTAGTATAATAATAATGTTATTCTATTTACTATAATATTTAATAATTTAGTAGCTACTATTACTAGGCTAAGGAAAAGACTAGGTAAAATATAGATTAGAGTAGTCTAAATGTATATAGCTTTTAAAGACACGCTTTATAAGAAAATAGAGATCTTAGTTTTAATTAATCTCTATAATAAGTTTATAAATATAATTAATTAATTTAATTAACTTTAGAGTTATTACCTACTTTAACGCGTCTATTGTAAAACCTAGAGGCCTCTATTTACGCTCCTACTTAATATTATACTTATAAATACTTATAAGCTCTATAGTAGTAAAAACAGTACTTTGCTTTATAAATAGAGTACTTATAGAAACTTTCTTCTTAACCTTATAGTTAAACTTAAGGGCTTGTTAAAGCAGTAAATACTCCTTTATAAATAACACTTAATTAAAGCTGTTCCTGTACTAATTATTAGCTATAAACTTATTAAACTCTATACTTAAAATAATTATTAATTATATATAATTTACGCTAGAATTAGCTTCTAAGCTACCTAAAAAATATCTCTATAAGTTATTTTAAGCTTAAATCTTAACTTAGTTTAGAATAAGAGACTGTAGAAGATAGTATTTAAGTATTTAAAGTATAATAAAATAATTTACTATCTTTGCTAGTCTCTTTATATAAATAAGGAGGAGCTTAAATCTTAGCTTATTAGTAATAATATATGTCTGCAGCTTAGGCTAGCGTAGTAAATATACTAAAAATATAATTATCTTAACTTTAATTAGTCCTATTAACCTGTATTAAAAATAATTAAATTTTAAATCTATATACGTAATTTTTAGTGTAGAGCTTCGATTTTGAAGTTCTTGCGATGTAGCGCTATGACACGATTCTATTGGCCGAAATCCGCGGGTTTATCTCACCGGAGCGTGGGATAGAATCCCGTTTGACAGGTGATGCCGAGAACTGAATACTTAAGGATCGGTTGATGTCTTCCCACCTCTTCCTCAAACCCCGCCTCGCCGCCCAGTACTCATTTGCATCCAAGCTAATCGACGAGGAAGACATGGCCCGGCAGTACGAACTCATCCTGCTCGGAGCGACTGGCTACACTGGAAAGCTGGTTGCAGAGTGGGTTAGCACACACCTTCCGGAAGACCTGAAGTGGGCGATTGCTGGACGCAATACGAAGAAACTCCAGGCTGTCGTTGATGAGTTGACGAGGTTGAACCCAGACCGAAAGCAACCAGGTAACAACTATCCTTCCACGTCAAACCAAATCATTCTCAGGTCCAAGCTAACACCAATCACAGACATTGAAACATGCGAGCTCAAGAAAGAAGAACTGGATTCTCTCGCCCAAAAGACCAAGCTCATCATCACGACTGTGGGGCCGTTCATGTTCTATGGCGAGCCCGTTCTCTCTGCTTGCGTGAACAACGGAACACATTATCTAGACTCCACGGGCGAAGTACCCTGGTACTATGATATGATTGCCAAATACGACAGCCTCGCGAAGGAGAACAACAGCATCATCATCCCTCAATGCGGTCTCGACTCTGTTCCTGCAGACATCTTGGCATTCGTTCTAGCAAGAGAGGTCCGCAAACGCTACAACGCGCCCTGTGAGAGGGTCATAATGACACTCTACGACTCAAAAACGGGCGTGAGCGGTGGCACAAGTCTAACAGTGCTGTCACTGTTCGACAACTACTCGCTCAGCCATCTAGCAAAGAGCATGCATCCTTACAGTCTTTCACCCATCAAAGCGGACTCGGTGGTGGGAGCTCCCAAGGCAGATCTGCTGCATAGTCTCCTTGGCCTAAAATATGTACCCGAGCTCGGTGGCGTACAGACTACAGGTCCTATGGCTGCTGCAGATGCACCAATTGTTCATCGCTCATGGGGACTGTACCAGTCTGATCCTGCCCTGGCTTATGGTCCCAAGTTCCGTTTCAACGAATACATGCGTGCGAGCAACATTTTCAGCGGTGCCATGATCAAACTCGCCTTTAGCGTTGCAAGCATCGTCCTCGCTATCCCACCCGTCCGTTGGATGATCGCGCCCCTTATAAAGAAGTTCCTAATTCCAAAGCCGGGCGAGGGTCCTACCAGAGAGAGTATGAAAAATGACTTCATTTCCTACCGCGGTGTAGGGATTGCCGAGCAGGATAAGGGCAAGGTTACGGCGAAGCTAGACTGTGCGCACGGCGGGTATGCGGCAACGGCAATTACGCTGAGTGCAGCTGCTCTTCTGATAACCAGAGGAAACCTTGACGGCACAGAGGCAGGAAGGTTGGGCGGAGGCATTCTGACGCCTGCGACGCTGGGCGAGCAATACGTTGCGAATCTTAGCGACTTCGGCATGAAGATTCAGGTTGATAACTAGGCAAGAGCCACAGGAGACTGGGATTTATCAAGAGAAGTATCGGCTTGAAGAGCTTTTGTTATTACACGATTTTGTGGTACGTGATTTGGATTTTAACATTTGTCACAATCAAACGCATATCTAGTGATGTCATCTCCTAATGCCATGATCGACGCACGTGAGAACGCGTTGCGCTGACTGAATATCTGATGGAACGCGATCCTTCCCCACAGCCCCCTCAATCCCATTTCCCAACTCAACATTCGACCCTCAAGCAACATCTGTTGAGTAGAAGCGCACCAAATTTGATATAGTTACTTATTTTAGATGTTGAAATCGGGCTTGGAGGGTCAGCCGCCTATACCTTAGACAGTTCTTGCGATCTCTCGCCATGAGCGGCCTTCTCTTTCTGCACACACGTCCTCGACAATCATATCTAACCACGATTTCTGGCTTCCAGTCTTTATGATCGTTACTTCTCAAGCCCGTCCAAGCGTCTCATCAAACAATGTACCGCAAACTTTCTTCGAAACGAAGCGCGCGGATAGGCCCGATTGAAACGGCGCATCGGTTCTACCAAGCCACTTGAATTGTTGAAACATCACGGCATCTGAAATGATGAGCCGCACGCTGCATATTACGGCGTAGTCTCCGGTATAACATTCCGCTTAACCCCGTTTCACATCATGCTCCCTATTCGTTCGGTACTCAGCCTTGGTCTGCGGCCAAATATACTCGCGGGAAGATCCAGGTATATGAGCGCGAACATGATGTGTTCCGCCGCCTGAAGTGCCGAAATCGAAGACACAAAGGGGTGGGTATATATTCACTCTATTCCTGTGGCATAGACTTTTGGCAAAAACCTACTTTCATTCTCTCTCTAACTTCCTACCAGGTTCCCAGTAACCGTCCTCTCATTTGCAATCATGCGTTTTTCTAGTGCCACCACTCTTTTGGCCCTTCCTTTCCTTACAAATGCTGTTCCTATCAGTGATACGCTCTCCAGTGGTTACCAAATGGGCATTTTCTATGTCAACTGGGTAAGCTCGTCGTAGGTTGGTCTTGCTCTCCAACTAATTAAGTGATAAAGGCTATTTATGCACGTCAACATTTTGTGACCGACCTCCCTGCCAGCAAACTCACCAAGGTTACATACGCCTTTGCCAATGTGAACGCCACTACCGGCAATGTCTTCCTCTCGGACGAGTGGGCGGACGTCCAGATCAAGTTTGCTGGCGATGTTGCAACCAACGGCACTGAAATGTTTGGTAACATGAACCAGCTACTCAAGCTGAAGAAGCAAAACCGCAACCTCAAGACTTCGCTATCCATTGGTGGCTGGACGTACAGAGATAACTTCAAGACAGCGCTTGCGAGCAATGCTACGAGGTGGAACTTTGTACAGAGCTCCGTGGCTATGGTGGCAGACTTGGGATTCGACGGCGTGAACATTGACTGGGAGTATCCCGAGGACAAAACTGATGCAAAGAACCTCGTGGAGACGGTGAAACTCCTCCGCACTGTATGGATCCCCATCTCTTGCTCAGTGTATTTGGCACTAATATGACGAAGGCGCTCGACCAGTACGCTGCCAAACACGCCGACGGATACCACTTCCAGATCGACGTTTCTGCTCCCGCCGGCCCACTAAAGTACACCGTTATGCCTATCGCCGCCATGGACCCGTACATCGACGAGTGGAACCTAATGGCATTTGACTACATGGGCCCTGGCTTCTCGAACTTCACCGGTCACCTCAGCAACGTGTACCCGTCGACGCGCAACCCCAAAACCACTGACTTCAACACTGCACAAGCCATCAAGTACTACAAGTCAAAAGTCGCGTCCTCCAGAAAAGTCATCCTGGGTATGCTACTCTACGGCCGCTCGTTCGCTGACACGAACGGCATGGGCCAAAAGTTCAACGGCAGCGGCGACGGCACGTGGGAGGCGGGTACTGTGGACTACAAGAGCCTACCGCTGAACGGCAGCGTCATCCACACCGACAGAGAGACCGTGGCGTCCTGGGCGTACAACAACCAGACACGCCAGCTCATCAGCTTCGACACGCCCGAGGTCCAGGCCCTCAAGGCTAAGTACCTCAAGAAGGAGAAGTTGGGTGGTGCGTGGTGGTGGGAGTCCAGCGGTGACCGCGCTGATGACAAGAGTCTTGTTTCGACGGTAAGAAACCACTTCCTCTGGGATGGTAGACGTCTGGCTAATGTGTTGTCTAGGTTTCTAACGCGTTGGGCGGTACGCGCGTGTTGCAGCAGAACCGGAACTGCATCCACTACCCGGTCTCCAAGTACGACAATGTTCGCCGCTCGACTTGAGGAGGTGCATGCATTGAATGCATGGGATGTTGCCCTGTTGTGTGTTAAGGTGGTTGGTAGAGCAATACCATAGTCAGTCGATGCAGTGTTCATCAATCTAACAATCGTGAGCACGTCTCTCGGTTAGTTGAAATACCTTGAATGAACCTACGTTCTACTGAAAAATATCGTAACTAGATTGAAGGAATAAAGAACATGGCTAACCACATGGGGCAAATACTAGTAATACTTATAGTCTTCAAGTTTCACACAACGTTTGCATGTAGCTGTCTAGCAAATGGAACACTTCGCTGCACGTTGGTTACTGGTGTCTCACCTAGCTGAGCAAGTTACGCAATATAATAGCAAATTTTTATTTTGCCATAAGAAGTAAATTTGTAACCTTCTACCATATGAAGGGAGACTACAAGTGTAGTCTACTATATTTTGCAATATAGTTCTGATCAAAAAGCACCATGCCGCAGAACGTAACCGACAATTATTCTCCAAACTCCCATGTATGTAGCCTCCTTAAACGCCTTGCTTGAAATGCTATCAATGCAGTAATCCACTCTCGCCCGTCTCAGCCATGTTCTTCTGGCAATCAACCATGATCTTGACCATCTGGCCAACCTGCTCTAGTCTGCTGAGGACGACCTTGTTGCCCTGCGAGAAGTTGTAGCAGTGGTACTTGATGCCTGTCTTCTCGGAGAACTGGCGGACCAAAACTTGTCCTCGCCTCAAGTTGTGTCGGGGCACGCGGGGGAACAGGTGGTGCACGGCCTGGAATTGCAGACCGCCGTGTAGCCAGTCTAGCCATGCGGGGCACTCGACATCCATGGTGGTGCGGAGTTGGCGCTGGGGGAACGATTCTGTGGGGCCGAGGTCGGCCGTGGGCATGCCCCAATGCGAGAGCGTGATTTGGACGTGGAGGAGCATGGTGATTAAATGCGAGATCAAGACGAATCCAATGCGGATGGGCCAGGTGGGCAGGTAGAGCCAGACGAGGCAGTAGCCGTAGATGTACCAGTAGCACGCCATGAACAAAATCTCGACGGGGCGTGTCCACCATGCGGCACCCAGTTGCGCAGCGCGTGGCGAGCAGAGATGCAACCAGCTGAGCATGTACAGGTTGAACCTCGCGAGAGCCATAATCGGGTAGTACGTGTACTTTTGGTAGGGGACGAGGAAGTCGGCGCCGGCGTCCCAAATGAATTCGAAGTTGTAGAATGACGACAGAACGGACTTCATGTATGTTGGAGTGGTCGAGAAGAGGGGAATGTTCTGGAGATCTGGGTCGTGCTCGGGCATGTTGGTGATGAGGTGGTGGACGTTGTGTGACGACTTCCACCAGCCAATGCTCAGGCCGCAGCAGAAGTCTGCGACAAAGGCGCCGATGAGCGTGTCGATGATGAAGTTGCCGGATATGCCGCGGTGGCCTGCGTCGTGGGCTGTGAACATGATTTGTTGCTACAAGGACGAATGTTAGCATGTGATAATCGCAATACGGTGTGCGAGACAACTCACCCAGAACATGCCCAGGAACATGGCAGATGTGAGGTACCATTTGCAGTAAAGCAATGTACCGAATATAGCAAACAAGATGCCGTATCGTATCGACTCCTTGCCGTATTCTGAGTAGCGGCACTGGTAGAGCCCTTCATCTTTGAATTGCTGGTGTAGCTCGCGGTAGTCGTCCAGGATAGCGGCCTGTGTAGCAGGATCAATCGAAGGGTTGTCCCTCAGCCCCTCCTCAATCTCCTTCTGTTCGATTTCGGTCGCATATTGTTCGCGGTGTGTTTTCTTGTCAAAAGCACCCTTCTCCGACTCTACCTCGAGTAGCGGCAGCTTCTCCGATTCGGTCTTGTTTGTTCGGGATACACATGCATCTTGCGGTATTAATCTCTTGCTGATAATCGCCACCGCCTGTGCATCTGGTCAGCCGTGTCTTGGTGCTATATGCACGTGCCACTTACAGATCCGAGGTCGACACTGCGCCTGGACTTGTGGCCAGCCGCTTTCGCAGCCGCCTCCTTTTTCTCGCGCGCTGCTAGGTTCTTGTAGAAATCTGGGGAGCGGATCGGGGGTTCGAGATTCGTCCACGGTAGCTGCACGCGACCGATGCGATGCTTCTTCATCATCAAAAGGGCCTTCGTAGAGTGGTAGCTATTTGATGTGGAGTCAGTCTTGGGTGCTTAGCTAAAGCCCGCCGTCTGCGCCAGTTCGTCCGCAACAGGAAAAGTGGGATCTAGTTCATGCGCGCCGGCTTACATATTGATCTCGTCGGTTGCATCTCTGCCAACCATGTGCAAGATGGCCAGGCGGCCGCCGGGATGTGTGTTGATCCATTGTCCGAGGTGCAGGGCATATCCATCGTGAATGACAATTGGGAGGCCCTGTGCGATCTGGCTCTTGACCTCCTCTGGGGAGATGATTTCGAGGCGTGACATTGTGGGTGGACGGTGGGGAAGCAACAAGCAAGGTCACAGGCTTGGAGGGAGTGCTGCATCTATAATATAGGCTGGATACGAATTTCGGGATAATTACGAGGCACGGTCGTTCTTTCCCAAGGGGGCGGAGTACAAACAGGTACCCCTTTCACTCGCTGGTCTGCGCGACATCCGCTCCACTTCCACTGGCGTTGCCAATTATGACCTACGACGCCTTTCTCTCGTTTGGTTCGCCTCCTCCGTCCCGCCAATGAAAAGCATTTAAATCGGTCAAATGTAGTTTAGATGTGAGCAGGGTTGGGGACAGACCTGCCGTACACTCTATTAGTTTCCCTTGGTATGAAGCCACCAACAGTCCAGTCTCTCCCAAGCCTCGATTCCCAACGATATCCCGCATGATTGCCGCGTGATGAAGGCCTGAGCGGTGCCTTGTCGCAAAACGTCCTCGATTCTCTTCGTGCTAGCGGCGCGGGGAGGACAGCTAACCCGTGAACGAACAGTTGTCTCAGACCTTGATAGGTACCGATGCTCAGGGTCTAGGATCTGGCTGGACCCTTATACTTGGCGTAATGATCCAGGCACATCTCCATCGTACTCGTATCGGCCTTCATACGGATTTCTGTCCGTCGACCTGGCGACAGTGTCTTCTAAACAAGAGATGTTGATTCACGCAGTGTCAGTCTCGTGATGGCGGTGGCTTGTTGTTGGCACTCTGCAGAAATCCTACCTACTCGGTCAGTTTCTCCGGCTGGAGCCAAGTACCTATTGCTACCCGCTGATCGCATCCTTCGCTTATTAGTTGCTTCAGCACTCCACAATTGGCTTCCAGCCTATCCCCACACAGCAACCTCAGCCGACTATCATCCACGCGTCGCACACTTCCGCGCAACTGTCCTCAACCCCAGCGCGATTTATGTAGAAGACCCGCCTAGCACAGACCTCCGAGTCGAAATGGGTTTGCCACTCCAAGTTCCCTGAATCAATGTGCCAAAGATTCAGCCTTGACCGGTAGCCTCCTCATGCCATCGACGTTGAAGGTTCACGCGCGCCAAGGACCAGCCCGACGATGACGTAACCGTGGAACGGCACGATGCTGAAGGTACGACGCAGGTGGCGCAAAGGATGCGGACTTCCTCATATACACAGAGCAACTGGTACCTAGAATCTAGAGAATGTCAGTATCACATGTGTGGTATCAGGTATGCGCAACGCAAACATATCATTCTGCTTCGACGCAACAGCCAAACTTGAACCGCTCATCAATTATTAACCATCAGACGCACTTCATCATAGCTTATATTCACACAAAAGCCTCTTGACCCACAGTTTTTCCATACAGAGTCTACCCCACTTCATCCTACAACCTAGATCGTATAGATACCTCGGCAGACCCACGAACAAACCGAGTAGCACATGCTTGTTCAGCTCCTTCATCACATGTCCTGAACAATGCCCTCCGCGACACAATGGAATCACTTGCACGCACACTCAAAACATGGAAAGCCGTACAGCATTTGCATTCGTTCCCGATCGAGGTAAGGCCTCAGTTAGTCCAAATGCATGGAATCAAGCCACATCTTTCTCCACAAAAGAACGCAACTAGGCCGCAAGATCGAATCCTACAAGTTTAGTGTTCTAAGCGTGTACTAGCAATACTTAAGGCGCCTACATATGACATGATTTCGGCATATAGTTTTCAAGCTATTGCAAGATACTGCTGCAGCTTGATTCTGGGTAACCGAGAGGTGAGGACATCGTTCGTGATGGAGGATTACGTAAGTAAATTGAGTAGACGGTAGGTCACGGCCTGGAAGAGGCATAATAGGGTGAGTGAACCGTTTGTAGGGGACTACTTGACGATATATGGAGCTGAGTAAGACTCTATCTTCACGGTGGTTGGTATACGACGATGCGAGGTTGGCAATGCGCTTGTGTTGTTGTACTTTTTACTCCCTTGAACACGTTTTCCCGTACAAAGCGTAGCCAGGTCCTTACCTGATGATGTCTTCACACAGGGATTTAGTAGCATTTTGGATCATCTCCGTCAACTGCACTCCGACCTCAGACTCTAGTCTCTCACATCGACATGATACGGGCAGTCATCGCTCTTTCGACTGGAACAACTATTCGGTAGACGGGGAATGTGGCGAAGGATTTAAACAACATTGTATATGATCGCAATAGGAGGCTGAGTAAGAATGCGTGCGTGGCGCAATGATTCGTCGTCCTAGGTACTCGTGTGGGGTGTAGAAACTGGGAAATGTATCGGTACGAAGGACATGTAAGTAGAGGCTCATGCTTGCGGATAGAGTCTGAATATAGATTATAGGGTGGCTGGATCGTAATCAAACCTCCCCACGATCGTTTCCTTAGTCCAGTCAAACTTGTAACTGCGCGACTGTGTCGTGTTTTCTTATCTCTGATTAGCACATGTGAACGTGGGTGCAATGGCGAATACTCTTGCTATCGAGAACGGATAGCAGTGTGTGGGGTTCAGGAACGATGAAATATGGTGTTTGGGGATAGGATGTCGGTTTGCGATGAGTGTCGTGGAAGAAAGGCAGAGACATGGATATCAATCTTGAAAGGCGAGAGTGGTTACTTGGAGGACACACGCTAAGCAGTGGTAATTTAGATTGTTCGTAGAACATGGTATAGATTCTATCTGACTCGACATGCAGATGCCCAATTTTACAATATCATTAAGGAGTGACCCAAGGACGGCTAATGCGATGATCCTCGCTAAAAATGCTTCAAGTAAACAACAAACATTAAGGAATGCAGGTTCGTAACGGTTTGCTTCTCTTCCCATTCATACACCTGTGGCTTCTTGCATCTAGAGTCCGCAGTTGCCGACGGCGACTTGAGCGAATTGCGCATCGATGCGGCCCAGCTGGTCAGCTTGGCCGTTGGTGAGCTCGTTCATGGCTGCCTTTGCGAGGTTGAAGCCGTTCAGCGTGCTATCAATGGCAAGGACGTAGATGGTCTTTCCATTGTAGGTGATTCCGTAGCATGTGCCGCACTGTGAGAGGGTTTGTAAGTATGATGAAAATTATACTGCGTTGAGAAGTACATACCTGTGCGGAGTTCCAGCCAGCAATACCTTGGTATCCGCCGACACGTGGGAATGATGGGAGAGAGCCCTGGGTGGAGTACCCCTTGGTGATGAGGCCGTTGGCTCCGTCTGAGCAGGATACTGCGGTCAGGGAGCGGCCGGCATCGTCGTAACCGGTGTCAAAAGAAACTTTGAAGGTCAGCACACATTGCATTCAAGACGAGAGTGATAGACATACCAGAAACGGCCGAGGTAAGGCTGGCAAGACCAAGAGCGATAGCAGAGGCAGTGAACTTCATGTTGTCGGTGGATGAGTATGATAGGAATGGATTTGGTTGATTAGAGTTGGTGCTTGGAGTTGATGTTTGAGTTGATGTTTGAGTTGATGCTTGAGTTGATATTGCTTTTGGAGCTTGAATCTCATCCTTATATACACCGTAGGCAATCAATCTACCCGTATTCTAGTTCTCGTATTCTGTCTCTCTTCTCGGCATGATTGTTGCCGTAGGAGCTAAGATTAGTGTAAATCAATGGAGAAGCATGGTTGTGATGATGATAGTTGCCACAGGCTAACCTTGACAATCATTACAGGTGACCTCAGATAGTCGATTTCTGGAAGGCGATATAGAGTAGTGAGCTCATAGTGCCCAAAGACACGAGCGTTGGTGTGGGGACGATGGTATTTTTGGAACGGTGACAGGAGGGCGGGCCTAAGGAAAACCTCCGGAGCTAACAGCTGTTACATCGCGCCACTCGCAACCGGCAAGATCTGACAGCGATCAATACTTTGCGAATCAATACAGTTCACGGTTGAATGCAATGTAGAGTGCTACTGCCTGATTTGAAGACAACTGCAGTCTACTGCAAGCGGAAAACCATTCCCGACAGGCGACACCTGACTGTAGTATTGTCTCTGTAAGATATTTTGGGAGATGCAGGCCAGGGTTCCCCAGACAAGATCGTGCTGACTGTGATTGAGATGCAACAGTGTCTTTGACCGATTTGTGTGTGCTCTTGAGCCTCACCGCTCAAAACGGACGTAACATGTAGCGGTGTTCGGTTCTGTCTGATTGCCGTCGCAATGGTGGATGTTGCAATGCGACCCTCTCGGCACCATCCGGGCTATGCCCAGACATGCTAGTCATGACAAAGATTGATCTATCAGTCAATATAATGCCCCGCTGTAGGTGGTGTGAAGGCATCGCATAGGTAGATCTCACCGCCTTTGTGTCGCTGTGTTCATCTGCTCTTAAGTGGTATTTCTGGGTCTCGTAAAACGACGCATTGCAAAAACCCCGCTCGGAGCATGGCAATGGCTTTGCCAAGATATCGCGGCAGCCAGCATCCGCTCTCACGGTCAAGTGCAAAAGCCGAAGCCAGCGACATGTTGCAACAGCTTGACAACTAAATTCAGACACGAGGTAAAGCTTAAGCATTCCAGACATATGTCTAACCAGCTTGTCTGTAGCATATGTTCATGTACTTTTTCGGGTTCTGCACTAAGATGAACGCAACCTACTTGCGGCTTTTACACTGCACCGAGAGCCGCTGTCACATCGATCGAGTCAGGGAGCGGCTGAAATCTGTGGGGTTGGTGGCTCATGCACTAGCTCTTCCGGACAGCTCAAACATTCTGCGTGCCAGCAACGGCCGTCACCGAGTTTCATCTCTTCTGACAGACACGCCATTGCGTAGAATCTATGTCTTTGGCGCCTATATGCCCTGGGTCCCCGAGCTGCTACATATGGAGCCTCAGGCTGGCTGCGGCTGTGCCATCGACCAGTGGCTAATGGGACCAATGGTAGCTGAATACTCAGCAGTTTCGTTCTTGATGAGTTGGCAGTCGAGACTTTGATTCGTGCCCTTTGCGACGTCTGGAGTCTCGAGAAGCTCTGCCATGTCTTGCACAGGCAGACATATCCAACATGAGTATACTTAGTACGGCGGCAACGTTTCCTGCTGTGTGCTATATAATGGTCTCAGTTCTGCTCAGCTGTAGTCTCCAACAATCAGGCAGGTCCATCGTTCTATTCTCTTACTACTTTCACTTCGAACAATTCACCTTTTTCTCTTCTACCCATACCTTTCTCTATTCCAACGAGCTAGTCTCTTCGATTTCAGTCAATTACCATGCATTTTTCCACAATCTTCGCCGCCACCGCCCTCGCTGGCGCAGCCATCGCAGAGGAGCACTTCGTCGCTGTCAGCAACAAGACCGGCAGTCTTGTTTTCCAGCCTGATAACGTCAAGGCTGCCGAGGGTGATACCGTTACATTTCGCTTCTGGCCCAAGAACCACTCCGTCGCCCAGGGTGCTTTCGGCTCTCCTTGCCAGCCTTTGGATACCGGATTCTGGTCGGGCTACGTACCCACTGTCGACACCCAGAACGTTGCAAACTGGACGTTCACATACGAGGTCAAAAATGCGTCGGTGCCAATCTGGTACTATTGCACACAAGGCAAGCACTGTCAAAACGGTATGGTCGGTGTGATCAACGGACCGTAAGTCTTGATGAGTTTTGACACATCGTTGCTGTGGCTAACATGACCAAGTGCTTCTGGCGCAAAGACTTTGGAAGCGTATCGCAATGTTTCTAAAAATGCAGAAAACAATGTTTCTCCCAACTCGAAGGCTGGCACTGGTGGTAATCTCAAAGATAACAGTACCTCAACCAACTTGGACACGACTGGCGCGGCGTCGCACCTCTCTGGCAGCCTCATCTTCGCCGGTCTGGCGGGCACGTTCGCGTACCTTCTGATGTAAGATATGAGAAGACGGGATGACGGGATGAAGAACAGAGATACCCATGTAGAAGGATACATTTGAATGCCCAATAATCTACGACGGAAGAGAGATTTAAAGCATGTGGACGAAGACGGGGGATTAGACTGGCGTTGATCAAACAACTGAGTGTTATACAATTGCTTGAACCTCTACATTTATCACTTTGCGCATGTGTATCCGTGAGGCTAGCCTGTGCGTCGCGATGACTATCGACTGCTGCAGGAAATCTTAGCACAGATTCATATATGGGGGGGTGCAACCCACCAACTTCATAGCAGAGATAGCCTGTTGCTCTTTTCTTCATCTTCATTATCATACCGCGCCGCCTAACCTCAACTTCTGCGATACCTCACTGTCGCCTCACCCGACACATAGCAAATCCACTTTCAGCACTCTTTCTGCTTGCATTATGAACTTGAATTGTCTCAGTCAAACAACTGATCTCGCTCCTCTTTGTCACACTTGAACTCATAATTAGGCTTCCTTTACCTGAACTCTCCGCTTAATAGCAATACGGCCAGCGTGCCATAGTTCCGTAGTATGGGAACGACAAACGACTCGACAGAAAGAAAATAGCAGGGATGGGAGGCCGCGAAGGCAATGAACCAAGGGGAGTGAGAGTAGCTAGAGAAGACAACCCAATCTCGCAGTTAATCGAAATACTTGAAACCAAGCTGCAGCAAGATTGAGCCAAAATTTGTCATCTACATTCAAAGTTTGTGTAAGACTCAAACATCTTGAGTATTACGACTATGTGCCTACTGGCCTATAGTAACTAAACCCGTAGTTTGGGGTTGTTATCACGCTGTGAAAAACAATCGAGGGCACACACTTGGTGTCACTGACTGACTATGCCGTCCGGAAAGCCTAAAATCACCTATGATCACTACGACATGTCGGCCCACCATCAAGACAAGCGGTATCGACGAGATGACGACTCCGACACCCCCAATGGTCCGCAGTACTGCGAGATACAGGGACCAGGTCATTCCTTCCGGTATCGCAAGACTCTCAAGCTGAGGGACGAGTGTTACCCATCTATCGCCGCCATACACCCTGGCTTTGTAAGTTGCATTTGAATAGTGTCTTGTGTATCGGGCCAATTTTCTTTGGACCTCTACGGCGTCGAAATATGTATGGCAACTTCAATTGCATCTACGGTCAACGCAGCGGCGCTCAAAAAACTCGAGATCGAACTCACTACACTCTGTATATCGTTTTTTACACCTTTTGTATTCTTCATGTCTGACCTTGTAGCAAATGTTGAAGAAGGCCATCAAACGTAAAGATACATTGAAGCCTGCAAAGGGATAATGAATAGATGAAGTTGCTGACGCTGAGTACAACGACACGGACAGTCTGCTGTGACGAGATAGCAAGTCGCTGTCAAGGCTATCGGTAACATATCATATCTCCTCGGCGTTACCAACTACGTTTATCTGTACTCTCCAGAGGCGAGAGATTGAAGGCTTTGTGGTAGTCTGTACAGCGAGGTATGTCTTGACCTATCCTTCTACGAATTGTTGTTATCTCTGCTGCTGCTGCTGGAACTCATCGACAGACCTACGGAAGTGCTTTTTTCCAGTTGAGAAAGCCACCCGAGCTGCAGGTGACGTCGATAATCGGAATGTGGGGCGCACGGACCCTGTTTCTTTGAGTTGCCGATGGAGAAGCGCGGCCGGCGGAAGGACTCGGCGCTCGAAGTAGACTTGGCAAATACGATGTCATTGGACGTACTGTTTAGGTATCACAATGAGAGCATGTACAGAATCTGGAGGTATTTTTGACTTTGAGATTTGATATTGTTGATACTTGGGTTTGCTACACAACCCTTCCCGTTCCTATGACCCTGATATGAACTCCAACTAATCATGTGCGATGCGAATTGCATGGCCCCTCACTTCTCGAGGATCACGAAGTACGGCCTTGGGTTTGATGTGGGCGGTCTTCTTGTGTCCTGGCGGTGTGACTTGCAGCGTCCAGCGCGCGCGTTGTTCCTGTTTCTTTTCTTCCCCTTCACCCTTTCCCCGGAAGCGTGGTTGCTTTCCTGAGCTCGAAGCTGGTCTTTTTCATCTTCCTATTGAACCGTTTGTGTTTCAATCACTGGACTTCGTAGAGTTCCATAGCCTTCTCCAAGTCCTTGATGCTGGCGCGGTCCCCATATGCCTCTTCCAGAAGCTTGGCCCTGTCCTTTGCGTTCACAGGGGTTGTCTCAAGACCCGCGAATGCTCGCTCCATGTCCTCAAGACTTGAACGCTCTCCGTAGAGGTTCATCAACTGTTGGTTCTTCTCTTCTTGAGTGAGCTCAAGTACCATGTGTGCCTTGCGGTTAACTTCATGGAGAGCGTTGGTAACACCAAAGCCTATGTGGCGATTAGCCGCGTCGAGCGTGACAATCGAGCGGCTTTGTTGGGAGGAGCTTGCAAGGTAGAGCTTCGTACCAATAGCAATTGCAGCCATAGAAGGCAGGTACCTGGAACGGGTTAGAGATGAATGGGTTGAACTTTGAAAGATCATTGGACGTACCATTTTGCTATTCTACCAAGCTTGGGGACGACGTTTGCCGTTGATGCGAACTGAGATGCAGTAACGCTCTCCATAGGGATGGCGGTGCGTGCACGTGTTGAGGTGGTAAAGAGCCTCTGGCGGAGAAATGGTGCAATGCGGAAAGACATCTTGATGGATGGAGATATTCGATATGGTAATGAGAATGTAGTGTCGGTTTGGCGAACAAAATTCCTCCTGGGGTTGGGCGAGTTCAAGGTGGGTTATATGTTGTTTGTAGTTGCGTTGATGGACGATGTAGACAAGAAGCCAAGGCTTGTATGAAGTATCGGCCGCGGGTTGGTTGCAGTAAAGTGGTGTTTGATTGGTGTTTGACTGGTGTTGTACTTCAGGCGGGTTGTCTCAAACGCGGGGACCTGAGAGGTTTATACTCGTACTGTTTGCGGGGAACAATCTGAGACCAGTGGGTACAGCCACAGTCTCTCCACCTACGATTCGAGTATCACACCACGCATCATAGTACTGCACTTTCCCCGCCCACATGGTGTGACCTAACCAATCCGATACGTTTTCGCGTCGCTGTCTCCCGTACAAGCAATTTAGACACTCTCTTGAGACGCGCTGGCATACGTAGTTACCGTGTCGTTATACCGTGTCTTCTCGGCCGCGCATTCTACCACCATGCGACGACCCGAGCGGCCGTCCCTCGAACTGGTTCGGCTGGTGAGCGGGAGGCACCGAGGGTAAACTGGGTGAGGTTAGCTGACATCGGACAAGGTTAGTAGAAAATGCCGTGACTGTGGGGTGATGGAAACGAGCCTCGGAAATGAATGGAGCGCAGACGTTAGCCTCACAAAACCTGCCTTGATCGTGAACCGACCGACGTAAACATCACCTTGTCCGTTGTTCACCGAACGGGCATCGTCATTAGACCCCACAGCATCAATCTTAAGACCCACTATGGTCTTGTTGAACCTCAACATAATTACCTCTTTGATTGATGGCAGCTTTTGGTCAAGTATAAGAACCGGAAGACAGCTGTGTTTATGGCTCCCAAATCAGCAGGATCGCAATAGGAGTATCTAAATAAGAGGATATTAGACGTATACTGCATTGATCTTATACAGTGTTGTCAATATGTTGTAGGATTTTGGTTCGGGCTTCAGACTCAACTGAGACGGTAGGCAAGTCCCAGTGGTACATCGTCGATTTTGGAGGCCTACATACTACGTCTTGATGGAGTCGTTATGGGTTACTGAACCTGTGCGTTGCATCTGAGTTGAGCGGAGCAACGTCGTTGAATTACAAAAGCACATGATACAAGCAGAATAGCTGGGACGTATGTTAGTAATACCTGATGAGCTCAGATTTTACAAAAAAATTCCACGTGGTCGCCTAACTGTTGGACATTGTTGTTGATATTTCGGCCAACTAGAAGGACACAACCTCGTACACATTCTGCACCCAATCTCCGCTCCACAAAAGAATCACTCTCTCCAGCAAAAAGGCTGATTCAAGCGAGGCTCGAACTCGCGACCTTTCGCGCACACGGATTGTGAGGCGAACGTGATAACCAACTACACCATCGAACCCTGGACAGGATATCCCTGCAATCTGATTGGCTCAGATGCAAAAATCTCATGTCCCTATGAATATATTTACCGTAACTGTACAGGAATCCCCCTAGCTGCCCCTCCACCAATGTAAAGCGAGCATATCCTGTCTTGCTTCATAGCAAGCGAACTGTGGCTCATTGAATCCTGTCGGAAGGAAGAGTTTCTGTGTAGGGCTGTATAGTAACCCGTCAACGTGGCGAGCCGTGACCACGACTCGACATGCTCCAAGCCCTGATTGCGCGTCGTTCGTGAGGCTCGGCGTGCAGGGTGTATGCCACATGCTGTACTTTCGACGATCGAACGTGCGTTCACCCACGCGCTACAGCCGCAGGGAAATTGTGGCTCTTGCCTGATCTGGGAAAGCTGCTCGACCACAGGATGATTTCTTTTCCTTTCCACTCCAGAACTCGATGGGTTGCAGTACGCGATGATAGGTCTGGCGGCAACCCCGCAAGACACAGGCGCAAATGAAGATACGCACGTGCAACGACGGAGACGGGCCCGCGCCACACGATGACAATTTGGCTGGCGACGGTCCCTCGCGGGCGCTCATTGGGGTTATCCGCTTGATTGATCATGCAGAGCCCCACACCATACATTGGAAGCGCTCCATACAGCCTCCTGCCAGATGCGGCAGAACAGTCGGCACAGAGAGGAGAGGTGGTGGGGTGTGCAGATGGCGTGCACACCTTATGCTAAAATTTCTGCAGCAGACTTCGTCGTCGGGCTGCGAACGCAATGTTCGCAGATGCCGGCTGCGGAAGACAAGTGCTCACGTCAAGGATTGTTCAGCTTCTTGTGTCTGTGAGCGCAGGCTGTTGGATGGATGCTTGTGTCGAGGTATCAAGGTCGTGGTCCAGGCGCCGCGGGGTTTGGTAGAGGCAGTCTCGTCGTGCGCCCAACCATCATACGTTCTGCATGTCTCCAACACAAGCTGCAGTTGCCGCCTCCCACGAACGGGATGCACCACCCTGCTCGCTTAAGCCGTCGCGTTTGTGCGAAGGAGTACAGGGCATTTAACCATTCTTCAAACGCGAAGTAGCTGCTCTCGCGGATCAATTAGGGGACAATGCGAGCGGTTGCTAAGAAACGGAAGCCCTCGCTCAAGCTAATGAATTGCGTGCAGTCTGAGGTCCGTGAGAGCAAGCGGAGCAGCGTACTCCACTAGTCAAAACAATCTCCGTTCTCACTCAGGGTTAGCTTGGTGTGATCCCTTTTCGACTTCATCCCGCGCTGTCTTCCGCACCCTCTTCTCAGCTGTTGTATGACCATATACTCTCGGTGACTACTGTGTACGCTGCGAGTGAGTACCTAACGTTCCTTCCCTGTACGTTCACTTCTCAGGGTCCATTTCTCGGTAAGCGGCATGACACTATCCATCTCGAGCATCTCTGCCCGCCAAAAATCTTTTCGTTGATCTCGTTTCCCGCTTCCGTTGCATGCATACTTACTGCCGGCCGACTGCTTTTGCTTTGACCCTGCAATTGATTGCTCTATTCTGACAACTGTGCAGTTGACCTCTGTTGCTTTCGGAATATTTCCCTCTCGCCCATCCGCCTTGGTTGCACGTCTATTGTCTACCCTTAAACCTGAGCATCACGACAGCCCAACGTCTCCACCAAGCATGTCCTACTACAATGACGCCTCCTGGGCTGCGCCGGTCCCCGGCCGCCAGGCATCGTGGGAACAGCCACCGCCGCCATCGCGCTCAGGTACCGGACACGGTGTTTACACGGGCGCCAGGACTCCGAGTAACATGGACATAGGCGCTAGTTCGACGGTGAACGAAGGCAGTGCCTTTGCCTCGCAGTTTGACGGTATGTTGCAACACGTTGCCTGGTCGGCAGTGACAGGTGTGACATGGATTACCGCTAACCTCAACCACAGAAGTCGACCGTGCCCAAGAAAACCTCGCCAAGAGCGGAAAGCCTTTTGGTGGCGCTGCATACCCGCCCGCGCCCAGCAGCACCAGCGGCGGCGGCGCTCGTCGCGAGTCGATGCCTATGATGGGAGGTGCGCCGCGCCCTTACCCCGATTTCGGTACGAACACACCGCGCACACGATGAGAGCCCACACTGACGGATTGGCACAGAACAACGCATGGGCGGCCCGCAGCGCCACCACTCGGTGAGCGACTACGACGGCGCGCGCCCGCACTCGACGTCGAATGTGCAGGGTTTCTACCAGAACCAGCGCTATGCGCCCCGGCCCAACGATGCGGACCAGATGGCTCAGGCGAAGCGGCGGATGGCGGCTCAGCGCGAGCGAGAACTGCGCAACTACCATCAAGAGCAGCAATACCACAGAAGTAAGGACTCAGAGTCAGGGCAACAATAGAGGCGGGACAGTTGGTTGACTAGGGTAATAGACGTTTCTGGATCAGCATCCAAGTCCGACCGCTCCATGAGCCCCAATGCCATGAATGAAGAGGAGCGCCGCGAGCTCATTGCCCGCCAGCATCGTGCCCTGTATGGCGAGACGTCGACCTTGTACAATAACAACCCCACTTCAAGCCAGGACGTGCGAGTCCAGACGTCAGGTGCTGCCCGTGGCGCCTCTCCTTTGGCGTTCGATCCCTTTGGTATGCAGGCGCAGAATGCATCTGGCGAGGCTGCTGTTCAGATGCCCCCGCGAGGAGATAAGGACGCGACGAGTGGAGCCCAGGAGGCCCGTGCCAATGGCAATTCGTCACCAGCCTCTAGCCAGAATCCAGCCTTTAGCCTATTTGATGCTCAGCAGGCCAGTCGCACCTCCAACTCGTCGCCCAGCGGCGGCTCGCCTCCCGTCTCAGGGTCCAAGGCGAACGGATCCGGTGTCGCTCCCATTGGGACTCGCCCATCCACCAACCAGCACCAGCCTACCGGTGCCCCTCTCGGGAAGCGCGCGACGACGCCTCTTCCTTCGCCCCTTGGTTACAGCTCCTACAATGCTAGTGAGCAGAACAACCCTGCTGCGACGTCTGCTTCTTTGAACCCTTCTTCGACCGTGACCGACAAAGGCGTCGGTATTTGGAATAACGGCCCCTGGGGCAATGCGCCTAACCAGAGCGTCCAGGCTTCCGTCTGGGGCTAAATCTTGGAGTTTTGATTAAGGAGTCACAATGCACATCCGGAGTTTCTGCATTTCAGTTGTCTCTCTCGGGGGCTTCTAAACAATGGGGGGACACAGGTCAATGGGGTGGCGAAATATCTCTGGGTTTCAGCCATGTGCTCTAATGGCGTAATTTTGCCTGCGTTGGGGTCATGGCAGATGATGATATACCTACTAAATGGGGGCTATACGGGTGTTTGCTAGTTGGGACTACAGGTTGGAATCATCTCTTTCTTGATACCGGTGGCTGCGGGAGTTAACTCAAGGTTTTTTGTTTTCTGGGTTCGGGCATCATGGGTTCGGGGATCTGGTCGGTGGAATCTGGTCGGGAGCGATGGGATGGTCCAGCTCTTAGAATCTTGGGATGTTATGTATACCTCTGGCACATCCTGCGGTTTAATGCGAAAAGTGGTCTCTGGGCGAATTGTTCATGTGCGTTGATGGCCAGGCCTGGGACGTCGTGAAAGCATAGTCGTGGGCAAGTCGTAAAAATCAAGATGGGAACCATGTGCACGTGATACAGGCCTTGGCAAATTTACGACGCGGGCCACGCTAACCCTGATGCATTTCAACTGTGAAGCGTGTCCTCTAAGACCTAGCGATCGATATCACCACCAGCTTCACAACCCTTCTTTTTCACACATTCAGTCTGCTCTTCTCCAGTCACCTTCGCTCGAACACATCATGGTGAGCCCCATCTCTTTCCACAGGCACTGGGTGCACATAGAAGACAAGTGGTCGGCAATGCCTACTTGACATTGCGACGAGAGACCACGACGACGATTACGAGCGGCTTCGCTATATTCTCAACGTTTTCCCTGTCGCATTGCTTGTCCGCAATCGTTCAATGGCTTCAACATCGCATCGTCTCTACGGCTCGCTTGTTATCTCGCCGGTCCTTCCTGACGGAAGCTAATATGTCTTCCCAGTCTGCACCACGCGCAACTTCCCCCGTAAACAATGCCGCGTCCGGCTCTACGACCGCGCGCCAGGCTTCGCCTAAGCCCCCCGGTGGCCCCGCGACTGTTATGCGAAGGAAGGCGGCCGCTGACCGCGCGGAGAAGTCGGCGAACCAGCGACCAAGCAGCACAAGAGCAGCTGGTGCGGGTGGTAGCTCCAGCACCATGTTGAGTAAGTGAGATGTTAGAGAGGCGGTCATTGGAATGGGCAGAGAGGGGTGCATGGACAGCGAACAACACGAATTCACTTCTGCGCCTTGAATTCTGGCTAACTGAGCTGCGCAGGGCTATACACGGATGAGTCGCCGGGCCTCAAGGTTGATCCGGTTGTGGTCATGACACTGTCTGTCGTCTTCATCTTCAGCGTTGTCGCTCTTCACGGTATGTATTCGCGTAATCTTGCATGCTCGACATAATTGACAAACAATACAGTTATCGCCAAGGTCATGCGCCGATTCTCCGCATAAATCAATCGATACGAACTGCCTTTCTTTCTATCGATTCCCACCATCTCTTCACGGCTGGTGCTCTGCAGTAGCGACCCTGGTCTTTCTTCGATTGCGAATCGCTTCTTCCATCCAACTTGCGATTACCCGCTTCTTTATTTTATACAACTCTGTGCACTGGGCGTGGATCTAGTCGCGAAGGGGAAGACCGGAAAAGCGACTTCACTTGACACATCCTGGTACTTGGCTTTTGGGGGTTTATCACTGGCGGTGCGTTCAGTTGGGACGCGCGACTTACGGTGTATTATATGTCTACAACGGAATGAGGAGTTTTGCGAACGCATATGTGGATCGATGATGTTTGTATATGGGATATCGCGGGTGACTGTGTGCGGGCGATCGTATCCAAGAACCAACACAAGTATCATACAGCAACCCAAAGCATTACAACTCATCATCACCAGCCCACCTTTGTGTATACAGAACTTTGACGACTAAATTTTCTTCCATCCACAAACCCATCTACTGGTTTTAAGCAATGACAGTACAAACTCAATTGAACATGGGCATTCATGGGCAGTCCCTGTCTGGACAAAGTTGAGATTATTCCAGAAAATGTCCTTGTTTCATTATATAGTGATCTCACGACATGCTGAAACTTTTAACTGCTGTACAGAGTTCGACACTTGCATTATTCGCCTCTGCGTGGCTTTTCGGACTGTCTTGAATTCGACCACCATGAGCGTACAGGAATTTGTCAGAGGATAGACGTTGTTGGCAGCAAGAAGCCAAGCTTAGTGTAGTCGTCTGTGACGATCATTAAGCCGAAACTTCGCAGACGCATCCTAAAGCGTTCGTGTTCGCGAAACAACCTTGTCGAAATGATCGCCGCACGTGCAGAGGGATGATGCGGCGAAGTTGGCGGCCTAAAGATGTACAGACAGAGTATAAGAAAGGAGCTTGCGCTTGTGTTGAGGAGCTCTGATGCACATGGACAGAATTCATGTCCAGCATACTTCGTCAAAGCTCTTTGGCGGCTGTTCCTGCCTCATACCTTGTTAGCATGCAAAGTAGTACCATTATGCTCCTGCCTTCACTCACCACAATTTTCCAATTAATCATGTTTCTTTAAATGATTTCTCTGTCACGTTTTGTTATCTGTCTCTCCATTTTCTCTATTGGCTCTTCCCCTCATCTCCCTGGTCGTCCTGGCTCGCGATCCCGATGTTTCTCAGCTGAGGAGGCGCTCTCGTGCGATCACGTTCACGTCTCCACACACAACAAACCACGGACATGAATATCACCTAAGACAATGAATACACATTAGTGTTTCGAAGAAAGGTGCGACGACGAGTATACTCGACATGGCATCGGACTTGGACCGATAGACCAGATAGCTAGAAAAGCGCCCCTCCTCACGGAACTACTCCGTGTAGCCTTCCATATTACCGACGCAGGGGGCTCGCACAGACCCGAGAATACTATGGGTTGGGAACTAGAGTGGCAGCTTCGATTTGTTACTGGTGGATACGGGGGTTGCTTGGCCTCTGTCACTGCTAGCGGCCGCGCCCGCATTCCAACCGTCTCCTCCTCTCCTCCTCCGCGACGTGAGCAATGAGTAATCCAGGTCGAACCCCCACACTTTACATTTGGGGCTTGCAGTGAGAGGCTCACTCGAAAGCTCCTCTGGTGTTCCTTACCCCGGGATATATGCAGTAGCTGTCTTGCTCGGCGTGAGACGATGCCGAAACGATCCACAGGCTGTTTTGAGTGCAGGAAGGTACGAAATCTCGTTCTATCTCTCCTCGTCCGATCAGCCATTGAGTGAAATGAAATAGAGGAAGGTCCGCTGCGATGAAGCCAAACCAGAATGCAACATCTGCCGTCGCCGAGGCACAAGATGTCCAGGATACAGGCCGACACAGTCATTCATCCTTCACAAATTTGATGAAAAGAACGAAAGAGCAGTGCTTATCAAAGAGGACGAGTCACAATACGAGTACTCCCAATACAATACAACAAGCTTAGAGTCCTCTACAAACGTTCCTGGACAAGCAGACGTGCGTCTTCCCGCCTCAGAGACTAGACTTGTGGATGCAGCTCTACCGAAGCAAGTTAGCTCCATAGCTACTGATCGAATTCAACACCTGGGCACATTTATCGCGCTCTACTTGCCGAGATGCGATGGTCCAGCATTGCCCCCTCCATCAGCATTGATGCTTGCGCTACCAACGATGCCTGCGTCCAGCAAGGTACTTTTGGCTGCAGTCGATGCGCTTTCAGCGGCACAGCTTGCCGTTAACAATCGCAACAATCCACTGATCAATCGGTCAAGGTCGCTCTACGGGACAGCACTGAGTCAAATGCTGTTAGCCATCCAAGATCCGGTGCTGGCACTAAAAGATGAGACTTTATTGTCGACGTACTTGCTCACTTTGTACGAGGTTAGACAGCACTCATCCTCTGCTATCGTCAAAATCTAACAACATGTTCAGGTGTTTGTCGGAGTTACGCAAGGACATGGGTTCTTCTACCACGTCCAAGGACTCCTCCATCTACTCAGACAGCGTGGTCCCGCATCGTTTAATAGCAGATTGAGCATGCAAATCTTCCATGCCATTCGATATAATTCGGTATGTATAGTCCAGGTTGTGAGCCAAGCTTCGCTCACCCTTTCCAGTTGAGTATCGGGTACCACATGCGCAAGGCGTCTATGCTGGATAGCCCTGAGTGGCTGGCAGTAACAACCAAAGCCGCCAAGGTCGACCCTTACGTCGCTCTGAATGATATATGCATATGCATACCGCGACTCCTCGAACGAACCGACAGACTCAACGGTCAGACACAAGACGAGATCGATGCAGTGATCGAAGACTCACAACACCTCGCCACCCGGGCCTCCGAGTGGCTATCAGATTTCGAGAAGCATGGGCCACGTTATGACAAAGTCGACCTGATCACGATGGACGCTTTTCTCGATATCTGTTCTGACCCGGTATTCGACCCCGTCTTCGATTTCCACTACTTCGGCGCTGGTATCTGTTACTTGATCTACTGGATGAGTTTGCTCATCCTTCAATCCAACACTTTCAAGTTACTGCGGCAGTACCGGCAGCTTGAGATGAAGCAGCTGATGATGTGGGACCGCCAGCTGGGAGGATACGCTGACAGTATCTGTCGGAGCATACCATATCACTGCCGATCCATGACCGGATACACAGCCAAGTTTGGAAGTTTGACACCACTGGTAGTAGCCAGGAAGTACTACGAGGCCAAGGGCGCTCAGAAAGAGGCGAATTGGTGCGGGACGGTATACATGGGTGCCCGAGTGCCGGGCCTATATCAGACTCCCTCGCCTTTGGACCCGATGGGGGAAGTGAAGAAGACTGTGAAGGGCAACGATCGATTTATCTAGCCTCGATATTGACCACTTATAATCAAATGGAAACAAGTAATTTTACAAACATGCTGATATTATTTGATAAGTCGGGGCTTATTCGCCATCCACAGGATGAGTAGTTCGCTATCACAGTGATCGCAGTGCTTCAGACGTTGAGGTTGACGGGGTCATAACTGGCGCGTTATCAGCTGCATTGAACTCGAATGGTCCGATGTTACTGGAGATAAACGGGAAGACATGAAGGAAGAGCGGGACAACGAGTACGCATGTCCTTCTCAAGTGTAGTCGCTCATGAATATGTCGTTGAAACTACCCTCGCTCTTATTTCACCAACTACACTGCAAAATTATCTCTTCCTGCTTATGCATGATAACACAAAAAGACGTCTTGACTGTCACCTTCCTGTGTAGCCTCTCAGCCTTCTTGTGCTCCGCAGCACTTTCTTCTCCGCATCCCGATCATGCATATAAGTGTCCATAAGCATTACGAGTCATGCGGTACTTCCCCGCTACTCCTCTTCATTGGTCCGTGCACGTATTCCATCACCAGAGTTTGAGCTCCACTCTGGAAGTCCAAGAAGCCGAGGTTCGCCGTGATTGAGAGACACGTCGAAGCCGCAACTGGGGTCGACGTAGCAGAATCAAGTCGAAGCGGTGTGTTGCTTTGAAATCAGTACCTGATTGATATACAAAAAGGCCAGTTCTCCTCTTGATCTTTCGTACTTACCCATTGACGTATCCATCCAACACGACTTCCTCACCACATCAGACATATTCACCACCAAAGCCAATATGCCAGGCCAACAGACCCGCCAATGGATTCTCTCCAACCCACCCAAAGCCGACCCTGTCCTTGAAGGCAGCGACCCTACCTTCTCTCTCCAAAACACTACGCTTCCCACGCTTGGCTCTGACCAAGTCCTCGTCAAGACACTCTACATCTCCAACGACCCTGCGCAACGAGGATGGATCCAACTAGGCGTAGATCCTGAGCGTCTGTATGTACCACCTGTCCAGAAAGGCGACGTTATGCGTGCCTTCGCCGTCGCCGAGGTCGTCGAATCAAACGCAGATAGCTTGAAGAAGGGACAATTGGTCATAGGGTCGCTTGGCTGGACAGAATATGCTGTCGTTGGTGCAAAGGAGGTCAGGCCCGTCCAAGCAGACGAGAGCGCTGGTATGCGACCAACGCACTTCCTCGGCTCGCTCGGTGCCACCGGTCTCACAGCCTACTACGGCCTCGTCGATGTCGCACAGGCAACTGCAGACGATGTCGTTGTCGTCTCCGGTGCGGCAGGCGCGACAGGAAACATGGTCGTTCAAATCGCCAAACATCTCGTCGGCTGCAAGAGAGTCATTGGTATTGCTGGCGGGGAGAAGAAGTGCAAATGGGTCGAGTCCCTCGGAGCGGACGTCTGCGTCGACTACAAGTCGCCAACCTTCAAGGAGGACCTCAAGAAAGCCACCGAGGGCTTCGTCGACGTCTACTTCGACAACGTTGGCGGCGAGATCCTCGAGCTCATGCTGGCACGCATCAAGAAGCACGGGCGTGTTGCTGCGTGCGGCTCCATTTCCACATACAACAGCGACGGCGGGAACGGTATCAGGAACTGGTTTGAGATCATTGCGAACCGGATTCAAGTTCGGGGGTTCATCGTCATCGATGCGTTCGAGTCGGGTAAGGCAGGGCCGTTCATTCAGACACTCGTCCAGGGCGTCAAGGATGGTAAGATCAAGATCGGTCCAGAGTCTGAGACACTGGTTCCTACCAGCTTTGAGGATGTCCCCAAGACGTGGACTATGCTGTTTAGCGGAGGCAACACAGGCAAGCTGATTACTGAGCTCAAGGCTTGAATCGATGTAGACATCTAGGGGTCATAGAGACTCCCAACGAAAAAAATGATATGACACGTCCACTGGAACGACTCATGGGGTTCATGAGTACGAAGCATGCGACGTTGTACGAGCTGAAATGTACTACCTCGAGTCATAACCAAAAAAAATTATCGATATCCTGAAATGTTCGTCGTCGTGAAGAAATTCTTTCGTTGCATGGTTTGCACAGGCTGATCGTACGTAAGAGCAACACCGCAGATTCGCGCGCCAGTAGCAATGTGGCATTGAAGCCGAGAGCGAACACGATGCGCAAACATATGACAAACTGTCTCGTAAGCTCATGATCGCCTTCCTTCAATTCGTGATCTACAACACCACGCAAGCACCCAATTACACGAGACTATGCGACACGACTCAGGTTTTAAATTTTTAAATGCCGGGGTACAACTGCCGAGGTTCGAAACATTTGGGGGAACAATCTCGTTTCCATCGGAGGCCGTCGGTAAAGCGGCAAGGATGAAGGGTGCTAGATCAACGGGACAATGAACGACGGCGCGTTGATGACACTAAGTACGTGATTCTGAAACGGCACGATCTCGAACACTATGTTGGCTCCGATTGCATATGGAGTAGCGTTTAAAAAAAAAAAAACAGAGACGTAACGTCGATTTAACGTATTGTTGTATTATTTATGCTTTCCAAGCCGTCTTCCTAGTTCTATTTTCTTCGGGATACCGAGTCGGTAATTTCCATCCCCCCACAATGAGTATACGCACAGATAACGAGCTCCACAATCCTATCCCCCTGACCCAGAAAACCCACGCAACCCTCATTCGCCCTTGTACCCCTCGACGAGAACAACGGGGCCCTTGTAGTACTTGCGTCCCCTGAACGCGTAATCAACCATGCTCAACGCGGCTACACCCAAGAACATGACCACGGCCCAGTTGAAGGTTTCGGCAGCAACAGGTGTACCCTCGGGCCAGAAGCACCAGAAGAAGGCGTGGAAGGAGTACAGGACGCCCATGATGTTGACCGGGATGCCCCAGCGACCGAGCGACCATTGGCACGAGGGGAGAAGCTCGGGTTGACGGATGCGGCGGTACAGCACGCAGCCAATACTGACAACGTAGGTGATCATCAGAGAGACGACGTTGAGGGAGATGACTGGTGACTTGTTAGCTTGGCAGTCCTGTGTCCATATGGAGGAGACAAGGGCAACTTACTCGCATTGAAAGCAACATCCGATCCAATATTGATGAACGACAGCGCGATGGTGATGATGGTGGTGATCGTGACGGAGTTCGCCGGTACTTGCAATTTGGGGTTTACTCTGCCGATCCATTCGCTGAAAGGGAGTCCCTGGTCTCGTGCAAAAGCCCAAGTCTGGCGCGAAGTGGAAAGATTGTAGACTAGCGTGCCTGCGAAGATGAGGATCGTTGGGATCGTGTTGAGCGCAACAACACCGCCCGGTGATACAGCCTGACCGAACACCCACATGTGGGGATACCCGGTTACATCGTTGAGCGCGGCGTCGACGTCGGTGATCATGAACATGAAGCTTATGAGAAAGATTAGACCGAGACCGCCGTTCATAAGGTAACTTCCGATCATGGCCTTGGGCACCGTCTTGCCTGCGTCTTTGATTTCCTCAGACATGTGGGCTGCAGCGTCGGAGCCTGGAGTCGCTGTTAGTATGTCTGTCTGTGCGTGTATTGATTTGTAAACTCACAAATGCAAGCGTAGATGGCGGACAGCTGGCCGACCATCAATGACAGCCCCGTTGAGCTCCAACCCCCGCCATTGGTGAATTTGGTGAATGTGACTTCAGCTGTAGCTCGAGGCGAAAGCACCCAGAACACGATGATGGTGGCCAGGAACCCAAACACATGGACAACCAACATGATGTTCTGAATCAAGGGCATCGCTTTCGAACCCCAGATGTTCAGCGCCCAGACCAAGATCGCCACAGCAATGACCATGAGTGTACCCTGCCAGTTGGTAGGCGCGTAATCCGGGTACATGACAACGGCAGACGACTGAATCAATGTGCCAACGAGGAATGGCCCCGATGCCGTGCCAGCCTGCCACGACAGGGTCGACTGCCAACCGGTGAAGTAACTGAGAATCTTCTGGTACTTGGGAGGGGCGAATTCGGATACCCAATGGTACTGTCCACCGGCAGTTGGCGCCATGGAAGCCATCTCAGCGAGCGAGAGCATGACGAAGCTGAACCCACACCAGGTCCAGACAAAACTCCAAATGAGACCAGCTGGTCCTCCATCGACAAGGCCTTGGTAGGTTGCGCTGCATCGCCGTATTAGCCGATGGATCGCAGAGCGTCGATCGTCAAAAATACTCACGTCATTAGGACTTCCCAAGTTCCCTGGAGAATAACGGTGAATGCGAGGGCTGACAGTGGCCGGTAATTTCTCCTAAGCTCTTGTACCTTTCCCATGCGCGACATGTCTGCCCGATCCTGTCTTGTGTGTCCTGGAATGGATTCGTGATACGCTTCGCCGCCATCTTCGTCATCGTAGCTTGTTGACCTGCGCGCAGCCGCTTGCGATGTTGTAGAAGTTCCTTTGTTGAGTTCTCCCATGCTGATTTCTTCACTACCGTAAGAAGCCATTGCTTGTAGACGCGGAGCAGGGAAACGCCGCGGGGAGAGTGCAAAGGCAGATGCGAGTTGAAGAGGCAAACTGGAACAATTTCGAACACTCAAAAACCATGCATGGCCGCTGCATATGTAACCTTGGCGGTTTCTGCTATTACGGCCATAGGTCCACTTAGAGTAGCCACCATCCGACTTGCCGATGCTAGTAAAAGATAGCGAAAGTGCGAGATTTGGTTGACAGTTGCCGCAGTCCAATCGGGTAGTGTGCCTCTACGCGGCCCGCCGCCTCTTTCTGGATAACCCAGCCGTTGGTCCCCTGGCCGTGCATAAGGAATCAAACCTTTGAAACGTGCTCCCTCACCCATGCAAGATCTAGATGATCGATGGCGAAAAAATCCAGCCGTGCGGAGATTTTGACGTGCGCTAGTGCCGCTTTTCAAAGCCCACCTCTTCCAGACCATGCCGGGGAAACCAATATGTTTTGTCTAATTCTTGACGTTTCTCGGTGAAACTTAACAAGGCAGCCAAGCAGCGATTTACCCGTTGTGGGGGGAAGCTTCCGTGTCGGATTCATAAAGCCATACACAGCTCCGCGCAAGACGTCCCGTCAAGGGTCTGCTAATACAACTTCAGAAAGATGGCGTCGAGCCGAGTAGCTGGGCTCGGTTCCGTCAGTCGCGTAGAGAGTCCGTCCACAAATCAACGTGGCACGCGACGATCTCTAGCGTGGCATGTCTCGTAAATACATGGATCGATGGCTTGCGTGTCCCGTAGTCGTACAAGGCTGGTGCAAATTTACCCGAATACACATCTGATTGCCTAGAGTATGGGGGGGTATTCATCAGCGCCGCATTTCCCTCAACATTCTATGGTCCCGTCGTCGTCTTGCTATCGTGGCAAAAACCTGGGATACTGACTTTATGGCAGTGGAAGTCAATCCCCCGCCGTATCGCATCACGGCGGATGACAAGGGCGGCCTCCTTGTCGTTACTGCCGCGGTGACGATGTGTTATGTGTGGATTTGTTTCTTTATTCGAATTTGGTTGCGCCTGCAGACCAAGGAGTGGAAGTCTGACGACTGGTGGTTGACGACGGCAACGGTACGCTAACATCGGCATCCGTATAGCCAAACGTTAATGCTGATCGATTTGCGCAGTTTCTACAAAGTTTACAGTCAGCACTTGTGTTTCACGGAGCCAGCTTAGGCTTGGGAGCTTCGCTGCAAGGCGTACCTTTGTCGATACACAAGCAATTGGGCAGGGTGTGTACATGATTCCCTCAGGGTTCCAACTCCTTCAGCGATCAAACACGACTAGACTCGAACATTGTTTAACCTCTGTACAGACCGCTTTCGCCGCGCAAATCCTCTACGTTGCCACGCTGTTCGCTTCGAAATGTTCGGTGTTGTTCCTTTACCTCAGGATCTCGCCGGGACGCTCGCACAAGATTTCATCATGGACATTGCTGTCAGCGTCCTGTATATGGATCGTCATCGCCATTACGCTCATTTCTGTACCATGTAATCCATATGGATGGACAGTGGGAGATAAGACTTGTACAAATTTGGTACGACATCGAAAACCCAGCGCGCGCGCAAAGCTGACCGACACAGTGGCCAAAATGGCAAGCCATCTCCGCTCTGGATATCGTGACCGAAGTCTTCATATTCGCCATCGCGGTGCAGTTAGTTTGGAACCTGAAGATGCGAACGAAATCCAAACTCCTGGTAGTCCTCGCTTTTTCCGCCCGACTTCCTGTCATCGCGTTGGCCACTGCGCGACTGCACTACATTAAACAAGCATTCGTCTACGCCGACACAACTTACATTTACTTGGTGGCAACGCAATGGCATATGGCTTACGCCACCATGTCGTCCACGATCACTGGAATGGGCCCGTTCCTGCGACCGTTCCACACGGAATACATGACAAGCTACAAGATGTCTGGATATGCACAGCATGGATCCTCAAAAGACCCCAGTTCATCCACTCAGGGCTCACACTTGCGATCAGGAAAATCCTGGCCACTTCAAAGCTACCAAATGAACACAATCGATCAATCGCACCCGGATAGCAATACTCAGCTTTCGTCAGTGTCACACTCGCCAAGTTCATCACGGAATGCGAATATGGCAGGCCCTACGTTCCGACCCCCCAACGAAATGTTGATTGGCGGCATCGAGATCTGGGTAGGAAACCGAACTTCGAGAGACGAGGAGGATCTGGAGGCGATGAGCGATGAGACACGACTCGTCATCACAAAGAGAACAGAGTTGAAAGTCGAAACGGACCGAGCAAGTCATGTTGTATGAATTCGTGGGTCATGTAGGCGTTGGAAGGCGGACCGATACCCCTGGAGTTTATGTTGAATTTAACATTTGGATATTAAGAGATTAATGAATTTCTCATGGTTGAGATTGCGATGCAGATCGTAAACTAAATACATCTATTTATTCCTCACTGGTCAGTCGACTCTTTACACAGGCAAACCATTCACGGCACCTGCGGCCTGCGCAAGGGATGTGCTTCGGTATTACTATCTTCTTGTTAGCCAACATCCCATTTCCGCAATTGAGCCCACTCACAAAACATATTCATCCAGACTGACAACATCCGGCTCACTGAAGATCAGGTAAAAATATTTTAGCGTCTCCCCCGTCCAAAATGACGACAATTCGTCCGACTTTTGTGTCTCTTGCCCATGTGGACACGTCACGTCAGCAATGGCCGAATTGGCAAACTCGGCAGCCGTCGCATTATTGATGGCAGTGAACATGCGCCAGGCAACATCTTGAAGTACGGGGTCGCCGGTGATACGGTACAGTATGAAGACAGATTCGATAGCCTCGGGGCTGTAGTGAATTTGTTAGCTCTGCAGTGCATGCATGTGGACAACAGAACTGTACCGGAGCAGATATCGCCTATCAGCAATCTTTGCGAAACCAGGGGGCAGCCCATCTTCTTTGATAATATCCTGAACGTCGAGCTCTCGTACAAAAGTGCCGGAACCCGCTGATATGACTGCCTCGTGCCACTTTTCAGGTCGCCATTTGCAGTCCTCCTCGCCATTGCAAGGAACTGCTACAAACGTCTCGGGCATGATACCCGTAGGCATGGAGTCGTAGGCCCAGATACAACCATCGACAAGTCGACGCGCGATGTCCAGTTCGTCGGTGCGATTGAAAATCTTAGCAGCGATGCCGACCATGCCGCCAGTGAAGCAGCCAAGATGCTGACCTTCAGGCTCGGTTTTGACTGAGCCTGCGGCTGTGATATACGCGTTACCAGAAATGAGAATATTCTGATTTTGGGGGTTCATCGGGCGGAAGAAGATGTGCTTCTTCGCTGCGTCGATGGCATGCTCGTAAAGGCTCCTGTACTGTTGAACCCTACCGCCAAGTAGCATATATTGCTTTGGGAAGTATTCGTATAGTGAATCGGACATGCCACTAAAGGTGAACTTCTTATCAACATCAAACTCTTCGCGAAGGGGACTGATCAAGATTGGGAACAGCCCTGGCACCCGCGTTTTGTTCTGATGCTTTTCAAGTAGGTCAGTAATTCTTTGCACGGCGTCGTAGTATTTGGGTTCTCCGGTGATTTGCGAAAGGCGCGTGAACTCCAGGGTCAAAGATCCTAACTCAGCGCTGAGTGCCTGAGGGTCTGCTTCTTGTTGGCCGCCGAGAGCACCACTGATTCTTGTTAGTTTGTGTTTGCGACTTGAACAAGGTCGAGACGCACTTCTCCCAGTCCCAGCGCGTTATGGGTAACCGGTTAGGAGTATCGAATGCTGCATAGAGCATATCTCCCAGCTCAGTAGCCTTATCTAGCAAGATGTGATGTTTAGAATGGCTCAGGTCGTATGCGCTCAGGAGTCCTCCAAGATATCTAATAGTCGTCTCAAACACGTTCATATGCTGGAGGGAAGACGTCGTGAAATCTACTTTCTTGATAGCCTTTACAGCTTCTGCAAAGTCTTCTTCGAGGCCCATAATGATAAGTGTATCCAAGGTATCAACCAAAGTTGCGCCGCGTTGGCCAAAGCCGTTCTTGAAGCCTCCTGTTACCGGAGTGACTTCATCCTGTAACCATGCGTACTTTTTGTACCCGTTCCACGAATGTAGAAACACACCTTTGACTGCTGCCTTCCTGTGCAGTCTCTCAGCCTTGTTGTGCTCTGTCTCGACTCCAAAATGATGCTGTATCTGTGGTATGGAGGTAGGTGTGCCCGTTGGCAATGCGATGATGGAAGAGACGGGGTAGCGAAGCGGGACGTCTTTCCATTTGACTGGGGAGCGTACTCTATCAGACGATGTGGTGGTTGGAGGCGGGAGAGTGTCCCGATTTATAAGCTGACGAAAGGTGAGGTAAAGGAGTGTGATGGTTACGCAGAGGACGACAAAGCGACGCAGGAGGGGGCTTAAAATGGCCATAGAGCAGATAGAAAGGGTAGCACCATTGATATTACGACGGGAAATAGGAGATGGTTAACGCGATATGATACGAGAAAAAATAAAGTAACGAATGGAGTCGTACACGAGGTAAGCAAAAGAAAGGAAGGGTGAAGCCGCGCGGAGCTTTTTGAGTGATGCAAGTAGAGCCTCAAACGGCTGCACGGCTAGGCTGCATCATGGCGAGGTTAAACGGTAGGGGCTATCCCTGTGCCGATCTTAGCTTCCGCCCACCCTTCTTACCTTGAAGTCTGAAGCCACCATTCCAGTCCAAAGCAAACAACATCCACCACGATGAAGTATAGCGGGTAAGGATACCAAAAAAAAACTACTAGAGGTTACTGGTTCTATGGTGCTAACGACGAGCAGGCTCTACTACGTGAACAACCCCTCGGCGAGCCTCGACGATGCCCTCAAAATCGTGAACACGCTCGTACAGGGCATTGAGACGAGCTTCCCCGCAGCGACGCGTCAGAGCCCATGGTCGCTTTCATACCGAGCCTTTCGCGACACGATAGCCCCAAACTTTGCCGCAGCAGACGCAGAGGGCAAGCCAAAGCCATATCTGCATTCTTACCAACACATACTCCACCACTCCAGCCTCGCTACGAACCGCGCATATATCTACGTGCAGCCAGCAGAAGGTAGTGGTGTCGTCACGGCTATACCATCGCAACAGCAAGATGCGCATGCGTCATTGTTGAGACACCAGCATGCTGCCCTCTGGACTCAGCGTCACGTTCTGGCTGTGCAACAGGGCACCACATACGCAGGCGGCCTGTTCACTGTCCAGATTGGCGAGCTTCGTGCGTCTCGCGAGGGACCCCAATCCGGTGGTGTACAGTCGCCAGGCATCGTAGTCTGTATCAGCACCGCCATTGGCAGCAGTGACGATGACGATGAGCACAACTTGGACTACGCCCCATCTAAGAACGACCCTGCACCAGACGACGGACCGGTTGACATTGAAGGCACACAGAGCATAATCCGCGATTTCTGGGCTAGGATCATCGACGGCCGCGACCTGGGCAGATCCGAGGCCAGGGAAGTCATGATGACGCCTGAGAGCGTCAAGGGCATGGACGAGAAAGACGCAATGGTGCGCATGTGGTGTGAGGTTCTGCGATTGAGAGGGTGAGGAGTCAATCGCCAAGAGCACTCATATCCACATTGGCGTCTGTTCATGCTGATTGTATAGGGACGCGGGCCTACCAGTTGCACTCTACCAAAACGTTCCTCCGATCGATGACTTGGCCAATGCCGCAATGGACAACACAACTGACCTGGCCGCTCTCACGGACGCCTTGATGGATTCCATCAATAGGTGGACCGACACAACAACTGGCCTGCCCGCTTCTGCGTATAGCATATTGGACCAGATTCTTTACAACACTACTCGTGCATCGGCCGTACGGTCCTCTGCCGCTCCCTCTGCCGCTCCCAACCGGGTTGACGACTCCCCCGGCCAGGCTGAGCGTTCCTCTCATCCGCCTCGCCCTACTCAACCGTGAGCGACCGTCTCGACCATTTGAGCAGTTGCTTTCAACGAAGCGTTACCTGCATTCTACGAAACGCTTGTGTGAGCCATCGTCTGAGGAATTGTCCTATCAGGGTATCAACTGTTCAGTCATGTCGGGCCAGTAAAGTCCGTCAAAGTGTAAGGTGTGGAGAAGAAGGCACGCAATGGGATTGTTCTTCGAAGTACATGGCCGGATGCCAGATGGTAACTTCAACACGATCAGCATAGCATAGCAAATCAGTCAATAGACAGCATACAACACACATGCCAGTAAATCAATGATGGCACATAGCCGATTTCCATTCGACTACCACTACCACTACCACTACCACTACCACCACAGCTACTCCCACACCACCCCTCTCCACAATATCTATCCATGCATCCCATCTACGTTCATTCCCTACAGGTATCAAGCATGACAACCCACAAGCCGTTTCCCTAGTCCCGAGCAAGCCACTCATCGGAAAAAGAAAGCAAACAAAACATAACAGGGTGCAGAAGATCAAGTATTAGAGCAAACAAGCGAGTGAAATGAGCCCCAGTCCTCATCCATGTTCAAATTAGAAAAAGATAACCGAGTACCAGACAACAAGGTGTGTACAAACATACAGACGCCAATACCCTATTCCAGCCCCTAGATCCAAACAAAAAGAAAATGGCATGATTCAAACAAATGATGTGGATTAAACCAAAACAAGAATATGGTAGGCGCAGGCAAATAAAAAATATCGCACATGAAAAGCGGAAAAGGTTGAACCTATGCGCAGGTCGATTACTGCGCACCAACTTCCTCCTCAGCCCATCCGGGAAGACCGCCATCGATCGCAAGGCCGTAGCCGCCGTTTCCGCTGCCAAAGCCACCGATACCAGAGCTTAGGCTGCCGAAAGAGCCCTGTTGTGGCGTTTGAGTCTGCTGAACCGCGTGCGAGAATGGGCCCTGGGTGAAGGCCGGAAGGCTGACGGCACGTGAGTGCTGCGCACGAGCGTTCAGGTTCGAAGGGGCGAGGAGACCACCGACGGTAGTGGCACCAGAGCCACTTGAGGTGCCGTTGATGAGGCTGAAGCTTGATGTGCTGTTGTGCGATGCGTGCGAGTGATGCGGCTGCGACATGGAATTTAGATCAGCACCGTAGAAGGCGGCTTGTGGAGATTGGAAAGACTGTTGTTGCTGCTGATTTTGCTGCTGCTGCTGTTGTTGTTGCTGCTGGAGGTTCACTTCGGCTTGCTGTTGCTGCTGCTGTTGCTGAGCCTGGAGATACATCATCAACGGGTTGTTGTTGCCAGTGTTCAGGATGTTCGCTGGCGCTGGCGCTGGCGCTTGCATGGAAGCAAAGTGTCCGTTAGCGCTACCGCCGGAGCCAGGAGCACCAGATCCAGTCGGAGAGGGGCCGCTTCCACGATTGGGATGCATTCCATTGAGAGGCGACGGAGATTGAAGACCATCACTGCCACTTTGCTGGGCATGAGCTGGGTTGTTGCTCATCTGGCGGGGTGGGTTGCCGCAGCGATCCTTTCCAAAGTTGACCTTGAATCGCTTATACTCCTCGCGCCCCCGAATAGCTTCGATGGCCTTGATCGCGTTGGCAATGTTGGTAAAGTTGACAAAAGCGCAGCTCTTCTCGCGAAGTGTGTTGACCAGCTCGATCTCACCGTACTCGGAGAAGTCCTGCCTCAAACGTTCTTCTGTCCAGGATTCGTCGAGATTACCGATGTACACATTTCGCGAAGCGCCACCACTAACAGCCAACGCAATAGCAGGGGGCAGAGCACCAGAGTGCTTGCCCCATCCGATCTTCAAGCGACGGTTGTGAATCATCAGTCCCTGGAGGTTGCTGAGAGCGTAGAAAGACGCAGCAGAAGTAGGGTCGATGAAAGTGACGAAGCAGATATGCTTGTCAGGGATGTACCTGATATGGTGGAGAAGACCACCTCGAACCACGTTGCAAATCTCTTCGATAGTAGTTTCAGGGTGGATATTCCCAAGGTAGACAGTGCGGTTGCCCAGGTTGTTGACGCCACCGGCAGATGTTGCAACAGCCGCGGCAGCAACAGACTGCTGAGCAAGAGCATTGGAGATCATGTCACGGTCAGCACCGTTCAAGACATGGGCATACCCAGGCGCGATGCCAAGGTACTGCGCAGCGTTCTGTTGCTGAGTTTTAGAAACATACGCGCATCTGTCCTTGCCATAGTAGACACGTCTGGGGGCTTGCCACTTGGGCTCCTGGGGGAGCTGTGCAACAGCCTTGATCGCATTTCCAATCGACAGGAAGTGGACGAAACCGATCGCCTTCTCCCGAACGATCTTGACGGTGTCAATGGGGCCGAATTTGCTCAAGTCCTCGCGAAGCTCTTCCTCTGAAGCGTCTTCTGGCAAATTGCCAAGGTAGACATTTCGGGAAGCCCCTGACTGTTGCACAGCTAGCGCAACTGAAGTTGGCACTTGCGACGGCTTCCCCCACCCAATCTTGATATCCTGACCCCGGATCGACAACTTTTTCAAGATTGCATCCGAGTGGAAGTGGGTTGCTGAGCTGCTGTCCAGGAAAGAAATGAAGGCGCAGTTCTTATCTGGCAGCAACCTGACGGACTCGATTTGTCCACTTCTTACATGACCAAGAATCTCCTCTGCCGATGTCTCAGGAGGAATGTTTCCCAGATAGACTGTCCTGCTGGTACCGGAGACAAGTCCAGGGGCAATCGACATGGAGTGACCGAGCCCGCCAAGACCTTGCCCACCGTACCCGGGGTATCCTCCGGTCGGGGACTGCGGGCCGGCAAAGAAACCAGGGCCGTTCATGCTCGTAGGAGATACAAGGGTCTGGTACAGCTGGGGCGAAAGGGGTTGCTGCAAGGGGCTGCCGACCTGGTTAGACTGGTGGTTCTGCTGCTGCGAGTGGTTCTGGCCGGCAAAGCCCGCAAAGTTCTGGAATTGCGGCGAATTGAAGGCTGAAGGAGAGCCGGGTTGGAAAGGGCTACCCAGGAGCAGCTGCGAAGGCAGCAAAGGGGTAAAGTTCATGTCGTAACCGGTGCCAGGAGTCTGCAAATCATGGCCATTCTGATTGCCCATTCCAAGCCTTCCAGTGTTGATAGACATGTTGTTCGACCTCTCGGGATGCCTGTCGGCGTAGCCTGGCTGGTTCGTAGCGAATGCTCCATGCGAGAAGCCGTGGTGGCCTCCGTTCATTCCGTTCATCTGTCTCTGAAAACTCGTCTGAAGACGGGGACCGTTCGGGGCAGTTGAGGCACTCTCGTGCTGTTGCATTCCGAGCAGGTGCGGAGGCAGGCTGAGGTTATCCCGCGCAGTGTGGGATATGGTAGCCGTGATGAAGATAAATTACTGCGTCCAGGACTCGGAGGACCGGACGGCACAATACGTATGGCAGAATCTGAAGGTGCAACCGGTTGCAGAGTGGTCGCGAAGGTTGCGAAGGGTAGATGGTCGTATTAAATCTTGTAGGGATCTGGGACGTCTTAGCAACGTTCTGCGTGGCTGTTCAAACACTCGAGGAAAAAGAGGGCTCACATCCAAAAGCGCACGGGCAAGTGGGTACTTAATACAGGGTGGACAGCACCAAGTCGAAATTCGAACAAGGACCAATTGCGCGGTCGCCTGGAAGTGTCGAGTCGGAGCAGACGTCAACAAGAAGCAGGTTGGCCGTACGATTAGGTGGTGCGAGGCGCGCGAAAAGGATGGGCCTGAGGCTTGTCCTGAAGATGCCAACGGTCTAAGAGGGAACAAATAATAAGCAACAAGGCACAGGGGCAGTATTTGCCAGGACCCTCAGTGCAAGGAAATAGCTAGAGAATGAACGAACGGGTCCGAAGAAGAGGATGGCGACCTGATGTCGATCGAGGTGAGAGGAAGAAGAAGTGGGAGACAGGAGGCAGCCGCAAATGAGGCCTCCGAATGCGGACTGGTGCACCAGCTTATTTTAAATGCGCAATCGCCCTGGCTCACTCAGGTCACCAACGCCCGCCCCCGCCCTTTAGAATCACGGACCGACGTCCTGTCCGGAGCCGCAGACGCTCGTGCGATGCCGCGTTGCATTGCTTGCGCCGTGGTGCTTGATGCTGGCCTTCTTCGTGTTGCTCAGGTGCGGCTCGCAATTATTCAGGGCTGGAATGCAGCGGGTAGTTGCATCGTGCCTGACTAGACACTCGCTTCGTCTCTTCTCTAGTAACTTGCACGCCTTGCAGCCAACACGGCTGGCATCCCTTTTGCAGACCATTTCAGAGCACATTGCGGCCCTGGATGCGTTTAGTGTCAGGGTCGCCCCTGTGGGAAGATCCGCTCGACGCGTAAACTCGCGTGGCAGCTCCACTGTAATCGGACGTCGTTCTGAAGAAGCACTTTACCACGCTGGCAGGCGGGCCTGATGAGTGCTGGTAAAAGGTCGACTGCATTGCCACGTCTGCCTTGTTGCAGTTTGTTTCGCCTGAGTTAGACTCGTTGTGTTCGTGTACGCGTTGTTTCCAACCGCGTGAATTAGCTTGAGAACGGGCCAATGAGCACGTGACTTCAAACTTCTGCTTTTCCGCGCTTCTTGCCCATTGTCAACCACACACAGTCCATGTCGCCATGGCTGAATTGAATCCGTCCATCGCCCAGTGCGCTGTTGTGGCCACGGCTTTGAAAGTCCTTCTTTTCCCCGCGTAGTATGTTTGACTGCACGAATTTGATGTTGTATCGGCGTGCATGCTGACTGTTTGTGGCAGCAAGTCGACCGATTTCGAGGTTCATCGCAACTGGCTTGCCCTTACTCATTCATTGTCGATAAAAGAATGGTATTATGAAGTGTGAACGCCTGGGAACTACTCACAACCAGACAATGCTGTCTAACAGATTCTGCAGAATACTTCAGAATGGACTCTGGATTATCCCCCCTTCTTCGCTTATTTCGAGTGGCTTATGTCTCAAGCCGCCGCATATATTGAGCCTGGAATGCTCAATGTCAAGGCCCTCGGCTATGACAGTTGGCAGACCATTTATTTTCAGCGGACTACAGTGATTCTCACTGAGCTAGTCTTGGTTTATGCCTTGCACCTGTATTTGACAATATCCATTTTGTTCATCCCATTCAACTGACTCTTGTCTAGCTACGTGAAGACTTCCAAGACTAAAGTCACTGCACATGCTGCCGCATTGTCCATTCTTCTCTCACCTGGGCTTCTCATCATCGATCACATCCATTTCCAGTACAATGGCTTCCTATATGGAATCCTCATCCTTTCTATGGTTCTTGCTCGGAATAAGTCAACAGTTCTCTTATCCGGACTTCTCTTTGCTGCTCTGCTATGCCTCAAGCATATCTACTTGTACCTTGCTCCCGCATACTTCGTCTACCTCCTACGCGCGTACTGCTCAGGGCAACAATCGTCATTCCCGTATTTTCGAGTTCGCTTCTTGAACTGCATCAAACTAGGCGTAGGTATCGTTGCAGTATTCGCTAGCGCGTTTGGACCATTTGCGCTATGGGGCCAACTTGAACAAGTGTTCCGTCGCCTCTTTCCATTTTCACGAGGGCTTTGTCATGCTTATTGGGCGCCGAATATCTGGGCGATGTACTCATTCGTAGATCGCGTTCTCATTCAATGTAAGTTCTATGGAGTATTGTACGAATCCTGCTGACTTCATTAGTGGCTCCTCGTCTGGGATTGGCCGTCGATGTTGAAGCAATGAATAGTGTCACCAGAGGCTTGGTCGGGGATACGTCATTCGCCGTACTTCCTGATATAGCACCCCTGGTGTGCTTTCTTCTAACCTTGGGTGCTCAAATCGTATGTATGCTGTTAACGACCACAGGCTGCGGCTGACCTATCTTAGCCTGTGCTCCTCCGACTTCTCTACAAGCCCACTTGGCATACGTTCGTTGGTGCTGTCACGTTGTGTGGCTATGCCTCATTCCTGTTTGGCTGGCACGTTCACGAGAAAGCGATCCTTCTCGTCATCATACCGTTCAGCCTGATCGCGCTCATCGACCGCAGGTATTTCGGCGCTTTCCGACCTTTGGCTGTTGCTGGTCATGTGTCCCTCTTCCCCCTCCTGTTCACAGCAGGCGAATTTCCTGTGAAGACAGTGTATACTATCTTCTGGCTTGTACTGTTTCTTCTGATCTTTGACAGGCTTGCCCCCGCGTATGTCACCCGTCCGTTATCAATATCGCCACTGACAAGTCTTAGTTCGCCGCGGCCACGAATCTTCCTACTTGATCGCTTCTCTTTCCTCTATATCGCCCTCTCCATTCCTTTGATTGCGTACTGTTCATTGTTTCATGGCATCTTCTTCGGATCTCGCTATGAATTCCTTCCACTTATGTTTACCAGCTCTTATTCAGCCATCGGAGTGGTTGGTAGTTGGGTGGGGTTCTTAGTTGTGTACTTCGATTCATAGATGGGACCATATAGCCTCCCGCATGTGCAGGCAATATTTACTATGCCCTAACTTTATTTGTCGTGGTCCTTGGACGCAAATCCACAACCTATCTCGAGTATCTTCGACATGTGGTGATTGCATCGTTTCATCTTGTGTATGTTCGCCCGTCAAACAATGCCTTGCCCGATCTATCAAGAAGTTCAATGCTTTTCAGACAAACATCCTTCGGACATGATCATACTCTGCATGATGCAGGCTCCAGCTAATCCTGAGTAATGGGTGGAGAGTTTCAAGAATGACCGCATGTCAAAGGAAGAAAAGAGGAAGATAGTTCTGGACCACTTCTGATACCGCAAAGGTCCGTAAGTTTCCTTGTTACGGAAATTTCCATGTTCTACATGGTGTTTGGGAGTGTCCGGATCAAAGTGGGCGGTTAGAAAGATAGGTGGGTCTCAAGGGTTTGCCTCGAGCCTTGGGGTAGATAGATCTTGTATGAGCACTCTCCGATCAATATATACCTGGCATAGTGGACAACAACGATTCAAATGCAATTTTTAGCGATGCAACGCTATCGCAGTCTGACTCAGCTTCGAATGACGATTCAAACAAGTCCAAATAGCTGGTGTTGCGACTGCAACGTGGGTGCGAAAAGTCGATGTGTATGAGGGATAGATGCATGGACCCCTTCCATATAGGGCTTGGACGCCAAGCTGCTCGTAGGTACGCTCTCATACATTACTCTCCCCATTGACAGCTCCCACCTCTCTCGACGCTCCCTCCGCCACTCAACTATCGATCGCACAACTCCCGCGCCCACAACACTCGCGACTTCAAAACAACTCGAGCTGACACGCTTTTTCGGAATCATATACGCGTCTCGGAATCGGACCGCGGAAGAGTGCGCCAACTTTACCCAGAATCTCCTCCGGTTCCGTTCGGAGCTTCTGTTTGCCTTGACCGTTCACAAGAGGGGCGAACGCTTCGAGCTATTACCAGGGCTAGCCTGCGGTAGACTCAGACTACGCGCTTCACGTCTCGCGACGCTTCCGAAAGTTTGCGACGTGATAGCTCAGACGTCCAGAAGCTTCACATGAGCTAGAGCTACAGGCAACATGGTACAAATAGATACATCCACTACCACGAATTACGAACTGACAATCTCAGGTGCTCTACAAGCGCAAGCCTGTCAAGTTCGACCCTCACCCCAAGAACCTCGATGATGGTACTGAGGTACGTCAGCATATCCCCAATACCCGACGATACATGAATGTTAAGATTGCCGCATAGGTCTATCCAATAGAGGAGACAGGAGAGGTCTATACCGAATACGAGAAGTTCCTCGACAGGTTTGTGCAGGGACGTCAAGTTAGTGAATATGGCTAACAATACTCAGACGCGACTTTTATGATCAGGCAAGTGCAGTCCTGTTAACAAGAACTACGACTCTAACACCACTACAGAAAGTATTCACGTGCGAGGCAACCGGACACACCAAATACACCTTTTTCGAGGCTAGGGAGAGCGAGGTAGGCATTACGTCAGTACGGGACAAGGACAATCAGAGTGTAACAACAATTCAGATGGAAGCTGCAAAGGAGATCAATAGCATCTTTCCTGACGGTCTGAGATCTCTCGTGCTCCACTGGGTCCAGTTCCAAACTACATCGCGTATGGATGACTTGGGTAAGTTGTGTGTATCTTCCTGGCCCTGACCCACTGCTAATCTCCAGTTGATAGTCAACAAAACTTATGATGTACGTCTCTAACGACCAGAACGCTGCTTGTATTAATAGTCTACTAACTCAGATTCTTAGCACTTCAAGGAACATTTCATGATCAGGGACCGCGTCTCGATCGAGAGTGATAACAACACGCGTCGCTTCGGTATGATCACAGAAATGACTAGCAACGAACATCTGCAGACTATGTTTGCCGGACAGTCGGAGGACGAGGCATATCGTTCGTTTACTTATGTCATTAAGATGGACGACACCGGCGAGAACGTGACCAAGTACAAGGCTTCGGAGCTCCAGCGGGACAACAGAGTCTATTCGAAGCTCATACTTAAGCAATTCCTCCGCAGTACTATCTCACGGGAATCATGGATCGGCGCACCCTGGATGGCCAAAGAACATTTGGTGAAACGCTACAGCATCCCAACCACGATCCCCGAGAACAAAACTCGAGAAGCCATTATGGCTCAGAAAAAAGCATTGAATGCTTCACACTCAAACGGCACGAGTCCACCAGTGCAGCAACCGTATCTACAGAACCAACCCAATGGTCATGCGCCTAACGTCAACGGGCATCGGCCGTCGTTACCAGTGCCGGGGCAGGGGCAGCCTACCTTTGTCAACTTCTCAGCAAACCCATCGCAGCCTCAACGACACGCTACTGCAGGACCACCAATGATGCATCCGCCACTCATCGGGCCACCTCGAGGGTTTCATGCGCCTCCGCAGCCAATCCATTATGTTAACGGACAGCCAATGCACCCACCTGGTTATCTTGTGACTAATTTCCCACCACAATACGCTTATGTGCAACAACAGCACGCGCCCCATCCTAGCACAGGACCAACCATGAACCAACACTACCAAACCAGCTTTCCGCATAATCAACGACCTCCGGCAGCACACGTTCCACAACCGCAGCAAGCACAACCAGTGACCAAGCCGTTCGAGCCAGTCAAGTATCCCTGTGAGGATTTGGAGATCAGGATACCAAAGACGGAGCCTGCACGACCGACGCTGAAGTTCTTATGCGACGATACGCCCAAGGGTGCCGAGCCGCTTCCCGATGATGAGAAGACCGGCATCCTCATGAAGAGTGTCGGGCCCCTGTTGTGCATATGGGAAACCCTCAACGTTCACGACACGGTCTACATGCTCGATTCGTTTACGTTCGACGATTTCGTGGATGCCATGCTCTTCTCCTCTGAGGAGACGGAATGTGAATTATTCGTCGAAGTTCACTGCTCCATCTTGAAGCAGATTGTCAGCAGTTCTGGGAAATTCCAAGCGCCTCTTCCAAACATGGATGATGCTGACGACTCGGACGATGAGGAGTCGAGCACAGAGTCAACGCCAACGCCTGAGCCGGAACCGCCTGTTCGAAAAACCCGCAGCAGTTTGAGGAAGTCAGAGGTCCAGCAAATCGTCAAGCCACGTACTCCTACTCCTGAACTGCCGAAACAAATCCACAAAGCCGCAGAGTTCGTTGCGGAGTTCGACTGGGTTGAGCAGTGCAAGGACCGAAACTTCCGAGAAGGTGGATGGCAGTCAAGTATGGTTGGCCTTTTGTACCGTTTGTCTTTCGACCCAACACAGAAGTCAGCCTGCGACGAGATTCTGGCTGAGCTTGTCCCGCCTGATGAGGAACCTACTGTCGACAATGTCGCGTCCAACTACGTTCATCTCGACGTCAACCTTCGCATTGCAGCGCTAGAGTCGGCGCTCAGGTTGACTGTCGCCACGGAAACCTTCCGCGATCAGCTTGTTGCCGCTGCCCAAGAGTTAACCCGCCTGCGTAAAGAGAAAATCGAGTTCCAGAGGAAGCGGAAAGAACTGTAAGTAATTCCATCACTCGTTTACTGATTTGCCCCTAACAGTACCTAGGGCCGACGAGCTTTTCAAGTTGGATCTTGAGCGGAGGATCCACCTTCCTGCCAACACCCCGGCGTCACCAACAGATACAACTTTGAACGAAAGTATGGACGTTTCGATGACAAGTGTTACGGAGGAAACTAAAGAAAGCACCGAAGCGGGTGGCGAAGATTCGGATGCTGCCAACCGTCGACTTCGTCATACAAACAAGAATAAGCGCAAGGCCGCCGCCGACGAAGTCAGGAAGGAGAGAGCGAAGAAAGCGAAAGCCGACGCTGAGAAGACGAAGAAGCAAAAGGAGTGGGAGAAGCTTTTGGACTCCATTGAGAAGAAAAAAGACGAGCTCAAGGAATGCGAGGCTAGCATCAACGAGCTCGACGACGATCTCCGCGAAACACGTGTGCACCGCAGCACGGTGCTTGGAAAAGATCGTTTCCTGAACAAGTACTACTGGTTTGAGCACAATGGAATGCCGTTTGGAGGTGTTCCGAACAGTTCCACGGCGGAATACGGTTACGCCAATGGACGTATATGGGTGCAAGGACCAGACGAACATGAACTGCAGCCAAATATGGAGGAGCCGGCTTTGTCTCAAGACCTGCATCGCCTTGGCTTCACTATTCCTCAACGCAAGGAGAAAGAAGAAGGCGCAACGCATCTCGCCAACGCTTCTGAATGGGGATATTACGATGATCCTGAGGAGATCAGTGCTCTCTTGGAATGGTTGGATGTACGAGGCCATCGAGAGAGGTTACTCATGAAGGAACTGCAAGCTTTCGGCGAGCGCATCACTGAATACATGGGCATCTTGAAAGGACATAAATCGAAGGCCGAGGATCCAAAGGAAGACGACGAGGATGAAGATCTGCCCCGAGTGTCCACACGAAACAAGGCCCATGCCGAGAAGGACGCGACCAAGGACCGCTGCTTGCATTGGACCAACAGCATCATGCGGGAAGAGTATGGTTACAACCATATCGAGGAATACGAACCCCCGAAGAAGACGACGAAGACGAAGGCGACGAAAGCGAAGGCCAAGGGCAAGCGCTAGGTCCCGTTGACCTCTTACTTGTAAGCACGGGATGTTTTGTTTGTTGTTTTGATGCATCAAACATCATCCCCTGTGCGGTCAAGGCACATCAAAGAAAACATAGCCTTGTACAAATCTGTGTCTGTACCATCTGGGCGTTACAAGCAATGGCGCTACGGTCTACGAGGTGTGATAAGCATTATGGGTCATACAGCATTTATCTTGGAGTTGGGGGTGTTTTGGCGATACTCAGTTAGAGGATTCACGCGGTGTTTTCGAATGGCTGGGTACAGCCAGATTTCAGCATTCTGTGCTCAGCAGTTTCTGGGCTCTGTGGGCAGGCGTTTTACTTTACTCCTGAGTCCTTCCCTGGTGATATTACAAGGGTGGTCGGATTCTTTAGGCGTCACGGCCGTGTACATTGGACTGTAGAAAGTACAAACGATTCGATTCGATTATTCTTCTACTTGGCTCAACCTGAAACTCGCATGTCTGTTTTCCGAAACATATCCCCGTATCCGTACAATCGGCTTATGAATTTTGTGGTGCAGCCTGGTACATTTGTCGCATGACCGTGTCAGGCTAAGCGCCTTGGCATATTGTGATCATGCTTCCAAGGCAACCAGCAACAGCGTTCACAGTACTGATCGCACCTCGTCACTGCGCCCAGTGCCGACCACCACGATACAGTCATCATAACCAGGGTGCGACTTACAGCTATTCCAACCTCCGCCGACGTACCCCGCCGGCGTCAGAAAACCTCCAGCATGACCGCCAGCGGTGCGCGCAAAGGTGAGCATCAAGGCCCCTCCTCTGCATGCGCTCCGCATTGCTGACAAGCTATAGCGCCTCCAGCCGCGGCATCGTCACCGCCAGGAATCATAGACAAGGGCACAGTTCAAGATGCCATGGGGCTGGAGAAAAAGAAGTTCAGCCTGAAGCTTAGGAGGCCTGTTGCGAAGGCGTCAATAACCGGAAATTGGAAAGAAAGCGACGCAACAAGTACGTCTGCCACAGCACGCGTTTTTATGACGCATGCTTGTGTCTGGAGACCAGCGGAACTGACGTGCTGGTAGATGTCGGGACCAAAGCCGCACCGCTGGGGGCTACCTCTCTTGTAGTCAACGTTCTGGACGAGAAGACTACGATTGGTTTCCCGTCCGGCCGCCCCGTCGACGACAAGGTCGACACGGTACAATGCAAGCACTGCCGTCGACCTGTGCTTCGTGCTTCTTCGACGACCCACATCCGCGAGTGCCTGAACAAGAAGCAAGAGAAGCTCAAGAAGAAAAAGGAGGCCAAGGAAGCAAAGGACGCGGCTCTTAGGAAAGAGAAGGGCGAGGACGACGATGGCGGCAAGAACGCGCGAAAGTCGGCTATCAAGGGTGCTGTTGACGGCGAGGGTGCAAAGAAGGGCAAGAAGAGAAAGATTGATGGCGACGCAGAAAAGGCACCAAACGCCAAAAAGAAGAAGAAGGACGAGCCGAAGCAGAAGACAGCAAAACCAAAAGGACCGGTTGATGTGGAGAGGCAGTGTGGTGTTCCGTTGCCGAATGGAGGATTCTGTGCCAGGAGCTTGACGTGCAAGAGTCATTCCATGGGTCTCAAGAGGGGCGTGCCGGGGCGAAGCTTGCCGTACAGTATGCTGCTGGCGCAATACCAAAAGAAGAACCAAGCCAAGCAACAACGTAAGTATAAGATTGAGACCATCATCCACAGTACAACAGGCTAACAAGACGAAAAGGTGCCGCCATCGACGCAAACGCCCCCCTCCCCGAAGACCTCGAACAATCCGGCGCAGTAGACTCGGACGAAGAAAAGGACTCGATCATGGCCGCGCTCGCACGCCACAAACCCCGCCCACTAGCAACCTACACACACGCCTCCCAACGCTCGAAATACCAGTACATCCGCATGAAGAACATGATCCGCTCAGCGCTCGGCGCCCCACCCGGCGGCAGCTCCCTGTACTCTGGCCTCACGCCCGGCGCAGACAGCATGGCCACCGGCCGGCTGGGAATGGGCATGATGGGCGCCCCGACCAGCGCCACGGCCGAGAGCTTTGCTGCCAGCGCGGGCGGCATGGGCTTTGGCTTGGATGGCGCGGGGAGCAGGCGGCAGAGCATCATGGCGCAGGGCGGTCCGCGCCAGATTCTTCCCGGTCAGTTGCCTGGTCCGGGGCCGCAGCAGAGGAAGGGCAGTGTGAGTGCCTCGTAGGACGGACATGTTGTATCGCAATGGCGAGGGATTGGGAGTACGCTTGTTGATGGGAAGCAGGCAAGGGCCGATTCGGGATGCGAGTTGTGAACCGGTGGGATAGCATGGCATTGCACGGCACGGGAAAGGAGTTATTGTGATACCCCCTAGTTGATTACTAGACAAGACACGAAGCACGAAATGGACATTTATACATTCAAACTCCCCCCCCATATACAACAAAATCGTGAAAATCCGAAAAAAAAGCATAGCCCATCTACGTAGCGAAAAACGTCAAAAAACTCCCCACCGTCAACCCACTAATCAAACACAACGACATCAGCCCCCCCGCCGCCGCCCGCTCATCATCCTCCACCCACTCCCCAAACCCCATCATACAGCTACTCCCCAAAAACCCATTCGACACGCCAAACAACAACTGCACAACGACAAGGTAGAAGAAATCGCTCTCAACCGCCGCCCCCCTCCCGCCGATATTACACAGCCAGTACAGCGGAATGAACCCAATGCGCAGCACGGCGAGGAGGAGGAGTAAGCGCGGGTAAGCAGTGAGGCGCAGGGCGGGGACAGCGGGAAGCGTGCGGCCGAGCAGGTCGCCTGCGTTCCAGAAGAGGAAGGCCAGGGGGATGAAGGTGGCGGGTTGGAAGAGGCGGGGGGAGGTGGCGGGGTTGTGGGTGCTGAGGATTTGCTGGGTGAAGACGGGGAAGAACATTGTTATTGTGAAGGTTAGGGCTACGGCGGAGGCGAGGTAGATTAGTTTGCGTAGCAGGGTGGTGAGGGGGATGGGTTTGCGCTCGTGGGGTGAGGCGGATTCCGCGTCGTCATCTGTGGTGTGGTGCAGGGTGTGCGTGACGCGCTTTGTGGAGAGGAGGTAGGAGAATGCGGCGAGCGTGGCTGTGGAGACGAGGGTTGCGGTGAGGAAGTAGGCGAATGCTGATGTGTTGGGGACTTGAGGCGAGCCCTGGGCGTGCTTGTTCTTGGGGACGGATAGCACGGAGACGATCTGTGCGATGCAGGGGAGCACGCCGGCGACGCCCTGGCCCGCCATGATGCCCTGCGTGTACTCGTCGCGCCTGAAACTGGATACGTAGGCGAAGACGCCGTTCTGGCACATGCCGCTGGCGAGACTGGCGCTGAGTACCATCACCATGAGGAAGGCGAAGTAGACGCGCGTTGATACGTCGAGGAAGAGCTTCGTCGACAGGGCGAGCAGGGTGAAGACGACGGCGTTGATGCCCAGCGCCATGGTGATGCGCTTGGGGTAGTTTGCGCGTGCTTGCAGCTTGGTCAGGACGATCATGGAGCCCAGGCCGCCGACGGTCGAGACGGAGAGGATGGCCGACTGGAAGTTGCGCAGCAGCGCGGGGTCCGAGTCGAAGCGCCGCTGGAAGTAGGGCGCGGCGGCGAGGAACATGTTCCTGGTATCTTGTTAGAGCGGTTCGCATGCGAGGGTGAGGTATCGTATCTACCAGGCCCATAGCATGGCTACTCCCAGCAGCGCGAAGACGGAGTACTCGGTCCATGAGAAGGGCGGGCTGTCGCCATGGTTGGCATCCTCTCCGTCTGCATGCTCTGACCGGCCTTGGAGAGGCTCGTAGGCGGCCCGCGAGTTCTCTCTCTCGAAGATGCGCCGCATTCGTTCCATGATGCGCGGTGCTCGGCGGGTATGTGATGTGGAAATATGGGAGTGATACGGGGGTGTTTAGGCGTTAGTAATGTTATAAAGGAATGGAGAGGTGAGGATAGCAGGCAGACATATTCCAGACGACCTTCACGCAGCACTCATGGTCACAAGGCGCAGGTGATGGGTGATGGAGTCGCTTTCGTGTTAAGCTAGCAGGGGATGACCTCGGCGCGCTAACAGGGGGGATGCCTTGATGTCACTTTGTCCCTCGTATTCTCGACCCTCCACACCCCGCCATCCATTGTCTCCACCCGCATCTCCCCTCTAACGTCCGCCGCCAGCCATGCCGGCGCCCACGACCCTCCGCGTCAAGAGGAAGCGCGACGATGCCCCCGTCGACGCCCTGCTGGTCAAGCGACAGAAGGCCCTGGAAGCAGACCCCAAGGCCTTGCGCCAGAAGTTCTACTTCCGCCGCCTCACGAGACCAAACGATGCGCCGGCCACGCCCGCGTCGCCCACACCGGCTTCGGAGCGACGCTTCCACCTCGACGCATCTGCAGGGAACCGTACCAACCATGTCTTCATAGAAGCACGACCAGCCGCGCCGGGCCAGCCAGACAGCGTCGACGGGCAGCTGCAGGTCCCCGTACCAGAGCCAGCGCACCCAGCAACCCCGCGACCCAGGAAGCGACCGGGCACAAAGAGTGCATTGCCTCGAACCCCAGCCACTGCCATACAGCAAAAGTCTATCCTCACCTCCCCATCCGCCCAAGACCTCCGCGAACTTGAAGCCCTCTCTGAACAGCTTGGCTCGCCTACAAAAAATGCAACCTCGCCCTCCAAGTACAAGCCCAAAGCCCCCGCCCGCCGCTTCGCAGAACGCCATCCCGAACAAGCCCCACAGCATGGCGATGCAATGGAACTCGACACCGATGAATACGTCTACGACACGTACGTCCGCGAGGCCATAATGCCCGATGCTCCCGAGCCCTCAGGTACTGTAGGCTTCCTGGTCATCAACGAAGCCGATGAAGAGTTTTGGTACGGCGACGATGAGAGTGACAGGGAATTCGACACGGACGACGAGGATGAAAATGCCGAGGACTACTACGCGAACGACTACCCCGAGGATGAGATGAGCGAGGACGACGAGTTTGGGAGAGACCTGTACCAGAAGAAATACCGCATTGGCAGCGACGAAGAAGACTACAACCCCGACGACGATGACGATGCCGCGATTGGGAGCGGTGAAGACGAGGATGATTTGCACTACAAAATGACCGTCCCCAAGGCGCAGAGAGTAGGGTATTGGGGGACGTACGGAGAAAAGTGAAAAGAAAAAACTTCTAGGTCCTTGAAGCGTTATTCGATACCCCCAAAACCATAACACGTGAAAATAGATTTGACTTTGGGAAAAGACCGAATTTTTCATATCCTCACGTCTCCCTGCTGAAGCTTGTCGGACCAGTCTGGCCTGTACTTTGTTTTCATGTGTTGCATGAGATTGACGAGAGATGCTGACAGCGCGGCGGAGCTGGGCCATTTCCAGGAAGATAGCTCGAGCACGAGAAGCGCGTTGGAGTACAGTTGAATCAGATTGCCCCCGAAGATGGCAGGAATGTTCTGGATCAATACTGTCCCGGCTCGATACACCCAGTGTGGCGTCAGGTAGACGTGGATACCGCCTAGGCTGACTACTGCCTCCAAAACGTGCCATGCGCTGCCCCATACGGGGTTCAGGAGGAGGTGTGTCATGTGCAGCGCAATACGTACAGTCGGAAGGAGTTCGGCTTTTTCGTCCAGAAGTGGTAGGAGTTTCTTGATGTCGTGTTTGGTCGCGTCGTCGCTTTTGCGGAATCGGTGTTGCAGTCGGAAGAGCGAGCAGAGATACTCGGCGGGTTTGTGCTTGTCGAAACATAGCTCGGATTTCTACAAGGTTGGTTAGCTGATTGGATGTAACATCACGCTGTCGACTTACGGGCTCAGGGAACATGGCAGGTCTGTCTAGCGTGGATGCAACTTCATTCTCCAGACTGAAGATTGTCATGTGCATGTTTTTAAGCATGGCGACATCGGCTGGTTCCAGCTCCTGCAGCTCTGCTTTCGCCTCCAAGTCGAATGCCAAACGCGCTGCAAGGGCTATCTGCTGGCCTGTGTTTCCTGTCTTTGGATCGAACAGGCTGTTTATAGCAAGTAAGAGAACCGCCCTGAGTGTGGCGATGGTCGGCTCGACCGTCGCCTCCTCCAGACACTCCATAGCACGTGCAAAGAACTGGTTAGCTAGGATGCGATATTTGAGCGAGTTGCCTTGATGATACGAGAGCCTCCCTGTAGGATTCCACACATCCTGAGTATTTGGGCGTTTCCCCGTACTCGGCAGCACATAGCAAGCGATGGAGTAGATCAAGTTGAGGGAAAACTTTTCCGTCGCGGTAACATCATAAGGGACGTCGCGGGCTAGGTAGCGCAGTGATAGGTCCAGAATGGGATACACGGGCTGCATGACCTCGAGGTAGAGCTCCATCAGCTCGTACTGCTTTGCTGGTGACTCTTTCCAGGATAAGTTCCATTCATCGTCCATCTCTACCTTGGGAGACGGAATGTCAATGGCATGCAGTCGCGGCGATTTTAGTAGGCAGGATTGCGCGCCCAGATACCGGTAGCTGTCCCCCGCATACGCAAAGTGGTGGTCGTGATGCAGGACGACCTCGGACGCCATAGCTTCCAGGCTGAGCGGCACAACCAGACTCCTATCGTGCATGGACTCGCCCGGCGCAGCCGGAGAAGGATTGCTGTGCGTCGAGCTCCCAATCCGACGTATGTGCTCGACCAGCTCTGCAATGTAACTACGCAAAAAATCCCAGCATCAGCCACGTGCGGGCCATGAAATGAAATGAAATGAAATGAAATGAAATGAAATGAAAGAAAAAAAAACAGCCCCACATGCCTTCGTGGGAGTAGTTCATTGCGCCCGTGGTCGAAGAATACACAGTCGGCGCCGGCTTTGGTACATTGCCTAGGGTTCTCTCGGTCACCACGAGCAACCTCTTGTTTTCGGATGTGGACTGCGCGTTACCTGCATCTTGGTAGCAGCGTGTCGCAGCCCCGACGGCAGTCTCTACATCGTTTGCACGCAGGGAGGCTCTTTTATTTGATGTACAGTGAGCATGTGTTTTTCTGTGGGGGTTTCACAAGGCTGATGGATGGATTGGTAGTACCTGGATCAGGGCGTCGAGGTCAAACGATGGCGGGCTGCTGGAGCTGCTTGTCGACGCCATGTAGTGAGTGAGGATAGAATAAATGCTGGAGAGCGTTGAGTTCGTTCGTTCGTCCCAGGCTACCAAACCAACTAGGCACAGCATATGCGTGTTTGTCATCATGATCAACCACATACGGACGTATCGTTTTTCGGAATTGAATGCCACCGAGTCAGGACGCGACTGAGATTAGAAGCGAGGCCACGTGACGTAGTCAATCTTGCGCATGCAGCGGAAGGGATGGCCCGGTCAACCCAGGCGCTCAGCCCCGACCTGACTGCTGGGATGTGTTTGTCAAGTCGTCAATCCCCAACCATCCGTTTTGTCCAACCCAGACGCCGAGTTTTGTTCTTTTTTGCACACCGATTTTTTTTTGGTCTGCACGATGCAGAACCGCACCAAGGTCCGGAGGCGAGTCCTGGCCTGTGCGCGTTGCAGGCGCAGGAAACTTTCGGTAACACGATTGCCCTTATTGCTCTCTTCCCCCATATGGTGTTACGTGTGCTAGGGTTTTGCTGACGATTTGACACAAAAAAGTGTGACGGAAAGGTTCCGGCGTGCACTCGCTGTGTAGACGCAAGGGTGCAGTGTGTTGGGTTCGATTCTTCGACGCAGCAGGAGGTTCCGAGGAGTATTGCTGATTTCCTCGAGGCTCATATTGCGACGCTGGCTGGACGGCCCGAGGGTTCAACTTCGACCTTCTCCTCGCCGTCGAATTCGGGCGATTCGGATGCTCACTACTCGATTCAGTGGGGGACGGAAAAATGCGCTTTCACTGACAGCCTCGTGAATCGAGTCATGGAGGATATCACTCCCCCGTTTCTTGGCGTCACAAAGGCTCAGCCGCTGTTGCAGTGTGTGGTGAAAGGCACTCAGCTTCCGTCCAAGAAAGGCCCGGTGGTGTCGACTGATTTGGACGAGAATCACCCCAGGTCCATCATCAACCCTCAGCCGTCGAAGAGTCATTTCCACGAGCTTATACCTGATGAGGTAGGGGCGAATATCCTCTTCCAGAACTATCTGGATCGAGTAATTACACAGTATCCTATCTACCACCGGAATGATGTGACCACGGCTTTCAACTCCATCTACCACAGGAAGGCGTCGAATCTGGACCAAGACACAGTCCGAAACCGTTATATTGTCTGCATCATGATGGCCATATCATTAAGTACAGCCGCGCGAAGCAACCTGCAAAAAGCCAATGAAACAGCGTACCAACTCGTCCGACACGCTATGCAGTGGATACCGGAAGTAGCGACGAACGATATTGCTGGATTGCAGGCCATACTTTTCCTCACTCAGTACATTTTTTTAAATCCTCGAATGGCAGATTTATGGCTCTTGACGGGCCTGATCAGCCAGGCAGTAATCGACCTTGGTCTCCACCAGGAACTGCCCAACCACTCAACCATCTCGGCATATCACCGCGATATGAGGCGGCGTTTGTTCTGGTGTGCGTTCGAGATGGAAGTCGGCGTGTGTTCAATATTCCTACGACCTACGAGCTTACCCATCAGACATATCGAGGTTGCTTTTCCGGTAGAGATTGACGACACAGCTATCACCCAGTCGGTTATGGAACTAACAGGCCGCGTTTCCAAGTTCACGCAGCGCATAATATGTCGGTTCCGGCTCATCGAGGCGGAGGTTATCTCAGTGTTGTGGCATGGGGATCCAATTCCGAGCGGAAGCACATCAATTGAACAGTGGATGCAGAGATGCATTGCCGACATCTCACTATGGCAGCAGGAAATTTACGCAGCAGCCAATATGAACAGGGACCCTGGGTTGGTGGCGCGATGGAAAGAGATGACGCTCTACTCGGACATATCCGTCCCGTACATTCTCGTCACGTTGTACCGGCCTTCTCGACGCATACCCGACCCAAACACCTGCCAGATGATGATAGCCCTAGTCAACGCCGTCAAAGTCGCAGACGGCTACTTCCAACAGTCCGAAGCCGAAGCCGGACGGATAAAATACGTCTTCCACCCCTGCCACCACGTATTCAACTGCGCGCTCGTCTTCCTCCAGGGCCTGCAGCGCTGCAAGCAAGAAGTCTCCCAAGCATATTCATGGGAAGATATAGAAGAGTGGATGCACGTCTTCGGCAAATGCTTCTCGCGCATCGCAGAACGATGGACCGCAGCCCAGCGCTGTCTGGAAGAGTACGAACGCCTACTATCGCCCATCAAGAACGAGTACCTCGACTTCTTGGAGCACAACGCATCTTTGCTGCCGCTTTCGTCGCAGGCCCCGGCAACGTCAAGAGGGCCCCACAGGTATTCGGCCCCTGGACCCAGTTCAGCTACACCGCCCGCTCCGCCATCGGCGCCCGCGAAGATCGATGAAGCGTTCAACCTGTGGAGCGCGTTCAATCCATCCACAACGCCTAGTGCGACAAAGTCGCCCAGCGTGCTTCCGTATAACACACCGCCTCGAGACTGGAATGCAGAGTTCTCTCTCAGATACGGGACGGAATCAATACCTGGTCTGTAGTCTCCGAGTGACCGTCCTGCTTCGATCGGTGCACTTAGCCGGTACCTACTCGCTCAGTATCGTGTTCAGGATCCACGCCAATGAGTGTCGACGAACGACATGTAGTGTGGGGAAGTCAGCATGGAACGGCGTTTCTGTGGTCGTATTCAATGCGTTGAGTGTTACTACACCGGAACTCGCGGCTACATGTGAAGTAGTTGTGGGTGATTCTGGTTCAAGACCCTTCGGGAAGTGGAGATGGCTGGCCGCCTGATTACTGAGAGTTTTGTTGGCAACAGCGAAAAGGTGGAGATCTCGTATGTCCGCTTTTCTTTCAACATGTCTGGGAAATATTTCCTTTGCAAGGGTTTGCTCCGACGCCACACATGACATTGGCATCAGTGAATAATACTGATTACATAATCCGGCATCTTACAACCGCCCGGTTGGAACCAAGATGTGGCGCATTAGGCACAGCCAGTCGCCAGACCCTGGCAAGAGCAATTGTCTGTAGGGTGCGTATAGACCCCGTGCAAGGCTAGATTTTCTATTGCTTCGGTCTCCAACTCCGTCGGCGTACTCTCCAGTTTCGATTTTTTTCTATAAGATACTGGTTGGATGATCTGCGGTACCCCGCAAACATAACGATTAATAATGACGTTCCGCCGGAGCTGAGTTCCCAAACGGCGAGAGATACGGTGGTGTGCAGGTGTAATATGGATATGCAGATTCGGTTGTGATAGACGGATACGCTATACGTTATACGCTATACGCTGGGCTCATCTACAGCATCTGGAGGAGAGTATGGGGACTACGAGTAGCATGTGGATGTAGAGATTGAGCGCTTGTGGCGGCTCTGTTAACGAGTAATACGAGTTGGTATGGTTGTGGAACTTGGTTGGTTGGCGAGCTGTATCTTGGAGTTCAGAACCGATTATATGGCATGCTTGGAGGCTGGGATGTGCTGCACTTCGACTACTCTATCCTCGGGCATGCTCGGGTGTGTCTGCAAGTACGCTTAGTTGCATCCAACACAAAGCTTAAAACAAATCTGAGTACTCGGTCTGTCTTCCTAGAACCTTGCCTAGAGTACTCGCTACCAAACTTGTGCCAGCGAATCGGTAGAGTGCCACTGAATTGACCAGACCTTTAGATTCCCATAGGCATGACATCAGAAGCTGGGCCCGATGCAAGACTCAGGGATATTCCCGCAGTGGGGCAACTATCTAACGTGCTTGGGACTAGCCTATGTCTACATAAAACCTGATCGGCCCAGCTCGAGCTCGAATTGCGTCAGCCGGTGAAAGCGCCTCCATAACAACCACAACACGCTAACTTGCCGTCGGGCTGCGGATAAACGGCCAGGCCACCCATTTCCCGACTTCCACTGCGACGCTAGAGTTCGCCGTAAACAGAGACAGTAAGCAGACTCGCAAGCATGGCGGAAGAGCAGAGCGAATCACTGTTGCATACTGGTGAGGTTCCCAGACGGACGACCATCTCAAAACAGTGGTACAAGAGGAGGATTGCCATCGCTGTGTTGTTCGTCAGCACGGTTTCGTTGTTGTTTGGCTTGTTCAGCGCGACGCGATCGAGCTCAACTCACTCTCCACCACCCATCGATGAGTCTCTTGTCGTTACGCTGCCGGGGTATGGAAGGTTCCAAGGGACGCAGTTTGCTGTGGACATGGGAGAGAAAACGCCCAGCAAATCTGTCGACGCGTGGTTGAGCCTCGAGTACTCGACACAACCGGTGGATCAGGATCGCTTCAAGCCCGTGACATGGCCCGCGGCCTTTAGAGGCACGAGATTTGCGACTTCATACGGACCGGCTTGCTTCCAGAACCCTCACGTCTCGGACCATCAGTCGGAGGCGTGTCTTACTGTCAATGTATATCGCCCGTCTGGAACCTCGTTGGATGATAAGCTACCGGTGTTTGTGTTTTTGCATGGAGGGGCGTTCATCGTCGGCTCAGGACGCAGTTTCGACGGCGCGCGATTCGTGGCCAAGAGCTCGCAGCCTCTCATCGTCGTCACTGCGCAGTATCGGCTCGGTGCGCTGGGAAGTCTCCCAAGCAAGCTGATGGAGGAGGAAGGCCTGCTGAACCTCGGACTGCGCGACCAGCGTCTGATGCTAGAGTTCATGCAAAAGTATGTCGGTCGCTTCGGCGGCGACGCAGAGCGCATCACACTCGGCGGCCAAAGCGCAGGCGGCCACGCAGTCGGCATCCACCAATTCCACAACTACGGCGCCGACACAGGAAAACCCCTCTTCAACCAAACCATCCTCGCCTCTGGCTCCGAAACCGCGCGTGCCTTCCCAGGCGTAGACTACCCCCTCTACCAGCGCCACTTCACCCAATTCATGGACTACGTAAACTGCCCCACCACCCCCAATGCCGCAGCCCTCGCCTGCCTCCGCGCCCTCGAAGCAGACGACATCCAATTCGTCGCCTCAGGCCTCTTCTCCGCCTCAAACTACAACGTAACCTGGCCCTTCCAGCCGGTATCCCCTGGCCCACTCTTCGAAAAGCGCGGCTCCACCTCCGGCGAAAACGGCACCTTCTTCGCCCTCCCAACGCTAATATCCTCCTGCGCAAACGAAGGCACGTTCTTCGCGCCCCAAGACCTGCGCACAAACGCCGATTTCCTCAATTTCTGGCGCACACTCACCCCAGGCCTCACTTCCACCGACCTCACCGACCTGGAAACCCTGTACCCCGATCCATCAAATTCTTCCACAACAGCAGACCCCATATCCCCCCAATACGCCCGCACCGCCTCCGCCCTAGGAGACTACTCCTACATCTGCCCCGTGCAAGAAACCGCGCGCCGCCTCGCCGCCGCCCGCGCCCCCGTCTACAAAGCCCGCTTCAACACGCCCAACCACGTCCCCGCCTACCAGGGCGTCCCGCACGCCAGCGACGCAGCGTATTTCAACGGAAAGCCTGGCACGCAGTACCCTGGGGTCGCGGACGTGTATAGTGCGTATTATGCGAGCTTTATCGTGAGTGGAAACCCGAATACGTATCGCGCTGAGGGGGCGCCGGTTTGGGAGGTTTATCAGGGGGTCGGCGGGAGGCAGATGGGGGTTAGTCCGCTGAAGGAGGGGGGCGTGAGGATGGAGGGGGAGGGGGAGGGGATGGGGAAGGGGGGGTTGGAGAGGTGTGCTTGGTGGCGGGATGGGGGGAGGGCGGGGAGACTTAATAAGTAGGGTTTGTTGGTTTTGTTGGGTGGGGTGTTTTGCCCTTTTTTCGGGGATGGCGGTTGGATTTGGATTTGGATATGAGGGGGTTATGTATATTTTCACGTTATGTTATTTTGAGTTACGACGTTTCCAATTCCTCCTTCTCTCCTCCTCTCCTCTCACCTCCCTCCCAAATGATACCCTCCTGGAACATTTTTTGTTAAGTGTGATCTTCCCCTTTTGCAGGATATGAGTCGGCGGATACGCATATATTTACGTATCATATCATGCCATATCATATCACATCAAGTTATATCATTCCTCCTCCCTCCCCCCCCCCTCTCAAAAGTAAAACCTAAACAATACCCTCCTGGAACCTCCCCACCCCCCTCTTAATCTCCCTCACAATCTCGCCCGCCTCCTCCACCCCCCCCGCCTCAAAATCATACCTCTTCGTCTCCCTCTCCTTAAAAACAATAACCCGAAACATGCGCGGATGCTTCTTACTCACCTTACTCCCGACCACGCTACTAAAATGCACCGTCGTCGTCTTGCCCTCGCCCGTTTTCTCGCCGGGCATGATGTGTATGTACTCGTTATCTAGGGCGAGGATGCGCGCGGTAGATGAGGCGAAGGACATGGGTTGTTTGCGGAGGACGGCGTAGCGGCGGTAGTACCCTGTTGAGGAGAGGGCGAGGGCCGCGGACGACGGGTCGGCGGTGCGGGATAGAGCTGAGGCGTGGACGCGGTCGCTCTTTTTTGTCTTTTTGGGGACGGCGCCGGTGGAGATGATAAGCGGGGCGTTGGGGGATGATGACCCGGGCGAGCCGGAAAGCCCGAAGACGCCGTCGCCGACGAAGCGGCGCCGCGAGAGGTCTAGGTCCATGTGTGTGTTTAGCGCCTCGACTGTGCGGTCTGACGGCGCGACGGTGGTTGACCCGCTGACTTTGAGGATGTATAGACCTTTGTCGAGATGCAGGTCGCGGCACACGCGGTCGAAGACCTCGGCGATATACGTGTCTGTTGTGCAGGGGACGGGGATGTGTTTAGCGTTGAAGTGTTCGTCTGTGAAATGTACTGTGATTGTTCTGGGCGCGCCGATGCGGGAGGCGGCGTGGGAGGCGGAGACGGTTGGCGCGTCGGCGAGGTTGCTTGTGTTCTTCCTGGTTGCTGTCGGGGCGAACGAGGGGCCTGTGATGGGGTTGCGGAAGCTTTTTGCGCGGCTGGGGATGGGTTGGGGTTTGAGGGGTGTGGCGTCGTCGGGCGAGTCTGGGGCGTCTTTTTGTGAGGCGAGAGCGGCGGCTGCTTCTTCGCTGTAGATTGGGGTGAGTTTCTCGGCCTCTGTTACTTCTCGCGCGGAGGCTTCAACTAGGGCGAACTCGTCCCATGGCTTGTCACGCGCGCGAGGGCGCATGCCGCGGGCGTTGTTGGAGGCGAAGTCTTTCAGGGGCTTGTTGCGTGTCAGTGGCGGGAACTCGTCGTCGACCTCGCCGTCGTCGTACATGCGCATGACCCAGCAGTTGACGTTCATCTTCTCCGGGGCTAGTGGCGGTTCCAGCTTCTCCTCCTGGTAGCGGTGCAGGGCATAGCCAATGGCCTCGGCGACTGAGATGGCCTCGCCCTTGTCGTTGAACTTCCGGATCAGCAGCTCGACGGCTTTCGAGGGCTTGGCTGCGAAGGGGCAGTAGAGCTTGATGTACAGGGGGTTCTGCTGGGCCTCACTAGCGGCATTCCAGCCAGCAAACCGCTGCAGGGGATTGGAAGGCTTCTGCTCCTTGGCTTGCAGGGCTTGAGTGAGGGCGCTCACAGGCAGGACGAAGCTGATGGGCCTTGGCGGCGGCAGTGCTTGAAGAATCGGCTCAAGAGGTTCCTTCTTCTTCCGGGGCGACGTCTTGAAGGGCGTCAGAGTGGACATGTTGGGCAGCTCTGTAGTCGGCGACGAGTCGAGCGGGTCGCCACCGCCGCCCATGAGCGACTCACTATCCGCCGAGCCCGAGAACTCGGACGACATGGAGCTGTCCGACTCGTTGCCCTCGTGCAGGGGGTCGAGACTGGCAGCCTCTGCTTCGCGCTCGTCTTCCTCGATGCGCTGGGAGAGCAGCTGCTTGGCATTGGGCACCTTGCGGGCATTGGCGCGGCGCCGCCTGTAGTTGGTGCTGTCGATCTCGTTCTCGGACGACATGTCGCTGCTCGTGATGGTGTCTCGGCGCGTGCGCTGCTGGACCGTGTCGACCATGTTCAGTGAGCCACGACGCACTTGCAGGCTGGACGGCTGGGAGGGGGACGTCACCACAAACGAGGGCTGCCCCCCAGCTTCGGCCAGCTCGTTGCGCAGGGCCGAGCCGCGGATGGGCGACGAGCCGGAGCGGGTGCGCAGCGGCATCTTGGTGAACTTGATCTGGTTGGCGGGGCGGTGGGCGTCGTCGTCGTCATCGCTCTCGTCGCTGAGGTCGCTGCTGTCGTCCTGGTCCAGCGGCTCCTTGCGCCGGCGCGGCTTCGCATGCACCGTTGGCCCCACCGTGTCGTTGCTCGCGCCGCCCGTGACCATGCCGGCATCGTCGTCGTCGTCGAAGCCCTCGGGCGCCTTCAGACCAGCCGAGCGCGGGGCCTGGAAGTACTCGGACGTGACGGCCGTGGGGATGGGCGGCGAGTAGGTGCGCTTGATGTCGGCGGCGTTGGGCACCCACCCCGCGGCACGGAAGGCCGGGTTGTTGAGGACGGCGGCATTGACGTTGATCAGCCGCTCGCCGACGCCGTCCTTGATGGACGAGAGGTAGGCGGTGCGGAGCTGGTAGAGGACGAAGCTGGCGCGTTTAGCTTGGAGGCGGGCTTACTAATAGAGAGGCTCACTCTTCGTTCTGGAGGAGGGACATGGTGAGCGGGCGTATCGTCGAGTCGTCGCTACATTGGGGGATCAGGCCAGCTGAGGGGTATCATATCACATCGACATATCGTGGGGCGTAGAGCATGGAGAGTGGAGTCGTGGTGAATGAGCGGGTCGTGGACCCTGCATAACGGACTTGGCAACGGCGATCAGCGGTCATCGCGAACCCTATCCAAACTGCATGCACATACTTCACGCTCACACCATCGCAACACCATCATGAACCTCCTCGCCTACTCAGACTCGGAATCTGACACGGACGCGCCGATCGTGTCTAAGCCAGCCGCCAAGACTGCACCCAAGCCCGCCTTCCAGAAAGTCGTCGACCGCGCCAACCCAGGACGCATCAAGGTCAATCTGCCCGGCGCACCACTACCGCAGTCTGAGAAGGATGACATCGATGTCGACGCGCCGCCCGCGAAGAAGGCGAGACTAGGGGGAGGCAGCGCGTTTGGTGGATTCAGCGCCATGCTGCCTGCGCCAAAGAAGCCCAATGCGACGGCAGGCGCATCGTCGGGGAAGAAGGGAGTCGGCAAGGGGCCAGGAGCTGGTGTCAATTTGAGAACGGGCGCAGAGCCTGCCTTCAAACGAGAGCCACGAATCGAGATGGACGACTATGACGAAGACGGCAATCCCATCAAGAAGGAGCCCATGAAGAAGGAGGACTTTAGAGCCATGCTGAATCTGCCGACGCCAAAGACCGAAAAACCAGACCCAGAGACGGCAATCGAGTCCCCCAAAGTCGACGCACCAAAGGCCGCCGCTCCTAGATTTGTGCCCATGTCTGTCGGCAAAGGGAAGAAGAAGAAACCAGTAGCCCCCCGTCCTGCAGGCACAGCAGAAGAGGCCACCCGTAAATCTGCTCTCACCTCACAGCCATCAGCCGTGGAAGTAAAACCAGTCCGCAAACCCAAAGTCTCGCTCTTCGGCGTATCTCAAGAAGCAGAAACCCCAGCCAAAGAACAGCCCGTCGGCGCATACAAACCAATGCTATACGGGTTTGACGAAGAGGACGACGCATCAGACGCCGACGAGCCCCTCGAAACACAGCCAGCCCACCAATCCACACAACACGCAGCTAATACACCTGCACCCCACGACCTGACACACGTAGCATCCGAGCTCAACCTCTCCGAAGCCGAGCGACGCCAGCTGTTCGGCAAGCAGGGACGCGGCGGTCCAGACTTCTCCTCAGCCAAGATTGTCGACTTCAACACCGACACGGAGTATGCGCATAACGAGAAACTGCGACAACAGGGCGAGACGGTGCAGCACAACCCTCTTAAATCTATTTCAGGCACCGGCAAGAATAATCTGAGGAGCTTGATCAATGTGGCTACGACGCAGAAGGATGCGCTGGAGGACCACTTTGCGTCTAGTCATCGAAATAAGAAAGAAGCTGGGAATCGATATGGGTGGTGATAGATTTTTATATAGCGACTCTTTTCTTCCTTCTATATTGTGGGGTCATCTACTATTCTGCTTGTCAATGCACTACGAATTTCGTCGTTTTGTTCATCATTGATCTCTCACTCAATTCGTCATCCATGCGTATATCGTCTTTCTGTCTCATTGATATTGGTGAGCAAACGCCGCCTTGTCACCGCCTTTGCACGCTTTCACCTTCACTACGCGACTTACTTCCCCCTTTCGCTAGGCGGGGTATGTTGACTTTATTTTCTACTCTCTTCTCTCACCCCGTCCACAACATCGCGCGTGGCGTTATACTGAGTTGCGTACTCCATGTGTTGGATCTACTGTACTTGCCAATCCCTCCGACATCAACCCGACAAGGCAGACTGTCCCGACTCAAGCCATGTCTGCCCTACGAACGCCCGACACAGACCATGATCACAGAGTCAGGGAGAAGAAAGAGAAAGACACCCACGAAGACACAACTACCCTAGTCCCCGTCAACGACACGAGCGACTCAGACACCGACACAGTCGCAACGCTCCCCCTCCCCCGCCCACAAGTCCCCGTCCTACCGCACTACACCTCCCTCCCCATCCCGTCCAACCACCCCAACGCCACCACCACAACCCAGCACGCCCTCTTCGCCACCCACCCCATAAAGCGCGGCACCCGACTCATCCACGAGCCCCCCCTCCTCACGCTCCCCCACCCCGGCACACAAACCGCCTCCCTCCTCCCCGCCTTCCACGCCCTCCCCCCCTCCTCCCAATCCCTCATCTGGTCGCTCCCCGCCTCCCCCGCCTGTACCTCCCCCTCCCTAACCGCCCTATCCTCCCTAATCGACCCCCTAATAACCGCCATCCACCCCCTCACAACAAAACCCCCCTCCCAATGGACACCATCCGACCACACCCTCTACGCAACAACAGCACCCACCCTCATCCCCGCAATAACAGCCTACCGCCTCACCGCCCGCTGGCACACCGCGCGCTTCTCGCTCACAGACCTGCCCGAACACGAGCGCGCGGAGTTGCCGGAAGGTACGCAAGTCACCGGCCTCTTCCCCGAAACGGCAAGGCTAAGGCATTCGTGTGTGCCGAACTGCTTCGCTGCGTACGACGCAGTGTCGAACCACATGACCGTCCACGCAACGCACGACATCCCTCAAGGCGGCGAGTTAACGTTGTCCGCGCTGCCGGACGCGTATTATACATCAGCCACCCAACGCGCCGCCAGCCTCGCGCAGAAATTCGGCATAACCTGCGCATGCGAGGCGTGTACGCCCTCGCACCCGCGCTTCCCCGCCCACGAGGCCGCGAGGGAGGTAGCACACTCCCACGCCGTCTCGCTCGCGGCGTTTTTTGACAACGATGCGCATGCGACGCTGGATCAGCTTGTGCAGGCGGAGAACAGGATATTGAGGCTGATACGTGCGTTAAGGGAGGCGGGGTGTGAGGGGCCTGAGGTGGTGAGGTGGCGGGGGGCGCTTGTGGAGAGGGTGCAGCCTGGGATTGCGGGGATGGTGGGTAAGGAGGAGGGGGGGAGGGTGTGGAGGGGTGTGCTGGGGCAGGCGTTGCTTGCGGAGAGGGGGGGAGAGAGGTGTTGGGGGGGGGGTAGTGAGACTGTGGGGGGACTGAGGGGGCGGGGGGGGGGGGTTGAGGGGGGGGGGGGGGGGGGTTGGGGGGGGGGGTGGGGGGTTTGGTGGAGGGGAAGGGGGAGTAGGGGTTTGTTGTCTGTGATGTACGTCACAGACGGGTGGGTAGGTTAGTTGGACTTTTCTGGCTTCTGATCCATTGGGTCTGAGGTATGCGTGTATTCGTTCCTATCAGGTAAGCTACTTACTACCTGGTATGTTTTCATTACTAGTGTCTGGATTGGATTAGGCTTTCAAAACGCGTAGATCACATCTATTCAACATCACATCACATCATCCCATCCCATCCACAACACCCACGCCAGAAAACGCGAAAACAACAAACTACCCAACCCCCTCCTCACTTCCCCGCAGCAGCAGCAGCCTTAGCCTCGGCCGCCTCCCTCTTCCTCTGCAGATACCTCTCCTTAGCACTGCTAATCTCGCCGGCCGTCTTCTGGCTCTTCGCCGCATGCACCAACCTCGCCGCCTCCTGCGCGTCCTCATCCGCTTTTCTTTTATTCGCCTGCTCGAGTTGCTCGGCGACCATTTGCGTCTGGCGTTCGCGCTGAGCAGCGCGCGCCGCCTTGGGAGGCTGATAAGCGGTCTGCTTCGCCGCCTCGCGTGCAGCAGCCGCAGCAGGGAGCGGAGGGGGTTTCGGCTTTGCGATGATATTCAGGCCCGCGCTGAGGAGCTGCGTGTTATCCGCGACCTGGCCGTCGTCGTTGACGATGACAGTTTTGCCCTGTCTGCGCAGCTCCTCTACGAGCTGGGCGTCTGTCTTGGGCTTATCGTTCTCCTCCGCAGCATCGGCGGCGGGGGGTTTATATCCGTCTTTTGCAGCCTGGGCAGCGGCCTCCATGGCCTCCTGGTGTCGCTTCTCGCGCTCCTGTAGCATCTGCTTATGGAAGCCCTGCATGCCGAATTTCGCGCGATTCTGCTCCTCGGCCTTCTGCCGCTCTTTCTCCTCTGCCTCGGCAAGTCGCGTCTCTTCTTGCTGCGCTTTGTACGCGCCGGTGACGAACTTCTCCTTGTCGGCGAACTCGTCGCCTTCGGCTTCGCGTTCGCGCTGGAGGAGCTTATCGCGCGCGCGGAGCTGGTCTTTTTTGCGCTGCTCGGCCGATTCGAACAGGCTGTCCATGTATTTTGGCTTGCGCTGGAGGGCTTCCTCGCGGGCGGCGGCGGCTTTGGCGGCGGTGCGCGCGTGCAGGGCGTCGTAGGCTGCGTCGTAGTCGTAGATGGAGGCGTCTACTTGGACGGCTTCTTGTGCGCGCTTCTCCGCCTCTTGTGCGCTGGCGGAGTTGGCGAGCAGCGTGGGATCGTCGCCTTTTGGCTTGGGTTTCCGTGCTGGAGGGGCGGGGGGCTGGCCTTTCTTGGGCTTTGCGGGGGCGGATGTGGAGGGGCCGGAGGTCGAGGCGATTGTGTCTTCGAAGGTGAGTTCGCCGAATTCTTGTATGCCGTCTGTGGCTTTGGCTTTGCCCTTGTGCTTGGTGTCTTCGTCTTCGTCGTCGTCCAGGAAGGCTTTCTTCTTCTTCTTGCCCAGTGCGGGCTTCGCGAGCCCAGGCGCCGTCTTGTTTTTTACATTGAGCCCGAATTTGAATGACATGGTGTGTGTGGTTGTGGTGTTGGGGAGTGAGGCGCGACGGAGCGTTGAGGTGCATGACATGCCAAACCGCACGAGCCAGTGAGATCACCGCGACCTCCGCATTCTCCGCTTTCCACACTTCGACATCCTCCCACTCTTTTACAATGCACACCAACCATCTCCACATCACAATCCCCCCCAGCCATGGACGACCAGGCTAGCGAGATGTCCGCACGTGACATATACAGCAAAGCCAAAGCCTCGAGATTCACCTTCAAATCTGCCTCGGAACGCCGTTCAAAGCGACGCACCCGCCCACATGACGACGACAACGACGATCCAGAAAACCTCCCACGATCCCCCAAGCGCCCCCGCTCAGAGCGAAAAGAATCCTCGCGGCGCAAACACAGACACGGCCACAAACACCACAGCTCCCATGCAGACCGCCACCCGACATCCACGCGCGACGGAACCTACTACGACCCCTCGCACCGCCACCGCGAATCGCTCTACGACGACCCCGATGCCGGCGACCCGGACCTCGCCTTCCGCGAATCCCTCTTCGACGCGCTCGCCGACGACGAAGGCGCCGCATACTGGGAAGGCGTCTACGGCCAGCCCGTACACGTCTACCCCACAACCAAACCCGGCGCAGACGGCACGCTAGAGCGCATGAGCGACGCCGAGTACACCGAGTACGTGCGCAGCAAGATGTGGGAGAAGACCCACCAGCACATCGTCGAAGAGCGCGCAGCACGAGAAGCAGCGCGCAAGGCAGCAAAGCAACATCGGGGTACGATAGATGAAGATGAAGCCGAACGCGAGCATATACGGCAGCGTATGGCGGATAGTCTGCGCCAGGGGGAGCTGCGCAAACGCGTCAAGGAAGGAGAAGCTGCGTGGACGTCGTATACGCAACGCTGGGATGAGCTGAAAAATTCACCACAGTCGGATGAGCCTGCGCGCGACGTTATTCCTTGGCCTGTGGTTTCTGGGAAGGCGAGTCGCGTGTCGCAAGAGGAGGTTGAGCGCTTTTTGCGCGCTGCGAAGGCGTGGGCGGGGGATCCGGATGCTGTCCTTAAAGCTGAGCGGGTGCGATGGCATCCGGATAAAATCCAACAGCGCTTTGGAGAGCGTATTGATGAGCAGACTATGCGGAGTGTTACTGCTGTGTTCCAGATTGTGGATCGCTTGTGGAGTGAGCGTCGGTGATGGGTGTGGGGTTGGGTTGGGTTGGATTGCATTGGAATTTGTTTCTGATAATGGTGCGTTGGCGTTTACGGTTGCGTTCGCGCTTTTAGAGATACCCCATGTGTATGTGAATGACGCCCTTTTTTCTGCATATTCGAGTAGTCTGTGTAGGGGGGTGTAGAATATGCTTTCTTCCCGTCTATATCTCATCACGTCCTCTTTTTTTTGATACTACATCAGTATACATGCCGCCTTGCGCCAGGTCCTCGATCTGTATATATCATGTACAGTCCAACTACTATCGTACACCAACCATCCTTCGTCATCTCATCTCATCCGCAGTCCAATTATCATCTTCTCCTCCAGCACATCAGCCATGTGCTCGATGCCCAGCAGGCAACCGATCTAGCATCCCTTGCTTCCCACATGGCATGAGAAGTTAAGTAAGCCCAGAAGCCTGTACAACGCAAAACATAGAAATGCAACTGAATATAACGTGCATGCTTAGCTAGTGTGTAGGAATTGACCTAACGTTGCATTATACATAAAGCCTTGCAAAGCAATATAGCTCTTGTTGCTTCTACTGCGGATAGCTGGAGGTATACAGACTAGTCTATGTGCGCTGAGTATAAGGTCAAACCTGGTGATTTTTTATGCTGTGGGAGAATGCGCGTAGCTGCGCGGAGTGAGCTTACTGTTTGGCGTGTTGGACGTTATGTAACGCTACAGCTATTATGTTGATCATAAAGCGCAGAGTCGGAATCATACCTCCTGACCTACTCAATCAATCATCTCAATCAACTCTTTTGGTGCTCGGTTCAATACTGCGCTGCAAGAGGTGAAACGCGCTGGCCTTGGCTGGGCGGAACGGGGCGTAACATAGCAAATAGCGAGCGCTTATTTGCAGCGCGGGAGTGGCGGAGCGTTACATACGCAGGGCGCCTTACGTGAGACGCCATATAATTGGTCCGTGACAATTTGTGCAGCGATCTAGTCAGATGCAGCCTTACCCAGCTGGGGAAGTTTTATGCTGTGCAAATAAGGTTACCAGACCATTGGGTGGGGGCGGAATCGAGAGTTTTCAGGCACCGGGGCGATGCTATATATTGCTGGATCCGCTGTCGTGCTTTGTTGGGCTTACTCGTAGACAACGCGGTATTAAAGCAACGAGGTGTCCGCGTTCAAGTTCGAGATTTGGGATCAACGATATCGTTGAACGTCTTCAAATGGAGTGAGTTTGATATACACTGTTTGAAGATACGTAGTATTCTCCCGAACTTCGGCCTACGTGTTATCCTGCTCTAAGCATGTCTTCTTTCCTCCGCCCAAAACGCACGTCCGCCAACCGTCAGTCTTCATGGCACCCGCCCGCTCTCCGACCATTGAGTTTAATACTCGCGATACTCGTCTGCTGGGCCTTCATTGCTGTGCTTGAGTACTTCCTCTCCAAAAGCCAACACGATGGCGGAGTCGTATTTGCGACAAAGATCAGCGACCTACCTCTGAGCCAGTGCTTTACATTTTTGTATATGCCTACTATCATCGCCGTCGTCTTCAGCATATTCTGGGTCTGGATCGACATCGATGCGAAACGGTATCAGCCTTATCACCAGCTTTCCAGAGCGAAGGGGGCGTTGGGCAAGGACTCGTTGCTCTTGACTTACCCTTTCGATTTTGGGCCGTTTGTGCCGTTTCATGCACTGCGGAATCGGTAAGCATTTTGAACCATGCTGGATCTTCAACAAGCTAATATTCAGCAGTCATTGGCTTGTTCTTCTGTCTTCTACTGCAGTCCTTTTTGTCACATTTGGCATCGTACCCCTCCAAGCCGGCCTCTTCTCTACTCGATCCATCACTCGGACCTTCCCTGAAACATTCATATCATCAAAGGCGTTCTTGGATGCTTCGAAACAGGAGAATGAGCTCACAATTCAGTTCACTCAATCTGCTTACGGAATCCTGACCTTAAACGAGACCCTTCCGGCGTATATGAACGAAACCTATGCGCTGGCTCCGTTTGTATTGCACGAGGCTGAACATCAGCAGCAAGAGACATGGACTGCAGAGACAACACTGTATAGTATGGACTTGAAGTGCGAGATGACTAAACGGACTCAGACCAGAAACACGATCTTCTTGAACAGCACATTGTCAGTCTGCGGCTATCCTCTTGACGACATGGGGAACACCACGACGAATTCTTCTCTCGGCATAGAACGCTACTCAGCTAATTTCGCTGGATTCGGGACCACCGCAGACTGGTCCGGAAAAAGCCAAACAGAACTTCTTGCACTTTCTCTTTTCTGCGACAACGAGGCGCCGGCGAACAACTCCTTCTTCGCAGCGTTCAGTCAGAACAAAGAGAAAGAAGACGATCCAGCAATTGATCCAACATCAATCTTCTGCGAGATGGACTATTACGAGCAAACCGTACGAGCAACCATCGACGCCACCTCAAAAGCACCGCTGCAGGTCATTCCGCTTGATTCGAAAAGACCGGTGTCTGCAGGAGTATTTGACGAGTTTTCCTTCCAGAGCGCCTTGGCTATTGAGGAAAAGCCCATGTTTGCTCGCTTTCCGACAGAGTCTGACGATATCGTCACACGAACAAACAACCTCCCGATTGTGAAGATACCGAGATATATCGAGCAGCTTTCAGGGAAAGATATCACTTTCAAACTCAAGTCTAGCGATGGTTGGGATCTCCCGGCAATGGCAGCGATGGCTATAGTGGCGGGTGGAAGGGAGCTTGGGGATTACTTAGATGCGGATGTTCTTGGAGAGAGTTACGAGAAGGCTTATCGTCTGCTATTTGCCCGCATCATGACTGACATTCTCGCTACGGACTTTTCGGCCGATACAACGAATGTTACCGGGCAGAAAGAGGTCGTTTTTGAGGCACTCGTCATTGAACCTGTCTTTGCATACCTGGTTGAGGGGTTCTTGGCTTTCGTTTCTCTACTGGGTGTAGCTCTGCTGTATCTCAGTGTTGTTCGGAAGAAGAAACTTCACTCGGACCCAGGTACGTACTCTTTTGTACATTGAAAGTTGAAGTGGATGGAGCTAACATGTCAGGTACCATTGCTGCGACAATGTCTCTGGGCGCTGAAAACACTCCTCTTCTTTCCATATTCGATACCCTGGATTGCTGCTCCGAGAAACATCTACAGCAACAGTTGAGTGACAAAAGGTTCAAGCTTACCGACGACAACTCTGCAACTAGGTAAGTTCATGATATGAAAAAAAAGGTTCCATGCTAATAAAACTGCAGGATCGCTTTCGAAAACGATCCCGATCATCCATCAGAGTCGTTGTCGCTCACCGAGCCTGATGAATCAGAAATTGCGAAGCCTCATCGGCCACTTCAGTTTAATTTCTTCATCATCATGTTGATGATCCTAGGCTTCTTGGCTGTTGCAATCACGTTTGGCGTATTATTTGTTAAGAGCAGATCACATGGTGAGCAGATTCCTCCTAGTTCCTTCAAACGTCTGGGTCAAGATATTAACATATTATCTAGGCCTCGCATTGCCTTCAAAGAACAAGGTCGTACAAAACCTTGTTATCAACTTTGTCCCTACTGCGATTGCAACCTTGATTGAGCCCGCTTGGATATTCATCAACCGACTCTTCTGCGTGCTACAACCGTTCGAAGAACTGCAAGGCTCAAAAGCTCGTGCCGCCCGGTCGATTGACTTGAATTATAGCTCGCTGCCACCCCAACTTACTATCTTCAAGGCCTTCCGATCTGGTCATCTTACGCTGGCAACAGTTTGCGTCATGGCGTTGTTGGCTAATTTGCTCGCTACTGCATATGCAGGGATTTTCATCGTGGATCAGAGGTTGATGCCTACCCAGACAACGTTCGCGTCGCTATACGATGCGAAATTTGTGAACATAAACGGCTCTGCTGGGCCTCCAAGAGAAGGAGAACGGGAGGTCTATGAGACTGTGTACAGCGGTGCGTACCAAGGCGGAACGGGTGAAAGTCAATTCCTTGTTGCCGAGTCCAACTACACGCACAATACGTCTCTACCAGCCTGGATAGACAACACAGCCATGTATCTGCCGTTTACGATACCCGAAACTGCGAACACGACCGAGGAGAGGTTTCGCGCTCGCACAAAGTTCTTCAGCGCGGAAGCAAACTGCAAACCAATGGTGCTTGGCCAGGATTACCAGCTCCAGTTGTTTGCAAACCACTCTGATGAATTCGACAACGGACCCATCAGCTTCAAGCCCAAGGTGATAGACGGAAATGGCAAATCAGTAACGTGCTATGGGAACGACCTCGAGTTTAACGTTGGACCAGGCAGTAACCCCATGGGCAAACGCGTCTCGGGGAAACTCGCAGCAGAACTGGTGGCTACGCTTGTTGCAGGCCCAAACAACACCATCCAGTCTGACCAAGATACATGCAGGTCAGCCGTAGCCATAGGATGGATGAAGAAAGCACCAGCAGAATGGATTGATGTCATGAACGCGACAATAGCCGAAGCAACAAGCAAAGACACTTTCTTCGTGCTCTGCCAACCCAAGCTGATCATTGGAGACGCGACCATTGTGGTTGACTCCAACGGGCGACTGCAGGAGAAACCCGTCGATGCCGTGCCCGACCCAGATCAGAGCGAGCAAGGCCTCGACCGATACTTCTCCAACGGCGCCCATAACGTCATCGCTCAGTCCAACCTCTTCTTGTTCAGACCCATAGGCACCGGATGGCACAACGACTCCTACGCAGGAGAATTCCTCCCCTACTTCATCAACCGCGCGTCGAACAGCGTGCAATCATCCGATCCCAGCGAGCCACTACCCCAATTCTCCGACATCGACGAACCCCTAAACAAGGCATACACCAAACTCTTCGCAATCTGGCTCGGCGTCAACATCGACAGCCTCTTCGTGCCGTTGTCGAGCGCAACGAGCTCAGTGGCAGGAGAAATCTTCAACCAAGAAGAACGCCTCTTCTTCAACACCACACTCTTCATCATCTCCGAAGTCGTCCTAGGTACGTACACCCCCACCACGCTGAAACCCACCCACTAACACCGCCCAGGCATATACATCCTCACAGCAATCCTCGTGTACTTCCGCCGCCCCGGCCGCTACCTAGCCCGCATGCCAACCTCCATCGCAGCAATCATATCGCTGTTCGCCGCCAGCGCCGCCGTCAAAGACCTGCAAGGAACGTCGCACTTTTCCGCCAAAGAGCGCGCGGCGTTCCTCAAGAAGCTTGACGCGAGGTATGGATATGGGAGCTATGTTGGCGGAGACGGAAGCGTGCATGTTGGTATTGAGAAGACTCCGTTTGTGAGGCATAGGAGGGAGGTTACGTTTGCGCATACGAAGGCGGATAAGGAGCGGAGTAGGGGGGTGAAGGAGGGGACGGGGCCGGAGTATGAACTTGTTGGAGGCGGGAAGATAAATGTGTCGGTGTGGAATCGGGTGGTGCCTGGGTGGGTGCGGAGGGTTGGGAAGGGGGAGAGATGAGGTTGGATAGATGATTTGATGTTGTTGTGAATCAGATACCTAGCCAGGGAATCCAAATATGGAGAATAGGTCGTTTGGTTGAGACCGATTTTTCGTTGCGCTTGTGCTCACAGAGTCAATTCTAGACTACATTCGCACGCGCAATTGTTGCATTTCTGGCCTCATGCCCGCCGTCATACTGCGGTCTTGACGCGAAATCATCAGCAGCTAGGGTTATTAGCCATTTTTTGTTTTCCCACGCCTCGAGTTGTGCATCTCTCTCCAAAAATCACATAGCAGTCTAATCTACAAACCTTAACCAGGGGCAAACCGCATTCTAAAAACCAAAAAACACCATCGTTATCAGTAGTCCCAGATCTCCCACGATGCCAATGAAACCAAACATACCACGAGCGCCTAAATCTAAAACGCAAAGCCGGGTTGATGTATCCAGGTACCCATACCACAACATCGGTTAGAAGTGGAATAATTCTGGAAGGATGCGAAGTTCCGGCTGATGAGCCGTTATTGCGTGCTTTTTCTGCATGTTCCTGCAGGTTGAAGGATTTAGCCTGCTATGTTAAGAGAAACAGATGTCGGTACAAAGTAAATCCACCTATAGTGGTAGGATGTTTCAGCCACTATGTGGCACATGGCGGCCTTATTTGGCGGAGGTAGTCCGGATGTGGTAGGTAGAATGGGTTTGTGTGTATTAGGAAAACGGGGTGTAGAGGGAAAGGCGAAGGGGCGGGTGTTTTGTTGTTTGGTTTAGTTACCATTTGATTTATTGGTGAGTGGCATGATTAAATCCATCAACCTTAAAATTCTGTCTTTATGAGTGCTTTGATATCACATAATATTCTGCTATAATCCATAGTAGACAGTGATCAACGGCTGCTGCTATTCTAACCTTCTTGATCAGAATCAAGAGCTGATGTCTGCTGTGATATCGTCTTAGTTCTCGACTCATGACAACAAAATGGCCACCGATGCGCAAAATTTAATGGGCCGGACAGCTTCAGCACAAGTAGTCGAAGCGTAGTTACGGCCATGACCGTATACCCAGTTCATGCTCGAGATGCCCTAGTAGCTCGACTGCTGCCTCGCTCTCAAACTCGCACCAAAGCGCCAGATTATGCCTGTCGCCGGCAGTGCAATACCAATTGACAAAAATGCCAACAGACTGTTTCCCCATCCGTAGCCCAATGACTCGTACAACTTGTTCGAGAATAGAGGGAATGCAAACGCCAACAAACTCCTAAGCACCTGTGTTGCAGCGGACGCTGAGCTGATGTGCTCGGGGTACGCATCCATAACATATGCGTGCAGAGAGGTGTCGAAGATCTGCATTCCGAGGGAGAGCATGGCCGCGCCAATGTCAACGACGAGCCAGAAGATGCGGTACTGTGCGGCCCAGCCGTAGAGCAGGAAGCCAATTGGCGTAAAGAAAACGCCTGGTAGTAGAAGCGGAATGCGGAGCTCGGGTACATTGGTTTCACCGGTGTGAGAGGTCATCCTCTTGTAGACGTAGTCCATGAGAGGCCCGCAGAGCTGAGAGCCGCCAATGGTGCCGACACAGATGGCAATGTAGTGTAGGCCGGAGATGGCGATAGAGTCACCGTACGCGGATACATGGAGGGCGGAGAAGCTGGCTAGTGCGAAGTACAGCAGACCGTAGTTGATACCTTCCAGGATGGCCTGGATCTGGATGATCGGGTGGAATGCTAGGAGGCGGAGGGGGCGAGATAGACTACGGCCGAGCTTCCAAGCGGCAGAGCGGCCGGATTCGCGCATCTCGATCTCGGCATGGTAACGAGAATCGCCAGTCTCCTTGCGCCATTTCTCTGCTCTCTGACGGAGAAGAAAAGGTGCGTAGCTCTCGTAGAACAGGAGTAGCGAGGACAGCTCAAGGGTGACTTGGAGAATGGTGGTCGACCAGAACATCCATCGCCAGGTAGAATACTCAACTATGAAACCGCCAATGATTGGGCCAACAGCGGAGCCAGTCAGTGGGATGAGCAAGTACAGGCTCACGGAGCGTCCTCTCTTCTCCGGCGGCCATACATCACCGAGCACGCCGTATGCCAGACTATATGCTGCACTGGCACCAAAGCCAGCAAGGAGACGAGCGGCAATAAGCAGGCCTTTCGAATTGGCAAAACCACAGGTGAGATTCCAGGCCAGGAACCAGATATTGGTAATATGAAACATGGTCTTTCTACCATAGACTTCTGATAGAGGACCGATAATGAGCGGTCCAAAAGCAGTTGCCAAAAGATATACCGATAGTGCCATGGTCGACTCGGTTGTTGACATGTTCAACTCGGCTGCGATGGTGTTGATTGCAGGAGCCATCATCTGCAGACAAATTCCATTAGCACACAGACTTGCAAATTGGTAGCGTTACTCTCTTACCGTCGAGACCATAATGCGGACGAAGCCTGTGCCAGACACCGCGCCCGTGATTCCCCATTTCAACTTCTTGGACCAATTGAGGGGATTCTCAGCGTCATCTGGGCCGAATGTGACGAGGAATGCCTCATCCCAAATAGTTTCTGCGTTGTCGGTGATTTGTTTAGTCTGACCTTGGACTTGCTCCGTGTCTTTTCTTCCTATATCTTGGCCAGTTTTCTCGTTATCAACCTGGCCTTGCTGGACTGCTGCTGGTTCGCTTTTGACCTCCATAACTGTTTGAAGAAGGGAATAAACGAGACGAACAGTCAGGCAGGCTTCAGCCGAAAGACATCATTCAGCGGCGTGGTTATACGGGAATGGACTAACGCCTCGGCGATAAGCATTTTGCGGGAACGAATAGCAGCGGTGTTGAGTGCAGATCGCGCCTTGCTCAAAAGCGCGCTAGCTGCTAAGCCTTTATGTCCGAGCGACTTGCTCGGACATCTGCACGCGCTGATTCCCACTTTGGATCGGACGCGACACAGATCTTAGAGTCAACGGTTATTGTGTACCGAAGTAAAGGTTCGGAGTTTATGAGTTTCTGCCGTACGTATGAAGTGCTTAGAACTGGCATTCTGTGTAAACACCTATAAGTGATAAGATGGGGATTGTCTCTCCTCTGCTAGGGAAATAGGTTCTTATATTTCAACGACATGGCTAAGCAATCAGATGACAAGACCACCCTTCAACAACGTCTTCAGGCTCTCGAACCTGTGATTCAAGCAATTTGCAAGGTCGCCGGCGCGCCAGGAATATCTTTTGCAGTCTCTCACAATGGGGAGCCCATTCATCGCGCGAGTTTCGGCTTCGAGGATCTGGAGACGAAGAAGCCAGTCACCGGAAGTACGAAATTTCCCATTGGAACCATGGCCAAGACTTTCACTGCTGCGGCAGTGGGCGCGCTCGTTGCTGAGGGCAAATTGAAGTGGGATACACCGATCAAGGATGTGATTCCTGAGCTACAGACGGCGAGTGCCACTGTAACGGAAAATCTCACCATTGTCGACCTTTTGAGCCACCGTTCCGGACTGGGCCGATCCAATCTTTGGTGGCAAGGAGCTGATGCGACTTTGTTGCTTGAGAAGAACGACCTCCTTCCTTACTACAACAGCCTCCCCCTTACCGGCCAGTTCCGTGCGGATTGGGGCTACAGTAATTGGGGCTATGCCCTGGCTGGTGAGGTTATTGAACGTGCCAGCGGAAGGACCTACGCACAGTATCTTGAGGAAAAGGTGTACGCACCTCTGGGGTTGAAGAACACAACCGTCGAGCCTATTGATCCCTCTAATGCCTCAAATCTTGCCAAGCCATATGCAGCATTGGACGATGCCTCACTCTATCCAATGCCCCAGCCGCCAATCAACGGCAATACCATTATGGCTCCGGCTCTGGGTGGCCTCAGCAGTGCCGACGACCTGCTGACATACACCATCGCGCTCTTACAGGCCTTTCGCCACGAAACCGGCTTGCAGACAAGCAACTCGCCTCCTGCGATCAAGCACGGACTGCAGCAACTGTCTGGCCACATCTTCACGGCAAAAGCACTACTCGAGAAGTCATACGCTTTTGGCTGGTACCGCACACAGCTTCCAAACACCGTCCTCGGTATGGGATGGAACAGCATCTACGTGAAGAAGATGCCCAAAATCATTCCGAGGACCCATGTCGGCCCGCTGATCGCACACGGCGGAAGCTTACCGGGGTACCATGTATCCATGGCGCTGCTGCCCGAGATCAACAGTAGTGTTGTCGTTTGCACTAACTCGATCGCTCTGGGTGATGTGTCTGGGTGGGTTAGCATGGCGATCCTCGAGGCCCTCGTTGACACGCCCGAGCCATCGGATTACTTTGCATTGGCTACCGAGGCCGCTGGCAACGCGGCGTTGAACGTGAAGAGGTTCGAGGAGAAGCTCGAGGCGGCGCGGACAGTTGACGCCGCGCCTCGATCCAGAGAGGATTATGTTGGCAGATATCTTGACGAGAAGCGCGGTTGGGTCATAGATGTGAGGACGCAGGACACATCACCATCCGGTCTAGAAGTGGCGTTTCAAGGGCTCGATAGCCAGGCATGGGCTCTTTCACACTACGAGCATGACACGTTCTCCTGGTTGGCCTCTCGAGAAGAGCAGGCGAAAAGGGGACGCATGGTTACGTATCCGCTCGTGGCAGACCATTTCAAACTACATTTCCAAGCAGGTCAGGGCGGAGGTGGCAAGATCGATCGTTTGTTGTGGAAGCACGAGGCAGGGGCGCCAGTCGAGCAGCAGTATCTTATGAAAGAAGGAAAATCAAGCTAGACAATGTACATGCTTTAATGAGTATAGCTAGTATTCCAGTTGAGACAAATGTTATATTTGCCAATTCCAAAGAATTATTCAGCGTTGATATACTATTCTACATTGTTTTGTGTTCGACATTCAAACGCACAACATTCACTGTAGAGATGATAGTAGTAAGATGGGTATGAAAATATGAGTTTTGTTCTAACCTACAGGGATATGGTCTAGTTCGAGTTATGATGGTAGTTCTTGAACCGTATCATCACACTCACTCACTCGATCACCGGCGTCCACTCGAATCTTACCTCCTCCACTGTCTTCATCAGATCGGCTCTTCCCTTCTTCGATTCCACCACCATCACCGAGGTAAAGCAGTTCTCCGTATCATCCGGCGGTGTCACTTCTTGTCCTACCTTGAAGTAATTCAAACAAAGAGGCACGCACGCAGCCAACTCCGGCTTCTCCTGTCTCAGCCGCGGCCGTGGATCCTCTGATCGCAATATTCCCTTCTTCTCTGGCATGATGAGTAGCACCGCGCTGTCGTGTTGCGCACCGTTGGAGAAGGATACTGAGAGCGCACGGAAGCGAGCTTCATCTCCGGCGCAGTGCAGCATGTGCAGCGCCCACAGATCCACACCGTAGTTCCAGCCAGAAGCGTACAGGCCGACGTAGCCCGGCGCACGGGCGTTGATCTCGAGGAGGAAGACGCTGGGTTCGCTATCGCTGGTGGTGGACTTCGCCTCAAGGTCGATGATGCCGCTTCCGCTCTGTCGAACATAGTGCATGGAAGAGTCCCGGACGCGTGCCTCGCAGTGGAAGACGCCTGTACGAAAGCCCATGCGGAGGATGCACTTGTGAATATATTGGCAAACCATGGTCTGCTCCGATGCGGGCAGCTGGGACGGGTACATGAACAGACCCTCTTGAAAGTCCTTCCTCCCGCTTCCCGTCACCTCGTCGAGATCACCCGCGGTCGGAGCATTGTCACAAACGTCAAAAAACGTCACCTCTCCATCCCACATGGCGAGATTGATGTCGACTTCAGGTCCGTCGCAGTACGGCTCGATCATGACTTCTGAGTTGACAAAGCCGATAATATAACCTGCTGCCCACTCCACGTGATCGAGTAGCTCTGTCTCATTCACAGCCTTGGCAACCCCATAGCTTCCCCAGCCGTTCGTAGGTTTGACGACGACAGGATAGGGTATCTGTAGAGGCTTCTCCGAATCCATGAGCCGCTTCTCCAACTCCTGCCTGCTCTTCACGCAGATGGCTTGGCCTCGAGGCCCGTCTTGATTGTGGTCCAAGTTCGGTTCGGAGCACGTGATGCGGGTGAGGTACTTGTCTGTGGCAATCGCCATCGCCGATGGTGCGGGTGTAGGGAGCTTCAGGAGCTCAGCTACCTGCGCCACCTTCTCGAAGATTGCGTCGAATCGCGAGGTAAGACCGTCTAGGCGTTGGTCTCGAGTTGCGAGATAGAGGCGCTGCACGAATCCATCATCTGGGTTCAAGTCGATGGGGTGGAACGACTCCCGCAGGTGTGCAAGAGGGCCATTAGAGTCCTCCATGCAAGTTCCCGGCTCATCAAATACAACAAGGTCTATGTTCAGATGTAGAAGCAATTCGAGAGACATGCGATAGTCTAGACATTGGACAAGCCCTATGCGCTTTCGCAAGACCGGCTCAGGCACGAGAAACTGCAGCCCAAGGCGGTTTTGGAATTCCTGTTCTATGCTGTCTAATACCTGCCAGGGCGATTCAAGGCCAGGGGTGGTGTTTTTGATGGCACTGACGGCACCGATCGCGGTCGTTAACTGATCGTAGAGTTCTGAGATCAAAGCCGCTTTTCCTGATCTAGGTGTCTTGGATGCGGTGAAAGCTTCGATCCTCTCACCAGGTCGGAGAAAGCCAGCCACTGACTCGACGTGGGCACAACCATGGAGTCGCGTTTGGATGATATTGGACTGCGCGACGTAGCCGCCGACCTTCGGCATGATTAACTTGATGGCCATCGGAGCTGCCGTACTATCGTGCTCTTGTAAGGCTTGGTCCAGGAATGTGCGAATATCGGATTTGCCATATCCTAACTCCAGCCCTGAACGGAGGATCTGGGGCCATGTAAAAGTCGGGACATGTTGGTGCGCTTGAGCGTCATGGGTCAACCTTTCAATGACCAAATCGACAGATTGTATAACAAAGGCCTCAGGGGAAGCGTTGGTTCGCCACGCAAAGGAATATAGTCGAGATTCTTTACCGTCCGCAGGTGCATAGAAGACATCAAGCATTGCAGTTTCCAGAGCCGAATCCATTTTTGGGTTCACCCTGATTGCTGGTTCGGATAGTGAGTACTTTGAAGCTCACTTCTTTGTGTTTTAGTCAACTCTTTCTGGACCTAAAATAAGGTTAGTAACGAGTACGTCTTCATGAAGAACGCTTAGACTCACTCGGTATTCTTGACTTCTTACGTGCAGCAACGGACACCTTGTTCTTAGTAGTCGCGAGCAAGAACTCAGTGATTCGAAAAGAGTCTTTGATAATCAAGTTGGTGTGATAAGCTGGGATTCTCTTTTGTTGATTGTATTTAGAATCGAGCCTGACTGTGATGAATTTGCCTTGCTGTCTTGCTGTTATTCTAGTATATCAATGGAACGACCGAAAATCGAAAAGATCGCCCAATCAAGCAAGCGACACACCGGTGAGTCTTCTCCGAGTGTGGTCTAAAGTCCTCAGCCCTCGGCCGAAGATGGGGACACCGATTATTTACAACGATTTTCCTGTCGCCCCAACGGCCAAGCCACTCAATCTGTCACGTGCTCACAGAAGGATGTCGGATTTATGCATTGGCCTGCAAACTGTAGATGAATGTGGTAGCTTCCTAGATGGCGTTGATCATGGCCCTCGAAGTAAACTCGTGATCCCCGGGTTTTCGGACTTGATAACATGATAGGTCGTCGGAGTTACTGCCACTTTACCCGTAACACATAGAATGGAAATTCCTTGCGGAGCATAGTCTCGTTTGGTCATCGGGTATGGGCATATCCTCCGACCTCGGATATGTATGTTGGATCAGCGGTTGAGGGGATGTATCTCCTTCGCTTACTGTATCACCTGTTCTGACCCTACCAATCACGGTTAGGATGAGACAGATTTCGTAGACTGTGAGGTGGCAAATCACTCAAGCCTTGCCTTGAAGACAGACATCATGGGGTTGGGCGATTGAAAGATGAATATGGGCACAAACACAAAGACGCTTAAGCGCCAATTTGGAAGTCTACAAGCACTTGAATACGCATACTTCTGACCGTGTTAGCCATGTAATCATTTGAACAGTCCATACGTAATTTGTCTTTTGATGGCCAGTTTGGTAAATTCCAAACATGTTGGGGATCCATTCTACATCCAAGGGTGGTTACCTATAAGTGAAACTAGAACTTACGAAAAAGACAACATATAAGCGAAGGAAGTCCTACTTGAATAGAGTCGCCAATACTCAGCCTTTCTTTATGGAGCAGTCAGATTGTTGGTGGCATTGTTATGTGTCTCTATCATTGCGCTTTATCTTCTCATTTCAATTCCTCAAATATGTGAGATATAGACTACAGCCCAGCCGCCTCTGCAGAATACCTCTCTGCTTTCTCATTCCAATCTTCCACCCAGTCTTCAATATACTCTGGCATGCCAGGAAACATGTTAGTCGGCGCCGGCAACGGCGTTCCGTAGACCATCCGACTCGGCACCACGCCCGCCCATACCTTCTTCCGCATTGCCTCATCCTTGAGGTCCTCCCTCGCCTCTCCAGTTGTGCCTGCGCGAACCTTGGCGCTCGCTGAATGAATATCAACCCGCAAGATCCCAGTACTTTTGAGCTCCGTCTTGTTTGGATAGCGCGTATGCCGCCAGCGGTCTGGGACTAGGTTGTTAGTGATGAGTTCCATGGCCCACAGGCGCTCAGGTTCATCCTCGACTATATGTGCGTGTCCAAATGCGACGACAGAGCGGTAATTGCAGCTGTGATGGTTGGGGGTGAGTGCCAAGACGATGCCATCCATCAAGGTGGCAGATACGCAGACAGGAATGCCCGAAGGTTCATCGTCGTCGGAAGCAGGGTTCTTTCGGGAAAGTCGCATTATGCGGGAGGATACATAGCCGTGGAGGTAGATGGAACGGCGGCCATCATTGTTTTGCTCTTCTTGGAAGTTGCCGGTGCAGCCGAGCATAGGCAGAATGATAGGATAGGCAAAGTCGTCTTGGTCTGGAGAGCTGTGGAATGCAACATGAAGGATGGGTGCCTCATCAACGATAGGATGGACTTGTTGAAACTCGTATTGACCTAAAAGCCAACAGTTAAATGTTGGTCCACACGTGACACCCTCTGAACTTGGGGGCTTGACGCACCACGGCCTCGATAACGGTTAACCGAATTCAGCGATGTCTTGGCGTATCCGCGGTCACCAGACGTAGAACTCTCTTGAGCGGTAGGAGACATGACAGGGCAAAAGTGAATTCCCGACAATGATCAGGATAATCTCTTATGTAGAACCGAGGTTTGACTTGAACAAACTGAAGGAAGGCACCACGACACGTCTTGAAGTTCCCGTCGTGTCTTGCTTTTATCGACGTCTCCATCGGACTTGGTTGTCACAAATGCATGTACCCTCGATCGCTCGGCCGAAAGCGATGACTAGGGCCGATCCGTAGGTATTACTACAGCGGTGATAGGTGACCTAGAGAAGATTTGAGTTGCAGTAGCAAGTTTCTGGCGGCAGTCACACCTCGGATGTAGAACGGTGAAAGCTGCCACCTGGACGCCTTACCCGTCTTGCACAGGGGCTTGTAAGTAGTATGTCCGACAACAGGCTGCTCAACAAACCTGGCAACATTATTCCCCTGCTCGAAACTGATACCCAGAAGCTGTCAGCATAAGAGTGGGCAAGGTCGGTCTTATCCGGTCTTCCTGGGCCAAATTGCGAGAAGCATTGCCAGGGCCAGTAGAAGACTAAGATCACATTCCAACATGCCTTCTCTACTGCAGTTTCCATATGATTCAGTTACCAAATCTCTTCCACATCCTCCTCCTCTTGGCTCCCCTGTCCCTGCCCATCGCCATGCAGTCTCTGTTCAGCTACCGACCTGGCAGGATATGCGGGGAATGGCTGCACAAGAACCGCGTGTTATTATGGTACAGCAGATCGGCTATCCCAGGTCTTTCCTCAATCAAGATGTCGTCAAAGTGAGTCATGACCAAACACAGGAGCAAGTCTACACTGAACAGCCAGAACTAATACTGTTCTCTACTTGTGTGTAGGTCAACAATGCTTGCCTGGCTCTTCTCGGACAAGCAGAAGAGAAGTGCCTGATATTCCCAGCCTTGGATCATGCAATAGCTTGCCAGGCCACAATACACGACCTGTCACCCGAAGTAGCAGGTAGCGTTAGGATCAGAGCCGTAGACTTCCAGTTGGATGAATCCTCGGTGACGGTAGCAAGGGACAACGTCCCAGGAATCAGCCAAAACATGCATGATGCTGCTCCGCGGCGCTTCTACCTCGTCTTCTTTCCTGCACAAGTCAATGCTAGCGCCATGGGTTTCTGGCGGCTCTCTGGAACGGGCATCTCGTCACGCCTCGCCCAGAGCATGCACGAACACCTCGACAAGATATCTGCCGCGCCTGTAGATGAGCTGTCGGGGAGCAATCCAAATCTCTTCCGCGAACTTGCAGACATGCAGGCAGACGGTATGGTGCGCACACGCATTGTGAAACTGATCCAGCGCGCATCTATTAATGTCGCTTCAAGCGCACGCTTTGTGCCATCAGACGTTTTCCTCTATCCAACCGGCATGGCCGCCATCTATGAGGCCAACAAGCTGCTGCAGAGCTGGCGGCCGACACAGACGGTCGTATTTGGATTTCCCTACGAGCTTACCTTGAAACTGGTGCAAAAGTATGGTCTGGGCTACAAATTTTATGGCTTCGGCACTGAGGCCGAACTCGATGAGTTTGAAGACTACCTTGCCGACGAATGGCAGCAGCATCGTATGGTGCAGTCAGTATGGTGCGAGTGCGCATCCAATCCGCTGCTCAGGACTGTCAACTTCCAGCGTATTCGACGCCTAGCGGACACATACGGCTTTGTCGTGGTTGTCGATGAGACGATTGGCAGCTTTGCCAACGTCGACCTTGCAGGCATTGCAGACGTTATCGTCACGTCTCTCACCAAGAGCTTCAGCGGCAAGGCAAACGTCATGGCCGGGAGCATCGTCCTAAATCCCTCGTCGCCTTACTACACGCCGCTCAAGCAGTCTCTTGACAGCACCTACGTAAACGAACTCTTCGGCGCTGACTCGCGTGTCCTCGAGCACAACAGCCGCAAGTTTCTCGCCCGCTCTACCATGATGAACAGGAATGCGCAGCACCTCGTCTCGGTCCTCAGCCCCCTGGCCGGTACGCTATCGAGCACGCTCACGCACGTGTACTATCCGTCAACTTGCTGGTCGCGTGCAAACTACGAAGCGCGCATGCGCACTGCCACGCCCGACTTTACTCCTGGCTACGGCGGCCTGTTCACGCTCGAGTTTGAGAGCGTCGTGGCAGCAGCGACCTTCTTCGACGCGCTGAACGTGCACAAAGGCCCGTCTTTGGGCGCACACGTGACACTGGCCCAGCCTTACGTGCAAACGGTGTTTATGCGCGAGAAGGAGTGGGCGGCATCGTACGGACTGAGCGAGTCCATTGTGCGCATCTCTGTGGGTTTGGAGGACGAGCAGGCGCTAGGCTATGAGTTCATGCGAGCGCTGCGTCTGGCGGACCGGTTCAAGGCAGGGAGAGAGCTGAATGGCTATCTGGAGAGCTTTCTATAGTTATTCAAAGAACACCCTCGAAGAATTGGAAGTTGTTTGATCATTGAGAAGGCCAAACACAGTTTATGTAGTTAGGAGGTCAAGCTCATGGTTAATTGCAAACTGTTTTCTTAGGATCATTCACGCTAGCGAGAAATACAGGGCGAGAGCATGCGCTAACTGAGCGAGCTAACTAACCTTAGATTAGTGGACTGGATTAGTGGGGGTCGGGGGCTGGCATGCGAACAAATATGCCCAACACTTTTCCTTGACTTGAACAACATGTCTACTTTGCCTCGACAAAAGGTTGATTTTGGAAGACTGTTTCATAGTGAGACACTTTGACGCCAGGCTATTGATAATGATTTTGTATGCCCGCGAACTCATCAGTAATTCTATACTTTGGTAGGTGAGTCGAGCCTGTCGACGAAGTGGGAATTACCAAAAGGTAATCAACGAGAGCGATACCGAGTCAGCTCAGGTAGTAACCAATTACTTCCTGGCATATATTGTTGGAAAATGGAGTGTTCTGAATGGCCGGACCTAGCATCAATACATCGTTAGGAGGCCCCAGCAATCGCCGACTCGGCCGGAAGCCTGGTTGCACCATATATCTGAGCCGATTGGATGGATATCTGCCTTCATCGCCGAACGACAGGCTAACGAGTTTAAACTTTCTCTCTGGGTGTCTATAGAGCTTCGCAGCTAGAATACATATCACCATAGATCCGCTACCACTCTCGATATCGTCCTGGGACTTCAAGTGACCATGGGCGACATGCACGATATTGTTACAATTGACAATAGACTCCAGATTGTTTTCGAAGATCTTCACCTGAAGTATGGTAACAGGATGCAGGAAGAGGTTGCACATCCTTTGGGGAATGTTCCTGAAGGCAAGCTTGGTAAGTATTTGTAAGGTCAAGCATAATCATCTAGCTATCTCTCATCCATTGGTGTAGAAAGCCTCAACGCCCTGCAAGCACAGTTTACGAACGACCCCCGCCCCGACAAGGCGGACCTCATGTGCGGTGTCTATCAAACTCAAGAGGGGAATCCGTACGTCTTACCATCGGTGAAACTAGTAGGTAGGTCTTTCAGGGCTTGCGTGATCGCTTTTAAAACATGTACAGGCGCGGCAAATGTTATTCGATGACCCGGAATGGGAGCATGAATATCCTGCGTCTCATCTTGGTGAGGCACCATTTCGAGACATGAGTGCACGTCTGTTGTTTGGGGAGACTAGCCAGATCATAAAGGAGAAAAGGCAAGCAACAGTTGTGTATCATGAGGGTCAAGTGCTGATCGACTTCTGACAAGGATTGCATCAATGCAAACTCTTGGAGGTAGCGGAGCATGCCATATGGGCGCCAGGTTTCTGCGAATGCATTATGAACCGTATCAATCCAATGTCAGAGGGAAAGTCTATATTCCTTCAGAAACGTGGGGTAAGTCAAGCACCCATAGACTGTTAACATTTGTGTTTCAACTGGTGATCTAACCATGTATTTCCCCTTAGTCAACCACCCGAACGTCTTCCAAGCTGCAGGGTTCGAAACAGCCAGCCTTCCGTACTACGACTCCTCGACCCACGCATTTAACTTCAACGGCCTTGACGAAGCTCTTAGACAAATCCCGTCCCAGTCTATCATCGTGCTTCAAGTCTGTGGGAATAACCCGACCGGCTGCGATCCGTCCGCAGAGGAGTGGCAGTGCCTTGCACAGACATTCTTGACCAAGCAGCATTTAGCTTTCCTTGATCTCTCCTACCCAGGTTTTGTGTCCGGCAGCGTAGCGGAGGACTGCATGCCTATCCGTCTGTTTACTGAGGTGGGAGTTCCGCTCCTACTCGCCACAACGTACGGCAAAGCATTCGGTCTCTATGGAGAGCGCGTCGGACATCTTTGTGTACCTTTGCCCACTGCTCAGGCTGCGGCGCGGGTCGAGCAACAGATGAAACTCATGGCCCGGGAAGAGACGGGCGCGCAACCGCGATTTGGTGCGAAGCTGGTAGCAAACATACTGGGGAGCCCGCGCCTCAAGATGGTGTGGGAGGAGGATCTCAGGGGCCTGGCGCAAGATTTGGCTGCGAGGCGAGAATCATTGAAAAGAGAGCTGATTAAGCAGAATGCTCCTGGCGAGTGGGGCTTTGTGACGAGTCAGGTTGGGATGTTCTTGTAAGATGATTCTTTCACTACTCTCTACGATATTTCAGGCAAGCCTACAAAGAATTTCGCTAACGCATTCTTATCAGATACACATCTTTTGACCCCGAACAGATCATACAGCTAAGGGAAGAGTACGCTGTGTATTTGCAGGACACGGGACGGCTGTCCATTGCGTATGTTAAAAACAATTTCTAGTTGATGTAACGAAGCTAACGTCTTTTGCCAGTGGACTCAATGCACAGAATACTGCCCATGTTGCGGAAAGTATAGCAAAAGTCTTGGGGTGGCACAAACACTAAGAATACGTGACAAGTCCAATTACAGCTCTTGATATTTCAATTTGTTAAGAACTACTCTCTCACATTGACCACGTGCTGTGGTAACAGTAAGCTTATGTCTTTGACTTGTTACTACGTCTTCGTGAGTAAACTTTCGCCGAGTTTGTTTTCATCAAGTCCTACGATCAATACTACAAAACGGCGAAACTTAGTATTAGGATCATCGGCAGAGCCGTCTCGTTACATTGTTCAACTGCCTAGCAAATGCCATTGTATTGCTGGTCGATATCGAGCCCTATACGTATATAGCAGCCATGACGACTTTTTGCTCCTTGAACGCCTCAAATTACTTTTTCTGGCTGTACATTTGGCGACTCGACCTCAACCAGCTTGAAATCCGGAATTACCTGAGCCACCGCCTTCCAGTTCTTCACCCTCTCGAAATGTGCCATAGCTACAGGATGTGCGTCTCTCCACTCTTTGCCCAGTACCCACTGCAAACCCCTGCTCAATACGATTGCTACAAAGATATCTGCGAGGGTCGGGCTATTGCCTACTAGCCACTCCACTCCGCTCAGGACCACTTCTAGCTTGTCCAACAGCACTAAACTTGCTCGCTTCCCCTCCTCAACTGCTTCGTAATTGTACGGTGCGGGGTCCGTGAGTCCAGGGATGAGAGGGAGGAACCAGCGCGCAAGTGTTGGCAAGAACTCCTGGTTTGCAAAGCTGACATAGCTAAGCACCAGGGATTCCTGGGCCAGAGTGCCAGCGGAGCCAAGAAGATGAGATTTGGGGTTGAGTTTGGATAGATACTTTTTAGTGTTGAATTAGCTAGCGTAGGAAGCAGACAAGACGAGAAAATATGTTTGGAAAGAAAACACTGAGGAAATATAGACAATATTGGACAGATAGCTTCCGTCTTTTACTTACATAGGCAATAGCGATCGTCTCTGTGATCATCACGCCAGGACCTTTGAGGGCCGGGATCTTTCCTTGGGACAAAGGGAAGAGTTTCATATAGGCGGCTTTATTGATGCCCTTGCGTGGAACTACTAGAGATTGGTTGAGCGTGATACCTTCGGCGGCAGCCTGATGAGGTGTTAGGGATATGGTATTGAGACAGTCTAGAGCTGAAAAGAATCTTACTACGATCTTGATGATGCGCGTTCGAGGGTTGTCCTACTTGGGCATCAACTCACATCAATGTTGTTATATTGCTATTAGTCGATACTTACATCATAGCCGTAGAGGGTGAAGTCGATAGCCATTATGGGCAGGTTCGATGCAAGGATATCCGATGCTAGTTCACGGGGAAACACTCGTCACAGGCCTAGACATTGGAAGTAAAGGAATACCAGGACATTGTTTATACTTATCGAGCAGCAAAATACCAATCGACCGATACATAACTTCTCGGCTAATAGATCTATACACCTTACGCGACATTACTCGATCTCCGTTTCGTAAGTCCGAGATATTCCTCGGACAAGTCCGATCGCCAATTCACGATTTCCATGATCTACATACATGTGCCAATGTTATGCCGGTTCGACCGAGGAACCATGCTCTACAAACGAAATTACCTCCGTCATACTAGAACCGACTCTCGCTCGCGGGTGCCTGAATTTGTAATTGAACCTCCATGTTGGGCTTCAATATCGCCGAAGAAGGTTGGGTTTGAGGAGTGGTGAAAAACACCGCGTGTAGAAGAGCCACTGCCCGCACAGAATCCTGTTCCTGGACGACACAGGAGATGCTGTTCTCACTCGCTCCTATCAACACTTTGGGTCAGTCGCCGACAATCCGAAAGAACACAGACAGATAGCTTACCATGTGCGATCATCTCGATCTTAATGCGATTTTCGCTCAGCGTGGAGAACATCTGTCCAGTCACGCTTAGTGCCCGTCTCAGCTGTTTGCCAACCAAACTGATGATGGTTTTTTCGTGCAGAAGCTCTACATCCCCGTACTCTTGTAATTGCGCAATTGCGTTTTGGAGATTTTGCCGGACGGGTTCGGAGTAGTCGTCCTCATCGTCACCCGTGATCAGAGAGACTTCAGAATGCAATGCCATGGAAACCTGGACCTCACTGGTACATATAAGATCGATGGACAGATTCCGTTTGTCGAATACAGAGAAAATGCCGGCTAAGAAGCTGTGCGCTTTCAATCGTTCTGCGGACCGAATATTGATGAGCAAGATTTTGTCTTTCGATGTTATGGCGATCGGGGTCCTGGTAGCGCCATCGTGCGTACAAGGCAGAGAAGTCCGAATTGCAGCACAGTTCATAGAGGTCGAGGAAACTGGTGAAGGACTGACACCCTTCCAGTCATCTACGATCAGAGTTCCCGGTGACTGCGGGTTGAGGACGTTTTTGATGCGCATTGAAATGCTCGCACGCATGGCTAGACGCATAGCCGCGTAATGAATGACCTCGGAGCCGTGAAATGTCAACTCTGAAGCCTCTTCAGAGCTGATTACGGGGAGCATTTGGGCACTGGGTACCTTACTTGGATCGGCCGTGAAGATGCCTTCTACTTCTTTCCAGACCTGCAGCTCGTGTGCTCGTAACCCCACAGATATCATCGAGGCGCAGAAATCAGTATATCCGCGACCGACTTGCGTGAGAAGACCGCGGTCAATGGGTCCAAAGAAGCCCGTAACAACCGGCACGGTGGCCTTGCACCTGCGGATTCGCTTGGCCATGACATCCGACAAACTATCATAGAACGATTGGTTCATCATACTGTTAATGGTGGTCGGAACAATTTCGGAGAAGTCGACAATTTCGCTTGCGATGCCCCGATCACGCAGCGTGGCAGAGAGGAAGAAACAGGCCAGTCGTTCGCCCGTGCTGATGACCTTGTCAAGAATGTATGAGTTGCCGTGGCCGATGGTTTTCGTTGCTAAGAGAAGCTGTATAACTTGCTCGCATTCATGCTCAACCTGTTGGACGAGTTCGATGACAAGTTCTGGGTCCTTTATATAGTCGTAAGCTGAACTGATATGCTCTGCGCGGATGTTTTGGACTAGTGTATTGGAGCGCTCGAAGTCAGTTCCTAGACAGTGCTTGTAGGCTTGCAGAAGGCGGTTTGTGGTGCCTTCCTTTTTGGTGCTGGCACTCAATGCAGAGCAAACAACGACCACTCGATGATAACGAGTGATAGGCCTGAGAGTTGTAAGCACCCATCATCTTCATTGTAAAATAGCCAGGTGAGAGTGGTGCTGACTTGACAACGTTTTCAACGACATTGAGAGGGTATTTCCCAATGCTCGTGCCACCAAACTTTTGCACTACCCAAGTGCCGGTGCCACTCCATGGTGCTCCAATCTGATCGATGGTCATGTTGTATTTGAAAAATATTCAGTTATTGAACAAAGTATAAGAACGTTGCATACGAAAATCACTCTGTTTCTACCATCAGAGGCTTACATATTGGATCTTGAGCATTGGTCGTCGCCATCACGTCCCCGCAAAGGATGCCTAAACGGATCTACACGGATCGTTTCCCTACATGCTTGCTATGGGAATCTTGCATAAGAAGAAGAGATAGCGAACCTTTTCGGCCGAGGACAATGGGAAACAATCATGTCCGACCTTAGGCGGTTTTCTATTTTCATTTGTACCAAACATGCCTCGGATCTGATCCAATCGGAGAACACATCGCAGGATTAATCCATGTTTTTTTCCCCAATGGAATTTCTGAGAAGTAGGGGCTACAACTTTGGGGCTAAATTGCCATGCTGTATCGGCACTGGCCGGCCTAGTCATAATAAGAGATAGCGGCGACGGACCAGTGAACACCGAGGGCGGAGTTGTACGTATTTGACTTGATATGTTTAGTGGGGTTCTTGACTTCCCTTTGATCGGCGAGACTTGAGCAAGTAGAAGGTGTGGATGAATTCATTACGCGAAGCCTAAGCGTTTTGTTCAGTGAGGCTACCGAAGCCAAGGGCGTCCGACCCAGTCATGTTTCGAATGTTTCGTTCTAAATATTCGTTCATGTATATATAGTTGAAAAACCTTGTAAGATCACTTAAATTACTATTTCCCAAGACCCAAGACTAGACCAGTGTGTTACCTGGTAGTCAATATCACCTCCTGGTTGTTTTACACAATAGTTCGAGCTATCTACTCGTATATGTAATTCGTTTGTTAGGTACATCAGTATTCATATAAATGGTCTTGTGCTTTGTACAAAAGCTTGTGAGTCTTATGTTAGTAGTGCAATGTAGAATATCATGTGCCAACCATCAATTTATATTGTAGGCGTACCGTTCAACCTCGTGTATATGCATCAACTGTTATTTTGGTCGGGCTTTCCCTAGTGGTTGGTATCGCCGTTGTATGTACCGTTTGAGCCATTCACGCCCGCGATTTTCGCAAGTATAACATTATCCTCAAAGCTTTTCACGCCCGATTTGAAAATTGCTGCTCCATCCGAGTGGATAATGAGGGCTTTCCATCCCAGCTTCAGTCGTCGTTCCAAAATTTCAGGCGTCATGGCAAATCCTAGCACCGCAAGGCCATTATTTTCTGCGGCGCGCTGGATCTTTTCCATTGCAGCGAGAAAAGCTGGCTCGTCGCCGTCCTGACTACCGACTTCAAGACCCATGGAGCATCGAAGATCGCCCGCTCCCACCATCAAGGCATCAACTGAGAGACACTTGGTTAGACCGGTTCAGTCACAACTCCTTTTTGACCACTGCGATATGTACATGACGGAGAAGGGGAGGAATACTGACTTCCAGGAACAGCTGCAATCTCCTCAACGTTCTTGACTCCCTCCACGTCCTCGATCTGGGCAAAGACAGCGGCATGGTTATTCCATACGTCGTAAACGGTCTCTCCAGGCTTGGTGCGCGTCTGGTTGCCAAACAGTGCCAGAGGTGGGTAGCTGCGCGTACCAAGGGGAGGGAATTTGGCTAGAGACACTAGTTGCTGAGCTTGCTCTGCATTCTGAACATGCGGCTGAACGATGCCTCCTGCTCCTGCAAGGAGAACATAATTGATCAGATCTGGCATATTGGGAGCCAGCCGTACGTATGGCACCATAGAGCCATTTGAAGTGTACTGAATGGTCTTGATGAGGCTGGCAAGTAGTGTGGGATTAAGTGGGCTATGCTCCTAAGTCATAAGTCAGTATTTCTCTATATGCGTGTCCAAGGAGTAAGGGATCATACTGCGTCGAGGAAACAAAACTGGTGTGGTAGAGTTGCTACTACACGCGCAGCTTCCTCATGGGGGATGCGACAACTTGTACCCCACAGCAGTTCACCACTCTTTAGCATAGACCTGAAATCCGTTGGTTGAGCCAGATCTAAGGCGTTGTATTGTTTTGCGTCCAACATTGTTACGCCTGTATTAGGTATGACTTCCACAAGGTGTGACGTTGCGAGTATATACTTTTATGTGAAGCGGCCAGGATGGTTCTTTACACAATTAACACGAGTGTTATGGAGCTTTCTGCAGAATCAGTGGTTCAGGAACTCATTAATTGAACTCGGCGACAAATTTGATAAGTCCGTTGTAACGATCATAGTCAAACTCATCTCCGACCACAACTTTGTCGGTCAATTCTATCCATGAACTCAATTGAACAACCTCGGAGCGCCGCGTGATCCATGCAAACAAATAACACAAAGCCGTCAGCATGTCCGATTGGCCCTGTTCGGATAATCACAAACGCCGCTTACGCCTTAGTCAGACAAGCAGGGATTCTCGGCCGACGAAGTCAAGGTGTAGCTGTGCGTAACAGCTGAAACTTTTACAACGGTCGTCAGGTCTGTGTAGCAGATTGGCAAGGAAGAGAATTCAATATATATATCACCTGGTGGACCGTTCACATATCTTCATTGCCATCTTCTCAACTACACAAAAACAACACAATCCGCACTTCCAAGTCAATCGACTACAACACTTTCCCATATTTGCAATGGTGGCTGAGCAATATTGGACCTCTCCTACCAAGGAGTATCAAAAGAAAATTCAGATTATTCAGGGTTCTGATGAGCCTGCGATCGACTTCCCCCTCATACTTCAGCCCTCACGCGAAGAACTCTCCAAGGATGCAATCCTCAAGGAGGCCCGCGCTCTTGGTGCTCAGCCATCCGACAAGAATCTCCAGAGCCCAATCCGCCAGCTGCTCGATGCAAATGGTGGTGCTATCCACCTCAAAGGCCTACCCCTGAAGACGGCCGAGGACTTCTCAGAGTTCATGTTCGCCCTCGCAGGGTCCGGCCCTCACGCCTGGAAGCCGCATGAGCATACTGGTATGGAGGTGCTCCGCCGCCCTCAGGCCCCCAACGTGCTCACTGCCAACGAGGGTCCGCCAAGTCACTTTATTGGCTGGCACAACGAATACGCCGTATCTCCAGTACACCCGCATTATCTTGCTCTCTATTGCAAAATTCCCCCGGCCAGCGGCGGTGAGACCTCTGTCTGCAACTCGATTGCCCTGTACGACCGCCTGAAGAAGGATGCCCCAGGCTTCGTCGAGGGTTGCGGCAAGAAGGGCCTTGTGTACCATATTCCACACAATGCAGATCAGGTCGGCGGTATTGTCGGTGGTAACGGTCTGTACAAAGATTCGGCGTTCGGCCCCAAGGGAGACGAGAAGATGCCCGAGACCGAGGAGGGCAAGCGAGCTATGGTTGAGCGCAAGATGCTCGACTTGGCCCACCGCGGTGGCTGGCACAAGGACATCGACCGAGACGATGAGACTCTACCTGTTTGGCAGCGCCGCGGCTTCGAGTGGACCTGGCAGGATAATGGCGACCTCGACGTCATTCATCGTGTTGCTGGCACCCGACAGCATCCTACCTTGAACAAGCCAGCCATATTCAACGTAAGTTTACTTTGACTTTATGAAACGCTGGATACAAAGAGACTGATTTGTAACGCAGGCTCTGTCCACCCGCTACACCAACGCTGTGGCTAACGACACTTTCAACGCCCCGTTCACTTTCAAGAAAGAGGATGGAACCGAGGGTAGTTCGATCCCCCCACATGTAAGTCCAGCTTGATGCGTCTCGGACGTTTCAACCAAAGTTTTGAAGTTACTCACAAATGTTCAGTTTGCCGGCCTTGAAAAGGATGAACCAGTTCCCCGAGAGTGGCTGCAGAAGATGGACGAATGGCAGCACGAGCTAGAGTCCAGCATCGTCTGGGATGCAGGCGATGTCCTTCTGGTCGACGTGAGTACTCAATGTCCCAATTGCTGACCTCATGGAAGCTGACTCAAGTTCGACTCTCCAGAACTTCGCCGCACAGCATGCCCGTTGGGCTTGGGAGGGAGACCGAAAGGTCATGGCCAGCTTCTGGGACCAACCTGGCATGGTCAGCGAGCCCATCATGTCGTAAACTAGTATGATCTAGACTTTTTCTAGAACATAATCGTCAAGTACTTGATAGATGAGTGTGGACACTCTGGTCCAAAGTGGAGGTATTGGTATGAGTACATGGGTACATTCGCTTAGTATTAAATCCGAAGACAAGGAGTCCAAATTGTTGACAAATATTTTTTACGTTGCATAGCGTGCCTTCGTTGTCGTGTGATGTGGCGGCATCGATGTAAAGCCCTGCTCAGTGTGATCTCCTAGAAAACAAAGAGGGGAACTAGCAACGAAGCGAGTTGGAGAAAGTAACCGCCCGTCAAGTATTGTTTATAGCTTTTTGGAACATGTTGACAGTCTCCGGAAACACTTGCACGATGGAGTATATTGATGGTCGATATCTCAGGGTAGGTCATTGATTGTTATACATTGACTCTCCCAGAGAAATACACAGATCGTATTAACGCAGACGGCTGCCTCAATTTGTTGAGAGTACTAGAGTTACCATGATTAGCTTGAACGATGCAAAGACTTGAAAGTAGAGATGTGAGAACGACACTAAGGTACCTTATCATGCCGTAGGATTAGATTTTTTCATTGAGATCTACGTCAGATATAACTAATCTATCAAACTGGTCTACAGTCAAACAAAATACTACCGAGACTCGCCCTAAGGTCTGGCTGTTGCCAACCCAATTTTAACTCCGTTACGGCTTTCTGTGAGATTTCTGTCAAGCTCGACATACTCCAACACTGGATCTCGGTTCTCGATACTCTCGAACTCCTGGGTAAGTCGTATCAAGATGTACGTAGATTGAAGATAAACTTGCTGGTACGCCGGACAAATTCTCCGACCTCCACCGAAGGGCACAAACTCAGGCGGAATCTTCATATGGTTCCACCTGTCGGGCGTGAAATCATAGCAGTCATCTCCCCAAACCGATTCGATGTGGTTGCAACCCCAGCCATGAACACAGACTTGGTCGCCCTTCTCCATAAACAATGGGGACTCGCCATCAGGTCCCCCGCCCTTGGGCAGTATGGTGTCCTTGAAGGCAGTCCGGGTTACAGTAGCACTTGGTCCTATCGAGCGGATTGTCTCATAGATAACATTGCGGAAGGGCTTGAGAGTCTTGGAATCAAAATCAAGCTCAGCCCCTTCACATATGGTGAGTGCCGTCTCGCGTAGTTCCTGCCAAAGACTGGGATTTCTTGCAAGACAGAAGAGCGCGTTGGCAGCTAGTACCGCCACTCCGTCTCTTCCGCCAGCAAAAAGATTGAGGCATTCGTAGCGAAGAGCAATCGGGTCTTTGACCTGCTGTGCAAGCTCATTGAGCAGAACATATCTAGCTTTTACTTCTTGAATAGCACCAGGCGACTCATTGAGCACAAGTTGCACTTGCTGATCGACGAATGCATGAACCTCCGCAACTGTCCTGGGATATTCTCGGTCTAGACAGTATCTGAAAGCTAGGCGTCCTGCTTTTCGTCGTTTAAGAGACCCAGCATTGGCGTAATTGAACGCTTCTATAAAGTCACCATTGCTGTACGGCGACCCTGACAGCAAAGAGTCGGTGGACTTGCCGAAAATGAACTCTGCGGTCGAATCGAAGTTCATCTTCTTCAGCAAAGGCTGGACATCGATGGTGCTTCCGTCGTGTGGTATCTGCGCGATGAAACGATCGACGTGTCTCTTGAACATCGCAGTAGATCGGACTTCTACTTTCTTGAAGAGAGGCATGACCATGCCTCTAGAGAACTTCCAGCGGGGTCCATCGGATGAGAATATGCCTGGGCCAAGGAAGTCATTCTTGTGGAAAGCGCCTGCTCTTCCAAGCGTGTTCATGTCCGCATTGAAAGTTACGCGGATATTTGCCATGTCGATCGTGTTGATGAGTCGCTGGCCAGCGAGCTTCTCTTCCCATGTGGGTCCTAGTTTGGCGAACCAGTGGTCGTAATGGGCTAACGAACGCCCTTCGTCGCTTGCAGTTTGACGCTCTCGCATCAGATCAAGTCCAAGCCAGCCTTTGTGCGGATAACGGGGAGGCTTTTGGCAGCCATGCTTGCCCTGCGCTGAACGAAATGCGACATACCCACGGATCTTTCCGTAGATGATGTCAGCTATGGTTGAAATGACAAATATACCAAAGGAACCGAACGCAACACGCGTGAAGATAGTCCACAGGCTAATGGACCGCCATGATTCGGCGGAAAAGAACTCGTTCGACATGCTGGCATTCGAGGAACAAAGTTGAGTGAAGCAGGTACTCGGTGAACAAGAGAAATGGAGGGATAGAGTGCTTGATAAATGCTCACGCCGCTTACCAACTGTCCACGCCGCTTAGTAGACACCCACGCCGCAATTTCGCATGTTCGGGATTTTGTATGCTTCAAATCTGAGTCACAGAACAATTACAGTCAACATCTCCGACACAGTAGAGCACTGCTCGGCGTTAGCAAGTCCGTAAATAACCGAGCTACCTTACCATACATGATATCAAAACCTTAGTAAAAATCCTTTTTGGGTCATAGTTCACAAGTTGTTAGTGTGAAGAATAGAGTAAAGACATCAAGGGCAAAGATTTACTCAATAGAAAACCGGTGGAAGTTGTAAATTACAATCTTGCATATCCCATCTGATAAGATTCCGTTACTACCAATCGTCGTCGAACGGAACGCTGCGATGGCTGAAAATGAAGGCTTGATTCAGTGGCACGGGCCGAGGCGACGGGTTCTAGATCCGAATCCAGCTTGGCAGATCGCCGAGCCGTCTTGCGCTGCACGCTCTAAAATCTCACCTCAGCATAGCGCCGAGGGCATTACGCGTAACGCTCTAAGATCCTACCTCAGCTTAGCACCCACGGGTGGCGTTTTGTGAAACTCTCTAGAAAGGTGTCTATCGGCTGGATGCGCATTCCAACGACACAAGCATCGTTGATTGGATGCAGAAGGGATGTTCAAATGTTGGCTGTCTTCCTGGAGCCTACATGAGGCAAGCGATAGCAGTGGTTCGATGGTGATCTAGTCAAATTGAGCAGCTTTATAGCGTCATCAAGCTACTGTATGCAGAAGGTATATTGGTTGTTCTCCGGAGTGATTGTTGATTCGACAGTAGTTCAGTTGGATGACGTCATCAAGCAATAACTGCCGCTTACATACCTGAACTTATCCCTATGGAAAAGACAATGCTCCAGAGACCGACTACCTAGGATAGCATTAGATCAATCTTACATGCTTTGTCAATTGCTTACCAACTCTCTACGTGTAACTCTTATATCCAACAGACACTCACCTTAATGCACATGCGCCACCTAGGTATGTTAAGTTCTTTTATCTATTATGGCATGTTGATTGTTTGAAGCGACTATAGTTAAACTCTCCTATTTATGTCCGAGACGACGACCAAGCGAAGACGTCTAGTACTTTCGTGCTTTGAATGTAAGCGCAGGAAGTTAAAGTGTGGACGAGAGACTCCTATCTGTTCGAGGTGCATCAACGTAGGCACCCCAGAAGTTTGCGAGTACGACCCTCGTTTCTCGATGAACACGGACACGGACGTGGCTGGTCTAGCTTGTGCTAATCAGGCTTGGTCTCCCAAGAACTCAATAAGCCAGTTGCCTACAACCACCTTCGACAACTTCGATGCCTCGCTTATCAGTGATAACTGTCAACCAAATCTCTGGCTACCATTTCAGCATGATCTGGACCTCGAAAGCTCCTCTTCCGAAGTCCTAGACAGTGAGAGCCTCATCGAGTCTTTCAAGTTGCAAATGCAGCAACCATTCCCGGACCAAAGGAAAAGTTTGAACGGTCGGTTCCGAGGCCTGAGCCACTCGACGAGCATTGTTGCCTCCTTTCCGGACCTCTACAGATTTATGAAACAGATCGTTGAGGACCACCACATCCTAGGGGCTCCGCAATGGGCTACATACACGCCAAGCGCAGAGCAGCCTCTCCCGTTCTATTCAAAAGAAGAGGTAGAGCAAGCCATAAAACGTCTTCTCCCAGCAGAAGAGCGCTGTCGTCGTCTTTCAAAGTCATACTTCGATCACTTCACTGGGATATATGCCCTCTTCCACGTTCCCTCGTTCTGGCATGAATACCAGGACTATTGGGACGGGACGCACAATGATCCGGTTCGATTCAATGCGATGCTTCTTGCTGTGATGTCATGCTCAAGGTGTCTTTTTGCGGACGATCCGCTGTCTTTTGACGGAGACAGTTCTACTGCCAGAAACGAAGCGGTGAAATGGTTGCACGCAGTTGAGGCATGGCAAAACTATCGTGCAGCGACAAACTCTACAATCGAAGCATTCCAAATCAAATGCTTAGTGCTCTTATCGAAGACACTGAACGATATCGGCCGCGAGGACCACTACACGGCTTCACAGACTTTACTCGCCGATGCCATCTCGAATGGCCTTCACCGAGACTGGAAACTTCTTGGCGTAGAGGAATCCGTCTATGAGCGAGAGATACGTCGGAAGGTGTGGTCTGCCGTTGCTGAGCTGGATATCGCAGCCTGTATTGAACGCGGTGTGCCATCTATGGTTTCTAATCTACTCGCCGACATCGGGCAGCCAAAGGGATACAACGACTGCGATTACTTTTCCAACACTGAATTCGAGCCCCCTGATCAGCCGGACTGCCAGCTTACAGATAACTCGTTTGCAAAGATCGCACACTCGATTCGACCGCTTCGCTACGAGATCAATGACTTCGTCAATAACCCGCAAAAACATAGATCGCTAAATCAATCACATCTCGTGGCATTGCGGGTGCAGATATCCAAAGCCATGGATGGTATACCTAGTTGGTCGGACCCAGCACCAGACGTGGCAGGACGCAATCGAGGCCTCGTATATCGAGCAGTCCTGGAGCTATATTTACATGAGCTACTACTTCTGCTGCATCTCCCATTCGCCCTTACAACAGATGGAGCCGTCTCTTCAGCTATAGATACAGACTTTCAACGATTCATCTGCGTAAGATCAGCTAGTACAATCATCAAGATACACGAGCTGGTTGCGCATGAAGGATTTAGCCCGATAGCCTTAGGAAATGCGAATCTCTTACGAGCAGGCTTATGTTTATGTCTCCTTGAAGGAGGTGCATTGAATTACGGTAGCTCTTTTCTGCTCGAGTGGGTTATTGAAAGAATTATCGCTAAAATTAAGCAGGTATCACTTCCCTACCTGTATGCCCAGATGCCCAGACTAAGCTGGTCAACTCTGCTCTCGGCATGGTTGAGCAACGTGTCCTCAGTCTAGGCACTGGTCTTCAATCTCTCTGGCTCTTTTCTGTCGCCAGCTGTTACATTGAGTCACGTAGAGACCCCAGCTCAAGCTCAGTCTCGAAGAATCGAACTACTGACGAGATTGTTGCTCTGTTCAGCAAGATGTGCTGGGCACAAGTACAAAAAAGCATTGGGTTCGGACTGTCCGATACCCATATTGCGCGTTATATATTGCAGGTCCACCAGGTATGCGAGGCTATTGGGCAGATGATGGGTAGTAAGACGGGTCTGGACGTGGGTTCAGTGCTGGCCAGAGCTGGCTCAATCTCCATGAAATCCGCGCATTGATCACGGCGTTATGGAGGTCTTGGGTCGACCTGTATGAAGAAAAGTTGTTGAGTATATAATGCATGAAGTATGAATGTATAGACGGCAATTGATAGCTGGTTTTTGTCATGCGAATAAAATTTCTAGGTTCACTGATTTCTCTTATGCATAGTCCAATTCCACAGACATCTCTACGCTAAGAGAGAATTCTGCAGGGGATCCCCTAAGAACCTACCACTGCTCTGATCCTGGCCCGAACGTAATTCTTTCAGTGATAATTGGATATGGTGATATCCAAAAACACGCAAGTACGGCAACTTTACAATCAAAGCGAACATACAGTCATGGTGAACACACAGTCACAGTCAACCGGTCAACGCTCAATTTCGGAGACCATGCTATTATCGACCATACCTTGTATCGGGGCGCTATCCCATGCAATCAGGCACCGATTTAGGCAGTACCCGCATATGCGGCTAAGCTAGGCACCGGCCGGCGCTATCACCCACAGGTACGTTCAAAGAGCCGCCAACAGTCTAGCAGGTTCATGCATGATAGATCAAGGCAAGATCGCCGGTCCTCTAGAGCCGCTCGGGGTTCTCGGGGTTGTTGATGTAGCCAGCAGACAAACCTGGTTTAGCAATGATGATTTTCCACAAGTACGAGCTTAACACCGAGCATGGTTTCGCTAGAGGTTGACTCATCATCTGCACTGAGTTCAATACGACGATAATGCAGGCTGTTTCCAAAGGATTGTGCATGTTGACCACCTTCCTGTTGAGGTTAACCTACTTCAAGATGACTTTCAAGCTCAGAACATCAACGCTCGGAAATTCAAAGCGCGCACAATAATAAGACCCGAGCTGCTCCATATTTGCCAACATAGGTAGCGTTGGTATGTTTCAGGCGGCAGCAACTTCGGGAGATTTGGACAGTGGAGTTATAACTGTGGTGCGACCCTTTCTAAGGGTTCTCTAGACAATTGCTCAATACCTGTCAATAGTGACGCGAGCGGTCAATAGACAATAGGCCCACTTTATACAGGCAGGCTCGGAGATCAGCACTGTATTGGAATGCGGACACAGCTGCATAATCACCTTCACAATAAAGCCTAGGGTAGAAGCTCGTAATGAGGGTCTAAGTGGAAGAGAGTTTAACCACGCAGCTTTGATTCTTAAGCGACTCTGGTTAGCCACGTCAACCAGCGCACGTCAAGCCCTGACACTGAAAACGTTAGTAGCATCAGAGAACAACTCAAGCAACATCTGTAGCGAAGAAAGGGTCTAATGGTAAGGTTTAACTGGCATGAAGCGAGGAGCGTCGTAAACAGGTGTGCTTGAAACTATCTGTAGCGAATTTACGAAACCCCTTTCAATACTGACAGAAAATGTGTTATTCAAAATATTAACATTATGACGTGAAGTGCTCGAGCTGGTTTACATTCCTTATCTAATTGTATTCTTCAAAGATAGCTAACTAGAAAGGGATGTTGCTGACAATGAGATGAATAACCGAAAAAGATTTCTCTAAACTGTGGATGCGGGTGAATTAGTAACCAAACAACAATTTGAGTTCAAAGATCGATTTTATAAAGATGTATGGAGACCTTCCTGCTACATAGTTCGAACTTTCGAACACTGACCCGCGGTTTTGACTCTTCGAGTGCTGAATGACAATCAGCTCGCAATATATTCACGTACAAGGCGACAGATTTATTTTGCTTTCTGAGGATGTGTTTGCACGTTCAAAAAGGCTTTTACTATTGAACTACATATGTTGGGCTGCTATGGGTTGGAGAAGAACTCATCATATAATGATAACATACATTCATACTCTTTTGATAGAACCCACACAAAGATGCTTTGTAGTGCTCCGTCCATGAGAGATAATGTTCGAGGATTTTCGAGTAGGGCATGTATCTGACCAACACTCTTCAAAAGCTCGAAACCACCAACCTACGTAAGCCAGCCAACTTTTAACACCAAACCTGATCGTCTACATCAGAGCCCTGGGGTCAACATTGTTAGATGCCTCGTCGCAGTCCTCACCCATAGTGCCCGGTCCCAAAGGTCCCGTCGTGTTGTATCCGACGACTTGCGCACAGCCTGAGAAGCCGCCTGCGCCGATGTAGTTGCCAAAGCCATCTGGACTAGCCTTCTGTAGAGTACCCATCGTTTGTGCCGTCAAGCCCAGGGTGGAGCCACTGGCTGCAGCACCCAAAGTAACATTTCCAGATCTGAACTCAACTTCCGCTGTCGCGTTAGTCAAGAAGTATGTGTTCCGTTGGCATTTACCAGAAAGGATGCCGTTCAGAAGCTGGGGTTGGTTGATCACGCTCTTCAAGAAAGTGAGAGAGTATTTGGATTGTGCTTCAGTGACGGTGGTGAACGAGAGATCAATGGCTTCAACGTATGCACCTGGCCCCGACGCTGGGTTGGGCAAGATGACCCACTTCGAGTTGGCGCTGAAAAGGCCATTGGAAACTGCTGTGTACGCGGCGTTTCCTGGTATGAAGTTTCCCAGACGGACGAAGAGGCCGCCGATGAGTGTGGATACCGCAGCAGGGACTACTGCAGCCAAGTCTTTGTTTGCCTGGTCGCTCGTGCCGGCTTGATATGTGTTCAAGGGCGCGAGCAACGGTTTCTTACTTGTTCCTTTGCCCACAAACGGGATCTGCGTGTCCGATACCAACAACGGTCCGTCGATCTGGAGGATTGATTGTCGGATGTCGGAAGAATATCCAGATGTGACAAGCACGGGATGCATGCCAGCAGGGAAGTTGGGGACATCTAGCAAGGACAGGCGATTGTTTGGTACTAGTCCAACGGCTGGGTATGATTCGGATAGAGCCTGTTGAACGGCAGCTTTGGGAACCGGAACTATGAACCAAGCTAATACGTGCATGTTAGACGTATTGTTCAAGGAGACACTGCCATCTTTCGGTACTTACTGTTGTTGGAGGACATGGTTCGGAGCGCAGGATTGTACGAGGCCACGGTGTTAGGGCATTGCGCATTGGTTGGGAACAAGAGCGTAAAGCCCACGGCGAGGGCGGACAAAAGTCGGTACGACATGATGTGTGCGTTTGGTAGACTGGAAGACCTGTTTGATGGGAGAAGAGGTGCTATTGTAGATGGAATGATGTTGCACTGAGAAAAGGAGAGGGTATCCCTTTATAAGGACGATCAGAACACCACCTTAGCACATGGCGCTCGACATCAACCTACTCATAATAGTCAACACTACTGTCCCCACCGATCACGCCTTTGGTAACTTTGATTTAGTTGTCGCCCCCAAAGCAGGACACCGCATAGTAGGTAGTTTCCAGACGAGTTTATTGGAAGCTAGAATGAGTTAGCATCACTGTCGCCACGCAGATGTTCGGCAACTTACGGTACCGAAGCTAACTCAGGTACGGAGCGGCCGGAGGCGAAAGCCGTCGGTCACACACAGGCTTGTGTAGAGTTACAAGCGGCGTCCCAAATGACGTTAGTGTGGGACACACTCAACCTTCTCCTTACGCAAATGTTGCATTTTTGTCTCGTACATTGAAACATATCTCTATGCTTCTTCGCCTCCACATGTGTCGATTAGATACTCGTCACCATATGTACCGTCAATACTATTTCCGTTCAATCATGATTCTATTTCGATGCTCAACTTTTGGTCAGATAACTTGCTGAAATTTTCGAGGCTTGGAACAAATATCTTTCATTTACTTACACTTAGCTTTTGACAGCGTGCTGGGTCGAAACAAGGGCGAGGCCTGTGCTCTCGATCTGGTGGAGACACGAATTTAGATATGTAGATCGGCCGGTAGATCGTCTCGCAGATCGGCCGGACGCATTTATTCAGGGTCAGAAACTGGCGTTCGAGCACATGATTGGGTGATTTTGTTTTCCTAAATTGGACAACGAAATGACTAACGTTCAAACTAAGGCGAAGCAGTGGATTTTAAGACAACCACTACTTAGCTCAGGGATGTAATAACATAACACTGTCGATCGCAAGTACCGGCGCGAAAAACGAAAGTTTTTAAAGTAGCGAAACTGCATCACTGCACAGTAAATAGTCTGGTTACTTCAATACACCCATGTCTAGCCTACATTAAAACAAACAAACAGAGTTTAGCAGTAGGCAACTAGGACACAAAAACAACATAAAGTGTAAACTCTAAGCCCACTGTGATTTCCCAGCCAATGAAAAGACTCCATGCGGAAGCATTTCGCAACTTCATTACAAAAGTCAAAAAGAAGTGTAAGCGCTTACTTCTTTTTGACGCCGTGCTTGGACAAAGCCTATTCGAAAGTGTAAACGTGCTGGCAATCTGGTAACCTCCGCTTGTTCATGGCAAGGTTTTTGCAACCGTGAATCCACCGCCCCGTCACAAAAAACTGGACAGTTTTGTGATGTGTCAGCAGTAAAGAGAACGAAAACTGTCCAGTTTTTTTGACGGGGTGGTGAATCTACACTATGATATCCTTACCTAACTCCATCACAGCCCAACACACCATGGCATACACAACTTCAAGCGCCTGGATTTGATCCGCTTCCCCTCTCCATCTTGAACGGGACATCAGGAGATCGACAGACCCTCCACATCCCAACGTCCCGTCTCTCGTCGTTACGATCTCCCAAGCCTCGTTCGACATAGATCACCGAGACAGACGTCAGCTAAGATACACACAGCACATCCATGGCAGCCATACCATGGGATTTACCGGTTGGGCTCGACTGTATCACACATGCGGACGCCGTGAAAACGAACATCTCATGCACGCAGACTTTGCCATATCATCTATTTCCACTCTAGCGACGCAGTGAAGGACCATGACAACGAACTTCTCATGCAAGAAGACTTTCCCATAGCACCTATTCATGCTCTAGCGACGCAGTGAGGAACCACGACAACAGCGCAAGACCCGCCAGCTAGTGCACCTGCTGTCAAGGAAGCAGTTAAACAGACTATGGACAAGCATGAGCAGACTCCATCGACGGTTCAGCGATACCCCATCACTCGTGAGCGACATCGCACAATCTCTCTATGCGCTGTCTCGCCGGACTTTCTGCATCATTCGCCTCGGCCTCGGCCTGGAGTGTATGTGGGGAGGTACTGGACAGGTGCAGAGATGCAGTGGTAGGGAGATGCTGGGTTGGATTTCATCGAGACTTCCTGGTCGTTTTTTACTCGTCTGACTTTGACACTGCGTCACTTTTATTATATGCAACACACTTGGAATGGTAACAAGTCAATGTGAGTGGAGCAAGATGACAAGATGGGACGGAGAGGAAGTGTGACGTTGAGAAGGAGGATAGAGTAAACTCAACAAGCCATCAAGTGGAGACATTGAGATAGCAGGAAAGATTATTCCCAGCATCCAATGCCCATTTCCAGAAATCAAGTCCGAACAACGGCAAGCTACCTACCTCCGGCATCCACCCCACACAGCCCCTACACCCCCATCGACGACCCACGTTTCGCCGGCCAATCCGCCACCGCCAGCACCGCCTCCTGCGTGCCAAACACCCTGAGCTTATTCCCAAACTCGTGCCAAAAAGCCGAGTCAACCCCAGGAATAAGCTCCATAGCCTGTCTCTCCATCTGCTCAATGGGCACCCACCCACTCTTGTCCTGCACAAACGCTTCGTCTTCCCACGACCCTGCTGCTCCGCCATGCTGCTCTCCGCCCCAGGTGTTGTCCACGGAAGCCTTTTCAACGTCGTCGGATGATGAGTCGGATTCTGTGCCCAGACGCAGCTCCCGCAGGGTTTCGAAGACGTTTTTCGTGTTGAAACGTCCGTTGGCTGGTTTGCTGCTGTTGCGCTTGCCTTTGTTTCGTTGTTTTCTCTTACCTTTTGCTTTTGTGTCTGGCTTCTGGCTGGGCTGTACTGGGGCTGGCTGCTTGCTCGTCGCGTAGTCGTTGCCGACGAGGTCTTGTGTGTTCTCAAGCGTTGTTCCGGTGGTTTTGGAGTTATCCTTGTTCGAGGAGCCGTTTGTTTGCGCTGACGCTTCCTTTTCTTTGCGCTCTGCGCCTAGCTTGGCGGCTAGCTTCAGCATGATGGTAGCTGTGAGGAGACTGTCGTAACCTGCTTCGTGGAAGGCCTCGGCTTCTTGATATTTGGAGTGATCGGCGTGAGTGATGATAGTGGGTAACATCTGGCCATTTAGTCCTTTGGCAATTTCTTGTAATGTGGGTGATGCATTTAAGTCTCCTTCAGCGTAGGTGGCCAGGTACTTTGTGTCGACGATATTAGGAAAGAGCTTGTGAGTGGCATCGCAGAATTCGTCTAAGGTATCCTAATTCAAGGTGGTCAGTATGTCTAATTAAGGGCAAATCAAGCTTACGACGCTTTAAATGCTGCGTTCACTTCAACAGGATAGGCCAAGCTTACTGGTAATGGGCCAACAAATGTGCGATAGAAGTAGACGATGTCAGTGAACATGTTGTGCCCGACCAGTACCGGCTGCTTAGTCTTGAGGCGCTCCACAGCCCGGTCCCAACGATCTTTGACTTCCTGGTTGTCTCCCATAACACCACGAGGCAGGAAGAGGGGATCGGCAATTTCGCCTTGGACCAGTGCCTCAAACACCCAACGAAAGCCCGTTTGGCGGTTAATTTGTTCCTTGACGCGGTTTTTGATACGCTTAGTATTGTCTGCTTCGCGTACCGGATCATGCTCGATAATTCTCACACAATCTGCCCGGCCAATGGAGACGAATTCGGGAAACTCTGCGCGCACAAGCTGGTGAACGAGACGCTTTTCGAACCGAGAGATGACTGCTACAGAAGGTTTCTCGCTGAGGCCAGTATGCGTAGTAATTTCGAGCGAAGACGATGCAGTGGCCTTCCACTTGGCGATGGCCTCCCTAGCACGTCGCATGAAGTCGAGAGACTCGACGTCTTCGCTCTTCAACTGCAGATCCTCGATGGGGTTCTTCTTGTCCAGTCGATCCCAAGCCAGCTGTTTTGCACGCTCCGCCTCCTCTCGCGACAGGTATTGTACACCCTTTGCGAATGGCGCGCCCAGGTCAAATCCATTGTTGAGCAGGAAGGTACATGCTCCACTTTGAAAGCTGATCTCTCGCTCAAAATCGAGTCGTTCGTCCAGTAACGGGCTTATATTGATGTTGTAGGGTCGCAGTACATATTGGTTTGCGATGTAGTCGAATCTAGCGCACGTGATACCTACCTGGAGGATTGAATAGCGATCTGCGCCGGCCTTTGTTTCGGCATAGCGTTCTTCGAGGGTTAGTCGGCCGCTACCAGTACGAGGCGGCTTATTGGGCAGACGGGAGGGGATGCCAGAAAGCTCGAGATCAAATGACACAAAATCAGCCTCGGATATGTGGATGAACAGGCCGAGCAGGTGATACGGGAAGGAGACGGCGTCGACTTCCATGACAGGGGATGCGCCCGAGGGAGTGTGGCACGGGGTTTGTGGGGGACTGGGTTGTAGAGAGCTGACGATGTTGCACGAGAAAAATGTACAAGAAAAAGGCAAGGCACTGCTGCAGGTGAGTTAGTGATGTCAATGAAGCGATCATCAAAAGGTCGAAGAGGCGAAGTGTCTAGCTCTTGACTCAGACGCGCAGGCACGCGTTTGACAAACGCGCACAATTGCTGCGAAGCTACAGAAATGCGCCAAACGGGTAGGTGCATGGATGGTGAGGTGAGCGGAGATTTGGTGTTTTGGTGCAGGCACGCTCCGCCAAGGTGTATAGGCTGCCGAGGTTAAGTGGCTGGTGAGGAACGGTGAATGTTTGGTCTACAACAGCAAATACACGTCACCCCCTGGACACCCTACAACGGCAACAGCAATGGCCATGGATCAGTAGACGGCCGAACACACTCGCACACGCACACGCCAGACGCAAACATGGCGGCTCTCTACGAAGACATCAGCGGGTCGCGCTACCTCTCGTCGTCCATCTCGTCGCTCTCGGCGTCGCGGCAGCAGTCGTCGCAGATTGCCAAGGCCTACCGCCAGGCCGCGCAACTGTTCCTCACGCGACGCCTGCCCGAGGCCCTGTCGACTATCGAGCCTATCATTACACCGCCGCCCGTTGACGACGCCGAGGACAGCAAGCCCAATGGCGACGTGGTATCCCACGCCCCCGTTGCAACGGCCTCGCGGGGCACGCGTGTCAAGGTGTGGAGCTTCTACCTGACCTTCCTCAATGCGGTCGTCGAGCTGGGCGCCGAAGAGGGCAAGCACGCGTTTGGAGGCGCGCGGTGGAAGCAGCTCGTGTCCAAGTGCCGCGACGGCAGCGTGTGGGACGATGTAGTGCGCGACGGATACGCCGGCGTCGACGGCGACGTGGATGCAGACGTCGTCGTGAACCTGTAAGGCTTGCCAATGGCACATTCTCACTGCTATGGATCGTGCAAGCTGACTGGTGTGCAGCGCTACCCTTCTCCTCACGCACTCGCCCTCGCAGCGCCTCAACCAGCAGAAGCTCGAAACGTACCTCTCGGCTACGGCCCACCCGACCCTCGACGTCTCGGCCCACATGGCCTCGCCCTCGTACCAGCAGCGTCGACCCCAGCCATCGCGGCAGCACACGGGCACCGAGACGCCGCGCGACCTCAACACGCGCATCAAGCTCCTCGAACTCTACACGCTCCACGTCCTGCCCCGCAACGATGAGTGGGACTACGCACGCGACTTCATCACCATGTCCGAGGTCCTCGACGACGAGCGCAAGGAGGCCTTCCAGCTCGCCCTGCACTCGCTCAAGGAAGAGCGGGCAGACGCCGAGGCACGCGAAGATAAGCTGCGCCAGCAACAGCAGGAGCAGATGGAGGAGCGCCGCCGCGAAACCGAAGCACGCCGCCTGGAACAGTCACGTGCCGAAGACGAACGACGGAAGAGGGAGGAAGAGAACAGACGGCAGCCCAGAGGCTCGGACCAGCAACCACACAAGCCCCACCCGCAACCGCAATCTTCTCGAACCTCACGCCAGCCTGCAAAGAAACCCGTCACTCCGCCCCCTGGCCTGTACAAACGTGCCTCGACCCTGCTTTCGTCCATGCACACTTCCATATCCTCCACGGCGCATCACATGACGACAAATCCATTGGCTTTTCTCCGCACCATCATGTTCCTGTTGGCACTTTCTCTGGCGGTAGGACGACGAGACGTGCGTGAGCGTATCCTGAGGATCGTGAGAAACGGGTGGGACAAAGTGAGGAGGACGGTGGGCATGGGCGTGAAGGTTTCCTACATCTAATTTACCTTTTTACCCCTGCCATCTTATCCCACCGATCTGCGAAATACATTTTTCTTGGCTTTGCAAAGGTTAATTTAGAGTTCTGCTGGTTGCTTTTTTTTTGTACTGTATGCAGATATGATAGTATACGCGTTCCGTCTCCCCCTTGTCCCAGCTATATTCACATATACACCCACATCTAAATCTACACCACCTTCCCCAAAGCCTTCCTCCGCCGCCCGAGCATATACGCATACACCCCCCACGCCCCCACCGCACATCAGCACCCCCTCGATCCACCTCACCTAGCCCATACAACCCCAAACACGCATAACTCCCCACCTGAACCACCTTGCTAACACCCCCTACCAACCCAACAGCCCGAAACAACACCCACCACTTTTCGCTAATCCCCACCGCATACAGCACAATAAACAACTTATACTGCAGCCACGCTGCGCCCGCCCGTGCATGTACATAGCAAGGCAGGATACGCACATCGCACCGCAGTGGTGAGGTGAGGGTGTAGGGGGCTTGGGTAGAGTGTGCGGGGGATCATGTTGGGCTTTTGTGGGCTGGGGAAACTCTGGGGAGTTTTGTTTGAGACTGGGGAAAGAGATGCTTGAGCGCGGAGTGTTGTGTAGGGGTTTTGTCTATTCGGGTGTTGGCGCAGAATCGGGCTTGTAGACAGAAATCAGGTGTCTACTTTGGGGAGAGTGTTGATTGAGCTTTTTACTTGGTTTAGGCGTCGAGACGAAGATGTTTTTAAGCTTGGTGTTGTAACGACTTGATGGTTGACCGCAGCTGGATAGTTTGACAAGGCCGTTTGTGAGGTGCGATGCTTTTGTACATGTGCGCGTCGCGGAAAAGAGGTAAAAAGGTGATTGAGGAAAGAGTAGTCAGAGGGCCAGCAATCAGGCTGTTCTCCACTATCTCTAAGGACATGATATATCTGGACAAGCAAAAACTGTTCAGAAACTCTCTCGATACTGTGGTCAAAACACACCATCCGCTCCTCTTCATTCCTCTCCCCTAAATAACTTCTACACCGAAAACGCCACACCCTCCCTCTTAACCATCGCCTTGCCCCCGCCCGCAAACCCCGTCCCCTCACTCCTGATCTCCACCAGCCCAGGCTTCACCCCCCTCTCCTTCTCCCCCTTCTTCTTCCTACCCTCTTTCTCCACCGCGGGGCTCAAATCCGCATCACAAACATAGCAATGCACAGTCTCCGGTTCCGGCCCATCATCATGCGCATGTCTCTGATGGCGATGTTCCGGCGTCAAGAACTTATCCACGCAGGGTTTGCACAGCACATGCCCACAGGGAATAGCGATGACTGCTTTCGTGCTATTGGATAGCGATTTGCGACAGCTGGGGCAGGTTCGCGCCGTCTTGGACGTATCTGTGGACTTCTCCTCGTTGAAATGGACGCTCGTTAGCGTCTTCAGGCTCAGGGTGTGCGGGTGGTCGTGGTCGCTGGACGGACAGGTCGGGGTGGATTTTGCCTTCTCGGCGCCCTTGTGGTGTTGATCGGGCGTCTCGCCCGGGACCCAGAAGCTGGGTAGATGGCCTTTTGCCGCCTTGCGCTCCTCGTCGAGCGTGCGTCGCGCTTTTGTGCGTTCCTCGGCGGCTATGCGCTTCAACTCCTCCTCGTCGATTTCGAATTTACGCTTCGAGCCTCGGGCCTCCCCGGGTTTCGCGTCCGTGTCTTGCTCGACTAGAATCCTGCCGTCTTGCCTCCCTACCACGCGACTCCCCGCGCCGACTTTGACGCTCAGTCCCATCTGCACTGTTTCAAACTCCTCGACGGCTCGGTGTCGCGCTTCGTCTTCTTCTCGCAGGCGCTGGTCTTCGTCTTCTGCTTTTTGCCGCTCGAGCGCTTTCTCCAGTCGCTTCATCTCTTTGCGTTGGGCGAGCAGGTTCGTCATGGCGCATTCGCGGCAGAAAAGGTCGCCTTGCGCACAGCATACTGGGTCTACGGCGGGTAGGAGGCATAGCTGGCAGGAGCCGAAGGGGAGGAACGAGTCTCGGTTTAGGCGGGTTGCTTGGGAGCCCCAGCGGTCTTTTAGGGCGTTGCGCTCGTGGGCGGTGAAGACGGATTTGGGTGGCGGCATGGTGGGCGTTTCTTTGGGTGTTGGGATGGGGCACTCGTGTTTGGCGGGTCGATAGTTGTCGTAAATGATGCGATGCAGTCTACCAGCCGTCGATGTGTGAGATGTTGAGTTGAGCAGGTAACGTGCAGGAGTCGCGACCCCAAAAACAATGCCGAGATTATATGTTATCCGCAGGAATCCTCTTCCAGCACAATCAATGGGCGAAAACGATTCCGAGTCGGCGCGTCGTTGAGTAGTCGGACGCGTTTCTCCGTCACATGCACGGACGGGGCAGACTCTCGTTCTGGACCCTTGATAACCCTGGCGCAAAATTCCTGTCCCTGGCAAGTGACGTTGGAGCGCCTCGGCTCTCCCGCCTGGCGCTGGGTGGGTTGTACAACAGCGGGTTTGCCCCATGCCTCTCTCACTTCTGCACCAGATTCAATGCGACCCGAGGAGCAGCCCGAGGCTCCCAGCGCGCCATGGCGGGCGGCTTCCACTTTTGTCATGGGCGCGGTGGGCGTCCTGTGCAGTGGTTTTCTGAACGTGTGGAGCAGGCCTGAGGTGCATGGCATGGACGATTTCCTGAGACTGCTGGACGAGAGGGAGAAGGTTGAGAATAGGGAGAGGGGACTGCTCACTGGTATGCGATCTGATATGTGTAGCGTTGGGGGGGCATGGGCTGACTGGGCGTAGTATCCAACCATATCTCAGTGTAGGTGTATCATTGTTGGACTTGCAGGAGAGACAGGCTGACGATGTTGCTCGTAGATTGGATGATCCTTTGCTATGGGGTGTACTTCCCTTGAGCTATGTCTTCAGCCCAAACAACCTACGCTGGGGTCTCGGAAGCTACGATCTATGCTTCCAGAACAAGTACTGCCCCTCCGATTCCACTCACTGCACTCGCTGACATGCTGCCAGGGCCACGTCTACCTTCTTCTCTCTTGGCCAAGTCCTCCCCACGCATCGAACAGCGCACTCCAAGCATGGCGGCCTCTTCCAGCCAACCATCACTCAAGCCATACGCCTACTCTCTCGCGGTCCTTTTGTACGTGTCAACGATGCCCCAGGAAAGCCTGAAACATCGCTTTCGAGTCCCGACCTCAGCGATCCGTTCAGCGGCGGGCACCTTACCTTCTCAACCAACGGAGAGGACACGTTTCCCGCACCCTCGGCCTATATGAGCAGACGACACGCATGGGTGCACGTCTTCCCAGAGGGCATGATACATCAGACCGAGGACAGGATCATGCGGTATTTCAAGTGGGGCGTGTCGAGGCTCATCTTGGAGAGCGACCCTATGCCAGACGTGGTGCCCATCTTCATCGAGGGCTTCGACGACGTCATGGACGAGAGGCGCACGTTCCCCAAGTTCATACCACGGCCATTCAAGAACATTAGAGTCACATTTGGGGCAAGGCTGGACGCGGAAGAGGCGTTTGGGGACCTGCGCGAGCGCTGGAGGCAGATACGCGCAAAGGAAGAGGCCAAGGCAGGGTCGAAGCTGGAGGTCGGGGTGCTGAACAACGCGCTTAAGTACTCGGAGGAAGTTGTCAGCCTGCGCATGGAGTGCACGAGGCGGGTCCGGCAGGCTGTTCTCGACGTCAGGAGGCAGCGTGGATACTCTGATGAGGATCCCAAGAACAACCTCGCGACAACGTGGTTACGAGAAGGGCCCAAGGCGGACGGCCGCAAGGACGACGGCAGCATCACGAAAGCGGAGTGATTGTGGAGATGGATTGATTGTGTATATAGACGTGTACAACAGCCGGGCGCAGCATCGTGTCAGATTAGATCAAGTAATTACACCATCAGCGACGTGCCAGGTCTGCTGCGCCGATCAACCACACGCAGCGTGGAGCTGGCGGGTTTCGTCGTTGCGCAACAAAGCCGGCGTCAGGGTCTCTGGCGTGCTCGTGTCGTCATCCACTGCTGCGTCGCGCATCCGCCGCCGGCCCTGTGAAGGAAGGCGGTGGATGGCAAGCATGATGGTCGCAGTCTGGCACGAAGAAGTTGTTTTGTGGCTGGGCTTGGCGGCGCCCCTTGCGAAGCCGCAAAGGCGCATAAAATGAGCACCCTGCCCCGCCGCACTATTTCTGCAACCAAGACCAGACGACGCAGGCTTTGTTCGACGACGGCCAATCACAGCCCCAGCACTTCCGCAAGCAGCGAACACCTACTTAAATAGCTGCCGACGATGACGACCAGCGACTCGACCCGTCAGCCTCACCAGCCTCCCAGCCTCGCCTCTTCCCTGCTGCCTGAACAAGTCCCTCGACGCGTGGGCCCTGCATCGTACGCGACGACGTCTTCTCCCCTCTCCTCGCCGCCCTCGAGCCCTGTCCCACTCACGCCCGCCATGCCCCGCGGCGTCAAGAAAGAAGAGAGCCTGGCCGACGCCGACTACCTGCCCGACGCGCCCGGTGTCGCCATGGGCAAGCTGCCTGACCTGGCCAGCAATGGCATGAGTATGGGCATGGGTATGGGCATGGGCAGTATGTCGACACTGCCCCCCGGCGCAGAAAACATAGTCATCAAGAACCATTTTCCCGTCGCGCGCATCAAGCGCATCATGCAGGCCGACGACGACGTGGGCAAGGTCGCCCAGGTCACGCCTGTTGTAGTCTGTACGTCGTTTTCTCCCCCTCATCCCCTTCACTTCCCCCTGCTAACATCCCCACAGCCAAAGCACTAGAGCTCTTCATGATCTCGCTCGTCTCGCGCGCCGCGGCCGAAGCCAAGTCGCGCAACTCGAAGCGCGTCGGCGCCATCCACCTCAAGCAAGCCATCACCAAGAACGAGCAATTTGACTTCCTCAACGACATTGTGAGCAAGGTCGCGGATGCGCCGGAGAAGAGTGACGACCCTGGTGATGTAGAGGGTAAGAAGAGGAAGGCGCCTGGACGGAGGAAGAAGAAGACCGACGACGATGATGAATTTTGAGCCCATGCATGACATTCTGGCACTGCAGAGAATGCTGCGGGAATTTGTTGAACTGTTTTGCAAGCATTTGCTAAGCTCGGCGCGGACAGGTCGTCGGAAACCCAAACGCGCTGGGCTTCGTGGAGTTGAACGCGGACGTGCACGTGGAACTGGACGAGGGGTTGGACGTGAACGGGGCACTGGACGCGGACGCGGACGTGGGCTTGCTCTCACGAACACGGCAGAACATGGAACTGAGACTCCTACGTGGACTGCATACGCACCGAATTCCGACAACAGACTTCCACCGTATAATCCTTTTGCGCCTCCTTCTGCGCCTGCTTTTGCGCCTCCTCCCAGCAACACCGAGACAACCGACACCACCGGCGCAAACTGCCCACACGAACGCACCCATTTCGACCACGCCATGGGTTATAGCGGCATTGTCAATCCCCCGTGCTGCCCGGGTTACATGCCGTTCAATGAGATCTAGGGGTCATGGAGTGTACATGCATTGCTGTTTCGATTGACTCGGCAGGCGCATTGTTCGAGGCTAGTACCAAAACGCAGCTTGAGGGCGGGAGTTATGTTATTCGATGAGTTTGGTCCTTTTTGTTTCTAAATCATCATCATCCTTTTGGGCGCGGGATGTGCGACGATACCAATGAATACAAATAGATACCCTTTTCCTCTGAGCATGGTTCTACGCGCATGTGTATTCGTGAACATAGCAATGACAATCATGCAGATCCTTCAACATTAGCAACTGGAATATCACAGAGCAAATCTCTCCCACATCAACAACCAAGAAAAAACTAATAAGTGCTGCCCCGTGACCGAACACATATACCCTTGTATTCCCCACTCTCTACCTATTCTAACCCCCTAGCCCAACCCTCTCTACCCACAATGCGACTAAACTACAAAACGCCCTCTGCACAAGCCATATATGCAAAAACCCCGAACATGGCGTAAAGAAAGCCCCCAACTTACAAACTCGCAAGAACCCCAAATCCCACGAAAGAAAAAACGCCAGGCATGATGCCGCTGAACGAATGAAGCAAAGTCGACGGAAAGAAAAACCACGGACTCAAATAATATGCGCCTTCTTCTCGTTGTGCTCAAGTTCCTTCATGTACTTGACGAAGGATTTCTTATGCACCTATCGCACAATCAGTCAGCCAGTGCATTTGAAACGGGGTGGTAGTATGCAAGACTCACCAAACCAGCGTACTGCCCGTCTCTCAGGACGCAGATATACCGCAGCCCGAGTTTGACGAAGCACTCATAGACAAGGTCCATGGGGGAATGCACATCGAGCGCGACGGGCGCCGGATCGATATACGGGGTGAAATCGCTGGGATCGTAGTCCCTCGCGCCCTCGTCGTGCTCGTTATGCGGTTCGCGACCCGCAGCCCAATCCACCTGAGGCGACATGAGGCAAAGCGTGTTTTCCTCGTTATCGAGTTTATCGAGGGCGAATTCGAGGTCAGGCGCGGGGATGAGGCCGACGAGGACGCCGTGTTTGACGATGGGCAGGCCGCCGTCGAGTTCACCTGCCATTTGGAGTGAGCGCTGTTTCTCGCGCAACTCGGGAGCTGCGACGAGGGATTCGCTGGAGATGTCGATGAGGCGGTCTAGGCGGACGCGGGGGGTGATGTCGCCGAGCTCGGAGGTGAAGATGGGGCGGACTTTGTTGTCGAGGAAGGGGTAGGAATTCATGTCTGTTAGGAGGTCGTAGATGCTGAGGGGTTCGATGGCGTCGGCGACCCATTTGGAGACGAGGATGCCGAGGGAGAAGGGCAGGACGTGGTCTAGACTGCCTGTGAGCTCGAAGAGGATGACGGCTAGGGTGATGGTTAGGCGAGTGACGCCCGTCATGGTTGCGCCGGCTGCGACCATGGCGTAGACACCAGGGACGACGCAGGATCCTGGGGGACCGTCAGGAGTGCAGCCTCCGAATAGGCCGAGGTTGTGGTAGCGGAGTGCGAAGAGCTGGACGACGTGACCGATGAAGCGTCCGGCAAGACCACCGACAACCATGGACGGCACGTAAATGCCAGCTGGTACCTTGATTCCGAAAGTGACGATAGTTAGACTGGCTTTGATCACGAATGCAACGAACAATACCCATAACACACTGGGAATGTGCTCACGCGTTGGACACAAGCCATCGCCTGATGATGTGTACGTGTCGCATGGACTTGCCAGCTCAAAGAGAAGTTCGGTGACTGGAAGTTTGGTGTATCGGTTCCAGAAGCTGACGAGGCCAGTAACTAGTGCAACGAGGAAGACTTCAAGCAGCGGATATTTCTTGATCACACGTATGCGGCGAAAGGTGCGTGCCCATATGCGAGATGCCTTGATGAAGAGGGCGCCCAGGACACCGCCAACAGCACCTGTGAAGATGAATGTGACTAATTCAAAGAACTTCCAATCTAGATGGTATCGAACTTCGAATAGCACAATCTTCTTGGTGCCGTAGGGATCCAGGAACTTGAGGGTCAACGCAGCCGCCTATACTTTCGTTAGCATTCTTTGTACAGCACATCATTGCAACCTGACTTACAATGCAGCAAAAGAAGGTCCTGAACAACGTCTTGGATGGAAAGTAGTAGCTGACTTCTTCCAAGCTAAACAGCACTCCGCCAATGGGAGCACCGAAGGCGACGGCAACACCACTAGCAGCGCTAGCGCTCAGCATCTCTCTGCGCTTGCCGTCGTTGTTTCGGTACTTGGAAAAGATACGACAGGCAATGTTCCCGATGCACGTCGCAATGTGGACATAGGGGCCTTCTTTACCGAGACTGAGGCCAGATGCCACGCTCAAGATGAGGGCGAAGGTCTTGATGATCAACGTGCGCAGTCCGAGGTATCCGTGTAGGACGAAGCCGCTCAAGATGACTTTTACTTCAGCTACACCACTGCCAGCAGCGGAATAGTAGACCATGGGTGGTCGCAGCTGGGCCTCTTGGTACCTCGACTCAGGACTGATGCTGCGTTTCCGGTCATCCTCGTCGCTGTCGGAGTGCCTTCGCACCTCTGCAGCCAGGTTCTCATCCAGCGTGGCGAGTGAAATAGTCGAGGGGATGACCGTCTTGGTGGTCAGAGTCAAGAGGCATGAGGCCATGGAGAGGACGATGACGGAGAGGATGAAGCAGGCATACTGTATATGGACATCTTCCACCCTGTCGGTGCGGATTGCCTGTGACCAGTGGACCCATTCATCACACATGGTCGCGCCACTACAGCAAGCCTTGCGGCTCTTGTTCCACCGCGTCGTACAGTAGCCAGATTTGAGGTCGAACAGCGCCGTCTCGGTCGTGTTGACAAAGTAGGCACAGATGGCAGTGAGCAAGCCAATGAGAGCCACCAGCACCCAGCCCTGGGCGCCGTCAAACCACGCCGCCAGACGGCCGCGGAGATCCTTGCGGCTGCGGAGCGCCTTCACACGGTAGGCGTCGGCGATGTTATCGTGCACCCAGTCCGTCGACGTGAACTGGTCGTACCACACGCGGTTGTCCTGCCACAGCGACGCCTTGGCCGAGTGCATGCTCTCCTCGAGGGCCGCCCCCCGCTCACCCAGCGCGTTCACCAGACGTTGGCTGAAGGACTGGCTAAAGGGGTGGCTAAAGGAGCCCGGTCTACTATGCCGCATGCGCGAGCTGGTCGGCAGCTGGCTGTTGTGTCGCTTGGTGCCTGGCCGCGGCGTGCCGGGCATGCTCGCCGGCACGCTCATGTACGAGCGATCGAGCTGGCCATGGCGGTGCCCCAGCAGGCTGGTGCGCTCCGTGAGGTTGTCTCTGGATCGCGCGAGGTCGTAGTCCGAGGCCCGCAGAGAGCGCGCTGGGCGGAAGGTGGCTGTCGGCGATGTGGGTGTCTGGCTGCTGATAGTGTCGTCGCGCTCCTGCTGCGTGATGGCGTCGTCATGGTCGTCGTCGTGGTCAAAGGACTCGACGCTGCGGTAGGAATTGATCGACTTGGGCATCATGGGCGCCTGTGTGACATGCAGCGAGACACTGTGTGGGCTGCTGCCTTATTAGTACGAACAAGCACAGAGGCACACGCACGCCGCCCACACCAGGCAGAGGTCATCTGGATAGAGGACGTCTCATGTCTTGCACTGCGACTGACCCACCATGGCGCCGACTGCTGATCGCTTGGCTGTGGGACGTGTCGGAATAGGATACTTACCAGCACGCGTCGCGCTTCACAAATAACGGCACGGTTTGGGTAGATTTATGCACTTCTCTTACACACCACAGCGCCGTACACACATACACCCTACAAATGAAAGCTTCTCCTTGCTGTCGCGGAGGGGGCCTTCAATATAGGGCGGTCAACATTTGGCGGAAACGGCGCGTGATGTGCGAGATGACGAAGGGCGTTTCAGTCAGGGTCCAACAGTCACTTCCTCAACGGGCAAGGTGCGTCTATCGCTAGCAGCCAATCGGCCAATAGTAGCGCGTTGGACCCATCCACCACACCCCGCCATCGCCTTGTCTATGGGGAGCCACAGTTTCTTGTCATATTCTTTCTGTTTTTGTTGGCTGACGCTTGCTCCTTGACATCTTCCTATCGCAATCGTGTACTCCAGACTTGCTTACATCCATGTACTACGCTTGACACCTAAGCTTCTACATTCCATCCAACCATAGTCAAGATGGTAGGTTTCCAAGCCCAAGTGAGTGAGTTGCTCATATTGACAAGTTCATAGCCAGCACTATACGAACAGTTCTTCCTTTTTGGAGACTCCATCACTCAAGACTCGTTCAACGAGCAACGAGGATTTTCCTCAGTTCTACAGGCTGGCAAGTACATGGGATATTGAAAACTGATGAGATGGAACTAACAATTACCATAGCCTACATTAGAAAACTTGATGTCGTCAATCGCGGATTTAGGTAATACCATGTGCTCTTCTAGCGGCTTGGACGACAGTACTGATATCCTCCTAGTGGGTACACTACTCGCCAGGCTCTCCAAGTACTGCCAAGCATCATCCCCTCACCTGAGGTGGCCAGAATCCGCTTCCTAGTATGGTGTCTTCGATGAGATATAGAAGGACCTGGCTGACACGGCCAGACCATCTTTTTTGGGGCAAATGACTCGTCGTTGCCAGATGCTCCGAATAAGCAGCACGTCCCAATGGAAGAGTACAAGGCCAACCTCGAAAAGATCATCACCCACCCATTGATAGTGGCTCACAACCCCCGCATTATTCTAATCGCTCCTCCACCTATCAACGAACATCTTTGGTGGCCGAGGGATAAAGCGAGCGGATATGCTCTCCCATCAAGAGTGGCTGCCACCACAAAGGAATATGCCAATGCAGCCTGTGAAGTAGGCTCAAAGCTCAAAATCCCAGTGCTTGATCTTTGGAAAGCGTTCATGGAGGAAGCCAAGTTTGACTTCAACAATTGGAAAGCGGGAGATCCAGTTCTTGGGTCACTAGATATAGCACAGAACGATCGCCTGTTGGAACTTATGTACGATGGTATGTTGCAACCACGCAACGCAAGTCAAGTGTCTCGAAACTAACTACAGGTACAGGTCTACACTTCCAACCTGCAGGTTATGACATCCTCTATCGTGAGATGATGCAGCTCATTGCCGAGAGATGGCCGGATCAGATGCCAGAAAAACTCCCTTCAGTGTTGCCAGGGTGGTCTGATGAAGTTGCCTGGAAGGCATTGGATGACTCAAATGCAACCAAGTAACCACTGACTCCTTGCTAAATTACACACAGCGAGTAGAAATAGATGTGTCAGAATGGAATACACAATGATATGTTCAAGGAAGAGGAAATGATGAGGCTGTACGAGTGGATCGAGCTAACCAATCGGGATGATGCCGTAAACAAACACGCTAGTTTCGTGATGCGTACTTGCGGCGAAACACTCATCTCCAAAGACACCCAACCAAACAATCCACGTTACACTGCTCCAGCACTTGTTTGCTCTGACTACACTGTGCATGCTGCCGTCTCGAGTGTTTCTCAGCCTGCAAAGTTCAGCTTGAAAACTTGTGACACGGACTCATACCACCGCACTTGTGCCTTCCACATCAAGCTGCCTTCTACAAACGAGTATCCCAAAGGCCTGGCCTGCTTCTGGAATACGATATAGAAAACATTTGGAGTTGTTGTTGTTATACATCTTTCACAGTCCCAGTCGAAGCTTAATTTTCAAAGCGTTTTCAACAGTACACCCCACCTCCGTTCCGACAAGCAGCAGTCCGGTCAAGGCACCCCTACGCAACGAGTACATTGTAACACCATTCGAAAGAAGCAGGCATAGGAACGAAGCCGTGGAAGTGGATAGGGTTGCCGTTCGTCTGGAGAACGTGGGTAGGGGCGCAAGTGTGGGGTGAGGTCTCTTCATTGAGCACGCTTACCAAGGGATGAGGGATGGATCCGGAGAGCGTAGCCTTTCAGCCTAGGGAGGAATTCTGGCGCTTCCAGAGCGAGATGCTTCGGGTACAACAAAACCAAGCCGAGCTCTCAGACCGTGTTTGCCGCCTCGAACGAAAGCAAGACGACGACTCGCGCCTCAAGAACGTCTGGGGAACTTCCTCGCCCTTCCCGTCTGTGTTGGGTGGGACGCCACAGCAAGGTATGCTTCCGTTGCCAATATTCTTGTTTACGTTCATGTTCATGGCTGACACGTCTTAGTTCCCCTCCAGCAGCCGTTAGCGGAGCATTTCGCCAACTTCGATGGCCATTCGAGCAATCTCATCGGCAGCCTTCAGCTTGACGGCGAAGATGAACCCCGTCGTCTGGGAACAACGTCGCGTGCCAACAGTGTTCGATTCGACGAGACTGCCAACCACGGTCACTGGGCGCATGCCTCACGGTCATCGCTGGACCTGATAGCCCGTACTGGCAGCGGCATGGGTGGCCATCTCCTGAGCGAGCGGAGTTATTCACACAAGTCGGATGGGAGGCAGAGCTCAGCGGGGCACTCTGTGTACTCGGCGAATTCTGGACGTGCCAACAGCCTCACAGGCTTGGGTCCAACAACACCAGTAGAAGCTCCTGGCCTGGCGCCTGGCCTCTTCATATTAGGCTCGGTTCCTGCCATTATACGTTGTTGGCTCAATACCGACTTCAAGCACGACACTCTTCTTTATGCAGCTGTGTGCTCCGGGTCATACACGTCACACATGAATATCCAGCTTGTGAAACACCTTGGATTCTTGGACCAGATACATGAAAGCAACGATGGCAGTCGCAAGATCAGACTTCCGGTTTACCTGCCCGAGGCAGTACCGGTCACGGGATCATCGCGGCCAAATAGTCCTGCCCCGCAGCTCCCCTCAGTGAGCGTCGAGTTTACTGTTGTTGGGGGGTGCCACGAGGCGTCTCACTCCAAAGCCATCCAAATCTTTATTGGTAGCGACGTGCTTCGAGCCCACAATGCCGACATACTCTTCTCTGCAAATCAATTGACACTTTACGATGATGGTGGCAGCAAGCTTCAGGTTCCCCTTGTGCGACCCGAAGACGACCGCACGTTCAAGCCTCTATTCACATACAGTCAGGCCCATACTGCCGTGGATACAAGAAGCATGGCCGACAAATCGATGAGCGAGTCTTCAAAACCAGAAATGGCGAGCGGGCACTCTGCCACGATATCTGCACCTGAATCTCCCTCGACCGCAGGCAAGCTGAACGATGCTCATACCACAGGCAGCTCGGATGAGGATGGTTCAAACGGGCGGAGGAGCCTTGAGCAGCGGCCCCATCTTGGGCTGTCCACGTCGATACGCGCTGAACAAAAAGGCGCCCAAGATGTGAGTCCTGTCAGCGCAACTCTACGGCCCAGTGCCTCACCAGCCCTGCTGAGTAACTGGCGACGCGACACACAAGAAAAGACGAACACGGGCTTCTTGGATTGGGCCAACGTGGGTAAAACCTCGAGCTCGGCCCCCAGCCACCAACGTCGCGATACGGGAATCAAGGTGTTGAAGCCCATGAGAGCCAGTACTCGTACGGTGCCGACATCCACCTCGCCGCCGGTGAGTGGCCAATCTCGCTTCTTCGACGATGGGAAGAGGAGGGGGGAGGGTGAGTCGATGACGGCGGATTCGGCGACGCCGCAACTGAAGACGGCGGTGTCTGGGGATAAACCAAAGGATAGTGCGCCCACGCTGCCGAAGACACGGACTGCGAACCCGGTGGGTGGAGCGTCTGCCTTTGCGTGGTTGAATAATGGAGGGCCAAAATGAGTCGCGAGGAGCTCTTATGTATCTCAAGGCCAGGAGATGTTCACTCACGATATGGTTTAGGCCACGTATAAAAATCGGATCAGAAGTGTATATACTTATGAACCGCAACTACAAACAATGCAGTTTCAAAATGTGACATGTGCACATAAAATAGCATGGATGTTCAGGTGATGCAAACATAGTGCCTCCGTCACATAGGGGCGTGTACAGCTGATTATCTGGTTGGATACCAGTGGCGGACCGCTGCCCTGTCGTACCAAGTTGGGGAGAACGTGCTCTCCCGGCTAGGCTGGGGCCGCATCTATACATAGCTCAGCTGGACGATGATGGCATTACAGTCCTTTGCTACCCATGTACGGGACAAAGGCTGGATTGCATGCCAAGATCGCTTATTTTTCCGCAAGGCTGAAGGACAAACTGGAGTGACGATGGGGCGTGACAAGCAGCTGCAAACTTGACCGCCTTCGCTCTTTTCGCGGCCATTGCGCTTACCCCACCTCTGCTTGACCTCGTCCCCGTTGCTGTGAATCTGCCCTCTCCTGCGTCTGTCTTGGAGCTACCTTTGCTCCACGGCAGGCTCCCCAGCGTCACCACGGCCTCCACCAAGAAACGCAAGACGGCAAGCTCAGCACAGTCGCCGCAACCACAACCACAGCCCGAGGAGCGTGCCGACGCGCAGTCGCCGAATGCAGCTGCTTCCCCGCAAACCCAACGCATACATTCATCCACATCGCCGCCGCGCTACCTCCCACCGCACTTGCACGACGAAGTGCTCGACGCCGGGCCCAGTTCCCCCAGCGAAGCCTACTCGCACCTGACACTCGAGAGCGGCGACGCCATGACGGCCGACTCTGAGCACAGTGATCCGCAGCAGCAGAAGAGGCCGCCGCCACGGGCTTCATCACCCGCCAAGCGCCTACACTCGGACATGGACGACGCCGACATGGACCTCGACGCCCCTGCCGCGCGCACCAACAGCGACCAGTCGAGCCCCCGAGCCACGAAGCCACTGTCGGCTGCAACCTCGCAGCGCAGCGCACGCGCCATGTCAGTGGAAATGGCAGACGCTCCCTCGGCGGCCGACGTGCCCAGCCTCGACGAGCAGGTCAAGATGGTGTTGGCCATGACGCAGGCAGATCTCGAGGACCGGCAGGAGGGCTACGTCATCTCGGAGAAGTGGCTGGCGCGCGTGTGGGCCAGGACGTCGGAGAACATCAACAATCCAGAGCGCTTCAGCAAGGAGGCCACGCAGGGCCCGATTGGCCCCGTGGACAACGCCGAGCTGGTCGACCCGGACTCGCCGTCAGGTGACGTGACCGACCAGCACGGTGACGACTTCATAGCCCTGCGCAAGGGATCTCAGATGCATCAAGACTTCGAGGTGCTGCCCGTCAAAGCCTGGGAACTGGTCGTCAGCTGGTACGGGCTCAAGGAAGGTTGTCCCATCATTCGCCGCCATGTCCAGAATACGGTCCCAGACAAGAGCAGCGAGAACCTTGAGTGGGAGCTTTTTCCTCCCGTCCTCACCGTCCGCAAAGTACGAAAAGCGCTGTCGACAGCCCCGGAGAACGCGCGGCTTGCTGAGAAGATTGTGGCTAGCAGGAGCGACAACTTTCTGGCCTTCCTCGAGACTGCAAAGAAAGCCGCTAGCATCGACCTGAGCAACAAGGTCCGCGTGTGGAGGATAGTGAACAGTGCCGCCTCGGACGAACCTCAGCCACAGCAACAGCCAGTGGGCATGCTGACGCCCGACGCCTCGCCACGTAACGGGTCTCCTGTCCACCCTTCGTCAACACGACCCCCTCTTGCCATGGACGTTGCTAGCTTCAACGGCCTCACATACGGCAGCGAGCGCGAAATAGTGACAGGCAAGGACGAGAAAGCGAATGCCGATTTCAATGAGTCTCTGACACTAGCCGGTGCTGGTCTTACTCAGGATCAAGTTGTCGTCCTTGAGGAGCACGACGACAAGGGCGAATACATATCGGACACAGTCAAAATCAAGAATAAGGTCGGCGTCCACAAGGATCTGCAGAGCAATCCCAATAGCGGCAGGAGCACACCCACTGGACGGTCCCTCACACGAGGCAAAAGACGTGATGGCAAGGTTAGAGGCCATGTCGGATTGACGAACCTGGGCAATACTTGCTATATGAACTCCGCTCTCCAATGCTTGCGCAGTGTGAAGGAGCTCAGCTTATACTTTTTGAGTGAGTTGTCCCGTAATGAGTATACTGTTCAGGCCGAACACCTTCACGTTCTCACACGACTTAAGCTGGAAAATTCCAGACGTGACTGGAAATGTTTAGGCTGCAGCTAATCGTGGACTTACTGACGCATCATCAGGCAACAAATGGAAACAAGAGATCAACACAGATAACCCGATTGGTCATAAGGGAGCTATCGCGAAATCATATGCTGGGGTTTTGGGTAATATCTATGACATCGGTACCGCATCGTCCGTCAGCCCGAAAGCGTTCAAGCAGGCGCTCGGAAAGGCCAATGGTCTCTTTTCAGGATACGGCCAACAGGACTCGCAAGAGTTCCTCAGTTGGTTGGTCGATGCACTTCACGAGGACCTCAACAGGATATACGTCAAGCCCTACCGCGAGAATCCTGATTCCGATGATAACACAATCAATGACCCAGAAGCTATGAAGCAGCTGGGTGAGACGTATCGATCCAATCATCGCGCTCGCAATGACTCTGTGGCTACAGACCTGTTCAGTGGTACGTATGAGCCCGAAAACCTTCAACAGCTACAACGATGGCTCATTGAAGGACACATAACGCATTGAAGACATGCAGGCTGACCAGTTGTCATACAGGATTCTATAAGAACACTATGGTCTGCCCGGAGTGCAACAAGGTTAGCATCACTTTTGATCCGTACAGCCAGCTCACTTTGCAACTCCCGATTGAGCAGTCCTGGACACATACCATCACATACGTTCCCGTTCAAGGTAAAGCCTACCAGCTTGAGGTGGATATTGATAAGAATGCTACCATCAAGGCATTGAAGGAGTACGTGGCTAAGCGATTTGGCACGTCGGCAAGTCGTTTGATGGCATCGGAAGTGTACAGCCACAAATTCTATCGACATCTAGATGATAAGACGACAATTTCGGAATCCAGCATCACTACACGTGACGACATTTTCTTCTACGAACTTGATAACACACCAACCAATTGGCCTGCGCCACAAAAGAAGGGTTCCAAGTACAAGGCAATGACCAGTGGTTCGTCTGACGAAGACATTCCAAGTTCAGTATCACCGGCTCACGATAGAATCATGGTTCCGGTATTCAACCGCGGCCCCAGCGCGAACTCGTATCGAGGACAGAGTTTTTCGATGGCCTTAACGCCGTTCTTTATTGTCTTGACACGCGAAGAAGCAAAGGACTATGACACAATTCTGCAAAAAGTGCTTGCAAAGGTTGCTCAAATGACAACTCGTCCGATCTTGACTGAACTTAGTGGAGGATCATCGGTTTCATCACGTGTTGGCTCCGACGCTGTCTTGACAACAGAAGAAGATGCTGCGCCCAACGGGGATCCGCGGGTCAAGGACGAGTCGATTGAAGGCGAAGATATGGTCGAAGTCACGATGACCGACTCGGCTGACCACAGTGGAACACCGGAAATGCTCAGGCCTGGGGCTGCCATTCATCCAGAGTTTAGGCAGCTCTTCGAGATGAAGCACACTCGGAAGGGCACTGAGTTTGTTACGACCGGTTGGAGCACAGTCGATCACTCGAGAGCCTTAGAGTCTATCACCAAACGTATTCGGGTCGCGCCATCTCGGGCCGATTCGGAGCAGTCCTCTGTTGGCACTGAGGGTTCAGGCTCAGGATCGTCTAGTGAAGAGGATGGGGAAACACCACAGTCTGCTGTCGATGCCGCGGATGCGATTGAAGCGGCAAATGTAAGTAGCGACGAAGAGATGCAGTCGATCGAGACCGAGCCAACAGCTTTCTCACGAGGCGGTCGGCAGGGTAAGAAGAAGAGCAAGAAGCAGAGAAAACAAGAGCGCAAGATGGAACGCAAGCACAAAAACAACAAAAACTTCAAGAAGAAGGCCAAGGACCTCGACCAGCCCGCATACCCGGAAGATCCCGATGACGAGAACGACCAGAGCTTGATCCGTCTGGGTGAGGCTCTTGTACTCGAGTGGACTCCAGAGGCATTCGAGGGGCTCTTCGGTGCCACTTCACCAGATGACCCTCGTGGTACGGACGCTATGAAGAACATCGACATGTTTGAAGACCCCGAGCTGCGGGAGAAGAAAGCCAAGCGTAAAGCTCGAAAACAACATGGCATCACCTTGGATGAGTGTTTCATGGAAACCTCGAAGAGCGAGGTTCTCTCGGAAGACAACGCGTGGTTCTGTAGCCGATGCAAGACTCTACGTCGGGCGACGAAAACACTGGAGATTTGGACGGTGCCTGATATCCTCATCATACACCTCAAACGCTTTAGTGGCCATCGGTCGTTCAGGGACAAGATCGAGGAACTCATCGACTTTCCGGTTGAGGGGTTGGACTTGTCTGGCAAGGTTGGCTTCCCCGAGAACAAGGATCTTACCTATGATCTCTTTGCTGTCGATAATCATTATGGTGGTCTTGGTGGGGGTCATTACACTGCCACGGCCCAAAACTTCTTCGACAAACAGTGGTACAATTACAATGGTAAGTCAATCCATCACACAGGCTACAGACCATCGTTGTGTCTTGCAGTCTCCGATTGGAACTTGCAAAGCGAAATGAGGGCACCCAGCCTTAATGGTCGACGTCACTAACACATCGTAGATTCCATGGTTTCGAAGTGCGGCTCTGGCGAGAAGGCAGTCACGAGTAGTGCGTATCTCCTCTTTTACCGACGTCGAGCCCCCGACCCTTTAGGCCCTCCCTCTCTACAGCAACTCGTCAACAACAGCAATCCCGGCTCTGAAGACGACAATGACTCCGAACACGACAACCGCTCACGCTCACCCGCGGCGGGAAACGGCTTGCGCCTTGGCGACTCGTCCCGCAATGGGTCGTCGAGCGTTGGCGCAGCCGCAGCGGGAGCAGGAGCCCTGCGCGGGGGTGGCTCAGCGCTCTCAATAGTCGCGAACCGTCCCGGGAGCGCAGCCGGAGTCGCGACTCTCGACGATGAAGATGACACCCTGCCTCCCTACAACGATGAAGGCTATGGAGGGGATGAGGACGACAGCTTCAGCGGCGTTGGTACATATGCACAGCTAAACAACTGGGACGACCAGCCTGTGTGGAGCTTCGACGGTCTCAAGAACTCGAGCCTCCAGGAAGACGATGTTGCAAGCGATATGGTCAACCTGGGCTCCGGCGGTGCAGATGACCTCAACAACCGCATGTTGGAGGATTTCGGCGATGAATATCATGCTGGCGCGACGACGCCGACGGACGAAGGCATTCATCCCCTTCTTGGCGGAGAAGACGGAGATGATCCAGTGGCGGAGATCCATGTCCCCACCGCCTAGAGCCAGTCGCGAGAAACAAAAAAAGTTGTATCGAACTCGCCCAGAACTCTCCGTATCATCCATCCCCATCGTTGGTGGCGTCATTTCTTTTCATTGGAGTGTTGGGGTCGCGACGCATAACGTGAAAGTACGGACTTTTTTGCTTTCGGGGCATTGATTGCGTTAGATTAGACTCATGATTTGAGCTCGCATGACGAGGGGTTGGAAACGATGAGGGATGAGGGAATGTACATGGTGATGGTGATGGTGATCATGACGATGACGATGACGATATTGATGGGGGGTCTTTCAGGTCGGCGTTCCTTTGAAGCATTGGTAGGCGTATGTAGAGCGAATGGCGACGCTCTCCTGGACTGGACTGGACTGGAATGGAATGGAAGTGTGACATTATCCTTTTTTTATGTGTATGCATGCTGCAAAGTAGATGAATGGGTTTGTTGAATGGTGCGTTGTGAGTCGGAAGTAAACACCAAAACGGTCATTCGGGCTTGGGGTTGTGTTCGGTGTGGTCTTGATGAATGCGATCTGCCCTGTCTACTCCATCAACCTTGTATCATCCACACGCTGTCCCCCCCGCCAAGCTGATGTTCCAATCCGACTCCGTCACGCTAACGCCGTTGTACTGTAGTATCCAGGGTAAATTTTAGCACTTTGCCACCCTACGCATAGGTGGTCCAGTAAGCCTCTGCAAAGGTGGCGAAGTGCTAAACCTTACCCTGGGTACCACAGTAACGGTCTGTCGGGTCCCCCGATCCTGGAAAGGCGGAGATTCAGTTATTCAGCCGCAAGACCAGGACTGGCACCGTGCTAGTCCCGAAGTAGACATAGGGCTGAGAATGCACATCTCCTAGAAGAACAGCCAGCAAGCAGGGTGGCTCAACAGAACAGGACAAGACAAGACAAGATGCGAATCCGGCGCTTCTCCAACCCAACTTTCCCATCCGAGTGTGTGCGTGTTATAGGGCTGTTCTGGGCGCTCTGGACGTGGCGTGCTGTGATGGTGTGGCTGGTGTGGGCGTAGCTGAGTTTTGGTAATGAGGGCTATTTTGGGATGAAGCTGTGGTCTTATAGGCTCTGTGTTGTGAGCGAGGGATTTCTTCTGGGTTGGTGGGTCTGTTTACGTCTGAGGTTGTGGGGAGGGTTTGGAGATGTTGGAGGTGTTGATGGTGATGCGTGGGGAATTGGGATGGTAGTCTGTTTTGAAGCGTGGTAAGGTCATGTAAACGACTTATTGCTATGGTGCCTTGGAGTCTGGATTTGCACGTCCAAGTTTTCTATTTAGCTTTTGGAATTTTGAGTTTGCCGTTGAGGTGCTCGCACGTCTGGGTCTGAGTTTGGGTGTTAGTCTGGCTGGTTGCTGGCAGACGTGGAGCTACGCATTCTCGAACGGCCTCTAGCGCCATGGTTAGTCTATCTTCGTTCGACCACTCGCTTGTGCTTCACCGTTTGTTATTGACTTGCCTCGCCGTCACTGTACTCGTGCGCTTAGCGACTGCGTGTTGGTTTGCCCAGAACGACGCTCGCAATCGCTTTCGCTGCGCGGAAACGGTCTGCGTGCTACATAGGCGCAACCGCTCCCGATGGAGTCGTACGCCACGTTGTCAAAACGATCAGTCATGCGCCTCGTGAGAGCGTTGGCGAGCTGAAGCTTTGGTTGTTCTGGGCTCTGTACCTGTAGTGCATTACACCCTATACTCAAGAGAGAGCAAGCACTGGAATTGATGACCCGATTGTCAGTCGGCATCTTTTTTTCTTGATATATTCACGAGCTTTCTCTACACTTGGAAAGTAGAGACCATCGTTTTAGAATCGGGGAAAAGCGAGATATCACAATTCAGTGCCCTCCTGCGCGGATTTTAACTTGACATAGTGAAAGGGTGGCGTCCACCACGCAGCTGATCTATAATTGCCGTTACATGTCAAATTACCCGCTTTCGCTCGGAACGCCTCAACTGTTGTCACTGCGGTTTATCCACTGGCTCACGCATCCCTTTTTCCTTCGACAAGCTCATTTTGGAGCACAATTCGGCATAGCATGTGTGAACCGATACCGCTGCGGAAGATATGTAAGAGCAGGTACGTCAATAAGTAGCCACTTGAGGCTGAAGGGGGGGATACTAACTATCATAGTGTTGCTGAGATCTTGAGCTCGAGCGATTCGAGCGTTAAGACGGCAAATGTTGGGGATTTGCGGCGCGTCAGGGATAATGTACCGCTGCGTCTGTGGGCAGTTGCATTTATTGGATTCTGGGAGAGAGCGGCGTTCTGGGGACTGACGGCGCCATGGCGTAAGTTGCACTATCTTTCCTTCTTGTAATTCAAAGCATTTCGAATCTGACACTAACTTGTCCATCCTGTAGAAAACTACCTCGAACATGGATCAAAGTACACCAGTCAAGAAACACCAGGGGCTCTCGGTCTCGGCCAAGCAATGGCAACACGCATCTATTGCGGATTCTACGTCTTTTACTACGTCACGCCTGTATTCATCGCCATCATCGCAGATAGCTACCTCGGCAGATACAAAACCCTCATCATCAGCATTGTCATCTATTGTCTGGGCTGCACCGTTCTGACCGTAAGCTCAATTCCGACCAACCTCGACAAGGGATGGGGACTTCCCGGACTGGTCCTTGCCATGGTTCTCATCGGCATAGGCGGAGGTGGCTTCAAGGCCATCACTGCCCCCTTTATCGCTGATCAGTACATCGAGACGAAACCTCGGATTGTAACACTGAAAAGTGGCGAGAAGGTCATCACGGATTATCACCTCACACTACAGTACATTTACAACCTGTACTATTGGCTTGGCAACGTCGGCTCGCTCTCCTGGTTCGCCACTGTCTACATTGAAAAGCACCTCGGCTTCACAGGCGCATACGGACTCACACTGGGCTTCATGGGTATCGCGACGCTACTGCTGATCTGCGGGCGGCGTTGGTATATAAGGCTTCCTCACGAGGGGAACATAGTCCCTCAAGCAACCAAGATCCTGTCGTGTGTCTGCAGAAACGGTTTCAAGATGACGAACGCATACCCCGAATACCAGAGTGAGCACTTCCAGAAGACAGTCCCATGGAGTCGAGAACTCGTCGGCGAGCTAGCACGGGGTCTTCGGGCCTGCCGAGTCCTGCTCGCCTTCGTAATGTTCTATGTCTGTTTCGATCAGATGCAGAACAACCTCATCTCGCAAGCCGGGCAGATGAAGACCAATGGTACGCCTAACGACCTTCTGCCTGCTATGAACCAGGTTGGTTGCATAGTCTTGGGGCCACTGATACAAGAAGTGTTCTATCCTTTCCTTCATCGCCGACGCATCTACCTTGGACCTATTACCCGCATGACTATCGGATTCGTCTTCGTTGCACTCTCAATGCTGTATGCTATGGCCATCCAACACTCCATATACAAATCTCCGCCCTGCTACAACCGCCCTGACACTTGCGATCACCCCGATTCTGTCTCAAGCAGGCCCAACGTTTGGATACAGGCGCCATTGTACTTCCTGATGTCTGCTGGCGAGATCTTTGCGCTGGTCACAGGGATGGAGTACGCGTATGACTATTCTCCAAAAGACATGAAGGTCATTGTACAAGCGGTCAGCCTGTTGATTGCTGGCTTAGCTTCGGCCATCGCGATGGCTTTGACTACAGTGGCACATGATCCCAATCTCAGTTGGTTCTACGGCTCACTGACGGGGTTGATGACGGTTACTGCTGTTATTTTCTGGATCATTTTCCGGAGATCTGACAACGCCTCGAAGACGAGTGACCAAGAAGCGCCGAGCGAGACTTGAATCAAGCGGGGAAGGGGGAGCGGTCGAATTCTGAATAACATCCGAAACATCAATCGTTAACGCCCTATCGAGGCTCCGACGGAGATGGGTGTTGCCTAAATATCTGGAAAGATCTATCGCAGCGTTTCCTATATTGATAAGCCAGACCTATAAAAGAGACCCGATGCGTTCCGATTAGGGGCGGGCGTGTAAGAAGACACAGAATCGGCACTGGATGCGCCGAAGCAAAATCTGTAACAAATCGCAACGCCGCCAACGAGATCCATCTTCCAGGATACCAATAGCAGCCGAAAGATCAGCCAATACCGACTAAGACAACGCAGCCGATGTTGAAGATACCGCGACTACGCAGACACGATGACGCATAAAGGTGATTCGGATAGGCACAGACACCGCCTCATCTAGGCCTTTGGATTCCACCCCATGAGAGCAGCGATGATCGTCCGTGTCAAACCGTAGCTGTAAGCTTTAAGCTAGAGACTTTCCTCACTGTTACTATGCATAAAAGGGTGACCTAGGCACTGCGCCGTATCACTGATTCAATATGGCGAGCAGAGAGACAGCGGGACCACAATATCATCAACTGACGCATTTCTGGAGGGAAGGGGAAAGAGATACAACGTCGTACCTATCATCGTAGGGAGCGATGTAAGACCTATCAAAGCTACTAAGCCCGTAGTATGACCAGGTATCCTTTTCTGCTCTACCAAGTCAGTTGCGTCTTGGATCTACGGTCTGCTCTTTAATTGACTCCTATAAATAACAAGAGCTATTTGCACTCATTCGTGGTCTATTCATGACACATTGTCTGTCCATACTGGTAGCATTTCCAGAAGATTGGCCTTACGCTAGACGTACTTTTCTACATGTCTGTACAAACGATATACCATTCCAAATTTCACTCAAAAAGATAGGCCCCGGTGATGTAGATGATGAGCAATCTTTTCTACTCTGTGATCTTGATAATTTAATTTTTTTCAGAACCCTGTTTTCCATTTTTTTCTGTATCGGTATTGGCTCACGTGCGATTGGAAAGAGGACAGAAAACCTTTGACCAAAAAGATTGCAACTGGACTGACCCTAGCCAAAAAAGAAGGTGTACGCTGCCCTCTGCCAGAATCGAACTAGCGATCTTATCATGTTCCGGAGGTACTAGTGATACGCTTTACCACTAAGCCAAGAGGGCGGATCAACTGCTACAGTTGTTGGCTAGCCATGGTATGTGGCAGATCGGGAGAAAAAAGATTGTTTATGTTCTTTGATTTTCCAGAAAACACGAGCAGATAAATGCTGGTATTTTTGAGGTGGGGTAGTGGGGTACGGCTCAGTCTCTAACTCCATTTCATTTAGCTCTATCTGCATTCTTCTTGCACCTTCCTACTCAAGGCTTTCTCATATCGCATACCACCTTGCTTACAGAGCAGACATGTCTTGGCGATGAAATGTGGCCTTGCTGACGTGAGATATAAGCCCGCAGCTCACAAGGTCGAATTTTTGTGGATGCAGAAGGGCATCGATCCATGTTGCCAACAGCCTCAAGGGGAGGCCTCGCATTAGCTCTACTTGGTCGGCGCTCCAAGGCGTTTGTATAAAAAGCTACGCAAGGTAAGATTTCCATTCATCCCAAGCGCAGCCCCCAAATCCAAACTCATCAAGATGGACATCAAACAAGTTGCGCAGCATGTTTCTGATCTCGCAGATGCCGATCCAAGTACCCATGGCGAGGCACAGGGTGTTCTCATTGAAGCTTGCACCAAATTGCTCAGTGCATGGACGTCACCTATCGACAAGATGCTGAAAATGCTCCTTGTAAGTGCTTTTACCCTGCACTTGAAGTTCGTCCTTGAAAGACCGACTTCTTTAGCTGACTCGACGCACAGGCAGTATACGATCCTATTGTGCTTCGCATTGCGTGCGACCTCAACCTATTTGACTTTGCTCTTGCACATGGCGGCCCCATCACCGTTGCCGAGCTTGCAGAGAAAAGCAATGCAGACCCAGTACTGATCCGTACGTCATGCGTCCCTTCTTCTCCAGCGCCGACTAATGTTGAATACTCTTAGATCGTATCCTCCGGCTACTTGTGGCGATCGGCATCTTCAACGCAGATACCAGCAAAACATATTCTGTTGCTCCTCTGGGTCATCTCTTTGTAACCGGCTCACCTTTGAAAGAAGGCGTCGTACACCTTACACACATCTACCCAGCTGTGTCCAGCATGCCGGAATACTTCTCGAAAAGGGGATACAAGAACCCCACAAGCGCAGTTGACGCACCGTTCCAACTTGCTTACGGGATCAAGGGTGTGGACTACTTCCAATTCCTTGCTAGGCCTGAAAACAAGAAGTTTTCAGATGCGTTCGACACGACTATGAGTTTACAGCTTGCTGACACGGGGGGTAAATGGGCGCCGAACTACCCCGCGGAAGAGCGCTTGAAGATTGAAGACCCAGAGAGGGTATTGCTCGTGGACATCGGAGGGGGGCTGGGCCATCAAACAAAAAAGTTCAGGGAAGAATTTCCAAATCTTGCCGGGAAAGTTGTTGTCGAAGACCTCCCTGAGGTCTTGGAAAAAGCGGTCGATTTGCCTTCTTCCATCATCAAACTCCCACAGAGCTTCTTCGACCCACAGCCTGAGCTCGTCAAGAACGCAAAAGCCTTCTACCTTCGGTCGATTCTACATGACTGGCCAGAGGAACAAGCCCACAAAATATTGCGCGGACTTCACGATGTGATGGCCGATGACTCAGTCATCCTGTTAGATGAGGTCGTGTTGCCAGAGTCCGGTGTGAGTCATCTAGAGAGTCGAATGGATTGGCACATGATGGGCTGTTTCTCGAGTATGGAGAGAACGGAACTGCAGTGGCGGACTTTGGTCGATGGTGCAGGACTGCGTGTGGAGGATCTCTGGGCCAAGGAAGATGATAAGGCATGGCGCCACGTCATAGAGTGTGTAAAGAAGACTTGATTGTTTCCATGGTTTACGAACCATCGGAATCGAAATCGTAGGTAGTGTGTCTGGAGAGGTTGACGGCAGCCGATTGAAATCGAAGGCTAAAACTACAACTCGACACCAGGTATGTCAATTTCAGATGACAACAAGCAATCACACAGGTACTCGTGGCGTCACGAACATCTTCTTTTCTCTACAGAGATCATGGCATTCATTCGTGCGCACGTTTAATTCTCCTCACCACGATAAATGCGGAACGTAGACAATAAATTGGAAAAGTACTCATCTGAATAAACCAGTACAATTCTTCCGAGGGTTGTGACGCCACCAACACTAGGAACGATGCAAAACATGTGTCACCACATTGTAAGCCGAGTGCTGAGATATCAGCTGAGAACGCTGCGGTAGTTTTGATTCGTTGTACAAAATCTTGCGCGTATAAAGATCCGCATCCGCCACCAGGGTTCCTTGCGAGACTCATAAAACGACAGGGGCACCTGCGAGCTCACAAACGTCATCTCGTCGATCAAAGTACAACACCAAACATTATACGACAAGAACGAGGTGATTCGGACGAATATCACCGACTATGGCGAATACGACGACCCTCGAAAGGCTACGCCCTTGCGGTCGATTGGAGACATACAGCACTGCAAGGCACCATCTGGGATTTTACAAGAACGTAGGACTCACTGCTACGTACTCGTCGCTCGGCGTCAGCTCTTCCGCTATCGAGAGATTGGTCTTCGCCGCTCTTAGATGTGTTGTCCAAGAACATCCGAGTCTTAGTGTTATCGCCTTGAACGAGGACAAGTCATATCCGAACGTCTACTTCGCGCGCTTACCTGAAGTTGACTTGGGCAAATGCGTGAGTTTCCAAGAACGCGAAACTGCCTTTCCGAAGGACGGCGAAGTCGATAAAGAGCTGGATGCACTTCTAACAAAACAACATAGCCGTGATTTCAAACATGGGCTTGGAACAAGGCCTTTTTGGCGGTTGATCATCGCTACGTCGCGAACCCCGCCGGTTGAGTTTACTGCGACTTGGATCTGGCACCATGCTCTCGCAGATGGGTCCTCGGCAGTTTTGTTTCACAACTCGTTCCTCGCTGCCCTGAACTCCTCTGCTATCAAGACAGACATGAATGCAGAGCTTCTCGTAAAATCACCTACCACACCACTCCCTCCATCATTTGAAGACCTCCATCCCATGCAGACTTCGTGGCCTTTCTTTCTCCGCGCCATCCTAGGATCGATCGCGCCATCTATATTCAATAAGCGCCCGCTCAAACGCTGGACGGGTAATCCTATACATTCAGACACAACATCACTTCCCGAGTGCAGATTCCGAACGATTGTCTTCTCAACACAGACTACTGAGAAGCTCGCACTCTTCAGCCGGAGAGAAAGAACGAGTGTGACTGCCACATTACAATGTCTGATTGCCTCTTCACTCTTCGCCACTCTACCAGCTTCTGAGTGCGAGAAGGTCAGGATTGAATGCCCTGTATCTATGAGATCAGTTCTTGATACCCCGGACAATCAAATGACAAACGCGGTTGCAGATTTTGACTATCTACACCAGCTCACCCAACCGAACGTTGGTGCTGTGTTGAGAGGTGAGGGCCAGAAAGGCACACTACGTTACTTCTCGTGGGACGAAGCGAGAACCCTCAAGTCCGCAATTACCCGATTCGTGGCAAAAGAAGGTTGCGACAACCCTGTTGCATTACTCAAGTATGTTCCAGACATGCATGCGTTTTTTACTTCAAAGTTAGGGAAACCAAGGAGCCCTACCGCTGAAATTTCAAATCTTGGTGTGTACAAAAAGACCGGGGACGTCGAGGCAACATGGAAAATTGGGAGAACAACATTCAGTCAGTGCCCAAACGTCACGAATTGTGTGTTCGGTGTCAATGTTGTAACAGGTGGAGACGGTAATGCGGTGCTAAACTTTTGTTGGATGCAGGGTGCCACTGAGGGGAACACGATGGATATGGTGATTGAGAGTTTACGAGCTGGGGTAGAAGAGCTTGTTCAGAACTATGGGCTTTGAAGACAGCCTTCAAGTGTATTGTAGTGACAACGACATGTCGTAGTGTAGTTATCTAACTACACATAATACCCGATCCGAGAAATGAGTTGGAAGATCTGCTTAGGCTTTCATAACGTGTTGTCGGATTTTCAACATCTTCAAAATTAAATTGAGTAACACTCACGAGACCAAGGGAAGCTTTTCAACCCCACACATGCCTTTCAAGCTCCTTTACTGTGCCTCTTATAATACATCCGCCTTTCCCTACCCGCACTCTTCTTCGAAGCCCTTTCCCTTTTCCTTCCCAACTACTACTCAGACGAACTCTTGCATCGGTCAGTCCTCCACTCTTGCGGTCGATTCTGCCCATAGCCCTGTCCATAATATGTCGCATACGCAGAGTTTACACTCTGATGATGTTCCTTTGCTTGCCGCTTAATAGAGTCCCAAAATATCCTGGCTAGACCTGGGGTTTTATTCGACGTCGAGGAATCGATCGAGGTCGTTGAACAAGTCACTGTTGACTTGCTGAACTCGAAGGAAGAGCGAGGTGTTGTTTGTACAGACGTCGACATTGCGGTCAAGGTTGTGATATGAATGGAGGGGTTGATGAGAACAAGAAGTGAAAGTTGTGTCCACGCGTTTCGAGTTTGTTTTTGTTTTTTTTGTGTCTAGAGATGGCACAAAAATGTTTGGGAATGGGTTTGAGATTGATGCAGAGGTGTTGTGTGTGAGGGTAGTGCGGTTTTCGTGCTCTCCCTTTCCGTCTTTTTATATCCCCCATTTTGGCTTCCTACAATGACCTGATGACTCTTACGTTATATCAATATTGTCTTGCAACAGCCTCCACGCCTTTCGTGTCAATCGTAGACCGTTTGACGCCATCTCTTAACGCTAACCTAGCTCACACAGCTGACTCGGTAGCCAAACGCTAGCCGTATACTTATATTTGTGGAGAGAGCCTCAAGGCGAGGTTCCACAAATAGGATTGAGAAATCATACCTTTGTAAGCCTCGATTGTACAATTAGCCGATAAATTCACGTAGAGGGGCATGATGCCCAAACATTGCTAAAACCAGATAGCGAGCAAATGCATTGCCCGGTGCTCAGACTAGTGAGACTAAGTCTTCACGCCCTACGCGTGTAAGGCGGTAGGGCGTGATCGGCTTAGCAACCCGCAACCCGCAACCCACAACAACCTATGTGATACAGAGATCGCGACTATTAGGGACGCGTGGAGTCATCACAGATTGACTCAGGTATCGAGATTCCGGAAAATTCCAAAATTTGTATATGAAGCTAGCATGATGGCGAGCCTGTCAGGTAAGCAGGTGCATGCGATGGGTATTGATGCAAAAGGCGGATGAAAACGAAAAGGTGAGCACTGAAGGACGCAAGGTGAAAGCTAAGCAAGCAGGACAACGAAAATGGCAAGCAAAAATCTCCCATACATTCAATTACTACCATGATCTCTGAGCCAGTTAATTGTGCAGCTCCGCCCGAAACGCTCATACAGGAAGCAGGATGTGGTAACTGAGGATTTGATCTTTTTGTCTTGGTAATCCAACCACTCGAAACCTTCATTCGCTATGCTGGAAAACTATGATAGATTCACTAGGATTATTCAAGGCCGGCGCGGCAAGACCAAGAGCAATAGAACGAACTTACTAGAACATGGTTGGCAATAGGCCACGTTAAGTGCAGTGTAAGCTTGTTGTCCTCATGCCTAACAGCCTCCTACAGGATCTTAGATATAAGCTACGGCACAAAACCCTTCGGTAACGCACAAATCCATTCTAGCCCTATTGGGAAGGCTGTTACGGTTACATACCGTATCCGCATCCGCCGACGCAGGAGCAAATTCGTCGTGTACTGGCCCCACATCAAAAAATTAGAGAACGTAATATCGCTCAACATATTGTGAATAGTGTACACGATCTAGTATGGATGCATACATGCTATGCAGCCCACCTGGATGCTGCATATGAGGAGATAGTACAAGTTGGCCTTCAAGTTTTTGAACCCCGGCTTATGCTCGACGATGCAGCTCTCTATGGTAACCTTAGCCCAGACTGGTCCCTGATCTTTTGGCTAATATATTTACTCTCAGATGCTATTCCATACATAGGAAAACTTGAGCTGGAGGAAGCCCCGGTGGACCTCGGGGAGGCTGGAGGGGAGTCTTATATCCCTCTCTACAATACGGTTCCGAAAAACCAATCCGTTATATACTTGCTTTGATGAGCAAGCGCTCAATAAAAGGCTCGTGAAGTTAGTTTCCCTTGACATTCATAGGAATGCTCTATGGACTAACAAGATCCGGCTAGAGGCATCAACTGCTTTTAAATCACAGGTCAGCATTAGTTGTAGATTAGCAGAAATTTTAGAGAGGTGCTATAACAACAAGTCTCTGCTGCGAGCTAGTGAATTTCCTGAATATGATGAGTAGTAGGTTCTACTTATAACATTATATACTGTAAGGGTCTTGAGATCAGTACTTGGAAATGAATAAGATATTTACATCACGTGTAAAGATAGCGTAACAGAGTAATACACAATGTGTAATAACTACTAATAACAATAACGAGATGGACTTTTAGTTCCGAATTTAGAGTTGTGTCTAACTAAAAGCTAGAGAATTGTTTACTTTCTTTTATAGACAGAACTAGAGTAGCTATTAAGCATGCAGAGGAGGTACAGAAGACAGGGATATAAAGAAACAAGGTGAAGATATATAATATAGAAACGATGATAAAATTACTTGGAAGTGAATCAGACGTTTTGTATCGTGGGGTTACAACAATGTTCTATCTAATAAAAAGCTGTGTCAAGTCATAACAAAGTGCAAGTAGTAAGAGTGAGCACCCCTTGGATATTAAAGTAAGTCTCGAAGGTTTTCACTCCTACTCGACAAGCATCTTTAATATCAATTCCAGTGTTCATACCAGCACTGTAAAAATCACCAAGATGATCCTACCCTACACTTTCATCGCCATTGCCATCGATTACTATGTAGTCATCGTAGACTGGACAATCAAACCTGGCTGCTAAGGCTTTTCTTCGGTCTTCGCGGCGGCGCCTTCTAGGAATGGAGCTTGGAAGCGGACTTCCAACAGGATTTCCAACCATTTCAGAGGATTTGGCAGGGAGGGCGGAGTCTTCCCAGTTAGGATCGATTGTGAAGAGTGGGTTCGGTGCTGGAGGCAGTGGAATCACCCTGTTGCACCTGTTGGTGTAATAGATGCCAGCAGCAACGAGCGCATACGAGTCGGCGTTTTTGCCAGAGTCCTCTGCGTCACAAAGACCTTCCTGGCCTTTGGCGTTGGGACATAAAGCCTTGGTGCCCTTGTATATAACGCAACTCCGATCGAAAAGCCCGCGAGACAAGTGGTAACTTGCGGTGTATCCGTATGCAATGTCGAGTGCGCTGACATTAATGTTAATGAGGTGTACCATATGTTTCGATCGTTATACGTACGGATCTTCCCAAAGCATGGCATATCTTGTATGTGTCATTTCATGGACAAGGATAGCTGCTTTGGACCTGTGAGCGTCCCTGAGGTCCATGGTTTGGCAATCTTTTGCTCGGTCGTTTGTCCCCTTGATCTCTGCAAGAGTGAAGAATTTGTCGCAAAAATTCATCGTTTTCCTATCATCTCCCATATGTGCAATGTAGCCACGCTGGCAGAATTCTGAAGAAACGTCGCATGTAACCACGAATACGTAGTTGGGGTCGGTTCCTGATGCCATACTCGATATCTTCGCGAAGCTCTGTGAGATCTCGTCCTTGAAGCCTGGTCGTTGTCGAAGAGTATTGGCAAACAGGTCCGTGTAGTATTTTCCTTTCTCAACATCCTTGGATGCCGCAGAAGCCATGTCTATAGCCAGTTGCATTTCTTCTTCGACGACAGCTTTACGGCTATCGCAACTGCTGTCAGCGTAATGCACTGTCAATGCCTGTGCACATTGGACCGCTAAACAAAACAAAATAGATTTGAACATGACTTAGATGAAGTGAAGGATGAGTTGGGTCTTGGAAAAGATGGTTTGTAGCCAGGTAGTTTTGAGGGAACATAAACGAGGTAAACGGCTTGCTTCTTATAAGGTTGTAGTTTGACTATATCCTGTAAGAACTCTTCCGGCACAATCACCAAGGCGTCCACCAAAAACTTAATTCCTAGATTATATGCGGCGTAGTGTTTCTGAACTGAGCGGTTTTCGCACACCCGGAGTCAGTAAACAACCATGAGGTTGATCGAGAGAGGCTAATGGTCAGAAGTCTGGCTGCCCCGGTTATTTTCGTAGTTCATCTTCTGTACACTGTTACCGCGCGCCTTTTTGGGGCGATGTTCCTACCTGTTCCGCGCCTCGTTATTGTCGCAGCATCAGATTGAACCAACAAATGCCTTCAATGTGACTTTGGGGACTAAGAATGGGCGATTTCAAAAGATGGCGTCTGAAACTCCAGAAACTGCGCGCATTAAATGATAGTGACTGGCAATGTTGTTCAAAACCATGCACTTGCATTGCCGCGCCTGCTCTGTTCAAAACCAAAATGCTGATCATCCTTGCTCGTTCCTTAATGTGTCCGTGCGCGTGACGTCACGCGCACGGACATCATAGGCTTGACACCCCGTCTTCGCTGCTGGACATGTTGTTCAATAGCATATACTCAACAGCGTACTTGTGAAGCATTCACTATCTCGCTCTAAGCTTCCTTGTGTGTCCGTCTGATATTGGGGCGAGAATCTAGCTTTGGGCATGTAAAGTGGCATGAGGCACAGTCCTGGGCAGCGGCTACTAACACTCGTAGTCCTCAACAACTTAGGTCAACGCTCAAGAACGCCCTTCGACCTACCCAAGGCGCTTACTGAGTCTGCCTCGAACGGAAGTCGGAATCGTTTAGAAGCCCATCCCAGTTATCAATTGGATTGTGAAACATGGTGGAAAACTTGGCAAATCACATAAATCTGTCGGAAGAGGCTGTGCGGTAAGATACCTTCAAATGATGTTCAGATACTAGCTAACATCGACTTAGCCCAGAATTGCCCCAACTTCGCCTTGAGTTGGACGCAAGCAAGACTTTGTCGTTGACGCTTCCATATGAGATTCGGTTCTTGATCAAGCGTTCAGATGGCCCCGCTGACAAGCCTGTCATCTTTGAATGGAATCAATATGACCAAGGACTTCGGAAATCAGCTCTTGTGCTTCTCCGTCACACTGCGAACAACCTTGAAGCTATAGCTATTGATCATTCAGGTCTGGGTGACCTAAGCCGTCATGAGCCTTTGGTGGTAAACAGCCACAGCCATGATCTTTGGGAGCTTGCCCCAAGAGGAACCGTTACATCGAAGGTGACTTTACCCGAACGATACCAGAAGTTGCTCAAGTCTGGTGAGACATACACCTTACTATGGCCGGGCGGTGATATAGGGACATGGGATTACGGCACTGTACGTGAGCACATCGGTCAAGAGCTCAAGGACAATGCGCATGCTCTCGTTTTAGCTGGCGGGCCTCATGTCACATTTACTGCTCATGTCGAGTCCCAGCCTTGGCCCATGCGATTAACACGAGAAGCTCGAGTTGGTCTTGACAGGGCCAATTTGGAAGAGCAAAGGTGGCGACGTAGTCAAAACCAGACGAAAGATACGTTCCCACCTGCAAAACACATAGACCGTGACCCCGATGCTCCGAATCTCAGCGTTTTGCTTGAGTGCCCATCTTCATTTCGCCAGGACATCCTTTTCGAAGTCACTGTCAAGGTTACGTATCATGCGGAGGCAACCGCACGACCTATAATATTCCATACACGCATCTTCAATGATATTCACTGGTATCAAGTTGGACGGCTTTGCAATGGAACCTGGGAGGGATACGACAACGGAAAAAGCGGATGTTGCGGCTTTCTGATAGTGGACGACCCTGATGTCCCTGTCAATGTCAGCCAGAACGACCGGTTTGCCAGCCTACAGCCTGGCCAGTCGTGGACGACGACGCGACGCGTAGGATATAACGGGATAGAGATACCTGACGACGCTAAGAATGGTGAAACTTTCCGCTTTGTCTTTACTGGCGAATTATTGGACTGGTGGAATTGGGGGTCAAAGGCAGATCACGAAGATACAGTGGTTATGTTGCCCTGCTTTCTTTGGGGACCTGTGGTCAACCCCAAAGATAACGATGGAAGGCCAAAATTGTTCGTGCCAACTTCAAATGTGGTCGAATTTACTTTTGTAGAATAGTCTAGATTACCTATTAGCTACTTCTAATAGCTATTGCAATTTAGAACAGCTTTTCTTGCGTAACTTTTCCTGCTTTTCTAAAAACCCGAGAGCAGCGTTCGGAGATTCGTTAAGGTTGGCCTAACGTCTAAATTTGGAACAGAAGCGAGCCGCTGCAAAGTGGCTACCTGTTTTGCGTTAGACAGAATATAGCCCCGCTTCTATATATGTACATATAAAGGAGCGGCTAACTAATAAGGGTTAAAACTTCACGTTCGTCACACGAGTATAGTGATTATCATTATCCTTAGCATCACCACTACTACCATCACCACGACATAGCTATGGCGCAATTGACCAACGCAGACCTAAAAAGTTTCCCAAGCTTCTACGACTCGCCCAGAGATGTAGGCGATGTACTCATAGGCGAGGACACCGCCCGCCTTCTCATTGAAGCAAGCTCGTCTGGGAACGACACGGCCTTACAAAGCTTGCTATCGCAACCACAATGGATCAAGATAATGCTGGAAGAGCTGCACCGCATCTATAGTGAGGAGTGTCCAAGTCAAGGCCCGCATGATGTGCGTCGCGTAAGCGCACGGCGAATATCAAACCTTGAACAGGCCTTGATAGCAGCGGCTCTGAATAGTCAAGTTACTGTTGTGTCCACATTACTTGCCTTCGCAGCACAGCAAGGTATTGACGCTTCTAGTATCATATCGATATCGACTATGTACAAGATCGTTCGCGGTGGAGACGCCGCAGTTTTCAAGGCACTACTGTCTGCAGACCCAAATATCATCAACTTCCGCCTCGGCCACGGCCATGAGCTGCCACTTTACGAGGCTGTGAGGCTAAGACAACCCGACATAGTCGCTGTGTTGCTCGAGTTTGGAGCGGATCCATTGCATCCTGTTAAGCAGTCGAAAAAACTTGGGACCTACCGCTCGTCTCTGATGTCTTTCGCCGCATTCGCTGGTACACGCATGACTGAGATGCTGTTGGAACACGGTCTCCCTATCGCTCATACTGGTGCGTTACATAGCGCTGCAAGTACCGGTCGTCTTGATACTATGCGCCTCCTGATGCAGCATGGCGCGGACGTGCACGAAGTCATTTGGAGGGCTTGGACGCCGATGCATTTCGCCGCCTGGAGGGGCCGAGTCGATGCCATGAAGTTGTTGGAGCACAGTGGGGCACGTTCCGACCTGAAGGACGAGGATGGGAAGACACCTGCACAACTACTGGAGGAGCATAACACTGCTTAGCACTGGTACACGCCGACAATGGGCAATATTGCTGGGCAATGACTGGGAGAGGGCAGGATATTTCCTAATTTGGTGGGAGTATACTGCAGCAGGGATCGGGCTTAGCGATGAGGGCAGAGAGTGGAAAGAGTTGCTGGTAAAGAAAATGCAGCCCTTTGAGAATGGGAAAGATTTTCCTCGGCAACCAAAAGACGATTTGGGAAAGAGTTACGGGAGTGCATACTAGCATTGCTAACTGTATATCTATGCTACATTAGAAACGCCCACTATTACACCTGTCCTTGGACCTTCTGCTATGAAAAAGCTAATCGTCTAATACTCGGACTCTAACAAGAAGACATGATACGATGCCAAGTAAAATATCAAGTTAAATCAAGTGTATTTACAGACGCTACTTTCTCTACTCGTTTTCATAGTATACCCTACCTAGCCAGAAAGTTTTAGTGAGAACAAAGATACTAATAACAATACAGCCATCTTGAAACAAACAGTCTAGCGGGAAACCTTAACTATCAGCACAAAAATCAGTATAGATGAGACTGCCGTGTGTAGAGTTTATATCAACCGGGGGTATGCTTCTAGCGCCGTTTTTAGTTCGCTGTTGCCTAGCTCGTATGCACTGACAATATCCTTAGGTAACGCCATAAAACAACACCATCCCATCGCCCCTTCTCTTCATCAACCTCGAATTATGCTACAACTCCCATTTGAACTACGGCAACAGTGCATCCAATGCCACAGCGACGATATCGAGACTTTGAAAGCGCTCCGCCTAGTCAACAAAGAACTGCAGAAAATAGCGGTCGAAGTTCTTTTCCGCACTGCTACCCTCAACCACACCGACGAGAGCGCGCAGAAATTCGATACTCTTGCGAAGTCAGACCTCAACAGACTTGTGCGTCGAGTGATCATCAACACATCATCAGATCCCGAATGTGATGACTTATGCCAAGAAGAAGCGCATGTTCTTGAGAGCTTCGGGGAAGCGATCGGAACTATCAGGAGTTTCAAAAACACAGAGGAGGTCGAACTGAGATTTGCTAGACAGTGTGCAGTTGAATCAGACTGGACGAAAGAAGTTGCAGAAACGACAGATTTTCGCATAGGAACCCTCGAGTCCTTCTTTAGTGCTTTGAAGGATGCCAGTAAAGTGAAGGGCCTCACAATCAAGAATTTGCAGGACCACATGGACAAAGGGTTATTCGAGTCCGACCACTTCCTGGCCGTACGGAACAGGTTGTCAAGACTGCATTTACAAATCGCAACCGAGTCTGACGATGCTGCGCCGGAGAACAGCCTTTATCTGCCGGCCTGTGACCAAGGCTTTACTCACGATTTGCCAGGCCTCTGGCTCATACCATTACAAAATCAACTTACACATCTCACTTTGTACGGCGCCGAGTGTCTCTGGGGCGTGTGGCCATTTGTCGACCTACGCGCGATCTCGACGTTTCCTCGCCTCGTGTCACTCAGCCTAGGAAATCTCACAATCGCGCACGACTGGCAGATTGATTGGATTCTGTCGCATGCGTCTACCCTCGAGGAACTGCTCTTGGACGACTGTTACATCGTCACCGCACTGCAATTGAACGAAGAGCAAGCGGCGGCAAACTTTCCCAGTCTTGGCAAAATTTTCGGTGATGGAGGCGATTCAGGTGATTATTTCACAGAGATCAAACTCCGTTGGCGTGATGTCTTTGCCCGTTTCGAACAGAGGCTTTCGCAATTGCGTCGTTTTGCGATCGGTCATGGAGATTGGGACTATGGTAGGTGCTTTGAGGAACGATACGAGTTGTTGAACAAACTCCCCCGCGGCAGGTACATGATGTTCGATTACGGTATTGGGCCAAGTCAGTGGCTTGAGATGAATGGATACGGAGGGACAATAGATCATTATGATTTCGAATTCGGTAGGAATAGAGGTCACAAGGAGGTGCATGTAGAGGCTCCGAGATGCGATGAGGAGGATCTACAGGCGCTGTCGAAACTGATGAAGATGGTGGAGGAAAGGGCGAGTGCAAAACCATAATCGTTGAAAAATAAACAGACAGAGCTTCACATACATATTAGGTTAAGCAAAGCATATCAATGCCTGCTTTCATCTCTTTCATCGTTGTAATGGACAAAATTCATCTGTCGTCAAGATCTGGCTTCGTCTGTACTAACTACCTCTGTTTCTTTATCCTAAGCTCTTAGCACACCTCCGCCTCGTATTTGATGATACAGATCTATATGCCATCCCCACATTCAATCACGTACGTCTTTGCCCAAACTATGCACTCTAGAAGCCATTTTACCTCGACCCTATCCAGCCACTGTCGACTTTGACAATCGGATATTCTACACATATATCATGTTGTCCAAACTTCTAAATTGCAAAAACGTTACTGGCATTGTCACAGATCTCCCTAAGAAATTTCGTTATCGACTGTTCTCCAGCGGTTGTGAGTGAGAAGTAATGCTCAAGAGATAAACATTGTTTTGATGTAATTTACATGGCTTCTTTAGTACTACAAAGTGCGACTACGAACTTCGTGCCCATCTACTGGGTTCAGGTAGTGGTGGTCTTAGCTCAGCCACATACACGATCCCTCCTTTGCGATAATAAACTATATTGCCAACCTATGATTACTTATATATGGATTATCCAACCATTTCATTCCTAATTCAAACTTTTCAAATTGGCATATTCGATCCAATCGTCAAAGTCGAACTCATCTCCACGTATAGCATTACTAGGAGGCGTCATCACTTCACTCACATCAAGAGTTGAAGAGCAGACTTCAAACTCCTGATGCAAGCAAGTTATTGAATCCGTGTATGGGCTTTCAGTCTCCAACGCACAAGAAGCAACTAATGGTTCATGGAGGTTGAAATCAAAGCTGGTGTCAAATGCGGATTGAGTTTGTTGACAGAATGGTACGGAAACATTAAACTTTGATGAGAAAGAAGTAGACATATTTGCGTTTTGTTGAGAAGAGCATGTATAAGGCTCTATAGGAGGCGACATCCACTCAAAAGTGGTAGCTTTGACCGCCTTTGGTGTCGTGGCAAACGCAGATTGGACGTCAATACCAAGTTGCTGTTCCCAGTCCATGGCATTATACTCGATGAGCAACGGATTTGGCATGTCCATAGTCGCAAGCTGTGGCGTTGATACAAGGCCACTTGAGTTATTTATGTTCATCGTGCCCGTCTTAGGCGAGCTCTGAATAGATGAAGGTGGAGTCGGGTAACCGTGCTGACCCATTGGTAGCGAGCTATGGTTCATATCGCCCTTCTGGTGCTCTATAGAATCGTCAAATATAGTATCGAAGTTAGCGTAAAAATCTGCCATGTCGCATGTAATCTCGCCGCCATACTGATTCCAAAGCTCACTCTTGAGACTAGTTCGGAGTATGTCAAGGTCGTTGTCAGCAATAGCCAAGGGCTGTACCTTCATAATGCTATAATCATCCACATCTGTTCATGTCAGTGTTCGAGTTACACCCAGTTTCTATAGTACTTGCTTACATGGCGAGGGTATCTCGTCCTGTGGTACTTCGGGAAATAGAATCTGGAAGACCAGCTTCCATTTACGTTCTATAGTACCAAGCTTCTTGAAACTCCCAAAGGTAAAATTCAAGTGTTCTTCGATGAACTCCTCGGACACTTCACGTTTGTGCGTTTTAATGTGGTCTCTACTTATTGTCAGCTGTACTCAACTACGAGGTAGTGTTGCACTGACTTTAGCTTCGACATCTCAAGAAACCCCTTGCCTCGACAACCCATCTTCTCTGCGTGCGCCTGGGGATTACTTTTGAAGAAGGGACATCCCACACGCACCTCCTTACCATTACTATTGATAGTGCTCTTAGGCTTCTGGAGCTTTCTGATCTTTTTAGACTGCTCAAGCTGGTTAATGCTTGCCTCAGCTAGAGCTCGTTTAAGGCTGATTGCAGTTAAATTGAGTTGATCATTGCAACTCGAGTCCGAAATAGCATCGTTGTGTGCGGCAATGGACAAATACTCGAGTGATTTGTTATAACACTTCGGGCCGGTCCTTATGTCTACTTTGTTTTCATTTGTTTGGACGATATCGCTGCCGACAATTCTATAGTTGCCCGTCTCAACCACACCGGTGTTGATCGTTGAGAAACTGCTCATGTTGTCTAGTGATAACGATGGAAAGCAAGTCTGTATATTTTCCAGGCAAGGCTCTTCGTGTAGTTGATATGGCAGTATATCTACAGCAGTAAGTTTTATATTGTCAAGGGATGAAGGTCAAGATACTGGCTGTTTGGAGGGAAAATCGAAAGTATTTATACTTACGTGCGGGGTTGCCAAGACAAGTGCTGCTAAATCGACGAGAGCGAAAAATCGCGATGGGCAAGAACAGCCAGTAAGATCGGTAGCTAAGCGCGGGCATTTTTGAGCGACTAGTCGTTGCTTCGACGCTGCATGCATAGCTAAAATAAGTATAGAAATAGACTTGCCTTTATCGATCCAGTAGATCTAATAAGATAAGCTCCCAAGATGAGAACTAGTATTAACTGGTTGAATTGTGTTACTTAGTTTTATTCAAGTAGTTTTAGGCTAGTTGTAGGATCCCAATTTGGATATTTTCAACATCCCGCGCTTTAGTATTGTATTAGCCAAGATTTACAGGTCTATCTCACCAAATCTAGAAGATAAAACCCAATTTCAACTGCGTAAGGCAGTTAATCTACAAGTAAATGGACATTCGCAAAAACACCATGTTTCAACCTTTTGATACAGAGGGAAATTATGCAGACAAGAGTGTGTACTCTGTCTGTCCACAAAGTTCTTACTGTTGGAACTTATATGAAACTGGAGCTACCACTTTCAAGTTCTACGCAAATTTGCTGGCAGGGCTAGCTCTCAGTAAATTATTGTTGAGGCCAATCTTATACACGGTTGAGATACATATACACTGATCTCGAAAACGCATTTGAACTCTATTTTCAGACTCTTTGTCTCACGCCGATGTCTGGTTTAGCTTGTATTTCCCAAAAGCCAAGCATCTTGTCATGGTATACAATCTGTGATAATGATCTACCAGCTCCGAACCCCATTTCTTGAGCCGAGCAGCAGTTCGGGCTGCCAAGGTCAGGACTGGGTTCAAGAGCGTGAGAGTCGCGTCACGGCCACGCTTCCATGATGGAGGATGACATGTCGCAAGGATAATGTACAAGTCGCGTTCAATGCTCCTACCTGAGAACGTTCAGGCTCGTGTGTTTCTGTCCATGTGTTGGCGCTTACGACAGTGTGTTGGATCAGAGCGTGCTGTCGTGCGAGTTCTCATTGGTGTCGAGTCGCTCGTTGTTGCCATTAGATTGACTTCTGTGATCTGATACGAGGAATCGGTTTTGCGACGCCGTACGCCGACAAAGAGCCATCTAAAACCACGACCGCAGGCCTTGATGATGTCCCACGGATTTAGTGCGTCGAGGAGGGCCCCAGCTGGGCCGCGATCATAAACCTGGGGGTAGGAGGAAGAGCTATGCTCTGAGCTGGTAAGTGACTTCTCGCTCTCAAGATCGTAAGGCTTCCAGGAGAAGGCGAATGTATGCATGGTTGCAAAAATGATCATCTCCACGCAGATCAACATCGCTGGATAGCCAACTCGAATATCTGGTCCAGCAAAGTACTCCGTTGACTTAACGGGTCCGCCCTTCGAGGTCACAAGGGAGAGGATGCAGGTTTGCCAGAAACAGAAAAATATCACAAGTTTGATGCAGAGAACTTTGAGAAAGGGCCGGTATGGTGCAAGATCTTGCCTCAGTTGGACATAGAACTGTACCATGCAGTACATGGCGACCATGGCAGAGATCGCGTCGAACCCTGCTACCCATACGTGTGCATATCGAGGGTCCCTGGAACCCTGGCAGTAGCGGCTTTGAGAGTGAGAGACAACAGCAACGAGTGTGAACAGCGGACGAATGATGCAGTACTGAAAGACACTGATGTATACGATCTGAAAGATATCAGCCATTCGTTTACTTGTAGTGCCAAACATCGGTCACCCGCACGTTGAACCATGTCAGCCCGCTGCATGGCCTTCTCAGCCATCCTGTCTTCTCGCCACCGGTGCACTTCTGGATCCAGTTGAGCGGCCAGACCCAGTTCTTTGGTTGTATGCTCCTGAAGTATGCTTTTTGCTCGTGGAGGTCAGGCGCAATGTAATGACACATGAGAGTGAAGAAACTCGCGATGGCGAAGGCTTCGTAGCAATCGCGCAGGGCATTGAAGTAGACAGCTTGGTGGTAGAAGACGTAGCTAAGGAATGAAACCACAGCATATATCGGAACCATAACAAGAATGCGGATGATACTGGTAAGGTTAGCCTAAGAAGCCAAGGTGGGACCGACACTGCATACTGCTTTTGTTCGTACGGTTTTAGGTAGTGCGTCGCATGTCGCAATATAAGAAAGCAGGCAATGGACACTGCAATTATGCACGATGTCGCAGCAACGATGAGACCAATATGATGAGCAGTCAATGACCCATACACTGCCTTTTCTAGGTTTGTGGTTTCATGTTCGAATTGGCTGCTCTCACACTCTTCTTTCTTCCTGAGATCTGGAAAGGGATTCATTCCACGTTGAGTGTGAGCGGTCCGATGAAGACTCGATGAAAGGCAGGCGAAAGAGACCGGGAGTGGGTTGTATCTCCGTTCTTCCAACTGCCGATTCCCAGAGTTAGCTAATGCGAAGCGCACATGCATTACGTAGGCGCATATGTCGCTTGTTGCAACGCTCCTGCTTCCTGAGACGGTTACTGAATTCTAAGCCCGTCAGAACCTTCTCTAGTCGGAAGCGTGATGCGACCCAGTGCCTTCGAGTCGCACTCGCATGCTGGAACGCACACAAGGGTAAAGGATAAGGTCACGAGAATAGTTAGAGTAGCGGGTTGTAGTGGAAAACTTTCCGGTGTTATTCAATGATGCAAAACCAAGCCCTTCGACCGCCTGGTTTCGTAATGACTGCAAGGCTATGACTTTCTTCTCACAAGGCTAACTCGATAGTTTCCTCTACTCTTGTCGGCCTGCCTAACCTCACGACAGCCGTCTTACTCTTCAAATCCATCACAATGTTGAACAAGGTCTCACTGCCTGTTTCTTTGGTCTGGATTCTACAGATCGAAGCTGGACAATTCTGTTCGTCTTCGAATAGCCTACTCACATCTTCCCAACTAGGCTGTTCATTCAACTTGTTCGCATTGTCGGTCATAGTGCAAACACGCGTTAGAGAGTCTTTCAGCCATACTGTGTCGGTCTCGCCAGGATGCTCGAGAAGCAGGTGATTTGCGTGGACGATACGGCCCGCGGAGTCGGGGACACAATGTGCAAAAGTCGACTTCGTGAACTCAAGGCCGAGGGAAATGTTCGAATCAGCGATAAGGATGTGCGCTGAAGAAGCCATGCCATGCGTCTCTAGCTTGCTGACTGCTTCATCGACAGAGTTGCTCTCAAGCGCCATTCGCAAACCGAAATGCACAGGCAGTCGCGTTGAGTCCACGCCATGCACTTTGATTGCATTGAGCAGTGTTCCTAGGCCTGAGCTGTTGAACCCGATCTTTCCAATGATGCCGGCTTCAGTGACTTGGATGATAGTGGGTTTGTTGGCCTGGGTGATTTTGGTGATAATGAGATTTTGCTTCTGCTCGGTCATCCACTACAAGCTGTCAGCTGGTGCTCTCTCCGAACTGCAAGCCAGTACCCACGTCCCAATTCTGGGCCAGCCAACTTCTAGGCATGTACTGGCTTCGTGGTGCCTGTAAATTGCTGGTTTGCCATGCTAGCGCTGTGCATCCATCACTAAACAGTCCAAAGTTGATCTCTGTCCGCACATTGAGCGCCACGATATCGAGCAATTCTCTTCCAGCCCCATCAGCTATGCCGCGCATCTCTTCGTGAAAGGCAGGCCATGTTTCCTTCGCATGCCTCTCGAACTTGGAGGCGTGTTGATGGACTTGTGGCCACGTTTGCTTGCAGTTTGTCTGAAAGAGACCAGCGTAGAAAGAGATACAGCGCTCAATCTCAGTTCTAGCGGCTGTACCGTGCTGGTGGCCGATCTGAGAGTAAAATTAGCGTTGGCTACGAGGAAAGCGACGCGGCTTTATGACGTCACGCGATTCTTTTCACCTCGTATGGTGTCCCTGTGCACTCCACGAACAACATCTTGCACTGGCAATGCTCAGGCGTTGGGAACTCAGTATGCTCTATTGAGTGTTTACTATAACGAGGCAGTGCGAGAAATGAGTGACGCCAGCTGCCCGCGGATCCTTTGAGAGCTCCTCGGCAACCCCGCTGTCTCCTTCCGATTCGGTTCACAGCCTGGCGTTATGCCCACATTGCCTTCTCGTAGAACAGGTCCTGGGTTCATGTTGACGAGATCGGCAGCGTCCACCACATTCAGATTGTTCGCTATTTCCGAGTCTTCAATTTCACTCCTTCACGTTCGCATGACCTTGCATCTTTTTACTCAATCCGTACAGAGTTTCTGCCTCTGTCTGTTTTACTACCTTCCCGCAGGCTCATGGCGCTACGCATTGGACAAGTCCTTCGTGGTGCAAAGCATAGATATGAGCTGTTGTATCCACTGAAAGATTCCACCGTCTTCAAAGCCAAAGTGTTGTCCAGCCGTATCGCAAAGGCAGAATGGTGAGGTTCCACGACACGATTTAGGAGCAATCGCTGACCATCACCGCAGGGTTATGATCAAAACAGCCGCTACCGATGAGGAAAAGATGTGTTTGAGGCGCGAATACAGAAACTACAGAGTTGAAGACATTGCCTCGAGCCCGTACATCCGAGCTCTGTGCGATATTGTGAGGTTGAACGAACACCAAGACGACCCATCATGCTTAGTGTTCGGATGGATGGACCATGATTTGGGAGCTGTAACCGCCCCCGAATTTCGCGGCAATCCAGTAATACCCAGAGTCGTGTCTAAGGCGGTTCTATCGGCTCTCGACGTTTTGAGAACAATTAATGGCGTCCATACGGGTAGCGATGCGTACTCAATTTCTAATCATAATACTAAAACAGCCAGATGTCAGCCCGAATAACATCTTCGTTTCTCATATCCATGGGAGCTCTCCAGTTGCTAAGTTAGGAGATTTAGGTAATGGTAACAGCTCATCTTGGACTTGTGTCTAAAGCAAGGTCTCATTTTTACAGCAATCAAAGACGGCTCTTCAACGCAACGTCTTCAAAGCCTACCATGTAGAGCGCCCGAGGTCTGGCAAGGCTTGGCTTGTCGACACTCCTCAGATGTATGGTCTCTTGGTGCTACGGTTAGTGCTCATATCTGGCTACTCAAGAAAAAGCTGATTTCGAAGTTGACAACAAAAGCATCGCCGCTCGGCCTTTTTGGCGATGCTAACAAGGTTATTGACGGACACACTGAAGCATAGTGTATTGCGAAAATGATCTGTCTTGTTAGCCCGTTAGGTCAGCCTATTGACTGTCAGACTTACAAGAACGAGTTTAAGCTTGCAGAACAGTTAGCGGTTATGGATCATCCTCTTAGTCCCATAAAGCTTATTACCAAAGGCAACTGGCGTGAGGAATTGCAGCACATCCCAGATCCTTCGGTGTCACCAGACCTGCTAGACTTCATTGAGTCTTTACTGGTCATTGACCCTGATAAGAGACCTCTTGCTTCTGAGGCATTGTTACACCCCTATTTGCAATATGTTGCGTAAGGAAACATATCTCGCGAAGCACTAGAGACGATACACTCGATCAACAGGTGGTTCTTCAACACGCTTACGTGGGATGGTCTCAACTGAAGTTGCATGCAGCTATTGATATACGTTTGCAAGCACTACTGAGTGCCATACGCAAGCAGGTGAGTGCTAAAGTTTTAGTGGTGTCTGATACAGCGAGGCCGTATCCCTGCTACTTAGAAGAGGCTGAGCCTGAGTAGGTAATCCATTGGATTCAGCTTTGGACTTTGCCACCTCGATGATGGTACAATACCAGTTTGACAGACGATCGTCGTAGCTCTAGTGTAGTATGGAGAATACAAAAGAGCTTACAGACCTATCGAGTATCATTTTAGCGAACAAGCTGCTACATCCTAACCGCACTTTCAAGCTTTTTTCCTGTTTCTGTAGCCTAGCCGGTTAGGCTCAGCCGGCCAAGCTCAGCCTCGCTACGCCAAGCAATGCTGTGTAGCAAGAGGGGGTGCCTGATGGGGCCAAAACTCCTGACCTCGACAGACAGCTCATTATACAGCAGCTTCTCTGCATGGAGAGCTAGTTCATACTATTACATGTACTTTCGGTAACACATCATGCCGTCGCGTCCAACGCGCACTTGGAGTCGCAAAGCTGACGCGGTGGCGCCTCTAGGCGAGGATCACATCGAGCTCCTTCGACAACATAGGTAAACTGCCAAGCTTCAGACCATGTCTGCACAGCCTAATTCCAGAATAGCAAACCACAGACATATAAAGAGCTAGGGTCGAACAAGGTGATAGCTCATTTTCCGCGAGAATCAATGCAGAAAACTCCAATTGGAATTATGCAAGTACCGTATGACGACGAGGTTCCTTCTACGACAGAGCCCAACAAACAAAGGTTTCAAACTCAACACTTAACTAAGCGTCGATTTTTCGCGGGTTGGCGTATAGGTGCGCTGCTATCATTCATCGGCGCTGTATCAGTATGTCTCTTCAATATTGCCATGACGGTATGGGTTTGGAAGAATCCGGGAAACGCAACCGAAGGATATCTCGGGACGCTATACATGGGCAATTGCGCGAGAACACGGAAGATCAACGTCTGGATACACTTGATAATCAACATCATCAGCACATTACTTCTTAGCGCGAGCAACTACTGTATGCAAGTTCTCAGCGCACCAAGTCGAAAAGAACTTGCCCGTGCACATGCGCAAAGATACTGGCTCCAGATTGGCATACCTAGTTTACGCAATCTTCGGCACATTGGCTGGGATCGCGTGGTTCTTTGGGCTCTGTTGCTCCTTTCCTCTGCACCACTTCATCTACTCTTCAACTCAGTCGTCTTCACCAGTCTCCAAGCCAACGAGTATGTTGTCATTCCGACTATGGACGACTGGCTTCATGGCGGAGTGTACAACACGTCTAGCTTTGTGGACATAGATGCGAAGCAGAGTGCGGACGTCATAGACAAGATGAGCCCCTACAGACCCAACCTCAACGACACAATCACCCTGAGTACCAGTGGAACGAGGGATCGGTACAAGAACATCAGCACTGTGGACTGTTTTAACGCGTATAACGACCAATATCTGTCGAGCGTTGGCCACGTATACCTCGTTCAGGACGATCCCGTGGTCTGGCGGAATCGATCCTGGTATCCCGAATTCAAACAATACACAGAATACCCCAAGACTACTCGCGCCACTGGGAACTTTACATGGATCAATCTCAATCAACCTCCTCCTTGGAATGAAACGGTAAATTCAACTCTGTGGGGCACACGCCCTTACACTGTTACGAAACCCCATGACTACGACCTCATTACCGGATACCATTCCACCTCATATGAGGAACGCAATTACTCAACCACGGAATGGGCTTACGCACCTGATGGCATGAAGGCATTGGACTTACTTGATGAAGCGTCCTACACACTTCCATTCTTCAGCTTGCCGGACACCTACCCGTCTAATGGGTGGCGGTGCTCCTCCCACGTTGCACACAACTGTAGTATTGACAACCAGTTCGAAGTACCGCAGGACAGATCCAAGTGGGAACCCTATGGACGTCCGATCAAGTATTGCATGGTTGAACAAGTTGAAGAAGTCTGCAGGTTGCGCTTCAGCTTTCCAATCGCAATAGCTGTCATAATTTCCAACATTATCAAGGCGCTATGTGTGGCTTTTATGCTTATCAAATATAGAAACCACGAAGCTGTAGTCACGCTGGGAGATGCGATAGCACATTATCTTGATCAACCTGATACAGAGACACGCGGGCGGTGCTTGCAAACCAGAGAACTGCTGGAAACAGAATGGTCCTGGGAATCTGCCCACGGCATCAGGAAAGACGAAACGGACATCAAGCCCGTGAAATTCAAGCCCGACAGTCACAGGTGGTCAAAGGCTCCACCCCCGGGAAGATGGTTTCTCACATACGTGGCGTGAGTTATCAGCAGAGTGCCATTCCTAACCCAAGCTGACTTCTATCTCAGATATATCATCACCATCATATTGGGTGTCGTGTGCAGCATACTCTCGCTCAAAGATATGCCCAGCAACGCCGGCAAACTATGGAAAATCGGATTCGGCATCATCCAAAGCAACAACCTCCTCAGTTTCAGGCGCTCGCTCATGGCCTCTGTACTTATTGCAAATAGTCCTCAGGCGGCACTCTCGTACCTGTACCTTGCCTTCAACGCGCTTTGCACAAGTATGTTAATTGCTAGGGAATGGTCAACCTACACCCACAAGCGCAAGCCGCTCCGCGTTACTTCACCCGTCGGTCAACAGCGTAGCACGTATTGGCTCAACGTCCCCTTTCGATACGCTATTCCTATGACACTGGTATCGCTCCTCTTCCACTGGCTGGCTTCGCAGAGTATCTTCATGGTTCACATTATGATAACGGATGCACAAACGCGCAATATATCGGGCCAGATTACGACCTGTGGGTATTCGCCTATGGCTATTATCTTAACTACTGCAATTGGGTCTATGATCGCAGTAGGTGGGCTTGCGATTGGAAATCTGCGATATCCGGCTGGAATACCCCTAGCGAGTAGTTGCTCGGCAGCTATCAGTGCAGCTTGTCATCCTCCATCGAGTGACGTAGACGCAAGCTTGTATCCTGTGCAGTGGGGCGTGGTTGCCTCGGAGAAACAAGACCCCGATGGTGAAGAGCCGGTGGGTCATTGTAGTTTCTCAAGCGGGCCAGTTGAATATCCAACTGCTGGGCGACTGTATGCATAGTCTTTTGTTTGAATTTCTTATGCTTTTGTTCATCGAATACCAAACATAGACAAATACCAAATCAGTCTGATTCATTCCAGGGTATTCCTAGTACAGCCCTCAAAGCCCTCCATAGATGGCAAAGGACGACAGGATAAGTACCAACACACTAATCACCGCCCAAACAAAGGGTATCCATGTACTCATCTCAAAATAGCCCGCCTGATAAACTCCCCCAAGTCTGCACACGGTCAGTCTAGCCCTCATTTAAGCCAATCTCCCGTGAACAACGTACAGCCCCCCAACGATTGCTCCTGACATTGCGCCCTCAATTGCCCCAACAAGCGCGAACAGTAGCGGTGCAATCCATATGATCTTCCAATTCCGCCATTGTATAATACACGCCCACAGTCCGACAATCAGGTGTATGCCGCCGAACAGCAGCAGCGTCCAGTAGAGTGTGAAGCGCAGAATATCCCCGGGGTAGTACAGGTAGTGCTTCTGGGCGGAGCTGATGGGGAGCGGCCAGTAGAGGGAGGGGAAGGTGGGGGTTGTGTAGCCCAAGGGCGCGGCGCTGTCGACGCGCTGGATGAAGCTGGAGAGGTCAGTGTGGGATTATGAGGCGTTGAGGGAGGGGCAACAAACCTCATGTGCGCGGCATGGTTTATACGCGCTTCAAAACATAAATCGTACCAACGCGCTGGAGGATGGCGCGTCTTCTCGTGATAGCGCGCGCAAAGTGTGGAGGTTGTTGGCTCGATCAGTGAATGAACGTTCAGGGGTCAAAGCGCAAGTTACCTCGGCCCGTGATGATCAGTCTCAACACCAACGCCGTCGCGCGCACGTCTCTATGCGCAACTCCAGAGGGATCTTCCAGGCTGTCGGAATCCAAGATGCCGGTTGACCGCCTGTTGACCACGTTGCTGCGCTCGCTGCAGGCCTACACAGACCAGCAGGACACGTCACGGTATGCACCTCGAGTTTCGCGTTAGCACCGCGCATACTGACGACGAGACTACAGCATACTGGGCACAGCTTCATCACTCCTCACGACGCTTGGAAACCCCCACAACCTCAGTCTTCTCACCTCACACCTTCTCACTGCGCCTGCCTTCTGGGATCGCCCCGATGGCGTCCGAACGCCCCTGCGACTGCTCACCGTCTTCCATGCCGCCGTCACTACCGTCGTAACCCACCACAACGATGTGCGCCACAAAAAGGCGCCAAAGCTCCTACCAGGCCAGTCGCCCGTTGGAGGAGGGCTATCTCTTGATGACTGGATACGCGCGATAGTCGCTGGCGCAGATGACCGAAGCCAGCGATGGAAGCATCTCATCGTCCTCGGGGGGCTGTTGATCGGCATAGGGAATCTGGAACAGCAGGGAATGGATTTGTACTGGGCTTCTGCTATGAGGAAAAGAGTCGAAGGTGCGCTGGTAAGGGCAACGAATCTAGCCTTGATCGAGGTCAGGGAACGCTTTGAACAGGATGGCCTAGGGGGGCATACCATCACTCTGGTGCTGAATCATTGCTTTGCGTCTCTTGCGGATGCAGAGAGGGCTCAGATTGATTATGATCTTCTCTTGCCTGTACTGGTTGGTACAGCGTACTACTCAAACGAGGGCTTCCAGTCAGCATACTTCCTCGGAGGGCTGGATATGGATGTGCAGATGTCTCAGAGCGGCAAACTAGTCTGGAGTGTAAGGCACCCATCTTTTGGACATTTGTGCGTCCAGTACTGACTGTGTGTAGGTCCATTCCAGCTCATATAGACAGGTTGAAGTCATCTTGAACAGGCCGTTGGTGGCTGCAATGGGTCCTCTGTCAAGGCTGATCGCGCATTCCGTGGAGAACGTAAAAAGCCCATGGATCATCCAAACCATGATGGACGATCTGGCGAGCTTCGCACGAGCACTCACCACACAGTGGCGACAGAACAAGTTCTCAGACATCGACTCCACGGATGAAGCAGCACACCTAGAAGAAGAAGCACTCAACATGACGACCCCCCAACTATGGAAACTCCTCAAAGCCGCGCTCTTCGCCACAACCATCGTCTTACGCGGAGTCTTTGTTCGAATCCTCGGCGACTCTGCCCTCGCAGCCGACGCCGTTGCCCCCATCCTCGCATCCCAGGCTCTGCAAACCCTGCGCCACCTCTCCTTTATAACCACGCGCCTCGGCCCAGCATCCTTCTCCCAACACACATTCGTCTACCTGACCGCAATCGACATTCTCTCCGCGTACCCCAACCACGCAGACAAGCTGCTAAAACTCATCGCCCCGCAACTCCTGGGGCACATCCCACGCCACCCCATCGACCGCATCCTAGACCGGTACTTCCTCGACACAGCCGAGCACTTCACCCTAATCCTCTCCCTAGCAACAAACGAAGACCTCCTCGTCGCAGCCGCAGTCCCCTACCTCGCCGCAGCATCGACCCGCACCATGCTCCCCGTCTTCGAAGCAGCCCACAGCGTCATGCTCGCCGTCCTCTCCGCCCCGCAATCAGCCCACATCACCGCAAAGCACCTCCCCTTCTACATCGACGCGCTATTCCGCGTCTTCCCACACAGCCTCTCCCCCCGCCAATTCCGCCTCGCCTTCAAAACCCTGATGCGCGTCACCGCCCCGCCCTCCGCGCTCTCAGCAACGCACCCCGATCTGCCCGCCGCGCTACTGGAAGTCGTCTACCACCGCGCGCTCAATGCGCCGGCGGAGCCCCTGCCGCTGGATGAAGTCGCCCTCGCGCTACAGGGCTCCGATGCCCCGCCGCCCGCGCTGTCGGAACAAGCTGTCCTCGCGCTGACGCTTATCGATGCGCTCCCATTCCTCCCCATACCGCTGCTGGACGAGTGGATGCCGTTGTGCGCCGACCTGCTCAATCAGCTTCGGGACGACGAGATGCGCGAGACGGTCAAGGCGCGCTACTGGGAGGTGCTGATTAGTGGGGAGATGGATGCAGAGCGTAGTGGTGCGGCGGTTACGTGGTGGAGCTCAAGAGGGGGGAAGGAAATGGTGCTCTATGGGCAGGAAGGGGTGGAAGAGGAGGTGATGATGAGTGGGGCGTTGCCGGTTATGGGGCGGGAGAGGGTTGTGCGGGAGAGCAAGTTGTAAAGGATGGATAATGATACCCAAAGGTGAGTTAATTACGGGGGGGAGGCTATGACGGATACCGGTATGTAATGTGTTCACATGTATGTTTTATTTATCTCGGATTGATTGTGCAGATCTGGACATAAATTCATGACGTCTCTATCTCTAGTATCATCCAGTGTGGATCTTGAACCTCTGCTTAACCATCTTTCTACACATCGGACACTTGCTCGGCCTGATGGGCACATGGCTATGTTTGACCGGGATCACCACATCAGCACACCACTGGCACATCACCATATGTCCACACGGCAGCACGGCAATATCTGCAAGCTGCTGGTAGCAAACTTGACAAGCCAGGACCTTTGTCATTGCCTCGTCAGTCATTGGCGGCGGGCGACCAGGCTGGTTGTCCAGTGTCCTGACGGGTATTGGTTCGAAGGGGCGGGGTAAGCGAAGGGCTTCACCAGCTTCTGACACGAAGAGGTCCCTGTCGGAAGCTGCGCGGAGACGATTGAGTTCGTATTGGATTTGTTGGAGGGAGGAGCGGACTTGCGACATTGGGTTTGATGAGGAAGCCGGTGTGGTCACGTTGGGGGCTGGCATGGCAGGAGGCGCGAAACGCAAGCTTTCAGCGAGCTCATTTATCCGGAGGCGAGTCCTTTGGTAGGAGGTCTCGGCGCTGCTGTTGGCGTCTGTGGGAGTGTAGCTCCATACATTACCCTCTGCCCCCTCAACACCCAGGGATGCGTTCTGTGATTCTCGCATGACACTCCAGAGGAGTTGCTCTTCGATCTCTCGTCGCTCCTCGACTGGTCGCCCTTCCAGTGAAGGTGCGGTATTGTCGCCAGTTGCTCGCAGCTCCTCAGCTTGTCTAAACCGTCCCCAGGCTCTGTTGTACATGGTCGAGAGGGGCGACTCATAGTCGTCTTGTTGTATTTCCTCTCGAGTGCCAAACAGGCGTGTAAATCGTTCTCCCGCGCGCCGAGTTTGCTCTGCGTTGCGACGAAGGATAGCCCGAGGGTCTATTGATGGCAATATTTGCAGTGATGGCAATATTTCCGGGGTTTGCGGTCCGGCTGGAGCTGGGGCTGGAGCTGGAACTGAAGCTGGGACTGGAGTTGGAGCCTCGTCGTCAGATACCTCGTCAAGAAGGCTGTCGAGAGCGTCTTCTATACTCTGGTGCGGCTGCTGTGGCTGCGATGCTTCGTTTTCCGACGACAACCGGCGCCTCGTCAGCCTGTTCTCGGACCGCCTCGCGTCATTCCTCATGCCCTCTCTCATCTGCGCCAATGTGCGTGGCAGAAAGCCAGGGCTCACGTCCTTGAGCGGCTCGCCCATGACGGAAATCCGCTGCTCGGTGCCATCAGGACGCTGGACAAGACGGTAGCCTTGATGGAACTCGAACCACCGCTCAAGAAACTCGGTCTGATCCGGTATCTCAGGAACGCGAGTTTGCGAGATGTTCAGCGGGGGGTCGGTGGCAGCGAGACGGTTGGTCCAGAACTCTGGTCACGTTAGTATCGCACTCTATGTGGATTTCCTTGTATGTGGAGGCAACTGTCGTCTCATTCATGATATACACTGCTTTGTACAATACACTACGCTCGACACGGTACTCAAAAGCTTACCTTTGCAGAACCAGCAGTAGCCCTGCCAGCGTGTCCCCCGCTGCACAAAACCCACGCCATCAATGTACACTCTGTATGTCATCGAATGAGCCCGCTCATCCGCGCAGGCGCAGCAATTCAGTGTCGACGTGAGCCGGCATGACGTTGCGAGTTTGTGCGGGCAATGAGCATCAAGGCGTGGACAATCTGCCGTCAAGGTGCCCATTCTTGCAACTGGTATGGCTGAGGAAGTGGTTGTACTAGCTCAAGACAGAAGACGTGGAGAGGCGTTGGAGCGCGGCGAGGCGGCGTTAAGACGCGGTGGACTATGATGCAGCCAAGTGGGGTATGGTGGGACAGATGATAAGGCGACCAATCAGACGCCGGTTGCTCGTGACAATGTAAAGCGCAACCTGACCACAAACAATTCTCTCCTCATGTAAAGCGTTTCTCTACAAGACGCTTCTTACACGACTACATATGGATGGGCTGAGGAACAGAGCTACGGGTTGAGAAGAGGGAGGAACAGGTTGCCCTTAAGCTTATTCCACTCGGCGGGTGGGTTGTGGAAGCAAGGTGGGAGAGATGCAAAGACACATGCTGCGTAGCGTTGTACAATGATAAGATACCGTTGATGTCTCTGGTTACTGAAGATTAACCTGGGGGATCAGGCAAATAAACTGGAAGAAGAGTCAATCGATTTGAAGTATCACCCTGTGTACCGAACAATATGCTGATCCAAAGATAATTCTCATAGACGATGTACAGGAAAAGTCTAAGCCGGTAGGGTATTCTCCGCTGATGAGACTACAGAAATCGATGTTCAGTGACATGAATTAAGTACAGAATAAGGCTGAGAAAGAGACGAACTTTCGTAGTGTCACTTCGAGATGCAGATATGCTTTGCGAGTTTTTATACACCTCGTATTTACCCAAAGTTCGAACTTGCCATCGCCCTGGAAACAGCGCAAACGCTGAGAGGAAGAAGAATTGATTAGGAACTAGGAAACTGACGCATGACAGAATCTATGGATGCAACCCCTTGGAACAGCAACGTGTATAAACCTCCTCGATGCTAATCTCATCTATCAAAAGACTCCAGCGAAGATCCATTCCTCAAATTGCGGATTCCTCAGCAGTCCAGACAACCTCCTTCTTCACATTGTCACCGGTAAGAGTGGCTTCCGCAGCCATCGCGACCATGTAGTCCCTGCTCTTCAAGTACCAAACTATGAAGTTTGGGAGTCTCCACCCCATGATCGCGCCAACACCACCTTTCGTGCCAATGGGTATAATCTGAGTCTCCCTCGTGTCCGCCTTGTACAGCCTGTCCTTGCCCTTGGGTCGGGCGTCTGGCTGCGCTGGGTTGAACGACAGCAAGTCGCGCTTGAGGTTGACCAGGAGAACGGGCATAGCGAGCATGATTTCCCAGGTAGTGTTGCCCGAGTACGAAGCCACATCACCCATGGCGTAGACACGGGGCCCTGCCTCGTCGACACGGACCGTTCCGGGGTTGGTCTTAAGGTACTTGTCATTGTCGAGGAGGTGCGGTGGGAGCCAGGATGAATTGGGCACGACGCCGAATGCGGGGATGTACAGATCGGCCTCGAGTTTGTCTCCTTTGGCGATATTGACAACGGTACGGCCGTCTTTCCCTTCGGTGGTGTCGGTTACGCGCGTGTTGTACATGATCTTGACGCCTAGTGTGTGTAGCTTCTGCTCGGCTGTTTTGGCGATTGCCGGGCGCATGTTGCTCAGCAGCCGGTCTCCGGCTGTGATGATGGTGACGTTGACTTTGCGTTCGGTCTTGCTGAACCACCTGGGCGTGCCATTGCGAAACTCGGCGGCTTCGGCGGCAAACTCGACAGAAGTCGGGCCTCCGCCAACGATTATGATGTCCTTGGCCGAAACAACCTTCTCGTTCGTCCACTTGAGTGATTGTAAGGTAGCCTGGGTGTCTGTGCTCATCGAAAAAGCCGGGTAGTGGGTCTTGCTGCCGGTTGCGATAATCAGAGCGAAGTATGGCAAGCGTTCGTCGTCTGTTGCCTTGCTTCTCCTGTACAGAATCTCCCGTGCAGAAGTATCAAGGCCTGTAGCGGAAGCCTCAATCAGTGTGAAGTCTTCTTTGGAGTACTGCGTGAATCCTTTATGCAGGTCATATATGACCTTTTCGGTTCCTAGAAGCGTGCTGGACGCTGCAACTCGGGGTGACGCGTTTCGAAAGTAGAAGGTCGAAGACGGGTTGATTACGTAGACGTGATATTTGGCACCTCCCTTCGATTTGAGAACAGGCAGGATATGCTTCAATATGGAATGAGCGGATTGGAGTCCACTGATGGAGGCGCCGACAACGACGATATTCCGTTGTTCTGCCATGACCGGGTAGAAATAATCGAGATGCTACGTGCTGGATTGAGATTAACAAATTAGGAAAGTTGATAATGCTAGGAGCGAATGTTATGGAAGAAACGATCGATGGAGAAAGTGGGAACAACTTGTTGCCGTACAACCTCTCATACATATACTTTGCGCTCAGACGCTCCCTCGCAAGATTGGATTACCACATGTTGGTTATCATGTAACCAATATCGTGCTTGGAAATACCTTTTCCGTGTCCGTTGTCAGCGTAAGCCAACGCCCGGAAAGCAGTGTCCCACAATCCCGGGCCCATAACCAATTCAACAGTACCACTTGATTGGTTGACTGCCTGGTCCATATGCCTGCTGCCGTGTGGCACAGTGAATGCTCAGTAGTGCTCCATCAAATTCGTGTGCTTCAACAGGGACGGCCTATGCTGTAGCGATCAGATTAGGCATTGATTTAGAATGGCTCTCGCAGGTTTGTCTAAATCAAGTGAATATGCCCATGATACAGCGCCTGTTTCTTACATGCATGTGGGTGGATATGGCCAGATGGTATGTTAGTGCTTACTTCGGACGAAATGTCGCACCGGCAAGACAAAGTACACATTTTACGCTCGAGCTCCAGCACGAGATCTCGTGGACTTAGTCTACAATTTGTCGGAGTTTCTCAGCACCAGACTAGATCGTGAGCAACTTTGAAAGATCGGTCATTGTCGTTGCAGTGTGCAATAAATTGACCCCTGAATACACGTTTATCCGCAAGGATCTTTTGCGATTATCGACCAATGATACGAAGCTCACTCAGAACCCTAGGCCTTCGTACGTATATAATTATGATAGCCTAGGCTGGGAGCAGGCCCTCCTTCCAAGACTAGGGTCATTGACAACCTGATGGTGTCAAACGTACATATGCTCGTCTTGTTATGCATATGAGTGCTCGGCATGGCTCAGCGTGGCATCAAGTACCTATCTGTATCAGATAGGTTGGGCAATGGGCAGCTGAAGATTTTGTATGAGCTGTTGGTTGCGGTATATGTCGAGGCGAGAGCGTACATGATACATAGTAAGCTCACTTGCATAAGTATCGCCCTAGCACAACCGTCAAGATGCTCACCGCCACTAATTTCAGCAGAGAGTAAACATCTACGAAGGCTCGAAAACATGCTTAGCTGAAGACTTACTGTATCAAAGAGGACGTCAACAGCGAGCCGACAACTGTTGAATGCCCTTGGTGCGGCGAAAGCTGGCCACGTAGCGAATAAACTGGCTTCGCAGATACCTAAACTCAATGGGGGACTCCCCGGTTCACAATGGACTTCGCCGACCGGATGTACTATCCTTGATGACGGGGAATACACTCGAATTGAAAAGGAGACATTGTAGATGGGTGAGTGAATATTGATGTGGATTTGTAGGGCTGTGAGCTAATGGTCTCGCTTACTTGTCCTATCCTCAACGCCTTCGGATGAGGTGAGTTGCTTTGAAGCCGTTGTAAAATCAAAAGAACAAACGTTCCTAGGTAGAGGAGAACTGTGTTGGAAGTTTCAAGTGACTACAGACATGAGAGTCATATCAATGCCCTGGCCTCATGCACGTCCCTCGTTGCCACGACGAACGTGTTGACTCCACAAAAGCGAGTGCATACTTGCTCACAACGGCCAATCGTTCAGTAATAGGAAATACGTACGTTTCTACTTGTCTTAGTCTGCGACACTCGATTGCTGTGACGTTGTTGGGGTCAAGACTTGGTTGTGACTTCCTTCTTCCAAGATGGCGGGGAGCTGGCTTCAGGACGACTGGACGCGTCTCGCGTCGACCTCATTTCCCGCATACTGCACCCCACCAACAAACGTCGCCCCAATGCAGGGTTGATAGCCCTCCAGATGGACTTCGTGCGTCGCGCATGCTCTGCTCAAGCTGGCTAATGCTAACACAATGTAGTGGGTGAGACTTCTCGGCGGCTCACAGAAGAAGAAGCAGGTCGCGCCAAACAACCCACAGCAGCGTCTGACTCGCTTCCGGCAGCGATACAACCAGATCGTGGTACGGTGCGGCTCTCTGGCGTTGCGACTCGGAAGGCTGACACAGGCGACAGCAATCATGGCAGAAGGCGCAAAGTCTCGCAGGCGACCGCGAGGCATTGGGCACTATTCGCCGAGGACTCCAAGCTCTCACCGCGATCCTCAACGATGAATCCCGTTCGCCGGCCCCACACATGTGCCTACAGTTCGCCGCCGCACAGCAGATATACGTAGCCGTCTCCAAGATCGCCGCGACATCGCACGATGAGGGCATGGTCAGGGATGCTGTCGCATTCTTCAATGCGCTCATCGACAGCGAAGAGGAGGACTTTCTTGAGAATGACACGTTCGCTGTCTCCCTGATGAATTTCGTCAATCGCGCTGTTGGTTCGGGAAGCATGGGTGTGGGAGAAGACACCGAAGCTGATATCGTTGAGCTTCTGTTTGGAATTGCCGCCAAAATTAGATTGCAACCAGAGATACTGCCCGTGTGGTTCACCACTGCATCTGCAGGTTCGAGCACACGCCCGGTGAACCAAAAGAACGACTTTGCGGGTATCACACAGAAGGAAGACTTTCCCCTGTGCTACCAACTCATTGATCATGTTCATCACGAGGGTCGTATCGGTGACTTTGCGCGTACTGGCTTGCTCTACGTCTTCGAGTCTGCGTCCAAGTCCATCACGCTGGAACAGTGGATCGTTAATAGCGATCTACCGACTCTCATGGCTACTGGCTTAGGAGCATCATACAGTCAGCTCAGCAGGTGCGCCTCTGCGATCATTCTTGTGTTACGCCCGATGATTAACACCTGCCAGGAAGCTGTCGATTATACACCCGCCTCAGAACATGCCTCTAATACTATCGCTATCCGACTACACGGATATGCAGCCTAATTCGCAAGCCGAGAGCTTTTTCACGGATGAATTTCAAGACCACCTTGTCACCTTCCTGTCCTATCTTGCGTTCTGGCAAGATGTGCTTGAGCACTGCAGGTCTACAGACGTCAGACATACTTTGATTGATCATTTCCAGATCCTTTTTCTGCAGCAGTTATTGTTAGTCCATACATAATTCAGTTCAGATAACGGCCATCAGACTAATGATACTTAGATACCCCTCACTTCTGGAGTCTTCGGATGCCGACGGCGGTTCTTCTGTTGCAGTTCTTACCTACCTACGGCGTATTCTCGATGCTCTCGACCATCCAGAGCTCATACACATGATCCTTCAGTATCTCCTGGCACTTCAGGATCGTACAGCAGCATCCCCTACGATGCCACGATCCCCTGCTGCAGTAAAAAAGCGGCAGTCCCTTATGCTTCTCAGTGTGACTGAGCTGGACGACGAGAAGCTAAACCCATCGCTCTTCAACTTGGTCGATCTGGTCCTAGGTAGCACTGACTCTCCAAACTCGCAAACCGTTGCCGCAGCACTGAAGCTGGCAACCGTCGTACTCAGCAAGAACCACGGCTACGCCCTTGGCTCTATGATCAAGGTGATACATGTGCATCATGATGAGCCGTACCGAACAGTCGGGGCTTTGAATCTCGAGTTAGAGATGTATCTTCACCTTGCTATCGACCTTGCCGGTGAGGATGGTGTCGATGAGTCTTATGAAAACCATCTGAAGGACATACTGAGCATGCTTGAGGGCCATCCTTGCTCGCTCAAGTCCATTTCACAGACTTCGAAACCTTCGCAAAGTTCGGGCTACTTTGACGCGGGCTACTTTGACTCGGGCGAGCCCACAGCTGGGGAGGTGGCCCCACATTACCTAATTCCTGAAGATCCGCTGTTCAAGTCTCTCGTGGATCTACTGTTGAGGTTTCTCACCAACAACGTGGAAACAAACCTGGCACTTACCGAGACCATTGTCAGCCTGGGGGCTTGCTCGCAGCTGTGCCTGGAAGGATGGCTCTCTGTTGACCCCGCGGATTACCACTTTGAGGCTACTGGGCTTGAGCCTACCGAATTCTCGAATGATAGTCTACGAGACATGTACAAAGCTAATAGGTTTCCAAGCTGGAGTCCATCCGCCACTCCACAGCTACTTGCATGTTTGCAGCAACTCGAAGCGCAAGTCGATGCTCTGCGCGCGGATATTCCGGACTGGGACGACCATGTTGCCAGTCGTAAGAACGCCTTTCGATTCCATGAAGAGTTGAACGACGCAACGAAGATGCCGACACCTCAGCCAAAGCCTAGCCGTCAGCCATCAGAAACAGGGTCTTCAATGTCGCAAATACCCAAACATATGCTCGACAGTTCCGTAACGCCATTCCGGGCTCAGTCTCCCAGAGGAAGAAAGGAAGCACTCTCAGATAAGAAAAATAAATCAGCCCCGTCTCCTGCTCCCTCCAAGCTCGGTGGACAGACACTGATCGGTTCACCGTCGAGAACTCTGTCGCCGCTTCCAGCACCACAACCTGGACAGCGCAGTACCACGCTCATCTCAGACATCGACGCCAACTTCGCGGGTCTGAAGCATTCCGAGTTTTTCAAGAGACGCATACGCTTCTGTCGCCATGCAGGTTCGCAGACCATCGAGGTCATGCTGTCCAAGTATCTGCCTCCACCAAAGGATGCCACTGACAATGCCGTTGCTGGTGCCGGGCCAGAAGCAGTCGAAGATGAAATTTGGGAGGCTAGCCTCTTGCACATTGTTACAAACGTAGTCCTCCTGCAGGAGTTCGTGCTGGAGCTAGTCGCCCTGCTGCAGGTCAGGGCGAGCTTGTTTAACGAAGTTCGTTTTACATAACGGACTGTACAAAGACTACAAGCCCAGAACTTTCATACACGTGTTAGATTGAGTAGCGAAATATACCCCTTTACACTGTTCACCTAGCACAATTCTCGTCGTCTTGTTTTGTGCTTGCTAAAATCCAAAAACTCGGAGCATCTTCCAGCGATGCTCGGAATAATTCCGTTGCGTGCTTGATGTCGGACGTTTCCGGAGCGCCGTCGCAGCGGCTTTAACCCAACGTCATTTTTTCACATGGAAAGAACACCCCGCCATCACAAGCAAGAGCGTGCGCACGAGCGCGTGAAAGTCGACGATAGTCGCGAGCCATACCAAGATGAGACCTCAATGCTTCCTTATGACAGTGGCTCAGAAACAGCGACTCAATGCACGGGGTGCTAATGCTTGAATTCGGCAACGCATCTGCCCCCCAGCCGACGCCCGGCCGAAAGAACAACCCCCCACTCGACCTTCCGCTCGCCCACCCACGGAGACGGAGATCTGGGGTACCTGCGTAGCCCCGCCAAGAGACCCTGATTGGAACGAGACGCGTGCCTTCCCGTGAGAATGAGGGCCGAGGCATGCGACGGAATAATTTTTGGTCACGCAGCTGGGACCCGCGGGTAGGTCTGGCTCAGGCAGGCTGGCGTGGTTTAGAATATGAGTCTTGGGGTTCCCTTTATTTGTTTGTGTACTGTTTGTTGAACACTTTTTTGTTGCTTGGGTTGTCTGAATTGCTTGTCCGTGTGTGTGTGTGTGGTAACTTTATTCGACAAGCCGAGGCCGTTTGGTAGCTGGGTCGAAGGGAGCTTCTGGGACCGGATTACCAGCTTCAAGACGCGTCATTTTTGGACCTCTTTCCTTCGATCCGAACTGCATACCCTTTCTCGGTCCTTGACTTTCGACTCGCGAACACGCTTTCCTTTGATTCAAACTCCCACTACACAACATGTCGAGGTCTGACCGGAAGAAGCCCGCTACGGCGGCCACCAACTTGATCGGTATGCGCCTGGATGAGAGATTGGGGTGCAGCAGTGGGTTGCTGACTCTTTGGGTGTAGCTGGTGGAGGTGCAGGAATGATGGAAGCACTTGTGTGCCATCCTCTGGGTAAGTTCTCGCAAGAATTTGGCTGTGTGATGGCTCTGACATGATCTAGATACTATCAAAGTCCGTATGCAGTTGTCGAGACGAGCTCGTGCGCCTGGTGTACGTGCAATTCCCATCTCCAGCCTTGACGGCTTGATAGACTTCAAATATGGACCTTGCTAATGCGAGGTGAATGCAGGCTCCCAAGCGAGGCTTTATCACGACAGGAGCAGAAATTGTGAAGCGGGAAACAGCACTCGGTCTCTACAAAGGTCTTGGTGCGGTGCTTACGGGCATTGTGCCCAAGATGGCGATTCGGTTCACAAGTTTTGAGTGGTATAAGCAGGCGCTGGCGGACAAGCAGGGCAACGTCAGTTCGGGGTCTACATTTCTCGGTACGTCTGGCGTCTCTCTGCAATTGGTAGGGAGGGAATTGCTAACAAGAGATAGCTGGTCTCGCTGCTGGTGTGACAGAAGCTGTTATTGTTGTCACTCCCATGGAAGTCATCAAGATCCGATTACAAGCTCAACACCACTCAATGGCCGACCCACTGGATGTGCCCAAGTACCGCAACGCTGCACATGCTCTCTACACCGTGGTCAAGGAGGAAGGTGGTGGTGCGCTGTGGCGCGGAGTCTCTCTCACAGCGCTGCGCCAGGGAACGAACCAGGCTGCCAACTTCACGGCATACTCGGCACTGAGGGCGCGACTTCAGGAGTACCATGGCACAAATACGTTGCCGGGGTGGGAGACGAGTTGCATTGGGTTGATCAGTGGTGCTATGGGGCCATTCAGCAACGCGCCCATTGACACAATAAAGACGAGGCTGCAGAAGACGGCTGCGGAGCCTGGGCAGAGTGCTGTGCAAAGGATTGTCGCTATCGGCAGGTGAGTGCCAGACGTGATTCTTTTCCTGGACCGATGCTGACACTGCCACAGCGATATGTGGAAACAGGAGGGTGTCCGCAGTTTCTACAAGGGTATCACGCCCCGCGTCATGCGTGTCGCTCCTGGACAGGCTGTCACATTTACCGTGTACGAGTACCTCCGAGGGCTGCTGGAGAAGTCAAATCTGACGCTGGTGGGAGGCAAGTACGAGGAGTAGAGTCTGACGAGTCTTGTTGATATCCGCGTCGCATTGAGTTGCTCCGCAAAGCACCGTTGAGTCGTCAATTGGATGTATAAAAAAGTAACTTGTTCACTACGCGTCTTGCTGCTTGGTGATGTACAGTCAGAGGAGGCTGCCAAGTGCGTGAGCCCACTTGCCCCACTATTGACCCTCCCACGTCAGAGTAAACATTGCTCCACCACAACCCCAACCTGTCCTCTCGTCGTCTTGCGTTGCGTTTGTAGATATTCGAGTAGTAGTACAACACAGTCCGGGATTTTGGACCCTCAGCACCCACCAACATGCAGTCCGGCATCTCCGGTAACACACACCCCCACATGCTGCCCGCCCGTCTCTAGCAGAGAGAGCTAACAAATACGACAGCATCGCAGGAGCTCAAATCGGCCCTCGGCACCCTGATAACGTCGTCGTCGCAACGCGGTCTCCTCGCCACCATCCAAAACGAAACCATTGTCCCCAGCGCCACAATCTCGTCGTCGTCGTCGGCGTTCCTCTCCGACTTGTCCAACCTTAGCAAACACGTCCAGCCCAATGCCGCACTCTACATCCTCCTCCGGCGCGCCGACTCGCTTTCGTCTCCCGATAAGTCGCTGGTCGCAGTCACTTACGTGCCCAACTCAGCGCCCGTACGCCAGAAGATGCTGTTCGCCAGCACGCGGTTAACGATGGTGCGCGAGCTGGGCAGTGAACACTTCGCCGAGAGCGTCTTCTGCACGGAGGCCGACGAGCTGACGAGCCAGGGCTGGGAGAAGCACGTCAAGCACTCGGAGAGCGAGAACCCCCTGACAGCCGAGGAGCAGAGCCTGCAGGACATCAAGGCCGCCGAGGCGCTGGAGAGCCGCGGCACCCAGGGTCAGAGCCTCGCGCAGGGCGGGAAGCTGGAGATTCGCGCTGCTGGCGGTATTGCGGAGGCGCTACGTGGGCTGGGCAAGGGAGGCGATAACCTCGTCCAGTTGCGTATGGATGCTGCGACTGAGACGCTGCGACTTGTTTCCTCCACGTCTGCTACGCCGTCTACCATCGCGTCGTCGATCGATACAAGGGAGCCAAGATATGCCTTCTACAGGCACGACGACCCCGACACGAGCATCGTCTTCATATCGACGTGTCCGAGCGTGGCCAAGATCAGGGAGCGCATGCTGTACGCCGCGAGTCGGGCGAACGTCGTCGGTCTGGCGCAGAACGAGGGCGGGCTGAAGGTCAATAAAAGGATCGAGGCGACGAACCCGGAGGAGGTTACTGAGCAGGTCATACTGGACGAGTTCAAGGTTGGGAATGTGGAGGAGAAGAAGGGCTTTGCTAAGCCGAAGAGGCCAGGGCGGAAATAGACGATGGACATGTTAACTTGCATATATTTTTACGAACTCATGACTCGGAGACTGCATTGCAAGACCACGGACGTACCTATTGGTGAACCACGAGGATAAACGACTTCTAACGACATTCCTAGCCCATCACCGACGCTAATCCTCCCCCCTCAAAAACCCCCTACTCCCCCCACCATGCGCCCTCCTCTCCACCCTGCTATGCAGAAAATTCGCCTTCCCACCCTTCCTCTTCTCCACCTTCCTCCCCTTCAACCAATGCTCCCTCACATTCCGCGAATCCCTATTCGCCTTTGGCGGCAGCACCTTATTCTGCCCGCGCAGCACGGCAACACTCAGCTTCCCCTTCCGCACATCCTTGGGCAGCGTGTCGCCGCGCTCGAGGAACTTGATGTGGTGGTTCAGTTTCTCCTTGCGGCGCTGTTCGTCTGTTTTTGCGTGGCGCTCGGGGGGCGGGGTGGGGGGTCGGGCGTGGTCGATTGCGGAGAGGAGGGCGTCGGGGAGGAGGGCGGGGAGGTTGTGTGGGTCTAGGGGGGTGGTGGGGGCTTGGGCGGAAGCGGATGAGGAGTGCTGGGTTTGCTTGGCGAGTGCTTTTGCGAGTTTGGCTGCTTTCTTCTCCTCGCGCTTGAGCTTCTCGGCGCGCTCAGAGGCCAGGCGCTGCTCGCGGGCTGTGCGCTGCGAGCGCTCTTTTTCTTGCTGGACTTGCAGGGCGCGGGCGCGGGCGCGGGCTGCGTCTGCTTCGGCGAGCTTGAGCTTCGAGGCGGCGGACGCGGTGGTGACTACGTCGGGGGCTTCGTCCGAGTCGCTGGCCGAGTCGTCGCCGTCGTTCATTTCTGGTTGTGCTGGTGTGGGCTGGAGGGCTGCGAGGAGCGCGAGGTCTACTTGGGGTTCCTCGCTGCCGAAGCGCACGTGTGCCTTTTTCAAGGGTGATGCAGTCGTTGGAGCACTTTGAGAGGCGATGGGGGTTTGTTCGCTCTCCTGTGTGGATGACGGGATCTCGTCGACGAATTTCAGTGCTCTTGGCGTGGTCTCGTCTGGCTTCGTCTTGCGCCCGCTCTTCTTCGCTGAGGCAGGTGTTCGGTCCTTGGTCGATTTGACTTTTGGCGTGGGCGATGCCTCCTGCTTCCTCCTCGTGGCTGGCGTCGCGTACACGGAGCTAGCCTGTTGTTCTGGCGTGTGGAAGGCATTATCCTGCGTGGGCGTGGCTTCCTCGTCGTCGTGCAAGTCCGCAACGCTGTCCTCCACAGGCGGCGAGGGCTTGTGAGCGACGACAACCCTAGGGCTCCCTGCGCGGCGACGGATGGGGAGCTTGTCTGCCTCTGAAAAGTCCAGCTCGGGGACGGCGACGTCGATGGTGTCTGAGCTCTCCCCTGCGACTTCGGGCGAAGGTGCGTCTGGCTCTGGTGTCTCTTCGATTTCCTTCTTCTGTGGCGCAACCTTCTTCTGCCTCTTAGCCGCCGAGATTGTCGGCGTCTCCAGCCCCTCCAACTCCCTCTTCCCGATGCGTTTCCTGCTCGAGCTCCGCGGTGTCGCCGTCTCCGAGCGCGGAGTATCCGTCCCTGCGCCTCGCCGTGTCACCACCATTGTGATATCGATGTGGCGTCGAAGCTTTGGTTCTGCCGTCTCCTCAGGTTGTTCTTGGGCAGGGGACGCGGGATTCAAGATCCGTTTGGCCGAGTCGAAAAGTTGCGCGAACATTTGCGATGGTGGATCCAGGAATTTTTAGCTTGTTAGCGCTAGTGTAAGAATTGCATAGGTCGGGTCGGCTCTACCACCGGGTGTCGCGACGATTTTCCCAATCACGTGCGCAAAATCAATATTACGAACACCAAAACTCTGAAACAGCGCAACATTACAGCAAATACATTCTATGTAGCTGTTTATATGCTTTAGACCGTATTATATCAACCTGTACATTATTCGCGAAGCTTAAATTCTGTGATTTAATGTTAAAGTAGAGATGCTGTTGCACGTGATTGGGAAAATCGTCGCGACACCCGGTGGTATATATGCCCGCGGACCTCCGAGGGCTACAATATCATCGCTTCGTCTTCACTTTCACCACAGATTGCTAGGGTTTGTCGGCGGCATGTCTTCTTCTCGTTTTGTAGCACGTGCAGGGAGGTCAATACTCGGGTCGGAACCATGTGCGTTCTGCCAGTCGCGCCAGTTTTCAACCGCTGTCCATCTTGATGGCTTCATAAATCGCATTGCGAGAGTGGACACACCTAGAAATAATGTTTCACGACGAAACTATGCAAACCAAACGTTGGATGTTCGAAGACTGCGTGGCGACGTCGACAAGCGCGCTCGAGTCGGATTCTATACTCTGAACAAGAAGCAGAGGGTGCTCCAGATGGAGGCGCACACAGCAGATGCAATCATTGCAGACTTTCTTGCGCAGAGGAGCAATCTAACTCATGGGAGCAATATCCGACGAGTAGCCAAGAGTTCGTGCGAACAACGTCTTCTTGACGCGGCGAGTACTGACGTCTGTCAGAGTACCAGGTGGATATAGAAGCCCTCGCCTCACTCGCAATCGTCACATACAGAGTACCAGACTTGACTGACCCAGCGAAACGAGCTCAGCTCCCTCCAAGTCAGCACAAGACCATCGCAGGCCTACTCCTCCAAGGATGTGCCCAAGCCGAAGACCCCCTCGCCATCGTCCACATCATGACCGCCGTCTACTTAAGCACAGTGACCGCCGAACCCGCCTACAAAGAAATCGCCCGCCTCTTCCCACAGTCCGAGCTCGTCCAGTACCGCAAAACCCTCGAAAAAATCGGTTCCCAAGCCCAGTCGATAGCCCTAGGACCCGAGGCCCTAACACTGCAAGGCCTGTTCCTGGAGAAAGAAGGACAGCGGCAAAAAGCCCAAGCCGCATACGAAGAAGCCGTCAAACTTTGCCATTTCAAGTTCAACCCCCGCGCCAGACACCCCATGCAAATCCCCCTCATCACGCCCTGGAACGCCTTGGGGTATTTGCTGAAAAGCGACCAAGATCCTAGCGTCCGATTGCAAGCCAAAACCTATTTCGAAAAAGGGGCCTTTGAAGGCGACGACCCCCTGTCTTACTACGAACTATCTGCCTTCGAGGAACGAACAAGCACAAACTGGCTGCAGTACACCAGCAAAGCAGCCGCGTCAGGGCACCGGGAAGCCATGGTGAACCTCGCCGCCTTCTACCAAGACGCTTCCACCGACTCCTCCCCGGTTCTCGCAGACAGCAAGTTGAAGTCGGCACTGGGATGGCTGACGGGCTGGAAGAGCGGCAGTGCAGCGGCGCTTGCGAGGGAGTGGTTACAGGCTGCTGCGAATGTAGGGCATAAACCGTCTCTGTTCCGGTTAGCGGATCACTACGAGGCGACGGGGGATCACGAGCGCGCGAGGGAAGCTTTGAGACGCGTCTTGGATCCTCCGGGATCGGCTGAGAGGGGGGAAGAGTGGCCGCAGCTTGTTCAGCAGGCGAGGAAACGACTAGCTGGGATCCGGACGTGAGGGGGATGGGATGTTGGACGTGGAGGCGTGGGGAAATAGTGAAGTTGGAGGAGTAGAATTAAAATGACTTCCTCTCCCCTATGGAGAAGAAGATAGAACGCCTGACTACACAAGCAGTTCCTTGAAGAAACCTGTTCACTTAAACTTTTGAGATCTTGAGATATCTCCAGCAGTTGAAAACCTCGATAATGACACAGTACAAAAGCTGACCACCGCAACAACGCACAACAATACTTCCCACACTTTAGATCTGCGAGACAAATACACAATACTCGCACTCCATAACCCATCCATCTCAACGACACAGTTCGCGCCAAGAATCCACACCAACTAGCGCAGTGACGTGAGCGAAACAAGCCGGCCTCGGCTAACTAACTAAATCATCATAACCTCGCCCGCGCAAACGGTCGAGCGCCGATACTATCCCTCTTCCCCGCCCTCTCGCCGTCGCATTCTGCCTAACAACCACGCACTCGCCTTGAACCTCGAACTCGTTCCACGCAGGATCAGAATTAGGACTGTGGGAGGAAATCACAGCACGCGAAGATGTCGGGATTAAGGATCTTGGTCCCTATCAAGCGGGTCATTGACTATGCGGTATGTAGTATTACTTCTTTGACGGGACGCATGCCTGGAATTTCGCTCTTGGAAAGCAAGGAAGACATCGCAGTCGCCCTCCTTCCAGCCCACCAGAACCCCCAAACCCTCCCACCCACTAACACCACCCAGGTAAAACCGCGCGTAAACCGCGCCCAAACAGCCGTAGAAACCGCCTCCGTAAAACACTCCATGAACCCCTTCGACGAGCTCTCCATCGAAGAAGCCGTCCGGCTACGCGAGCGAAAAACCACCCCCGTCGACGAGATCCTCGCCTTCTCCGCCGGCCCCCCAAAAGCGCAGGACATCCTCCGCACCGCAATGGCCATGGGCGCCGACCGCGCCATCCACGTCGTGGTCGAAGAAACCGCCGCGCTGGAACCCCTCGGCGTAGCGAAATTGCTCAAGAAAGTTGTCGAGGAACAGAATGCGAATCTTGTGATCTTGGGGAAACAGGCGATTGATGATGATGCGGGGCAGACGGGCCAGATGCTCGCGGGGCTGCTGGACTGGGCGCAGGCGACGCAGGCGTCGAGGGTTAGTGTCAATGATGGGGCGGTGGAGGTGGTGCAGGAGGTGGATGGTGGGGTGCAGACTGTGAGGGCGAAACTGCCCATGGTGGTTACGACGGATTTGAGACTCAATGAGCCAAGGTATGCGAGTTTGCCGAATATCATGAAGGCCAAGAAGAAGAAGCTGGAGAAGAAGACGTTGGCGGATTATGGGCTGGATACGGAGCTGAGGCTTAAAACGGTCAAGGTTACGGAGCCGCCGGCGAGGAAGGGCGGTGTCAAGGTTGAGGATGTGGATGGCATGATTGGGAAGCTGAAGGAGTTGGGTGCGTTGTAGATGAGTATGCGATGCGTGGGTAGGAATAAAATAATCGCCACCGCTCAAAACGAGGAGTGTCACTGAATCGCTTGATTCCCACGACGGTCTAGGTACCAAGCTTATTTACCCTGCAACCTCTTCATCCTCTCCTCCGCCGCTCGCGCCCTCCTCTCCCTCTCAATCCTCGCCCTCGCCTCGGGCGTCAACCCCCTAGCCTCCTCCTCCCTCAGCTCCGCCCCCGTCTTAACAGGCAGCGCCCCCAGTGCCTTCCCCTTCCCAATACGCTGTTCCCTTTTACTCGTCTCTTGCGCCTCGCTTTCCTTCCTCAACCGCTCCGTCTCTGCCTTTCTGCGCTCAGACTCTGATTTGTCCTGTGCTGCCTTCTCCGATTTGTCTTGTGCATCGCGCTTCTCAGCTTCGGCTTTCGACAGGGCGGCGGGGATGCCGGCTGTCTCCCAGTCCCAGGCAGATTCGCCGAGCTCCGAGCGGGAGACGCGGAAGGCGTCGCGGGTTGCGCGGTCGCCGGCTAGAGTGAAGGGCGTTCGGGCGTCGTCGTTCATGAGTGTTGGGTCTGCGCCTGCTTTGGTTAGGAGGGCGGTGACGATAGGCGCGGAGTTGAGGGATGCGGCGAGATGGAGGGGCGTAGGCGTGTGGTGGTTGACAGGTAGAAAGGTGAACGTTGGGGGGATGTTGTTCGTCTTGAGGTAGTTGAGAAGACCCGGGACCTTCGATCTTCTTATCAGAGGAATGATCTGAGACGTGTGCAGTGTTATGGCCTCGTCTTCCTTGGATAGCTTCTGAGGCTTTGGTTTCGCAGGGGCAGGTGTTGCGGGAGAGCTGTCGGTCTGGGGAGCGTTCAGTGCAGCCAGTGCAGCTTCGTCGATGGTGCTCTGCTTGACTCTTGTGAGCTCGACGAAAGCGCGCATAAGCTCCTTCTGCGTCGCTCGCCGAGTGCTGAATGGAAACCCTCTGTTTCGTGGGTCATTGTTTCGAAGTACCTGCCCCTCGTAAGGCCCAAACAACGTCCGTCGATTTGTGCTCCCAGTCGCCCGAACGAACACTAGGTCTGCGGTGTCGATCATAGTCTTCCAGCTCGACAGCAGCTCACGCACTTCATTGACGAGTGCGGTCTCGTTGTATCGACGGATGGAGGAACCTGCCGAGTGCGCATTGCCCTTCGCGTTGTCGTTTGCTGATTGAGACCCACCCTGCTTTCGTCGAGTCGTGTATCTGTGGAAGCCCTTGTGCGCAATGACGGTTGCTGACCGCTCGTCTACTCCGGTGTGTTTCTTTCCCATCTTTGGGGCCAATGCAACAACCATGGCGGCGAAGTGGCCACCCCCGATCATGCAGAGGAAGTAGTGCGGGCCAATGTCTGTTCCAGGGAGAGGCACACCACCATCAGACTTGCCTTTTGGCGGCTGTGTTGGCGAGAGCTGCTTCTTTCGTATTGTTTCTAAGATGTGTGACTCTTCTTCCTGCTCTTCGTTCGTGAAGATTGCGCGATAGACTCCAAGTGACATGTTATCAGGAACCGCTGGCGATGAGAACCAGAACAACGGAGGCTTCCCTGCGCCATGGTGCTTCTTCCTCGACGCAAACTCGTCGAATTCTGGATTCGAAATCTTAGCCTGTTTCTTGAGGAGCGCGCTCGACGTAGACTCCTTTGGCTTGTTCCCGTCCTCCTCGTCTTCATCCTCGTCCGACTCGTCCGACTCGGAGCCTGAGATACTCTCGTCCAAGTCCCCGATGAGCTTCTCAAAGTCTGCCTCGCCGACTGGCTTCGCGCCCTTTATCCTCTGCTTCAGATTGTAGCCATGGAGATCGGACCGAATATGGGTGCGCTGTTCTGCGACTGAGGCGAAGTTCAGCCCGCAAAGGCTGCATGAAGTGGCCTTTACGGGGCTGCTGTCTTCTGTCTCTGCCTTTTCTGACGGTTCGTTTGCTGGTGAGTGTGCTGGAGGAGAGGTTTCTTGTACGGGTCGGTCAGGCTGGTTCTTGAGGCTGAGTGTGGCTAGCAGTTCCTCAGGCAGATCAAACACTATCTGAATTAGTCACGAGTGGCAGAATTTGGTGTGGGCTTGCTACCATAGAGAGGTCGCTGGAACAAATGCTCTCCCTTCTGGGCCATTTTGGCGTACTTCAAGGTGACTTTTGGCGTGGGGTCGAGGTTGTGAGTACTTTGTAGGCTGCAGCTGTGATTTGGTGGGGAGGCATAAAATCCGATGACGCGCATTCGTGCCATGAGTCATGCGTGCGCTAGGCCATCAGCACGCGCGGTCGCGTTCCCCGACTTCACTCCGCGACTTCCTTTCCAGATATTCTCATCCATGCTTTACATCTACTTGACAGTCTAACTACACAATGTAGAGCACTGTACAGCTGTGTTAATGTAGACGGCTGCTCGACTCAGCTTGCCCTTCTATCTCCGAACTTGGCGTGTCGACTCTTGAGGTAGCCGTGGTGACTTGATAGATATCTTGGAAAGACACAGTGCGGCCCAATGCATAGGTCCAGGGTTACCATGCGCAGCGGACACCCCCGTTCTGCCTCGATCCATTGGATTTCTGTCTTTTGCCATCATCTGTTCCATTCAACAGCGGTCTTTCATCCTTTTCTCAGCTCAAGAGAGGTTCGAATGAGGAGAAAGCTACGAGGATGTAAGGTCCTGGATGCGGTGAATCCAAACTCAACCATGGTGTCATGATTTGTCTATGTAAACCCTTACTAAATGCTGTTCCTAGTAAGCACTGCAAACCGCTTCTACCATCCCGTCTATCGTGCGACCTGTGAAATGTACCGTTACCACGTCTCCTGTCTATACCTCCCACTCTTCTCCAACGACGCTAGATATGCTTCCGCGCCCTCCCTCTCCATCTGCCCCTCACTCTGGAAAACTTCAATGAGCGCCTCACGCACCGCTTGGGGCATCTTGCCCGAGGCGCCGCAGATGTACACTATCCCACCGTGTTCCACGATCGCGGCATAGACGAGTGCGCGTTGCTGGCGAATGAGGTCTTGGACGTAGACTTTCTGTCGCTGGGGAGGAATTGATGTCAGTGTCAGAACCAATAACAATATCGGCAGACGTGATGGATGGGGAGGGGGGGGGGGGGTACAGGGAGAGTAAAACAAGGGGACAGATACCTGATCACGCGAAAATGCAGCGAAAACGTCCAACGGCACACCCACTTCTTTCAGAGCGGCCCATTCGTGTTTGAAGAAGTAATCTGCCTCTGCGTTTCTGCAGCCGAAAAAGAGTAGGTCATTTGCAGGGACTTTCTGCTCAGGAGAAGGGGAGACTGGTTCCTTACGCCACTGCATGCGCTGTTGGATGAGTGAGCGCATAGGGGCTACACCTGTCCCCGGGCCGATCATGACGACTGGCTTGTCGAGTTCCCTCCTGCTCACGCCCAGCCCTCCTTTCGACAGCGTGACGGTGAGTTTCTGCCCTGGCGTGAGCGAGGAGATGTACCGTGTACACACACCCTGTCTTATCTTCTTGATGACTGTTTTGTACTTTACAATCGCGATCAGTAGCTCGATCTTTGTGTTTCCTTCATTGCTCCCGTCGCTGTCTGCCTCGGGGTTCATCGCACTGGCAATGCTGAACTGCCGGCCTCGCAGCACGGGTATGATACTGCACACCCTTTGCCAGGGGATCTTCACACTCTCGAACTCTTGCAGCACTTCGAGGATACTACGCCGCGGGCGCGTTGTGTAGTCGTATAGCTCATCGATGTATTCCGGGTCCGTAAACTCTAACAGACGTGCACGGTGAAAGGGATCTGTTGTGTAGTGGGCGAGGTGGGCGAAGAAGGAGCGACGAGGGATGGAGAGTATGTCAAGGTGGTTTGTCAAGAGCTTTCGAAGTGTGATGGTAGTGTTTTGAGAGACGTTTGAGATTGGCAAGGTGGCAGTTAGGGAGGTGGAAGGTGAGGAGGGGACGAAACGGAGGGGCGTGTCGGCCTGGGACGTCCAGTCCATGATCGCAAGGAACTCGTCTACGTCGACAGGGAAGTTCTTTGGGTAGGTGGTGAGGACGTCGCCAGGGGCGTAGGGACGCGAGCCTGGAATATCGAGTTGCAGGTGGCGAACATCTTGCCAGTGAGTCGTGCGGGTTATCCTCTGGTTGCTTCTGATGGTTGCAGTGAGGCCACCCGGAATATCGAGAAGATCTTGGGGTGGAATATCAGAGGCATCTCCATTTGCAATGACCTTCGTATCGTTATCAAGTGGATTTGATGCCGTACTGTCTGCGAAGTCGAGTACCCATTTTGGGTCTAGTAAAACATCGTCCGGTATCGGATCTTGACCTTCTGGGAGTGGATACTCTTCGACGAGACGTTGGCGAAGAGCTGCAGACCATGAGAGGAAGGAGCCATCGATGCTTAAAGGAGTCAGATGAGATGTTGTCCTTTTGAGCAGGTCATAGCCTATGGAATCGAGATTTGACGGGTTTGAGAAGAGAAGGCTGTGAACAGAGTGGCGATGAGGGAATTGGACGAGGAGCTTCAACGAAAAAGGTTGAAGATGGAGCAACTAATATGAGAAAAACTAACATACCCCTCTGGATGCTGTTCGTCAGACTCGCCACGATCGCATACTGGTTGTGCTCCAAGCTGAATGAGACGATTGTAAAGTTTGCGGTGCGCCCAGTTGAACCTTTTCTATCAGAAGAAGATACACGATGCATTCCACCACGAACTCACTTGGGGTACGAAGTATCGCCAAGTCCAAAAGAGGCGAATCTCATCTGTTGCAGACATCCTGGCCGGAGTCGAGTGCTTCGAAGTGCCTTCCAAAACGCCTGACTGTTGGCTGGCAGCTCACCCTGGCCCGTGGTAGAGATTGAGATCAGAACGAGTTGGTGTTGCAGCAACTGCTTCTGCAAGACAGTCAACCACCTCTCTTAGTGCCATGGCCATTCAAGACATACAAGACCGATGGCGTTCAGCTCAGCAACTTGGGTATCGAATCGCAAGCGCTCAACGACCCTTCCCATCTCCTCGGCAACATCCTGGGCATTGCCTGTTTCGGAGCCATAGAGAACGAGCGCCCGGCGCGGTTGTTGTGTGCTTGGACTCGCCATGGCAGGCGCCTGTGCTCGTGCAGGTGAGTACAAACTGCAGCAAGGCTAGCCGAGAAGAATGGTGTCTGTGAGACGCCCCCAGCGTCGTTCCCAGTGGGTCTTCCGGCGTAAAGACCCGCTTGCCGCTTGACGTGTCCGCGTGCATCACGACTGCTGTGCGAGTGCTTCGCTAAAGGCGAGCATACACACGATGCGAGCACTGCACTCGAGTGTTGCACTGGAGCGCGCACGATGAGAATATGTCTGCTCTCGCGCGTTGGGTGCTGCACGGCCAGACGCCACTCCCCATCTCTCACGTCTCTCTCACCGCATAGGGCTGGTGCCTGCCAGATATGATCGCACTGACCGGGGCACTTTCCAAAAATCCGCCCACTACGCCCGTTGCGGCTAGCGCGGCCATTTTTGAAGGTGCCTCTACTCCCCGATCAACGCTCCTGAGCACTCACTCCCCATCAAGTCAACCCAGAGACGACCAACGCACCCATCAACCCACCCCCTCTCCAACTTCTCCGGGCTCGTAGCTACCCACTCCCACCCCCCTCGTCAACCAGTTCCACCTCCAGGCGGTTCATCTTCCACTCAACACCTGTTCACCGTCGACCTTCACCAGTCTACCCGGACCCAAGTTTCGTGTTCGTCAACCCCCAAACTTCAGCAAACATGTCCGCCCCCGTCGACAGTGTCACCGCCCAGATGGCCAACACCTCCCTTGACAACGCTCCTTCCACGGAGAACACCAGCGCGCAGCAGACCACGGCAGCCGATGACGAGGCCGTCCGTGCCAGCGCCGCTGAGGGCAGGCGACTTTATATTGGAAACCTCGCGTACGCGACCACCGAGGGGGAGTTGAAGGATTTCTTCAAGGACTACCTGGTGTGAGTGGGCCCTGGTGCTATGACGCATCCCTCGGTGCTAACACGTTGCACAGCGAGTCCACGACCATCCCCACCAACCCCCGCACCTCGCGCCCTGTTGGCTACGCCTTTGTTGCCCTGTCCACGCCCTCTGAGGCTGAGCGGGCCATCGCCGAGCTCAACGGCAAGGCCATCCTCGAGCGCAAGGTGTCCATCCAGCTTGCCCGCACTCCCGAGGCCCACACCGAGGGCACTGGCAGCGGTGCTGAGGGTGCCAACGGCTCTGAGAACCGCCGCCGTGGCTCCACCCGGGGCCGTGGTCGCGGTCGTGGCCGTGGCGGTCGCGGCGGCCGTGGTGGCCGTGCTGTAAGTAATGCTGCATAACGAGGTGTGCTGCGCCGGCTAATCATATTGGGTATAGGCTGAGGGCGCTGAGGGTGCCGAGCAGATCGAGCTCACCAACGAGTCCCCCGCGGACAGCACTCCCACAAATGTACCTGGCCAAACTGTCGGCTTGACCGAGACAACGAACGAAGCGCTTACATCCAAGAAGACATCCGCGCCCCGCGAGCGTGCTGAGCGCAAGCAGCGTGGTCCCCCTGAGGATGGCGTTCCGTCCAAGACCAAGGTCATGGTTGCGAACCTGCCCTACGACCTGAAGGAGGACAGGGTATGCCTGGCTAGATAAACCCCACTTTTGACACCGTACTGACCACACGCAGCTCCTTGAGATCTTCAAGGACTACTCGCCCACCCAGGCCAAGATTGCCCTCCGCCCTATCCCCCGCTTCATGGTCAAGAAGCTCCAGGCTCGCGGTGAGCCCCGCAAGGGCCGTGGCTTCGGTTTCGTCACACTCGGTTCCGAGGAGCTCCAGCAGAAGGCCTGCGAAGAGATGAACGGCAAGGAGATCGAGGGCCGCGAGATCGCTGTCAAGGTTGCGATCGACTCCCCCGGCAAGGAGGACGACCACACAGAGGCCCCTGCCGATGGCGAGGCCGCTGCCACTACTACCGATGCTGCTGCCCCCACCGAGTCCGCCGAGAAGCCAGCCGAGCCCGCTGCTGATGCCCCGACTGCCGCTTAGATAGCGGCCGCGGCTTAGACGCCTCCCCCACAGTGAGGCGCGTCGGACATCACACTGCCGTGAATTGCTTCAGGATGGCTGATGAGGAGTCGCAACTTGACTGTTACGTCTCCAACTACCAACGTTTGCTTTGCGCTGCGGAATTGTGTACCGACGGTTCTGGTCTACCGACATCTATCATGTTTTGCTAGACATCTAGTCTCCGGGTTTACTTTGTTCGTTCGAGTTAGCGGGCACGGAAAAGTGAATACGGAGTCTTTAAGGCCAGGGGCTATGGAGGACTTATCTATCACGGATTACGGAAAACTTGTCTTAGCTATATTGAGCTTTGAGAAATATGAATCATGGAATTTATGACATACACTGCACCAATCACAAGCTCGAGGGGGTGATTTGTGCATGCACAGCTGGTGACGACTTACATGGAAGCTAACATATCTTATCCGTCCGCGTAGGCACACTCGAAGAGTATTCTCTGCGTTGTTGACGAGATGAGGAGAAGTGAGCAGCACGGGTCAACATGTCTCAACACCAAGACTCCGGCAATCAAACATTCAACGTATCGTAGTATTCATAAAAGTCTCACCTTCCTTCTCAAAATCCAACTCCAGCCTCCACTCCTTCGCCCCACCCGCTTCATCCTCGCTCTCGCTGTCACTCTTACTCCCATCGCCGTAATAAGCGGTATACACAGTACTAGTTTCCTTCTCCATATCCTTCCCATCGTCTGTCCACTCCGGCAACGAGGCGACATACCCAGACCCCTTAACCGAGCAGCCAGCGAAGACTTGTCGGAAAAGGGGATTGAGACTCGGCAGCGAGGCGGCGAGAATGCCCATGTCGACTTCGATTTGCGACCACACGGGGACCCAGGCCCACGTCCTAGATAGCATAGCGTGTAAGTGGTGGGGTTGGATGAGAGTGGGAAGGAAGGGGATGTACCAGGTAGTATCTGCTTCTTGCCACGATACACCGGCGGATAGCGGGCTGCCTGACATGACGATCTCGCAGAGACGCATGGTGGATGCTATGACGGGGACTAGACCGATAGAGAATATGAGGGCGAGGGCGGCTGCAGAGTTTAGTTGGCTGCTGAGCGAAATATATTGTAGAATGCATTTGGGGGACCGTACTTCGTTGTCGATTGTTGAATGCAAGCAAGGGGAGTAGAGGTAGAGGAAAGAGTAGCAAGACAATGTCTGTTGCGATGTTGATAGCAGCCGAGGACCGCATGAACGCTGCGCCGCTGATACACGAGTTTGGTAAGGTTTCGATGTTCCAGGTGTAGGAGATGGGTGTGCATGCGAAGAATTGTGCCTGGTATTGTCATGAGTTGCTGGGTCTGTGGAGAAGATGAACGGCTGGTTAGGTACCAAGAACACAGCGAGGGTGAATGCGGTGATCAGACTGGCTGTCATCCATACTGCGCGAGATTGTACGGTCCAGGGGAGTCCTTGTTTCCCTGATCCGATGCGGTGGTAGAGTGCCAGGATGCTCATTTTTACTGTCCTGCAGGTGAGGTTAGTATGTCTTCCTTCAGTGAAGAAAGAGTGTGTATACCAATTCCCGACGAAATATAGAAGCATATTAATCCAGCTATACTACCAAAAGTCAGTAGGATGGCCAGAGGTTACATGCAAACGCATTCACCATCAACATCCTCTCCATTTGCTCAACATGTAATTCGTTGGCATGGCGCCCGCGCCCATTCTCGACTTGAAAAAGTATTGTCACTGTTTGTGCAGCGCCGAGGATCTTTGGTGTCATTAGTTCCACTGCATTACTCAGTATGAGCATGACTTACCTACGATGGCAACGGCGATGAATATGTCATCAAGCCCAAATCTCTTGACAATAAACCCACGGGTGAAAAGGCTACCTACGGTAAGTAATTGCAAAGGAGAAATGTGACCCTCGACATACCGAAGCGCAACAACAGCCAGGGCAACCGTGTACATTCCCAAACTCACACGGTTTATCAACGGTCCTCGGTCGTCTCCAGGCGCTGCATCGATGATATGTCCCATCTATTCTCGAAACCCCAAAGATCCCAACCCTGACGATAGAGCCCTTGCACTCTAATACTCTGGTCCACAGAGACGGACCGACGACGTGAAGTATGATAAAAATGACAAAAGGTAATAAGCGAAATCAGTTAATGGCGCGCAATGCTTCAATATAACACGACGCTCATGTCACGTAGCCCCGCCTCGGCATAATAAAGCGACCGCTGAAACCCGTCTTTTGGAATAATTCAAGACAAAAGGAGATACCGAGGCGACGCGCGGATGAGAGTCGACATCGGATTTCTGACGGAAACATGGTGCGGCGCATCTTGTTTTACGCGACTTTCCGAAACCCGACATCCTGGAATGGCAAACGGATGCCCAAGGCTTTCAGATTCGGTTTGCAGATGTACTGGAACGCATGTTCATCGACAGGGGTGGTTGCATTGCGCATCGGTCGCTCGTGTGTTCCCGTAAACACAGGTTCCGGAACAACGTCTGAGCGAGTGAGTTTGTGAGACAGGCACGGCAGTTTGGAGACAAAATTCCGACAGATTGAATGAGATCTGAGGGCTAGTGTCGTGTCCAAGTCTGGTCGCTGTCATCGATCTGTGCGATCAGTCGGGAGATGTCATAGCCGTGGTTTTGTAACTGCGGCAGTTGAGTATGTCAATCAGGCACACCACGTGGTAAAAGAGGCACATATAGTTTGAACAATTCGTTTCCGTTGCCTATCTGACTCAAGTGTCGAAACTTCGCTATCTAGGTATCATGGTTGACTCTATGTACGGGTTCATGACTATCACAATGTGTCAGTGAGTGAACCCAAAGAGTGCTTTGAAACAGTACAAAAGCAATACATGCACTCGCTCACAGACGAGGCCTGCTCGAAACACTCGACGATCCACTCACCGACTTGGCCTTGAGATCGTATCGGTCGTTGCTCATGACCTTGTCCCAAGCGGCCACGAAGTCCTTCACAAACTTGTCTGAGTTATCAGGCGTTGCGTAGAATTCCGCAATAGCGCGAAGCTCAGGGTGTGCGCCGTAGATGAGATCGTGGCGAGTAGCAGTCCACTTCTGGCTGCTCTTACGGTTGACGCTCTCGTATAGTTCTGGTGGGTTGCTGGAGTCAGCACCTGTCCAGGAGGTGTTGACGTCGAGAAGATTGACAAAGAAGTCGTTAGTAAGCTGGCCAGGACGCTTTGTGAGAATACCGTTGGATGAGCCATCCCAGTTGAGGCCCAATGCACGCGCGCCACCGACAAGGACAACCAGCTCAGGGGCGGTGAGGTTGAGGAGATGAGCCTTGTCAACATCCAACTGCTCGGTGCGAACACGCTCCGTACCCTTGCCGTAGTTGCGGATGGGATCAGAGACGGGCTCGAGGTGCTCGAATGACTGAGCATCGGTCTGCTCGTCAGTCGCGTCAGTGCGACCGGGTGTGAACGGAACGGAAACACCTGCAGCCTTCTCGAGTGCGGCAGCACCAGCCAGGACAATCAAATCCGCGAGAGAGATCTTCTTGCCAGAGCCGTTGAACTTCGATTGCACACCCTCGAGGGCCTTGAGGACCTCGGCAAGCTCCTTGGGGTTGTTGACCTCCCAGTCCTTCTGGGGAGCGAGGCGGATACGGGCACCGTTGGCACCACCACGCTTGTCACTTCCGCGGTAGGAGGCAGCGGATGCCCAGGCAGTGCGAATAAGCTTGGAAGGCTCGATACCAGCGTCGAGAACCTCCTTCTTCAGGGAGGAGATCTCAGACTCGCCAACAAGGTCGTGGTCGACTTCGGGGACAGGGTCTTCCCAGATGAGAACCTCCTTGGGGATCTCAGGGCCAACCCACCTGGTTCGTGGACCCATATCACGGTGGAGAAGCTTGAACCAGGCACGGATGAAAGCGTCGTTGAGCTCCTCAGGGTGGTCCACCCATCGGCGGGTGATCTTCTCGAAGCCGGGATCCATGCGCAATGCCAGATCGGTGGTCAACATCCTAGGCTTGTGCTTCTTGTTGGAGTCGTACGCATCGGGGACGATAGCGTCGGCGTCCTTTGCAACCCACTGGTTGGCGCCAGCAGGGCTCTTCTCCAGCTCCCACTCGAACTTGTAGAGGTACTCAAGGTACTTGTTGCTCCACTTGGTGGGGGTACCGGTCCAGATGACTTCCAGACCACTGGTGATTGTGTCTGGGCCCTTGCCACTGCCGTGCTTGTTCTTCCAGCCGAAGCCCTGGTCTGAGATGTCGGCGCCGTTGGGGTCTGGCCCTGTGTTCTCGGAGGGAGCAGCACCGTGCGTCTTTCCAATGGTATGGCCACCGACGATAAGGGCAGCAGTCTCCTCGTCGCTCATGGCCATGCGGCTGAAAGTCGTGCGGATGTCATGTGCGGCAGCAACAGGGTCAGGGACACCGTCGGGACCTAGGAGAGTCAGCTTCTGGTAGAGTTCAGTACCGCTCCAAGGAGCACCTACCCTCGGGGTTCACGTAGATGAGACCCATGTGTGCAGCAGCCAATGGCTTCTCGAGTTCGCGTGCTGTGTGGATGTCCTTGTGGTCCTTCTTGTGCTGGTCGCCATCGACAACGCCCTGTCCCTCGACGCCCTTGCTGCCGTCCTTGTAACGGACGTCGTTGCCCAGCCACTCGGTCTCGCCACCCCAGTAGACAGACTCGTCAGACTGGAAGGTATCGGCACGTCCACCGGAGAAGCCAAAGGTTGGGCAGCCCACGGACTCGAGGGCTACGTTGCCGGTGAGGAGCATGAGGTCGGCCCACGAGATCTTGTTGCCATACTTCTGCTTGATGGGCCAGAGGAGGCGACGGGCCTTGTCGAGGGACACGTTATCTGGCCAGGCGTTGAGAGGGGCAAAACGCTGCTGGCCATCACCACCGCCACCACGGCCGTCAGAGACACGGTAGGTTCCTGCCGAGTGCCATGCCATTCGGATACTGCAAGCAACGTCAGCACGTCATTCCTCACTGCATTGACGACTTGCTACTCACAAGAGACCGCCGTAGTGACCGAAGTCGGCGGGCCACCACTCCTGCGAGTCGGTCATCAGGGCATTGAGATCCTTCTTCAATGCATCGTAGTCGAGCTTCTTGAATTCCTCGGCGTAGTTGAATTCTGCGCCTAGAGGGTTCTGCCTTGGGTCATGTTGGCGCAGGATGTTGATCCTGAGCTCGTTTGGCCACCAGTCGATGTTCTTGGTGCCACCGCCTGCGACGTTGGCCGTCTTCATGGGACACTCGCCTTTGGACATGATTGCTGTAGTTGAGTGAGATGTGTGTAGGAGACGTTGAGAGAACAAGCTGCGATCACGACCGTCTGGAGCAGCGTTGATATAAGTAGTGGGGCAATCAATTCATAAGCACGGTTGTCTGGAATGCCACTGGCTCTTGCCCCTCCCGCCACCCCGCTCCGCATAATTTAGCTTGTTGGCGGCATCGATCACGTCTGCCCTGCACTCACTCCACTTGACACCCTGATGGCTGACAACACTCCAAGACGAATGGACTCACTTTTCGGGGGTTATGCGCCAATCGCAACTACATTCCATGTCTGGCTTTCGATTTCCTCGTGGATGGCAGTCTTCATCTCGCAGAGCTATGAACGGTATCCTCCGGCCGATCAAGCTACAGACAAATCAGAGCCAACGGATTGATGTTTCACGTCATCAGAGCTACCGAAGCCGAAGCCGATAGATACCAAAGGAAAATGGCAAAGACAGCTAGCTTTGGTTTATTTCTGCGCTTTACAAACGCTCATCATGCTTTGCAAGCTGTCGTGGCCAGACACCGATCTGCAGAGGCAGCAATTCGTGCCGCACGTGCTGAGCAGCCTCGCCTCGCCTGGCATCTAGAGCCTCCATATGTCGTCACCTGCCAACCCCACATTCGTCTCTTCCCCGCACTAACGACCGAAGGAACCGTGATGCTTCACTTGATCACGGCTCCTCGTTTATGTAGCGATTCAGCAGCGATCAAGCTCTAGAAGACGATTCAGAAGTGCTGACTCAAGTTTATGAACATTTGCAAGGGAAGTTTGCGGGGATGAGGAGTTACGACTGCCGGTTGTTACACACATATGTGCTACTCATCAACATTGGTGCATCACTTAGAACTAGCCTCTTCTTATAAGGAGGGGTAGATGTAGGTAAAGGGCAGCATCTCCCGCTATTCTCGGCAGTCATCTCACCTCGTACTTTCCTCTTTATCATCTTTCCGTTCCTTAACATGGCGGACGACAAAGTTCAAACGTTCGACATCCCTAAGACGTGCAAGGCAGGCGTCGTGGTCAATGAGGGGCCGGATTTCCACGTCGAGGTTCAAGATGTCCCGGTTCCTGAGATTGGTAACCAAACTCTACGCACTCATTGAGCTGCCTTAATTTACGTGCTGGGCAGGATCAACCGATGTCCTAATAAAACTCAATGCGACCGGCATCTGCCACAGCGATATCCACTTCATGTTGAACGATTGGGCGCTACCCAAGATGTCGGTGTTTGGTACCAAGTGCGCAGGGCACGAAGGCGCAGGAGTCATCGTCAAGGTTGGCGACGCGGTCAAGACACTGAAGCCAGGCATGCGGGCTGGGTTCAAGGTAAACTCCCGGCCAGCCTCTTGATGAACAGTTCAATCGCCAGGACACAATCGCTACAGAAGCTGATGTCGTCTCAGCCCGTTCAAGATACATGCGGCGCATGTGAACTCTGCCGAGGCGGTCTAGAATGCTAGTAAAGCTTCCTACCTGAACATGCACAAGTCTACTTATTGACCTGTTTAGCTGTGCAAAGGCTGTAACTACTGGTTTGATGGTCGACGGATCGTACAAGCAGTACGTCGTCTCTCCTGAGAGGTACACGACTCTTATTCCGGATGGAGTGCACGATTTTGTTGCAGGGCCCATCATGTGCGCTGCGTCAACGATCTACACCTCAATCAAGGAGTCTGGACTACGACCTGGCGACTGGGCGGTCTTTCCAGGAGCGGGTGGTGGCGTAGGACTGCAGGGCGTTCAGCTCGCAAAGGTAAATTGACGCTTTTTGCCGTATGGGCTCTCATCTAACAAGCCGCCAGGCCATGGGCCTCCGCGCTGTAGCTGTCGACACCGGTGAAAGTAAGAGGAAGCTCTGCATCGAAACAGGTGGTGCAGAAGAATTCATCGATTTCAAGAAAGTCGACAACGTTGCTGAGGAGATTGCTCGGATTTGCGACGGCATCGGTGCACACGGCGTCTTCGTTACCGCCGTACAGTCATATCCATCTGCTCTGTCGTACCTCGGCGGGCGTGTCGGCGGAAAGGTGATGTGCATTGGCTTGCCGCCAGCCGGTACGCTGACCATGACTGTCGACCCGAGCATGATGTGCTTTAGGAAGCAGAGCGTGCGGGGCACGCTTGTGAGTAGTATGGCAGACGTGGACAAGACCTTGGAGTTTGCAAAGAGAGGCTTGTTGAAGCCTATCTACACGGTCTATCCACTGAGCCAATTTAACGAAGCTGTGCAGAAGCTTAGGAGAGGTAGTTTTTATCCTGTCAATATAAGGTTTTTATACTAACGTTGATTTAGGTGAGATCGCGGGAAGGGCGGTTATCGACTTCAATCAGGAGTAGGCACTCAAAAGGCAGTAGAAGCTAGCGGTTGTGTAATTCATACTTCGAAGATGATTATTGAAATAAAATTATATTTCCTCTTTGCTGTGTGAAATACGATGAGAATGCCAATAGAGTGCTTCCCGATTCCGCGCACAGACCTAACCCTCAGCCCTATGCATGTGAATGCGACCAGGGAGCTCCACCTTCTTTGACGCCTCACGACCCGATTATCTGGAGAATGCGCTCGAGTCTGCGCAGGAGTACACTTCCAGGGGATGTCCAGCTCGTCATCAAGCCAGTCCTCACGTGGACCGGCTGAAGCATCGTCTAGTCGCATATCGAACGGGAAGCAGCCCGCCGTCGAGGACGACTACAGCGATGAGGATGCCCTGCTGGCCGACGATCCACTGGGACGCAATCTCCCCGAGCAGTACGCGCAATGCAATTCCGACCCCAAGCTACCGTGCTAATACACATACCGTAGGATCTCCTTCAAGCGCAAACAGAATGCCACGTCCTCTTCCTTCGGTCTCCCGCGATTCCTCTCCAGCCCCCGCGACTCTCCGCTCCCGCGAACCCCGCAGTCCCGGATTCAGCAGCTCCGTAACAGTCCCCGCGGAAATGGCTCCACAGAGCTCATACTCAAGTACCTGAACACCCCTGGCACCGCGGGCGAACAGCTGCAAGACACCAAAGACGCGACTGGGCTGGATTGGTATGTCGAAGGCCCCGGGCGGCGAGTCGGCTATGACGACCTCACGGCGATAGACTGGATTTTCGAGTATGCGAAAGAACGGCAGCGGCTGAAATATCTCTACGCCAGCGCGACGGGGATACTGGGGCATCTGAAGCAGCTGGCTGATGCGAGCCAGGTCTGGATTATCCTGGTGGCTGCGGGTATTCTGAGTGGAGGAATTGCGGCATTCATCGATATTGCGAGTGACTGGCTCGCCGACCTGAAGACGGGGCATTGCAGCAACGTTGATGGCGATGGGCGATTCTACCTGAACAAGGGATTTTGCTGTTGGGGGTATACGGAGAACTCTGAGTGTCACGATTGGCATCCGTGGGGGGATGCATTGGGGATACATTCTGAAGCTGGGAGCTGGATCGTGGAGTACATATTCTTTGTCATGTTCTCGGTGAGTGGGGCTCTAGAGGGGGAGAAGATGGCCGTGCTAATGAAGAATAGATACTGTTTGCTGCGTGTGCGAGTCTTTTGGTTAGCAGCTTCTCACCGTACGCGAGACAGAGCGGTATCCCCGAGATCAAGACGGTTTTGGGAGGATTCGTGATACGGCATTTCTTGGGTGGCTGGACGTTGGTTACGAAGACACTTGGCCTGGTATGACCATTAGCAGCTATTCTGGTTGACCTCCTAACGCTCATAGTGCCTCGCAGTCGCGTCAGGGCTCTGGCTTGGGAAAGAAGGCCCGTTGGTGCATGTGGCGTGTTGTTCAGCGAACCTGTTCATGAAGCTGTTCGGTAACGTCAACGGAAATGAAGGTCAGTCTACCCCCTCGCTCGGCGTGCAACTCTCTCCTGACGGCTTTGTAGCAAGGAAACGAGAAGTCCTCTCAGCAGCAGCGGCAGCAGGTATCTCAGTCGCTTTCGGGGCACCCGTCGGAGGTGTGCTCTTCAGCCTCGAGCAGCTATCCTACTACTTCCCAGACAAAACCATGTGGAGCAGCTTTGTATGTGCCATGGTCGCAGCAGTCACATTGCAAGTGTCTAATCCCTTCCGCACTGGCAAGCTGGTCTTGTACCAGGTTACCTACCACAGCGGATGGCATGATTTCGAACTGGTGCCGTTCGTCCTGCTAGGCATTCTAGGAGGCTTGTTCGGAGGTTTGTTCATCAACCTCAACATGAGCGTTGCAGAATGGCGGAAGAACCGCACGTACTTGAAAGGGCCAGTGACTGAGGTGGTTCTGGTGGCATTCGTCACAGCAGTTGTCAACTATCCCATCAAGTTCATGCGAGCCCAAACCTCCGAACTGGTGTATATCCTTTTTGCTGAGTGCGCAGACCTCTCCGAAGACACCCTCGGGCTCTGTAAATCAGGGAAAGCAAACACAGGCGTCATTGCTCTGCTCCTGGTCTCTGCAGGCCTGGGCGTCATCCTCGCAAGCTTGACCTTTGGCCTCACGATCCCCGCCGGTATCATCCTCCCCTCGCTGGCAATAGGAGGTCTCTACGGCCGCGCTGTCGGACTCAGCGTCGAAGTCTTCCAGCAAGCACTACCATCCCTCTTCATCTTCGGGTCCTGCGAACCAGACGTGCCCTGCGTAACGCCAGGGACGTATGCCATTGTGGGCGCTGCGTCCGCCCTAGCAGGCACAACACGAATGACCGTCTCCATCGTCGTCATCATGTTCGAGCTCACCGGCGCGCTCACATACGTCCTTCCCATCATGATCGCGGTCATGATCAGCAAATGGATCGGCGACGCCATTTCCCCGCGCGGCATCTACGAATCCTGGATCCACTTCAAAGGCTACCCTTTCCTCGACAACCGCGACGACAACGGGTCCTCGATCCCCGACGTCTCCGCCGCACATGTCATGACGCGCATCGAGGATCTGACGGCCATTACAGCAACAGGCCACACGATCGCGTCGCTGCGCCACCTCCTCTCCGAGCACCGCTTCCGTGGCTTCCCCGTCATAGACAACTCCCGCGACGCCCTCCTCCTGGGCTACATCTCCCGCACTGAACTCACGTACGCGCTGCAGTCTGCTCTCGCGCCCTCGCGCGGCTTGCTAGAAGACACAGAAGCGTACTTCTCCCACCAGCCCCTCAGCGACCCAACCACAAGTCTCGATCTGAGGCCGTGGATGGATCAAACGCCCATCACGCTGAATGCTAAGGCGTCGTTCCAGCTCACAGTCAGCATGTTCCAGAGGCTGGGGCTGCGATATGTGCTTTTTACTGAGCGGGGCATGCTCAGGGGTTTGCTGACGAAGAAGGATGTTTGGTATGTCATGAACGGGATGGAGGAGGAGCGGGAGGAGGGGGGTGCGGGGGTCGGCGTTGGCCGTGGAGGGCTGAGAGAGGAGACGGACGGTGTTGAGGATGAGAGGGGGTTATTGGGTACGGAAGATGACGAGGACGAGGACAGTTTTCTTGGGGATGGGAGGGAGAGGGGAGGGTAGTTGGATGCCTAGTAACCATCAACCAATACAACAACATTCAGGTAAGTCACATTTCCACATCGACAAGAACAGTGTACAAGATCAATCTTCGTTTCACCACTATGACGACATACCCCAGCACCTTCCATTCCCACAATGCACGAACACACTCACACTCAGCCCGTCGACCCCGCCAATGCCGTCAAATCTACACAGCGTCAGTACATTTTCCGCAAAGCAACATGCACAAGAGCAACGTGTGAGAGTATATCAGACATCCAAGGAAGGTGTTGCAACGCTCATATGATCCATCGGTCGTAGGTTCGGTTGATGGTCGCGTGGAAACTGCGAACGTAGGAATGTTTCATCATGAAACTGGGTGTGGGAGGTTGGACTGACTTACGGGCTGTGTGGAGTGGATGGAGAGACGCTGGTGCGATGGAATGGTTAGTAACTGATCAAGTGGTGAGATCTCGCGCGGGCATAATGTGAGTGCCACAGAGCTTGAGTGATGCTGGGTTGAGAGAGGTGAGGATGAGGGGAGGAAGCTCGATCGAAGGCCTTTTAAACTTTATAGTGGGTCCAGGCAGCAGTTACGCTAGCCCTTCCCGGAGTAAGTTTGCCGCGATATACCCGCCTACAATTCGACGACAATCTTGCCAAAGCTCACACCCTTCTTCTGCGCGTCGACACCCTTCTGTACCGCGTCAAGACCGCCCTTGATCACAATGGCTTCCGGCAGGGCCTTGAGTGTGCCCTTCTCCAACGCTTCTGGCACCCACTTCGCCCAGACAGCCTCGCCAATGTACCGATCGTCCAGAGCGACGCTTGGGGCGAACACGTTCGTGCCCTCGATGCCCTCTGGAAGGCCCTTAGCTCCTGGCATGACTGTTCCATAGCGTCCGCCCAACTTCTTGAACACAGGTGCCCAGGCTGCTGCAGCGTCGGATGTACCAATGCAATCGCAGACACCAGCGAACTCTGTGCCTTCAAGCGCCTTGATGATGTCGTCTGCGACGGTGGAAGACTTGTAGTCGAACGCCGCGGTAGCGCCCATGCTCTTCAGCTTCTCGAGATTGTGACTGCTTGCAATGCTGACGACTTTCACGCCTGCGCCGACGGCTAGCTGAATCGCTGCCGCGCCAACGCTGCTTGAGCCGCCCCATACCAGAACTGATTTTCCAGTCGACGGTGGGTTGGCCTCAGCGCTTGTTGGCAGCGGTAGGGCTAGAGTCTCCTTCTTGAAGAGACAGGCTGCTGCGGTGGAGATTGCGAGGGGCAGCACGGTGGCTGCGGTGTACGAGAGGTCGGACGGGATCTTCGAGACGACCAAGGCCTTGAGGGCTGTGTAGAGCTGGAAGCCGCCGTGTGTTGGGTCGTTGGTAACGAGGGAGAAAGCATGTCTAGAGACGTGTGATCAGTACCACCAATGGGTCTCCACAGACGATGGATGACTTACCCGAGCACTCGGTCGCCCTTCTTGAACTGCGTTACACCTTCTCCGACCTCGATTACCTCGCCTGCTACATCCTCGCCCAGGACATTCGGGTACTTCTGCAGGAACATGCCTGTTTCAATCAGTTATGTTGCACCTCTCACACGGATGGTTGACGCGCTACATACCAGAATCCTGGATCTTCCCTACTCAAGTCAGCAAACTCCATCGACAAGAGGAACTTTACAGTACGCACAATCCACAGGGTTAACAGCAACAGCATGGTTCTTCACCACGACCTCGCCCTTCCCCGCAGTCGGCATAGCAGCCTCCTTGACCTGGAGCGGGTTGCTCTTGGCCTCTGTGATCCACGCAGCTTGGTTCGACATGATGGATGATTGGTGAAATTAATTGGTATTGGAATAGTTTCTCAAGCAAGAGACTGAGCTCCCTTAAAACAGCTCTCATAGCTCTCGAGAATATTCCAATGCTGATTGGTAAGCTCCACTCCATCAAACCCCCACCCCGCTTCCGAGGCGAGCCCGTGACTTTGCTTATGCTGCATACCAGTACGATGACGTTCTCTTGGCTTCAAGCTTGCGCCATACCATGCGGTTCGGCCCGTCAGCCAATTGGAAGCAACACAGTCATAATGGCTCTCGGTTAGTCGATATACCACGAACAGGTGCCGGCTACATAGCCATCATCTACAGATCAGCCCTCGACGCTCGATGAGACGAGATTGTCGTGCTTGAGCCGAAACCCGTTCAGACACCCGCGTGACTTGACACGAGCGACAGCCTGCTTGTAAAGCCCTTTAGTTCGTTCGACGCTCCATCGCTGGTCAAGTCCTCGTATCCAACCAAGTCACCAACGAGTACGGTTCACATGGTCTATGGGGTAATCAACGACCTCTCCAACGTCTGTATGTCTAAGCTCTACTCGATGCTGGGGTACAACAAGGTCAGCCACCGGGTTACGTCTATGCTCCATTTAGACGCATTTTCGAGGAGTATCAACTAGAGAGAAATCGCCTCAAGCAGGAGTGAGACGTTTGGGATGATCATCAAACGCGTGTCGCGGCATTCGAAGCCGACACCGAGAAGATGGCGCCCTTTCAGAACGAGTCTCGCACGTAGATGATAGAGAGATATAGCTCAACAAGGTCAAAAGTTATATGGACTGACTACATGGCAGATCACACTACACTGATGACCACACTACAATGATGAGGTTAAATGCCTACCCACTAGATGTGTAGCAGCAACAAGTGTGCTTTAGAGTCATTCATTTCGAGGACGTTGATATCATTACATACATTGACCTCCAGTCAAGCAGTTTCGTGTCATGTACATCCAAGCCAAGTCATCTAGTCATCGTTGTCCCAGTTGCCCTGCTGCGCCTTCCCAGGCATCTTTGGGCCGCCCGCCTGTCTCGCTACGATGATCTGGTCAACGCTCAAGACGGTCCTCGCAGCCTCGGTGGCCAGCTTGATGGCCCAGCTCTTGCTGACCCAGAGGTCGAGAATACCCTCCTCCTTGGCGTCGAGAGTGCCCGTACCGTCTTCGTTCTCGATATCAACACCGACAGTCCACTCGTCGTCCTTTCGGCCCTTCTGTGCGGCGTGCGCAACGTATAGTCGTGCAAGCACCTCCGTAGCGTCGAGACCGGCGGACTCGGCGAGCGTTCGTGGAATGACCTCGAAGGCTTCGGCGAATTTGCGGATCGAGTACTGGGCGAGGCCGGATGTGCGGTCTGCGATGGCCTTGATCCGTTCAATGAGCTGCATCTCGGTGGCGCCGGCTCCGGGTACTAATCGTGCATCGCGGGTGATGGCCTTGACAACATTGACGCCATCGTCGATCGCTCGCTCTACGTCGTCGAGGTGGTTCTGAGTAGCGCCCCGGAGAACGAGGGTTGCTGTTCGTGTCTGCTCGTTTTCTTGCCTGAATACTGTGACACGGTCGCCGCCAATCTCCATGGTCTCCACAATATCAATGGTACCCATCTCGTCGGGCATGGGCGCTCCGAGACGAGCAAGCGGTGTGGCGCCGACGACGCGGCATAACCGGCGGAGTTCGAACTTGGAGAGGACCTTGATGACGAGGATGTTGTAGCGGTTGAGGTAGTGTTGTGCCAGTTCGCCGATGGTTGATCCAGCAACAACAACGCGCATGCCAGAGTCGTGGAGCTCCTTGACGAGCTGCTCCACTTGCTGCTCCTCGCCCTTTGTGAAGTCCATCATCTCCTTTGCGTTGTGTAGCAGCACTGTGCCCTTGGTCTCGGTTTGTGAGATGTCCACTGGACACGAGAAGACTCCGACCTTGGCCTTGCTGGCCTTCTTGATAGTGCCCTCTGGTTGTCTTGCGAAGACCATGCCCTTGACGACCTTGCTCTGCTCCAAGCTGCCACCCATGATCTTGACAACCCGGACGTTGTCGACGTTGAAGTTGACGGGGTTCTTGGGGAGCACGGCGAGGACGGCCTCGGCGACGAGGTCAGCGAGGAAATCTTCACTGCCAGACTGCTTGGCTGCAACGACGGTGCGGATTGCTTTGCTGAGCTCCTTCTGGGAGCGGATATCTTCGACCTTGTCGCATACCAGCTCTAGACCAGAGTTAGCCCCGCTCACAGACCAGTTTCTTCGAGCACAACATACCCTCCAGAGTCTGCATCGCCGCAGTCAGTGCCTTCTCGTAGCCCAACACGATGTCGCTTGTCTTGAGGCCCATCCGTATCAGCTCCTCGGCTTTCTTCAGCAGCTCGCCAGCCAGAACGATAACCAGGTTTGTCGCATCGCCCATCTCCGCCTCTTGTTGTTGGCATGCCATGACAATCAGCTTCGCCGCGGGGTGCACGACCTCGAGCTCCCGCAGTATCGTCGCCGCATCTGAGGTGAGGATCATCTTCTGCAGGTGGTTTATGACGATCTTGTTGCGGCCGTAGGGCCCAAGGGAAGTCTGGACTGTCTGGGCGATCGTCCGGCAGGCATCGATGTTGCGAATGACTGCTCCATCTTCGGCGTCGTAGCTGTTGTGGGGTGATTAGCTGTGTGCACAGGCTCGATTTCTGAGGCGGGTGAGTTACTTCTGGTAGCCCTGCTTGAACAGGCCGGCGTTGGGGGCGTTGGGTATGGAAAGCGACATTTTGTGGGTGTGTGAGGGGTATCTAGGGTCGGTGTTGTGCCTGCGAGCTCAATCGCGGGCGCGTCTAAAGTTTCACATTGCCAAGACGACGTCGGCGAAAGATATCACCGACGAGGAAGATGCATGCAAACATCACTTGGAGACGTGATGTGTAGGTGCTTGTAACGTGTGGGTTCTATGCGGCGTGTTTACAGAGGAGCATATGGTTGTTTCTCTCACTATTGAACAGCACAGCGAGAGAAGGCTCTGCACATGCAATCACAACACCCAAATCGACATGAAGACGGGCTGGACTCTCTACCCACGGCGACGACAACGAATACGGAGAGATCGCGATATGCACAACTGAGATGGTACACTGTCAAGCTCAGACAACGCAACACTCGCAGTCACTCTGCAAAAGCCCACGAGACACACCAAAACCACAGACACACGTGCACATGAATGTGAGCAAAATCTATCTAGCTGTACACCTTGGAATAGTTTTGAAGTTACCGCTAGCGAAAAAGACTGCTCAATTCCTCTGGGCACCGTTAAATGACCACACTCTCATGACAGTGCGAGAAGTCTGGGGATAAGGATAGGTGCCGGTATGAAGATGAAGAAAAGAAAAGCGTCGAGGCGCGATGCGCAGAGTTTTGGGGGGTATGTATCGCTTAGTCACGGCCAGGCTAGGCCCAATGCACCTCCGCCCCGAACTTTTTCGACGGCGATGGGGCACACGACGCTTGTATACGTAGTGACCGTACCGTGACCGTGACTGTGAGGGAGACATGAACGCGGGACAGCAGACGACGAGGCGGTTGGCCGCGAGAGCGGGTGAGTGTTGGGAATACTTCCAATGGCGCGGAATGAACGAACGAACGAGGTGCTGATGCGAGGGGCACAGGTCAATCCATATGCCGCTCATGTAGAGACTCCATCTCCCGCAACACGTATGCCACTGCTGCCGCCGCAGCCGTCCAGTCGTCAGACCAGCACATCCCCCCCGTTGCCCAGACGTCTCCGCAGCCCTCCTACGCCGTCAACGCGGGCGTCGTCCTCTCCCGCCCGCCGCAATTAACGCGCGACCTGCACCCTTTCGAGTCGGCCTACTTCCTCTACCAACGCCGTCTGAACGAGCGCCTCGCCCTGCCCTTCACACGCTATTTCTACTTCAAGAAGCGCACCCCCGCAGATCTAGAATGGAAGCGCAAGATGAAGCAGCGGCTGACGCCCGCCCGCGACATCGGACGGTACAAGGGCTACGGCGACGAGGCGTGGAACGACGAGATCCTCACGGGAGCACAGGAGAGCAACTTCGAATGGCAGGTTGAGCGCTTGCTTGAGGATGCCGAGACAACCGGCGCAGATGCTCAGGAAACAGCCACCACGGCCGCGAGCAAGAAGGTCGACCACGAGCCCGTCGACAGGCCCATGCCGAGGGTCACAGAGGCAGATCTGCAGAACGATACGAAGAGCTTGAACCGCGCGCTGCAGAGGACGCTGTACCTGCTAGTCAAGGACAAGGAGGGCAACTGGCAGTTTCCGCAGGACAGGCTGGACGAGGAGAATCTGCATGGGGTGAGTTTGTCCACGTTCGTGCAAGAAATGGCTGTTAATGTTGTTATAGGCAGCGCAACGCATCCTCTCCCATTCCGGCGGCATCAACATGAACACCTGGCTCGTCGGCCACGTCCCCATCGGCCAATACCAGCTCGAGTACCCCGAGGCGGAAACAAAGCCCACAGGCCTCACCGAGTACGGCGCCAAGACCTTCTTCCTGAAAGCGCGCATCATGGCAGGGCAGATCAACCTGGAGGAGAACAAGCTCGGTCTGCAGGACTACAAGTGGCTGGCGAAAGAGGAGCTGAAGGACGAGGTCGAGCCCAGGTACTGGTCGTCGATCAAGAACATGCTAGCGGAGCGGTAACGCAAGGCATTTGATAACATCACATAGAAACGACCAACCTTCATGTAGAAATATGTACACTATCTGAGTGACAGACTCTTCACGGAAGACGAAATCCATTTCCAGCGCCGTCATGCTCCACTTTTCCTTTTTACTATTCGCTCGCTCAATCACCCGCCAAACCCCACCCGCTCACTGACCTGCTCCACACGGTTCACTACGCGATCCAGCAAACTAACCATCTCGTCGCTTACAAACCCCGGCCCGTCCCTCTGGATGAAATGCCCACAGCCCACAGCTACAATCGGGCCAATAGCTCGTCCCTCGTCCGTGATGCGCACGAGGCCTTCGTTGTAGACGCGCCAAGCAGGATTCGCGTACGTCATTGTGAGGGTCCTAGGGATACGGAGGGCGGACGTATCTTGATTGACAAGTCAGCTAGAATGCTAATAGAAACTTCCAGGAAAAAGAGAACGACGTACAAGACTGCTCAGCAAACGTGGCCCAATCGTGGCCCACGACAGTCAGATAGGGGCCCTCTCCCAGATAGCCTTCCAGTCTCGGGACGTCGTCGTACGGCAGTAGTCTCGCTAGATTGCTGCGCGAGAGACCCTCCATGCTGGGGACGTCTGGGTGGAACATGGCGCTCCATTTTGCGCGCGCCTCTCTCACGTCGTACTCGCTGACGCCAGATGGGAGGGTGTTGGGGTCGAAGTCTGGGGCGTCGGGGTTGGGCCAGATGGACAGGCCGTCCGAGTTTGCCATGATGCTGTCGAGGAAAAGAAGGCCCGATACCGTGCCGGGGTATGTTTGCGTGAAGAGACGAGCGATTGCGCAGCCGATGCTGTTGCAGACGAAGATCAGACAGGGGTAGTGGGTTTTGTGGTTCGAGTCCATGTGGTCTCTCCAGATCTGCAGGGTGAGCTGCTTGAGTGCGTAGACGGCCGACATTGCATCGTGGCCATGACATGGCGGGGGGTATTTGTCCGCCGGGTCGTGGTCAGACTCGCCCTGTCCGTAGCGGTCGTAGCTGAGGAGTGCTGGATAGGGGAGTTGGCCTGCGATTCTCTTCTCCAGAAAGCTGCGGATCGTCTCGTCCCACGAACTCCTGGGCAGCATCAGGCCGTTGAGGAATACGATGAGGGTTTGCGAGAAGGGGTTTGTGACGTTTCCTTGTGATGGGGAGGGTGGGTAGTATGTGTAGTGGAGTCTTGCCATGGGCTTCTGCTCTAGAGCTATGGTGGAGATCTCTGGCTCGGGAAAGGGCTGTAGTTCTTCCTCTGACGCGGACAGGCTGTTCATGTATGGGATGGATAGTCTGCGCGGACCATTTACGGCATGTTTGACGGCCGTCATTAGGGGGTCTCTTTGCGCCAAGTTCGTGCGTGGTGAGTTGACTGAGTTTGCAGGTCCAACCATGGTGACGGCTGTCCTGTATTTTTTGAGTCGCTGTATTGTCACTCGATCCCTCGATTTTGGCGCTATAGACCAGAAAAGGCAGCTGTGGTAGCTGGAACGCGTGTGGAGTGATGAAACTTGATAGCTTCACCAAGCCTTGCAGCTCTCAAACAGACAACCTCGAAAGCGGGTAGATTAACGACGAATGTGTGGTTCAACTCTAATTTCAAGATATGACTCGTTTCTCTCCAGAAGGCGCGATGCAATTTGGTGGTGGATACTTGGTGTAGGTGGTTCGAGACCCGACAGAAGTGAAAGCAAGATAACCAACGATGATGAAGGTGTAAGCTCACTCAGCAACTTATCTCGTTACCCCTCTCCTCACGTCACGTCGTCCAAGGCGGAATGGAAACCAGATGACCCGAGCTCTTTCCGGGCCGCGCACTCACTCAATACGTAGGACGCGAGATGAAGTTCTTGTGTTGTAATGTTGCTTGTCCACTATAGGAAAGGCGGATTTCATCCTAGGGAGGTCGGGCGATGGCAGGAACTCGACCTCGACGCGATACAAACGGATTCACGAGTTTGTGAGGTGCGCGCCCCTCGCCAGCAAGAAAGGGTCCTGTCCGGCATGATGACATGGATCCACTCTGGTCACGCATGTGGCTTGGAGTCCAGGAAGCAACGTCCACGGTGAAACCGGCCGCTACGGTAGGGGACTCTTGGTGGTGAAATGCTTGCTCAAGCAGATCGGCAGAAAGCATGGGTGGGGCACTTTCAGGTACCGGCCGACGACAGCTGCCGCGATTGGTGACGTATCGTGGTCGCGCCTCCTTCCTCACCGCGTTGCGGGCAGACTCTACTTAAAGAAACGCCTGGCAGCACAGCGCACGCCGACACATTCACCACCCTCGCAGTCTTATCCCGCGCACTCGACGCCCGCTTATCTCGCCGCCGTTCGCTTGACACCGGCCCTGGACCAGCACACCCGCAATTGCCGTTGTTTGACGTTTGACATTTTACGCCCACGTTCCATAGCACCTGTACTACGTTGGTCTACCGCGCAATTTTCTGGGGCAGCGACTAACGTGGCCCTAGCGTGCATTCGCGTCCCTCACCATGGCGAGCCCAAAGTCGAATTACTGTGATGCGGGCACGCAGACTAAATGGAAGGGACTTACAAGGGGCGCTACAGTTCGTCCTGAAGCCCTCTTCTCCCCTCCTGCAGACACGCCCACGCCGCCCGACGATATGATGATAACAGAGAAACCGCAGTTTCTACTCCAGGTCGAGAATATCGCCGCTATTTCTCCCGGTGAACCATCGCCAGAAGAAGAACAGAGCCTTTCCCGTACTATGTCACTGCTCGAGAGACGCAGGAATCCCTCTGGACTTGTTGCGCATATCGATTTGCCTGCCAACGTACTGCCTGACGATGAGCTCTCGGTCCTCGACGACCAAGTCCCGGCTAAGCGCAGGTCGATGCCCGTCGCCTCTTCCATGGCCGACGAGCTCGCAGTCCTCGACGATGAGATCCTACCGTCTCCCCCGCCGACCCACGCCGCTCTCACGCCGCTCCCTGCCATTAATAGACTCCACGCTGGACATACTCCCCCAATCCCCAACCTGTCCATGCTATCGACAGTAGACGACGAGAGCCGCTCTGCCACACCGCAACTGGATATCAGTCTCACTGGCCCGCTAAGCCTGCCCTCGGACCCAACGCAGGGCGCTGAAGACACGATCGGTTTGGAAGCTCTGGACGACGTGCTGGCGAGGATTGCCAAGCAGCAGGAGCGATTCTCTCCCCAGGACGCACAAGAGTCACATCAAGCGTCAGGGTCGTCGCCCACACGGGCAACCCACAATGGCCGGTCAGCCAGCAGGAAAGGATCCACGACTTCGCGGCGGCCGTCAGACCACATCAAACCCGTCGACGGCGTTATCCTGAAGAGCCCGCCGCTGAACTTTGGAGCGCCTATAGGACAGATGTAAGCTTCATGATTCGACGCAGAGACTTGGATTGGCTACGGTGTAACAGGAACGGGATACCCAGGATGGAATTCGGATAGCGGAGATTTATAGATAGAATTGTGCTCAGCGGGCTATAGACTACCAGCCACGCGAATAGAGAGCCTTTGCCCCCAGTCTCTCATGGTCGTGGAAGCGATGTGCAGTTCTGGTATTATTCAAACCATCGACATGACAAAAAACACCACCTCTATGTACAGATTCGAGCAGTGGACATGGTGGTTACCCGATGGAACGCCGTCATCCAGCGCCCACCCAAGCACCGCAATTCCAACGCCGTCCAGCGATCCCCCCCACGCATATCCAAGACGTGTATCCATTTCAAAAGTCATCCATACTCCCCATAAAATCGTCTTCATCCGCTATCCCAGCCTCAGCCCCAGCTCTCGCCACGCGCTCCATATCAAACTCCTCCTCCTCCTCTTTCCGCTCAAGCATGACGCGCTTCTCCTCCCTGCCGAGCTCCGCCTTCTCAGCCGCTGCCATCCTCACGCTCAGCGGACGGCTCATCATGTAGCTCTCGAGGTAGCTCGCGCCGAGGCTGCTGGGGTATCCGTAGCTGCCGGCCTGGTTGACGTCTGAATGGCCGGAGCCCGAGATGCCGCCGACGTACGTGGTGAAGCTTTCTTCACCGTCATGGTCATCCTCCTCGACGTCTTCTAGTTCCTGTTCATGTTCCTCGGGGATGCTGGGCGCGTCGTCTTGGGGCAGTTTTTCGACGCGCGCGGGCGTGAAGTCGTAGGGGGCGCGCGGCTGGAGCAGCGGGGGCGGGTCTGAGTCGAGGGACATGGGGGCCGAGGGGAGGGTGGTGAGGGGCTTGGTGGGCGAGCCGCTGTGGTGCGTCATGGTGAGGGGCAGGCTATGGTGGACTGCGTCGCGGGGGGCGGCGGCGGGGGCGGTGGCAGGCAGGACCTCGGTGTGGGTCAGGCGCGGGTCTATGCAGTCGTCGAGCGAGGCGGTCGAGTTGGAGGTGGATGTCGTCTCGCTGGGGCTGGTGAGCGGCGGCTCGACGATGGTGTCGGCGGGCAGGACGATCTGGTCGTCGATGGCCAGGCTGACTCTCTTCCTGCGCGGGCGCGGCGTGTTTGTGGTGCGCAGTGCCGACTTCTTGGTCGGGGCGCGGCGAGCTTTGCGGGCGTGCTCGGTGCCCGCCGTGGGGCTCGACATGTCCGTCGTGGTGGTGTGCGCGGTGCTCGTCTCAGCATCTCTCGCGGCGGCAGTCGACGTGGGCGGTGCGCCTTCGGGCCGTTCCTGCTTGGGCTTCTTCTCGCGCTTGGGCGTGGGCGGCGACGTGGCGAGGGCGTCGAGCAGCGGCAGGAAGGTGAAGAGCTCGCGCTCGCGCTTGTGGACGCGCGTGTGCTTGGTCTTCTTCGCGCGGCCGTCCGTCTCGGAGCTCGCTGCAGCACACGCCGGCTCGCTTTTCGCACCGGCGTCGTTTGCGCGGTAGGAATCTAGCAGCTGCGCCTGAATCAGCTCCCAGGTCGCGGATACGAGGCACCGCCGCGGCGACACGGGCAGGGGGACGGCGTTACCTGATGCTCATAGCTGCGCAGCTCGTCCTGCTTGCGCTGGATGTAGGCGCGGATGTCCTGCTCGAGCTGCTGCCGCCTCAGCTCGACGCTGCGGGCCAGGCTGTCCAATTGCTCCTTGTCAAAGCCTGGAACCTCGGCGAGGCCCGGGTCGGCGTGTAGAAGCATGGACGGAGCGCAGAGCACGCTGCTTGCCGTGGCCTGGAGCTCCGATCGTCGGCCGCGCAGAACGAATGAGCGGTAGCGGGTACGACTCGAGCCCGGGGCGACGTCCTGGGCAGACACGGGCAGCGTGTGGGTGTGTACGTCGTCTTGCCTGGCACGTCAGTCGACCTGTGCGCAGTCCATGTTCCAGCGACGACGACGACGACAACGAGGTGATGGCAGTGCGGAAAGCGCGTACCTGGCGGAGAAGACGGCGATTTATTGGACAGCCGCAATGGTCACCGGACTTTTGCCTCCGCGCTGTTCTCACTTAGGCAGCTGGCCGACGCGAACCTCTGCTTCTGACGCAGACTCGCGGGAGGGAACTCGGCAAGATGGCTTCATGTACGGGCAGGCAGGCAGGCAGCAGAGAGGGCAGGGCTGCTCAAATTTCACCTGCTCAGGCTTCTCAAAGTGCCGTCGCAGCTGTGTCTACCGCTACGCTTCTGGCCTGGTCGAGCCCCACACGAGCCCTCGTTTACCTCTAAGCGAGCCTGAACCGGCAAGCGCAGCCTGCACCACCGTTCCAGAAGCAACGCGCCTCCACCTGCCGAGCCTGACAATTCACCCCGTCCTGACGTCTGTGGCTCATGTCGTGACGGTTGCTGTCTGCTGCCCGCTTCCAACAACACTGCAACCCTCGTCGTGCTGATGTTGAAAGCCAATGCTCACCAGGACACAGGCCAAACGACTGGAGAAGTTCCTTGCTGTGGATCGCCATGCATGGATCTGCACTGTTGTCTATCAATCCATGGCGGAGACCTTCACCATCGTAAACAAGCATCCAGGCAGCCCTCGTATGTCGGCCTGTGCACCTTCGAGTCTGCACGTCTCCATCCTGCTGTGCGACCACCGCACTCGATACGAGGGCTTGTTGAGCATATGCAGCCCTACATGCAAGCTCCCGACCGATAAGCATGTGCTGCATGTGACTCCCCGGCGCTCCAGCAGGCTTGTGATAGATGACGCGACGGCCTGTGACAAGGCCCTCTACTCCAGCCACCTCGGATCCAATTCCTCCAAGAACTCCACATCCACGTTGACGAAGCTCCGCCAAAAGTCCACCTCCAGCCTCCACGGCTTAGTCTGGATGGCCCACGTAACGGCCTCGCTCAGCTGCCTGGTGTTATTCTCGTTCCTGCCCATGATGAGCACTAGGTCTTTTGCAACCACGACCTGGTAGCCAAAGATCCTCCTGTACGGCTCGAGTCTGAGCGACAGTTGCTGGTGGATAGACCACTCGCTGTACGGCATGTCCTTGGGGATGAACTTGAACTCCCAGCAGCGCCCTCGATCGTCCAAGAACGCACACATCGGTCGCTTATCGATCCCGAGCATGAGCGGGTAGACTAGCAAGCAGTTAGACACGGGTACTACAGGCACGACTCTACACGCTAGCTTACAGTGAGGCGCCGACCACAATCTCAGCACTGAGAAAGTCGCGTTCCTTTCCAGGCTCTGGAATAGACGGGCCTTCTCGACGATGAAATCCCGGTCGAGCGTTGTTGGGTCGGCTAGATGCGACACTATCTTCGATACTGGAATGCCTGCGCGATAGTCGATGTACAGGTCCGTTGGTCGTCCAGGCTCCGCCTTAGCCACCGCTATGCCTGCTGCTGCGCCAGCGTAGGACTGGCAGATGATGCCTGCTCGGAATACTGGTGCTGCGTTAGTTCATGCACGACATGTTGTAGCGCGGGAGCTGCAGCTCAACCATTTTGGTAGTCAGCCAAAACAAAAGACCGAGTCCTGGCGGTGACTCGCAAGAGTGGGTAAAGTGAAAAATGGAAGATAAAGTGACGTGAACCTACAGCGTATGATGATAGGACGGATAGCATTGCGCCATTCCGTGGGAAAGATATCCTCGACAGTGTCTCTAGTCCTCCTGCCGTTGTCTTTCAGCAGCTTATCCCAGTCACGCCAGAAAGAAGTGGGCATCGTTTTGTTGCTCATATGTGTCCTGCGATCCGGGACCTGCTTTGCTCTCTCCGCCTGGTTGAGCAGCTTCGATTCCCTGAACGGCTTGCCATCTTCAGAGGCGAGGAAAGCCTCCGTCTTGAAGAAAGCAGCAATGGAGGCGTAGGCCTTGAAAGCATCGTCTACAATCCTTCGCTCCTCGAGGAACAAATCCTTCATGCGCATGAACTTGCAGAGTTCAAAGGGGCCGGGATCAACCCCACTGGTCATGACGTAGTCTTCCATGGCGTTGAACAGAAACATCTGTCCATAGTAGTGTGCAAACGCATCGGGTTCCTGGTCTGCCATGTGCCAGCTATGCTTGAAAACTGTTGCAAGAAGTGTTAGCCTTTTTCACGCCACCAACATCGAACATGCTTACTTTTGCTTTTCTGACGGTCCAAATGTCGGTGGAAGTCTGCCTCGATACCTATGTGACTGCTGTCGTAGGCCTTCTGGCTTCTAAGCGCAATTCGGAGGCTAGCCATGAAGTCTGCAGGATTGTTTCTGATCGACTCGGGAATCTGGTTTGCCTTTGAGGGGTTGCGAATGATAGACAAGAAGTAGTCTGGTTCGCGGAAGCTCGACCCCTTGAACATCTTGGTCAGCACGTCGATGGCTTCATTTGCGGCTCCAACCTCTCCCTTGTGAACATATCCGTATTCCCCGTCGGACGAGCCCTCCTCCGTGTCCCAGTCTTCGTCGTTGTCGTCGTCTTCGAGGCCGTCGAGTTCTCCGTCGTCCTCGAACGCTTCATCGTCCATATCCGAGTCGAAATCCCCTTCAGAACCAGAGAATTCGTCGTCAGTATCCAGATCCGCAGCGAATGTGCGGACGTCAATCGACTGCTTCTCAAAAATCTCCATCGCGCTTGGATTGTTGCGGAACAGATTGTCCGCCATCTCGCCCGTGGCTTCTAGCGGGAAAAGAAGGGCATCTTCAAGCTCGTCGGCTTCTGTGTATCGCGGCTCAAACTCCGTCTCTTTAGCCCCGTGTTGCGTCGACCACTCCCATATCACTGCCGTCTTGTCAAGATCATCCCACATGCTCGTAACCTGCTCATCCGGTTTGATGCTGCGACAACGTTCTGTGTTGGGGTCTTTTGTGATCGTTGCAAGAATGGGCCGTGCTTGCGAGAACATGTCCTTCAGCTTGTGGACTCGCATAGCACGGGTGAGGATCTGGTCTGGTTAGCGTTGTCTAGAACTCTCAGCAAGACGTGTGAGGGCTTACCTCTTCTAGCTTCCTCTGGAGGATAAGAAACGATCGACCAGGACTGGAATCCCAGACATACACATCATAGACCTCGGCAAAGCCAAAGTGCCACTTGCGCGACTTGTCCATCTGTTCAAAGAAGGTAGGCCCAATTTCTCCAAGAATATCGAACTCATTGCGAGCAGCTCTCCCCCATCCGCTCTTTTGTCGGAGTATCCAAAGCTCATCCTCAGGAGGAGTGATCAAAATACGCCCCGTCTTGCGATCTCGAACCAACGCCCGAAGCTCGAACGTCTCCAAAGCCAGGTACTGGATGAAGCGGCGGCTTACTGGGTCGTCGCGCTTGATATGACCGCAGATGAAGTTCCTCATTTCGACAATCGAGTGCGCCCGACGTGCCATGCCACGACTCCCTGTCTGGAAGTAGTTTGTGACGTTCTCTGCTTTGTCGCCGCTGAAGTACGGTATGAAGCCCAGCTGCAGTAGTTGCTGGCGTGGCAAATCTCCAATGAAGCGCGTCCATTTTGGTGCAGGGAAGTAGTGGTACATGCACAGGATGTTGAGCTCGAAGAACTCGTTCCAGTTGCGGCAAAGCTCGACAGCGTCGAAGAGGTCAGAGTCTTTAGCGATGACTGAGAAGTGGAACCATCCGCCTCGATTGAGGGCCTTCTCACTGGGATAGTTGTACATGTATCGTCCGCATATCTTGATACGCATCCGCTTCCGGGAGTATTTCTTTTCGTCCGTAACTTTCCCGAAGTCAAGAACGCCATCCGTCTCGGAGTTGAACATCCCGGGTGGCTGTTTCTTCGCTTTCTTGGCTGCCTTCTCTCTCTTAGTCTGGTACTTTTCCGGCATTCGGTCCCCGTTTCTGGAGACTAGTCTGTACTTCTCTGGAATTCCTCCTTCTCCTTGCTCGTCTGTCTCCTCCGTAGGTTCTTCTGACTCTTCCTCTTCGACTCCGTCTCTTTCCCGAATGAAGTCTGCACACGCGTCACGAACATCCTGCAGGCCAGGCCGCTCCAGCTTGAGGCACAAGTCTCGCAGATGCTCTCGAGTGACTTGGTCATGGGCTAAGAACTCGTCTATACTGGCGGCTTCAAGTGCAACCGGGAGAAGCGTGGCCTGGGACAAGAGTAGCCGACAAAAGATGAAGTTCTTTATCTCAGCAACTTCATCCAGCAGCGCTTCTATCTCCTCCTCGGGCAGGATGGGAGTCGAAGCATCAAGCCCTACAGGGCCGCCGCCTTCCACGTACCAGCCCTTGGCTCGCTCGAACTTGACTGGCTGCCGCAACCTCTCCCTCATCTGAACTTTGGTCTCCATTTCAATGACGTTCGCGCCCCTCCCTTCACCGGTCTGCGATGCGGGCTCTGCCATCTTTTTGAGTTCGGCATTTTTCGCTTTCTGGCGCTTCTTTGCCGATTTCGATAGAGCTTTCCCAGCAGGTTTCGTGTCAGCAGCTCCGTCGAGTTGGGCAGGTTCAGTTTCCTCAGCTTCATCTTCCAGCATGAGAAAGAACTTGATAAGATCGATATAGTTGTCGCGTTCGTAGCCGTTGATGTCTTGGATAGGGTCCCATTCCTCTTGCTCTTCTTCCTCTGACAGACGTTGTTTGTATGTTTCATCGAGAAACTGTTCTTCTCGCTTCCTATCCTCCTTCCTCCTAACCTCTTTCTGGTGACGGTCGATCTCTTTCTGGTGCCGTTTGAGCAGGAGCGACTCGAGCTTGACCTTTTTGCTCTCGTTTTCCCCTTGCTTTTCTTCTTCTTCCTGACATTTCTTGACCCAATCGAACCACTGCTTCTGCTCATACATGACTGCAGCAGCTCTCTTCCCAAGCTTCTCCAAGGCCTTGACCATGACATGTCTCTCATTTTGCAGCCTGTCGAGGTACTTCGCGTGGCCGTAGTCATTGTCAATAGCAAAGAAATGGCTGTGATGCAGACTTCGAGCGCGAATCACACGATCGAGCAGATTATACTTGCGAAATAGGTAATCGTGAATTTGTCGGAGCGTAGTTTCCTCGCTGATATCCGTGAAGTCGTATGTTACTACTGATGTCTTCTTACTCGAGAGGTACAATGGCGGTGCTTCTGACAGCGAGTCGAGCTCAGCATTGCGCTTTTTGTAGCCTCGATACAGGGCTGCGGAGCGTCAGTATACCTGTGTTGCGCTTGAGACCCAGCGATTTGCAATTCGTCCATCAAACAGTGTTTGCTTTGCATGCTCGGGTTCACAGGATAACTCTACCTTGACATTGGCGCGAGTGGAACGCGCACAACCGCCCATCCGAGGAGGTTGCCTCTTTATCGCACGCAGTCTTCCCACTGAGATCAGAGAGAAGCCGCGCACGGCAGATTGAAGCCATATTATAAACCGGCAGCAGCTTAGGAAACAGCGCCAAATGGGGATCAAAATTCCAACTGGGAGAACTCGAAATGAAATGCAGAACCCTTGATGTATGCTCCAGGGCTGGAGTTTGGAGGAAGCCAGAGCGATGCTGTGGAGTGGTCCCGAGCTAGGGGTTCGCAAAAAGCGGGGACTTCGCTTCGTTGATTGGTGCCAGAAATCTCAGAAAGTCGCGTGCGCGTAATCACGTGACCTGCACAACACCGACTCCCAGATGGAAATCGGAATGGGGATTGACATGTACAATCATTTTTCAGAGACATGCTTGCAATCAAAACAGGCATACGAATCAAATTGTGATAGGGACTCAATGAGCACGGTCTGTCTTTTGACAGCTCGCGCATTTTTCGGTCTATACTGTTATTGCCTCGAAGAAATAGCAGCTGAAAATCAAACGGGTGAATGATTGAACTTAGCCTTATTGCTGACTTTGGAGCAATTAATCCTATTCTTGTGCATAGTGCTTTTTCAGCCAACCCTCCATCCGTACAACCACCTCCTCAGGCTTTTCATACGCCACCCAATGCGCTGCATCTATCATCTCCGCCTGTTCTAGCTTGGGCAACAGCCCCGCCTTGATGGCAGAATACATAGTCTCTGGTCTGCATACTGGATCCTGTTTGCATCCGATGTACAACAACGGGACGTTCACCTTCTCCGCGCCCTCGGGAAGTTGTTTGTGTGCCTCGGACTGATAGTTCTCTGTGGTAGCGCGATACCAGCACTGTGGCCCTTCGAAGCCGTCTCGGGTCATACGATCGATGAATTCCTGCTTCAGCTTTTCGTCGCGGGCGTACGGTCGCAGTTCAGATTCGTGACCGCCGTTCAAGAGGTAGTCTCGAATAGCGCCTGGAGTGGTAAAGATATATTTCATAGTCTCGGCTTCGCCGTGCATAGCATGGTAAAGACGCTCGAGATGCTCCTTCAAGACGGCGGGTCCGTCCGGCGCTGTGAAGAGGTGCCAGTATGAGAATACAGGATAGCCAAACGCCTTCTCTGTCATCTTGTTGACGGCGTCCAAATCGAACTTGTCACGTGTTGGTGCACCATACGCGACGTTAAGAAGCACAACACCATCCACTCGATTGGGGTAGAAGTTGTAAAGCCGAGAAGCGCAGCCCGCCCCCCAGTCATGGCCCACAGAGATGATTTTCTCGTGTTGCTCAGCGTCGACGATCTCAATGAGGTCTTTCGTCATGACATCCCACCGGTAAGCAGCAGGATCGGTTGGCTTGTCGGTGCCGTCGTAGCCAAGGAGGTCAGGAATTATGATTGGATGTTTGGTGGATCGAAGGGGAGTCGCAATGTCCTTCCACATCGCTGCATGGTCGGGCCAGCCATGCTGAAAGAAGAGAGCCGGCAGGGACTTGTCTCCGTCAGCGACGTAGTAAGTGTAGGTGTAACCTCGGGAGGTCTTCAAAGTCTTTTTCTCAAAGGCATCCATTGCGGGTGATACGATTACGATACAAGCGCGAGATCACCATACTCAAGGCGTGAGCAGCCGTCCTTTATAGAGTCTGCAGTCCTATTACGGCGATGTGCGAGTCATTTATTCAGATGTCACTCAAAGCGGGGTTGTATGTCGCCGTGATCTCACCGAGTCCGTATCTTCCTGTATATGTTTCAACGTCCGAGGCGGGGCTCTGTACTAGCATCCGTGACCGGTGCGTTGTGTGTTCGGCATGCATCCAAATTGGGCAAGTGGGCGAAGATGTAGCCGCTTCAACAATAGATCCGTAGATGCCACCGCCAGACTAGACGGGCCACACAGTCACGCCCCTGTTTCAACACACTTCTTGTGCCAGCGCATAGTGCAAACCCCCATCAAGGACGCTGATGTGTGGAGTGAGTAACGTGAGGTGAGGTGTCGTACTAAATGACTTTAGAGTTACAAGCTAAACCGTGACCAGTCACCCGACAAAACTATACCGAGGAACAAGGTCTTTGAATGCATTTGCTGTGAACGAGCAAGGTTTGGTGTATTAGCGAAACTTCTGTCTGCTCGTAGGTGACGGGAAAAGAACAAATGGTTATTCCTTTCACGCTTCGAATGATGGTAGGCGGACGAATCTCCAAGCCAATGTTATTCATTAAATAGGTAATTGCGGCCCTCTATGCATATAAGCTAAATACACGCTCATTGTACCATGAAGAGCTTTGTTTGCAACGTTGTGGGCGAAGCCTTTTTCAAGATTGGGTCCGCGGACTGTGCAACGGGGTAGAGTGTTGGCCAGAAAAGGTTCTCGACGGGCGGCTGGTTCATAGGATGTTTAAGTTGTCTAGATATCTGGAAAATGAGTCTGTTACGAGATCTATACAATATCCTGGTCACACGTCAAGAAATTGAGTTGAAGGACTCGAAACCCCGTGAAATAGACATGCCGATGTATGGGATCTAAGGCTATCGTTCCGGAAACCGAACGATGACACGAGCGAGGATTCATCAAAGCCCAGCACGTCCGGAAGGCACACTCAAAAGGGTGTTTGCCTATCTGCCTGTTTCATCATGGTCGGCGCGGGCTTCCCCATTTGTAACGCGAGTGGGCCCACGACTAAGATCAGATGATTGCGTGAAGTGCACTTTGGAGTGCCAGGGCTAGTAAACCATAGGACACGGGATCGCAGAAGTGTAACAGTATAGATATTGCAGTGTCAATGAGACGGGTATGGTGAATCTATAGTATCTGAAAGTCGAGGTCAAGCACACGCCGATGTAGGAGTATGTACTGCAGTCTTTTGTGGAGCAAGAACAGCCTGCCAAACCAGACAGATGTGTTCTCCGGTGTTCACTTCTGCTCTTCACTGTTATTACCCTCCTCCTCCCTGTGGGCTGATTCTTTCTCTCCGGCCAACCCCAGGACGAAATCCCACTCATCCTTGCTTACCCTACACACGCTCAGTCTCGAGTTTGTAACCAACTGCATCTTGGCCAACGGCCCTCCGTCCTTGGCGAAACTCTTCAGCCTAGCCAAATCCACCACCCCACCAAACTTCTCCACGTATTCGACGCCCACACAATACCACTTTGGATTCTCTCTATCCGATTTGGGGTCGTAGTAGGCGTCTTTCGGGTCAAAGGCCGTCTCATCGACTTTAGCCTCCTCCGCCACGCGTAGTATACCAACTGCGCCGCTAGGTTTCGCGTTGCTGTGATAGAAGAAGCCCAGGTCGCCTTTGCGCATGGCCTGCATATTGTTCCGAGCTTGCGGGTTGCGGACGCCCGACCAAGGTTCTGGGACGGTGCATGCTGCGAGATCGTCTATGGAGAAGGCGACGTTGACGCCGTTTTCGAAGCGGGGGAGGGGCTCGGCTTTGAGCAGCCAGTAAACTTCTTGTTCATTGTTGGCGTTGCGGTTCGTGTCTGAGACAGGTGCGGGCGGTTGCACGGCACCCGAGTTGCTGGTCTTGGGTTTCGTGGGCCTTGGCTTCGCTTTCGCGACCTTCTTCACTGGCGGGGAATGCTCATCCTCTTCCACGCCATCATCATCCTCTCTCGCGCGTTTCTGACGCGTGGTCTTCTTGCTTTTGCGCTCATCGGCTGACGATGACTTTTTTTCGGTGTAATCTGGTATTGCGGCCGTCGACTGACGCGTCGATCTTCGTGTTTCTACCATGCTCGAGTTCTGGTGTTGCTCTCCGATAACTGAAGCCAGCCGGTGATGCCCTCGCAATGACTACGAAATCCTAGCGCGTTCGCCTGTGACAGGGGTCGATAATGACATCAACAGCCTGCCATTTTGTCCATTCCATCCTCTCCTTGCGCTGGTATGGATTGTGGTTTCAACATCTACACTCTGAGAGACTTACGAACCGTACACTGGAAATACTAAAGAAGAGAAGGTAGGCCTCAAAGAGGCTCGTTGCCAATCGGAAGCAAGGGAACCTCTCGCCGACAGGTACATAACGCTCCTAGCTCTGCTAATAAAATCCCTCAGCAGCCCAGCTCCTGGCATCAGATTGGCGATGAGCTCTTTCCAAAACGGGTTCTTACCAGAGACTGTAGTAACATGTTTGGTCTATGGATGAGAGGCCAAACTGTCTCAATGGTTATGGTTACGGCGACTGACAGTTTGGTACACTCACTACTTCCGCGGGCAAGTAGGCTTGGCATGTCCAGTCTTCGTATTGCCACCGCGATTCGCCACAGCCACACTTAGGGAGAACGAGCACGAACAGCCTCAGTCTTCAACCCAGACTCTCAACATGACGATAGGTAGTGATTCGAATATACTACGAGAGCTACGCACAGAATATGCGCTGAACACGTAGGTTTTCACGCGCGGGTACTGGCATCCTAGTTTGCTCATATCCAGGTAGCTATCTTCAGCTTTTCGCAGATGATGCTCCCGGTAGCCAGCTAGGGAGTACGTCTCTTCACGACGCTCTCAATGATCTTGTGGAGCTCGCAATCGTCCGCATCGGTTCGTGTGGCCAATGATTCGTCGAGATGAAGTACTGATGACATCACGCAGGGGGTGTGTGCGGCGCATTTGTCGTCCTGACGGATGGGTGCTCACAAAAGCTTATTGCGAGTGGAGAGACAACAGATCTCAGATCATTCAACGAAGATGGATGGCTTTGGTTATTCCAGCAAACAATCGCTGTCGACACTTCCACAGATGAAAAGACGTTCAGCGTGCCTGTCTTGTGCCGGAATAGCCACACCTCTGCGCTCACGTCTGTCTCTAACGCGCCACACTTGTCTTTCTATGCCGGTACACCAATCGTCTCTAAAAAGAATCAGCATGTTGGTACCTTTTTTGTCGTCGACAACTCAGGGCGAACGCAACTGTCAGCAGCTGAAACAAAGCATTTGACAACTGCGGCCCGAAAATGCATCAGCTTGCTGGACTTCGCCCGGGAGAGAGGTTTTCACAACAGATGGTCAAGCGTCCAAAAACAACTTGACCTATTCGTCAAGTCACGCGCTATGGCCACCCAAGCAGTGGAAAACTCGCCGACTCTAGCAAAAAATCCGTTGCCATCATCCCCTATAACGGAGCGCACAGAGATTGGTGAGATTGCAGAGCACACGTTTATGGGGTCAGACGACTTGAAAGTCGGGGGTGAAGAATCCGAACGATTGGTACGCGCCGAGATTGAACGAGACAAACGTATCGACACAGAGAACGTTGAGGATACACGTACGTCGACGGCCAAACCTGAAGACGACGGCAAAAGCGCGGGCACGTCGGGAGAGACAGCGTACCGAAAAGTTTTTAGAAGAGCCGCTCAATGTTTACAAACCGCTCTAGAGGCTGATGGAGTGTTATTTGTGGACGGCTTAATCGGTCTCCACGGAGGATCTCAACCCATTCCGGAGCCAGTGCATGAGCTCGAGAAGGAAGTGTCGCCTCCAGAAGACGATCCATCACAAGAGAATGGAAGCAAGGGCGAGAGAACATATACTAGCACTGAGTTCCGCAAAGGCGTAATCCCTGACCACCCTGCGGAGGTCCTCAGCATGTTGACCAACACCAGTCGACCACCGACCACGCCTGTCTCGAAAGATGTTGAAGGGTTGGTTCTGATAGACGAAAGTTTTCTTCAAAGGCTCATGCTTCGCTACCCTCATGGTGTTGTTTGGTACCTCGGTCATGCAACACTCACACGAGTAAGCGACGAGGTTCTTGTAGCGGAAGAAAAACAAGAGATGATCGAGCGCCTTCGGAAGAGTTTTCCGGGCGCCAAACAGCTCATTTTCCAGCCACTCTCCGATCCCACATCCTTGAAACGCCTTGCTGGTTGTTTTTTGTGGAGGGCAAAGGCGCTGCCTCCTTTCACGGATAGGGTTGACCTCCCTTCCTTGAATGAATTCTTGCATACGGTGGAGGCGGAGATTGCAAGGGTAGACGCAATGGCAGCGGTTAAACAGCAAGATGCCTTTGTATCTTCCGTTAGCCATGAGCTTAGTATGTCAAGTGATAGTTGTTTATCAGTTCGAGGACTGACTTTCCAGGAACTCCGCTGCATGGCATTTTAGGCGCTCTGCAACTCCTCGATGACACCGATATGGACCCTTTACAAAAGTCTTTGGTCAACACAATCACTTCCTGCGGCTCAACGCTTCACGAGACGCTCACAAGCGTTTTATCGTACGCGCAAATAAACCAGTTTGAGCGACGCCAACACAAGTACCGCCAAAGGCAAGCTCCAGACGCGGTCTGGGCACTCAAAGACAAACGAGGTTTTACCGCAGGCCCCGATCGGGACTTTCAAGGGTTATACATATGCACCAACGTCGCCATGCTCTGCGAAGAGACTGTTGGCGTACTTGAAGCGGGACAGTCGTTCAGCAAATCTGGTCACAGCGAAAAAGTCATAGTCGTGTGCGATGTGAGTTACTCGGACAACTGGTCGTTTCACACAGAACCAGGTGCCCTACGCCGCATCGCGAGCAATCTTATCGGAAACGCCCTGAAATACACAGCAAAAGGTTCGGTCTTGGTTAAACTCAGCGCGTCTCAGACGTTGACGAACCCCAACGCCCTGAGTAACGATTTGGATTCCGATCGCACGATGATCTTGACTGTGAAAGACACCGGGAGAGGGATGTCAAAAGAGTTTCTGGACAACCACCTTTTCGTTCCCTTTACACAAGAAGATGCGACATCATCCCAGGGCGTCGGGCTGGGCATGTCCATTGTGAAGAGTCTTGTGTCGCTTCTCAACGGCGAGATTGTCGTGCAGAGCGAGGTCGGAAAAGGTACTGAGATGACAGTCAGAATACCGATGAAGCTTTACAGTGATGAGTCCGACGGCGACGAACAACTTACGGTCGAGGCCAAGCACACCATTGCAGCACTGCGATCCCGGAACTTGTCAGTGGTTATGTACGGCTTTCCGGATTTTGTCCGTGATTCCCTTAGAATGTACCTCTGTGACTGGTACCATGCTCGACTTATCGACGCCGCAGACGATGCCAAGCCAGACATCATCCTCTTCGATGAAGGGAGTGAGCAAGAGGTAGATACAGTTCGTAGGACTGCTGCGGCTTACGGCCAACATGGTGTTCTCCTCAGCATCGTTATGACGCCGAGCAAGTTGGCGGGCCGTTACGACCCTATCCCTGGGTACAGTAAATGGGAAAGAGTTCCGCGCCCCCTAGGTCCGACAAAATTTGGAAAGGCACTTTCGGCATGCGTCACTAAGATGGACGAGCTCAGGAAGGGTGGAGCTGATGGAGCAGACAAGGAGGGTCAAGAGTCGGAAGAGGACGACAAAACCACAAAGGAGCAACAACACACCGATGAGGGCATAAAAGAACTACCATACAGACCAGGAACGCACGAGCCAAACACGTCAGAAGGCTCCGATAGCCAAAACAAAGCCCCCTGTAGTACCACGACAAACACAAGTTCGAGTGCTTCCGCATCTCGGTCGGCGTTGTCCAAAAAGCCTGCCAGCGCGACGCCAACTAGCCCGTCTTCGCAGCTTCGTGTTCTGCTTGTCGATGACAATGCACTGAATCTCAGATTGCTATGCGCATTTCTTAAGAAGAAGGGCTATCAGAATCTGACAGAAGCGGAGAATGGAGAAAAGGCGGTCGAAAAATTCCGGATAGAAACCTTCGATCTCATCTTCATGGGTAAGCACGCACCCCTACATTTCTGTATAGACTAACCAACGTTACAGACATTTCCATGCCGGTCATGGATGGCTTCGAAGCTACCCGTCAGATCCGCTCCGCAGAGGCTGGGCGGCAGAAGAGCAGTACCGCGCAACCAGCGGTCGTAGTCGCCCTGACGGGGTTGGCGAGCGAGAAGGATGAAGAGGATGCGTTTGATGCTGGTGTGGACTTCTATATGACGAAACCAGTGCGGTTCAACGAGCTGTCGGCGTTGTTGAAGCGCTGCGAAGAGGGGGAGCTGAAAAAGTAGTAGCGAGAAGATACGCAGGATGTTGGGGTAGTTGCCAGAGTAACAAAGGCGGCAATAATACACGTTTCTATCCCCGCATCATTGACATAGCTTGCAGGTGTAGACAACTACATGCAGAGGTTGTATGAAACCTGCACAATCAAATGCTGCTTGTAGACGCCCGGGCTGCATGGCATGTAGCCCTTCATCTTGTGGTTTAGCTGCTGTATTTGCCCAGTAGGGCGTCAAAAAGTGAAAACACATGATTGCATTGACTAAAGGATCATTGCAAGCCTTTATGATGACCAGCAAAAAGTGCAAAAATCAAATTAGCTGCTCTCGGTTTCGATCCGAGGTCCTCCGGGTTATGAGCCCGGCGCGCTTCCGCTGCGCCAAGCAGCTTTTTATCTGATTGGTTGATGGGTTGAATGTTTTTTACAAAAGTTATGTTCTGAGTCGAAATTGTGTTTGAGTGACGTGGGTTGTGTTCCCTGCCAAGATTCATAATCACGCTAGTGTTGCCAGGCAGGTGATTCGAACTTCACTGCAAAAAATGACTCGCGGCCCTTCTGAGTGTTGAACTCAGGCACTTGCTGCGTGTTGAACACAGGATCACTCCCGAGTGTAGCACTCGGGATCACTCCCGAGTGAACCACTCCGGATTGACCGCGAGTCGCGTAATTGAAGGAAATGCAAATTTGTAATGTTATAAGGTGCCATAGTGCTCACTCTTGTGGTCTCTGAGGAATCCCAAACGATCGCGAGTGAAGTGTGAATAGTCACGGCTCGAAACACCAGAATCCAATGTGCAGCTTGACAACTACATCCTAGATTGGTGTAGCGATCGTGTGTCTGGATCCCTAGCTGTATGCGTCCAACATGCACTTTTGGAACTCGTATCAGTATGGTTTCGCGGCTTCTGCACTTGACCGAGAGCATGTACACCTCTTCTAAGGCACCTGTCCTATCCTACGCCTTCTCTTGTGACAGTGTCTCTATGCTGTTGACACCAAGCTTCTCATCAGCGCTGTTTGGACATCCTCTTGCACTCCCGCGAAGGCTTAGGTCTGTGCAAACGCTGCACCAAGGCCCGGTCCAGGTGACTGTCAGTCGAGGTGAAAGTAACTCCCAATCAGTCATGATTGGCCGTGTGTTATCAGGGAAATCTCTGTCGTAGGCGAACGCACTGGCCCCCACTGTGGTATTGTATTGAGGCTCGCCTCCGTAACAGCTCCTCCCCCTCACCAACCTTTTCCCCTGGTAGACGACACCACCAAGTTCGCCTACCACAGCCTCGCATGGCTCATTCGTGGGGATTCCAGATGCCGCCTATGGATAGGCTAAGCCAGAGAGAGATGCCGTCCGGTGAGTGTTGTCGTAACAGCGTGCGCGGTACGGTGCTAACTAGTGACAGAGCAAGAGCGCAGCAAGTATGCCGAAGACAAAGACCAGGTTGCGAAGCTGCTCAAAGCCGCCGTTAGATACTCCGCAACCGGCACGGAGTCAGAGGACAGGAAGACCCGTTATCGTGATATACTTGCCACGAAACAGCAAAGGATTGCCGAGTATGAGAAGAAGTACCTGTTGCCAACGAATGCCCCAACAATACCGATGTTGTCAGGGCTTGCCTCCAGACAGGCCGTGCCGCCGCCCGCTCAAGCCACCATGCTACCACAAGGCCCGCCACCACCCGTTCGGACCCTCATGCCACCCCCAAACCCACTGCCACCTGTTCGGACCCTCATGCCACCCCCAAACCCACCCGTTCGGACCCACATGCCACCACAAAACCCGCCGCCGCCACCACAAGGCCCACCGCCACCTGCAACAACCACGCCACGTCTGTCGCAGTCGATACACAGTGCCGCGCCGGTCGAGGATCCCCGCCACAAGACTACCAACGTCACATATGTCAATGCCTACAATGCCGGGATCCTGCACGCGGAACTTCCTCACACCCAGATCGTTGCCAATGTCAAGTCGGCGTCCAAGTCGCACGCTGCCCCCCCCGCTTCTTGGCCGAGGACGGCGCAGAACTTCGCCAATGCCAGGTTCAATGACGGGCTTGTCTACCAGCATGATAACGGCAGGGCGGCTCCCTGGCACTATGCCGACGTAGACCATGATTTGTTTCTCTGCTTCGAGACTTTCATGACCATAGACAAATGCCCCCATGGTCGCCGTTGCCGATATCGACACAGCAAGCTCGAGGCTGAAGAGGTTAGGGCCATTGCCCAGACAAAGCAAGGGGAGATCTGGCTGGACAAGTACTGCCGTTGCTGGCCAGCGGGTGGTGTGCCAGAGTATACGGGCTATCCGATTGCCCCCACTTCCACAGCGCCAGCCTATCCGATTGCCTCTGCCCCCTCTTTCAGCCAGGTAGCCTCCACCCCTGTACCTCCGAAGAAGAATGCGAATGTTCCCGCGGGCCGTGACCGCGGGAACGACCATGGTAAAGTTGGTGGAAATGGACGTGGACGTGGGCGAGACCGGATGCCTCCTCCCAAGCCTCTCTGGCCAGGGCACGAACAGACAATCCAAGATCTTGATGCTGCCGCATCCAAGAAAAATGCCGAGGCGGCTGCCAAGTTCAATGCCGAGCACCGAGATGAGCCAGTCAGGATCAGGGAGAAAGACGGCAAGGGCGGGGTAAAGGAAGTGGTCCTGCGCCCAACGAAGGTGACGGCGAAGACAAAGGAGGATGCTGAGAAGGAGAAGGAGAAGAAGAGGAAGGAGGCGGAGAGGATGGTGAAGTTTGCGGCGAGTCTCAACGCCGACGATATTGAGTTTTGATCTGGTGTGCTTGTATCGATGTCTTTTTCTTATCGCTCGGCGTCTACGCCGAGCGAGTTTCACGCTCGATGGTGGCATGGAGCGATTTTTACGCTCGATGGTGGCATGGAGCGATTTTTACGCTCGATGGTGGCATGGAGCGTCTGGCGTGTTAGATAAACAATGACTCAACCTTCATCCCATTACGTCCTTCCGTAACTACTGCTTTGAGGTGCAAGCCGTGATCTGCCGTCCTATAGACGTCGACGTATACACTAACGCTGGACACTACGCCTGCTTCGGGTATGAGCATCGTGAAGGTGCCAACTAGGTTGTTCGACATGATCGTATAAGGCTTCAGAACCTTCAAAGCTCGAGAAGATGTCGTGACACGATCGCTTGAGGTTCGATTAGAGTTCTAAAATTCGGCGGGGGCGTTACGCTGGCTGTGCAATCGGAAGCACTACCGAAGGCGCGCCGGAGGAAGGCGAACCTTGGCACTCACATACCTGCATCCAAGCTGCCAAAACAACGCAACGAAACTACCGCAAGACATATACTGGTGACACTCGAGATGCACAAGTTTCATCCAAACGTTGCATGTAGTTGTCCAGCTATTGCAAGATCTCGATTCGACGAACCGAGTGCTTGGGTTCAACATCGGAATTTCCACTCAATTCCTTCCACCGACATCATTCTCATCAATCCCTCATCATGACATAGACTTCAACTGATAAGATTCTGTAGGGAGCCAGTACACGAAACAGGGTGTGTAGACGCCTTGAGTGTAGCCTGCATGTAGGCACCCCGACGCCGCGGATCCATCAGGACACCTGTGCCCCAGCCAGCGAACACGTCTTTCTCTTTTTTCATACGAGGCTTGTTTCCCAGGAACACACTTTTCATATTGAAATCAGTCGGTGTCTGCAGACCATTCTCGTTTCGAACAAGGTCGATATATTTCTCTTGTCTATCATATATTCATAAATTTCTTGCTCATGCTACATCACATTGTTCGTATCCTCTTCTATACCTGGTTTGCATCCACTTGTATCCTTGTAAATGACACAATGTGATTGCATCCTGTGTCTCACATCATCGACGCAAGGACACTATGGTGAAGGAAAAATCATAGTCTCACGGTGAAAGCGCACGGAACGGAAAAACGAGTGGTCCTAGCAACGCACAGCCTTGATATTTTTGCAGCTGCACGTCGTTACACGAACCACCAACCCACACCCTCTCTACCCCCACTTTCTTACAAAATTGCCATATCAACATGGGTCGTGATAGACCCCAAAAGCGCAGGATGCGATCAGAGAGGCAACCTGCCGCCGCCGACGAGAATGCCGTTGCCAGAATTGCCGATACCGAGAATACCGTTGCCGAAGCTGCCGATACCGTTGTGCCTGAGATGAGTGCCGAGTCGCTGAGGATTCTTGCTGCCTTAAAGACGGGTACGTTTCTCTCAAATTCCTGGGATGATGATGAGGACGAAGAGGAGGAAGGTGTGGCTGCTCGTCCAATCGTTTCGTAACCAATTTTAACTTTCGTAGAAACGGATGCTCCCCGTCTGAGCCGCGATGACGAACCCAGACGGCCTGGCATGAACCCACCGTCCAAGCCATTTTGGGAATTGTTCAATATCGATGCCATTGACACAGACGACGCTGAGGAGAGACGCAACCGCATTGCCGCCTTCAAGATGGCTGTCGACATTTGCCTCACCAACCTGAAGAATTTCAGGACATGGGGTGCCTGGGCGACTGAGAAGCTCGACTTGAGCCTGGCCTCCTCCGATAGGCTGTTTGCCGTTGCCACTGGATTGCGAGACGAATTGGAGAGTCGTCGGTCATCGCTGGATGCTGTTGCCGAAGCGGAGAAGATGTTGGATGAGGGGTTTGCCGAGGAGCAGCAGATCTCCGCCGACATGAAGGAACAGTTTGCCAGCCTATGGACCCACGTGAAGGTGTTCCAGGAAACGCTGGACATAAATCAGCTCAGGGTCGCTTGTTTTGCCTTGGCCCAGGCCAGCGGTACGGAGGTGAGGGCAAGTCGGTACTCGGAGGCTATGTTGACGGCCTCGGAGAAGGAGTCTGCTCGGAGGGAGGTTGAGGAGGAGAAGCGAGAGTTGCGCCGAGTGCGGGATGAGGTGGTGAGCGCGAAGGAGTCGATCCTTGCAACAGAGCAGTACTGGCTGGGATTCCACACTGCAATGGTGGACTTCGCCGTTCCAGACCAAGACCCCGTCAGTACTGCCAAGTTTGCGTGGATGAAGGGGGAAGTGTTTGTGCCGAATCTATGCCATCAATACTGGAAGGGACGAGAGTTTGCCAGGTGGTTGAAGTCGACGAACGCGCTCGAGAGCACCGACAGCATCTTCCATGGTGCGTACGAACGGGATCCTTCGACCGACGGTGTCAGCCTCCAACACCCCAATGGCGTCATTGCCGGCACCTCTTGGTTTGTTGGTATTCGTCACGAGATGCGCAACGAGAAGCTGCAGCGGGAAGGCAAGACATACCCTGCGCTTCCAGAGCATCTCAACCATCTCCTGGACCAAAGACGCGACGGTTGGTGATGCCTTTTGCTATATGTGTTCTTTTTCCTTGTCCACTCGCTGGTTGCAGCGAGTGGTTTTAGTGTTTATCAAAGCGCTCGGTGGATACACGGAGCGCGTCGACTTTCTACTTCATAAAATATCACAACGTCTTCATCAATTTCTATGTCCCAATCGTGATGTTTCAAGCCTCGAGACTCTTACCACACCCTTCGATGACTTTCCTTTCTACTTCATCGTCTCCTCGTAGTCTTCATTCATGTCTCATATACTGGGCTTCCTGTCGAGCATGCAGGGACAGTGTGTCGATATCCCCCCAAATCTGTCTTCATCTTCCCAAAGAAGCCGCCAAAGGTGACAGTTGGAAGTATACAGCAGGACGAATACGGTCTATTTGACACATTCAACACACTGTGTATTCGTTATCTCGTAGGATCGCGCGTTCATGTGAATACTCGCTCTGAGGGTCACCGTGACGCAGTGTGTATCGTTGCGCTCAGATTTCTACCTCACAACACCTCTGTATTTGTCTGGCCTCATTGTGATTTTGAACTTCTCGGTCGCGATAGCAGAGCACCAACTAGACTCCCCTGTCTCCTGCAGCATTATCCCGTTCCTCACCGTGAAAGTGAGCTGCCGCTCCTTCTGTTCTGGCTTCCAGCGTGGCACGTGCGTCAACGTCTGGTGAAAAATTGCTCTCCGCTTGACTGTCGCACGCACACCACACACACATATTTTCGAATCTGCCAAATCGAAAATCATGTCTCGCCGCGGCGACCACGGCTACTACAGCCCTCATGCCAACAACTACTACAACAACAACAACAACAACTACTTGCCACCGAATGCCAACAATGTGCCAGGACGAGGGGGGTTTGCTAGGGGTTCTGGGGCCGCGAGAGGAGGTTCTGGGTATGCGAGGGGAGGGTATGCCAGGGGAGGGTATGCCAGGGGAGGGTATGCGAGGGGAGGTGCTGGGCCGGCGGGAAGCAGTCCCGCGGGCATGAACCAGCCGTCTGCGAGGGGATGGGAGGGGTCGACGAGGGGTAATGCACGCGGAGGGTTTGGGCACAACAACTTCTCTGCGCCGCCTGTGGCCAGCTTCAGTGGATCCACCGCCGAGGCCGAAACCTCGCTGAAGTTCGCTCCAGAGCGATACTATGCTCCGGCCAACTTCGTGGGACAAGAAGCCATTCCCGTCGGCGCTGGACTCACCCTGAGTCATCAAACTTGCCTGAACTGCCATGGCCCTTTGGACATACACCACTGGAATGCACAAGGTCACTGCCCGAATGCGTGCCACTATTGCGGTCAATATGCCCACCCTGGAGAAGTAAGTCACCCTCTCTGCTACCATACAATAACTAACAGTTTAGCCATGCCATTTGCTCTGGTGTTCGTATTCCTTTTGGAAGAAGCGTCTGAGGGGAGGACACATACCCCATCACATGCAAATTCGGCCGAGTGCGCCAGAAGCGAAGATGCTCATATCTCTGGGCCATCGAGGTTTTGAGGGTGTTAACTCGATGTATCTTGCCAAGGACACGTTGCCATCTACGAAGCGCACTGCAGACGATGCCGAGCTCTCCATGCATCACGACGATGCCAAGCGATACAAGCAAACAACAGACAAGCTTGTGGCCGATATTTCGCGCGAACTCTTTGCCGAGAAGAACCGAGCAAACATGTTGAAGGACCAGCTTGCAAAACAGGATGCCCAGCTTGCACAACAGGATGCTCAGATGTTGCAGCTGCAGCGGGAGCTCGCCGCCCTAAAGAAGCTGCCGCGCCAGTCAAACACGACATTGTCGACTACCGTTGCCCTAGAGACGAAGGCCAAGACGGCTGTTGACGTGCTGCGAACTGCGGCTGCCTTGGAGGGGCAGAAGAAGGCGAAGACGGCGATTGACGTTCTGCGGACTGCGGCTGCCATGGAGACGAAGACGAAGACGGGTGCTGACGTGCTGCGGACTGCGGCTGCCATGGAGACGAAGACGGGTGCTGACGTGCTGCGGACTGCGGCTGGCCTGGAGGGGGAGAAGACGGCGAAGACGGCGACTGACGTGCTGCGGGCCGCGGCTGGCCTGGAGGTGGAGAAGAAGACGAAGGCGATGGAAGTGTTGCGGACTGCGGCTACCTTGGAGGGGAAGAAGAAGACGGCGACTGAGGTGCTGCGGACTGCGGCTGGCCTGGAGGGGGAGAAGATGGCTGATGACTCGGTGGTGCCACCGAGTCAGACTGGAAAGGGTGACGAGGAGGATGATGATGACTCGGTGATGACACCGAGTCAGACTGAAGTGGGTGTTGAGAATGATCTGGGGGATAGCGACCTGTTTTTGGACGACTCTGCGGAAGAAGATGACAAGGTAGCCTGGTACGACTAGCGTCCCATTGTTGGGCAGTGCCACAATACAATCCCGTGCCTACACTTCCTTGCCATAACCATATTTGCCTAATGAGTTGATAGTCACAATAACAGCTTCACGACCAGCAGTCACAAAAGAAATGTTGACTGACTGTATTCAAATGTAATATTAAGGCAATTGAGTGAGAACGATTATATTTCTTATGCTAGAAACCTAGATGAACTCTCTTTCATGAACTTTTGGACTATTGGGTGGGGACTTCAGCGTGATCGAGCATGTATCTCGAACTTGATCATGATCTGGTGCCTCTCCCTCCGTATCCGATGACGAATGTGGTCAGGCTCATCTCCGAGAACGCGCACTTGACGAGGAGACTCGAGACCATGTTCACGATCAACTCGGATGAGGGTCCCAGAGCAGAACCTTTTCAACATCCCGAGTACGAGCCTGAACTTCAGCCAGATCACCATCCCAAATATGACTCCGATAACCCGTTCGTGGCCCAGAATACAGTCACCTCCACGAACATAACTAAGAGCAACTCTGGGCTACGTCGCCAAGCAGAATGTGTAGGGGACCGCGGTCGCCTCATTCCTCTTCGCCTGGCCAGGTACTACAGCTCGAAGACTGGCAAGGACACGATCCTGATTGCGTGGCTAGGATCTATGAGAAGAAGATGTTTGCCATGTCCGCGGGCGTGCGCGTGAACGACCAGCCGCACCAGTAGGAGACGTAATGCTCGTTTTAAAGAGGGAGGCGTTGGCGAGGTACATTAAGTACAGGATCTCCAACATGAGAGAGCCCGTATATAAGACGGTGAGCGAGATGAAGGTCTCGGGTCTGACCGACAAGAGCAACGTGGAGGCGATGCAGTAGAAGGCCTCATTCACGGTCCGCTTCGAGTCTGACGCCTGATCATCTCCGCGTTGGTGATCGCCTCCATGTCCGAGGCCGTGACCACAGTAGGAGTGGCATTCGAGATCACGTTCGTGATGAAGTCGCGGTGCGAGTTAAAACTTTGGCTCAACTTCTCGAACGTCAACGGGATGAAGGCCAACCCTGTCTCCAGAATCTCGGAGGGGGTCACGATCCTGGGCTGGCACATGCGTGCGTCGAGGCGTCCGGCCAGGCCTATGTTCGTGTAGTAGTTCTTCGCGTCCAAGACCCAGTCCATGTCCGCTCAAACGAGAGCCTTGCCCTGTCTACGATCCACCACATGTGCACGAAGGTGTTGACGCTCAAGCCCTCCTACTTGATTGTGTTGTGGTTCACGCAGCAGTCGTCGCACACGATCATTCACATGAACAAGTACGTCTTCTCGTCGCAGAGTGGGGTCGGGAGGTTGGACCAGCACTTGTACGCGAGCCCGTACACCTTCTCGTATCCGTAGATCATGGTGTCGACTTCAGGCCGCGGATCACGATCGAGCTTGTGGATCTGCTCGCGTCTCCATCCACGGGTACGGACGAGCACTCCCTCAACTTCGCCACCACATCCGAGAACATGTCGAGGTTCGTGGCCATGAGTAGGTGTCGACCAAGCCTGCCACGAAGGCGTTCAAGCTGTCAACCTCGTTCGTGTCCAGGCCGTAGTCAGGTTCGTCACCCCTGATCGAGATCGCTATCAGCCTCGCCAACATGAGTGCGATCCCCTTCATGCTCATGTGCCTGACCAGGTTCCTGAACCACTTCATGCGCCCGAAGTGGGACCTGTCCGAGTTCCTGATCTTCCACGCTCAAGGTCGAGTCTATGTACGAGGGCGTGGTCCTGATCGTCTTCGTCTCCGGATCTGAGCACGGGATCCCGCTCATGTTCGAGCACGTGTCTCTGATCCAGGTCTCGTCGGCCGCATGTCCGTGACCATGTGCAAGATCAAGCTCTGAGTCGTGGAGGAGAACATGCACAGGTTCGCGACCTGCCTCGAGGTTGTGCACACGGTCGTGGTTGAGGATCCCGTCTCGATCAAGGTATTGTGCATGATCAGGATGTGCGCGTTCATGGCCATCATCGTGTCCTCGTCCGTGAGCAAGATCATGGAGACGCTCGAGTCCCAGCCGTAGAACCTGCACATGTGCCTGAACACGATCGTGGCCCCGTACATGACCGAGAGCACGTCGGTGATGGTGTTCGGGCAGCTGCATCCTATATGAGAACTCGTTCATGAATGAGACCGTGCACAAGAGCATGCGGGTGATCTTGTTCGTCTTCAGGTTCGAGGTGGGGTCGTGGTCATGCTCATGTTGATGCACTCGAGCTGAGTCGCAATCTTGTCTAGGTCCTTGGGCACCCTCTCGTACGTCAGATGGACAGCGAGTCGTTCATAGGGAGCCACGTATTGCCTTCTTGTGCTGATGGTTGCCTCCTTGTATGTATGCGGCTGGCGCACTAGGTTGGCTTTGAAGCCGTGAGTCTCCTGAACGTAAGGCAGTCGTAGGCTTGCAACGAAAGATAGTCGAGTCAGTTAATGGGCAGTTCAGCAGCTGTGTAAGCCAGGTCATGGGAGTGCCGTGGTGTTTCATGATGAACTTCTGCGTTGACGAGCGACGAGGAAATCCGCGTTGGCGCTTAAACCGACGAGAGAGAGAACGTATGTCGCGCAGGATATTGACAGGGATGGTGTAAGAAGGACCATAGTCGAGGACCACTACGCGCGATGGTTCTGGCTTCTGGAATGTGATTTGATTTTGCGCTACAGTGGTCGACGAGGGAAGTGAGACAGATCGCTGCACGACGTACGTGATCTGGCGTCAGCTGCGCTCTCAGGGGACTCAGCATGCGACCCAGGATGTAGGTGACATGGACGTAAATCGATCTCGGCCAGCTTGACGTCAAGGACATTTCCTCGCCTTCTCCGAGTTTCAATGGGCATTGTGAATCTTCTTCATCGTCTGTAGACTCCCACAGCTATCCAGCATTGTTGTCCATACGACCCCAGTCAGGTGGTATCCAGAGCAACGAGTACGAACGCGTCGACACGGAGTTGTTTCATGCGAATGTTTGGGGTTCAACATTACAGCGCGTCTCCAGATGGCCTGACGAGCAAAACATGGAACTGCATCGCCCTCTTTCGATGGAATTCGCATGCTAGAGACGGCGATGAAGGTTGTCGCTCTGTGATGCCAGTGAACAAGCGTGAATTGGGCTTCGTAGGGGTCTGACGTTGTGACCCTCTCTGACCTGCGTGTCTCGTCCGTCCGTGACCTAGAACGCGTCGACTGAGGCTCTCTGAAGTAACGTGAAGGAGATGCGGGAGCTGAGGGTATGTGTCCAGACCATAGGGACCATAGGGACCATAGGGACGTGGTGCCTGATCATTGACCAGTGAGGATGTGTAAGTCTCCGTGTGCGTGGGAGCTGCGGGAGGTTCGGCGTACTCCAAACACTAATGCCACCGTCTGGAGGAGCCACCCTCATCTATGCTCCTGTCCAGCCAGTGAAGACGCTTGACAAATTCAACATCCTGTTTGGCCCACTCTTCCTGTTTGGCCACTCTTCCTGCGTTCAATTCTTGATCGAAACATCCAGAACTGCTCTGGTGAGCTGCGCCTGTCGAACAACGTGCTCTCGATAGATGGGGGCTGCTTGTTGAATAACGAGAGTGTGGCGTAGTGCGACTACCACGCAGAACGTGCGATAATTCGTATGACGCAGGTTTGAGAGCGATTATGGGATCCGTACGAGAGGGTAAAACGCGATTCCGTGAGAATAACACTGCTTGAAGCATGTGAGGTTTCGTCGTTCTTCGAGATTTGGGTGGTTCGGCGTGTGCTCTTAGTGTTGGAGTGGAATTGCATGCGGGGACAATGTCCGTGCGCGCCTGCATCGCGATCTACGGCGCTTGCGGACACCATTCCAGATACAGCTATCACGTGCGCCCATACTATACCTAGCATCTCTTTCTCCTCCACAACGCCTTGTTCGTTTACTGTGCCGTTCTCGGAACGTGAAAGAATTCGTACTTCTAGACATGCGCTAAAGTCACAGCAATCCCGGCGTAATTCCACGAGACCGACAGGCTGCGGCGCGTGTGCCTCATACTTCCACGACAGCCTACACCCCTTATACTCCTACATCACCATCTCAACGTCACCCGGCAACCTTGCTCTTAAACGGACGAGTATATGAAAGCAGGGCCTTGCAGACTACCAATTTAAATTTTCATTCGACTACACCTACGTGAGCCGGCAAGACTTCCCCAGTCCAGGGGAGGGGCTCATACAAAATCTACAGTGAACATTAACTCTGCCCCCACCCCACCGTTCAGTCTACAATTGCATCAGTTCAAACAGTTCGTCTGGGCGAATATTCCGACACCGATATGATGCTGATCAAGGTGTTCGTGTTGAAGCGGCATCGTAGGGGAGGGTTGCTCTGCGGTTCCCAGCTCCTCCCGCACCACCCCACCACAAGATCTCCACGTCAACGACTCCGTTTGCTTTGTAACTCTCGGTAAACATACTCTCCGTACTGTTCGTTCGAACGCTGCCACTTTTATGGTAACCGTTCGCGTCCTTGTTGCACTTCGGGGGTGTTGGGACTGCCCACGCATTTGGGGACTATACCTGTGGAAGCTACCGTTCGGCGACGTCTCATTCGGATTGAATGCAATCAAAGCATGTCAATCTGTACAGTCTACTATACCTTGCCGGTCACGGACGGGACATCAGCACGAACGCATTGCGAGTAAATCGGGATGGTACCCTTCGTTGCTGGTGTGCATTCGATCCCAGGGACCAGAACTGTAATCGTATCGTGAAAACAACAGCGGGTTCGGCCGGGCTCTAGCGAATGAATGGTCAGGATTGTTGAATACTACATTCGAAATTCCAAGCATATTCGACGCGCGCGTTGTTGAGTTGTAGCATTCTACATGGGGTGGTCCATATGTCGATGGAACACGAATCGGAGCCCCACCAAGACTAGCGGCGCACGTGCGCCTCGCGAGTCAAGTCCCGCATTGATGTGTCAGCAACCACGATCGCGGTTACGATCACGACCACTCGACTGCCCTGCACCATTCACGACACCAACGCACGCCGTCGACGCATCACTTAACACGACACGCGCATCAAACTGCATGTATTCTTCACGTCCTCTGATGCTCGCGGGTCTATTCTAGACAATAGCGTCCATTTCGTCCTGTGGCAGCTTCCATCTCATCGTCCCCGCTTCCTCAGTGCCAACCATCATCTGGGCGCCCTTTCTATATTCGAAGCCGATGATTCTTTGATCCTGCTCGCCTCAAAACCACCATCATGTTGCTCTTGGGCTGTTCAGCTCGCCTACGTTGTGTGTCGACTTCTCAACCGTACGGCGTCAAAACGAACGAGACTCCGATATGCCAGCTGTGGTTGTCCTCGTGGTGCATCCACACAACTGATCCTGGGGCTATACGACTTATCATGGGACCACATGCCTCATCGTGGGACCACATGCCTCATCGTGGGACCACATGCCTCATCGTGGGACCACATGCCTCATCGTGGGACCACATGCCTCATCATGAGGCTACACGACTGATCTTGGGGCTACACGACTGATCCTGATCCTGGAGCCACACGACTCATCCTGGGGCTACACAACTGATCCCACGATTGATCCTGGGGCTACACGACTCATCAAGGCTACACAACTCATCGTGGAGCTACACAACTCACTATGGGGCTACACGACTGATCCTGGGGCCACACGACTCCTCATGACTACACAACTCATCATGGCTACATAACTCATCGTGGAGCTACACAACTCACTATGGGGCTACGCGATTGATCCTGGGGCCACACGACTCATCAAGGCTGCACAACTCATCGTGGAGCTACACAACTCACTATGGGGCTACGCGATTGATCCTGGGGCCACACGATTGATCCTGGGGCCACACGACTCATCAAGACTGCACAACTCATCGTGGAGCTACACGACTGACCATGGAGCTACATCATGAGGCTACATGACTAATCATGAGGCACACGACTGATCTTGTGTGCGTCTACACAACTGACCCTGGGCGCATGTATGCGTGAGACAAATACCAGGACGATTGGCGATGTCAAGCTCGCGTCCGCCATGGGCTCTGTAGGAGTCTTGCTAGCACTCCGCGTTGCAGCTCGAGCTTGCCATCAAGGGTTTGGACACAGTGAGCAGACTCGGTCACAGGACGGGTCACTCAAACAGCACTCAAGAGTTCCAATGCTCGTCCTCTGATTCAGGACTACCGGACCACAGAAGGGTATCATAGTGACAGCCTATCACTCGTTTGCCGCCGACAATCTGATTACCCTTCCAGTTTGACTGCTCCCGAGTGCGGTGGTAGCCTTCTGACGCGGCCTCGGTGACGCTTCCTGCATGCGGCTCCTCCACAATCATACAGCAGAGCGTTGTCGAGCGCTTGAATACACGACGGTATCGAATGTCTTGAGCATGTTGGACACCCTTTGTGAAGGCGACTCCATGACAACACGAAGTGGAGTTTTCCTGTATGCGTCTATGTATTATGGTCATTCATAGTTCGAGTCAGCTCTACCTCATTCCCATATTCTTTTTCTCTACAACCCAAGGGCAGTAGTTTTGTAGTATATTTTCTATTTCCATATTTTTCAAGTCAATCTTTCAATCTGCATCGTTGCTAGTAACACCTACGAGTGGTTATTGTTCACTTCAACACGCTGGCTCTTACATATGTATTCTTCAAACCTCACGTCAAGCAGTTCGATGAGAATCTGAAAAGAGAAGAATTTCATAACTGGACATGTTTTATCTACGAAACGTCTCGGCGCCTCCGCCGAGACGAGCGACAGCATACCCCTACTCTCATCCTCAACCTGATGTCACCAGCACGATGCCACCATCGTCCTGCATCAAACCCCGATACTCAACCTGATACCACCATCACGATACACCCCTCAACGTCTACTGCGGATCCCTATTCTCGGCGTGAGGTGAAGTTGAAGGGGGGGTCATCATATGGGAGACCCAATTTCTTATAGCCTGCCTCGACTAGTTTGAGGCCATATTTTCCGAACTGAAGCTCGAAAACATCCAACAAACCGCTCCACAACTTCAATGACAAACGTAGCGTCTCGGCATCTGGCAGGCGGAGAGGGTCGTGGTACCATGCGACAAGTTGTTGGCGCTCTAAGACCAGTTCGTAAATGGCCACTTCGTGATCTGCAAAACTTAGTAAATTGTCTGACCTCGAAGCTTTTTACCTACGTTTGGCTACTACGGCAGAAACTCTCTGAGCAAACCCGTGCATCAGCGTCCATCGGTAAGACGGCGGTCTATCACCTGCGACAGCATCATAGCTGGGGGCGGCATCGTCTTCTCCGGCATCGTCTTCTTCGGCATCGTCTTCTTCGGCATGGTCTTCTCTGGCATCGTCTTCTCCGGCATCGTCTTCTCCGGCATCATCTTCCCTCGAGACAGGGCCTGCTTCCACTAGTGCAGACGGGGCACCGGCAGGTGTGGCATTGTGGGATGGAGCGTTCAAATCACTCGAGGCATCGAGCACTTCCTCAGGCGTAGGCATAGCGAAGGTGATCTCGGCAGGAAGAGGAAAATTGGTAGAGAAATTGTGCGTAATGGGATTGGCAGCGATACGCGTTGTGGTGTTTGTGCAGAAGGTCTCGCTATGGAATAAGGAAAAGGATTACCTTCGTCTTGGCACCTCTGGTTCACGTTCACCATCACGCGGGCAGATACAGATAGAGCACCCTCAACTGTTCATTCATTCATCTATCACGCGGGCAGATACAAGTAGAGCATCCGCAACTGTTCATTCATTCATCTAGTCCTCGGGCCAATACAGGGCCATGATCTGGCGGCAACGGTTCATCCAAAAGTCCCTATTCTTCCGCATAGCCTCGAGGCTCTTCTTGTAGTCCTCGATCGCATCCAAGTTTGCCTCTGACATCTCTTCGTATTCTTTGACCATGTTGCGCATACGAACCTCCTTGTCGAAGATGGCACAAACGAGCGGGGGCAGGGCATCGATGGACTTCTCGAGATCGGCCTTTATCGAGGCGTATATGCCATCTTTGTTGCCTTTCGCCAGCTGTTTCCTCTTGACAAGATAGGCTGCCAGGGCATTGGCGATAACCGACAAATGTTTGGCATATCGCGCATTCATGTCTTTGGCATGGTTAAACTTCTCCGTGGCTGTGTCCATGGCATCTAGACCTCCTCGTTCGATCACCTTCGACACGACCGACTTGACAAACTCGACTCCGCCGAATGGTTCGAAACTCGCGACAAATGTATCCGCTTCATGTTTCGCCGCTGTAGCGTGTGTTCTCAGGGTCGTTACCTCGCGGCAGAGGTTGTCGTATCCCGCAGCCTTCTCACGGAGCCCGTCCGGCTGTTCTACCTCGACCTCCAGGTCGAGATAAGCCTCCGCCTTTCCCCTAAGCCCGTCTTCCCCGTCCACCTCATCACTCAGCCTCTCATAAGCCAAAGCCTTCGCGCGCAGTCCATCCTCCTTTTCTACCTCGACCTCCAGGTCGAGATAAGCCTCCGCCTTTTCCCTGAGCCCATCCTCTTCGTACACCTCACGCCTCAGACTGTTGTAATCCCTGGCCTTTGCCCTAAGCCCATTGGGTTTCTCCACTTCATCCTTCAAGGCATCGTACGCCTGAGCTTTTCCATCAAGTTCACGCTCCAGAGTAGCACACTCTGCAGCTCTTCCGTCGAGTTTACGCTCCAGAGTAGCACACTCTGCAGCTTTGGCTTCAAGCTGGTCGTCCTTTCTAGCAAGTTCCCGCTTCAGGGCATCAACCTCGGAATTCTTAGACGCGAGCAATGCTTGGCTGTCTTCCAGGTCTTTGGATTGCAGCTCCAGACGTTGCATTAGCCCTTCGTCCCCTGCGAGAGCCTTGACTCGTGCGAGATCGGGTTGCGCATCGTTGCCGTGAATGGTCTTATGCAGTTCGGCTATTTGTTCTGAAATTGTCAGCAAGAGAAATGCAAAATGCGCGCCGATGCTTACTCTGCAATTTGTCGACCTCGGCCTTATGCTTCGTGGCCATTTCGAGCATGGTTTCGGCTCCCTCCAAGTAGTCTGCGATATGACGTTGGTGGATAAGCTCTGCACGTTTCTTCTCGGCAAGCTCTTTTTCTAGTCGCTCATTTTTCTTGCTTTCTGTGTGAATGGCATCGGCAGTGGCATCATCCTCGATGAATTGGGCAACATCATACTGTGCATTGGTCGTCGCCAGGGCGAGTTCAAAATCTTGCCTCTCTTGCAGATCGTCAGTGACCGCGTAGATCGTCGGTGGCAGTTGACTTGACATATTGGGGCATGTGTAGATGGTAGTGGAGAGAATGGTGAGCAAGAAAAAAGTGAGTGGAGAGCAAGAAAAAGGTGAGTGGAAATGTGGGGCTAAGACCAGAACGGAAGTCACGGACAACACCTCAAACTGGTTTGCACAGAACATCCATGGGTCTCATGGCAAATACAAAGGGTTTAAGGCTAACATTACATTCTCGTACTACAAGGCGTAGTCGTCAACACAACCTTTTCAACATCCACTCTCGCACCTCCGCATATTCGGGACCCTCCAGCGCCTCGTGTGCTGCAATCCGTTCAAGCCTATGCACAACAGCCTCCTCCTCCTGCTTCGCCTCTCTATCAAAATCTCGAGAAGCATTCTCGAGATCCTTGCTCTCGGCCTGCACAGCCGAGAGCATGGCCTGTTGTGTTCCCATCGACCCTTCGGAGGCTGCCTCCGAAGGTCCCATTCCGCCACGCTCCAAAACATCCATCTCCTCGCATCTCGCCTGCTCCCAGAAGCCCATTCCCACTCTGGTCTCTCTACGATCCCTCCAGAACCCTTCCCAATCTTCCTTCACCCAATCCTTCATCTCTGCGCTGGTATTGTTCAAACCAGGAGGGTGGGCATTGAAACCTCCGCCAGTGGTATGGAAGCTATCGGCCAGCTGCGTCAATAGGAGTTCGGCAAGGCATACTTCGTCCTCTTTGGCTAGGAAACACAGAGGGAACGTTTCAAGGTTGAACTCCCTGGGATACAGGACCTGGCAAACGTGCTTGACAAGGTGCATGAGAAAGGCAGATCCTCCACGCATGTGGTCCTTCTCGCGGGCGCTGTAATTGAAGGCATAACCAATGTATTGCAGGGCATGCTTCAGCGGCTCTTCCTCCTGGTCTTCTGGCATACGATCGAGACGAGCTTCGAGCCCATCGCAAAACTGCGTCACAATATCTATTCGGCCGCGCACAGGCTTTCGCACTCCGTTCTTTGTGGCAGTCAAGAAGTGGTGATGTCCTTGGTAGAGATCGTTTTCAGTGGAATGGACACGACCAAAGGCATTATCGACTTGGAGGGCAACGTCAAAGGTATCTGGGTGCTGAGACACGTAACCTCTCAGCATCCCGATCACAAGTCTCAATTGGTCAGGGGTCGGGGAGAGGCCTCGACCTGGCCCCATGCCTGTGGTTGAGAGTATGACAGTGTACACCATGGGCGCTATCAACGTCGCTTCATGTGCCCATTCCGAGTCATCGAAGAGTTCCACCAGCATGTCGTTCCCGCAGTGGTATTTTCTGGCGAGATTACCAGTCACCAACGTATCAAGCAATATTCTCGGCATGCTCCAGAGGATGTTTCTCCCAGTAATTCTCCACTGGGCATCGGATAGACTTGCGGGGAGTGGATGACCGAGCTGTGTGGCATGTATTCGCGCAAGCACCACCGCGGCAAGGCATCCAGAACCGAGAGCGTAGTCGTAGCGCATCCGCCCTCTGAGTCTTGCATCGAAAGGCTGCGATGCGGGATCTTCGTCTTCATCCGGTGGCATCTGGGATCTGGCAAGAGGCGGCGACGATCGAAGGGGTTCCATGCTTTGCAAAGGGGAAGTGGGTGGCATGTGTCGTCGAAACCCCAGGTTCGGATTGCCGAATATGCTTTGGAATCCACCTGAACTGGCAATTGGGGTCTGGAGCCTCTGACCTCCGAAGCCACTAGACTGCTCTGGCATGAATTGTCTCTCACTAGGCGTCCGCACAGGTGTTCCGACGGAGCTAGGAACCTGTTCAGGCATCTGAGCACGCACATCCCGGAGGGCCTCGAACGCATCGTCACTCGCGGCGTTAGACCGCCGCGAGTTTGCATTCGCCCCAGCAGACACCTGCTGGGACCCCATCCCCTGGCGACCTCCACGAATGTGTGCTCGATACTGACCCAGGTCCGGAAGCTTGAAGACGCCGTTGTCTGGATTTGGGCCGTCATCGTCATTGTCCTCTTGTACCTGTGGAGTCGGCTTCGGCATTGGCAACTCGGAAAATTGCGTCGATCCATCACTGAGTTGCGAGTTCAGCAATTCGTGCTTCCGCTGTCTTGCAACCCAACCAGGGGATATGTTGCCCGAACCCGAGATGGCATCGCCTGCATCTGGACGAAAGCTTGAATCGGCAACATCGCTCGGAACAGCCCTGCCTCGCACGTTGGATCGCCACATATGACCTCCTGGGCTTCGCATGGCATCTGGCAATGGCAACTCAGCATCTTCATCCTCATTCGGCCGCTTCGCTGGACGATCGTGATGTCCAGATTTGGGTGGCATGATGCATAAGTGTGGTGAGTGATGAGAGTTGGAGGAGGTTAGAGAGTGAGAAGTGGGAGGTGAGTGGTGTGAGGTGAGAGGTGGCGGAGATGCGAGAAGGGAAGTTTGTTGCTCCGTGCCTTCCCGATTGAGCAACCGGTCGAACGTCACCACACAGCGCGCGGCACACCTTGCTCAAGCCGGCATGCAGTGTGAAGTTAGTTCATGGCTGTAAACTTTTGTAGAATCACAAAAGCATTTCACATCAATGTCATTCCACTACTAGGCTCAAAATGCAAGATGGCATTCAAACCGATTCGAAGGCAATGGCAGAATTAGATACAATATGTCTCACCAAGACAAATAGGCAACAACCAGCACGATGCCACCATCGTCCTGCATCCACTCACTGTCTTCCAGCTGTCGTACCTTGCGAAGGTCATTCCGCAGATTCCACGCTTCGCACCCAAAATTCCCTATCCTCCCAACTCTTCCCCACTCTCAACTCCTCTGGCAATGGCAGGACGACAATGCAACGTGTGCCGTCTGTATCTTCTTGAAGGAGGGCACAAACACGTGGTTTTGTCTTCGTGCTATTTGATGTCTTCGCACAGGTTGTGCATGCCCTCCATGCCGTGGGAAACACAGGCTTTCCGTTCCTCGAAATGGCATTGTGGAGCACACAGACATCGACGCAAGGCTTCATTCTGTTCCAGGCTTGTATTCGTTTCGAGCCGACAATCTGGCCATGCAGGCGCTCGGCAAGGTATTCACGCAGATCTCGGGGAATGTCTTCGCTCCTCACGAACCAGTCGTCACTTTCGGGATTGCTCTCCACCGTCCAGTCGGCATTTTCGGCATTCTTGGGTACAATGATATGGATCGGGTAGTCGTTGAGAGCCTCCTTCTTCGATGAACCCACATTACTCCCAGGAGTCGACTCCTGGGATAACCTCCCTCCAGTGCTCTGCATACGTTGCTGTTCGAAGCCCGGGGCAACCCCCGGGCTCGTCCGTCTTGAAAACATGTTACCACGCGGCGTACTTGAAGCGCTGGCCTGGCGTATACCGAGACTTGTCGGGGCGTCCTCCGTGTCTGCATAATGGGCGGTGGAGCGTCGGGACCTATCGCTGGTGGCAGGTGTGGCAGGCGCGCGTCTCTTGGTAGCAGTCGAGTCTTGCGAGCTGAAGGATCGCCCAATACTAGAAGACGCTGGCAGAGGACGTGGGCGGGCAAACGAAGACGGGCGCATTTCGCCTTCGGCAATCTTTCTGGTTCGATCTCGCTCAGCGATGGCTTCTGGCAAGTTGTTGGCCTTCTCTTGCTCCCAAAACTCGGCAAGCGTTTTCATGGAATCGGCCTTTTCCCCCCTCGTCTTGGTTGCCGCAAATTTGCTCTGTATTTCTTCATCCTCCTCCTGCAGAAACTTCAGGTAGTCGGGCAATTCGTCCATGTTGAGTCGCGGAGAGGCAGCGAGCTCTTGTGTGTAAGGCAAAGATGATGTGACTGTAGATGGAGATGGAAATGAGAGAGGTGAAAAATGTGAAAAAGGTGAGAGCACCAATCCGCGCTAGCCCGAGCACTTGTCCAGGATAGACAATCGCAAGATATGGGAAGACAGCCATATCAACGCATGCACAACGGCCGGTGAAGATGAGTGTGAGGAGAATACAACAGGCTTGACATAAGATGTGAGATGCGGCCAACACACCAGGTATCCGTCTCCTCTGCGCTGCTTTGGAAAGTTGCCCTCGACTAAACAATACCTATCATCGTGCTCGGGCCTCCCCTGCCGCCGTAAACTGCCCATCACCCACGCCTTTCGTCTCCATACAACTGCAAGCCCCACGATGTCAGACAACATGCCCATCTCATCGAAGAGCGCCGGCAAAATGCCATGCAAAGACGTACCGCCAAGCGAAGCCGCTCCTGTCGACACTGCCGTCGACACAGACAATGCCACAGAAGAAAATTGTCAGATCCTGTTCAAACCCGCATGCTCCAAAGCTGACAGACCAAGTGCCCCTCGCAGAACTGCACTCTGTCACGTTCGATGCCGACGACGAGAAACACCTCGTGTGGATGGCCAAGCTCGCACCGTGTACCGACGACATCGAAGTGGCACGCCGCTTGTCGCTGCAGCCGAATTGGGAAGATTGCCGCCAAAGTGTCCTGATAAGCAAGGAGGGCGTGGATGCATGGTGGGGAAGCGGGAACCAGGAGGGTATTCAGGATGCATGTGAAGGCCTGACGTCGTGGGTACTTGCGCTGCTGCAAGTGTTGGAACAACTGGACGGTCTCAACGAGCAGGAGTCTGCTCGTTGTGTGGAGGAATGGGATCAAACAATGGCTGCCAGCTTGCCGGACTCAGAGAAGTGCAGGGAGTGTGGGGGGTGCCCGTGCAGGGGAGTGGGCCCTTCGAATTCTGCACGGGATGAGGATGTTAACAACTGGCAGCGGATGTGGAATGCCATGGGGACGGCAGAGAGTGGCCTGATGGTTGTGTGGTTCTCGAGGTGGGACATCTTGATGAGGCAGTGTGCGAAGATGCGGCGGGCCTGCCAAAAGCTGTTGCGGATGCTGGAGATTGTGAGGCTGGGCCGGGACCCCAGTCCAGGGGAGTATGAGATCGATTGCTAGATGCCTGTCAATATGATACCCATTCTAAACACCGATGAAGTGTTGAACTCTGCTGTGAGAGCATGGTCTGCAAGTATGAGTCGTAATGTCACTCAGAAGTTGATGAATACGCAACAGCTCGACAACTACATGCAAGGTTCGCGTAAGCATGTATTCCATCACGACAGCATGTATACACCTAGCTTGCTTTTCCAGTAGCAATCAGTCCTTCTTTCTGGCTGTGTGGTCTCCAGTCTGTAGCTCGATTCCAGGTATTTCGGCGGACACTCATCAATCGCGGCAATCATCAATCGCGGCCATCACTCTGTGTACCCCCTATCATCTGATCATGTTTTCAGATAGACGCTACCTGAAATCTTGATGCTTTCCGATGAAGAGTAGCAGAAGGTCCTGCATTTCGCATGTGGAATGTGATGAGTGCTCGAGTTCACGAGGCATGGTGTGTCGTCAAGGGTGCATGACTCAGTCCTCCAACCTCAACTAGTGCCAATTCGATGAGATTTGCTCGATTGAAGAACAGCGAAGCCTGGATACGCTGACGCTTTCGCAATCCAAGCGACATCATGTCAACGCACCAGGAGACTACAAGGGCTTATGAGGTATGAGTATGAGCTGGGAAACGGCTTGGTCGACACCCACGCTTGCATGGAGAAAGGCTCACGGAACATTCACCGATCAAGCACCTTCAGCGCAGTCTCCTCACTCGCACATCCTCACTCAATCAGTACAACAAAACAAACTCATCACAGCGCATGCTGCAGGCGATGATATTACTAGCGCGATAACCAACTACACACCCCTCAGTCCTGCCTGGCGCTGATCTGCTGCTAGAAGGTCGTTGTGGCCAGTCTGCTGGCTGCGTTCCTCGCGTCGATCCTGTCCTCGTCCTCCTCGACGGCCTTCTGGCTGCCGTTGCTCGTCGCGCGCTTCCGTCCGTGCAGCACCTCCTCGTCGTTCTCCTCGTCGTCTGCGACGGGAAGGGGGACGTTGCCGCTCATGCTGCGGTTGAGGCCGTCGCCGGGCCGTCGGGGCACGCCAGACCACGCGTCGCCCTTGGGCCCCTGGGAGTTGACCATGGGGGCGCGGCGCTGGGGCGGGTGAGCCTCGCGACCCAGCCGGGACAGGCCGCCGCTCCCGTCGATGGCGCGGATGTCTGGGCGCACGGACTCGAGGGTAGCCAGGGTACGGCGCTCAGCTTCGATCTCGCGGATGACGTACTCCCTGATCGCCTGGCGCATGTCGGCCGTGGTCCTGTCGAACCATTTCCTCTGCTCGTGGAGCAGGTTCTGTGTGACGCGCTGGGCTTTCGACGTGAGGTACTGCTCGTGGCTGCGGGCCTCGTCTAGCGCGGCGATGGCCTCATCCACCTTGTCGCGCTTGACGCTGGAGCTGGCTTTCAGCCTGTCTGCTGCGGAGAGTTTGGACTTGGTCGCAGACTGCGCTTGCAACAACTCCCGCAGCAGGATGTGTCGATTTGTGAGTGTTTCCTTTGCAATGAAGGCGTCGCTGCTGTGGTACTGGAGGGGGTCACCGAGCGTTGTTGCCTCGGCCGTGCCCTGCGCAGCGTGGAAGTCACCCATCGCTTGGATGACCTTGCCCAGCTTCTTGTACGCGTGGGAGAGACCGACATGCGTTTCCTGTGCATGCATGGCGGCGAATTTTGTGCCCAGGTCGGACTCTGCAACACCAAGATCTAGCAGTGTCAGTATGTGAATAACTCAATAAAAAGACATACACACTCCTCCTGTGCTTCACCATCTTCTCCACCTTCTGCTCCGTGTCCATGGTCCCGAGGTAGAAGGCCTTGACGGTCGGACGGGCTGCAGCGAGCTCTGGCGTGTCGTCTGGCGGCGGGGCAAACTGCTTGATGACCTTGCGTCGCACGCCGGTCGCGGGCTGCTTCCGGCGCACCACTGGGCTGTAACCGAAGTCGCTCTCGACGAAGAAGACCATCTCCTCGTCTCGTATGAGCACATCATTGCTGCAGACCGTGTTCAGCCACCGCTGCATCGACGACTTCAGCCGCGCCTCGTCCTCCTCGGTGCCGGCGCCGGCCGAGGTAGTGGCTGGGGGGACGGCGGGCACAATCGCTTCGGGACACGCTGAGATGAGGTGCTCGCCAAGCTTGACAAACTCAGAGTGCAGGCGGCGGACATCGCGGAACTGCGTGGTGCGGAACTTGGGGAGGTTGGTCTGCGGGGGAGTCAGCATGTGGAGCTTCCCCAGGTCTCGATACAGGTACGCACGTAAACGTCGAACCGCAGGATCGTGTCCTTCTTGCCAGTCCGCTCGAGACCCGTGACCTTGGCCTGGAGCTTGTACTGCTGCTGTTGCTGTCGCTGCGGTCGCGTGCCGTGGTATCGCTGGGGCTGCTGGCCTGGGCCGGGAGCTTGCTGCTGAGCTTGGTGTTGGGCTTGCGGTGATTGCGGCGCATCGAGGCCCGGCGTGCGCGGTTGCTGTTGGTGGTCGCCATTTTCGGGCGCCGCATTAGGTCGGTTCTGCGCATCGTGATCGCCCATGTAGCCATACTGTTCCGAGCCCTGACCGTACGGCGATGCCTGCGGAGGCAGCGGGGATGAGGGGATGTCGCCGGTGGGAGGCTGCCCAAAAGACGAGCGGTTGTGCTTCGGCGACGAAGCCCATGGATCGGAGTCGGCGGTGTAGTCCATGATAGCGAATGTAATTGGAGCCGAGAGGGTGACCGTCAGCGTCCAACGTCGTCGGCGGGCGCTGATGACATGGACATGGATGTTTACCTAGGCAGGTGCGGCTTGGCACTTGTCGTCATATTGGGCAAGGCGCAAACCAGTCGACAGCATTTCCGGGCTATCACGTGCATCCCACCTCTCTATCAACACGCATCGAAAGGGTCATTGGCATGAGGGTCGGATGGGTATGGTGTGCTCGTCGAGTCGTGCGGCATAATGTGAAGGCTCCTCGAAGGCTGCTGTCGACCGCAGTGCCCCAACCAGACCTACTTTCAAAGTCTACGCGAAATATTGGCATCATCGCTCACATCGATGCTGTGAGTTTTACAGAATTCGGGTATGAAGGATGGAGAGTTGATAGCGTCTCAGGGAAAAACAACCACTACAGAGCGCATGCTCTATTACAGTGGATACACACGAAGAATTGGAGGTATGCATTCTTTCGTCAATTCAGCTTTTCTATACTCATCACAATCAACCCATCCGTTTGTGTTTGACCTGGAGCTATTCTAACCCCCCGAAGACGTCGACGAAGGCTCAACGGTGACCGACTTCCTCCCTGCCGAACGGGCGCGCGGCATCACCATCCAGTCTGCAGCCATCACATTCCACTGGCCTCCGTTACCTCCCAACACTCAATCGCCACCACAGCCGCCACGACTGCCTGCAACTTTTGATACCATAGCTCGATCTTCTATTCCGCACAATGTCAATCTTATCGACACGCCTGGTCATGCAGACTTCACCTTTGAAGTGCTCCGCTCTCTCCGTGTTCTCGATGGCGCTGTCTGTATCCTCGATGGAGTCGCTGGTGTCGAAGCTCAGACAGAAAAGGTCTGGACTCAGGCTGGTCACTACCGCATCCCCAGAATCATCTTCGTGAACAAGCTCGACCGAGTTGGCGCTGCGTTCTCGAGAACGGTGAAAGAGATTGGCGCCAGGCTGCATGCATGGCCGGCCGTGTGCCAAATTCCATGGTGGCAGGGCGGCAATGGAGATTTCGTCGGTGTTGGTGACGTTGTGAATCTTCGCGGTATGCTGTGGCAGGCTGGTGGCGATGGAAGCCAGATTCGGGCGTTCGGGCTCGAGGAGCTTGACAAGACTGACAAGAAGTTTGCGGAAGAGATCAGAAAGGCAAGGGTTGCACTCGTCGAGATACTGAGCGAGCACGACGATGTGATGGTGGAGCACTTCCTCGAGCAGGATGAAGATCATCTGGCTATCCCTGGCATCCAGGTCATGCAGTCACTTCGCCGTGTCGTGCTGCAGGCACCGCAAACCATCATCCCCGTCTTCGCAGGTGCCAGCTTTCGTAACGTCGGCGTTCAACCTCTCCTCGATGCAGTTGTCGACCTCCTCCCATCACCTCTCGAACGCCCAGATCCTGAGATCAGTATTGCGAACCAGAGCAGCACTCTCTCCGCACTTTTGAGCTCAGCTCCAGCCACCAAATCAGTAATTAAGCAACCAAAGAAAGCTGGCCACGAGCTGGCTGTATCAGAAGTCAAGAACCTGACAGCGTGCGCCCTTGCTTTCAAAGTGGTCAACGATGCCAAGCGCGGCGTCCTGGTTTATGTGCGCGTCTACTCGGGCTCCATTGATCGTGGATCTACTCTCTACAACACCAATCTTGCCGTTGCTGAACGCGCACCGCGCCTCCTCAAGATGTACGCCAATGACGCCGTGGAAGTCGACAGCATTGGAGCTGGCCAGATTGGCGTGATTACCGGCCTCAAGCACGCACGAACAGGCGACACCCTCATCGTATACAGAGGTCTGCAGATGAAGGGCACACCTGCTGGTGGTTTGAACACCCTGCAGCTACGACCGATCAATGTCCCGCCTCCAGTCTTCTTCACCAGCATCGAGCCCAACAGTCTGAGTGAGCAGAAGCACGTTCAAGAAAGCTTGGGTATCCTGCTCCGAGAGGACCCAAGTCTGCATCTCTCCGTTGACGAGGAATCAGGCCAGACGCACCTCGCTGGCATGGGCGATCTGCATCTAGAGATTGCGCGCGACCGCCTGCTCAACGAGTTCAAAGCTAAAGCCCGCATTGGCAAGATCGAGATCGGGTACCGCGAGACCATCTCCACTGGCACGCCCCCCTACACGTATGAACTCGACAAGCCCATCGCAGGAAAACAGGCAAGAGCCGTCATCACCGCGTCGGTCGAGCCCATCGACGACAGCACCGTGATCTCCGCGTCGCAAGAAGAAATAGAGATGGAAGGCGGCGCGTTCGAGTCGATATTCAAGCTACCGGACAACAACACCCTGCACATCTCGCACCCCACGCTCTCCCGCCGCGACTCCGCCTCGCACAAGAACTCCATCCCCCCGCACCTCTCGCTGCCAGGCGTGCTGCACTCCATCCAAGCTGGCGTCTCGGCCGCCCTCGCCCGCGGTCCCTTCAACGGCTTCCCCGTCGCAAACACAAGCATCAGCATCGCCCTCGACGCGCAGACAAACCTCTTCCCCGAAACGACACCGACCGCCATCTCCCAGGCCGCGCGCGCTGCAGTGTCTCACGGCCTCAGAAGCGCAAGCAGCACTGCGCCTTCGGTGTTGATGGAGCCCGTGATGATGGTGACCATCTTCGTGCACGAGTCTTCCCTCGGCGCTGTCGTGCAGGACATCTCCTCCTCGCGCGGCGGCCAAGTGCTTTCCCTCGACGGCGCGGACACACCCACCGACGGCGATGACGCACCACGTATCGATCCGAATCTGATCTACACGCCTCCTGACCCTTTTGCGTCGGGCACAGGGGGCATGCACTCCGGGCTTGCGGACAGTCAGAGACAGATCGTTGCGCGCGTCCCGCTAAAGGAGATGGTGGGGTACTTGAACCATCTGCGCGCGCTGACAGGAGGTAGGGGCACGTTCGTGATGACTGTGGATGGGTTTGAGCGCATGGCTAGTCAGCGGCAGAAGGAAGTTTTGGATGCGTTGAGGGAGTTTTGAGTGTCATTATTTGTATGAATATCGGGTTGTAAGATATGAGTGTGTTATACTAGTAGGGTACGGTGAAAGTAGACTTGATCTGGGCTGAAGGCTCATTCACTTCGACGCTTCGACCTCACGTTCTCACGTTCTCTTTTTTTCTATCAGCACCACCACGCTTATCTATACTCTCGACGATCGCTCACGATGAAGTACTCTCACACCATCATTCTCGTCACGCTCCTCGTCGCCATCTTCTGCATTCTCTTCGGCTGGTGCCTCGCCAAGATGTGCATGCGCGGCTTCAGTGCTGGGGCCATGGAAATGCAAACGCGGCGGGACGTCGAGGCAGCGCAGCCACGCGTGTAGTCCTGTAGAAAGACAATATGCGGGTGAGCGCTACGACATGGCGGGAAGTAGATGAGGGACTGACGGCGGTCCAGGGAAACGAGGCGGGGGACGTGTCAGCGTTTGTGTTTGTGACACGCCAGGACGGGTGTGCTTGGTTACACAAGTTTGTCTGCGCTCGAGACGAGGATTCACCTAGGGACGATAGGACGACGACACCAGCGCGGCTCGGAAACGGGACTGGCGTTGTACGGGAAGAGCACCAGTTGTTTATGGTTTGTGAGAGCGGACATGCATTGGAGGCGAGGTTGCACGGTGTTACGACAGTTTGTTTGCTTGCTCGATTTCCGTCCTCGAGGAACGCACCTGACAGAGAGATGGAATGCTGGTAATGCATATCTGCTATTCACTCTTCGTGCTTCTTGCTTCCCACTTCGCGGTACTTTATCAGCAGTATGGGTAGGAATTCCGGTCTCATCATCGCGTTGGTAATCGCCGGCCTCTTTGGCGCTGTGATACTCTGGTTTGCCGTCTACTACCTGCACCGTTACATCCACCGGTCCTGCTTAGAACTCGACTACTGGTTCCACTTGCTCACTCCACCGCAATGGCGTTCAGAGCCCAGGAACCACGACTACGGCAGGGAGATGGGACACAGATGCGGCGCGAAGAGGAAGTCGAGGTCGCGTTCTAGACACGGGAGATGGGATAGAGAGAGGGACGAGTATTCGAGATCTAGAAGATGGTGTCGCAGTCCACAGGATCAAGAGGAGGCCGCATGTACGAGCGCAAAATATGCGGAGAGACCAAAACCTGCGTTGACCATGCCCGTGTATGGGGAGCAGTGTTACCCGGCGATGGGGTGGCAACAACACGCGCCTGCTGGAGGTCAGATGGCATATCCACCGATAGCGTACCAACAACCGTTTCCGCTGTATGCAGCTCCGGTCGTGCCTGGCCCGATGCCCCAGCAATACCTCCCGCCAACGGCAGTGCCAGTTCCACAGCCAGCAACGTATGCTCCAGTGCGCAGGAAGCGACCCGCGGAAACGCATCCTGTAGAGAAGGGAAGTCAGCCCCCAGGACCTCGACGCTTCGAGACCGACTTTATCCATATCTGCGACGAGTACCCGCCCATCATCCTCGAGAAGCTGAAGAAGGCCGCTCCACCACTACAATCCTCCTCCTCTTCATCCTCAAGCTCTAGTGATGACGCAACGACGCAAGAGATACCTCGAAGGTATATTCCACACTCCGCACCTCGTTTCGCCGATCCTCCTCCCTTCCAATTCCCGCAGTATCCACACTCCTCGACACGAGCATGGGACGTGCCGACATCGTATCCGCGGCAATGGATGAACACTGGTGGTGAGAGGCTACACACGGGTCAGGCGAGGTACGCTCCATACACCAGGAACAGCGGAATGGGGCAGAATCTGAGGAACATGTACGCAGACGGGAGGCGTCAAGCACCGAGTAATGCTCCTCCTTGATTCCGTGCACATATGTAGGATGGCTCTGCAACTGTCCTGTGGTTGGTTTGAAGCCATGCTGACGATTCTGACGGCAGATCATGACATCCCGCGGTCACGTATGTGGGGGAGATGGGGACAGCAGGCGCCGAGACCACAACGTGCATATACGGAGTGCGATCCAAGACAGAAGGAGAGGGGTCATGCTGAAACAGTCGAACAGAGCAGTGCTGATGAGGCGGAGCAAGAGCCAGCTGAGAAGCCCAAGAACATACAATCAGAAAACGGTAACGAGAGTGATGGACTGCCTGAACATGTTTCGGAAGGAGGAAAATCGCCAAAAGCACAACTCATGGATCCAATGCCTATTCCTGTAGTCGAAGAGCCATCTTCCGAAACTGACAAATGACCAGCGATTCGATTGGGTAGTCTTGACAAGATGAGAGCGCGGAGGATCGGCGTGAGAGCTGCGAGTCTGATGTTCTGCCTAGCGTGAGGATGATACGATCAAAACGTGCCAGACGAGCATCTGCGTGTTGTTTGTCTGAAGGTGCGGGCGGCAAGACGGTAGGAGATTAGATCTCGCCATCGTTGAGTGAAGCGCGAAATCAATACGATTACGAGTGGTGCGACCCTGAAGACCCTGAAGACCCTTCAAGTCCTCACACCTGTCATGGTGACTGCCAAGGTCGTTCAGCCCTAAGGCTAGGGGTTCGATAGGGTGGCTGAAAGTGAAACTGTCAGTTTACAATGGGGCTGTGTTAGCCTACATCGAATAGTGATTTGATGTGTTACTAGCAGTGTTCTACAAAGGGCTGCGCCGATGAACGCGCAACCTGGCGTACGCAGCTCCCGTCACGGCGCTGGCGGAGATTGCCGGAAGGTGCAACGTCTCAGGGGTATCGATGAAGAGTTATTCGTCCGTTTTGTAAAGCTCCAAACAGCGTGCCCAGACCTTAGGAATGCTTCGTATTCGCAAGCTTTGCGGGCTACCTGATGGGCAAGGACATCGGAGCAACAGCATAGCGGGGTCTGCAAACGCCATGCCGTCGTGGTGGCGCACTGCAGGATGCAGCTCGGCACTCGTTCGTAGCGAGTCAGGGTCGCGTATCCGGCACGGTGCGCTTAGTCAGCTTAGTCAGAGCAGCTAATGGCATTGATTGGACAGACTGCAAGACAGTCTAACTGTATCCAATAAAGTGTGCTGCATAAGCGACATAATCTACAGCGCCCTACCTGTGACCGTTGGTGCTACGGCAGAGTGGGCCCGGTGAATTCGGTGTATTGCGTGGGCATGCTTCGTACGAGCGTCTTGACCTTCGCAACCCTACTCCTGGTGCTTATGAAGTACAGGCAGTCGCGCTCACAGCCGCATGGTTACGCACCTCTCAAGCCAGCTTCTACTAATATTCTACTCCGTCCTCGCTTTATGCTAGGCTTTAATTAATATCTTGCACATACTTCCAATGTCAAAGTCCCCGCCCCAGTCACCGCACGAATATGAGCTCCTCCCACGAACCTCGCTCGAAGCGCAGGATCGTCCGGAGCTGGAACGGTCCACCTCAAATCCATCGTGGCTTCAACGGTTGAGCCAAAGGCTTCCGAGCAAGCTTTCCAACCGCTCTGTTTACACGCATTACGTTACACGGCATCACAGGAAGCGATCTGTCATACGCTTCATATTCTGGGCAGTCTTCTACTTCCCCTTCTTCTGTCTGTTTCTGGTCCTCGTCGCCGCCATCTTCTTCCCGTCGTACACGACTCTACCTACTCACTATGAGGACCTGCGCCAGCGGGCACTGGCAAGCGATGTCCCTGGACGAGCAAACCCACACAGCGAGAAGATCTTCATATCGTCTTCACTGTACGAAACAGAGGGACAGTTGACGTCTGGGACATGGGCTAGCGCAGTGCTTGAGTTGATCGACTTGCTGGGCCCAGACAATGTCCATCTCAGCATCTACGAAGACAACGCCGATGCAGTCACCAAGAAGTCGCTGGTAGACCTCAAGAAGAGGGTCACTTGTAAGGTCCCCGCACAAGCGTTTGGAAGTCTTTGTTTGCTGACTGAACAGGCAACTCGACCATTGTCTTCGAGGATCTCAATCTCAGCACGCTACCCCGCATTACTCTGCCCACCGGAGAGACACGTCTCAAGCGAATCGCATTCCTTGCCGATGTTCGTAATCGGGCTCTGGCTCCCATCGATGCGAATGGTGTCAAGTTCGACAAGATCTTGTATCTCAACGATGTCATCTTCAAGCCCATCGACGCCATCCAGCTTCTCTTCGCCACGAACATAGACTCTGCAGGCCGCACAAACTATGGAGCGGCATGTGCTGTGGACTTCATCAACCCCTTCAAGTTCTATGACCGCTTTGCAACACGAGACCTGGACGGACGGATAACGGGCCTACCCTTCTACCCATGGTTTACCAGCGCTGGCACCGCGACCAGCAGGAACGACGTGCTTTCACAGTCGGATGCTGTCCGAGTGCGCAGCTGTTGGGGGGGCATGACTGCTTACGAGGCCAAATGGTTCCAAGACCCGACACTTGTCAACCGCGGCTCTGCATCTACCTCCCCAAATGAGCAGACTACATCGCCGAACACCAACGTGTCTCAACTACGGTTTCGGTACGAGGAGGACACGTTCTGGGAAGCTTCTGAGTGCTGCCTGGTCAATGCGGATCTACAATATCGTCGGACAGGAAGAGGAATGCCGTCAGACTCTGGAATCTACATGAACCCATACATTCGTGTGGCGTACGATGAGAAGACGCTATCTTGGCTGTCCCTCGTCCGACGACCAGAAAGACTGTACTCCATCATCCACGACATCCTAAATCCCATGGTCGGCTTTCCTTCGAGGAATGAGCGACTCGGCGAGGAACCTGGCTCCATCGTAACAGACACTGTATGGGAATTCGACGACCCTGTCAGAGGTCTGTCGCCCAACGCCACGGAGGCCGACCGCGCGGGTCATTATACGGAACTCACACGGACAGCCAAGCCAGGCAGCTTCTGTGGAGCGCGCAACTTGCTCGTCATCAACGAGAAGCCCGAACACGGCAAAGGGAAATGGAGTAAAATCAACCCTCCAAAACCTCCGAAGAGTCAATGAGCCTCCCTACCAGCGTGATCGACACGGCATCCTTCTCTTCGTGGGTTTTTTATGATTCAACCCAATTGTCTCATTGCATAGCGTCGGCGTTTTCTTTGACTTGATTCATTGTTGATTTACAAGCGGAACAAGGACGGGTTTTGGTCCAACGCTACGAGCGGCATTCCTCAAACGAAAGTTTCGAGTACAAGGAGTTTGATTTTCAAGATGGGAGTGATAAAGAATGCACTCTATCCTTTTTGTTGAGTTCAATCAATGACTTCAACCCGTGACAGAAACAAACCTTGCTGTTCTATGAGTGAGGTGAATATGTGCGTCCGTGTTTATCATGCAGGCCAATCGTGACGCAGTTATTGCCAAGCCACGATCGGATCTGCACTGGCCATCACGGTGCCCACCAACATCGCGAGCAAGCCTCACTCCGTGTATGCGCATCATCATTATACACATACTATACATCATAGACTGTATCTATACCTTCCTCCATCAATAGCATCTAAGAGAAGGGACACATTTCGCTCGTTACACAGAGTGTTCGAAAAGAGCTAGATCGACGGCACTGGGAGACCGAACGTCACGTCACGCAACATGGTGTTGGATAACGACACGCGAGGATGGATCATGACAGCGGTCAGCGGCATTGGTACGTGGACCACGCGCATAAGTTGGGAGATTGGGACCGTCTGCTAACCGATGAACAGCGTGTACCGTAGGAGGTAAAATTTCTCCCTCGGCGCCTTCTCGGCGATTGCATCTCGAGGATTCTGGCTGACAAGCAGGCAGCGTCGATAATATGCGTCGACGTTATCATCCGGCAGTTCCCCGGGAAGAAGGACTTCAAAATCGAAGATAGCAACACGTTCCTGTCCTCAGGGTTGAGTCTGTCGTTTGGCGTCATGGTACGTATCCCGACGTCATGGAAAAGGTGTCAATTGATGAATGTACGATTAGATCTTCTCGTCGCTATACAGCATGCTCCCTTCCGCGAAAAACTACCTCACGAAAGCCGGCATGTCTCCCAGGAATGCGACTTTTACTCTGGTCGGATGTTTTCTCCTTGGCGCGCTTGGCATCTTTTTCTTGTCGAGCTTTCTGCATCAGTTTATTCCGCATTCGGTCGTGGACTGCGACCACGAACACGGCGATGAAGAGGAGGGTAAAGTCGAGGATGAAGAAGCCGGGCACGAGCATGGACAAATGGAGGAGCAGAGGGGACGGTTGTCGCAGGTGGATGGGGGTGTGGAGGCGGATGCTCATCGATCATACGGCACAACCAGCGAACACGTCGACCCGAAGTTGTCCGCCACAAGACCACCGCTCCACACATCGCTATCGACAAAAGTTTCCCAGCTCGTGTTAGGCGGAAAGAAGAAATCTTGCGACGAGGACGGCCAATGCTTTGGATTTGCGGACACGTGTGGGACGGAGTGCTTCCGGAATGCTCTGACTACACGTCCGCAACGCTTGCAATCAACAAAATCGACTGGAATGCTGCCAACTGCGAGACCGTCAGGGATTCCCAGGAACCAAACCACCCAAGGGCTTCACGAGCGCTCGCCTCTCCTTCGTGATGTCGACGGGCTCACCCTTTCCACACCCACGCTCTCGGGGCCCACGACTATGGACAGCTCAATCTCAAGCCTCCACTCTACACACGATCATCACAACCACAACCACGCTCATAGCCACACTCACGAGCACGCCCCGCTCCAAAAACGCACCAGCAACACCTCCCTCTCTACCACATCCTCGCATGCCTCGCACACGCACACGCACGACCACAACGGTCCCCAACACCACCACCACGTCCCCACCAACATCTTCCTCTCCATTGGCCTGCAAACCAGCACTGCCATCGCCCTCCACAAAATCCCCGAAGGCTTCATCACCTACGCAACCAACCACGCAAACCCCCGCCTTGGCCTCTCCATCTTCCTCGCCCTCTTCATCCACAACATAACCGAAGGCTTCGCGCTAGCCCTCCCCTTGTACCTCGCCATCAACTCCCGCTGGAAGGCAATGTTCTGGAGCGCATTGCTAGGCGGCGTGTCCCAGCCGCTGGGCGCGGGCGTTGCGGCGCTGTGGTTTGGCGTCGCCGGGCGTGGGAATGGCGGAGGTATGGGTGAGCACGAGGATCTGGTCTATGGGTGCATGTTTGCGGCGACGGCGGGCATCATGGCCATGGTTAGCTTGCAGTTGTTGGGCGAGAGTCTGGACCTGACACATTCGAGGCGGTTGTGCTTTGCTAGTGCGTTCGCGGGCATGGGGATTCTGGGGCTGAGCAGTGCGTTGACGGCATGAGGGTTCGGTGCGATCTAGGGCGTTGGAAACGCTGATTTTAGCAGAGTTGATTATAGGATGTGATTAAATGTCAGATTTAGTATCGATAATGTCTACACTTGTCCCACGTCCCCTCTCCCTTGATCTAGCTGACATTCACTGGTAGGGCGATTGCAACTATCTGTTCGACATGCAGTGTACACCCAATCCAGCCATGCCCAAGAGTCCCACCCGCCCAATCGTTACAACCACCACGCGCATTACATCTCATCGTGGTCCCTGGAGTACTCTTCGATCTGGGGTTGGATTCTGTCCACCTCGGCCCTCGCTTCTTCCCACGCGGCCTTGTTCCGTTTCGCCCAGTCGACGTGGGCTTGTGCAAACTCCATCTGTGTATCACATCAGCCCACCACTCCATCCGCATGCGTCGTCAAGAAAGGAGGCTACACATACCATGTACCGTCTTAGATCGTTCTCCTTCTCGCCCTGGAACCTTCGCAGGTCCTTCATTACGCCATTGCTCGCCTCTTTGGTGTCTGTCTCGGCGACTCGCAGAGCTTGTTCAAGCTGGTCATACGTCAGCCTGCTCTAACCACGGTATATTACTACAGCCGTTGATTTGCTTACCTGCACCATGTTGTCCCTCGTCTTGCCAATCTGGTCACGCCTCGTCTTCTCTGGGTCTACATCCGCCATACCCCTAAACGCATGTGTGATGGATCCAAACAGCTTGTTCGTTACAAAGTTTCCACTCGCAGTCTTCCTGTGTGGACTCGTCGGTGGTGACTGCGTGTCGTCGGGTGCGCCTTGTGTCGAGGACGGGGGCTGTTGCTCGCCATGCGTGGGCGGGAAGTCTGAATCAATCGAAGTCCGGTCGTCCTCTGGGTGTCGCGGTTCTGACCCAGTGCTTCGTTGTGAGCTGTGTGAGGCTGCCCGGCTACGTGCAGGGGGTGCATGTCCCGTACCGCTAAGATGTTGCTCCAAACGTTTGGATTCTGCTTCACTGCGCTCAAGGGAATCAAGGAGGTTGCGCTTCTTCTCGAGCTCATCCCTCGTCATGTCTTCCTGGATCCGCTTCATCACCCGATATCTGAGTACAGAGCGCACGACGCCTGCGAACTGCGCGCTTTCGCGCATCGGTTCAGAGAAACTCGCACTTAGAGAGGAGGCCAGTTCTGTTGTCGAGATGTAGGTCGAGTCTACTGCCTGTCCGGTCTTCTCTATTGCCGCCGCGAGCGACTGTGATTGTTCGGATAGCGAGAATGCGTTAAGTCGACCGCCTAGATCTGCCAGGTCTTCCCCCCAATGCCCCAGATGCGTCAACAGCCGTCGGTTGACCTTCTCCGTAGGACCCTGCAGCAAATGCTCAAGATCCTTCGATGCCGTCTCAAAGGACACAAAGTAAGGGTCGAGCTCTTCTTCTGACATCTCCCGCGACTCTGGAGGGAAGCGTCCAAAAACTTGTGGTCCCGGTATCGTGTGCGCTGCTGCAGAGGGCAGGGAAGCTGTCCCAGGTGGTGAGGTCGGGGTACCTGAGCTCGACGTCGGGCCGCTGTTCTTCAGTTTCGCGGACGATGAGGGAACTGGGAGGTAGTTATGCGCGGGAGTGGGGTTTGCGGTGTCAAGCGGGGGCGCCTTGAGGATCTGCTTGGGAATGGTGGACACTGGAGGGCTGCTGAGTACATCGTTCTGGCGCATTGTGTTAGCTTGGCTGCTTGGAAATTCAGACTCGAAGGAGAACACACCCAGCTGGTGTACGGGTCAAGGAACCTCCAGAAGACTCCGTCGCTCACTATCTCCTTCATCCCTCGGCAGCGGTTGAGGAATACAGCCAACATGCGCTTCCTCAGCTCTATTATGCCTGCATCCTCCTTTGCTTTTGTGGGTCTTGCGGCATAGTCTGCCATGGAGTGCTTCTCGGGTATCGGGGGCACGATGAGAACCGGATGCAGGTTGACCAACGTCGCGCGCAACGACGCGAACTCGGAGTATCTGCGCTTGACTTCAAGGCCCTATAGTCGCATCAGCTGTATTCGTCCGGCAAGCTGGCTTCCACCTACCCCGCAACTGATCGTGTACTGGATGTAGTTGGCACCCTCCTTCCCCGCGTCTGTGATCAAGATGAGCTGGTCGGGATTCTCGTACAGCCATTGCTCCACCCGTGCATGATATTCGTCCCTCTTCTTCGCAACAGGCTCTTCGCGCTCGTGGTCCTCGTCGTAGTCGACATCGCTCATGTCCCGCTGCGAGATGTACTCGGGCGACTCTTGTGTGTTGGATGACGTCTCAGACGGCGGCGTCGCGGGACGGTACGGTACTTGATACAGTTCAGCCGATCAGACCTACTTCAGGCAGCACTTGGAGACCTTACACGCAGCAGGTGAGGCTAGGCCAGGTACATCCGAGGAATTGGAATCATGGCGGGCAAACGATCCGTACGGGTTGTTGTCTTCGTCGTCCCACATGGCGTTGCGAGGGCGCTTCTATATTTGGCAAAGACTCGTACTGGTGGCTTGGAGGGGCAGCAAAAGACGCGTTTCTACAGCGCACGGAAGCCTGGTCGGGGTTGTGGAGTTAGAGCTCAGTATCGCAGCGATGACGCGGGTTGCTGGCTCGTGGGCCGTGCACACACCCCACGCCACAATGGTCGATCCCTGCAAACCTCATCATTACCCTCGACGACTACCTGTGCTGTTCAAACCGAGTAACCATGAATTGTAGCTGCCCAACACCTGTCTTCTGACAGTTTGGCTTTATATCAACACGGTTTGAATTGATCTGATCGTTTGAGCTTCTGGCATTTCATCACCCACATCTCCATTCTTCGTCTGATGCGTACTGCTCTTATTGAGTTCTCCAGATTTTGATATTCCTCGTCGTTGCCTCTTCCATTTGATCTCATTTTTGTGTTATAACTAGCCAGCAGGATATCGGTTTCCGGTCAGTTCCAAGCGTGGTGTTTGTGAATAGTCAATACATGGACTGGCAGCTTCCATCTACTCTCCGATCGTTCCAACCTGTTCTCCCTCAATGCCCATGGGATTGCTCATTCTAGCTCCACGAGAACTATATCATCTATTTGTTCTGAGAGCTGGGTCTATCCCGTGCAGCCTGAATGTCTTCAAAATGTTTTGCAACTGTTCAACGGCGATACAGTGTTCTGTAGACATGATGTCTAGCATTTACGTCGCGGCTGTAAACATGTGTTCCTAGACTCTTATACAGATGTATCTATTCTTTCGCACTTCATTCTCATCATCACTAGTATGCTACCTCCGGTGTTTGCTGCCACTCTACTAGCTAGCGTTGTTGAGGCTCCCTCACGCTTGATGCTTATCCACGCTGTTCTTGCTGTCTCATGTCTGAAATACTTCCAGCGCGTGCACATCGTATTCTCAACGACAAGGAGTACCAAGCCCGTCTTGACGACTGCGTAGAGGCGTTTAGGAACCTGCAGATCCACAGTGGTGCGTCAGATCTCTCTCACCTGGCGGCGTGCCTTCCCGTTGTTGACAGCAGCTTCCCTTAGCGACGAGCAACAACACCAACACCCGCAACCTCACCGCCACTGTTGATATTGTTACCATATCGCCGGTCACTTTTGAGTTGGTTGTCTCACCTCCTTCTCCGTCGTCGCCATCGAGCTTGAATCCTCCGCCGTCATCCGTTACTATGGACCGCCGGTCGCTGCATGGAGGCCCGCCACGGGGGCTTCAGCCTAGGCTTGAGAGCCAGGACGCGCGCAGCAACCTCGCTATCCAGCCCGCAACTAATGCGACCAGCTTCAAGCTCAAGAAGAACACTGTCAAGATCGTAGGCGCCGCTAGTTCTGCTTCCAACGCCCCACCCAGAGCAGCAGCGCCAGCATCGTCAGTGACATCTCCTCCTGTGTTAGGGCTTGCGAAGGCGAAGCCCAGGGAGGCTGATGGGTATGTTACGCTACTCCGTTATAGTTCTCGTGATTATCCTTCATCTGACTGTTATCTCTCTCAGACCCAACCCCACCAAGCCTGTGATCAAAACTGCTTCTCCTGCCCCGCCTAAGATCGAGCTTCCCAAGCAGAGCAACCAGTCTGAGTCAAACCTAGAGAGCATGTTTGCTCGTCTGTCGGCTCGGGACCCTCTCAGCCCATCCAGTGGCGCTCCCAAAGAATCCTCGCCAGCTGGTCCCAACAAGAACCTGTTCTCGTTCGAGCACACGCATGAGACGACAGACACCACCTCGCCAAAGAGCCCCAAGAGCAATGCCGTTGACCTGTCTGCAACTCCCGTCAAGTCAGAGGAGCCCAACGAGACAGTTTCATCCGCGATGCAAGATAGAAAGGTCGAGCCGCCCAAGAACACGGATGAAGAGCAGACCAAGGTCAATCAGCGGTGGGAAGGCGTGTCGCAGGAAGATGTTGCGAATGAGTATCTCCACAAGGCCAGTGAGTACATCGACGCTCTGCCGGCAGACAATCATGCTGTTATACATAACGTCCAGACCGCGTCGAAGAAGCTCCGCAGCGCATATACTCCAGACGTCAAGCTTGACAAAGACGAGGTCGAGAAGCTCAAGGCGCAATACGTGTCCGCGGTCGTTGATTACGTCAACAAATTCGTTGACAAGCGGCAGAGCCCACTTACAACCATGTGCGTGAAGCAGACTTTACAGAACACGAATGGGAGCTTCCTCCACTTATGCTCCACCCTTGTGAATATCAATCACCTCAGTCTTCAAACAGCGGATGATCTCGCTGCTCTGTGCAAGGCTATCCTCAGCATACTTCCTAAGTCTACTCCTACCACTTCCAGAGATGAAATGCCGAAGTCCGGCGATCCTGTCGACACCCTGAAGGCGTGGCCCTCCCAAGAGAAGCGCGAGAACCGTAAGTCCCTATGCCTCCATAGCACTCACACCCGATATCTTTCTGACAAGCTACAGCCGCTGCCTATCGCACCTGCCTGCTCAAGGGCGTCTCGGGAGTCAGGAGTATCAACGAACTGCAGGCTCTCGTCTGGGGAGGCAGGCTCGAGTCGATCTCCATGCCAGAGACTGCTTCGTCGTACGCCCTCGTTCGATTCCTGACACCCGAAGGCTGCGACAAGTACTTCAAAGCCACCGAGAACGGCATTGAGATTGCTGGGGACAAGAAGGCTGTTGTGTTTGTGGAAAAGCAGCCAGGCCCTACCTCCATCAACGACGTGATCCAGAACTGCATCGACAACGACATGACTCGCTGCGTCCGAGTCTACGAAGCGGACGACAGCTGGAGTGACATGGTCCTCATGAAGCTTGCGCGTGGCAAAGGCGTGGGCAAGCGCGATGTCGATCGTATCAAGCGCGGCAAGACTGCCAGAGGAGTAGGCTGTCCTTACGCAGAGGGTGAAGAACCTGCTAACACTGCATCCAGCGTCCCTACATCGAGTTCCGCTTCGCCAACATCTACCACGCCCTCAACTTCAGCCGCCAGCTCGGCAGCGACGACGACTGGGAGCACTGCTCGATCGTGTACGCCCCCGATCCTTGCGAGACGGCTCGAGGCATTCACTACAAGGACGAGGATGAAGATGGGGCTGTCTAGATGACGGCGAAGAGCAGCGTGGATGTGTGGTGAAGTCGTGGATATTAGGCACAGAGCAAGTAGATATGGCAAAATCTCTACTAGACAAAGTGAGAGGAAGGTTCAAATAGCTGGCCACCACACAATGATGAATGGATATGTACTGCAGTAGTATCTCGACCGAGGCCCATTTGCCACGAAATCAATTGCAATCAGTCGATAGCTTTCATGTCCAGCATACAGGGTACACGTCACACTCAGGAGATGCAGTGCGTGTGATTGACACCTTCGTTTGAATTGATTTTTTTGCTATCACCGACTCAATAGTTGTTTTGTATGTATATATGGGTTCGTGGTTCTTCTCTTTCCCGAAGCGGAGATTGACCGAGCACAAGCAAAACGCAAACGCGTGAAATGCGTCATTAGGTAGGTAGGTATTTGTACAGTCCCCATCCCCTTCCCAGTCAATCTACTTTGCGCTGCTGCGCTCTACTCGACACAAGTGAACGCCGCGCCATCGCCCCTCTACGCGGACCCCATACGCTGGAAAAACAAAAGCCACAAGGCGGGTGAAGAAAGACACATAGGAAAAGAAATCGAGAGTCTGATTGATTTGTGTAATGAGCAAAGGAAAATAAAAGACTGGCGGTCAGATCGAGAGGCTGCGTACATAAGGAGAGGTGGCACCGTTCAGGACAGGACAAACATGGAAAAGATACGTTAGGAAAGGGTGGGTGGAAGTAGGAGGGCTAGCAGCCGCCGCCGGAGCTTGCAGCTTCCATGTCGTTGAGGTGGGTCATGCGGCCGTGGCGCGCTTCGGCATAGGCTTCGGCGCGAGACTCGGTGCGAGACTCGGTGCGCGATTCGGTGCGTGATTCAGTGCGAGATGGGGCGCGTGGCTCGTTGCGAGACTCGGAACGCGATTCGTTGCGGGAGAAGGACCGCGAGGTGATGGAGCCGATGAAGGACGCCCGCGAGTTGATTCGGTTGGCGCTGTCGCGTGCCTTGATCGTGTGCTGATGGAGGTGACCAACGTCGTGTTTGCCTGTCTGGTTAGCTCGGATCATGGACGTGCTGGGAAGAAAGACTTACCATCGCAGCAGGCACGGACGTTCACCATGTTGTCCAAGTCACGTTCCACGTGGTCGTGGATATCGCGGCCAAGGTCCATGTGCGAGCTGCTGGGTTCCTCGTATGTAGACGAGTCTTGCGTGCTGTGCCTACTTCGACGGCTGGAGAGCGATCCATGCATGGCAGAGGATGGACGGAGCAGGCTGCTGACCCGGCGGGAGACGGAGTGGTGCCCTGGTTCCGTCGAAGGCGCGCGGCTTGGCGTTACTGTCGCCTGTCGGAGCGTTGGCAGTTGCTGGCGATGAGGCGAAGCGGTGCGGCGGCTGGCGTAAGATTTCACAGAATTTCTTGAGCGAACAGTCTGGCGCGATGCACTTCGGTACCCACCATTGAACTCGTCCTGTATCTCGTCTGCCGTTGGCGATTTCGGATCTGGTTGTGCGCTCTCATCAACTCGTTGACACAGGTAGTTCAGAGCATTGTACCAGGTCTCGTGGCGCTGGCCTGTGGTGGCAGTGAACTTAATGGAACGACCAGGCGTGACGACGACCAAGCTCTTCTGGTGAAGCCCTGGCGGCAGAGGGTTACTGTCGTCGACTTCGGTAACCGACTCAATGGCCACGCTCTTGGCCTTCAGCTCTGTCTTGCCAGCAGTCTGCGGATCGCTATCGCTCCAGTACAGCGTTCGGGTGTATGGATGGATCCAGAAAAAGCGTCGGTGGCGGTTCTCGGATATGCCTGCACGCCCTGTCTTGCGGGTATACTTCCACAGATACTCGCCAATCATCGTTTGGGTGATCGCCTGGATCATGCGCGGATCTGTCGTGCCGGCTGTGATTCCAGGTGCAGCGAAAGACGGCCCGCCTTGAATGTCGAAGCGATGGTCAAGCTCCGAAGTGAAGGAAGAGAGCGATGACTGGCGACTGAGTGGCGAAGAAGCTCCGCTCCTAGCGTCGCGCTGAGATTGATGGCGGGGACGGGGAGTGGTACCACCAGTCTTCGGGGTCGTTGTAGTAGCACCTGTTCTGATCGTGGGTGTCACCGGCCGTCTCTTATAAGCCGATGCAGGGGTTGAAGGCGGGCCCATATGTCCTGTCGGAACAAGTGGCATGGTCTTGGCTGCCGCTGCAATGAGCTCCTTGTGATCAGAAGGAAGTGGAGGAGGAGATGCAGCACGCGAGCGCATGCTTCCAGAACTGTCAGGCCGCTTCAGTATTGGAACCGGACTGAGCGAGCCTCTCCGAGTAGGCGAAGGCGGCGACAAAGGCCTATCGGCTCCAGCTGCTGCGATGGTAGACCAGCGTTGGCTCCTGGAAATAAGGAGTTTGTCAATCTGCTCAGCAGACACCATAGTTTGAGTACCTCCATCGGCCATGGGTGTACGTGGCTTCTTCTGGACCGAGTTGGAGCTGACTGGTGTGAGGGGCATTCGTGCATCTCTGCCAGCAGCGGATGTCGCTTCTGGGTTGAGATGCTTGTTCTTGTCCCAGGGCAGTGTAGCATTGATGAATGACAGTTCTGGTGCACCCGCCTGTGTGTTTTCTTGGTCCTCGACCTGATCTGGCGCTGTGGAAGTCGAAAACAACACAGGAGTTATTCGATGAGCAGTGATGGGCCTAGTTGGGTCAGTACCCTGCGACGAGACAGTCGAGAGCTTCAAGTCAGAAGAACGAGTGCGGGTAGCCGTTGAAAGCATGTTTGGAGTTGCGAGGGATGCAGGCTCGGGCCGAGTATCTTGGAGAACCTTGACAACTGACAGTTCATGCGTGGGCAATGGCGTTACAGGCGCTGCGGAGGGTTCGGTGTGTTGTGCTGTGATGGCTGACACTCGAGGTAACGCCCGTTGCTTTGGCTCGACTGGCTCTGTAGCGTGAGACGAGAACACTGACAAACTTGACGGCGCTGCTCTTGGGGGCTCGACCGGCTCGGTGGCGTGCGAAGACATTACAGAAAAGCCTGAGCGAGCTGGTCTTGGTGCTTGTATAGGCTCGGATGTCTGGAAGTACAGAGGCGATAATTGCCATGGGGCCTGCTTTGGCGATTCGACTGGCTCGATTGACCAGGAGGATGGCGTTGACATGTGCAAAGACGGCAGCCTGGGCGCAACAGGCTCGGTCGCTTGAGCAGCAAACATAGAAAGCTGCGAAGGTGCCTGCCTCGGGGCGAAGGGAGCTGTCGCCTGAGACGAGAACACAGAGAGCTGAGAAACAGGTTGCCTTGGTACAATCGGCTCTGTTGTCTGAGATGAGAACGCAGAGAGCTGGGAAGCGGCCTGCCTTGGCGCGAGTGGTTCTGTGAGTTGGTGAGAAAGCATGGAGAGCTGTGGAGTAGGTTGCCTTGGTGCAAGTGGCATCGTAGCTTGAGATGACAGCGCAGAGAGTTGGGGAAGAGCCTGCACCGGTGCAAAGGGCGCCGTCGCCTGAGACGACACCATAGAGAGTTGTGGTGCAGCCTGCATTGGTGCGAAAGGCGTTGTTGCTTGAGATGAGAATGCAGAGAGTTGAGAGACAGGCTGCCTTGGCGCAGATGGCTCTGTCGCATGTGAAGACAGCGAGGAAAACGTGGAAAGCCGTGGGCCTGGTACGTCTGTTGGACTGGTTGAGTGGCCAGACACGGAAGAAACCTGCAGTGGTGTCTGCTTCACCAACTCTCGAGCCTCAGTCTCATCGTCGACAGGGGCAGCCACAGCCGGTGACAGTTCCCTCGATCTCTGAACGCTTGCAATGTCGTTCGAGGGTTCTGTTGGTGCGGTGGTTTGCGCATAAATCCCAGAGGCAAGTAATGCAGCAGGAAGGAGTGCTCTTGCTGGACTAGGTTCTCGCGGTTCTGTAGTCTGATGCCCGATTGACGACACATGCAGAGAAGGAGCCGCACTCTCTTCCATCACAGGCGCCACAGGCTCAGTGCCATGCGATGAGAAAGCCGACATTCCGAGCGTTGGAGGAGTCACATGTCGAGGCTCTGTAGCATGACCCGAGAGGGTCGACATGCCGAGAGTCGGGGGAGCAATATGTTGGGGCTCGGTAGTGTGGCCCGAAACGGAAGAAATATTCAAGGAGGGTATAGGTAAAGCTCGAGGTGATGTATCCTGGGCAGAGAGAGAAGAGAAGTCGAACAGTGGCACAGGAGGAGTTCGGGGCGATGTGCCATGGGCAGACAACGACGAAAAGTTGAGTATGGGCGCAGGCACAGACTGCGGTGTTGTGCCGTGAGCAGAAACCGACGAAAGGTTCAGTGACTGCACAGGAGGAGATTGCGGCACGGTGGTGTGGCCAGAGACCGACGAGTAACTGAACACCGGCGCAGGAGGGGATTGAGGTGATGTGTCTTGAGCAGACATGGGCGACATAACGAGCGAGGGTATGGGCGGGGACCGAGGGGTGGTATCATGCCCGGCAACGCTGGAGATGTGCAGCAGTGGTGGCAGAGCAACCTTGGGTTCGGTAGTCTGCGAAGACTGTGAAGAAAGACGAAGATTCGGCTGGGCTGGAGCCTGAGGAGCCGTGTCCTGGGTGAAGAAAGAAGATAGCTTCGACACCGAGGGACGCGGAACTTGAGGTTGAGTGTGCTGACTCCAGATCGAGGACATGGCAACATGCTCGGGAACGTTAGGCTCGGTCATCATGCCCGAGTCCACCATGGCTGGCCTGGGTACGAAAGGCGACCTGTCGCGGAGAGTCCTCCTGAAATCTTCAGGCGATGACCCACGAGACAATATGACCGATCGACTGGGTGTACCCTCAGCAGCACTGCTCTCGTCGTCATCTTCATTCAGACCGTTCAGTTCAGCAAAGAGACTCTTGCCCTGGGACGGAGTGCTGTGATTGCTCCTGCTGCCAAAACTGGCTGGAGAATCCCTTGCAATAGGGGAAGATCCCAGGAAAAAGTCTTGACTGCCTCTGGATCTTCGTGAGCTGCCTTGTCTGCTTCTCGACTTGTACCGGGAGTGCTGGTTTGATGGCGTGCTGATGCCCAGGTCGTCGTACTCTTCACCCGAAGTAGATGCTGTACTCTCATAAGAATCCTCGCGACTTTCTCTGAGGAGCGGGGACCTGCTATGACGTATCGAGATTCGAGGGAGTCCAGCTTCAGTTTCAGTCAAGTCGGCGCTGCTGTCTCCATCGAGAGTCTCAGCACCAGTCTGGAAAGCATCTGTCTCAGTTGTTACGGCGTCGCGATCTTGTGCAGTCTCGAAAGCGGCGTCGGAAGTCTCGTTTGCTGTCTCGAAGCCTTCAGCAGGGCTGGTCTCACCAGCAGAGTTGAAGCTGCCTGGGAATGCTCCAGGGATCACACTCGCGGGCCTAGAGCGTCGGCTCGGTGTGCTTGGAACCTCCTCCTGCTCTTCCCATTCATCATCATCCATCACAATCTCCTGAGTAACTGCCCGCAAAACACCGAGACGATCGGGCCGAGGAGGCTTCTTAAACACGTCCTTGTCCGCCTTTCTCCGTCTGCCCGCGCTTCCTGGGGCTTTGAGGTCGTTCCGGTTCGTCTCCAGCTCATCACGGGCGTCCTGGAGCATGCGCTTCAGCTCGATCTTTTCGGTCTTCTCGCGATGGATGTTGTTCTTGAGCTGCTGGATCATGCGATGGGCATGTTGGAGCGAGTGCTTCAGTGTCTCAGATTCGAGCTGACCGTGTCGCGGGGTAGCCTTGTTCGGAGAGGGTGGAGGGGTGTGTTCTGGAGTTTTGTCGTCGCCGTCATCAGCACCGTCGTCTGGAGACGCATCATCGGCAGCGTCGTGATCATCAGACTTCATCCGGTAGGCCATAGCCTTGGCCAGCTCCTGGTTCTGCATTGCTAGCTCTTCCACCTTGCGCTGTAGAGCACCTCTCTCAGTCTCTCCCATGGTCACATTACGTCGAAGGCCAGACAGCTCCGTCTCATGCTGCTTGGTCTTGTTGATGTGGTCATCGTTGAGCTTTGCGTGCACTTGCTTCAGCTCTTCCAACTCCCGTTCCAGAGTAGACTTTTCAGAGCGGGCCACGTTCAGGGTGTGATTAAGACGATGCTCCTTGTCGGATGCGGACTTGGACTGCGCTTCAGACTCGCGGACTTGGGTTTCCAGGTTCCAGTTCACATCCTTCAACCGAGACTCGCTCTCGTCTAGGGTGCGCAGCCGCTGCGACAGACCCTCGACTTCGATCTGCAGCTGCGACCGGTCCAGATCTGCAGCTTTGATCGCCTCATCCTTCTCAAGCAGAACAGCCTGCAGATCCTTCAGCTGAGATAGCAGCGACGTAGAGATCTCGGTAGCCAGCGCAATATCGTTTATTCGGCTGGGTGGCTGGTTCCTCTGCCTGCGAGATGGAACGCTGATTTTGGTGGGCGACTGGATGGCTTCGCTGGAGTAGATGGAAGTGCCAGTCATGTCTGTTTCGCCGCTGGGCACGCGGGACTTGGGGAGGAACGCGCGGGCCGACTCCCTGCCGACCTCGTTGTACTCCTTCTCGAGCTCAGCCAGCCTCTGGCGCAGCTCTGGCCCGATTTCTTCGTCGGCATGCTGCTTCTCGACCTCCTCCAGCTTCTCCTCCAGCTCCTTGCGCTGCTGGACAAGCGCGTTGCCCAGATGTGATGTCTCCTGCAGCCGGCGCGTCGTCTCAGCCAGATGTGCCTGGAGCGCCCGTCTCGCTTGCACTGGGGAGCCATTCAGATACAGGGAGAAGTGCGAGTTGTCAAAGGCCGAGTAGCGCTGCCGGTGGGCGTCTGGCGAGTGCGCAAAGGGGTCGCCGTGGTGGCTCTCGACAGCTAGCGTGCCCGGCGCGGGGTTTGCCGTTGTCGCCATTGCTGTGGTTGTGCTCGCGCTCACTCAGTTTCCCATCGCCTGCAGTTGCGTGTGGCGTCGGGGCTGGGGTGTGGAGGTGTGCCCGTGGACGCGGGAGTCGGGCGGCGGTTCCGCGGGGGTGCGTAGGGAGCGTGGTCGAAAAGGAGCGGACGTGGTAGAGACGAATAGGTGGCAACAGACCAAACTGCAGCCGAGAAGAGAAGTAGGGAACAAGTAGCGAAGAAGATAATTAGGTGTTTCACTCTCCTAGGGTGAGGCCACACTGTTTACGAATTACAAGGGAAGGCACGAAGGGCTTGGCCGGGGAGTGACGCGCGCGGGCGGGCACTGGAACGCGTTTCCGTCACACAACAGAGGACAACCGAGCGCGCATCGCCGGGAAAGCGCCTACACGGGCAGAAAGGAAGAAGAAGAAGGCCGTATGGGCGAGGCGATCACAGAGACGCGGCGTTGCGGGACGCGGGTTGTGTTTTGCAGAGTGCCTGTCTTGGCTCGCGCCTTCCTCTAGCGTTGTTTCCTTAGCTCCGCCCAAACACCCAGAAACAGATCAACACAAACCACTCATGCAATCAATTGGCCTGCAGCAGCCTTCTGCGCGTGTGCTTGCTCATGATGACGAGTTACAGATGCGTCAAAGCACAGCATGCCCCTCATCTTCTGCTCGTTGTCTGTGCACGCGGTGGGATTGTCGCGTCGAACATATGGTACCCTAATCGATGACAACTACGGAAAGCATGTCCACTTTTAGCAAAAGGGGTTGTCTCGAAACAGTTCCCTCAAAGACTGGAAAGACTACACGTCGAAGCGTCAAGCTTCGTCTGCACAGTGACGTTTGAGTACACTAGTCCTGGGCAGTCGCGTCAAAGGTCTTGCAACCAGACGCGATGCTACTACCAGATGTGAAATCAAACAATCGAATATAAGGTTAAATGAAGGAGTAAGATCTGTCATTTCCCGTGAGCCCATATGACAAGCGCGTGAAATCTGACATGGGTCGCGTGTGATGCAGGGAAGGAGGAAAGTCAGCCTCGTGTTGAGAGCTTCAAAGCCCATATGCACCCCAGATCACGTGGTCCATGCATGGCTCGAACTTTCCTCCAGCTTACCCATCTTTCCAATGATCCACGCTCCACAATCGACACTCCAACATTACACGCAGATCCCACGCGCCACAGCACTCGAACCATGGATGCTCCTGTTGTAAAGTTCAAGAAACGAGGCGCCAAAGCCGCACCGCGTAAAGCCGCGCCGCCACCACCACGCTCAGACTCCGACACATCATCCGACTCAGAAGGAGAAGGCGAGGACGGGCGCGTAGTCAAGCGGCGAAAAGTCAACGACAACGCCCTCAAAGCTTCAACCGCCGACCAACGAACGAACACATCGATCGAGGGCACCACGAAATACGAAGCCAACCGTTCCGCGGTGATAGAAGCAAGCACCGACGCCACTAAGCAGTCGAACTGGTACGACGAGACCACAAAAGATGCCCTGAGTGCAAAGAACCTGCTCGGCAGCACGCGCGCCAAGCCGTCCCTCACCGACAAGACCCCCGATGCACCACCACCGCGACAAGTAGGGCCGCAGAAATCTTCGACGAATATCCGCACAATCACAGTCACAGACTACACACCCGATGTGTGCAAGGACTACAAGCAGACGGGGTTTTGCGGCTTCGGCGACAACTGCAAGTTCCTGCACGCGCGTGAGGACTATGCGGCAGGCTGGAAGCTCGATCGGGAATGGGAAATGTCAACCAAGGGCAAGAAGCCCGGCGGGACAATCGTCGCATCCGCGAACCGAGACGAGAAAGAAAAGGACGACGACGGCGTTGATCTAGCGCTGTTGGAGAAGATCCCCTTTGCCTGCATAATATGCAAGCAGCCGTACAAGAACCCCATCATCACGAAATGCGGCCACTACTTCTGCGAAGCCTGCGCGCTGAAGAGATACCGCAAAGACCCTACGTGTGCAGCGTGCAATGGGAAGACACAGGGCGTGTTCAATGGCGCGAAGAACCTGCAGAAGCTGCTGGATAAGAAGCAGAAGTGGGAGGACAAGAAGAAGGCTGAAGCTGAGGCGGCGGAGAAGGAGAAGGAAGAAGCAGGTGGTGGCTGAGGTGTTTGCATATGGGTTGAGCCTGGATCGGCCAAAAACAGAGGTTTCTCGTCGCGTCTGACAAAGATAGGACACCCGTACCAGGTTCACAAGCATATCGCTCCAGTTTGGAGTGATATGAATTGATGCTCGTCCTGCTGCAACATGTATTGATACCTATCGCCTGTTGAGTCAACGAAATCCAACTATCTGGCATTAGCCAAAACCCACCTGTCGCAGAACCGTCGGCGACGCACTAGACTGTTCGTGCTTTGTGTTCCCGAGCGCAACGTGCTCCCGACTGTTGGTATCGTGGACACGAAGTTCTCCCCGGGCCTGGAAAAGCTGGTAGAGCCACTGGCGAATTAATCGGGAAACGGGACCATGTGCTGTTCGGCGAAAGATAGTAGTCTATTCTATATAGTCTAATTAAATCCGCTTATTCAAGACCCAATTGAAAGCGTGAGCTGATGCCTGCTCTGTACCAATAAAGCATGTGCAAGGGATGGAAAAAACCACGTCGGGTCGTGGTACAGATGTGATAAAATATAGAGGTGAATCCAACCGACCGATGAACATGCCACCAAAGAAACCATGTACGGGGATATCAAAACATACCAAAGCAGACCCGTGAAAGAAAATCCACAACACCCACAAAAGAGAGGAGAAGCACAGCGAACATCGACAAGAGCAAAACACAAAGTACCGCACGAAGGAATCGAAGCCGTGGAGCGCAAAAACGGGCCAGTCATGAGAGGACAACCCAATGTCATCCTGCGTAGTCGTTTGTTGGTGGGGCTATTAAATCATGTCATAGTCTCGTCGCCCAGCCTGGTCTGCGCCCAAGAATCCGTGCCCCTTCTTTACCGACCCCCGTCTTGAATGATGATCAAGGAAAAGCCGTGCAAACATGTTGTTGTGGTGGTGGTGGTACAGTACGTCGTCGCCTCTAGATTTGCCTGCGTATGCAGCCATTTCAGTAACGTCGTCGATTTATCGCTCGCTCCTCATTAACGATCACCTGGCAGAGGAGTCCATCATGTCCTCGTCGGAAGCCTCGTCCTCCACCGTTCTCCGAAGACCGCCTTCAACCTGAATGCCCTGTTGCACCCACGTCATGTTTTCAACATCTTCAAGACTCTTGCGACCGCGCGAGACCTTCTTTAGCAGGCCCTCAACGCATTCCCGTGCGCCAGTCCATTCCTCTCCCTTCTGCGCGTCCCACTCGCCGTCTTCGTCGCCGAAATTCACCCACGACCAATCGCACCTGGCAATGCGGTGAGCAGCTCTGCTGCGGGATGCAGCTTTTCCTGGCAGAGGATCAAAGGGTAAGCGTCCTTCCATTAAGGCGTATAGCAGGACACCAAGCGCCCAAGCGTCAGTAGAGCGTCCGTCATATGGTTGGCCAAGCAGAATTTCCGGGGCAGCATAGTCTTCACTACCGCATCTCGTAGTCAATAGAGGAGACTCGGGCGGCGCAGGGATGCGACGCGAGAGACCCAGGTCTGTGAGAGTCGCTATGGGATACGGGTGACACTGTGGGTTCTGGAGATGGGGCACGGCAGAAGCCGGGACATTAAGAAGAACGTCTGGTCATGATTAGTAAGATGCTTCGCGGATTACACGTACAGCGTGGACTAAAGTAGACACAGGGAGAGCAGTACTTTCTAGCTTTATGTCGCGGTGGACAATGAGCTGGTTATGGAGATATCGCACAGCGCTGACCATCTCAGCGAAGATGCGTTGGACGATGTCGACGGTCAGTATGTCTCGATGGTCGCTGGCAACATCAAACAGATCACCACCAGGGCAGTACGTAAGGACGATGAGAGCTTGGGCCTCGTCGTGGTCGAAAGCCTGGAGGTGTACGAGCGACGGATGTGAGACTGATCTTAGCATCTCGACTTCACGCTTGAGGCTTAGCTCTACGCGCTCCTCGTCAGCGCCACCCGCAGGACCATGCTCGATGACTTTGATGGCAACCAGTTTGCGCGGGTCCAGGGTCTTCTCGTTGAGCGGATCTTTGGCTGCCGTCCTCTCGCACGTGGCCAAGTAGACTTTGCTAAAGGTGCCTTGACCGAGCTGGCGCACCGGGCGCCACAGTTTCTTCGTCTTCTGCTGTCCGTAGCGCACTGCGATGTACCGGATCTTGCTGTCTTCAGCGATTTCCTCTCCCTCGCTCTCCGTCACGCTCCGATTACTAGCGTTGCTCGCGGGTGGGGTCGGGAGGCCGGCAGGGAGTTTGGCAGGAACGAGGCCTCGCTGGGCGGCCAGATACTCCTCGCGGCGCAGGAGCTGCTGCGTGTTGGCGTCGGCCTCGATTGCTGCAGCGCCAATGGTGACATGGCGGGGGCGGACGTTGTGCGTCGGGTCGGGCATGTAGTCGCTGATGCTGCGGTTCCTCTCGCGGGTTGCCTCGCTGTTGAAGTGTGGCTGCAGGCTCGCCCCCGAAGCCTCGCTGGTGGAAGGGTTCCTCAGCCCCTGGTAGCCTTTCTTCTTGAGCGAGGGCGAGGGCGACAGGGCGCCCCTGCTGAAGTGGAGGAAGGAGTCGTCGCGAAAGGAGCCGGATGCGCCCCGCGAGCGCGGACGGGGAACCGCCCGCTGCCATGGACCGGGCGAGCCGTCACCCATCACCAGCGGCGAGGGCAGCGGCGTGATGTCGCCGAGGGCGTTGAGGGCAGGCGACAGGATCAGCGAGCCGGGCGACAGCGAGCCGGACAGGCTTGCTGAGGACCACGCCGTCCGCAAGTAGCTGCCGTTCTGGATCGCGATCGGCGCCGTGGCCGATAGCGAGTCGTTCCCCGTTCCGTCCGTGGTGGCGGCGTCGTTGGGCGTGTGCTGGGCGCTGGATGTCGTGGACGAGGGGAGGTTTGTTTGCAGAGTCAGACCGGGTTGGGCGGAGGGCGCGCGGATGTGCCAGCGGGGTGGTAAAACTGGCAGGGCGATGGTCGACAGCGTCGATGGGGCCTTCATATGCACATGTTCGTCGGTAACGTTGGCGCTGTCTGCACGCGTCCCTTCATAGAGTCTGTCTGCGGCGGGCTGGACGTCGTCCATGGTCTGTATCGATGTTGTGTCGACGCGGGACACTACCAAGATGTGGAAATGCGGAGTACCACAGCCCTACAGCTGGAAGCAGAGTAGCGCAGCGCTAAGGCAAGAACGGTGGGATCCTTAGACTCGATGCGGAATGCACATGCATGCACGTACCCAGGTTCTTGCTGTTTGCATCTCTCGGCAGCTGCAGTGATGATGTCGTCGTGGATGCAACCGGACATACGAAGGAGGTGGTGCCATCTGGCCTATGAGGGAGGCGCGCTGAAGCACACGGCTAGACAACTCGGACAAAGATTGCTCGGACGCGACGTGCCGTACTAAGAAGCTTAGAGTACCATTGTTTGGGTCACCTGTTTCGGTAGTGAGCGAGACCCGACCAAAACCTGATTGATGATACGTAAAAGACCCCTTTCTCGAAGCAATGTTATCGCGTGCCCATCTAAGCAGTCCAAGGCACCTGGGTTACTTGTCATGCATGTATTGTCAATTGAGTATCTATCACACACACCTAGAATCGCCAGCTTTACCTCCGCCACAAAGAACAGCTCGATTAGAACGCCGGTCGTGATATCGTACAAATGCCCAAATCACTTTCCCATCCGAAACCTGTCTCGGTCGTAAGTTGTAGGCTCTACAATATTATACAAACTGTTCGCAGATGTGCAAAAACCATCACAGAAGAGAACATCCGTCCCACCAATATGCCGCCTTCTCCAATCTGTAAACCATCATCACTCATTTCGCCGGGCCTTGATTGTAAGGAAACTGCTGTTCAGACGGGCTCGGGGAGAAGTTGTATGAAGAATAGCCGCCCATGTAACCGTTCCCAAACTGTCCACCATTGGGGTAGTTGTACGGGTTCGTTCCTGAAAGGGGAGGTCGGTCCTCTTTGCTGCTGCGACCTTGGTATCCAGAACGGGGTCCCCATTGTTGTCCATACGTGTTACTGTAGCCCGAAAACACGTCAACATGTGCCTCATGACCCGACGTTATGTTGCGACCGTCTTGCATACGTGGCAACGCAGGCTGGCCATCTCGACCTAACTCGGCGCCGCTGCTATAGTAGCCGACAAGCGAAGGCTGAGGTCGATGGGCCGCGGGCGGAAACGGAGAGTGGATTGAACCAGCCGTGGAGATCGATGGATGAGTCTTTGGCTCAGACGGCTTCTGTTCTACAATCTTTTGCAGTCCCTGCACTGTCTTTTGAAGCTCCATGATATGTACCTCCAAGTCAGTCGTCTTCTTGCTCTGCGCAGTCAACACGTCGACCACCTCGCTCTTCATGAGCTTGATAAGCTCTTCAAGCTTCAGGTTGGTGTTGTGATTGTGACGTGAAGTATCGCTGGCCTTTTCGCTGACAAAGTCGATCTGGGACTTGATGCCTTCGACATGCTTCGCGGCGATCTCGACAAGTTGATCATGCTTCGTATTGAGTACCGCGATCTGTTGTTGCTTGCTGATCTCAAGCAAGTCCCACGTAGTCTTGCCAACGACATCGAGGTGTTCGTTGGTCATGTAGAAGTGATCTTCCATGGTCTTCGGCGTGTGCGGTGGCCATAGTGTAAGGTGAGTAGAGTCGGGGCCTGGCAGAATCAAGTGCGGTGTTCCTTGAGGACCAGACGTTTTATGCAGCGGGCTCGGAACGGCGCTGGGGCAGTTGGGCTCGAAGTTGCCGCTCAAGTCTCTATGAGGGCTGACTCCGTCGAGCATATCAGTGAGCTTCGACATTGATTGGTCAGGTTGAAGGAGACCCTCGTACCCTTTTCCTCTAGGAGTAGAATGTTCGTCAAAACGAAACTCGTTGATGGCACGGGTGGTAAGCTCGGTTTGGTCGCGTCTATGGGGTGTGACTGGGCTTGGATCACTCTCATGTACCATCCGAGCAGTTGGCGAGCCCGGGTCAATGTCGTTCACGCTGCCTTGGAAGACCATCTCGATCGACCCGTTGTTGGATTCGGTGTTGGAGTCCTCGCGTAGGTGTAGATCTTTTGCTTTCGTCGGCAACCCAAATAGTAGTCGCTTGGGGTTTGTCTGAAGAACCTGTCAGCCTCTGAGGAGATTAAGTCAAGAAGAGTGGGGTGAGTGAGTGAGTCTGAGGTGAGGGCGAAGGAGCGAGCCGAGCTATTTATCAGGAAAGAGCCATGTGAATTGACCCACGGATGAGGCAAGTGAGAGCAACAAGCAATTCACACCTACATTCTTAGACGGGCTTTCACCTTCCACAAACAACCCGACAGGGTGGCTAGAGGGTGAGTAGAACCTTGGGTACAGGGCCATTGGGCTCAGTTGGCGAGCCACGCGTGCAGTGTAGTCTTTGTCCTCACTCCGGCGGTCATGGCGAGGTTGCAACAACTCGCGGCTCTCACCTTCCAGTGGAGCGCTATGATTGCCTTCTTGCTTTGCGTCCCCTTCTTCTAGATAAGGCCACTGTAAAGCCTCGCCTTCGATCAACTTGGCATAGTCTTCAGCAGTATACGGGCGAAACTTTGCAGGACTTACTCCACCAACGCCCGGAATGGCTGTCTTGGGAGGCGAGGGGGAGAGCGCGAATGTGGGGAACTGCAACTTCATGCCTCGATCGACAAGCTCGCCATATTCTTCGCGTAGGTCTTCGGACGGTGGAGCTCGACGAAGTGGACTAGATGCTCTTGGAGCAGGCCTACTGTCTGGCGGTGTATCCTTTGCTGGAGGGGTCGGCGGAGCAACAACATCGGAAGATGAATTGAGATTCTGATGAACTGTAGATGAGTGCGCGCCCCTTCCGCCAGATGACTTGCGGCTGGCAGCGCGATTACGCCTGGGCGAGCTGTGATAACGCTGAACACAACTAGCCTCGAGTACTTTCGATGGGAGTGATGTTGTTGTGTCAGAACGTGGAGCTTTCGTAGGCGTTTCAATGGGGTCTGCAGGCTTGATTGGGCGCACCTCGATGCGGCGAGGCTTTCGAGCTTCAGTCCCCAATACCTGTGCCGCCTTCGAGGGCATTGGAGGCGTAGGAGTGGCAGTTGAGGTTCTACTGAACGTGGGAAAGCTTACACCAAACAACTTCTTCTTGGGACTCTTTGACACGTCTTCGCGCTTCGCTATCTCATCGCGATCAGGTTTGTATTCGCCATTAGCAGCTCGACACCGCAGCCGCAAGTCTTCAGTTCTGATATAGATGGCTTCACCGTCCGCCACATCTGTCGTAGTTAGACGCCTATTGCCTTATAAACTATGACCTGAGATCACGCTTACCAACAGTAGGCGTGGGTGGTATCTGGCCCGTCATCTTGAACAACTTCCTCTCAGTACGAGACTCTATCTCGGCTCGGGTGGTTTTAGTACCCTGATACATTGCCTCCATCTGCGCCTGCCCCGATATCGCACTGTGGTGGCTGCGCTCCGAATGCCTGGATCGGGATGTCGAGCCACCGCGGCTTGGGACAGAGCTGTGATCCGACTTCCGTGGCGAGACGCGAGCTTGATCCATGAAATCAGATAGTGTGGTCATGGCCGCGGATGCGCGACTTCTGCCTGTTTGGGATCCTGAGTGTGGAAGGTACGACCCATCCTGCTGCATCTCCAAAGGCGAGGTCAAAGGTGTGCCTGTCGCAGAGTGCGCATGCTGCATCGATGACGCCGCAAGTCTTGCATCGCGGTGCTGCTGGCTCGAATAACCGCCATTTGTCTGCGTTGTGGTCGACTGAGATCTGTTGCTAAAGGCATTGGGGCCAGGGACCGGTCGAGGAAGCCCGAGAGGTGGGATGTGGATGGGCGGCGGTCGCCTTTTGGGCTCCGCGCATGTATTCGACATATCTGAAGGACAAGACTCAATCGATTTGACCTGATGCGACGTGAGCAAGTCTGTGGGCAAGCAAACCGTGGTAGGTGGGCGCACTGGTAGTAGTTTGTGACCTCCAATAACAACGCTGCGACGGCAGCGCGCAACACTCGGGGACGCAAGAGCAACGGTAGTTGAGGGGTAGCAAAGTACAAAGTGATGGGCATATCGAGGGCGTGTGCGGGCGTGAAAGCTCTCAATCGTGAGCACATTTCGCTGGATATAGTCCTAGGCAACAGAACAACAACAAACAGAAGCAGCTTTCACTTCAATTTTACGAGAGAAGAAACGCGACAAGAGAGAGAATGTTCAAGATTTCAAAAATACGAGACAGAGGACGACGGAAGTTTGATGTACCAACCCGCAGAGCCATACAAATCAAGATCGCAGTCCTGCAACAAGTCAGGTCACTACGTCTTTCCCAACGACGGTCATCGTCGACAGGGTCAGTCCGTGTCCTTCCGCGCAACTCTCGTCTAACTCTTCAGTCTGTTTCACATCGGTGCAAACTCCGCAACAGGATTCTGTGACACGGACTATGGTTGCGGTGAGAAATCAGACAGCAGTTTGGTAATTGGAAGGGAAATCGCTACCCACAAATGGCGCCAGTAATTCAAAGAGGTATCCCAAGATCACACGCCCGACAGAAGAAGATCCACAAACCAACACTCCCCTATATGCTTGCTGCGCGAGGCTGCACCACCCAAGTGAATTCAAAGTATGATACATTTCTTTTCTTTTTTGTGCTTGCCTTCCTTTCTTGTCGCTGGTGGCTCGAGCGCGGCTACAATGGCCTGAGCATAAGTTAGAATCTGTGCAGAAGGGTCGTATCTCATGCTGGGCTTACCTCGTCGAAAACATCCTTGAGCTTATATTGTGTCAATGCCGAGCACTCGACGTACTTGACTGCGCCAAGCTCCCTTGCCATCCTCTCACCGTCTTCCCGCTTGACTGGGGCCATTCTCTGCTTGAGCAGTTTGTCTTTGACTTGCGCATCGTCCCGGAGATCGACCTGTGTGCCAACGATGAGGCAAGGCACCCCAGGGCAGTGGTGGTGTACCTCAGGGAACCATTTCTCGCGAACGTTTTCGAATGAGGCAGGCGACGTCACGGAAAAGCAAACGAGAAAGACGTCGGTCTGGGGGTATGAGAGTGGTCGCAGACGGTCGTAATCCTCTTGTCCGGCTGTGTCAAAGAGACCAAGGGTATACGGCTCGTCACCAATCCTTGAATATGGTTAGCAGCGGTCCCTCAGCTGGCGAGGCCCCTCCCAGATACCAATCATAAACGTGTTGTCCGTCCCTCAAAGGCATCCAACGGGGGCAGAGCAAGAACGGGAAGCTCACATTACGGTGACGGCGTAGTTGTCGAAAACAGTAGGGACATATTCCGAGGGAAACTTGTTCGTGGTGTAGCTGATGAGGAGACATGTCTTGCCGACCGCACCGTCACCGACTACGACGCACCTGGAGGGAGCTATGTTAGCGCTCGAATCCCGTATATGCGGAAGACAGGATGAGAATGAAATACTTGGCATACTTGATTGTCGCAACGACCATGGCGAGGGATTAGACTGTTCGCGGGGTATCGCGCTTGGAGATAGTGATTCTTAAGACGGATGGAGCTGTTCCAAGAAAGGCCGGCGGCAGGAGACAGAGGGTCGTGTGGTGGAAGATGGAAAATGCGGAGGTAGAGCTAGCTGCTGCTTGCTATCCAAACGAGGGGTTGAAGAGAGTGGAAAGGGTCTAACCAGCACGTCCGTCAGCACTGCGCACCTGGTGCTGTTGCCGCGACAATGACAAGCTCACTTCCGCGTACCTGTACGTGTTCCGCTTATCGAGCTTGAAACTCGGGCCGTTGGACAGGTCGAGGTCACCAGAGGTAGCGAACGGAGCGGGCAAACACACGAGATGCTGTGAAGGCAGGACAAGGACTCGGACAAAGACACGGGAAGCGCAGCGACGGCCGGCGTGGATGCGTTATACAGGAGTTGCGGTGACAGCGGCGTGGAGAGTTGAAGATGCCGGTAGGAGGTCTCGACGTGCTGGGCGACACCGAACCGCGAGAAAGCAGTTAGGCTGTTATTCCACAGTCCTTGCAGCGGCCCATCCATGTCTCAGAAACAGTTTATTACTTCGGATCTGCATGTATCAAGGCTGAATGTTACAGAGCCAGCAACCCGTCCATGCGCAGGTACCTTTGTTAGATTAGCCATTGCATGGGTCCGCCTCTGCGCTGGTCGTCGCGCACCGCCAACTGTTGAGGCACATCTTCGTGAAGGATGCAGCCAAGCGCGCAGCAATGAGCTTCAGCAGCCTCATATCTACCCGCATTGTGCTTGGTTGCCCATCTGGCGTGATAGCATGCCTCATTTTGATGCATTGCTGGCTTTACTCCTCGCTGCGGCGGCTAAGATTGACAATGTGACTGTCTGGAGAACACAACCGATGTGAAGCTCCTCTGCATAAAACATGGATCAAACAATGTCCAACACACTGGCATCGGTGATAGCCCCACACAAGCTACCACAAGGCCTGTAAGCCACGCTGCATCCTAGCTTGTCTTCTAGAAGATCGCTGCACCTGCTGCAGTTCAGAAGTCTAAAGCACCGGGACCATGGACTTGTTCAGACGTTTGGTGATCACGTCTCTCACCCGCTGAGCGAACAGGGTTTTGGTACTTTGGGTTAGTGCTAGCTCCATTGTAGCGGCCAAATATCGGAGCTGCCCGTCTCATCGTCGCGAGCTCCATTCGTTCACGCGCCCACGCATAGAGCTGCACCACCCATTGCCCAGCAGACATGACTGAAGTCGAGCACGTGTGACCATGGATGATCTTGACGATGACCTCGATCTTCGCTATCACCGGGGACTGAAGCCAGACGTCTACTACCGCTGTCCAACAACCGAAGTACTGCGTCCACCCGCCCGACTAATCGTAGCTAAAACTTTCATAATCTAGTCTTTGGATGGCGCGCTTCGAAACGAGCTGGAAAGAAATGCGTCTAGTCTGATCCCTGTGGAAATTGTGACAGAGTTCATCTTCGCAGCGGCCTCGACCATCACAATTCCCGTGACACAGCAACACAGTTTAGACGCCCTTATCGAACCAGCCAATTTCCCGCAGAGCATTGCTGCTGAATATGGTCTGTGTCGCGATATTGATGGCAAGGACAGGCTAAAAGTCCAGCGCGCAGTTGCAAGGTATCGTCACTATGCCGTCGTCACGCGGATTTTCATTCGCTGACGGATTCAGATCTATTCTTGATGCTTTACAAGGCGTCGATGGGTTCAAGTACACGGAGAGGAATGCCCATAACAGGGAGGGCGGCGATGGAGCGCGATTCAAGTATGTTTGCCAGGACAGCTTGCAGAACAAGAATCGGAAGAGCAACAAGAAAAAGGAATCAGACCCCGAGCTTGACGACAGCGAAGATGATCTCAAGAAAAAAAAGGAACTGCTGCCGACATATGACTGTGGCGGCGCAATTCACATCAAGTTCTCTCTCAAACGAGAAGCTATTCACGTTGTGTACAAACACAGTCCAATCCATCGGGACGTCGAGGATCGTTCGGTAGATGGCGAGAGGTGTGTTCCAACGCTCTAGTCCTGACCTTCCTGTTCCTACACGCGGGAATGGTTACGTCGACTGAACTTGTGACTGAAGTTTGATCGTGCCTAACATCTGATAGTAAATTGCCTGCACTCTCGATCGAGGGCAGTGCCGCCCCACAAGCGTGCGTTCCAGAAGTCTTAACCAAAGCGAAGCCTCGAAAGAGAAAACGCAGTAGAAAGGATGAAGTTGAAGTCGAAGAGTATCCTGATCTCGACATGTCTACCTCTCCCGAAGCGTCAAAGACGCCAGCGAAGAAAAGAGGCAACAAAGCTGCTTCTCTAGCATCGACTCAAAAACCTATCAAGAAGGGGAAAAAGGCAGCAACACCAACAAAACCCAAGCAAAAAGTCACGGTTCCAGATCCCACTCCACCTCCCAAGCCAGCCAAGGGCAAGACGTGCGTCCGCTGCCGCGAGAAGAAAATTAAATGTAACGAAGCAAAGCCGACGTGCAACCAGTGCAAGCGGGGACTCTGGGCGTGCCAGTATGACATTGCTGGGTCGAAAAAACGCTCGAAAAACGGCTGCGTCAACTGCAAGCAACGAAAGCGGAAGTGTACTGAAGAGCAACCGTCGTGTGCGTACTGCCTGAAGGTGGATGACGATTGCGCCTATGACAACTTTTACTGAAGGCTTTGCGTGATTGCAGATCAACTCTGAGAAATCTCTGCAAGCATCGATTTACGGAGTCCGAGTGGCGATTGAAGTGTTCTCTGCGTGTTTACATCTGTGTAATGGTCTAGGTATCAATATTCTTTATGACGGCATCAAATGCTTACCATGCCGAGCTACCAATGGATTTATCTTTCCACCATTCTCACACCCACAGTACTATCTCAGTGTTCGCAACCATGATTACTCGTCACGTAGTCATCGGCTATACACACTACATCCTGTTTGATCTATATAAAGCATCATTGTAGCGTCCGGGCCGTCGGTATACCAGCTCGACGGTCTAGACAAGACAAATAACGAATTTAACAAGAGCATGAACATAGGTTGCGTAGACTGTGGGGTTAAAAACTTTGCAAGTGAACCGGGGGGCAAGTCTGGGAGATCTACAATCAGCAGAAGAACACATGGATCTTCACAGTGGACTCCCGATATCGGGGGAGTGGGCCTTTCAAGAAACGAAGGTCATGTCGTTTACGAGCAATCAAGAGATTTGAGGTTCGATTGAGGGAAGTTGTTATTACAAAGAAGATGTCATTTCAAAGAGCGTAGATAAGCCTTTGTAGAAAGTGACGAGCTATGCGCCACATCGTGTTCGCCTAGGTACCGGTACATGGTCACCATCATGTCATCCAGCTCCAGCAAGACACTGAATGGTCCGGGGAGATTCGACGGCGGGGCAATTGAGATGCGTGCCGTCCCCTGCAAGGCCGCATGGTGTTGATAGAGTCTTGGAGGCTGCGTCATGGTTGGCGCCCGTTTAGGCATAGCGCTGAGAATTACTTCCCCGCCGCGTCCAGATAACTCTCAACCGCCCACGACACATCGTTTCAGTTACCACATCTCGCCGGGCTCTTCGTATCCGTCCTGCTCTGAATATACCCAGATCTTCTACCATCGCGCTTATGGTTGCTGCTCCAACCACCTTTACTTCCCAGGTACGTTCATCCATAGTTGCTTATCTCGACAAAGCGCACACGCCGCCAATGCACTACGGTCCGGTCTTTATCCTTCTTTGAAGGCGTGGATGCGTTCTTCTCACTGGATTTTTCAACTTCTTCACTTGTATTATCATGGCTAACCCGTTGTTGTAGGACTACATCTCAGGTATGCTGCCGCCCGAACATCGGCGCGCCGCGAGCATCGAACTGACTCTGCTGCCAGACCACCTGTGGAAGGCATCGATCAACTGAAAGCCTGCCCACCGTACCATACAGACGAACACTACCACCGAACAAACCGAACAAACCCTACCCAGCATGTTGTCGCAGATCCTCACCCCTTCCGCTATGCGGTCCGCAAGTGTCTTGGGCAAAGTGACCCGGACCCACGCACAGGCACGTTACTTGGCCACCGTACAGACTCAGGCACCGCGCCAAGTCCCATCGCCTGCGCGAAAGGCAACCCCCATCTCGACAGAGCGGGCTACATTCACAATCAAGGTACGCATGACCACGCATGTCCCAAGGCACATCACTCACTACTCGATCAGAATGGACCCATCTTCTCCGGCAAGTCGTTTGGCGCCAAAGCCAACATCTCCGGCGAGGCAGTCTTCACCACGTCGCTTGTGGGATACCCCGAGTCGATGACTGATCCCTCCTACCGTGGTCAGATCCTCGTCTTCACCCAGCCACTGATTGGCAACTACGGAGTTCCGTCCGCCGCCCGCGACGAGCACGGCTTGCTCCGATACTTCGAGTCTCCCAACATCCAGGCCTCCGGTATCGTCGTCCAGGACTACGCTATGAAGCACAGCCACTGGACTGCAGTCGAGTCGCTTGCCGAGTGGTGCGCTCGCGAGGGTGTCCCCGCCATCTCTGGCGTCGATACGCGTGAGGTAGTGACATACCTCCGTGAGCGGGGTTCTTCTCTGGCCCGCATCACCATCGGCGAGGAGTACGATGCCGACGAGGACGAAGCTTACGTTGACCCCGAGGCTATCAACCTTGTCCGCCGTGTGTCCACCAAGGCTCCGTTCCACGTCAGCTCCTCGCTCGGCGACATGCACGTTGCTCTGATCGACTGCGGTGTCAAGGAGAACATCCTGCGCAGCCTCGTTTCCCGCGGCGCCAGCGTCACCTGCTTCCCCTTCGACTACCCCATCCACAAGGTCGCCCACCACTTCGACGGCGTCTTCATCTCCAACGGTCCCGGCGACCCCACTCACTGCACATCCACCGTGTACAACCTTCGCAAGCTGTTCGAAACTTCGCAGATCCCCGTCATGGGCATATGTATGGGCCACCAGCTGATCGCCCTCGCGGCTGGCGCCAAGACGATCAAGCTCAAGTACGGCAACCGCGCGCACAACATCCCCGCTCTCGACCTGACGACGGGCAAGTGCCATATCACATCGCAAAACCACGGGTACGCCATCGACCCTACGACGCTCTCCAGCGAGTGGCGCGAGTACTTTACGAACCTCAACGACCAGTCGAACGAGGGGCTGATCCACAACTCGCGCCCCATCTTCAGCGCGCAGTTCCATCCCGAGGCCAAGGGCGGCCCGCTCGACTCTGCGTACCTCTTCGACAAGTACGTTGAGAATGTGCAGACGTACAAGAACCACCAGGCATCTTTCTCGGACAGGAACAACAAGCCCAGCCCGTTGTTGGTTGATTTGCTCAGCAAGGAGCGTGTTGGTGTGCACCCCGCGATTCCAGAGTTTGAGGGACATGCGGCGGGCAAGGTGGAGCCTGAGACGGAGGCTGGCGGACCTGTTGCGCCTTCTTACAAGCCCATCACTGCTTCTGCTTAGGGGGTGGGATGGCGTGGTAATGGAGAGTTTTATAGGGTCAGATTATGAAGGGGAATTTGGTTTGGGTTGTCTTTGGAGTTTTGAGTCAGATATCATCTTAGTTATTTTGTAAAGAATACACAATACACAGCTGAACAAAACGCTTGGGATATGTCCATGATAGTAGTGTCCGAGTCGAGGTCAGGCTTTCCCAAAGGCCTCGTCATCGTCGTCAACATCTCCCTCTGCCTCGCCCGTGGCATCCCCGCTCTCGCTATCCTTTGCCGTCTCGCCGCCTTTCAGATCAGCCACGCGTCGTTCCCTCCTCTCATGCTCCTTCTTCCTCGCGCCAGCTTTGAGTTTCTCCCACTGCTCCCTATAGCGACCGATAACCTGGGCGTTCTTCTCGTTCTGCTTAGCCAGCTGATCATTCGTCGTCATGACGTCGTGCAGTTTCGCTGTCTGGGCAGCAAGAGCGGCTTCCAGGTCGGCCAATTTCTTGCTCGAGTCCTCGTCTGTCGAGGGGGAAGATTGGTGTTGGTAGTGTTGTCCTGGGATGGGCGGAGACGGCAACGCCATGCCTGGAGTCCCCATCCCCAAGGGATGCGGCACGGCTTTTGTGCGGAAGCTCTGAGCTAGGGCGTTGAACTGGTTCTGCGAGTTGGTCTCCCACATCTGTATGCGCTTGGCCTGTTTGTCGACGAGCGTCTTTAGTGTTTCATTTTCAAGGGCGAGTTCCTCCAGTGTTTTGAGACCGGCGCCGCGGCCGGCGGGGATGTTGCGTTGGGCTGTTACGCCGGGGCCGCTGCGGGAGTGGGGACGGCGCGTTGTGGTCGGGGAGGGCGGGTTGATGGACTCGCGGGCATCGACGAACTCGTCGTGGGAGTGCGAGGAGCCTTTTAGCGAGTCCGAGGCTTCGTCGATGGCGTGGAGGTGCGGTCCTTGCGGGTTCTGCAGGATGCTCGCGTAGGTGACTGTGGCGCCGGAGGTGGGGACGAGGTAGAAGGACTCGTTGCTGGCAAAAGGGTTGATCTGCGATGAGCCGTCGCGGAGGGCGCGCAAGGCGGGCTTGCTGATCAGGGCGGCGAGGTCGGGGACGGACGACTTTACGGTGCGGGATGCCTCGGGGGAGGGGTTGCGCGATCTCGTCTTCGAGGGCCGCTCGTCTTTGGGGGGCTCGGGGACGGGCGTGGGAGGGGCGATGTTGAGGGGGAGTGAGGTGAAGGCGAGGGGCGCTGAAATGGCGGAGATGACGCCCCCAAAGGCGGAGTAGAAGCGGCGGAAGTTTGCCTCTGCCGGGGAGGTGTCCTTTTGCTGCCTGGGGGAGGGCTTGGACGGGGACGGAGCTGGCTTGGCGTGGCGGTCGAGCAGGTCTCTGACTGGCGTTGGCTGGTCGTGTCGCAGGGCAGCTGCGTCGGACAGGGTGGGGGGAGTGCCGCTCGCGGTGCGTCTGACGCTGGGTATGCCGCGCTTCTCGGCGAGGTTGGTGGCGATGGACGACTGCGGGAGCCTGCGACGGGGCGCGGGCGGGGACGACGGGGACGAGACGCTTCGGGCGGTGGTGCTCCTCGGGGGGAGCGCAGTGGTCGAGGCATCTGAGGCCTGGCCGGCAGCGGTGGTCTTCGCGTCCTTCTTGCGCGGGGCCTCCTTGATCAGGCCGGCGAGCTTGCGGTGGTGGTCTTGCAGGAGGTCGAGGATGCGCAGGGCCTGTGGCGGGTAAGCAGACGGCCGCGAGCGTGCATGCGCATACCCACCTCATCGTTGCGCGTGTCCTGGGCGGCGTCGTGGAAGGCGGCAGCGGCCAGGTCATGTTCGTGCCCCGCCGTCGCGATGCTGTTGCCGTACGTGGCGGTGGCGGCGGTGCGGACATGTTCGTGGGCTTTGGTGAGGTGCGCAGACTCCATCGTGTCGTGGTGGAGGACGGGGGGACATGTTGGAGCGGTCGTGGTTGGGAGAGGGGAGAGGGAAGCACATGCGCGTGTGCAGGCACATGTCCACTGCCCCACGCGTTACCGGGGAACGTCATGGCAACTGCTGCGAACCATGAAACGAGCTGAGCACCGAAACGAGCGGAGTACCGACACCACCTGGAGTCGCCCGCTCCCCTGCTCCTCGGCCTCTGCCATGCCTCTCGCTGCGCTGCACCCTCCTACGCCCATTGCCATAACTATCTAGCTGCTGCCACCACCAGCGCGGCGTGAGCCTACGTCACTATTGTCCCTGCAAACACCCATCTCACGCCCAGCACCGACATGCCCGTGTGAGAGGCCAGCAATCGCATCCATTCCACTGCCGCTTGATTGCTCTATCCGTCGCAGGCACAGGCAATCCCACTCCAGGCCGAATCGCAGCCAGGCCGAACCACATCCAGGCAGCATGGCGGCTGTGCAGCAGAGCACCTCCTCGCTCGGCCAGGCGAACCGCGACGCCCTGGCCGCCCCAGGCGACGCACAGCGGGCGCGCGGCCCTGCCTCGTCGTCGGCCTCGATTGCCAGCAGCGGGAACCTGACGGACGGATACAGCGACGTGCCCAGGTCGACCGACGGCGCACTGGACAGGCTGAGGAGCCGCACCTCGGACGACGGCCGCAGCGACACGTCCTCGTCGCATCACCACCGCATGTCGCGCATCTTCCGCAGCCGCAAGAAGGACAAGAAGTCGGCCAGGGGCGACAGCCAGGACGACCTCTCGCACCACTCCGACGCCCACGCAGGCCCCCCGCCCGTCCTGCGCCAGTCGGCCAACCTCAGCGACGAGTCGCTCGCCCTCTACAAGAGCACCCCGAGCAGCCTGCTCACAGACTCGGACACGGAAGCGTGAGTCGTCCCTCTTCTCTCCTTTTGTGTCGTGCGCACGGTTCATAATAGCTGCCGTACCCTGACGCGTCATGGGGAGGTTCGCCATGTGGACCGGGGATTGGCGCTGGGGCTCTGACACGATCTGGCCCGCCGCTCCCCCACCGTGCACTCCAACATTGTTCATCTCCCTCAGCACCGCCATCTCCACCCCTCGCTTGCGCGCTTGGCTTTTCGGCTTGCACTCGTCATCCTTTTGCTGCCTGCTCTTTGTCTATTCTTTCATGCTGCCGTTTCCTCTGCGCCTCACTACTGACCCACCCTCAGCCCTCCCCCACGCCGTCCAGGCATCTCTCCCCATCAGTCGCACGCCGGACTCCTGACCCTGTCCTCGCCCCTGATTGCCTCCGAGACTGTCCAGGCGGCCGATGTGAGCCTCGTCGATTCCGTCATTTCCACCCAAGACGCATCCACCCAGCCATCGCACCCCTCCGACAGCGCTGCGCCAGGCTCCCCAGTGAGCAAGCTCAAGGACGCATTCGCCATTGCTCGGAACCCCACCTCTCCCAAAAAGGGAGGCGACACGGACGCTGCCAAATCGGGCGCAAGTGGAAGTGGAGGTGGCTTCGGCACCCTGTTTGGAGGAAAGAAGCGCGAACAGCGAGCGTGGGAAGACCCTCTGCAGACTGCCCCGCCCCGGATACAAGTACACACGGGCTCAGACACGCAGTCGACAAACTCGCTCCGCTCCCTCGGGCCCAGACGCATCGTCACCCAGATCCCTGCCACGCCTCCGAATGTGGTTGGCCCACCCACTACCTTTGTGACCCCACCCACGCCCATCGATCCCAAAGGCTCCTCTCCTACCGATTCGAACACGTTCAAAAACTGGCCCAAGCACACCCCTTCCCACTCGAGCTCAAACGTCACCGTCTCCCCGTCGGGGAACATGATATCACATCGACGCGTACGCTCAGCAACCAACCCCAGCAAGCTATCCAACTCCACCACCGTACCACTCACACCCCACATCGAAGAGGTCAAAACCCCTGGCGGGACAGCCGTATCATCTCAGTCTGGTGGTTTCTTTTCTTCCGTCTTCTCTGCAGCCCAAAACGCTGCCACCACGCTGGGCAAAACCATCACCGACAACGCGGCCACCAAAAGCAAACTCGGCCAGCCGCCACAAACAGACGAGGACCAGAAGGAGGAAGGCGGTGGTGAGGAAGTCATCGGGCCCGAAAACGTAGAGACAGTAGCAGACAGTGGGGCTGAGAAGCGCAGACCAGCTGTTGAGACCCTTGGATCCGGGAACCTGAGCTTGGCTCATCTTGGAATCGCCGAAAGCACCGAAGTCAGCCCCATGTCTTCCTCGACAAACATCACCATGAAGGCCGATGAAGCTTCTGCAAAGGTGGAGGATATCGCTGCCGCCCAGGCCGTGTCTGCTGCTTATGTGGTCGACAAGCCTCCATCTGTTCAGAATGAACGCCGTCGATCCATCGGAGCAGCATCGGCAGCCAACGGTGCCGGAGCCTCAACACCGCCCCGACATGCCGAGACGATTGATTCTCCAGCACAATCATCGGTGCAGAGGAACGGCAGCATTCGCAGTCGCTTGAGCGACAGCAGAAAGAGACGGCATAGGGGGAGCTCGGCTGCCACGAGCACCGCGATAGGCGCCGTGATAGGCGCAAGCACATCGACGCTGGTACCTTCTGCAACACTGAACGGGCAACGACTGAACGGCACAGGATTTGCAGTGGCATCCCCGAAGCGGAATCGGGATTTCCACAACCTGTTCAAGAGTGTCCCAGAAGACGACTACCTGATAGAGGACTACAGCGCGGCCCTACAGAAAGAGATCTTGCTCCACGGACGCCTATATGTCTCGGAGGGGCACCTCTGCTTCTCAAGCAACATCCTAGGCTGGGTCACCAACTTGGTCATGAGCTTTGATGAAGTCGTGTCAGTGGAGAAGAAGTCGACGGCCATGTTGTTCCCCAATGCGATTGTCATCCAGACGCTTCACGCCAGGAATATCTTCGCATCCCTTTTGGCACGAGATTCGACGTACGACTTGATCATTGGCATCTGGAAGATCTCACATCCCAACCTCAAATCCTCGCTCAACGGTGTTGCCCTCGATGGATCTGGTACCGGAGACAAGACTGAAAAGGCCGACTCGGTCGGTAGTGACGCTGGATCTTCGCAAGACTCAGACGATGATGTGTATGATGAAGACGCTGAAGACGACGATGGCGTGGGCAGTTTTACAGATGCCGCTGAAGGCAGCATGGCAGGTAGTGAGATCGGACCTGTTACTGTTGAGGCAAGAAAGGCCAGCGCTGCCATAGCGCAGGCCGTTGGCGGTGGAGGTGAGACGGCTGAAGCTGCTGCGAGCAGTGCCACCACAACGAATGAGTTCCCCGGCGCAGCGACACATGGACCAACCGAGTGTGGGGATAACGACCAGCACTACGACAAACTCCTGATCGACACGTCAATCCCCGCGCCTCTGGGCAAAGTCTACAGCTTGATGTTTGGCCCGGCATCCGGCGCTTTCATGCGCAAATGGCTGGTCGAAGATCAAAAGTCACTGGACCTGCAGATGGAAGACGACAAGAAGGGTCTCGGCGAAGGCAAGAAGACGTACAATTATTCGTATATTAAGCCTCTCTCCGCGCCCGTTGGTCCCAGGCAGACCAAATGCAACATCACTATGACGCTCGAGCAGTACGACCTGAACAAGGCAGTCTGTGTGCTCTGCAGCACGCAAACACCCGACGTGCCCAGCGGGAACATATTCCTCACCAAGACACGATACTGTCTGATGTGGGGGCCGGGAAACAGCACGAGGCTGATCATGACATTCACGGTGGAGTGGAGCGGGAAGAGTTGGCTGCGAGGTGAGTCCTTCTCAGACTCGTCTTAACATGATCATACTAACATCCCTATCCAGGCCCTATTGAAAAAGGCGCAAATGACGGCCAGATGTCCTACGCAACCGCTATCACTGCCGCCCTCCGCGCCGCTGTAACTTCAAGACTTGCCCCCGTCAAAGCCCCCGGCAAAGGCGTCCGCGGCAAGAAGCGCTCCAAGAACCACTCCCTCGACGAGGCACCAACCATCGTCAGCAACCCTACCCCCGCCAGCCAGGCCAAGCAGTCCAACTGGGGCATCTTCGACCCCCTCCGCGGCATCCTGGGCCCCATCGCCGACATCCTCGAATCCCTCATCTCGCCGCAAATCATCATCTTCATCCTCGGCGCGCTGCTCATCTACACGTGGTTCTTCCGCGGCGGCGCAGCAGCCAAGGGCCCTAATTCCTGGTCCACCACGCAGCGGCAAGTCGCGCACGAGGAAATCTGGCGCAACGAGGAGAGCGAGCTGTGGAAGTGGCTCGAGGACCGGGTCGCCATGGATCGTGTCGTCGTGCACCACGCATCTGCTGGCAGCAATAAATACCACGACGACCAGGCGCTGTTCCAGATCCGCCCCGAGACGATGCAGGAGCGGGAGATTGACGAGGCGATTCGCGTTACCGAGGAGAGACTCGATGTGTTGAGGAGTGCGGTGGAGCGCGAGCGCGGGAAGAAGAGGGCGACGAGTCGGAAGGAGGAGCGCGTGTAGGCTGTCTGTTTGGACGTCAGTTGAACTGACTTGTTTCTCTTTTGTACTGTCTTGTACTGTTGGCGGGATGTGGGACTTGCATTGCGAAGGCGTTGGTCTTTCTTTCTGTCCTTTTTTCCATTTGTACAAGGCCAAGCCTGGTTGGGGTTTTCTATAGCGTTTCGTTTGTCACATCTCATCACAGCAGTCTTTGATAAGAGTTCAATGGTAGAACATCAAAAGTACAAGATTCGCTATACACACGTCGTGTTTAAGAAGTGCTTGTGAGCCCTATAAATAGCAACCACATCGTGGGGTATATGAGATATGAAACAACACTTTGCAATTCCACTCCAAGGAGCGACAAGATAGGACTTTTGAATTACCTGTCACATCCAGCAACATGTACATATACACAAATACAGACAATCACCCTCTCCATCCCAACCCCCTCCCTCTCCCCCTTCCCCCTCCCCGTCCGCGAAACCCTACTCCACCTCCACCTCCTCTTACATCTGCGCTCCACGGCCCCCGGTCCTCGCCAACCTCAACGATCCTCCCCCGCTCGTCAAAACTGTACTTGTACTTCATCTCCGCCTTGATCCCCCGCCCCTTGCGTCTGTCCTCGGGCGTCCAGTCGCGGCTCGTTTCGGCCGCCAGCTCGTCCAGGCGCTGGGCAGACACGTCGTCAGCCACGGGAAGGAAGTAGAGCTGTGGTTTTGCGGTGGTAGTTTGAAAGAGTGTGGAGAGCGTGGCAAAGGAGTGCTGGTTATCCTGTTTAGCCTCCAACGACGGCGCTTTGGGGGGCGGGGGTTGTGGCGCCGAGGCTCGCGGACCGCGGGGGGCATTCGTCGGCGCGTTTGAGCCGAGTTCGTGGAAGACGGCTGTGATGGAGCCATCATCGGATTCGGGGTACGTGACTTCGAAGCGTTTGGCGGGGATGGGGTGGCCGGATGCGCGGGCTTCTTTCTCGGCGACGAGGGCGTCTTCCTCTTGTGCGATCCAGGAGCCTACTTTTTCTTCGGGCACGAAATCGACCCAGAGTTCTTTCCGGTTGCCTTCGGGCGGCCAGATGCTGCCGTGTAGACTGGCGCGGACGCGCGATGCGGCGGTTGTCGAGGTGAAGTGAACGAGGGCGTGTGTCTTCATTGCGTCGAGGAAGAGGGCTTTGATGATGTCTGGGGTGGGCGACGAGGAAGGTGGAGAGGCGAGCGAGATGAGGTGGGCGCGGAGGGGTTCGGGGCGCAGCGGTCGCATGAAGTCGCGGATGTAGAGGGCGGGCGTTGCGGGGTGGAGAGCAGGGACTATGGGGCGGTCGTCTGCGAATGCGTCTTGGTCTTGGGGTGTGGCGGCGGTGGGTTGGACGAGGTCTTTGTAGCGAGACGTGTTTTCTTTCTTTTCGCGTCGGGTGTCTTCTTTGGGAGTGGCAGCCTCGTCAGCATCGTTTGAAGGCTCTACAACCACGTTCAGCTCGTCCTCGGGGTTCCTCTCTTCCATAGTCACGTCCTTGTCCTCGACCAGATGGATAGGCTCCTGGCTTGGTCTGGGTCTTTTTGCTTTGATTTCTTCAACGGGCATATCTGGCGAGCCGCTTCGTCTCTTCCGCTTCTTGGTATCTGCCTCCAACTCCTCCGTGGCGAGCCGCGATGTCTGCGTCGTCAAATCTCCAGAAAGTGGAGGTGCCTCGGCCTGCTCGATCGACGACTTTTCATCTGCTGCTGGCGCTTCGTCTCCTGTCGTGGTGTCCAGAGCATTCTCCGACAGTCCCCGCTCTTGTTGCGCATATCGCAGTGCTTCAGCAGCCGGCCCTGGGGCTTCTGGCAACTCGTCTTCCGCAGGCGCCTTTTCCTCGTCTTCAACTTCCTCGTCTGCAGGCTCAGTGACTCTTGGCCCCACAACATCCTCGGGATCTGCTGGCGCCGCACTGAACACCTCAGCAGGCTGCAGCGCACCAGGCTCGTCGGCCATTGTAGTGTCCTCCGCCGTCTGCCCTATCGCGTCTGTCCGACTCGGAGAAGGTATGTCGCTGTCAATGTGCGAGATAGTCTCGGGCAGAGGCTCAGACGTCGGCGCAGGCGGGGTTTGTTCTGCATCCTCCACAGGCGTGCCATCCTCTCCAACATCGCCCGTATTCGTCTCTGCCTCCTCCTTGCTTTCCAACCCCTCTCTGTCCGCCTCCTCCAGCTTCTCAACAATCTGCGCCTTCCTCGTCAATCCCGTACTGGGTATCCCACGATCTTTGAGGATTTGTCGAAGTTGCGCGACAGTGTCCTTGTTGTAGTCGGTCATTTTGGGGGTAGCGACCGCAGAGATGTTAGAAGATTTGGAGTTCCACGCGTCCTGTGAGAGCGAACCGGTGTTCTAGATGAGCAGACCGGCGCGATGGGGATGGTTGGAGTGAGGCTCAGCACGTGGGCATAGCTTTGAACGCGTATCTAGCAGGTGATATCGCGTGTTTAAAAGCGGCACAGAAATCCAGGTTGTATCGTTTGATTGATGGAAAGCGTCAAGAGGAATGGAACAGTCGCGTCGGGATGGCGCTAAGAACTTGGCGTGCATCACAACTTGTGGGGCAAGCTCAGCCCTACCGAGCCTTCCAACCACTTCACTGTCGCATGTCACGCATCAATGATGATTCTTCGCAGACCTAAGAGCGTATGCAGACTTGAGTCGGTATTGTATGGAAAGTGAAATAGGTTGTGGTAGTTTGGAAGTTAGCTCAAAAATCGAGACAATGATGTTTACAATCTTGAAGATAATATTTACCTCGACAAGCACAGAGCGAATTGAGTAGCACAGTTTGAAAGAGTATGACTGTAACAAAATCTTCTTCAGTGCTACTGCTGGTACTTCAGTGTGTTTGGTGTGGAGAAAAGGTTTGCATTTACCTGCCTGTCACTGCATAAACTCTGACTTCTTCACAAACTTGGAGGTTTTTGAAATATCGTCTTCCAGATGCTCGTCCAAGGCATTACTCATGTCTTATTACATAACAGAATCGTCAAACAAGCAGAAAAGGCCTGGAACAGGCCTGCACTGTCTAAACAGCCTCCACACGACTCTCATGCTGTTAGCTCTAGGAATGATTACCGTAAATCACAAGAGTGAGCCCTTCGAGACTGGCAATCCAGGTGTGTAATGAAGGTACTTGAAGTTCACTAGATCAACGCAGGATCTGCATATAATTGTGCTTTTGCACGATTTTGTGCGGTAGTTGGGTCGCTTGAGAACTTTGTGGAGTTGACGGAACTGCCGCCTTGATACGCTCGTGTTGGAGAGGTCTCGGTTGGTTTCATTCTGTTCACAAGTGATGAAGTCTGGCTGTCCTCGCAGGGTGGGATGATGTTGAGAGCGGGGTTCTACGCGGTGTCGACAGTGGTAGCGTTGGCAGTACTGCTTTCCTCAAGGACGCTCTCTGGCGATGGATAGTAGTCAACGGCTTCAGTCTCGTGCTCAGCTGTGGCTGTTGTGGCAGAATCTCCAAATTCTATGTCAGAGCTGTCTCCAAGGCCTCTTCAGCTTCCTTCATATCCAAGTCATCGTTGGCGTCGGTAGGACCCTATGACTCTACTATAGTAATTCCCATGAGATCTACCATTCTGAAGCCCTTGAGCTCGTCCAACTCTGTGCAGATCAAAGCAAGCATCTTGAGGGTGCCTTTGTCGTCACTTCGCTCAACAATATCGAGTGTGCAAGGATATTTCTGCCCAGCTCTAGCCAACCAGATCCCCACGCCGTCCCAGTCATTTATTTAGCAAACGATGAGGAGACAGTCTTAGAAGAACCAGTAGGGCGAAAGAGCGATATCAATGATAATGTTAGCAACCATGAGATCATCATGTTCAATAGCGGGGCCTTACCTCAAGTTATGTTGTGCTATTATAATTGCTTTCTCGAAGTTGTCGTTTTTGGTCGCATGGTTGGCTTCTCTGTACTGCATCTGTCAGAGATATCTTGACATCGTGTACTGCATCGTGGTGTACAGTTGTTTTCTTAACGTCGGTGATAGGAAGTAAGACGGTGACATCCGGATAGTGAAAGCTCGGAACCAAGTTGCGGTGTAATCTTGCAACAGCTTGACGATTACATGCAAGGTTTGTATTAATCTTGTGCGCCCCGAGAATTACTCCTGTTCAACAAACTTGTATACCCGGTAACTTTATTGTCTGATCTAGTGTTGCTATCTCACTGAGTAGGATTTCAGCACATCTCACCGATCATGTATGTCTGCCACCTCATGTTATGAGTTCTTTGCTACCAACTAGAATCAAGCCATCTTTCGTCCACAAAACCCATCGAATGTACAAGAAAAGAAGACCTCATATTTACAACATCATCACCGGCCGACTGCAAGGTCAACAGCTTACAAGCCGTACCTGGACTTGATGTTCCTCCACCAGTCCCTCGCCATCCAAGCATCGAACTCGGTGATCTTCAACGCGCTACCAGCAAGCATGATGAAGTTCGTCATGCCCGTCGGGGTCCAGTCGTAAAAGTCGTCCAGAGCAAAGGTGTGGCCCATCTCGTGGAGTAGTATGTGTATGTCTTCTGTATTCAGATTGCTCATGAAATACTCTTGACCGATACGCTGACCCCAGTCGCCGCCCGCGCCGCCCTCGAAGCCGGGAGTGAGCCAGAGAGACTCGTCTGCTTCTTGTTAGCATATGTTGCCAGCTGGGGTTTAGAAAGTGAAGACCAGATGATGATGTTGCGAAGCTGCGCATCGAGCACCGGCAACAATCACTTCTCGAATTCCCAATACTACTTTATGGAGGAGACTTACCGTAATGGCGAGCAGCGCCTGCCTTGCAGCCACTGTAGTCATTATTCTGTTTGAAAAATCTTCCGCAAGCCTCGGCGCATTGAGGGATGCCACCTTCGTCGACATCAGTGTACACATCAATCTTGCTAACGTCTCCCTGCAGGATGGACTTGTCCTTGACTGCCCATCCAACGACATTGACATCCACAGTCTTGTACGGGAACTTGTCGAAGCCCGCAAGAACCGCAATCCACTTGTTGAACTGCTTACGAACGGCGGCCTCGACCTGCGTGCGTTGCGCCGCAGTAACTTTGGTAGTGCCCTCCCATCGCACGCAGTAGTTCATCTTGCCCTTGGTGGCCATGATCTGGTCGTATCCGAAGTTCGCAAACTTCATGTCACTGTACGTAGCGACTTCGTGGTCCCATACTTCTTTGAGGGGCTTGACCATGTTGGACGGCGGGGACCAGGTGGTCATGCTCAGATCACGCTTGAAAGCAGGGGAGACATTGTCGTTGGCGTCGTTGAAGCTCAACTTGGAGTCGAAATCGCAGACTGGCTGGGGATCAGCGACACGGCGCTGCATCTGCTGGTGCGCATCCGCCGGGATGGTGGCGGCGAAGGCGGAAGCCAGCAATGAGGAAAGAACGAGAGTCGTCTTCATGGTGATGATGAGTGGAAGCAGTGCCAGCACCTGATGAATGTAAAACCACAGAAAATACTCCTGGAGCGAGCCAAGTAGTAGAACGAATGAATGCAACGAAAGAACAAGGCAAAATGCTTGATTTTATTCCTTACCACCAGCCAAGTGTAGACTTATATATCATCGCAGCGTTCTCGTGTCGCGACACCGGCATCTTTCCATTTCCGTCCAAAATCCTCCTCCCATTCCCTTCTCATCTTACAAGTTTCCCGCCATCCTGAATTAATCTGCACTTATCAAAGCGAGCCTTGGCTGCGGAGAATAGGACCCTTTCGGCTCGGTGCATGTGTCATGCGGGGCGGAGATTTCAACCTTGCGAGTCAAGGGACGAGTGGCAAGCCCATGTCGATGCATCGCGCATTCACTTTGTAGAAATGGCTAGACTACGGGCATGAAATCATGACGGGATCGTCGTTTGGATTGACCAACCGGAAAAAACTCGACCGCGCTTGGTGTCGATCAAACCGTAAAACAGTGAAACGTGCCGGGACCCGCCTGTCAACCAAGTTATGCTCTCCTCGGTTCGCCTACAGAGTTTACTACGCGCCAACACATGCGTTCTAGCCAGAGTCTTGATGAAGTTAGCGTCATATACCGCACATCACATGGCGTGTAGATAGCATGTTCATATCCAGTTGCTTTGTGAAAGCCCCGAGGCGGCACAATTAAATCCCACGATACGCGGACACAGACATTGCAATAACGTGTCCGTGCGCGTAATGCCCGGATTCGCGTGATGCACACGAACACCAAAACTATCCTATCTAAAAATAAGGCTATAGAGCTACATATAATAGCTATTATTATAAGATTTTATAGTAGAGTAGTAATTAATTACTTATAATTATTTTATATTACTTATATTTACTTAGGAGCTTAATATTACAGCTGTAGTAGGTAGTAATAGCTAAAGCAGCTAGTGCAGCCCCTAACTACTCCTTACTACTTATATTATTAACTACTTATTTCCTACGTTTAATACTATATTTAGAAAGCCTTAAGGCCTTTCTTTTACTCTTTTAAGATAATTAGAAAGCTTATTCTGTATTAAAAGCCTCTTTCTTACGTACTTACTTAGCAGCTAGGTTAGCCTTCTCCTTTCTCTTTACCTCTATTACTATAACCTTTATTATACGCTTTTCCTAAGCTATCTTCTCTTTATATAACTTAGTAGCCTTCTTTAACTTAGCTATTTTAGCTTTTTAAAGTTACTACTCCTTATTCTTTTAGTCTTTTACTAACTAGTAAATATATACCTTCTTAACCTTCCTTAGAGACTAGAAAATAGCTCCCCTATAATACTCCTAGCACTATTAAAGATTTAGAGGCTTACTCTTTTTATTATACTTCTTTTTAACTATTAGCGCCTTTTTAAGTTCCTAAATTTTATAGTAGAGTAGCTTATTTTAAACTAAAATATAGTAGAGTAACTAGCTAAGCTTCTATGCCTCCTAACTACTTTAATCTTATACTGCAGTATATATAAGCTACTGTATTTTCCTTTAATTAAAACTACTAAGTACTAAGGTTAAGCTTTTATAAGACTTTTACTTATTTAGAGTAGTAATAGTAAATCTTTTAAGTATAATATTAAGGTTAAAAGGTAAGATTCCTGTTACTTTAAAAGAGGTAAAGATTATTAATTCTTTAAAAAAGGTTATTTAGGCCTTCTAAAATAAGAAGAAGAAGTTACCTTTTTTAATTAAAAGCAGCCTTTAGCTATTATAAAGGTAGTTAGAAAGCTTAGTTAAGTAGGTAGCTAAAAAAGGCTTAAATATTACTATATTAAGCAGCTAAAGCGTATAGGTTAAATAAAGAGGAAATATAGTAAGGAGAATTTTATTTTAATTATAGTACTTAATAAACTCTATTATTAGGTAAGATCTATAGCTATTAAGGATAAGTAACTAATAAGATTACTAGGCTTTTTTCTTTATATAGTAATTAAACACCTACTTAAGCTAAGTAAGGCTAACGTTATTATTTATCTATTCTAAAAGTAATAATATAATAAAGACTAAGTATTTTTTAACCTTTAGATCTTTAACCTAGCTTAATTATAGAGCTCTACTAGCAGCTTTATAAATAAGGCTTAGCAGTAGAGCTAATCTATTAGTATATATATATACTAAGATAGTAATCTACTTACGTAAGCTATTCTAGATAAATACCTAAACTTTCTTTTTCTTTTATATCCTTTTACTAAATACTTATTTTAAATAACTAGTAATACTAATTAAAAAGCCCTTCTTATTTATATTATATATATAATAAGGATCTATATTATACTTAGTAATTTTAGAGCTTAGGAGATTAAAGTATAAGCTATATTTAGCTCTTAAATTAGCTTAGTAGTAATTACAGTCTATACCTATAGTCTATTAAGAGATAAGATAAATACTTTAGCAGTTAATAAAATAGGTAACCTAGCTCTTACTTACAGCCTTCTTAGCTACGTAGGAGGTAAAATTCTATACTATCTCTTTTATAGGAAGAAGCCCTTGCTTTATAAGCCCTTTAATATAATATATAAGCTTAAGCTTCTATTATAAGTTAAGATTTTATTAATAGGATAACTTAACTTTATATAATGTTGTAATAGCTTAGTGCCTTTATAATAGCGTAGAGTAATTAATACTATACTTTACAGCTATTATTATATATTAAAAATTATTTCTTAATTACAGTAATTCTATTTCTGTAAGCGCAGCTTTAATTAGAGTTATAGTAGTAGAGTTATGTAGTGTTAGAGTTTGTGGTGTTTTGGTGTTCGCGTGCATCACGCGAATCTAGGCATCACGCGCACGGACACGTTAAACGCACGAGAATGTACATGCAGACAGCGCACGCAATACAACTCAAGCCGCTATGATATCTTACCTGAATCTAGCTCTGCGCCTCTTTGTCCATGAGCAAGGAGTGGGACAAGGGCTGTTTGGAAGAGGAACAGCAGATATCTGGGCACTCTATCGTCGCCACGGCGTTTAGTTCCGTAGAGTGTGGGTAACTGATTGTGCAGGGTATGTTACTGGTGGCTTGTGTGTCTACCCGCTAGAATTGTGGTTGCTGAAACTTTGTGGCTGCTGTATAGTACCATACTCTTATGCTGCAATCTAGCTATAACTCCTTTCGGTTGTTGTGCTGGAGATCTTTCGAAATCCATCCGATTGTTCTGCTGACTGATATAGTGTGAGGTTCTGTGGAGTCTCATTGATGTGTGCGTCGTGTTCGCCACTTGTTGAAGCTTTTCAGGACGTTGAGGATTCTAATATCTATTTCGTATCACTGGCTCTGGTAAGTTCACTTACAATCGATGTCCTGCTTGCAAAATACATCATGGTGCGGTTGGTGGAATTGAGGCATCTACAAAAAAACAAGATACGTGGCTGGTTTTCATTATTCTGCCTGGTGTTTCTCCTGATCCATCTATCGCGCATGCGAGCAACGCTACCTCACTCCTCGATACAATCTAAACATCTTACATGAATGTATCGATCAAATCATCTCGAAAGACCGTTCGTATCTACAACTTAGCTCGCAGATCATGTCGTCGAACATAGCTGTTCACAGATGTCTGCTTCAAACCCTGAGCTTCCAGGCTCCGTGCCTTTTCGGGTTCCTTCGGTAGTACGGGTGCCGCTTCGACGTGGAACAGCAAACAAGGGTCTGCGAACCTCCGACCATCCTTGAAGATGGTGACTTTCGAGATGCGAAGATTGCCTAGTCCGGACTTGTGCTGGATGAGGAAGTAACTGAAAGCTAGAGCGTTCGGGGTGCCTACGTGAAATCAGTGTTTAGCCATCTTCTTCAAGTGAATTATGTCTACTAACCTAGCAATGCCGCGCCCTGGGGAGTATCCGTAGAGAACGTCACCCCAGGCCACGCAGGTTGCCACGTGTTCCGTGCATCATTCAGGATTTTGCCAATGACTGAACGCGTCTCAAAGTTGCCGATGGCTAGAGACAGGAAATAACGCATAGTAGTTGGCTTCCCAGCAGTCGACACCCATTTCGACCAGGCAACGTCAGAAAAAGACTGCAATTTCGGCAACTGGTCACCTTCGACCTTAGGATAGCGTTCCTGTCCTGCAAACCTTGGTGACTTTCGATCCATCGCAATCAATACTGTTTTAAAAGTCAGTCTACGTGCGCCAATTCTACTGAGAGGGGACCACATGCCTCCTGCAGGATCGATTCCGAATGTGTACTCGGATCCAGAGACCTGACATGCTGTTAGCCATCTGAAGTCGAAGAATATTGGTAGAATTACCCTGTACGACTTCTCGCCAACAATATATGCTGCCTGTTCGTCGTAAGGAACATTACCGAACCCTCCACCATCAAGATCCTCGTCACCATGGGAGACACCGTGCACTTGAATCGTTCCCCCAAGTGCGACAGATTTATCGGACAGGCCGAGAGCTTTCAGAACGTGGTCGATCGCCCAATGCTTCTGATAGTCAATAGAGATTGGGGAAACTTTAAAGTCTTTCCATCCCCAAGTTGCCAGACTTGCTATCAAAATATATAAGCAGTCGACCACAAATCTGATTGTATTGCACTTACCGGCACTGTTGAATTCGCTTTCAGCCGATGCACGCACGGGGGTAAAGAGTATACCAGCATCCGCATCGGAATCGTGCATTGCCTTGAGAAAAGCCTCGCCTTTACACTTGCACCTTCCGAAGTACTCTTCCGTAGCGAATGGATATGGTAAAGGCTCGTTGCGTGGAGGACACGCCTTGTCTCCAGATGTTTGGCGCCGACTGTTCTGCGCTCCGCTGCCTGAAGATTCGGAATCACATTCGTCCATTGGCTCGGCCCATGGATATAACTCCTTGATTGCCCTGTAATCGCCGTCGCTGGGCTTCAACCGTGGGTAGATAAATTCGAGATCGTTCTCTTCAGTAAAATCGGGCAGTTGAAAATTGGGCCCGCCGTTTTTCCAGAAAGACAAGGGCTTGTCCAGGCAGGTTCTACTATCAGGATTGCTTGACCACCCGGGCCAGAACGCCATCGAGTGGTAGTGCATGATTGAGTCCTTGTCATACTCACCGCCCATAGTTGAATGGATGATGTTGCCCTTCTCATCTTTTGACGGCAACACTCCAAATTCATGAATCACCCACCAGTTATACTTCTCGCCCGCAAGGATGGGGTCATGACAGACGCGGCCCCAATCATCTACGTTGCCAAGGCGATCAACCTCGTCGCGAGCTTCAGCTGCACCTCGAAGCGCGTCGCAATTATACTCGACGTATTGAGCACCTGAGAGCGTGTTAGAAATGCAATAGAAGTAAGTGATTGGGGACTGACGATCGGAACGCTGATGTTCGTGTTGAAGTCCAAAAGCGTGACCTGTTCGTTTCAGTAAAATCGCGGACAGATAGGCTAATCAGAAAGTCAAACCTAGCTCATGAGCAAGTTGGGATATCCAAAAATCATAGCTTGTTTTCGCGATGTATGAGGCTCGTTGTTCACTGCCTATGACGTCGAACTCATGTCGGCTTTGAGCATCACTGTAGGACTTGGGAATATAACCAGGCACACTTGCCAAAGCGTTACCGTTCGAGACTCTGATAACGAAGATGTCGTTGGGTGCCGCTGGGTTCCACACCAATGGGTCCGTAGGATTTTGACGCTTGTTGTAACAATATGCCCATGAATGTTGGCCCTTCTCGTTGTTGAAGGAGTCTGTGAACTCATAATCCCGAAACACAAGGCTGTGCCCACTGTGCTCTCCAGCCACACCAATCTTGTCGGTCCAAAGCTTCCACGCTGCTTCAATGTCATGCCTGAGGTAGTCTTCCTGATCTTCGTCCACAAAACAGAATTCTATGAGCCCACCGGGCCATGTCGTACGAGCGTCACCATTCTGATTCGGAGAAGTCAGCATCCAAGAAGTCTTAAATCTAGGAAAGGGAAAGTAGGGTTCACTTACATTCGATGTGGATTCGAGATACCCGGTGCCACCAGGATCGAGGGCTCTGTAAGCCATGATTAGGTCGCGTGTGCTGTGGGTAGCGTTTGCGAGGAAGCGCATGTCATTGAGCGGGGGTGGACAGCCTGCAACCAAAGCCGTGAGGCCGAACAAGAATAGGAAGATCATATTCCAAAGTCCCATCGTTGAGACGCTAGGTCTGGTGGTTGAAATATGCCGGTAGTTGAGTCTTCGAAGTAACAGGCGGTGGAGTTTGGAAGAGAGACCATGGCAGAAGTGTTTTATCGTTGGTGGGGCTGGATAACGGCTAGTGCGACGTCGCTCGAGGAGTGAAAGAAGGAGTAAATTTGGCCTAAACATGGCATCACATCCCACCAATACATTCAATGCAATCGTAGTTCTTGTACATAGTGAAATGACGAGGTGGAACTGGTTCGACGTCCCGTTGACCTGCAACTGAGAGAGTTTGAAAGAATGAGAATATTGTGAAAGATGCAACGAATGTTCACAGGATGATATGAAATGAAACCTGCTCAAAATCGAAGAAACAGCCTGTAATGACATTGAACTATGTCTCCTCACCGACGTATGACTGTTTTGGCTGGAGGACCCCCAAGGATGAAGTGTCTCTCGATCAGATGGAGATGTTCGAATACCCTCACCTCACCACCTGTCTCAGGAGCCGAATGACCTACTTTTTGGCTCTTTCTTGTTCGCATGAGGGACCAAACTTCATATCTCTTCGTGGGGGCTACTCATGATACGCCTACGCCTACGCATTAGCTACCAAACTGGACATCGCGGATGACATGTTGACAATTGGTGAATCGAACCCACGATCATCTCACGGCCTTGCCGGGTTAGGCTGATGCCCTCCATATGAGGGCATAGTGGGCCACCCATGTAGCGATATGAGTGGATTTTGCTTATAATTGCTATGAGACAACTCAAAATAATCTGACAAGGCTGTTCGTGATGTTCAGGCTGCACGTGTGTTTCCTCGAGTAGAGGTTTCAAGCAACGGTGGTATGCTGAGTGTTCGCCTCTGCAAATAATTCACGGCTACAAGATTTGTCATGATTACGTGGAGCGAACACAACACTGTGACAACATGAGTCGTTGTAAGCGTATATCACTGGAAGTTGCGATGTTTCGTGAGCTGTACCGCGATCGGCGATGAGATGTTGACGTGAGGTGAGGTCGAGTGGAGTGAAACGAGACGTCGGAGGTGGCGCGAATGAATCTCCGACCATGATTGCAGTGACCACATTAACTCTCGACTATCCACCTCCCTCTCTATACCAGCATTCAACTAATGTGATTAGAACTCGATCTCCTTGCGTCCAACCCCTTAACGACACGTCGTTGCGCAAATCAGCGCCTCATCGATCGATGCAGGGTATGCAAGCGTATATTTCATCATGACGACATCCCGAGGCGAGGTCTTGGTAGATACATTTTGGGCTATATATCATGCTGGAGTTTGACTTGACAAACTATACCTGAGCAGCCATTTCGCATAAAACACTCGAACTTCAACAATTACGCAATCACCATGGAGGCAATCAAAGGTGCAATTATGAGCAACACGTTCGACCCGAACAATGACATCCCCGACCTGTCTGGCAAGGTGAGCCTCAAAACGACATCACATCTTCATTGCTGATAACTCCCGCAGGTCTTTGTAGTGACTGGAGGCTCCGCGGGCATTGGCTATGGCATTGTTGCTCATATCTTGCAACACAACCCAGCCAAGATCTACCTCCTCTCCAACAAAGAAGATCATGCCATTGAAGCACAAGATTCCCTAAAGGAGTGGGGCGATACTAGCAAAGTCGAGTGGCGGCAATGCAATTTACAGTCTTTCAAACAGACCGACCAAGTCGCGAAGCAACTGGCGCAAGAACTGGACAGGCTTGACGCGTTAGTTTGCAACGCAGGTCTAGGTGTCGGCGTGTACAACGAAACACAGGACGGTATAGACAGCCATATGCAGGTCAACGTCTTTGCGCAGGCTCACCTTACACTCACGCTCCTGCCCATCCTGCAGAAAACGCCCGACTCACGCATAGTCCACCAATCGTCCGATATGCACCGTGGCGGGAACGGGGGCGCAAAATTCAAGACTGTTGCCGAAATAAATCAGGACATCGGGCCTACGTACCTTTACAACCGCACCAAGCTCGCTCAGATTCTCTTCCTCCGCGAACTCGTCTTGCGCATAAAGGCAGGTCAGTATGGTTCTGTGAAGGATAACACGGGGTTTCCCTGGATCAACGCTACGCACCCAGGCGGTGTCCTGACAGATCAGCCAAAGCAGGCCGAGGAGGCGTACGGTACACTAGGCAAGGTCGGCGTCGCAGTGGTGAAGCCCTTCATGAAGGATCCTGTGTCCCAGGGATGCCGTCCTGCCTTGTTCGCCGCGACGCATCCAGATATTGTGAAGGATCAAGTGCAAAATGGATATATCGTACCTGACCGCAAACCAACGGAACCATCTGATCAGGCGAAGGACGAGGTCTTGAGCCTTAACTTGTGGAAGTTGACGAAGGACATATTGACGTCGAAGCTTGGAGACTTGCCGTATACGATGGAGACTGACAAGGTGCACCCTAGGCACTTGCATTAGGCCGGGAAGTGTAGATTTTATCTTGTAGCAATAAGCACCTCGGCCGTCGTTCAAGGCACGTTTTTGTATGTTAGCAGTGTACACGACACGTGTTACAATAGTGCTCACCTTGTTGCTTGTTATTTGTTTTGCGGCATCTTTGTATAAAGCGCGTCCTTTGTAAGATGTACTCATGTACTTACGTTTGCGGCTACTCCAAGGTTGTCATATCGTAGGGCGTGTCATCTTGCGGAGATGTTATCTCTTAGTGACAGACGGACCAAAGTGTGTAGACCACTAAGATTGTTGAATCACATAAAATTAGCGTTGTCGTAGTCAGTCATGGCAATTGACATAGGGCGTGCTGCAACCTCACTACGTCATGTGGGGCTGCTACACGATCACCAACGTCGGGACAATTAAATACCAGGACTTGTCTTCATAAAAACTCCGCAGTTCCTTCTGAAGACAATTTTTTCAAACACCTGTTATCTTATCCTCTATTATTACCAAAATGTCCAAACTCACCGATTTTAAGTTACTTTCTTTCGACGTCTACGGTACTCTTATCGACTGGGAACGCGGCATGCTCGCTGCTCTGGAGCCCATGCTTGAAAAGTCGGGCAGTCCCAATATAGACCAGAAACACATCCTCGAGGTTTTACATCCCATCGAAGCCGCGGAAGAGACCAAGAACCCCGGTCTTAAATACTCAGAAATTTTGACGGCTGTACATCCGAAACTATGTGAAAAGTTGGGACTACAGAAGCCAACTGCGGAAGAGAGTAAGAGGTTCGGGGACAGCGTGGCAGAGTGGCCGGCATTCGAGGATAGCGTGGAGGCGTTGAGGAGATTGAGCAAGGTGTACAAGCTTGTTGTGTTGAGCAATGTCGACAACTCGTCTTTCCAAAAGAATCGTGTTCATCCCAAGGGGCTCCAGGGTTTCGAGTTTGATGCCATCTACACCGCTGAGGACATCGGAAGTTACAAGCCTAACCTGAAGAATTTCGAATACATGCTCAAGAAAGTCGAGCAAGACTTCGGAGTAAAGAAAAATGAGGTACTCCAGACTGCTCAGTCACAGTACCATGACCATCACCCGTCGAAACAAATTGGAATCAAGAGTTGCTGGATCTTTCGACCCAAGGCCGTTATGGGAAACCGGAAGGACCCATGTTGGAACTGGAAGTTCGATACGTTAGGGGACGTGGCAGATGCAGTGGAGAAGGAGATTGCAGAGGGGAAACAGTAGGATTGGTCATGTCGAAAATACTGATTTGACGATCGTAACTGCATAACTATTTCACCGCTGATGACGGAACACTTATTTTACTTTGATATATTGTGTGGAATATCTTGGCGAGGGGAAAATTGCCAGTTAGTCTATCGCACTGGTAGCCCGCATATATGGATATCTCAATTTGATTTCACGAAACGTAGTGCCAACGGGTGTAGGGATGAACTGAATAACCACTTTATCAAGATAACCAGCCAGGGGATACTTGTCTATCAATCAGACTACGGGGAGTCAATACTAATAACAAAGCGCGGCTACCATCAGAGCTCTGCGGACTACGTTGCCCAGCTTCCGCTTACTAATTGACGTCTTGTTCTAATATAATTGACGTTTTTTTGATTAAAATCATTTTAACGATCCAATCAGCTGCCAAAATCTTGGCCAGTGTGCAGTCATACGGAGCCGCTAAGCCGCTGAGATCTCGCCCTTGTAATGGAGCTCCTTACGAATACTCTTCCTCATCAAAGTCATCGAACATCCAATGCTCGCATAGCATCAGTCGGTCCTCATCAGACTCAGCTGCATCAAGCGCATCAGCTTTCAGCTTACTTTCACGTTCCTTTATCTCATCGTATTGTTCCAATGGCACCCACCCCTCGGGCCCAATGCCAATAGCATCCCTACAAGCCTGGAGCTGTTCGTCTGCCTCGACCTGCGCTGCATTCATGCGCAAACACTCGCTCACCTCTTCCTCCGAGAAAGCGATCGGGCAAGGAGGCTTTGCATCATCGTTCGTGATCGAGCTTGCAGTAGTGATGTTTGACCAGTTCATCTGTAAGTGAACGATATCGGCTTTGAGAGTGATGTTGTCGCCTTCCCAGGGTGAACTCGCATGATCGAAAAGTTTGCGCCTCAACGTACTGAAGTCATAGCTTAGGGCGTCATAGTGCGTTGGGTTAAGCTTAGCCGTCGCCGCGACATAGAAGTGATGAAGTTGACGCCGACGTAAGAGTACGTCTTCCTCAAATTGTTCGCGTTCGTCTAGCTCGTCGAAGTTGTGTGGTAACTCAGGAACGGTTAACGATACCGACACACTGTCGCCGTAATTCTGAAGGCTGTTTGGGATACCGCATTGCAGAAAGAGTGGGAGAACTGCACAATGTTGCCAATCGATAAGACCTGTAATATCAAGTTCATCGGAGACAAATATATTGTTGGGTTGAAGATCGGGGTGTCTTAACGTCGGGCGGGTAAGAGTGTCGTTACCTTTCGGTATGAGGTAAGAAGCGATTTGCAAGTACTTCGCCAGACTATTCAAGTGCTCGGAGGGTGGTTGTTTCTCGTAGTTGTAAATTTCTCGGCGGAGACGTTGGAAGGGGTGAAGCGGTTGGCCAAATTCCTTCAAGTAAGCAGCCTCCTTCTTAGCCCCAGCTGCAAGAACAGCTTCTACATCTGTATCTTTTCGGGACTTAGTATGAGTAACTGATTAATACCGGACTGACATAGACAAGACGGCAGATATCGTTACTGGTAAATGGATAATGGGGCTAATACACACATGGTCCACGATCAATCTGAATGTTGACCCGTTTCCCGTACCAAAGGCCAAGTCGTGTGTCAGGACCAATGCAAAAGTCCTTCCCGTGTGAAGGATCGGCGGTAGGGATTCGAACCTTGATGGAGTCCGCTGGTAGGTCTTTGATATAGTACAGACTACCGCTAGCTGGCAGAGGAAGATCGAACAGTCGAGATTCTAACTCTACGAATCTGGTGACGACGGCAATTCTAGCCTTCTCGGACAGATCAAACCAGATATCGCCCAGATTCGTTCCGCGAACTAGCTCCATGAAAATATATTCAGTGCCAGCGGGGTTCTCCGATGTAGCTGAGTAGCTGTAGATATTAGGGACAGGTATGCCATGCGAGCGGAGGAAGTCCATTGTCGCAACTTCGCTAGCTATGACTAGGTGTTTCGGCTCGGTAACTGGATAAGGGATCCGTCCGACAAACTGGAAGCCATCATGCATAGTGATTAGGAAAGTTCGGTTGAAGCCCCCTTCACCCAACTTTTCAAATCGAGCCACGTCTTCTACGTTCCGGCTGACGGCTGCAGCCCCAAGGCGCTTCAGTTCCGATAAATTGAAGATACGTCTTCTTTCAGCATGCTTCAGGGTGTCATTCCAACTGTAGTCTATAATTAGTAATGTGGGGGGAGCTTGAGAAGAGGGGAGTTGGCAAACATCCATCGCCCCGACGTGTATTCGAACAGTTCTGAATGTTGCTGTCGTGAGTAGTCAGCCAGAGAGCGAGTCGATTTTATGAAAGGACTCTTGGGTCTGAGACTGGAGATCATTTGTGATAGAGCACGACAGGTCGAACTCATGGTGAGATAGCTATTTCACGGCGGGGAAAATGCAATTAGATGATTGCGCGGCGTAGATGGTAGTGCGGGAAGTCCAGCTCGGCGATATCGTAGTAGCGTGACAAGCCTGACGCGAGAACATGCAGAGATGCTCGCAATGCAACCGCGTCGTAGAACATGCAAGACGTGATTGAGCTACTGCTCTGATTTCTACAACAAACAGGACATGGATCTGGCTGCAGTAGCGGGGTAAGCTCCGGAACCTCGATCTGCTTATCGAACTCCATAGTCGTTCAGTCGCAGATCACTGCCTCGGTAAAGAAAGTACTTCGAGTCTTGTTATTTCCTGTGCGATGCCTGCCGATAACTCCACGGCAACAGCTAAGCCCTAGGATGAGATCATATCAAGGGTTGATTGTCTGGTTATAAAGAGCGGATCTTGTAAAGCGGGCGCGTGGCGCAAGAGTCCCAGTCGGTACGGCGGAAAACGTGCGGGGTCAACTGGCTTGAGGCGGGGCTGATTCGACCACCACTCTTCCTCCATTCTTGACCCACTGATTAAGTCTCAATACTTGCATCAGCCACGCGCGCGTACGTCTTCAAGCACAAGGATAACATCTTCATAAGCGTCAGCACGTCGGTGAAATGCATGCACAAACGGACCTTGCTTGGCGGACCAAATCATGCAAATCTCTAGGCTGAAATGCATGGAGAAAGGCATTCGTTGGTCGGTTGCGACTTGTTGGGGGCTGGCCATATGCGACACAGGAATGCCAGGACGATGCTGAATGGCTGGGCAAGTGTTACACCAAGCTGACAACTAAAAGGCGGGGTCTCCAGGTCACCGTTTGATCTCTACTGAATCCTCTCGTCGTTTGACTTCGACACCTTAGTCACGATTATTTCTTCTTGCAACTCTACCTCGCATCGCGCACGTCATTGGCTACACGAATCTATGGCTGCTCAGACGCCAGGTAAGAGTCGCAATCCACTTTGGGACAATGAAGAAACCGTAGTGTCAGCGTTTATGTCGGGGTTCGCAGGCGTTGGCAGAGAGAATCGCCTGGAACTGCCTCAACATCAGCCGCGCCTCCCTATCATAAGACCACCCGAGGGCTGTGAGAAAATGAAGCCAACGGATTTCAAAGATCTCCATTATCGAGACCTTCCGACCCCTACATCTATTCGACTCCTCAAGATATACCCAGGGCCAGAGGGTTGTTCTACAGAGAGCTACTCTGATTTCGAGCTGTTTCGTCCACCGGTGAGATGTTCCCTCGTCGTCGTAGATCTCAACGACAACGTGGCATACGACGCTCTCTCTTACACTTGGGGTGATCCGTGTACGCTTTATCTCAGCACCCAAGAGATTTCGCCGCAGGAGGCTTGGGCAGCACGTGCTTTCAATATTGAAGTCGATGGAAAGGCAGTCTCAGTCGGCTCGAATTTGTACGCGGCTTTGCTAGGGCTTCGCTCCCACGTCACGCACCAGAAAGACCCCCAGTTCTCCAACGTACCCCAAAGCTCAGGATGCTTCTGGATTGATGCCTTGTGCATCAATCAGAATAACCTAGAAGAGAAGAGCAGTCAAGTTATGATGATGAGTCGCATTTACCAACAGGCGCGCCTCGTATTCGCATGGCTTGGTGGTGGTGACCGACTATCCGCTCAAGCGTTCCATGATCTCGTCACTATTGTAAACCTTTGTCAAGGGAACAACCGCGATCCCAAAGAGCTGAGGAGCCTTGATATTTCATCAGATGAAACTTATCAAAAGCTAGGAATACCCAAGCTGAATTATACTTCCTGGATCGGCGTGTATCTCTTTCTCAACCGCGCCTGGTTCAAACGGGCTTGGATAGTTCAGGAGATCGCACTTGCTCGGGAACCGTGGTTCATGTGTGGCAGGCAGCATGGTAATGTTGAGCTTGTTCTTAGGTCGTTTGAGATCTTGCAACGATCGAGGTGGTTCGATCAGTTGAGGCACCTGGCAGAGCCACTTATCCAAACCAACCGGACTAAGGGCGACTTCAGCTCGCATACAATTTCCGCTAGGAGCTCCGTCAAGCTTTATCGACCGAGAAAGACACATATACTGAATAGCTCCCTCGGGTCCATTGTCCGACAGGTCAGAATCTCGATGGGAACATTCGATGGATTATCCAAAGACGAATCGGCCCCGAAGCGGCTAGGCCTGTTGCGACTTCTAGACTGGTATCGATATACAGAGTCTGGTAATGCCCGCGACAAGGTCTACGCTTTCGTCGGTCTTTCGCCAGAACAAGAGACAAACCCTCTGATGGTGAATTACAGGCTCACTGTTGAAGAAGTCTTCGTAGAGGCGACGCGTTATCTCCTTGATTCGTTGCAGAGTCTGCAAATCTTTTCGTTAAAGAAGAACACCTTCGATGCAGAACCAATGCTGGAGTTGCCGTCTTGGGTGCCAGACTTCACTGTTCAGAATCTGTCAACGCCAATCAACCAACACGCCTCTTTTGCTGCCTCTAAAGGGCTTGGAAGCGTTGAAATGTTGTATCTCCCTAGAAACAAGCTTCAATTGAAGGGGATCAAGCTAGATGAGATCACGAGTGTTGGTGTTACATTCAAATGGGCATTGATACCCGAATTGTCTTTGCTTTTGCAAAAGGTGACTCCGCCGGAAGGGCAGACACGATTTGAGACCTTTTGGAGAACATTACTCTTTGATAGCTTTGAAGGGGAGACGCCTGCACCCAAGGAATGCGGCAGCTCGTTCCTTGGGCTGCTTGAGAATCGCGTTCTAACCAGACAATTAGGAGCTGCATTCAGCTTGCGGTACGCTGAGGATTTGATTGAGTTTCGGGCCAGCAATGCGACGTTATCGGACGCGCTACCAGAAGAAGTTCGCGAATATTTGAACATCGAACAAGCAAGGGAGTTGTTGGGGGCGATGTATACTGCCTCTCAACACATGATGGAGCGGTGCACAGAGGCGGATGGCACAATTTTCCCTCCCGAGTTTGTTGACTTCGAGCATCGACGGAGTAAGAGCGGGAGCAAGGCAGAGGACGACTTGATTGTTGAGAGTTTCCACGACGAATTAAGGGAGAAGATGGATCTAGCCAAGCCCGCAGGTGATATTGATTTTCTGATCTCGGCGACAGCTGGACACGGAAGGTCGCTGTTTGTGACGAAGACGGGTCGTTTTGGGATGGGTCCTCCGCTGTTCCACGGCGGAGATGAGGTTTGGATATTGGCTGGGGCGGACGTTCCTTTAATTCTACGGCCATCTGGATCGTCAGGTGAGGAGTTTGAATTGGTTGGCGAGGCGTATATCCACGGGATAATGCAGGGAGAGGGAGTTCCAGATGTGCAAAAGGAAGGGCTAAGAAGGGTAATTCTAGTCTAAACCTACTAGAGTAAAGCATTACGATGTTTTTCTTGAAGTACAGGTGTTATAGCAGGTGATTGTCTGAAAATCAAGAATAATATTAACTAACAATACTATTTACAGTATAGGCACTGCGCTTGCGCGTAGAAAAGCTAGATAGTTATAGGTAATTTAATACACGGCCTAGGACTTATCCAAAATAAATAAAGCAAGCTAAACAAAACTAAAAATCTAAAAAAGTAAAAAGTAAAAAGCTAGAAATCTATTTAGTGTAAGGCTAAATCTAAATTATACTAAGATTAAACAAAATAATTATTTAATATAAATACTTTTTAAGTTATACTTAACTCTAAATAATTCCTTTAAAGTTAGCTTAAGTTTACTAAGGTACTTAAAACTTATATTAGAAATATTAAGCTTATAAATTCCAGGTAATATTCAAGCTAGCAAAAAGGCCTAGAGTTTTTAATTATAAATTAGAGTTAAGATAAGGTTATATAAATACTTAGTTAGAGTAAAGCTAAAGTAAACTATATATTAGGTTAAAGTTAAAGATAAGTTAGTTATAGTACAGCTATTTTAATATATAATAGTAAGCTATAGTAAAGTTATCTAACTAGCTAAAGTATATATAACCTCTCCCTAAGGTCGATATAATTCTAACTAAATTCTAACCTAATACTAGTATAAAAGACTTAAGTTAGATTTAAGTTAAACTAGACTTTAGATTAGCTTTATGTTAGGTAAGAGCTAGATTATGTTTATATAAAACTTAAACCTAACCTAAGTAAAAGATATAAACTAACGTAGTAGTATAATTACTATTTACTACTAAATATAGTAATAAGACTATAGATATATTTTAGATAAGATAAATACTAAGCTAAATTATAGAAGTTAAATACTTTTAAGTTATACTACTTAGTATTATAGAGATTATTTTTTTAAAATCCTATAGATTATTATAAAAGTAAATAAAGTTTAGGTTACTAATAGTAGTTTATACTCTTAACTTTAATAAAAAAAGACAAAGTGTTAGACTATCTTATCTATTTTAAATAATTTATTAGAACGTAGTTAAAAGAAATAGAAATAGGAAAACAGTACTTTATATTAAACTTAAATAAAAGCTTTTTTTTATACTATTTCTATAACTAATAGTATAAAACTAGTTTTAGAAATTCTTAATAAAAGTATTTATATAAATAATAATATTCCCTAGAGGATAGAAATTAATGTGTTATATTACTATTGTATTTTAGTTACGTACGCGTTTTAATTACTTATTAGTTCTTATTATATATTTATACTAACTATAGTAGCTAAAGTTTAACCTAGTTATAAGTTATTAGCTATCTGCTTCTTATTACTATTACTATTACTATTACTCTTACTACTACCTCTTTATCCTTATTCTATATTAATTCTATAGTTCTGTAGTAAGGTTTTATACCTCCTAAATTACTTTTATAAGTCTTCTTTTCTAGGTAGTATACCTAGGGTCTATAAAAGCTTGCTTAAAATACCTTTTATCCTTAGTTAGAATAGTATTATTATACTGCTTAGTAGTAAAACTATTAAGTTAGAAAAGCTAAGTATTAAAGAAAGCTCTATTAGCCTTATAGACTTATATAAGAAGAAGCTAAACTCTAACTTTATAAAGCTTTACTTTAAGCCTTTTATTAAGTATAAGATACTACTTAATATCTAGATTACTTAAGCAGAATATATTACTATTATACTAAGTAATTTCTTTTATTTTCTTTTACTACCTAACTAGGTCTTTAGAAATCTTACTAGAGATATCTAGAGTACTATACTAGTACTAGTAATTACTTACTTTAATTCTTAAATTATTAGTTTACTGTAAGATATAGCGTAGGAACTCCTAGGCTACGCTAATAGGATTATATTATTAGTTAGGTATAATCTTAGTTATAAAAAAAGATAAAATAAGATAAATAAGATAGATAGATAGATAAATAAAGATCTTAACTCTTAAGGTACACAGGATATTTATATACTAGCTTATCTATATAAACTATTATTACCTATACCTCTTTTAAAGCTGCCCTAGTTATATATTTAGAATTACTAGTTAATTAAAGAGTTTTTATAACCTAGCTATAGTTTATAATACAATTTAGAGTTTATAACTAAACTAAACTTTAACTAACGTGTCTACACTAGTATATTAAGCAGCTAGTTATTAAAGAGACAGTATTCTAATTAGCTTTCTATTACTATTACTATATACTCTAACTAATATTTACTATGTAAAAAGAGGCTAGGTAATAGCTTCTATACTAAGTTACTATATTAGATTCTTACTATATTGCGTCTATCTGCTTGTACTAGAAGTATAAATACGCTATAAACCTAAAATAATAAATAATAATATTACTAAAAAGTATCCTGTAAGCTTACTATATATTTATACTTATTACTTAAAATATCTATAGAAAACGAAAATTAATTAATTATGTTATTATTATGTTTTTATCTATGCGTTTTAAATGCTTAATAGGTTCTATTATTTATACTAGCTATAGTAGCTAAGGTTTAACCTAGTTATAAGTTATTAACCTACTAGTTTCTACTACTATTACTATTAGTAGAACTATAACTATAACTATTACTACTAAAACTAGATTAGCTAGCTTTGTTTTTATTTTATATAATATTTATATAGTTTTATAATAGAGTTTTATATATTCTAGATTTCTTCTTTATCTTTCTTTTTCTAGGTAGTATACTTAAATTCTTTAAAGTCTTAATTAAAGTAGTTGTTATTTAGATTTAGAGTAGTAAAAATATATACACAGTAGTAAGCTTATTAACTTAAAAAAGCTAAGTATAAAAGAAAACTATTTTAGTCTAATAAACTTATATAAAAGAAAAGCTAGACTTTTACTTTAAAGAACTATACTATAAGTCTTTAATTAAGCTTAAAGTACTATAAAGTTTACTTCTCTTTTAAGTAAAAAGTTTACCTTCTATACTAAGTATTACTTTTTATTTTCTTACTACTTAACTAAGATTTTAAAAACCTTGCTAGAAAAATCTAAAGTATATACTAGTACTAGATATTACTTACTTTAATCTTTTCCTTACTAGCTTACTATAAGATATAGTGTAGGAAATTCTAAGCTATACTAATATAATTATATTATTAGTTATTATTAAATTTCCTTTAAAAAGAAGAAGATATAAAAAGATAAAAACTTTAGAAGTATAAGGATAATTATTATACTAGCTTGTTTATATAAGCTATTCTTGCTCTTACTTTTAATAAAGCTACTTAGTTTATATAGTTAGAATTACTAGATAATTCAAGAGTTTTTACAACCTAGCTATAGTTAAAGAATAAAATTTAGAGTTTCTAATATAATCTAAGTTTAATAACTTAACTAAGCTTTAACCTACTTACTCCTAGGCTCTAGGATATATATCTATACTAGTATCTTATTTTAGATTTAGAGCGTATTTATACTTACAATATAAGAAGATAGATAAAACATAGTAAGAATCTAATACAGTAACTTATTATAAAAGCTAATACCTTAGTAACTAGCTGGCTTATAAACTAGTATAGATATATTTTCTTAATAGCCTAAGTAGCTATTAGTTAAAGCTTAGTTTTGTTATAAACTTTAGATTCTATTATAAACCCTAGCTAAGTTCTAAAGAACTTTTTAATTATTTAGTAATTCTAACTATATAACAAACGCAGCTTTAGAAGAAGTAGAGGTAGAAAAACTTATATAAGTAAGCTAGTATAGAATTACTTTTATACCTTAAGAGTTAAGATCTAAATACTTTATCTATCTATATAATTTTAAATCTATTCTATCCTATTTTTTATTATAATTAAGATAATACTTAACTAATATTATAATTGAATTAGTATAGCCTAGAAGTTTCTATACTGTATCTTATAGTAAACTTATATATAACAAAATAAAGTAAGTAATTACTAGTACTAGTATAGTACTTGTAATATCTCTAGTAAGACTCTTTAAGACCTAGTTAAGTAATAGAAGAAAGAAGTAGTAATTATTTAGTAGAATAGTAATATATTTTACTTAAATAAATTAAATATTAATAATTACTTTATACTTAATAAAAAACTTTAAGTATAGCTTAATAAAGTTAAAGTTTAGTACCTTCTTTTATAAGCTTATAATACTTATAAAGCTGTTTTTATAACTTAGCACTTCCTAACCTAATAGCTTTACTACTAATTACTTGTATAACACTGTTCTAACTTAAAATAAAAATAGGTTTTATATAAGCTTTTATAGACCTTAGGTATACTACTTAAAAAAGAAGACTTATTAAAGTATTCTAAAAAGTATTAAACCTAACTATAGAACTATATAATTAATATAAAATAAGAATAAAGCTAGCAAATAGATAGTAATAAGGGTAATAGTAATAGTAATAGTAATAAAAAAGTAAAGAATTATAACTAGGTAAAACTTTAGCTACTATAGTTAGTATAGAAAATAGAAACCAATAATTAGTTAAAACGTGTATATAACTAAAATTTAATAGCAATATAACACATTATTATCTTTCTTTTAGGGAGTACTAGTGTATTTAGGAATATATTACTAAAAAATAGTTAATTTAATTTTTGAAAATATAATTATACACTCTTACAAATATTTACTATATATTAAGAAGCTAGGTTTTAGCTTCTATACTAAGTTACTGTACAATAGTCTTACTATATTAGATATATCTGCTTATATAATTAGCCAAAATGCGCTATAACTCTAGAATAATTAGCTATTATATTTAGATTATATCTTCTGTATTCCGTTAATAAAGATAGATATATATAAGATTATAAGACCTAGTCTAGTAACGTAATACAAGGAGTAAATTATTAGTCCTCTTAAATATACTTGTTATAAATAATAAAATACAAAAAGATAACTTTAGATTAAACAGACTTATTACAGAGAATAAGTAACTTAGATTAACTTATGCTTGCTTTCTTACAAAATTAA